GTGCAACCCCAAACTGGTCCAGGTCCTTCAATGAAAAAACAAGGTCTCACTGGAATACCTCAAACACTCTTACTTTTTGAAAGTCACTCTGTGATTGAATCCTCTATGGGATCGTCGATCTAAGTAGTTTACAGATTCTGGGCAGAAACTTGCGAGCATACCAGAAGTGGATCCCTGTCAGAATTGCACCAAGAATGGGCCCATGCTTTCTCACCTTTCACCTTCGACCGAGTTGATTGGACTTCATGACATTGAAATTAGATTAGCAAGTAGATTTCAGGGCAAGTTGAAAAGTTTCGAGTCATTTCTATCGAGTAGGACAGAGGGATTTAAATGAATCAATTGAATGTATGGGTCTACATCACGTGGCAGGTACCCGGTCGATTAGTAAATACCGACAACCAGAACCAAAACTAAAAGCTACATCCTCATACTTCTACATGGCATCAAACTCTCTCTCTCTCTCTCTCTCTCAGTCTCTGTCTTTCTTCCTTTCTTCCCCACACCTCTCGGAATACATATGATGACCCTTTCATATGTTTCCCGGCTGAGCATGTAGCCCTTTCTTCTCATGGCCGACAGATCGGCTGCCGACAATAGGTATATGATTTCTCCATGAGTGGGTACATAGTTATTTTGATCCATAGGATCCATAAATTAACATAGATTCAACTGATACGTTCAAGATGGTCTTCCAGGTGCCCCATCGGCACCTGTCCTAAAGTTGGAAACCCCAATCATGATCTCGAGTTCGACAATTTCAGACTCTAGAAATTCCGACAGGTCTATCCTAAGGTCTTTGGAATTCCCAGATAGCTACCAACGCCCGCAGATCCATCAGTGTCATTGGTACCCGCAACTTAATAAATGTCATTGGCACCTGTTTCGTTTTGCAGCACCCTATTCCAGACACCGACAGGTCTACATGCGCCAGGAGGGCCTCCCCGACGTTTCCCGTTCTCCCTATCTTTGATGAGGGCCAGCTTGTATCTGAGGCCCAGGTGGGAAAAAACAAGGGCTCGGGGATAATGGCCCGACAAGCTTTGAAAGTGAGCACTCGAAAGCTCGGGCTTCATGTTGCTAAGCTAGAGGAGGCTGAGGCTGGGGAGGACTCCGCCAGTACCACCAAGTAGTTTTAGCCTTTTTCCTCATTTAGACTTAAGTATGTACTCGACATATCCTCTCTAGCCAGACGATCAATCTAATAAAATTAATCAAATGTCGGATTCTTTCTTGCAGAACTTATGGTTAATAGGTTCATATTACCTTCGTAAGTAGGCTGAAAGGGCACTTGAGAGCCCGTTCATAGCATTGAAAGCATCAATCGGCGCGTTTGGTATCGTTCTCTCACCTTTTCACCGCCAGCACTATAAACACCAAGTGAGACAAATCAAAGCTTCGAGTGATAAGCCTTGTAAGTTCAAGAATTGCCTTGATTCATTTAGATCGACTATCTAAGATATTCACTGACATCAGATTGTATTCAGCGCGGTGAAGTTACATATACGTTATAGTACATGTGATATTGCCTTGATGGAAATTTTGTAAACAATGAACCAGGATTGAAAAGCCTCTATCTCTAACATGTTATATATCGAAAATAGGATGATCAAGGTTATATGTGCAGTAAACTTATCCGATTAACTAGAGATATTTTGTTTTTCAAGTTTACTTAGATATCTAACAATTATTTATAAGTAGGCTCTATCTCTTCTATCGTGAATTAGATTAAACTACTATAAAGCATAAGATCTTTAATCGTACTTAGCTTTAGACCACCAAACTAATAGTAGCAGTATCATATACTAAGTTACAACGCCTTTTAACCCTTGTATCTATAGCTAGGATAGAAAAGTTATTACGTGGAATCTACAGAAGAATTAGGTATCTACTCTTACTTTCTTTCTAAAATTGCTGAGTATTAAGAAGAGTTGTACATAGATAGATAAGACATTGAAGCCTTTTCGGCTACAAAGAGTAGATATAGTAAGAGATAGACATACTTAAAGATAGTAAGATAACTTATCCTGATCTAAAGGGCACTCAACTCCTACCGCAGAGGCTAGCAATTGACTTCCATGAGGCAGTTACAGGCGGGGTAAACTCCGTCGGCCCAATGTGGTCATCACGGGAGCATGAGGCAATGCCAATAAGACTCCTTAAGGATCCTCTTCCATACCACCATTTATTCCCACGGACTCTGGTGCCTCTTTCGAATCCATTCAGTATACCCTATACTGCATAAAACTATCAACATTAAAAACCCTCTACGAGTAAAACAATATCAACGAAATTTCTGTGGAATGTCGACCGTGACACAGACTCCAGATTCCCAAACGGCAACCGGGCCATTGCGGGAGCAACTGGAAATTGAAGATGTTCTCGTATATCCCACTGGGTTTAATCGAGGGCTCGTCATCTTCTCAATTCTCCTCTGCGTCGTCTTTGTCGGTCTCGACATGACCATCGTCGCGGTGGCCGTCCCCAGTCTCTCCAACCAGTTCAAGCAGCTAAACGACATTGGATGGTACTCAGCATCCTACCAGCTAATCGCTAGCAGTTTCATTTTCTTCTTCGCCAGGCTGTACACCGTCTTCCCCATGAAAGCCATCTTTCTAATCTCCATTTTCCTATTCGAGCTCGGCTCGCTCCTCTGCACCGTCGCCCCGACCAGTGCGACGTTCATCCTGGGCCGTGCCATCGCAGGCTTAGGCAGCAGCGGTATCCAGACAGGCAGCATTGTTCTGCTGGTCAGTCAACTGCCTGTACACAAGCGGCCATTCTGGACCGGGTTCGTAGGCGCAGGCTCAAACGTAGCCATGGTGATTGCTCCCCTTATCGGCGGTGTGCTAATCGACGCCTTTTCCTGGAGGGCTTGTTTCGGAATCAACCTACCTATTGGTGCCATTGCAAGCGGGTTTATCACATACGGGTTCCAAATGCCGGCGAACCCCCCTCACGAAGCCGGATTGTCCATGGTGGAAAAGTGCAAGCGGCTCGATATTGTCGGGACGTTGGTATTCGTGCCTGCCACTATCTGCCTGCTCATCGGGCTACAATGGGGCGGCGTCAAATACGGCTGGGCTGATGCGCGAATTATCGTGCTGCTGGTGCTATTTCCCGTGTTCATCGGTGTCTTTGCGTTCATGCAGTATCGTAAGAAGGAAGATGCTACCCTTCCCCCGCGCATCATGAAGCAGCGCAGTGTCCTGGCTGGGGCTTGGTTTAATGCTTGCAGCAATGGTGTCCTCGCCGTTACCGAGTACTACATGTCGATCTACTTCCAGGGGGTGCGCGGGCTTAGTGCTACGAAATCTGGCGCTATGGGCTTGCCGCTCTTTGCGGGTATGGCTGTGACGGCTCTCGCGGCCGGTGCAGGAACCACATGGATGGGGTATTATTACCGTAAGTACTAGCCTATCCCCCTGGAAGGAAGGATAATTAACGATATCTATATTCATTTCAGCTTTTATGCTCATCAGCTCAGTCCTCACGCCCATCGCCTCCGGACTACTCACCACAATCGAATACAATGACGCTCTGGTTAAAATCATCCTACTCTTGACCTTTCTCGGCGCCGGCGTGGGCCTGGGACTTCAAGCGCCAGTGTTCGCCGTGCAGACCGTTCTCCCGGACAAGGACATCGCCACCGGGGTCGCAATCACCGGGTTTACGGGGCTTCTCGCATCTGCACTTTTTGTTTCGGTTTCTGCAGTGCTATTTCAGAGCCGATTGGCCATTGAAGTGGAGCGGCATTCGCCGGGGACTAATCAGAGCATCTTTGACCATGGGGGCCTGGTGGATGTGAGAAAGCAGATTGGGTCTGCTAGACTCGGTGCTGTGCTTTCTGGATATGATGAGGCGGTGATTCAGACGCTTTATATCCCTGTTGCGTTGGCTTCGTTATCGGTTTTGGCGAGTGTGGCAATGGAGAGGAGGAGTGTGAAGAAGACTCAGTGAGCTATTTTTCACACACACACTCTCTCTCGATATGCAATGGATTTTTGGGCATGCTTGATACATATCCATATTGTTAATATGCCCCTCGTTGGTGGTCACTCTCTCCATCGTTGGGTTGATGTTAGGGTTAGGGCGAGGTGAGATGATATTAGGGCGGGCAACCATGTCGTTACGTGAGAAATCGTCCTCGTAATAATTGCCATAATTTTCTCAGAACAAGGAATGATGTTGCTACGCTGGCAGGTCTGTGGGATCAGCCCGAAAATGCGGATGCAAATCGCAGGCTGGGGACATTCGGCGAGTGCGTGAGACATTTGAGCTGGCATTTCACGCAGGATCGGGTGAGATTTCCACCGATTAGGGGAGAAGGTGTTGGTCGCGGGATTTCTGGAGACGTTTGATGAGTATACTCCGTAGAATTCTAATGATAATATAGTTGCATAACATTCGCTTCCCTTGTTCCTGTTGCAGGCTTAAATGCTTGGTCATCAAGGCAAGAATCTGGATAATGAATAATTGGGATACTCTGCAAAGCTTGTCTCAAGGAGTACGCTGAGTTTCTATCCGATGTTATGCAAAGGTTGACAATTCATTGGGTATCATGATGGACTTTTACTCCGTTGGCGAACCCTTTTGCGATAGGTTTCCCGAGGCTAGAACCACCACCAATCACAATGACAACTTTGTGTTTGACGGAGAAGCGATTTTCTACCTTAAATGATACATGCTGTCCCGCTGTATTTACAACGAATTTCAAGATATTTCTTAAGTAGTCGTTGTCATTTGTTTTGACCCTGGTATAAGTCACTTTCCCGGCTATTGATCGGACGGTTTCCGAGTCGGGGAATGAACCAGCTGGTTCGTCGCTCATATCGCCGAGTGCGGGGTTCAATGACTTCACCCCCACGCCTTTTCTCCAGACGCAAAGGTATTGGTGCGAAAATACGTCAACCGGTGGGGGTCTTGGTAATCATTGAAATACACTTGTTCCACGCAAACAAATTTTCATTGTCCTATACTCTATCAATCGCATAACAGCCATGAAACTCCTCTACCCCACCTCCGTCCCACTTGACGTCCAGAGTCTCCAGGGTTTCTCAGTCTCTCTTCACCCCTACGATGTAAAGGTTCCAATCCCAGAGGAGCTGATTGATGCCGATATCCTCGTTACTTGGGCCAACGCCGCCGACAACCTCAAAGATGCCGCACAGCGCATGAAAAACCTCAAATGGATCCAATCCCTGGCAGCTGGCCCCAATGACGTGTTCGCCGCTGGATTTGATCGCTCAAAGGTCATCGTGACAACCGGTGTAGGCCTGCACGACGGTCCCGTCGCCGAGCACGCGCTCGGCCTCCTCCTAACCGGAGCCCGCCGCTTCTACGAAATGCGCGATTACCAACTCCAATCTAAATGGCCCGGTCACCTTGGCGGCTCCTTCCCCCGAAGCGACTTCACTACATTGCGCAACTCTCGCGTGTTGATTTGGGGTTTCGGTAGCATTGCTAAGAAGCTCACTCCCTACCTGACCGGTCTTGGAGCTGAGGTGAAGGGCATCGCTCGCAGCCACGGAGTGCGAAACGGTGTCGAGGTTTTCGGTGAAGATAAATTGGCCGAGCTCTTGCCTCAGACGGATGCTCTTGTTATGATTCTCCCTGGATCTGAATCAACAAATAACGCCCTGAATGCCGAGAGGCTCAAGTTGCTGCCGAAGCACGCGTGGCTCGTTAATGTTGGACGGGGAACATCTGTTGATGAGGATGCGCTGGCGGATGCGCTGGAGAAAGGTGAAATCGCGGGCGCTGCGCTTGATGTGTTCAAGACCGAGCCTCTTCCTGAGTCTAGTCGGCTATGGAAGACTCCTAACCTTGTTATTTCTCCACATGCTGCTGGTGGAAGGCCTGAGGGCTGCACTGAGCTCATTGCGGATAACCTGCGACGCTACTTGGCTTCGCAGCCGCTCAAGAATGTTTTATGACTAGCACGGGATACCAAACTTTAAATAGACCATAGATGTCAATGGAGGAGAGTTATATATTGGCTATACCTGTATTCATTGCAAGTCGTCGTTATCTATTTCGACTACGAAGTAACGAATGTTGGCGCTGAACGGCCTTTCTAAAGTTGCCTAAGCTAGGAGTAACTTTGGAGATATGGAGACATCAACAAGCGTAATTGCCTAATCCACAAGAAAGTAACGTTCATTGATTTTGACAACGTATCCCGGGTGACCAGTCGGCAGCTAGTGGACGAGGACTATCATTCAATGAAACCAAATTACGGGACATGTCTGGCCATGATGGATTTATTGACGAGCAATATGTAAAGGCTCGCGACGAGAGAGAATCTGTCACAAGTTCGACAAACCTGCAATTGAGTTAGATGGGAGTACATCTAGCAATTCTCTAAATCTACTTTCATATTCAATGTGTTCAATGAGATGGCATTCCACATAAGAGATAGATGGGAAACCAAGAAGATCATGTACAAGTTTACCAAGGCAGTCCCCGTCCTCAAAATGAATACCATAAAACCCGGGAATCAAAACTCAACAAACGCCAATCCCACAAATACCAGACATTGAGATATCATCACGCATCAGTAATTTCGTCCTTAATAACCGTTCCCATACTTGTATCATGATCATCCTCGTCTTCCTCCATGATGCTAGGCTCTATGGAAACCATACTCCGGCTGGCACCACCACCCTCGATAGATGGACGCACGCTACCAGATCGAATACGGCTAATGTTGTGCTCATCCTCGTCCTCTTCCATGATACTAGGTTCCACAGAGACGTGGCGACGGTTGATCCCAGAAGGCTCAACAGAACGCCTTACACTAGCGGAGCGGACACTGCCGACATCACTCTCGAGATCCTCTGTACCAGCGCGAGGGCGTACACTGGCCGCACGAGCATCTTGAGCAACAGCGAGAATCTTCAGAACGGCGTTCTTGGCCTTGACTAAAGCGTTCCGGCTGGAAGCTTCACCAGCAAGACCCTCATCGATGGTCTGGTCGAGCAGTTCCTTTACCTCTTGAGCGAGCTGGATGTTGTCAGGCTCGATCTCAAGAGCCGTGGCGCTACGAATACTCGTTCGGAATTGGTCTTCGCCTTCTGGAGCACGCGATCCAGCGCGAGCCGGTGGTAATGTCGGCGCGGAAACGTAAAGCTTGCTCAGAAGAGAGAAAATGAGCTTGCGCTCCTCACGCGAACAGCGAGTAGGCCCAACATTGACACCCAGGACACGCTCCAAGATGTCTTTGACTAGAGCGAGGTGTACCCAACCACAGGCCGTCGAGCTTGCTGTTCCACCAATCAGAACACGCTCTCCACCAAGACCAACAACACGGCGTTCATCGGTCCATTCAGCAAGCATTCCCACGACACCCGTCATGAGCGCCTTGACTTCACGCTCGCCAACGCTCTCATCAACTTCTCCGTCGCTATCTTCTTCGGCTTCAAGAGAATAATGTTCTTCAGCAGCGTTCATGACGGCACGGATAACCGGCACAGCAACTCGCCGCATGTGCTGGATGTTATCCAATCGAGAGTGACAGTACACTGGGAAGAAGTACGCTAGAGACTGCCGAAGAGCGGGATTTCCCTTTGTGCGTGGGTGGAAGAAGGCCACCACCAGCGATAGCAACAAAGTTTCGACGGAATTTTGGTTATATTCCTGAATGGTTGGCGGAATGTTGGACCCCGAAGGTGTGAAGGTATTGGTAAGCAAAAGCTTGGATAGAGCAGTGGCAGCAGCAGACTGCACACTGGGTGGAGAGCTCGCTTTTAGAGCGCGTGAAAAGACCTTCAGCAAGGGCTTCTGGATGGGGGGAGTCGTTACGGTTTCGCCGTCAGATTGAGTGATTGGAGCGAGGAGGGAAGGGTGGGTCGTAATCATATCACAGATAATTTGCAATGCAGTCACTTGCAAACCCTCATGACCCTTGCTGTAGCAATGAATGAAGAGTGTCATATTCTCTTCAGCGAGGTTCTAACACGTATATTAGCAAGAATGGTCTTTTAGTTTCTGGTCATAGGAATAGTGAACAAACCTTGTCAAGCAAACAGCAGAGACCCAAGCACAAGATACCGCGTTCTCGAATGGGAGCTTCGTGGCTTCGAACAGCAGGTACAACGAGATTGTTCAACATCGTAACAAGATTCATGCTCTGCTGCAGGTTACCCTCGACATTTTGTAGCATGCATTGGGCGATATGTAGACATTTCATGTTGACCACGATCTCTCGAACAATCTTGGCCTTCGCTTCTTCCTTGTTGAATGGGACCGGCTCCTCTTCACCTGGAGTTTCAGAGCGATGACGGCTGCTGGCATCATCACTAATTTCTGACTTCGCAGAGACGAAGCTATCCTCCGTTGTGATTGTGTCGTGTACTTCAGCGATAGCTTCAAGAACGACGCTGCAGAATTCACCCTCACCGGCGCGATCTGGGCCACAGACGCATCGCAGTGCCTCGACTGCAAGTTTGGTACAGTCTTCTGGAAGCTCTGGCACAGCCAATGACTCGCGAAGGAGCGCAAACATTTTGCGCCGACCAACTTCATCGCTGTAGTCCAGAGTAATGGCAATGTGAAGGAGTTGTTCGACAATGAACTCCTGCTCGACAGCATCTTCATCATTTGCATCGCCAGATTCCTTGGACGATTTTTTCCGTTGTAGGAGCTCGTTCATGTATTTGGCGAGGAAATAGCCAAGCGCGGTGACTTCCGGCATCTTCTCCTCAGCAAGGCTCTCGTACTTTCCGTCGTTCTCGACGCGGCAGAAGTCGTTAAACGATCGCAGTAAGAAGGCAGATTCGGCTGTAAGAGACTCCCAGAAGGGTTCATCGAAGACCATCGCTTCTCGATAATCCGCACGACCTTCCCAGAAGCTGCGCATCGCCTCATGGGCGATTCCGCTTTCCATGCCCGTGTTGGCGACATCGATTCTCTCAAGTAATTCAAGAAGAGCGTTGATGTTGGGAGGTGAGCGCTGAGAAGTTGCACCCTCCTCCTCTCCGGCGTTGGTACCCGCACAATCCTCCACCCAGCGATCATAGAACAGTTTGCCGGTTGCTTTGCGAACGCTTTCATCACGGTCTCGCAGACCCCAACGGAGCAACTTCTCTCTCATAGATAGGGACAGGTGGCGGAAATCGCCTAGCATAGGCAAAAGTCGAGAGTATAAGGTACGTCGGGTTGCAGCGTCGAGATCGCGGGCTCGTTCAAGAAGATAGGGAAGAGTCACCGGGGCCAGTGGGAGGTTGGCGAGAAGGTTCTTACGCACATCAGCGCTTGTATCGTTTTGCATGATTTCAATCAGCTTTTCCAGGAGCGCGGTGCCATTGCCATCGTCGTCTTCTTCATTACCAGCCAGTCGTGCAAGGCCCAGAACAGCCTGTACACGAACTGATGATTCCTTATCGCGGATTCGCTTCAGTAAACCTTGTTGAATAGTGTGATATAGTTCATCATCAATTGACTCCAGGGTGTTGACGATGTGTGCGACAATCTGAGTGGCGCGGAATCTTATCATCTTGTCCTTTGCACCAAGGAGGGGGACCATCAAGGCCACCAAGCTTGAAGTCAGACGCGAGGTGGGGGTTTCGGGCGAAGTTTGCATCTCATATTCGTCATCGGCGTTCGAAGCAAACAACTCGTTGTCTTTCTCGGAAGCATGAGCGAGGAAGGTGTCCATGAAACGAATGATGCGGTCTCCGACGGGCTCAGACTTCTTGATGGGCAGAATTCGAAGCATACAACGACCGACTTCAACGTTGAATTCCTTCTCCGGAAGAGTTTCCTCCTCGGGAAGCACAATCTCCTCTTCCTCTTGATCCTTTCCTTTTTTATTTTTTCGGGCAATTCCACTGCAAATTTCTTGTAGTTTTCGCAAACGCACTACAAGCTTGCGATGGCCTGTAGTTGAGCGCTGCGCATCTGCGAATATGGCACACACATCACGGCGGAGGTTAGGTGACGCTTCAGGGAGCGCCGGTTCATCGGGAATCGCAAATGATGGAGTCACTGAGGGGGCACGCCCCGCAGAGGGTTGTTGCGATGACCTGCGCGTCGTCGCAGAGGTCGATCGGGCGGCGACTCGGCCGGGCATGGTGGGTATGTGTTATCGGGGGCGCGATTAACAAGAGACAAAACGCATGACAGGGCGCGCATCCACAGATGAAGCAAGGAAGAAAGGGCAAATGCGGGCGGTAAACAAACAGCCCAAACGGGGAAGGAACGATAAGCGGTCACCTGACTTTGATGGCTGACTCATCCCCGCTATCGGAGACCCTGAATGCCCGATCATAGCTCATTCATCACTATATTTCGCATTGTACTCGTCACAATGTTCCGCCAAAGTATTCGTCGCTTTGGCACTACAGCCGTTCGTGCCGCTGCCGAGAGCAGACCCGCTTACACTTCTCGGGTGTCCACAGCGCAGGGCGTTGTCAATGGTCTGACGGAAGGTAGGTTGATAGCTCAGATGCGGGTTCCGAGCGATTAGCTTACAGGTCCATCATATAGCAATTGGCAATACTCCTTTGATCAGATTAAAGCGCCTCTCCGAGGAGACTGGATGCAATGTGCTGGGCAAGGCCGAATTCCAGAACCCCGGTGGAAGCGTGAAGGATCGGGCCGCGCTGTTTGTCGTCGAGGATGCCGAGAAGAAGGGACTCCTTCGGGCTGGGGGTACTGTTGTTGAGGGCACCGCTGGTAACACCGGTATTGGTCTGGCACATGTGTGTCGGTCCAAGGGCTACAAGCTGGTGATCTATATGCCCAACACACAGTCTCAGGGAAAGATTGACTTGCTTCGGTTGCTCGGTGCGGAAGTGTACCCTGTCCCGGCCGTCGCATTCGACAACCCTGAGAATTACAACCACCAGGCACGTAGGCATGCCGAGTCCTTGACCAACGCAGTCTGGACCAACCAGTTCGACAACACCGCGAACCGTCAAGCACACATTGAAACCACTGGACCCGAAATTTGGGCGCAGACCGGCGGCAAGATTGACGCCTTCACATGCGCGACCGGAACCGGTGGTACACTTGCTGGTATCACACGCTATCTCAAGGAAGCCAGTGATGGTCGCGTTAAGAGCTTCCTGGCTGACCCACCAGGTAGTGTGCTGCACAGCTACATCCAGAGCGGTGGTAAGCTCGTCGACCGCTCAGGTGGTAGTATCACTGAGGGTATCGGCCAGGGCCGTGTGACCGACAATCTGCAGCCCGACATTGACTTGCTGGATGGCTCCCTGAACATTAGCGACGAGAAGACCATTGAGATGGTCTACCGCTGCCTGGATGAGGAGGGTCTCTACCTGGGAGCCAGCTCTGCTCTAAACGTGGTGGCTGCTAAGGAAGTTGCCGAGAAGATGGGCAAAGGCAGCACTGTTGTGACCATTTTGTGTGATGGTGCTTACCGGTATGCTGATCGGTTGTTCTCCAACACTTGGCTTGAGAGCAAGAAGCTGCGCAGCTCTATTCCCAAGCACCTGGAGAAGTACATTGTGCTGCCTTAAATCAACTCAATTGAGTTGATGTGAATAGATATAAAATGTATTTTTCTTGATTGTTGACCGATTTATCAATTGATACATGTACAACCCCCCGGCCTATGTGAATATTTGCTGCCTCCAGGGCTGCCCTCCTGCAAAAGACATACAGTACAAAGACACCTAATCCTGTACCTACCGTAGTATCTACCCTAGTATGGATTTATATCTTTAGCTACGGTGTACTATAAACGTATATCTAACATATCTATAGATGTTGAATTGCGTAGCAAAAAACCAATAATTGCAAGTTTGATATTGTAGGGTGCGAATGATTTCGGAGCCATTGATATGTTCCTGCGTACGGACTAGAGTGTACAAGAGTAATTTAGGGTTTACACGGCGCAATTGCCGGAAGTTTTTCTCGCTACACAAGCTGATGCTTTAGTAGTTATTGGTTAAATGTTAACCGAAAATGTATTTTATATACCCAAAGGCCGTGCTTGTTCTCACATCACGCCCGGGAAATGTTGGACTTACCGAACAATCGAACCCCTAAAGAGACAATAAAACTCGTGGACAATATAATCGATTTTTTCCTTTGCGGAGGATATGGTACCTTTCCCATCCTGCTTGATCACAGACTCCACTACGTACCAAACGCACCATACCCGAGGAGGCCTTTCATATGTCATACCTTTTATGGACCATATCGAAATTGGGAACCTGCAACCGAGAGCCTGAAAATAGCTCTTGCGATCAGTGCCGTCAACCGCAATGATGTTTCCGGGCTGGAGAATGTTTGCGAAAAGGACCAATTCATCATCAGAAAAGAGGGTAGGCGTTTCATGATTTCCCCATGTACAGTTGCGGCAAAAACAGGCAGTTAGAATATAATCGAGCTGGTTATAAGGCACTGGGTGCCACACGAGTTTCCATGGTCTCCTCTTGACCATGGTCGAGAAGAAAAAATACTGACGACCTGCATACGTGCCGGAAACCTGAAAGCAATAAAACTCTTTCTCCGGTTCTTTCTGGGCGACGAAAAGAAATATGATCCGCTCCTGGAGCCTGCGGCTAGAGCATCACTATATATGAAGGAACACAGATCGAAAAAGAGAGGGGAAATCTTCAAATTGCAAAACTTCTTGTACGAGCCATTCATACAGGCTATCACATTCGGGCAAGTGGATATGATCCAATATATGCTTGACCGTGGCGCTTTGAACTTCGAAGGGCATTAGAAATTCCATGGGAAGGGAGCGTTGTTCACAGCTCTGCATGATTGCCCACTGAGGGAAAGATCGTCAATTTTGAAACTCCTCTTGGATTATGGTGTTGATCCAATTCAGTTGTGCTTGGGAATTCCGAGCACTCCATTTCAAACAGCCGTCTACAAAGGAGATGCTGTGTCAGCTGCTACATTGGCGGAGTATGGCGCAGATTTCCATGCCGCATCGTTGGGTTCCCATCCAGCACGCACAAAGCCACTCTTATTACAAGCTATTCAGCATCGATCTGCTACATTAGTTCAAGTGTTGTTCAATATTGGGTTTGATAGGGTATGTGACTGGAGGAAGAAGAGGTACACGGTCCATGATGGAACGGAGGAAGGAAATTTGAGAAAAATACACTCCAAATTGAGATGGGACCAGGAGGAAGAAAGCACGGTGGGATACTGTGTTACTGTACAGAGATTGAGCCACCTCAAGAGTAAGTAGGTACATTCATGTCCAGAAATATGAAATGGAGAATTTCTCAATATTGGGTGCTCAAAGGAGCTTCATCCGTATCGAACATGTAGATATAATACATAAGAGTAGAGAACGCAGAAAACCGAGGACAATAATCCAACTTATTTGGAAGTCGAGATAAGCCGTCAAGTCAGATCAAAAGCAGCCACGAGGAACATGAAGATCCCCAGCAAACCACTTTTGAGCGCATTATGTGCAGCAGAAATATATCCCACAAGAGGTAAGCAAAACCCAAACGCCCTCTATGCTTCCGTTCTATCCAAAAATTCGCCAAAGTGCCGTAAAAAAGAAATACAGACTGAAAACAAGTAACGGAATCAAAGGTATCGAAACAAGCCAGCCGACGACGGTGAAGGTGGCGGGTAGTCGAAGTCAAGATGGAGTTTAATCATCGGACTCCGGCATGCGCATGTAAGCATCAATAGCAGCACTGAATGCCGCAAAACCCGCACAGCCAAAAGCAGCAGCCTGCGGGCCAGCCTTTGCACCCAGGATACCACCAGTCATACAACCAGCCGCGACACTGTTGGTCAAGTCGTTCTTTGCGCGCAGACCCTCAATACAGCACTCAGTTCCAGAGTAGAGCGCACCGACGATACCGAAGTTTTTAGCAGAGGACCAGGAACGGGCACCCATGTCCTTGAAACCGCGGCGGACCTGCTCCCGCCAGGGGAGTTCGGAGATTGCGCGACCTTGCGGGGTGAAGGTGGAGTCGTATGACATCTAGATAACATTTTGATTAAAAGGTGATTAGAGGAGCGGCATGCGAATCGACTTACACTGGCCATGAAGAGACCGAATGCACCACCGAGACCGAATCCCATGGTACCGGAAATAACTGTCTTGACGGGGCAAGATTCCATACCAGCTTGCATCTGTTCGCGTGAGGTAAGTCAGGTGGCCTTGGAAGCGGAATTGTCGACGAGGAACATACCATCTTGACCATTGCCTGTTCTTGCTCGCTCATGCCGGCGTTTTGGTTTCCTCCCAAGCCGCCCATCCCCATCGGCTGTCCCATACCCGGGGCGTTCATGATGATTTATTGTAAGTGAGGCGTTGAGCGGGTGTACTTTGTTGGTGATTTGGCTCGAGGAAGCCTGGCCTAATAGGACTTGAGGAGTAGTGAGATCCCCTAAGGAAATTAAGACACGAACCGACGGAGCGCGGAGTGTCTTGCGGAGGCGGCAACTCACGCAAATTTATTTTTGCGGCGCCGCAGAACAACCAAGGTAGCAGTTCAGCACGTGACCGCTATGGCTAGAACGGGTCTACAGATCTATATGGATGATCGCAGCAAGTCATTCAATATTTTATTTTCTCATTTATCAGGGTTTGTAGTAAGCCGATAGAGGGCAAAGTCAGAGAGCCAACAAAAGAAACCGGACACTCCAGGACAAAGAGAAGAGCACAAGGAAAAAAGAAGCAACGCTCTCGTGGGTGCAACAGTCGTAGCCCTACATGATGTCAAGGATGCTGTGTCGTGCCAAATCGCCCAACGGAGATCCTCAAGTATGGGACCGAAGAAGCGAATGGGGGGAATAATATGTACATAAAGAAAAGAAGATTGAAAGAAAAGCAAAAAAGGTGGACTCAGTCCTTCTTGCTACTTTTGCCGGAGTCCTTTCGTTCCGGGGACGGCGAAAGACTGCGCTCCCACTCAGCCATCAGATTCGAGGCAGTGCGCTGAAGTTTGGAGGGTGCCAGCTTGGTGATGACAGGCCAGGGGATACCTTCGGTGACAATGGGATCAGGAGCGGCGGAATTGGGATTCCACTCGCCAAAGCTGCGGATCGGGCGTCAGCGTCAGCTCATGACCAAGTTGTCATATATAAAATCAGAGAAAGTCGAAATGTACCTTGCACTCGTTCGTGGACTACTACCCTGCGTTGTGGGTGACTGGTCAGGCTTCGACTCGACCGTCGACCGACTAGATGAGGGTGTATGTGCCACTTTCTTCACGGATAGTGGGGATTCCCAGACATCCCAATTATCGGCCGTATCATCCTCCACGTTGACTGGACTGCCGGAGTGGCGACCGAGGCGCTCGGTTTCTTTCTCGCCCTGCGGGGTCGTGGTGCCGGTTTTGTTGTCGGATGGGCTGCGACGAGCGCCGGGGGCCTTCTGCGCTGGTGAATCAACGCCAAATTCATGCCAGAACGAAGAGGCGATATCCGCCGGCTTGGAGTCTTTACCGGATGTTGGCTCAGCCGCTGGTCCCCTACCCCGCGACGAAGACGATGATGATCGTGACTTGTCCCCCGCAACTGACAGCCGCTCTCGGCTCCGTGATTTGGCTAGCGAATCTCGTTTCCGCGTGTTCGGTGGCGCTAGCGAATTCGGCGATGACATCGTTCGGGATTCGGTTCCGTTTATACCTTCCTCGCCCACTGTAGCTTGTCGAATATCCTCCAGAAAGGTCCACAGGCCCTCACGCAGATCCGAAGCCATTTGTTTGCCAGTCCGCATAAGCGCCTCCCGAGATGGTGGAGGCAGGGTCTTCCGCCACTGTGCAAGCAGGTGTTCCGGCACCTGACTCTCGTCGATTGGTGCTACCATGCTCGGGCCAGTAGTGAGACGTTCGACCGATGGTAGAGTAGCTGACCGCGGTGTGCGACCCACACGTTCAGGATCTGGCAAACCGGGACTCAGACCAGAGGAGGCAGTGACAGGGGAAAGAAGGGATAATGTGCGTGCATGAGAGCCTTGGAAGACGCGCCGACCATTGGACGATATGGTTGTGCCAGTAGGTACTGTAGGAGGGGCACGTATACTATTCCGCCTATCCAGCTCCCGGCTGAGTCGCTCTTGAGATATGGCCGAGCTAGCGACGGAACTCAAGCTTTGTTCCCGACGGTGCGAGCTTGGACTCGAGACCTCTACCCCACTCGGATCGGGAGAACGAAGTGGAAGCAAGGGTTCAGCATGATGACTGATCTCTGTACGTTTCCTTGACTTCTCCGACAGCGCCCATTGTTTCTTAATGGTTGACAGGTCGGCCTCCGCCTGCTGGAGCTCCTCGCGGAGCTCCATCACCTTCCGTTCCTGACAAGCGATGGCATGCAGAAAATCGTAGCCATCATCTTGAAGATCGAATGGGATGGGGGTCCCAGTGGGGAGAGGGGGGAGCCCGGTAGACGGGCGGGTTGACGACTGTGTGACGGGGGTCATGGATCCCGGCGACGCAACAGCGCTATCGGGGTTTGCGGCTGGGGACTGATTCAGAGGGAAATGGATGGGGAGGTTCAAGGTCAAGCGTTTGGCATGTCGTGTTGCAGGATTGGACTTTGGTAGAGATGATTGTTTATTCCGTGAGAGCGATGAGGAGCGAGAAAGACTGTGTGACTGCGCTGATAGAGGCTCCGTTGGGGATTCGAGGGTTGAAGTCTGGGACGCATCCGGCGGTGGACCGTGGGCGAGAAGATCGCCCGTTCCCAAGCTCTCCATGATGGACCAGCCAGCAAGGAGAGAGAAGAGCGAGTTATATTGGGAAGAATAGGAGCATATGAGCACCCAACAATATATACAGAGGGAATGAAAAGGAAGAAAAAGGTGACAGGCGAAGTCTGGAAGTCTCCGTTCTCCTGAGAGTCCACTGCGGGTCTCTTGGACCGCGCATCCTTGCCACGAGTGTTTCAGGGGCCGCTCCGAGGTTCTGGCCGCTTTAGCCTGTTCTTTTAATTCTATTTACTCCATACTGCTTTGATGAATGAATTGCTGATTTCCCAAAGTCTTGTTTGCTCATAATACTGGTTGTTTCAGTTGTGGTTGAGCCTCAGGGGTCATAGACTCGAGGGGGCTTTAGATGATCGACACTTCAAATTTCCTAGATACGAATAAGCTGTAAAGCGATTGGACGATTTTCTCCGGAACCACGTCGAACATCTAACATGTGTACGGAGACATGTGCACATTCCCAGTGTGAAGCTATGAGATCATAGCGATGTGTGTGGTGAACCTTTGTCTTTGGCCTGTCAAGTTCTAGATCGATCTATACATGTTCATAAGAACGGATACCAGAAGTCACACCATGTACCCTGTAAATTGCCTGTTGAGTAATTGCCAAGCTATTATTTATAGACAGTCTCCATCACAATACCCAAATATCCAGGCATTTTAGGTTGTAACAAAGATGTTCTCGGTATAGCCCCCGGGTAAACCCTGCATACGACCTCTTCACTATGAAAATCGAGAGGGCACTCCGTACATACAGAGAAGATACAAATATGTTAGATCTTATCAGCTTTTGAAAGCATTTGAACTTAGGGATGGACAATTGTAAAAGCTACAGAAAATCCTAGCAAGTATTCGAGCTGAATTGGTGCTTTCTTCATAAAAAGATCCCGTAAACATACAAATATACTCCACTTCACACTAAAATGCTCCGTACAATTCTCCACAGCTAAACATACACCACACCTAAAACAGCTACACCCGTCGCTGCTTTGCGCTCCGCACGAAATCACTGCGTAAACAGCCCCACATGCACTGCCGAGCGGAAGCTTCCCAAAAGAAAGCTCCAGTGGCTAATCTCGTTCCAGGGGGAGATAAAATTACCATGAGGAGAAGCTTTTTTATGAATTAAATGAGCACCAGTCTCCGGTACCAATGGCTATCAGCGTAACATGAAGTACCTAGGTAGTCAGCAATAAATGATAGGTTCAAAATAGAGTCTTGTGCCGGTAAATTTCTCTACTCAGCAGATTGCTGTCAACACTGGGTTCCATGTAAATCTTAAGAATTATATGTACGTATATAAACATTGCTCTGGGCATACCGAGTGTTGGATAGGCACGGTACACAATCATACACAGTGCAATAGAAGTAACCATAAATGTCCAAAGAGCCGACACAATTTTATTCAAACACTCCAGTTCACCACAGATCTTCGTACATATTCCACACTTGATCGAACCCCTTGCCGAAAACAATACAATGAAGTAGGGGGAATGGGAGAAGGGGCGACAAAAAGCACACACACACACACACACACACACACACACACACACACACATAAATGACACCAATACAACAAAAAGCTATTCATGAGGAAAAAGCCGAGTCCATAGTATTGGATTCAATACAAGCACAGAACAGCGGATGAGAAGAATGAAAGCATAACCACAAGTTCCTGATATGGGAACGAAATAAACACAATGTACCAAGAATAACTACACCAGATCGTAACTCCAGGAATCGTCACAGCGTAAAGCAAGAAATCGGACAGAAAGAATGGACGCCAAGATGCAAGGCCGGTGGCAGATTCGGACAAAACGAAGGGGTTATACAACAAGACCCATTAACGCCGGGGAGGTTTATACAAACGAATGTAAGAAGAGATTGGGAGCAGAGGGAGAGGGAGAGTATTGAGGAGATAGGTGAGAGATGAAGGACGTTGGGTCAAGGAAGACTCTAGATTCCCCAACGGTTGCGAAGACCGTCCGCCCAACGAGAGTACAGAACATCGGTCAATTGTTTCGTATGTTCCATACCAGACGTGGTTTGGCCAGGTAGGTTGGAGAGAGGAGATGAGGGTCGAGGTTCAACGACACTTGATTGTCGTCGGTGGTGGCTTTTGAGGTGAGGGTTATTCTGCGCCAGGACGAGGCGTGGGCGTTGCGGGGAATCTGGCTGAGGAGATGTGGGAATGAGAGTAGATAGGCGAGGGTCGGCTTGAAGTCTCTCGTTCATGATGCGCACGATGTGGTACAAGCCCTCGGGGTCAACCATCTCCAAGTCACTCCAGGCTTCGGCCAATCGAGAGATCGCATCCCGCTTCTCGCCATCTCCGGTAGTAGCAAGAACTTCCTGACAGGAAAGACCCACAGCCCTGCTGTAGGCGCGTCGACCTAGCTGGCCTTCCTTGCTTATAGTCTCAGGAGTGAGGGGCTTGGGGCTGGTGTTCTCATCAAATCCAGGCGGCGGCTTGACCTGTCCGTTTTCGCTGTTGGGGACTCTCTCTGAGACACGACGGAATTGTCGCACAGTGGATGGGGTATTGCCGAAGCTGAGATCTAGGCCCAATGGCTGTTTGACACCGCTGGACCGGCGCTTCGTGTTGGCCCGGCGGACGGATGGTGAGCGCTCGGCGTTTGTTGCTCGGCGGACAGTCGAATTGGCCTGGTGCTTTGGCGGTGGGGGTGGTTGAGCGATGTGCATGTCTTCCATCAGCTGACTAGGGTCTTGTTCTTCCCACTCCTCGTCCAGTGTGGACCAGTCAGTACCCTTGGGCACCCACATGCTGGGAGCCTTGACAGTATCAAATACCCAGTCTTCATCGTCATCGTTTTGTTCGGTGGGAAGCTTGGTAATGGTATTCCTGCAAAGAGGTTCTTGTTAGTCCGTGTGACTGGGCCACCAGTAAAGATAACGTACAATGACTCTGCGTAGTATTTCACGTCCTTGGTTGCTCCTCGTCCACCGTCCCAGTCCTGCTTGCGGTGAATCAGTTCCTGCAGAGCCTCGGTCTTCCCTGCGTTTCTAATAAACTTGTGACGCAAAAGCTCCTTTGCACTCGGGCGGCGATCGGGGTCCTTGGTCAAACATTGAGCAATAAAGTCTTTGAAGGTGTTGCTGTACTCATTGCCCTCCAATCGAGGGGCCGGATTCTTCGGAATCAAAAATAGAACTTTCATAGGGTGGGTGCTGGCGTGCGGGGGCTCGCCATTGATCATTTCGATTGCGGTGATACCCAAGGACCAGATGTCGGCCTTGAAGTCGTATCCAGCCTGCTGGATAACTTCTGGTGCCATCCAGAATGGTGTGCCGACAAATGTATTGCGCTGAGACTTGATGTTGACCAATTGTGCCGCTACACCGAAGTCGGCCAGTTTCACTTTTCCGGTATTCGAAAGCAGGACGTTGGCGGCTTTGACATCACGATGGATCTTGCCTTCGCTGTGGAGATAATCGAGACCTTGTAAGAGTTGTTGGCACACGATGGCAACATGCGCTTCGTTGAAAACCCCTGGTTTTAACTGTGGCCAGGGTTAGCAAACGCAACCGAAGATACCAAACCAGCAGGGATGACCCTGACGTACCAGGTCCAGACAGGATCCTCCTCCCAGATACTCCATCACGATCCATAGCTTGTGCCCCTTCAGGAAGCTTGCTTTGTACTGTGTAACAAACGCGCTGGCGCAGGTGGCCAGGACGGAAATCTCCTGCTGAATCTCCTGAATATCATCTTCGCTGGATTCGAGGTCGATCTGCGGCGAAACGAATGAATGTCAATTGAGGGGATTCGGCACCCTTGGGAATTAATGAATGCATACATGTTTCACTGCGACAATCTCTCCGGTGGTTTTATCAATTGCCTTGTAAACGGTGCCAAAACTTCCACCTGTAAACAAGAAGCAGGTCAGTACATCATTTCCCTGTAGACGGGTGGGCGGGATATCTAGCACTCACTTCCCAGCTCCTCCATCACCTGGTAATGACTCGCCATATCTTCCGCCATTGTTGCGCAAATATCAGCCCAACTTAGCGACTCCAAACGGATAGTTCTGTAACAGGTTTGACAGAGATCATGCACAGGACAAACGCGTTGTGCTTGATGACTGTAACAAAATCACCCAGAAACCTTGGAGCAACAAGTTGGCCAAAAAAGGAACGAAGGATGGTAAAGGGGTGGAGCCTGTAAATGCGCATTGTCCAGGCCAAACAACAGATCCGTCTCGCATGGCAACCGGGGTGGACACCTGACACATCAGGCCAAAGTGGGGATGTACCTTACCGTATTAAGACTAGCGTCGATGCAAGGGCTGATCCCATGCCAATAAATTTAACTATGAAAGGGATTTGAATGCTGATTATTGAAGAGTATTAAGGTGTTATGATCATGTTCCTCTTTTTTGTACACTAATACGCTTCATATTGATTCTAAACACTGCCCGTACGGACCTCCTTAGAGGTACTTGTAGGGATTCATGATACCGTTCTGCAGATAGGAAAATCAGTAAACAATCAATAAGAGTTACAGAGAATTGAGGACTCACCGGATCATACACAGCCTTAAGCTGCTTCATCAACTTGACCATGGTTTCGTTCTGGCTGTAGCCGATGAACTCCCTCTTAGCAATACCCAGACCGTGCTCAGCACTGATGCTGCCATTGCGCTTTTGAATCCACTCGTATACCCACGGCTCAATGGCCTTCTCGACTTCCTTGTTGTACTGGCGGACCGACACATTCAGGTGCAGGTTGGAGTCACCCATGTGGCCGTACCCAACGACAGCACGTACAGGGAAGGAGTCGTCATCACCGACAAAGCCCATCTCGGTCAGACGAGCCTTGCAGTCCTCCACAAGCTGGTACAGATCTGCCAGAGGGATCGACACATCGTACTTGTACGTTCCACCCAGGTGGCTCAGGGCCTCAGTGATGCCCTCACGCCAGCGCCACAGAGCCTGGAACTGAGTCTCGTCCTGGGCTAGCACACCATCAGCAACAATGCCCTCGCCCATGACGTTCTCCAGGAATGTCTCCAGCTTAGCCATGTCGTGCTCGGCATTAGAGCCGCTGGTCTCAATCAAGCAGTAGAAAGGGTATTCGCCCTCCAGCGGGTGCTTGTTACCAGTAGACTCGATAACCAAGCCCTGGCTGCGGCCGTCCATCAGCTCGAACGCAGACAGAATCTCCGACAGCTGACCCTTCGCGGCTAGGTAAGCCTGCTGCACCTGCTCGAAGCTCTCCAAACCAAAGTAGGCGACATTCACAGCCTTGGGGCGCGGCGGGCAGATGATTGAAACAGCAGTCACAACACCAATGGTGCCCTCGGAGCCAATGAAGAGTTGCTTGAGATCGTAACCAGTGTTGTTCTTACGCAGAGTGGAGAGGGCGTCCACGATAGTCCCGTCCGGCAGGACCGCCTCGAGACCGAGCACAGTTCCGTGCAAGCTGCCGTAGCGCAATAGTCGCAGGCCACCAGCGTTGGTCGCCACGTTACCTCCAATCTGACAGGAGCCCTTGGCGCCCAGGTCGAGCGGGAACAGGTGGTTGCGCTCAGCCAAGTATTGGTCAGCCGCCTCAAGAATGACACCGGCATCAGCAACGAGGACTCCAGAAGCCTCGTCAAAAGAGCGAATCTTATTCATTCGCGAAGTGTTGAGGACGATCTCATCGAAAACTGGCACGGAGCCACCAACCAGGCCCGTGTTTCCACCCTGCGGCACGACAGCCAATTTCCGGTCATTGCAGTATTTCAGCACTTTGCTAGTCTGCTCTGTGCTGCCGGGTTTCAAAACCAGCCGGGTGTGTCCCCGGTACTTGCGCATCCAGTCACTGTTGAAAGGTTCAAGGTCGTCCGTCGCATCGGTTGTGACGCCGTCAATGATGGCAGATTCGGAGCCCAGGAGCTCCTTGAAGAATGCAACATCTTCAGCAGAGATCTCGGCGAACTTAGGATCACGCTTGACGTTGGGGTATGCGTCGCTGGTGTACTTGATCTGTTTGGAGTCGGCTCGGGTGGTGGAGCTTGTGCTGAAGGTACGCAACACGGTCGCACATGCTGCTTGAGAGAGGATGGGGCGAGCCACAATGCGAGGGCGAGGTACTCGAGCTCGGCGGAGAGCCGCCGAGAGGTTACGGACTCCAGACATTGTTGGTGGTATGAGAGAGGGACTTGGGAGGAAGATAAATTTTGGGTTGGGATTATTGGCCGTCAAACATAGAGTGGAGAAGCCGCTCCGATCTGCGTCCGTAAGGATAATGATTGCGCCATTGAGAATTTCCGAACTCGGTGATTTTCGGCTTTTCAATCCAGTAGCGCGACAACGATCAGATGCGATTCAATTCAAGTATTTTTGAGCTTCATCTTGGTAAAGAATGTTTATTTGTCAAAATTTTCATGCTTGGAACGTTCAATTCTCGTCCATTTCTTATCTCAGTGTACACCATACCAGTTGACCTCTACGACATAGAGATCGGCAGAGTCCATCGAAATACCAAGTAGAAATACCGGAGTATACTAATATCATCACTACCTGGCAAATCATCAATACGTTTATCTGAATGAATTGGAAGCTAGAATAGGAACATCTTGATGCGGCGAACCTTACAACTGGAGTCAGTTACGTCATGGTAGTGCCCCGCCAGTCCGCAAGAAATGGAAATTCTCACTAATATCTGAAACAACTCTTTTCTCAACAATAACCAAAAATGACTTCTGTGGTTCTTGTAACTGGAGCCAGTGGTCTGCTTGGCCGTCAAGTATTCAATACTTTCCAGCGCTCGGGAGTTCTAGTCGTTGGACAGGGATTATCTCGGGCTACCCCTCCAACTATCCTGAAAGCGGACCTGGAGAAGGCAGAGGAGGTCAATTATATCCTCAATGAGGTGAAGTACGTATTTTCTGGATACCACACACCAGTTTGATATGCTAATCAGGCAACCTGACCAATAGGCCCCAGATTGTCATCCATTGTGAGCTCTATTCTCCTTTTCAAATATACCCAAGCTAACGTCGGACAACAGGTGCCGCAAACAAATCCCCGGACTCGTGTGACAAGGATCCCGAGAAGGCACGTAAGCTCAATGTCGACGCCACACGTGTTCTCGCAGAGCAATGCGCTACCCGCGGAGCTTTATTGATCTACATCTCCACCGACTACGTCTTCCCCGGAACGGAGGGTGAAGCACCTTATGAAGCAGATGCCGAGACCAACCCACCGAACCTGTACGGTCAATTGAAACGGGATGGAGAGATCGCAGTGCTGGAAGCTACAAAGGACACTGGTCTAGGTGTGGTTCTCCGCGTCCCGGTGCTCTACGGAACATCCAAGGACACATCCGAAAGCGCCGTCAACACCTTGGTGGAATCGGTCATGAAGGCACAGGATGCCGATGCTGGCGTCAAGATGGATGACTGGGCCCAGAGGTATCCCACTAATACCGAGGACGTCGCGCGTATCTGCCGGGACATTGTCATCAAGTACATCAAGGAGAAACACCGAATGAAAGAGCTGCCACATATTTTGCAGTTCAGCTCTGAGGACCGTATGACCAAGTATGAAATCTGTGAGAAGCTTGCTGGCATCCTTGGATTCCCGTTGCCTGGTATGATCCGCAACAAGCAAGGCAATGACCCCAATGCTGGAGCTCAGCGGCCATACGATACACATCTGTCCACCAAGGCACTCGTGGATTTGGGAATTGATGTCAGAACCGTCGACTTTGTGACCTGGTGGTAAGTTAATCTTTATCTGTTGGATATTTCCTGATGACTAATTTCTATCTAGGCGACGTGAGCTTGGGGCGTATAGGAAGTAGGGATAATAGCAGGCAACCCAATCCCCTATTAGCTATACAAGACCGGAATAAAAATCAAATCAATAGAATCGACGGGAATTTGTCAACCAAATTTTAATGATCTATCAATTTGTCGATCTCATCTATGTTTCACGTTGATCAAGGCATTCGTAGCATCACATTCGCTATCTGGATACCCCTGAGAAAGAGCGTGACAATTTAGTCAATGCACCTGTACATGGATCTACTTAATTGTCTCGTAACTATAGCCGCCATTGACCTCGCCACCTTGTTTACACTGCAATTTCCGATTAGTCCACGAGATCAGCGAAGCTTATGTTCTGTATGAGATCCTTTAGCACAGGTTACAATGAACTAATTTCTAAGAATTCCATCTATAGGGCCGAAGCCTCAATAGGACCAGAACCAAAAAGGTGATCAGTCAAGCACGGAAGAGTAGAGACATCACAATGGACGATCCCCCACTTGAGTGGACCATAGACGGGGCTACCCGGTGGATCCTTCAAGGGTACTACTCGATCTGGATCTATATTCTTCTTTATTTCTTTCTTGCAGGAAATAGTTGGCGTTAGTCGGCCGATCGTTGTACCTGAAAACAGGAATGTTGAACCCGGAAGCGTCTTCCCGCACCGCACATTTCTTCTCTTCCCAAGTCTCACCTCCGACACCCGGAACCCTTATGAATTCTTGAGTGAGTTGATCTGCAATTTGTTCATTCTTGTATGCAGTCCAATTCCTGATCAGTACGCGCTTCTCTTCCAGGCACTATCTATTGTGAACCCGGCGGTTTGACGGGACACTCAAATTATCGCTCTGAATTATCGCATTCCATTCCAGCCCCGTGCCTTGGCGCTGAACGAAATTTTCCCTACCGTCGTGCTTTCCCTGTGGTTGTCCTTTGCGCACCTCACGGTCTCATAACTGTCTTCTGAACCTTTTCCCTCGTGGACTCGCTTAAACTTCTCGTCGCATTTCTGTCACAATGCACTGACCCTTATCCGTCCACAGCGCTAAACCCTAACAAGGGACCTTGATTGTCACGCGACTGAGGAAACGAGACCTGCGATTGCGATTTTGTTCCTCTCTTGGGGCCTCGATATTGCCGTTTCTGTAACAATGGAAATGTACAAAGCTCATACTGCGCACCCAACGCGCCAGCCCTCTCGGTATCGATCTGCGCGGGAAACCGCTCATACTGGGATGGAAGTGGGAGGTGGAGATGTGCTCAAAAACGAAGCAGCGACCCGTTCAGTCGGGGCTAGTATCGCCCAGTCAAACGAGACCAATCCGTCAATCGCAAGAAGTATGTCTCGGTACCGGCGCAATCGACCTTCTGCTACCACCACCTCGGGAGCTACCCCCGCCAGTTCAAATCCTACACACGCCCCAGTCCCAGTCCCACCGTTACCGTTATCAGCCAGAATGAGCGCTACCTTCACCACGGAGGAGGAGCGCTTGATAGAGAAGCATAGACTGGATGCGATGGAACAATTGACAGGGGGATCTCCGGTAGTTCCAGAGACTAAGCATTCGTACTGGTCGCGGTCTGCTCAATCGCAAAAAAGACATTCTAAGAAGTCGAACAAAGACGAACCAGTGTCTATGAAAATACATGAGACATCCAAAGGAGCTCGGCCCATCTCAAATCCCTCAAGCACAGGGGAGCGGAAGTCCTTTCTCCAGAAGGTCAAGCTATCCAGAGCCAAAGAACACACTCCTAGTGATGAGCAGGTCCCAAAATACATCGGCATTGGAGGGGGAGGTATTGTCCCTGGAACAGATGCCCCCATCTCAGCTATCAATGCTGGAGAGCGTCATGTTCGCGTGCAGTACAGCGATACCTGTTTCGACCTGACCATCACTCCTGCAACACTCGTCTCAGACCTGTTATTGTCTGCTTGCGATCATTTCCCTGAAATTGACCCCGAAAATTTCATCCTGATTGAATCGTTTCGCCAAATCAGTCTGGAGAGGCCCCTGCGTCGGTACGAGTATGTGCGAGATGTTATGAATTCATGGACACAAGATAGTGACAACCGTCTCATTATTATCCCCCCTTCCAGCATGGATGCCCTGGATCAAGTGAACCCACAACAGGTCCCAAGTGAGAGCCCTACTGAGACCACTGTTTACGTCTACCACTCTCAACGACCTCGCAAATGGGAGAAACGGCACGTTACCTTGCGGGCGGATGGTCAAATATTCATCTCGAAGAAGGAAAACTCAAGAGATCATACCAATATATGCCATTTGTCTGATTATGACATCTACTCCCCAAGTGCCCGAGCTATTGCCAAGGACATCAAGCCCCCGAAGAAGATCTGCTTCGCTATCAAAAGTCAGCAGAAATCTTCCATGTTTTTGTCGACTGAAAATTTTGTGCACTTTTTCTGCACCAACGACCGAGCGACTGCTGACAAGTGGTACCAAACTGTTCAACAGTGGCGCAGTTACTATTTGATGAAAAAGACTGTGGGAACCACACAAACTGTTGGCAACGAAGCAGCTCTCCCAAAACGCTCTCTGGTCATGAATGGTGTGTCCCTAGTGGATAGGATCCCCGGTGATGCGGAGCCGCTCCCGAGGGTACGCTCATCAATGGACCGGCCCCGGGCCCCCAGTGTAAAGGGCACCTTCTCCCACAAGTCTCCAAGGGAATACGCATCACCGACAGGGCTCTTTCCTGAGACGCTGCAACTGAACACCCAATTCCCGGATGATGACGATACACCGCTAGTGCAAAGAATTAGCTTTGAAAATAAAGAGGTCGAGACCTTCGCACCTTCTGGACTGCTAGGACGCACCTACACCCAGAGGCACCAAGCCATGCGTGAGCGTCAAGACAACGAAAAGCGAGGAAAGCAAAATTCCCCTTTCTCTTCGAGCCAGCTGAATGGGGCCATGCCTCCAGCATACACCCCCAGCGCTCCCCCGAACCCCACTACCATGCTCAGTCGCAGCAAGTCATTAAGCCAGAAGAGCAAGCCCCTTATCGACTTGACACCTGTGTTCCAAGAGCCTCCCCAGCACACTCGCAAGGGCCGCGGTGTCACCGTCGAGCCCGGCATGGCGCTGATCGATGCTGCTACAGGCCCTGAACTTTTGCCAAGCGGCATGGCCATCCCACCAGCTGTTGCGTGGCGACGCCCGTCAGTCCCAGAGGTTCCCCCAAGCCCCAAGCCTCGACGCCGAGCCAACACTGTTCGCAGCGTGCACACTGTAGCTCAGCCTAGAATGGAATCCAATTCCACAGGCGTCAGTCCTAGCGCGCCCGCTGTTCCCGCTGTTCCGTTCTTGCCGAACAGTCTCCTCGCGAGCGTCAAAACAGCGAGCCCCATCACAAAACAGCCGACTGGCCATGCCGTCGCAACAGGCGACCGCAATGCCACGCGGCCGATGCTGGATATGTCTCCGGTAAATCCATTCGCTGAGGGCAGCTTGCTTAGCCAGCTTTGAGCTTTCGCTGCAATATCTACGTCACGACGATATGATCAATTTTCAGTGAGCTATTTTCTAGACCACTATGTTTAAATCTATGCCCCAATTTCGCATGCCTCTTTCAATTACATTTCGTTGGCGAGGCCAGCCATGTATAATACAAAACAAAAAAAATATGGAGACCAAGATTAAGGAAGGATTGATCTTAAGTATGGATTTGCTGCTTTTTGGTCCAATGTTTCATGTTAGATACCCCAATTTCGTTGACAAAGAATGAATACTTGAAAAATACCTTTCTCAAAGCCCCTATATTTCAAATTGTAACCTTGACGTAATTTTTTTGGTGTCCGACTAGCTACAACTATATAATTTGCGCTAGTGTACTCCAGCCTACTGACAAAGTGGAACATCGTATCAACATTGAATTATGATGGGTCTGATATAAACAGCCGGAAGGAATTCGTTACACGCTACGAGTAGCTAGTGCCCTCGGTACGTGCTCCAGCGTGCACAAAACAACAGGCAAGGCCTACTAGTGAAGGGGTGGATAGGGGTCAGGGGCGATGACTGTTAATAGCTCAGAGCGTGGCTGACCCGCAACCGGAAAGGAATGCAGCCTGGCGGGTTATCCGCATACAGCAAGATGACAATACAAGACCCAAACAAGGAGGTAACAAACAAACAGACTCAAAGCAGATGCATGTCAATGCAGTACCGGAATAATACCGATATGTCAATATATTTTCAATATGTGCAATGTTCAGATATCCCATCCTAGATGCATAAAACCGCCAAAATGACATATAAGCTGAAAACGCCGGACCTCTATATGATACAGAATTCCCTTATGTAGATTAGATGACAAGCAATCGAGTCCAACCGATGCTAGCGATTGGAGCGGATGGTCGCCGAGCGATGGGTGAGGGCATCGCCGTTGCTGGGCTGCCAGTCACGCGATTCCAAGCCAGAAGCCATGCCTGCATCTGGACGGGATTGGGAGAAAGTGCGGGACGGACGACCGAAGGACTCGGCTCCACTGAGATTGGAAGCACGACGGCGCATGCGGCGTTCGGAGTCTTCGGCTTCATGGCGGTTGAGAGCGTCAGAGGGCAGCAGGACGGCTCGGTCAAGGGCGTAAGGCAAACCACGATGACGGCCACGGATCTGCATGGCAATGATGACCAGCTTGGAGACGACGTTGAACTGGCCCGAGAATGAAGTATCAACGCCAGGATAGCCGAATGACAAACCGACAGTACCATAGGCGGACACGACCTCAAATAAGACAGTGAAGAGTTGGAAGCTGTAGTCATCTGTGCTTTGGAGACGGCCACCTTCGGCGATGGAGATGATGAACAATCCCAAGAAAACGTACCACAAGTCGAAACTCAGCTGGCGTCGCAAGTGAGCACCAATGTAACTGGGGGCCGTTTGGTTTTCTTCATCCTCGTCTTCTTCACTGCCACCATACAGACCCAGACTCTTTTCTTCATACACATTTGTACGACGCAGGGAGATGGCAATCGGGAACACGGAAATATACATCATGATTAGGTAGGAGACCTGGATGGCGGGGTGCAAGTCGGAAAGGCTGACAATTCCAAAACCGGCCGTTCGAGTAGATGCCGCTTGGAAGAAACCATCAAGAACCCGGATTCCGGGCGAGTACTGGGTAACTGTGGAATCGTTTAACTAAAGTATTGTCAGTGTGGGACGAACTAAGACGAGGCGATTGATACTCACATCCAAAATAATATAAAAGATCACATCAATACAATTCAGAGCCATGAGAATTGCAAAAAGCCACCAAGTGGCATTGCGGGGGAAGAGAAGGGTAAAGCAACGACGGGGGTGGTCAAGCAGGAACTTCAGCTCTTCCCAGAGAGCAGTTCCGTGACGTGTGAACTTTGACAATATCCAAATCATCAATCGCAACATACAAGGGAATCCCGTGTTACCAATAATGATCAAATACGCCAGAAGGAGCAAAGGGAAGATGGCAGTTGAAAACGAGTACATGGAATCAGGCGTGAGGGTGAAGCCAAGATCGTTGAACGCCGAGGCAGCGGTGAAAATTCCCCACCAAGGGCGTCCAATACCGTCTGCCCTGACGACGTCACCCCATTTGTCCTCTGTCATGATCCACCCGATCATACTAATCAGTCCAAGAAGGTGGAAGCCAACATAGTAGGAGATCAGCACAACTGCGAGAGTCTTGAGAGCGCGGTACTCAATGCCGCCCAGCTCGTCACGTTGCTCCTCGGTCAGATCGACGAAATTCGAGTTTCGGGCCACAGTGGCGTTCCAACTGAGATAAGGCTGGGTAGGACGCTCTCTTTCCTGCGTGATAGAGCGCCAAATTCCTCGGACAGTGTGCCTTGTGGTGGACGGGCCAAGCCCATCATCGTCGTTCGTGTCGTTCACATCTTTCGTCATTGTGTCACGCATGGTTGGTCGTGTATCCAAGCGGGCGAATGTGCTAGCACGCGTACGATTACGAGTAAAGTCGGGCTCATTGATCGTGATATGCTGGCCTTCCATAGGAGGAACCTGGTCATCCTCCGAGGGTGGAGAGCTTCCCCTCTCAGATTGAGGACTGAAAGGCTCGTTGGCGTGTTCATTCCCAGCCTCATCTCCATCCCCATCCTCTAATGCTTCAGGAACGCCACCGCGATCATACTCGCGAGGACTGGGAATACGCAGAGCACCTTTGTTCTTCCGTTGGTTTTCGACGAACGCGATGTGATGCTCCGGGCTCAGCTGGGTGGGCAATCGCAAGTTAGTCAGCCCGAACCGACTTCCGATATCGTTGTCCGTGTTTTCAGAGGTGGATTTATCCGTAGTCTCCTTGGTCTCGGGGGAATCAGAGTCCGATGACCCGTCAAGTTGGCCGGAGGCGGGATCTGGTAGACGCCTCTCCCGTGCATCTCCAGAGTCATTGCGAATCACCACTATCGACCGGCCACTAACGCCAAGCTCCGCCCGATTGATATCCTGACTATCCTTCCCTCGGGTCACAGTTTCCATACGCGAGCGGGTGCTGCGCAGTGCACGCGCATCCCGGACCACATGCTGGAACCGCTTCTCAAACCAATATAGACGAACGAAGACGAGAGCGCCGTTGATGAAAATCGGAGTGCAGAGACATGTAATCAACCATAAGATGATTTGCTGGTAAAGGTATAGTTCGTTTAGGTTAACGGAGTTCAAACCGCTCTGGGTACTGGAGCCGGACGACAAGAAGAGGGCATCGATATAGCGAATATTCCCGCCGGCATAGAGAATAATGGAGCCAAGGATAATCCAGGAAATGATATAAATATAGTGGATCAGAATAAAGTTGAGCTGTAGTTTGTTTAGGATCGGGATGCGCTTTTTGATGGCGTTGACCCGGCGGATAAAGGCCGAGAACATGGCAAAAGGATGCCGGCAGTGGCGCCGTCTTTCCCAAGCAGAAGGCTCAGTCCTCCTAGAAGAGGCCGGGAGGAATTGCTCTCGAAAGTGGGGGAGCTTTCCGGTCCTGTAGAACCATTAATCTTATGAAGAATCGGTGGAGGCTTTTGGCGGTGCATACATGTGGCGCTGGCGATCGCTGACCAGTCAGGCGTGCAGAGGGGGCACGGGCAACGCCGTTGTTAGCCGCGAGGCATTGAGCGCGTAAATAATGGGAGCAAGGACATAGTAGAGGGAAAAATTTGGAAGGATGTTAAAAGGGCCGAAAGCCAAATCGATTGGTGACGGCGAACGCAGAAAAAAGGCGCAAACGGAGTCGAATTCCAAAGTGGATCCTGGTATTTTTTACCATTTTCGTAACGCCTGCCAAAAACGTGCGCTGTCGATCGGCCTGCACTAAGGAGCAAATATGTAACTTTCAGTTTTCGTACGTAAAATTGATGTAATTTATCTTTGTTTCATCTTGTTTGTTTCTATATATTATATGATGATATTTTTATTATACTAGTACATTCTAATCATTCATCTAGCATATTAACATCTGTCCTTCATACGGCCCACCCTTAACTAGTTCCCGGCCAAGCTTTTGATTTTGTCGGGGGCGAGGTGTGTAGGACCCGGTCGCGCCAGCAATTTCATTTGTTTGGTGTATCCACTCTTGATATCCGGACTGCGTCGAGTGCAGATGGTTCTGCAAGATACTGCAGGTAGCTAGACACGGTCGTTAATATATTTTTACATGGAGAATTACGAAATCTAAGACCTTGTAGAAGTGAGCAATATAGAGTCTAGACATAGCCTATAATTTCCTTCACTAGCTATATGCATCTCACAACCAACGCTCCCGAAGAATCAAGTTTGTTAAACCGGTTAGGGAAGAGAGATCTTGCGGCCCACTTTTCATTCCAGTTCATATCGTCCCGTTCCCACCTGCATGGCCTTGATCATTTGTCCCCTGTAATTCGGGCATGTGGGAGGTCTAGAACCATTTTTCATGCTCACTGGCCTAGACAACTAGCTCACTTTAACCCATCACACTGGTGGCATTCCAATCCCATTAACCAAGATTTTAGAAAATATGGTGGTTTAAGAGAATTTTTACCTTTAACTTATTCAGTTATGTTAATAGCTTCTTTAAGTTTAGTAGGGTTTTTACAAATAAAATAAAATAATATACCGAAAATACGTTATATATATTACCTATATTGTAGAATATATCAAAATACCCTAGGTATTTTAACTTTTAATATATATAAGATATTTATATGCTGTCGTACATATACATATGAGATCGCTGTGGGATCTATCCCACCGACATCTTGAATCCCAAAATATGACGTAACGTTACTGACTGCATCATTAGATGATCCTTATCGTGACGATCTGCACGGACTAAACGACAGGGATCTTGAGGCCAAGAGAATAACCAGCTCCCGACTCTTCACCGACAAGAACTTGTACCAGGGCCTCTCAAATCCCTCAATGGTAGGTGTCATATCTTGACGAATGTACATTGTATAGACGGAGTACTCCACATAGCACAATCAAGTCTCCTTGAACCGAGGCAGCCCTGGTCGCGTGACATACCACATTTTCCCAGCACTATGCGATTAATGCCTTATTGCCCAGCCCAACCATTCGTCGCCTTCGGTATGGAATACTGGTTCGAGAGTTGTCGCGGTTCAGCACAGCTAGCTACACTATAGTGATCAGGCATATGGAGGTCTTACTGACATAAACAAAAACAAAGGTACTGAGCAATCAAGTGGATGCCGGTCGCTTTTTGTGCACTTGTTTGTTGGATTATTTGCTTTTGATATGTTACTGCACGACGCTCAGTCGATTACGCCAAAGCGGTTACTTAAGATAGATTGGCAATCTTCCCACCACTTCTCGTGAACTAGAGATTTCCAGTGAATGGAATGAAATTGATATGCAATTAGGTCAAATTTGATCTGATCAGGTAGGAGACACGTCATTTGGGGATGCCCTAGGATTGTAGCCCTACTTTCCGTTCTAGGGACCTTGATTTTGGCCACCTGCGTCTGCCCAGAAGATAATCGTGGGAGTTGATGATGATGAGCAAAGCGATCAGTCTGGTTAGTTAAAGGGATATATTCCTTCTTTACGTTTCGACCTGGCGGTCATACTGAATTCCAACAATAAATTGGTTTCTTCTTGTCGTCTTTTGATCAGAAACTAGCCTCCGAAGTATTTGTATGCTAAGCACTAGCAGTTAGAATGCGGCGCTTGTAGATGGTAAAGAAACTTATGGTCTTTTACTATTTTGGATACAGCAACGCTGCCCTGAATTCAGTATAGACACAATTTTTCGATCATCGTTCCTCATGACCAACAACGGCCGTCATCTCATCTGTCTTCCAAATCACGCCTCAATCATCATCCACCGACTTCACAGCGGGTGGTCGAACCAAATCGGGATAATCAAACTTCGCCGCACCATTCATCCAGGAAGAAGAACTGGGATGCGGCTCCTTCTTACCCTTGAAGAGAAAAGTCGTCGGGAACCCGTAGTCAAACTCATAAGCGCTCTCAATATCCTTAATATCTCCCTGCGAAAGCTCGACGCGCAAGGCATCAATATTCCCCAATAGGTGATCAACCTTCCGGCCCCCAATTATTGGCGAGACATAAGGGAACTTGTGAAGGAGATAAGCAAGCGCCACACTTGTAATGATGGTGTTATGGCGTGCTGCAACCCTTTCTAGAACATTGGAGACTTGTATATCAATTTCTCGAGGCTCAATCTGTCGGCCTGGGTTGCCGTTCTTTATGAGGTCCTCGCGCTGCGCTGCTGTCTTGAAGGATCCCCCACCGATTGCACCCCAGGGACAGATTCCCATGCCCTCTGCTGCGCACATCGGTATGATTTCGCGTTCTAGATCGCGACGGGCCGCGTTCCATTGTCCTTGGTAGACTGAGAATGGTCGGAGGGCATGGTCACGAGCGTCTATGAAGTTCATATTAGTAGCTTATCCTTAAAGCAGGAACACGGGGTGCTCTTGCATTGGTTTGCTCTGCTCACGATCCAGGCAGGGGTGTCGCTAACGCCCAAATAGAGGACTTTTCCAGCAATGACGAGCTGATTAAGGGCGTTCATGACTTCCTCGATAGATGTGCTAAAGTCCCACCAGTGGACGTAAAGCTAAGTTTGGTATTAACACATGTGCAAGCAGGCATCTGGCATGCATAAAAGAGGACTGACCAGATCAATATAGTCCGTCTTCAACTTTTTCAAGCTCGCTTCCACCGAAATCTTGAGGCTTTTTGCATTGTTCCCCACATAGTTTGCTTGCAGCTCGGTTTCAATGTGCTTGCGCCACGGCGAGGTATACTTGGTCGCCAGAACAATCTCATCCCGAACTCCGCGCTTTTCCATCCACTCGCCGATCCAGACTTCGTTTTCTCCATTTTGATAGTTGCTAGCACTAATAACGGTTAGCCATGGTTGCCATCTTCTTCTATTTTTACAGGCAGGTTGGTAAATAAAGGAGACCATACGTATCGATGAAGTTACCGCCATTCTCATAGAATGTATCCAGGATCTTGAAGGATGTCTCCTTATCGGTCTCGCCGAGTCTTTCTATCCTGTGTGAGTGTTAGATGCATGTATAGTTGAGCCATGTCTTCGAAATATACCATTTATCACCAAAGTTCATCGCACCCAGGCATAGTGGACTTACCTTGACCGCTGCTGTAGGTGCAAGGAGGCGATAACGGCCAAGGCGGGATTTGGGGGCTGGTGCGTCTCCCATTTTATTGAATGATTGAAAGTGGTGGTATTAAAATAGGTGGAAAGAGAACTAAGAAGTTCGGAGATGAAAGATGATTTAAAGCAGGGAAAAAGTTCTGAGGTCCGAAATCCTCAAACCGGGAACACAAGCTTCAAATACAGGTTTGAAGTTGCGGTGAGTGAGCTACTACCTATAGCCCGAAATGTACATTATGCATGTGTACTTGGACTTTATCCCGCACTTGTGCGGGATGCAGGGGTGGTGGAATATATATTCCAGAGCGAACCCATGTCACGAGCAACGGCCGAAGTTCCGAGGGCATTATTAATCCGTTTCATTCTATCTGACTCTGCATTCGCTAATCTAATCAACCCCTCTTTCAATGGTCACACTGCAGAGATTCTGGACATGCGTTAGAAATCGTACTCTTCCACTTCCATGTTCTTTTCTTTCCCGTTAGCTAAATGTACTTGAGAAGACCTTTGCCTATTTGACTAAAATGTTAGAAAAAAAATTAGGAGATGTGGTAAGGTACCGGGCAGGAGATATAGTACGAGATGTGGTATACCTATCTAGGTAGGCGCCGCACGTAAAGCGCGGCGGAAAGTCTCTAGTCCAGCGTTATACGAACTTATGACGATGTGGGGAGATATGCGGCGTATTTTCTGGGACTTGCCTGGTCTCCAGGACGATTTAGCTTATCTGTGGAATTTTTTGACTAACAGTTGTCTTCAAATGTTCTTATATCAAGCGTATGGGGTCATATTAAGCCCCACCAAGATTCCCGATTACAGATCGCCATTCATGTACAAGGTTATTGGTTGGCCACCCTCGTATTAACAACTATGTACATTTGAAATGGCATCGTCAAATCTATATACTAAAGCTCAACAATTATTCACAATATAGATTGCCTGCGGATCTGTCGAAATAGGCATTCAAAGAAAGCGCAGACTCGATGAATTGATGCCCAGGGCTGTACCTAAAGATGAAGGATAATCGCCCTCAAGAACCAGGAGCCATCAAGCTCCGTACAGTGGGCATATTGCACGGAGTCAGTGCTAGAAAAAGCATATTGTATTGAGATGATAATGAGGTGACTGCGATCTTTTCCCTGCTCGACCGAAGTGTTTTCTGAGAACTTGCGCTAGTATTAATGGAAATTTGCAAGACTGCCCATGATCGCCCATGGTTATTGGTGAGCGTCGATAACCATACGATAATGGCGATGTTATACGGCATCAATACGAGTGGCCCAAGCTGGTCCAATGCCTGGGAATTGAGCCTTTCCTTCGTTTATCTCAAAATAAAATAAGGATCGATATAATCGCATTTGGAGAGCGGCGATGCGACAGTTGGTATCGAAAGTAATCAGATTTTGCAATGAAGAGATGTGGCCCCTGAGTAATAATCTGGTTCTTGACCGAATAAGAGCCACAGAAAAGGTATCTGGATGATCGCTTATACTGAATCCAGGCTAGCTGATATGACGGGAAGATTTAGGGGTGCGATGACAGTCCACCCAACCCAGAAAGTCGCGTCAGTGTGGATGGTGGAGCTTGGAGCCCTTGACCATAGTATCTAGAAACTGCCGATGCCATACTAGATCAGTGTATACGCATAAAACAGGGGGGTAAAGAGGAATATGGATTGGCGGGGGACAGTTGGGTTCATCACTTGGACAATTCACGGACCCTTTGGCTTGAAGAATGAGACTCAGCAGACCATCCAAGTTGAAAGTATATAGTTGATAAGAATGACGTTGGGCCTCAGGGTCAACCACGCTGGTGGAAGATAATTGCTGATTGGTGTTTGTTGTCGTCGATCCGTGTTGATAGTGGAGTCGATTGGAGTCTCTCTACCAATGATTGGGGCACGCTCCGCCAAGCTTTGGAGTATCTTTATCTTCTAGTATAGGAAGAGTAAAACTGTATATGGTGCCTGAATACACTAGAAACAGTAGTTCAGACCCTTTGCTCCATTCAAAGACCCTGATTTGTTCCCAAGTACATGATATGGGGCGCTAGGTTTCTTAGATACCTGACTAGGTAAGAAGTCAGTGATCCTTGTGAAGTTGTGAACGTTGTGATCATTCCCCTGAAATAATTTATCTTCTTTGGCTTCTTTTCTTACTTATTACTCTGAAGCAATCTTTCTTTCTAAATCTACATCTGAACCCTTTCTGGAAACCCAAGTCAACCCAGTCCACGACAAGATGCTGGGATGGGTGGCTCGCTGCCTACCCGGGTTTAGCATTATTGGACTAATTATTCTGCTTATATTTGCATTTTCCGATATCCTCAAGTCTCAGCTCTTCAGAGCTGTATTTCCACCATGGTTTGGACAACCTTTCAAGGAAGGATGGTGGGGTGGATTGAACCTCGCTCAAGCTATCTTCGTAGTGTATGCGGTGGCGATACATATCGAAATGTTTAGCTTTACCCTCCGACTGGCGTGGTCGATCTTTCGAATGACAGCAAAGACGAAGGAAGCACTGGGACGGCGTCCCACCGCGGAATTTCCCGTCTCACCAACCCCCTCCGCCCAGGACGAGGGATATAGCAGCCAGCAAATGTCACCGATATCTTTACCATCACCCGGCCCATTTCCCGAGAAAATAAATGCTATGAGCATAGGATACGAAGTTATTGAAGATGAGGTGATCCATGCCATTATTTTACCCAACTATTGCGAGGACATTCACACGCTGGAAACCACTCTGAAAGTGCTGGCCAGTCACCCGCGGGCCAAGTCGCAATATGAAGTATGTCCACCGAATGTTCCTATCTTCTACCCATTTTCATATTTGACTGAGCCGAAATGCTAATTCGAACTATAAAAGATATATCTCGCCATGGAGCAAAAGGAGGCCATCGCTCTCGATAAAGCGGCACACCTTGTTTCCACCTTCGAGACATTCTTCCTCCACATCCGTCCTACCTTCCATCCAGCCGGTGTACAAGGAGAGATTGCAGGCAAGAGCTCGAATGTGGCTTTTGCGGCGAAGCGAATCGTACAGGTTCACAACACAGAGCTGAGCGCGGATTGCTGCAAAGTGGTGGTCACAGTCATGGATGGTATGTGGCCTTGCTCCCGATATGAAGATTGTGTACTAAATTTACAATGCAGCTGACACGCACCTCTCGTGCGATTACTTCACGGAGATACGCCGCCTCCACTATTCTCATATCGATGACGCTGATCGCGCAATCTATTGCTGCCCCATCATATTCGATCGCAACTCTAACGAAACACCCATCTTAGTCCGATGCGCTGATCTTCTCTGGGGCTTCGCGGGAATATCCACCATGTACCCAGGAACTCCCATTTCCATCCCCACCTCAGTGTATTCCCTACCACTTTCCCTTGCCGAGAAGGTTGGTGGATGGGATAGCGATCCGACAGCGATCGGAGAAGACATGCACATGCTGCTCAAATGTTACTTCGAAACCGCCGGCAACCTCATCTCCCGCGTGATTTATGTTCCAGCGAGCCAGTGCAATGTCTCCAGCGATGGGAGCCATGGTTGGAGACGGATCCTAGATACTGGCATTGCTCGCTATCGCCAGGCACTGCGACATATGTGGGGGGCTCTTGACTCGGGCTTCGCAGCACGGCGCACACTCGGCTACCTTCGCTTTCACAAGCGGTGCTCATTCCTCAGTCTAAGGCATTTTGCCCTTCTGCATTTACTTTGGGAAGCGCACTTTCTGCCATGTCATTTGGTTATTATTATGGTGTTTTCTGTTCTGTACACGATCTTGGCACCTGCATCGCAGCTGCACCCTACCTTCGCTCGAACCTTTTTCCTGAACGATGTCTTGCGAACGTCCGCTTTTATTGGAATGAACTTTTGTATCGCACTGTATGACGGATGGCATGCAATCTGTGTCAACTCGCGAATGCAGGATATGTACGAAGCTAAAGTGCCGGACACGGGATTCTCTCGGCGTGTCTGGTACAAGCCGCAGCACCTCATGGAGAGGATCTGCTTTCCAATTGCGGGCACTCTCTATGGTGCCATCCCAGCTTTGCAGGCGGTCTTTTCCCACTTCTTCACTGATCGATTGGTGTATCGAGTTAGCAAGAAGCCGACCTTCAGTCTTGAAGCCGTGAGTATGGCATAGAGACCACGAGCCTCTGAATATCTCTGTTGTTTCCTGGAAGGCCTTTTGGATGTGTTTGCTGATATTTGTCTCTATTGTTTATCATTTGCCTGTAAATGCTACTGGGGTAATGTGTAATGAGAACGATAAGAGAGTTGGGGTTACATTCACATATTTGATGGGTCATGGGGTAAGGCGAACCCACTTTCTCCAATAAGTTGGAGTCACTGGACCCGAATGTCACGAACCTCGAGACCGCAATGTAAATTATCTCCAAATTCTCTTCCTCCCTTACTCTCTGCTGTTTAATTCAAGATCTCAAAATGGCACCTACTCGTCGAGTTGCAATCATCCAATGGCATATCCAAGTACGACTCCTTCCACGGCCCTAAACAATACTCAATATCATCTATGACGTAAACCTCAGGAATCAGAATGTAGCTAACATCGCCCTAGGAGCTCGCCATTGAAGAGAATCATGCTACAGCATGCGATTATATTATTCAGGCAGCCTCTCAAGGCGCCGAACTTGCAGTTCTACCCGAGTCAGTTTCGTCCCCAGCCATAGCCAGGGATATATAAACTGACTTTCAATTAAAGATATCATCTAAGCGGCTGGGTTCCTACAGATCCGCGCTGGGCAGAGCAAGCCGGTCAATCAGCAAAATATCTAGCCAACTATCAAGCCCTTGCAAAAGAACACAAGATTTGCCTTGTGCCTGGTACTATCATTGAGAAGCACGTAGGCGCTAACCAGGATACTCTCTTCTACAATACCGCGTACTTCATCTCGAGCGACGGCAGCATTCTCGGCAATTACCGCAAGAAAAACATCTGGCACCCCGAGCGGCCGCATCTGACTTCATCCGGACTGGAAAGTCATTCAGCCATCGACACGCCGATCGGTCGGATCGGAATGCTAATCTGCTGGGATCTGGCGTTCCCTGAGGCATTTCGCGAGTTAATTGCTGATGGTGTGGAGATCGTTATCATACCTACTTTCTGTAATATCTACCCATTTCCGTTGAATTTCTGGGATTCCATTTGGCTGATTTATCTTTCTGCAGGGACTCCTCGTGATGCTTCGCCTGAGGCATTGCGGCGCAACCCAGCTTCTGAGGCTCTGTTCCTATCTTCCACACTGACGGCCCGCTGCTATGAGAATACTTGTGGTATCATCTTTGTGAATGCTGCAGGCCCGGCGGATGATTTCCTGGGTATGTCACAGATTACACTGCCTATTGTTGGCCCCGTTGCGAAAATGGGTAACGAGGAGGGCGTTGTGGTTGCAGATATGGATTTGGAGCTGTTGGATATCGCGGAGAGGAACTATAAGGTGCGGGAGGATATTAAGAAGGAGGGATGGCATTATGTATATCGGCATACTACGAGCCAGTAAATGGCATGAACGAAAGGAAATAGCATACTAAATCCATGCACCCATTGTCCTATCAGGATATTTCAAAATTTGAAATTGTTTTACTTTTCCTCCTCCTCAGCTGCAGCCTTCCCAGCGGTTGAAGGTAAAATGTTGCCCATTACTATTTGAAGCTCAAGATTCCAGAGCAGCATCATGACATGTGGGGCGGAATAGCTTAGCAATGTTTATGATCTTCAGTGCTTCCTTGAACGAATCGCTTAACTTACACGTTAAGTTATGTACGTGATTGATGGGTTGGATCTCACGTCAATCTTGCGAGAGACGCTCCTATCCAGAATTATCGAAATCGCTCAGAACTCTTTCATTCTTGCGAGTGACAGTATCTGTGATGATCTCAATATCCTGGGAACTGCTTATTTTGACTGCGTTGGAGAAAGTTCACCTGCGGCCTGTGCTGGACGCTAAAACAGCAGATGTGGTTCACGTCGGAACATTATCTACATGTGCCGATGAAAGAGGGGGCGTTACTTCAGGGGCAAATGCAGCTCTTTACGGTGGCCCAGGCACTTTTGTTGTGATATTCTCGTGGGAGGGTCGCGCTTTTTGATGAGGCAACTGGTAATGTTGATAGAGAGACAGAAATGTGGGTGTTCAACGGGTGGTTCTTGAGGAATTCCAGGAGTACACAATGATGACCGACTTAAGACAAATGATGATGCTGATTCGATTGTTCTGATGGACTAAGGGCAAATTGCGGAGATAGGAACATTTGATAACTTGTGGAAGAAAAGAACAGTGCTTTCAGATCTATTTTCGATAGCAGTGGGCGTTGAAGAGGAAGGTTTATAGGTGTGTTTTGCCTAATCTAATGGCAGATTACCAGCGGCCATTGTATAAAGCAATCATGGACAAAAATCATTAATTGATACAGTCGTCATCTAGAATAAGCTCAAGGAAGAAAAACATGATAACAAAAGAAAACGGTATAGAGCTCTCAAATTCGGCAGCAGCAAGAAAGAGAAGAAAACGGCGGGGGCATAAACAAATCTTAGATGCAGACAATACCCCAAAGAGAAAAAAAGCATCATGACATGAAGGAACTCCTCTCATCAAAACGCACCAGGTGGAATAGACAAGATGAAATGTCCTGAGGCCCCCGCTAACCAAGACCAAGAACTAACGGCTTGAAAAGCAACCAAACCTAGGAGAGTGGGTGGATCGGATGACTCTGAGCGGTGGAAGCAACGCTAGAGTGCGAAGTATGGTCAAATAATTTCCGGTTCGTTGCAAAGTCACAAAAAAAGGGACACAGTGAGCCCAACTCCTCCAACGCGTATTAAGTTCAATCATACAGTCAGTAATTCTGGTCATTTCTTTCACGGAAGTCAATGCATGTCCTTTACTGGACCTGGCTGACAATCTCGCTAGCGCGAGACAGGCTCTCAACCATCTGCTGACACTCCTTCCGCCGGCGGGTGGTGTAATCGCTCTCTTTGAGAAGGTCGTCCAGCTCGTTGTTGCGGTACATATACTCGAGTAGCTCGCCCTGCATTGTGTCCTTTGTAAATCTAGAGAGCGATTAGTACGCAAATATAAAACAAAGAGCCAAGAAATACATACTGCACGAGGGTGTACATGACCGCCTTGGGAACCATATCGATCATTGTGCGCTTAACAATGTTGAAGTAAGAGGTGATCAGGAGCTCTGTTCCAAAAGTTAATAAAGTGCGCTTGAAGCATAAACATGATCAATACGTACTGATGACCTCCACCTCCGTGGACTCCCGCTCGGACAGAGTGGCAGAAGCCTTGAGCATAGGCGGCGGGGCTTCCATGGCAGCCATCTTCTTCTTGTTCTTCGAAGCCCAGAAGCTACCAAAGAATCCGTTGCCATTGACGGCCTCTCCAGTGGTATCCAGAGACGGGCTCGCGGCACGGGCAGGCAGGGGCTTGCCAGTCTTGGGGTCCACCTGAGTGGGCTTGGCGGCATGCTGACGCTCATTCACGATAGACATAGCCTAGAAAAAGTCAGCTCTATTTGGGTGTAATTGGGCATGGGTTAAGGAAGCTTACGCGGTGTCCATTAAGGAAGTCAGGGTGACCAGTGTTGATATAAGTTGCCTCCATGGCAATCAAATCCTTGACCAGCTTGTTTGTGGGCTCCATACACTTCTTAAAGAAGGCAATCACGACTTGATGGAACTTCTCCTTCAGCATGGGGTAGCGACGGAACAGCTGCTTGGTCAATAGTTGACCCAGGATTCGAACCAGCTCGTCATAGACAAGGGAGATACACTTGATGCTGGGCTCCTCCAAGCGCTTAATCTGCTGCTTGACAATCAACTCAAAAGCGGTGGTACCGACGAAAAGCGCCGGGGAGGAACCAGATGAGTTGTAAAGGATGGTGCGAATATCAATGTCCTTCACTTGGTCGAACGGATCAACGGCCTTGATACCGTTCGAGTAAAGCTCATGGAACACAAAGCTGATACGAGCACCACCCGACAGTTCAACGCTAGATAACTCCTGATTGTTTCCTTCCAGGACAGTGCGGTACTCGTTGCTGAACTCTGTAATGATGTTGAGGATGATGTTGGCGCTGTTGCCAAGCATCGAATCACCAAGCTGCGCCAGCTCCGTGGTGTATTTCTGAAGGGAGGAGGAAATGCGACCCTTGATATCAGGCAAAGTTTGCTTAATGTGCATCATGAGGATCTGGAAAAAAAGGGAATTGGATGTTAGTCTCGACTCCATCTTCCATGTCACAAGATAGGAACACCCACCAGGTTCAACTTCCGGGCCAAGTACGGAGTTCCACAGTATGAAGCCTTATTCCGGTAAGCCTTGTGGTTCTCAAAGAAGTTCTTCTCGTTCTCCAAAGCGTAGGCAATGGGCTTCTTGTTCTCAATATCACGTTGACCACGATTGACGACCGGCACGTATCCTAGGCGCAAGGGAATAATCCGTCCAGCGAGAATATCCACCACGTCGGTACCGTCGTCCATCAGGTCGACCTTACTCAACACACCGATAGTGCGCTGTCCCTCTGGGTCCACCTCACGGGCCAACTTGAGACCGTCCGAGTTGGCCAAATCCTGGTTGGCCGAGGTCACAGCCAAAATGATCGCATTGGGCTTACTGATATACTTGAGCACCATATCCTTGATCTGACGTTCGATATCCTTGGGCTGATCTCCGACAGGAACCTTGGTCAAACCAGGCAGATCAACCAGAGTCAGGGTGAGGACGTTGGGAGAGTAGATGCGCAGATTGATGGGAACTGGCGAAATTCCGGCATTTTTGCCAACCTTGCTCTCTGTCTCACGAACGATCTCCTCCCGGATCTTGTTGAAGTCAAAGAACTTCTCGCCTGGCAAGTGCAGGAACTCTCCGTACTCATCAATGTTGGACTCGCTATCCGTTGTTTCCAACTTTGTGTCACCGTTTGATTGGGTGCTGGCAGGCTTGTTGATCAACTGCAGGATAAGAGGTCTCCGGGTAACAATTCCTGAGCCACGGGGCAGGCTAGACGTGAAGAAGCGGGTGGTTAGCAATGGCTGACGACGACACCGGGAAGGGCCCCGCCACCGCCGCGGCGCAGGAGATTCGGCGGTGGGAGCCCTTTCGTAAGGGAAGAATAGGCGCATACAAATCACGACCGACGATGTTCTCTAGTACTGAACTCTTTCCGCTTGACTGCGATCCGACAACGGCGATCTGGGGCAAATCGATCGGGTTGTGTACCTAAAACCAAAGCGGCGGTGTCAGTCCGGAAGTGAAGAGACCACGGTAGCCGCAGATATGAGCTTGCTTAAACTTACACCGACAGTTGAGAACACATCCTGAAGCTTGTTGACCAGCGAGATCAAGCTGGGATCGTTCACGTTTATGCTGCGCACGAGGTTAGCTTGGCCGTATCAGGGTGGAGGGGGACAGGGGGGTTCGGGGATGCGCACGAGTAGCCAGTGGTCGGGCTTGCCATGATAGGCGATGTGAAGAACAAGCGAGCAAAAGAATTTGAATCTTAACTAGGTTTTTGGTTTCCTTGGGAATTAAAAGAGAGAAAAATAGAGAGCAAATGCGATTCTCGAAAGACGGGAAAGCGGAAGTGTGTTTGTTGGTGTGAGAGCAAAGGCGGTGGATGAAGAGTGGCGGTGATAGGCATCCACCTTATATATGGTCTAGACTTAAGTTAGGTACAAATGGTTTTTCTGTCGCCTTATTGACGTCAAGGAATATCGAGACTGTAAAATTGTTTCTAGAAGAAAGATTTTGCCTCATAGAAGAAAATCGGATTGAACATAACTACAGGGTAATGTGCTGGGGAAAGGCCGGAAAATAAACATATGCGCAAAATGCAAAAAGATGCCCGTCTACTCATCCGAGACAGAAGCAAATCGGTCCGACATGGACTGCAGAAGCTTCTCGTACTTGGCCGAAATCTCCTCCTCGTTGTCCGGCACCTCGAACTTCATGCTCCGCAGGGCGGTCTGGAGGTCGCTAGTGGCATCGCGAACCTTGTTCCATTGCTGTCCCTGGGCGACGGCCTTCTGAGCTTCATCGTGGTAACTCATGAACGCCTTCATCATGTACTCAGTCTTCCACAGAGGGCAGAACTGGTCGTAGTCGCTGTAACCGTTCTGCTGGAGGAAGTCATCCTTGAGCATAGCAGACACGTCCAGGGTGATCTTGTCCGAATCACCGAGAGCTGCCTTACCGACCAGCTGCACAACTTGATCCAAGTCCTCGGATTTGGACAGCAACTCACGGATTTGATCACGCAAACGGGGGAATTCGGGGTTGTTTTTCTCGTAGTATTTGTCCAGAATAGCGTTGTACTTGCTGTAGGACATGGAGGTGTTGACTGAGGGGAAGTGCTTACGCTGCGCAAGTTTCTTGTCGAGACCCCAGAATACTTGAACGATACCCAGGGTACTGCTGGTAACGGGATCCGAGAAATCACCACCAGGTGGGCTGACGGCGCCTACAATGCTGACACTGCCCTCACGCTCGGGGCTTCCCAGGGCGCTGGACTTGCCGGCACGCTCGTAGAAAGATGCCAACTTGGCACCCAAGTAAGCAGGGAAACCCTGATCAGCGGGCATCTCACCAAGACGACCCGAGATCTCACGCAGGGCCTCGGCCCAACGAGAACTGGAGTCAGCCATCATGGCGACGTTCTTGCCCTGGTCACGGAAGTATTCGGCAATAGTGATACCGGTATAGATAGAAGCCTCACGGGCGGCCACGGGCATGTTCGAGGTGTTGGCGATGAGGCAGGTACGCTTCATAATAGGCTCCTTGCGACCGTCAACGGTAATGGAAAGCTATTGGTAAGATAATGGTCAACATGGAGCCACAAAAGGAATGTTACCTGAATATGCTTACCTCAGGGAAATCCATCAAGACTTCCGCCATTTCGTTACCACGCTCACCGCAACCCACGTAGACGATGATATCACTGTTCGAGAACTTGGACACAGACTGGGAAATGACAGTCTTACCACATCCGAAAGCACCGGGGATACAGACAGTACCACCCTGGACACTGGGGAAAAGAGCATCCAGCACACGCTGGCCGACAATGAATGGCATATCGGCCGAAAGTCTATCGCTGACAGGACGGGGCACACGGACGGGCCAGGTCTGCATCATGCCAAACTCGGTCTTCTTTCCCTCAAACTCGACCTCCAACAGCTTCTCTGCGACAGTGTAGCTGCCAGCTGGGGCTATCCGGGTAATGGTACCTCGGGCACGCGGGGGCAGGAGGACCTTGTGCTCGTTTACCAGGCTGTTCTCGAAGACGATACCCCAGATATCACCACCGGTGATGTGATCGCCAACCTTGAAGCCAGCGGGCTTATACTCCCACTTCTTCTCGCGGTCCAGCGCATTGACGGAAATACCACGGGGGATGTAAATACTTCCGGACTTCTCAGAGATGGCCTGGAGGGGTCGTTGAATACCATCGTAAATTGTCTCCATCAGACCGGGTCCGAGCTCGACGGAAAGGGGCTTACCCGTCCGAGTGACGGGATCGCCAACCGTCAAACCAGCTGTTGTTTGAAGGGGTTGTCAGTAAGCAATGCCATTGAGGGGGTTTGGTGGACCGTATACGTGGCCCGGAGATGGGAGGCGCTCATACCGGTTTCCTCGTAGACCTGAATGGTAGCTTTATCTCCTTCGATCCGAATGACTTCACCGACGAGATTGTCATGTCCAACGTTGCACTATAGGAATCCCGCAATCAGCACGGGTTCGGAGGTGGGAGCTTGGGGGGAACATTACCAGCTCGTACATGGCACAACCGATCATATGCTCGGCCACGACAACTGGTCCGGAGACCGAGAAGATCTTGCCATGCTCCTGATTGTCTTCAGAGCCCATCGTGGAGGTATTTGGTGTGGATGTGGAGGAGATGGGGGAGGTGGAGGTGGTCGAGTTAGTCGGAGAGGGCGAGTCTGGAAGCGGTGGCAGCTCGGGCGGTGGAGGTGTTGACGCACGCTGCTTCTTAAGCTCACTTCCACTAATCAAGACCAGAAGGGACGGTCGAGTCTTCAATTGAGGTCTCCCTAAACCTAACATTCGGCAAGACAGAGAAATTCTATCTTGTAAGATGGATCCCTGATCCATTGAGGGGATGCCATGGCCAGCCAATCCAATAGGGAGCTGAGGTCGTGGAGTTCCTCTAAGCTGTCATCCAATCCTTTGTCAGGGATTGGCGCCTCCGATCAATTATTATTTTTAAGGGGGGAATACACCTTGAATTTGATGTTTGTCCGTTCATGCAGGCAAACTAACATTGGAAAGATGTAACTTGAAGAATATAAGGCACCTCTATAAGGCCTTCCGCACTCTGAACAAAACAATGGCCCTTGAAGATTTCTTCGGTCAAATTAGGTAGAAGATTGTTCAAATCTTTCGGTCGGAGCATTTTCCAGCTCTAGGTTATAGTCTACTTTGCTATGTAGTACCAGGGTATATGTAAGTGCATGATCTAGCTCACAGTGAAAGTACAGTATGCACTCTGGATCACTTCGGGTCTATGTAGTAAAAAGCGATACCATTAACTATATATATAGAAAAATCCCCGTTAACACTAGACAATATAGAATTGAATATCTACTTCTCCAAAATAAAATTCCTGACCTCTGATGTATATCGTTGTCATAAAATGTTATAGAAAAATGCTACAAATATAGTGGTATCGTTCCCCTACGCATCTTGCCTGGAAGCTCCAGACCTGTTCTGTTTAGGTTGACCGCCAAAAACCCTAAGCCCAGAAACTCATACCAGAATTCAGTTGTATATATCTCCAAACTATCCATATTCATTTTTTTCAGATCATAGACATTTTGAGATTATATCATTCATCCATACCTGACAAATGTAAAGGGAACTAAATAGATAGCTATAATAATGATCTTGAAGTATCCGCTACATCAATCAATTTGATAGTGATTTGAGTGAATTTTTTCAATAGCCTGTCTGAAATCAGGTAAGATTCATAAGGGAAGAATACCCAGCTAAAGATGATTGCATGTAAAGACCGAATAAACGTTGACATTGATACCGGTAATTTGTCCACAGGTATGGTGTGTTTGACCCGTAGAAGGCGCGATGAAATTATTTCTATAGATTATGGTCAGCCTTAGGTATCAGATCAGCTTGAGACTACATACTCCGCATCCCTGGCAGTCGCATTTGCCGCTGGTGCAAGTACAACCCTGGGCACCGGTACAGGAGCAAGTGGATCCGCAGCCACAACCCATGGTGATTTTGGCTGTTTAGGAGATTGGATGAGAATTTAATAAGGAGGTTATATTTGATACTTGATCAGTCGAGAATATTTTAGAGTAATTATTACCAGGGGAACCGGTGCTTCTTATATTTGGTAGTTAGCTCTTGCCCCATATGACTAAGCGCATCATGATGTCGTCAGTGTGATAATGAACCATATTTTTGTGCTGAAGCGGATGATGCAGTCATGCTTATGATCTAATAAGTACTACTAGTACTAAGTTTGAATAGGAATGCATATTAATACATAGTAGTAATATTGCTTAGACGATCTATTCTATAGTCTCTGTAACTCCAGAACCCTTTTAAGTGCTGTTGGCCTTACCAGAAGGCCTTATTAACTCAGATAAATTTTTACAATCATTTTCATGCCGAATTCCTGTTCTTTGGTTATTTTCATCCTTGTGACTCAGGGAACTGACTTTCTTGTGACCTGAGACTGGATCGCATCACTGGCTCACCGATAAGCCCACTCCCGCCCCAAACCCTCCAAGGAGGGGAGATACCCGCATTTTCGAGAACCTCATACCTCATACCTCATTTTCTGATGCTTACCTTGGGAACACATTTCAAACGTTAAGTTTCCTGTGAATTATCTGTCAAATCTGCGAGTATCTTCCACTCGTCACGCTCCTAGACTCCTAGACAACTGGAGCTATCCCCGGTCATTCCCTATCCGCCACTGGTCTGCTCACCTGGTTCTTCCCAAAGAGCTAGGGAACTGTGCAGATCCTGAAAACGGTCGACCTGGCCGACAATCCTCCCCATCAATATATCATTCCCGACGACCCTGAACTTCCTTTGCCCCTCGATACCACTGTATCCAATCCCCGTGCTCCCGACGCCCGATCTACTCAGCTCTTCTCCACAACCTCCCAGCCTCCGCCTGGCACTACTAGCTTCCGGACACCTAATCCTCGACGTCGTCGTCTACAACAAAGTAGTCCCGATACCCTAACGACAGAAACGGCAGCAACCTCGCAACTAGAAGGCTCAAGGGTCGGTGACGTTGCGGCCCAAGACGAAACAACTCATCAACCCGGCCGAACCGACGGCCGCCCTCCATCCCGCAAGCGCCGGCGCCTGCTCACCATGCGTGCTGATGGGTTATCAGGCACTAACGGCTTCTCACAAGCTTCTAATGGGGCTAGCTCAAGGAAAACCAACCTGAACGGCCAAGCGACCGCGTCAGCAAATGGAGAGTCCCATGCCAACGGGGCGGGGAAAGCTCCAGCAAGCCAAACATACTATGGTCATGACCGGGAGGAGGTGACTCGGATTTTGATTCAGAGTTTATATGAGTTGGGTTACAGCGGGTCAGCCTCTGCGTTGAGTGCTGAGAGTGGTCACCAACTGGAGACGGCAGGCGTTGCTACTTTCCGCAGTGCGGTGCTCGGTGGACGCTGGCCGGAAGCTGAGAGAATTCTCATTCAATCATTCCAGAGTAGTGAAGCACAGAATGGCCAGGAATCGGCATCCGAGGAGACACTGCTGCTAGCAGAGGAGGCGGATAGAAACGAGATGCTATTCTTATTACGCCAGCAAAAATTCCTGGAACTCCTAGATGCAGGCAATTACGGTGCGGCATTAGGTGTGTTACGGCAAGAACTGACGCCTTTGAATTACGACATTGATCGGCTCCATGCTCTTTCTAGGTAATTTCTTTCGTACGGTTTTTCTCTTGCTCTGCTAACATTTTCACCGTCTAGTCTGCTCATGTCGCCAACTCAGCTGTTATATGAACAAGCGGGTTGGGATGGTTCTACCCAGGCATCTCGAGAACGCCTTCTGGCAGACTTATCCAGTAAGGGTTGATACTTAATCAGTCCTTGGCTTCTGCTAACCCAGGTATAGAATCAATATCTCCCTCGGTCATGATCCCTCAACACCGCCTGGCTATTTTGCTGGACCACGTGAAGCAAAGCCAAATCAACAACTGCCTATACCACAATACCGCACAGTCACCATCGCTCTACTCAGATCATCTCTGCGACCGGAATGACTTCCCTCTAGAAGTAGGCATCGATCTGACCCAGCACACAGATGAAGTCTGGTATTGCGGGTTTTCTCATGATGGCACCAAACTAGTCACTGCGGGCATGGACAGGATGGTACTCATATATGATACTGCAGATTTCACAGTACTTCGCAGATTGAGTGACCATGGCAGTGGGGTTGCTTTTGCTAGCTGGAGCCCAGATGACACAAAACTTATCACATGTTCTCAGGACAAGAAAGCACGATTATGGAATGTCGAGGTAAGATATAAGATCTCCCTGAAGGTTTTCATTCTGTGTATTGGCTCACTGAAGGACAATAATAGACTGGCCAATGCCTTATTACCATCAACAACCATTCCGAACCAGTGACATCTGCCGGCTGGGCACCAGACGGAAAGTCTTTTGTGACCTCCTCTTTTGACCCGAACACTCAACTATGTCACTTGTCTATTGACGGAACAGAATTGCACATGTGGAAAGGTGGATTCCGAGTGCAAGACTGCGCGATCAGCCCCGATGGGCGGAGACTGGTCGCCGCAGACACAGATTCGAAAATCCATGTTTTTGACTTCAAAACCTACGAAGAAGATTATTGCCTCTCCTTGTCCAGCAAGCCGACGTCCATCGCAATCAGTCGTGATTCGAAGCATATGCTCGTGAACTTGAAAGAGGGTGAAATTCAACTCATTGACCTCGAAACTGCTGCTGTGGTGCGACGTTTCAGTGGTCACAAGCAAGGTGAATTTGTGATCCGCAGTACTTTCGGCGGAGCTGGTGAAAACTTCATTGTCAGTGGCAGCGATGGTAAGTTCTATATTATTCGGATCCATTGAATGTATCGCTGACCAGCCTTAAGACTCAAAAGTCTACATTTGGCACAAAGAGAACGGATCTCTAGTCGAGACCCTTGATGGGCATTCCAAAGGCTGCGTGAACTCAATATCGTGGAACCCAGCAGATCCCACTATGTTTGCTTCGGCAGGCGATGACCGTGCTGTGCGCATGTAAGTTTATATTCTCCTCCTACATAGTCGGAAATTCTCGTGCAGTTCCACTAACTCATCTTTTCAGTTGGTCTCGAGATCATAATCGCTCTCGCCCGACAGGAGGACCTAGCACTCGAGGTGTGTCAACGAGTGGTGTCCCACGGATGAGTGCCATGAGGACAACATATTCATTTTAGCATTACCATCCCCACCATTTCTTGACGCAACTAGCCTCCAGCTAGCAAGATTGTTTATGGCGTTTCGTTCTCCGGGCCGAAATGCCGAGTGGCATCACATGGCGCTTTTTTGGGTACCAAGGCCGAGATACACACTGGAGCTTCCTGATTCCAAGACCGATAAATTCACATTTGGCTTCAGTTTTACGTTGCTTTTACATTTCTTCTTGCCTTCTCGGGTTTCTCTTCTACTCCGCAACATTCCACATCGTATACACCATAACCCCAACCTGTCCTGTCTGCAACATGCCTCTCATTCCATGAGCAGATCCGCAAAGAGTTGATTTTTTCAAGCATTTCAGTTAATACAGGAATAACGACATCCTATGTATGCTTGCACAAGAGGTATACGTTGAAATTACCTTTCTGCTTTTAAATGTTTGGATCTATTCCTTTCTCATTCCCATTCCATCGGCGTTTGAGGTTGAAACTGGACCTGTCTTTTCATATGAGCTCCAGGGATTTCAAGGTTTTGTCTTAGTTAAGTTGGCGCTATTGGTTCCAAGCATAGTTTCATGTGCACACCAGGTCACCTTGAATATACTGTACACAATTACCTGCAGAGGCGTTTGCCGGTCAAAAAACTTTAATGTAAATTTTGTGCAGATCCTTCAAAACGCCTAGCAGAAAACATCCGGGGTAAATTAAGAATGACCAATAAGAACATAAAATAAAGAGGCTGCTCAAGCCTCCATGTGTCAAATTTGAAAGTTAAATCATGAGTGCAACCTGCGACATTGTTTGGCAATTTGGAGCTGGTTTGTATGGCGTTAGTGGCTGATGGTGGTTGACTGGTGATGTTGCAATCTCACAGAATTATCTTGTTTTCCCTTTCCTCCACGCGAGATCCGTTCATTGCCTTGATCTGTGCAATCTGTAATAAAGAAAGTCCCCGACTTTTTCAAGTCAAGTGGACTTGATTTCCCAGAATCAAGGTGGGCATGGCTTCGGGCCAAGTGGTAACACGCAAGTCACTTTTAGTTCATTCAAAAGTGAGGGCTAAGAGCAGGATTGAATCCTTTATGAGAGCAGATCGGCAACTGGAGAAAAACAACATTAGTACGTAACCCAAAGCCAAAATTGACTTTCGAGGGACATGAACTCACCATTCATGGGCATCTCATCGATCTGAGTGGAGTAGTACAATTCAATGTCACGCAGGATGCGGACGTCATCGCTAGTGACAAAGTTGATAGCAACACCCTTGCGACCGAAACGACCAGATCGACCGATACGGTGGATGTAGTTCTCACGATTGGTAGGGAGATCATAATTGATGACTAGAGACACCTGCTGAACATCGATACCACGGGCCCACACATCAGTGGAGATCAGGACACGAGAGTTGCCCTGGCGGAAGTCCTGCATAATGCTGTCACGCTCCTTCTGGGGCATCTCGCCGTGCATGCTGGACACAGTGAAATTGGCCTCGCGCATCTTGTCAGCCAGCCAGTCGACCTTGCGGCGGGTGTTGCAGAAGATCACGGCTTGAGTGATCGTCAATGTGTCGTAAAGATCGCACAGGGTATCGAACTTCCATTCCTCCTTCTCAACGGCAATGAAGTATTGCTTAATACCCTCCAGTGTCAACTCGTCACGCTTAACCAGAACGCGCACAGGGTCGGTCATAAACTTGGTCGTCATATCCAGCACATCGTAAGGAAGAGTGGCCGAGACCACCACAACCTGTGTCGCCGGGGGAAGGTAACGGTAGACATCGTAAATCTGCTCTCGGAATCCGCGGTTGAGAAGCTCATCGGCCTCATCCAGGACGAGCATCTTAATGTGACGGGTTCGCAAGTTGCGGCGGCGGATCATATCAGCGACACGTCCGGGAGTGCCAGAGACGACGTGTTGGCCGTAGTCGAGCTTTCGAATATCCTCGCCAATGTTGGTACCACCAATGCATGCATGACATTGGACATTCATGTAATCGCCGAGCGCCATGATGACGGACTGAATCTGGGTTGCAAGTTCGCGAGTCGGGGAAAGGACCAAGGCTTCAAATTCAAAGTCAATAAGATGGATTCAGCAGTAAAAATATAGCGGTTAATTTACCTTGAGTTTCGCGAACAACAGTGTCAATGACCTGCAGAGTACTGATCGAAAAAGTCGCAGTTTTACCGGTACCAGACTGGGCTTGCGCAATGGTATCACGGCCTTTGCAGATCTGAACAATAGCGCGCGACTGCACGGCCGAGGGGGACTCGTAACCGTAAGCGTAGATTCCACGAAGCAAGCTCTCCTTCAGGTGCATGTCCTCGAAGGTTGGGGCCACCGTAACCTCCTTGGAAGTGCTGAACTCCATGCGCTCTGGGCTGATATTAGAAAGGCTCACTTCACCAAAACTCGGGGACCCGCTTACCTTCAGCGCGTCTGTCGATTCCGTCAGCCATTTTGATAAATTCCCGTTCACGGCAAATAAATAGGATGGTATTAAAAAAGATCGATCCCTACGTGAGGCGTAAGTAAGTTCGACTTTTTGCGATGGAAGCGGTACGGTCACATGACCATCCGCAAAGCTGCAGCTCTTGGGTTCCGCGAACTTCTCTTCTTGACTTGTGTACAGGTCTCTTTTCACCTGGAATATCAGACCCAAAAATAGCAATACTCTGGTCGCCTATCCAAAATGCTTCTTGAAGATCAGCGATTCATTCACGAGGATCTCGAGAGGTTGGAGCAGGCCATTGCTGATCGCGTGGCCGACAAACCTCGGAATGTAAGTCCGCCGACAGCATGATATAATGGATCCGCACATTAATACGTATGTTTCACAGATCCGTGAGAAATTATCCAATGAACATGAACTTGCCAATTTCATAAACCGAATTGACATACAGTCCAAGAGACTGCTGGAGATTTACAAGGATGCGGATGGCCTGCGCGAGAAGGAGGTGCAGTCGATTGGCACAGGCGATCCTTTTGAGGAGTTTTACAAGCAACTGGACGAAATCAAAGATTTCCACAAGCGCTATCCGAATGAGCCAGTCGAGAACCTCGAGCAGGCATACAAGCGTCATCAACCTGCCGAAGGCGAGTCGTCTTACTCAGAGGTCGATAACATGTTCACGGGCGAAGAATGTTTCGGACAATACATGGACCTGACAAGCAATCACGAGCAATACCTGAACCTCCCGGGAGTCAAGCGCCTTAATTACATCCAATATCTTGATGTTTTCGATGGATTCAATCCGCCCTTACTAAATATTAAGCGCAAAGACAAGATCTCTGATAAATACTTCCGTTACGTTGGTGAACTCGCGAGCTACCTCGAGGGATTTTTCAAGCGAGTGAAGCCTCTGGAGGATCTCGATGCGCTGATTGCCAGCTTCGACGAGGAATTCGACAAGCAATGGGCAGCAAAGGAAGTTCCCGGCTGGGGAGATGAACAAGTTGCCACAGGAGGAACAGGCGAGGGAATATGGTGCCCAGACTGCGAGAGGGAGTTCACCAACGAGAACGTCTACCGAAACCACTTGACCGGCAAGAAACACATTCGGGCCGCAGAGGCTCGTAAAGCCGCCGGCACATCAAATGACGACTCCCAACCTTCTACAAACAAACCTTCGACATCCTCACTTGCGAAGGACTTGAAGGAGCGTGCTGTCGCTGTACGAGAACATCGTGTGCGTTCCTTCACAAACGCACTTAAGGACGAGCGAGAAGCCACAAGACGCAATACCGTACGCCGACAAGGTCTGACCGAGCGTGAACGTCAAATGGAACGCGAGGCATTGATGGCTGAGCCCGAATCATTTGGTGAAGGCCGTGGCGGTGACCAATCTGACGACGAAGAGGACAAGGAGAGGATCTACAATCCACTGAACCTACCGCTGGCCTGGGATGGCAAGCCTATTCCATACTGGCTGTACAAGCTGCACGGTCTTGGAGTTGAATACCCGTGTGAAATTTGTGGAAATTTTGTTTACATGGGTCGACGAGCATTCGATAAGCACTTCTCGGAAGCGCCCCACATTTACGGTCTCAAATGCCTAGGTATTACATCAAACACCAACCTCTTCCGTGAGATTACTCGCATTGAGGAGGCAATGCAACTCTGGGAGAAGTTAGAACAGGATCGCAAGAAGGAGCGAGACTCCCGAGACAATGTGGTGCAGATGGAGGATGCTGAGGGTAATGTTATGCCCGAGAGAATTTATCATGATCTTAAAAAGCAGGGCATTCTCTGATGGACACAATTGTGTTCTCTCTTTATGTTGTCCGGGGGCAATGGTGTCAATACTACACAAAATCTTGGAGTTGGGCGAATGGCATGGGTCGTCTTTTTTGTCTCTCAAATAGACATTAGTATCAATGAGGAATAGGTTTCATACCGAGACTAGAATGAAGTTAGCGTTGGTTTTCAAAGGAATGCATATGGATCTAACTAAAATTCATAACTGGGAGTTGTTCAATTCTGCACATGCGATGAGTAACTAGTACTACTAGTAGTATATGCTTCATATCAACTTTGGCAATAACCCGTTGACTTATATAGATCGTCACGTGTTTTCGTGTTCCATGGACACGACCCGCTCACCAATTTCGCGTTTTCATCTCGTTTTTCTTCAATCTCTATTTCTCTTCTTCTGAACGATTAAGCAGGTTGAAAAATCATTCAATGCCAGCTCTATGTGATTTTATTACCTTGATCCCCCATGGGATTCAAATTCGCGTTATTTTGTGACCTGCTGTCGAGTCTTGAAGCCAACCGAACGTGTAAGGCGGCCTCGACAGTCAAGAAGGATGAGCCGGACTTTCAAACCATTGCAAAATGGTTTGCCCGGCATTATCGTCATATAAGTCACCCGGAAACAGACAGGCTGGCTCTGCTATCGTGCATGTTTCCCGAGAGACGATCAGACCGAGTATATTGGCTTCAGGCTACCTCACTCAGCCGCGTTATTGGCCGCTGCTTGGGTCTAGGCTCTTCGCGCATATCAGAGCTAAATCAGTGGCAAAGTCCTGGTGGCCCAGACTTAGGACAATGCGTGGAGAATGTTATGCGTCAAGCCGAGAACTATGTTCCCTGTGACCGTCAGGTCTCGGCCGAGGAGATCGACGAAGCTCTGAACTTGATTGCCTCGAGATGCCGCTTCTCAGGTCCTCAGGTCAGACGTCAGCATACTGCAGTGGATGTCGATACAATTCTTTCATCCTTATATCGTCGATTGTGCAGCCGCGATGCAAAGTGGCTTACTCGCATGATCCTGAAGAGTTACGCCCCGGTGACACTTCCTGAGAAGTATATACTAGAGAAATTTCACTTTCTTCTCCCTCATCTCCTACAGTTTCAAAATACATTTGAAGGGGCCTTCCACATGCTTGACTCCGAGCCAATGAAACACTTCCCGCCTCGTCCAGATCGAAAATTGGCGGCTAGCCTCTGTGCCATTGCACTAGACCATATACGCCCACGGACAGGAATCAAAGTTGGGCGACCCGAGTACTATAAGGCACGAAGCATCAACCATTGTCTCCAGTTGACAGGCCACCGCCGCATGAGTGTTGAAAGAAAATACGACGGTGAATACTGCCAAATTCATATCAATTTCGAGAACAAGCAAACTTCAATACAGATCTTCTCTAAGAGCGGCAAAGACTCCACCGCAGATCGATCAGGGCTGATGCCAATTTTGGAGGAATCTCTTCAGATGGGCAGCCCACAATGCAAATTCACCCGTCGCTGCATTCTCGAAGGTGAATTACTTGTCTGGAGCGATAAACGTGGTGACATTGCGGGCTTCCATAAGCTTCGGAAATTTCTACCGCGGTCTGGAACATGTATCGGAACTGAAAACGATTCACCACCCCAGCCATTTGAGCATCTGATGATTGTCTTTTTCGACATACTCCTCCTAGATGATAATGTCTGTTTGAGGAAGCCACATCGCGAACGGCGTTTACTATTGAAAAATATAGTACGGACAATCCCTGGTCGATCTGCGATTGCTGAACAGGAAATATTGAGCTTTGACCAGCCGGATAGCCAGCATTGGTTAGAGGCCAGCTTTTCTAAGGCAATCACTCAGCGCTGGGAAGGTCTTGTTTTGAAGGCCTGTGACGAGCCTTATTTTGCTATACATTCTGCCGGAGTGGATATTTCCTTTGGCCGATGGATCAAACTGAAGAAAGACTACATTCCAGGCCTTGGGGATACAGTTGACCTTGTGTTGATTGGTGGATACTATGATGCCAGAGACGCTGCATCTCTTCGAATTCCTAAAACAGTGAAATGGACACACTTTTTGGTGGCCTGTCTTCTGAACAAAGAGGATGTTCTGGAGTCCAGAGATTCTCCTCGGTTCCGAATCATAGATGTGGTTGGACGCCACTGTATGCACCACAGTTTGATGCAATCGCTCAATCAGATCGGAGAATTTGTTGCCCAAAATTCTGAAGATATCCATGATTTTGAGGTTGAATATGGACATGCCAGTCTTTCTAAAGCTACCAAACTTTTCAAGAAACCATTTGTGGTCGAGGTAATGGGCGGTGGCTTCGAAAAGCCTTCTGGGGCGAGGTACTTTACCCTTCGGTTTCCTCGCATTTTAAAGTTACACACGGACAGAAGCTTTGAAGATGCGGCATCCTTCCAGGAACTACAAGTTCTAGCAGAAGAAGCTAGATCTGCATCTATCACAGACCCATCGGAGGAGAGAGAACTTTGGCGCAAACGCCTCAAGGTTGGCAGCGGGCTCAACCAGTATATTGTACAAAGATCAGAAACCCCATCTTCCCAAAATTCGAGTGCAGAGCCAGATTCCCATTCAGGACCTGAAAGCTCAAACGGAACAGCGAGTGATGAAAACTATTCTGGGTCATTTCCAAGTTCTCCCCCACATCAGCCCTCATCCCAGAAAGCTGTGAACAAAGAACGATTGAATAAGTTTGACAGTGCTCCTGCTTTATACGTAGACGAGACACTGCTACCAATCGACTTGGAACGTTCTACCCCGAAAGCCAATGTTCTATCCGAGAATGAGAATTTGTCCCAGCGACAAACCTGTGGCCAAAAGAACAAAGCCTCGCAAGATCTCGAGAATCCGACCAAAATAGCAAGGGATGAATCTGGTGATATGAAAAAGGCGAAGGCGACGCGCTCAAATGGCCAAAAAGCAATCAGCTTGATTTCCATGCATCGACAAGAAATCTCAAGCCGTGAACATGCTACATCGGAGGTAAAACCTCCCAAGTCTCCTTTAACAACAATCCCAATATACATGCCAGGGACCCCCTCCGAATTCAAGTCCTCAACAAGACCTAACGACTCCCTTCTCCATGAGTTCTTGGACATTCTAGGATCCGATAATACAATATTTTCTTTATCTGAATCCAACCCCTCCGCCGCGTCGAAGGGTATGGCATTCGGCATTGTTCTTATCAACACAGCCGGAGAATCATTGGGTAAAGAGATTCACAGAACGGCAATATCTGTTTCTCGGGCTATCCAGAAAAGATCATGTCCCCCCAAAGGGGCAATATTCTTCTTGGACTCTCTTATTTTGGAGCGGAACCTTTGCCCTGAGGATACGAATTTCTGTTTGCGCACTACTTGGACTGATGTTGGCAAGCAATACTACTTCGCATGTGTTCGATGGGATATATCTGATCACACCCAGTTGCCAGATTTGAGTTCTGGTGTTGAACAAGACCCCAGGGCCCCCCCAGCTCTTTTGGTCAGCTTTGATCAGGGGGACATTCTAGCGCTGGGGGAGTATGTATGCATCGACCCGCCATTGCTTTTCAATGGTTAGCGGAGACATGTACCTACTAGTTCAAAGCTGGAATTCCAGTTGCCAGACATCAAGAGAAAAAAGTCAATATAAATGTTCCTGGATATTATTGGAAGAGAATTGCGCCAACTCGTAATGATCAATGACCAGGACAACACTAAACGCCATGCTATCATGACAATGGAGATAACCACCCACAAATAATGCAATAGAAGACTGAAAGGAGCAAGACTAACTATCACCTTCCCGTCTGGCTCGAACATCACTCATGAGCGCTCTCGCCTCTTCGACTTCAAATCCATCTTGACAAAGCTCTCCAGCTAGTTGGTCCGCACGGTCTAGGTCACCATGTCGCAGAGAATGCTGCGCCAGCCACAAGCGTGCCCTAGATGTGGTTGCCGTGGGACCAGTGCCATGGTGCCATGTTTCAGTAGCGGTGGAGTCATCATTCTGCATGGCAAATGATGAGGTTCGAGGACGAGGCTTCCGGCGACGTCGTCTAGGTCCGTCTTCATCATCGCCAGAATTCTCGGCTTCATCGCTATGCGTAGCATGTTCAGAAGCAGAAGAGTACTCGTCGTCCTCGTCTGAATTTCCATCTTCATTCACAGGAGCACCGCCGGATTCTTGCTGCAGGGTTAATTCCATGTAGGCAGACGCTTCTTCTTCATTGTCAAGTCGTTCATAAAGAGTTGCAATCTGGTGTAATGTCTCTGCATCGAGAATCTTGCGGGCACCAGGGCCAGGGCTTGCACCGATGCCTGAAGCACCGTCTGCATAATAGGCTCCAGCAACCAGGGCACGCTTTAGAGCTTGAATACTCTGCTCGATGCGGCCCATCTTCGCGTAGCACGAGCCTACTGCCTGCCACATTTTCGGGTCATATGGTTGAAGGGCAGCTGCTCGTTGGTAGTAGAACAGGGCATAGAAAGACATGTCGAGGACTTCGTAAGCCTGACCCAGACCGTACCAAGCACGGTAGTCTTTGCGATTGACATCAACAGCACGGCGATATGATTCAATAGCGGTATGTGTGTTTTTCATCTCTATATACTCGTGGCCCATAAGGGTCCAAGCCGACAAGAAGTTGCGGTCGAGTGTCAGTGCACGCCGGAAGTACATGACCGCTTTCTCATGCTCGGATTTCAGGGAATAGTAGTTTCCCACAACACAGCACGTTTCAGGGCGGAATTTGTCGGTGGCAATAGCAATCTGAGCGACGAAAGCCAGTTGGGGTCGTGCACCCATGACATATAATATATTGGAATAGTGATCAAGGCTATCCAACCGGTGTGGAGATGTAGCCAGAATTTCATTGAATATCTCAGCCGCTTTGTCAAAGTCTGTTTCGGGTTAATACATTGGAGACTAAATGATATATGACATTGCTCTTACCTTTGTCGTGGTAATAAAGCAGTGCTTCTTGTGTCTGGAGGAATGCGTTGGTAGGGAATAATGTTTGAAGTTGTTGAAGATCCTTGTATGTCTCGGGTGTGGTTTGATAAAGTTCCTGACTGCTGTAGGTGTGGAAGATCAAGGTCATGAGACTCTTTGGTAGACGGTCCACGATTTGTTTCAACTGCAAGCGCTGTCAGTGTGATGTATCACATCGGTTCCAGTCGACAACTTACGTCTTCATTATTGGCCAGGAGGTCACCCAGCTCTTGCCATGCCCCCCAATGGAATGGGTTCTGATGTACACTTTTAATGAGCCACTTCTTCGCCAGTTCCTCGTTCCGCCCCTTCAGTAAGACGACGGCATAGAGATACTCTAGCCATCCCTGTCCCTGATCCTCAAGGCCCTCGGAGCTGCGTTCCATCAGCCAGCCTTCCAAGCCACGGGCGAGATCCGGTAATTCGCGATTGACCGCCGTTCCACCATCCGCTGGGCCCAGCACCATCTCTGTTTCCTCATCCTTGCGCTTCTCTCCTGCCATGTATTTCGCATATAGGGCAAGGAAAAGCGATTTTTGACTGAGTTTTGGGTATGGATTCCTCCGCGGTTGACCTTTCGAACCTTGGAATGGCGATACTTTCTCTTTGCCCTTCAGAGATGTGCGCGGTTGCTTCGATTTCGAGTTTGGAGAGGCTACAGACAGAGGTACGGGAGGTGTGGTCGGAGGTAAGAATACCGCCGCACAGCGGTCATATTCTCGAGTATCAAAGTATGATTTGGCCAGGAGGTATTTGTGGGATTCTCGGGCTTCCATCACCGCTTCGGCAGGGTCTTGTGCGCCTAAGTATGGGTTGATTGGTGGCATGGGGGGTTCTGCAATATCCATTGAAGATTCAGCGTCGGTGTCTTCATGATTAACTGGTAAAATAGAGTCTAGCATCTCTGCTGCCCTGGATGGCGACATTCTTGTCAGCTTTCTTCAACAAGTGACGCGGTATAGATTGTTTTTGGGTGTACCATTTTGAAGATTGGTATAGACATCGTTCTGAGCATTTGATCGCAGACTCTTCAAATCGGTGTCTAAGTTCTTGGATAATTTCCTCGGTGATTTCCATTGTTGCCATCTTCAACAGGGCCTCCCAATGGGGTGGGGCGGAGGGCGGTGCAATGACTTTCGTTGAGATGGAGGTTTGCGGTACCTAGACCAAGTCACACATTGGTTTCTGTTCCACTACCAAGCAATCTCAGTTTCCGGTAGCGCAATGGAGATTGCAAGCGCGATGCTATCGCGACGTAATTCTCGGGCAGCGGCGCGTGTGGATGCGATGGGCGCAATCTAAGCTGCAATTGACTTGGTACGTCAGACGAAGAGCGATCAATGAGAGTTAAGATAGTAAGTTTCCAGGAACTTTTCAATTGAATCAGCACGGTATAGTTGACAAGAAGCAAAGCAAAACATTAAGTTGAAAGTCACGAGGAGCAACTGCAGCTGTCAACAACAAAAAGCACAAACACGCCAAGACCGCTGTTCCCCTCCGCGGGGAATTTAATCCCAATAAACTAAACTCAATGGATTACATTGGCTTACGTTGACTTCCTTTCTCAACATCCACTCACCCCTTTATTACAGTCAATATGGCTACCACTACCAAGCGTGCCGATTTCGAGGCTGTTTTCCCCAAGCTGGCCAAGGATCTTCTGGATCACTGCAAGCGATACAACCTGCCCGATAACGCTCTCGTGTGGTTCGAGAAGGTGAGATCCAATCCATAAAAGCGTCTTAGACCAAAACCTTTCTAGAATCATGCTGATCCCGATATTTAGTCTCTCAATGCCAATGTCCCCGGTGGAAAGTTGAACCGTGGTCTCTCGGTCCCCGATACCGGCCTCGCCCTCCTCCAGAAGCCCCTGAACGACGAGCAATTCGAGCAGCTGAGCATTCTGGGATGGCTCACCGAGCTGCTCCAGGCCTTCTTCCTGGTCAGCGATGATATGATGGACAGCTCCATCACTCGACGTGGTCAGCCCTGCTGGTATCGCCAGGACGGTGTCGGCCTGATCGCCATCAACGACGCCTTCATGCTGGAGTCCTCTATTTACCTTATCCTCAAGCAGCGCTTCCGCTCCCACCCCGCCTACATTGACCTTGTCGAGCTCTTCCACGAGACCGCCTGGCAGACCGAGCTGGGTCAGCAGTGTGACCTGATCACCGCCCCCGAGGATAAGGTCGACTTGGACAACTTCTCCATGGAGAAGTACATGTTCATTGTTACCTATAAGACCGCATACTACAGCTTCTACCTGCCCGTTGCTCTTGCCTTGCTCTACTTGGAAGTGGCTACTCCCGAGAACCTCAAGCAGGTCCATGACGTCCTGATCCCTCTCGGTCAGTACTTCCAGATCCAAGATGACTACTTGGACAACTTCGGTGACCCTGCCTTCATTGGCAAGATTGGTACCGATATCCAGGACAACAAGTGCTCCTGGTTGATCAACCAGGCCATCCAGCGCGCTACTCCTGAGCAGCGTGCTGTTCTCGATGCCTCGTACGGCCGCAAGGATGCCGCAGAGGAGGCCAAGGTCAAGGCCATCTACAACGAGATGGAGCTGGAGAAGGTTTACCACGAGTACGAGGAGAAGGTCGTGAAGGAGATCCGCGAAAAGATTGCTGCAATCGACGAGTCCAAGGGTCTGAAGAAGGAAGTCCTTGAGTCGTTCCTGGCCAAGATTTACAAGCGCACCAAATAGATCACTAGACGTATGGGCGCCTTGGGATGAAAAATGGAGTGTAAAGTTGATACCCCGCGCTTTTGATGTGTCACAACAGGATACAAACTTGCGATTTAGGTTTATATAGCCTGTTAATATGAATTCGGGGGCTAACTACCTCTCTTGTACAACTGTTTTCCAGGCATAATAGATCTCTAATCTTTAGAATAGTAAGATCGCACTCTATCAAATCAGGTGCCCTGTTCAGTATCCAAATTTAGGCCGGCCATATATAGAGGCGATCCAATACATTGATTCGCAAGCCGCCCCACTTAGTGCGTGTTGGTGCAGTAAATCCCGGCTGCACCCCCCGTCGCTCTTTTTAATCCTACCAGGAACCACCATGTTCCTATCTCGTATACAACCCTCTCAAACTCGACCAATTTTCAACTTATCATCAATTCTGATCACACTGTGGCTGCTGCTCTCAACGACAGCCGCAGACCAAGCAAATCGCTTCCGCTCGGAGAAATATGCTTATGGCTTCGAGGGCCCGTTCCCACGCCAGCATTACTCATCATCGGGCCTTCTAGGTCCGATCTTGAATTACTGGGAGACTAGCGTAGCATGCGATGATGGGTTATATACAATCATTGCCCCGCGTGGGGAGGCGGTGCGTCACTCTGGTCCAATGATTCTGGATAACCAAGGCCATATGGTGTGGTTTAAGGAGTATCAGACGACTTATAATGCCAATGTGTACATGTATAAGGGAGAGCGATATTTGACCTTCTGGGCGGGTAATGATACGAGTCGAGGACATGGGGAGGGGATGTTGTACATGGTGAGTAATGTTTCCATTGTTGAGGAATAGATCTTGGATTTGGAAGGATTCAACTCACCACTAATTTATTTTATAGCTCAACTCCAGCTATGAGGAAGCATATAAACTCCACGGAGTAAACTATTTCGCGGACTTGCACGAGTTCCATATCACCTGTGACGAGACGGCCGTTTTCACAGTATATGATATCAAATCTGTAGACCTGACCTCAACGGGTGGTTTGGAAGATGGCTGGATATACGATAGCGTCTTTCAAGAGATCGATATCGAGACTAACGAGCTCCTCTTCGAATGGCGCGCTTCAGATCATTTCTCCATTGGCGAGGGTGAGATTGATAGCAACGGAGCCGGACGTTCAAAAGAACACCCATGGGACTGGTTCCACATCAACAGCATCGACAAGGATGAGCATGGCAACTTTCTCATCTCCTCGCGGTACTTTAAGTGTCTTGCATATATCAACGGCGTAACCGGTGACGTGATCTGGAAACTCGGCGGCGAGAATCACTCATTCACCGATCTATCAGCTGGCGCAGCAACAAACATCAGCTGGCAGCATCACGCGCGATTCCAACCGCGATACAACATTGCGAACAAAACAAGAGCGATCTCCGTTTTCGATAACTCTTCGCGCGGAAAAGGCGCTCCGCAGAATCCGAGCCGTGGGCTGATGATCGATATCGACGAGACGGACATGACTGCCATAGTGCGCGCGGAGTATTGGAATTCCATGGCGATCAGCAGCCAGTCTCAGGGCTCCATGCAGGTTCTGGATAACGGGCATGTACTGATCGGATACGGGTTCAGTGCTGCGTGGACGGAATTCGGCGCGGACGGGGAAGTGCTATGTGATGTGCATTTTGGTCCGAGGGAATCCTTTCATGAGAGCGATATTATCTCGTATCGAACTTTCAAGCAGAAGTGGGTTGGAATGCCAGTAACTGCGCCCGATGTCGCGCTGTCGGGGACTACGGCGTCTGTTACCTGGAATGGGGCAACCGAGGTTGTTACTTGGGTGTTGCAGGGGTCGTTGGTCAATGTGACTGACTCGCCTGATTTTACGGATGAGGATGGGATCAGGCGGTATTCAAGTGGGTATGTTGAGGATGTTGGTTTCCTGTTCGTCTCTGCGATGCCGAAGTCCGGGTTTGAGACTAAGATTCCTATTCCGGCTGATATACCGTACCGCACTCTTCGTCTTGTTGCCCTTGATGGTATGGGAAGCTCTCTGGGAAGGACACGGGCTTTGGAGTGGGCACCTGAGAAAATGAATGAAGAGGTTGCGGTGTTTGCTGGTGATGAGAAGGTTGAGACTGTGTCACAGGGGCATCACATTGCACCCACACTTATGTTTGCCATGGGCTTCACGAGTGCTGCGGTGATTTTGCTTTGCGCATGGCTCGTCTGCAGGTATGTCTATCCCGAATATCCTGGTCTATCCTTCTTCGGTCGAGGCATTCATGGCAAAGACGAGGGGTGGGAGGCGGTTCGATCGGGCGAGGAGCTAGATGACTTGGATGAATCCAACGACCTAGAGTCCGGAGAACAAGATGAGAGCCCGTTGTTGAACGATAATAGAGGCAGGGGGTAGATAGCCTTGTATCCATCGCATTGTACATTATGCATATAGTCATTGGCGTTAAGATAGAATATCCACGGTTGCATTTCTCAGCTAATTTACTATTTTCGCGCATCAATCGAAAGCAAGTTTCTTCATTTATTCAAATTCCTAAGGCTAGTCCAGACTAAAGAGTGGAGCCTGGTATAAAAGGCGAATCTCTTGCTCTTGGCAAAAGTGCCATTGGTTCAAACCGCAGCTTAAGCCGCAGCAACCTCCAGACGCTGGAAGCCACCTTTGGCAGCCACCTCTTCCTGAAGCTTAGCCATGCGCTTCTGGTCACCAGTAGGATCAGTAGAATCCGCATCCAGATCCCAGGATAGGTACTTGTTGGTGTAGTTGGACTGGAAGTTATCATCCAAAATACCAAGACGCTTGCCGTAGCGAGTGACCTTCTCCCAGTCACGAGCGACATTCTTGAGGTCCTGACTGAAGTAGGCGTAGGAACGTTCAAAAATCTTGCGGTTGACAGGAGTCGCCATAATAGGTTTAAAATCGACATACTCCTCATAAGTTGTGTTCGGATCAGCCAAGACATCATCCGTAGCACGCTTCACAGCACGCATGAACTTGGTAACACGCTCGGGATTCTCGGCAAGGAACTTGTCGTTGGCAATGTACAGGATAGAGCAGAAACAGCAGCAGCCCAACTCGGCGAGCTGGTCAATGCGAAGCATCTGGACATCGGAGCGGGGTCGGTTCTGCTCGGCGAGCCACTCGGCTAGCTCAACCATCTGCACATTCTCGAGACCAATACCCGCATCAATTTCACCGCGGATGATGGCCTTGGTCACGTTCATTCCGCAGCGCACGGCGGTGTAGTCGTCGGCGGTCATGCCGTAGTACTTTGTGAGCTCGTCAATCTGAATCTTGCCGAATTCACCGACGTAGCCGATGCGCTTGCCCTTCAGGGAGCGGAAGTCCTCGGTGATTCCGCTGGACTTGAGGTAAACGACGCCAGTGAAGGGCTCATCGAGCAGAGACCCGATCGAGGTCACGGGGAAGTTGCGAGCCTTCGCCTGTTATGAATTAGAATGAATATCTCTGATAGGTTCGGTGATAACGTACCGCCAGCGTGTGGATCATGGCCTTGAAGCCCATGTCGACTTTGCCGCTACCGATGATTTCAGTCACATCGGAGGGGTCATTGGGCTCGAGCAGGGCAACCTTGAGGCCTTCATCCTTGAAGTAACCACGGGCCTGAGCGAGGTAGAGGGGGGCGTGGTACGGGGTGGCGTGCCTGAGGGATAACACTCAGCCTATATACTTGACACCAGAAGACAGACACCAAAGAAAAGAATCCAAATAAATCAGGTGCTGTTGTCATACCAGTTGGTCAGGAAAGTGATCTTGTCCGTAGCCATTTTGGAGATTGGAGCAAGAACTGTTTATACTTCTATCGAGTCAGCATCCCCGACACAAGCGTATCCGCGTTCAAGTCCACTATGTTAGCCAACAAGAAGCGAAACACACATAGTAATCATGAACACGAATACAAAAACAGCAAAGGGGGAACAATCAAAAGTCACGCATGTCCTTTCGCTAGAATTATCTAGATCAAGTTTTGACAGTATAATCTCAGAACAGCCAGACTGCCATGGTAAAATGTGATTGCTCATCGTATCTACCGCAGCAGCCTGAGCCGAACACCTGTCATGCGTAGCACTGACTATTATACCATGTACAATACCTTGACCCTATGATCATCATAGCGGACAACAGTCCAGGACCCCCGGAGGGATCCAAAGCTAGGACGTGCGCGGCTCCATTGTAGAGAGTACCGTACCAAGGTAGACTTGATGATCGGTGTCGAAGAGGTAGGAAGGTAAAAAGATGATTGAGAATGAGTCAATTGAGAATGGAAGAGGGGGAGAGTGGGAAAAGGTGCAGGAGGGGTAGAAATACCCCGGAGTGGAGTTGTCCGCCAGGATTGTTTCATCAATAAAAGGGTTCACCGGGATGCGCAAATCATAGTCGATTCTCCTCATCAGAAGCTCCAGGATTTCCCTGATTGGGTTCGGTCGTAACTCTATTGTAAGTTTTATATCCACATACTTCCGAATACAACCGGATACACCCCGACATCGCAGACCCAGACTAAATTCTGTTGAGGCAAAAAGTACGTTGAATTCAAGACTAATCAAATTCCAGTTCAAGAGTTAAAACAAATATGAAGGCTTCAAGATGCATGGATATGAAGGTCAAATTACAAGGTGACTTCAGGTAGAGAGGTCCACTCTGGGAGAAACAAAAACAACACCAAATGCAAATCCGTGGATAAGTTGAGCAAGTTAGCAAGAAAGAATGACGGAGAAATCCCAGTATCACGCGTTTTCAATCTTAGGGGTATCTCCGTTTACCGATATGCTATCCAAGGGGGACTGTGGCCGGTCACCAGACTTCCGAGTCCGGAGCGTGAGTGGATAAAAGTGATCATCGGGTTCTTCCTCCTCACTGTGAGTGGGTTAGCTTTTGGACTATTACGGAATGACCCGAAGCATGCATGGGACAAAAGGCGGAAATGTGGGACTCAAACGTACGGAAGTTTCCAGGCGACATAGTCTTCTGTGGTCAGTCCTTCCCGGCCTTCCTGGAGCGAGGCAAAATCACCGGGGGTCATCATGCCGGTACGATCGCGAGGAGAACCTGGAACAGACAGGGGGCGAGAGATCTTCTGGTCTGTGCCACCGATGATATCGAAATAATCCTCTTTCTCATCGAACGAAGAGGGATAGGCTATGATGAACATTAGTGACTAGTCGTGTAGCTGGGGGGAAATGGAAATCTTACCTCTGCGGAGAGCCAATTGGCGTGCCTTGACGTACTCCAGACCCATCCGCTTCCAGTCAAGTAGATCACTCAATCTCTCAGTCCGGTTACGCTGGTTAATTCTTTGACGTCGGCTCTTCGTGGTGAAGTTGAACATGAAGTCGGTCAGCTGGTTGACTGAGTCGTCTACTCCCTTCGACCGACGGTCTACGATGTAGATACCGTAGTCAGATGAGTTCTCGATCAGCTCTTCCATGTAGCATCCAAATCCTGATAGATTGGTGGTGATACTTGGCACACCCATCACCGTGCACTCGGCGGGAGTGTATCCCCAAGGCTCGTAGTAGGAGGGGAACACTCCCAAGTGGGTTCCACGAACAAAGTCATCATAGTCAAGTGGCAGCACCGGGTTGGAGGAATTGAGGAACTCGGGATGGAACACAATCTTGACGCGATCGGAGGAGTTATTGAACAGTTCCACGCGGCGTAGCTGGTTCAGGATGGGATCCTCGTGGTCATTCACCATATTGTGCGTGACAATAGGAGGGAGGCCGTGGCGTTTCATCGCAAACAGGCGGCGGCGCAGAAGCACCCGATCCTGACTAGTGATAAGGTCCTTCTCGTCGGGCATGTTTTCACCCTCCCTCCACGAGAGACAACGCTCATACATACGCTTGCCAATGCCTTTCTCGATGTTCTCAATCGTGTCACGGAGGGACTTCACCACGGCTTGGCCTTTGAGAGACTCCACAGTCAAAGAAGAGGTTTGCGCGGGCATGATGATAAAGGCGACCACAGTAGTGGTCGAGCCACTGGTCTTCAATCGGTGGTTGAGACGAGCCAGACCTTCGATGAACATATCCACACCCTTATTCCGATACTCGTACCGACCAGCGGTGAACATGTACAGAGTGTCATCCAAATCGAAATCATTGTGACCGTAGAAGTGACCACGAACGAAATCATTGATCTTCTCCTTGGCTTGTGAGTGCAAGTTCTGGAACTCGTGCATAGCGGAAAATTTCTTGACATTCAGACCGTTCGGGAGGACACCGTCCGGCTTGCGCTTCAGCAGGTGCTCACTCTCAAAGGCCGTAATGTGCGAAACTGTAGTGAAGACGTCCGCACTGTGTGCAGCCGCGCGCTCAATGCAGTACCGGTGGTAGATCCCGCGCTTTCCAGCCTCAGCATCGACATCGAAATGCTGGAGATTGTTGTAGAAATCCACCGAGCCAGCACAGAGATAGCGACCCAGCAGAGTAGCATGTGTGGTGAAGATGGTAGTCAGATCCATGTGGCGTCTCTTGGTCAATGGCAACGCTACACCAGCCAGCCACTCATGGAAATGAGCGACCACAGCCCGACGGCGTTCATGAGCGATATACTACGGTACATGGAGTCAGTTATCTCGCCATGTATGATCCTTTCAATGGAGATCGACGCGACTTACCTCACCGAGGAACCAAGCAACCAGGTATCCAAAGACGATCGCCTCATTGGTTTCGTGATCGGCAGCGGGAGCCGGGATGCCGGAGGTATTCCACAGATCGCCTTTCCACTCGTCCAGCCATCGGTAACCCGTCCCGGTATTGATGAGCAACACCCTCGGGGCACCCTCGATCAGCCAGCGACCGTAGACAATCTCAATGCCACGTTCCTTCATAGAAGCGATGGTATCGCGCATGGCTGGACTGGACGGAGTGAGTTCTTCAACCTCTACGGCTGCTGAAGCTCGGTTCAAAGGCCCGATCAAAGTATAGCGTTCGCCGTACTCAGCCGTTGTGACTGGGGCCTTCGACTTGAGCACCGAGTAAATGCCGCCAACTCGGTTGGCTACCTCCGTCGCCACCTCGAAGAGCATGTGGTTGCGAACATCGCGCTTGAGCGGCTCAGAGCCATTCTCGTCAGCCATTCTGAAGGAAGGTACCTGATGACAAAAAAATGAAAATCAAAGTTGAGAGTGGGAAGAGGGGAAAAGAAAGGTTGAGCTTTTGGGTGAACCAGAGAACCCGGGAGGATTGAGCTCCGGACTCGGTCTGTGCGGGGACTACGCGGGATCCCAGTTTTTGACTTCCCCAGAGTTGGCTAGGGAACAGGAACAAGCACAATTTTGGCAGGGGAAGTACTTTATGAAGCTGTAAGAAGCTGACTATGATATTTTAAAAAAAGAATTGAGCCCCTTCTTCTCACCTCACCCAGCCCCCAATAGCTATAAGCTTATAAACTCCGTTCGCGAACACGGTTACAGTACAGGCGGAGAAAAAGAACGTCCCGCATACTAAAACCGGGCTAACTGTGTCTGGGCCACACAGTGTCACCAAAGACCTCTTGGTCCTTGGTTCATAGACAAATTTCCACTTCTAAAACCAGTTTATCGGTCAAACTTGGTATGATTTTTTTTTCTATATATAAGACTAAAGTACTAAGGAACAGATTTTTATTTTTTTTACCCCTGACCAAGTTTCAGGCCCAATGTAACACTTTTCAGAAATTGACCTTCGTATAGTATGATGCGGTTGATACTTTTGAAAGTATATTTTTTTCTCTGTAGCTTGGCATTAGCTCGGCCCGTGACCGTCGATCTGTGAAAAATTCTACTTCCAATCATGGGCGTTTTTTTTCCTACAGATTTTGATCCTTGCGCGGGGACGCCACAGACGGCAATCCGGTTTTGTGGTGAAGCTCGTCTGGGGAAAGCTGATCGAATGATGTCATAAGTGGATCCCACGATCTGTCAGTGCTTTTTACCCACAACTCATCCAGGCACTGCCAAGTAACCAAACAAAGCTAGGATGTGTAGGTATCATCGCAAAAAAAAAATATATTCTCAGGTCCTATGGACTACCTTACCTTGGAGACCTTGCAATTTAGTCAATGAACTAGCAATATGCTGAATTCATTGTGATCATCATTGTTTGGCCCTTTATGGCAGGTCCACCCATAAGCACAAATCTAACTCTTTGATAGCATAAGACTCAGGTAAAGCAGTAGTTATGAAGAACAATGCGATGCTTGCCATTCTTGCATAAAAGTATCAAGATCTTATCAATGATCCGCCGATAACAATGCCCACTTTTCTCTCCGCTCATCCATTTAATGGCGTTTTTCGCTTCCCCAGCTCCCTTCGATCTATCTCTCCTCCAATTGAGCACTAATTATACAATTTACTCCAACCTTGGCCATGCCTCGTCATGGATAGACACTCACACTTAGATTCCACACCTGTCTCGCACCAGCTTCCCTTTCCGTTCAACATAGCATCGCGAATCTGGCGCCGATTATGGAATGGGATCATATCTTGTCAGAATGACTCACCCACATCTGGCCCTAGAAGACCTCTGACACCCTCTCCGTCCCCTTCCGATGAAGAAACACCAAGTTCCTCGCCCAGCTGCCGACCAGTTCCCTACGACCATGTCTCGTCTCTGACGGACGTGGACTACCTTCGCGGTAGCATCAACCGGGATGGTCTATCACAGCGTGGGTACTTGAACAAATTGCGAGTAGTCAGTACAGATATACATACTCGAAGGTCCAGCGTAGACTCTTATTATGACATGTTCGATGACAGAGTAGGACGACAGAGTTCGCACCTGCCATGTCTGCCCGATTTCTCAATTATCGGATCCCCGAACAACTCTCTGGCTGATAGCATATGGCTGGGTCTCCAACAATTAGGGATTTATACGGTAACTGAGATCCAGGAACCCATTCATGCCACATCCTGCCCTCCTCCATCGACTGAAATTACGGAGTCTTCGGTACAGGGTACTCTGGACGAATGCCTCCTTTCCGCCAGAGCTCAACCTCTTCCCCGTAACACTCTATCGCCAGAAATTAAGCCTTTCATGCCATCTTCACTGCCTAGGTCTTCACTTTCTGGGAGTCAGGAGTCCCTGATAGCCACATCGTACCCTTCTCCATCAACTGAAAGCATGCCGGAGGGGCTTTCATCACCGCGTAGTCTGCAAGAACAGTCCCCTCCAGCAAGAAAAGGCCACCCTCTTCCCCGGAACTCTTTCTCACGAGCGATGGGACTTTTCATGCCATCAACACCCTCCCTCTGTTCATCGGACGCTGACACGAGCCAAAATGCTAGCCCGGAAGATAACAACAGCGATATTGACACGCTTCCAAGCCCACGACCTCGTCTCCCTTCGTTTGGTTGGACCCAACACCGCGGCCATTGGCTGAAGAATCGCTGGCTGTCGCAGACAGCCTCTCTACCACTCACTCCAGATCTACCAGAGTCACAGGTTATGATCCCAAACCACCAAGGCCAGTCAGCCAGTGTCTCTGCATCCGGTGATTCGGATGAGACGCAGATGCAGAGCTCACGTGGTCGGTCTCGTGAAGCGTCTAGCGATGAGTACAACAGCTCAATTCAGTCGCCTCGCTTATCATTCATGTCCGAGAATATTCGTTGCCGGCAGTCTGGCAGTTTCTTAAGCTTTATACCTTTTCTTCCGCTGACTTTGGCCACAGGTACGGTTGCGTAAAAGCGAAGGCTCGCCTAGAAAAACGGAAAGCGCTTTTTCTTGTCTCTTCTTAATTGACTTTGCAATATACCAGTTTCAATTTTAAAGAATAAAATTTTCAATGGGTGTGGACTCGGCTTTGTCACTGCTTTCAAGGTTTTGCTAGACATTAAGGGTGGATTTAGTGTTGGTTTAGAATTTGACATTGAAATCCGTGCGCAGGGTCCAGCACGCCATTCTCACAATGAAACCGTCTGCAATTGAATTTCTAAATTTCCCTATTTTCTCTTCTAGAACAAGGCCTATGACATCCTATTTCCTATTAGACCTTCTGTAGCTTGACCAAAGACTCTGACCAGCCAAGGATCGATGTCCATTCGTTGATGAAGTCATGTCTCCACAATGACTTCACTATGCTGTCACCTACCTAGGTTAACAATTTTTGAGCTCCATGGAAAGGTATTTAAAAGCTGGCGAGTATTCCACAATAGAGCAATTCACACAAGTCTTCCAAGTCCATTCAACCTATTCACAATCTCAAGGTACGCGGTCGCTCAAACGCCTCAACTGCTCCGAAGAACCGACAGAAGCTCACCATGAATCAAACAGTCTTTCCCACTTCCACCCCAACCTCTACACATCTTTCACAATGGTTCGCGGCGCCGAGTACGACAACGGAATCCCCCAGTCCGACAACCCCATCGAGGCCGGCGAGAACAAGATCCACGGTGCCGGCAACGACGTAAGCATGCCAATTCAATCCACGACTCCTCAATCCATCTAACATATCCACCAGAATGCCCCTCTGAACCACACCCAGAAGGTTGCCCCCATGCCCGAAGAGACTGGCTCACAGCGCGAGGTCTTTGGCGGCCTTCCCAACAGCGGCCACCCCCACTCTGGCAGTGGTAAGGGTGGCCACGAGCCCAAGACCCTTGGCGAGAAGAAGGGTCTTGGTTCCCAGCCCGGTGTTTAAATTATCTACGCTTTTATGATTTTATTTTTTTATCCCTTGATGGGAAACACCTTTGAAGCATTAGGTGGTACGAATTACGCATCTTTCTATGTATACGTACACTACGCGATTTGGATTGGAGTTGGGAAACAGTTTCTAGTCTTTTGGCTAGCAGAGATTCAATACCGAAACAATGTACAAATACGCACTTGTTGAATTTGTTATTAGTAGGATATGTAAGGTTCCTCGCTCAACGGAGCTTCATGATAATTTGGATGCATGAAAGGCCCATATATTTATCTACCAACAGAGCACGAAGACATGAGGCCTTGATTAACATTATAAGTAACGTTGAACTTAAGCCACACATACTGCTCAACATGGGCTTAGTATCGCGGCCGAAAATCACAATCACATCAGCCGTCAATTAGATACATCACTGTTGTTTGTTTTCAAATATATTCAAATGGTGTATAAGAACGATCGTAGAAACTTTGTGAATAGTGTTGGCAAGATTTCTGGTGTTTCTGCTAAGCTAGAGGGACGAAGGTTGGTAGCAAATAGCGCTATCTTGGGGCTCTGGGATCTGCAACCAGGTCAAGAGATAACGTTTAGCCTAGATCAGCCCTACAAGATATACGATAAGGATATCATTACATGTAGTTCAGTATCTAATGCAGACGCCGTGGCCATTTTTAACCGTGCGCACTCGGACCTGATAGATGTAAATATGTTTACCTAAAACACGTTATAAAACATGTCACATAGATGACACAGATCTTCAAGCCATCATAAGCAATTACAATGCACGGGACATATAATGTAGTATATATTACCAGGACTTGAGAGGAAAATGAACGCAAACCTTGAAAATGCGTTTGGATTTAGCATATGTTTTCGCATAATCTGCCAGCTATTCTCAAATACCAGCACTATTACGTCTTGGTAGCCAGATATCTACAGTGCCATCGCAAAACTGTCCGACAGACCGATCTTGCGGGTAGTGGTGTTCTTTGTTTCGGTTTCTATAAAGACAAAAAAAAACAATGCACATCGAAGAGCAGGACAAAGTACAGAACCACAACCTGCTTTCATGAAGCGAAAGTGGAGCGTTCGGCGTTAAAATTGTCGCATTGGGGTCGTATAAATGGTTGTCGCATTGGGCGTAGACCAGTTGCTTTGGGCCCATTCAACAAAGAGGGAGCTTCTCAAGAATAACCAGCACCGCTTTGTCGCCGTGGCCTTTTACATAGTCTATAAGTTCCTCCGTAACACCAACAATACCTTCAGCCTTCAGCTTCTCAACCTCGGCCTTGAAGCCACCAGAAACCCAGATCTCATCCAGAATCGTCGCAACAACAATTCCATTTGTCTTAGTAACTCGAACAAGTTCGCGCAGGGCAGGGTCGGGGCCGACGTGGCCAAGGGTAAATGTGCCGACGCAGACCACTGTGTCGTAGGTTTCGTCGGGCTTCGCGATAGGTCGATTCATATCCGCTTGATCTAGATTTCGATAAACACCAGTATCTCTGGCAATGTCAAGCATGGGGATCGATAGGTCAATTCCATCGATTGCCTTTGGGCGGGCAATTGACAGGGCTTGTCCCACGAGTCCGGTTCCACAACCTGCATCTAGAATGATGCTGTTGGCGGGGCCATTGGCTTTCTCGTATTTTAGGGCCGTCTGGGCGACGAGTACAGGAGCAACATAGCTCTGAGCCTCATCTCCGACCTCGTCGTTGTATGTTGCAGCCCATTTATCGTAGACGGACATGCAATCTTGACTGCTGGGACTGTTCCGGGCCTGTTGAAGATAGAGAGCCGGGGGTGGAGCAGGAATAGCAGGAGACATGACGGTTAATGATTCGAGATAGGATTTGTTGAAAACCTGAAGTCAACTGATTTGAAAATGAAGCCTTGTAAAATTGTCACTGTTTAGCACAAGTTTGGTTGGATTTTCCTTCCAGTTCCAGCTCGTACGTGTCTCGTTCTTATAACTTTGAAAACCACATGTATGAGTAGTTTAACTTACAAAGATTCGAGACCATGGCGTGATACGCAACGATGCGGGGTTTTCGCGAATTCTACCCAAAGGGATACTGCGTCGTCGATCGATGATGTCGGTGGATAATGATCCCCGGCGTACCCCGACTCTGTAGACGAAGAAAAGGCACTTGCAAGTAATAACATCTGGCATGGATGCTCTACTTAAACATAGCTGGGAACAAACCGTTGTAAACGTCGCTATACTTACTCTTCCTTCCTGCTCCCAGCACCAGGCCACCATTGAGGAGAAAAGACCCTCCACTTTCCCGCATATTCTCAACGCCGAGAGACAAGACTTGGTGAGCTCGTCAGGGCCAATAATTTCATAGTGTATGCCCGCGTGCATTTTCAACTGCGGAGACTGCTTGCATGCGCATTGGCAAAATCTTAGTATCTGTGCAACGAAAAACAGGTTTAGAAAGTCAATTTAAATACGACGTAGAATATGTGAGCATGATCGATTCTCCGTAAAAGGATTGTGTCAGACTGTGGTTGACCAATCTCCGTCAAGCCCTCTTTCTTAGGAATCTAATATTCTCCGGGGTATCAGGCTGACTGGCTATTCTTTACGCTTTAGTAGTATCATTTGATCCCTTTTCTCCATCTGATTAATGCTTTGTTTTTATCAAAGCCACGAGGCGTCGTTCTCTTCACCGATCCTGAAAGAGATGAAGGCTTTGGTTCAGGGCGGTACCTGATGGATTCTAGATGCGGGGATCTGTCGATCAAATCTATGGAATCTTCTCAATAAAGTGGGGTGGATCAGATGTGACGCTTTGCGGAGTCCCGGGGCTCAGTGCTCCTTTCATTCACTACAACCAAGTTGATAGCCTTTGACAGATGCGGAGGGCCAAAGGAGGGGCTGGTTGAGGAGCATGTGGGGAGCCCTAAAAGGCTACAGAGACTGGATCCCACGAAGTAGCGATTTGCTGCCGAGGCCTCGAATAGAACCTTGGAAACACCTGCATTTGGGCTTTTCACCGTGATTAACACAGGTCATTGGCTTTTATGGGAATGGTTTCTTTTGAATTGTTCGATTGTCAATCTCGTTTTCTTCACCAAGCGCCATAAGCCTAAAAAAGGCTCTTACGTGGTCTGACATGCTCGTCGAGCATGGACCCCACCTTGGCACAGATGACGCCGTGCATGCAGGTGCCAATATAGTTGTGTTTCTGGGTGATGCTATTGTATGGGTCCATATCATTTTAAATCGCGCAAATACAAATACATCGTATAGTTTCCTCTCAATTCAATCGACTGTATGTATTCACAATATTGATATTGATACATATCGATGACTCAAGAGATCATCACATTCTATCTGCTGCTATGAATGAAGAAAATATATATATTCGCAGTGGTATCACAAAAGCTCGCGCTCAACGCCGTGTGCCGATGATGGAAAGAAATCCACTAGTTTGTCGTCTAGTACACCCATCCCGTTTATATGATTCAGTTCCAAGGGTTGTGACGGGGTATTAACATTAGTAAGGAGTCATGGTCGTGCCCCATGGATGACTGAGAAATGTCGAGTATCGGCCTAGGGGAAGACTCGGATTTTATCGTTTATGCAGTGCCAGATGAGATTACGTCGGCTCGGAACTCATACATGTGTGAGCTCTCAAGCAGCACAAAAGATTCATATCGCAAGCCACGCTCTCTGCCATAGTCGTCAGACCATGGGTTCACGCTGCTGTTCCAGACATTGCTGTAGCCTTGGAATAAGGAGCGCCAGTAGCAAGCCTCCGCAGCTGGCGTCAGGTATCGCTCTCGGAAAGTCTTGGCGCTGTTCTGTGCAATGCGGCGCGCGGCTTCCGTGTCCTCGACTAGAGGCTCGATCTTCTCGGAGAGATCGCTGAAATCGCGCTCCACTTCGACATAGTTTTGGTATGGTCCATTGGCGACGAGTAGGTAATGGTGATGTTGGATATATTGGAGTTTATGGGCGACAATCACTGAGTTGCAGGCTTGTCGGTATTTGAGAGATGCAGAATAAGCACGTCCTGAAAAATTCAGCGATTGATCTTACAAATGATACGAGACAAACATCGAAACTCACCTTCAACATGTGCAATGAACATATACTGGCAGTGGTCCTCCATCCTGAGCACATTGGTCCCAGTAGCCCACTCCACCTGTTTCACATCCCCCCATGTTTGATCCCGAGCCGCCTCGATCAAGGCCCTGCGCAACTTCGGAGCAAAGCTCGGTTTGCCACGCCATACCAACTGGGGCTTCTTGTCGTCCCAGGGAATATCTGATCGCTGGATCCGGTCCACAACCTGATCAAAGGGTCCAATATAGTTATTTGGGTTGTCCCATGCCCAGAAACTAAAATCTGGCATCAGCCACACTCCCTGTTCCACCGGAGTGCGCGCAAAGACCCAAACAGGTAGATCAGGACTTGTGACATCTTCTACCTTGTCCTCTACCGAAAATACAAATTCAATGTCACGTTTGGAGACTCGTTCTCGATCCGCGGCCAGCGCACGGTGGATCGAACTCAGCACCCCCAAGATTTTGCGGCGATGATCCTCACCCTTTGCGCGCGCTGCAACCACATGCAAATGGCCGCGCGAAATGAAGGCGCGCGCCATACCATGCTGGAGATGGATCTCGTCTAGGTCCTCCGTGGCGAGGCGGCCATGCGCACGCCAGTAGCGCTCGCCACGCGCCACATCCTCGAATAGACCTGGGAAAGCAGCTTGGCATTGCGTCTCGTCGAAAGATTCGTTTGGAGCGTCGCGCGGGTAATCCCATTTCCAGCTGGGGGAGGGAGAGGTGGGTTGTTGGAGGCCGGGTTCAGGGCAGGAGAGACATGTTGAGCATTCAAAGGTGGTAGAGGTTTGACAGGCACAGTGGCCGGCGGGGATGAGTTGGGTGAGGATTGGGTGAATGTAGTCGCGGTCGGAGTTCATGCCATACCAGATGGTCAGAATCAGACTACATAAAAGGCATACAATGACACATAGGAGTGACAGGCCGCGTCGCGGCCTGGGTCGTATCAAGGGGTAGTTGTAATTCGCGGACATGTCGCGAAATCAAGGCCCAAGGGCATTCAGGGCATGCTTTAGAAGTGGGATGGTGGGACGGAGAAGAAAAGGAGCAAAAGGGTCGAAACTTGTAACTCCACATCTCCAATCTTCCTTGGGGATTGATTGACATGTTTCCAAATGATCAGCGAACAATATAAAGACGATTGGTGTATAGTGGAGGCTCAGGGAGATTGTGGGTCTAGAGGCGTCATTGTCCAAAGTTTGACTCCTTGGGTGCCTGGGCAATGAGGGCCCGCAACGTAAGTGGCCATTTGACTGCATGAGACTTGCGTATGCGCTGATCCATGGTATCTTTAATGAAGTCCAATAATATTCCTTAACAGATTTATTAATTATAAGGGTAAAAGGTAAGGATGAGGTATGTCCTTGTTTGGATTTTACCCATACGATTCAGGGTCCAATAGTTCCGCATTTTTATGGAGAGACCAACAACCCTATTGATACCCCCTAATGCCCCACGACTTAGTTATATCAATCACCATCACCATACGAAAGGCGCATTTTTAAAGATTTCCTCTGCTAAAGAAGTACATATACATGTGCTATTCACATGTAGGGCCGGGAAATAGTTTCGTGATCAACAAGGCTTAGCTGCACCGCCCCAAACGATCGACTAAAGCTAAATGAAACACCAGCTGTACACTAAAACGGGAAACATCTACAAAACTTTTAGTATACTCAAGAATAGGTCAAAGTATGTAGCGAGTATGTAGCGATGTAGTGATATCTTAGTTCAGTCTTCGGAAGGTCTTGTCTATGAATAAATGCTATAATAAAAGTTCCAATGCTGCCTCCCAAGTCCCAACAAATCTCCAATCCTCTCCCTTTTGCATCACCCTAACGCCTGTTTGTGCATGTAAAAATACATAAATAGTAACAGCACAGTACTCCCCGCCAAAAAATGATTATCTGGGCCCTATTGTCGAGATTCACTTCGACGATATCGATGCCGACTCCGAACCGGGGGGGTCTCATGCATATCCGTGTCCGGGGTGGCGGGTAAGGCCGGGTGGCGGCGCCCAGGGCGCACCCGCCCCAACGCCCGTCGCAACAGTCCATCAGCCTCCTCATCCAGGTCCATCTCAATATGCTGCTCCATAGTCCCAGATCCAGATGCGTCGGGTGTCGCATGTGTGACCTCGTCTGTCCATTCTTCCTGGTATGATTCTGCTTGAAGACGTCGTCGTGGCTCAGGTGCTGGGCGTTCCCTGCGGGTCTCACGAGAGCGGAATGACGAACTTGCACTGTTAGAATGTGATTTTGAAGGTCGGATCCCTTCCTCCAATTCCTTGAGGCCTTGTCGATCCTGCTCACGACCCTCCATCGACCAGAGCTCGAGTGCTCGTGACAGTAGCGTCCCTGCAACACCTGCACCCCCGGCCGCATCCCCACCCCCACTAGCTCCTAATACCCGGACAGCTTCGTGCAAGGCTGTGACGGCCTCGCCTGTACGCCCAAGCTCCAGCAGGAGCAGACCCCTCGAGGTGTGAAGCGACCCAACCAATCCCCGGTCTTCATAGCCCCCAACCCCAGAGGCAGTTGCGACGGCGGCGGACCCGCCCGCACCACCACCCAAGAATGGTGAGTAGCCCATACTGCTACCCCCGGCACCTACACGTAGACACTCGTCGAACTCACGCAGAGCTTCCCGAAGATTTCCCATCCGGCGCAAGGCATGACCCAGGTTGGCGCGGGTCGCGACCCAGGCCCCTGGTTCGCAGTGAAGAGAGCCCGCCAACTTCAGCGCTTGTCGGAATAGGTCGACTGCAGATGAAAGGTTATTCTGATGATAATGCACCACCCCAAGCTCGTTGATAACCAAAGGATCACCGCCGAGAGGTGTCGATGGCGATTTACCAGGAGTAGGGGTATTGCCTGGGGCAGATCCTGTTGACATGGCAAAAGCAGCAGAGAGATACTCGCTGGCCAGGGACATGTTATTCAAGGCCAGATGCTGCATCCCTAGGAATAGTTGTGGCAGATGGCTACCCTGGAAAAGCCGGGCGGCTGTACTGTAGGCCGCAATTGCTTGATCATGCTCACCCTCTGCGGCAAAGGTATGGGCAAAGCCAATCCATGCTGGTGCCGAGTGGGGGTCCAGTAAAGAAGCTTTGGAGAAGAAGCGCCGGGCCTCTGCAATTTTTGACACCGCCAGGTAGTAGATTCCAATGGCCAAGTATGTGTAAGGCTCCTCCGGCGCATGATCAGCCAGTAAATGTGAGAGCAGGAAAAGGGCGTTGGTGGCACCTGTTTCGTAGAGACAGGCCAGATGAAGAGGGTAGACTGCGGGCGCATGGCCCAGGTTATTATGCGCCGGAATACCGTTATTATTCGTGTTCGTTAGGTCATTCGACTGGGCGGTGGAGAGAATGGAAGAGGTCAGCTCTAGGGCTTCTGCGAACCGACACTGGGTGTATAGCGTTTCAGCACGAGACAGCAATATATCGGGGTTCTGGGCGAGGTTGTAGTGAGTCGAAAGGGTTTCGGTTGCATTCGACAGGATCGTGGGTGAGGAGTATTTGGAGAGACGGGTGGTGTACAGCATTTTAGTGAAGTCGGCTGCTTCTTGGGCCACGGTAGGATCGGGTGAAGGGACTGAATCGAAATCTAGCGACTCGAGGAATTCAAGTTCCTCAGTGGGGGACATGAGTGAGTTCTTCATGAGCTGGTCAAATGCCTCAAAGCATTGCACATCGATTCGCACCGCGTCCTGGTAGCAGGTCTTGGCACGGTCAAATGCATTCTGCTTCGCAAAACAGAGACCTCGCAGGTAGCACATGGATGCTTCAAATCGAATGCTGCTATCATCGTCCTTTTCTGGGTCCTCCATCCGCTCGCCGCGACTTGTTGGTGTTTTCCCATTGCGCAATGTGATATGGCTTTGCCCATTTAGATGCTGGATCTTCCGGCGGCTATTGTCGTTGTTACGGATCAAGTCCGTGGGATTGTGTTCGCCCAGAATACTGAGGGCCTGTTCGAATTGGTTCTGTTTAATGTAGCAGTGGGCTGCAAGGTAACGACAGGCGGGGTTTCGAGCTACAAGGTCGCCGCGGGAGAGAAGAGCTAACGCGCGTGTGAAGTTGTTGTTGGAGAAATGGACTTGAGCCAGCCAAAATGCATCCCCATCGCTGTCTTTAGTAGGTTGGTCAGTCTAGCTAGTCTCTCGAGCTAACCGCAGCAAGAACATACTTGTGAGTGCAAGGACCTTGTCCCCAATGTAGATAGCAGATTCATGTTGGCTGCGATTAAACGCGTCTTGCCGCCAGGATCGCAGGTACTCTTCCATCACCACAAATCGGACGCTTCAAGCGGCAGAGAAGTGAGTTGTAGAAGACAAGCTACCATGTAACTCACGATCCAAAAGGAATTTGTTCCAGCACCGCGAAGGATCCAACCTGGTCGCATGGGCGGGTCGCGGGTTGTGGACAAACAATGGCCCGTGCACTGTACCCAATTAGGCGGGGCGAACAATGTTCAATCTCGCTCGAAATGTTAGTGGTCATGAGCTCATGCTAAGGCGTGCTGTAGATGCAGCTCGTTGTGAGGCAGATTATAATAGGTAAGAAAACGGGAAGATGGAGAATATTCAAGTTGGTATTGCATTGTCTGGATACAGTTATATCAGAAAGGGATCTACATACTATATCATGTGACTGTAGAGAAAGCAAATCTGTCACGTGCTGATATGTGCCTTGGGATCGGACTATCCATTTCGCGCCACTTCTTCCTCGTCACTCACCTCTCAACTCTCAAGCCGTCGTCACAATGTCTGAGCGAAAGGTTCTGACCAAGTACTACCCCCCGGATTTTGATCCGTCGGCGATCGGGCGTACGCCCAAGCACCTTCGTCAGAAGGGCCCGAAGGTCATTACGGTCCGATTGATGGCCCCGTTTCCTATGAAATGCACGAACTGTGGTGAATATATCTACCGTGGCCGCAAGTTCAACGCTCGGAAAGAGACGCTCGAGGAGAAGTACCTGACTATTCCAATTTATCGCTTCTACATCCGGTGCACAAGATGCAGTGGAGAAATTACATTCCGAACAGACCCCAAAAGTATGCCTCCTATTCTTCTTTTGTTTCACTGCGCACGATGACCAGCTACTAACGAATTATTAAACAGACATGGACTATGAGTGTGAAAAGGGCGCAAAGCGAAACTTCGAAGTATGGCGAGACAACAAGGACGAGAAATACAATGAAACGCAAGAGGAAACCCTCGACCGACTCGAACGCGAGGAAAATGCAGAGCAGGAACAGCTAGAACGCGACAAGATGGCCGAGCTGGAAGATAAGATGCTGAATTCCAAGCGGGAGATGCAGATCGCGGATGCTCTCGACGAGATCCGGACCCGGAATGCGCGCATCCAGCGTAGCGAGGCAAAAGGTGAAGAAGTAGCACTAGAATTGGCGCGGGAGGACCAGGATCAAGTAAGGTTGCAGCAGGAGAAGGAGGATGAAGAGGCGGCGCGAAGGGCGTTCATGACAGCGGAAGGGGAGAGGATCAAACGGATTGTTGAGGACGAGGAGCCGATTATCACAGCTGCGCAACCTGAGTCGTCGAATTCTGCATCGATTCTAATGCCACCCCCGTCATCAACATCCTTTGCTCGCGTGAAGAAAGCTAAAAAGGGTGTCAACAAATTGGGGATTAAGAAGAAGCCGTCTTTGGTTTAATGACTCTCTGTTTGATATCACTGGCGCTGGCGTCTCAATTGATTTTATGATCAAACACAACCAAATACCCTGATCAATTTAAGCATGTTTACAACAGATTTATATGGAAAGACAATTTGTGAATTAAGATTATGGTACCTGTAGAAGTCTTCAGTCTGCAAGAAAAAGACTGCGTTCGAGAGAATTGTGGTGAATCATTCATTAAGATATAATGCTCACAACTTGAACTTGCGATCATGAGAAATTTAAAGATACAATTGAAGAAGAAATTCGGTATCAGAAGAATCAAATCCAGGCTGAAGAGTTCATCTTTGAATCTCCTTGCCAAAGCGCCACGCTCAAAAGCAGAACCAAACCACGCATAACCATGCTTCCATGTAAATCAATAGACCACCTCCATCACTCAAGCAAACAGTCAAAGGACGAAGACAGAAACGAAGAAACCCGCCATTTAAAGGTATGGCATCCACAACGCATCGCACGATGCCAGGTGCTGGGGGTTGACTGCCTTGGAGATCAAATCGATCGTGGTTTGGTTCGCAGGCAGGTTACCCTCAGGCGGGCTGGCGAGGCTGACAGCACGGTTGACAATAATCTCGCTGTTGTTGTTGACCAAATCGCGAAGCTGTGGGACAGGAAGACTGCCGCGGTGCTGAGCAGTGGCCCAGAACATCATCTCGTCGCGCACAAAGATGCTGAGCTGCTGCTCCAACTCGTGGCGCGGCTCCGTCAAACAGCGTGAAATCGCCATCATAGCACAGGCAAACACACCTTCGGTGGCAATGGGACCCAACAAAGTCTGGATGTTGGGCGTGAAGCGGAATGGCACCTGCTCTGGGTTGTAGAAGATTGCCTTGGCAGGGTTAACGCTGGGAATCAATTCCGCACCCCAGATGTCGCCTGTCGAGCGGGAGACCAAGATCTTGTTGGGGTACCGGTTGCCGATGTGCATCACATAAGTCATGAAAGCGACCGCTGCGTACTGGTAGGCGAATTGACGTCGGAACAGCCAGAAGTCGGCGAAGTTGGGGTAGGTCTGCTGGAAGTACTCCAAGACCACGGTGCTAGGGACCCATTTTTCTTGAATAGCTGTCAAGATTTCGGTCCGAATGACCTGGATTTGGTCGGGAGTGCGCTGGCAGGAATTAGCTTGATTCAACGAGGATACTTTGGTTGGGATACCTACATTCTGCTTCGCCTCTTGCACAGACCGCATGCGATCCATAGTGAAAAGAACAGGCTCATCCTTGTTAATGCCAACACGTCTGCAGTAATCCTCATAGATGCCCTGCATAGAGATGTACGAAGAATCGTCGCGAACCAGGCGGATATGCGGCGCTAGTGGCACCATGAGAGGAAGGTGGAAGTAGAGGTTACGGCGACGGCTTTCCTTGCGCTTGGCCAACAAACCATTGAAGATCCGGAACAGCTGAAGGATGCGCTCTTCACGACGGCAGTGGCGAGCTGCAGGGTGCTGAACAGCAAATGCATGGATACTACCATCATGACCACGAATCTTGAGACGGCGGTGGCAAACACCAATACCCCGTACCAGGTCCACATCAGGCAGGAATCGGTCAATGCGGACAAAGTCCTGGTTCTTATCTTTATGCAGGAGGTACTGCCCAGGAACTTCGACCTCGTCAAACTTGAGAAAGCGGAACTCGCTAAGGTGTGGGGAGTAACTCTCAAGATTTGAGGACTGAGGTCGACGGTCGAGCTTCTCCTCGAACTTGTCACGCCAGCGACGCAGCTTGTGGATGTACTCGTGCATGGTGGGCTTCTTGATGACGAAGTCTGCTTCAAAGGACTTGCGGATATGCGCTGGAAGAATGGTCTCTGCAAATCGGGTGATGTTGGCTTCTGTAGCAGAAGGCAGCTTGAAGTCCTGCGCATACGACACAGGCATGCGTCCAACATAGGCCAGTCCGTCGTTGAGGAGAGCAACAATAAGTCGATAAGCATCCTCATCCGGAGGACATTTGAAGTACTTCTGGATCTGATCCACCATCGTCTCCATGGACAGAGCAAGCAACGGGAAGGCTGTCTTGAGGCCGGACATGATCTCGTCCGAGTACTCCCAGGGCTTCTTGAGAGGCTCTTTTTCGGGCTCGGTCGTAGAAGATCCTTGCAGCTGCTGGCCTGCATTCTGGCCTGGAACTTGTAAGTGACCTTGGGCACCCTGGGGCTGTTGAAGAGCTTGAGGTTGACCTGGGGTGGAATTTTGAAGAGGAGACGCCTGCAACTGGCTTGGAGGTTGGGCTGGTGACTGCTGGGCAGACTGGTTTTGAGCTGGTGACTGGGCTGTTGCGAGGTTCGCGGCCTGGTTGGCTGGAGAAGCACTGGGGGCAGAAACGCTGGTTGGGGGTTTCTGTGCGGGTGATGCTCCACCATTTGGCTTCTGGCTCGGGGAGGATGACTGCTGTGCTTGTTTGACACGATTCAGCTTCTCCTGTTTCTGGTCATGCTGTTTCTTAATGCTCAACATGTCCTCTCTGTTAACGCGAAGCAAGAAGAAAAGCGCTTGCGGGTACAGCTTGGCGATCTTCACGAGGACAGCCTTGCACAGGCGGGCTTCGCGATGAGACAAGCTTGTAAGCAGTTGAGGAATAAAGGTGATCCAGTACCAGACTGGCGTCTCTCCCTTGAAGGTCTCAAAGGCACTTGCGATCTGGCCTTCGTCATTGTCCAAGCTTAGGAGCCACAAAATACGGCTAAGCAGCTTTCGCGATTTCGCACTCTTGTAGAGACCAGCCGCCTCCAGATAACAGCTAACCGCATTGCTAGCGAGCTCGTAGTCTGTTGGGTCTGCCTTGAAACGCTGATCACTGTACTGTCCCCACTCAGACCAGGCCTTTGCAAGACGAAGATCGTAGTAGAGAGCAACACCGAATGCCTCGTTGGCCTCGGCTACATGATCAAGTTTCGCGAGGAACATGCCCTTCAGAGTATAGAACTCAGCCTTCTGCTGAGGACCGAAGTAGTTGAGATTGGTGTTATTGATAACATCCAATCCAGTGTTGAGTTCCTTCGGGTTCTGATAATGACACTTAGCTTGTTCACGCAACTTGAGGAAAGCCTCTTGGATTTCAATGTTCGGCAGAGTGTAAATCCGGCTCAGCTGGTTAATGCAGACTTCCGGCATTTGATGCTTGCGGGCGACGTGGGCGAAGCGGTTGATGATCCAAGCGGTCTCATGGTATCCACGATAGGCATAGGAGTTGCTGGCGACATTGTTTGTCTGGGGTGGAAGAAGACTGAGGTAGGTGCCGTTGATGAGTTGGAAAATGTGTTGTCGCCAGGTCACAAGGTCCTGCCAAGTATTGATGTCGTCCCACAGATTGGGCAACCGGTCCCGCCAGGTTCCCAGAAGAAGCTTCAGCTCAGCAGATTTAGTATCCAGGTTGCGCTCATTAGTCTGGGCTAGGCTACCACATATGTGACTAGCATCGTGGAGCTCAACGAGTAACTGGAAGTGTTGCAAGATGGGAATGTGCGCATTGGTGATGCGCTTGGGTAATTGCAGCCACTTGCGGATAGACAGCTGAATAGATTCGTCGCAGACACTGTTGAAGTCTTGGATGTTCTCTTTTTTCGTGTGGAATTGAAGCAGAGCCATGAAAGCCTGGAAGAAAGTGCGTCGCGGAGTAGGAGCATCAGAAACAGATTTAATCAGAGATTCTAGCTGTTCGCGGTTGCCCTCGCTCTGCCAGTTCTCAATATTTCTCCATGCGGCCTCAAGCAACAGGTCGTTCAAGTTCTCGTGTTTGGCAAAATCGCTTAGGACCTCCCATTGCTGAAGTTTCTGCGCGCAGATCAACCAGTGATCTTCCCATACGAAGTATTCACCTTGAGAGAACGGCATAGCTCCAGAGCGGGCTTTGATTTGCGCATTCTCATAAAGCTGCTGAGACTTATCCCACATGCCCTGTTGCTCATAGGACAGTGCTGCATTAGTTTCAACAAACTTGCAGCGGCGTCGCCATGTACCATAGAAGAAATCATCTTCTTGTAGGCCGGCATAAACCTCGACCAGGGCGTCGAGGTTGCTCTCGCGAACAGTCGGTGTGTCGATGATTGGGTTGATGGCACTCTCCTCCAGGTAGGTAGCGGCAGTGTACCAGGCATCATAGGTACGGCTAAGATATTTCATGACGTGGGGAGGGACCTTGAACCGAGGACGAGCGCGTACAACGCCTTCGAGAAGAGCTTGCACGACGTTGGGGCGCTTGTCCAACTGTCTTTGGTGGTACTCCCGAGTAAGCAATGTGACCATTCCCTTCTCCAGATCAATGCGGTCGTCCTTAGACAATGTTGACCAGTAGATGGGGAAGAGCGTGGTCCAAAGCTTGTAAGAGACGTTCGGATCGGTGTGCTGAAGCTGACACAGAGGTTCGATCAAATCACGAACCTTTACATCGCCAACTTCGGACATGAAACGCTTGCGCTCAGCAACGAAGGTTTCTAACTGGCTGTCAACCATGATATCGGCCTTCCTTGGGTCCTTTTCACCCCCAGCGAGAAGGAACGACAAGGGGTAGAGCTTGAAGTCATCAGGATGCAAGCGGGCAGTAGCATTCATATCCACACATCCAAGAATGAGATGCGAGGCTTGGGCCAGCCAGAACGAATCTGCGAGGGTATCCCAGTTTTGACAGGTGAGCACGTAGCTCAACCGTGAGGATGCCAAGCGAGTCAAACTGCGGTCGAAAATGCTCATGAACCGATTACGCATTTCGACATCTTGCGCTCTCGTTCCGATCAAGAAAGCATGTTCCAGCCGGACAGTTAGCTCCGTGCGAGTAATCTTGGAGTCTTCATATATCCGGATGACAAGGTCAAGGAATTTCTTCAGCATCGTCTGGTCTGGTCGTGATTCGAACAGCAGCATCTTATGCAAAACTGCTGTTTTCTCCTTCAGGGTCGGCCATGACTCAGTCGAATGGAAGATCCATTCCTCTGCCATGCCCAAGACCTTGCTGCACAGCTTGATGTTTTGCGATCGTTCCACGATGGATGCCAACACGCTCAGGAATGGGCGTCGCTGGTCACCAAGGTGAGACATCCGGACGGAGATCAATTCAATTGTTTTGAAGATAAGGTCAACCCCGATCTCGGATTCTTGCTGGTCTGGAACCCCTTCAGCAGGCTTTGGGGCACCGTTCGAAAGCGGTGCACCGTTTTGCTGGGAAGAGGCCGCGACATGCTCCTTGGCAAGCTTTTGCGAAAATGCTTTCATGACAGCAGGAATGTGGCTGTCGATCTCAGCAGGCTTATGCTTTGAAAGGGTCCAGAGCGTGTTCAGACTTGACACGTAATTGCTTGCGGAGAGTGTTTCAGTTGCAATGGCAGACAGGTACGTAGCAAACTCGGACGCGGTACTCTCAGTATCCATTGCATCCTCGTCGTCTGGCGCATCATCAGGTATAGCTTCAAGCACACGTCGAACCGGAGGTGGCAGTTTTGGAGAGATGTCCATCTCATCTTCCAGGCCATGAAGGCAATCCTGGATCTCCGGATTGTCAGATTTCAATGGCTTCTCGAGAAGCTTCTGAATGGCTGGGAGGCGAGCTGCAATCCACTCATTGGACTTGGCTGCGATCAGAACACGCAGAACTTGGAGCGTGTTTACCATCGCTGTTATATGCTTCTCATCTGGTTTATCCGCCTTCTCGCCTGCCAGGATTGGTTCTGTGACTTTCTGGTAGAGATCGATGTCAATTTCTCCCCAGTATTCCGATGAAAGAAGATTTCTGAGAAGATTCACTGCCTTATTCACCATCTCGCCAGTGGGCACTACTGGCGTCTGCTTGGAAGATGGCAGCTGACGAATCTGGGCAGCTGGAACCAAGAAACGTTCGGGGATGGTGGTGATAAATGAAATGAGATACTTGATGAGAGCAGCTCGGAGTTCAGCAGGCACGGTGTAATCAGATCCACCTCGGCTGGGTGGGGGCCCCAGCGCAGGGGATGATGTTTCTTGCGCTTCTTCCAGCTTACGCTTCCTCGTGTTTGGAGAGTCGAGCATTCCATTGGGCCCAATGATGTTTGCATCTGCCGCCTGTGCTCGCCTTTCCTCCCAGTGCCAAACCAGATTGATAAGTTTGAGAGCCAGCTTCTTGCTGTCATTGGATGTGTTTGGCGGACCGGCAATCTTCACAAGGGAGGGAACAATGAGAGGGACAAAATGCTCGCGTGAATCATAGAAAAGGTTGGGCTGCCGCACGAGAAACTGGAAGATACTCATGACCTGCTGCAAGTTGGCGGTTTCCTCAGCCAAGATGCGACGGGGCCATTTGGCCCAAAGTGGATACCGTGCTTCGGCTCCTTGATTGCCAGCAGTTCGGGTGGGAAGCACAGGAGCCAAAACATCTAGTGCCTGAGTGACAAGCGCCCGACCTTCGTTTTGGTGGGCTCTCAGCAAGGCAACATAGACCTGGATCACAATCTTGAAAGGCGTCTCATAGTGCGCGATGAAATAACTGATTAGAACGTAGGCACCGTACTTGTTGATGATATCCTCAAGACGAATGTAGTTCCAAGCAAACTTGATGATGTCCTTGCGAGAATCTTGCACGGTCGGGTGATGATACTTGATCAACAAAGCAGACAGCTGCAGCAGCTCCATGCGAGAGTGATCAACTCCAGCCTGATTGGACTCCTCGCTAAGATCCGCCAATTGAGGCTTCCACACGCGGCTCTGAATGGATTCGGTCATACTCTTATCCATCAGTTTAGGAGTGTTTGGCGAGCTGCCCCAAGTAAGCTGAACATCCATTGCAAGGATTGGATTGACCAAATTGCGGAATGCATAAGTCTTAGTCTTCTGCGAGCAAGCCCGCTGGCCGTAGAGGTCGAGACAACGCATGATGACAGACCGTCGGTAATCAATAGACTCGTTGGTGATTATGTGACGGTAGATAAATTTGGGTAGAGCCAGTGTGCGCTTTAGCTCGTCTGCAGACAATCCATCAATGACTTCGAACAGGAAGTCCAGGTCATGCGCGGCCTCTGCTAGATAGGTGGTGAAAATGTCCATCAACTGGTCCTCGGCCTGTTCCACCCTGAGACGCTCATCAGGAGGGAGGCTGTCACCGCGCAGCTTTCGCTCCAACTCTCGTCCAGAAGTCAAAAGTTTCATTCTCGAGTCCGGGTGCGAAACCAACCATTTCTTGGTTGAAGCGTAAGAGCAAAGGGCATGCGCAACGTAAATTCCATTGATAGCAGCTGTGTTCTTGCCATCCGTTGCATCCTGCGCGAATGCAGTTGACAGGAAGTTCTCGCTGTCAGCGACCACGGCATTGCGAAGAGCTTCACTTTCAGGGTCAGCCAGAATCTGCCCGAAAAAGCGGCCAAACCGCTCGTCCTTGAATCGTGCAAAGAAGAACGTCAAGCTTTCCTTTGGGTAGCGATTGAGATACTTCACCAAAGGCTTGCGGAAAGGGCTGTGAGAGGTCCTTCTCAGCTTCTTCTCAAGATCCAGGACCTTATTGACAAGATGTTCCATGAACGAGGTGGCAGCAGGGGGCAGGAGATGGAAGATGTTAAAAATAGCAGCCACGATTTTCATAGCAGGATTCTGCTCAACAAGGCTAAAGGATACCTTTTGCAGCATAGCGTCATCCGCAATAACCTTCATATGGTCCAGAAGACGAGCACCAATCTCGACCTTGAAATAATTGGTGAGAAGGGTCAAGAGGCGAGCCAAGCCATCGAGACCAGCGACGCTTAAACGCTTGGGGTCCTGCAGATTCATCAAAATTGGACGCAATCCATTCTGCAGCAAATCCTTTGGCAGTTTGTTGGTCTGCGTAAGAACGTCCCTGAGACCAGCATTGGCAGCCTCGATCACTTCGGGAGAGCGAGAGTACAGAGATTTGAAGAACACTGAAATGATACGTGCCCGACTAGTGTTCCCTGGAGCGTTGGCAAACTCCTGGAAGTTCATCGCCATTGACAGAAGCCGCAGACAAGCCACACGCAGATTTACAATCATATCCGCATTCCTAAATTCATTTGGTTTGGAAGCGAGCGAGTCATCATCCGCATCAGCGAGGGCAAGAGACTCCAACATCAAGCGATTCAAGGGGTCATTGAAGGTGACAATTTCGTTGTGCAGACCCAAGCAGTAAGTGATGGCATCAATGAATCCAATCTGCGTCCCAAATGGCAGTGCACGGAGTGGCTTGTTGAAAATGGGCTGCAGAAGACGATCCTTCACTGGAGAGATGAGCTCGTGTACTTCACATCCAAGTTCTTCTGCTAGTGTGGCGAAGCAGCGGCGAGACGTCTCTCGGACATGCTTGTTCATGTGGCCAAGCTCATTGACAAAGAAACCACAAAGAGCAAAAAGACGACTCTTCTCGTTCTTTAGATCATCCTTAGGAATGGTTTTTCCACACCGTTGAAGGATCAAAGTCATTGTCTCCTGGGACTGGACACGGGTAGCCGCAGGAAGATCTGAAGGCGTGTCTTTGATGACGTACATCAGAGCCCGCGAGAAATCAACATGGCGCTCATAAAGCCAAGCCTCTCCAAGGTCCAGCTTGGTAGCAAGAAGCTGGATACCCAAGCTGCCACCGGCCTTTGTGAACCATTCTTCACTATAGCAACTGTGGCAGAAGACACGGCCAAGTTGCTGGAAGAATGGAAGTTTCGATGCCTTCTCGGGAGCACCGAAAATGACGCCGGCCGCTTCCTTCACAACTTGCATGGCCTGCTCAGCAGCTTCCCGGACGTGAACGTTGTCGGAAGAGAGTGTCTCGATTATGGCATCAGCAAGGATTCGCGAATCCAGGTGCACAGGGCCTTCCCCATTTGACACATCGAAAGGCTTACGGCCATGGCGGGCCTGAGAAAGAGCTCGGCCAACCTCGACAACGGCAAAGTGCTTACAAACATCAGCTACAAAGGCAGTTGCAGCAGGCTCAAGATCAGGAATGGTTGTGGCGAAAATGCAAGCCTTGAGAAGCTTCTTAACAGTGGCTTCTTGCCCCACCTTCTTTGGGATAGACGCCGATCTCTCGGATTTCTCGAGAATGTCAACCATGGCACCGGCTTTGCTCTCGAAGAGGTCATTCGCATGGAGTCGGATCAGAGAAGCGAGGTCATCGGGAAGGTTCTCAAATCCAATCTGCAGCTTCAGGTGCGAGCTGAGCATGCGGAAAGCCTGTTGCTTGTAGTAGAGATCAGATGCCTTGCCAGCATCCGTCTTAGGAGCCTCCATAAGCTTGCCGATGGCCAAGTCAATACCGGTGTCGACAGGGAAAGGTCGCTTCTCGCCCGGGCCGATGAGCCGAATATCAAAGCTTGGGTTGTCGTCAGAGTACTGCTGGAAAGACAGTTCTGGCGGATGGTTGAGAAACTTGCGGTTGCGTCCCCCCAGCTTTCCAAGAATTCTCATTGTGGTATGGGCGTGAAAGTGGTTGTATGGGTGGGGCCGCAAATGATCCCAAAGAGCTGTCATTAACTCATCCATAATGGGAGCCATTATGGGATCAAGATAGTCCGCTGTCAGGTTATCGACGCAAAGTTCCAATGTACGCAACCCTTGCCCAACAAGGTCCGAGTCCGCACGCAGTGCCACAACGATTGGGCGCATCAAATAGCTCAAATGAGGAAGGAGATGGCTAAGTCTTGCAGGAACGGTAAGAGTGAGCTCCACATAGAGATCCCGCTCCTGGGGCTTTCGAGCGGCCATGAGCAAATTGTTGAATGTCTCGAGAAGCATCTCCAGCAGAGGGAGAATCTCCTTGTACAGAAGCTCGAAACGACCACCACCAATGCTCCTGAAGAGAGAACGCAGTAGCAGGAAGTAATTCATCGGCTCCTCGGCTGTGACCGATAACTCGATGCATTTTGTGACAATCTTTGTCACATGGGGATGAAGAACTTGTTCATTCTGAACGGAAAACAGCGTTACTGCCATGAAGGACAGCTTGAACATTCTCAGTAGGATCTTAGCCCTTGTCATATCCGAGGTCCCAACCTCCTCAATACGTTCCATCAGATACTGCAGTACCATGCCAGAAAATGCAGGCGATGTTGCTTCACTGGCCAAGAAAAATTGCGGAAGATGTAGTAGAGCGCCATGCTCAAACATAAGCTCATGGAGGTATGGGATCTCCGAATGGAAGACTTCATGGAAGGTTGCCGTGTCAATGCAGTGAAAGACAGTGCCAAAGCTCTCCAGGAGCTCTTTCTCTTCGCGAGACATGGGTGCTGTGTATTGACTGGCAAGGAAGTCGAAGGGAGAGGAGTAATTCATGTCCGGGGGGGGCTGGTCTACGCCATAGTAGCGGAAGACTCTAGCGCCCTCATGGAAGAGCTTTTTGATGACACCAACCTCCTCAGCGTTGTACCCATACGAAACCTCAGACCAGTTGATGGGAACACTGTTGGGGTCAATCTGAACATCATCTGGGTTGCAGTTCTTCAACTGGTGGAAGATATTCTTCAAGCCATTGATAAGGTTTCTGAAGAGAAAGATATTATCTGAGACAGGGTCTCCACCACGATCGCGGGGGCTGGAAGTCTTGATTGGAGAGGCAGAGAATATGTCAATGTCATCCCAGTCTGGCGGTTGATCCTTCTCAGCAAGATAATTCTCAGGGCTTGAGTCATCATCCTTCCGAGATTCCTTATAGGCCTTAGAGACCTTGACAGAATTGTTGAACTGGTGATTCATCGAGGCAAACTTGTCACCAATGGCATCTAGAATCATTATGAGGAAGTAACGGGCCTCTCGCTTGTCTTCGAGCTTGGAAATCTTCTCTGCCATGTTGAGCAGCAGCTTGGCGCTCATTGTCTGGAAGCTGGTACCTGGGAAGTCATCATGGAGATTCTTGGTGTACACTTCGACGGTTCGACGGATCTGATCACGGCTGAGATGGTCGCGTACGTGGTGAATTAAATCAGCGAGCATACTGTACGCCAATGGTCTCATAGTCTCATAAACGGTAAGACCATCACCGATAAGAGTTCTCTCGTCCAGAAGCTCATCGATCTTTTCGAGGAATATCTTACGGTAGTTGAAGTTGATGATATGTCGGATGGCGACCAGAAGCTCCTTTCGAGCCCCAGACTTCTCTCGTGGGCAATCCTGAAGTAAGCGCACAACGACGGATGGCAGTGTCGGAAGGAAGTCTTGGAGTTGGTGAGCATAAAGGCGGAGCAAGTAGGCCAAAAAGCTCATGGTCTTCACCTGGGCAGTAATGAACTCTCCAAAAGCAGCGCGATTCTTGATCTCTTTGCAAACCCCGGTAAATATCGTGCCTTGCGCAGCAGCGTCGCTGTGCGCTTTTTCTTGAGGTTTTGCTTGCAATAACAGAATCGTTTTGATCAATGGAACGAAAAGCTTGACGTTGGCTGCAACCGAAGCGCGATGTGTCTGGAAGATCGAGACGACAATGATCGGACATTCAGCGAGAACCTTAAACGACTGCATGCCTTTAAGAATGACATTACTTGACTGCTGCTCGGGGCCCAAATCTGAAACGGATGTAGCAGGGGAACTTGGGCGAGGAGATTGAAAATTCTGGGCGGTTGCGTTCGGTGTGGAGGGCATGCCAGATGGAGTCGCTTGGTTAGGAGTATCAAATGTATCCCGAACTACCTGCTCCATTGTCTGGAACATCTCTTGGATAAGCTCCAAGAAAGGCTGCACTCGTGCCGCGGTGGCCTTTGCTTGGTTGCGTTCCAAATCCATGATTGTCTTCATACACAATACCGCATTGTCTTCATTCTCAATTCGTGCAAGGTCCATGAGCAGGTCGACCATGTCGGCAGCATATGGTTCAACGTCGGGAGATGCTGTTGGTAACCGATGTAAAGTTTCAAGGATGCAATTACGGAGTTTCTAAGATTTTTATTAGAGCTTGGATTTCATTATTGGAGGAACGAGTCCATGCAGGTCGTGTGCGCCCTCAATAGTCCATTCCATGAATCTCACCTGGTCATAAGACATGCTGAAGAACACAGGTTCTCCAGCCAAAATTATTTTGAAGATAGGCCATAGCTTGGCAAGGAAGATAGGATAGTTCGCACCGGAACATAGTGGTTCAATGCTATCTCGTAACTCAGTTGCGACATTCGCTCGCACTTTCACATCTGCGACATTGAACGAAATGGTCAATAAACTTGCACATGAACTATATAGTGCACATTATTCTTCTCCAAAGTGAACGTACCCAATCGCTCATCACCCAACTTGGTGGCATAAATATCGATGTTCCTCTCCATAACGACTGCGATCAAGCCCCCTCGGGAGGGCCAGCCAAGGGAATAGAACTGTGTTCACGGCCAGGCCCGGTGGCCGGCTGGTATGATGACAGCCCGCGCAAAGTTCTTAGGTCAGGATCGAGGTGTCATGTGCGAGGTCGGAGTGCGGAGGAAGCTGTGCGGACTTATGCGATTCCCCGAAAAGATTGATTAAAGACGGGAAGTGAAATGAGCAAAATCGTCAAGTCATTTAATTGCACGAGAGATAATTCCTAGTCCATTTAAAGGAGTGAATGGATTTTCAGGAAAATGGAGGCAACGACGAGTCCCGCGGGGTAGAAGGAAGGACGCGAATGGGGGGGTGGTTTGAGGATTGGAGACAGTAGAGCGCGCAAGACCTCAGGTCGGGCCCAGAGAGCAAAGACGCGGGCTATCGCAGGGACCCCGAACGAAACACTAGTCCGCTTTAGGTAATTCGGCCTTGGTTGTTCCGCTCCGTCACCCTCGCATTAAGTAAGCGACTATGTGAGTCTAGAGTCTCTCTCTTCCCCTTCGATTACAGAGCTTTCTGCCCGTCTTCTGCCGTCATAAAACTTCCATTCGTATCAAATAGTCTAATTGACAAACTTCATTCCACCCAAGGAAGTTCTAGGCATAGAAAGCTAAAGTAATAACAAGAATTCGACAATCCATAAGATAGTCCAAGACGGTGAGCTAGGTAACTATGGGAGGCGGTAAAAAATGGGCGGTATAGAGGTATGATATGTGGACGCAGACTCGGTAACACACCACTATAGTTGGCTACAGAATTGGCTGTATAATCTTTAGAGTATTAAGCACTTTTAGACTATCCCCAATCTTAATCCTATCAATTAATGCATGAGTAACATAAATACTCCTGTATATGGAGGCGGTGATTGCTACATATTTATATTTCACCATGTTCAGGTGGTAGGTAACAATATACATGCTGTATATATCAAAAGCAGGTGTACATAGTATGCATGTTATTTATAGAGCTCAGGACACATATGTGGTCACATAATAACACACGAGAGAAGGTCGATTCATGAAGTTATGGTGCTATGGCATTGAGCATCAAGGCTTAAGTTGACCCCTAGAAAGTCCATATTCGGGAGAGCCTTGAAGAGGGTGAGAGTCATTGATACATTGGTAGGTTCTGCCAAGGATGCACTCACTTCAGCTTGTGTAGCAGTTCAATGAATGTTCAAAATGTCTCAAGGTTCAAATGTTGTGTAAAGTTTCTGAAATAGTTCCATTCTCCTGTTTCCAATTAACATTTGAATGTTGAAACATTTACCAAGCAGTCAATGAAGACCCCGAGAACTACAGATGGTCAGAAGCTTGGAAAGTGGCCCAGGCGATATCATATCTCCGGCATTGGTCTAGAACAAGAACTGACAAAACATAGAAAAGCCGTCAATCCTAGAAGATTGACGGATGGAAACGCCATTCACACCCATTTTCCATACCCGAACACGGTTCTAAGACGGGGTCCAACTCAGAGGTCCGCTCTGTGATCACACCTACGCCTGTAAGGAGTCGATCACAGAAGGGGAAATATCAGAGAAATCCATGTACACAAATAGGAAAGAAACAAAGAACAAGAAACAATAAAGAAAAGAGCAAGCACAGTGGGCATTAATCCGGGCGAATTCGAAAATCACAGAAACATTGCAGCCCGTGCTCGCTATGCCATTTGGTTGCTGAAAATCAACAAAAGTCACATGTCCATTACCAGCCCCCCGATAACCCCGACATCATTTGGTGGAGTTGCTTCGATGCAGGATCTGTACATTGGTTGCACTGGTACCACTGCCGACCGAACGTCGTCGCGGACGTATCTCGCTGCCGCTACCACTCCGTCGTCTCCGAGAACCGCGAATTGAGCCACGGCGTCGTGTCTGGAGCAAAACGGACGTTTCCACGTTAGAATCACGCTGGCTGTGCATGGGGATTGGCCTCTTAGCAAACGACAAATATCAAGGGTAATAGAGGCAAACGGCAAGGCAGAAGAACGGAGACCCGAATCGGATGGGGGTGCGTAGATCTGGAAAGCGTCGATGCAAGATCAAAAATGCACGGGACTTACCGATGTTGGGGTTCCCTCCCGAGAAGGTCGCTCCTTGGGGGCGTCGGATTCTTCCAGCTTCAAGTTATTCAGCCGCTTTTGACTGTCGGTTGTCATGGCCTCCACCTCGTCGATCGGCTCAGGCACACTGAGATTGGGAGCAGGCGGCAGGGCTGGGGCACCATTTTGCCGCTTGGCTTGCAATTCGATCAAGTCCCAGCGGTCCTGTCGAGTCCTTTCGCGTTGGTCTGCACTATTCTGGTGCTCGGTGTACTCGTGAGAGCACTCATCGAAGAGCTGAGGGTTAATCTCCATGAACATTTTCATGGCGTTGTACACCATGCTATGAATGGTCCTAGTGGCAGAAAGTAAATCAGCTATGACACCCATTTCCCTCATGAAACCAACATACCGATTCCAGTGGCCCTTGGAGTTCTCATAGAGCGGAGCAAACATGATCGGCAGAATGGTTTCCACATTATCACTGACAAGGTTGCAGAAATACTCGTTATTCCAGAAGTAAAGAGCACGTTCGGCGACCTGGAAATGCGGACTGGCAACTGACTTCGCTAGCTGGTGGAAAAGTGGCTCTTGCACCTTGGCGAATTCAGCGGGATCCATGACTTCAAAAATGTCCTCTACCTCGTTGAGGTACATAACCTCTTTGGTGCTGTTCGTCTTAGGCCAATAGCGCAATAATCCAAGAACAACCTTCACATTGGTTAGCATATATATGTAGGATACAATAAGATTTTGGGTTGCTTACATCTTCTGTGAGCGTAGAGTCCTTCTCCAAGAACTGGACAATACAGTAGGCCAGTTGTGGGTGGTACATGCTCAGGCTCTTAACCTTGTGCATAGGAAGAAGAACTCTAGTCAAAAAGAGCTTGTGTTCTTCCTTCAGTGGAAGCGCGAAGCCATTGATGATGGAACCCAGAATCTCCAACAATTCGGCAATACCGTTGTGTCGCTCTGTTTCGTACATGAACTGGAAGAAAACGTTGTTGATAGATCGACGAATATATGACCGCAGGTTCAAGAATTTGCCATAGATACGATGCAAGGTTGTCTTCAAGAAGTCACGCTCCCGAGGGTCTTCCGAATCAAACAAATCCAGCAGCTATAGGAGTCAGATGTTAGTCATATGGATTTATGACGAGAGATGAAACTGGGACACAATAGATACCTGGAGAACAAATTGATGGTCGATATATGCCTTCGCAATGTTGGTGTTGAAATCCTGGCTCTCGATAAACCGCAAGAAGAACTCGTAGACAACTTGGATGTGTGGCCAAGCCACTTCCAAGACAGGCTCGTCCTCCTCGGGATCAAACGCCTCCCCCTGGGGGCAGATCGGAGGGGGAATCGGGCGAAACAGGTTCTTGGCGAACATCTCCACAACACGGGGGTACATGGGCTCTGTGATCACAGAGCGGTTGTTGGCAACGTAATCCAGGAGTTCATGGAGAGCCAGCCTCTTGATCTCCTTGGACTTCATGTCCGCAGTAGGGTCATTGAAATCGAAGATAATGTTACACTGGTCAATCTTCTGCATGAACAGATCCTGACGCCGGTTCGGGGCGACTTCGTGGAAGCCCGGCAGTTTCTCTAGCTCTCTCTGGCGCTGATCAGAGATGTCAAACCGCGATGAATGTTGCCGTTTAGGGGTCCGGATGCCCTCCGACATATCCTTGGGGGTAGTTTGTAGGCGGTCGAAGACATGGGATTTCCGCGGGGGCGCTAGATCTCCGGGCATGGTCTCGGCGGCACCTGGGGGAGGGGCGTGCTGTAGAAACCGACTAATTTAGTATATGTCAAGCACTTAACAAAGGGGACATAGCCATACCGGAGCACTAGGGCTGATGATCACACTTGGTGCTACTGACTGGCCCTGTCTCGTCGGGGTGCCTGGGCCATTTGTCGGCTGGCCGGCCATCCCAGCCCCTTGTGGTATATAGTGCTGAGCCGGTGCGCCGGCACCCCCTGAGGGTGTTACCGCCGGAGAGGCATCATCTGGTGATTTTCCACGTGCATCGTTCAGAGATGTTGTGGACGATGTTGGTGTCCCTTGGTTCGGTGATGCCGACTGCTGTGGAGGATGGATACCGAGGGACGCCTGAGATGTGGAGTTGGAGTCCTTCTTCTTCGATGACTTGTTGGCATCCTTTGCCCGCGACAACTGCTCATGCTAGCATGAGAGAAATTGATGTTAGCTTATATGCGAGCAAGGGGGGTGAATGGTCACCACCTGCATGGTGGGGGAGGGGGTGATCGTGCGGTGAGTGCCACCGGGACAGGAGAACTCACCACTCTCTGTCTGAATCCCTTCATCTTGACGCTGTTATGAAGAATGCCACATGTACTCCGCTAAGGGTCTCAGTGCTAGTGCAGCCAGGCGCTGCACTCTCGCCAGACTCGGATCGGCCACGAGAGGGGTTGGAGTGTTTTGTATCGATCGACCTAGCAGGGGCAATGTGTGAGCGCTTTTGATCATGGCAGATATGTGAAGATCAGTGTAGATAGTGGGAATTGAAATTGCGTTATTGAAATCAGGCAATTCCAAAGAAGGGTATTATGGCCTCAATGGCGGCCAACTTCGACGGTTCTGAATGGGCGATGTCGCAGCACGCGCACGGGGCAAGACGCTTGGATGTTGGGGGAATAGACCGCCAAGGAAAGACAATAGCAAAGTACAGGCGAGACATACCTCTGTGGTTCGAGATGGAATAATTGACTTGTCGGGGATTAAGGGGGCTTGCCGAGCAGAGAGGTCGATATGGGGTGGACGTTGCTTGATCCGCTCAGAGGATCTCCGTGTCGCTTAGTGGCAGGCTGGGAGCGGGGGGGGATTCGAAAGCACCAGAGTCACCCGATTGCAAACCAACAACCAAAGCCTGGGTCAGTTGATCTGAATGGGGGAAATAGCGAGTAAAGTTGAATGGAAAATCGGAAGCGCAAGTAGGGAGAGAAGTGGTTGGGTTAGAAGGTGGAGAGGAAGCGGGTGTAGGTGAAGGGAAAGGCGGGTTCTCCTGGCCGTGATGGTGATGGGAGGGGCTGCAGCCAGGTACAATCCCTTTACACTGAGTAGATTGATCTACAGATACAAAGATTTCTTCTAATCTTATGTTCTCCAGGCTGTTACGACTGATAGATTTTATTCAATATCTTGCTATAGCGAGTCCTCTGCAAGAGTTCTCAATCGTCATGGCTCTTGTGTATGCGTTTTCCCGTTTCTTGACGCTTATGTCATTGGTAGTCACGTGGAGGGCACAGGCAATTTCCACCAAATATCAGTCCACGTGAATATCTAACAGACAATTTTGCATACCTATTCAATAATGTAATTTCCGGAGTCTAAAGCTTGATAGCTTATTTTGCAAATCTTTAAAAAAAAAAAAAAAAGCAGACTTACTTGGGTGGCGAATTCCAATCTTGAAAGTGGACGCTAGGCACTAGCCACAACCACAATATATAGTTCCGCCCAACTAGATTCCAATAAGAACGTTCACTATGTGTTTGAAACACTTTGAACAAGTTTACGAGATATATCTCAACTGATGTACATGTTCATATTATACTGGGTGAGTATTCGTACAATATTATGAAATCCATTCCAAACATTATGTTTGTGAATTACTAGAATCCATGTTTCTTATCTGATGGCGCAGCGTCACTGTGAGGACGTCCAAACAGTCCGGACATTGATTAGTCAGCATATCCGATTCCCCAAACGCAAGATTGAAGATATCTCAAAGGTTGGCCGCTATAGCACAAAGTGTTGGCATCGAGGATAAAGAAAAAGCATCAAGTGGCTATCAAAGAACCGGGGCAGTCTTAGTAGAGCACAGAGACCCAGGCTGTGTCCCCAAGTGAGCTGCAAAAGATTCATTCTTCCCTCCCTGCGAGTCACAGAGAACGCCGTGACAACATTGTTCAACACGATCCCGGTGACCAGTACACAAATTATTCTGCCTCTTGATACTCCCCATCACCCATCACCAGATGGAAATGGACACATCCCGAGAGGCTAGAACCGCCTCATCTTACAATATCCCGTCTCGACGGCTGGTTAGCGTGGAGCACCCTGCAGTTATTCGCAACATTGATAAAGCCATAGAAACACTGCAGGGCAATACAGGAATAAATAGAGTGAGAGGATTTTTCCAACCACGATTCAAAATCAAAATTATACTGACTAGGCATAGTTTATGAATCCGGTTAGACCTGATGCTCCTGCACGTCTAACCCTGCGACCGGAAGATGCCATGGCACGACCTCTGGTATCCACAGTCAACCAAACCAATAACATCTTACTCCAAGTGACTGTTCCTAAGCGAACTGGTCGAAAGCGTAAGAGAGGATCTGACGAGCCGTTCACCGGTGCGCCGGAAGATGCACCAGACTCCCAGCGGCGTACATCAAAAGAGTTGATGCGCTGTCTTCGTGATAACCCTTCCCAATACAACATCCAACCAGTCGGAAAGATTGAGCGTACTCATGTATTTCGAGGTTTGTTCCGAACTTAGTCTCTTGCCGTCGGACCATATCAAACTAATCCTTGATAGGAATGCCGGATTTTGTCTACTCGACTACCAGCAGTGTGTTCGCTCAAAAGTTCCGGGATTACATTGTCCCATATAATTGTGAGTAAATTCCGGATGCAATCATTATGCGAGCAATGCTAAGATCATACAGTGGAGAAATTAAAGAAATTTGATATCGACTTGACAAAGGGTGCCCTGAAAGACGCCGATATCATCCCACCACCCTCCCTGAGTAACGAACAAGTTCCGTTCCTCTACATGTATGTTTCAATAAAACCTCAGATATAAGGAGGACTTTGAGAAACTGACCAATTTTGATTTCAAGGTACCGTCAAAACCCGGGTGTCAAACAAACACTGGATGAATACGGCCAAATAATAACACAGAACATCCAACAAGTCCCTAAAATTCGTACATACCTCTTGCCGCACGACATCGATGAAGTCCCGAGCAAGCCCCAGGAAAGTCTTCAACCAAAAGAGACTCTCGACCCCAGTCTGCGCAGAGTTATCGACTTCATTAGTGAGCTCTTCGAGAAGCGTCCTATCTGGACACGTCGTGCTATCCGAAACTTTCTCCACTCAGACGAACAACGTTATCTACTTCGTCTTGCAGTCCCCTACGTGGGTTACATCTTTCGCGCAGGACCATGGCGCGATGCAATCATCAAGCTCGGTGTCGACCCGCGTTCTTCACCTGAGTATCGGCATTACCAGACCTTCATGTTTCGACTGATGCCCGGCGAATCCGATTTAGGTCGAGATGGCGGTAGCCGTCGGGATAGGTATGCCCGTCTGGATCCAGAAACTCGAATTGAGATCCCCGAGTCCAGAGACAGCTATTTATTCACGGGACGCTTGCCCCTGCATCAAGATGGACGAATCTGGATGGTCTGTGACATTACAGATCCCATTTTGAAAAATATTCTCTACCCACCCGAAGAAAGCCAATCTGAACCTTTTCTGCGAGAGACGTGTGAAATTCTCTCGGATGGCTGGTTTGGTAACGGAACTCTAGCCAAAGTGAAGATCATCATGCGTTCCAAGATCGCAACGCTGCTGGAGGGCTGCGAGCCCGACGATGCGGATTATGTGAAGGCTGCCGCGTTTCCTAATTTTGCGAACGATGAGGGGGATTTAAGTACCTACTTCCAGGTCGATGCGCGTACGTCGACCCCGAAGGAAATTTCTCTAGCAACTGAGATTCGGGCTGCTATCAAGAGTGCTCCACAATGGAAGCGGACGAATGCGAAGGATAAGGACGGAAATGACAGGAAAGGAAAGGGCAAACAAAGTGCGGCCAAGTCGCAGCAAAGAGAGGTGGAGATGGAAGACTACGAGGGGGGGATGGAAGAAGGAGAGAGTGAGGGAGAAGAAGAGGAGATGGAGAGGGTCGAGATACAGGAAGAGCAGGTTGCGGCAGCACTGGCGGCCAGGCAGGCTGCCGAAGAAGAAGAAGAAGAAGAAGAAGAAGAAGAAGGAGAAGAAGAAGAAGAAGAAGAAGAAGAAGAAGGAGAAGAAGAAGAAGAAGATGATGATGATAAGGAAGATGATGGAAATCACTTCTAGGAGCGTACTACTTGACTTGAGATTGCTTTGTATTCCCCAAGAATCAGCGACCATAACCTAGTATCATTTAAAATACTCTAATTTTTAAATGGTTCCCTTCCAAAAAAAGCATAATGATCGAGTAACCAAAAAGCTCTACGAGTCAAGACCCGAGTGTAAACCTGATATACACCTAAGAGAGTCAAATCAGCAGAATAAAGTCGACGAAACTACCTGAATGCACAGGAGATTTTCGGGTACGATGAACTATAGGACTAATGTAGACAACCCAAGAAAAATCACATACAATACAGACAGAGCTAGAGAGGGCGGTGAATAAAAATCATGTCATCTTGGTTGTCAACATTAGCCCTACTATACAGTCCACCGTACTAGCCCCACACCTACAAACCCCTGACTCAGGCTAGCGCTGGCCTAGTCCGGGGTCAAAACTATAATGTTTAAGTATGATATCGCCACCGACCCTGTACACACCAAGCGCAAGACTGTCACAACCCTCGACATTGCCTACGCTCTCCAATGTCAGGGCCATAAGTCTTGCCCCGCGTCTTTCTTCTGCAAAGCGTCTCTATAATGTCTCCAGGTACACTGTACGGTTTCGGCGGCTAAGCGTATCAAACAATTTCTCAATATCGTGTCTTCTCTTTTTTCCGGGATGCTGATTTTCTTTATCGTCATGGGTCTGCTAGTGTTCGCTTCAGAGCTTTCCTAAATCATAGCGACCTCATCATATGGCTGGCTCCAATCGAAAGGTGGGATCTACACTCTTTCGTACGGTGATCCTTTAGGATTGCAATCGACTTAAAACAGAATCATTCATTGTGAGTCTTATATGGACCGTCTCTTGATTTGGGCATTGTTTTGGTTGTTGTCGTCGTTTGCTCCACCGGACGAATGTATTATGCGCGCCGGCAACCTCATGTCCTTTCAATGTTTCCTCCAACGTACCTGCAATACAGATTTTGATGAATATAACCAGGAAACAACAGCAATTGTCATCTTTTGTAACCAAGGGTTTCTTTTTTTCGTTCAAGCCGAGCTCCTTCCGCCAATTGTGTTCATAACCCCACACCTAAAACCCCGCCTCCCAGCTCACCGACTCCAACTCCAACATAACTTCCACATTCTAACTGAACCCCAGCGAGGCCCAATTCAAAATGGCGCCTCTCATCCGAGTCATTGGCTCCCTCAATGCCGACATGGTGTCGGTCACACCACGATTCCCGTACCCCGGCGAGACAATCACCGCCTCATCCTATTTCCAAAGCGCAGGCGGAAAGGGTGCCAACCAAGCCGTCGCTTGCGGACGCATGTCACGACCAAGGCCCCAAGCCGACTCAGCAGGCCTCAACACCCAGAGTGACGTCCAGGTCGAGATGGTAGGCGCGGTAGGTGCACGCGACGGTCATTTCTCCGCACTACTAAAGCCGACTCTGGAGAAATCCGGCGTAGACCCATCGCGGGTCCGAGTCGTCGAGGACGCATATACCGGCGTAGCAGTGATTATCGTCGACTCGTCCGCCGGAGGCGAGAATCGTATTGTGTTTTCCCCCGGTGCCAACTACCAGGGTATGCAGCCGACGCCCGACGTGCTGGGTATGGCTCTTGCGGCTCCCGTGCCTGATGTGATCGTGATGCAGGGTGAGATCCCTGTTGAGACAGTGATTTGGTTCCTGAGGGAAATTGCGACATTCAAGACGAAGAACCGTACTGCTGGCAAGCGCGGCATTGAGCGTGGCCCCGACGTTATGCTGAACCCGGCCCCTGCTCCACCTGGTGGGCTCCCGGAGGATGTCTATTATGCTGTTGACCATTTAATCTTGAACGAGACGGAGGCGGAGCTGATGACCCCGTCGACTGAGCAATTGCTCCGCACTGTTCCAGACGCCGACTCGCTAGACAGTAAGGAGAAGGTGGCAAGATACTTCCACAAACTAGGCATCACCTACGTTCTGATTACATTGGGGGCCAAAGGCGTTTGGTACAGTGCTACAGATGGTGGAACATCTGGCCCCAGCGACGGGGTTCGGCGCTTCACGAATGAGCTCCCCGCAGCCCCTGTGTCTCAGGTGTTGGATACCACCGCTGCGGGAGACACCTTTGTGGGGGCGTATGCTGTCAAGGTTGCGCGGTGGCGCGAAAAACGCCGCGCCGAGGGCAAGTCTGGCAAGGATATTACTGATGACGAGAAGCCGCATCGTTACAAGACCGTCATGGATGAGGCTATGCAGCTGGCTGCGCGTGCGTCCGCTCGGGCCGTGGAACGGCTTGGTGCAATGGACAGCATTCCGTTCGAGGATGAAATTTAAGCATGGCGATATTTAAATTCGGCATTCACCATGTAAATTTTAGTCATTAGATCATAGGTGAACGAGGAACAAGCACGATTGAGGTGGAACTTGACGCATTGTCTAACGATCAGCCCTGGAGACTACCCCTTGTGGTAAATCTGTGATTCGGAGTGGCGTTGCCTGAGGAATGCATGCAGCAGCATGTGCAATGACGGGGTGCAGTTGATCCCTCAATTCCTCAATCAGAGAACGTGTTCTCCAGGGTTCGGTATTCTCCTCTGACAGGTCCATACCCTGGTGAAAGGTAAAATGTGGTACAGCCTAAATAACCATGGCTCCATTACCTACTTAATTTTCCTTGTATCACTGGATGGAAGACTCTCTATGCACCACTCAAACACGGTGTGCACCAATCTGCAACCCATGGTTTCAAGGTGAATCCCGAATTAGCCGAATGGGCTCGGGGCCAATGATGAATTATGCGTTGGCAGAAGGTCGTGAGGGGCTTATACTTCCGTGAAAGGACTGTAAGGGAGGGGAAATTACACGCGAAGCGTGTCGCGTGTAGACGTACTGGGTACTTGATTTATACGCGAGATCAACAGAGTTTAACGGGATTGAAGTTGTACCCGCTACTTCGAGTCTCGACGCGTCTAGATACCCGTCAGCATCAGCATCAAGGTTCCCCCTGATATGAAAATATGCATATTTTCCATACTAAAAGAAATTACTAGAAGGAAGTTCAAGAAAGAAGTCTGTCAGAATATCATAAGTATCAGTTTGGCTATAAAGGCTCATAGGGGGTCAAAAGTATGTACAGCGGAGTAGGTGCATTCCAACTTTACATTGTTCTGCCATGGGAAACATTAAGAATGATCCGGTATAATTGGATTGTGCCAATACTTGCATGAGCGCCACGTCCAAAATGGTATCCAATTAACTTGGTCAAGGGCGCCTTGCATGGGAACGCGACAAGACGCGCGCTCTCCACTTTGACTTGAAATACTTCCCCTTCCCAGTGGAACCTCCTTGCTCGTTTTCATTTCCAAACTCTAGATAGAAAGAGTTTAATTATAACTATCTTCTCCCCTTCCCTGGAGAGACTTTCCACAACCATTTCCATCTTGAGGTGTTTAAGTAGTGATCAACTTTTATCCACTATATCCACCCTCATCCCTTTCCATTGCCATATCCGATCTTATACCTTGGTTCAATTCTGATCTCGACATTTGCTTTCCAAATCGTCTCCAGTTCAACAAAGAGAAAAAAAAAAAAAAAGAGACTTGATTTCTACTTGAAAATCTTCGATCGGTGTCTGAGCGTAGACCGCCAATCTCTCCCCACTTAGCGCCGCCAACGCCAAAACAAATCCAACACCAACGCGCCTTCTTCCTTCATCATGGCGACTCTAACCATGACTCCTCCCACCCGCCAGCCTTTCGCTAACCTGGACACACCGCGAATGCGGTCAGTCATGCGGACCAAGCTGAACCGCCAAAACATCCAAAACAGTGAGCCTTCACTCCCGTGTTATAATATTGATATCCGAACCTCAAAACTAACCCCTCCAGGCATATCCCTATCCAAGAAAAGCTCCATCTTCATCGAAGACACTGAGAACATCGACCCCTACACTCGCAGTCTCTCAGCCAAACGCAAGCGTACCCTAGATGATGACGAAATCTCCAAGGGTTCTCCCAAACCCAAGACATCACGCATCGCCCTCTCCACCCGCGCCACCAGCAATGTCTCATCTCACTTCTCCACCCCCTTGAAAACAATCCCATCCACACCAAAATCTGCCCCAATTCTCAAACCCGCTGGCCGGACCCCAACAAAGTCATGCAAGGTACTCGGTCGCCGGTCGGCCATTGCCAAATCCAGACCCGATTCCGGAAAGCGGGCCGTTGCCCGTCCTTTCTCCCTTGCTACTGCGCTCCAGGCTACGCCTGCACCAAAGTCCACGCCCAAGGCGCCGACGGGCTGGTTCTTTGAGATCCATGTTGACTCTGAGCAGGAGGAGATGACTAATCTCATGCAGCACTCGACTGGGGTGCTCGATATCAGTGATGACGAGGGGAAGGCCGCTGTTGATGATCGCGGCAAGGAGAATGTTCCACCATCTGAGCTTGGTATTGAGTTGCCCCGTAGCAACCAGGCTGTTGCCCTGGCTGCTGCTGCGGAGGCTCGTAAGGCGGAGAAGATGGAGGAGGACCGCTCGCCGCTTGGGGAACTTACTGCTTCGGATTATTATCCCGAAGATTGTAATGCTTTCTCTTATGCTGTTGTCTATGACGATGATAACGGTCCTCAGTCTAAGATGACTCCTGTCATGCCGCCGCCGTCTAATTTCGTCTCGCCGGAGATTAATACCTCTATTGCTTCCTTGCTGGAGACTGCTCTCCCGCCGAAGTTTGAAAACAAGGAGACCGAGACCGATACCAAGACGGCTGTTGCCTGTGAGGCAGCTGCTTCGGACGATAAGATTGAATCGTCTTAGTTGCCCAGACTGCTGAGACTGAGGCTTTACACGTTGCATTGCATTGATCTTGGCGTTTCTTGAGTTCCATCCTATCTTGAATTCACTCTAGGTTGGAGCTATGATGATGAGTTATGGAAAACGGCGTTCAGCGTCTGATTTTTGCCCTTTTTATTTGTTTTGATCTGAATACCCTTCGATATTGCCAAGTTTTTTTTTGTTTTAAATCGGGGTTGTTTGTTGGTCCAGTTTTTGCTTTCACGCCTTAATTAATTAGTACTGCTTGCCATGTCTGATGCAGGTTCACGATGTATACAGCTAGCTATCTTAGGTAGAATTTAAAGTCAATGATTGAAATGATTTCAATATTCACTTGAGAAATTAAAGTCTCTCTATACAACTCAAAGCTTCTGTTCCAATTCCTTCCCACAATGCTAACCGTAACACCTTCCATAAAACTTAGTATTGACAAAAAGAGGCCCGACCCTTCATCTTCTCAACATTTTAAATTCCAAGAGATTCGTCCTGGGCTGGAGCAAAACACTCTTCACAAAGGCTGAAGGTTTTCAGCCCTATGCCTGTCTACCGTATGTATATGCGGGCTTCAAAGTTTATCTTTGTTCAAAGCTAGTGGAACATGAGGCTTCTCGACCAAGAAAATTAGTGAAAGAGAATGGAGAAATTCAGAGAAGTTTGCGAGTTTCCCGGTTCAACTACTTGGTTGATGGGAATCACATGTGCAACAGGAGGTCTGACCCGATGAATGTACCAGTATGTCATGCAAAGCCTCGAGATCATGTTGATTTTTTCTGTCAATATCAAAGACTTGAGCGATTCACATGTGTGAGGATCAGTTGATGTATCCGAGGAACTCTGCAAGATGTGTACCTATACCCGTAGTGTCATCTAGTGTCGATCCTCAACATGCCCAGGCGCCTAATGGAAATCTCAGGTGGAAGGCATGTATGAATGACTAAGTCACATTGGAGTTGATTCCCTGTTGTTTCAAATATTGAATCCTCAGAGTCCAAATATACTACGTACTAGTAAAAATGGGTTGACGATGTATTTTAAGCACGTGGAGTCTTCAATCATAACATTGAAATCATTAATCCATTATCAATTCGATGTGCAATATCTTAGGTAATACATTATAACTAACGTAATCATGGAGGGGCAATGGACTAGACGATATTAGATACTGAATATACGGAATGAGGTTTCCTATTTTGATGGTCAATTTATACTTCACTAAATGGAAAGAATTATTCAGACTATGAATGGCATGATGAATTAAAAGTGCTAGAACATGATCCCATAGACTAGAACAAGTTCTGCATAATTCTCTTCGGACCTCAGTTGATACAGAGCTTAAGACAGGAAATGCTTCCCAAGTGATTGCATCCAATCTAGGCGGCGGTGCTCGCCTCGACCGCAAATAAATACAAAATAAATACCCCAAGACGTTCTTGCTTTTCAAATACACAAATTCAAAACTGATCACTCAGTCTCAGCTCCAGATTTCCTTTGTTATCACATGCTTCCACTCTTTAGGGCACGTCAGTGTTTCAATCCTGACTTGATACTGACTTGATACGAGAATCAACTTCACCTGGTGGACGCCAAAGTGAACCCAAGTCTTCTTACTCAGACTTCGCGTCCTTTGAACTCGGTTTAAAACAAATCATCTTCACGTCTACTCCAGGTGGCTTGCTTGTGACCTGATTTTGACCTGTGATTCCGAAAGACACATCATGCCTCCACCAGCTGAGCAAAGACCCCTACGAAGAAGTCGAAGCCGAAGCCCCGAGACATCCTCTCGATATCAGACTCGAAGGCGAACTTATGGAAGACAAACATACGAGGAGAGAAAGGATGGGCGGACTGGGCGCGTGAGAGTGGTGATTGACCTAACTTCTTCTCCCGACCCAGAAGCTATGCCCGACCCCGGATGTGATCACCATGTTGGAGCTGGTAGTCAGACATCGATATGGTCAACTTTAGATCATATGCTACCTACCCCCCAAAACATCTCTACTCCTAGGGAGAAAACGACCCTTTTTGGGGCGATTGGGGTTCCCAAGCAGTCTTTATGGAATAAAAATCCACTCCAGCAGCAAACTGACTCTACCGCCAGCAGCAATTTAGGAATACACGGCATAGCGGCCGCTCTCCTAGCATCCCCATCGAGACGGACCGATCTACTCCAAAGCGTATTTTCCGGGGCATTTGGAACCCCCCTGCAGCCTTGCTCGATCAGTAAACCTCTTCAGAAACCGACTGTTCCCCCTCTCGAGACAGAATCAGGGATCGGTGCCATAACGGCTGCTTTCCAGGCATCACCATCGAAGCGTGACGCTATACTCCAGAAGACTTTCTCCAGGGTATTCAGAACTCCCATACAGTCTGGCATGACCAATAGTCTACCCAGGAAACTCGTTATCAATCTGACAGGCGATGATACTGATACCTACTCTGATGCCGGGTCTGCATCATCTCTGCCACCTGTCGCTGATAACATCAGCCGACGTACTCGGTCATTCACCAAGAACTCCGACCTCTTCGATGTTGCCAATATCAGCCGTCCGGCTCAGTCTACCAAGAACCCAGACCCCTTCTATGGGACGGTGGTGATAGATCGGAATCGCTATTCTGCGAAGAAACTAGCGCAGGAAATACACAGTACCCCTCTGTCCTACGATGGTACCTACAATTACATCTTTTGGACAGATGGTTCCGTTCTGAATTGCGGAACTGCAGGTGCGGCAGCGGTGTGGCTCAACCCTAATAGGCAGCAGTGGCATTCGGTGACAGAAAAGGCGAAGTCTCAAACAAAAAGTTCTGAAATTGCAGAGTTAATGGGAATCGAGATAGCCTTGTCACAGGCATCGACCTTTATTGAACGATTCCAGCAGTCTGACCCGTACGTCCTCAAGCACCGACATATGGTTTACGTTTTCAGTAATTCCTCCGGTTCTTTGGAGATGATTAAAAGAGCACACCTTACTCCACTAGGTAGACAAGTGGAAAGGCAACCTTTGCTCAAAAAAATCCTTGAAAACAGCATAGCGCTGCGGCGAGTGAGTGCTCAAGTGGAGCTTCATTGGATTCCCGGCCACTCTGGAATCACTGGCAATGTGATAGCCGACAACCAGGCCAGAAAAGCTGCCAATAGCAACAAACTTGGGAAACAGGTATCTTTGGGTCCAATTGCGCATTTCAGCAAGCCCTCTGGGCCCGAGGAATGTTACCAAACTCTTGAAGCATACGAGTGTAATGGTGCATATTGATGACTTTGTTTCTTTCTTCTAATCCCCCACTTGTGTGGCTGCATTGGATAAAAGCTTGCATTATCTCTCCTCTCCTGTATTTCGAGCACTTTGTGAAGGGTCACAAACCCATCTCTGATTTCATTGGAATAGATCAGGATGATACAGTCGTGTGAACTTTTCAATCGACAAACACAAGCTCCCCATTATCATTCGAAATCCGCTCCGCCAAGTTGATATCTGCATCCATATCCTCCCCCTCAATGTTGAGCAACTTGGCTCGTAGCACAGGAATACCATCTCCTTCAATAGAGAGATATATCTCATTGGCACTTTCTTTGAAGTTCTCTCCGCCCCAACAGAAATCGCCTTCGAAGAATGTTAACACAATACTCCCTTTAAGGTGTTGTAGATTCGAAGATTGTACATACCATCGTTATTACCGATCATGCCATTCAGATCAAGCGTAACCTCTTCCTGGTCACCGTTTTCATTCCGCAAAGTAGCCTTGAGGATATGGTCATCCTCAAGTTCAATACTGCTTGCTGACTCGTGGAAACTCATTGTGGCAAGATGAATGAATGTAAAAAGAAACACAATTTTGTATTGTATTGATTGATCCGAATCAACTACCCAGCTGAAAAGAGCATCCTTATATACCCATTGCCCAGAAATTCCCCCCCACGTTCAGGCCGACTCAAGACCAGGATCCCCGCAGCTGTTTTTGTCCAACACATGTCCTAGACTTATTTGCTACCCGTATCTATGTGGATATGGATCCAGACTCACAGGGTACACGAAATACGGGGCCATCCGAGAAACGCACCATGTCATTTGACCCGTGCTCTTATACTCGTGGCGCACCATGCAGCCCTAATTGCCAGCCACAGAAAGCCGTAAGGCTGGCTAGCTTGGCGCCTTTGATGTTGCACCAGGTATGTAGGCCAAGGCGGCCTTCCTTGGCTAGTTGCTTTGTGGATCTGAGAAACATTCAGGTCTATGAGTGATTTGTGGGAGAATGCTGATGCCTAATTTGTTACTGCGGCTTTAAACGGAAGTGTCCGGTTGCCGAGCCTACTAATGTGTTCAGGATATGCGATAAATGTGTCTTGACTTGCTAGCTAGAGTGTTTTAAAGTGCTGGGGATAATTTGAAATCGACCATGTGTATATGGTCTCGAGTCAAGACCTTATTATCAAAATCAACGTATACACCAAGAGCAGTCGGTTGTGTAAGTCTAGGAATCTCCATATTCAGGGCTTGGCGATGGAATTGGCGAAAGAGTGATTTCGAAGGGGTTCTATGTACATGAAAGACACTACTTTCGATTGTAGCCATTATGAATATGCATTGGTAGAAAATATCCCTCAGTCAACTTTGATCACACGCAAACTCCTGCTAAACTCCTATGCTTGCAGCCGAAACAAATGCACACGCCGAAGAAAGTTCCTATCACCCATAACACGTACACGGTATATATAAGTCAACATATCACAATCATAAGGGTATCATGCAGTGTTTCGGTAGATCTGGGAGCCACCAGAGCGGATCTGAATTACTTCCCTCCGCTGCAACACGATGATGGCTCGGTTGAGAGCTTGCTCGGAATAATTCTTGTTATCAACGAAATCACGACGCAGTGTTGCCAGGCTGGTGCTCCAGCCAACAGGTAGGCGACGCTTGAGCTCGTCTTCGATCTTGGATGCTTCCTGCATGAGGTCCTTATTGCCCTGGCCATCACCCTGGGTGACAGCATCCATGGTGGACGCCAAGAAGAGTCGGATAGCCTCATCAACATGGGCCTCAGTGGCTATGGGGGAGAGGGACAACTTCGCCAGAGACTCGGTGATACGAACAATGGCCTCGAGTTGACGCACGGTAATGGGGATAGATGACTTGGTGTTGGACTCAATCTCGGATCGGTGAACTTGCTTTCGGATGGAGACGAAGTAGGAAGAGAGTTTCTCAGCGGCCTCGGGCGAAAGGCGAGGAGCGCAGCGACTAAATGTACAAAGTTAGAAAGATTGACAGAAAGGATCAGCTAGCTAACTTAGACTCACCTTCGGCAGTAGCTGATATAACGCTTCATCTGGTCGACCGGGATTTCGGCTTCGACCTGCTCTTGCACACCACGACCTCCCATGTGAACGCCCATGACGTGACGAGCAATGCGTTCATCACGGCCACGTTCATGATCGTCTCGAACAATGAAAATCATATCGAAACGTGACAGAATGGTAGTCTGGAAGTCAATGTTCTCACCCGGGGTCTTCAGGTCGTCGTATCGGCCAAAGACCGGGTTGGCGGCGGCCAAAACAGATGTTCGGGAGTTCAGAATGGTTGTAATACCAGCCTTGGCAATGGAGATGGTTTGCTGTTCCATGGCCTCGTGAATAGCCACACGATCTTCGTCACGCATCTTATCAAACTCATCAATACAGACTACACCACCGTCTGCAAGAACCATGGCACCACCTTCCAGGTAGAACTCGCGCGTGGTGTGATCGCGCTGCACAGAGGCAGTCAAACCAGCTGCCGAGGAACCCTTTCCGGAGGTGTAGATGGCAATCGGAGCCGCCTTTTCAACAAACTTCAACAGTTGGGATTTGGCGGTACCGGGGTCACCCAGCATGAGAACGTTGATATCACCACGAAGCTTCATTCCATCAGGAAGAATCTTCTTTGAGCCACCCATAAGTAGGCAGACAATAGCCTTCTTGATATCGGCATTTCCGTAGATAGAGGGAGCGATGCTGCGAGCCATAGCCTCATACAAGTCAGGCCGGCGGCTCAGCTCCAAGAATTCTTGCTCTTCCTCTTCCGAGAAAACTGAATTTCCCTTGGCAGTCTGATCCACATCGGTGTTCAAACCCACAGCACGCAAGTAGGGGTTGCGAATGGCCACTGCAGCTTCCTTCTTGCCACCCTTCGCCTGGTAGATCGAGAAGATGCCCATGACGGTACAGCGCGAACCGGGAACAACTCGGTTTGCAAGATAACGGTCTGCAGAAATCAGGACATGGCGGGGTAGCTCACCCACCGGCACCTGATCAGGGGCCTCCTGAAGCTTGAGAACCTGTTGATCCACAAATTGGCATTTTTCGTGGTGTACCATATAGGGGTCAAGAGGGCATTGCTCGCCAGGCTGATCACCAGGCTCCTTGCTGCGTCCACAACGTCTTGGGAGGGACAAACCGGTAAATCCACCCTCAACACGGATGTTTTCACTATGGTCGCAGTTCTTGCAACGAATGTGAACGGTGGTCGCTTTTGATGAGATAGTGGAAGCACCGATGACAATACCAGGAATGCGGACGAGATGAGAGATGTTGGTGGCGTTCAAGTCGCGGATGGAAATGTGCGATGCTGAGGAGTGGAGAAGCAATTGGTGGGATGGAAGGGTGATGTCTTTCTCACCAGGGAAGACGATGCGACGAGTGCAATCCTGGAGGGCCAATTCGAACTACTCAAGGTTAGAGAGGATCGATCACCTCGTGGAAGGGTGCTGCTTACCAAGGGAATTATTTCGGCCGGCTCTGTTGTGAGTTTGTGCGCCAACTCCTCATTAAAGGAAATAAGGTGGGCAATGTCAATGTCGCAATAGTATTGCTTCACAAGCACATTCTGGCGTAACTGATCCCTGTAAGTTTCTTCAAGTTAATCCTGGACTGCAAGCCTTTCTGGTATATGCAGAATTTGCGGATTGCGTACCGATAGATGAATGCATTGTCGAGCTGGAATTGGAGCACAAAGTCTTTTAATTTATTTTGAATGGCGGTCTTGGACTCATCAGCACCATTTTCACTAGGCGCAAGAACGCTCAGGGTGTATGGAGTGCGTCTGTCCATGGTGTTTGATGGAAGGTTGGAGATGTGGGGGGAAAGGAAGACTTGCAAAACTTGAAGCCACCAGAAAGGGAGAACTCTTGGGAGAAGTGGAAATCGCGAGCGCGACGCGTCCTTTCCCGGAGACGCGTTAAGTGGATTCCGGCCTGTTTTCTCAGGCAGTAGTTAATGGAGCGGAGTAATGTTTAATCCGCGGTTTGGCGCCTTGCCCGATTGGGCGAAGCTGGGCATGGCACCTTGGAAACAATGCCACGACACCTATTTGACAGCAATCACCTAGCCTTGAAGCAGATCAAGAATTGAGATCTCAGCACCGGGAGCTTCTTGCTGAAGGTGGACGTGGTTTTAGAGCCCTGAGCTCGGCGACCTTGTGGTTGATCTGTCATGATCAGATAACTCCGAGCTTCCCCAACGATCGACCCCGGTGGCTGGCGCATCCGCTGTGCGGACGTGGACAAGATGGCGAACAGCCCGCGCAAGTCAATTGATAGCCTGGCATCTGGCGCATCCACGCCATCTATCTCGCACTATTCCATGACCCAGCTGGAGTCGCCTCGGGTTCCCCCTCAGCGATACCCCCTGAGGAGGGGATCTACAGCAAGCTCCATCGTGAGTATTGGAGGGATCCTGGATACCTCACAACATCAAGGGTCAATTGCAGAGTCAGGACAGAACGGTAGGGCACATAGATGAACAGTACACAAATCAAATAACCACGAATACTAACGAGAGAACGCCACTGCAGCCATTTCGACACTCTTGCAACCCCCGATTATTCGAACCGGCCTAACACCTCATACCGCTGTGTCGGCCACTGGATACAAACCGCCGTCATCCCGCGATATCCCACCGGTTACCTTGACCAATATTACCCATGTAGACTCAAAGGCATTTCAGTCGTACTTGTCGCAAGTCGGCTCGCTGTATGATGTTTTTCAACAATCGAAGGAGAACAACGGAGAAGAAGGCGTAACAACTCCGAGCATGAAATCACCAAAGTCCGAGCATAAGGATTCTTTGATGCCTTGGAGCCCGGAGCGGAGGTCTTCAACCATGTCTACCAGCTCACGACCAACTTCTCCTTATGATCCACGAGGCCGACGACCCTCATTCCGCGGTCGTGGCCCCGCAGTCACACCCCTATCGACAATTCCACCTGTGTATCTTGAAGAAGATTTTCATCTCGAGAACCCGAGGACCTTTGACGTGATATCGGAAAAATCAGAAGTGGTGCGACCACCTCGGCCTCCTGTAAAGGATGACCAGTTTCCTAATGGAGGCGCGTCGGAGCCCGCTCATACCGGAAGAAAAGCACTTGCCACCAACGCTATTCTGCAGGAGAAGCTTTCTTGGTACATGGATACGGTGGAAATTCATTTGATTTCCTCTATCTCAACCGCCTCTAAATCATTTTTTACAGCGTTGGGCTCATTGCGCGAGCTGCATGCGGAGGCGGCCGACTCGGTGGAACGAATCCAGGTCCTGCGCCGAGACCTTCAGAAAATTGATAAGGAGATGGCTCTGGGTGGTTTGAAGATCGTCAACCTACGCCGTCGAAGAGAAAATGTGCGCATGCTAGCTGCAGCTGTCGCTCAACTTCGTGATGTGGTAGAGTCAGTTTCTCGATGCGAGGAGTTGGTTGAACAGGGAGACATTGAGGTTGCCTCTGATGAACTAGAAGAGGTAGAAAAATTAATGGCTGGTGAGAAAGTTTCCGATCGTCCGGTCGAGAAAGATGACAAGGACCTCCCTCGACGAGCGATTGACCTTCGAGGCCTCAAGGCCCTTGAGGGTGCATCGGAAGACCTTGCCCAGCTAAGACAGCGTATTGGAATGGGATACGAAACCCGCTTCTTGAATGATCTTCTCGGTGACCTGCGTGAACACGTCCAGAACGTGTCTTCAAATGTTACTTTACAGCGTTGGGGCTCCTCTTTCTTGCGGCAACGAGGCGGAAACCGTCCTGTATCGATGGTGTCTCCCGCGTACATGAACATTGATAATGATTTACGATCCAGATTGCAGGTCCAGCTCACTGGACTTGCAAGAGCTCACTTCACCACGCCTGCGGCGACCTCCTTCAAGGGCGCTGTGCTGCGAGAGATGAAAGGACTTATTCGAAAACATTTACCCAGCTCAAGTGATGATGACAATGAATCCATGGTGTCTGTTTCCACTGTTGGGGACCGACAGCGGAGTCAGCAAGAGAAATCCTCTATTCTTGCACGTAATTTGCGTGCCCTTGACCCTGAAGATGCTTATCAAATGATCTTAGGGGTCTATACAGGCATTAGTGAATGCCTACGTCGATTGAGTACACAAGTCAAGATCCTCCTGGATATCGCAAGTGGCCTCGAAAACCCCTCGACCAACAGTGTGAAGTCCCCTCGAAGCCCCAACCCACAAACTATGAACCAAACTATCAAGTCTCTAGATGGTGGTCCATCCCCTTCTGCCCAGATGGCTCAAGATGAGATCTTACAGGTGTTGGACATGTCAAGTCTTCTTGGCCAGGCGGTAGATATTGCCCAGTCTCAGGTCACCAAAGTTCTGAAGGTTCGATCTGAACAGACAGCACAACTGTCGAAGGAAGAGTTCCTCAAGTACTTTACTCTTAACCGTCTTTTTGCCGACGAGTGCGAAGCCATTTCTGGCCGAGGCGGCACTGCACTTCGCACAATTGTGGGTAATCAGATTCGCGATTTCATCACCCGCTTTGGTGAAGCTCAGCGTCATCGCATCGTTCAAGTCATGGATGCGGACAAATGGGATGCGCGCGATTTTGGGGACGCTCAGGTCACCATATTGACTCGCATCCTTGATGCAAGTACCAAGGATATTGAGGCATGGGTTGAGATCTCCAAGATCTGGATCCCCTATCACGAGAAAGAGCAAACGGACTCCTCAGAAAACAGCTCTCTTGCAAATGGCTCAGGAAAAGAGAAAGTGCGCAGTGCGGTCATTGACGAACAGAGATACATCCTGCCAGACTCGGCTGTTGCCATTATGCGCAGTATTGAGGAGTTTGAGTTCCTTATGGCCAACATTCCCAACATGATTCAAGACATTGCCCCTCAGCTGCTGGAGATCCTCAAGCTTTTCAACTCCCGGTCATCCCAGCTGATCCTGGGCGCTGGAGCTACCCGTAGCGCCGGATTGAAGAATATCACCACCAAGCATCTCGCTCTTTCATCCCAAGCATTGAGTTTTGTTGTTGCTCTTGTGCCGTATGTTAGGGAATTTGTGCGTCGCCATGGGCAAGGGAACCAGGTTATGGCTGAGTTCGACAAGATCAAAAGGTTATGCCAAGAGCACCAGAACGGTATCCATGAGAAGCTTGTGGACATAATGAGCTCACGTTCAGCGCTCCAAGTTAATGCGATGAAGAAAATTGATTGGGATGCCGAGAATGACTCTTCTGCGGTCCATTCTTATATGGAGACCCTAGCCAAAGAGACGGGCACTCTACATCGCGTGTTGAGTAAACATTTGCCCGAAATGACCGTCGATATGATTATGGGGCCTGTGTTTAATAGCTACCGAGACCACTGGGTCAAGGCTTTTGACGAGGCGAGCGTCCAGTCTGAGACTGGTAAAAAGAGGTTTGTCTTCATCCAGTGGTGCATCTTTACTCTGTACTAACGATTTCTTAGGATGCGAATCGACATCGAACATTTCCGAACCAAGCTGAGCAAGATCCACGGCGCTGGCGTCTTAGGTGATAAAATCCTCCAGCTCGTGCAAGCGAAGAGTGTTGCTGCCCCGTTATTCGACTCGGAGCAGCCCGAACCTGCAGACGAAGAACAAGGCGACGACAGAGCATCTGACTCTGCCAAGTCATGATCTGTTCGCACTTGACTTCCCCGTACATGTCCTAGGCTCATGATCGCCATCATGAACCTGCCCTTATACATATAATCTCTTCCCCATGGTGGCGCTCCTAGCTACCAGTACGACTTTTTTTAGAAGCTGTACAGAGGCATTGTCATTTCCTACGCATTCATAACATAGCCTGTCCACGATATGCACTAATAGAAATAGCCCGGCGTTTCTTGTGAAGAATTGATGATTTCCATGCGAGCCCTCGAGGCTCACTCGTCATACTACGTTCGAGGTTTTTCGCCGCTCGCCTAATGTTTCTACCATGCCTACCTACGTCATATACCATTTACCTATGTACCCAGGCTCCTACCCAGTATCTTATGTACATGGACTCAAGATAAGTACATGTATGTTCAATGTTTGTAACAGATATGTATGTACTCGGCAAGCTCCTTGGAGCCAATACTGCAGCGTAGCCTCCTCGTAAACTCGTGAAAGTAAAGTGATGTTGGTGGTTTCTTTCCAACTGATGGTGTACACATATGAAGGATGAACCTGCTTAAGAGAGATTTCAAACAGGAACACTGAACCCTCAATCAAGGGAACTCACTTTATCAAAGCTACCTAGGTACACCTACCTAAATGAGGACCTCGGACTGCATTAGATATATCTACTTACATATATGTACTGTATCCAATACCCTAGAAGCTTGTATCACTTCTCCTGTCTAGAACGTGGCCTATGTTTGAGAGCTTCTGATATTTTTGTATGGCGATCCGGTCCCTTGGTTTACGGATAGCCCTCTTATGGCCGGATTCAAAATATTCACATTCCTTGCACTGGATAATCATGTCCACACTGAATGCAAACTCGTTGATAATTTCCTTATGCACATGTGTAGCATGGCAAAATTCATTGGTCGAAGTCCCAGAAGTGGAGCACGAAAATTTATACTCCATCGAATGACCACGATCACCACTGACCTGCAAAAAGCGAGAAGACTTTCAGACGAATGTTCAGACACGTGGATACTATTAGCTAATGGCAGACAATAATTATGAAGGCATCCTCTCATAGTGTGACTGAACAGCCTTGGCCGGACCGAATCTATCCGTCGGCTGGTCCTGCCGGGCTAGAGTGAGCTCGTCAAATATGCCTACAATTCTACGGAGTACGCGAAGCTGAAATGGTATTTGCCAAGCAGGCATGGAAGGCTGATTTTCAGGCAACTCTGCGGTAAGGAGGAAGGGGGCATCGATCTCACACAACTGTGGATCCGGATCCAGTTGACCTGCAAGGAGAAGGTCGAGAACAAAATGTTCGCCTTTCTTTGACGTTACCCACGTGTACCAATGAGCCAATATTCAGGAATGCGTGGTTGGCGTGGGTGTTGGAATGCGGCATTTATGGCAGCGTGCAGAATGTTTTCAGGATCAGTGGAAAGAAATCTGGGTCAGTTCTACATTACATATGAATATTCCCGCAACAGAAATGGGGGCGAACTATTAAGTAACTCATATGGAGTTTGCGCAAAGTCCGAAACAAGTTTCTAGAAAAGCTCTAGTGAAAATTTTTCTCATGGTCTGAGCTGTTCATAGCGTAGATTTAGTCTCGGGGCTTGACAAATTCTCTCCGAGAAGAAAATGTCTATGCTTTTTTTTTTTCATTTTCAATTTTTTTTTCGGTTTCAACAAAGGGGGTTGAAAAAGGGTGAAAATTCGGGTGTGACGGGCCTGATTTCCGTTGCCTGATCTGTATTCCGATCGGACCGTACGGTAAGGTGCTCTAATAGCCTATTATACTAGGACGTGGGAATGGTCTGGATCCGCCCGGGAATCACAGATTTTAGCTGTCAGGGACCCGAATTGCCGATCGACGCTCTGTCGTCATTTTGTTGCCCGATGCTGTTTCTGTTTCACACATTCCAGTAAATCTCGAAACATCCTGTTTGTTACGAGAATCTCGCAAAGCACGCAAACGTTGACAAATTCCAGTCATGAATAAATCACGCGATTGTACGGAGTACGGAGTAATGACTGACGTATTGGCATCACGCCTTTTCTCGTAATGCCGCTAGGCGCCATTTTTTAAAGGAATAAGGTGATCTCCCACAAGGTGGTTCCACCTGGCTGAAAGTGGGTCTTGCCTTTTTCTCCCGTGAGTCACATATGGAGTCACCTATGGAGTCCTGCTATTAAAAGCTCTTAACCCCTGCAGCAGATCTTTTTTTTCTTCGCTTTTTTCTGCACCTCATCTCATCCTTTTCCCAAAGGGGATGATGGTCGCTCTCCTATAAAAGTTCTTCGCCCCCCCATTGATACACCGGCTGGGGACGTCCTCCCCCGAATTTCTTCTACGTCCTGAGGATGGGACAGAGGCATAATCGACGCCGCACACGTCCTCGGTCATCTCATCAACCAAAAGATATACCTGTCTCTCGTCATACAGGCTCTCCGATATTGGCCCCATCGTCTATTTGGTGCCCCCATACTATTCCATTTGGATCCCCAGCGGCCAGCTATTCGACTACATGCGTTCAACGTGGATCTCCGGTCCCAATACCCGCCCCAACCTGGCACTATGGGTATTCAGCATGGCAGATCCGTGAAACAAAACCGATTCTGGAAACCGGTGGACTAGAGGAGCAGTACCGTCTCTTCGGTGGTGAACCAGGCGACGATGTGAACCTTTGTTACCGTATGCTGGAGTACTTTGGTGGTCTCGACTACATTGACTCGTGAGTAAATCTAACTCGAAGATTATTTCACCACCTCTGACTCAATCATCCAGAGTACGACAAAGGACCCTCGGAGACTGAAGATCAAGGACTTTCCAATTTCTTTTTTTTCCAGCCGGAAACTCCAGAAAAAAGCAAAATCAAAATAACGACCACGACTTTCGATTGCGATGATTTTATGGTTTTCATACAAACCCCCCCAAAAACACCGCCGATCTTGGCCATAGGACACCGTCCTCCGCCTACAGCGCGCCCGACACTCCGTCACAAGAACACCAGACCACATGGATCACCCGGGTCCCCGACTCGCAGCAATGAAGGTACCTCAGGTATCGGATTGGTCCTTTTTGACCCGGCCATGTGGATTCTGGACATGATGTTGCAACTAGGATGAGTCACAAGGCAGACTCCGCTTGACCCATTGGTTGAGTTCGCGACCGACCCTCACGGGTTGTTGACGCTTGAGTTCCCACTGAGTCATGCAGGAACTGGCTTTGACTTTGCATCTTCAAAGTATATATCTGTTCTGTCACCTCAAGAATTTTGGAGGTAGCAGTTGTTTGGGCTGCCGCATACAGTGAAAATGTCGGCGGAAAATATTCGATTCTCCTAGATTATACATTTCAGCACGGCATCAAGTTTTTTCTTTGCCATAATGTTTATACAAAAATCGAATCTCAAAATAAACTTCATAACCAAATCAATATTCCCCTCTAATTTCAATAGTTCATGTGCACGTAAATTACCTGATCTAGTTAGGCGTCGATCCCTTGGGCAAGTGCAATGTTGTCCTTTGGTCACCGCCCGCGCCACACAAAGGCACAAAGACAAAGCGCATCTGTTTATTGGGTAGGCGGTGAAACCCTTTGAGGACACCATCACCAGATCAGGAAGGGCTAATACTCTCTCCCTTCATCACTCCTTTGTTTCGCTACGGGCTATGCTGGAAGTTCCGTTGATTACAGATTCCTTTGATTATTCTCGAGCTTCTTCACCTACCTGTCCTGAGTGGCCCGCCTGATTTGCACAAACACGATCTTTAAATTCTGCGGCGCTATCGCCCTGAACTCGCCGCAGGATGTCGTCAGACTACACATACGATGAGCAGGTGGGCAAAAGAAACACCTGATACGACAGAGAATGTCCAAGTTTGCTAACCATTGCTCTGTACACTTCCAGGGTCAATTCTTCCCTTTCTTCATCTTGACCTTGAGCGGCCTGGTCACCTTCCCTCTTACTTACAACCTGCTTCGACCAAGCAAAGGTGCGTCACACGGTCAATTGTAATGCTCTTGCTGTATAATATTGACTTTTCCTGTTTGTCAGAGCTGGAAAACACTGCGCCCCGCATCAAATCCGATTTCAAGCCCAAAGATGCGGATCTCGTGGAGGCACAGAAGCGCAAGCGGCTGCGCAAAGAGCGCCGCATCAAGCGCATTGTTACAGTTATTCTAGGGTATATTGTTATGGCATGGATGGTCTACCTCATCCTGGTCACGGCCCGAACTGCCACAAAGTCCTACGATCCATATGATATTTTGGGCGTCTCAAGGGTGGGTGCTATACTCGACAGCCGCTGAGCCAGTCATTCAACGAATCCATGCTAACAGAATACTTGTGTATAGAGCGCCGATGAAAAAGCCATCTCCCGCCACTACAAGCGTCTCTCTCTCGTCTACCACCCCGATAAAATCCGCCCCGACCCCGCCAAGAATGAAACCATGGAGATGCTAAACGATCGCTTCGTCGAACTAACCAAGGCTTACAAGGCGCTGACTGACGAAGAGATCCGCAACAACTACCTCCAGTATGGCCACCCCGACGGCAAGCAAAGTTTCAGCATTGGCATTGCGCTCCCTAAACTCATTGTTATGGATGGCAATGGAAAATACGTTCTGCTGGTGTATGGTGCTCTTTTGGGCGTTCTTTTACCGTACATTGTCGGAAAGTGGTGGTACGGTTCGCAGCGCTACACCAAGGAGCGTGTCCTCGTGGCTAGTGCTGGCAACATCTTCCGCGAGTACAAGGACGACATTTCGGATAACGGCATCATTGCCGCCTTGGCTTCCGGCGAGGAGTTCAAGGACATTCTCAAAGGTGCTCAGGCTGAAGCTGGGCTTGCGAAATTGGAAAGCAAGGTTTTGTCGGCTGAGAATTCCTTCTTGGCTGCAAAGGATCGTGACTCTCTGAAGAGATTGGATAGCGTGACCCGTCGGAAGGCTCTGGCTTTGCTCTGGGCTTATATTGGTCGGGTCGATCTGGGAGACGCGTCTCTGAATGTAGAGAAGTACGAAGCTGCACCTGTTGCGCTTGCTCTTACTGAGGCATTCACGGCCATTGCTCTCGCGTTTGGCAACCTGCGACCGATCATTGGTGCTTTCAAGGCTTCTCAAAGCTTGATCCAGGCTGTACCTGCGAACTCTTCGCCCCTCCTGCAATTGCCCAACTTCACCGATGAAGTTGTGAAGGCTGTCGAGGGAGAAGATTCCAAGAATCACTTCACAGTTCAGAAATTCATGGGTCTCCCAGAAAGCGAGCGACGCAAGCGTGCTGTGGGAGCTGGCCTTCTCACCGAGAAGCAGTACACTGACGCGATCTCGGTTGCACGGCAATTACCTGCCCTGGAAGTCTCCAAGGCATTCTTCAAGGTTATGGGAGAGAAGGTCATTACGCCTAGCAGTCTGGTACAGCTGGTTGTGAAGGCTCGGTTCATCCCCCCAGGCTGCACCCAGATACCTGCCGTCAATGCACTTGATCTGGAGGACATTGACCCGGATGAGGATGATCTGGATGCTCTGATGGGCCGTAAGCCGGCTAAGAACCGCGCCACCAAGATCGTTGATGGCAAGAAGGTCGATGTCAAGATCGAAAAGGTCCAACCGCCACTCGCCCACGCTCCCTATCTCGCCCGCGACCACTCCCCCCGCTGGCACATTTTCCTCGCCGACGCTAAGCAGGGCAAGATGGCCGTTCCTCCATTCACATTCACCACTTTCGACAAGCCAATCCTCAACGAGGCCGGCGAGCCCACCTTCAACGTTCAGACCCTCAAGATGCAGTTTCAAGCTCCTCCGCAGGTTGGCGACTTCACATTCGTCATGACCATGATCTGCGACAGCTATCTGGGTCTAGACACCAAGTTGGAGATTACTCTACATGTCGAGGACCCCGCCAAGGCAGTAGCCTTGGAAGAGGAGGACGACATCAGTGAACCAGACGAGGGTAAGTTTCCTTTTGCAGTCTGCGTCCTTTGCCACCTAGAAACTAATAAATTTTACAGACTCGATCGCTGGCCAGATGCAGGCGCTCAAGACCGGCCAACCCCCGAAAAAGAAGACCCGGAAGGCTTCCGATTCCTCCAGCGAGGAGGAGAGTGATACCGACGGCGACGCAGGCGATACCAGCGACACCAACACAGAAACGGATGTGGAGGATTGATCGCATATGATTTGCATTGATTGCAAGATTAAACCCAGGACTGGTGTGACATTACGCTTTCGATTTCGATCGATTAGTTACGATCTGGGTCTTTTCACACTTTATACTTTTTTTCTCCCAACTACATTCACCATTTGTACTGTTTTATCACGTCTTCTGCCATCGGGTATCTTCGGGGTAGTTTTGTTCTTGTTTCCTTATAACCTGGCTGATAATGCCTGTGCCCCCTTTTCCCTCTCATGTCCATCTACTCATCTCATCCGACCAAAGCCGGAAATAGACGTGGGAATACAAATCGAAATCCAAAATACCATCCAAATCCTCTCCAATCAATCAAACATACCCACTTGTCTAGGTATTGTCTAGGTCAAGCTAGTCCTTGTTTTGCATGGCCACGGCGTCCTTGCGTGCTTCTGTGCTACCTGCCGCCCTTGCACAGCGACGTGGGATAGGTCGTAATAGACAAGGCAGGGGAGCGGGGGCGGAGCTAGGCCAGAGCTGTTGCACGCAGACGAACACCATCAATCTTCCGTGGTTGTCTGTGCGCCTGTACTTGTACACCATGATCGGAGTAGTCAAATTCCTGGGTTAGTGCTGGAACTTTTCCAAACATTTGCACATTGTGGGATGGCCCGGATCTATTCCAAGATTCAGATTCAGATTCAGCTTCAGCTTCCAGGTATGCATGGTGGTCTGCGTTCAGACCTCCATCCATTAAAATCCGGGATGTGCTTACATGTACATGTATTCCTAGGAGCGGATTGTGCATCTTTGTAGATCTGCTGCGAGTCACTTGTGCTTCCAGGTCCTGGTGCTCTTCTTTTGCTATTTTTGTTCACCGAGGATGTCAGAATGTACTATTAGAAGGGTTAAGACATTGGCCATACGTCTCCGTTGCGTCTTAGTCCTGATTGGTTAGCAGGAGAGAAAAAAAAGCAAGTGGCCAATCCTGACATCAGTTACAGGTACAGTTTTTGTAGATTGGCATTTACATGTAGCTGGGAGTAAATACTTAGGCGAGATAGAGTTTGTAGATTTCAATCTTGATGTATAGCATCTGCATCTCTACATGTAGATCTAAAGTACAGCTTTCTTTTTTGTGGCGTTAAGTCTGACAGGGGTCATTTGAAATACATGACTGTGTACATGTATCGATCATTGACGATCATTATTACCTACCGACCTCCAAGCTGTTCGCGGGTTGGAGGTATTCTATAACCTTAATAGAGTGGGCGGCTAAGGGTAATGGAAACGTATTTTTCTTGTTCTTAAACACTCCCTTAAGGCTGCAATCTCAGCTCTGTTTAGCTCAACTGAACCGATATGACGCAGTCAATCAAGCCCATGATTTATCTATAGCCAGTGAGAACAAGAACACGTCCCTCGAGAGAGCGGCACCATCTAAGATAGGAAATTCCGATCTGCTAAATAGATCTATGTAACAATAGACCGAAATAGAATAACAAGTGTGTATAGAAGTAACACCCTATGTCTAACCGTAAGTCCAAAGCTCAAGTCAGGTATCACAATTTACATGCCACATGTATCCGACCCTATAGTAACCCGTATTCCGTTGTACACACAATCTACCTGATCTGAAGGGAACAAGGGATCTTGAAGCACTAAATTGATGGCCGAGTCTCATATCTCAATCTAGATACCAGAAGAAAGTTGGGTGGGACGAGAAAAACGAGAGGCTGAATGTGGGAATTTAGAAAGAAAAAAAGAATTGGGTAAATTCCTATTGTGAAAAAATGTTCCAGACATCTTCCAATGCTCGGGATCCGGAAAACAATCAATTTGCAGCTTCTGTTGATCAAGCGTAAAAAGAGGGTAGAAAAATGGTTCTCTTGATCACGTTTCGGAACTTCATAGGCATAACATGATGATAAGCGAATGGAGTATAAGAAAAGAAGAAAAGAGACAAAGAAGTATAAATAAGAATCGAAGTGTTAATGCTGCCCAGCAGCCCGTTCCATCCATAAGGAGAAACAGAAGAAAAGACAAGAAAAGAATGGAAGAAAAGAAAAATGGGAAAAGTCTTCATCGATCTATGTTGAGGGAAACGACCATCCAGGCGTAAAACCAGGAAAATAAGGAGAATCCTGCGCATGGAACGGGAAATTATTCATCATATCTCCCGATAACCCCATATGATGCGGAAGCGGTCTCATAATCCCCGTATGCATTCTAGCCGGCTTCACATCCGGCTGCGTATCATTGCCCACATCCAGGTAGTACGCGAATCCCGGTTCGTGTCGACCTTGCGAAAGGGAAGATGAGGTCGCAATGTCAACGTGGTGAGGAGCGATCTCGCTCGGGCCCAGGTCTAGGGAGGTCAGGTCGGATGATCGTGTTGGCAGGCCCATTAGGTTTTGGTACCCTTGGTCTGCGTAGCTGGGATACCCTCCGCTCTGGGGGATGTGCGGCATATCCCAGCCCCAGCTGGGTGCGGTGCGGGTCATTGGAGGGGTGGGGGTGGAATTTGTGCAGAGGGAGGGGCGGGACATTCTTGTTGGGGATGGTCCGGGGGGGGTGGTCGGTTCTGGGGAGGGTTCTGCTGTGGCGCTACATTCTGTCGACGTGGAAAGCATGCGGAGGTAGCGAAGGTCCTCGGAATCCTCGTCTGGTTCATCGGCGTTTTCTTCCGCTTGTTTAATGAGGCCTAGTCGGTCGAGGATGGCGTGGGTCAACGGGTGGCCGTCGGGAGCTTCTTCGAGGGGTTCACCGGGGAAGCCCTCATTTGTGATGCAGAATGTGTATAATTTCTGGAGCGCCTTGACGACCAATGAGTGGTGGGATTCGAGCATCTCGACAAATCTATAGCCGCGTTGATATGATCAGTTATCCGGTTCTATCTAGTATACAGCCATTGCTTACCCGCGAGAGTAAACCTTGGTCTGAGTAGCTTTTCGCTCTCGGAATAGACATGGATGATTGTATACTGAGCAGCGGTTGCAAGGCTGTTTCCCATCACACTGTAAACCTTGGCTTCAGTGTCCTGCTTCATACATAACCCTGAAGGTATACACACCTTTGTCTTCTTGACACGACACCGATCACACGCTTTCAGAACATGCTTGCGCTTGACACGAAAAACGCGTTGATCCCGCTTCTCATCACCCGTTCGTGAGCGGTGTTCCAACTCCGATAATGATGCGACGGCATAATCGTCAATGCTATGTGGGAAGCCCTTGGGGCGTAACTTCGGTTGCCACGACATATTGCCTGATTTCCAAGGAGGGTCAAGGTAAGATATAGAAATACTGTAGAAGGGATCACTGTAGAAGGGATCAGGAGTATATCAGGAAACTAGAACCGAAGAAAGGAAAAAGCAAAAAAAAAAATTTAATGGAGCAGGTGGGGTGAAGATGATATGGACTTCAGCCGCGTAGACCTTAATATCATGCAAGAGAAACCCGGGGGGTTCAAACACCCCCCGCATGCCCCGCGGTATAGATAGTGACGTGGAGCGGTCATAAAGTCAACCGTTCGAGGGTTGAAGACAAGGGTTGGTAAAGTTACATATAACTTACAAGAGTAAGAGTAAAGAGTAAAATTACCCTAGACGGTCCGAGCCGCGAGTGGAGTAGATGGTAAAGAGTAAAGAGTAAAGAGTAAAATCCCGGTCATTTGGGCAAAAAGAGTAACGTTTCCTGTCCCACTGATACACGATCAAGATCAACACGTGTATACAAGTAAGGTCAATGCGTATACATATCAGGTGATATCCTAGTCCATGCACCGAAACGTGGTACGGCGTGATATGCTCATCATGGGTAATCCCGGAGACATTCTTCTTATCTGGTCTGCAGGAGCTAGTTGGGAGATACTTGGGCCGAAGGCAATTATTCTTTGATTTTCTCTCATCAACCTAGTCTATATGTGTCTACGCTTACTATTATGGCTCATCCATTATTCCCTCCCCTCTTCTCCTCCCCGACTTCCCTAGGCTCTAACTCTTACCTAGTTGGTATACGGAGCAACACAAGCGTGAGGTCTGGTGAGGTCTGACATTGGAGGGGCAACATCGAGGCTGTGTGGCCCTAATCAGAACCGTGGGCTCCTTCATCTGAGATGGTGAAGATCACAATTCCTTTCGATGGCATTAGGACAAACGGTGTGACGGTGACTGGATTCCATTGGATTTAATGCATGCAAATACATTTTGAACCCAGATAGGAATCTGATTTGGGGGTTTTTGGTCAACATTTTGATCTAGGATCCGTGCCCCTCTTGTGTCTGCGGGTGACTGGCGAAACTACCCGAAGTATTGAATCGACGCTACACTCTCCATTTCCCTTTTGTCCGTGAAGTCTATACGGAAAATACGCCCTGTTGCCCTGGTTATTCGAAACGGAAGAAATCTGGCAAATGATCAAGCTGTGGATCTATCTGCACGTCTACAACTAGTGGCTGCGGGTGGTTCACTGGTTTACCGAGGAATTTCAATTCTACAAGCCACTAGGCATCCAACTAGAGAAAAGGGAGAAAATAAAAGAAAAAAAAAGTATAATCCTTGTTCTGCAACTAATTCAAAGATCTGAATGATTTCCGTTGGCAAAGCCCCAGTGGCTGTCTTTTCCCTTTTCCCCTTTCGTGGGCCAAATCTGTCAGATTTGGAGCTAGCGGGGACCCCTACTGGAGGTGATTCACCATGCATCAAGCCCCAAGCTCATCACCCAATAACCTCGGGAAAATGCAAGTCAGATCAGCAGGACAATGTACTTCTTCTTTGTTCTTTTCTACTGCGTATGTTCAGGTACGGCGGACCGTCCTGCCACCAAAAGAACAGTCAGATTCGTGTGCCCATTGGAGCCTAACGCTGCCCCTTTCTCATTCTCCGAGTTTCACATTGGGAAGTAGAATACTAGCTTCCCCTCTCGCAAGCAAATCAAAACTCTCCTCGCTCGTCGGCGAACTAGGCGCCAGATGGTCAGGCGGCAAGTCGTATACGTTATGCTCCGGCTCTAACGTCTCACTGGAGCCCTGCCACCGGCGATCCCCAACCCATTCAATCCCGTCCCCCGCATCACGGGTGCCCGCCGGGCGACTCTCACCCTCGAGCTCGAGGAGAGGCAAGTCGCTTCGGGCAGCATCCCCTGAAGTCAGGAGGGGCAGGTGACGACGGTGCCAGTCGCCCAGGAACATTCCTTCGGGGTCGACTTCTTGTCGAACTTTAAGCCATTCGTCCATATCCTCGCCGTACGAACGGTGCAGCTCCGTGGACCCGAGGACCGTGAAGTTTTTAGCCCAGTGAGGTTTGGCACCCATGTCCCGCATGAGCCATTCAAAAGCCTCGTAGTAGCGTCGTCGGCACGGTGGATCCCGAAGATAAGGCCGGTAGAGCGTTGCGTTCAAGTAGAGTGTTGGGCCGTCGCGACAAGTCGGGTCCAGGAAGGGGCGAGGGCGAGGGTTGTTGGAAGAGTCCGACACGCGCACCTCGATCGGGCAATGCACATAGAGACCCTTACTGGAGAACGGGATGCTCGCCGTCTTGCTGTCGCCATGAAACCAGGCAGAGAGACGGATAATGGCCTCAGGTCCCTTCTCCAAGGGGAGCGCCCATTCGTTGACAAATTGTGAGTACAGGCAGTTCATCAGCAAGCCGGCTCGCGCCGGAGCAACCGCTTCTGTGACGGTGGTTCCCGGACGGAAGCCGTACTGCATACCGAAAATGAACCACTCCACCCACGGTAAGATCCGAGGAAAATATGACGACAGAGCCAGCAGGTTGTGGTACACGTGGTAACCGAACCGCTCGCCGTAAAAGCCCTTGGGGGCTTCGCGCAGCGGCAGATCAGTCTGGTCGGCTCGCCAGACAATCGCGCCCTTCTCATAGGGCATCCACCAGATGCGAACGAACTCATGCGAGGTCCACAGTCCCGTAGTCCAATCGCTGAGCACTCGCGACAGCGAATATCGCTCCTGGCGCCATGCGATGTTGAACGCAGGCCGAGCCTTGAAAGTCACCTCCACGACGATGCCGAGGGCGCCGAGGGAAACTAGGGCAGCGCGGAAGAGAGACTCGTTGCTGGTGGCACTGCAGCGCACTAACTGGCCATTGGCAAGAACCAGACTCAACGATTCAATGCACTCCGAGAGAAGCCCATGTCGCAGAGAACTTCCATGTGTGCCTGTCGCAATGACTCCCGCAATTGACTGACTATCAATGCTTCCCAGATTTTCCAACGTCAACCCTTGTTCTTCCAGCCGAGAGCCGAGGTCGTGCAGTCGGATACCGGCCTCAACGGTGACCATCCGGGATGTGGGGTCGACGTGGAGAATGCGATTGAAATCATCGAGGTTGACGAGCCAGGACGAGGTGCAGGTCAAATCCGAGGGAGAATGGCCACTGCCGACGGTGACCAGGCGGCGACGACAACGGCGGGCGAGCGTGACTACCTGCTGGATCTCTGGGATTGTCTGTGGGCGGATGTAGAGCTCTGGGTGAGAGAAGAATGTCTTCGCCCAGGTGTGGTGGACGTGATCGGTTGACGCGCGGAATGGGACCGCGGAGTCGAGCTTTGACAGCTCACGAGTGATAGAAGGGTCCATAGTGTTTATTGTATGCGATCACGGCATTCTGTAGGGCATTATCATATTCTCCGTATAGACAAAGGAACCTTGGTGGGGAGAAAGGGGAAGAGACGACGCTAGGGAAAAAGTGGTGGTCGATGGCGACTTGCATGACCTTGATCGGCCCACTTCCTATATCCGATCGATCCCCCACTTCCAAACTTCTTCTCTCTGTCATTCAGTCATCTGATAAACTTGGAAGATGACCTAAGACTTCTTTCAAATGTTTCAAAATTCTCGCTTTTATATCCTGTGTTTTCTTGGTAATAAATATAACTACCATCTCACGAATTAGCGTTCCTAGGCAACATTGCAATTTCCCGATAAGGCACGTTATCTCCGTACAATGACTGGACAAAAGTATCTGCACCCCAAGGCGCCACATTTTGGTGAGAGGGGGTGCAAATACTTTGGTCCAGTCACTACACGTGGATAATGAAATTCTCCCTAAACCGAATGTTCAGGATCATGAGATCTTATTCCTACTGGCTGGAAAGAACTGGAAATGTAGCACCCGGATAATTTGGACGCAAGGAAACCATTTTTTTACATGAGTTCGGAGTTCGCATATATCAATGAAATGCTCGCAAATGACACATATACACCCAGATGCTCCCGATGCTCCTCTAGGGGTAAGGTAAAGACTCCAGCCACCCGCGAATGCTCTCTTTACAGGGCCGAAATATGCACACAGGAAAGGAATAAAAAGCATGAGAGAAAAAAGACAAAATGGAAGGGAAGAAGATGCAATAAGTAGATGACAGCACAGACACAGGATGTATTTTACTCGGCCGGAGAGCGGATCGCTTCGATCGCCACGTCAAGAGGAAACACGCAGGGGGCATGGAGAGATAGAATGTTCCATTTTCGGAAGGCACTTTGGCATCTGTCTGGGACACCGCCAATTGCGACGAAACTCTTCGGGATAAATGGTCGATCCTGGAGGGAGGCTGCGAGGATACCGTACTCGTGTGCAAAGACCACGGCTGACGCAAAGTCGGCGGATTTATGGGATGCCTGTTCGCCGACGATCACATAAATCTCGAAGAAGGTATCCAGAACGTATACATCTTTATCTGTCAAATCTCTGTAACAGAAGGGTTCAATCTCCTGGACCGTGTCGTTAGGGCGGACGGTTGGGGAACCAGAGCCAGGCCGGCGCATCCAGAAACGGGGTGGCTGGCCCAACTCGTGGTCAATCCGAAGAAGACGAGTTCGGAAATGATCAAACTTCGGCTTCAGTTGCCAGTAATCAGAAGTCAGAAGCGGATTCGTTTCGTTGGAGCCGGCAAAATCATCGAAGAAGTCCTCGGGCTCGTCGCCTTCAGCCACTTCCTCAAATTCACCCGTCAATCCGAGGTCCATACTGATCAGCCGAGCCGCGCCGGTTTCCTCGGGTCCACTACCCTTGCCCTTCCAGAGGTAAAGCTTTCCAAAAGGTGCCGAAATCACGAATGGGAACCCAGAGCACAGGTTGCGAAGTGAGTAGTCAACTTCATCAAACGCCATTTGTCCCAGATGCTTGCGACCACAGAGCATATACAGTGAAGACGAAGTAGAGCGAGAGCTAGATCCACGGCGAGTGATGATGATCCCACCAAGAGCTTGGATGAACCGCACGGGCTCCTTGCCCTGGCGGATCACTTGCAACTTGCTGCTGTGCTCGCGAGCAACTTTGCGGGCAAATAGTTGCGCGTCGTCCAGAGCCGCTTCGGACACGTCATCTCCACACCAGAGGTAGACTTCAGCATGGTTACTACCATCTGCCTCGAACAGATGCACGCACACGTACATGCTCCCCTCATATAAAACGTACTCCTGGTTGACGGGTAGCTCCTGCTTTTTGCCATCGCCTGTCATTTCCCAAATTTGACGCTTCACAGTCCGGATCTTAGTGTCATCCAGTTTGCTTGCCAGCATCAGTTGCGGGTCAATGTCCATTCGGTTTCGTGGGTTGGGAAATGACTTGAAGAAGCCACAAATAACCTCTCGAGCATCCGCGGCCTGGGCCACTAGGGATGGGGCAGACATCTTACGGGACAGTCTATTGCGGGGATCGATGGGCTTTGCGAGAGAAATATCGGTTCTTTTATGTGGCACTGGTGGTGATGCACTGCTCTTGCTCATTGGTGAAGAATCCGCAACCATTACTCCCGGGGTGTTTTTTGGAGAAGGCGTCGAGGGCAAATCTTTCTGGAGTTCTCGGGAGCTCATTCTGAGGGGAGAGGGCGATGACGAAATGTATCGTGCTTGGCCCCATTGAAAGCGCGACGAGGGGCTGGATGGCGACGGGCAAGGCGAAGGTGATGAACAGGGCTTAGGCGGGACAGGGGGTCTACCTGATGGACTGGCGTCTCCTGATAACTCAGACTCTTGGGGGGCGTGCTCGTTCGGGCTAAGGGGGCCGGAATTTCGGGGAGAAGTGGGCGAAAAGCTTCTCAGTCGTTGTAATCCGCCGTTGAAAACATCCTGGAGGGTCGTCTTTACTCCTGGAAATTGCTTGATGTAGGGGCTCCCTATTTTTGCGGTTTCAGTATCGGCAACCACGTTTTCTGTTGACGTATTGTCCGAGATGGCTTCCGGAGAAACTTCAGGCTCGGGAATAGTCTGAGATCTTTTGACTTCAGGAGATGAGATGGCACCAACCTCCTTGATATCCTCAGCAGGTAAAACAGTGGGAGCAGAAACCCCCTTGGGCGCCCGTCTTTTGGGGCCCCTTGCACGACCCTTGGTGGCGTGGGTAAGAGGCGCAGATGGCAAGGCAGGAGAGGCAGCTCCGGAAGCTGGCACGGGTAGCTCTTTCTTGGATCCCTCAGCTGGACTTGGGGGACCTCTAGAGAGAAGACCGGCTAATGCGGGATTGATTCGGCCTGCAAGCTTCCCTTTAGCAGCCGAAACGTGTGTTGCAGAAGTCATGCCTGGGGTCTCCGCAATCTCTGACGGCGGCAAGCTACGAATTGAAGTGTTGGCCTCATGTGAGTGCCCTTGTTCACTGTGTCGATTCTCCTCGAGAGTTTGATTAAACGCAGGCTCCATATCTGAAGACTTCCGCTCGCGAGCGACCGGTGACGCATCCACAGGCGCCTCCTCCGACGCAGGGGATGATACAGATACAGGCGCTAGTTGTGCCCGGAAATCTCGTGTAGGGCTGAGCTCTGGAGCAGTCGTGGGGCTCTGAATATCGTTGCTCATTTTCCGGAGACTGTTAGTCTTCGTCATGAGGTTAAGCTTCGCAAGAGCCTCCGGCACAGGCTCAGCTGGCTTAGTCGGTGCATCCTGCTCCCCTGCAGTGTTTCGTCGGATCGAGCCACCTCCAGCCTTCATTGCCTCTTTCTGAATTACGAGACTTTTCCTGAATTCATCGACTCGCGGGGTTTTCTTAGGTCCACCAGTCGCGTTCAGGGCAGATTTACCACGAAGAATGTTGTCCTTGAGGTCATCTGGGGCGACGTAATTGCGAGTCTCTGTCTTTTTCAGTTTTCCAAACACATTCTTGAACTCCGGTTCTGCCTCCTTCCCCCTGTCTTGGGCGACGTCACGTTTGCGCAGATTCCCGCGGAAGTCAACTACCGGGGACTGTGGCTTGGGCTTCGGAGAAAGCGGCTCTCGTGTAGGAAGCGAGAAATTCGTCCTGGGGCTCAACAAAGGAGGTTTTCGAATTGACTCTGGCTTTGGACTGTTCTCCAGCTGCTCCGCTGGCGCCTTCTCTGGGGAGTCTTGTGGTTCTGATTCTAGCGCAGTCGAAGGTTTGGTCTCTTCCTCTATAAGCATAGGCTTGGGTTGCTCCTCGGGTTTGGGGGAATCTGGCGTTAGAATAGAGGTTGCGGGAAGTGGTTCGGATTGCAAGACAGATGACGGGGACTCCGGTGCTGTCATTCTTCTGTTGAAGGTCGGACTTCCAAGCACTGATGGTGTTCCAGAGATGCTGGGTTTCTTGAAATGGCCACCTGGAGGGGGCGTTCGCATCAAGCCCACCGGAGTGACCTCTTTGAAAGGACTCGCTCGACCCATATCCACACTGCCTCTAGATTGTCGCGCTTGCTGCCACGATGGCTGTGGCGGGGGTGGCTTTGACTGTCGAGATTCGGGTCGGTTGAGTGCACTCTCTAGCCAGGTCGATTTCGTCGGGCTCCAGCGTCTAGGGTCCATAGTTCTTGACGTAAACGGGCTTGATGGACCGTCACCCCCGAAACTGTCTGCCGTCACGGAGCTTGTAGACCTAGAGTGGCCATATAGAGCGGGTCTGCTGGGACTGCCTTCAGAGCGCATGTCGTTACCTGAGAAAGAAGGAGTAGTCGGTCTCTCAGTTGTTTCCGAAGGTTGCACAGAGGTCTCAGTGTGGCTCGAGCTAGGTCGCTCTGGAAGTGCTGTTTCCCGATTGGTTCTCGAAGGAGTTGTAGGGGTCATGTCGCTGTAGCTCGCTGTGAGGCTAGGTGCCGCAATACTGTTTCGATTGTTGACAATGGAGTTGCTTCGGCTCAAGCCCTGGGGTAATTGTGCACTCCACCGTTTTGACACACTGTCGGATCGCCTCATCATAGCACTCTGTACAAACCCACCGAGACCTTTCGTGGGTGATGTTGAACGACTTCGCTCTGGCGACATTCGCCGCTGAGAGGGAGAGGGTGGCAGGGCTGGTTCGTCTACCGGAGCCTCAGTTTGAGAAGGATCCAGCTTTGGGGCCTCCGTAATAGCCACTGGTGAACCTAGACCAGTGTCTGGCGTGACTGATGACACGCTCGAATACCGGTTGCTCACATTGCTCTCGTCAACCGTCGAGGCTGTCTGTGGCCGTGATGGTGACTTTTCCTCTGCTTTCTCCACTTTCTCTGGTTCTACTGCTGATTCATGGTTCATGCCTGGCAGCTGACGACTTGGGCCCAAATCTACTGGACTCTCAGACCGTTCTTCCGACTTGAGAAATGCTGGCGACCCCAGCCCTCGGTCTGGGGTTTGTCGAATCCACGACGGGTCTTTCGACGAGAGCGAAAGAGCGATAGAAGCACGCGACATCCCCTTCTCTTCCGATGCTGTGGATGCATTTCGTAGATGACTGGATCGAGTCGGTGATGTTGAGCCTGGTGATCGGTTCGCAAAATCACGCGAAGACGGGCGTTGCTGCCACGACAGGGTCCCCGCTCGACTCCGAGACATAGCGGGCACCGTTCGTGGAGATTCCGCGTCCGTCTCTTGGACCGACCCTCGCCGGGAATTTGTAGTGTAAAGAGGCTCTGGTTCATGACTCGATTTTGCTTCGTCGAGTGGCTCAGGGTTCGGGGTCTGTACCGTCGGTTCGAGGTGCTCCGGAGGGTCGATGGAAGGCTGGCCGATGGATGAAACACTCAGTCTTGATGGATTCAAGGTAGGAGAACCGGCAATCGATCGTGCTCGCTCTGGTATCATCGCGTCAGTATCTCACGGAAAAGGTGGGTCGCCACCGAGATAGCGCGGGGTTCTGGCGACGCCAAAGCCCGCAAGCATGTTAAGGCCAAGGGCCTAAGGGAGGGGCATACCAGCTCGACGGGCCTGTCTTTCCTTCCGGCCTTGCATGATCTCATCCTCCAGTCGTTTGGTGCGCTCCTCATCTTCTTTATCACGGCGCTCGCCAAGTTCACGAATGCGCTGTAGGAAATCATTCACGTCCTCCGGACCATCGGGACTCTTGGTGGTCATAGTCCCGTTGCGCGCTTCCGCGAGGGAAACTCTCCTTTTAGAATTGGGGAGAGTGTGAGAGTTGAATAGGGAGGGGAAGAGAGTGGGAGGAAGAGGAAGAGCCAAGGGCTGAGGTGTGTCTCCGCCCTGCTTAAATCAAATGGGGATGAGATCCATCGCAGGTAATTGGCTCCTCCGATCTTCATTGCCCATCCCTTCGCTCTGAAGCCAATCCCGAGATCTGAGTTTCAGGGTTCTCACATAGGCAGGTCCTAAAATTAACTAATTAAATAAGATTGTTTATATATAATATTCTTGCTCATAAGGATATCATCCAATTTCTACATGTTTGTTTATTTACTAACGTTTTGTGGAGCGGGATCGCTTCCCAGGTTCGCGCCCCGCTCCTCCTTAGTGCCATGGAATTGCCGCAATGACGAAATGGCAAAATTTTCTTTCCTAAAAAGGGGGGAACTATAGTATACTATTATCAATCATTCTCGTGCCTTACAGCTATTGTCTCTCTGATACAGGCATATAAAATGGCTTGTGCAATCGGAGAATATCAAAGGATCTCATGATATATTTCGGGCATATGCAGTCAGCCGTTAGGCAGGACCGCTAGAATATATTGAAAAATAGGTTTAAACACATTAGCGTTGAAACCTAACTTGAATTCTACTGTCCAGGGCTACACAACATGCAAATTTCTTACCTACTAGGAAGGCTGGGTTGACTGCCAAGGGGTAAACGGCCATTAAATCTGAACATTGTTCAACATCATCAACCCAGCAACTCAAGTGCTGTTAAGCATCTGACATGGATGAATAGGCAGAGCTGAATACTTATAGAGATGGTAAATGGATCTTGACAAGAAAATTGAAAGATGGTGGCAGCACAATGACTTATTACAAATATTTCAATCAATGGGTAATATGTCAAGCCTAGTAGAGAAACAATCGGTCTTTCGCATCTTGTACCACCCACTCCAGCCCTTCTGTCAAGTTTTTTCCCGTCATAGCACTGCATGGGAAGATTGTCCATTTATGAGTTTTGATTGAATCCAGGTCAAGACGCTGCGGGGATTCATCAGTCCAGTTCCGATAAGAATAAAGAAAACCTTGAAAAAAGTTGAAAGATTGTAATATCACGTACCTGCCGGACTTCTTCTTCAGACATGCAATGTTCTACATCTGTCTTGTTCAAGAACACCAAAAGACTTGCACCGGTCAATCGCTGTTGTCGGTTAGTTCGGGATCCCGGGAATCTAGGAAGCTAGGTGGGGACCAAACCTCCTCCAGCAACAGCCCAGCCAGTTCCTCACGACAATCCTCCACCCGGAGTCGATCAGTTGCATCAACAACCCAGACTAAGGTGTCTGTCTTTTCAAAATAGTTCTTCCAGTAGGATCGCAGTGTCTTTTGTCCTCCGACATCCCCTGCTTCAGGTTAGTCCTGCAGTAATACTATCAAAGTGCGACTCACAGATGTTCAGTTTATATCTGGTTTAGTCAGTAAATATCCCGTGAGCTTCAGGAGAGATGCACTCACCCCATGAAATCAATGGTCTTAATAATAAACCCTAAAGTTGGGCTGACGGTGGTGACATCCTCATTCATAATTCTTTTGACAATTGTGGTCTTTCCCGCATTATCCAGTCCCCTTTTACCATGGCTTAGCCCACGTCCACTCCCTGGAAGGTCGATAACACATACAGCATTAAAACTCGCATTTCCTTGTCCTTTAGACGAGCTTTGCGTAGGATTGACAGCATTATGTCGAGTGGTCTGATATTCTTCAATAGGTGATAAGGGGAGTAAAATTGGGCAGCGGGTAAAGATTGTGGATGTTGTTCCGCTTCTACATAGATTAACTACTATCAGCCATATCCACCGCGAAACCTCACATCCCCAAACCCACTAAAGAATTCTTTATATGGGCAGGCAATTTATAATATAAGATATAATACTACTCTAAAGAAACTCTGCTGTCGGCTTCGTCCTGAAAAAGCGAGGAACTTGATCAACGAATTTCAATTGATCTGGTGCCTCCAAATATTCTTTCTATCTATAAAAATGTCGAAATTAATGACTTGGACATAAGAAGTAAGATTAAACAAGAGACAATATCATGCTGAACAAGACTACCTAAGCTGCTAGTACGTACGAAGTCATTCAAAATTATATACGACCCTCTGTTGGCTTCTAGTACTATTACGAGATAGAAATGGAAGCTTGTATCATCTCACTGCTGCCTTCTATCTTACTCTCTTATACATCAATAATGCAAAAATAAACTTCGTCTCTTCTCTTACTTACTAACTATGGGATAATCCTTCCACACGGCCAGCAGGTATCACTTACAGACAGGTGCTGGAATTCTGTTGATTTAAGTCATATTGCATTTAATTCTTCTATTTACTAGCTGCATGATCGCTTCAGATTAATAATAATGGCTTGATTAATTACAATGCTACTCTAATTGGCGCAAAAGCCACCTGGGCATATTGCACAAAGGCTTCATGCACATGTGTTCTCTAATGTTCCAATCATCCTAATAAAAAATCAGATAGTCAATAGCTAGACTCTCCTTGTCTTTAGAGCTGAACTCATTGAAATTAACCACTGAAAAATAAGAAATAAGCTTAAAGAGACATGATCCAGCCAAAAGGACCTAATTAGATACTATGGTCCCCACTATAAAATCTTACGTGATCTTCCACACCGCCCGATATTTTTTCTGCAACGAACCCGATTTTTTTCTATGGTCACCGCCTGTTGATTTCTTCCTGTCGAGAGATTGCTGGTTGAGTTTCTGGGGATTCAATCGTTTCATTCTTTCTGTCTGTTACAAATTCCCCGCTGAGGCAAGAGATACTTCTACGTATCTAAGCGAGTGATTCAATTCCTCGCCCATTGCCTTCACCATGGCTCCCGCCAAAGACGACGACTTTGTCTTTACGCTATCCGACGAGGAGGATGTCCCCCGTTTCGACGATGACGATGACGAAGGAGATGAGATGAACGGCGCGGCCGATGCGAGCGACAACAAGAAGCGCAAGCGTGAGGCTGAGACGTCGAAGGGAAAGAACAAGAAGTTGAAGCAGCAGAACAAGGACAAGAAGAAGGGCAAGGGCAAGGCTAACTCTGTTGAGGAAGAGGAAGAGGAAGAGGAGGAAGAGGCTGACGAGGTTCCCGCTGGTAACGATGATGGTGCTTTGAACCCCGACTTTGAGTTCGACGTTGCCGGACTCGCGAATTCGGGCGTTACCGAAGGTTTCGATGGATGGGGTCTTGATGATTCCAAGCAAGATGCTCCTGGCGGCGACAAGAAGGCCGTTGACATTGACGACATCATCGAGCGGAGACAAGCCAAAAAGGAGGCTGCCGCTGCGAAGAAGCAGAAGAAGAAGGAAGCTGCGGAGCCTGTGTTCGATGGCGTGGAAAGCGGCGACGAAGATGGTGGTATGGAGGTCGATTTCGAAGACGATGAATTGATGGCGGATGATGGCTTTGGTATGGGTGCCGATGGCGAGGAAGAGAGCGAAGCCGAGGGCCCTGAGCCTGGCTCTGGTCCTGAAGACGAGGAGGAGGAAAGCGACAATGACGAAGAGGACGGCGATGCATCCGACAACGACTCCGTCGCTACCCCAGTTAACCACCCCGACGACGTATCTGATCGTGAGGAGGACTCTGATGCAGAGAGTGAGGTTGACGATGAGGAGGCAGCGAAGCGCAAAGCTTTCTTTGCCCCCGAAGAGAAGACCGACAGCAAGGATGGGGAGAAGAGCACATTCCAAGACTTCAACCTCTCTCGTCCTATCCTCCGAGGTCTCGCCTCGGTTGGCTTCACAGACCCGACTCCTATTCAGCGCAAGGCTATCCCCGTGGCACTGCTGGGCAAGGATATCGTCGGTAGTGCCGTGACCGGTTCCGGCAAGACTGGTGCTTTCATTGTTCCCATCCTCGAACGTCTCCTCTTCCGTCCTCGCAAAACTCCTACCTCTCGTGTCGTTATTCTGATGCCCACTCGTGAGCTGGCGGTGCAATGTTACAACGTCGCCGTCAAACTAGCCACCTTTACCGACGTCACCTTCTGTCAACTTATCGGTGGTTTCAGTCTCCGTGAACAAGAGAACATCCTTAAGAAACGACCCGATGTCATTATCGCCACCCCCGGTCGTTTCATTGATCACATGCGCAACTCCCCCAGCTTTACTGTCGATACCCTTGAGATTCTGGTTCTTGATGAAGCCGATCGTATGCTTGAAGATGGATTCGCGGACGAGCTGAACGAAATTTTGACTACTATCCCCAAGTCTCGTCAAACCATGCTTTTCTCCGCTACGATGACTGAGAAGATTGACTCGCTTATCCGTGTTGGCATGAACCGTCCTATGCGACTGATGGTGGATGCGAAGAAGCAGACGGTCGTGACTTTGACTCAAGAATTCGTCCGGTTACGTCCTGGTCGCGAGGACAAGCGTCTTGGTTATCTATTGTATCTGTGCAAGGAAATCTACACTGGTCGTGTGATTGTGTTTTTCCGACAAAAGAAAGAGGCCCATCGGGTCCGCATCATCTTTGCTCTTCTGGGCCTGAAGGCGGCCGAATTACACGGTAGTCTGAGTCAAGAACAGGTATGCTAACAAAATTGTGTTACATCTTCGGATCCAATGCTAACTAGCCCCTTATCTAGCGTATCAAAAGTGTTGAGAACTTCCGAGATGGTAAAGTCGCCTATTTGCTCGCGACCGATGTCGCCTCTCGTGGTCTAGATATCAAGGGTGTGGAGACCGTTATCAACTACGAAGCCCCGCAGAGCCATGAAATCTACCTGCATCGTGTTGGTCGTACCGCTCGTGCCGGTCGCATCGGTCGGGCGTGCACAATCGCCGCCGAACCAGACCGCAAAGTTGTCAAGATGGCCGTGAAGGCTGGCAAGGCTCAGGGTGCCAAGATTGTTAGCCGTGTCGTCGAACTTGCGACCGCTGATGAGTGGGCCCAAAAGGCTGTCGATCTCGAGGATGAGATCGAAGAGGTCCTTCAGGAAGAGAAACTTGAGAAGCAGATGACGCAGGCCGAGATGCAAGTGAACAAGGGTGATAACATGATGAAACACGGTGCGGAAATCATGTCCCGACCCAAGCGTACCTGGTTCGAGAGTGAGCAAGCAAAACGAATGGCCAAGCAGGCAGGTGCCGAGGCCTTGAACGGGCCCAACGCTCAATCTAAGAAGACTAAGCTTAGCAACAAGGATAAGAAGCGATTGGACGATGCTCAAATGCGCCATGATGGCAACATTGGGTGGAAAAAGGGCAAGGCGGACCGAGATGCGCCCCAGGGTAGAGGTGATAAAAAGGGGAAGGGCAAGCCTAAGGGTAAACCCCAGGGCAAGGGCAAGGGAAGAAAATAATTTATGGATACCAGGCGCATATACAATTATCTGTAGAAACAATGTATATTTCAAAATCACAGATATCATGGTTGATTTGAATGATTCAATTGATCAAGCTCGTTTACGTCGCTGTAAGTGTTTAAGTGGAACTGGGACTTGATTGGGGTGGGGAAAGTAACAACTGAGGTCTATATACTTCAATAATACTTTTGATTCAACGGTCTAACTCTTATATTTGTATGAAGATCACATGTATATGAGAGGTCACGATTACTATTCCAGTAAATTCCACGGGAGTTTCTTCGGAGTTATATAAGTCAAATAAAGTCAAAAAGGCAAGTAAGAAACTTACTCAAAGCGCCTTGCATACGACCCAACGATAATCGGAAAGGTGAACGCCCCCAACGCATGCGGAAATCTTTTATCAAAATCTATTGGTTAATCAAGTTTCGACTAAAAAGCCTTATTCCAAGCTAGTTCATCTCTTGGCTCAGCTAAAATACATAATACCTCAGCCCAATATAGAGAAAGAAAGTTTTCTATACCCAAAAAACCCCCCGCGATATCGTTCCTAAAGGGTTAAAGCCCCACGCTATTAAATTCTTGGGGCCAAATTTTCGCCGATTCCCCTCCTTTAGTTACTCTTAGAAATCTCCCCTTTCCACACATTATCGTTCCAACAGATTCTTAGTTACGCTGTGTCCTTTCTTTTCCTGTTGAACGCCAATGGGGGTCGCGTGTCGCGAAGTCCCGTGAAGGTTGCGTCATGGGGGTCGAGGGCTCAGCAGGCAGTGATGTGCCGCTAAAGACAAGTCTTCCTCGAAAGAGCGCCTTTTCATGTGAAGCATGCCGCAAGCGCAAGGTGGGCACGCATCCTATCTGGTCGGATAGGTTCCGAAGGTCTCTCATAGGCTAATCAATGGAGCTTATAGGTCAAGTGTAACGGAGTTTCTCCGTCGTGTTCAAGATGCGCCGCCCGTGGAGAGGTGTGCGTCTACAGCTTGTGAGTTATCGCGACCGGTTAAGCTCCGCTTGGCTGATCCCCCCACTTTTGATTTCTTTGCTTTATTTTTATCGTTTCTAATATCTTCAAGGGCTCCGACCTTATCATATACCAAACAACTTGAAACGAGGGTCGCGCAATTGGAGGATGCGCTGTCGAAGCTTCGAAATCAAAATGCTAATTCGGAGGCCAGGAAGGTGAGCTCGCCGGCTTCGGTGGCGGAGTCGAGTTCCAGCGCTGGACGCAGGATTAAGATGGAGCATGACGAGACGGGCGAACTTGCTAGGGAGTTTGATGGATTGAATGTGGAAGATGACGGTCGCATTTCTTTTCATGGTCCGACCAGTCTGTTTCAGCTGCCCAGCGGGGCTGTGAGTGAGACGGCGTCGACCTCGCATTTCGCACAGGAGCTCGAGGCTCGCAAGGAGCGCTTAATCAATAATGCATGGCGAGAACGGGCGTTCGAGCAGATGGCGACCATGCCGGTAAGGCCTCTCTATGCAGAAGTAAATTTCAAAGGACCTGCGCTAACGGCCTCTGATACTAGGAACCTTTCCAATACCTCATCGACTCGCATTGGTGCTGGATCCAACCTTTGTTCAACTTTGTCTACCGACCAGCTTTTACCCGTTCGCCTATCCCACCATATTCCCCTTTGACAGTGACTGACTAGCTGGCAGGTGATATGAAATTGAATGGCCCATATTATTCTGACGTTCTACTCAACGCTATCTTATCTCATTCGGTGCGATGGTGCAAAGAAGAACCTCAAGTCGGACCGCTTCTTGACGCCTTCGATGGCGGAGCACAATTTTATCAACGTGCGCGAACTGGACTATTCGCTACGCTCCAGAGCGGCTACGCAGAAATTCCTACTATTCAGACACTCCTCCTTCTTAGTGCACAGGAATGTGGCCGTGGGAACCGAACACAAGCATGGCTATACAGTGGAATGGCGTTCCGCTTGCTAGACGATCTAGGTATCTCAATCGACAGCCGCAAATATCCTGGAACGGCTCAGTTGAGCGACGAGGATATTGAAATCCGCAATCGACTCTTCTGGAGCTGTTACTTCTGGGACAAGATTGTATCGTTGTATTTCGGTCGGGCACCGGCAATGCAGCATTCACGAGTTAGCCCGCCGCGGATGATATGTAGGTTGAAAGTTCTACTGAAATGGCATGTCAATACTGACGAACCTTTAGTGGATGACACCTCAGAGATTGAAAATTGGACACCTCATGGAGTGACCTTCCCCGATGGAACGCAATATCCGCCTACGCAGGCACATTCCACCTCGTGTTTTATGAAAATGTGCGGGCTGGCAGAAATCCTGAACCAAATCCTCGTCCATATTTATGATCCAATGCGCCAGAGTACCGAGGCAGAATTCTTTGAATGTGTACAGGAGCAGGCAAAGAGCTTGAGTGACTGGTGGGAGGAACTTCCCGAATACCTGAAGCTGGTTGCCACCGATCTACCCCCGTATTGCCCACCGAGCCATATAATGACATTGAAGTACGTCTCTCTGTTCCTTGTCCTCTGAGAGGCCATGCTAACCCCGTTCAGCTGCTTTTATCACACGATCAATATCCTGCTCCATCGCCCAATCCTTTGTTCTCGGGCTTTATTACAGACGCGGCAAGAACCATATGATACGAGCCATCTCGTCCAGTGCATGGCTTCAGCAACTTCAATCTTGTCTCTGTTTGATCTATACCGCCGAACATTTGGAGACGCCCATGTTGTCCTCTCTCTCGCGTACAGCATCTACACCGCCGCTTCAATCTTCCTGCTCGAGATTCAGGCCTTGAAGTACGCTGCACCAGGCACACTCGACAAGCTCAAATTCTGTATCCTCGCCTTAGAACGAGTCAAGGTCTCCAATCCGGTCATGGCAACCGCCTTGAATCTGGTCTACCAGGAACTCCAGAAGCTGCAGATCGACATCCACGCCCCACCGAATCCCGAAAAGCCACATTACCCACCCCAACCACGACCCCACTCCACTCCCCACAGTCAATCTCCATCCGTCAGCAGCAATCCCTCCCGTCATGTCTCCCCGAGTCATCAACACCAGCGCCAACACAGTCGAGCAATGGGCACACAACCTGGTACTCCGGCTGCCAATACCACCGCGCCAATGATGTCCAGCTACACCTTCCAACAACCCGTCTCAGGCTTCGATATTTCGCAATTGAACGAAATGCCCCAGATGCCATCGACACATTTGCTCGGTGGCATGCCAAACGCTGTCATGACTGTCGACGATCCGCGGTCATACGATATAACACCCGAGGTATTCGAGGCGTTTTCGTATGCGCAGCCCATCACGACGAATATGACTTCTCCTTATGAGACAAATTGGCATAGCCAAAGTCAGTGATTGGTTGATGCGACGTGATTGACGAACTAAAAGATGATCCCCAATTGGTTAAGGTAGCGATGCAAATTTCTTGTCAAAAGTTTAGCGGATTCTTTTGTTGTTAGATCCGATTAGTATATAGGTTTTTTTCTGCCAAGATTTCTAAATGAATCTGATAGTTATCTAGTTTCCAACGAAGGATATATTCTATCTTAACAGAATTTCTTAATCATACTGAATATGAAGATGTACAAATCGCGGCATACTAGTCACGATGGGTGTATTTGGGTGTCAAACCCAGAAGGCGAACTTAAGACAAATACAAATTCTCATACATGAGAACATGAAGATCAATATTTAGGTAAGTAACGGATAACCGGCAAAGGTATATTAAATACAGAGGGTAGAGGATATTATACCCCTCAAGGACACGCAAAATGAAGAAGAGAAAGGCTATGCAAGCCACTGGGGGCACAGCGGCTGAAAGCAGGGGTATAGGTAAACAAAAGCACCATATGCGAACATATCTCGACATTCAAACGGCACCACTTTCAAACTCTGCAACTACAAAGTAGACTTAAACAGAGTCTGATCCTGATCACGAGACTCAACATCCTCTTCCGAGGAAATAGAATGATCCACATCCTTGACACGCGCATTCCAGCGCATATACCACGGACCAGCGAACAGCTCGTCCATCTGCTCCATAGACACACCCTTCGTCTCAGGCATCCAGACACCCAAGATGAGGAGACCACAGAAACAGATTAGCGCCCAGAACAGGTACGCACCCCAGACGTCCAGCGCGAACATGTTCGGCGTAACACGGACAACGGCGAACTGGAAGAACCAGTGCAAGCCCATGGAAATACCGTAGCAGACATTCCGGATGCGAGTGGGGAAGATCTCGGAGCCGTATAGGTAGGGAATTGTGCAGAGGCCGATGGACCAGCCAACGGCGTAGATGAAGACAGACGCGATAGCAGCGTTGGAAGCATTGGTGTTATCCCCAGAACCGGGCTGGAGACCCATATAAGCACCCATATAGATATGGGCTGCGAGCTGCAGCGAGAGGCCAGTAAGCGCGCAGCGACGACGACCGAAAAGATCGATAAGACCCCAGGTAAAAGCCATCGTGAAGACCAGCTTGACAATTCCGTAGACACCGGAGGAAATGAGTGACGCGTTGCTGCCGGTGATACCGGCGTACTGGAAGATAGTGGAGATGTAGTAGGTGATACCGTTCCCGCCGGACCACTGGGCGACAGTCTGCATGGCCATGAGGAGCCAGAAGCGCTGACGGTAATTTGGGTTGATTTGGGATTCTTTCAGAGCTTGCCAGTTGGAGATTGAGGCTAGGTTGGCGCGCTGCTTGGCTGCGGCGTCGATTTCCGCGAACTCGGCGAGGATCCGCTCGTCGTCTGGGGTAGTGCCGCGGAGGCGGGCGAGGACTTGTTTTGCTTCATCATGGCGCTGCTTTGAGGCGAGGTAGCGGGGTGTTTCAGGGCACCAGAAAGAGAGGATGAAGACGATTCCGACAGGGATCAGAGGGATGGCTTGAACTAGTCGGTATTGGGTGCGGGTGGCGGCCATGTGGAGATTCGCGCCATAATTAATGAAGAAGCCTTATCGGTAGCGTTAGCGTTGAGTGGCAAATGATAAGAACTTCAAATTCCAAAAAGCTCACCGATTGCAAGGATTGCGAGTAAAGTCACCATGGACAATCCCACGGCGAGACCACGAGTGGCCTTGGGAGCCACTTCTGACAGGTACATGGGAGATGTAACTGTAAGGAGACCAGCGCCCAAACCAGCAAAAATGCGGGAGAACAGCAGCAGGCCATAGATGCCCGAGGAAAAGACCTGGATAAAAGTACCAATTGCCCAGACTATAATTGCCAGACGGAATGACAAGATCCGACCTAGCTTATCGTTCAAGTATAGAGAGCTCAAGGCACCAAAAGCCGCACCCAAAGTCAAGAACGAGGAAATATTCGCCTTCCTGTTGGTCAACGCCGTAGCATCACCCTTCCAATCCGCAGAGAGCAGATCATAATCCTTTTCAAAAGATGGCAAGGACATGCTTGCACTAAAACCTCCCTCATCGTAACCTATAGGATAAATGGACCATAACCCGTTAGTCAAAAATGCCCCTTACTAGCCCCAACCAAGATCCCCTGGGCACGAGATAACAATCACATACCTTTTGGCATGCATCCACATGCAATCACGACAACGACAAAGGCATAGTATGGAGCGGTAGTCCATCGAGACCGATCCAGCCATTGCATGATGGCGATATTCCCAGGAAAAAGGGATCGGGGGACTGTGGAGGTGGAAGTACAGAATCTGGGGAAGATAAAGCTGTACGCAAACGAGGGAATATTAAGGAGAGTGGATTAGGGAAGACAAAGCCATCGGGATCCCGTGGGGAATCGGTCAACTTCCGTTGCAAATTTTCGATGCTCTCGAACCCCCCGAAGTCTCCCCTCATCGACGGAATCTTGGTCCCGACCCACCTACCCACCATGGATCCACTAACCCATTATAGACAACGGAGAATTAAGAGTTAAGAGTTGAGAGCAACTTGTATCGAGTTAAAATATTGAAGTTTTTTTATTGATGAAATCACAAATTTCACTACATGTAGGTCGCGCTACTAGATCTTCCAAAGTACTTGAATTACGGAAAAGCTATAGTGGGCCATGACTAGTCCGCGCTTTCCCCTCATGTAACTTAGCTGCATTTCTTGCGTAAAATTTGATCATTAGCTGCATATTCCGCACGCCTTTCCTTGCCTGTTTCGATTTAGCGCTTCCGCTTCCCGTTCCTTGCCGAGTGGAGTAGGGAGTCTCGATCGTTGAGAATTCCAAGATTTCCAGGATTTTGAAGTTTTCGCGGATGGATTTCCCTGAGGAACCAAACAGAACAAACTCAACATTCATGAGCACTGACCCCTTCCCGTGGACCAGTGAGATACACTTGTCGACACAATGATTGTATCTGATGCTGATCTGCTTTAAGGATTAGTTCTAGCGAAGCATTAAGTATATAAAGTGATTCTTTCATTTGCGGTCAAAAGAACCACCATGCACACTTGCGTGCACTCCGGTTGATTAGCTGAGGCTTTCTCAAATCCGTTGAGGATCTAGCGCGTTGGCTCGGAGAGCTATTCCATCTCAAACCGACTGCAACATACATCTTGCCATTTCCAGTCTGGCCTCTGGAATAATCCCCATTGTGACGGACCTAGCGATAAAACGTACACTCCACCCTTGACAATTCTCCGTGACAGATTGTCGATTAGCGGCTCGAGGAGTAGCTTCCTCTTCAGCGACTTGTCTCACTACGCATTCTTGTTGGACGGTCATGGTGGCCAGATGATAGTTGGTGAAGAAGTTATCGGCATTCACAGCATTGACCTTGCCTTCCGAAGGCTCGTACGTCATATGTTCTGCGTCCCCCTTGACCTGATACTCATAGCCTGGTACGTGTTCGCGAGCGAAAAATAGAGACCAGTGCAGAGGCTCCCCTTCGCCTTGGAGATAGTGGATGAGAGATAAATAGATCGGGGGTGGAGGGGACGGTGGCTTCGAGCCAGTGAGATCTAGCTTGTGCGCCTTCCATTCCTGTTCGCCTTTCTTCCTTGTAAAGGTGCGACCGTTGACTTCGCATACCTCTCTGAGGCGGACTGTTTTCATGGGGTTGTGGATGAAAGGTAATCGCTCATTTTCTGGGGACTATCCGTTAGTGCATTATTACCTAGTTTTGTCGGGCAGCATTAGTAGCACGGACGGTCTTAATTACTGACAGAGAGCGAGAAGCTAGGGAGCGAGGGAAGATAGTGAGATAGATCCAGATTCAAAGACAATAAATAATCCTTGTCTAGTTGGACATTGCGATATAGAAGTTCGTCTCGAGAGACAGTTCCCAATGTATAATGCAACTTGTTAATTTGATTATGTGACATGTATATACATACATTCCCTTGGCCTCTTACCCATATCTATATGTCTGTCCAGGTAATGTCGCTAAATTGTATTGTTTCACATCCAGATGTTGATTCCACCCCGGATTTCTCACGCTTCTTGGGTAGTCTTCTCATGTGCAACATTTGAAAGGAGGAAGCCATCGTGAGAATCAGTATCCGCCGCAGCTGAAGCATGCGTCCCAATCTGAGCATAATTCCCCGGCTTTGTAGAGCCATTCGGAATCCAGAATCGCTTGTCAATCCGGGAAAATGTCAAAATCCCGAGCGTAATAATCTCAAAGGTGAAGTTGAAGATATAGAAACACGCCTTCGAATCAAACCAGCCAGGATTGGTGGCAAGACGTACAGGACTCCATGTGACCCCGGTTTTGAATCCTGCAATCATCATACAGAAGCATGCGGACATCGTCACAATAAGCACCTGGCTTCGCGAGCTCCCTTGTCCAAACACTTCCTCGTCTTGAGATTTCGGCAGCAAGATTGCCGCAGCAATATGGAGAGCCGGGAGACAGTTGAAGACAAGCATGTAAGTAAGAGCCGCAAGTTGGACATCTCGACATTGTTGTTGGACGTGAGTGTCCAAAGTATACTCTGATACCACGACGGCTGTGATAACCATGACCAAGGCGGCACCGATCAGCGCATAGATGACCTTGAAAGCTTTGCGCAAGATCGGATGCCAGCCCACTTGTGGTTGCTTCGCTCGTAGAATACGCTGGGCGAGGACGAGGTTGATGATATAAAGAATCAGCACGCCCGCGTTAACAAAAATTTGGGCTGCTATCGCGATTCTGACTTTTGTTGGTTTCTGGGACCAGACGATGCGCAGGACGAGGGTGATGATTCTTGACATGCAGAAACCAAACATCATAGCTGATAGAATAAATTTGTGGCCTTTCCTGCGGTTGATTTGGAAGATGGTCATGTTTGTTGCTGCGAAGGAGATGTAGAGAACCATAAAAATGGCACAGACTGGGACATCTGGGAGAGTTGTTGGTAAACCACCCATTCCAGCTGTTTTTGATGAGTAAGGACCCCCTCGGGACTGTAGAGACTTTGACATGTTTAAATGATGATGCGACCGATGCACTCGAGCACCTGGGATGTAGTCAAGGTTTGGAATAGTGTTTGCAACGCAACAGTATATATATTAACCCTGGAGGTGCGAGGTGTCGATGTGAACTTGGAATTGAAGAACGACGGAAAGCTATTTAAATCCTACGTAAGACTCCTTTTGACCCAGCAGTAATAGGGGTGGAAAATTAGAATACTCACATGTGCACCAAAGACTATGTAGATCATCGGCCTCGGTCGATTAAGGTGTCCGCGGAGCCAATTTTAATGCGCATGCCGAGTCCCACACTACAGCAGCTATCGTCGCGTTCAGTTCGTTTTTTGCAATAATTGGGTCTCCGTTTCTTACTTATATTATCTATTTGTTTTTTTTGGAACGTAAAGTTACTATACTTATACATATAATGGCGAATATACAATAATGTAGTCTACCATAACTTGGTGATAGTAGTACTCTATCCTCATAGAAATTCGAAACTATAAATTGAACCGAGTATGGTATTAACCAAATCTCCATGACAACCATTTCCTATTTGCAACCTTGAGACATGTGCAATGTATTCATCATTTATCATGGGGTATGGCCCTTTGGTGCATAAGTCACCTAACTTAGGGTAAAATTTGTTATAAACTTGGTTATGGGTATATTCTGACGAGCGAACGGAGACCTACTGGACCCCTATGAATACAAGCATCGAGAGCCAACTGTCTGGACGACTAGAAGGCTCCATACAAACCGAGCAAACTTCGCGACCGTTCGCAATCTGTCCACTTCCCTCCTCCGTGCCTTAATTGTTTTACTGCAGAGGGTCTGCCGCTGCCCTGGGCTTCTATCTCGGGTCGAGCTGAGAGGCAAGGCGTGACAGTAAGATTTATAGTCGCAAACTGTCCGGGGGGTTCTAGCCTCTGTGAATGGCTTCGGTGCCAACCGACTGAGCCTCCTGATGAGGGGAAGCAACAGAGATACACTGCTCATGCATGTAAGTGTAGGGGCATCTTGCAACGTGTTCGCGAACTTGGGGCTTTCGTGTACGTGAGGCGTATCTTGCAGAGGACGCTCAGAAAACTTAGTACATGTCTTTCAGGCGATGGTCGCCTCGCTTGGAATGCTGCAATCTCTTAAATCTTCTGTTGCGAGACTTTCGAAGACGTTTTCACAATTCAGAATAGAGATTAGTCGCACAGGTGGTATGGCAATGACTATCGAAACTCACAATTAGATGGTAAAGCGACAGGCATTACGATTTTATCTTATAAATAAATATTTGTGGAGCGTCTTCTTCATTATGACCATGTCTATGTCTTCATGAAACTTCCGGGTATCAGACATAGCGAGTCAATTTTGCCAAGCCAGTTGCATCTTTCATTCCATGAATCCTCAAATATACGATGGGAACTCGTTAATCCCATTATACAAAAAGGCATTGTTGTCAAAAGTATCCGCCATTAGTGCATCCTGGTGAAGGTAGGCAGGGTCTTCTTCAATAAACCAGGAAAGATCATCCCATTGCTGGACGCCCTGTACACTTGAGGAAAGTGCATCAACGCTCAAAGGGAGAAGATTTGGTTGTTGACTTTGCATCCTCGAGGCCGATCTCCGCGTCGGCTCGATAATTTCCATTGCAGGCAGCTGAGACACACGAACATTTCGCTGAATGTGTACTTTTCCCAAGAGAGGAACATCCAGCATCAGTCTCCGCCCTTGGGTAGCGTGTTCGTCTTCTTGGAGCAGATTGATCAAAGAAGACAATGTGTTAACCGCACTTTCAGCAAATCGTGAGGTGGGAGTATTATTGATTATCCGGCGCATGAGATTGATAACTTGTTCCACCTCTCTCTCAGCCCTTGCCCGGTCAACATGCAGGCTGAATTGCCGATTTATTTTCGACGTATGGGAAAGCAGAAGAAGAATCACCGTGGCGGTGAAGGTGTGCAGCTCCATCATAGTGTGAAGGAAGAATCCCGGGGGTAGTACGTTGAGAAGAGTGGTATACCGCTGTATGACTGATTCGCATGCCTTGAAACAAGCGAGCTGGGTATTGTAGGGCTCTTCGCTTGAGTCTTGGCGCAAGGTAAGCGGCATATAAGCCCTCAAAAGCACGTAGTAATGGATAGCCTGTACTACGTTATCAGGCTCAATGTGCTCCATCTGCTGGGTCCACCAAGATTCTGGAGTCTGAGAGGCAAGTGACCTTAGCTCTTCGACCAGCTCAAACGTGGACTCTGAAAGTTCCGCAGTACTTTCGCGTGATATGTTCAGTTCATCCAAATGCTGAACCTTGCCAGCAATATTGGCCAGCTTGGTAAAATATAATCGAGATTGAACAACACCGTCCACGATCAATGCTTGGTCTTGTAGGTGTCTTTGCCAGCGCGTGTCTGGAGGAAGGTTGAGAATCAACCCTAAAAGTCTGTCTGCAGCGCAAATCATTTCCCATAACTGAGCTTTGCCAAACTGCACCTTATCGTCACTTGCTGCGGATGATATATTTCGCTGCACAGCTTGGAATGATCTAGGCAGGCCCATCAACTCGGCGATCGCGCTCACGTGCCGGAGCTTAACCCATGCTTTCTGGAAATTTCCCTGGGGTAATTGGCTAATTCAATAGTAGTTTAGTAACTGGAGTATCCGAAAAAAATATCAACTTACAGTCGAATCCAGTGAATACATAACATAATCCCAGATGTTGTGCCCAGCAGTCGATCATGAGTGATGATAGTCCTCTCCACAGTATTCGATATGACTCGGGAGAGATCAAACCGCCTCATGGACTCTCCAGACTGGCCAGCTGTAATGATCTCTTCTTGGGGCGTTTGCTGAGCAGTCATTGCTAGCGTAAGCATCCACGAGGCGAGTGCCATAGGGTCCACGTCCGGCTCTCTCATTTGATCGTAGCTAGAAATTGCTTCCTCGTCAGATCTGGCGATGAATGGCTGAGGAAGCAATGCGTGAAGAATTCTCAACCATTCAAATGATGATTTATAAATCCCGACCACCTCGTCTTTCGATGGGATCAATTTCTGAAGAGCTTGCCTCGCAGTCTCCAGCAAATTTGCAGATGCTCTCTCCCTACGTTCCTGTAGTTGTCCGGTTTTCTGGCGGCTATCTAAACTAAGCCAATCATTCTGGAAGAGTGACTGTAAATGCGATGGTCGTTCGGTTGTAATAATATCCGACATATTGGATTCGTCATCCGAGGTATACATTCCAAGGCTCTGTTGACTTGTAGCCAGTTCTGAAGCCAAATCTGCTTGAACACCGAGTTTGGATTCGATTTGATGTACCACTTTGATCAAGCTGGATACTTGCGATTCAAGGTGTGATATTCGTTGTCGGGAAGACACCCTCCGCGACGCGGTAGGTTTAGATTCTTGGGGTATACATTCTGAGCCCCGTTCCTCGCATCGTCGGCAAGCCAAGGCATCTTCAGAGGCTCGAATACAGCGAACTTTGCGACGTCTACCTATTCCAGGCGTTGTCGAGCGTAAGGTGGGGTGTCTGTTACCCTTTCCTTCGGGTGGGGCACCACTCACATTCTGTGCAACTTTTTGTACCACTCCGAATTCTTTGAGCCTCATGTTCCAGCATGGCTGTGGTGATTCGTTTTGACTGGTGCGCCAAACGCATATAAGAAGTTAACGGGTGTTACTCAGGAGTCGGGGTCCGGCGGACCATTTAAGGATCCGAGGCCGAACCACCTTTCGAACATCATGCTTATATACATGTCGCAGTCTTTTCGGGAAGAGAAGGGAGATGTGTATTTAGCAGAGAAAAGGGCGAAAGCTCAATGATAAAATAACAAGAACACACTATGTACAGATCAGCGCCTTGGATTCCTGATTCCTTGAAGTACGAACCAGTAGTGGAATTTAGAGCCTCTCTATCATTGGTCTATATAGCCATCAAAATATCTTCTTCCACAAGCCCAGCCGGGCTAGCTCAATCGGTAGAGCGTGAGACTCTTAATCTCAAGGTTGCGGGTTCGACCCCCGCGTTCGGTTCTCTTTTTCCCTTTTTTTTTCCCTGGAAAAAAACTTGCAACTTCTTTTTTCGGACCGTAACAGAAGTGTACCAGTATCAGATTAAGGTGAACCGTGGCGATCGAATTATTTACCCGGCAAGGACGCGGCTTGGCTCATCTACCATGCACAGCATTAGCTTAGTGTTGAAGGTGATATGCTACGCATGGATGAAGAAAGCACGAGAGGTATGACGTAGTGGTATGTACTATGAAGAAAAGATAAAATGTCTAAGAGAGACAGACAAGTGGGCACATATAACCAACCCACTGCCAGCGCGAAAATGTCACCGGAGCACGCATACACCCCGATAATTAGTTTGACCTCCAGCTCGGGTCGCGGGCCGGTCCAGGTCCCTATGTATTAGTCAATATTGCTACCGAGTAGTCTTATTATGTACGCCATTGATCTGATATTCTTATACATTGCTATTAAAAACCTCAATAGCCGCATGTATCAATATAGACAGACTAATAGCTTCTAGGGATATTATGTGTAAAAAGCATGCATCTGGCATATATTGATCATGATCTGGACCTATTCCCCTTGCAAGAAAACAGAGTGTATACGAGGCTCAGACTTTTCAGACAAACAAGTCGGAGGAAATATGTTCATAATTGTCAAGATATCTTATATCTCAAATATTGACGTTAGTAAAAGAATAATGCATATGGTGGGTCCAGATGTTTCATAAACTGTAGCGCAGGCCAAGCGGTGTACAGTGCTTCGCAGCACGTTCGCATAATGCCGAGCGGCTCCATCTTGTTTCTTCAGGTCGGATCTTGCCGCGTTACAATCCACTTGCCTCTGAACTTTGGCCCCTGAAATCATTTGGAAAAAAAAAAAATTGGTACCCACAACCGTGGCTTAGATGACAGGCCGTCAATCAGAAAGGGGTCGGAATGTTCCTACAAATCGTTTTCCCGCTCGCCAAACCTCCGCTTCACTATCCAAGTGGGTAGTCTCACTCGGTCGACTTCCGCGACTCCCTAAACGGTCACCTGGTATCCCACGCTCACTTTTATTGCTTAACTGTTGAAACAGACAGTGGGTCAGATCTGAAAAGGTCCATGTTGTGGATTGGTACGGAGTACACGGCACGGCAAAAATTTTTTATGTGAACGATTTCCTTGCTTTTCTACGAGTTAGTTCGACATTCCCGGACGTTGACCGACAGGCGGCATGTTGCCGGTCAAAGCTGCCGTACGGGTTACGAGTATCAGATCCTGCTCATCGGTGAGTTGACAGCCGTGTTTCGCCTCTTTCTTTACACTCTTTCTCCCTTTTTATGGCGCTTTGTTCTCCAAACCCTATCTTCTTGCCGCCAGCATGCTGATTTCCACACAGCCCGCCTCCAATATCTTGAACTCACCGCGTCTATCACTAACGGGGGTTTCTTCAACGCGTGTTGAACGACGACTGAACCATATCACCAAAGAGAAAAGAAGAATCCCTGCCCAATCATGGGATAGCCACATGCATGTCGTGGAACCTCAGCGGTTCCCAGTCTCAAAGACAGCAGTATATCAACCATCAGTGCACACACTGGCCGATGCTCTTGCCTTTGAGACAGCTATCGGTGTGGAGAACCTCGTCCTTGTTCAGCCATCTATCTATGGCACAGACAACTCATGCTTACTTGCTGCTTTAATGAGACTCGGTCCATCCCGAGGCCGTGGCGTGGTTGTAGTTGACCCGACTACCAAGCCAGAATCCGAAATTCTGGACGAGTGGCACACCCTCGGAGTTCGTGGTCTACGAGTGAATCTACAGTCCGTTGGCAAAGTGATGGAACCAACTGAGTTAGAAGAGACACTATTTCAACACGCCAAGATTGCACGCCCTCGGAACTGGATCATTGAAATCTACCTTCCTCTCAAGATGGTCCCTGTACTCGAGTCTATCGTCCCTCGTCTCGGCGTTACCGTCTGCGTCGATCACTTCGGCAGCCCTGATCTATCCCTTCCAAAGGGCGAAGACAGCGTTCCATTCGACCCATATACGCTACCCGGTTTCCAGTCCTTGATCTCTTTATTACAAGCCGGAAATACCTATATTAAAGTTTCCGCTCCCTACCGACTTACGAATGACACCGCTCAACACCAATTAAAGGCCATGGCCCGCGAGTTCCTAGCAGCTGCCCCGGATCGAACCATTTATGCTACCGACTGGCCTCACACCCGCTTCACTGGCATTGACATCAACCCATTCACAGAGTGGTGCTTGGATCTTTGCTCGGATGTGCCAGGATTGGCAGAGAAATTGTTTCGGAGAAACACCGAGAGGATGCTCAGTGTGGATTCCTGTTGAGTGGGCCTGGGATGATTTCAACTTTTCTCATAGCCTTTGCATTGCGTTGTGGCGTTTTTAAGCATTAGTATATCCCTGGTTTGATCATGATAATCGCCTGTTCCAATGAAGCAACTAAGTCCGCTCTTCCTGTTTACGATAAGCTTGTGTATCCCTTCAAGTCGTCCAATTTCTGATCCGAAATAAAGCAAAAAGTCCACATGGTGTATTACCAAGGGCAAGAAGTAAATTTATGTAATCCAATCTCTGTTCAACGGGCATTATTGACGCCGCACAAGCTCGCAAGAAGCATTCCCCATCGTGAATCAATCGTGTCCGGATATCAATATGATCCCTCCCCCATCTTTAGCTCTAGATATCCTCGGCGTTCTGGAAGACAACGTGCGAAGTACAGACCTTCTGCGGGCCCTATAGGATAAATCAAATTAGCACCCATCCAACCCACTCGTCTGATCAACTCAAAGCGATTAAAGTGAAAGGCACTTACAATCTCATAACAACAGGCAGGTCGAGACTGATCCTCACACAGCTGAGGCTCCGTCAGCAGAACACCTGCAATAAGGCATATTAGTGGACTGGACAATCTTCTCTATTTCCATCGCAAATATGTCGAATACATACAGTCTTCGGCCGTGTTAGCCTTGGGGTTTCCTCTCGCGGCTGTCAGATCACGGCAGCAGTAGGGGTTCTGCACCATGCCGGTCTTGTCTTGAGCGAATTGGCAGCTCATATTGATCTTGCTTGCGGAGCCCATGGCTAGGGTAATGGCAATGACAACGGCCGATGAGAAACGCATATTGATAGTCGAATAGGGTATAATTGGCAAGCGAATCGTCGGAACTCGGGTATTTGGACAGGTATGAAATCGGTTGATGTCTAGGAAGTGGTCGCGTTTTCTGGGAAAAACGCATGGACAGCGACCAGGCTACGAAGGAGTTCTCCAGTGTTAGAAATGCCTTGCTCCATTGGCTCGCAAGGAAATTTCCTGCCTTCTACGGAGGTATGGAGGTAAATTCTCGTGCGTTGATTGGAAGGGAGGTTGGTTGGTTCATCCCCTTGCATTCTTGTCTCCCATGAATGTAAGTCGGCCGGTAAACAGGGGCATCTCGTGCCTGTTTTTCTTGGCCAAAGGTTATAAGTAGGATTCTTCTTGGAGGTCTTTGTTTCAGAGCTCATTTTCCGACTAAGGGGCAGGGATTATTGGTTTGGACTATGACCACCAGAACTATTCCGTAAATTGAGACTTGACGTGGCGCGATAAGCCATGCACAGTATTTATACACGATGTATATATACTAGATCGGACATTTAGGCTTTTGCCAGCTTAGGTGAGAAACTCCATGATTTCATTCTACCCGTGGATCCGTTGGGTCAACCAAACGGATCAAAGACACATGGTAAAACTTCCAATAGACAGAAAAAAACGAGTTGTAAATAAATAACTCAAATAGTCACTCAATTCTCTATTTTTATAGTTAAATTACTATTGATTCCATCTGGATCTTTTGCTTATTCATCCAGATCACATCATCAAAGGCGGTGTGGAGCTGACTGTACTGGCCTGGACTGGCTGGAATCAAATTAATTATCAATCACCGGAGCGTCACGACTTTTTATTAGCTGCATCTTGTACATACCCCTCCATGCTCTCCCGCTCCCTGCCCACCCACACCTCCCGGATCAGCTTTCGCTCCTCCTTGACCCGGTTTTCCGCTAAGTCTATTAATACTGGTCTTCGCCCGACCGTGAATCGAACCCTGGCGTCCATCAACCACCCGATTACCCCAACTGTTCCTGCGTCGCGCCTCTCCTCAATTACCCGACACTTTTCCTCTTCCACTCCCGTCCTCGAGAGCAAAACTTCCACAATGGCCCCTACAGAGCAACAATATGATTACATCGTCCTAGGCGGTGGTAGTGGCGGTAGTGGTAGCGCCCGTCGCGCAGCTGGCTGGTATGGCGCAAAGACCTTGATCGTGGAAAGCGGCCGGTCCGGTGGTACCTGTGTGAATGTTGGGTATGTTAGACAAAACATTGTCATCACCATTTAGATGATGACAATCCTGCGAAAATACAGGGCTGACCATGAGTAGTTGTGTCCCCAAGAAGATGACCTGGAACGCCGGAACTGTTAACGAGACAATCCACCTGGGCAAGTACTACGGATACGATATCCCCGAGGGTACCAAATTCAACTACAAGCAATTCAAGGAGGCCCGCGATGCCGAGATTAAGCGCCTTAATGGCATTTACGAGCGCAACTGGTCCAAGGAAGGCATTGATCTTGTCCACGGCCGCGCCCGCTTCGTGGAGCCCAAGGTCATTGAGGTTGTTAACACCGATGGCACCACTGCCCGTTACGCTGGAAAGCACATTCTGCTCGCGACCGGTGGCCGACCGAACATCCCCGACGTTCCTGGTGCTGAGCACGGAATCACCAGCGACGGCTTCTTCGAGATCGAGGAGCTCCCGCCTAAGATCGCTGTTGTCGGCGCCGGCTACATTGCTGTCGAGCTTGCCGGTGTCATGAATGCCATGGACGTTGAGACTCACATGTTCATCCGTGGCGACCAGTTCCTGCGCAAGTTTGACCCTATGATCCAGAAGACCATGACCGATCGGTATGAGGCGGCCGGTGTCAACCTGCACCGCCACCACTCCGGCTTCAAGGAGATTAAGCTTATCCGTGACGGAAAGGGCGCGGACCGTTTGATCAAGCTTATCAGCAATGACGGTACCGAGCTGGAGGTCAACGAGCTCCTGTGGGCTGTTGGTCGTGCCCCGGAGGTTGAGGATCTGAACCTTAACATCCCCGGCGTGAAGCTTAGCTCCAGTGGCCACGTTGTTGTTGATGAGTACCAGAACACCTCCGTGGAGGGCGTCTATGCCCTTGGTGATGTGACTGGTCAGGCTGAGTTGACTCCAGGTAAGCAACACTGTCTTGATGTTACATGATAAATCACTAATACGTTTCATAGTTGCCATCGCCGCCGGTCGCCAGCTTGGTAGCCGTCTGTTCGGCCCTGCCGAGTTCAAGACCGCCAAGCTCTCATACGAGAACATCCCGACTGTTGTCTTCTCTCACCCTGAAGTTGGCTCAATCGGTCTGACTGAACCTGAAGCTCGTCAGCAGTATGGCGATGACAAGATTAAGATCTATCACACCAAGTTCACTGCGATGTACTACGGCCTCATGCCGGCTGAGGAGAAGGCTAAGAACCCCACCGAGATGAAGATTATCTGCGCCGGTCCCCAGGAGAAGGTGGTTGGTCTGCACATTTTGGGTCTTGGTGTCGGTGAGATGCTGCAGGGCTTTGGTGTTGCCGTCAAGATGGGTGCTACCAAGGCCGATTTTGATAGCTGTGTTGCTATTCACCCTACCAGTGCCGAGGAGCTGGTCACACTGCGGTAAATATGGACTATAATATATGAACATCCAAATAAGAGCAATCAATCATAAAGTGCAAAATATGTCCATTGCAATCTGAGCCACAGAGTCACCGCGCAAATTATTGAAATCGTTGATGTGATCCTCCCTTTCCAGAGCTCAATGTGGATCGACTGAGGTTAGATACATAATCAAGATACACTTGTTCATAGTATGAATTCAGACGTCCAGTATAATATTCTATCATTAAAGCAGTCTAATGATATAGAAACCAAGCCAATCCAGTCGCACCAACAGCAAAAATCACAGCCCAACGCGTCAATCCTCGACGAATATGCAATTTCGCGATTCTCTCAATGGCATCCCCATCATTGATATGCGGAAAGGGCCGATCCTTCGGCACCTCCTTCCCAAGCGCCTTACACAAAGGCTCCCATCCATCCTTCACATCATAAAAGACAAGACGATGCTCAGGAACAACCTCTTTCAACCACTCAATATGTCGATAGTAAGTCTGACGCGTCGGAATTTCCTCTCCATAAAGCCTCTTCCACTGCCCAGCTACCAAAGCGAGGTAATCCATAAAATACCGCATCCCCGGCAAAGGAAAAAGAACACCACGCAAAAACCAAAGGAACGTATAATGCATCACATGGCTCATCGATGTCTCCCAAGAAACCGGATCCCGAACTGTACATATGACCTTTGCATCTGGGTACAGCACCATCAACTCAGGAACGAATTGACCCCCCGGTGCATCGGTCGTAGCTGCGTACCCATCAAACTGGCGCGCCAGGAGCCCCAGGACGGCTTTTTGATCGGCTTCTTCTCCTGCGGCCCAGTGCTTGAGTGCTTGCATCCATATTTGGCGTTGGACAGGGGGCCCTAGGGTAGCTTGTGTCCCACAGTGGAAGGTGGGGCCGTCAAGGAGGATCTCCAGAGCAGCACTTAATGATGCGGTTCCGGTGCGTGGGAGTCCAGCTCCGATGACCTGGATGCTTGTTCCTGCTTGGGGAACAGATGGGCTTTGTCCCATGTTTGGCGACGTGGTGTACTGTTGGAGCTGGCCGATTTGTCCACAGGGCTAAGCCGGCTTTCCAAGCATAGAAATGTGAATTGATGTTTGTTTTGTAGAGAATACACTGGGATGTGCGAATGGGATTATTTGCTTCAATTGACCAGTCTGAAACTGAGCTCGGGGAGCAACAAGGTTCCCCTGTTACATAATTTTGGCCCCTTTCATATTTAAGGTTGTACTTTTTTTGATTCCCCAGACCCCTATGTTTTTGCTACGCGAGATAGAGAGTGAGTGGTAAATACGAAGTATAGTGATCATTCCCCAGGTTAAGCAGTTGTTCCATATATGACTGACTTTTATGCGGAATAATATTATGGATCTACAGCGGCCATTTTAAACCTCATCGTGGCCCCGAGAATTCAGTCCAGGGAAGCTTGAAAAAGACGAGGCCTTTCAGGATTGGAAATATTGCAGAATTTAGATGTGTCTCATTTCATTGTATTCGGAACCATCGTTATAACATCATGTATGGCCAGTAAAAACGACTGATACGCCAGACGCTTGTGCACCTTGATAAGGCAAATGACTGCTAAGTACTAGCAATGACCTGACGCTCATAGATTCCATACCGAATCGGCCTAATGGATCAGAGGGATAGCCATATCGGTGATGACTAGTATGTTCATAATGAAGCAGTTGGGCGGGAGACGGATCGGTAACCAATGTTGACAAGGATTCATGTCGTCAATGAAAACGGCGCCGGCGCCGTCGTGAATGCCCCTCGATAGATATCTGAGGGATGACGGTAATATCGTAGATAGAAATGCAAAATTTCAAATATTCGAACAGTATCCGCTTCACTCCGCAATTGAGGGAGTGATAGCGTCATCAAGGATAGGGCTGGTGGCTACTTTGTCCAAGGCCACAGTGTGAAGAGCAGGCTTCTCGCTAGTGGGAAGAAGACCTTTCTCTTTCATGTCGAGTTGTTTAAGCACCCACTCAGCGACTTCCTTGTCTTCAGTGACAGAGGACGGCAGGCCCTCGCCGGCAGTCGATGCTTCGGCTTGGGCAACAGCCTCGGTCTCAGCCTCGGTTGGTGGTTGCATGAGAGGCTGAAGCCAAGGGTGGCGAAGCAGCATGTTGTAGGTAGGTCGATTCTTCGGGCTCTTATCGAGACAGGCTCGAACAAATGCGTGAGCATCTTCCGAATAACCATCCGCAGGAAGAGTTGGGGGGTCACCATGGACGATTGCCTTGATTTGAATGTTAGCCACGGTCCTCGTACATTGTCTTTAGAGATACTTACGTGTAACTGGCTGAAAATGTTGGTGAATGTCTCCGGCGGATACGGGTATCGTCCCATGGCGCACTCGATAATCGACAATCCCAAACTCCAGACATCACTCTGCACACTGTATGTTCCACCGCTTGTCGCTCCAGACTGTTGCATACCACCACCTGCAATGCGCTCTGGTGCCATGTAACTTTGACACCCAATGTTGGTCTTTGCGATACTGGCCACCAAGTTCCCACTCACACCGAAGTCGCAGATCTTGATCTGACCTTTGCTGTTGACCAGAATATTGGTCGGCTTCACATCTCGGTGAATAATGTTGTGCTCATCCTTAAGCGATTTCAATCCCATGATGGTGGATAATGTCATCTTTCGCAAAATATTCTCAGGCAGTCCTCCCTCGTAGATCTTGTCAATCGAACCACCGTCCATGTACTCAACACACATGTATACAGCTCCTTCTTGGAAGAATGCGCCGTAAAAATCGATAATGAAGGGGGAGACGCATCGGTGCAGAATGTCCAATTCCATAATGATCTGAGCGAACTTGGCTTCGTCCAGCTCGAGCCGGATTTCTTTCATCGCCATAATCACGCCCGACAGATTATCTTTGCCCGCCTGGTCGGCTGCCTCAACGGCCGACCGGCTCACAATCCCACTCAACCCCAAGCCCGGTTTCCGCAGGTGAGGGCGGCTGTGTCGAACTTTGTAAACGGTACCGTAGTTTCCCTTACCCAACTCATCTAACCGATCCACTTCGTCCAAGGAGATCTTGAAGCTATGGCCAGTAGAGAACTCCACACCTCCGCCGTGTAGGATCGCTTTGTTCTTGAAATTCAAGGTTCCGGATTTCGTATCGATAAACTCGGAGTATTTGCTGAAAGCCGACTCAGCACCATTCTCCTTTTCCGATTTGGTGTCAGTCCCATTCGGTGCTGGCGGGCCACCGGTCACGTCGGACAGCTTGAGTCCGGGTTTCATTCTTTTCGCAGCGAGCCCGCTCAGCTTGGGGGAGGACGAAGGGCTCGTAATTGACGGAACAACGGGGGAAGATGTCCAGTGATTAGTGTGAGGTCGTGCACCGGGTGGAATCCGCCCAGCCAAAGCACCGCCCGCGCCGACATCGTTGGAAGTGGGAATGTGGCCGGTGGACGCAACGTGTGGCAATGGGACGCCTTGTCGAGAAAGAGAAAATGCCTTCATCTTGGCCATAATATCCTGATTCAACCCGCCGCTCCCTGGCGCACTCATCGAGGGGTGCGGGGATGGCGAGCCACCGGCACCCCGCCGCGCGGCGCTGATTTGAGCTAGGGACGAGGCGGGCATGCTCGTGTTGGAAGCGTGGAGTGGGAGGGGTGGCTTTGCGTGATCGATAGTTGCGATACCTTGGGATATGGGGGATAAGCCTCCGGAGCCATTACTGTTCTCGTCATCGGTCGGAGGGGTCTCCACGGCGGGATCGCGGTCGGTCATGATTATCGCGGGGGTTGAAGAAGCCGGACCGACGCCGTAATTGCAGGGCCGTCTTGGTCTTAAGGCTTGGGGCACCGGTAAGTGCTAATTGCAAGTTGCTGCAGACAGATGGGGTGATGACTTAAAAATGGAAGAATTGGGCCAAAGGAACTTTTTTTGACCCAGAGGTGAAGTCACCTGTTTGAACAGGGAAAGATAATATAAAGTGGGGGGGCGAAGACGACATCGTTTACAGGTTCAATTCCCTTTCCAAAAGTACATAATCAATTTTCATTCGTTTTCTCTTTTTTCACTTTTGTTACTCTATTATTCTTTTTAATTTTTTAATTGAATTGGTAACAAAACAAAATTGAATACATCCAATATTGATTTTGTTCCTCTTCAGATCCTATTCATTATCACTCGGGCTGACAAACCAGCCAATTAGAATCTCATCTCGGCTGAAAAGCAGGTTTTAAGACGGCGGATTAACACTTCCTTGCCGTGTTTTCATGTGGCTGTAACGACTGAAGTTGGTCTTTGCACTCGATCTAGGATTATCAACCGGGATAGCTTCTACCCCTGTCATCGAGCAACCGGTTTTTGGGGATTCCCCTTATGTCATACAGGATACCCCGGATACTCTACAATCCCGATTTTTCACTCTGATCAATTTGCTATCGGGGACATCCGAGTCGTTGACGCAAGTCTCCACTCTCCACTATTACCCGCCGTTCATCTATATACAGTACTCCATCCAGACATGTGTTTAACGGCCTGGCGAATATAGGGCTGAAACTACTCATGCTAGGTGCATCGAAATGACTCTTTTGGGGAGGGGTTCCTGATTCCGCTCCGTTCTCTAGTCATCTTGTGTACATGGGTAGGGGCCACAACAAATTCGTGTCCCAATATCGAAAATTCTACCCTCACACCTCCATTCTTCTTATCACAACCATTTTTCCCACTATCTTGCATCAGCCATTTAGAAAGATATGTGCCAGCCTCAAGCCAGCTCGCCTTGCAATTCGTCAGATTGCATCAGAGATCGGCATCAAACCGCGGGGTCTGAATGGCCAGGGCGGCATCTTGCTTCATCTATGGTCCCATGGTGGTGGCAATATTGCCCTCCGGCTGGGATTTTCCTTGAATGAAGAGAAAAACTAGGGGGTTTTATTCCTCCAGTCTCAAGGTAATAAATCTTGATTGCTGCCCAGGTGATGATGGCCTTGAAAGAGCGACGTCAAAGCCCCAACTGCTAGAAACCACATTTGTCCGCTCACCGTGGCGGTGATTAAGGGTTTGCAGCATGTTAATTTCATACGTTTGATTCAAGACTTGAGACAATTGCTAAATGACCCAACCACTTTTGGAACCGAGCCAAGTAGACTTCATATACTCCAAGAAGAAATATGATGGTCAAATGGGAGGATGTGGATCACACTTTTACAAGATGCACTGTCTCAAGGATATCTAATTAGCCAGGCACGTTGAGAATGGCTCACATTGTGAATTGATCAGGCCAGATGCCATTCAAAATTGGGCAGCAGTTCAGGAATTCTGGCAGGGGGCAGACATCTCTCATTTGGCTTTCGTCGGGAACAACTCCCGTAGCCGATTACCTTTTAGCGATATTAGGAGTTCGCGTCGGACTACATCATTTAATCATCAAACATGAACATCAAGAGGACTGACCAACAATTATAGATCCAGTTTTAGCAGGGATACAGCGGCTTAGAAATGATGCAAAATGACGTCCTCTTGTGCAAAGCTTTAGGCACCCCCCACTTTCACGTACTTTTGTCCTATGTATTATGGCACTTGAGTACGACAACATTGGATCTATCTAAAAGCCATTTCTAATCCCAGATCTATCTACACAATAGGCTACTATTAATTTTCGAAACAGCCCCTCAAAGTCAACGTTAAAATAAGCTCCAAAGACCTTTTATTCAATTGCTAACTCATGGATAATCAACAACATTGACGGTGATCAAAGATCATATGTTAAATTCACATACATGTTGATACCAGCTATAATTAGAAATTCTGCTTGTGGAAGAATTTCAAGATTTCTTGTGCGATATATTCCGTATCGCTTTCAACAGCAAAATGACCCGCATTAATCAACTGCACTTCAGCTTTCGGCAAATCCCTTTTAAACGCCTCCGCTCCGGGCGGGATAAAGAACTTATCATTCCTCCCCCATATCGCCAACAGCGGGACCTGCGAGTTCCGAAAGTAAACATGGAAGTCATCATAAAGAGGAATATTATTCTGGTAGTCATAGAACAAATCCAACTGAATATCCTTGTTTCCAGGACGTTCCAACAAGGCTTGATCAAGGAAATACGACTCTGGCGCGAGGCGCTTAAGGTCAGGCGTGCCATCTTCATACTGGAACTTGGTTGCTTCAAGTGTCAGCATCGCTTTCGCGACCTCGGTTCGATTTACCGATGCGTTGTTGCTCGCCCAAAGCTCTTTTATGGGGCCCCAGACATCGCCAAAGCCCTCCACATAGGCGTTTCCGTTCTGGGTGACAATTGCTGTGATTGCCTCTGGGCGCTGCAGGGCTAGTCGCAAGCCAACGGGAGCGCCATAGTCGAAGATGTATATGGCGAAGCGGGAAAGAGAAAGTTCATCGATAAATTCTCCGATGGTGGTTGCGAGGTTTGCAAATGTGAATTTGAAGCTAGAGGAAGCCTCTGTAAAGCCGAACCCTGGAAGATCGGGAGCAATAACTCGGTAATTCACAGCCAGTAGTGGGATTAGGTTGCGATATTGATGAGAGGATGAGGGAAAGCCGTGGAGTAGAAGTATGACTGGTGCATCGGATGCTGCTTTCTGCTCACGGTAGAAGACCTTTACCCCAGACTTTGGTAGTGAAATGTTCTTGTATTGTGTTTCAGCCATGATAACAAGTGCCCGAGGAATTCTAGAAATTGGCAAGATATGAAATTTGGAAGAAGGTGCAAGTGTGTTGGTTGCTGAGTGTGAGACACTCAAGGACCAGGACCACACAGGCGATTTATACGTCAGTGTTCCAATGCCCATCCCATTTTCAAACCCCGGATCAACACGAGATACCAGTGTATGATGATTACAGAAGCTCTGAGCTACCAGTAATCGTGAATACAAATGCATCAAACTAGTCAAACAGCCCTGGAGAAGGTCTAGATTTGGCCCAATTTCTCGGTGATTCGGCTTTTGAAAACGCGGGGTTTGTAAGTTCGATGAATCGCGGGGATTGAACCCTTGGAGCAGATGCAAATACTGGCTGGTATATATCTATCAAGGAAAATTATCTCAGAACAACATGAGGTACCACAAGCTTGAAATATTTGCAGCACATGGGAATTTGAAATAATTTTTTATTAATCATTTCATATATGAAGTGTAAAGTAACATTACTTAAGAACGACGCCATATCCCATTACAGATCTTTACCGACCAGGCTTATCCACGCCCACTCTACATAAGTATTCAAAATGAATAGAAACATAATAGTCAAGTGCACAGAAATGTAACGAAAAATTCACAGGCAGCCTTCCAAGGTTGTGAGTCAATCCTTCTCCCATCGCAAACTCCGCAGTAAATGCATGTTCAGTTCATTCATGAAATTTCCATTCCTTCATCATCTCCATCAAGCTCAGACATTTCGTCCGCTGCAGACCCTAATCCCAAGCGACCTTTCCCGTCCCGGTCGCATGAATCGTCGCCAAGGGAGCTTACCATTTCCAGTTCTGGGCCTGCGATGATGCGGCCTTCGGTATCCACGACCTCGCAGAGCTCAATCAAACTCTGGTGGCTCAGTGACTTGAAGGCATCTGAACGCACTATACGACCCCAGTGGGCAAGACAGAACTGGGCCGCACGTCGCATTAGCCAGCGCTCATTGGTTCTTCCGGCCCGTTCCCAGACAATGGCAGCATTGTCTACGTCCAGCTCACGACTGAGGCGGTTCACGCAAAGAAGACGAAGCTTAGGTATATCATAAAGATTAGCCATTACCAACATCCCAGCCACGTCAACCACGCTGGAGCAGAACTCGGGAGGCCCAGCGATGCTATCTGTGTAGAGGTAATATAGAAACGCACGAACAACTGAGTATGGCTCAGGGATGTGCATGCGCTTTGTGTGATACTCCGCCATTTGTGCGGAATATAAGCGCTTAAAGTGTGGCCACCGCAGTTGCAAAATAAGTTTGTGCACGTGTATCGGTGCTGAGGTGGATGAATTAGGTTCCACAAAGGCTGGCTGAGATAGAGTTGGGGATCCAGGAGGGGTGTCGTGATATTCATCTGAGCCCATAAAGTCATCATCATCGCGGATAGCAGTAATGATAAAATCAGCACCGCTTGATTCAGGAGGCTGGTTAAAGACAGAGGCAATATCGGCTCCCAGACCCGATACAGGAGAATGAACAGATCGGTCAGGCCATAAGGAATCTTCTTCAGGCACCTCGGCAGACAACTCATTCCCTAGGAGGCCGTATTTCTCCAAGTCAATTGACAGGACTTCACTCATATGATTCTCGTCACTAGCCCCAGGAGTGTTTGCCAGATCTAAACTGCATCCCAGCAGCCATGCCTTTGTACCCGCTTCATTGACAGTGCAGTAGTGCCATCGATAGCCCGGCCTAAAAAGCTCATGGCCATCGGCCAGTCGCTGCCAACGGAGCGAGTTGAGCTCCAGTGCAGCTAAATTGCAATCATGTGCCCGCACGGTCTCGGATGGGGTGATCAAGTCAAGAAGAACCCCTGATGCAAACGATTGAAAGTGGGTCCCGGAAAACAACGCGGGAACATTCGGACCAGAATGGAATCGGAGACAGGAAATGGCGCCCGGAGCGAGGGGCTTCCGTCGGCCAAAGTTGCGCACCTGAACGCTGGCAGAGTTCGCAGCATAGCTTCCAGAGCGAGGAGACATTTGGGTAGAGGGGCTAGAAATCGAGTCTGGATAATGAGCCATGGGCAATCGTTCGTCGAGGGAGTCCACGGTACCTTGTGGTGTGATGCCGGCCAGGGAGGGAGAGCCTTTAAGATCGAGCCACCAGATATCAGTCGTTCGTTCCATATTTGGGCCCAACCCTCCAAAGATCCATAGACGGTTGTTCCAGACCCATGCTGTATGATCAAATCGAGCGGTAAAGCTCCATGTTCGAGACCAAGTCCAGGTTTGGAGGTCTAAGTAGGTTAAATCATCCAAAATAATGTTATTCTCCCCGGTTACGCCACCGACTATGAAGAGTTTATCGTCATGAATAACTGCGGCGTGGCGTGCTCTGCCACGCGGGATCGAGCCACGGATTTCAGGCAGGGCCCAGGTGAAGGTTTGAAGGTCAAGGATGACAACATCGGAGAGGTATTCGCGGTGTTCGTTTTCACCGCCAAAGACAATCAATTTGTTGCCTTCGTATAAGGTGGCGGTGTGTCCTGAAGTATGGGTTAAAGATAGAGTTACAATGAGAAAAGTAGATGGGAGGATAAAGTACCCATGCGAACGCCGGGAATATCACCATAGTTATCGACTAGTTCCCACCGCAGAGTGTTCAAGTCCAGTCGGAGCACGTGGTTGTACACTAAAGCGCGGCAGTTAGCATTTAAGTGGAAGCTGCAAGATGTATGAAGATGTAGAAGACGGACCTTCGTCGGTGTATTGGTCAAATCCTCCGAAGGCATAAATGTGATCATTGCTGCAGTACGTCACTGAGGCGTTGACCAGACATGCGGGGACATGACCCTCGGCCTTTTTGACACTGGGGCGATACTCAGTGGCCGGACGACCGCCCGCGGGACTGGCCGGTAACAGGTATGCGCCCTGCTGCTGCATCGAAAGTACCAAGATCGTACTTCTCGGAGTAGGCGGATTGAAGAGCCTCGAAAATCCGGGCCAGGCTGTTGGAAGTCGTGTGGGTGGGTCCAGGTGGAACGGAGGGAGCGAGGTGGGGAGATGTAGCTCCCGCCATTAGGCAGGAAAACAAATAAGTTGAGTGTCCAGAATCAACAAAGAAAAAGAAATCGACAATCAATAGTGATCGGTAATTGATTCAATTACTGACGGCAATGGCGATTACCTTATTTCTCGCCCTAATGTTTCCCGCCAAGGATTTACAAAGAGAAGCGATCGACGCCGAAAGGGGAAACCACCGGCATGTCATGTGCGGCAAACACTAGGCCCAAATGAGATTAGCGTAACCGTACCTGAGGTAACGGTTGCCCCGGCGAACAAGATCCGTACTCAATGTAGAATTCTATTTATTCTTCTCTACTCTTATCCACCTCCATTTCTTTCACATCCATCTCCTATTCCACACTTCATAGAACGATCTCGCATTGTTCACTTGCATTTCATTGACTGATCGGTGGCTGGCTCCATCCTGTCATCTTATAACTTAACAAACAGCTTCAAATTATCAACATGGCAACAGCTTCGGTGACTACTCCGAAGAAGAGCCACCATGGTCTCTTTTCCTCCAAGACAGCGGGAGGTCGAATGCCCTTGACGCCTTCTCCTCACACTCGCCCGGCTGCTGCCACGCCACAAACATCGGGTAATGAATCACCATTCACCCCGGTTCGTGGATCTGAAGCAATCCGCAGCCAGTCTCAATCAGTCTACGGCGGAAACTTGTCCTCACTCTTCGCAAAATCGGCTACTGCCAAATCTACTAGTATCAAATCTTCCACCGCCAAATTATCAACTGCAAAGCCTGTATCTACTGCCAAATCATCTCGACCCACCTATCGCGACTCCCCCAAATCCAACATTGCTCGACGAAAGTCACCAAAGCATCTGGAGCTGGGTGTCTCAGACTGGTCATTGACCGGTACTGGCCCTTCGTCCACTCAATCGCCGGCTAAGGAGCGCACTCGCCGTGAAATTCCGACTCGGTCTCGCGCTGGCAAGACTACTGTGCGGATTCCTCATAACACTGGCGATCGGTTTATCCCCAACCGCACCGCTAGCGAGGGCCTTGTTACTTCTGGTGCCGCCAAGCCTGATGAAGGTCAGCGTCCCAAGTCGAGCACAGCAGAGAATTCGGGCTCAAATGTCCTTGCCTCCGCTGCTAGTGCCTTTGATATCAGCGGCCGTTCAGCAGAAGACGACCTGACTTCTGCTTTGGAGAGCATGGGTCTGGAAGACAATGAATCATCCACTTATACTCGTCCGGCGCCCGATAAGGTTGCATACGAGTCTTCTCTGGCTAACGCCTGCGATATCAACTTGAACACCCGTATTCTTGCCTTCAAGCCTCCTCCTCCAGAGTCCTCTAAACCCATTGATCTTCGTGCTCAGTACAACCGTCCTCTGCGTCCTGCCAAATCGAACAACGCCCAGTTCCGTCGTCGTGTTCAGACCGCACCTGAGCGAGTATTGGATGCCCCAGGTCTCTTGGATGATTATTATCTCAACTTGCTGGACTGGAGCTCTGGAAACCAGGTCGCTATTGGCCTGGAGCGCAATGTCTATGTTTGGTCTGCTGAGACTGGGACCGTCAACTGCTTGCTAGAAACATCTCCTGACACCTACGTGAGCAGTGTGAAGTGGAGTGGTGACGGTGCGTATGTTGGAGTTGGCCTGGGCACTGGTGAGGTACAAATTTGGGACGTTGAGGAGGGTAGTAAGCTCCGCAGCATGCACGGTCACGACACTCGGGTCGGAGTCATGGGTTGGTCTAAGCACACTCTGTCCACCGGCGCCCGGAGTGGCCTCGTTTTCAACCACGATGTTCGTATTGCTGAGCACAAGGTAGCCGAGCTTGTCTCGCACACTTCAGAGGTCTGTGGCTTGGAATGGCGTTCAGATGGTGCTCAACTGGCCACTGGTGGCAACGACAACCTGGTCAACATTTGGGATGCTCGCTCCCTCAGTGCTCCCAAGTTCACCAAAACAAACCATCGCGCGGCTGTCAAGGCACTCAGCTGGTGCCCATGGCAGCTCAACCTCCTGGCCACCGGAGGCGGTTCCTACGATCGTCACATCCACTTTTGGAACACAACCACTGGTGCCCGTACCAACAGCATCGACACCGGCTCCCAGGTCACCAGCCTTCGTTGGAGCAACCACTACCGCGAGATTGTCAGCTCCAGCGGTTTCCCTGATAACTCCCTCAGCATCTGGAGCTACCCAACCCTGGTGCGCAATGTGGAAATCCCTGCACACGAGACCCGCGTACTTCACAGCAGTCTGAGCCCGGATGGGCAGATGTTGGCTACCACGGCAGCAGACGAAAGCCTGAAGTTCTGGAAGGTCTTTGAGCGCAAGCCTGGCAGTAGTGCTTCTGCTTCTCGCGAAGGCGGTGTCAGCAGCAAGGCGCAACTTACAAAGGCTATGACCATCCGGTGATTTGTCTTTTGATCTGAATCTGGTTTATGGCTGTTTTCATGTTTTATACCCCGGTTTCATGGTGATCTGTTGAGCATTGATGGGCTGGGATCTTCATTTCTTTCGGTGTTATGGTCGTTCTTACGGGGCTAATTCGGAGTTTCTTGAGATGTATCTAAATTGCCAAAGGCACATTCTGTACAAATATTATTCATACTGCTATTGACTCTGTCTTACTACATTAGGTGAACGGCACGTTCGATGTACAGTCAGGCAGTTTGTATAAAACTATTAGCGATATGATATGCATAGCTATCATTTCGACTTGTTGGTAATCGGAATACCGCGTGAGAGATAACGCTTATGTCTCATCCGGAAACATAACTACTTAAGTGAAGTATTTCCAATCCATGGTTGATTCATTTCAACTCTTTGTGTTTAACCTTTAAGGGCGGTGGGATGACTAAGCGCCGGGAACTGGATGGATTTCGACCGCAGAAGCCCGACTTTCACCTTCTCTAACTCATCTCCAAATACAAACCTCCACCTCCAACTATTTGTTTTCTCTCATCTGAATCTCCTCTCAGATTCTGTTCACTTGTTCTCCTGCCTCTGAAATTACAGTCTCCCTCTTCTCTTCAAAGTCGTGTGATTTCTCGGGCCTGTGATCGACCACGGCTCCAACGGTCCATCCGTTGCGACGACAGGAGCCTGCTTGCTCTGCTCGAGTCAACCAAGCTTTGCTGTCCCGCAGTATTCCTTTCCTTCTTGATTACTTTTGTGTTCTCCGTCCCTCTTTCACCGCAACATTCTGTCGGCAATGTCGAACCAGCAAGTGGTAAGTCGTCTCGCGCGGATATCTCAGCCTGTGTGGTCACAGAGACGAAGCCGTGGTCTATCTCACTGAAAAGGACTCTTGGGCCATCTCACTTGAAAACAATGGCCTTGAAGGTGATCCTGGTTAACATTAGTTGCATAACAGGGCCCGGTGTTCGAGCGCGTCATTCAGGAAGTCTGCGATGCTTCCCAGGTCGACTTTGAGGAGAGCGGCGTGGACCAGAAAACACTGCTCGATTTGCGTGAGGTGAGTGGTAACCTGGGCAATTTCCTTTTGTTTCTTTTGATGGTCTTTGGTTAGATTTGATGGCATCTGGCGTGGTGGTTATGGGGTGGCGACAAAAGCGGGGGTCCCGAATGTGGTGCGGGAAGCGCTGCTTATGGGGGAACACCGGCTTTTGAGGCTCTCTTTATATGTGGCCGCCTGTACCCGCTTAGACCGCCAAGCCAATCCCCGTCGTTGACCACCCGATCTATATATACATATCTCTCACTGTCTCCAAATTATCCCTGCATGCTAATTTTTTTTTACTACAAGACCTGGCAACACAAGCTTTCTTCTCTAAATGTCGCCCATTTCCCCTGGGATCCTACACCACAGCCTACCCCGCAAGCTCCTGTACTGCCGCCTCAAGCAACAGTTCCATCAAATGCCCCTCGTCCTCCTCCCGTCCAGCCACAACATGTGGCCCCTCCTGTCTCTCTACAGCAAGCCCCTCCAGTTTCAGCTCCACTTCCGCTTCACGCACAATCCCAAGTCGCTCCTATGGGTGGACCTCGGATCAAGACTGAGCCTGGCATGAACGGGCCGCCTGGCCTGCCCATGAATCACCCAATGCAAGTCCCTACTAATCCACAAGCAGCCCGTGATCGTGCCATCAGTGCTATGCAGCAGAAATATGGTGCTAATGCGGCCAGTTCCGTCCACCAAATGCATCAGATGCAAGCTCAGGCCCCAGGCCAGCATGCCTACCAGCACATGCAACAGACAAATGGACAAATGCCCCACATCAAGCAGGAGTCTGGATATCCAACAATGGGCCCTAGTCAAACTGACGGTGGTGGTGATGACCCTATGGCAGACTGGAAAGCCGAGGTCGCACGTCGCCGAGAGGCGGCCGAGAAGGGCTTCGGTGACCACATGCTCCGCGAGCACCTCAAGTCACAGATGCGTGGATTGGAGGCCGGAGGTTTCCTCCGCCCTCTTAGTGAGCATGACACTCCAGCTGTGCTGGCGCGACATGCTGCCATTGACGCACACCTCAATCATACACAGTCAGCATCTGCTGCTCCCCGAATCACCGGCCAGGTCGATGGAGAAGAAGCAGATGAAGATGCCATAAACTCTGACCTCGACGACCCTGAAGACCAGCTGGCAGAAGACGCAGATAACGATGAATCTGAGGGCCAGGTCATGCTTTGCACCTACGATAAGGTTCAGCGTGTCAAGAACAAGTGGAAGTGCACTTTGAAGGATGGCATCCTGACCAGCGGAGGCAGGGAGTGCGTCAACCTCTTTATTTGTGTATTGATCGTTACTAACCTTCTATCAGATATGTTTTCCACAAAGGCCAAGGCGAGTTTGAGTGGTAGACTCGCATCGCCACTTCCCCTCCATTTGCCTGTCCGCTCCGTCTGTACTACATGTTCCGGTAATGTGCTTCGTCCGCACACATGAAAATCAGTGATCAGTGCTTTTGTTCCTCGTGCTCTTCAAACGGTTGGTGCAAGCGAATTTTTTCCCTCTTTATGATTCTTTTCTTTCCCGCCCAAGCCCAAACCAGGAGCTTACTTTACGTGTGATTTTTTGACTGCTTATCTCCCAAGTATGAGCCTTGCATGCTCATGCCGCCCAGATCAAGGATGGGTTTTTGCTTCACATGGGTCCTGTTTCATTATGACCTCCGTTTATCAACTAGAATGAATTGGTACTCCCATCAGATAACCATCAGATAACCAAATACAAAACTAATTTGATGATTGAGTTTATCTCTATAGAACGTAAGATCAGTAGATCGGTATGTTCCTTGATTAGGCTTATCTTACTAGATACGTAGATAAGGAGATATGGAATTAGAGTGGAAAATGATGAGAAAATAAAGCAATCAGAACGATAGAGACAAGAAGCTCAAGTGTATCAAAACGAAAATCCAAATCAAACCAAAACCATATCTACACGATCTGACGCCGGAGAACCACACTTTTGTTTGTAATTTCCAAGTCCAGTTCCAGTCACCGCTCGATATGAGCGGTTGGGAAGAGTGAACATCAAATATGGGGTCGTGAGCAGTGCTCGCCGTACCCTTTAAAAAAAAAGACCAAACCCGCACGTATTCCAACCCAAGCTCCCATATGATCGTATCCAGCGGACATAAGATAATGTCCAGGTATAGTCAGGACGAAACTTGTACTGATCACCAGTAGAAGGATAAGCAATCAAGCTGAAAAAGGAAAGCAAAAAGCCACCAGTGCAGAACGCAGGCAAACATGCATCAACGCACGATGGAAGCAGACAATCGTCGCACCCTTATTATCTGGCCTTTCAGTCATCAACAAAATCCCAGTATGTCAGATGCCAGACAAGATAACAGAAAACAAGAAAAGGGAATGCTCTTCTAGGCATATATGGCTGAGTTTTGATCGCTCAGAGGGTGGGGGCTCTATCACCAGGCCCGAAAGAGGGTCTAGGAATGGCGAGGGATTGGATATCGAGCAGAAAGACATAAAATGCCATGAATCAAGACATTCAGACCAAAAGGGGAGAGAAAAGCAAAAACCTGAAAGACAAGTCCCCAGAGAAACAGGAGAAAACCCGAAACACATCAAATCAAACTCCAAAGTCACCGGACCAGTCATGACATCATGTGTGGGAGGTTAGATAGGCAGGCCCATGAGCCGTTGAGATCATTCGCATAAGCACCAAATAGCACAGAGGATATTATGTATAGGGAAACAAAATAATCACAGGAGGCCTTCTTCGCCGATTCCAGGGAGGCCAGCTCCAGCAACGTTGATGTTCTGTCCCTGCATGACACCACCGCCCAGGGCCAGATTGCGACCTGCAGCAAGTTGAAAATCTGGATTACAGGGCGGCGAATGCGATTTGTGGTATTTGAGGCCGTTGAGGTTCTTGTATCGCTTGCCGCAAACCTCGCAGCGATATGGCTTCTCCTTTTCCATTCCAAGGGTGCCAGGGTAAGGTGCTGATGTTTCGGGGTTCACTATCGAGAAAGTTCCATCCGCGTTATCATGGAGCTGCTGATTGTTGTGGCCGTGCTAGTGGAAAATTCACTGGTCAGATTGGAGGATGACAGTAGGGTTTTTAAAAGACTTACCGCTTTGTGGTATTTCAAACCATTTTGGTTCTTATAAGCCTTCTCACAGCCGATGACAGGGCATCGGAATGGCTTAGGCTCTTCATTGGGAAGAATCGAAGTTGTATCAGGGACCCCAGCGAGAAGCTGCTGCTCACGAATCCGTCGAGCAATATCGCTATTGGGACCGTACTGGGCACCACTGAGTTTGAAATGAGCGTTTGTTGGACCTCCCATACCTCCTGTAGGACTAAATAGGCGCTTTGCTGGCTCATCGATGCATAGATCAACCATATCGTTATTGCCACCAGAAAAGTGTCCGAACTGACCCTGATTTTGGCCCATGGCGTGTTGCTGCATAGTAAGATCACCAAACCCGCCTACCACACTCTCATCAATTTCGGCAGGTGTTCCAGGTGCTGACGAATCCGGGGTATTTCGGAACTGGGAGGTTTGGAGGGGGTTGGCCATTAAAGTGGGAGTATTAACGGATGAAACAGTGGGGTTGTTCTGCAGGGACAGGGGACGTCCATTTCCGATCGGAGTACCGGGTTGGGAGGGTGTGCTGAAGCCCTGGTGGCTTGGAAGCATGCCCAGGTTTAATTGCGCGCCCTGGTTGGAGCTCCCGAATCCGCCTTGACCCCCTTCGCGTAACTGTGGGGAGAACAGCTGTGAAGTGGTATCGTCGTCATCTACCATAGGCTCGTCCAACTCCATATCATCGATCGTGTCTAGATCCACGTGCTGGGATGTGGAAGTAGTCTGACCCAGCTTCCGCTGCATATCCAGGGTGCGATCTGGTTGCAGGCCGCGCCCTTGGTTACCATGTTGCTGGCTCTGTTGTTGTGCAATCGCGGCCGCTGCTAAGGCAGCTCGATTCTCACCCTGACTCGGGCGATGTCCTTGGTTGGGCGACTTGGTGGCGTGAGCTTCTTCGTAGTGTTGTAAGAGGTCGTGAAGGGTCGGTAACGTCACACCGCAGCACGAGAAGTCCCGCATGAAGTTGGCCTCCAGCTTCGGGAGATATGACGAAGAGTGGAAAGAAGGCGACTGGAAGGTGAAGGGGGACGTGCCAGTCATGATGATGCTGTATGAGAAAAGAAATATGGTCAGTTTCAACGTCGTGCGACAATGTTACAGCGCACAGGATTTCTCCCCGCGCGCTGCGCGCCTCGATTCCCGCCACTCACTCATCACGTATCCAACTTCCGACCGAAATACCACCCCAGCTCATTCCGCCTACCAAGCTTCCTGCCAGAGACTCCCGGCGGCCTTTGTCGCGGGCGGATCCCGACATGGAAATGGGCTTCGTCCCATTCCCCCATTGTGCATTTGCGGCGCCGATCGAGTCCTTACGAGGCGGCGGGGCCTTGAACACCCCGAGACCTCCGCTCGGGTGATGCGATACACTCCCGATGCGTTCGCCAGTACCGGCTCTTTGCAGGGCCGACGTAAGATTGGAGGCCTGCTGCCCCGGCGGTGAGACCGAGGTCGACTGTCGCGTGGCGATGTCTATCGGAGCGGCGCCAGTCATCGTGAGGGGTCGATATGCAGGTGCTTAGGTTTTGGAGAGCGAGGTCAAGGGAAATAAAAAGGAAAGAACAAGTACAGCTACTCGGGGCTGTTTGCAATTTGGTTTCGAAACTTTTTTTTTTCTGGAAATCCTGGTCCCTGTCTGGTCTGCGCGAAGGACACGCCAAACCCGAGGGGTTGGGAGATGTGAGAGGGTATCTACGGTTCCCGCGTTGAAGCGTAGATTCGGGGGTACCCAAAGATTTGAAGAAAATGCAGATGGTGAGAAACAGTTGTCTGAATGCCCCTCGATGTGGTGTGGACTTTTGGGTGGATGGCGGTTTTGGGCGGGTTCAAGAGAGTCCACCCTGAAGTCCCGCTCTTGTATTGGGCTCGGCGGACCGCTGAGCCTTAAGTGGCGATGAGATCGCCTTCGAAGAAACTTGGAACAGTGCAAGATTAGGGACAGAGGACCCTTTAAATGAACTTTCTAGATAAGAGAGATCAAGAGAAGGTTTAATGAAGCGGGACTGAGGGACTGAAACTAAGTATTCGTAGTATGATCGGAAGTGCACTTTACTATGACTGAGAGACTTGTCTGCTTCTAGTCTAGCGTGGTTATTGTATTACACCACACGTGATGTTGGTTCCATGCATCCGGCATTTGCCATTTGTCACATTGATTCCTCCAAATTCCTATGACAATATTAGAATTAAGACATCTGATAGTTCCCATTTGATTGAATATCTGGTACAATTAGTCAAACAAGTCTAAAGCGGACGAATGTTTCATCTGGGGGAAACAGTCTAACATTGATCGGTGTGGAAGGTCGAAGCGCCGATCGCTACCATGATGACACGACACACCGCTTGCAGGGACGTCATGATTCTTACCACCGAAGCTGAAACACTTATGACTAGCGTCTAATTTATGACTAATAGGATCTTGGATCTTGGATCTAACTATAACTTACTAGTTTCAGGCTTGATAACATGAATCATAATTAAGTCAGTCCGATTTTCGGGTTCACTAATTGGAGTTACTGTTTCCATCCCTAATCCTTTTACACGCAGCCGAAGCTACTGTTAGATGGGGCTTATGGAGATATGTATTCGTATTCATCATGTAAACTCTCGTTGCCGAGGGTGGAGTATGCTACCAGTAATTTTGATACGCTGAGACAGGAGCTTCTTCTCCGAACGTACCTGCAGACCTAATTCCCATGGTACAATCCTGAAGCCCGGGTCTCCAACTTTATTTTATGCCGAGAATTTTCTCATAAATATCATAGATCGGCTAGAACTGCAGGATGAGATCGCGAGCAGATCTGGGGTTATGCAAGGGGCGAAGGAGATAAAAACGGGGTGGCAAACTTTCGGGATCCGCTGGGATTCGGTCAGTATCGCGTGCCGGGATTTCTCCGGAATAGCAAAATATTGGCATTGTTCTCCCCGGGTATAATCACTATCTGAGTAACCATTTGAAGTAAAACGAATATATCTACTTTTCCCATGTATTCAAGGCCATTGATCGGCAAAGTTATTGTACATATACCTCCAAATAGTGGTTGGGTAAACCTAACGGAGCCCAAAGTTTCAGTCGGGAGACAACGGGGCTCTTGGCTTTGGCGCTAGAAACGCGGCAGAAGCATTTGGTCCAACCTTCGATCAGTTAGCGTCGCTTGGATTCATTACGCCCTACAGTCGTACCAAATACCAGCACGCCCCGCTTTCTACTAGATTGTACCCCGTCTTCTCGTCTCACATCTCGCAGACGCTCCCGCGTACTCCGTCAATTGTACCTCCTTTTCTCCAAATAAGAGAATGCGACTTGCCTCACTCTGTAAGGTAACTCTGCCGCGCGGTTTCTCCACGGGAAATCTGTCGTTCATTTCCTGATTAGGCATGTGGGCTATTCCTAATCGGCTGACATACTTGTGGATAAGTTTTAGCAGAAGATCGGTACTGCTTTCCGTCCATTCCGTCCCTTCTTGCCACAGGCTAGGGCCGTGGTGGGCTGGTGAGTCTATCGAAACAATCATACCAACGTCATGTTATCCGTGACGGCAAATACATGAGAGAGTTTCTTTGTTTACGTTTTATGCAACCCTGAAATAATGGCTTTGTTGCACCCTTGTTCAACGTTTACCGAGATAGTAAGTCATATGGTTTACTTTATGGGGCAATTTCCCGATAACGTCGAAACTACTGAAAGATCGGCAATGGACACTGATTGTAACATTTCCCACTATCGCACGATTTGTGTGGGGAAAGATAGGCAATGAGGGGTAAGGTCAATATGGCAATGAGGGTGGTAAGGATACCTATGGTGCACCGAGAGCATCAACATAAACCTTGGTATCATGAACTTCAAAAGACAAAAAATAACGTTAGTAGACGCCACGATTGAAAATAAGAGCGGAAATCTGACCAATCAGGCTGCTGATGAGCCATTTCTATCGGCAAGCCTAAATATGAATGATTCGTTCTTTTTCTGTCTCCCAAGGCTTAGGCCAATTATGACTCCACACTAAAGTTGAAAGGCGTCAAGGATGGCTTCGGCATGGGTGATCTACATTTGTACCAATATCTGGCTTCTGCCAATCGGTCCCGTCAATCTGTATCTCTTCTTACGGTAAAAAGACAAGATGGCAAAGTGAAGCCTCTACTCCATTGACTGAACAGATAGGAGCATGGGGTACTCTATTTAGGAGCTTTATATTGTAAACCCAACATGACTGTCCATTTATTCTACCCTCGGACTCCATGGATTCAATGGCTTCTGAAATATGAAACATAGTTCTCCTGAAACCTAAAGGATGGAAGTTCCTAAGACACCCACTCCTCGTATTTTCAAGCCACGGGTCATTCCGGGAAGTCTCCACGTGGTCACAATCTGACGAATACATTGCACACAAGCACATCACTCTCCGCACTCATTCTATTTCTATGCTTGATTGTATTTTCTCCAATGTGATGTTGATGCCCCAACCCCTGGCAACCTCGTTGATCTCTTGCCGATTTCTTCCGATCAACTTCCCCGCATCCGTGGATAGGGGTGAGGGGGAAAGCGTGTGCGAGACAAGCCTCAGGAGCCAAAACAGTGTCTACTAGTATGTATGCCTAGTGACATTGGCTGTTATCTAGGTGCATAATTGGCGCAAGTTTGTTTTGACCGACGGATACTAGTCTGCAGCATGGTTGATTCGTCAACTGGTCTATATAAGGTTATCGTACATATCACATCTCTTGCAGCTTTAGCTTCAAGGCTGAAGCACCAATTAACTAAGACGTTCCGATCGATTAATACCGCTTCGATAATATTGATTCATAAACTAGAAGGAACTTTAAGTCTATAAGAGCTGGTTTGATCAGGGAAATCCAGCTCTTTGGTCGTGGAATGTAAACACGTAAATATTTGATGGATTCAATCTATGACATCTAGATTATGGAGGCGCGATTCAAGATGTCTAAGGTTCTAAACAGTACCCGACAAAAGGAGTGAGTATTTTATATATCTTTCAAGTAGGTATCTACGATTTATGGGATCGATCACCTTTATTCATGCCTTGACCTTGGAGTAAATCCGAGCCCTGGTACTATTAAATTTGGACCTACGTTGGACCTAACTTGGACATGGAACGCATATGGGTTGAGCATGGGTTTATCCCAGCATTGATTAATGGTAGATATTTAAGTACTAAATATCTCCCTCCTGCGCTTCCTTCACTGCGATTCCAAGGCATTGACCTCCAGGGTCTTCTTGTCCAAGATGCGCTGCATCTAGTCAATGACTGCTTGGAGGTCAGCCTGTTCACTCCTAGCCTTTTCAAGGAGCTGCTGGAGGCTTCTGCCGTTTAGCGATGGAATTAAATCCTGCGGGGCCGCTGTTGTTGGTGCTGTTGGCGTAGTCGGTATAGGTCCTGTGAGGCTGCATTTATCATAGTGGGCACCGATATGGCAGTTAGGGCAGTTGGCACGCCCATGGACCCGGACACACCCATCGAACATCCCCCGTTGATACCGGCAGCGGGTGCATGCCGTAGCTCCCTCGATAAGTTCGCCCGTTGCTTGGGCCAGTAGCGCTTCACAGTTCTCCTTTTTGGTCGACAGAAAGTGATCGAAGCTGGGGCCTTCCCATGGCCATCGTTTGGAAGACTGTGCCCTCACTGATGCAAGCGTGGGCTCTCGAAGAAGCGGGAGGGGCTGCAGAGAGTTCAGCAGCGTTCTTTAGTGATCTGTACTCGAGCACGTTGCCACATCGGATTTCTGGCGCTGTGCGCCCAGAATGAGGGAGGCTGATCAGTACCATCAATTATTGGGGCTGGAGGGTCGAGCATCGGGTCAAAGGTGGGTGAGTTGGACATTGCGTCAATGGTGAGATGGTTGGGGGTGAAAAGAGCTCAGTTACAAGAAGCAACCATGGAAGTATTATTATTACTGATGTCCATCCCGTGTCCGTCCCGTGTCCATCTTAGGTCCAACTTAGGTCCAACTTAGGTACCTTAGGTACAATGTAGAAAGTGTATTGAGGCTGCCATATCTATGTTCTTTCTGTAAATGGAAGCGGGCCAAAACCTTCACCTTCAGCATTCACTCATCCTTTCTCATCCTTCCACTTCCATTTCCATTTCACACTTTCATCTTCATCCACCCCTCCATCTCCGTCCATACATCATTTGAATCTCAAGTCCATCATTATGGAGTCCTCTGGCCCCAAAAGGCAAAAGCAAAATGGGGTTCCTTACCCATACATCCCGTTCACAGACCAGGACTACGGGGACCACGAAACTGCAAACCACCCCTTTTTCATCCGGACAGTGCCATGTAAGTAGTCCTTCTTCTTTCCATGCAAGCTTCCCTGGCACTGGTTAACGCATATTGATTAAAGGTCTCCCGTTAGAAGAGATTTCCAAGTTTGATAAACTTCGCGCTGAGTTGATAACAATGACCAACGACGAGAACGAGATGTTCGTTCGGAGCTGCCATCCAAGCCTGTGCTCCCAGGGCACAGTCATGGTCTCTGAATCGAGCTTCGGCGAACCTGTGTGGCTTGTGCTGTCACCCATCACCGCGCCAGAGAAGATTTATGCAGGTGGAAGAGCAATCCATTACTACCCCGCCCATCACAGCGAATTCATTCCTTGGCTACTATCGCCACGATCAACTGCTGGGTACAATCGGTATTTCGACCGTTACATCAATCCCCGACGATTCCTGCGAGCAACAGATCTTAATAGCCTCCGAGAGCTTTTTCCAGCCGCTATAGGCGCGACTGTACTGATTGCCGGTTTCCTCATTATTCTGTTTGATGATATGCAACATGTACGGAATGCGTACACCGAAATTTACCCACTGGAATTAGCTGGCATGCTTGTGTACTTCGATGTTGCCAGAGATGAGCTCTCAACAACTCCTGTTGAGTACGGTCTTGATACCGATACCCGCATTGGGGAAGAAAATACCCGTGCAGGGTGTATTGGTCTGAAGGTCCGGCTCCAGGATGGAACCGAAGCAATCACCACAGTGACTCATGGATTTGTGAACTGCCCAGGGACTTCCTTGGCAACAACTATGCTGAATGTTGTTCGCCAAATGCTCGACAAAGCAAAGAAAACGCTGGTCCGATATCTCCCAGCGCGAATTGCCGAAGATAACAGATTCATCACATACTCCGGCGTCCTTACAAACAATCCTATCGGACGAGAAGTGTTGATCGCTGCCTCCCATCATCGGGTATGCTCACAAACCCCGCTTCAAGTGTTTTATTGACCCTTTGATAGATTGGACACATCTCGCGTACCTATGACCAACCAAGTCGGATTAAACCCTACCCGCATGGCTATGATCATGACCTTAGCCTTGTCACCGATCCCGCACTCCCCGACGTATGTAACCCACCTGGTTATCCAGCAGTATCTGAGTGGGCAGACTACTCCACCGCTCTCGATGGAAGACAAGACGTCTATACTGTGTCTCATCATGTGCAAGCTGGAAGGTGGAGAGCTATTGAGGGCAAGGTGGATCAAACTCTGTTCAACAGGTCGGTAATCTTAGGAACAGGTTACAGATGGAGCCAGAGAGAGAACACGCAAGCCGCTGTCATACTATGGCACACTGAGCCGGCCCTAACTCCAACACAAGGATGGTCTGGAGCACCATTATGTGTTGGGCGACCGAACGATCCGATTGCCAAAGCACTGGCTTTCCAGAATTTTCAGCAGGCATTCAAGTTGCCATTGAAGGATGGCAAGCCAGACGGTGTATTGATCAAGGCTGGTTTTGTTCTCCCCGCAGACATCAAGAACTCTACCATTCTTAGCGCGAATTCGGAGGCCACCCGCCCCCTTTTCAATACCCTCCCTGCGAAAATTCGGAACTCTAGTGAGGCTTCCCCCCAGAGACGCAGTTTCTCTGCCGTCTAGGAGTCGTCCAAGTTGCTGCCATTTTTGCTATCAGGTTTGCTTGTTAATAGGGTCTTATGCTGCTGCCACCCCCTTCTTATTATGATACAATCAAAGAATTATTATTGTAACCCATGTCCATCCCGTGTCTATTATAGGTCCAACTTAGGCCCAACTTAGGTCCAACTTTGGTCCAATTCAGGTCCAACTTTAGGTACATAAACATATGCAAATTGCTATTCTTAATCCAGATTAGCATAGATACGTGGGCAAAAACAGGACACATGGAGAAATATATTTTCATTCTAGTTGATTTTCAATAGAACGTATGCCACACAGGAAATTAATTGCAACCATTCGATCTGGATCCCTCCGCTGACGTAGATGATAAGATCCCATATATGGATTTGGAATGTAGGGGGCTTAGTACACTCAAAATTCTACGAGCGATAAGTCTAAATTCTAATACTACTAAACTTTGATAAGCAAAACCAAAAGTGATTGTTTACTTACCTACACTAATCTTGATAACTTAAGACCAGACAATGCACCAAGGATGTGATTTCATAAAAATTTGACCTGGATAATGTAGTGCAGAACTTAAATATATTAACCGAGATCTGTGGAAATTAAATTTAAAATTCCGGAATAAGAAGCAGCTGCTTAGAATCTCGGAATTAACGAGATAAGCGATGTGAAATGTCGTCTCGGATTACCATAGAGAACAAAATCCAGATTGAAAACATGCATGAGGCATGAAGTAACCTGCATCGGTCCTAAGGATCGATCTAATGCACGGCCTTAATTCAGTATCATATCCGCTGCGCCGAAACCTCCGCGCCGCAGATAAGCGTGCGACCCAGGCGTCGCAAGCCCTCCCTTATTCAGGATGCAGGGATCGCAGTATGTGATTGGACACAGATACCAGAGAATGCAGTAAGAATCGACCGAAAAAAAAAACTTGAGAGTGAGTGGACATCAATTTCGCACATCATCGCTGCAGGTCTTCACCGGGATGCGGGGGCGGAAAGGGGGGGCAAGATCCGCGATGGGTATGGAGTCTGATGTGTACCCCACCGGAATCTCACCGAGATACTAACACAGTAGAGGATATTGAGCGACTGCGAGGTCGTGAGCCAATGTGATTAGCGGAATGTCAACGTGGACGACTGTCGGTCAGGAGGAATATTCATCCGCAGGAAAGGAGAGGATTTGTTTTCGGGCTGGGCTGGGCATGTAAGGATGCGAATTGTTGACTTGGCAGAGGATTGGAAAGACCAAATGAGGATCTGGAGATATGTAGCATGTATGTTCTACCCTTGGCTGTGGAACGTGATCCGCGATAGGCGGAATTCCTAGGCTTAGGGCCAAGACGGGCATATCAAACAGCAGTCTTGGCGGATCACCATCGCATCACCTTGGCGCTACTTGGCAGGTATTCTGGGGGACCATCCCTCGCATCCGGTGGCTAATATTGTCTAGGCATTGAGAGGGAGGCTGTGTCAGGCATGTGGCCCTGTTGAGGTACAGGAAGAGAGTGTTGGATTGGAAAGAAGCACATTGAATTGCCAACTGGCCCGAGAGGCTATGTATTCTGAAACTTCCGAGAATATAGAGACAAAAAAAAATCATAAGAAAGATAAACATATTGCCAAATGGCCCAGATCTGATAGCGCCTGAAACACCCCAGTTGCTTTTCCGCCGCTTGTATCCAGATGGTCGATGGCCTCGAGTTCCTTCATGGGGTGTCGGGGTGAACCAAATGAGAAGTCAATGGATTACCGGATCCATTGTTAAATGAAAAGCATCTGTCGCTCATGTAAAGGGGTAAAAGAGAGTCGAAATGCAAACAATCACTGAGAGAATCGTCGAGTGGTGGTGCCAAGGGTCAGGTAGCCTGACACGGAATAATCAGAGGATGTAGATGATGTGCTATCGGAGCGGTGCGACTTGGGAACCACGTTAGGGCTCGGGTCAGCGGAAGGAGAGTCAGACACGGCCTGCTCGTAGGAACGGGAGTCTGGGCCAGATTCCGTCGGCGACAAGACAAGGAACTTATTGGCCGGGTTAAAAGGGACCGAGTCGGCAGCAGAGAGGACGAGGAAACGGTGAGTGGGAGTTTGGGTGTACATTTTGAATGTTTTGAATGTTGTGTGAGAGTTTGTGTATAAGTAGTTGGTTTTGTGAAGAGGTAATTTGGATAGTATAGAGAGTTGGATAAGCTGTGGAAAAGTAGTTTGAGACAGTAAGAAATCTTGTGACGGGTGAAATCGGTCAGGCTTTATACCCCGGGCTCGTGGGCCTTGGGTGAATGAGGGGCATTGCTACGTATCTGATGTGCTTGACAAAGCGTCGATCCAGGACATCTCAGCCGGGGCAAAGTGGGTACCCGATGGTCATGCAGACCAAGCCTCCCCGCGATTGTCGCCCATAATGGACGATCGAAAACACACTGGGAATTCTCACATGTCTTGGCTCAGTGAAAAGAGAAAAGATAACAAAAAAGGGGGGCAATTTGGTCTCACTTATGAGAGCCAAGACGTCACTATTGAATGACTATCACCCCTTCTGCTTTCCAATTCTTCGACATTGCCCCTCTTGGCTTTGGTATTTGGGTCACACAGGCCCCAGACAGGGCTTGCTAGTCATTCCCAGAAGCCATGGCAAATATGCATATTCTTGGCGATGAACTTGGCCCCTGCTAATCGCTAATTGCGCAATTCAATTTTTTGTTAGTGTTTTCCAGGTATTGGGCGGGCCCCGTGGCGAACCGAAAGTCAAAGGAACCTCGGATGATCTGCCGTCAGGATGAGAAGAGGGGCCAAAAAACACCTCATGGGAGAGCTATTGGATTTCACAGGACCAGCACACCCACCGCCTCCAGGATTCGCGTCGAATACGGAGGCATCAGACCTAGGGCTCCAATGTTTGGTCAATTAGGTCGCACGATCATCTTCGATTGTATCATCTCCGATTATATCCGCGTATTTCATTCATGCATGCACTGATAGCTCCGATTCTTTATCATGGTTATCGTGCGCAAGTCTTTCCTCTTTGCAGAAAAAAAAACTGCATATGACATCATCCGATTATCGTTCATAATGATATCTGCTTTTACCGAAGTCCCCGGAGGACAACCCGGAGGACTTCGGTTCAAACATGGATTGCGGGGAAGATCTTTTCCGACATGTGAGAGGATTCGAGACCACTAGAGTACCCGTGTCGCCAAGTCAGGTGCCTCAGTCGCCCTACATAATATTTCCCCTGTCACGCTTTGTGAGAAAGCTGAATCACAGTGACTGACTGATGACCATTTGTTATTATCACGTGGTAACGTAAAACCAATTTGTGATTGATTACTATTGATTACTAAGAGACTGATTAGAGGCATTTATTGAGCACCCAGTCCACTTTAGTCCATACCCATAGAAGTCCTATGTCCAACCAATGTACCATGCTGTTTATTTTGCGAATTACTTTTAGGTGGCCATCATTTCCCATCCTACACCATTTAGGAGAATAAGAGGATCCAGTGATTTTTCCACAGGAGCTGCTTGCATTGCTAGTGGCGAAAGGTTAAAAGACAGTATTAAGGGACAATGGATACCTCTCATATGACTTGTCGCTTTCTTATATCTTTCCATCCCATCCCCCATGCCACAAAGAAACTGCCGACAGCTATACCAGCCGCCAGATAGAAGACATGATCTATCCCCTGACTATACGCCATCAACACCCCTTTCAACGTACCCTTTGAAACCACATCGCGAATTCCTGTAGCCCCAACAGCAACCACGGCTTCAGAATCTACAGATGGAGCATATTTCGCAAGGCCAGACTTCAAGCTGCTGATGAAGATGACTTGGGCCAAGGTGAGGAAAATTGCCTGACCCAGAGTTTGGCTAAAAAAAAGCAGAGACAGAGCAACAGAAATTTGGGCTCCCGGAAGGATATTTTGGACTGCAACAATCGGCTAAAACGACATGTTAGAAAACATTTGAATCAATATAGACATCTTGGGATGTAGTCAACTCACCGCTTGAGTGCCAAGGCCCCGTGCAGCTCCGATGAGGATCTGGTATCCAATCCATGTTCCTGTTGTAGTCGATGATGAGAAGAGAGATATCAACCCGTTTCCAATAGCTGATAACCCTCCGCTAGTAACGCTAAACGGAAGATAGTAGCCGACTTTTCCTACTATAAGGTCTTTAGAATCAATACTATCTGTGGAATAGGTGGGAAGTTCATACCTAGGAGACCAGCGGAAATGACAAGAATCAACTGACTGATGATGTTGGGGAGCATATAAACACCACTCATCATTGGGGACGCTCCTTTCACCACTTGAAAGTAAAGAGGAAGATAATATGTTGCACAGGCAGTCATACCCCCGGCGAAAAAAAAGAAAGAGACAACAAAAACAGACTATTCTTTGAGAGACCATATGGAGAGGGAACATAGCCTCTGTACCAGTGCGGTACTCCCATGCCAAAAACAAGAGAAACATCATACCTGAGCCACAAAATAGGCCAATGACTGTCGCACTATTCCACGCATATTGGTTTCCACCATAATCAAGCGCCAGAAGGAGCTGAATCATGGCCGGAGCGAAAATAAAGAATCCAATCAGATCCAGCTTTTCTCGCACGATTCGGAGGACTGATAGATGGTTGCTGGCAACCGTAAGTTCTGGGATGTTGACGAAAAACAAGACAACAGCAACGGCGCCGCCAATTGGAAGATTGATGTAGAAGCCTGCCAAATAAAAATCATCAGTAACGAGATAAGGCAAAGAGGTAAGCACAGAGAACCTACACCATCGCCATGATACATATTCCGTTAGCGCCCCTCCAATCAATGGGCCGAGGACAAGCCCGAGCTGAGCAACTAAAAGATCGCGGGTCAGAGGAAAAAGCTCAGGATGTGTCAAATTGGTTCACTTACTCCCCAGAAGGATAGCTGTCATGGCTGTCAAAATGCAATATTAGTGAAGTCCTTCCAACCTAGAGAAACCAGAAATATTATGCATACGTGCTTGTTTTTCCGGAGGGAAGGATCTGGTGATAATCGTCAAAGCGCCGTTTTGAATACCTGAAGACCCGATGCCTGCCATTGCCCGTGCAACAATGAGCATTTTAGAGCTTGATGATAAGGCACAGATCAAGGAGCTGAGTTCAAAGATACACAGAAGCACAATAAAGGTCCTCTAGTAACTTTTAGCTACATTAATTGTATTTGATCGAGACATGTGCATGTGCCAGCGTACCTTGGTGTTGAAGTAGGTATAGATCTTCCCTGTCAGTGGCTGAAAAGACGCACTGGACCAAATGTTAGTTGAGTTCTCTGGTATCAAACCGATTGACAATGACTGAAGTACCTGGTGAGTTGATATGCACTACCATACCATGCCACATCGGAGAGAGAATGAAATTGACTTGTAATTCGGGGAATCGCCTGTGGTGACTGCTCATTAGTCGACAGGAATATACAGTATAGCTAGCCGTTTCGTATAGTATTGCCAAGAAAACTCACCGGGGCAACAATAGAAGTGTCAATAAGCACCAGAACGGCGGCCGACGTCAATGCTGATAACAGCAAGACAAGCTCAAAGCCAGCGATATAGACGCGTCCCTCGATACCCGCCTCTTGTTCTTCACTTTTCAAGGAGTTGCCGTCTTCTACCTCTGATATTGCATACACTTCCTCTTTTTTTGTGGGCTTCGGGGCCTGGTTTGAAACATCAAGGCATTCGTATTGCTGTACTCCCATTTTCTTGGAAGGGTAAGACCGTAGAGTCTTTGAAAAATCCAGATGGTTGGAAAGAGCAGAATGCCTCAACCAAAGACGTGTCAAGGCGGAAACCCCCTAGATCCAAGCCTGCACTCATGAACTCTATTTTGTTTGTTTTTGCAGCTGAGGAAAGTGGAGCGATTTATAGTGGAGCAAGGAATGAACGAAAAAGGATACTGTAGCGTAGGGATTTGCGCTTTGCCGTTTCAGTATACGGAGTACTCCTGAATGACTAGGGAGTCACATGCTATCCACTGGATTTCCTTATTGCAATAGCGCGGAACATAATGTTGAGCTGAAGTGAGGAGGCGGAAATAATAGAACAATAAAAATATAGCTGGGGAGCTTATCTTTTCCAAATCCGGTATACTCCTGGATGATCAGTGGTCCTAGCTCACCCACACTCTGATCTTTAGCTGGTCACTATGATGTTTTGCTTGTTTAGCATGTATCATATAGGGGAAATGTACTCCGTTTGTAAAAGTAAAATGTAGTGTGGCTTGAACTAAGGGTAACTTGCATGTTACAGGTGCGGACCAGTCCACATAGTGCAGTACATAGTGGGATTTCCTATTAAATGGGATTATCCACTCCGTAGATCTGAGGGCTTGTTAAAATAACCATTGAAACTTTAAATAAGAAATTTTCTAGCTTCGCGGAAATAAATGATAGCTCTCTGCCCGAATTCTCCTGCAAAGTTTCATCATTGAATTCCGATATTCTCAACATGTCTCTATCACAATACAAGTTCGAAATACTACCCCACGACGAGCTGAGTGTACAGCAATGGGCTCCCAAATTCATCGAGTTCCGCCTGAACGCCCTCAAAGCAGCCCCTGCAAGCTTTTCATCGTCCTATGAAAAGGAAGCTCGCATCACCAAGGCAGATTGGGTTTCACTGCTCAGCGAGCCCGCCTTTAGGGTCGTCATTGCTGTTGTTCGAACGGATGATGATTCTCTTCCTGTATGGGAGAGTGAGTGGGTAATGACTTCAAATCTCTATGGACCTCGCTGCCACCACCAACCCTACCATGACAATGCAACCGACTGTCACGAATCGTCCTGGTACGTGGCGGCCTCCTTCGTTTCTCCTCAACACCGGCACGGGGGCATGTTACTTGAAGCCTTTTACACGTGCGAGCGAGCAGCCGTCAGCGAAGATAGACAATCATTCGAGAAGCGACACCAAGCTCAACTTCTGCGACGATCTGGACGATCACTACAATACCGAACACGCATGCTGGGCACTCTGACTCACAGGCATCCCGCTGTTTTGAAATACTACCGATCGACCGGACTGGAAATTTCATACACTATGCAGGTGAAGGACTTTGCTCGATGGGGGTGGAAAGTTCCGGTCAACCCTGAGAAGTTAGACAAGGAGATAACTGTGATGGAGAAGATTATTCCATGGGAAGCCGAACCAATGGCCCGACTGTAACTAAAGAGCTTAATTTTCTTTGACTTTTGCTTTTTCCATTATTAAATCCACTGTGTTTCAGCGGAATCCACTTCAAAACTTATATTTTGTACTATTTTGTAGCATGCAGTATGGCGATCAATAGTGAAAAGTTAATGCAATGGATCTATCCACTTTTAAATAGCCCGACTGTAGATCATTCCACTTGTCAGAACTTTGAATAAATTTCCTGTAAGTTCTCGAGACATTTAATCCGTCCATTACTCTTAATTTCTATTACAAGTTTCACCTCAAAAATGGAAAATAACTGCCTTTTGTTGGCCGAAGCCCGCGACGAAAAATTAAAAGCGCCAACCACTCACTTAATTACTCTTCTCGATCAAGCCGCCTACCAATTTCCAGATCATGATGCCATCATTTCTGTTCATCAGACCGAAATCACGGGGACGTCGCAGTCCTTTCACTGGACCTTTGCTCAATTGCAGCAAATGAGCATCGAACTGGCCGCCCGCCTCTCTTCCAGAGGCGTTGGTCGCGGAAGTCGCCTTGTTACCCTTATTTTCAACCAGGCCCAATGGGCACTTCTTTTCTGGGCTTCTTCCCGCCTGGGCTGTGAATTTGTGCCACTGGATCCTCGAGTGCTCGATCGCGACGGAAGGGATGTTTTATTCCTCCTGGACCTGTTGAGACCGGCCGCAATATTCGTAACGACCGAGGCCATGTCAAACCGGATTGACCAAATCACGAGCGATCAAAAGTGCCGGCCTTCGGTCAAGTGTATTGTTAGCGACCATGAAGAGACTAACGTACTCGATGGGTGGACGACGCTGTCCGAAATCATGTCGGGGCCCTCAGATAACATTCCTGCTTTGCATGAGCCCGGGAAGCCAGATGATACAGTGCTCATCTTGTTTACAAGTGGCACCACTGCACTTCCCAAAGGTTGTCCGCATACGACCATCTCTATCGCTACCCAAGGACTGGGACTTATGGACCATTTGAACGTATCATCTGGCTCACATCTTTGTCAGCATTTGCCCAATTTTCATGTCTTCAGTGTTGCTTTCACTCTCGCGTTCTGGCTGGCTGGTGCTACTGTCGTGTTCCCAAGCTCTTCGTTCAACCCACAGAGCAGTTTGCAGATGATGAGATCCTACCCAGAAGTTTCAGTTCCCTGTGTCCCGGCGATGGTACATGCTTTATCGAACTGTGAACCGCCTCAGCACAGCTCTCGCCATTCGTTTCAAATTGTCCTAGGTGGGGCTCCTGTGACTTGGGATGTTGTGAAACGCAGCAGGGATTTGGGAGCGACAAAGGTTATTCCCGGATATGGCATGACTGAAGGTATAAGCTTTGTCAATACCTCCATTGATGCAACCTCCTTGAATATGATGAAAGGTGATGTCTCTGCTGGGAAGGTTATCGCCGGTGGGAGAGTCCGAATCTGTGCTTTGGGAAGCCGCGCCCCTCTACAAAAAGAAGAGATTGGTGAGGTGCATCTCGGTGGTCTTCCTGTATTCGGCGGCTACCTTGGCGGCACTAGTGACGCATGCTATCGTGAAGATGGAGTAAATTGGGTAGTCACAGGGGATCAAGGGTATATGGATGGGCAGGGCTACCTTTACCTACTGGGCAGGTACAAAGATCTCATCATCCGCGGCGGTGAGAACATATCACCACTCAGAATAGAGCAGTGCTTAGGTCAGGTCGATGGAATAACGGTGAGCCAGATCAAACCCCATTTTAAATACAGCAATCTTAACGTACTTGACGCTGACTTCATGCAATAGGACGCCTTTGTTGTCGGGGCTCCAGATGTTACTGCTGGTGAAGTGCCTGTTGCTGTGATTCGAAAGGGTCCTTCAACTCCAGTGTCGATTAAAAAAGATATTCAAATGATGATTTTGAATGAACTAGGTGCATCATTTGCTCCAGCACATGTTCTTGATCTTCAGGATGACCTTCAGAAGGACAACTATCCAACTACAACCTCCGGCAAAATCCAGAAAAAAGTGCTTCGAGAATGGGTCATTGATTATCTGAGTCAAGTTGCCACCGGGAGTCCAGTCTCGTTCGATGATCTTCCATCAGAGTTGTTGAAAATTTGGTCCGCCATAACGGGCCTGGCGCCCCAAGACATTGATCCCAATGTGTCTATACGCACCTTCGCCGACAGTATGATGCAAATCCAGTTTTGCCACATGATACGCCAAAATCTGCAGCTGGTGATCACACAGAGTGACTTGATCAAGTTCAATACTATTCAGCAACAGGCCACCCTGCTTGACGAAAGAAAGCAACGTCAGGCCAAAGACTCTCTCTGTCGCGATACAGCCCATGACCTGCCGAAGCTGGTCGATACTGAGAAGGCAAAACGGGCAGCCTCTGAGAAGTTGGAAGCACTTGGATTTGGATGGGATAATATTGAGGAAGTCATTCCAATTCATGACTGCCTGAAACGGTGCCGCCGTGGAGCTAGGCCGAATTCATGGAATATCCGCGTGTCATGGATTGCGACCTCGTCAATTACCATCACCGAGGTTCAGGCAGCCTTGTATACATGGGTCCAACGTCATCCCCTGCTGCGGTCCACGCCTGTTACATATGATGAGAATCTAGATCTTTACTTGGCCATGCATCCCAGTGAAGATTGGATGAGACTACAAGTCATTAATGGCGGGACAGTTGAAGACGTGAATGATGTCGCAACATATAAGCTGAATGATCCCGAGTATGACTTCATTGATGACAAAGGGCCAATGTTCAGGGCTACGATCCTTGATGTGAAAAATCCATCGGTTGTTGGATTGGTTATGCACCTGCACCATCACATATTTGATGCTCACACCTTATTTCGATGGTTCGAAGACTTCAGGGATCTTCTAAACCGCAAATACCAGCTTCTCAACTTCCACCCATACCGTGATTACATCACAGATTACCATGGGAACCGAACTGGTCCTGCATCCCAGAAAGCGGTCGACTTCCATGTTAACAGGATTCGGGGAGTATCGTCTGCCACAGATGCTTTATGGCCACCGCAGATTGCACCGCTCTGGCTCAAAGGTGATAATCAGGGCTGGGTTCACAGTGATAACACCCCAGGCTGTGCCAATGAGAGACCGCTTCTCGATGGAAAGGAAAGCTGTGGAACTAAAGGCATTAGTCGTGCCGTCCATGTGCCCAAGATCCTGGAATTGCAACATAACTTTGCAATCACACCTCCGGTAATTGCGAAATGCGCTTGCGCACTACTGAATGTACGCATGACTGGAGCCAAGGAGGCCTTGTTTGGAGTTATTGAATCAGGTAGAATCTGGCCGTCTGCGGATGACAGTCACCCTGATGACAAAGGCATAGACATACTGGAAGTTGACGGGCCTACCATCACTCACTGTCTCAATCGCACGACAATTGTACCCGATGAAACGGCAATGCAGCTTCTGTCCAGAATGAGCAAGGATCAGGATGATATTCTTTCTCATGTAAACGCTCCTATCGATGAAATATGTCGAAAGCTGGATGAACCCGATATGAAGACTTTTATTGACATCGTCCATCGACAAAGCTTTAACTGGATTATTCCCGGATACAAGGAACACGCTTCGGATCCAATTAAGCGCATCGAAGTTATCGCTCGGCCGGATCTCTGTCTTTCCTGGCTACCAGGTCTTATGGAAGGCAATATGTTAAGGTTGGCTGTGTCATACGATGATGCACAGCTGAGGGCAAAGGACGTATACAGCATCATGACGGAGTACTTGTGTGCCGTGGCCTGGCTTTCTGACCCTGCTAATATGGATAAGCCTGTGTCTGAGTGCGAGTTCCAAGGCCATGATATCGTGGATCTTGATCGCGAATCACCAGCTCGATATCGCCAGTGATCAGACTATCTGAATGCTTTTATACCATATGTTACACCTTGTTAGGCAAACAAATGTACAATATTCATCCTAATTAATGGTCGCTTGCTTTCATCCCCAGAAGCATACTGTGATTGGCCCTCAGGGCGTGCTGATTTCTACTCATTGAGCAGAAAGCAGAAAGGCCTGAGCACGAGAACGGAAATAACAAATCATGTAGACCAGAAAATTGCAGAAAGGTTTAAGAGATGATGAATATTAAGGCGATTTGAAAATTACCCGTATTCGAGTTTGGGGGCCAGTGCTAGCAATTCTCCAGACTTTTGATTTAACCAGTTAAGGCTATCAGTGCGAATGCGCCTAGCCATCACGTGGTAGAAACCTCCTGCGATCAGAAACCTAAAATTTCATTAATTTATTTTCCTTTTAACCTTCCAAGATTCATATCCACAAAACCAACAGCGCCAAACTTGGAAGTGGAGGTGAGGTCTCTGTTGCCGCCCTCTCGGGCGTATCACAGCCCGGAGTCGATCTCCCGGGCCGGTGGGCGCCTGGACGAGAGCCTCAGTAACAGTTCCATCAGCGCTACTGCGCCACCATAAAGCGCAATCGTTCTTCACCAGTCATCTTGGCTCTAGAAAGGGCCTACAACTAATCTATAGGCTCAGAGTGAATCTTTCTATTACATTCCAATGCTAATCCATCTCCACATCATCACACCAACATCTGTGCAATTCAAGATTTTTGCCTGCAAATATGAGTTAATTGTTCCCCTCGACCTAAAAGCCTGGGTAAATATCTCGTCACATTGCAGATTTGCTAAGTTTATCATCACTATCACCAACTGCGCCATTGTATGAAGCTCTATTTGCTTGCGAGTCCCACATGGGGGCCATTATATGGAGACACTCACCATTGCCCATAATCTAGACCGACAAATATCGAAATTACGTGAAATAAGAATGTTGCAACCTTGGAAAGGCCAAGCTTCTATGCTCCATCTAAGCGGGAAATTATTAGCTCTCATGGCACTATACGGGCTTCTTGGTGACTAATATGCCTACCGAGGTGGTTGGACACCACACATCACATATTGCCCGATTCAGGAAATGTTCTTTCTAGAACGAATCAGAATAATTGGCGAATCACAATAATTCTACCCAAAAGCTTCATCGTCATCAATGTGCGATACCTTGCATGTCCTACTTCCTCTCTTCGACACCTGCTGTGCCCGCCCCTAGTCTCCACGACCAAGACTTTCGCAGGTGGTAGGCGCACTGACGCCTAAGAGAAAAAAAAAGCAACTTCCAATTATATCTGGAAAATGTTCTGGAAATTTGTCAGATGAGCTCAACAGTGTGCCTGGCGCATTTCTCCAGCATGAGTGTTGGTGTGATGCGCAGCCTCATTTGTCGACGGGGCAACGCACTGGTGTCAAGACGTGGGGAATAACGGGATGATGTCAAGTGCAGGCTGCAGCTGCGGAACTCTAATAGAGATTGGGGTGTGGGAGGGGATCAACAGTTCGAAAGCCTTGATACAATCCTCTGCTCGCTATTCGCTATTCGCTATACACTATTCGTGCACAGAACCGAACATCCCCATCAGGCGCAACCCACCTGGACGCCCCTCTTTGATGATCCACATAACCGCTAACCCTGCCCACCACTGTTGGAATATCTTGTCCACATAGTCCTATGGCTCCTCATTTGTGCCCTCTAGTTGGTCCGGCGTTCGTCATCGATCGAGTGACCACTAAGTCAGTAGATGCATACGGCGCATCTGTATGTTCTGCGCAGCATCTGTGAGGCCGATAGCACATCCTATTCTTGTCTTCCGTTGAATCAGGGTATCTTTTGTCCCTGCAAGGCCGCGCAGTCTTCATCTGGGATAGCTATATGGAATGTTATAAAGGTGGCCGTTCATCCTCCTCGATATCTCATCCAAACTATCAATCCTCACAAGCCATCAAAGCTATACGGAGAATCCTTCCTACTTCCACTTCAAACTACATCATCTTCCTCCCTGATCAATATGTGCAACGTTTATATCAATCTATTCGACTGCGGCTGTTCTGTTCAGGACACCGGCGTGGTTCCCTGCGCGAAGAAGGGCACCCCGGCCTGTAATGGAGTGATAGAAAAATTCCGCAAGCATCCAGGCTACAACTGCCCAAAGCACGGTGGTGGCTAAGGCATCCCCGGGAGGTTAGTGGGACTTGATCTACCCACTTGGCTACTCGCTTGATAGGGTTTATTCCGTTAACGCAATCTCTACAGATGATCTGACCACATTGGTCCCAGGCCTTTTGGGATCATTTCACCTTGATTAGAACGTCAAATGCAATCAGCATATCAAACAAAAATGATTATGTGGACCTGAATATCTTGTATCACATTGTGGCTTGGAGGGCTGTTGTTTTTCCCTATACCGTGGATGGCATTTCCGTTGTCTGGGATTGGTTTATTGTATACCTGTGTATGCTCGGAGGAACTCTTGAATATTTTGCCTTTTTTTGTTTGCTTTCTGGATGACGCCCCTGGGGTGCTTTCGCGGTAACTTCCCATGGTTCGGACATTTTCCCCCGAAACAAGCGCCACCCAATTAATTTCTCTATTTTCTTTATATTTTTTTCTTCATTAGTCACGCTGATCTGAGCCAAATACGTATGAAAGACATTGCGTTCTATAAATCATGTACTCTCCACTAGAAATCAGAAAGCTGATCGGAGAGATCGATAATGACGAGTGCTAATTTGTAGAACTGCATAGAAACGGATTGTTCTCGAAGGTGCGTTATTTAGAATTTCGTTCCGGCCAAGACCCTAGAGTGGGCTTGGATCCTTTGAACGCTTATCATGGCTGCAACAGGGTACATGGAAGATCACTCACGTGGAGAGTTAATAAATGCCCGAGCAGCAGGGCTGAAAGTTGGTCAAATGGCAATGGTCAAGGCTGATCATGACTTGTGGCGGGAGGCGAGCCAGGGGCGTGGGTCGAGAGGGCTAGACAAGGGTATGTCCACGTTGACGCTTACAGGGATGTAAAGAAACGAGGGAGTTGTACGGTATCTTGTAGAGAGGCTTTCTTTCCCATTCAAAAGAAAGATTGAAATATGAGATGCACTGATTGATGGCCTCGAGATTTACGTGATAATTTCTGGGCTTCAAGGGATCGGATTTTCATGGATACCCAATACTCTCGGGTGGCGCGGGTGCTATCCTGAACGCCCCCCCTCGAGGCGAGAAACGGTTATTGGACTGCAGATCAGATCCAGTCATGGAAGTATGGACCATATCAGGGCTAGCCACGTTGTGATGCATGGAGAAGGGAAATGCCATTTCATGCACGTCTCAGTTCCAATACGACACGGGGAGCGAGAGGAAACCCACTCACAGGACCCATCACACCCGCTAAAAGCGAAGCGCGTGGCCCTTCCAATCCACGCATGGCTGAACTACCCTGTCCAGATAGGGAAGTCACTATTTCTCATCGATGTGGTAACCGGCTCGAGAGTGGCTGAGATCGGACTCTCCGGTGAAGATACAAAGAGCCTGGCCTCGGTCCAACAATGAAAGCAGATTTGTTAGTCTATCGAGGCACCAGAGAAAAACAGGAAAGGACGTGCGAGAGATGGCTGCCCACTTATTGGTGTATCGGTCAATGGCCCAGACACTCACAAAGCCACCAGAGTTTCCCACCCAGCGAATAAACCAGTGTTATTAAACGCGACAGTGGGCCCATGGGTATCGATAGGTTGGCAGCCGCGGGCGACCAGTAGTGGATGCATTAGACCCGCATTATGCTTTAATCAGCTGATTTGGGAGCAAATCACTGTGATATCTTGATTGTAGTAAGAGACGTAGTCTGAAGACATCAAAGAGGAATGTATTGTTCTTTCTTCCTGGCAGATATGACCATTGATGGCTATTGTCATGGGTAGGAACCGGGGTAGATAATGAACAGGGGGCTTGTGAGGATCTGTTGTCGTAATCACGCTATCAGGGAACAACCCTAGTCCAGGAAGGACAGTGGCGGGCCCTGGATTGGGCTCTTCCAAACCCCGGAGGCATTACTGTGGGAGCCCATGCCCTGGCGATTCGGGACTTTGCCATAAGGAGTATAGGGGGGATCAGAGCAGCTCGGGGCCGGAGATCTTGGACACTGTCGCCAAAGTAAACGCCGATCTCCAGTCCCACCAGCTGACTAGCTCAGCCTCGAAGCCTCTCAGACTTCCCTTTGGAGGTATACCGGGCCAGACCTCGCGAGAGAGCTGTTTCAACTCTTGAGATGAACGGCCCTCAGAAATCGTAAAGACCTGGTCCGGGAGAGTCCTTTTTTTGAATATGAAGAGCTGATCAACTACTGTGGTTCAATGTATTTGTCAAGGGCATACTCCGTAGCCCCGCTTAAGTCGATAGCTGAACGATCGCTATGACCGGAACTAGACTCCGGCGAAGCGGGCGAACCGCTACTCTGGGAACAGTCAATTAAGGGTAGTAAAAAGGCAGCAGCCATTAGCCCAGGAATCGTTGAGTAATTAATCACTTAACCATATCTTTTATGTTCATCTAGAACTCTTTTTTAGCCTGTATCGTCATCCAGGCACGAGAACTCTCAGTGTCGATCCACAATGTCGTGGTAAAGTCACGTGTCACCGCGTCAAGAGGCGGGTTTCTTTGGCTTTGCTCCATTCCGCGCTTCCATGAGCTTGGAAAAAGTCTCATATCGCATGTGTGATGTCGATTGAAGTTGACTGGGCAACTGCCACCTCTGGCCCGGATGGGGAAGCTCTCGCGGAGCGCATCCGCGCGTTTGTTCATGATAAGTTCCAGGAGGTGGCCCTACCACGCTTCATTCGCTCGGTCCAGGTGCATTCATTCGACTTCGGTACCATTGGACCTGATCTCGAGATCAAGGATTTCTGCGAACCTTTCTCAGACTTCTACGAAGAGGACGACGACGACACCTCAGCGACCTCCGAGGAGCTTGTAGAGCAATGGTCAGACTACGATGACGAAATGCCAATGAACCATGCAGCCCACAGTCCTCACAGCTTCAGCCACCACCCTTACCCAGGCGAACAGTTCCAACCATCCGCGCTCCGCTCCCCGCTTCCTCTCGGTGATCACCTCAATCCACACTTCCTGCCCCGCTCAGGAACCCCCGGCATTCCCGGCGGCACCTCAACACTGGGCTACCACCTTATGTCACTAGGCGGTCTATCCGGAACACAAACTCCTCTGGCAGCTGTCGCGGGCGGCACACGTTTCACAAGCGGCTGGTCCGACTCTGGTCTAGCCGCCCACGGCGGAAGACAAGCACGCCCTTCACGTCCATCCGTACACCAGCAGCGCCCAGAACCAGACATCGACACCACGCACTCCGCCTCTCGGCCCTCAACAGCCTCACACCCCTCCATAGGAAACACTGGCAGTAGTGGCTCGAATCGCAACAGCGCTGATAACCCGGCCGATATCCCGCAGCCGTCAACCGAATCGATTGCCGACGACCCTTCAATCCCGATCCCACCTCGCATGCGCGAGCGCCGGCCAGATGATTTCCAAGTCCTATGCCATGCGAAGTATGCTGGCGATGTGCGCATGTCGTTGACAGCAGAGATCCTGCTAGATTACCCAATGCCTAGCTTTGTTGGTCTTCCGCTGAAACTCAATGTGACTGGCATCACCTTCGACGGGGTAGCGGTTGTCGCTTACATTCGCAAGCGCGTTCACTTTTGTTTCTTATCTGCGGAGGATGCGGATGCACTTCTTGGCTCTGAAGCTCAGGGCAAGGGCGCACAAAACCCTGGCGAGGATGGGCGTCCGAGGTCTGGTGCAGAGCGCGAACAGAAGCGCCAGGGTGGATTGTTGCAGGAAATCCGGGTAGAAAGTGAGATCGGGCGGAAGGAGGATGGGAAACAAGTGCTGAAGAATGTGGGTAAAGTGGAGAGATTTGTACTCGCGCAGGTTCGCCGCATTTTCGAAGAGGAACTGGTCTACCCCAGTTTCTGGACTTTCTTGATCTGATCTATGACCTGCTTCCGTGCTATAAAATGTACAATTACGAATTCACGACATTTTAAGATGATGTTATGGCCAGAGGGATAGATTTCTATCTCTAAAACAGGTAACAGTTAAACACATATCATAAATAATCAAAACTGACAGGCTTCCAGAAGTAAACACTATGAAGTATTGGCTGTTCCACACAAAATTCTGGTAATATCTGCCAGCAACAACAAGGAAGGTATTAACAGGCCTTCCTCTTCCAGGACGGCAAGGTAGTCCGGGGAAAAAATTTATGAACATTGCAGCAAGGGTGTCCGGAAGAAAGTCTTTCATAGCGCGTGATCATGCGGTAAGAAAACCAACCGCAAGTACCACGGGTGTGTAGCGAGCGGGCTTGCAAGAAGCTAGACCGCACTAGAAACCGACGCACCCAATGGTTCGGCTTCAGATTGGCACCCAGACAAAAGGACCATTTACAGGTCCTTCTTCACGTTGGCGTCGCCCTTGTTGGAGGAGACCTCATCGCCGAGCTTGTGGTACTCACGGGTAAGGCCCTCACACTGCTTCTTAAGGGTTTCGATATCACGGTCCTTAGCGGCAATCTCCTCCTTCAGGCGGCCAATTTCACCAATGGAGCCAGCCTCAGCGAGACGAGCAGAGTCCTTACCACCAGCCTTCTTGTCACCCTCGAGCAGCTTGACGCGGTCCTCAAGACGGAGAACATCGAGGATCATGGTGTAGGTGCGGTTGAGAATCAGGGAGAGGAAGAGGGTGAAGCCACAGAGGTACATGTTGCGCTGCGAGTAGAACTTGCGCGCCTGCACCTCCATCCGATCAGTGCCCAGGTGTGCAGCGCTGTGGTGGGATATGATTAGATATTGGACCGATTTAATTGTGGGTATTGGAAGAGCTTACCCGACGCCATGTCCGTCTCTGGAGAAAGCAGCCAGTTCCTGCTGCACCCGGTACACCCGGTTGACGCTGTCGAGGAACAAAATCAGGATGAAAATGAAGGTAATCTAGTGGAATGCGTTAATTGACATGATATTCATACGTCTGGCTTGGTTGAATTACCTTCAACCCATACTGAAGCTTGGCGATGATAGGGCTTTCTGAAATGAAGGTAAACAGCTTGCGCTTGATGGTAAATGGCAGAGGGACGATCAGCGCCAGGAAGACGCCCATCTCAAACACGAGGAGCATAAAAACCTATTCAGCGACTTCATGTTAGCTTGCGAAGTTTCAAAGTGGCATATCTGTTGCTTTTGCAAGTGTGGTCATTTTGAGTGAACTGTTCACTCAGCCCACTAGGCTCCAGCCATGCCTCGGCTAGGTCGGTCGGAGAACAGCAAGCGGGAATATTAACAGCGGGAAACGTACAAGACTGTAGTAGAGAGTCATTTTGGCGAATTTGTTCCTTTGAACAGCTTTCGGTGTCGATGATTGGAGCTGGTTAATAGGGGAGTGGGGGGATCGAGAGCTCCGTGCAATCTGGTTTGAGTAAACAAAGACCAGAGAAGCAAAACAGGTAAATGTGGGAATAAATGTAGACCCGAATGCTAAAAGGCAGACGTGTTCAGATTGGGCAGGGGAATGAGTAACCACCAGTGGGAGGTTTCAAGGTGGGCGGAGGTCTTTTATGGGGAGTTTTCTGGCTTCGGGGCACAGACGTCATCAGCTACCTCCCACGTGACCTGGTGGGCCCTTCAAGAAATCATCGGCGCTTATCACTGAGACTCATGGCTATGGGGTAAATGCAAGGATTGAATGAAACCAAAATTTGACATTGCTATCGGAGTTTGACAGCTGATGCCGTCTTTTAAAATACAAGTTGGAATGCTTTGACAGTCCCAAGTTTTTCTATGAAATATACCCATAGTACCTAGTCGAGGCTATATTTGTTGGAGATTAGAGGCATACCAGTGTCTGGCATGCAAACATTTCAATTGTGAAAGGGATAGGGTGTACCCTTTGAGTTACGGTAGGTTGCATCTCAAGGTGACGGACCCTGTAACATTATCACACCCATTTCAAGCGCTAAACAAGAATAGCCCCTCAAAATCCGTCTCCCCATATCCACTCAATTTCATGCTTCATACGACTTGTCCAAGTCATCTTAAGCCATGACCTCGGAAATCAACTAAAGATAAATATCAATTATTGAATTTCCGGATTTTCAAAATACTTCAGATCAACATGGATGGCCTCTCAGAAGGCAGCAACATTCTTACGCTTCCTTCCGGTCGCATTCTAGCATGGAACGCATATGGCGAGACCCTCAAAGGTGAAAACTCAGACAGTCCCGGAGTTTTGTTCTATTTTCATGGATATCCTGGCTGTTCTGTTGAGGCCACTCTCATCCCAGCAGAGCTCCTCCAGAATAGCAATATACGCTGCATCGCTCCCGACCGACCTGGCATGAACATGTCGACGGACTATTACGAGCGCCGTATATGGATTGGCCCGCAGATATCCTGGCAATCGCCGATCACTTGGGCATATCCCGGTTCTTTGTGCTTGGTGTCTCAGGGGGAGGTCCTTACGCCCTAGCCTGCGCCCATTCCATATCCCGGGATCGTCTTGAAGGCGTGGCAGTGGTTAGTGGGATGTATCCGACGACATTCAGAATGGAGGGGATGCTTCCCGAACTGAAAATGCTTGTAGCAGCTGGGGCTTGGCTGCCAAGATTCATGACCAGTGCAATGTTAGATATGTCCATGGGTCGTGCGGCAAGGAATAAGGATCCCGAAGTTCTGGAGGCAGCAGTAAACAAGACAATGGCTGGAAGACCAGAGGTAGAACGCATGGCGTGGAAAGATGACAGAGTCAGATCGGCAGCTATTGAATCGGTCCGCGGTGCGTTCTGGCAGGGTGGACGACCCTCAGCTACGGAGTTGATGATTTTATGTGACTGGGGTTTCCAAATTCAAGGTATCGCTGGAGAGAGAGTGCGACTATGGCATGGCAAGCTTGACAGAAATGTGTTTTTGTATGGCCAAACAAGCTGCAGAATTAATGCCTGGGGCCGAGACACATTTCTTTGACAATGAAGGGCATTTGAGCTTGTCAGCAAATCATATCTCTGAGATAATTCTTGATCTTATTAGTCGGCAAGAGAAGCTCATGTGATTGACTGCTGTCCAGCTGCGCCTTACAACAGCCCTTGGAAGTGTTTTTGGCCTCGGGGGAAGATACCCCGAATCGACAAACTCGAAACATCTGAACCTAATTGTGACCATTTCTTACTCTACAATTAGCTTCCCAATCATAGTAGCGGGTTCATTATTTATCAAAATCCGGAGTTGACCAGACATTTGAATCTGAAGCCGCGCGTGACTTCCAAGGTTTCTTCACGCACCGGACGGTGTCTCTAGAGCCTGCCCAGGTAAGAAATCATTCAATTGCCTCCAAATTCCTCTATATGTATATCTATAAATAAATCCATGCAAAGTATTGATACTGAAAGCTCTATATGAATTCTTCTTTCTCAATCTGCTCGCAGAGCGCCTTCAGTGTCCAGCCAGCCCATTCAAAGTCACTGTCATCAAGGTATATCTGCCCACTAAGGCGGACCCACCAACAGCCCTTGAATGGGAAGACAGGAATGAACGTATTCCAACTCTTGATCATAGCCCGTTGCATCCACTCTAAGATGGTCTCAGTGCCCTCCTTGCCTTTAACAAGGCATCCTTTCCCATCTGTAGGTTTCTGCAGTGGAAGAAGAATGTTAACCATACAACAGTCAGTGAAGCTGTGACTGGCATTGTCAAGAATTTTGGTCCCCAATATGTCTGCTACCCTCTGACCACCTCTGCGAGCAAGATTAATACAATAATCTTGTATTTTTCTTTCCCCGCCACATACTTCCTCGCGCCACTGGATGGCTTCTCCGACTGTCAAAAACGCAGTGTTGTCGGCTGTACCCACGAACTCGAAATTGGAAACGAACTGCGATTGTCTTGCCAGTTGATTTTGTAGCTCATTACTATGACCATTTTCAATGCAACGTGGAAGAAACCCGTGACTTGTTGGCAGTGTACTCCGGATAAGGCCTTGATTTCGCTCGGGGACATAGAAAACAGCACATGCCCGTGGAGTAAACAGCCACTTATGGCAATTGGTGACCAGAAAGTCCGGATCCCATGATGATATGTTAAGATCTATTTGACCAATTCCATGTGCAGCATCGACCAAACTCAGTATGCCCTCCGAGCGACAAGCCGCTGCCAGTGCCTCGAATGGGAGCCGAAGACCAGGATTTGAAGAGATAGTGTCGAAAATAGCAACTCGTGGACGATATCCCTCTGCTTTGGAGTTTGAAATAGCGTCTTTGAATACTGAAACCATTTCAGACGGTTCAAGTGGGTAGGTGAACTCGACTTCCCGTGTGCGAACCTTGTCCTGGTTGGATTCACAGATATAGTTGGCCATTTTCCTACATGCACCGTATATCACATCTAATTGAAGGATCTCATCCTTTCCATCGTCGTTCCACAAGAGGTTTTGCAGCACTGTGTTGACACCCGTCGTGGCATTTGGAACAAAGACGATGGTGGATTCTGGAACGGAAAGGAATTTGCTTATAACAGCCCGAGATTTGTCCAGTAACTTTGGGAATCGGTATTTGATGAAGGGAAATGGATTGGTCTCGCACTCCTCTCTTATATCATTTGCTATGTCGCGGATAGCACGAGGTGATGTTCCGAACGAGCCTAGGGACTGTTAGTAAGCACATAAGGATAATCACGAGAATCAAAAATACCATGGTTCATATTTCGATATCCAAGTGCAAAGGAAATGTATTCTCTCATATCATGGCCAAAGGCGGTTGGCCTCCACGAATGAACCGACATGATGGCTTGATTTGGGTGCGAAACAAGGCGGATGTTGGGGAGATAGTGTCAAATGACAACAACGTGCTATTTAATTTCCAGCTTTATCTTTCGAAGTGGCTATACCCACCTTCCCTCTTTGCTCACCCCATATCTCGCTCTTGAACATCGCGATACGACCACAAGATACAACTCTGGTGAAATTTAGGGGGCTTGGGCCCTGCAGTGGGCCTCGGAGACTCGGACATCTTGCGAGACCATGTCGATCAGCGGGATTTTGAAGAGTTGAGTGGTTGAACCAGAGAATTGCCGAGCAAAGCAATTTGTGATCACGGAATAAAAGTGATAACTCCGGCATGAGATAAGACTTACTTCGGTTGTCGCTACCCCACGCTTTCCACGTATCAAGGGCTGCGAGTCCGTGCGCCCATACAATGAAAGGCACATAAGACTGAGGAACTCCACGTTACACTGCGAGATCGGATGCAAGAATCTTGCCATTATTTTCCAGAATGAACTGATACCTGAAATATGCAGTCTCACGAAATCGGCCACGAAGATTATATAGAGGATGTGGCCAGCAGGCTTAAATCACAGCCCGATATACAGCCGGGCTTGAACAAGGAGGATATAGCACAAAAGAACGTTGGAACCCTGCAACGAAGACTCAAATCACGCCATGTTCAGTTTCTTGCTTTATCTGGTGCTATTGGGACGGGTCTCTTTGTCGGTGCCGGTCAAGTTATCTCGTTAGCTGGTCCATTATCTGCAGTGCTCGCCTACTTCATAACCGGCTTCAACCTATACGCGGTGATCAACAGCATGGGCGAAATGGCAACTTGGCTTCCTCTCCCAGGCGCTGTACCTGTTTATGCTTCTCGATTTGTTGACGAGGCTTTAGGCTTTACGCTTGGCTGGAACTATTGGTACCAATTTGCCATTGGTGTTCCGATCGAAATTAGCGCCGCAGCTTTGGTGATAGACTACTGGCCAAATGGTGTGTCTTCTGCGGTCTGGATTACGGTCTTATTTGTCGCGATATTTGCGGTCAATTGCCTGCCCGTTCGTGTCTATGGCGAGTTGGAGTTCTTTCTTGGATCCATCAAGCTCACCACCATCATCGGCCTCATGCTACTCATGTTCATCCCCACACTGGGCGGCACGCCAACGCACGATCGTATTGGTTTTCGGTATTGGCAGAATCCAGGTCCCATGAATGAATATATCGAGACGGGATCACTCGGTAAATTTCTCGCGTTCTGGAAGGTCTTTATCCAGGCGACCTTTAGTTACGGAGGTAGCGAGATGGTAGTTGTTGCGGCCGGAGAGACGGAGAACCCACGAAGAAATATACCCAAGGCTGTTCGCCGTGTGTTTTGGAGAATTGCTATCTTCTACGTCGGCAGTATTTTCTTGGTTTGTCTATGCGTCTCATCTCGGGATCATCGACTACTCAATGCCATCGATTCCGGAGCATCAGGGGCTGGAGCCAGTCCATTTGTTATTGCAATTGAGAATGGAGGCATCAAAGTACTGCCTTCTATCATCAATGCAGTTATTTTGACATCGGCCTTGTCTGCGGGCAATTCTTTCTTCTACGCCTCCACTCGAATCCTCTACTCTACAGCGCTAGATGGGAAGGCACCGCGCATACTTCGTTACGAGAAATTTGGGGTTCCATACGCCTGCGTGGGTGTCACAGCTGCATTGAGTCTCCTTGTCTATCTGAACGTCTCAGCGAGCTCCGCGGATGTATTCTTCTGGATCAGCAATCTGAGCTCTGTTAGCACGCTCATTGTGTGGACATCCATCTCGATCACTTACATACGTTTCAACCAAGGATTAAAGCGTCATGGCATCCCAAGATCATCAATTCCATTTAAAGCACCGTTTCAACCATACATGGCATACTTTTCTGCAATCTTCTCATCCACGGTGGCATTCTTCAACGGATTCGATGCATTTTTTCCTGGTCACTTTAGCGCCAAGAGCTTCATCCCTCCGTACATTGACATTCCTATCTTTACCGGTCTTTTCCTTGGGTATAAGATTATCTACAAGACGAAACTGGTGAAAGTAGAAGAAATGGATCTATGGTCAGGCAAAGAGGAGGCTGATGAATTGGAATCAACGTGGGAAGAACCGAAGCCACGGAACTTTCTTGGTATGTCAACTAGTCTTGCGCTTTTGCGCCGTATCACTAAACTCGACAGAACGCATTTGGTTTTGGATTGCCTAGAACATTTAGTTGGAATATTGTCTTCTGTGAAGATCAAATATGGTCAGGGTCCGCGACTGGGGTGTTTTGGGAGGGGGGGGAGGGGGAGCAATATCTTCCTCGCTACCTAGGATTGTGTTTTCGAACCGGACAGAGATACCTCGTTAAGACAGATTAATTGTCAAAGTATAACAGCTATGAACATTTCAACTTGACATTTTAAACATTGATTCCGATATGAACTTGGCAAGTAAATACATGAGAATACAGACATCTGGAAGTAGACGGCCTTCGCGAGATCTTCAAATGTGTCCACAAGTTGATCCGAGTAGCCAGTATGATGTGTGACTGATGAAGTCCATTACCTCTTAAAAAACCTCTTCTCAATGGTCCTCAAGAAAGCATATGAAACGGCAGCAAATGCAAATCCCAATTCAAACCCGACATCACCTCCAACTGATGGAATCCCCGCTCTTCTAGAAACTGGGCCAATATACCATGATTGATTCATTCCAGCTACCATTCCTACAACCCCACAACAGAATGCCAGGAGTGCTGCGATCCCGGGCGGGAGGTTTTCACGGGTATCATAGTCTTCAGGACGATACCCCGAAACACCACGTCGGAAAACGAAATGCTCAGTCAACGCAATACCCTCATAAATCGCCAGCCAGTACCCAATGAAGTTCATAAAATTCTCCAAAACAGCTTCGAAATGGCTATATCCCGGAATTGCAATCGCGACATATATTGCCGTGGCCACAATGGTCCATACGAAGCGAGGGGCATGGCGTGTCCAACGGCCCATGACCATGAGCGTCAAGGAGACGGAGTAGATGTTCGGACAATTATTCGCAACGATAGACAAAGCGAGGATGATGACGCAGAACTTTCCAAATCCCCCCAGACGAGGGAAAAGAAGGGCGCCTAGAAGGCCACCGACTCCTGATTCGTTGTATCCTTGTTGGTATGCATTGTCACCTCCATCAATTGCCATGGCTGTCGCGAGGGCAGCACCCAGTAGCTCTGTGAAAAGGAGGGTTGGAAAGATGCCTAGCCAGGTTGCGAGGAATACCTTGCGACGTGGGCGGTCGCTCGGTTGATAGACAGTGTAGTCGGCTGCAAAACTGGTATAGCCAGTGCCGAAACCGAAGACTGTGGACCCGTAAGAGAGCACCGCGCCGAGTTCTGCACGTCCGGTCCCCATGGGAATGTTGACAAAATCGCCCGAGTGGGCCAACACGCCGATGACAACTAGAAAGACGATGAATGTTGGGATCCAGCTCCAGTATTCATAAGCATGCACTACTTGATATCCGAAGAATACCACGAGTAAGGTGCAGAATGCAATTATCAGAATTCCGGCATAGCCAGGGACGTTCGGGTTGACTGCGTTGATCAATTGAGCACCAACAATAATGTTGGCAGCGGCCCATCCGATACATGCCAGTACGTTGAATAGAGCAACTAAGATGAGATCAGGGTATCAGCTGGTTATCCCATTTTCAAATACCGTTTCAATCATACTCAGCTTGACGCCCCACCAGCCAAACCAAAAGCGCGAAAGCACCATTTGTCGCAATCCAAACGTCGCGCCGAACGTGGAGAAGAAGCAAACCGTCAACACGGCAATGAAGTTGAAGAAAATGATGACCAGAGCCCCATCCGCAAATCCCATTGCAAACAACGGTCTACCAAGAACCCCAATGGTAAATGAGGGGACTACCATGTTCGCAGCGAGCCACTGGGAGATTTTTGCACCAAAAAATTAGAGACATCTTGAACGATGATCAGGATGGAAATACCATTGAGCCAATATTCCAGTACGAATTGTCGGTCCTCTCCTCCTCGGGGACTCGCTCAATTCCTCGTTGTTCCACTTTAATCTTTCCGCCGAGTCTTTGCAACTTTGCGTACATCGAGTTGCCATATTCGAAGCTTGTTGCAGGTACGGCACCGGTCTCATCAAAGAGAGGCGGGTCTAACGCGCCAGCCCTCTTTTCCACGTCATGGTTGAGTATTGCAGTCATATTGTTCCAAAAGTAGAAGCTCACATCGTTTTGAGAATTGGGAATTGGCTTCCTTTTGAATTATTGTTTCTTCATCTGGCCGAGCAAGGACCCACGGGGGATTCCGATCGACACTCAGACGGAGCGTAGTTGAGTCCGTGTTTAGTCTCAGAGTATGTGGTAATGACAGGAGCGATATTTCTCACCAATCACGCCGCGTTAATATTCGGAAATACCCAGAGAATGTTTTCGAGCCTTCTTCCTCCAATAAAAAATCGTTTATAACATACACAATCGAAAATGTGCACGAATACTGGACCCTTCCCATGTTCTCGGGAGTCATATCGCTCGTATAAGCTTTCTCCCCTTACCCAATTCGTCTGGTCCAGCCGGATTGGTCTCCACAGTTGTAGTTCCGCCGAGACAATAGAGGCACAAATGCGGGGTCAGACTCTATTTGGTAGGTCGAGGCACGCTTGGTACGGAGACCGCCGAGACCCATCTACGAGCCGATCATGAGGCTATCGTAGGAATGCAGGTCCCGAAGATATGGTTTGTGGGGTAAAGAGAATCCCTCATAGCTAGAGAATTGAAAGTCCGGGGAATTAAGCAATGAATGGTGGGTATCAAGTCTAGTGTTTGCATGCATAGTGGGTAGCTTTGCCTACCTGACCCATTTTATCTCTAAATATTCACGACGATATACACATACACTACAGCTCTTAAAAGCATGCCCTTTTTCCTTTTTCCTGTTTTGCTTGTGTTCCCTGCCTACTGGGACGGTCTGACACTATAGTAGTCGAGATCTTTAAGAACCTGATTTCTCAAGTTTTTGAGGAAAAGCTTTGCAACTAGGCAAGATCGGCTTACGTTTGAATTTTGCTCGAAGAAGCAGTGCTCACCCAGGGGTGAGCGCTTGAAAGCTCGACTGGGGCAACCTATCTATATACATGCAGGGAGGGGGCTGTTGAGGACGGTCAAGGCACAAGCGAAATTAAATCGTAAAAATATGTAAATTTAGTTCATTCCACTTGCACGTAGGTAGTCACTTATGTCTAACTTTTGTACCTATGTATGAATATGTTCAGGTAACCGTTCAAATACAGCGTTCAGTCATCAACGCATGAAGATCAATGAGGGGAATCGTCGGTCTGATCGAAGTGCTCACGTGCCCACGGGCTGCGAAGGCGAATGGCTTCGCCCTTATAAAAAAAGATGAATGGAATGGGAACAAGCAAAATGGAGATGAATCCCAACAGACTAGAGGCCCATTCGTAATCCAGCTTCTCATACATCTGTGTAGCGAACAATGGAAACCCTGCACCGACAATGTTACGAACCAGAATCACACCCGCAAGAGCGGAAGCAGAGTACGTCTGGTAGCTGTCGACGACATAGTTCAGGATGCTGAGAATAACAATATAGATACCAGCACCGAAGAAACTGGACGCAATGATGGGCACAATCCAATGGACGGATTTGTAGCTGGTCCACCCGAACCAGAACAAACTGATCGGGATAAGAATGGCGCCGCCACGGGCCATCCACATCCGTGCTTCGGGAACACCCTTGCTGTCGTTCTCTGCTACGCGGCGAAGGTAATATCGCTCCTGAAGGGGGTACAGGCAGAATGCAATAACGGGACCGATGGCCAAACCAAGAAAGGCCAGACCCTGCTCACCACCATTGAAAGGATGACCGTACGGAGCGCCAAAGACCAAGGGGAAGGCCTCGTTGAAAAGATAGACCAAGCCGTACAAAAAGCCATTGTAGATAGCAGAGAAGGTCGTGATAGGTTCGGAGAACAGGAAGCGGAACGGGCGCGTAAGAGTGATGGCGAATAGCTGATTCAAGCCTTTGCGGTCGCTGGCGTGAACATCATCGATAGACTCAGCAGATCTCAAATTCTCTTTCTTCATCTGCTTGCGCATACGACGAACCTTCTTCTGCAAGATGGTGGTGTGCCGAGTCTCGGGGATGGTGAAAACCAGGAGCACCCAAACTCCACCCGAGATAGCCATCAGAACCCAGAAGATCCATCGCCATCCCAGATTGAGGCCAATGTAACCGGACATGACCAGCGCTGTCGGGGGTCCAAAGGTACTACTGAGACCGTAGACCGCCATCGGACCACCGCTCTGGTTTCGTTCCCACAAATCACTGATGCTACCTCCTGTGTTTGTCAAGGGGGCTCCGCCTGCGCAGCCCGCAATGAACCGGCAGACCAAGATAGTCCCAATGTTGGGAGCTAGGGCCAAAGGGAGCTGGAAGATAAAGAGGAGGAACCATGACACCACGTACACTGGCTGGCGACCGAAATATTCGGATAACGGAGCGAGAAGAACGGGACCGATGGCGAAACCTAACACGTATAGCGACAAGGCCAATGTCGTAATTTCCGATGACACTCCAAATTCGGCTTGGATGGCTTTCGCGCCTGACGAAATACTACCTGCACACCAGCACCTATAAAACAGTCTCGTTAGGGTCCGACAAAACAAGGGATAGAGGTAGGAGCAACGTACGTGAACACATTCAGGCAACTAACAAAAATGGTGATATACCACTTGCGAAACTTAGACCAATTGCGAGGGTTTTCATGGTCATCCAAAGCATAGGTAACACGAATGGGCAGCGCGTCGTTAGGACTGGCCCTGGCTTTGGCAAACGCTTGTTCCTCGGTAAGGACGAAGGATTTGGACTCCTGAAATGCGTCACTGACCTTCTCCAAATCGCGTGTCTCACCGAGGTGAGGTTCTACCCCTGGTGAAGCCATGAATGCCAACTCACACAGTAATAGATTGGTGGAGGAGGGTGAAAGGGAGAAACACGGACAAAAGGATGGCAACAGCTTATAAAATTGGGTGGCAAAAAAATGAGCCACTGACGAACTGATTGCTCCCCCAGAACCCGCTTCCCCAAAGGAACTTCCCCGAGGCTTTTCTTTTCACCGGGGAAACTGGGTCGGCGGGGTCGGGTTGCCGAAAAGAAGCAATAAGTTGCCAATGCTTGGTCGCAAAGCTTGGATACGCGCCCCACTTTGAAAATCCCATCCGCTCTCGGTGAAGAACACACTCATATATTTGTGGAGATTCGCTTTTTTTATGTGTCATACGAGGAAGCCACGGCAGAGAATAATGGAGCCTGCGATCTCGGTGACTATGGGCTCCGATTACCCAGGAAGTGAAGCTCTAAGGCTTGGCCAAGCCACACCCGCACACTCAATTAACGGCGATAGCTTCATCTTATGAAGAAGGGTTTCCTAAGTAAGGTGTGCATCTTTTCTACGGGAGGGAAAAACTTGGATTTCGGTAGAATCTCTGAGTTGAAATCCTATATTGTAGTATAGTCATGATACGCCCGCAGACAAATCTTCTACGGTTAATTAAGAGAATATCGTGATGTCTTTGCGATCCACAATCTACATGGAATGATATGGAGCCCCTGAGAGTATTAACATTAGCTAGTTTCCTCGGCTCTGTAAGCTTCACCTTTCAGGTCAAGTGCCTCGATGCTCCAGTGGTTGCAGAAGATCACTAACTTATCACCAGCTTTGCATGACTGATCTCGAGGACTTGGATTTTTTCACCACAAAATGGATTTTTTTTGGTCACAAAAAGGGCCTACTAAAGGCGTGAAAGATAAGTTCATCAACGGATATAGAATATTCAACAATGAAACCGGGTGATTTAGGCCCACTACGGGGGCGAGTAGCGGCCAATTTATCAAAACACCTTATCACATGACTTTTGTTCACCGCTTTTATCAATTTGGTAACGTATTGTACGAGAAAACCCCTAAATCCTACCATCTAATATCCACCCATTTAATATCCACCTATCTCCACCCTTTTCCCCCCTTTCACCCAACATGCCGCGCCCGCAAATTGACCTTGCTGCCCACCGAGACGAGATACAGACCCTTTTTGAGAGCGGTGCTACTCATGAAGCTATTCAGCATGCCCTGGCCGCCCGTGAGGTGCACGTGACCCTTATTACGCTCAGAAGACGACTTGATTCCTGGGGTTTTCGGAGATACAGCACCGGACCCGATATGCGTGAGAATGTTAAAACCCTACTACCCCTTATGCGCCCTCGAGATGTCCAAAAAGTGCTACCTACGCTTACCGAGCGCACTTTTCGGAGAATTCGGGCGGAAATGGGTGTCAAATTACGCACAGACGACCCTGTTGAGCGTGACCAGCAAAGAGAGGAGTTACAGGCGGTTTTGACCTATTATGACCGTACTGGAGAAATTGAGGGGTACGGACGACGCGCAATGCAGGTCCACCTCCGTCGTTATGAGCAATATTATCCAGCGTAAGTGGGAGATATTTGGGAGATATTTGGGAGATATGTGGGAGATATTTGGGAGAGAAACGTGCTGATTTCTTCTTTAGTGATCTAATCTACGACGTTTACCGAGAAATCCGCCCTGACGCAGTTTTACGCCGCACAAACGACCTCCAGCGTGGCCGTGGTAGCTATAGCTGCCCTGGGGCTAATTTCGTCTGGCATGTTGATGGGCATATGAAGCTTGAACCTTATGGATTCGAGATTTATGCTGCTATTGATGGATACTCTCGCAAAATCATGTGGATTTATACCGGTATAAGCGCACGCACAGCTGTGAGTGTTGGACGTCAATATCTTGACTGTATTCAGCATGCTGGGTGTATTCCGCGTTTTATCCGCTGTGATTTAGGTGTTGAAGGGCATATGATGGCTGATTTTCATCTTGCACTCCGGAGGGTGGAAGATCCTACGATTACACGTCTTCGTGATTGTTTTCTACTAAGTAAAAGCACAGAAAACCAGCGTATTGAATCGTTTTGGTCGAAACTACAGAAAACGTGTTTATTTATCTATCGTCATTACTTCATGATTTTACGAGAATCACACCTCTTTTCAGCAGCAAATATTACAGACCAGGTCGCCCTTCTCGCCATCTATATGCCACTTATCCGACGACATGTTTCAGAGTACATCAAAGATCATAATTCGTTTCCCATCCGCCCTCAAAAAAATAGGCTTGGGTGTGTTACCGGTATTCCACTCGTCAACTACGACTTCCCTCCACCTGGGAAGCAATACAAGTGCGAAGTGAGCGAGGAAACCTATCAAATCCTGTACGAAAATGTCGCACCATGGGATCCTATAGAATATCTTCCACCTGCTACTCTGGCGTGGTGCTCTACACAGCTGAATGATATCATTCCAGGGGGATTTGACCCCGAAAATCCACCTCTCTACCGACCGGGTGATAACCCCTTACAGCCATATCGATCTGTGTACGAGCAGCTGCGGATTCGAGCATTAGACCATGAAGATTCTGGTATGCAGCCGAAATTCAGCGTTTGTGACAAGCCCTTAGATGGATATAATTGGCGAAATTCAGGTGCAGCAGAGGGTGTAACAGCGGAAAGTGGTTGATAATCTAATGTCTTAGGTTGCGCAACGAATTTTGGTCTCGGGTAACGAATTTTGCGTTTGCAAAACATGATGATGAATATGTGGTTGATTTCGTATACTAAATAGCACTTTTTCCCATCAGTATCTTCCACATAATCCACTTTTATTCATCAATTTATTGCTTAATTCCTCCAAATATGTCCGATTCCAACGCAATTATCGCAAGATTTCTAGAGTGGCAAAGTTCTCAAGCTTCACCTACCCCTACCCTTACCTCTACCCCTGCCCCTACGCCTATTCGTACGCCTGCGCAGGTCAATACTCAGGCCCTTCAGCTGACAGGGTATGAAGCTGCTACAAGGTCTTACGGGGCTGGGTCCCAGGCGAGAAACCAGCAAATTGGTCGAGCTCCGGCGCCAGCGCCTACCCCACCACAAATCAAGTTGGTAACATATGTCTATCTTTGGGAGCGTGGTGGACCAATTACGCAAATCAGAGAGGGTTTGCGTTCCTGATTCTCTGCTTTTTCTATACACATTCGATATATTTGCTAACTTTTTGGCTCTTTTAGTCGTTTTGAACCCCGACTTTCCTCCCGAATTCATCGTCCAAAATACACGTCAATTTGTCGAATTCGACATATTGACCCCCACCAATGTCGCGCTGCTGGAGAGGAAGGGGTATAACCCGACTTTGGATGAATTCGACGGGTATTTACTTGCGAGGGACGTCAAAACGGCCAATAACCGAGATCCTACAGCATTTATGGTTGAATGTCGCCCAAATACGCCCCTCCAGGAGTTTTGTGACCATAATTTGGGCCTTGTTAAAGGATTTAAGGACCGTTGGACCCTTCATGTGATAATATCACAGCATTCAGATACTACTCTTACCGCCCCGGTAGCCCCCGCAGCCCTTACAGCCCCAGTAGCCCCCATAGCCCCAGCAGCCCCCGTAGCCCCAGTGGTTACTGAGCTCTACGAAGACCGTCTCTGGTCATCTCCGCCTGCCTACAGCGATACCGAGAACCTCGAGATCCCCGATCTTGCCCCTGAGGCCCCTACAGCAGCGCCAGCAGGGCGTCCAACACGGTCAAGAAGAAGAAGGAGAGATACCCCTGAGCTTGTAAGCCAGCGTACTAGTAGACGCAGGCGCTTTTGATAGGGATAGATGGGTTCTGAAGGGTTTTGTACGCTATTTTCTCATGCATGCATTTTCGTTTAGGATTTGATAGGTTTCCTCGCTCAATTCGCACCTGTATTGCTTCCCAGGTGGAGGGAAGCTGTAGTTGACGATTGGAATACCGGTAACACACCAAAGCCTATTTTTTTGAGGGCGGATGGGAAACGAATTATGATATTTGATGTACTCTGAAACATGTCGTCGGAAAAGTGGCATACAGTTGGGACTTAGTAAAATTTGACTAATATTGGACTTATTTACCTTGAATATGTAAATTACTGTTTTCTCGAAATCCAGTATTTTTATGTTTTCTGCCATTTTTGCTGTTTCTGCCTGGTTTTTAGGGGTATTGATAAATTGGCCGCTACTCGCCTCCGTAGCCCACTCAGAGCTAAATCAAAACAACAACACTTTAAACACTAATCTGTGTGGGAACCATCCACGAAACAATTGGTTGATTGAATTTGTATATTATATTGTAAAGTATGATAGTATGGTAGTATACAAATAAAGGTGAGAGGTGTAAGATATACATGAGTTGGTGCAGAGTTTTCCGGAAATATTCAGGAATGACTGTACGCAGTCCTAGCACTCATGCTAGGCTCAATAAGGCCGGTTAACAATATTACCTGGCGGCTAATTCTGCTTGGGGCCAAGGCTCCGCTGTGAGACTGACGACGGATCATACTTCTTTCAAATGTTGTAAAGACATTCAAATAATATTGGTTTGAAGTTACTGACTTCTCTCTCCAATCTGGAGTAGAAAAGCGCTTCTCTTTGCTGGTAGCGGAATGTCGACAAAGAATAGCTAATATGTATATGTGATCCGGCACCACATGTGACGTGGCAGCTGCACGCGCTGGAACTTCTGCAACTGCAGGTTGTTTTTCGACCTCCTCTTTCACGTACTAATGATTCACATGGAATTGATTCGTTTCTAAATTTAGACTCTCAAACAGTGCTGCACCATCAATGTCAATTAATCAAGGCTATGACGGGGCATATTGTTGCGCATGAGCAGATAACAATATTGTGCATCCCGTCGTTGAGTCTAGTTGCATTAATTAAACCAAAGGTACTTGGCGCCATGAGAAGTGTGCTAATCTTGCGAGTTGAGGCCAAAGCCGATAGACTTATAGAGACCCATATAACTTAGATTCCTAGATCGACATTGAGACTCGCGTTATGATAATCGACACTTTCCTAGTATGAACGACCGTTATTTCGAGCCACAAAACAGCACCTCTAAATCTACTTAGTCCGCGAGAGACCCTACCAGCATATTCGTACTGAAGTGACGTGTCGTTGATGCGTTGCAGAACAACTCATACTTGCATTCCCCCGCTTCTCGCTTCCTCCCACGTACGTATTTCAAGGCCCCTGTGCCACCGTTCCTGCGACCAACTATTCTTCTGCTTTGTAATCGTCTGTTATTTAATTCTCAATATGGCAAATAAGAAAAAGGCTAAGGCTAAGCAGCGCCAGACTCATAAGCAATCGAAAATTTGGTCTCCCTCCAACTGTCCCCAAAGATCGATTATCATCGACCAATTTCATCGTGAGTACTCTGCATTTATTGGTTGCAACTTTATTCTAATTTCTTTATTGGCCTTACGAATCCCCGGTTATCACCGTCGTCATCGGGAATAAAACTTACGGCATTCCGGCGCACTTCCTTGGGAAATGGCCTAAATTTCAGCACGAATTGTCTTTGTACTCACCTATAGCGCTCTCTGATGTCCACGAAGATGTCGGTCATACATTGGTGCATTTTCTTTACTCAGGAGGCTACGAGACAATCAACTCGCCACTCAACGAAGGCACGTCTGACCTCGCAAGAGAATACCAGAGAAGCGTTTTGGTCTATCAAGCATCCAGAACATACAGCCTCCTGATCTTGAAGAACTTGCCAAGCTAAAAATCGAGAAATTAGGCGAAGAAATGCCGATGCTCGATATACTTTGCACAACAAGAGACGTGTTTCCAAGTCTTCCAGAAGGGGAATTCTGGCTTCCGAATTACATTGAAAGAAATTTCCAGCGATTGCTGAAGCCTGGGCAATTAGGTATTGGTCTGAAAGATCTTTACAGTACTCTCGGTCAAAACCATCTTTTTGATAATACCGTGACGAAAAGCATGCTCAACTTCCTTTCAAATAAAATAGTATCTCTGGAGAATACTATGAAAGATGGTAAGTCCCATTGGCAACGATTTGACAAACATAACTATGAAGCGGAATGACATCACTAAATTCATCTTTTCAGGGGAGATAGAAGACCACAGGAATCAGAGCAAAATACAGTCTGACGCCGCCCCCGAAGAGTCTGTTCCCGTTGAAGAATGGCCTGATGTCGCTACTGAAGAGCCTTTCGCTGCCGAAGAGCCTTCCGTTGAAGAATGGCCTGACGCTCCCGAAGAGCCTGCTGCCGCTGCCGAGCAGCTTCCCGCTGAAGAAGAGCCTTCCGCTGAAGAATGGCCTGAAGCCGCCGCCGAACAGCCTCCCGCTGAAGTGCCTCTCGCTGAAGAACCTCTCGCTGAAGAACCTCTCGCTGCCGAAGAATTTCCTGCTGCCGAAGAATCTCCTGCTGAAGAATGGCCTCCCGCTGAAGAAGAGCCTTTCGCTGAAGAAGAGCCTGAAGCCGCCGCCGACGAGCCTCCTGCTGAAGAGCCTCTCGCTAAAGAACCTCTCACTGAAGAACCTCCCGCTGCCGAAGAATCTCCTGCTGAAGAATGGCCTGACGTTGTTGTTGAAGAGCCTGCTAACGCTGAAGGATTGCCGAAAGCCTCTTCCCTGAGCAATGGCCCACTTACTGATGCTATCGTGCGACCCAATGAGATAGCACCGCCAATTACACATCCCACGGAAACAAATTCAAAGAAGAATCACTTGGTTAGATGTTCGGTCGCTGATTTAGCACTTTATGGGGATTGGACAATCCTCACACGCAAAGCAAGGGCTAAAAGAATGAGTAAACTCATTACCAAAGGCCTCCCGGTCCCAGGCAAAGATGGAGCCATCTCGATATTTGCGAATTGAATTTGTTTTTGCATTGTACCGTCTCGTGCCAAGCCTGTTCTCGAATTCCAAAGAGGCCAAGGAGCCGATTCGTCTAAAGGAAATAAGCTTAATTTTATTAAGAAGGTGCTAGAATATTTAGAGCTACAACCTGGGGCCATCTAAAAGTGCCAAGGTTCATTTCTGGGGTTTCTGGGTTTCTGCAATCTACTCCCAGGAAAGAGATATTTAGTACTCCTCTGGGAGGTATGCGTGGTAACAGATGAAGGCACATGAGTCTCTACCAAGCAATGGCCGACGATAACAGGGTATTGAAAGTTGGTTATTTGAGGCAATCCGTCATGCCTGGATATATCTATGACATCAGGTTCTGTATCGCGCTGTCATCCAATTATATCAACAGTACAGTCGCTTTCTGTTTCATTCATCGTTTAATGACGAAGCCTTTTCTCGGAAAACAATGCGGCACCGGAGGAAGAGGCAGGCGGCACAGCCTATTGCGACCACCAATATACTTAGTAAGGCTACAGCCGGGTATACACATTGTCAAATAAGGGCAGTGAGCGTGAAGATAGTTGCATAATCATAGCTATTTGTGGTGGCTTTTGCAAAAGGAAGTGTGGGAGCATATGCTTCGTTTACATGACGTTCTATATCCCACTTTTCTTTTTTGAATCCTTTCTCTTCTCTCCATACCACTCTATTTGAGCTTTCGCGGTTATTTCGTTCAGGGGTAGCATATCAGCTCCAACAAGAAGAGGCCCAAGCTAGAGTAGCTTAGAGAGCGCTCTCGCTTGGATGCGATCCCCGTATTCTTCTCTGACCCTATTTGTGGCCTGCTCTCCTAAGAGTGACACGTGATACCAGCGTGAGCCCGAATAAATGTTCCATAGTCTTGGAATTCACCATCCGAAAATCTCCAAATGTTACCTGAGCCCAACACACGGGTGGCCTGATTTCTGTAAGCTCAATCTGTATTATGCGAAGAGGCATCGCAACGTCCCTCATCAAAATCGCGGTTACTCTCAAAGATATGGTAATCGCGACTCCATGTTTCAACGAAACCCTTATAAGACAGGTCCAGGTTGTTGGCGTATTTCCGTACATAATGGATCGGTTTCCCTCCTTCCCCGTAAAACCAGTATAGTCTGTTATCAGACAACTTCATGACACACCATTTCCCCACATCTTTGTCATCGACTCGAACAAATTCGTTATTCGTAACGTGGTGCATTCCTGGACCTGGGTAGTACTTCATGTTGCTGAGATGAATTTGCTGAAATTTGCGGTGTTGGTCGCTTTGTTGGTCGTAAGAAGATGAACCTCGGAAAGTGTTTAAGATGAAAAGATGAGAATCTCGGGAGGAATTAAGAATATTCTTTAAATTTATATGCAAGATGCGATAGGCCCCACCTTTCAGCTGCCTGTAGAAGGGCCCACTTTTCAGCTCTATGAATATGCCGCAATGACAGAAGTGGTAATGGCTAGTGCACTGCTGCTACGTAATCAGTGGGACTCGGTTGTTGGATAAATACATTGATTCAGCCATGATAGGCGGGCTGAAACGTAGGGGCTGTTTATGGGCTCCAAAACGACGCCATATCGGAGTCGCTTTCAATCATGAATCAATATATGAACCATCTTTTTAATGTTCATGTGAAGTAGGTCTAGAATATGATGTTGTAAACCTAATAGCCGCAGAAATTTATGACGTTTCGTAACACCTCTCTGAGAGTGAAATATAGGATGTGAATAAGTACTCCGTAGCGTGATGAGAATTGGGTAGCGTGTCGGAATTGAACGGCTTGAAGGTTGATTGAAATGCCGATCTTAGTTCGCTCCGGGTGCCGAGCCCACTTATTAGTGTCTTGGCAGTGGAGCCAGAATTTAGCCTCCAAGATCGAACCAGCATCTCAAGCCTCTTTGCGTCACGCTGGTCCTCGAACATGGATCATGCTACTGTCGACTGCTGGATCCTGCTCTCATCCAGGAGAAGAAAGGGCTACGTGGTCGCAGCCGTGAAACAAAGAAAAGAAGAAGGTAAGAGAGAGAAAGACATCCATGGGGGATATGCCCGCGTGGATGGTGGCACTCAGCCAAAACGGGACGAGGGCGCTGGCCATGGTCATGTGATCTTGAAGTACTCCTACAGACTCGTGGCTTTTGTTTATAATTATAGTTATTCGGGTTTAATGAGACAACTAGACACACCTGGTCACCGAATAAAAGCCTTTTGTTTGAACTCTGCATTGACTGCGGATCTGTTGGGAAACAGCCAATCTGGGCTTTTTGAGATAATAATTGAAACTAATTAATAATGTCACTTTTGCACCAGTAAGAATCTCAACTTTGTGATATCTGCAAATTAACATCCACTCTCCTAAAAAAAGCATAAAGTCGTCGGATTGATAAACCTAGAATCTCAAGCCCTCTCGTTGATAACAAGAGCTTCTCCATACTCACTAACATCATATCCATTTTCCTCCAAGTATGTCTTGAAGCGAGCATCCTCTGTCTCTAGTTCGCGAGACATGTCAGGGATCATGAACCAGGAAATCAGACCACCCACAATGGTAAAGGCAGAGCCGATGAGAAAGACCGCCTGTTGACCCTTCTCGGTGCTAGCAAAAGAATTCTGGATAGGGGTGAAAACCTGAGTTCCAATAGACGCTCCAGCCTTTCCGAAGGCGGCAGCAAATCCCAGGAAGTGGCCACGTAGAGGTGTTGGGAAGGACTCAGAGGCGCACAAGAAGGTAGCAACGCCAGGGCCCATCTCCCCCAGTGCATTGAAGATTCCGTACATCACGACGAACAAGGGAAATACCGATTGGATGGGATGAAGAGCACCACCCAGAATGAATCCCCAGATACCCCAGAGGAAGAATCCTAGTGTCATGGTCTGCTTTCGGCCGATGCGGTCCATCAATAATCCACCGACAATGCACCCAGGTATATAGAAGCAATTGATCACGGTCTAATTATGTCAGTCTTTATTCAATGTCACTTTGGGCCTTGATAGAACGTACACCATATCCGATGTTCTGAGTGGTCGTGTTGTCGGTCATCAGTTGTTCGATGATTGTCGAAGAGAAGAGACCGAATGGGTAGGTGACAAAATCATAGCAGAACCAGGCCAGGGCTAAACAGGATAAGTCAGTTGAAAAGTTCGCAAAATGGAAAACGACCAGAACGTACAAGTGCCAACCATGGGCTTCCAATAGCGCTTGAGAACAAGGACATACGGATAGCGAGACTTGATGGCATGCTTCTTATACTGGGTAGACTTGGCCATTCGAACCCGGAAGAAGCAGATCACAATTGGCAACTATCTCAGTTAATATACGATCGAGAAGGGTTGACAGTGCTCGCAACTTACCACGAGGCCAAGCCCAAAGCAGACTCGCCAGACTCCTGCGGAGTTCTCCTGGTGATAGCACGCTAGGACGATCAGAGCAACCACGCCCGCCACAACGAAACCCTGAAGTATATTTAGCTGTGGTTTCAACCACTGAAGTTCTAGAAAAACGGACCATATCAACTGCAAAGTCAGTCGAAGTCGCTACCAAGATTCCCCTTCGTTTGCGCAGTTTTTCGTTCTCATCAGCGGCCTCGGTAGCACTGGTTCCACAGACAGGATATTCTCCTCCTGCACCAAATCCGGCTATACCACGTGCCACAATCATCATCCAAAACATCCTGCAGGAATCGAGGTTAGCTAATTCTATTCTCGAAAGTTGGACACGAGAGTGTTACCCTAGCTGCGTGGTGCCATGAGCGGCAGTCGCCAGTACCACACCGAGAACCAGGATCAGAGTGGCCAGAATAATACCGGTGCGTCGACCCATGCGGTCAATTAGGACTCCAAAGAAGAGCATACCGAAGATTTCTCCGATCAAGTATGAGTTGGACAAACGCGCCTTGATGGTGGAGGACATGCCGGCTTTGTAACTGTAATCGACCGCCTTAGCTCTTGAACAACCAAACATGTGGCATCTTGAAATACTCACAGCTGAGAGAAAAGAGGCTCCATGTAACCGACTACGGGCAGGTTAGCATTTGAAAGTCAGCGGAGCTGGGTCTTCGTTGCCATACTGATCTGAGCATTGTAGCCATCGCTGAAAAGAGCCAATCCGGAGATCACGACACTCAGAATGCCAGAGGTCTTTTTCTTGGACTCGTTCACTTCAAGATCCCAAGTATCATCGTGGATCTCCTCCTTGGGATTCTTCTTCATCACCGAATCAGCTGGAGAGTTCATGACGTGAGTGTGACAAAGATAATTGTCGATTCAAGTACAAGGTTCGTCACTGGTCAAGCTGAGGGGTATAAGGAAAGAAAAATTTAGGAGGGTGAAGAGGGTAAAGGGGACAGGAAAATAGGCAAGAAGTCTTAAGTCTTCAGGCAAAGTAGACAGTCAAATGCATTCAACTGTATACCACATGTTTACTATCCATGACTGATGTAATCTTGACACGTTCCCGATTGGAGATCCAATGATAAGCTTGCATGAAGACACGCGTAGATCCGATATTGATATTCGGTACGAAGTGCGGTAACAAGTTGGACCCTGGACGCGGTCCGAGCTTTGTGCCACTGAACCAGTTGGACCCACCGCAATCCACTCCATCCAATCCTTGTTATCATCCAAAACATGTGTCTTATCTACTCACTGTTAATTGGTCAAACTTAACCTTATCAATTCGCAAACCAAACTCGATTAATTACTTTCTTAAGGCGTTGGATACTGCGAAAAGTGGGACTCAATCTCTCGGTGCGAAGCGCGACGCTAAACCATGGCTCTGTTCGGCAGGTACTTGCGTAACGGAAGACCCGTAATGTATATAATCGGCAACCCACTGGATGGGTTAGAATTGTTCGGTTTGTTCCCTTACCATTTGAAAGCTGTGAGACTTCATATTGATCATGGAGAATTCTTATTATACTTTGACACCCTCCCAGCTCCAGAGCTTCCAGGAGAATGGATACCTGCTGGTTCGTGGCTTCTTTTCCGAATCAGAGGCCAAGACACTTCAACAATGGGCCCAAGAAGTCCATGATTTGCCCCGAACTCCAGATGTCCCATGGATGCCTTACGAGGAGGTAAATGGCAAGGGTGACCGTGTGTTGTGTCGCACAGAGAATTTTGCAAACACCCATGCAGGCTTCGACAGCTTCCTGCGCGGCGAACGGGCGATCACCATGTTGCAGCAGCTAGCAGGCGAAGAAATGCTTCTTTTCAAGGAGAAGATCAACTACAAGCTTGCTGGAAGTGGTAAGTCTACTACCGCTAAAAAGTTGGAAAGGTTGATCACCTAATAATGTTGTAGGCGGCTTTGATCCTCACATTGACGCCAACGCCTATACGCACGTCAAAAACATCAAACATCTGACCATTCTGGCGGCTGTTGATGAGATGACATCTGAAAATGGAGGTCTGGAAGTTGTCAGTGGCAGCCACCAAATGCAGATCCCTCTCGGGAGCGATCGCTGCATTGAACCTGCGTGGGTGGACAGCCACCCCTGGGCTTCCTGTGACTTGCAGCCTGGTACGTGAAAATGAAATATAACTCTAATCCTAAACGACTCTAATTTTGACAATAGGTGACATTCTGGTGTTCGGCTCCTACTTGGCCCACCGCAGTGGTGCCAACACCAGTACCAAGGACCGGCGGGCCATCTACGCAACTTACAACTGTGCCGCCGAGGGGAACCTTCACGATCAATACTATGCTGATAGACGGAATCTCTGGCCGGCAACACATATGCGGAAAGAGGGTATGTCGTATGAAGAGGGCCGCGCTCGCTATGCTTTTGGATCACCCATGTTGACGGTGGATTCAAACGCTGTCTCTGCAGCTTGAAGCCGGGCCTCTTACGGGAATGGAACGAAGGGGTATTTTTGTAATTATAAGGCTTAGAACTCCACAAAGACTTTTCAGTATGAATGTAGGGCTAAAAATACAATATTGGGTTCGAAAAGGAAGTGGAACATAAAGCGAATTGAGGCGATTCAACTAAATGCTTCTAAAACATAATTGATGTGGCAAGACTTGAGAACACCGGACATGTGCCGATCACCCAAAATAATGTGCAAATGTGGCTTAGAGTAATTCATAGTCAATTCTGCTTCCAAGAGAAGGACATATGGCGCATGTCGGTACCAATTCCGTGGGAAATTATTTAAAGGTCCTCCCCACCCACTTCCCCCTGCTTCCTCTCTTTTCCATTTTTCAACCTTGCTCAAAGTCCCACAAGTCACAATGAACTCAACTACCCCATCCACAAAAGCCGAATCTTTAATCACTGCACTCGAACAGTATGGTCAAGGCGACTACATCGGCGAATCGATCAGTCAGCTAGAACACTGTTTACAGGCAGCAGACCAGGCCCGTCAATCAGGTCAGTGTCCGGCACCACACTTCCTTCCAAGTCATTGACGAGTTCAAAGGGGCCAGAGATGAGTTAGTTATTGCGGCCTTATTGCATGACATCGGCCAGATCATTCCCCTGGAGTCTACCAAGGAGGTTCGCATGAACATCCGGGAAAGCAAAGAAAACGTCGGCCGTGTAGGCCACGAAGCTATCGGAGCCGCCTATCTCCAGTCTTTGGGATTCAGCGATACAGTGTGCCGGCTAGTCAATAGCCATGTTGCTGCGAAACGGTAGGTGGATGTGACCAATTTATTTTCCGCAGTACTCATCCGTGGATAGGTATCTCACGGCGGTAGATCGCGAGTACTATGATTCTTTGTCTTCTGCCTCGCAGAAGTCATTGGCCTTTCAAGGTGGGCCATTCAAAGGAGACGAGTTGCAAGCGTTTGAGAAGGATCCATTGCGGGATGAAATGGTCTCGCTACGTTTGTGGGATGATAAGGCCAAGTTGGTGGGAGTCGAGGCTACCACGCCGCGTGCACGAACCTATTTGGATATGATTGTCTGTCATCTATCTTACTAGAGAGGTGATAAGCTAGGGTGTGAGAAATATTTAACTCTCTGTGGATGTACATCATTTTTGACAGTATATTTGCCGCTCTTTTGACCGATTTTAGGGTTCTTGGGGCAATTTTGTCATGTTAATTTGAACTTGATTGAATTGATGAAATGGACAAGGCCTTGATGAGGTTGAATTGCTTTATCACTCAATCTAGAGGATATCTTTGCACATACTATTGGAAGCCTCGGTTAGCTGCCTATATCCAGACCTTGTGCACCCCAAGATGCAGACTCCCGTTCAGCAGGGAGCCGTTAATGGACCTGGAAGAAAATGATTTCGTCGGACACAACTCTCACATGCCACAGAATACTTTCATGAGGCAGTGGTCCGACTGCTAGTTGCCCAGCCAGGGGTGAACCCAGAATCTAAAGGCAGTGGAGAATACGATTACGAGCGGGCGCCACTATTATATGGTGCTTCGAAGGAACAGGAGAGGGTTATCGAGTTTCTGCTCGCGCAGCTAGATGTTAATCCGATGTCCCATGTAGGATTTGAAGATCCTTCTGGTGATGAAACTGTGATACAAAAGGGGTCATGAGGCTGTGGTGAAAGTTCTAAGAAAAAAGAAAAAGGAATGGCTCAATTATGGGATATTTCAGCTAGAGCGCTAGCATACTGTTCAAAAGCGACCTGTCCTTAAATATCGCATCAAGAAATAATGCCTTCGCCTTTTAACAAGGGCCTGTGTAGGGGTCGAATATATCGTTAGCAGCAACCTTGGAAAGACAATGTCTGTATAAGGGGCATCATAAGGGGGTTACTCTAAGATTGCTTTAGCTTTTTTTTTAATACAACATTTAGATACACTATGAATTTTTCACAAGAAAAAGCACGTATCGTTCCGAAATGAAAGCCCACACGTGTCGGAAATTAGTCAACCATGGTTCCCGAGCGCATAGTTATGGCGGAGTCCGACAAACATCCCACGCTTACTTTCTGCTTTAGACCAACATGAGATCGATCTCATCAGCAAAGCTTAGAACCCGGACCGGCTGCTTGCAATGTAAGCTTCCGCTAAAATCATTTCAAACCCTATGCCATATTAAATATAATACCATACAGGTCGCAAACGTCGGAAGAAATGCGACGAGGCACGGCCCCAGTGTGCGGGGTGTAGCCGTAATGAGCTTCAGTGCGTTTGGCCATCTGACGAAGGGGCTGAAGATGGACGGACACGACGAACGAGGCCTGAGCAGCGCACTATCTGCAGTGGTCACAGCGATGCATCGTCGAGTTCCAACTCCGCCATTCTAAGTCCCGGGCTTCGCCCACCAGTCCATATGCCATCCCCATTTCATCGGGAAGAACATTGCCATCTTTATCGATATTTTGGATCTAAGATTCTACCACGTTTGGTGCGACCAAACTCACTTGCCCGATATGCAGACCAAACATATATGTTGCGTCTCGCCCTGGAATTCCCGCCCTTAATGGGTGCATTAATCTCTATAGCTGGGATGCAACTAGCCTCTCTTTCTAGTCAGTCGATCCACTGCGCAGTTCAAAGCTATACACAGACATTAAATGGTTTACGCCGTGCTCTGAGTCAAACCACTGACATTGAGTCTAATGATGCCCTACTTGCGACTGTTATAACCTTGTCTGTGTTTGAGGTACGAAGACCAAGAGCCATATGGCTTTCTAACCCCTCTATCAAATAGGTAAAATCTGATTGCTAATCTGAACTTAGAGCTTTCGCTTGGACACCATGCTTAAAATCGCACCCCATGTCACAGCATCGGAGATTTTGCTCAGAAAACGTCGCGCGCGATGGATAAACTGCCCGCAAGCAAGTGCAGTGTTTGACAGAATTTGCGTTGAGTCCTTCGTTTACCACGCGTCACTGATGATGCTCTTCGATCCTTCTCTCGACTCGCTTTCAAAACCTCGTTTTCGTCTGGAATTATCAAGCTATTTTTCTGATCCAATACATCGCCCCCAACATGGGCACGAACAAGTCATGGATAGCCAGCCTATTCTTCATGTATCATATGAGTTCTTTTTGTTGATTGCCGACGCGACGAAACTTGCTCGGCTTTCGCGACCATTGATAGATGTGGAGATTCATACCTGGAAGCATTTGGAACGCCAATTTTTGCAATGGGCCCAAGTGACGGGAAACATCGAGGACGTATCTGCTGCGCTATACGTTGTTGTCCTTTGGATTTTGCTTTTGAAGTCCCATCCAGATCTAACACCAGGTGAAATTGATCACGAGATCGGGGTATGTGTCAAACAAGGCATGGATTTACTACCTCAGCTCGATCAAACCCAATATTTTACCAGCTTTCTGGCTTGGCCATTGGCCATTCTAGGGTCTGTCGCTGTTCTCCCAGACGAAAGGATATGTGTGCATACTTACCTTTCCTTTCTCATTGCAACATCTATGGGGGGACAAGCAGCGTGGGTTCTCAAGAGACTAGAGAAAATCTGGTCCGTTCCTTCCGAATTGGATATTCTTTTGTCTCGATGGAGGTGTGAGGGGTTTCAGGTACTCCTTGATGGTGACGAGCGAATTGCCGAACATGGCGTAAGTCCAACCCTTCACTACTCAGACATCTCTACTTTATCTGGAAGACACAGCGAGTGTCATTTTGTACTATAAAATCAGCTTCCAACAAGGTCATATAGACCATGCTATTATGATCTGCATACAAATAAACATGCTATGATCGCCTTCTCCTGTCAAGCCCCCCGAAGAATATTTATGCTGGCTAGTTGAGTCGCAAACATTCAAAACATTCTAGCAAGTATCCAACATGCTCACCAGAGCAAATTTCTCGTCATCCGTGATAGTCAAATTATAGACCGACTTGACTCTGACCCACATCTCCGCGTACGTGCAGTAGTAAGACGCTAAAGTGACGTTAGACCATATCCATACTCGGTTGCCGGACAATAAAGCAACTTACAAAGAGGGGGTTTCCATCTCTCTGGGCCACTATCGCCTTTGGCAGAGTTCACATTATCTGTAACAGCCAGTAACTGCGGATGAGTAAGATCATTCGCAAAAGCCTTTCTGTCACTGGTAGACCACTCAGATGCACCAGACTGCAAAGCCAGTTCATTAACCGAAGTCCTACGCAAGTCTCAGAATATGAAATACTGACCTTCCAGGCATTGGATAACGGAACAAGGTGATCGATATCAAGATCACTAGCCTCGGTCCATGTTGCTCCGTCATATGGTGAATACCATGTTCCACTAGTCGCAGCACAACTAGAACTCTGTACTACGTCCACTCCATCTCGCTTGAGGACAACCTCGCGGGTATCACATGTTCTATGGCATGTCAGAGGAAATTACTAAAACAATGAGCTAGAACATACCCGCTTTGAGTAATCCAGTGAGGGAATTTGGCCCGGGAATAGCCATCTTGGGAGCCCTGCGGCGCAACTGTCAAGCCAGATAGTTCATCCTGGGCCGTTGATGCAGTCGGAACATCTGGGGGACTAGGAGCAGGAAGCGCCACAATAAATACCGCGCTTATTACCAGTGTTCCCACGTAAGTAAGAATCCCACTACGAGCCATTCTGCTTCCGTGTGGGTGATCAGATCAACTCCCACTGACTGGACCTTTATGTAAGGAGGATATCCCTGCGTCACAGATAGGAATGCTAGAGAATTATTTCCACAACTCAATGACTGCGGTTGAGCGGCGCTATAAAGGGATACTCAAGAGCATTGTTTATTCACTGCAGATTCCTTTTCATGCCCACGGTTGATAATATTTGGGCTTGTATGCATGTAACATTGACTCCGCTAATGTCTTGGCTACGCACTTGGCGTTGCACGTTGAGCACATCTCGTCTCACGATTGGGTATTGCGAAGAAATCTTGATAAGCCATGTCGGATGCTAATAGATTACAAGAGTAAGGTGGGCGAGTGGGAAATGATAAGTGGCCCAGGGGCTGCGCCAAGCATGTCAGGGGAAGAAGATACGGTACATGAAGTAGACCATCTCGTCAAGTGCTGTTGGTAGCTATTCAATGTCTGCTTCACATGGCAATCTATTTCTACCTTGGGACTGCAAAATGAAAATCTCGAGATTCGCTTCTAATACAATGGCTCTATAGTGGAAAGGCGTGGTCTAATGCGCCATTATGTACATCATCCACCTCATGTGCGACGAATCTACAAGATTGCTCGAGCGAACTGGTACGGGGCAGACACTGGGACACCCAATTTCTTTGCCGCTGTAAAAACCCACTCGGGCTCTCGAAGAAACTGGCGAGCCATGAGGACAGCATCGGCCTTAGGCTCCTGCCCTGAAAGAATTTCCTCCGTAGCCTCCGCTTCGTCAGCGCCTTGAACGATCTGACGAGCCGGCTCGGCCTCTGTAATCAGACCGACTGCACCCACCAGCGTCTTCTGGCCCGCTTTGCGGATCTCTTTGCGAAGCTCGCCCGCAAGATCAATTTGGTAATTGGTGTGTGGCTGGAGCTTCTGATCTTTGTGGTTACCACCGGAGCTGACATCCAAAAGATCGACCCCAAATTCCGGTAACAACTTTGCCAGTTTGATCGATGAAGGCATGTCCCAGCTGCCAACCTCCGCTGCGACCGCTTGTTCTTCCAACCATTCAGTAGCACTGATGCGTAGGAACAAGGGCATACCATCAGGAATGGCAGCGCGAGTCGCGGTGCAAACCTCCTGCAAAAATCGGACCCGGTTTTCGAAGCTCCCGCCGTATTTATCGGTTCGGCGGTTAGTAACCGGACTCAAGAATTGGTTCAGCAGGTAACCGTGAGCACCATGAATCTCGATCAAATCGACACCAGCCTGAACAGCCAAATTCGCGCTGCGAGCGAATGCCTGTACGATCTCTTCAACCTCAGCCGTATTGAGCTCCCGGGGCGGCCAATACTTGACATCTCCCGGGGCCCAGATGTGCTCTTCGCCCCCGGAGGGACCGACAACATTAGTCGGCCAGCCACCGACACTTTCATCCGCTTTCATACTGCTTTTCTTGCCCTCAGATGACAACCAGGGGGCAACGACACTAGCTTTCCGACCGGCATGGGCCAACTGAATACCGACCTTGGCCCCTTGGCTATGAGCGAAATTCACAACACGCTGCAGTCCCTTGAATTGCTCAGAGTCGGTGCCCTCTTGCCACAAACCCAGATCATTTGGGGAAATTCTGCCATTCGGCTGCACTGCGGTTGCTTCGATGATTACAAGGCCGACGCCTTTCGTGGCTAGGTGGCCGAGATGCGCGATATGGTAATCGGTAGGGGCACCAACTGCCGGCGAAGATGGATCTGGGTCCGCCGAGTACATGCACATGGGCGCGACCATGATTCTGTTTTTGAATGTCACATCGCGGATATGCAATTGCCGAAACAAAGTTGGCGTGCTCGGGTCTTGCGGGTTCAGAGCTGCACCGCCATTGTTGGCCGGGGTGAAATATGGAAGACCCGGTGCCTTGATAACACGTGGAGATTTGAATGCGATGGAACCCATGGTTGATGAAAGTCAAAATGTCGAAGAAGAGTTGCGGGAGAATTAAACTATCAACTTCAATGTCTAGAAGTTGGAATTGGGGAATTGGGGTATTTGAGGGGCGTTCCATCAGCTGACAAATCTAAATTCACATCTTGGGATGATTTGTTCGGGGAAATCGGCTATCCGCAGGTGGGCCACGATGAGACCGATTACGTGCTTGGAGGCCACTTGGGTCGGCGAAAACAGTGATTGTCTGTAATTTGCCAATAAAGTTAGACATCCTCAATTCAAAAAGAAGCTGAAAATAGCGGTGAGCCTCTCGTTATTTCCAGTACAGAAGAAGCTTATCAGCGAGTCGCCTCATCGTTCCATTGTTTGTCGCGACCCAGAAAGCGTGGACCTGGCTCATCAGCAAATCCTGGTCTGATGGGTGTTCCAAACTCATTCCAATGGTAAGGAGCGGCCAGCAGTAATATTCGGCAAAGTAGTCCTGCTTAGGTTGAAGTTGTTGTACCGCTGTAATAGCGTCTTGCAGTAGTCGCCCCAAGCTGGGCTTGTCGCCTTTACATGCCGATGACATGCGGTGCAGAAGAATCCGGCAACCTAGTATGTATAACCTTGGTCCTAAGGTCGCAGGATGTGATGGTTTCTCAATGTCTGGGCAGGAGCAGACAATCGAGCCGTTGGGGACGATCGGGTCACTTTTGCGGTCTAGTAGTGTGTCAAATTTGGGTGCCGTGATATGATTGTTCCACCGTAGCAGATCGTGGTCCAGATTCTGGAACGTTTCCAATGGCACAGATCCCCATTGTGATGTCTGGTATAGCCGATATACCATGTAAATACAGCGGAATAGCTTTGGTGGAAATCCGAGTACTGGTGAGTCCGAGTGATAGGACGAGTCAGTAAGAAAGTGAGGATAGACGGCCTCTTCAGCTAGACAGAATGCGCTCTCGATCTCCATTTGGTGCAAATGCTCATCCTGGAAAGGCAGGCTAGTGGCGACATGGAATATGAAGGACTCTCGAACGAGGCGATGCATGGCTTTTTCTAAGTCAGATGCTTCACGTTCTTTTAGGTTGCCTCGAGAGCAAAGTTGAATCAGTCTTGCGGCTCCTGCCAGGTGTATCTCTACCCCAGATGATCTTTCTGGCTTAGATCTCTACATTGGGCACGTTAAAATCTCTCTTACAATCCTTGTCCACAGCAACAACATACCTCATATATACAGAGCATCATGACAGTGAGCATCGTAACCATCCACTCACTTTGAATATTTCGATCATTTATATGCCTTCGAAGTGCCGCCACTGCTTGAGTGTAATGGAAACGCGCCAGTTCGTGAACCGCAGGATCATGGGAGGGAATTTCAGCTCCACAACAAGCGAGCAAGGCATGCATAAAGAATGGCTGAGCAAGAGCCAAAGTCAAAGTCTGTCTGCTCAGTGTGGTTATCACTTCGCTATCCGCTGCCGGTCGAATCAACTCAGGGAGAAATTTGCATTTCAAAAAATGAAAAAGATGGCGACTTTCCGGTGTGATAGCAGAAGAGTATGTGTATGATGCGGTAGATGTCCACGCAGCGAGCGAAAATTGTGAAGCCCTGGATTTCGAAACAATCCACAATTCATTATAACCCAAGGGATTGAGATGCCTCTGAGGTGACCTAGCGGGCTCTGTAGACTGCTTCGGCAAGCGGGTTGGGGTCAAACAGGCTGACACTTGGTCCTGCGTCCCCTCGGTTATTCCACTCAAATCAGTATTTTGGCGGCCAGAACGTGGAATTGGCCGCGATGCAGATGTTTGCCAAATGCATTCAATATTCTGCCTCGTGCAATTTGAACATTGCGAGCGCGTTTCATCACATTTTTTCTTTCGTCTTCGACCTATGACATTCCCAGCATCAATGACAGCCAAAAAGCCTCTATGGACGACTAAATTGCGCGGTGGGTCATCCTTGCAGGGTTGGCTTACATGTCAAACATCCTGTCTTTGTACGCAAATGAGCTGGTCGACGTCGAGGCCGGCGGTAAGTCTTGGACCTTGTAACCTGTGGGGCTCCTGGTGTATCAGCATGCCTCATACTTTTGCAGGTCTCTTGGGACTAGCATTGCAATATGGGCGGTTCAATTGTGTTGTCCGAGTCTCGGCCCTGAGGGGTTGAAAGGGGAAGAGGGAGCGGGGAGATCCCGGGATCCACATTGTGGAACTTCCTTGGTGAATCTGGTCGTCTGTTAACGTATTAGCCAGGAAGTTTGGCGGATTTTTGCTGGAATATGTTAAGCAGGCTTCCTTTTCAAATTGTTTTGTCTTGGATATCAGAATGATTTTTTTGACAATGATTCATATCGACCGTTTGTACTAAATTGAATTCCGTGCATTTCGGTTCATTTTGTATGCTACAAGGACAGGTGGAAAATCTTCGTTGGGTTTCAATATTACTACTTGTTGCTGTATATGAAAGCGCTCTTGATCAAGTTGCTACTTGCATTCCCTTGTTGAGTCCTTGTGGTAATTGCAGTTAGTGGTTGGGCTGCCAGTCGCAGCCATTTCGGTTTCTTTGTCGATGAATTGCGCGTGGAAAACATATGTATCTGTACCAAAGCAAGAACGCTTGCATGTTGGAGGTCCACTATTTCCCACTCTCTTTAAAGTATATGTTTGGGCAAACAGGTCTCACGATCTTCCATATTGGTCCAATCCCAGCATGCTGACCAAAGAGCTTCCGGAATGTCGGTTTCTGTAACAACAGCAGTGGGTGCCGTCGCCCTTTGCCCATCGAAGTACCCTCGAACAAATTGATACTTTGAATCAGCAGCCAGGGCTGCAAGATCTCTGCCTGACTCCGCATTTGTACGGACACGCTTAGTGAACAGGGTCAGCACCGGGTGTAAGAATTTCATCAGGGCGAATATCGATTTGTTGATGAAACGGTGGTGGATTTCATGGGCTCGGGAATCGACAACAGCGCCGGGATCCATGGCTAATGCGGTTATTCCATTCAACAACGGATCCTAATTACCAATAGGTTGTAAGTTATGCGTCATTCCCAGGGGAAAGAATCTTTTCATACGTTTTGCAATCGTTGATTCAAGCTATGCATGAACATAACATTGGCCAATTTGCTGTTGGCGTATCGCCTCCAGCCCATATCATACTCTGTCCCCAGTGAGTCTGGGCTAGGTTTGACCAACTCTTCAAGATTTCCATTGGCGGGTAGACTTGCTCCCATCCTCGCTAGAGGATTATGATGTTTCGGATCATGAACTTCGGAGCTCAGCATAATGATCCGACCAGCCTGTCGGCTCATACTCGGCAGCAGCTTCAGCACCAAAAGATAATGTGTAAGATGGTTGACCTGGAATGTCGATTCATAGTGATCAGAGGAAAATTTCTGACCACCTTCCAGTGACCAGGTGAATGCATTGCAGATTATGGCTGAGATCGGAGGGAGCTCTCCCGCAGTGACTCGGGCAGCAATTCTATCCGCGAAGGATCGCACATCTTGCAACGACTCAAGGTCCAGACTCTCGAGAACGAGTCTCTTCTCGTGACAATTTTGTTCAATCGATTGCAAACGGAGGAAATGGGGGCTATTCGAAGCTTTGGTTTTATTTCGAATAGTGCCGACAACCATCAAGCGCGGGTGAGACAAGAGAAACTGTTGCACGGCTTCAATGGCCACAGAGCCTGAAGCACCAGTAATAATCACAGTGCCCTCCATTTTTGTTGACACCATGTAAACAAGGATATATTCCTGTCAATTTATGCAAATCAAAGAGGGGTTTCTCAGTTTGCCGAGCACATTTGCTATTCGGGAGAAACAGGCCGAGATGTAAGGATGACAGCCGAGATTGTTACATGTAATCTCAAGAATGACATCGTTATTCCGTATATACTTGAGGAAGTTGTCAACAATAGACCCTCATTCTAGCAACCTCGAAATAATGTGGCACAGCAGCTGCTGTCTGTCTCTATCCGCATGATCGCTCCAGAGAATGTACCAAATGGCGGTAGAAGCTCGAGCGCGGCAATCTACAGGTTAGCCGAAGAGTGCGCCGACAACCGAAACATAGTCTCGGGCTGCTCACCTTGAAATGAGATAAGCCATGAAGATTAGATCTTTGTTTTACTCATCAAGGATTGACCGAACCCGAGCGAAGAGGCGGATTCAATAATTATTGCACGATCTCATTGGTTTCAATGGCCCATATTTCCACATTTTCCATGATTGTCATCTTAACACAAATGGACGTGTCATTCAGCTAGGAGCAACGCACATTTCACATTAGAAATCTGCAAATGCTCTATCGAAGACATTTCAGCCTGGAACAGGATCCACAAGCCCAGGATATTATTGCTGCGGAACACACTATGTACTTGGTTGCGACCCCAACAAATATCAATTATTTCAACCCAGTATCGGTATAGACCTCACATATCTCTGCACAGGAATGAGTCTTCCTATACACTAGCAGCGTCGGCCTCTGCGCCCCCCAAAACCACCACCAGGTCCAAAGCCAGGTCGACGACCTCCACCTCCAAATCCTGGACCATAACCGTATCCACCAGGATGATCACCCCATCCACCATATCCGCCTCCCATTCCCATTCCTCCATGATGATAATGCCGTCGAGGCGGTGGGCCAAATCCCCCCATTCCCATTCCCATTCCCATAGGTGGATAGCGATGGTGACGAGGGAAAGACATGCAAAGGCCCATTGCGTAGGCTATATGTGATGTGGTATACCGTATGAGCGGGTCTTGAAGGGACTGTAGCAGAATTTTGGAATTTGAAGGTAATCTGATCTTATAGGTAGTGGATATGTAATTTCTTTCCCATTTAAATGGGGCTGTGAGACTGTTTATATAGGCTTGGACTGAAACAGGTCTGTAGAAGTATACTTGATCGGGTCGTGCGCGTCATCGACTGGTTCCGCTCACGCCGTTTCAAAGTTGACATTTGTCCGAGGTTTCTTGTCCACATTCCACATATTTTCCATTTGATTATGAATTTCAAGAATTGCGAATGAATTCATTCAAATCTTGATCGTGAGTCTTTTTCCCGGTGTTCCCAACTGAGCTTTGACACCTGAGGGAAATGGCGAATTTTGTAGAACGCTAACTAACCGTAATTTCCTAGTGGATTAGAGAATAGTCAAAGGATCTCTAAAAGAGGAAAGGAGTCTTCAAATTAATAACTAGCGAGCTGAAAAGAAAGAGAAGAGAAGTGGAAGAAGGGAGCCAAGTTTACTACTAGAGTGGTTGACATAACAATTTGCATCCATAAATACAGTCCCGACAGAATTAATAGTGGTACTTGAAGTCCACGGCTCTATCACCGGTGGTAATGCGCCGATGATCCTCCTTTCCTCCAATCTCAATCTGGTCCTTCAACTTGTTCTGGCGTCGCAGATAAAGCCCATGACAAACAACCACCACTTGTGAAACCCCTATTGCTCCCAAGGAGAATGAATTTCCAAGCACATATGGAGACTTTCGATAGACTTGACCTGCCACAATACCTGCACAGTTTCCTATAGTCTGTTGTAGTCCAATTGCCAGAGCACGTCTGTACTGAGGAGCGACATTCACATTAAGCCATGCGAGGTTGAGACCAACAGCCGTATACGTCGGGACTGCGATAAGGAAGCATGCGAAGTATTTGACCGCAGTACTCTTCACTGTCAGTAGTAGGATATAGCCAATGATACCCAGGATATTGACGGCAAATATATACTAAAATGACCCGGTCGCATTAGCTTCATTCAGTTCGAATACATAATGGCAGGACTTACAGATGCGAACTTGGAGTAACGATCGGCACAGACCGCTATCGAGATAAAGACAATAGCTGCCCAGACGTAGACCGGCACGGTCAGAACGTTGCTCATGAGCGAATCGTAACCCATGCTCTTAAGAATGGTTGGCAGGAAAGTACTGAACCCGTAGAGAAGAATATCCTGGCAGAATTGGACGATGGCAGAGAAGAGCAACTTCGGATCAGACACTGCAATTCGCATCTCCTCCCAGCTGAATTCTTCACTGCCCATGTACTTTCGACGTTGCTCGTTACGCACACGCATCATCCACCGCTCCTCTTCTGTGAGGAAATAAGCCTTCTCTGGGTCGTTTGGTAGCCCAAACCAAATGAGAACAGCAATGATGAAACTGAAGAGACCTTCGATGATGTATACCCACCTGAAGACATAAGAGAATTAATCAGCTGAGCTTTCCTCGCTGGTGACGGCGCCAGAGAAACATACCTCCATCCAGCCTTTCCGCCAATTCCATCCATCTGCAGCAATCCATACGCCAAAAGACCCCCTACAGCTCCGGAGATGGCAGCGCAGCTCATTAGGTAGGAGACACGCTTGGCTTGCTCCTCACGCCGATATACCATCGTCAAGTAAAGATTCAGACAGGGGAAAAGACCAGCCTCACAGGCCCCCAAAATGAGTCTGGTGGCATATAGCGAGGCGACACTCTCAATGAAGCCTGAGAAAACCGTAGTGAGGGACCACACGATACATAAACCGGTCAAAATATTCCGAGGAGTGAGTTTCTTCATCAATACCGCCCACGGGGATTCAAAGACCACATATGTCGCATAGAAGATCGAAACAGCCGTTGAGAACTGGCTATCTGAAGCGTGAATATCCGCTGGCATGCCAGCGACTTTGACATTACCTAGCACATCCGTTAGAATTGAATGCCATTTTGAACATCAGGATGTCGGAAGGCTTACCGATATTGGATCGGTCCAAGAAGCAAGTGAGGTAGGTGAGCATGATTATTGGCACAAAAAAAAGGTCTAATTTGAGAAGCAGCTTCTTTTCCATCGTTGGATCGAGCTCCACGTCCAGTGACTCTCCATTTGATGCGTCATATGTCACTGTCATCTCTTGGTCGATCTTTTCTAGAACAGGCTGGCTCTGGTGTTCCAAGACAGATGCCTGGTCGTCATCCTTACGGGGAGACATGACAGCTCAATGCTCAGGAGGTAAGCTCCAGATGTTGAATGTCAACAAGTGCCTGAGTAGTCAAAGTGGGGAAGGGGATATTTCAAAGGAGATCAAGCCAAAGATATATCCCCAGATCGATAAGAGCAAGTATGAAACGGAAGCCATGTGGAGTCAAGGTCATGCAAGATAGTGGAAAGTGGATACCGAATGGGCTTATCTCCTCTGTCTTAGCCTCATGCATATGTGCATGTTGCTATCGGACTTGCTCCACCGACGGGGTGTCGGGCCGGTCAAAGTCAGATAAGAGGGGCGGGAAACTTGTCCATGAATACGAGCTTTTCACTTACATACAATGTCAGCTTTAGCCTCCGCCTTGCATATCCCTTCTAAAAAAGGTCACGGCTTTTTTATACTGGCTGGTGTTGTTGAACCTTGTTGGTGCGGAGTAAGAGTGGGCCCGAGCTTTCCCCGGGAAGTGGATCCCGATGATAAGAGAACAAGATTAACCAACATAACATAATTAGTGTATAATGGAACACAGCGAGCACTCATCTTTCAGTTTGAGGTACAATTATTTTGTCTGACTTCTCATAATGGGCAGTATCGCGACAGCTCTCGAGGCACGTTTGCAATGTCGACAGAATCTATTAATGAATACTTCCGGCGTTGCTCCGGGCTTTCTGCAAGCAAACTTACTGGTTTTACCTGCTAAACATGCAACTGACTTTCATAATCTTTGTCTTCGAAATCCAGTCTCATGTCCATTACTTGGAATGACGTCCAGCCCGGGGGATCCACATACAATCCAACCATCAGCCTGCATCCAGTCTACCGATTTCGACGTTCGAACAGATTTCCCCAAATACAGAATTTACAAGAATGGCAAATCCATGAAGAGCCAGTGTGATGTCCTTGACTTGTGGACGGATGACCATGTCGCTTTCTTGATCGGATGTTCGTTTTCCTTTGAAGATGCCTTGGTGGCTGCAGGTTTGCCTCCTCGACATCAACAAACCGGTTCCATCGTCGCAATGTATAAGTCCAATATTCCACTGTTGCCGGCGGGTGTCTTCACCGGTGGACATTGCATTGTTTCCATGCGACCATATCGCCCGGAGCAGATCGAGCGCGTCAGAGAAGTCACCCGCCCGTATCTTTCGACTCATGGGGAGCCCGTCGCTTGGGGCTGGGATGGTGCCAAGGATCTTGGGATCGTTGATGTCGGTCGCCCAGACTTTGGAAATGCACAGGTGTTTGAAGATGGTGAAGTTCCTGTATTCTGGGTAAGTATTAGTGTAGTCCCTGAGATGTTTGCAACTTTCTTGGCTCATTCAATTTAGGCCTGCGGTGTGACACCCCAGATGGCAGTGGAGGCTGCCGGAGATCGTATCGGTGGGCTTGTCTTTGCCCATGAGCCCGGTCATATGTTAGTGACAGATTGGACGGTTGCTGACCTGCATAAGCTTCGGCCTAGCAGTTTCTAGAATGCTTTTGTCCAAAATTGATAACCAATGACAGAAGACATAAATGGATGATGAGACAGCATCTATAAATGACGGTACAAATATTCATGTCTAGTCCTGGAAGTCATACCATGTACAGATCAGAAACAATCCCTCATAACACTTGACAGCTCCCCTCCATAGTCAAACATGTAGGCACCATTAGGCATTTGCTGCCACGGCCCTTCCTCTGGCACTGCTCCCGTTCCCATTCCCATGATTTGATCCTCAATGTTTCCGACCGCTTCAAACCACTGCATGAGCTCTTGTGTCATCTGTGCTCCGTCTAATGGCGTCTGGCTATTTACACTTGAACCTGGGGGTGGAGCTGGCGAGTTCTCGGCATCCAAGATTCGCGGGACAACATCCTTGTCAACAGGGGATTCATCTGGTCGACTTCTTTGTCCTCCCAATCCTAATTGAGGGCCAAGCTTTCGCAGGCTTCGGATGGACTTCCACAACCTTCTTGAGATGTATGATTTCGTAGAGAATCCTTTCACCAGTTCTAATGCAAAGTAGAACTCCTCCTTGCATGACCCACTGAATTGCGTTGGCGCCTGGGAAACGGCAAGAAACAGAACAGCCAGCGCAGAAACCAAAAACCAATTGAATGTCACCTGCTGTAGCTGGTAGATATCCGAGGTTTCATTCAAGTGTGTAATGAAGCGAATGGTGTCTTTGGCGATTTTGACCACCGTCTCCGACTCGCTGGGGTATCGTACAATATGAGCGGCGGTATGCAATACCGGTCGATGAATGAGCATCCGTAATTGATTGGCGCGAAGATACAGCAACGCACGGAGCCGCCGCAGACTTCGTGGATCTTCGACGGCGGATTCCGACTCTGGAGTGCTAGAACGGTCCAGTCGTAGTGAATCTGGAATGTTCCGTGCCCAGCTTAACACTTGCCAGTCCAGATAGTTCATTTCGTCCTTTTTGATCTCATTCGTATTATTAAAGGCCGATATGAATTTCCACACCTTCGCAGCGATGCGGCTGTAGCGGATCATGACCCGCAGATAAGGTGTCTTCTCCTCTGGCTCGGGAAGCCACGGATCAATATCAGTATCTTCAAGGGCAAATGGCATGCCCGTTCCAAAGCTCCATCGCATATCAAGAATATAGATAGACCAAAAAAGCCTAAGCACGCGTTCCTTCCCCTCGGCCTCGATGGCCGGATGATTTAATGTCTCTCGTCGGTGAAGGCCTTTCTCTAGACACATACGCTCAACGATTCCAATGGTACGCCAGGCAAGTGTCTCTTCATCTTCTTGAAAGTAGAAGATAGACTGCGCAACGGGTCAGCTAGGCAATGTCTCGTGGGTCTCGTACACGTACCACCAATGTTAAAAAGATAATGCTCTTGATGTCGGGGGGTCCCCAGACACAATTGTCCTGCACCTCACGTACGCTATCAAATAGTGCAGTAGCCTGTTCGCTCCGACCACTAGCCTCAGCCGTTAAAGCACAGGCAAACACCAGCCGAAGGATAGAGACATCCTCGCGCTCAAGCGCGTTTCGTTCATTCATTGAAGTCCCTGTGTCCGTGGTATGACCCATCAATCCGTAAAGTCGATTTACTTGGTCCAAAAGCTCCGAAAGCTCCAGCACTGGGTACATAATACCCATTTCCTCTTCATAAACTTGACAAAGTCGCAATGCCTCATCCTTGGAAAGAGTCCAAAGGGGGTCCACCACTTGTCGGACCCCTAATTGACGATTTGAGGCGGAGGGTGATCCAGAGGGTGATGGTTCCTGAGTAAGATCACCCTCATCACCTCCCTCATTATACTCGACGATTCCACGACGCTGCAGGCTAGACTTGGCAAGGTCGAAACTAAACGCCGAAGTGGTAGGGCCTTGAAACGGTGTCTCACGAGCGGTCGATGCCCGTCCTAGGGATCTCTGAGCGGGTATTGAGCCGCATGACCCCGTTGCAAGTCCAACTACGCTGGGCCGGGGGCCAGACATGGGAGACGCGTCGCTATGCGTCACTGAGCGGACGGCTGCAGATAGCGAGATGATCTGGTCCTGCATGGAGCGCATTTGATCAAACAGTCGATCAAAATTTCTAGATTAAAATCAGCTCTTGCTCGATTGGCGATTGTTTCTTAGTTATATTTTGATTTGGACAAGTTGCGTACTCTTGATCGCCACCACTTTCTTGAGGCGCGTTCTCCACGTAAACACATTCAATGTGTTGTCGCCCACAGCGATGACATGGTGTTTCACCATTACATTTGATCTTGCGACGCTTACATTCATTACTTTAGGGTGGAAATTAGAAATCATTTCACAAACATGGTAATAAGGAAGACATACCAAGCTCTTGCAATATATTTGCGGCGTTTCTTCCGCGGTCGGTCATCCTGTGTGTCGTCTACTGACGGTTTTTCCCAAACATGTATAGAATCCCGCATGAGCTCCATTGGAAGTTTCGATTGATTGATGCCCCTCATAGAAACTGGGTTTTTGGGGGTGTGAAGAGAAAGAGAAAGTGCGGGGGTTGGTTCCGCGGTGAGATAAAGCGGCCCCGGATTGGTGGGGAAGATCCACTTTACCGACTGAACGCCACGACTCTCGTCATAGCCCTGGAGTATCTACTTGTCTGTACTACACCAGTGACTCGTGAGGTTCCGTGATCAATTGTTCATACATAATCTACGTCAATTTGATGTTCAGTTTGATTTTCGACCAATTTGATTCCATTTTTGAGACCTTCTAGTGCCCAAAGAAAATAGTAAAAGCCAAGTACAAAGTGACCTTCTGTGCAGAAATATATACGGAGAACCATGTCCAACCGGACATCAAAAGGACTATGCAAATCGTAATGCTTACATAACAATAAAAGTAAGAGAAGGACTAGGATAAATTCAAAGATCCTTGGTCCGTTCATCACTCTCAGCCATCCACTTCTCCAATAGCTCGGGGTTACGAGCAACAAATCCAACCTTGAACGGCTTGGGCTCTGTAGTCAAGGCAGTGGGAATAGAATTGCAATCAATACAATTCAGAATGGGTCGGTCACTAGCCAACTTAGACGGCTTCATTTCAAAAGCAGTGATCAGACGGATGAAAGCCGTGAAAAGCTCTCGGTTCGCCAAGTGTGAGCCAGCACACATCCGGGATCCAGCCCCGTAGCCATAATGAGGGGTACCAGATCCTTCGCCAATCTCAAGATAGCGCTCAGGAATGAATTTGTCCGCCTCCTTGAAGTGGTCTTCATCGTAATCGGCAGCATAGGCGTTCTGGGTTTGAATGAGTAAATGTTGTCAAATGAAATGATCTGGATGTGCACGGGGAATCACTCACCATGAAAAAGGTTGTGCCGGCAGGAATCGTTGCGCCGTTCCATTCAATATCCTTGGTGGACTCGCGGGGAAGACAAATAGGGATGACTGTCCAGAATCGCAGAATCTCCTTTACCAAGGCCGTGACGTAAGGAACTTTCTCCTCGACTAGGCATTTCTCCCAGGCGTCACCATCAGGATACACACTCATGATTTCTTCATATGCCTTCTTTTGGATTCGCTGTCCATCTTCTGATGCCAAGTATGCAATTCCCATGATCAGATTGCCAGGAACGGTGTCAAGGCCCGCCGACACCATAGTCAGACAGATCGATTTCACCTCAGCTGGAATCAATGTCAACGTTCAGTTCAGATTCAACCTGATGTTATAGGGGAGACTCACCATCGTTTAACTTTGCCTCGGGATCCTTGATGATGTTACCAGTAATGCAAGGCTTATCGGTGCCCTTGGCAATGCGGTCCTTCAGTACATCCAGAAGATATGTCAAATACTTGTCGCGGCGAACACGGAACTCCTCAGCCTCGTGGTTCATCTTGGGGAAGATACGCAGCAGTGGAATGTAATCCTGCCAGTTGTTTGACGTACTGCGGAAGTTGGAGACTCCACGCTCAACATCCACAATCTCGTGAAGTAGTTCATCATCCACATTACCCTCGATCCGAATTCCGTAGTTTAGTGTCAAACTGGTGTTAAGCGCGAATCGCTGGAAGTATGCAGTTGGGTTGATATCGCAGGTGCCATTCTTACTATCCCGGTAAAGCTCCTTGATGCTAGAGTTGGCCTCGAGATCAATGATAGGCATGTAAGATTGGACTGCCGGTCGGTTGAGGGCAGTGGCAGCTGCCTTGCGACGGCGCTTGCAAGACTCATCCCAGGGCGATGTACCGATTGTAAATCCCTGAGAGCTCGAGACGACGCTGTGGAAAGTATGGAAGGTTGGTCGGGAGATGAGAGCGGACTGGTCCTTAATCCATAGCTTGCGCACGGAATCAAAGCTATTCGCGAAAACAATGCGCTTTAACATAAATTAGCAGAGGCATTTTATGGTATAGACAGGGACTGAAATCTTACCTTGTTTCCCATGCGCACTTGGAAAACAGGGCCGAATTTCTTCGCCCATTTGGCCGCTACTGTTGCGTGCTGGTCGCCCAGCTGCAGTAGGTTTCCAAAGAGGGGCACACCCGGAATTTCAGGAAGACCTTTGATCTTGGGAGTATCGGTGCGGTTCAAATAGCGAATGAGAAGGTATACAGCCGTTACAACGGCAATAGCGACAGTTTGGAGTGCCATGATGACTTGCGTTTCTCAAAACTGAAGTTGATTTGAGCGATAGTTGAACGGGCGATCCATCTCTTATAATACCCTGTGCCTTTGGGGGCGCGGCAATTTTCCGACCCCTGACGCAACAATGGCTACCATCGGTGAAGACTGACATCCAGTTGTACTGTGTAACAGAGCCAGTCAGTGTGATTGGAATTCACAATTTAGTACCCACTTTCGGGATTGAAACCGACTCAGGATTGGGGAATTTCATTCCGCGGTAGATATCAGTTCCCCGCAAAGTACCTAGATTTTACTTTTAAGAAACATTTGGAGAACTGATAACCATTACATTAGGAAATACGGTTTTTTCTCGAATTTTCATTACACTTTCATTACCAATGTACAACTCACACTGTAAAGATCAAGGTTAAAAGGTGATGCGCTTTCCGATGGATTCCCTCGGTCCCAAAAGATTCTCCACTTGACTGGTTGCGCTAAGTCATTCCGCTAATCCCGCGGTGGAGACACGTCAAAGCTATTGATCAGGTACTCGTGCACGCGCCCCTGACCGCTTTCGGGTAAGGGGTGCTCACGAATCGCATACCAACCCTCCTCCAACACCAAAGATTACACACATTTCAACATCAAATTACCCACCACCACCATGTCGACTGATTTAAAAACAAATTGAGCAGCGTGTTATCGAAGCTTTCGATATAGTCAAAAGCCTACATTGGAAGCCTAATTTCGCGACAATCGCGCATGAATACCGAATCCTTTGCGACCGATTTCCCCATCGAATCCGAGGTCGAAAGTCTCGAAATCAGCCCCAAATCCATAAAAGGCTATTAAATAAAGCCTAGGAGTATACTCTCATCGAATAGATAAAGCTCCTAAATCAAGTTAGTTTCCCACCGATAGTATATATAGTTGTTAGAATAGTAAATCAGCTATCAGCGCGGTTAAAACCTACTAGCGAAATACCCCTTAAAACTAGCGTAAACTAGGTTTGTAGATTCTAAAAACGTCTTAGAAAGACGCTTGAACTGAATATTTTATTCCGAAAGCCTATTCATAGAGATTAATTAGTATTAAAGGCTAATATCAGTAATTTGTCGCTGTGGTTTAATGTTCTTGAACTATTTACAACCCTAAAGTCACCAAATATTTTTAAATATATGACATTTAGAATATAGACGAAAACAAGTCCCAAATTGGTTGAATTAAGCCTAAACATAACAATTCGACGAATAAAAATAAGACTAAATAGGACTGAACTTAAGCGCCACGATGTAAAAATACTACAATTATTGTAAGTATTTCATTGTGTAGATAGCCACGTTATACCTCCTTTCATTGTCTTTACTAAAAATTACCAACTTAAAGATTGGTACTAAGATATTGACCCTCAGTATCAAATTAATATCTCTAAGTCAGGTTGTTTTAATAAGGAAATTGCTTTATCCTGGTTAATAAGGCTAGAATAATAGAGATACTTAGATAGGAGGACGAAATTTCCAAATCTCGCTTTCTTCAGAGTCTTCTAGCGATTCGCGCGAAAAGGTTTATTTATATCAATATATGTGGTGAGGGTGGGTAATTTGACGCTAAGATAGGTGATATTTCTGGTGTTCAATGGTGGTTAGTGTTCGAATCGTAAGCATTTAATAATCAAAAGGGTTATGAATGCGCGGACGAGTACGGAGTAACAAATATCAGTTATGTACCATGCCGAGGTTACCGAATTACTGTACCGCCAGCTATATTTACCTCCAGCTATATTAGCAATCGAACCGATCTTTATTAGTTGACTTTCTGTTTTTCATGTACAGAATGAAGAAGCGACAAAGCCGATCAGAAAGCCTGGGCCAAATCCATTATAGTTTAAACCAAGCACTGGCAGAGGGAGGTGATGGGAGCTCGGAGATGAGAAGCAAGATGAATTTGCCGCAGCACCCCAAATCAGGTCAAATCACGTCCCCAGGGCCATATTCCATGTTTTGCCTCAGGATCACAATGCGTTTGTCTCGCTTATCTCAACCGTAATTCACCTCCATCGCTTGGACTATGAATATGTGAGCGTTTCCTCCTTTTCAACTATATCTTTCCTTTTCTCCAAGTGGGTTTTGGCTTTGATCCTTGTGGCTCCTTTGCCTTTTGTGGCTTTTTCTTTGTTGTGACAGAGTATGATGAGACCTCATTGTTCTCTTGTTTTGTGATAAGATCAAGATGGTGACGAGATTTTCAACTTCCTTCCTTCCTCCCTTCCCAACTTTGTAAATCAACCTCAAGTCAATTTGGCAATTTCAGTTACATTATTAAACTATCTAACCATTGATGAGATTGTTCCACTTAACTCGGGCGTCCTCTAAGTGCGTATCAACTCCAGTGTATACCTGATCATTTGCCAGACCCAGCCTCTTAATCATATCACCCTTTCCAACTTTCTTCCAAACTGTAGAGGATAACATCCCTGAATATAGGTATATGTGCATATGTGATTCCAAAACTCTACCTACCTACTCCAACAGCTACAGAATGCCTTAAGATATCCCGAGCGGGGAACTATCTTTTCATTCACTGATGGCATCCCCACGGATTGATTGATCTCCTCCGCATCTACAATCAATTCCTCAGCAATCCCTCGCCGACGCTTCCAATTTCGCTCCGTATTGGTCACATATCCATCCCGCCAGAGACGTCCATAGAATTCTCGTGCCTCTGTCTTTGTGCGCACGCGTAGAATATCATATGTACTGATATTGGTCATTGTCGCGTCTCGCTCGCGACTCATATGACCATCCACAACCCGTAAATTGACTCCGGATGCGCGAAACCGACTACCCCACATTCCTTCTTCCGCAGGGGTCACACATATTGTGATTTGAGTGGGCGGTACAGGGTATGCGAGGAGGTAGGACAGGGCATCTGCGTCGACTCCGCTTGGAATGGGACCAATGACGAAGGTGTCGCCGCGCTCGATTGCCTGGTTAATGAGTGGAATATAGTGATTGAAGTACTCCTCCTGTGGCCCCGTATCAATGGGGCCGGAGATGAATGCGATTTCTGGATTGTGCATGGTGTGGCGTGGAGAGGATGCGATGCCACATCTCACTACGTTGTCGAGTCTCTCGGCGCTATGCCTCTTTGGGTGTTAAGCCTTGCGCTTATGTCGTGCTTTTTTTATATTTTATAGTCTGGTTGATTAAATCTATACACGGTCCAAGGTTGACAGGTCTGCCGTATGGACTTTACACAACCTTGGAAATTGTCATGACAATTCAGGGCAGAAAGTATGACATCAGTGCCTGATCTATTAGGCATTAAGGGGCCGAACAAGCGTCATCCACCGTAATTCCAAGCTTCAAAGAAAGACACGACAGCGACAGATGTCCATACTTCGAAATGAGCTCACATCCATCCTTCCTTCCATTATCCTCGTCGCCTGATTCACCCAGCCATCTCTTGCCTCGGCGTCCTAGCTTGGAACCTGACCGCGATATCCTTACAACCCGCGGTCAGCGTATCCGCACGTTCTTGCCCAGTCGCGGGTCCAGCCCAGCTCTACAAGATCTCAGTGAAGAATCCTCACCACTTGATTCTCTCCGACGAGGCCCCTTACTCATTGGGCACAAAAATGCTCGTTATGAATGGTGCGCATGCAGCTCCCAGCCTTGCATCCTTACCTAACCTTAATAGGCAGCGCTACTATCGGTCGCCCGATTCATTGAAGGGTCTGCGCAAGTCAGTGTAAGTTAAAATCCATTCCTTGATGCATTCCTGTAACTGTCATACTCATTTACGATATAGGCGACAGTACTACGAAAACAATAACACCTTAATCTCCCAATACCTGTACATCGACCGTCTACTGGATTCTTCTCTCCCCCACAACTTGATCGAAGACTACAATGGATGTCACCACCATGCGACCACAGAGCTACCAGAGGCCGATTCCACAGAGCAACGACCTAATCCTAAAGATTCCAGGATCAAGCGCACCCCTCACAATCTATACCGCATCCCCGATGAGACCGCACCATTACTTTCACCCCCATCCGATGAAGAAACATGCACCCACCATTCCATACCAGATATAGAATCGCATGGAGGGATGTCACCAGAAAAAGAAGAGAAAGTCATCAACCTAGCGATTCGCATCAATTTTGTCGCGAACGTCATCCTCCTCGGTTCCAAAATTGCCATCATGGCCTTGACCAGCTCCATGTCCGTTCTAGCAGGTCTTGTGGATGGCGTTCTGGATTTCCTCAGCACGGTCATTATCTGGATTACCATGACTTTGATTCAGCGACAAGATCGCAATCGGTACCCGATCAGTCGTCGGCGACTGGAGCCGCTGAGTGTATTGGTGTTTTCGGTAATTATGGTCACGTCTTTCTTCCAGGTAGCTCTCTCTTCTATCAATAGGCTGATGGGGGAAGATCATGCTCTTGTTGAGCTCTCCATGCCGTCCATTGCGCTCATGGCTGGGACGGTCATTGTCAAGCTGCTCTGTTGGATATGGTGTCGGTTGATTCCTAGCCCCAGTGTTCAAGTACTTGCGCAAGATGCGATGACTGATGTCATCTTCAATACGTTCAGTATTATCTTTCCTCTGGGTGAGTACTCTTTGTGCTTCTGTCTTGAAGTTTTACTAATGCATGCAACAGTCGGGACATTTGCGCACCTTTGGTATCTCGATTCTCTAGGTGGTGTTTTCCTCTCCGTTTACATCATGTGGAACTGGGGTGAGACGGCGGGCGAGTATATTCGACGATTGACCGGCGCGGCCGCCTCCGCCACCGACCACAGTATCCTGCTGTACATGACGATGCGTTTCTCGCGGGTTATTCAGAAGGTCCAGGACCTCAAGGCTTACTATGCGGGTGACAAGCTGAATGTCGAGGTAGATTTGGTTGTCGACGAGCAGACTAGCCTTCGGGATAGTCACGATGTGGGAGAGTCTCTGCAATACATCCTGGAGAGTGTGCCGACCGTGGATCGCGCTTTTGTGCACCTGGACTATGACGAGTGGAACCTTCCAAGCCACATGAACCAGCTGGATCGTTAACGCCGGAAATAATTACTGCAACTGCCACTGTATGACTAGTACCGTAGGGCATTATAACAAATAGTTTGAAACATCATACATTAGGTCATTCAGTTAACTGTACATGTAAATGAAACAAATGAGAATTAACTGCCGACATGACCGTGGTCATTGACGAACCATGAAGAGAAAATACGCCCCTAATGTACAACCGTTTTCCCATGCGTTCCACACGTGTTCAGATACAAGACAAGAGCCTCCTCGTATCGACTTGAAATCCAAGCGAGGCAGGACAGGGTGGAAGGCTCGAGCGGACAAGAAAATTTAGCGAGGCTGTGATGATGGGTGCAATGGTGGCATCCCACCCTGCATCGACCCTTGGCTGTAGCCACGGTGATGGTTTGGTGTAGACGAAGGCTCGCCCATCGAGCCTTGTCCCGGGGGCCGCTGGTGAAGAGTAGGCATCGTTCCGGCTACGGATTGAGGGGGTGGGGCATAGCCCATACCACTGCCGCTCATCGAAGGATGTATTCCTGATGGTGGAGTGTACGATCTAGCAAGACCTGAAAGTGATGGCATCGATCGGCCATTTTGACCCTGCGGGGGCGGAGTGCTATGCCCATACGCCTGAGGAGGACCATTCAAGCTGGCGGGGGTCGACCGGTGTGATCCGCCAACAAACCCCTGGACATGTTGCTGGTAGCTTTGACCAAGTTGTTGCGCAGATGCTGGTGTGGATGGGGTGGCAGGAGAATATGAGGATTGTCCGCCAGACTGACGCGGCTGCATGCCATACAGGTTTGCCGATGGTTGAGCCGGGGTAGGAGGATCCTGTCGAGAACCAAAGACACTGCTTGCCCGTGATGATGGAGATACGGGTCGGTAGGCTTGCGATTGAGAAGGGATATCACGAGAATTGGCGGAGGCATGTGTCTGACCAGCGGATGGTTGGGAAAACACACTTGAGTAGGCAGGTCGCTGAGAACCCGGTGGCGGCGTCGGTGCGGGGGACGGAACCGAAATATTGTTTAATTGACTTGTGGGCTGAGACGAAGCAGAGCCATAGTGCGAGTATGAATTCTGGGAGGCCAGCGATGCCGTTGGGCGACCGCTCTGTTGCGACGGGGGGGGCGGCTGTGATTGTGAGCCTCCTTGTTGAGCCCGAGGATCGAAACGCGCCATCCAGTCGCTAGTCGTTGATGTTCCTGCGCTACCAGGAGGAGGTCCGTAGCTACTGTATTCCTGGTAGCCACGCGATGAGGTTTGATACTGGCTCGGTTGGCCATAACCAGACTTCGCCGCTGAAGCGCCAGGCATGGCAACCTCATCGGCGCGAGACCCGCCGATGCTTTGGTAAACAGAACGCTGTCCTGACACTGCTCCAGGAACCGGGGCGGAGGGAGCTTCACTCGCAAAGCGCTTCCGAGGCTGAGGCTCCTCCGGCTCGTCATTGAGAATACTCATGATGTTGGAGCGTTTAGCGGGCACCTTGGAATCAGGGGCTGGGGTACCGCTTGGCCGTGGGGCGTCTTTAATTGGAGACAGGCCAGATCGCGGCGACTGCAGTCCCACGGGCTGGCCCGAAAGCGAGTAGTACTGCCGTTGGACGAAGGGATCACGATGAACGGAAGAAATGTCAAGCTCCGGTCGAGACATTTGCGTTGGCGAACCAGGAGCTTGGGTCAGACTGGGATGACGTGAATGGGTAGGAGGAAGCAAGGATGGTGGGGCCTGGTTAGTCATGTAAGTCTGGCCGGACAAAGGATCCATCCGAGCCATTTCAGGGGGAATTGACGTTGCAGAGGTATGCCGTGACGGTATCTGCATATCTTGGCCACGTGGAGTCGAATGCGGCAGCATCGAAGATTCCCGACGATCCTCGGTGAAATATCCTAATCGTGGGCCCGACATCCGATTTGGATGTCCACGCATGGCACGGCTCTCGTCACCAAGACCATTGACAACTGGAGGCCCTGAAGCTGCGGAAGATGCCTGTGCCAAGGTCGGGTAACGACTTGGCACTCGCTCGTTCTCTGATAAAGGTCGACCATGGAGTGACATTGGCTGGGGTGACACGGCAAGGGGTCTGCCCTTCGCGGAAAACCGCAACTCGTCTGCTTCTGCCATCATGTCGCCAAGGGGGGCAAGAGGACGAGGAGTAATGGTGGAAGGGGTCGCCTCATAACGTCGCTTAGGAGCAACACTAGGCACGGGAAGAGGCCCAGTTGGCTCGCCCCGAGTTTTCTTCTCCTCTGCAACCAACAAAAGCTCCTCAAAGTCTTTCTGCCCTGAGTCAAGTCGACGCTGGTAGTAGTTTTTTACCTATTAATATCGCATTAGCAGGTGGCCAGTTTTGGGAAATTAGAAACCAAGCCTTACCATCACCGTGGTCTTCGTCTTCATGAAATTAGAAATGCCCTCGAAATCACGACCGAAGTGTGCAAGCAGTCGAGGGAAGTCGCGTTGCTCTGGAACAGACCAATAACTTGTTGGTTGCAAGGAACCATACCCGGTCTCCAGTGATTTAGGTGTCATAACTGGATCAGCTTCGGTAGATTCAAAAACATAGACACCTTCCTTTGCCTTTCCACGTCCAGCTCTAGGTCTGGAAGCCGGCATCTGGCCCTCTCTCTCACTCATTTCTCGATCCGTGGACATGTCCATCGCCACATCAAAGCCCACTCCCATCTCTATCTTGGGAATGGCAGCGGGGAGAGGATTGCTTTGCGGTTGTGGAGGTTGAGGTGGCGGTAGTGGTGGTCCTTGAGTCCGCTGCTCTTTTTCAGTTGTCCGGTTGCGCTTGGGGGCACGAGCGGTACCAACCCGACCACCACGTCGAGATGCAGGCTTTTCAATTGGCTCGGTCTCCTTCGCAGTTTGACCATCATTTGAATCACCGAAGGTTGGAGCAGCAGCACGCCGAGGACGTCCGGTATCAGTGACCGCTGGAACGTCCTCTTCCCCCCCGTCAAAATCCGGCTTGACCACACCCAAGTCGGCAATAAGCGCATTGGATTTAGGACGACTGGACCTGGTCTTGCCCTTGCCTCGCTTGCTCCACCGCTTGTTAAGTTTGGCTTTGTATTTGATTTCCTCCTTTGTGAGGTAGTAGTGGACAATGCACTGTTGAAAATCTCGACCAGGCAAAGACTCGGCGATTTTGCCCCATTTCTTAGGATCGGCCATGAAAGCATCCGTGAATATCGCATGCTCTTCCTTGGTAAAATCGTTGGGGGGTGGGAGGAAGCCAAATAACTCCAGTGCATCTTCAGCTTCAACAGCATTATTAACATCCTTGTAAATGCGGGCCTTCGCCTCTCGTGGCTCTAGCATGTCTGGAATGACAGCTTCACGGCTCAAGTCAGGGCGAGCGGTGACCATTTCTGTTTTCCGGCGCTCGGCGTCCTCTTGCGCAGAGATTTCTGATGCCTTCAAAGCATTTAAGAAATCCAGCTCGCTGTTACCCTTGATTCGTCGACCTTCGCGTCCCTCTGGCATCACAGTTGGAGTAACAGGAATCGTGGTAGGAGGTGGAGAAGCAGGACCAGGAGTCATAGGCTTTTTGGACTTAGAACGATCTAGCTGCCAGATAGAAAGTCGCCAAGGCTTATAATGGGCCATGTACTCTTCTCGAAGTGCGGCGTTCTTCTTCGCAATCTCCTTTTGTCGCTTGGAAATCTCATTGCGAAAAGCTTCAAGACGAATTTTGGTGGATTCGCCATCCTGCCCTGCTTCCATGTCAGAGAGTGGAGTTGGAGGGCCAGTGTTCAAAAAAGGTAAGCCATCAATCGTAATTTCCGGATGCGCCACAGCTGGTGCGGTCACAGCCTCAGGTGCCGGTTCAACTAGGTCTTCAGCCGTCATTGGAGCAAAGGTCACAACTCGCTCGTCACTGGACACTGGAGGCCCCGCATGATTCTCGGCAGAGGAAAGAGGTTCTACCGGGGCGTGGTCCACTGCTTCTTCTTGGGCAATTGTACCCAGTAGCTGGATTTTCAGAAGGAGGGAGACGATATGGGGATCTTCCAAAGGCGACGGAGGTATCTCTGCTCGAAGAAGCTCCATGTCCCTTTCAAAGGTCCGTTTCCGCTCTTCCAAATATTCATGGCTGAAGAGCACGTTTTCCTCATCATCTTCATCACTTGACTGTCCAAAGCCAGGGCTAATGGAATGCTCGTCCTTACCTTGAACTTCTGGCAGTGGCTGCTGTTTTTGTGTCAGTTCCGGCTCGGGCTCCTGTTCTTGGACCAGCCGCGGATCTTGCTCTAGCTGGGACTGTTGCGTGGGTTCCTCTTCCAGGATTGGTGACTTTTGCTCTGACTCCTGCTCTGGTCCATTATCTTGCTTCCGCGCCTTCTCATCGCCCTGGGGTGCTGCCTTGTCCTTTAGAGCCGGCGGTGGACTGCTACGAATGGCAATTTTCATAGATGGGGAGCTTGGGGAGGGTAGAATGGTGGCTTCAGCAGTAAGATCCTCTTTTTTCTGAGGATGATCCAACGGGCGTGACAGTGCATGTCGACTCCCCTCGGGAGCTTTTTCGCTGGGCGTGAGCATGGACTCCTGCTCGTCGATTTCTTTCTTTGATTGAGCGGCACTCGCAGATGGTACACGATTGTACCCAGGGCGACTCCATTGTTTGTTCCCTTTGCCTCCTCCCCTTGGTGATGAGCCTGGTCGCGATTGATGTGCTCGTGGACCTGTCGGGATATTGGATTGCTGCATTCGAGGGGAGATTGACGGCTCGCGTGAAAGGGAACGCGCTGGTGGGGGTAGACGAGAGATGGTTGGAGATGTGGTCACAGGGCTTGGTTTTGGAGCATGTGGTTCCGTTGTGCCATTAATGGAATCCCGCTTTGCCATTGCAGCTGGGGCAGTTGGTGGAGATCGGTCTGGAAAATGTGCAAATGATTTCGTAGTCGCATGCTCTTGTCGTAGAAGGTTCTCGGAGGGGTGGCTAGAGATATCTAATGTTTGTCCTGTCGAATCAGCGCGTTCCGCTTTTGGCCCTGTTGGGGCGTTTTGTAACGATTTAGACGGCTTTCCATCTTGGGGCTTCTCTGCTCGGAGGGATGTGTCACTTTGAGTACGTCCATCGGGAGGTCCTTTCGACGATGGTGCCGATGGAGTTGGAGCAGCCACAGAGCCAAAAGCGGGAACCTGTGGTGCTGGTGGGGGAGGCGAGTGCTGATTGATAGGCCCTAAATCCTTGGAGGGTTCAGGGCGGAGAGAAGGGAGTTCGGATCGGTCAACGTCGCGTCGAACCTCATGTCCACCACCACTAGAGATGATGGATGCTTTGCGAGTCTGTTCTAGAGGAGCTGGATCAGGCATACGCTCCGCAACAGACGGGCCCACGTTTGAAGGCCCTGCATAAGCAATCGAACCTGCACGACTGTCTGTTCGGTTTGGAGGGTGTTCTCTTTTCCATGGCTCGACAGGACGGTCGCGATCCTCTCGGTCGGGTCGACGGATCTCCCATTCTTCACGTCGATCAAAACGATCGCGTCGGTCTACATCGCGATCACGGTCTCGGTCTCGCATAATATCACGGTCACGCTCTCTATCAAGCCCACGATCGCGCTCCAAGATGGGGCGGTCTGAGAGAGGGCGATCAAGAGATGGACGATCAAGAGGGGGTCGATCAATAGGTCGATCCATAGGAGGCCGGTCCATAGGAGGCCGGTCCATAGGAGGTCGGTCCAGAGGAGGCCGGTCCAGAGGAGGCCGGTCCATAGGAGGTCGGTCCATAGGAGGTCGATCAAGAGGAGGTCGATCATGGGGTCGGTCCATAGCAGGACGATCAAGAGGAGGTCGATCGAGAGGAGGTCGATCAAGAGAAGGTCGGTCCATAGGAGGTCGATCAAGAGGTCGTTCCATAGGAGGTCGGTCCATAGGAGGTCGATCAAGAGGTCGTTCCATAGGAGGTCGGTCCATAGGAGGTCGATCAAGAGGTCGTTCCATAGGAGGTCGGTCCATAGGAAGTCGGTCCATAGGAGGTCGGTCCATAGGAGGCCGGTCCATAGGAGGCCGGTCCATAGGAGGTCGGTCCAGAGGAGGCCGGTCCAGAGGAGGCCGGTCCATAGGAGGCCGGTCCATAGGAGGTCGATCAAGCGGAGGTCGATCAAGAGGAGGTCGTTCATGAGGTCGGTCCATAGCAGGGCGATCAATAGGAGGGCGATCATGAGGTCGATCAAGAGGAGCCCGTTCCATATGAGCTCGATCTAATGGACGGTCCTGCGAGCGATCCAAAAGAGGGCGATCTCTGTCCATGTCTCTATCGCGATCGCGGTCCCGATCAACCATACGGTCTCGTCCGCGGTCTCGCCATGTATCACGAGATCGGCTTCGTCGGCGGAACTGCTCACGGTCGTCGAAGAAGGATGGACGACCTCGGCCGCGACCACCTTCCCAGTCTCCTCTTCCTCGACCACGCATAGAGCCACCTCGAGGGTGACTCACATTTGATGGTGGACCATCAGGACCACCTGAGGAGGCGGATAGGATGCTGTCTCTAGAATTTCGGCGCATTCGAACGAGATCAAATTCACGGCCCGGGGGGTCTCTGGTGTCACGGAAGTCGCGTGCTGGGGATCTTGAGCGGCCACGTCCGAAGCCGATGCGGGTGTCGCGAGGATCAAATTCGCGATCACGACGACCCCAGTCGCGGTCTATGTCACGGCGGAATGGCGGCCCATCGCGGTTGTCACGAAATTCGCGATCGCGGTCACGGTCTCGTAGGTCTCGGTCTCGATCTCGGAATTCGCCTCGGCCATATCCACGACCTCGTCCACCAAAATGGCCACCTCTAGAATCAACGACGCCGCGCAGGGCGCGCGGGGCGGTCGGAGGTGGCCTGCCGAATGGAGCGCTGCCGTCGTCAGAGCCACGGGGACCAATAGGTTGGCGACGATCCCCGAATCGATGAGGGGAGCGGTCGCGGGAATTAAACCCGGACGATGGAGGGAATCGAGACGACATTACCAGGTCATGCTACCACGAGATGACCTGGAAAGCAGTCTACAAAGGGTTGTATGAAGGCGAAACAGGGTCCGGGAATGCAGAATCCAGAACCCGCACTGGACCCGACTTTGGGGGGCTTGATGCACGTGATGTGCGCACGGACCATCACGGAGAACCGTCGATCTGTTGGAGATTTAAGATCTCTGGACACTGATCATACAGGATTATATGGGCATTCTATTCGTAGGTTGTTGTAATACTGGAGCCATCAAATTGAGATGCTACATAATATGGAATATAGGATCAATTCAACACAACGATATATGATTCTAAAATTGAAGGTAGATTCAAGAGTGCCCGTGCACATTATGTGGACCCGCCATTAATGAACTAGTTCAAGACAGCCAGAGAACTCAATTTCGATTAGGGATTGCACTATAATTTATGGAACTAAGGAACCGATGGTATCTAAGTGTGATCTTATGATCCAACAGCTGAACACACTAATAGTGCTATTACTTAGATATAATATAATACATGGACCTGTAAATCTACTACCGAAACATAGATAGCCATCTACATATTCTGCTGGAATGAGCCAGGTATAGCTAGTGCCGAAACACCCCAGATCGACATGAAATGACAGTTGAGGGGTTTATCATGAATAAAGCAGTCACTTTGATGATTAAATTTGTAGCTTGACCACCATAATTCAAGTCTTCGGATATTTTAGGGTCTTTTCAAATAAATATGGCTTGTACCAGATTTTAGTCAAGTGTGAATTGAGAGTCTTCGGTGGCCCTTTCTGTAATTTGGTTCCTGATTACGGTGGACGATAGGGCGCATGTGGCCAATGCGGGTAGAATCACATATTTATAGTTTATGGTCACCGCGCTTGCTACTTCTGCATTGTGTTGTACTGGAATATCTACAAACATTGAAGTCAACCTATACATATTAGTAGTAAACTTTGGAACTAGCCGAGAGCCTTACTCATTAGTTAGAAAGGGAACACCTACTATCTAGGTAGGTAGTACATCAAAGTTAGAGAAGCAAGTCTCATTTGGTTTGTGACTTTTATCTATTGATAATATGATCATGATTAGTAAATAGAGGGTTAGCGCGCTTTCTCTACTACATCCTTCTCTTTCCTTTCTTCTTAAAATTCCTCTCTCTACATATGTAGCGTTGATTCTTTGATATGGATTGGCCAAACAGTATGCATAACTATGTAAACTTTAGCATTTGTCGGATGGGTACTGAGAAAACGTCTAGTAACTCATTACATTGGACATGTGGGTGTTTATCATTAATTTGATAGTGACTGTTATCACAAAATCTTGGTTTTTTTTGATTTTCTGCAAAAAAGCAGGTACTAATTTGCATTGGCCACATGCGCCCTATCATTCACTGTAGCCTGATATGTGAGGCTACAAAAGCGCCTCAGGTGTCGACTTCGGAGGATAATCGTTCCCCGCCAAAAAAAAATATATTTGTCCCGCAAGAAACATATCACCCCCACTACGCAATTAAACATATTTCTCCCTCTTGAAACTGCCTTGATATCATATTTATTGGCTCCAATTTACACAACACATTCTTTTACACCCAACAACGGGTATTTCTGACGATCTTCAGCCATCATGAGCCAGCCAACCGCCGCACCCCCGACCTCCGCAAGCAATGCCGTCCTGGTGGAGTCTCAACCGATTCCCGAAGGAACAAACACAGTCAGCGGAATTGACTTTGATAAGTTTCAGGGTCGAGATATCACTGTGGCCGAACTGGTGGATAGTATGACCAACACCGGTTTTCAGGCCAGTGCGGTTGCGGAGGCTGCCCGCATCATCAACGATATGGTAGGTGATGAACTTCACTCACTTTCGAGGGTTTCCCTGACGTGTCTTTCTTCATAGCGTGCCTTCCGTGAACCTGAAACCGGCAGAAAGACCACCATTTTCCTCGGATATACCTCAAATTTGATTTCCTCCGGTCTGCGTGACACTCTTCGTTACCTTGTGAAGCATAACCATGTATCGGCCATTGTCACTACCGCTGGTGGTGTGGAGGAAGACCTGATTAAATGTCTGGCTCCCACTTATATGGGCTCTTTCTCCACTCCAGGTGCTGGACTACGTGCCAAGGGCCTCAATCGTATTGGCAATCTGCTGGTACCGAACAACAACTACTGTGCCTTTGAGGATTGGTTGGTCCCCATCCTCGATCGTATGCTAGAGGAGCAGGAGGCAGCCAAGCGGAAGGCCCAGGAGACTGGAGATGAAGAAGACGAGCTCCACTGGACCCCGAGTCTCATTACTGAGCGATTGGGTCATGAGATCAATAATGAAGACTCGGTGCTGTACTGGGCCGCCAAGAACAAGATCCCCATCTTCTGCCCTGCCCTGACTGATGGGTCGCTCGGAGATATGCTTTACTTCCACACGTACAAGTCATCGCCGCAGCGACTCCGAGTGGATATCGTGGAGGATGTGCGCCGGATCAACACCATGGCAGTGAAGGCTGCCCGGGCGGGTATGATCATCCTGGGTGGTGGTGTGGTTAAGCATCACATTGCGAACGCATGTCTGATGCGCAATGGTGCCGAACACGCCGTGTATGTCAATACCGCGCAGGAATTCGACGGTAGTGATGCAGGTGCCCGGCCTGACGAGGCCGTGAGCTGGGGGAAGATCAAAAGCGACGCCAGTGCCGTCAAGGTCTACGCTGAGGCCACAGTAGCATTTCCTCTTATCGTTGCGGCCTCATTTGCACGCGCAACACCACAAAACTGAAGGCGTCTGTTGCGTGCCGATACTTTGCCTCACACAATGTAGGGTCCCGTGACCCTCGGATGAGGGTAACCAATCAGAGTCAACTTTGTCCCCCTCGCCTCCCAACAGGGAAAATCTGCTGATCAATTTCCATGGTTCGAACCCTTTTCCCTTCATAATTTGAGGGATTTCAAGTGCACCCGACAAGGTCAAACCCTGAGTTGTTTCTGACCAAGTCTGACGACCAAACCGGCCGCCTGTCAGCATGTCTTTCAGCGCCTTCTCCGCGTCTGCTGTACCCAGTCCCACCAGTTCCACTGCAAGGGTCGGGGAAACATGTTGTAAAAGCGGTCCCAGTGGCAACATGCAGATAAGCGATCTGAAGTGGCAAAGAATGGAAAATTCGCTCCAGAAGGAATACCCGCACATACTATTTAAGGTTGGGATCCGTTGGCTGCCCTGAAGTGGAGCCATTGGGCCGGATCCACAGCCGATCATGGGCTTCACCGACTGTCAGTTACTCACTTACTAAAAGAAATCTATTAAAACATGGAAATTTTGTCTCAATGATGACATGATCTCGAAACTCAATATAGGTGCAAGTGACCATAAAATCATAGACTAGTTGAATTTAGTATTTAATAGATTTTTTTACCGAAAAGATAGAAAATCTACCGCGTGGCTTATCCACCCGAAGTTTGGAATTTCCCCACTTTGGTCTTTTGGAGCGAATCCCGCGAATCCCCCGGACTTCCTTATCGCTTTTAAGTCTTCGGACTTTCTTCTTTTCTTTTCTTTTCTTTCCCTTCTATTCCCTTGATTCTTCCTTTCATCTCACACTCACTGCTCGTATATATACTGTCCTTTTTTTCTCTTTTCAATTGCCATTGTCCCCTATCTGATAATCCTTATCTCTCTCCATTCGTTAAACGCCAGAGAGAAACTATCGATCAAACACCGCTATATTCTTCTCAACTTCGGAATTTGCATGAATTGGTCACTTTGATCGGTCCCATTCCCTCGTCTTGGTTTATTGAAAAAATCCTTGCAGAATGGATTCCTCTCGGAACTCGGCCAATTTGCCGCCCAATGGGTCAGGAACCGGCAGCGATGTCGGGTCTCTCTCCCCGTCAAATGTCTCCGAACCCAATATCGTTCCGAGTTCTATATCCGAACCCTCTGTGACACCACGGGTGGCCACCCAGGAACAACCACAACCCGTCCTTCCGAACCCCCGGGCTCCGACGCCACCGCCTAGAGACCCCGAGGAGACCGAACATGCCTATTGGGCCGACCTTCACGAGGACACATCCACCCCAGATGAGGAGGAATTAAAGGAAATCAATGCTGCTGAAGCTGACTATAGCGCTTGTGACCGTATGTCAATTCCGAACCCTAGGGAGCCAACCTTGAGGAAAGGTTCACGCTTACTAACACCGGGTCCTAGACACATACTGGGAAAGCAATTTCTTTCGGGACTTGGATGATCCTGAATACAAACCTGTGGAGAAAGCTCGTCTGACATGGAAGTTCAAAGGCGTTCGAGGCACCCCCGAGGCCCCCAACCGCGCAAAGGTTCTGCGCTCTCCGCCAGCCTTCATTGGTGGATATTGGTGGCGAATCAAGTTCTACCCTCGCGGTAACAATGTGGGTTCGCTAAGTATCTACCTCGAGTGCTCGCCTACGATGCCCGCCCTGGATGAACATATCCCAGAAACCGAATTTACTGTTAGGCGCGGGGAGCCTGGTACCGTCCTCAACGATATTCCACCCGATACACATGTGCAAACACCCGCCACAACCGACTCTGCGGCATGGCTAGACAACTACAAATCACATTATCCTTTCGCTGCATCTGCTTCCCAAGCACACACCGGTACGTCGTCCAATCCATGGCGGGTATCCGCTCAGATTGGTGTCATCGCCTACAACCCGGACGAACCACGCACTGGATGGATGCAGTCGTCATGCCATCAATTCAACCCACACAATCTGGACTGGGGATGGACATACTTCCATGGTCCATGGGATCAGATTCATAACCGACGACGTGGCCAGCATCGTGCGCTACTCAACAACGATACGCTGGCTTTTGATGCTTATATTCGGGTCATTGATGACCCAACTAAGTCCTTGTGGTGGCACCCCAGTGATTCCGAGCCAACATGGGACAGCCTGGCATTGACTGGCTATCGGCCCCTTGGAGACTCGGTCGTCAACCACAGCGCCGAGGTTGCCGGACTCGCATCCTGGCTGCACATCGCCCCTTTCTGCAAGATCATTCAGAGCGTTGATGTCCTGGAACATTTAACAAACTGTGACGTAAAGCCAAAGCCGCTGTGTGATGCCATGCAGAAGTTGCTCTGGCAGCTGCGAAGTCGCACACAGTCGCTTCAATATGTTGACACCGACAGTATCACCTCCACATTGCGCAACCTCCGTGAGTTCTCGGGTGATGTTTCGGAGTTCTGGGAGCGGCTTCGTCGCACCTTGGAGCTGGAACTCGCGGGCACTGATGCTGGCAAACAATTTGCCAAGCTATTCGATAGCCCACCTCCCAAATCTGTGCAAGCAGGTGATGCAGATACTATCCACACTTTGCCGACTGATTTCAACTCTCGCATATTTGTTCAATCCGACCAGTTCAAATCCACCGGTGATGCTATGAAGAACTACTTTGGTGCCAAGCCTGGCCGCTGGTCCCTCCCTCCAGTTCTTCATGTGGAACTTGGCCGTCAATCCCTCGACAAGACCATGCGCTGGCAACTAAACTTCAACAAGGTAGATCTGGACGATGAGCTGGATCTCACACCATGGGTTGTTGATGGCGAAGGTAGCAAGTATGTTCTCTATGGCTACGTGGTTCACCGCGGTCGTCGCACATCTAGCAAGTTCTTCAGTATCCTTCGCCCTGCTGGTCCAGGGACCAAGTGGCTGGCTTTCGATGATGGCAGTGATAACCGTGTGGAGTGCTTGACCCAGAAGACCGCAATGGGCGCTCATCTTGGTCTTGATGCGTCCCAGACTGTCGATCACAAGAAGGGTCATGATATCCCGGTTGTTGCAATGTATGTCCGCAGTGACATGGTTTCAGAGCTCCTTCCTGGACCGCAAGGACCTTGGGAGGTGCCCAAGTCTTTGAAGGAATACTACGAGACGGGGGTCTACAGCCCAATTCCCAGTTCCAATGAGAAGTCATTAATCGAGGATGTTCAGGTTGAGGTGTACTCTCTGCCTGAGTATGATCAACTGGATTGCCTCTTCGACACATATGACCTCATGTCCAATGCGAAGTCGAACAATAGTGTCATGTATATGACTCTGCCTCGTTCATCCCGCTTGGCTGAGCTGCGCAAAAAGATTGCTTTGTGGAAATCGGCTGGTGGAGAGGTTATTGGAGCCGAAAGGGTTCGTCTGTGGCACATTGGCCATACTCGGGCTCAGTGCGGGCCTACTTTAGCATTTGAGCACATCACCGATTTGAACACTCCATTGGATGCTTCTGCGGGCACTATGCGATTCTGGATGGAAGCAATCTCAGAGGGTGAGTTCCAACAAGTCGCGAATTATTGCAAATAAGCTCTTACTGACCATCGAATCCTTTTAGATGACGCGAAATTATTTGCCATCCCGGACCCTCCCTCCGCTACTACGACTGAGGATAAGCTCGAGGAGTCTATTGTTGAACAGCTGAGTTCTGCAAGCAGTAGTTCAGTTTCATTGGTCAATAATGGAGACGCGGTTGCCAGCTCATCCAGAGGTGATATAAGCCCTACAGAGAGCTCCCTACCAGCTCTGGCTACCTCATCTCTAGAAGCCGACTTGCTGGCTGACGAGCGAGCCGAGCATGCTGCCGTTCTGGCTGTTGCAGCAGCCCACGACACCAACTCATCTGTCGCTGAACCCGCTGCTCCTGCTACTACTCCTGTGGAGTCCTCTGGGCCAGTACCGACTGAGCCTCAAGTTACCCTTCCCGTCGGTCACGCGTACTACTTCATTCAGGTCTTTGATGAGGACAAGCAGGTCCTTCGCACAGTGGGCTCGTTCTTCTCCAAACTTGAGGCGAACGTCAAGGCATCCATCCGGAAGCACCTTAAGCGGACCATCCGACAAGACTTCCTCATGTGGAAGCGAGTAGACGGAACCACCGTCACCACAGTGTCGCCAGCCGAGAACTTCATGGATGTCGTGGTGCCCCACGGATCCTGTATCATTGTCGGGGACAAGTTGACCAAGGAAAAACGATCTCAACTTGGGCTTTCCGGCCTGTTCTCCAGCCCCGACCGCCTAGTACAGTACCTCTGGGCCAAGTCTCGAAACCACCCTGTCCAAGGCTTTACTGGCACCAAGACCGTCGAAGCTACTTTCACAAGTGATTTCTACAGCGGCGAGTTCCTGAAGGGCTACTACCATGGACGCGGAAAGCACCTTTCTGGCACCGGGACAGTCTACGAAGGTGACTTCATTTTCGGTCGACGCCACGGCAAAGGCAAGATGGAGTACCCGACCGGCGATACTTATGATGGCGACTGGGTTGAAGATGTCCGTCATGGACAAGGAACCTACGTTGAGAAGACGACTGGCAACTCGTACGTTGGCGGGTACAAAGACGGTAAAAAGTACGGCAAGGGCATCAGCTACTGGGAAGTTGCCGACGAAGAAGCGGATCTGTGTCAGATCTGTTACTCCGAAGAACAGGATGCTGTGTTCATTGACTGTGGCCATGTCTGCTCGTGTGTGACTTGTGCTAAGCAGGTTGATCTTTGCCCGATATGCCGGAAAAGTATCAAGAGTGTCATTAAGATTTACAGGACATAGACGACTTGTCTGAAGCACGGTGGAGTTTTATACATTTACAGCATTTGAGATTTGTGCTCATTTGATGATTTACTTATATGCATGTCACATACAATGTTTTGGCCCTTTTATGGGATTGTCATTGTTCTTTTTTGTTTCTAGCGAACAGACGGTTGGGGATTGGGGGTTGGACGGTTACATACGGCGATTGTTTGCGATTTACATTCTTGCTCTCTTTCCAGGACATTTTTCGAATTTTGCATCTCATGCGCTCTTGGTGATTACATATAGATCAAGACTATATATAAATTAGATTTTGGATTGCACTTCACGCTGAATCATTTTTTGACATTGGGATTGAGATTTGAAACATTAAAAAACAAGGTATATGTCCAGTGCGCCGTCCACCCACAAATGAAGATGCTTTTCAAACTTGGCAATGCCAGAGCTATAGATACACAATAGATGCTCGGGTGTCAAACAGATCATTTAAAAGCCTTCTTAGGCTTCTTTTCTTTCAGCTTTCCCTGCACCACCGACTTCTTCTCACCCTTGTCCTGGTTAGAAGATTTCTTGGCAGACTCGGTCTTCTTGGACTGGGTCTTCTTAGCAGCCTCGGGCTTCTTGGTGGACTCAGTCTTCTTAGACTCAGCCTTCTTAGTCTCAGTCTTGGGGGACTCGGCCTTCTTGGCTTCAGGCTTCTGCTCCTCCTTGGTTTCCTCGGTGGACTCAGTGGCAGCCTTGGGCTCTCCCTTGGCCTTCTTAGGCTTGTTCAGAACACCCTTGGGGTTAAGACCCTTGCGACGAATACGGTTGCGTTCGGCCCGAGCAATGCGCTCCGAATCATCATCTGCCTCGAAGGGACCGAAAGCACCACCGTTAAGATCAGCAAAGGCACCACCCTCCTCATCGCGAATGGGTGTTCTGTCGATCTCCTCATCATCATCAGTGGAAGCACCCAGGGAGCTAGTACGCTTCTTCTGGTGGCGGTCCTTAGAAGTGGTGCCGTCCGCCTTAGCAACGGGAGTGGGACCAGTCTTCTTCAGCTTACACACGTAGAAACCATCGACGTTCTCGCGGTGGGGGAAGTAACGGCGGGTCAGGGCCATCTTGGCATCAAATTTCTTGCCCATGTAGCTTGTGAAACCGGGGCTACCAAATCCACCCAGACCGGTATCGACGATCTTAACATTGGGGCACTTTCGCAGGACGTACTGAACGACAGCCTCGTTTTCTTCCACAGTGACACTGCAAGTAGAGTAAACAATGTAACCACCAGTCTTGGACGCGTGGTCGACAGACTCGATGGCGGCGAGGAGCAGCTGTCGTTGCATGTGAGGAATGGCCAAGAAATCACGTTCGTTCTTGGAAGTCTTAACACCAGCATCCTTGGAGATAACACCGGTACCGGTGCAAGGGGCATCCAGTAAGACACGGTCAAAGCCACCCATGGCCTTGGGGAAGCCGGTACGAGCGTCCAGGTTGGTGACAATGGTGTTCTTGCAGCCAAGACGGTGGATGTTACCAATCAAACCCTTAGCACGGGGCTTGCTGGCATCGTTGGCAATGACGCAACCAGTATTGCGCATCAACGCAGAGATGTAGGTAGTCTTACCACCGGGAGCGGCGGCCATATCGAGAACACGCTCGTTAGGCTGGGGTGCGAGCGCCATGACGGGGAGGAAGGAAGATGCGGCCTGAAGAATGTAGTGACCGGCAAGGTACTCAGGGGTGGCACCAAGGGGAACAGGAGATTCGAAGACCTGAAGGCCAACCTTGGACCACTTGCCAACGGGCTCAAGAACAACACCCCGGTTGATCAGAGCCTGGGCGAGAGAACGACGGTTTGTCCGAAGAGTGTTGGTACGAATGACGACAGGGCGAGGGGTTTCGTTAGCCTCAAAGAAAGCGAATGCCTCCATAGGAGTGAACAGGTTCCACAGCTTCTCAGCCAGATAGCGGGTGTATCCGTAGTAGGTGCAGATGTCGGTGAGCACAAGGTCAACGTATTCAGTGCGAGATCTATCAGCCTGGCCAAGATTCTTGAGGTCACCCAGAATGCGGATGGTGTCGGTAATGCGCTGGCGGAGGAGCTGCAGATCCGGCGCAAGTCCAGCCTGGGCTGCATCGTTGAACACATCGGGGCGATCGCCAGCGATGTTGGTCTGCATAGCATCCTGCAATTCCTGCTCGGCCTCTTCATCCTCCAACTGTTTCTCGGCATCGAGTTTCTGAGAAAGACCCTCGATGTTCGCTGCGGTCAACCTCTCCTCGGCATCGGACAAGTCCTCGTCGTCGGAAAACATGGCTGTACGGGTGTAATTCTCTTCGTCAGAATCCATAACGGAGTCGTCGTTGTCGTCCTCTAGGTCTGAAAGTCCCACAACGTCATCCTGGCTATCCAATGAACCTTCGCTGACTCCATCGAGATCGTCGAATTCGTCGTCCATATCTTCGTCCTCCGAGTCCGTCATAGGAACGGGCTTCTTCTTGTTAGAAGTCTCCTTCTTCGGCACAACTTTCGCAGCACTCTTAGCAGCAGCACCATTGACCTTGGCCTTCTTAGGGGCGGCTTTCTTTGCCACGACCTCTTCTTCGACGGCTTCTCTCCGGCGCTTCTTGGGATCAGCGGTCTTAGCTGTCGATTCTGCTTCAGCGGCCTTGCGCTTCTTCAGCATGGTGATCTTTGATTCATCGAGCGGGGGCGGGGGGCCCTGCTTCTTCATACGACGTCCGACACCCATGATGAGTGATGTGAATGTTTGATTGAGTGGTGGATTGTTGCGTCCGAAACTTTTTTTTTCGGGCTTTTTTCCTTGGCAGCGGTCAACCGTGGCAGTAAATGAAAATCGGAAGGCGGAGTTGCGGTCCTATCTAAGATAGCGGTGTGGGAAGGCAATATGTCCGCTGACTTTCTTATCAGGCGAGCTTACTTCCGGGCTTTTCTCACCTAGAAAATAGAACTTGTTCATGATTGACACTCTTACATATCTATGGGGTCTAATTTTTTAAAAATTTCAAGAACTAAAGTTACGTGTTTTCCAATATGCAATATTTCACCCCAGAGTCTTTAAAGAGCTATGGATATGGATTTCAATGTTATACACACAAGGAGCTGTCCAATCAAGACAACTCATCAAAGGAAGACCTAGTCTCGAGGCTCTCAGGATATCAAACCAGAAGATACGTAACGCCAGGGTGCGAAATCCACGGGAAGTCAACCAAACACAGATCAAGAGTAATGTAGTCTGAAGGTTATAGGGCCATTTGACATGGACACCAGGGTATGCACCGAAGCAAAGGAACAAAGCTAGAATGTGGAAAGAAAAAGAGAGAAATGGAAATAGACACATTGTCAGAAATGTACGCCAGGGAATCATCGCGAAAAGGGCTTATTATCAGCATCGGGATCAAAAGTACACATGTAGAAGAAGAGAAAAACCACATAGAAGAGTACCATATGCCAGGCAGCTGCACGATACACCTTTGAAAATGCTCAGAAAAGAAGTGGTCCTGCCAATCGCTCATCCGGTTCATGGGATCATAATACGGTGTGAGAACCAAGGAAAATGACCCAAGTGTAGAAAGCAGGAGAGAAAGAAAAGAATTCATACAAGGCTGTCATCTCGTCATGCAGGTTATCTTGAGAAGACCTTAACCACACCATCTCCACCGCCACTGACGACCCAGCGTCCGTCGCGACTCCAGACAACAGCGCAGACACCTTCACCACGCATTAAACGGTGGCTGGTCAGTTCCTGGGTACAGCTGCGCTTCTCAAGGTTCCAAAACCGCAGGCTGGCGTCGTGACCAGCCGAAACAAGTTCACGCCCGTCCGGAGACAGGGAGAGAGAAGCGATTGCAGCTGGGTGGGCTAGCATGGTGTACGTACATTGACCTAGAGGTAAGAATTCTTAGAACACGATCGGAACGGAAGAGAATCGGACGAGACTGTCACTTACCACTGTTCGCGTCAAAGAATCGGATATATCGATCTTCGTAACCACTGATAATGACACCTTCCACACTGCTTGAACCAGTAGCTCCATGAACAACTTCCTCCTCCTCCATGGCACGGTTGGGTTCCAAATTAGCAGACCCGTCAAATCCAATGGTAGTGGTAACTACTGAGTTAACACCAGTTGAGGGTGTCCCGTCGTATGTCTCAAGACTGGCCATTCCCACAATTTCCTCACCCGTTCGGGTATCATAGACGAGTATTGACGCATCGGTGTAGGAAACCACGAAGTTGACACCCGCTAAAGATAAGGGGCTGATGCATGTTGGAGAGGGGGAGTCGGTGCGCATGATGTGATGAACAAGGGTATGGTGGAATGGCGTTGATGAGGCAACACTAGGTTGTGGGGAGGATGGGAAATTAGAACCGGACGAGATCGAGTTGGCGCGTCGGCTTCCACCTTGCCGTCGTGATCCTGCCTGCGGTGCGATGGGAGGGGCGCTGACAGCCCAGATCAGAATGCGACCATCTGCAGCACCGGATGCCAGTAGGATACGGTCGGCACCGCCGTAGTGATTGCATGAGTCCCCGAAGACAGAACCTGCCGTCCCAGGAAGCACACAGAGTCCCCACACGGCTTCTGTGTGGCCGTCCAAGGTCGCCTTAGGATCGACCCGACCACGCTCCCATACGCGGACGCTAGCATCTTGTCCACCTGAAAAGACCCAACCATCACCCAGAGCACGACCCCCATTGGAGATATTTTGACCAGGTGAACAGGCAGCCAACGAGGTGACAGCACCCTCATGACCACGGTGGGTGAAATAGCTGGTAATGTCCAAATCGTTGCTGGAGCTAGGTCCATGAGCTCCGAATGTGCCATAGGTTGCTGGTATAATCCATCGCTTAATCGTCCCGTCGTCACTGCATGTACAAATTTCCGGCTCTGATGGACTGCCACCGCCGGTGAATATCACAGAGCGGATCACGTCCAGGTGTCCGCGAAGGGCAAATCGAACCTTGAAGTTCGTGTCCTGTTGGCCGAGACCAGCGGCAAAGTCCCGAGAATCCGTTGCTCCCTCACTCTTGCGGCGAGACCCAGAGCTCTTTCGTCGATGTGACAGTGACCCACCCCGAGATGGGGATTTGCCGCCAGCGACAAAGTTGGCGTTGGGGAATGCATCGGTATCCGGACGGTGTGGAGGCATGGGCTCGCTAACTGCTTCGTTTTCGGTGGGTTCATCAAAGTTCCATCCGTCCATATCCTCGGCTCTTTGATCATCGTTAGCTCTTTGCGACGGCAACTCTTCCTTGACAGCCACCTGAGGTCCTTGAGTATTGTATGCCGACTGGGAGTCCACAGGGCGTTCATCAATCAAGCCATGTTCATATGCTTGCTTTCGGTTATCGATGGCTGTCACCGGGGGTTGTTGAGTGTCGACCTGTCGTCGGTCCATAGCATCTCGAGGCACCGAAGCCTGACCGTACTGGCTGTGAGCTCGAGCCTGAGATGCATTTTCTGCATACTGGTTACCCACAGACTGATGGTTTTGGACCATCGCCTCCCGTCCCATCATGTGGTTTGCCTTTTGTCGTTGCTGCTGAAGGTATGCCTCCTCCAAGTTTTGCTGCGACAGTTGTTGGTTCGCATAGAGGTGGTTTGAGAGATCAAGGTCGCTGAGGTCAGGAGGTGGGTGAGATGTAGGAATGACATGATATGCGATTTCTTGTGCACACTTGGCTAGATAGACGCGCGATTTGTCCCGTTCGTCTTCTTGGCGGAATTCACTCGAGTTAAGGTCGTCAAGGGTCGCATTGGGATCCGGGTTCGACCGTTGCTCTAAAGACAGTCAGAATGAGTAAAGACAGATATATAGATGCGGAATATTTGTTAGGGAATCACCCACCTTTCAAGTATTCCACGCTCTCCCGTGCGATTTCCTTGGGATCTTTGATGTCGTCAACACTCTCGTTGTTAGAGAGTTTCCTCGACTTCTCTCGTTCCCTCTTCAGCGCTGTTTCCATCAATCGGACGTGTTTTCCCAGTGACTCTTGGAGACGCCTGCTAGTTCGCAGTTCTCCTTCCAGCTGACCGATTCGAGACTTCATCTCCGCGCGTTCAATTTCCCAGGCGTTTCGGTCGCGCTCATGTCGGTGCCATTCTGTCTGCAAGAATCGCATCACACCTAATGAACAAGAATCAGCTTCCAGTCACTTAAGACTAATTTCAAGGGATTCTTACCCTGCAGTGTGTATTCGGTCCCCTGTGGGTGACCGTTAGATGGGCCGTCACCCATTGCTGTGGGCATTCCAATACCAGCTGTGGGCGATTGGGATTGCCAGGCCATGTACATATGAGAATTTCAGCACGCGACAAGGCCGGGCTGAGTAGCTGGTTTGTTCAGAGGTGAAGCTGGCGGTCGACCCAGGGCGTCAAAGCGTCAGGCGAGGAGCTTCTGGTGTTCTCCTGACCCCCGTAGTATCCACCAGTAAGCGAAATTCAGTCACCCAGGGGGCGACAACGGCAGGGGAACCAAGTTCCACACTGCGTCAGACGGGAGAAGATAGAGCAGAGACCCAGGGAAGTAAAAGAGCAAAATCTGCCAATTATCAACCGCACAAGTGTTCAAGGGCTCGTTTGTTATGAGTGAGTTGAGAGTGGCTTTTCGAGGGGACCCTCACTGGTTCTCACCGCCTGCCGTCACGGGAAAGTCCGACACGGAGTCCAGACCGGTGTGTTACTTGACTAGTGACGCACTGCTCAATTGCACTTGATGGCTGAGGAGAATTTGAACAATAAAGATATCAATTGAAGGAATTGGCTTAGTGTAAATTTCTGAAAGAGATTGTACTCTAGACTGAGTCATCTTCGCTTTTGGAAGTTTGAAGATGTTCATAGTTAGTTAACTAATCTCAACCTACGTATGCAAAAGCTCAAAATCAGAAGGCGGTCGGTCTAGTGATATGTTTTGCCTTACACATAAGGCAATCAGTTAGTCCATCCCGCGGGCAGAAAGAGCGACAATAACAGCACTCCAGATCTGTGCAAAGCCCATACTTTCTGCTTGATACTTTGTTTTGCGCTTCCTCCCCAGATTTTCACTTTAAGGATTATCTTCTCTTGGCTTCAGCATGTCGGAACTCACATTCGCCAAATCCTTTCTCTCCACGCTGGACTCCCGTCCCATCAAGCTACGTGGTGATCATGTCTTCGATCCTGAGCAAGTTGGGCTTCGTGTACCGGTGAGCTCGCTTCTTCTCTAATTCATACTTCATTTATTGGAGTCTCCATTTTATAAGAGTTTACGTCTAATTTGATTGCCAATAGTACACTCTTCCCCGCCTCCAGGCCCCGCACCCCGAGATGCCCAAAAAGGTCAAGCAGGCACAAGCACCAGGCTCGTCCAAGTCAATCACTATCCACGTGAAATCTGCTCGCAATCCAGCTCTCGAATTCTCCCTGCCCAACTCTCCTCTTTCTACCACCACGGTGCAGGACCTGAAGGATGCTGTCCGTCAGCGTGTAACCGATGCGCAAGGAAACGCTGTGGCGCTCGACAAGATTAAGATTCTCTGCAACAAGAAGCCTGTCGCTGGAACGGGGAAGACAGTGGCTGAGATTCTTGCAGACGAACCGGGGATGCTGGTCGGAGGCAAAGAAGTCGAGTTCAAGGTGATGATCATCGGGGGTGCCAAGACTATTGATGTATCAGAGGCTCAACCAGCAACAGAGGCACATCAAGCATCTCCGCCAAAGCCAGCAGTTGGACCTAGTGGTCTGGAGGTGGTACAGACAGAGGCTTTCTGGGATGACCTACAGGGCTACCTGGAACAACGGTTGAAGGATATGCAGGAAGCAAAGCGGTTAAGAGTACTATTCAAGGATGCGTGGACCTCAAATCAGTGAAGTAAAGTAAGGAAGATATTTCAAACTCATTGACAATATTATAATTTTCAATTTAACTTGAGTTGCCGCTTTGGATGGCTCGTATACTAATATAAGAAATTCAAAAAGGATGTCAGTTCTCAGGTTTTCCACTTCAGGACCTTTTGATCAGAACCACTGGAACAAATCCAATATCTTACTCCCCATTTCCCCAAGTACCCAAGTAGTAAATAGGTGGGTAGATCCTAAGGCGAAGATGCGGTGTGTTAGGCATCCCTTGGTTTCAATATCGTTTCGTCAATATCTCCCTCCTTCCCGTGAGTATGATCACGGCTGATTTCAAACTCAAGCACGACGAATCGTGAGGACCTGTATCGGTCGAAGAGAGGGTTGAGTTTGGAGGGATTGCGAACACCTTACTCACTATTTAGACGGCACTATCAAAACTCGACATTAGCGCCTGGTATGACTGGTTTCTTAACGATGCGGCAAGCGGACGAGCTGTCAGTCCATCCTGTATAAAAGTGACTGGTCCTTTTATGGACCAAGGTTGATTGATCCACAGGCATAAGTCCATTATCGCATACCTGTCATCAAATTCCCTCAACGAAACCGCCAGATAATTACGAAATGAATTGAATTTAACGGATAGCAAGTTTGACGCGAATACAACAAAACAATATGAAACAATCCTCGAAAGGAAATAGACCAGCAGTGACCGCCTACAACGAAGGGTGACAAGTCCTGATCATAGCAGATTTCTCTATGTATTGCTATATTCCACCCGTTGACAGCAGTATTAACATCTCTTTAACCACAGATAATGGAACTCGAGTCCTGCAACGCAGCTCTCCAAAAATATGCGCTGAATAAATTGACACCCATTTCTTTCCTGGCGCGCAACGGCGATATGCAGAATTGGCTTCCTCAAAATCCTAGATACTCATTGGAGTCGCACCATGAGACTATAGATTGCATCGCTTTTCACCCTGAGTTTCTTCAATCACGGCTGGCTCGGACGACTCCTCGATAAAGATCTGGGACTGGGAGCATGGAGAGCTTATAATGACACTTAAAGGGCATACAAGGCCGGTTCGAGATGTTCACTATGGATATACCTCCGGTGGGATTTTTCTGGCATCCTGCAATCACGATCTTACGATCAAGTTGTGGAAACCGGCAGATGGCTACAAGAACTTCCGGACTCTGCTAGGTCACGATCACATTACCAGTGCTGTCCGTTTCATATCTACCAGAAATCTTCTTGCTAGTGCAAGCAAAGATGCCGATATCAGGTTATGGGATGTCATGAAGGGACACTGTGTCAAAACGATCCACGGGCATACTGGGTGGATACGAGATATCTCCCCATCGTTTGACGGGCAGCTGGTTCTTTCTACTGGTGATAATATGACCTTTCGGCTTTGGGATATTTCTACCGCCAACCCAGCAAGTAAGTTGATAGCGGTTGGCCACGAGAATTTCAACATGTGTTGTGCAATTGCGCCATCGGCACCTTTTCAATATCTTGCGCCATTGGTTGGGTTGAAGAGTTCAACGAGCGCTGCTGATTTTATGGCGACGAGATCGCGTGACAAAACCATTAAATTGTGGGACTATCGTGGGGTCTGCATTATAACGCTGGTCGATCATGACAATTGGGTACGCGCAATTGTTTTCCATCCTAGTGGACGTTATCTGCTTTCTGTGTCGAATGACAAAACTCTATGTTGCTGGGACTTAAGCCAGCAAGGCCAGTGTATCAAGACTCTCCGAGATACGCATAGTGGTCTTATAACTTGCCTGAAGTGGGTTCCAGCTATTGTGAAAGATTTACGCACCGGCTCTGAGCAGCCTCTGAGAGATAGAGACCTGCCCGAGGTGCAAATCCGGTGTGTAATGGCCACGGGAAGTGTGGACCAGATGATGTATATTTTCGCCGGGTAGTCGATGTCAACAACATTGAAATAATTCTACTATTGATTCATGTCTGTATTCCAACTCTGAATCATTACCACCTGATGGTGGAAAACCTTGGAACCCACCCTCCGCGGAGGTCGACAGAGAACACTCAAAACAACCTTGAAACTTATCACTTGGCAGCAAAAACACGCACGCTGTTCCTTAATCGATGTTGAGAAGCTTTTGCATCTGCGCTAGTTGCCCAAAGGTTGAATCTCTAAAAAAGCCCGTCTCTTGCACCATGTCTACACTTGGCTAAGAATTATCGGGGAGAGCACCTTTGTCCTGCACGGTAATGGCCTATCGTATTCATGTCTGAATAATCTCGGCTCTTCCGACATCACCAATTTGCCCCATTTTGTTTTAAAGGAACACTAGTATCGTAGACGAACCTAATTCCCGTCTGGATGACTTTGTTCGCCTTGGAAATCAGAATGCCGATATCGACCTCAACATTGACGAACCCAAAGACCAAAAATTCGAATACGGCGATATACATCTTCACAATTCTCGCAGACTTGAGCTCACATGTAAAATCAGGCTTCCATTGGGCGAAGGGCTTTCGCAAAACACCAGTCGGCTGCCCAATTATCTCAATTTCAGTCTTGGCCGAGGCAGCAAAATAATGCGATTCCATCAATTTACGCAGGCCATCATTTGAAGCCTTAGCCCAAAGCTCACATCCGCGCTTCGAGTCCCCTGCACTGAAACAGCCTCATAAAACCCAACACTGAGTGAGTGGCAATTATGGCACATTCCTACGAAAGCCCTAGAGTTCTTCTTACGCCCTGACTTGCAGCCCTTGGTCTGGGGAATTGTGAAGATCCCAATATTTGAACTAGAAAGGGTACATACCTTACAAAGACTGTGGACCTTTATTAAATTTTTATGTACGATCATCAATTACGTAAATATTGTCCAAACTTCAGATAATTGATCTCCCACCACTGTAAAAAGTTAGGCCATCTGCGTCTCAAATTTAATTTTAGAAATCATTTTTGAGTTCATCGACCCGACTGTTCCATTAGCCGATGAACCACGGTCAGCTGGACGCCGTACCCGTGAATTTTGTTGATTCAGCTATTCAAAATGCCTTAAGTGATCGATTAAAGGCTAATGTTCATATATAGAGGTGTCCACTAAAGTAGCCTGTTGAGTGGAATATTTATTTTCAATTTGTGATGTCGCTCTCTGGTATCTACATGTCCATCCAATCCCTTCGGATGTAGCGGAGGAGCGGGGCGAATTACCTGACCCCGATAAACGGCCACCGATCATGCATATTTACATCTTGTATAATCGGCTATTCTGGGTAAGGCGACCGTAATGATGTAGGCCAAGGGTGGAGCAAGTGGGCCTAATCGCTCGTACCGACGGACCCTGAATACCATGCCACGCCCAATTCTGGGGTAAAGTCTAAGACATAGTTACATTGCAGTGAAATCATGCAGATCGTAAGCTACTAGGGCTGATAATTCCGAATGCCTAACCGGTTTGATCTTGCTTGATCGGAGGTAAAAGCTAGTTGCAAGCGGGGCTTGTGGTTGGACCTGTCTCACACTGGACTTATCCGGTTATACTCTCACTCCACAGCTACTCACTTGGCTTCTTGGTGGCTTAGTTGGGGGTCCTGGAGATGGAGCTTGGTTAGCGACGGCATGCACCTGGCAGCACATTCTTGGAAACTAAACTGTGAAGCTGGTGAGGCTACACCATATCCGGGGCAAATGTATGATGCATAAGCCACATATGGCTCGTGGAAGCGGGTGGCCCTGCAGCGGAGAATACTCTAATTGGATGGGTCTTGTAATTGTCTTACATTTTAACAAGAAAATCGAGGCTATGTAGACATGATATGGTCAGATGGAGGTCGGTTCAAGCGTTCAGGCCAATGTCTCACCTATACATAAGTGAGACATAATCTGCCGGCTTATAGCGCACTGTCATGTAGGTACCTATTGCGTACTGTTACATTCATCTGACCTACCAAGGTTTGTTTCCAGCATTCAAGTCATTGCGGTGAAGAAACAACTCAACACTCATCGGGCTTTGCTTCATGGTGCCAAGGTCGACGATCGAAGGGGCCTGAGAAAATACTTAAATACCCCCATTGTCTCTTCAATTCATGTCCATTCCCATCACAGCAAAGCATTTCACACATCTAAATCTACATTCCAACCCTCTACCTTTACCTTCAATAATCTACCAAACCGCAAATATGCAGTTCTCTAAGCTCTTCTTGGCCACCATCGCCGCTGTCCCAGCAGTCCTGGCTGCTCCCGTCGCGAGCACATCTATGATGGCTGCTAGCTCTACATGGACCATCGACAGCATGAAGCGCGTCTGTAACGCAGCCGACACCTCTTGTACCTGGACCTTCGGTATCGACACCGGTTCCGGCACAGCTACCTCCTGCAAATTCGTCGTGAAGGGCACCACCGCCTCAGAGCTTAACGGTGGCCCCGCTACCTGTGGTGACTTCACTGTCACCTCTGGCTGGAGTGGACAGTTCGGTCCTGGCAACGGCTTTACTACTCTCGCTGTTGTCGACAACGTGAGCCGCCAGATTGTCTACCCTGCCTACACCGATGTCCAGCTTGACACCGGTAAGGTTGTTACGCCTGACCAGAGCTACACCCCTGCCAACCTCCCCTAAGTGGGAAGACCAACGATTTAGGGCTCAGATAGTGAGGTTCTTATGTATCTAATTTCTGTGAGACATACAATGGTTACATCAAGCGAGTATATCTTTGCCAAAAAAAATTTCTAAGCCATGGATAGATTGAAGCACCTGACTCTTTCACAGCTTCACCCGCCTGGGCACTTACCGACCTGAAAGGCAGGGTCGGTCGTATTGTACTTGGCCTATTGTCTGCCGAGAAGATCTTCGGCCAAGAATTACATTAGAGCACAAAACTTGAAAGTCAGACATTTATACCACTTGAGCAATGTCGCCATATCCGTCAAGTGCAGCTCAAGTCCACCCCCTGCCCAGGATACTTCTAAGAAGGAAGACAACAGCCGGAAATATCGGAATTGGCTAAGAAGGCAGTGCTAATACTTGGCATCGAGTAACTATGGCTTTCTTTAGGTAATGATTGTATGTTTGTCTGTTTGTCTGATCCGGAATAAATCCTTCATCCAGTTGTGGCTTTGGCTGTTCTCCACAATCCCCACTCCAGCTGCCAGATCATTGAGAAAGATTAATAGGAAAACAAGTTTTCAATCTATTGGCTGATCCGATCGATAGTTTGCCTCCAATCTATAATCTTTCTCACGTGGCCCCCGAATTGAAATGCGCCTCTGTCGATCGCAGCAAGGGCGGGCTTGGAGAGGCATACCTATTGCGCCACCAATGCCCGAAAGGAGAGTGTGTGGGGTTGGTAAGTTGTCTAGTTGACCGTTTGTATTTTCTCTGCCCAATCAATGATTTGTCAACTTCTCTAGTTCTTTCTCTAGCTTCGTGGGATAACTTCCGAGTGGAGCGCCCCCTCAAAGGACTCCACAGCGAGGGGCAGGACTTGTCCTTCAAGTGAAAGAAAGGAGAAACTGGATATCGTGGAGTCACCCTCTGTCCACGCAGTCGTAGAGGTCCCCATAGTGAAGATCTCCAAAGTCCAATTGACTCATTTCCAGAAATCGTCGGAACCGATGGCCGGGAAGGAGGCGGCACACCCGCATTAGCGTGTTCCCAAAAGGTTACATTTCTTAGTGGTCAACCCACATCGCGGGTTATAGCTGCAGCTGCCGAATTTTTCGTGAATTAACCCTGCAAGTGCATCGGCTAAGCATCCACGGTGGATCTTCTCTTTTTTCTTTGTCTGCCCCTCTCCAAAATCCCATTGTTCCCATCCTACCATGGCCATCATCAACGATGAAGCGTGGGCTGAGGGGGCGGATGAATATAGGGGCCAGCGATTACTCCCCCATGTGATCGATTATTATGCCCACCATGAACCTGATCGCGTGTTCGCCTCGATCTGCAAGTCGGGGAGTCCAGATAATGGCTTTGAGGATATCACAATGCGCTCAATGGCCACCGCTGTCAACTATATGGCGTGGTGGCTAAGCAAAAACTTGAAAAAAGGCAGCAAGCGACGCACTCTGGCTTATATTGGCCCGAGCGACCTGCGTTATACAGTCATCTTCGTGGCCGCAATCAAATGCCGGTGGAGGGTATGTGACATGGACTAGGTACCAATTGCACTGCTAATATATACAGACTTTCTTTCTAAGCCCACGAAACCCTATCACCTTGAATATTGGTCTCCTGCAACAGTCGGACGTATCCGCGCTTCTATATGCGGATACTGTACGATCGCCCGCCAAGTCCCTGCAAAAGTTTGATCCGTCGATATCTTGCAAGCAAGTGCAGTCAATGGAAGAGATATTCAAAGCTGAATCGCCTCCATACCCGTTTAATACTTCGTGGTCAGAAATAAAGGATGAGAATTGCCTGGTCTTACATTCATCTGGGTCGACGGGTATGAGATGCCCTCTAATAGGAGCTCCAATGTAAACCTGACATGATCTCTAGGCCCGCCAAAACTGGTCAACTACACCCACGCCACACTCTCCTGTACAGATAACGATCCAACTATCCCCTTACCGCCAGGAAGACGTGCCCATAATGCGGGGATGTTCAAGTTTGATACCCCGGGTCGTTACTACTCATCCTTCCCGATCTTCCATGTAAGTCCCACATGTGCTTCCGCTTCGCTCTTTGCTTATAGATATTCAGCTTGCCGGCATCCTAGCTTACATTCTCATTCCATCCTTCTTCCAAACTTCTACTGTGGTGATTGGCCCTCCGCATATTGCGCCGAGTGGTTCTCTGGTAGATATCATTTTAAAAAAACAGAACGTTCGAGCCCTTTGGTTACCTCCGCCAGTCATCGAGCAATGGATCTCGAACCAGGCCTCTATCAAACAAGCAGAAAAACTCGACTTTGTGGCATATGGCGGAGGAGTAATGTCAAAGACAGCCGGTGATAGGCTCAACAAGGCAACCGACGTGTGTCAAGTCTATGGCTGCCTCGAGGCTGGTCAGGTTCAGTTGCTGATTCCTAAGCGAGGAGACTGGCAATACTTGGAATTCAACCCAGCCGAGGAATGCGACATGCAAGAAGTGGATGAGGGCGTCTATGAATTGGTGTTCCATAACGACAAAAAGTTCTACGGGCGCCGAACTCTCTCCCACACATTTCCAGGCGTGAAAACATGGCGATCTGGAGATTTGTTCATTCCTCACCCCACAAAATCTGGTCTGTGGAGCTTCCACTCTCGCAAAGATGATATCATTGTGCTAGCGAATGATCAGCGAGTATGGCCTATCCCTATGGAAAACATCATCTCCGGCGACCGTCTCATCAATGGGGCTCTCGTGGTTGGAAATGGCCGTCCCGAGGTCCTTTTACTTGTGGAGCCAAGATCGTCACCCGAGGTAGATCGCATGAGCAAGAAGGAGTTTATTGACGCTATTTGGCCAATCATTGTGGAAGCGAACGGTATTGCGCCCGCCCATGGCAAGATTCGAAGGTCCCGAATTGCACTCAGCCAACCAAACCTGGGATTTATCCGAGCGCCTAGGGGAACAATCGCACGCATGCCCACGGAGTCATTGTACTCCGAGTATATAACCGCAGCCTTTGTTGACGGCACCACGGATGAGCAAGGTGAGATTGGGATTCTGGAAAATTACTGGACAGACGAAGCCAAGAGATTCATCGGATCCGTTGTTAATGACATCCGTCCCGACATTAAGATCAGAGAGACCGATGATTTCTTTGTCCTTAAAGCCATGGACTCTTTATCAGCTTTGGAACTCGGGCAGAAGCTCAAACTGGGTCTATCTGGTCGCATGGACAAGGAGAAGAATACCATCGACTTCTGGATGCGGACAATTTTCGACAATCCCACTATTGATGGGCTTGCAACTGCCACTATGGATGCAGCCTTCGGAAAGAGTGAACCCAGCCAATTTCAAAAAAGATTTAGTGTCGATGGGCTCGTAGAGGATCTCATAGCTCAGCTCCCTGAACCGATGGCAACCAGCCCACCCCCACCACTCGCCACAGAAGCGATCAAAGTGGTGCTGCTCGGCTGTCAAGGGCGCCTCGGCCCATATCTTGTGAAAAGCTTACTTGATGATGACCGGGTAGCCGGGATAAAGTGTCTGGACCGCGGACCCAACGTACGAGAAACTTTCCAAATGCGTGTCGACGAGCTAGCCCTCGGCATTGACTCCAGAAACCCGAGATTGCAGTTTGTGTCGATCGATCTCTCCAAACCGGCCTTTGGTCTACCAGAGAGGCATCTAAAGGAAATCTGCATTTACACTGATGTCATCATTCACGGCATCTGGTCAGTAAACTACGCTCTGTCACTAGCGTCATTTACACCGGAAATCCTCAAGAGCATATTCACCACCATCGACATTGCAAATTGCGCCACATCCCGCCCGCGGGTCGTCTTCACCTCTAGTGTCGCCAGCGTACACGCGTGGGCGAAAGTCATTTCCCCCAGTGTTCCTGTTCCCGAAGAAGTGGTGAACTGCACAGAAGTAGCAATGGACAGTGGCTACGGACAATCAAAACTGGTAGCAGAAAGATTCCTCGCTGCAGCAGGTGCCAAGCTCCAAATTCCGATCTCAATTCTTCGCTTGGGCCAGATCGCGGGGCCGACTAAAATGGAAGAAGGTGGCAAGTGGGATAGTCGGGACGCATTACAGTCACTAGCTATTCTCTCCAGGGCCAGTGGCCTGGTACCCACCAACTCAGCTCAACTCAACTGGATCCCGGTGGATGAAATGGCAAGCGTGATACAAGAGATTGCTTTACGCGAGAAGCACGATGATCACGACACAGGGACGCCCAACGTGCAGGTCTATAACATTGTGCATCCGCGACCGATTGCAACAATGAGATTCTCGGAGGTTTTGCAAAAGGTTATTTCCTCTCCGCGGTTAGTCGGGTACGCCGAATGGGTCGAGCATCTATCTAGTCTTTCGCCGAACAGCTTATCAAGAGAGGCGGAGGAAGAGAGGGCTCGGGTTTTGCCTTTCTTTCAGACTATTGTCAGGGAGGGCTCTGCTAGCTTTGTTATTGACAAGGCTATGGCGGTCAGTCCTACCATGTCTGGATTGGGACCTGTCAAGATAGATTCGATTGTGGAGTGGTGTGAAAAGTGGACTGAGACTGAGACTGAGACTGAAGATGCGTGAGCATTTTTAATCCAGTGATGATTTTATGAATTTATGATTAGTCCAGCCTCTCGGACTATAATTTAGCGCCGTTATGTTAATCCCAATGTCATCTCACCTGCATCCTCTTTCAGTTGATTCATTTAGTTTTGTCAGCCAAGCCCGTATCCCTGCTACATAATGTGATAAAACAGCTTATAGCCATCTTTAAAGATTTGTCATTGCATAATGGGAAAGAAGTCAAATCAAGGCTTATCTCAAGTCCTGTCGGAGTTCATCTTTTCCCCACTAAACCCCGGAAATACCTGCCTGGAATGGATTAGACCCGCAGAGAACTTCTGCATTGACCCCTCCATATATATATTGATATTGTATCTTACTTCCACCTCCAAGTTTATCACATTCATCATGAGTCTTTCTGTGGATATTGTCACCCCTAACGGGCGTAGCTACAAGCAACCTACTGGTCTGTTCATCAATAACGAATTCGTCCCGGCTACATCGGGACAAACCATTACCTCAATTGACCCTGCGTAAGCCCATTCCCATCTCTCATAGGACTAGATACTCATCATTCCACAGCACTGACAAGCCAATCGCCACTGTCGACGCTGCCAGCCCTGCGGATGTCGACCGTGCCGTGAAGGCAGCCAAAGCCGCTCTCATTCACCCATCATGGAAGCTTCTGCCCGCCACCGAGCGAGGCCAGCTGATGGCCCGACTAGCCGACTTAATGTGGGAGAACAGAGAGCTTCTCGCCACAATCGACGCGTGGGACAATGGTGTGTAACCCGAGCATGCATACCGATCTCGATCTGTCCTACGGCCCTGCTAACTCTACACAGGTAAGCCGTACCACGTCGCCATGGATGAGGATCTCGTCGAGGCTACCACTACAATCCGCTACTACAGCGGCTGGGCCGATAAGACCTTCGGTCAGACTATCAACACCATCCCTCAAAAGTTCGCTTACACTCTCCGCCAACCCCTCGGTGTTATCGGCCAGATTATTCCATGGAACTACCCTCTCGCCATGGCAGCCTGGAAACTGGGTCCTGCACTCGCATGTGGAAACACGGTTGTGCTCAAGCCGGCCGAGCAAACCCCTCTCAGCATCCTTGTTCTGGCGAACCTCATCGTCGAAGCCGGCTTCCCGCCTGGTGTCATTAACATTGTAAACGGATACGGTCGTGACGCCGGTGCAGCACTTACCACCCACCCGCTCGTCGACAAAGTTGCTTTCACCGGATCAACCGCGACAGGTCGCGAGATCATGAAAATGGCCGCAGGCTCACTGAAGAATATCACCCTCGAGACAGGCGGTAAGTCGCCTTTGCTCGTTTTCCCCGACGCAGACATGGACCAAGCGGTCAAGTGGTCCCATTCCGGTATTATGTCGAACCAGGGGCAGATCTGTACGGCTACGTCACGGATCTTCGTGCATCGCGATATTCTGCCTACTTTCCTGGCCGAGTTCAAGAGGGCCGTGGAGGCTGTTTCGATTGGTGATCAGTGGGATGAAAATACTTTCCAGGGCCCTCAGGTGACTCGTGCGCAGTATGAGCGGGTTCTCTCTTACTTTGATATTGCTAAGAGCGAAGGCGCTACGCTTGTTACTGGTGGTGCTGCGCATGTTCCTGCGAAGGCGGAGAATAAGAATGGATACTTTGTTCAACCTACCGTGTATACGGATGTGACGGACTCTATGCGGATTGCCCGTGAAGAGGTTTTCGGACCGGTGGTTGTTATTCTGCCTTTTGATACTGAGGAGGAGGCTATCCAGCGTGCGAATGATACCTCGTACGGTCTTGGTGCTGCTGTTTTCACTACTGATCTGGAGCGTGCGCATCGTGTGGCTTCTGAGCTTGAGGCGGGTATGGTTTGGATTAACAGCAGCCAAGATTGCGATCCTCGTGTTCCATTTGGTGGTGTTAAGCAGAGTGGTATTGGCCGTGAGCTTGGAGAGGCTGGACTGGAAGCCTATAGCCAGATCAAGGCTGTACATGTCAACATGGGAACTAGACTTTAGATTTAGAGATTATAGAATATTTTAAAAATACATCTCAAATGCATATCTACCAAGTGATATTTTCAACATGCAAGTCCCGGTCATGTATAGAAGGAGATTTCAATAGCCCATAATCTATATTATGCTACATAGTTCATCATTCATGCAATGCACATTAAATACAAAGACTAAAGCTTCCGCTTAACCAGCCCCTTGAAGAAATCAAAGCTGTTGCTGTCACTCTGCAACTGATACAACCGACCAGTAGGCCTATCACCCCATCCAAGCTCTTCTGCGATCAACAACCCGTAATCACGCGTGATGCCCTGAATTCGAGCACGGGCACCACCTTCCTCTTCTAACGTGACTATCTGATGCATATGGAGCCAGTCCTGGTAATACATTGCCTCGAAGCCGCGATCAAAGCCCGTTCGCAAGAAGCGGGTGTAAAGATCCTCAAAAGTAGTCAGGATGCTCGCGAGAAGTTTCTCCAACGTGACCGGAGACTTGGTAGCGGCATCATTTGAAGCGTATCGTTCGGCGAGGGCCCTGAGTGAAGTTGTGGGAGAGGCATTCGTGGTGTTGATGCCGATGCCGACGACGGAAATGTACTCGTTGGACATGAAGTGGGAGTTGATGAGGATGCCGCAGATCTTGGTATAGCGTTTTTGTTCAGGGTCTTCTGGGTCTAGGGCATAGATGTCATTTGGCCATTTTAACTTCACGGGGATAGTCTCGTAGCCTTTGGCGTATGATTTGATACCCCGTACAACGGCCATGGCGGATAAATACTGGATGAAAATAACGGGTGCTGATTGCATCTTCTCCATTGGGTGCCGGACCACGGTGGAGAAGATGAGAGAGCCAGGTGGAGAGATCCATACGTTAGAACCTCGGCCCCGTCCGGCGACCTGAACAGTGGCTGTAGCAGTGAATCCATTGGGAAGACGACGGAGAAGTTGAGTATTTCTATGAATGTCAGTATATACTGGATGACCATCTTAATCAGTACTCACTTCTCTAGAATCGTGTTGGTGCTGGTGATCACCTCGCCATACAGAAGGTTCGATCCGAATTCTGAAGCACCTTCTCGAGACTCGGACTGATATTGTTGGAGATTGGCGTAGAATGCATGGTGATTGAAGTAGGGTGTGAGCTTAGACGATGGGAGATCGTCATGAAAGACAAGTCGTTTGGTGATTGTCCTATAATCAACAATTCCCTCTGTGGGTTTCTCCCCATCAGGAAGCGCCTCCTCCAAGTCGCTCAGATTCCAAGTGCCTGGACGCTCAATTCGGAATGTATCGTTCTCATCTTTCAGGTATTCGTTGTTCTTCTCCTGTTGCAGGTCGGGTGCAAGAAGTGACAAGATTTCTAATGAACGCTCCGGGTCCTGACCAGAAATATGCAAAGATGACAACGAAGGAACAACAGAGCTGTCTGTTGCGACTTGCAGTCCCAGCTTGGACAAGCAAGCCTTCAGGAAATCCGTGCGCTTCTTATCATCAGCGGCAATTGCAGCAACAAGATCCGCAAAACCAGGTCCACCAGCCTTAGGGTCAAGATTGGCAGCGGCAAACCTATTCAGAAGTCAGCCTCCATTTTCCAGACAGTGCGATATACATACTCTGGATGTGGCCCCGTCAAGACAGCCGCACCATCACCAACCTTACAGTAGACGACAGCAGCAGCACCACCCTCACCAGGATCCACATTTAGCTTCTCGTTATAGTTGGCCAGCACTTCTACTCCCTTCTCCTTGTAAAGTGCAGCATCTACGAACACACCACCCCCATTGTAGTAGGAGCGGAACGTAGTAGGCACAGTTCCCACACCCAACGCCTCCTTCGAAACATCCAGCCCAACAGCGCGCGCACCATCCTCACTATGGTAAACAAACCCCGGGAAAGCCCCGCCGCGACAAGTCCCCGGGAAAAACGCCAATTCCCGCTCCCCCACAACCTCCATAGTCTTATCACCAACCTCGAATTCGCAGCGCTTGCTTCCATAGTACCCACCCGCGCATAAACCCAAGTACCGCCCACCCCGGCGCACAAACTGTGTAATGCGCCGATTCCCCGCTCCGTTGAGCGTACGGCCGTATCCCAGGTCCGCGCCGCCAGGAATCACCAACAGAGCACAGGACGCGGTCCATGGCTCATTGAGCAGCATTTCAGCTGTAACAGGCGTGACGGCATAATTGGGTGCGAGCAGACGGCGCAAGGTGTAAACGCAATGGCGGACGGAGTCGACGGTGGTTCCGGTTCCTGTGTCGAGTGTGTCGGTCAGAAAGCGGCTCATTTTCCAGGCGGATTCGGTGAGCGAACCGGAGTAGACTAGGACATTTAGCCTTTTAGCTGTGAGGTTGGCATCGTTGCCTGTTGGTGTCGCCATTGTTTTGGCTTTTGGGTTGTTGTAACTTGTAACTTGTTGGGGAGGGATGATTCATATCGCCGATAAGGATATCAGATCAGATTTCCGACGCCAGCCGCCCTTCACTGATTCCTTCTCCTGCATACTTCAATCATGTCGAATAACGTTGAACAACCTCGGGTTGTCCCTGAGGACGATGATGAGCCGGATGAGTGGTAATTGAGTCTTGAAATGATTTCACGGGGATTGGGACTGACTTCGTTAGGGATAAGCGCATCTTCAGCACCGGCTGCCATAGTAAGTACTCCCTTGATTGTATTGTGTCAATCATCTCTAATACTACATAACAGCCGAGCAGGATAAGATGAATGATTGCTATTACGTGAAGAAGGATTGGCGAGCCTGCAAGGATGCGGTGAGTGTCAAGCTGATTGCTATACCTGCAACCCATTCATACATATTTATTTGCATCTATGGAATTTTTGGGTCTTTTCATGATTACAGTAATCTGTCGAATGCTTGAACTGATCGATTTCTGACAATTAACCTAGATGGAGGCATTCCGTGAGTGCTGGAAGCGCCAGGGCAACGACCAGCGTACCGCGACTAAGGACGCATAATACAATGCCAACAACGAAGATGAAGATGAACATGTACTATTAACCTTAAACAATTCAATTTCTCTATAATCTAATTTCTTCCATCCCAATATCCGACTTTCTATTGTGGTAAAACAAGGACATATTATATCACGTGACAATATCTTCAGCTAGCAGCTTCAGCTTCAGCTTCAATCCTGTAGCTCCCAACACCACCAATCCCAACCATGTCTTCCCTACGCTGCCGTCCCTGGCGGGCACTGGAATCCCTCCAGCAAGGCCCCATTCTCGCGCAATCCCCACGCACCCGACTCCCAACCCACCACCTCTCCCTCAGCAAGCGCACCATCAGCACGAGCAACGCCCGCTCAAACAGCACAGCCACCCCATCCCCAACCCCGAAAACCACTCCATCTCAACCCCGATCAACATCCTACACCCCCTCCCAGCCCAAGCCCACCATCTCTACCTCAACACCTTCCCGCCAAACAACAGATAATATCTCCAAAAGCGGCCTCGCCGACAAACCCCTCGACATAATCAGCGCCGCTGAAGAGAAAATCGACTGGACGCGCTCTTTCCACGGTCTATCCGCCGAGCCATTCCCAGAAAAGGCAGCGAAAATCCTTCTCGCCGAGATCGATCCTCACCAGGTGGAGATCAAGCCCGATGGAATCGTCTATCTACCCGAGATCAAGTATCGTCGTGTACTGAATCAGGCATTCGGGCCTGGAGCTTGGGGTCTTGTTCCTAGGAGTGAAAGTATTGTTACCCCGAAGACTGTCACGAGGGAGTATGCACTTGTTTGTCATGGGCGGTTAGTTTTTCCCTAGTTTTTCTCCTTCCCTCTCTTCATGGATATCATAAGGATACGAATATGATGGTGGAATGCCGCTAACATGAACATTATCAGACTCGTCTCCGTTGCTCGTGGAGAACAGGATTACTTCTCCCCTGATGGAATCCCCACTGCGACGGAAGGATGTCGGTCTAATGCGCTAGTGCGTTGTTGCAAGGATCTGGGCATTGCGAGCGAGCTTTGGGATCCGAGATGGATTCGGAAGTATAAGGCTCAGTATGCGCGGGAGGTGTTTGTGGAGCATATCGTTAATAAGAAGAAGTCGAAGATTTGGATTCGGAAGGATGATACGGTTGGGTATCCATGGAAGGAGACTGGGAGTAAATAGGTCTAAAGTATCTCTCTTTGAATTAGGATGCCTTGCACTTTGTGTATAGGACTCCTTTTCAAGCTTGTATTATATCGTTAGATAGAAATGTACTTGGAATGTATCCGACTCTACTCATCACTGGATACGCAGACATTGAAAATATAATTAGGATGTGAAATGGTAAATGGTAAAGTAAATGGCAAATCCGAGAGTCCCGTAGGACATGCATTCTCAATCATCTCGATGTGTCTAATCGACAAACAAATGGCGCCAATATCGTACATTAAAAACACAAATGAGGAAAGATTTTGTAGACAAATCATCCAATGAACACCTTTTTCCCAAGAAATCAAAAAGAGAAAAGAAAAGAGATGTGGAAAAGTGTGAAGAAACCTACGCCTCATCGCCGTACGGATTCGACTTCTCGCGCTTCAAAGCACGCGACAAGAACGAAGGTCGGCGTCCATTATCCTCCTCCACATGGTGCTGCGGAAGAGGAGGAACAGGATAGGTGGCAGGCGGAGAAACGGGATCGTACCGCTCAGTAGGCGCATACTGACTAGCAGAGTACAACTCATTGGCCTGCTGAGATTCAGCATTGTACCCGCTCAGCTGAACAGACTCGTAGGCCGTGTTCTCCGCGCGCGAGTTGTAGTAGGATGTGTTGTATGTTCCTGACTCCGGGGACCCGATGATGGGGAGTTGGGGTTGCGGTTGCTCTATTGTCGGGATGTGGGAGGGGGGCTCGTAGCGCACGCTGCCACGGGAGCCTGGGGGTGCGGGTTGTTGGAGGATAGGAACGTTGCTGACTGATTGGGTGAGGGCTGCAGGCACGGGGGAGAGGGGGGCTGGCATGGGGTCTTGGTTGTAGGAGACGCGCAGGCCTGCTTTGCGGTGACCGGTTGAGGGCTCGCGGCCGATTGTGCTGTTGTTAACACTGAGTTGGCGCCCGCCTTGGCTGGAGGTGTTTGTCGTGGTGCGGTGGAGGGGGTTGTTGTCCTCTGGGGCTAGGTCGGCGTGGTACGAGCGGGTGTTGAGGCGTTCTGCGATAGCAGCTTCGGAAGAGTTGATGGTTGAGCCGCGTTTTTTGAGTGTCCCCAAAGATGGCTTCGATTCAATTCCTGTGGCTTGTGCGTTCTCGCCTGATAGAGATGAGTCGGCTGCTACTGCAGCAGCGGCGGCGGGCTGGGTAAGGGTTGACTTGAAGTCACCTTTGGTAGAGGTCGCGTCGTCACCCTTGTCATCACCGTCATCTGCATCCTTGGATTCTTCCTCGGGAGCAGCGACGCCAGGGGCACGGATCTTGAGCTTGCGCATGGCCAGGACGAGGGCACACATGAACTTGGAGCGGCGGGAAGAACGGACAGCCTCAATGGCCCAGTTGGACTTGTGACGAATATCCACTTGCAGTTGAAGCTTGTCGAGGTCGCCGACTCCAATGACTTCAATGTTAAAGTCAGGCTGGAAATCGCGGGAGTTCTCCTTGTCACGGACAAAGGCCTCCATTTCCTCGCGCAAGGCCTCGACCTCAGCAAAGGTAGTGTCGAAGGCGACAGGGACAGTGAGTCGCTCATGCATGGCATTGGCACGGGTGAGGTTATCAACCCACAGACTGTTGAGGATGTTGTTGGGAACCTGGGTCAAACGATGGTCGTTGATAGAACGGAAGACAGTGAACAAAAGGGAAATGCGCTCAACAATGTAATCTTTGTCGCTGACGTCAACCCGGTCACCAATATCGAAGGGGTGCTTCACGAACAAGAAGATGCAAGAACCCAACACTTCCTGACAGGTTGTCGAGAACACGAAACTCAGGGAGAGCAGGGAGGTAGCTCCGGCGGCAATGACAGTACCAAAGCCAGTAGTCACGAAAGAGATGAAAACCAGAACGCCAATGATGGAAGCGATGGCAAACAGCAGGTTGTCCAGCACACCGATAGCCTGGTCGACATCGTGCATGCTGTGGTTCAGGGCTTTGCGCATACGGCCTAATTCGGTGACAGTAAGAACCATCTCATCCAGAGAGATATCTCCATTGCCATCCTTGTCCAGCATGGCAAAGCACTCCTCAGCGTCAACCTCGTGGTCGGGTCCCAAAACCTCAACAATATCATCCATATACAACGCGTCCCGGCCCTCGACAACGAAAGACATCCAAACACGACGTGCCAAGGCCGCCGCACAACGCTTACGCTCCAGGGCAGAAATCACCACCTGGTGAGTACCGTTATTGTTGAACACTTGCTTTCCGGTCAGTTCAGCCGCGACATTCCCAACCGCAGCTTGAACTTTATCACCAATACGACCAGCCTGCTGACCAACGTGGCGACCGACGTTCTTCACCATGCGCAGCGGCATCATCGAAGACCGCTTGCTCTTCTTAGTAGCCTGGGTCAGAACTGGAGCCATGATAGTCATATCATCCTCGTGGAACTCCGGGCAGTACATGGGGAACATGTTGCGCGAGGCCTCAAAGAGAAGACCAATGAGGTAAACGTTTCGCTTGGACTCCTTGATCCTAGCGTCGAATTGCTTGCGATGATAGCTAATGGAAATCAACTGGACCATAGCCTTCTCGGCCAGGTAGATCAGACTGCAGACGAGCAAACCAAGCAGGATGTCCTTAATAGTGTGCTCCCAAGACTTGACAGAAGTATCACCATCAGCTTGCTTGCTGGGGTTCAAAGTCATAATCTGCTTTCATCAGTATCAACCACAACCAAAACCTAGTCTCGAAAAGAAAGGCACGTACCGGAAGGAAAGTCACCAGCGAGACAATACACCACAGCAAAAGAGTGATAGGAGTCTGGAGGGCATTCAAGATAAGTGCATACTTGCGCGTTCCCGAGCTCACAATACCACACAAAGTCTGGAATACGAAAGGAATGAACTGCGCCATAATTTTGCACACCCACAAACTAACCCAGACAACCTCAATCCAAGTAAAGAACCAACAAATATGAACACCACCAATCTTCGCATTCGGCGCTGCAGTAGCACCCACAATAATAGGAACGGCGATCAACAACCCAACAGGCACAACAAAGATCATATAACGCGTCACGATGGAGAAATTGTAGATAGCCTGGTATATCCGCCCAACAGCATTAATTGTGCCGTCTTCAGGCGACTCTGCAGCCCTGCCACGAGCATCATGTATATCAGTATCTGTCCTCCTCCTCCTTCCAGGCGCGATAAGATGCTTCTCTGATTCAGCGTGCTGGAGATCATGATCAAGCTCAACGCCCTTCGTGGAGCCAGAACCACTCGCGGAACCCCAGCCACTGTGGCCAGGTTCCGTAAGAGGGATATCAATAGTGACGTCGTTATTATTGTGCATGGCGTCGTGGTCAGGGATTTGTTCAAAGCGATGTAAATGCTTGGGTACGATGCCCAGCTTGCTCCTCATCTCGGGAGAAGAAAGGAGGAAATCCGCTAATCTTAAGGCAATAAAGCGTCGCGGGCGACGATCGATTTCTCAAGCTGGTTGGTTTCGATGGTGGATTTCTGTGGAGAATTAAGTGGGTGGGAAAAAAAAATAAAAATTCATTCGGTGTTTTTTTCTTGCCCCCTCACGGGATGCAGTGTCCAGTAATATTGGATGTTGATCTTTCTTGAGACGCTTCTTTCTTGGCTTCTTTTCCGAATTAGTTATGGTGGTTTTTGAGGGAAGGGGAGTCTTCTTCTTCTTGTTCGATCCCACCTGTCAATTGGATGTGTTACATACTAGATTCGGTCTACTCCGTAAGTTTTGTGGAGTTGAGATCGGCAAATGTTTTGAATCAATGGTAAAGAGGAGATTGGAGGGGAAGTGGAAGCAGAAGCAGGTAACTATTAGAGTTGTGGTTGAAAGAAGACGCGACTTTTCTCACGTTTCAGTTGTTGTTGGCTGAAAAGCCACCAAAAATGTGAGACAAGCCCATTCCCTAGCATACATGATCCACTTATGATAGCCGCATTCCCTGTAACGTTACTACTATCCTAGTACAATTCAGACAATTGTATTCCGTATCTCTACTAATTATGTATGGAGTACTAACTTGTAATGGACTAATTGTACTAATTGTACTAATTGTACTAATTTTGCACTAAAGTTGTGTGTACACGTACCCCTGATTCCCCTCACTCGCCACCAAAGAAAAGTTCTCCAAAAAGCCATGGATGCAGGTCCACTCGACTCCACATTGGCTTAATGGGTCAGCCAATTATATCTTCACCAAAACAGGGACATGAGGGTCCAGCGCCCTCCCAAGATCGAATCTGATGCATATACGTAATTATGAACAGGGATAGATTCAATTGGTTCTAGGTGTTCGTGATTCGACATTTGCTTAAGCTCTTTCGTCATTTCGAATCTTCTCCAATGCAGCAATCATCTCTACGCAATCCCATCCTGCCTCCAATCCCCGTAGCAGCACATCTTGCTCACTCTCCGGTGCCATCCCACTGGGGGCAGGTGGTCGACGATCGAGGTTCGTGGGGAATGGGTATCCCTCCGCCACAGCCTGGATGTATGCCATAATCTCCCGTGCTGCGAGCGAGTATTGGGGATCAAGGTCCTGGTCGGCAATCTGTTTCCCAGCAGCTTGATATCGCTGAACCAGTAGATCCCAAGTAGCCTTTACCAGTGGTAAAGAGTCCACCGTCTCCATCGGTTTACCAAACGGACTACTTACTTGCAACAGGTTCGCGACACGCCGAAACCCACCGTTATTCGGATCCATCACATTTGCCCCTGCTGCATGGAAGAGTGCTGGGTTGAAGAAAACACCGTCTCCCAGAGTCAACGGCAATGCGACATAGTTATCTTGGAAGAAGGTACGGAAATCCGGGCGGCGCCAGGCGAGATACCCAGGGGCATATGTTTGAGAAAATGGTAGGAAGCGCGTCGGCCCACTCTCGACGGGCATGTCCGTGTGCGCGACGGCTCCCTGCAGGGTAAGGAATTGCGTCGCCAGCTGGGTTGGCGCTGGGAAACGGGCACACGCATCTGCCTCTTGGAACCCCAGGTGGAAGTCACGGTGACTTTCCTGAGCTGCGCCGCCGGGGTGGACCGCATTGACCTGTGCGGTTACTCGATAGCCTGGACCAAGCCACGCAGTGCAGACGGCGGCTAACCAAGGATTGGCGTAGTAGTCTACGAATGATGTGGGGTCTTCGGCGCCATGTTTGTTGAAAGAATTCCAGATTCGGTCGTTGCTGCCACTGGCGGCAAAGTGGTCCCCTTGAGATGTGTTGGATTCGCGTTCCCTGGCGATGATGCGATTGAAAGCCTCGTTCGAGGCGGACAAGACTTGGCCGTACCGGTCGGGGTGGTACATATTTCGTAGGACGAAGACACCTGGGCCAGTGTGCAGGATATGATGCCATTCATCCTGTAGCTGTGAGATCGTGGCGACAGCACCCACTCCGACGTCATAGATTGGAATATTACGCTCCACTGCACAGGCCAATGGGTAGGTGAAGGTATCAACTGTGCGTGAACAAATTCGCTTAAATTCATCCAACTGGATGGAACCGGGTTGGAAGCTCCGGGTTGGGATCGGTATGTCATGCATCTTGTAACTCTATGTAGGCAATCCTGCTTGCTGCGGGGCTTAAGTATTAAAATTCCGGAATTCAATCTCCATCAGATTCCCCGCATTTCATTCTTTTAAGACCCGCATTGACGTGGCCAACATCGTGTGTCCACCAGAAAGGGCTCTGGGCCTCGGGTTATGGTTTCCGATGAAAAACAAGTAATGCAGTTCTAGACATGGGTATCACAGCCAAGTAGTAAAGTACAGAGTCTACCATCGGGTGAAGCAAGCAGGACCAAAAGGGTGGTCCTCATCCAGGGCCGTGTTATCCTAGACGCCAAGTAATGAAGGAGAAAGATCAAAAAGGTATCACCAGAACCAGAAGAAGGATATTCCCATATAAATAGCAAGAAAACCAAAGAATTTGCCGAAGTCATCACCGTCGCTTCGTGCCTCATGCAATCATTATGAACCTGGGACCCAAATCAACCCTAATGTGCAGATCTATGGAGGGTCTTGAAGTCTCCATGGGAGACGGAGCAAAGTAACAGTAGGAGATTCGTGAAAGGGGGTTGCGACGCGGCTTATGCATTCATCATGACTGCACCAAGGTCAGAGGTCAGGACTGATTCGGCCGAGGGCTCGTCCGACAGGGTGGGTTCGCTCACAACGAGTTCGTTCTCGGACATGGTATCGACCAATGCACTAGGACGCCCGGCGACGGTGAATAAAACCTTGAACAAGAACGTTGGACCGGGACTGTCGCCGCTAGGCGGTTGATGACGGGTGTGCGTGAGTAGCACACGGATCAATTCCCGCAGGGCAACATCCGTCGATTCGTCGTGGATTGTGTCAATACCATCGATGACGCATACCAATAAGGGTGGTGCGAAATGAAGGAGGGTGTCTACCAGTGATAGAGCGGCGGTCCAGCTGCCCAATGTGCCGTCAATAGGACGGAACCGCTCTGCAGTGAGATCGAGTAGTGAGTCACTGTCGACCACAGTGGGTAAATTATCAATCATCTGTCGGATGAGACTATACGTCAAGGCGATCAGCCCTTGCTGGTGAGGGGTCTGTCCAGAGACTTCTTTGGAAGACAGCTTGCAGAAGTGGGAAAGAGTCGGAAGTCCGGCCTCCCGAGCAAAAAAGGCGTAGGATGCGGCGATCATGGACACGGGGCTTAGCGACTCGGTAGTTTGGGATCCAGCAACGGCTAGGGCCTGGGAACGGGGACTAGTGACCCATTTCTGGAGGGAGGAAATCACGCTAGCTTCAGTCACAGCCTTGACGTCGGGATCGCAGTGAGGAATCTGATCCTCATTATCAAAGAAGGGCTGAAGGTGCTTGGATTCACTCTGCAGCTCAAGACGGGCTAGTCGACGCTTGGACCCCCGCGACCATTCGACAAGGGGTGTTACTAGGCAGAGTTAGTCAAAGTTCCTTGGGAATCCAGAGGGAGGAGACCTACCAAGGTCCGGAGCAGCAGTTGTCATGCACACAATACAGTTGCTCTGCTCCTTTGCAGGGACTAGTTGTTCCGTTGTATTCTGTAGCATCTGCCCTAACAGCTGATCTCGTGTTTTTCTTAACTGATCACGTTTCTCGGCATCTTCCTGGATATCCCAAATCAAGCGTCGGGTCATGGTGTTTTGTGCGGCGTGTCGCCTGCGCTTTCCTTCCCGTCCCACCTGGCTGAGCTGAGACTCCTCCCATAGGGCGCGAGGACTGTAGGCGGAGTCCCAACTCTCGTCGACATCCATCGCATCCGAGGGGCCGGAAAGGTCTTGAGCCTGACGCTGGATGCATTTGACCAGGGGGTGAAAGTGGGCATAGGCATCCTGGCTATGGCTCCTTAATAGGTGACAGGTGGACCGTCGCACATACCAGTCCATGAATTCATTCAGAAATAAGAAGATCAGGGTGTATATTTCAGCGACCGGCCCCCTGTGGGACGCATTGAGTTCCGCTGGGGCCTTGATGGCACTAGTAATATTATTTAAGGCGGTAAGAAGGCCCTCGAGGACCCGGGGGTAATTTGACGATGCCTAGAGTACGAACGAGATGTTTAGCGGTCCGCAGAGTTGGGTGTCGGATAGTGGATGGTGGACGGTTGGCCGTGACCGGGTTGCAACTCACCTTGATTACCGACTGCATCACCCCATAGAGTAGCGGGGTATAGTAAAGATTACCATCGGGGAGGACAGCAAGTATCCGAGCATGACAATCGATGGTAGGAAGGAGTCGGTCACAGAGATCGGCCAGCCGTTGGCGGGGTTGGGATATCCAAAAGGTATGGAGGTTGCGCACCAAAGCCTGAACATCGGTGGCCGTCTGTGGTCGCTCCTCCCATATGACACGATTCTCGGTCGGGACATGACGAATAAAGGCCTTCCATGACTGAGCCAATTCACTATATTCGATATCGAGGTCTGCGATCACGGGGTTCCTGGAAGTGTCAGGAAAATTTTCATCCTTGTTGGATTTGGGGGGGGGGGGGTGAAAGAGGCCTACGAGGAAACGGGTTTTCGGTCGAAACGAGATTCCCAAGCCAATGGATCATCGTCCTGGGCAGGCATGGTGCGACGCATCACACCCGCGGCCCGGATTGAATGATATAGAGATTCAAGTTGTCATCAGTGGATCTGCCGATCGAGGGGAAAGAAAGGGAAGAAGGGAAGGGATTGCAGAAGGGAACGCGGAGGAGCGGGTGCAGCCGCTTGCCAGGGAAAAAGACTAAAAATGGGAAAAGAACATGAGAAAATTTATTAAAAAGGAAATAAAAAGGAAAAGAAATGTCAAAGTTATTAAATGTAATATTTGTTTTTTTTTTCTCCTTCTTTTTCCTCTTTTTCCTCATTTTTCCCTCTTTCTCTGCTTTTGTCCGGTCGACGGGAGCCTCGACCTTTTCTCTCCTCTCCACTCTATGACTTCTCCGCAAATCAGATTACGAACATCTGGGGCTTTGGTTCTGGAGATTATGCCCCGTGTACGACATACAACATACAACACAAAAGGAGAAATAGGGAAATGGGGAAATAGGAAAATAGGTAAATAGGAAATAGGACAGTACGAAACTAGGATATAGGAAATAGGAAACAGGCAATACAAAATAAAAAATAGGAGGGAAATAAGATAGTAAGATTGGGGGGGGGGAGTTCCAATATCATCTTAGGCCTGAAGAAAAGAACGTGAGAATGAGAAATGAGAAATGGTACGGTCTTTTAAGGTTCGGGCTGGTCGTCCAGTTGACGATAGTCCGATGGCTTGTTTAAGCGGGGGTAAAAGCGAACAGACAGAAAATGACAAATCAGACATGTTTAGAACTACATGTAAGTTGGCCAGAAAGACCATGGTTATAAATACTGTGAACCGAGAGCGAAAACGAGTCAATTGTGTGGATCCCCCACACTAAGATAACAATTATTCTTTTTACTGATCATGGGAACAGCTGATCCTCCAAAAGACCATGGAACCTCCGAACTTCCATCTTCCTTATCGTAATGATCATTGATCTGCTTTTACTCCACGGGGATCCATACTACGATCGGCCTTAGCTTCTCCCCTCTTTTTTAATTTCCTGTTTTATCCTTCTTATGCACTCCACTTCCCCCCCAAAGTCCTTCTTGACTTCCACTTTTCTTTGGGCCCTGACTAATGCTGATCACCCCACGCTTCCGCTGATTCCCGTACATCAGCGATGGGTCCCTTCTTTCTCTTCTACTTCTTCGTCTCGGTGTTGGCGACCGTGACTGTTCAACCTTCCAACTCCTCCCAGGATTTATCCTGGTCCTCTTCTTCCCGCTTTCTTCTCCAGGTTTCGGGCTCTAATTTGACCCTTGCCCCGCTGACCCAGTCTCTTGTCCGTCTCTCAAATAGTGATAAACAGGTACAGCGCCCCATCTAGCCCCCAACTTCCCGCGGGTTGCATGGCTAATATCTATCTGTAGGCATTTCAAATCTCTGGTAACGTCACCAAGGTGGTCGCGGAAGACTCGGTTGGCCTGAATTCCTCCTCAATTGCCTGTATTCCGTGTGATTCTTCAGATTACCCCGGACCCTTCAAGGCGGATCGCACCATCGACACTGTTGACAGCCAGTCGACATTACCGGGGGCTATCATCCTGTACAGTAATTCAGCATCACACTGCAATTTGACAACCGATGATACTGCTGAGAATTATCGCAATATCTTCACTGTGATCAATTTGCGATCGTCAACCATCCTACAGGACGCTTTTGATTCAAATAACACAACCGCCACTATGTCTAGTGTTATGCCCGGTATCGATGGCGGCAATACCACAACCACAGGTACCACTACTAACGGTGATAGTCCCAATACTGGTTTGTGTTCCATTCCCTGAATATCTGTCTGGTATATTGACTTGGATGCAGCCATGATTATATTGTATAGTATTACCGGTATCATCACAGCTCTCTTTTTAGGCATTATTATCACCGGCGCTGTTCGCGCACATCGTCATCCAGAGAGATACGGACCCCGTCGGGTGGCAGGTCGACCCAGGCAAAGTAGAGCAAGAGGTATAGCTCGAGCCATGCTCGAAACAATTCCTATTGTCAAATTTGGCGATGAACCTGCCGGAGATGTCGATGCTGCCAAGCGAGATGTTGAGCTGGCCAGCCATGATTCTGGTGACCGATCTCCTCATCCAGAGGTCGCCGAGGTCGGCGAAACTACTCCACGTGAAACCGAGCCATTGCCCGAACAGGAGACCGATCACCCTATCACCGCTGCACCGGAGCCCAAGGCAGAGGCCGTGCCCGAAGCTGGCAACTTTTCCTGTCCCATCTGTACAGATGATTTCATCAAGGGTCAGGATCTGCGGGTCTTACCGTGTCAGCACCAATTCCATCCGGAGTGCATTGATCCTTGGCTGGTGAATGTCTCTGGCACCTGTCCTCTCTGGTATGTTCTGTACCAATCCTATTCTGCATCATCATCTAACTCCCATCAGCCGCATCGATCTTAACCCGCCGAAGAAGGAGGAAAATGCCGAGCAAGATGAAAATGCCGAGCACACGGAGGAAACGGCGACCGAGGAGGCTGGATCCTCTACCGACGCAACACACCGACATTCCCACCACCGTCTCACCAACTACCTGAATGTTCGTCGCATGCACAATGCCACCGTTGAGGAGCGCCTCGCTGCCCTCCGCCACGTCCGCGCTGCCAACCAAAGTGAAGCCCTCGCTGTCCCTGCCCCTGCCGTCCGACACCGTCTCGGTAGCCGACTTCGCGAGCGGTTCCGCGGTCGCTCTGGTAGCCACGGTGTCGAGAGTGTCAGTCCGGCTGAAAGTGGCGCAACGACGCCGACAGTGACGACGCCCACCGTCCCTACCCACACCCCTGCGCAGACAGCCGAAACTGAGCGCGAACCCGAAACCGCGACCTCTGAAACTGCTGAATTGCCCAGCAATTCCGGCAGATGAAACTGACATGTTTAACATGCCTAACCCCTGATTACATGATTCGATGAACTTTTATTCTTTTCCAGCTTGACATATTGATTTGCACAAATTTAGCTGATTATGGCGTTACGAGAGATGCGGTTTGGTTTGGACAAATGATTCCGGTACATAGGCGTTTGAGATACGGAGGAAAATGTTTTTTCTTTCCTTTCTTGTGTTGTCTTTCATTCCTTGTCTTGATTTGTCTTTTGACTTTCGATTGTTGCATATACTTCCCGTACATAGCCATATATAGGCAGATGTAGATCCCAGCAAATCTAGGAAAACATACTTACTCTACGTACGTCATGACATATAAACAGTACAGTATAGGGCAAGTATTCCCGCAACCCCAATTATCGGCAAAAGGGATCTCCGCGCCTTGGCAGCGGGGATTTAGCAGTGGAGTCTCCAGATGTGGGGAGAACAAAAACAAAACTGGAATCCCAAATTGGAGAATGGCCAAGCATCTCTTTCCATGCGTACGTCAACCTAAGACACCTGTACCTATATATTCGTATAAGAGCACGGGTTCAATAAATAAGACTTGGTAAGCAATCCAGAACCCTGGACCTTTTTCCTGTTCCATGGGAAGGGCTTATTGCCAAAGATAGCCAATGCACATTGCCCTGATGTCATAGAACAATCCTCCTCATTTCCATTTTCCTTAGCGCCCGACTTTCCCCAACGTCTAGTACATTATTCCGGGGAACGGCTGGAGTCGGAGCATGTCCGGGCGGCTGCGGAGTTCCGGGATCGTCCTCATCGATAGGCGCCTCGAGACGATGGATTGGGTTATATTGTTCCTGGAACTTGTGGGTTCCGGGATTGGATGGAGGTTGGGTAGAGGTCGGGGGCATAGCAGATACCTAAGTGGGCTTCTAAATAATGTAGGCTTATCGCGTCTAGATGTCCGGTGAGGGGTGATTCCGATAGCCTAAGATAAGAACAGAGCTCGGTAGATACTGGGTAACTTATGTAGAGATAGTGTTCAGGTATGTATGAAGACTAGGGATGTCAAAATGAAATTTCAAAATTTCGAAATTCCTGAAATTTGGCTGCTTGAAATGTAATTTGAAATGGGGCTTGAAATCTTGAAATCTAGCTAGTCCCAAAGTGGTAATGATTATCTTCCATTCTTCCAATCAAAACAGTCGAACGTAAAGCACGTGACATAGACATCATGTGTCATCTATCCCCCGCCGTCGCCGAGTTGGCCGCTTGGAATCATCTGGAACTCCTTGAGGCCATTCAGATACACGCTTCGACCTCGTCCGCATAAGATGAGCTGAATCTGAATTTGTTGTGGGTTTCGTTGAAGGACTAAGGGGAGGCTCCGAAGTTGGCTTCAACAAGGAGTTAAGCCTCGACTTCAACGCAGAAATGAGGGCAGGATTTGTTGATTCTGAAGCTGAAGTCAAAGCTGAATTCAATGCTAAAACCAGGGCAGACGTTGGTGATTGCTCTGTTGGTTGCTCTGGTGGTTGCTCTGGTGGTTGCTCTGGCGGTTGCTCTGGCGGTTGCTCTGGTGGTTGCTCTGGCGGTTGCTCTGGCGGTTGCTCTGGCGGTTGCTCTGGCGGTTGCTCTGGCGGTTGCTCTGGCGGTTGCTCTGGCGGTTGCTCTGGCGGTTGCTCTGGCGGTTGCTCTGGCGGTTGCTCTAGTGGTTGCTCCGGTGGTTGCTCTAGTAGTTGATATGAGCCCCCTGATAGATCGTCTAGCACTTGGTTTCGCTGCAAAACCCTCTCTATCTCGTTATCCTCTTCTTGAAGGAGTGATTCTTGCGCAACTTCGGGAGGCCGTTCTGTCCGGAATTGTCGTTTATTGATCTGCACGAAGAGCAGTTTTTCAACGCGGTGGGGCTCGAGCCTATTTCGGACTTTTGTATGCTGAAGGTTCATCTGTGAAAAGGCTCTCTCCGCTGCCGCTGAATTTGCCACAGTATTGCAGAGTCGACGAGCAAAGGGTGCAAGAAGCGGAGCAAAGTCCTCCTGTATAAGCATATCGTAAGTAAGTCCTTCGTTTTAATCGTTGATAGTATAACGTACTGCCTCAAGCCAAAAGAGAGACGGGCTCTGGGCCTTCCAGCAGGAGGCATTATAAAAAGCGCCCGTTCTCTGCCTGAATGACAGAAATTCATGCCAAGCGGAAGAGCTTTTGTCGTTGTTCTGTAGAGGCCGTAGCACACCTTCGATATAATTACGAGAGCTCTGGTCAACTTTCCCAGGGACTCTAGCGGGATCAAGATGATAGGCTACCCAGTGGATAGGCTCAAGCTGACGTAGTATTCGACTTTGCCAGCCTATGCCATCCAAATAGGACAAGAAATCGTCCTTAAGAGATGTTTGGGAAGCCAATGTTCGTAGATCTTCATGGAGATCTAGCCATCGCTGCGTTACCTCCATAATCGACGAGTTCCGAGCTTCGGACTCTTTTTGGGCAACATGTAGAGGCTTACGGATTTTAATCAACTCCTTTAGTTGCCACCAGAACGAATGCGAGTTCGCTATCCGAATAATCTCCCTCCCCCTAGCAGTCGAGGTAGCAGGAGTGATAAGTGTCCACTCACAGATAGCTTCTTGGCAGTCGTGGAGCGAGGAGAGCATATTATATTGCGTTCCCCATCTTGTAATGACTGACGCAATAAGAGCCTTCCTATATCCCCACTTCTCAATCTGCTTTCCTTGCATCCTTGCGTACTCGAGTGGTGAGTGGTGGAAGAAGACGACTATTTCAAGGGCCGACTTAAATACCTCCGCAGCCCGTGGAACCTTCGAACCCTTAGCATCAACAATATCCTTCATGATTAACTGTAGGCCGTGAGAGTCACAGGGAATCATAAAGCAGTGTTTGAGCTCTGGTGTGTTCTCTAGCTTCTCCCAGACCGATTTCATGACAGAACATGTGTCTGTCGAGATAGAATTAATTCTTTTCCAGTCAATCGTTGTATCCAGTTGTAGTAGGAGACATTTGAGACTATTCAAGATCCAACCACTAATAGCAGGAGCATCAAGAGTCTTGTCTTCCATATCATTCAAGTAGACAAACCATGACTTTATCGGCGTTGTTATAGTCATCACTATCACCCGTTGAGATCTAATGTTAGTGGTCTCATCCACTGTGACATTTAAGAACTCAGTTCTCCGTAACTCTTTAATAACCTTCTCTAGTAGTTCATTATATGCTTCATCCAGCAGGTCATCGGCGACTCGTTGGCGGGAAGGAATTTGATACGTCGGGCTTAACGCATGGATAAGTTCTCGCATTTCTTGCTGTTCGAAAAGGTTGAATGGTCTAGCCCCGGTGAAACAGACCTGAGCGATTAGCTGATCAATGCTTCTGGCTGGCTGAGATGTAGAGAAACTTAGCAATTTCTGTTTCTTCTCTGCGGCGGTCTTGGGATCCATCAGAGCCTGTGCTTTTGTGCATTTATTAACATGCTCACTCTGGCGTGTAGTATTTTTGGCGCGAGTCTTCAAGCATCCAAGACATTGTGCTTGAGGCACCTGAAGAAGCTGCAATTAGGGGAGTAGAGGATAAGTTTATGAATTAGTTCTTACCTTTTTATCACCCTGTATGATTTTGAAGCATCTCTGAAGCTCGAGCTCTGAGTAGGAAACCTTTCCGCAAGGATGATTAGGAGCCATTTCGAAGGTGAGGGTGCTAGGAAGGGGTGAGACCTTGAGAGTATTCTAAACAAGCCAAAGATATATATTCTTCCACCTGTTGCCACGAGCTACAGCATACTTGATGAAGACAATGGCAGAAAAATGAAGTATAGGCCTTTATTGGCTATAATAGGTTACCGCTTCTGATGACTCAGCAGACGCCAGCCCCTTGAAATGTAATTGAAACGAGAAAATGAAATGAAATTTCAAGATTTCGTAATGAGTTGGCCAATTTCGTAATTACAACATCCCTAATGAAGACACGTAGGCATGTATATTATTTCAGCTAGGGGGTTATCTATCCTCAATTGTTCCGTAGATAAATTTTGAATATGTAAGGGGAAAAAAAAAAAAAACCTACTCCGCACGCGACCTACGGATAAATATAATTATAACGCACAGGTACGTATCAGGCCATGGCCTGGATTTGTTAGAGGATCCACTGCGTCTTTTTTGCTCGGCGTTGGATGACACACGGCTTGACGGCGGCGGCGGAAAGAGCCTGTCGGAGGGCACAACAATCATCCATCGGGTAAATCTGTATTCTGAGGAAATCTGTTATTTTTTACGAAATTTTCATTCAAAGATATTCATTTACATTATGCCCCTGGCTATACATATAGGCATAAAAATGACATTATAGTGTTCAAATATGACTTGGAATGATGAAGTTCAATGTTGGTATTTACACATGTTTCGCATGTGAACTCCACTATATTCTTCACGAAGAAGATACGGAACTTCCTCGGCTTCCAAAGTGGAATCCCTCGGCGATAACTTCATGTATATATAGATTCAAGTCTCTTTCATAAATACTCCATTCCATGTTTGTTTGATAATCGCTGCAACCTGATTTAACCGTTCTTACTCCACCCCCTCATTCCAGTCCAATCCGGTGAACGCAAGCAGCAAAGTTTCGGTCACAATTCCGGGGAAACCAGTATATTAGAACCATGGCCCATTTACAGAATTCTTCTTCCTCGACAGCTCGCGACCGTCTTTCCTCCATCTCATCACACATCATGGGTCCCTCCAATTCCTCAGTTTTCACCAGTTCTCTGGTGGCTGCCGCCCCCGAAGATCCTCTCTTTGGCTTGATGAAGGCCTATCGAGAGGATCCGTCTGAAAAAAAGGTTGATTTGGGCATTGGTGCTTACCGCGATAACAACGCGAAGCCTTGGGTTTTGCCTGTTGTCAAGAAGGTAAGCTCCACGAGTCGTATCAGCTCGCCTTAATGCCCTGTTTTTATTTTGTTTCGTTTCATTTCTAACAATCCTCCCTTCCAGGCTGATGACGCCATCCACAACGATCCCAGTCTTAATCACGAATACCTCTCCATTGGCGGTCTCCCCGACCTCACAGCCGCAGCTCAAAAGCTCATCGTCGGCGCCGACAGCCCCGCCATCAAAGAAAAACGGGTATGTCCAACCGAACAAAAACACCAAACACAAAAAGCCAAAGCTAATTCCTCCAGATCTGCACCCTCCAAACCATCTCGGGGACCGGCGCCGTCCATCTAGGCGGCCTCTTCCTCTCCAAATTCCACCCCCAAAAGCCAACCATCTACCTCTCCAACCCAACATGGGCAAACCACCACCAAATCTTCTCAAACGTCGGCCTAAACATTGCCACCTACCCCTACTTCTCCACTAAGACCAAAGGCCTCGACTTCGATGGCATGATGAACACCATCCAATCAGCCCCCAACGGCTCCGTCATCCTCCTGCACGCCTGCGCCCACAACCCCACAGGCGTAGACCCCACCCAAGACCAATGGCGCACAATCGCCTCCGCCATGCGCGCACGCTCTCACTTCCCCTTCTTCGACACAGCTTACCAAGGGTTCGCATCCGGCGACCTGGTCAAAGACGCATGGGCCATCCGGTACTTCGTCGAGCAAGGCTTCGAGCTCTGTGTCGCTCAATCCTTTGCCAAGAACTTCGGATTATACGGTGAGCGCACGGGGGCGTTCCATTTCGTCTCGGCGCCGGGTGCGGATGCTGCTGCTGCTAATCAGCATGTTGCGAGTCAATTGGCTATTTTGCAGCGGTCGGAGATTTCAAATCCCCCTGCTTATGGAGCGAGAATTGCAAGTCGCATTTTGAATGATCCTATACTTTTTGCCCAGTGGGAGGATGATTTGAGGACTATGTCTGGGAGAATTTTGGAGATGAGGGCTGGGTTGAGAGAGAGACTTGAAAAGAAGGGAACGCCTGGGTCTTGGGAGCATATTACGTCGCAGATTGGAATGTTCTCGTATACAGGGTTGACGGAGGCGCAGGTTCAGACTTTGAGGTCGAAGTGGCACGTATACATGGTGAGTTCTTATTCCTTGAGTTATGAAGCTGTTGGACTAATGTTTTGCAGACTAAGAATGGTCGGATTTCCATGGCTGGTCTGAACACACATAATATTGACTACTTCGCTGAAGCTGTTGATAGTGTTGTTCGTGGGGAATAGATGTCTAGGGACATATTGGCTGGGCTGGCGTTTTATTTCTTTTTACTGATTACCCTAACCCATTTTCTACATGGCTATGATATGATATTTCGGGTCTTAGCAGGCTATCTTGCTCAAGCGCATTGAGATTGTTCTTATAGATGTTCTTAGATTTAATGTTCCCTGCCAATCAAGTCATCTATGCTCATTACAATGTGTACAGATACAATAGACGTAGCGGGTAAGCAGGAAGTGATTCATATGATGCCTACATCTGAGTATATAAAGCCCAAACTCCTCTTCAATGCATTGAAATGCTAATGCAATGGTGGGCCTATTAAAAGACCAAATCCCACACAACAAGCCAAGTACACAAGCCCACAGTCCCCCAAAACACGGCCTGCGCCGTACTCCGACGCTCAGTCGCACGCTTAAGCTCCTTGTTTCCACGTCCGACATTCGTACTAGTTGTATCCGCATCACTGACCAATTGCGAAATATACTCTTCCTGTGTAGCAAGATGCGAGACGAGCGTATTCTGCAGCGACGAGATCTCAATAAGAGACTTCTCAGCCTTTCTAAAACACCAGTTAGCTCAAGCCCAGAGCACAAGAACAAAAGACCAAAAGACCAAAAACATACTGCACTTTGCCCAGCGTATCCTCATAATGGCGCAGCATAGTATCATTCTCCTCCGCAAAGAGCTGCAACTGCTCCGGCGACAGCTGCGCCTCAATCTGCGCCGTATCGGCCTCGCTCAAGTGCACCGCGTCAGGCATCGGCAACGCAGATAAAGAAGCCTTATTATAACCTTGTCTTTCGGAACCCTGCGCCGTAGAGGATCCAGACCCAGATTCGGGTCCAGTCTTCGACCCCGCAGTTTTATACAAAACACTCTTCTCCTTCTCACGCACGCGCTCAATTCTCTTCTCCACCATCTCCCGCTGCACGCTCGCTGCGCCTTCCAGCCCACGTCTCAAAAGCCACAGTACGCTCTCGCGCACTGTACGAATAACTCTCGCGCTTTCCTCGGCTCGCACCTGCTCTGCGGATTTTCCTTGCGCGTCATCATCGCCTGGTCCGCCACCGCCGGCCCAGCGGAAAAGAAGAGCGCCCGCGGCGCTATGTCCGTATCGTTTGCGGAGAATGGTAGCTTCGGTATCTTGGCGGAGGGATTCGGCGGAGGCGAGGTTTGAGATTGAGGCTGCGAGATCGCGGAGTAGAAGGGCTGTTGAGGAGTCGACTGCGTCGCGCTCTGATTCTGTGAGGTGTTGGGATGTTGCGTGTGGTTGAGTTTGGGTTTGGGCGCGGCGTTGTGAGGGTGCTGTTGTGGTTAGGTAGGCGTGGCGGATTGATTGGAGGTATTGGAGGAGGGATTGTATGTGTGAGTACTGTTTTGTTTGAATAGTTAGCTCATGAGTGTTAGTGGAGGGGCGGATGGCTGACGATGCGATATGCCTCCTTCAGAAATTCGTCGGCTGTTTCGGTTGACGGGTGGGTTTTTGGGGAGTGAATTTGGGGGCCATGCTTGGATGAGACTAGCTGGCTGATAGTGGGTGTTAGGTCGGTCATTGTGGTGGGTGTTGGAGGTTTGAAAAGTGGAAGGTGTACACAAGGCAAGTTGGAGATGTAGAAGTGGAGCCCGTTAACAACGTCACTGCGATTGGTCGAGCTTTTTTTCCCCGGAGTGAACTCGATCTATGGCTTTGTTAAATTATATTTGTAAGATTTGGATATTTGGATCGGCTTAATCTCACTGACTTCTAATTATGCTGTTATATATGAGTTGAAACTTTCAGTACTCATGTCAGCCTTGAACCAATCATCCATATAGTTAATTTTTTATAATCAAATTCTCGGACAACACGTAGACGGCTGGACTTTCCAGTTACGATAGAGTAGCTAGTAAGACACAAACCAGGAGGTCAAGTATTTACTAGTATCTGGGGCTGACTTGGGTTGCTCCAGTGGGTCAGCCGGGGATTTGGCTTGCCCGCGCGGCTAATGGTATACCTCGATTTGCGTAATTCTATCTCCATCTAATTTTAGAGGTATCCAAGCGGCTAAATTGCATTAGCTGGCCATTATAGATTATAAATGTTCGATAATGCAAGATGATAAGTGAAGATAAATGTCACTAGTAGTAAAGATAAAGGGCTAAAGATAAAAGTCACCGGTTAATTGGATGTCACGTGTATTCGCGGCTCCTTTTAATACTCGACACTAAACTCACTAGCATCTCGCGCTCGAGCAGGGATTTGAATTTCGCCGGGGGCCAATTTCACCCGGATAGCGTGGTCGCCGCGCTATTCTCTCTTCCCCTTTTCGCTCTTGACAATGATGGCAACCCGGATGCTTGGGTACCAGCAGATCTTGTTCCGAACCAAAGCCCCTAATCTGTTCGCCCAAGATGGCTGAGATTTATAACACGGACCGCTTTGCAGAGCTCTATTATCCATCCAATACAGCCGATCTACTGCATCTGGGTCTCGCAGCGAGATTCGTGGCGGCGCTTTTCGAGTCGAGTCGGGTTACTTACGCCTTTATCGGAGGATGGGCGGTCTATTTGCGGGGTGGTCGCCGGCGCACCCAAGACATCGATATTACAGTTGCCACTTCGATGGACCATTTGAGGCAGATTTTAACTGCGGAACCCCGGTATTTAATTAATCCTTCTCTCTTTATCCTCTCCCTCTCTCGCCAGGTGCTATGTGAGTTTTCTTTGTTGACCTCTACTAGTATTCATTTTCCGGCTATTCATGGTCGAACTTCAGTCCAAATATTCATTGACACGGGTCGCAGCGTGGACGGGGAATTCCCTCACGTCCCTGATTTGGCGGTCAGTATGGATATTGTGATCAGTGGTGAGTGTGGACCTTTTCTGCTCCATGTTGCTTATTCCGCGATTATCCCCGAAGTAATCGGCAAAAGGCGGTTGACAAAATATGATCTCTGCAGGAAACTTGGGTACACCGGAGGATCTTCAATCCTCACGCGAGCACATCAATCCGCATAGACCGACGCCATTGGGATCACCAGTCTTGGTACTAGGGTTGGTCTTTCAGATCTATGCAAAATTAGAGGCATTCTCCCGACGCGGAGAACAAGATAGCAAGGACTTTGTGGATTTGGAGTTTCTTTTCACACAATATGCGATTCAAATACCAGCATTCAGAGACTGTTTTAGCATTGAGCAGCGACAGAATTTCTGGATGCAATATGCCACCAAATATGCGACCTTTCCGGAACAAGTTGAGAATATGAGGAACCTCCTTGGGCTTTGAATTATAATTATAATTACTTTCATTATTTCAACTAATTTGATATAAGCTTCTGAGTCCACGGATCAGGAGATCCTTTAAGACGGAATCGCGTGTCAAATATTGAATCGGGAGTCGTCCACCCCAATCTCCCCTTCTTACTTCGAACCCGCGACTCCCACTGTTCTCGCCTGCTTATTGTTGATGTGGGGAAGTAGTGGACAAACATCCATCCTTTCCCCCTTGCAGCTTCTGCTGCTAGAAGATTCATTCTTCGGGTCCATTCTTGGTCATTCGTCCCGTCTAGCCTGAGATTTTGAGCTCCCCACTCTTCTGACACATTAGATCCGTCAATGCAATCGCACAGCGATACATCGTCGTTCATATCCAGGAAACTCTGCATCAGGACCGGTAATGTTGGATATGGTACCCCATTTAAGCTGCGTCGTATGCGAAAAGGCCCACAGGGGATGTGGGCATGATATGCAGGAACAAGGATAAAGTAAAAATGCACACCTCGGCCTTTAAATCGATGATAGGTATGACTTAAAGACGAAGGTTGCGGAATCGGAATTGGCGGTACGGCGTGAATTTTGTGCGCCATCGAATCACCGGAGAGAAGGGAAACCGCATCAGCGACCTTGTCATCGGGGATGCATAGCTCCCATTCCTGTAAGCTAGTTAGCTGTATATTCTTGTTTCAAGTGTTCCAAACTAAAAACGACCTATCTGGTCCGCATTTCTTGCTTGGAGTCAGGAATCAATGAACCGTACATCTCGTACACGCCCGGCGCCGTAGAACATCAGCGCAGAAACGCCAACAACACAGCACTCGATGCCATTGTTTTCAAGATATCGAGTCACCTCCAGAATCTCGAGGGTCCCGTGGCCGCCACACGACGGGACCTCGTCTGGAGAGTATGTAGGGGCCTTCTCTACAGGGTCCGGGAGAACAGGGGCGTTGAGGTGAAATTTTGGAGCTAACATTGCTGTACACTAGGAGAAGGCCCTGCCTAAAGGCATGGGGAGTCATGAAGTCGCGGGGAAACATTCATTTTCATAGCACGTGATTGACTTAGTCACTTTTACACTTTTTTGCCTTCGGTCTGGATGCTTCCATTTATCCAATCGATTCCACCCTTCTGCCATGATCGCCATATGTTATTGAATTTGGGATATATTAATTACAAAAAAGTTACTGGGAATTTTGTATCATACGCAGTATTTGGCAGAAATTCTAACATTTGAAAAATAATGTCTTGCCAAGTAGATCATGGTGGGGCGGAGACTTAACATCCCCTGTGTAGATCCTGTTCGTGCGATAGCCGTTTTATAAGCCGTTCACATACATCCCATACCTAGGCTATGTAGTGGTTACTCCTTGTTATGTCGGGCTACTGACGATAATTCAATAATCATGTAATTTGAAATATGTAGGGCCCGGATACAGTGGAGAACTGAAGACAAACTAAGACATTTGAATGTCTCAAAATAGAATAAGCGTACTAGATTCCAGAAGTATCTTTTAGCCTCTTTAGGCTCAAGTACAGGTAAAATATTTCTGCTTATCGCCAAGGTTGAATCTCGCTACACAGACTAGCCTTAAAGTCGCTAGATCAGATTGTTCCAGAATTCCAACTGAACTAAACCATAATCTATACTTTTGTCCTTGGCATTGTTCAGTGTTTCTCGCCATGGATATATCCAATTTCCTGTCGTAAATCATCAACGACACCTGGGCACATAATACCCTAGCTTACTAGCTCGGCTTAGATATAAATAACTCTCGAGGTCCTCAGGCCATACCCTGACCAACCTGTTCCTGTCTTTCCTGCCAGACATTCTTCCCAGAGCACGAACACACCATCTTATCATTATCCCACACACCCGCACTACGCGCAATAACACCAACAATCGTATTCTCATCCTCCCTGCGGAATGGCCCCTCCTTGGTCGACGACACAACCATACTCCGTCCAATCAATTCCCAAATAGCTACGGGCCGGTCCAGGAAAACATTTCCACGGCCCTTCTCATCCACGTTCACGGAGCCAAAGATGCCCCGAGACTCCTTCTCCGGCTCTGAGCCTAGCACCTTAGTCTTCAAGGAATCCCAGATGCCGCCTGTCGACGCCGCACCCTGAGAGATATCACCGGCTTCTCGGATGGTGGTCCAGTACTTGCCTGGAGCGATACCATTGATGGTCAGGTCGACTAAGGTTATGTTTGGAGAGACCTGGACCATGCGAGCCAGGCCGCGGATCTTATTGGAGACTTTGTTGGAGTGTGTTTCGAGGATGCAGACGGCGGAACCTGATAACTGGTGTTAGTCCGTCGACTATAGATAGTATTTATGGCGGGTATCGGTACGTACTGTTCGTTGTGCCACTGCCCCGCAGGATCGCATCGCGACCTGTGTCCTGAATCGCGTTGACGATGGAACTCGGGGGCGCAGTGCCTTCAATGAAGACAACTTGGTCCTTAAGATTCGCCTCGACCTTCTGGATGCCTGAATTATAACGCTGTGAGATTGTGCTGAAGAGTAGATGGCGCATTGAAAAGAGGGGCGGATCGTACCATCAAGTTTGTACAGGGAGGTGGAGATATCTTTCACGCAGCCTTCACAGGTCATAGGGACCGAAAAGGTCGTCTATTGAACAGATTAGAACGTCTGCTATCTGTGATCATGGTATCCGAGCAAACCGACCTGGAAGGGTTCAATCATGGCGGGGAAGTAGATCGGATGGCGAACCAATTTTAGAGGTATAAGCAATAAAGGTAGACAAAATGTTAGTCAATACCAGGCCTCCAGGCTGTTAGTGACAAGCAACGTCTCCGAAGCGAGCGTATGAAAAGAAAGTGTTGCGGAACCAGGAACTAAGCGGGGGACAAATTGGATTTGAAATCGGAGCTGTTCTTCGGCCCGTCCAACCTTCCCCAGAGAAACGTCATTCCGCCATTTCGCCCAAAATTCTCTCCAATCCCACCGCGCATATCACAGACAATGTCTGCCTCCAAGTCGCGATGGGCAGACGAAGACCCCGAAACTGAAGCTATTATCGCGCAGCAAAAACGCGAAAAGGAGGAGAAGCGACGCGCGAAGGCCGAGAAACTGCGCCAGCAGGAGGAAGCCAATAAGGCTCGCACTTCGACACAGGCGGCCGACAGTGCCCAATCACTCAATGGGGACTTAGGACCTCCGACCAAGCGAAGGAGACTTTCAAATGACGCCGATGCGACCCATGGAAATGCTGAAATCGCCGAGAGTGATGAGCAGAAGGAACAAGCGAGCTTGTTGAGGTTCCCAGTGCGGGAATGGGGAACTTGTCGGCATGTGGATAATTTCGAGCGGTTGAATCACATCGAAGAGGGCTCTTATGGGTGGGTTTCGAGAGCAAAGGATATCACAACAGGGGAGGTGGTCGCGCTGAAGAAATTGAAGATCCAGAACTCGCCGGACGGGTTTCCTGTGACCGGGCTACGGGAGATTCAAACACTTCTGGAAGCGCGACATCAGAATGTGGTCTATTTAAGAGAGGTCGTCATGGGTAACCAGATGGACGAGTGAGTTTTATTTTGTCAGTCACTGGGCACAAGCTAACCTATCAGCGTATACTTGGTTATGGATTTCCTCGAACACGACCTCAAGACCCTCCTTGACGATATGCGTGAACCGTTCCTCCCGTCAGAAATCAAAACTCTCCTTCTGCAGGTAGTGGGTGGTCTTGAGTTCTTGCACGCCCAATGGATCATGCACCGCGACCTAAAGACATCCAACCTCCTCATGAATAACCGCGGCGAGATCAAAATTGCTGACTTCGGCATGGCGCGCTACTACGGCGACCCTCCACCTAAACTGACACAACTCGTCGTGACACTCTGGTACCGATCCCCAGAACTACTTCTCGGCGCAGAAAAGTACGGCACCGAGATCGACATGTGGAGCATTGGCTGCATCTTCGGTGAACTACTCACCAAAGAACCTCTTCTCCAAGGCAAGAATGAAGTGGACCAAGTCTCCAAGATCTTTGAATTGACAGGCCCTCCAAACTCGCAAATCTGGCCTGGCTTCCGGTCTCTGCCTAATGCCAAATCTTTACGTCTGCCACCGTCAACTTCCGCGTTCGGGGGCATTCCTTTACTGCCTCGCTCGCGGTTCCCATATTTGACTAATGCGGGCTTGAATCTGTTGTCGGAGTTGTTAGCGCTTAATCCGGCTTCGCGTCCGACGGCTCGGCAGTGCCTTGCTCATCCTTATTTCAGAGAGGATCCTCGTCCTAAACCGAAGGAAATGTTTCCGACTTTCCCTTCGAAGGCGGGGATGGAGAAGCGCAGGCGTCATCATACACCCGAGGCTCCTAAGCATGGCGAGGTAGCTCCAGAATTGGATTTTGCTGGGGTGTTTGGTGGTGCCCCGGGAGGAGATACTGGAGAGACTGGTGCTGGGTTTACTCTTCGCCTGGGTTAAGTAGAGAATATACAAGTATAAAGTGTTGAATCAACTGATAAAGTATGAATTTCAAACGTCTCGATCAAAGAGCCACATTGCTCTGATATCATATCGAGACCTAAAGATACATGACTAGCAATGAAAGACAAAAGCACATATGCTTGCAAAACCGGCCCAGGCCCATCATCTAAACTTCAAGTATGCCAGTGCTGGTGTACCTCACCCACTTCACTTAATGCATATCTCCAGGATAGAACTCATCAGTAGTATCACTTTCCTCGCTCATCACCACTTCACGCATCGTACTGGAAGATCGTTGTGGTACGAATGGCATCCTGGTCTCATTGTTCTGGTGATTTCTAGGATAAGATTCATCAGTAGTATCACTCTCCCCGCTCATCACCACATCGCGCACCGTACTGTGAGAGGATCGGGGCAGTATGAATGGCATCTTGGTCTCACGGCTCTGATAATATCCGTTTGATGGAATGCGATCAAGACCAGACCCACTGTGAACTGCTCTGCCTCTCATTTGCAGTCCTGATTGCACTGGCTGGTCACCTCGGTCAGGGTATAGGCTGCTTGTCTTGCCATCCGCATACCAAAACTCATTCCTTCCGAAGGAATTCGGGAAAAGCACTTCCTCGTCGATCGGGGAGCTCAGTGGGGAGAACATGTTGGTGGAAGTCGATGTGGGCGATCTAAATTCTGGCGATGTGGCGCTTCCTTGCATGTAGAGATATCCCGGGACTGACTGAGCTGCGTTTCGGAATCGGTTTTCTGAGGCATCATAGCTCCAGAAGCGACCATAGGATTGGTTGTTCTCAAATGGCTGGTTCATTTCTTCATTCACTGGGTATATCTCATCTCGACTTGTGTTGAGTCTTGATTCCTATCATTTTGTTAATATAGTGCTGTAAACACTAACAGATGCACTCACATTTCTCCTCATAGAAATGTGCAATCCAAATGAATTGCGGCGTTCTTCAAGCTCGGCGGTCGTCACTGACTCTGGCTGTGGGATCCTGCAATCTAATTCAAACAAATCGTCTCCAGTAGACGGTCCTGAAACTGCCTCCGATGGTGTCAACCCCTCCGTTAAACCATGACGGCCATCCATCAGATCTGATTCCGAAAGACTGCGCTCTCTCTGGTGGCCGTGATTGTTCTCGTCGTAAAAACTGGTGTACTCGTATCTCGGTGGGGTGTTAAATAGAAAGTTCACTGTGGGCATGGTCAAATGTGAAGGGAGGGTCGTCGGTGCCTGTTCTCTATTAGTGGCTTTTCCCTAATTCTGCGCCAACTCACCACATTCTCATCACTTCTGCTTCTATTTCTGTCCTCTACCCACTGCTCCAACAACTCCTGGTATAAACCAGGAAATGCGAATGGGATATCTGCAGAGCTGTGCCCCAAGCTTGAAGCAGAATCGGAACATGTACCAACTGCAGGGCTCGGTGGTCCTTGGTCGTACAATAACAGCCGCTCCTGGGTCCCAAATGCTTCAGATTGTATCAAACTTATCCTTCGCCTGTGAGAAGCGTTCGAACTGAGGGTGCTCAACACACCAGAAGAACGTCGCATAAATGAGCTTCTTCTATTCTCCAACATTCGTCTATTCCACGACCGAAAGCCGTGGCTCTCTTCATCGGATTCTGTCTCTTCGTGGGATATGGAAAGATTACCACTGTTAGGTGCTCCTCCCTCTGGCTGCAAACCGGCTTTCTGTTCCGGTAAATATATAGGCTGAGAGTCATCGACAATTCTCAAATCCCTCTCTTCAGCGGAGCCTGCTGAAGTAGATTCGACTGTTTCCCAATCTGTCGATGATCCTGAATGAACATGAACTGATGTAATCTCCTGTGTCATAATGCCCGTCTCTATGTCGTTCTTGCTGGCCACCTCGACAGGAGAGTTTTGGGAATCAAATGCATCGTCACAACTTGATCGGTATGCAGGCGGGTGAAACGCTATACTCCCATGCGAAAACACGGCATCTGCGTCATTCGATTCCCAAGCTGGTCTCTCTCGAGCTTCTGGTGCTGATGCAATGTTGGCCAGTGGGTGAAATGCGGCAGCCCTCATCAAGACATCGATGCTGGGCTCATCCTCGGCCGTGGGCCATGGCACATTTGTTCGATAAAGGGCAACCCCAAAGCCCAAATCCTCCTGTGTGCTAGCAGTCGATACTTCTTGATGGTGAACTGGTGTACAGCCCACACTGCTACTCGTACGGGGACGTCGAAAGCCTGCCCTAAGTGCCAGCAAGCCAGATCGAGCTTTGTGAAGAGACCGGCGATGGAGATCCTGAACCCAGTGAGATTGCTTCTGGGAGTCTGAAGATGAGGTTTGACTGTCGTTGCGACGCCATGATATAGTTGCCGAAGGATTGTGCCTAGGATCTAGTGGGTTAAACACTGGATAATGTCCTCTTTCCGCACAAGTCGGTGGACGATCGGGTGTATCTATAATACTGCAATCTTTCAGTATATGCTCCTGTTGTGGGATGTGGCCAGTCTCGAGCCTTACCTGTGTCTTCTTGAAGGAGACATGAATGCAAAGGGTAAAGAGAATGTTGAACGGCGCTCAGCTCGTGAGCCTGGCGATCTAGAGCCGGACTGGACCGTTTTGCCTGGATCCATATCCAATTGGATCCTATTGTGAAATTACCGCAAATTCAAATCAGGGAGCACGATGATCCTACAAGTTCGAAACTTAAGATAGCTTGAAGCAACAACTCAAAACCCCTCGATTCAGGCCGTCGAGGCCGTCGACGACAATTTAGGAAGGAACGTTCCTCACACCACAACTCTCAATATTCGCGTTCGTTATCCATGTTCTGCATCAATGAAGATAAGTATCGGTTAATTAATGTGAAGATCTGTTAAATCTACGCCGATATCGTCAAAAATATCCACAAAATTCCAGGTTTTTGTATGCGCCGTGATTCATACTAAGCTGACGGTTCTATTGTTCGGCTGAGGTGGAGACCTTGCCGCCGATTCCTGGAGCTCTTTTCTCCTCTCCGATTCAGCTTCAATCTTTTCACCCCTCCCAATCCTCAACGCTTCTTTCATTTGATTTTCTTTCTCTATCCTTTATTCTATTTCATCCTACTTCATCTTACTTCACATTTGTGTTCCATCTCATCATGGCGAAGAAGCAGGATAAGAAGGAGGACAAGAAGCCGGTCTCATTCGATGAGATCATTCAGTCTGGTAATATATTCACCATCCCACTTGATACTCTTGCTGTAAGCAATCTAACTGGGCTTTCACTATGTAGATCGCGAGAAGAAGAAGAAACAGGAACTTGCAAACTCGATTCTGGGAAAGAAGCGCAATGAGCGTCGCGCGAGTGCTCCAGCCGCAGGGGTTCAAAAAACTGCCAAACCGGCTAGCCTAGCCAGCCGCATCGGACCTAAGGTCAGAACAAACAACATTTAGCATTGGTTGTCACTAGCGATCTAAAGAAACTTCCATCTGATTTGTTCTATATCTGTTTAGCGCGCCGCATCCACTGCCAATTTGCGCGGCAACCAGCCCAAGCCCAAGCCGGCCGCCGCGACCCGCCCCTCCGCACAAGCAAAGAGACCCATTCAAAGCAACCGCGACAAAAATGCCGGCCGAATTCTTGCCGCCGTCGATCGCCGCACTCAGGCGACAGTCAGCGGTCCCAAGGGTGGATTGTCCATCAAGGGCGCATCTGGCCCTTTCATCGTAGTCGGCAGCAACTTTGCGCCGGGTACTACTGCGGCCGATATCCAGTCTGCCTTGGAGTCAACCACCGGCCCTATGATCAGCTGCCGTGTCATTGATCACCACCCCACTGTCACCGCCGAGTTTGTCTTCGAGAACAAATTCAATGCGGAGAGTCTCGTTGCCAATTTCCACAACCAGCGGGTATGGGACACTGAGAACAAAAACAACCTAGATTCAAGTGCTAATCTAATACTGTAGGCCGATGGACGTATTCTCTCTATGGTTCTTAAGCCCACCGGATCTGCAATCAACAACAATGTTTACAGCAACTCGCGGGCCCAGGCCGATCGTGAGCGCCAGAACCGCCGGGATAAACGCCGGGCCGAACCCGCCATGAAGGATGGTCACTACGAATGGGATGAGGACGTTAAGCCCTCGTACCAAAACAAATCCGGACACCTCGGTGACACTATGATGATTGATTCGCCCCAGCCCCGACGCAACAATAACCAGAATCGCCAGCGCCGCTAAATGCGGTCCTGCGTAAGGAATGACGAACTCTAGCATTCCCGAAATCTGGGTTCTGTTGTCAATGGAACTGCTTCTGTACCTGCTCTTCATCTTTAGCCTTCCTGTGTACCAAATACCTATCATGACATGTATGAATATCTCTTCGTTTAGTCAATACCACTTTTTGAATTCGAGCAGATACATCATTCCCTTGAGTCTTCCTATACTAGATCTCATGTCTGGCAATATCTCGTTATTTTTGGAGATGCTCACCATGTGCATCAAAGATCTCAACATTTTGACGATACTACAAGCAGCAGCAATGCTTCAAAATATATTCGTTCAACTTCAATTATTGAAGGCATGAGGAGAGCAAGCGCTATACATCATTATACCGAAATTTTCTTCTATAGTAAGCGGCAGGCGTGTGTGAAGTCCTTCGACTTTGCCATATACTTTGTATGCGCTACTCGAACTTGAACACGTTATCTCTTACCCTATGGTACCTACCTCAGTATCTACTTCAGACCTACCCTTTAAACTATGGTATACTACAACAGTATATCAAACTCATCCATAGATATAAAAGTGTGTAGTTTGGCTGACAATTCAAGCTCGTCGGCCGCTGAGGTTGTCTAGCCCAACTCCTCTAGTGCATACCCTGCTTTTGCTGAAACCTCTCATACTTTGACCCGAACAATGGGAGACATTCTTTTACCGGATGCGAGTATAACCGATCTTATCTAAAGCAGTGTATCTAATGCCGAGCTTCAAAACATCGAGGATATGTGTGCCAGATGTTACGTGTTCTGAATTCATCCCCAATGGGCCCTTCCTGATGACATATATAGACTTCTGGGGCAACGCGTCAGCCGAATTTCTGGATAAACAGAATGTCACCCTTTCGTTGTAGGGCGTGAGTATCCGATATACCCACCACCCGTTGCGCTTCTCGATGGAAGAGATCCTTAAAGCTGAGGGTGGTACTAGAACTCGACTTGCACGCTGGAGGTGCTGATCAAAGATCTGGCTTTCAACCATCAAGTCATCTTCTTCATATTCACGATAGGGTATGACATGTTTTCCCCCCTTCGAAATTTGGGGGAAACGACGGAAGGTTGGGTGATAGACCAAGACCTCTTCATCAAATGGACATACGCCGATAGTTACATACAATCAGCGTCCAACGGACGTCCATTGTCTCTTCCTTTCGCCGTAAGTACCACAAGATACTTTTTATAGAGCGCTGCCACCTTATTCTACCTACCGAACAAAGATCTAACCCATTGGAATATTCCATGGACTTCCCCTAGCAGATCTTGTCGTCGGTCTTGGAATAGCTGGGAGAGAACCACAAAAATGCCGATTTTCTGGCATTTTTATTCATCACCTAATATTCGTTTCTTCTAAGTAGTCTTTGCTACTATTCGCATAATTTTCTTAACAGAATATAGAGCCATAGGATTTGCTCCTCTTCCTCTCCATATCATCTCCCATATACTTTTCCTCGTTCTCTGGGTTTTTTATGCCTCGATTGATCAGCCTGATCATTAAAGCCATGCTTCTCGTTAAGCGCTTCCAATGCCACACTTAAACCTTCGAGAAACGTTTTCTTTGCCATATGCCACTTGATATACCCTGGATCACTGGTGATCAGAGTGAACCACCCCTCGACTAACTCCGCTTGTGGGAAATGCGCTGCTTCCGGGGCGGCCATAAGAACCTCATACGCAGCTGCGTCCTATGTTTGTATTAGCCATGGAAATGCAGATAGACCCGATGCACTTACTGCAAGACGCTCGAATCGCTGTCACCGTGAGATTTTGTGCTCCCTGTGGTGGCGGGACTTAACCGAAAGGAAGGCCTTGTTGAAGCCTTGCATACCCATTGTCCCGGTAAGCTACGTGCGGTTTGGGGTTTCTTAACCTGTATCCACGCTTCTGCAGTGTCCAAATTGCGTAATTGCTTTTCCATGACTTTCATGGCAAATCCTGATCATTCAAAGAATAATAAGACATGATCGATGATGTTGTATCTCTTGGGAGCTAGAGATAACACTCCAGGGGTGTTTAATGAGCTTCTCGGTCTTACTTTTCTTATTCTGGGTGCATCTCTTCCGATTTGACATGAAACTGAAAGGCGTCGTGTGAAAAACATGAACATACCATGGGGAAGACATGAAAATGATGTGGGAGAGGGATGAATGAACAAAAGGGACAAGAAGAGGAGAACGTGCTCTCATAGTTTGCCCAGATTGATATTAACTTTAGCTTTACTTTGATTATCTCGAGAAAATGCTTTGATCAGACTCTATTGAATTGAATTGAGGTCTTCTACGACCTAGCAGAAGAGGTTCTACCTAAAGGAGCCCCAAGGCACCTCCCTCGGAGTCATTGGCAATCTGCAAACGTGCCACGCCGATTAGAGCAGCCAAGTCGGCGTGGAACTTGGTCTTCGCCGTTTTCCACTCGTCGTATCCCGCGTCACCAGGTGCAAGAGAAAGCCAACCCTCTTGCAACTCCTCCTGTGGCAAGTGTGCCGCTTCACGGGTGGCCACAAAATCCCCATACGCAGCCGCACCCTATATTTTATTAGTCATGGACATGTAGACAGGCTCAGTGCACTCACCGGACGGCGCTCGAAGCGTTCCCGTCCAGAGATGTTGTGTTCCCTGCGGTGGCGGTTCTCGACAGAAAGGAAAACCCTGGCGAGCTCCTTGATGAGCTTCGCCACTTCAATGCGGAATTGGATTGGCATCGGGTTTTCACTGTTGTAATATTGCGAGACCAAACGTAGCCGGAGCACGAACTCCATGGCATTCCCGAGCATTGCTGATGAAGTCTTTGTATTATCAGCAAGGGTCTCTTACGAATCAGTTCAAACACGTACTGTCTGGCAGACTGAGCCTCGATGTTCCGGACGCTGACATTCGATGCACCTCTCTTTGATCATGTCATGGTGACATTGGATGATAAATTCTTCGCCATCATGCGGGTCAAAAGCGCTGAGTGCTCTGCGGAAACATGGCAAACACCAGAGAAGAACAGATAAAATGCATGAAGCTCCTGTCATTATGACAAATGAATACTGAGAAGGTGGTTTGGGACAAAGGAAGATGAGCCTTGTTGGTCGGATGAAAGAGGTGTGGAGATGAATAGATGGATGAGAGAATGGGAGAAAGAAAGAGTTCGTTCCTAAAACTCACAACAATAGTCCTAAATGCTTTCATTAGCTTGATTGAATGAGTCCCCCTCGTGCGACGGCTTGTTGACGACCTCAGGCCGTTAAAAGGGTGTGATGGCTTGTCGACGACCTCAGGCCAACGCTAATAATAGCCCGTTTGCGTTAAGTCCATGAACGTTCCTACTAGGTTGATACTATGCTAGCGATGCATTCACAGTTGTGACAGAGTATATGGCATTAATGAGTTAATTATCTGGATCTTTGTTCATGTGGATGATAAGATTTCTAGGTAAGAGTCGGGAACAACGGAGTTGGTAGTATACCACGATAGAGTTTCGGTTATCTCTCGGATCTACCCGCTGTGGGACCGTCCAGGTTATCAGATCGTGCTCGGATCAATACAAATATTGTACCACTGAGATTTTCCCCATCTCTCTCCTCATCTGTCGATCCTAGGACTTGATATGTGCAAATCTCCCCTCCTCTCCAGACTAGATACCTAGGATGCGGCAGCCAAAAAAGTCCTGGCTACTTCTTATTGGAGTTCAACTATACATGAGCGTGGCCGAGAGCTAAGTGAAGCGTGTAAGATAGTAAACCTGGGTTTTGAATTCACCATGCGAGTAGCTAGACATTTTGCCATTACAGAATAGCGAGTGAGTCAATGTCCGAGGCCATTTGGATTCTCTTTCTATCCGAAAAAACCCCCACTCCTACTCGTGAGATCTTAATTCGTAGTGACGATGCCTACTTTAATCTATGATCGGAATTTTCCTAAGTATGTCTACACTCCTACGTCACGCCTCTACCTTGTTCTTAGCTTCATCTCTAGCATCACCTGTGCCTTAGGTTCCCACACAATTCGTGATAAATTTTGAATTGCAATTCAACATTCTATGGACACCGATTCTTTCCCAGCCTTTTGGACGCCACGTGGATCAAGCACTTCCTTTTTTCTTTCTCTTTCTTACTACTCTCCCACCTCACAAGAGTATCCACTGGGCAACGAAATTTTGGCTCTTCCATATCAAGTCCAAAACAGACCTCGGATAAGCTTGATGGCTCATGCCGGGACCAGATCGCATGAAGCCAAGCTAATGAGTCTGAGAAATGGATATGCTATGTGGCGACAGGATGCTAAGTGAATACTATTACAAAAGGTATTATGCCTGAGATTTTAGGTGTGTATTTAGATCACGCTGCTTTCCAGGGAGTATTTTAGCTTTTCGGTCCAAAGTGGCAGAGTCTATAAGAAAAAGCTTACTATCAGCTCTTGTCAGGTTCGAGGAATAAAAAATCCCAAGTAACATCGAGTCAACCTTACTCTCGCTGTCTTTAACATCATTGGCATTTTGTTTAGATTTACTAAATTTTCCAAGGTTGTGCGCGACGGTGAAGGACTCGCATCGATGTTTAAGCTCCTAACAGTGGATGACATGGAGGTCTCGATCTTCGGTAAGATATTTACGATAGACCCCAGGCTTCAATTCATCATGGAGATCTGTGGTAATTGGGAACATTTTAGTGTACAGAGAAGAGCGAGCCTCGGTAGCAAAAAGGCTTAGGAAATTTAATATACGTGTGCATCAGAAGAATAAAAAAGATAGAGAACACCACAATAATCATCTGTTCTTCAGGTTCATATTGCTATCTTGTTCCCTAATTATCTAGTAAGCGTAAGGGTTTACTCCCTTTCCATCAAGCACCTCGGTCAAAAAATCTCCAAAGGTGATCGGCTTGAAATCCGGGTAAAGTTCTCGGGCATTGAGGTACCCAAGAGAATGCGCACTCTCCTGAGTGTTATCACATCTCACGTACTTGCTGTACTGGTATTGTGAAATGTAAAGCATGAAGAGGTGATTCATAGCTTTGGGATCTTCTGCGTGTGCCTTTTTGGCCATTTGCACAGCAATTTGAATATCCTGTGCAGTCATCTTCATAATCTCTCGTTAGCTGTCTTGGGCATCATTGTAGTAGGATTCCCCTTGGGGGCTTTATAGATTGTCTGTACATACGGTCTTTCTTTCGATCTTTTCGCCGGAACGCTCCTCCATCATACTGAAAATTTGGTTTTCAGATAGAACGTCGCCGTATGTGTACACATATTGGTTTAAAGTTCGGTCGTCCGTGACGATACGAGCCACAAATCGTCCAATATCACGAAGGTCTGTAAGCAAGTTTGGTGCTTCGCCATCGTTGTGGATGGTGACGTTGGGTTTGATGGGGCTTGCATAGTCAACCCGGCCGGACGGTAAGGTTGGGTACGAGATTTGATACCAGTAGCCAACGTCAATGACTGTAAAAGGCAGAGAAAGCTGCTTCAAGTGCTGATAGACTTCTTCCTTCTTCACAAAGTAGACCCATTAGTCTATGACAGCGGCAGAGCAACCAGATACGGAAATATTGGATCTTACATCGTCGCGGATTTTCATCACATCTCCGGGCGGGCACACAGTTGTGAAGCCACAAGGAATGAACCTTTTGACACCTGCTTCCTTGGCGGCTGTGGCAAGATTTATTTGCGCCAGCTGTGAGCTGGCATCAATGGCGCTGATTACCAGATCAAACCCAGAAAGCAAAGAGACTAGGTTCTCAAATGGCCCGTCAAGATCTCCAAGGCGGATCGGGAGACCTCTATCAGCCAGCTCTTTGACTGCGGGCTTGTCTGCAGAGGAGGGTCTAACAAATAGTTCTATCGACTATAGTATTTGTCAGATTGGTAAAAATGTCTCATAACAAGACAGTACATACAAAATTTCCATATTCAATAAGACCATCCAGAATTGAGCTACCGGTGTGTCCAGTTGCACCAAGAAGTAGGACCTTTTGCGGCATTTTTCTTATATTCCGAAAGATCTGGTCTCAGGAGGCAAGGACCGATTGCAAAAAATGAGAGTGAAAGCAACAGATGAGAGCATTTGAGGTGAAGGAGACGGGGATAGTACGGAATTAATGCTTACATGTAGACCGGCTCGGATACAACAACGGTCCGAGATGCACAATCCGTTATCGATAAGATAAAGTCATGTGACAGCTTCAGAGCCACGAAATCGGGATAACCAACTGGGAGAAACAAAATTACAGCAAGCTGTCGTCGGTGCCTCATTTCCTCCAATTCTAGTCGAGTTTGTTGAAACCAGCAGCTCTGAATTTTGAATTACTCTCTACGCCAATTCGGCTTGAAAGCCAACCGGGATCGTGCCAAACATGAACACGGCTCGGCGCGCAGCGTCGCATACGCTTCGGAGATCTCGCAACTCCGTATTCTTTACAAGCTCGCGACGATGTAATTCAACATTCGAGACCAGGCAATGGTCGACGCCTCTTGCCAAATCATTGGCCCATGCGATGAAGGTGTGTCTACCCCAAGCTCCGCATAGCCTTGCCGCCCTAACGATGATAAACATCCAGGTTACAGGTCCGATTCCAATCGCAGCATTTATGCGCCAGGTCTTGACCTCCCCAGAAGACGGATACTACACATCACGACCCGACGTTTTCGGAAAACATGGTGACTTTGTCACATCTCCCGAGATTTCTCAGGTGTTTGGCGAACTGGTTGGCATTTGGACAATTGCTGAATGGATGTCGCAAGGCCGAAAGAAGAGCGGCGTTCAGTTGATGGAGGTTGGACCGGGTAAAGGAACCTTGATGGATGATATGTTGCGGGTGAGTAGTTGGAATGTCAGTATCTACTTTCGGTTTGACTGACTTGTTAGACATTCCGGAATTTCAAAAGCTTCACTTCAAGCGTCGAGGCAATTTACTTGGTGGAGGCGAGTGCTACACTGAGGGGGGTACAAAAAAAGCTTTTGTGTGGTGAAGCTGCCATGGAGGAGACAGACATTGGACATCGGAGCACTTGCAAATACTTTGACGTGCCCGTCATCTGGGTGGAAGACATCCGTCTTCTACCGCATGGTGAGTGTAGTACTCAAATCCAAAGTTCTACAATACTGACGAAATATTCCACTTCTTAGAGGAAGGCAAGACACCCTTCATCTTTGCACATGAGTTCTTTGACGCACTTCCAATCCATGCATTTGAGTCGGTTCCTCCTTCTCCCGAAAATGAGCTCCCAGAACAAAAGGAGATCATGACCCCCACCGGGCCTCAGAAGCTTCACCAACCTCTCAAAGTCAAGAATACTTCTCAATGGCGCGAGTTACTCGTTACCTTGAACCCAAAAGCTGTGGAGGAAAACATCGAAGGGGAGCCCGAGTTCCGGTTAACCAAAGCGAAGGCCTCCACACCGACATCTCTTGTGATTCCCGAGATCTCTGAACGCTACCGCGTACTCAAGTCAAAGCCCGGCTCGACTATTGAAGTCAGTCCTGAAAGTAGGATTTACGCTGCTGATTTCGCCCGTCGCATCGGCGGAGATGCCGCATCTGCACCGTCAGCAACAAGGCAGACCGTCGACCCCAGTGTAACGCAGAAAAAGACACCATCTGGTGCAGCTTTGATCATGGATTACGGCACCATGTCGACTATTCCTATTAACTCGCTACGTGGAATCCAGCACCATAAAATTGTCCCTGCACTTTCGTTCCCCGGTCAGGTGGATGTAAGTGCTGATGTTGACTTCACTGCACTGGCTGAGGCTGCCATTGAGGGTAGCGACGGCGTCGAGGTCCATGGTCCTATTGAGCAGGGCGATTTCCTGAATGCAATGGGCATTACAGAGCGCATGGAGCAACTCATTCGCAAAGCTGGAAATGATGAGCATAAGAAGATATTGGAGACTGGATGGAAGCGCTTAGTCGAGAAGAGTGGTGGCTCGATGGGCCAGATCTACAAGGTCATGGCCATTGTGCCGGAGAATGACGGGAAGAGACGCCCTATTGGGTTTGGAGGAGGCCTTCAGATGTAAATCATATCTGATGAGATATGTAATAACTGGACCTGTGAACTATGCCATCTGGCTGTTTAGCGCCCAATACGACGTTCTGTAAGTTCCGCTGGTATGAAACCTCGCCGCGCCCTGTCCATTCCATCTTGGGTTCTTCTCGTTCTGGAAGTCGAAAGAGATTTGGCAAGGTCTGGTGGCAGTACTGATACTGGCTTGAAGAGTCGAGATCGATTCGCAGCATCCGAGTCCCTTGAGGAGGCAGAATAAGTTTTTGCTGAGGCTGCGATTGAGAAGCTCGCCAAATCGCTCGCTTCAATGCAGGATGGAGCATTCGTTGATCACCACAAGCCTTTTCTGGCACATGGTGTTGACTCTCTACTCGATATTGAGCTTCGGAGCTGGATATTCAAAGCGTTCAACTCCAATGTGGCGGTCTTTGAGACGCAAGACTCCTCGACACTGGGAACACTCAGCAAGTTAGTTGCGGGAAGAAGCACCATTAAGCACGATAAATGGTCTATCATAGAGTATTATATTATCAGTTTGATTACATATTGCGCCTTTTCTACTCTTTTCCTGTTTCTGGGCTGAGGGGATGATCTGTGCCACATGTTGACTAATGGCAATCAAGTTCATGTTCTCATCACAAAGAAGGATTTCCAGGTCCATCCTTCCACTTATAATATTTTTAGCCTCAGTGCGCAAGTAGAGCCGTCGGACACCTTGAGGTGGGAGGTTTCTCTTGATCTCTGTCGACATACTCAATGTCACGTTAACACTCTGGGTGATAGGCTTCATTGAGCCATCCAGCTCCAATTCCCTCCAATTCGGCTTTCCCTCTGCACGAGCCTTCATTTGAGCCTCTGCGAATTTGAGAGTAGCAGCAATATTGCCCATCAGTAATCGGTCTTCTTGTGGGAAGAAATTCTCTTGAACAGGAAAATTAATGTCTATTGCAAATTGTATCATCTCTGTCGTCCATCGTGCTTTGTCTTGTCCTTTCTGGGCCACACAGGACCCTTTTGGGAGGCAATCCCAACCGGGTAAGATCCATTGCTCTGTGAACTTTATCTGAGGCCAAGATTTTGGTATGAAAGTTCTCACGTAGGAGTGGGCATGCCGAAATCCATTTCGATGGAATGCTGTTTGGTATGATGTCCATTCGGGATCATTGTCCATTTCGAGCATCCGCAGATCCACGGGGCGGGTAGCAGTCAACTGCCAGCCTGTCTGGAGGCTAATGCCTGGGAGCTTGAAGTTAGTGAGCCTAAATCACATCAGTAACTACGCATCAATAGGCAGCTTGGTGGATAACCTACCAAATAACTGCAGACGCAGCGACTTTCTCGAATTGGAATGTTTCAACATGTAAGGTGGACCATGCTTTACCCAGGCTCATTTCACGCAGTTGCATTTCCACTGGTTTGTTCTCAATGATCGGACGGTAGAATCGAACCAATGATGTTCGCACATCTGTTTGGGACCGTAGTAGTAGATTCTCATGCTTCGAAGCATAATTGATGGCATCTTTCGTCATCAAGCAGGCGATATAGCCCCCACAGCTGACTGGGTTCAGTTTTAGTCATGTTGCCGGGTAATCCAACAAAGTATATTCGCACCTGCCCCGAATGAAATATCCGTTGAAAGCACGAGAACAAATCCCTTGCTGGAAGGAGAGAGTTCCATTCCCAATGCAGTCGACAAGCTCGTTGGTAACGTGTCTGCCATTGTTTATTGAATTTCAAAAGCTAGCGTATGCTTGAGACTTGGTTGGTATTGAAGAGGGGAAGGGGCTGTTCTCTTCGGGGAAAACCCCTCAAGTGCTCTACTAAAATTTGGCCCCAGTACTCCGTACAGGTTATGTCACATACTGTGGACCAGTCAAATCACTTTTCACGCGACTATTCCAAGGTTTTCATGTGGAGCTAAATTGATTTGTCTACTTCTTTGTCTTTAACCCATTGGTATCAAAGGTTGGAGGCTGAAACATACATGTGCAGCACAAAGTACTCCGTACGAGGATCTCACGAACCGAATCAAACGCTTGGTGGATTCTAACATGATAATCATGCCAGATATAGTCTGTCTTAGTCTTGATTGTCAGTTAGGACTGAACCCCGGAACTCTCAGTGCACTCAGTCTATTGTATCAAAGATCTGAGATATCGGTTCGATTACTGTCAGGTCAATCAATCCCAATTCACTCCCGAGTACAAAAGCATTACCCCTGGTGTGCACACCAATATCGAGATCATCACGCTGCTCTTCAATGTGGTGGGTGAATTACTAATACTCCCAGCAGACAAAGAAAACTTCTAGACAATTGGCTATATATCAAGCCGAAATAAGGTCATTTATTGGTCAACATAGGAGAGACTTTCCTCGAGTGGACAGGTGATGTTCTGAGGAGTTCATTGCATCGCGTTTCAGCGGCCCTGGGAGAGCAGGCGCTGGTCAACCGTAAAGTGTGGCGTAATTGGTGCGTCCAAAGAACAATGCCTCTATGTAGAGATTGAATGGGGAAGCAATTCCACCAGTAGAGGAGAGTGAGGATGAGATCCGCTCAGTCAATGAATGGGCTGCATGGCGTACAGAACAGATCATGCTTGGTCAACTTAAGCCATAGACCAGTGATGGAAAATTGTTGGCCAAGGTTTAAAGAAGCCTTGAAATTGTGACACTGTCTAGCAGGTCTTTGCTACGAAAAGAAAAATATATAGATTAAGTCTCGGAGGGTGCTTAAGTACACATCATGTATCAGATTTATGTATTGCCATCAAGCCTTGGGGTATCTCTCTTCTAGTCATATCTCATCAAGGGCGAGGTCAAGAAATGCCAACAGGCCAGCATATCCAAGAAGGTAAATCTAGTAATCCTGCCAGATATCTTCCACATAGGACTCTGTCAGGGTCTCATCCTTGCCATACTTGTCCTGCCACTCCAGAAAGCCGCCCACGAGAACACAAATTTGTTGTTTCTGACTCTCTTCTGTGCCAAGGGCGCTCTCACGCTCACGTGCATAACGCAGAGCAGCGGAGGGGCCACGCTGCTGGCTAAGTGCGCAGTGAAAGACGACCTTCTCGGTATCCTTAAGAGTTCGTACAAGCTCCGGCATGCGGACATCAAGAGAGGAACTGGGGACCCAAGTTGATGAGCGGATGTGACCGCCGACGTGGTCTAAGAAGGTCAATATGCAAATCCGGTGATTTCGATCATTCAAAATGACATACCTGAATCACGGACGTCGATGATTGCTAGCTTGGCGGGGCCGGGCCCGGCTTGAAGGAGCGCGGCTAGGGCATCCCGATCAATGCGCGGCAGAGTCGCGATATTGAGAGAAGACATTTCGATACTGAGCGACGGAATGTAGAGAAAGGGATAATTTTTTAACGGTAGTCTAATAGTCCAAATGTCCAATAACCAACGTGGTTGGAGTGAGTCGAGTCAGATCGAATTCATCGGGATTCACGTGACCTCGAATTTGGTCGGATTTTCTTTTGAACTACGCTAAATGTTGTCGCGACTTCCAGCCATTTCAACCTCCACTCTCCCACCCAGAGCACCACCCAAACCTGCCAATCGAACCAATTCGTTCAATCCAGGCGCTCTGCTATCCACAAAAATGGAATTTCGCGCCCTGGCCCGCGGCCTCCGTGCCCGACCAACCCCATGGCTCCTTAACACGCCTCGCATCCAGCACCCCAACTTCCTCACCACACTCCGCTACAACTCCTCAAGCTCCTCTCCACAAGCGCCAACAATCCCCCCAAGTACACAAGCCATCACCAAGGAATCCTCCCCATCCGCACAACCTACACCCACACCTGAGGCCCAGATCGAGACTACCAAAACCGCTGCCTCGGACTTCGACGATATCCTCAACAAGCTTGAGCTGGGTCCCCGTCCCGCTGATGGAACACAGCGTACCTCAATCCGCAACAACCGCATCGCCGACACAATCTCCGGCACGATGTTCCCGTCGCCATCCCGCGACGGTGTTGCCGGGCAATTGGCGAGCCGGAAGACGGAGCTGAAGCTCGGACCTACGCTTGGTCGACAGATTCATGTTGAGCCTGAACGGGGTGTGGATCTTCCGGCTGCTATTCGGATGCTGGAGATGACCTGCTCTGCGAATAAGATTAAGCAGCAGTCTATTGAGCAGAAGTTCCATGTGCGGAAGGGTATGAAGCGCAAGGAGTTGCGACGGACGAGGTGGCGGAAGCTGTTCAAGTTTTCATTTAATGAGACTGTTAAGAAGATTCAGCGGATGCAGGCTCAGGGATGGTAGGAGTGTTTCTGGTCTGTATCTTGTATATACTGAGACTGGATTGGATTGGACTGGGCATGGGCTTGACTTGATCTAGCGTGATATCAGGCTAAAATTGGGGGTTTGTTTCTCCCTTTGTGTTTTAACATGTACAACTACCTGCGGAATTATCTTTCATTTTGTTTTACTTGCATAGACATGGAATGCAGTTGATATTTATCAGACTTAAGACTCTTATCCTCATAACACTTTTCGGCCTCTTTTGATACACACTATACAAGAGTCTATAGATACCACTAATGTTCACAATCCGTCAATATGAATAACAAATCAATCCCTCTTCCCAGTAGGAAATCCTCCATATCCTCCATACCCAGCACCATTGCCGTTGCCATTTGCGCCACCAGTAGCAGAAGCAGAGTATCCTCCATAACCGTGAATGCGTCCACCATTGCCGAAAGTCACACTAGAACCCACACCCCGAGTAGAAGACGCTCCCAAAATACCCTCCCCCTTCCAACCAGCTCTCCTCCTAAAGCTCTGTCCATTCCGCTCCCAGTAAAGACCAATCAAAGCACCCACTGAACCCGCCATAATAATGAAGAAAAGGCGGGAGAGTAACGAGCTAGACCCCGAGCGCCGCGAAGCAGTAGTACCACTGACACCCAAGAAGGACTCCGTCTTAGATCGCTCCGGCCACCCAATGCCAGCACCGCCCTCCAACCAAGCAACATGGAAAGAAAACGTCAGCGGCTCGCCGCGTATCACCTTTGTCCCGTGACCCAGAGTCCAGGGTTCGCGCGCCGCCTGCGAAACAGCGACTGCTTCCTCGTCCTCATCTAGCTTGACGTTCTTAACAGCAGCCTCAAACTCGGGAGTTGAGTATGCTGTTCCTGCGATCACGTAGCCCGGTTGCCCGCTCTGTGTTCCTGAAGAACCCTCGGGTTGCGCCGCTGCATCTGAGGGGATGTCGTGCATGAGCATGTTCATATCGGACCAGATGTGGAGGTGGCTAAGCTGGAGTGTACCCTGCAGGGCGATTGTGAGAGGTGTGAATGGGGGACCATTCTCGCTTAGTGCGGTAAAGGCGTCTGTCTCGCCGGACTCGGGGGTGGAGTCTGTTTTGTCGAGTCTGTTGGGGGAGGAGAGCGGGGATGTAGGGACGCGACAGGTCATTGGGACGTCGGAGTGTACGTAAAATTCGAAGAGGTGGTAGAGCGTGTCTGAGAGGACGGGAATAGTGCAGTTGATTGTTTCTGAGATGCCATAGCGAATGGATAGTGGGCGGGAGGTCTCGTTGCAGGTTACGAATGGGATGTATTGGAGTTTGCCCAAGCTATCTGTGATCTGGTTTTTGTTAGTTGGCGCCATTGTTTGTCAGGGTCAGGCGCATACATGTTCTCCTTCCCTGTTGACACGTCCGATTAGTATAGATGCGGTAGAGATTGGATGAAAAGGGAGAACATACAATGTTCGATTCAGACAGGATACTGGGACTTCATCGCCAATTCTGTATCCATCCCCGCTATTGCTGGTTCCCGCGACTGCTCCAGTAGACCATAGCGCTGTCGCAAGGGATAGTGCCACGGTGGTTGGAAACCGGGTCAATGAGCGTAGAGGATGCATTTCTGTAATTTTCATGCCTGCGTCAAGAGTAGTCACCCCAACGGCGAGTTGGTGGAATGGGGAATCGGCGCGGAGGAGACACGGAGATGTTCAGCCACAAATTGCGGAGCCAGCCTGTCCATATCAGCGCTATCTAGATCAGTGATCCACCCCTGAATTAACAGGGTCATAAATCCCCCGTTTTTTCTACTTGTTTTAGTCATTAAATTTGCTAATGGAAACAAAAAAGGTATAAAATGTTCAAATTTTGAAACTAAATTAACAGGTCAGAGTTATCGTTGCTCATAATAGCCGTCTTCCACCACGGTCATCAATCTACGCCAACTTGGCCTTCGCCTTGAAAGCAGCGAGCAATCCACTGGTAGAGGCATCGTGCTCGCCAGTAGCGCCAGCAGTCTCCAGTTCCTTCTGGATGTTCTTAGCTAGGACCTTGCCCAGCTCGACACCCCACTGGTCAAAGGAGTTGATGTTCCACACAGCACCCTCAACGAAGGTGACGTGCTCGTAGTAGGTGATCAGGGCACCCAGAGTAGAGGGGGTAATCTTCTGGGCCAGGATGGAGGTGGTGGGACGGTTACCCAGGAAGGTCTTGTGGGAGACCAAGTGCTCGGGAGCACCCTCAGCGCGGACCTGATCGGGGGTCTTACCAACCATCAGGGCCTCGGACTGGGCGAGGAAGTTGGAAGCAAGCATGCGCTGGTGCTTGCCGTTCTCAACGGGGTTGTGCGACTCAGCCGCCATCAAGAAATCGGCGGGGATGAGCTTGGTGCCCTGGTGCAGCAGCTGGAAGAAGCTGTGCTGGGCGTTGGTGGCAGGCTCACCGAACAGAATCGGACCAGTAGTGTACTTAACATACTCTCCGCTACGGGTGATGGCCTTACCGTTGCTCTCCATGGAAAGCTGCTGCAGGTAGGCGGGGAAGCGGTGCAGGTACTGGTCGAAGGGGGCAACCAGGTGAGTCTGGGCACCGAAGAAGTCACTGTACCACACGCTCAGCAGACCACCGATGGCGGGGATGTTCTGCTCCAAGGGAGTCTCGCGGAAGTGCTTGTCCATGGCGTGGGCACCAGCCAAGAACTGGTGGAAGTTGTCATAGCCGATGTACAGAGCCACGGAGAGGCCAATGGCGCTCCACACGGAGTAACGACCACCGACCCATGACTCGAAGCCGAACATGTTCTTGCTGTCAATGCCAAACTTGGTAACCTCAGCCTCGTTGGTCGAGAGGGCGACAAAGTGCTTAGCGATGGCCGACTCGTCCTTGGCCGTCTCGAGGAACCAAGTCTTAGCAGAGTTAGCGTTCTGGCAGGTCTCGGCGGTGGTGAATGTCTTGGAAGCGATCAAGAAAAGGGTGGTCTCGGGGTCGGAGTGCTTGAGAGCCTCGGCGATGTGGGTGCCATCGATGTTGGAGACGAAGTGAAGCTTGAGGTCCGGGTGGCCGTACGGCTTAAGAGCCTCAGTAACCATGACGGGGCCGCTAGCAGAGAAAACATCAGCCGCTGTTCAATTTGGGCATTCTCGAGAAAGTGGCGCAAACTTACAGGTCGGAACCGCCAATACCAATGTTGATGATGGTGTTAATCTTCTTGCCGGTGTAACCCTTCCACTCGCCACTGCGCACCTGCTCTGAGAACTCCTTCATGTGCTCAAGCACGCTGTTGACTTCCTCAACAACGCTCTTGCCATCGACCTGCATGGGCTGGTTGGAGGTGTTGCGCAGGGCAGCGTGGTAGACAGCACGGTCCTCGGTGAAGTTAATGTGCTCACCGGCGAACATAGCATCACGCAGCTGCTCAACACCAGCCTGCTTGGCGAGCTTCACCAGCAAAGCAAGAGTCTCCTCGGTGAGGAAGTTCTTGGAGAAGTCGAACAAAATACCCGAGTTGTCCACGGTATTGGCAAAGGTATGGCTAAACTTCTCGAAGCGCTTGGGATCCTTCTCGAAATACTCCTTCAGGACAATATTGCGTCCCAGAGTACTGTGGTGCTCCTGGAGCTCTTTCCAGGCACTAAGCTCCGAAGCTTGTGAGAATTCCGCCATGTTGAACGATGATGACGCTGTTTTGGTTCCCGAGTTAGTGCGGGGCAATTGGGGATGACGGAGGGATTCCTAGAGGAATTGTAAAAGACTTACAGGGTAGGCAAGAGATATAGAAGGGGATATTAAGAAGAAAATAAGTTGTACGGAAGCGCGGATCGAGTTATAGGAGAAAAGAGTTGAGTCCGGCGCGCTGGGGTCCGGTGGAGGGGTGCCGTGGGGCAAGCATCATCATTGCCGCATTCAGGTTTGGTCTGGAGCGGGTTTGTTGTCTAATCAAGATTTCCGTCAATTGCCGTTCCTCCGATGTTTCCAATGTTATTTCAGGTATATTGTTCCGAGTTTAGATGTATATCTAAGTATAGTGACATATACCTTTTTATTGCTCTACTTTACATTAAACTATAACGCATATAATGTACCGTGTACTACCGGTGGACCCATGATGTACAGAGGTACCCATACTTGTAAATGGAATACGAAGCCATAAGCTATGATACAATTGATCTTCACATAAGCTGAGGCAATCTTAATGAAAGGATGAATTTCAAGCCTATTATAACTTATTAACCTCGGGTTATACTGACCCTTAGAAGTCTATGGAATTTAACCGGCCGGTGAGAGTTATGGGGAGAATACGTCGGGTGTTTACCGTCCGATATTCAGCATTACTCTACCAATCAAAGCCGCCAAGTGCTTACAGTATTATCCGTATATCCCGGATGGATTTAAACATTAATATGAGCCTTAGAGATACTTTAGATATTTGAAATCCATACTCAAGCTGACTTGAGATTTGATGGGAAATTTTATACAAACATATATCATATACATGCATGTACATCTGGTCAACCATAATGATTATCGTATCGCTCAATACCGAAACTTATATGGATATATTTGTATTTTTCAATGCCGAGATCTATCCATATCAGAATTGATTTTTTGAAGCTAATAATGTAATATAGAATTAACCATAACCTTCAACGTTGGAACATTGAATCTGTTTTACTCCAATCGCCAAGATCAGCGCACGGACCCACATGGCAACCGCAACTTTCTTCCTTCAGTTCTACTGAACAGCAACATCATCGAGCAGCAGCTCATTCTTCAATTGAAAATTATTCCAAATCCACTTGGCGGCAACGTGCGCATACCCGCCATGTACAACCCTTACCAGCGTGAGCAATTCCATCAGTCGCGAAATTAATGCGAAGTTCCTACGCGCAAATACTGACTTGACTTTCAGCTCCAGGTGCTTATGGTCACCCCCAGGAATATGGCGCATATCCCGGTGCGCCTGGTGCACCTCCAGGCATGGGTAAATCATTGATATCTCCTTGACTGTTTCGAATAATCGCTAACAACATCCAGCTCCTCCTCCAGGGATGGCAGCACCAGGTACAGCTCCTCCTGCGAACATGCAACAGGCGAACAATCAGCAGCCTGGTCGCCCCGGAGGGTTCCCAGCTAACTTCCAACCACCGCCGAATATGCCAAACATCAACTTCTCCGCCCCAGTGATCCGCCTGGGCACTTCAGGCCCCGCCAAGCCTGCCGGGCCAGAGATGGGCCGTGAGCGTGGACCAGAGGGCCCCCGACGTGCTGGTCTCGGTTCCTCTAGTGAAGGGCAACGTCACCATGGCCGCGATGCGATGATGCTCCCCCAGCCGCCTACCCGTGATGAGATTGTGCGAACACTTTTCGTGGGTGGAATTACGGAAGGTGCTGGTGGTGATGATGGCATTGAGCGCATTCTGCAGTCGGCAGGCCGCCTCCGACGATGGATTCGTGCGACCGATGCTGATGAGAAGCCCTGCCGGTTCGGATTTGCCGAGTTTGACGACCCGGAGAGTCTGGAGACAGCGGTCGAGGTTCTTAAGGAGATTGAGATCCCTGTTAAGCGACAGATGCCTCGCGCTGAGGGTGAAGAGGAGAAGGAAGTGGAAAAGAGCACACTACTTGTAAGAGCCTCATTTCCCACTATAGTATGCATTACTGACTTTATCTATAGGTTGTGGTGGACGAGAGCACAACTAAATACTTGGAGCAGTTCAAAGATAGCCGAGGCGATCGAGACCCCGTAGAGATCAACGCACGCTTTGAGGCAGCCCGTAGCGATCTAAAGAGCGTTCTTAAAGACCTCTTCCACCCGAAAAACCCTACTAAGAAAGAGGATGCCTCCGCATTGGACCGGGAAGGTGACACTGAGATGCAAGACGGCGACGCATCAAAGGACGGGGAAGTAGTCACCATCCCAATCACCATCGAGGACGAATTGGCCGATATACCCCCAGAGATGCGTGCGAATGTGGCCAAGGAGATCGCTGCATTCCGCGAGCGGAGTAACCGTCGTGATATTGAACGTCTGAAGCGTGAAGAGGAGATTGAGTCTATGGAACGTGCTCGCAATGCAGGATCACGCTACAGCCGTCTTGCTTCTCCTCTTGCATCCGCTCCTAGTGGTCCAGCCGGTGGTGCGAACGGCATTCCTCTGGGTCCCCGTGATCGTGGCATGCCCAATGCACCGGCTGGCCCTAAGGGATTCGGTGTCCAAATTCCAAAGGACTACCAGAAAGGCGTGTCTTTTGTCAATGGTACCAACGGACAGGCTTATGGGAGTCGCGAAGACGAAGACTCGGACGCGAGTGACGAGGAGCTTGAACGCCGCCGCCAGGCTAAGCGAGAAGCAGATCAAGAAAAGCAGTTCCTGGACCAAGAGCGCCGGTGGCTCAACCGAGAGCGAAGCCGAACGGCCGCTCTGGAGCGTGAAAAGAAGCGCGACAAAGATGATGATGGCAAGCTGCAGGCTGCTCACGATGAAATGGATGAGCGGATGAAGGAGTGGAATGATGATATCGAGGCCAGCCGCAAGACCTCTGAATACTACGCTGACCATGGTGCCTGGCTCCGAAGCCGCGCCATATTCCGTGCTCGCGAAGCCAGCTTGGATGATGCTGATCGTGCAGCCGAGGAGCGTGAGCGTGCACAGTCCGCCAAGAAGCAGGAACAGGCTCGTGGCGCTGCCGACGATTTCCTCGCCCGCCAGGCTCAGGAGCTGGAGACCCGTATCGAGGAACCGCGAGAGCCTCAGCGCTTCAAGTTGTCTCTCGGAGCTGCGGCCCAAAAGGCCCAAGCTGCAACTACTCGTCGCACTGCCGCCGAAGTTGAAGGGTTGCTGGAAGATGAGGAAGAGCCTGCCACCACCACCCGCCGCCCTCTCATCCCGATCAAATTTGACACCGCTGCCGAGGCTGCTGGTCTTTCAGATGAGGAGCGAGCACAGGCGGCGCGTCAACTTGCTGCAGAAATCCCCACCGACAAGGAGGGACTGTGGAAGTGGGCGATCAAGTGGGAGTTTGTGGACGAAGCCGTTCTCAGCGATCAGATCAAGCCCTTCGTGGAGAAAAAGATTGTCGAATACCTGGGTGTACAGGAGCAAATGCTGGTAGATGTTGTGGAGGGTCATGTGCGCCAGAAGGGTTCTCCTCAGGAACTCGTGGATCAGCTCGCCGAGGTAAGTTTCCCATGTGGTCCTTTCTCTCAAGACAATATGCTAATATGACTGTTATAGGCTTTGGACGAAGAAGCCGAAGTGCTAGTTCGCAAGCTATGGCGTATGCTTATTTTCTTCTCGGAGAGCGAGAAGCGTGGTTTGTCGGCATAGTAACATGCCGCAATTTCCTCTCTACGAAGCTGGAAAAACTATTTACCAAGCAGAATGAGACATGCATATTCCATAAATATTCCCATCTTCAAAATACGCTTGTACTAAGTTTGCAAACTGCAAACTGCAACATGCGTCGCTGGTCAATTCGATGTTATGGTGACTTAACCTTCATCAATTCATATCATATGTATTTTTCTTGTATAAGCAAGATTTAACATCTACCATATGTAGATCCTAGTACGTGTATATCACTCTAGTCTTCGGCCATAGCCATTGCCAAGGCGGCATCATTCTTTTAGTGAATCTAGGCTATTTAGAGCAACATCAACCCCAGAAAAGCCGGAGGTACTCCGATAGACCCTCCTGGACGCTGATTGGTGGAGAAACCCAATTCCCCGGCTGGGGCAATCATCCACCAATTAAGATATCGGATTTGCGGAAACGGGGACGGCGGAGTGAGGGGTGAGGGCAAATGTGCCAACGGCGCGGGGGTTTAGAGGGACTATATACGGGTCCCGAGTAGCAATTTCTTCCGGATTCTTTTTGATTTATTTCCTCGCATTCTGACTTATATTATACCCTCCATCTTCCTCACAGAATCCACACATTTCCCTTGGAGTTCCCAGACTGTGAAGAACGTGTTCAATTGAGTCTTTTCTAGTATTATTGTTGATCAGTCGTCATCATGGTTAAGATTACTGGCTTTAGCACACGGGACGTGAGGTTTCCGGTATGCCTGCTCTATACCCCTCCAGCTGCACGAGATTCGATCGTTAACACGCCACTTTAGACCTCCCTCGACAAGACTGGCTCCGATGCTATGAACGCAGCCGGTGACTATTCCGCTGCCTACTGCATCATTGAAACAGACTCCGACTTCACCGGTCATGGCATGGTACGTATAACAAGCTCTCAATGCTTGCATACATGCATAAAGTACCTATACATTCTAACACGTCATTCCAGACCTTCACAATCGGCCGTGGTAACGAAATCGTCTGCGCTGCCATCTCCCTCGTCACCCCCCTCGTCATCGGTAAAGACCTCGATGAGCTAACTGCCGACTGGGGCAAGACCTGGCGCTACCTGGTCTCCGACAGCCAGCTTCGCTGGATCGGTCCCGAGAAGGGTGTCATCCACCTTGCCCTTGGTGCTGTTGTCAACGCCCTCTGGGATCTCTGGGCCAAGACTCTCGGCAAGCCAGTCTGGCGTATCGTCGCAGATATGACTCCCGAGGAGGTCATCCGCTGCATTGACTTCCGCTACATCACTGATGCTATTACACCTGAAGAGGCGCTGGCAATGCTGAAGGAGGTTGAGGGTGGTAAGCAGGAGCGCATTGCGGATGCAGAGGCCAGCAAGGCTGTTCCGGCTTATACTACTAGTGCTGGGTGGTTGGGATACTCTGAGGAGAAGTTGAAGGTGTTGTTGGATGAGAGTGTTAAACAGGGATACAGACATTTCAAGTTGAAGGTTGGTGCCAACTTGGAGGAGGATAAGAGACGATTGAAGATTGCTAGAGAGGCTATTGGGTATGATAAGGGCAACATCCTTATGGTTGATGCTAATCAGGTATGATTCAATCTCTGTCGATGGTTGATTGATACTAATTTGGACTAGGTCTGGTCTGTCCCCGAGGCTATTACCTGGATGCAGGAACTGGCTGAGTTCAAGCCTTGGTTCATTGAAGAGCCTACCTCCCCTGATGATATTCTTGGCCACGCGGCTATCAAGAAGGCATTGGAGAACACCCCGCATGGAACTGTCGGTGTTGCTACCGGTGAGATGTGCCAGAATCGTGTGATCTTCAAGCAGCTGCTGCAAGCCGGTGCCTTGACTGTTCTGCAACCTGATGCTTGCCGTGTTGGCGGTGTTAATGAAGTTCTTGCTATTTTGCTGCTGGCTCGCAAGTTCAATGTCCCCATTGTGCCCCACTCTGGTGGTGTTGGTCTGCCCGAGTACACACAACACCTGAGCACAATTGACTACGTTGTTGTCAGCGGAAAGCGAAGTGTTCTGGAGTATGTTGACCATCTGCATGAGCACTTTGTTCACCCGTCCAGTGTCAAGGATGGTTACTATGTCACCCCCATGGAGCCTGGATACAGCGTGGAGATGAAGGCCGAGAGTATGGATGAGTTCGCGTTCCCTGGTGAGGAAGGCAAGAGCTGGTGGCGCTCCGAGGAAGCCAAGGTCATCCTGGAGGGACCTCGAGTAGTATAAAACCTTTTTGATGTCGTTATGTGTATTCATGTTAATAGCTTTACCAAAATATAATCCCAGAATGTTTATAGGGAATGTGTTTCATTGTACTGAGTTAGATACTGCAGTGGGATATGGTACATTGATCTGGGTGGTTCATAGACCGGCCCTAAAAATACAATAAAATACTAACTGGCGACAGTAGGCCAGGTATATGCGACGTAGAAAGCCCTTGTTCCACATCGGACAAGAGCTCTGAGAGATCCAAAAGCTTTTCAACAAGATACTGATATGGTATGCGCTTCATAGCACTTTCAGCGCCACTGAATGCCAAAAAGTTTCAGCGAGCTAGCCACGCTGGGCTTCTCAACGGCCTTCTCAAGGACAACACGTGAGTGTCCTTTGACGTCCAGCGCAAGGAGTTGGTATTCCCATTCGCTCTTATCCAACGGTTTGATCATGTGTACGTGAACGATTCCAGAGTTGAGAGGACCCTCGACCTATATAGAAAGTGAGTATTTTGTTCCAGCGATAATAAAATGCTTGACATACGTGGAAGTTCATGCGGAGATGCTCACGGCCTAGACGGTCCTTTTCAAGGCTCGTCCTGTATGGTTTGTTAGTCCATACTTAAAGTTGCACAAAATAGTCCATAAACTCACGCAATAGGGCGATGCCGTGCCCATTTGCTCGAGGTATTCTCTCCAAAGGCTTTGATTTCTCGCCGGTCACCGAGGAGTTTTATGCACCGCGCGTCGTCCTTGACGCGGTCGACGGCTTTCTCGAATTGCCATGTTCGACTATTCGGAGAGATAACATCGGTCCATAGAAGGTAGAAGACACCTCCCTAGAATCATCGAAATGTTAGACAATTCGTTTTCGGTCTTCGCAAAGGTGGGTACCAAGAACCTACTGTCAAAACGACACCAGCTAACACAACCACGAAGTTGAAAGATTGCTGTGTAGCACGCGAAACCTTTTCTCGTCCATTCAAATCAGCCCAGTCATATCTTCCATCGTCTGACAAGACTGTAATGTTCCTCCGTCGTTTGGTTGTGCCGTTCGGGCTACTCTGTGTGGCGTATAGTCGGCTGATGGCGATTCTGGGATATGGGCGCAGAGCCGCTGCGGCACTTGAAGAAGCCCGAGGGAGAGCACGCACGTACTGAGGATTCATGGTGGGTGCGATCTTTGACTGCGTCCAACGAAGAAGATGAAGACGGCGATAACGATAGGCAGACTCACGTGCCCATGGGTAAAAAATACGGTATTGTAAAATTGTGGCCCAAGTGGCGTCATTTCCCCATAGTTAAGGTCCCTAATGCCCCACCGCCGGTCACCGCAGAACTGCAAAATTACACCAGGCACAGGGACTCTCCCGAGTCCGACCACGTTCGCCGTTCCCGATACATCGTTTTGGGCTTCTGTCTACAACACCACAACACTTCTTTTCTCCCTGATTTTCATAGCCCTTACCTCCATCATGAGTGCCTCCAAGGCGCAGTCTCAAAAGCTCTTTGAGAAGATGAAGTTGAAGCCTGCAAACAAGGTGCGCTCGCCCCGCGCCCCCGTCCCGCCGTTCTCGGTGCATTTTGGCCATTGTTCGCTAACAAGTCTCTCACGGTTAGGTGTGCTTCGACTGCAACTCTAAGAACCCTACCTGGTCGTCGGTCCCTTTTGGTATCTACCTGTGCCTTGACTGCTCGTCCAATCACCGCAATCTCGGCGTCCACATCTCCTTTGTTCGATCCACAAACCTCGACCGTATGTATTCTCCTATGGGGCGAGATTTGAGCAAAGCCACTCTGCGATTGGAATTTGGCTGACTAGACTGAAATAGAGTGGCAATGGGAGCAGTTACGAGTGATGAAGGTTGGTGGAAATGAGTCTGCGACCAAGTACTTCCAGTCACACGGAGGGTCTGCCGCGCTGGCCAGCAAGGATGCGAAGGTCAAGTATACGTCCAATGCGGCCGTCAAATACAAGGAGGAGCTGAAGAGGCGGGCCGCGGCGGATGCGCAACAGTCAGTACCCCTAGTCTCAACGGTAGGCTCTCCAGGTAGATGTTAACGGCGCATTGTTTAGGTACCCAGAGGAGGTTGTCATCACCGATATCCCTGCTGGCACCCCATCTGATGGCTCGGCTACCCCTGCTGGTGAAGATGACGACTTCTTCTCATCCTGGGACAAGCCCTCAATCAAGCGCCCCAGCAACCCGCCATCCCGCACCAGCACGCCACCCGTTGTGAGCCGAACCGCATCTCCGTTTTTGACCGCCAACTCGAACGGCTCTCGCTCCAAGTCCCCCCTGTCTGCATCTGAAGAGAAAGCTGCAGCCCCCGCTCCCGCTCCGACTGCCATTCGCGCCAACTCTGCTGCTAAGAAGACCACCACGGTTGGTGGCGCGAAGAAGGGCGTTCTGGGAGCCAAGAAGGCCCCCAAGCTTGGTGCGAAGAAGGTTGCTCCCAGTGATATCGATTTTGAGGAGGCCGAGCGGAAAGCCAGAGAGGAGGCCGAGCGCATTGAAAAGCTTGGATATGACCCCGAAGCTGAGCAGGCCGAGGCCGATGCTAAGGCCAAGAGCACTGCTGCCGCGCCTATTGCTTCTCCCACTCCCGTCAGCCCAAACCGGGGTGGATTTGGTGCTACCAGCAAGACCAATGAGCGCAACTCAAGCGATGTCGAGCGTCTCGGCATGGGAATGAACAGACTCGGATTCGGACAGGTCTCAAAGCCTCCGGCTCCCAAGAAGCTTGGATTTGGTGCTGTTGCTCCCCGATCTGCTGCGGACGGTAATTCTTTTTCTGTAATTTTTTGTAGAGCGTGCAACTAATCATTTCCATAGAGGAGGAACTCTCCCAAACCAAGACACGTTTCGGCACCCAGAAGGGTATCTCTTCTGACGAATTCTTTGGACGTGATCGTTTCGACCCCAACGCTCAGGCCGAGGCCAAGCAGCGCCTCACAGAATTCGACGGCGCGACTTCTATTTCCAGCAATGCTTACTTCGGCCGGCCCGAGGACGACCTTCCTCAGATTGACGACGGCTACGGAGACTTGGAAGCCACCGCCAAGGACTTTGTTCGTCGGTTTGGTATCACCGCAGGAGACGACATTGAGAACCTGTCCCACCTCGTCGGCGAAGGAGCGACCAAGCTACAAGGTTGGTATCTCTGATGGTAAATATTCTACATATGGGTACCGTTCCTAACTTCTCCTAGGTGCCATTCGCAACTACCTGAACTCATGAATACCACATGGTGGCTTTTCTTCTCGATATCACGCGTTTTGTTACATTCAATACTTAGCAAGCCCCATTGATCCCCCCACATTCCCGTGATGCGTGACGTATATCTTGTCTCCGAATCTCTCGCCAGCCTTCGATTTCTTCTTATTGCTCCATCCAACACCTTCATGCTGTCGGTGGATGATCGAAGAAAAGTTGATGTAAATTGCAGTTCGGCGTGATTGATGGTTGATTGACGATGCTTGTTTGCCTTACAGTTCATCGGGCATTTCGCAGCCACGTAATGATGAGTTAAGGCTTTTTCTTTTGTTAGTTTGACATGTTCTTCTCTTGTGTTTCTGATAGGATTTTAAGTTAATGCAAAAATTTGGATTGATAGCGTCTTCCTGCGCCATATAGAAAACAATGCATGAATGAACAAAGCTGTCATAAAACCAAGTCCATACTAAAATTCAAAAATTCTTTCACCCTTCGTTGCGCAGATTGGACGATCTGTTGAGGCCGTTCACGATCGTCTGGTCCAATATATGGACAGCTGCTTATGTTTGAATTATATAACTCTCTAGGCGAGTTCCTTGTCTTTATACCTCTCCCAATTCAACTTCCAACGCCCAGTAAGAAATCGTCCCAATATCGACACTTCCTCCAGAGACGATTTCTTTGGATTCCCTCAACCTTAAAAGAAAAGTATCTACTGCCAAATTGAAACCCAGGAGCCGACCACTCTGCGAGATTGATAGAATTTGTGGTCTTATACAACCAGCCTAAGAACCGGGAGGCAAGTTGTCGCTCGATAGCCGGTAAACATTTGCTTTGCACAGATGGGAGCATGACACAGTATGGGCCGTTGCCTCAGAAATTGTTTCCTGCAAGCTCCGAATTTTCGACTGCTGGATGCTGCCACTGTACTGTACTGCTCGCCATCTACCAAGACGGCCTCGAGCAGTGCCACCATATTGTAAGAAATCGAAAACCAAAAATCTACATCTCCTACTAGGAGTCCGGTTGATTTACTCCTCACAAACATCTCAGATCTGAATATTGTAGGATGGGCAGATTCTCACTATGTAAGGTTGCGCGGGGTCTCGGATCATCTGCAGGCAAAGGGTGCTTTTGTGTCTGCTCAAACATCATATGATTGGTTCAAAGCCAAGAGGATCTGTGCAATCTGCTTGGTCCATTTTGTTGTTGGATCGTCCATGGTCCGTGAACTACCTGCCCTGCAGCGCTTCCCTGATGCTCTGCCTGATGTCTTCGCTGCACAGGGTAGCATCCTGGGCACCCACTTGCCCACAGTCCCCTCGCGTGTCATCGGCCTGGCCTTATACGCTTCTAACTACTCCGCCCAGTATACCAAGTGATTGGAACATCTCTTCTCACGGTTCGCCGGTATCCATTGTGACGGATGAGAATCGTTATCACTGGTTTGCTTTTTTCTAATTAATAAGCGCAACTTATGCAGGTTATCATTTCCCCGATCATTTATCGAGCAAGATGGCTTCTAAAAGAACCGTCTTAACCAGACTCGACCATTGGGTCTATATATAAAAAAAAATTACATTCCATCGCGCGCGCAATAAGCTCGCACGCGAGGAAACTATTTTATTTAGTAATCCGTGCAAATTCGAATAGTGTGTCTCAAATCTCATTGGCTATTCTTATAGAAAATCTGTTCATTAACGCAAATCGAACACATTCCTCTCTGTACCACTTAGATCATCCTCGCTATTGAGGTTCAGAAGTTGTTACTCTCTTTCTTTTATTCCCTGCTTGTGCCCCGTGTGCTTTATTGCTGTTGATTTGGGCCATGTGCCCCGAAATATCCGCTCCTTTTGGGGGGTTTTAAGATTATTGGAGCAAGGTAAGTGCCAAGAAATTTCAAATGTCTATTCAGTGGCTATGGGGATCCTGGTAGTGGGTATCTCAAAGCTTCCATGTATAACAAATCCCCTATAAAACTCCATGATGAATGAAGAAACATGACCAGTATATCGTACAAAGTTGAAAGCATAACGATAAAAAGTTTTCCACGTACGTAGACAACGTACATGCATATTTTACGGGATTTGATCCCTAGACACGATAAATTGCATCAGCAACCTTCGCAACCTGCCACATCTCCTTCACATCATGCACACGCACGATATCGGCACCGCCGGCAACACTAGCCGAAACGGTCGCAGCAGTACCCCAGACGCGCTCTTTGGGTGTCTTGACGCCCGTGATATTTCCGATAAAACGTTTTCGGCTTGGGCCCATCAGCCACGGGATACAGTCCAGACCTTCAGCGGCTCGAAGAGCTGGTAACTCACGCAGGATTTCCAGGTCTTGTGGTTGGAGCTTTGCGAACCCGAGACCGGGGTCAAGAATGATGCGCCAGCGACGAATTCCTGCGTCTTCGGCGGCTGCTATGCGGGCACGAAGCTCGGCACAGACTTCGGGGATGACGCCGTTAGGGTAGTCGTGGAGTTCGGTCATTGTCTGCGGTGTTCCACGCATGTGCATGAGGATAATGGATTTGCCGAGACGGGCTGCGGTGGGGAGCATTTCTGGGTCGAGAAGACCCGCAGAGACATCGTTGATGATGTCTGCACCCGCGGCACAGGCTGCTTCGGCCACGGCGGCGCGGTAGGTGTCAATACTGATAGCGATGTTGGCAGCCTCTGGGATGTTCTTGCGGATGTGTTGAATTGCGGGTGCTACTCTGGCGATCTCCTCCTCTGCACCCACTGGCGTTGAGCCGGGGCGGGTGCTCTCGCCACCGACGTCGATGATCGTTGCGCCCTGGGCGATGAAGGCGCGGACTGTTTCGGTGAGTTGAGTGAAGTCATTAGGGGAGTGGGTGCCACCATCGGAGAAAGAGTCGGGGGTCAAATTGAGGATTGCCATGACGTGAGTGGGGCGTTTGGGATCAGTTGCATAGAGATTTGGGAAATGTGGCGAGATGGGCGTTGTCGAGTATGGTGTTGGCTCTGGAGGCGGAAGGGCCTTAAGATGCTCGCTAAATGTAAGTGCGTTTTTTCCAGATTGGGGCGGCCGTTCATGAGGTATTAATCTATGTCTATTAGTGATGTTGACCCTTGATAGCTTCGTAGAAAGTTGCCACATACTGACAAAGAGGCCGGAGCACAAAATCCCGATCTAACATGAGGTTGTGTGGAACATTGAGCCGTTCATGGGCAAAAATCTCTTGATCGTACAATAGGATGTCCAAATCAATTGAACGCGGGCCCTTATCAATCAACTTCTTTCGGCCCAGCTCGATCTCAATGGATTGGATCGTATCTAAAAGCTCCATTGGAGAGAGACTAGTTTCAACCTGATAGCTGTCAGTATCCAATATGAACTGAAGCAGAAACGAATTGCATTATCACCTCGCAGACTCCATTGAGAAACGTGTCTTGATCAAGCACATACATCGGAGTCGTCTCAAAGAGTGAGCTTGTTCTCTTGACTTTAATTTTGGCTCGATCCAGCTCCAGACAAGCCTTTTCAATCATCTCAACACGATCTCCTACATTGCTACCCAATGCAATAAAAGCTCGATGCATTCCGTGGACTCCATTTGTGGAGTTCAAGCCTGACGTTGACTGTGGCGAGGACCCGCTTGAAAGACGCCTTGCGTATGATTTCAAGTAGGATATGGCACCAGAGCGCTTTGCCTGAGCATTTCCATCGGCCAAAGGCATAACCACTGGATTGCCCATTGGGTAATTTCCTAAAAAGTCTTAGTCTGGCTGCAAAAGATGATAATGCAGGGACGCGGGGAAGTAGGAAAAGCATGATGTCCCGCTTTTTTTTTTCTTGGTCCGATAAAAGATAAGACCGAAAGAGGCAAAACCATTGGGATGAACCTACTCGAGCTTGCAATAGAGCTTATACTACAATTGGATTGTTAGAATGCATAGAATCGCTTGGCGATGATATAATCAGGCAATAGGTACCTTTTCGTCCAGCATCCGTGCAAAAGCCGATCATTCTGCTGTGTTGCATTCGGCGCTGTCGGTAATGACGGGAACCGAGGCGATCGCAATGCGCGCGAATATGAAGCATTGTGGATGCACCCAGCTGAGAATACTCGGTGGTATGAGGTCTGCAAGCTCATTTTTCTGTCGAGACGTGATTGTCGCTATCTAGAAGGTTTGAAGGAATGATTGTTGCAATCAATACATTCCCCTTATCGTGTCAGGTGAGCTTTAGATGCCTTAGAACGGGAAATCAAAGGCCTGAGATTTCGGGTGTCAAGGTGTCAACCCCGCCCTTTTAACGTATGATTTGGTTCAGATGAACCGAGGCTTGTGACCTGGAGTTCTAAATGCGCCTCGGTCCCTTCCATTTATAGGTTCCATTTTCCCCGGACTTTCTCTTTTCTTTTCTTCAACTACATATTTTAAAATGGCTTCTCCTCGTACGTATCCACCTTCCACATTTTCGTTGTTTTGCTCCCTTTGCTTTGTTTTGATTTTCCAGCTATGACTTCATATCCCAAACCATCTGACATGTGGCCCCCGCAGAGATAATCCGTACTCCCATCACCGATCTGCTCAAGATCAACCACCCCGTTCTGCTGGCGGGTATGAACGTGGCTGCTGGCCCTAAGCTGGCAGCCGCGGTCACCAACGCTGGTGGTCTGGGTGTCATCGGAGGTGTCGGCTACACACCCGAGATGCTGCGCGAGCAGGTTGCCGAGCTGAAGAGTTATTTGAACGACAAGAACGCCCCATTCGGTGTCGATCTGCTGCTGCCTCAGGTCGGTGGCAGTGCCCGCAAGACCAAGTGAGTCTTCCCTGTAAAGCCGGTGATGAAAAGAATATGCTAACATATTCATCCAGCTATGACTACACTAAGGGCAAGCTCAACGAGCTTATCGATATCATCATCGAGAGCGGTGCTAAGCTCTTCGTCTCTGCTGTCGGTGTTCCCCCTAAATCCGCCGTTGAGAAGCTCCACGGTGCTGGTATCCTCTGCATGAACATGATCGGTCACCCTAAGCACGTCGCCAAGGCCCTGGATGTCGGTGTTGATATCATCTGTGCACAGGGTGGTGAGGGTGGTGGCCACACTGGTGATGTTCCCACTACTGTCCTCATCCCCACTGTTGCCAAGCTGGTCAAGGGCAAGAAGAGCCCCCTGACTGGTCAGGACGTCCAGGTCATCGCTGCTGGTGGTCTTTACAACGGCAACTCTGTTGCCGCCGCTCTGATGCTCGGCGCCTCGGCTGTCTGGATCGGTACCCGCTTCATTCTGTCTGACGAGGCTGGTGCTCCCAAGGCCCACCAGGAGGCTGTCCGCACTGCTGGCTTCGAGGACAATATCCGCACTATTATCTTCACTGTTCGTATATCTTGGCTTTGAATATTCTTAGCTATTATCTAACAAGTACTATAGGGCCGTCCCCTCCGTGTTCGCAAGAACGATTACATCATGAATTGGGAGAACAACCGCGCCGACGAGATCAAGCAGCTCACCGCCAAGGGTATCATCCCCGTTGAGCACGACTTCGAGAACCTGCCCGATGATGTTGATGACGATACTCTTGACAACGCCCGTCCCTTCCTTATGGGTAAGGTGGCCGCCGTTGTTAATGAGAAGAAGTCTGCCAAGGCCATTGTCGATGAGCTCGTCACTGATGCCGCTGCTTTGCTGAAGAAGGGCAACCAGATGCTGGCTAAGCTGTAAATAATGATATTCTATTCCTATTTGTCTTGTATTACCCATAGCGTGGCTTACAGATGAGCCACCGGATTGGCCATAAGGCCGTGGTGCGCGGCTTCTTTTTATCGAAATCGAAGAATATTACAAATATATCATGCGTTGTCGCTCACCTGGGCTGGTAAAATGAATATTGTGTACGGAGCACGGAGGATATACGGTGAGTTCTTGCATATCGTTTCCTAATCAGGTAATTGGCCCCCAAAGATTCTGGCAGAATTAGCAAAATGCATGTGGGGGCCGGCAACTACCCTCCACTTTCGACAAGGTACCGGGGTCCATCTTCTTTTCAATCCGTTACACGAGGCTTTTACATGTTGTAGCCCAGTGGAACATAAACGTTTGGACGTCTCGACAAGGCTCTGAGAAGATCAGGAGCTTCAGCCTAGCGGCTTAGCCCCAGCAACCTTTTAACACTTTAACCCAATTCAAGCATTGAGCCTTTGAACAAGGTGCAAGTGAACTTCCAGCAGTGCCGGGGGTTAGGCCTTAATCAAAATGACATTTGCTACAGATCTGTACCTCACAGGCGTCAGTTCTGCACTGCAGATTTTGATGCCAACGATCATTCTCATTACGACACCAAAGAGATCAGTTCTTCGATATGTCACAATCCCATGCATGCTTTGGATCCTAAGTTACAATTTGCGCGCAATGGATCCTTACTGTCAAGTATTCACCTTCATCGTTGGACAAATATTCATGGCTACTCCTCAAGCTGCCACCTTCTTGTTGATCAAGCCTCTTGATGCAAATGATCTCGTTCGCGAAGCGCCAGACCGTACAAAAACATTCGCTGGTCTTTTTGGCTATGCATGTGAGCTACTGTGTCAAACGCGTGCTATCAGAACTCCTCGACAGGTGAAGGGTATTCCTCCCCATCCGGCATGTTATCACGACGCCAAGAGAGATACCATTGTCGTTTCCCGGCATTTATTCTTATTGAGGCAATCTGTCATTCTGATCTGGCAATATGCTTTGCTTGATGTCATTCAGTCGACCGCTCATCAGCAGCCTGTGCGAGTTCCTGATGTGAGGTTCACGGACCTTGAGTGGAATGTGTCGCTTGATATGTGGATAGAACGATTCGCAACAAACATCATTTCTTGGTATCTGTTTGCTCGCATTTGCATTGATTCTCGGTACCGTTTGGCCTCGATTGTTGTTGTTGGATTGAAGTTGCGGTCTCCTCAAGACTGGCCTCCTTTGTTTGGAAGAATGGCTGATGGCTATACACTACGAAAATTCTGGGGGTAAGGACTCACATGCCTCTTTTGATTTCTTGAGTTCAACTTGAAGTTAATCGAGTGATATTTGACTAACCACATAATCTATGTAGAGCATTTTGGCATCAATCTCTCCGCCAGCCGTTCACCGCAATCAGTAGCTTGATTACGCGTAATATTTTGCATCTTCCCCGACCATCGATACTTGAGCGATATACGAATATTTTCCTGGTGTTCCTCACATCAGCCTTACTCCATTTGACGACCGATATAATCACCGGTATTCCGGTGCAGTACTCCGGAGCAATGCCCTTTTTTATGAGCTTCACTTTGGGATACATGATAGAAGATGGTGTTCAAGCCCTTTATAAACGGATCAAAGGACCACAGGAGGATACTGTTTCGTATTGGAAGCGGGCTATTGGTTACTTGTGGGTTGTTGTATGGCTGGGTATCTCGTCGACTTGGTATCTTCACCCGGCTATGGAGCGTGTCCTCCCACACGAGATGGCTTTGATTCCATTTAGTATTGCGGATCGCATCGGAGTTGTACCTGTTGCAGGATTTATTGTTTTGGGTGGTCTTACTCTACTCTTCGGGTTCAAAGCTGAGATTTAAGGATAATGTGGGCAATGATATATATAATTCACCGAGAATTGGGCTTAACCGCAGCGCGTTGAGTAGCTGTGTAACTGAACTATTTTGGTCTCATTAATCTGGTATAAAGAAGGAGTGGCAGTGTGATCGAAAAGGCTCGCAAGTTCATCAGGCCACCCGTAAACTCACAACCTCGCCAAGCAGGCCTCTACTCATCCAAGACATTGAAATTATGGATCGTTCGGCTACCAGAGAAACTGTAAATATGTCAGCTCAGACTGACAAAACTCTCGGTGAGTACATTTAATGTCAAAAACCAACCATAAGCTCCGAAGCCACCACATGCTGGTCATCGAAACCTGGATCCAACTGATATAGTTAAGTATCGCATTACTTCTAAATTTGGGGGCATCAATGTGCAGCCCGCCTTATAGTCTGCCTTAAGAGTGGCTATGTATGACATACTTTGTGGGGGAAAAAAGGCAAACACCATTGATATCCCTGGGTAATCGCGTAGCCCCAATAAGATACACGAAAATTATCGCAGAATAAGTACTACTGTACGTCAATACTACATGGGGCCAATCAAAGAATTGCGGGGAGACATGAAAATACGCCGATTAATCGGAACCTTTGCCCCGCATGACTTGATCTATCGACGATCAATTATTTTTAGCTGATCTATACGTCCGACACCGGGGGAGATCCTAGTATGCCAATGTAAGCTGATAAACAGAGCAAGTATACGAGGTACTCAGCCTCATTATATTCGAATTATTCCTTTTTTATGGGTTCGCATAGGCTCGGCGAGTTGAGAGTGTCTCATAGACTCGACGTTTCAACGTCACTGCTCTTACGTCTCAGGCAAGCCATCAGGAGTACGATGACGATTGCATAGGCTGTGAAAGGTGTAGGCGATGGGCTGATGGAATCTGGGATATATAAGGGGTTTGATGTCCAGTATTTGGGCAATTAATTATCCATCCAGAAAAAGTACAGCATCAATCATTCAGCTTTAGTTCTCACAACGTTTATACCTAGGTCAAGATGAAATTGTCCGATATTTTGGTTTTCTCCGTGGCTTTGGCTACAGCGACTGCAGTCCCAGTGAAGCGTGACGATACGGTGGAAATCACTTTCTATGGTGCAGCAGGTACCCAGTTCACGCAGAGCTTCCCTACAGACAGTACCGTGACTCAAATCAGTAAGTCGATACTCCATCTAAGGTCTCGAGATGCTAAAATTTGCAGCCAACCCCTTGAGCATTTCGAGAATCTCATCTAGCAGCGATGACGCTGAATGCACATTCTCTGGCTCAGGTGGAAGTGTCACGACTATCGAAGGCGCCTACTGGAAGGACGTCGGTCCTCCTCAGACACAAATCTTTGGAACGTGCACCAAATTCTCATCGCTGCGCCGACGCAGTGACGAGGTCATGATCACCTTCATCGGTGCTGCCGATGCTCAGTTCACGCAGAGCTTCCCAACAGACAGTACCGTCACCGACATCTGTAAGTCCGTGCTCTACCAATGGAAAGTTTCTGGCACTAACTTTTGTAGCGAATACTCTGAGTATCTCCCACATCTCTAATAGCGATGCTAGTGTTGAGTGTTTCTTCACGGGTACGGACAACAGCTACACCGTTGTGAATGGAGCCGTTGAAGTGGATGTCGGGCCCCCTCAGACCCAGGTTTCTGGTCAATGCTTCAAGTTGTCCACCCCGACTCGCCGCTCATCTGATGTTACGGTCACATTTACTGGAGCTGTTCCTGAAGCTGAGTTTACTGAGCAATTCTCCCTTGATGGGAATACTTATTCCATCAGTATGTCTATCATGTGTGAATTGATAAATATTACTGACTGATTGTGTAGCTAATGCTCTGAGCGTCTCCCACATCAAAGTGGATGAAGGGGATGCTTCTTGTATATTCTATGGTATTGATGGCTCTATTACCTCTGTCATTGGTGCCGAGACTGTTGATGTTGGTCCCCCTCAGACTCAGGTCCAGGGCTATTGCGTACCTCTCTAATTCTCCCTTGGGAGATATACCAGGTGCAGAAAGTGATTCAACACCGAAATCGCGATACTTGAGGGAACCTTGAAAGAAAGTTTGATTTGAAATGTGGACACTCCTTGACTGTTATATAGATTGTGTTTGTATTCGAAAATTAAGCCGATTCGGCTCCAAATGTGATACTTCACAAGTCGAATGGTTCTAATTTGAGTCAGATTTTCTGTGCAACATATGCATTGACGTCCTTTACCGTAGATCTATGAAGGCGGTGGGTCTTAACATTTTAACTGATTCTGCCGGTACTTTTATCTACTAGTAATATACTACGGAGTAATATAGTGAAGTAGTTAAGAACTGCCACCTCTCACCGACTTCAATCTTTTCTTTACTATGCCTCCTAACAGTAAATTGTAAGCATACACACATCTGGGCACGAACCAGCCGCCCCAAATCTCTAAGGAGTACTTTACATCTAAAGTTACTCTCAAGCTGCTTCGCAACAAACCGTCAACAATACACCTTAAACATACGACAATGGCGAGTTCACAAGTCATCAGTTCCTTTCCACGCTTTACGGACCTTCCGGCAGAGATACGAATCATGATATGGCGTGAATGTTTACCATATCGGGTTCACGAGCTGGATTCCGACGATTTTTACGAGACAGGCCTAGGTACAGGCCTAGGAGAATTTCCACTTGTGTGTGGTCTTCTAAAGACCACGGAAATGAATCATAGGCCACCGGCCATCTCCCGCGTATGTCGCGAGTCTCGCGTTGTGGCTTTCGAAAATCGTGTTAGGCTCCCGTACGCAGAATTGCCTGAAGAAGCTTTCTGGGCTTCTCCTACAAGGCTTGATGGAATGATAGATCCGTCCCGAGACACTGTCCACCTTAATTGGGTGCCTTGGGATGAAATATTGGAAGACGAGGGAAATTATATGCAGTATCTTGCCTGGCATGCTGCTAATTCGCGTGGTGGGTCTCTGTGGTATGGTAGTATTTTTGAAGATCAGAGTCCATTTCTAGAATCCATATCTAACCTCGTGATCATCATGAGAAAGATCATAATACACGCTACCTCTGAATATGGCGCAAGAACGGGCCTTTTCGGACTGTTAGGGGATGCAACAGTTCAACTTGTTGACCTTTCTGATGAAAAGAGACTCAAAGCCTACTTTGATCTAGCGGAGGAAACCCAGAAGAAGGGCCATGTCACATTTGCCCAAGACTTGCACAGAAAGCCCTGCGAGGTTCTTGAAGAGGAGTTCAAACGAATAATGTCTCATAAATGCAGCTTACTTGGCCGAGAACAGCTGCCGCCCATGCGTGGCGCGATCATGTTCAGACTATGCACTGATATGTGCAACAATTCAGAGGACGCTGAAGCAGGCTTCCGTCCATTGCCTGGAACCACATATATTCCACCAGATCGAACACAATGGCGAGGAGCGCGAGGGGCGCGAGGGGGGCGAGGGGGACGCGGAGGACGAATCAAGCCTCCTTATCGGATTAGGGGCCGACTCCGAAACAAGATTGTTGCTTAGGGAAAACTCACATCGCGGAAATAGAGGGATATGCATAGAATGGGTTTCTGTACATATAGTACCTGAATATCATCTTATACACTTGTATATATGATGTTTTTCAAATTGCGTTCAAACACACTATCACTTTAGCGCCAGTACTTGGGAGGCTGTAAAGAGATATTCAATGCTAATTTCTTTTTCAGATTCTTACAAGGCCTATAATGTGCTTGTATTAACCTCCGGGGTATATGGATTGAGCATGGTTTATGAAATATAACTTAGGGACAATGGAATTGTTCGTCTCATAGACTTCATTTTTACTCAGGTATATAGGTCACTTCACGTACCGTATTTTCTTCGACGCGTGGGGATTTCTTATTCTGGTTGCCGCCGCTTTTATGAGGGCGCTTAGGTTTAAGCTCACTGGGTAATTTTCAGTCTGGGCTCACCAAGGAGAATACTCATTGAATAGGTTATTGATTTCAATTCGCTAAGCAATTTGTCACGCGACGCTATCTGGTCATAGTGAGTATCGCTTGTATGGATTGTATACATATGTCGAGGCTCGACCTTAAGTCTTAATTGCAATGGATTATAAGGTTATTTCTCTATATATCTAGGTATTTATGCCAAGAAGGCGTGGTGGTATGTTATGCAAAATAGAACAGATGTAGAACAGATGTAGAAAAGGGTAAATTATGTTGATAACTAAACGGCTTTGTGATTGAATTAGTTTAAGCATGATCTGGGCTAATTTAGGCTTATTGGGCTTTATCAGGGGCCTAGTATGGGCATGTTTGGGTTGGGTGTGGGCCGAGACCCAGGGCCTAAATTGGGCTTTACGGAAGTCTGTCTGAATCGACCTGCACATCTCCGAGTGTGTTGCCTTCGAGCGTTCCCCTCTTCATTAGGTATGTTTTTAAAAAGTTATTCGCAATTTACAAGGGCGCCAAAGCTCAGGATTACTGACTAATCATCTCTTTCCTAGTTAACTAACTACATTACAGATAGCCTAGACCTATCCATACCTCGTTCGTATTAAATTTCATAACTTATGTCAACCAGCACATTGTTACCGCTTCAAATATATAGATCGGGCTCTCATCATGCGGTCACAATCAGGGGGCAAACAAGCTGCATTTCCCCATTAGCGGTCAGCCCTTCCACTACAGGACCAATAAGGCATGGCGATATTAATTGCGAAGACGGAGATAGACTGATAAACTATCCCATTTGATATTATGCCTAAGTCGTACGCGACGCTTGCTGCGGTAGCCCTGGTCTTGTTTTCTCAACTTCACTGCCGGCCAGCTCATGATAGACTGGCTGAATTTGTGTACCGTCTAGTTCCATGTGATTTTCTTCAACACTTTGCTCATGATTCACACCACTGCTGCTACTCGCGCCATTAATACTGTCACTTCCACCACCGAATATCTCGTCTGGTGACCAAAATGTTGCTGGTTGGGCAGATGGGGCAGATGGGTCAGATGGCAGTGATGGGCCGAGAGAAGGGTCATTGTGTATCGGACCGAAGTATTCAGATATACCGGGCCTCGGTGACGTCGCTCTGTATGCTGTCTTTTGGTGTTGACGGCGAATGAAAAAGAAGAGGACTGCCGCGAGAATGGCTACTCCGACCAGCGCCGCAATGGCGATGCCAGCTACAGCGCCGCGGCTGAGTGGTGAAGAGTTATCTGAGTTATTAGAGCTACTAGCACTGGACGTGCATGTGTTTCCAGAGCAAGTGGAGGAGTCCGAATCTTTAGACGTGATTGTGATGATGTCTTCCTCAGCATTTTCATCCCAAGCGCATGCCGACACATTGAAGACACCTCGCTCGTAATCGGCCGAGAGATACCTGAGGAGGTCAGCATATACATTCAAATCGGAAATGCTGCACTCACGCCTCTTGCAAGAAAGCTCGGCCCAATGTATACTGGGTAGAGTTGGCTGCGCGTTTCAGCGGGAAATAGTAGCTGCTATTGTCGACCAACGGAGCCTTTGCAGTCAGGGCAAAAGCATCATATGGAAGAGTGATCGTCACAGTATCTCCACCTTGATCCACATCGGACAGCCGAAATGTCACCTGCGCATTCGAGTTGAGCAATTCGGTGTTGTGAGTGTCATTCACAAGATATAGATCGCTCTCGCTGTCGAGTGTGAGACCAAAGGCCTTTTCGAACGCCTCGCAAACACTCTTCGGGAGCCAAAGGCTGGGATCAGTCGAGTCAATGAAGATCGAAATTGGCTCGGACAGTAACGTGGCGGAATTTGATCCGCTATAGCTGATGGACTGAAGATAGACAACCAGGTCGCGTGTGACGTCATCAGCCATGGTGAACGACACCGAGTTCGCAGTGAACCGAGATGCGTCATAACCGGAGAAGATGAGTTGGCCATAGACTTGTTTCAAGCCTACGTCGGCATGATTCTGGGATTAGAGACAATGTTCGCTGTGAGTATTTTGTTCTGACGGGAAAACTTACGATACTTGGCACCAGCTGTGTAGCTCCAGCTGAGACTTGGGATAGCGCCTTCATCTTTAAGAGTCGTGATGAATGAGGATGAAGAGAAGTTTCCCAGAGATGTAAAATTCACGGGTTGAGTGTTCAGGCCAAATATTCCACTGTTGGTCCTTCGGTCAGTAAACTTCGGACAGAAACGGGGAAATCATTGCGGTCTTTACAGATAAAAAGGCTCGGGGGTTGCGATTCCGGCCACAGTCTGATTCTTCAGAGTCGGTCCAGTGAGGCCAATACTCATCGTATCTAGGGCAAATTCCCCTCTTTGATAATATCCAAGATTGGCCTCGAGACCTACCCCATTATTGTTGATACCGAAAAGACCCAATTCGTCCCAGGTAGAAGATTGGTTCATATTAAATAAGGTACCCCTGGAGACTGCGCAATCAGATGGTGCATCGGAAAATACGGAATCCGAACAACCATAGTCCGACAAAACAACCATTGACTCTGGGGAAGCTGTTGAGACAAGCACTCGGACTGACTGTTCCGGAGTCCCAACTTGGAGGAAGAAGCTGCTCCAAGGACCATCGTTACCCTCACTAAACTCCAAAATCAGCATACAGCATAGTATCAGTCCAATGGGTTTCGGTGAAGATTTACAAATATTCGCTGGGCGAGATAACAAGGGCGGATGAGGACCGTTCAGCTATGCGAATCGCGAAACATTCCAATGACCAAGAGATCATTGAAATTAGCACTAAGAGCAGACTGACCGAATGCATCTTCACGAGCTGAGGTATCACATAAGCCCTGAAGAGAATAATGCAGTTCCCAGCTGCTACCTGGGGTACAGCAATAATAGAAATCACGTCCCACATGGCTGGTGTGGCGACAGGAACCGGCAGGCTCTTGTCCGAACTGCCACATCACTGCCCACTTCAAGACCTCCCAGCCAATCAATTCATTAATTCATTGAGATCGGCATTGTCAATTGGAGCTAGGAGGACCAACGGGCGACCCTGACAAGTTAAACCTCGCCGCACGGACAGGGCCCACGCACGGACGGTGTCGCAAAACCGGCTCAAGCATCTGCCAAAACCTGCTCCACTCCAATTCAGGAACCAGCATTCTCGTATATGCTCGTTCTCGGATGTGATGTAGAGATCAACGGCCGGTGTTCCTCAACATCGTTGCTTTTTTTAGCCAGTAGACCGCATGTCTTCACCTTTCTAGGTTACTACTACGCCGATCGGTGTTGGGCACAATGACTGCATCAAGTGGTAATAGCTCGTTGACACGACGAGCTGCCAAGGTTGCTAGTTTCGTTCTTATGATCACTGTTTACGCCGCCTCCGTAATTCGTTCTGCTACTTTATCACCCTGAGAGGCGCCTGGCTCTTGCCTTCTTGTTGCTTGTCGCTCAATCTCAGTTGCGTGTCTGCATAGTATCAGCCCTAATTTCTGCGCTTGTGGAATAGTCTGTCGCCATGTCGTTTACTTTGCGACTATGGGTAGTGCTCGGGCTGCTGGCTACTTGGGCAGAAGGCATTCGAGGCCCTGGTTAGTTATCAACCAAAACAAAAGCCATTGGGTCGCGGCTGACAGTGTGAAGCTATTCACACTCCATATTCCCCTAGCTACAATCCATCAAGCAGCCAGATGACGACCTGCACTTCGGAACACATCAACCAATTTTCCACTTCTTCCAGCTATTATAGTGACCCTACAGTCGACTGCACTACTGCATTTCCAGCACCACCGCCGATGAACACCTCGACAACCGTATCCACTGCATGCTTTAATAGTACTATCACCACAACCATCATAATGACAATAGTCTCCACAGAGATTTTCACTACCACAAGCACTACTACGACTACGGACATAATTACGGATACTTTCACAGACACAATCACAGACACAATCACGGATACTGTCACGGATACTGTCACGGATACTGCCACGGATACTACCACGGATACTACCACGGATACTACCACGGATACCACCACGGATACAGCTACTGTCACGACTGCAGATACGACTTCGGATACAATTATCGTGCCAACAACCATCACAGCAGCTCCAAATCCATGCCCGACCACTTGTAGCATGTAAGCTTTCGGATCTCGGAAATAATCTATGTTGAAACTTTTGCTAACGCTGTCTCGAAAGGTCCGTGGGAACTGTGAACCTATTCTACTGGCCAACAAATCAGCCAGACCGCATTTATCCGTCCACTTATGTTAACTCGCATCTCGATTACACATTGTGAGGGATCTTTCTATTTACTTTTTGTCTCCTTTTTTGAACTAACAATTATCACGCCATATAGTACCTCACCATCCGTCTACATGGTCGTCAACACCATCTATGGCTACAACACTGCCGGTCGCACAGGGCCCTCTGGTACCAGTGTAGTATTCCCCCTCGACTTGAATCAAGTCTCGACCATAGATATCGTCAATTCAGCTACGCGACAACTCACGCTGACTGACCTCGGTACCGACTGTCCTCAGTCAGAAGATCCTTCAGTTATCGCGACGGCGGCGCCCAACGGTCGGTGTGACCCTATCCTTGTGGCTCCGGAGCCTGTTAAATCTTGGGCTTCACCTTGCAACGCATGTGGTCCTTTCGGGCTGTTCGATCCACCATATGCCGTGTCGCCGCTCGCTGGAGGTCTGGTGCCGGCGACTACGACGGTTGCGATGACACAGCCAGAGACTACTTCCAGCGTAGTTTCTGCTACTGATCCCACCACCATGATGTCGGTAACTACTGACTCCACTTCCTCCAGTTCAGAGACTAGCTTGCCTGTCACGGCGTCCTCTCCGTCTAGCGTGGTGACCACGTCCTCTGACACGAAAGACTCTTCTGGTCTGGTGCCAACTCCGGTGTCATCTAGCACTGACAGCGCCTCCACTGCTTCATCATTGTCTTCTAGCTCTGTCTCGACTCCGGCTGCTACTTCCTCGTTGTACAATACTGCGATCAAAGCAACTGGGCGTGGTGGATTGTTGGGGTTGAGCTTCTTCGTATTAGCATTCTTGCTGTAATACGAAATTAATTTTAATATAGCAAGAAATTTACATCAACTTATATCTGTCCATTTGATAGCTTTATCTTGAGCTCGATATATAAAGGTGCGAGACTCTACATGGCTCATCATCCTTTGCTTACTTTGTGGTGCCCGATGGATGAGAGGAAATTTTGAAACAAGATATCATACAACAGCCGATCGAGTCGTCTTATTCTGAGATTTAGCCCCCTTGTTGTTGGAACAAAGGCCGGCCCAGTTGTGCTTGGTGAGCAAACAGCGACGAGAGGTGAGCTTTTATTCATGACATTTGAGAAGGAAAGCCGATGTTTACCAGACATTATCCGATGGATATGCACCTGCACGTGTATGTGGAGATTCTTTTTTTCTCCTCTGCAAAGCACATGAGCCCACCCCTTTACATATCAATGTGAGAAGCACGAAATCGCAGTGTCTTACATTAATGGATTCCTATCACAAATTCGATCCCAACATCACCTACAGGTCTTGACGGAAGACCAGTATATAGTCCACCATCGTTTCTCTTGGTAATTCAGATTCTAAGTTCTCCACATCTTCCTCAATCTTCCTCCTTTCACACCAATATCTCGTCACAAATATTCATTTCTCTATGGGCGCTAGCACTCTGATCCTCCTACTATGTGGTCAGGCACATGGTCAGCTGGGGTGTTGGAAAATGACTAGTCGGTTTCTAGTTCTGACTTAGTGCTGTCGAATAGCGCGGACCAGCCTCTCTTAACCCAAGCCCCGTACATGGATCTGTGCGCGCTAATTATTGTGTGGCCCCCTAAAATCCAGCAGCATGCCTATTCACGGCCGATCCCCGCAAACTTTGATCCGAGACCAATCAGTAGTAGTATTCTCGGCCCGTCCAAAGGTTACGGGCAGGTGGTCTGTCTATGGTACCTATCGCTCACCCACTGTAACGGCCTAGGATTGACGCTATTTGCTGTCAGTAAGCCGATATTCAACCGCAAGCCCCATACTCACTGTGGACACATTTGCATCTTCACTGCGTGTCTTATTCTTAGATGTCTAGATGGCCACATTCGTTCTTCCGACGTAGGTAGGTGGACCATTTACGCCGATTGGAGAATGCAGTCAGTTCGAAGCTACAGTTGCCATAGAGAGATTTGAGGGACGTGAATATTGCGTAATGTCAGGTTTAGATAGATTTGGACAGTTTGGGGAAGATCTGCATCCGCTAATCGCTTTTAAGAGAGTGAACTTTCGCATACTTGGCACCTTTCCTCCCGGATAGAAATGGACTGATTCAACAAGAGACGGTTATGTGGTATTATAATCATAGTCACTGTTATTCGTCGGATCGCCGGTGTTATGGCCTAACCTGAATGTAGGGCATGGTATCAGGGCAGGCCAACATTATGCCTAAACGTGCCCAATTTCGTACCGAAAAGCACCTGCATGATTCGCTAAATCAGGGCTTTGCCCCCTCACGTATATGTTTGATGCATTTGAGGAATTTACCAATTCCTCAAATGAATTACACGAGACATCTTTGACCCTGCCTGGTCATTTTTCTTTACCATGACAGTAATCTTTGAAAGGAAATTCTACCGTCACTCTTGAAAGGTAATTAATCCTTAAAGGGTAATAAGAACAAATGAGTAAAGGCGAGTTTTCCTAGGAGCGAAACGCTACATAGAAGCCAATAGGCCAAAATCTCAACTTTCCCTTTTTTCTTTATTACTACTAATATATTATGATATTACATGGTCATGTGGAATAAGCTATTCCTGTTCATAATGGAATAGTGGACACTTATTCAAGCAAGTGGGGCTTTCGCGCAGAAGGAGTGGAGGCATGTCATTGAGGTAGCTCATGTGTGTCATTGTCATTGGCTTCTGTGGGTTGCGCCCAGTGAGCGAATCACACCAATAAGGACAGGCTCAGTGAGCGGATTAGCCTGCTCAGGCCCGGCTCACTGAGCATGAGCGCGAGCTTACATAAGGCGCAGTGACCGAATCACTGCGCCTGAGGCCGTGATCAAATCTAGTTAGTGGGTAAAAGCGGCGGGAGGGTAAGCACTAATACGGAAAAGGGAGCCAAGAACCTTCAAAGGGAATCCGGTACGTAGGACTTTTTCTCGGATTCAAAATTGGAGAATGCAGAGGAACAACAATGTATTGAATTAAGCATGCTGTATTGAAACATCGGGAAACAAAAATTCAGCCGCACACCTGCGCACAAAAACACAAACAGGCAGAGAATAAGTGAAAGATGTCAAAATTGTACGAAATTTGATGTGGACCACCTCCTCTCAAGGATTATGTGCGACCATTCGGGATTTTGATGTCACAGGTGCTGTCACCAAGAAGGGTTGACTGGAAGACCTCACTCGCATATAAAGCTTTGGCATGGTTAATAGACGGCTGGTTGAGACTGTCTGCGGTACCCCAAGAGTTCACATAATCTATGACCGTATTTTTGATAACGTCTGTTTCGTCTGGGTGGGCCTCAATTGTAGCCTCAGTGTCAACAACCTCCCAGACCTGTCCATCAGCCGAATCAATTTGTTTCGTTTCCACCTCCTGGACGGCAATATTAGCAGTAGACCCTGGTCAATGTCTCGAATGAGATAGAAATGGCTTTGATACTGAAACTTCTTGACATACCCAAGTGATTCCCTTATCGGCAAGGACCTTGTTTACAGCTGCGATTTTGTACTGAGCGTCGTCATACGCACGACCATCGTTGGCCAAAACCATTGCCTGTTTGGCTCTATAAAGCTCTTCGTCAATGTTGACTGAGAGCCCTGGAGCATCCCGGCGTATAGCTTGGATCGTGTTGATAATAGAGGCGTATGCTTTACTGAAAGAGGGATAAGATCCTTCAGCAAACGTATCGGGGAGAATTTTGCCCCAATCTTCATAGTACGCGTATCGCGCTGCTGGATCATCTGACTCGTTCATTTCTTTGAGCTCATTGGCCGTGTCGATCACATCCGGGGTCAAATTATCGCCCACGGAAGTTGATCCGGTCCATTTCACCCAAGAGTCCTTGTATGTTGGATCTCGCTGAATATATTTCAGAAATTCATCAAAATAGCAGCTACCATCAGCCGCTGATCCCTCACAGAAATGAGCAACCTCTGTTGAGCCAGCCCCATATGTTTTGACATCCAGACGGTATGCATACCACAGAAGAATCGCCTATTAAGACTCATGTTAGAGCCAACGACGTCAATTTTAGAGTACAAAATATCATTACCTGATATGGTCCAGACCAGGCATTGGCAAGCACATTTGTGGCCAAAAGGCATAGCCCGAGGCATGCGTGGAAGACCCTCATGGTGGCAATCAGTTAATCCAAAAGGAAGGAGAGGTCCACCAGGTAAAATAAAAAGCATTACAGAGTAGTGTGCAAGTATATAAAACTACCCCGGTAGAAACTTCAGCCATCAATCAGAAGAACGGCATGCATGCACTTTCAATTACCGATGCTATACACCTCAGGAGGGTCGTTAAGCGAAGGTTTCAACCTCTTAGAAGGCATCCTCGCAACAAATCACTAGAGGCGCAGCAGAAATTTCATTAAGGATCCTGTCGCCCCATCGTGTATGCCGCTTTCAGTCTATTTAGCTCACTTTCATGCAGTCTAATCCAGGCCACATCCCATGGAAGTTGTCCGAGGTCTATTTTTGACTCAATATCGGATTGCCGAAACCTCACCGGCCGGTCCGTACTGCACGATAGTTACTACACGATACGGGGCTGTTCGGTCTGATAGATTGGTGCACTAACTATTCCAGGGTTCAAGCGAGGGCACTATAATCTTAGCGTAAAAGAGAACTTTTCCCAGTCTAGTGCAAATTGCTCTTAGTTAGTGTCAAATTTTCAAATCGCCCCACTCCTCTGAGACATAATGAATATTGGCGTTGCTTAGCAGGAGTAAAGAAAGGTTAAAGTGACTGAAAGGCGACATCCGGTTGAAAATTGAAACATTTAACATATTGATATTGTTATAGATTTGGGTACTAGAGACGGTAGGAAAATATATGAACGGCTGGACCCTTAATAGAACCCTTTAACTAAGGGCGAAGGGTTTTCTTAGCGCGATAAAGATCTGAAGTACCCGAAGGGCGACGGCGGATTTTTGGTTCGGTCAGTAACAAATCCATATTTGCGCTAAGTGTTGGGCTATACCTTTTGCGATTAGATTTGAAATAATTTTCATCTTGCAACAGCCCTAAAAAAGTGAACTAGCATCGAGGTTGCCTATTTTGTACATAAACCCTTGTTGGAGACTTCCACGGTCCCACCTACACCTTAAGAGTCGAGTGGGTCCTTAATTTCCGAGTTGGTCGGGCAGCACGTTGGGTCAATGGGAGAGAGGTAATCGGTGCCGAGTTGAGCTTTTAGAACAAAATAGCGTGAAGCCAACAGATCCAGAAAATGGATTCGGAAGAAGAGTCGTCTTCTGAACTTTTAGCCGGAGGGAAATATGTATTAAAGCACGAATCCTCGTCACCCACTTTAAGTCCATGGTCATAGTTGGCGCTGCAAACAAGATGCTTCTCTCTAAAACTCTTGTTTTCAGCTCTCTTGTGGCCACTGCGGTGTCAAGCACTTGCAGCTACATTCAGGTGGATAGTGGCGATGGATGCTGGAGTCTTGCCAATCGTTGTGGTATCACAGAGGATGAACTCACGACATACAATACAGCCACCGACTTCTGCAATGATCTTGAAGCCAATCAGTATATCTGCTGCTCTGAGGGTACTTTGCCAGACTTCTCCCCGAAGCCCTACTCAAACGGCACTTGTTACACTTACACAGTCCAATCCGGTGACACCTGCGAGGCCATTGCAAAGGCTGAGCTGATGGACGAAGACAAGATCTCGGGTTATAACAACGAGACCTGGGGATGGAGTGGATGCTCCGACCTTATTCTTGGACAGCGCATTTGTCTGAGTAATGGAACAGCCCCGTTTCCCTCTGCCTTAGAAAGCGCTCTTTGTGGCCCGCAGGTCAGTATCGGTGAACTTGAATAATGAAGAGACCCATGCTGACAGAAAGCAATAGGTCCCTGGGACCACCGAGCCAACTGATATGGCCGCCAGCAATTGGACAAACTTGAATCCTTGCCCTCTCAATGCATGCTGTGATATCTGGGGCCAGTGCGGTATTACTCCTGACTTCTGTACTGCTAGCTCGGCTTTGACGGATGCACCTGGTACCGCCAAAAACGGAACCAACGGCTGCATTTCCAACTGTGGCACCAACATCACCAACAATGATGAGGGTCCTTCAACGCCTAGGCGCATTGGTTACTTTGAAGCATGGAACGCTGATCGTCCCTGTCTCAACATGGATGTCTCCAAGCTACAAGGAAACTCTTACTACACAGATATTCATTGGGCTTTTGCGAATCTGACAGAAAGCTGGGAGGTCGACGTTAGCGGTAATCAGGATCAATTCGACGGCTTGCTTAACTTGACTGGTGTGAATCGAGTCCTCAGTTTCGGTGGATGGGGTTTTTCCACCTCTGCCTATACGTACGATGTTCTCCGTACTGGTGTGCAGGAGGCTAATCGCCAGTGAGTTTCTCAATCTTAGTATACGAAAGTTACATTTTAACGACTGGATAGAACGTTTGCCGACAACGTCGTTGCGTTTATGAACAAATATGAGCTTGAGGGTATTGACTTTGACTGGGAGTACCCGGGAGTATGTTCTCCGTCCAAGGCTGCTAAGACCTCTGGTAATGGCTTGTACTCACCTTTTTTAGGCTACAGATATTCCCGGCATTCCGGCCGACAGCTCTGACTCTGGAGAAAACTATCTCGAGTTCCTTAAGCTCGTTCGTGATCAGCTACCTGATACCATGACTTTGTCAATTGCTGCTCCCGCTTCGTACTGGTATCTCAGACATTTCCCAATCAAGGAAATCGCTGAGGTTGTTGTATGTTACGTTACAGCCTTCCTCAACTCAACGCTGAGTGACTGACATTGATTAGGACTATATTGTTTTCATGACATACGATCTTCATGGTGCGTAAACTATGCTCTTGTTTCTTTCTTCACAAACACTAATGCATTATAGGCCAATGGGACTACAATTCCACATCATCTGAGTAAGTTATGGCCGTTATATTCTGAGGCTCCAAATGACCTAATGATTTTTTTAGCCCCGGTTGTCCGGATGGAGGCTGTCTTCGCAGCCAGGTTAATAAGACAGAGACAGCATACGCCCTGTCCATGATCACCAAGGCTGGTGTCAAGTCCAACAAGGTTATTGCAGGTCTTCCGCTGTATGGACGCAGCTTTGAAATGGCAAATACCAGCTGTACTGGTCCAGAATGCCGCTTTACCGGTCCCAATTCAGGCGCTGATGAGGGAATTTGCACCCAGACTGCCGGTTACATTTCCAACTTCGAACTGTTTGAGATCATTGACGCCTATGAAAATGAAGGTGAAAATAGCACGTACGGCAGTGTCACCCAGTACCAGGATGAAGGTGACGTCCTGATCTACAATGAAACAAACTGGGTGTCCTGGCTCTCTCCATCAAGCTATGTTGCACGTCGAGAGTGGACCGATGGTTTGAACTTCGGAGGTACCTCTGACTGGGCAATCGATCTCAACCAGACTTACTCAAATGGCGGAAACGGATCAGAGCTGTCCAGTGGTGATTATGATGATGACTATCTTACACCTTGCGACTATTCTTTGACGTTTGATAGTCTCGACGCCATCTATGACGCTGCCGATGATTACAGATCGGATTGTGTGGCTGTGTACACGCTTGAAGTGCTGATCAACATGCTTAACACTTCTTATGTGAATTACACAAACGTCAATCAAGGCTATGACGATCTATTCAGTTATTATGTCACCTACATGGAAGATTTGGTGCCCGAAATTCTCAAGGATGACTTTTTCTTCAACACAAGTGCTACTGGAGGTGTATATGCAACTCAGCCCGCGATGGGCAGCGGTGCACAATGTAAGAAGCAATTAATCCTCTCTCGTCCAGATCTTGAAGTGAAATACTGACCAGGCTTTTCTATAGATTTCGAGTGCACAGTTGGCTCAGAGACTGCCAAGTCATGTTCCGACATCAACATAGACGACGAGTTAGCAATCCACACTACAGCCATCACGCTAACAGACGAAGACGGCTTCGAAACCGCGATTGCCGATAATGGCTTCATATCTAGCTGGGTTGAGTTAGGCGATTACACCTATGTATATGAATATTCCGCCCAGGAATATGGTGAGGTGAAAAGAGATTTCAAGTTCACTGGCAGCTTCCCTATCCAGAATGCCTCCATGACAGTTCCAAATCCAAAGGACATTGTCACACAAGCCCTTCCTGATATTCCTACACTGATGACAGAGATGCAAGCCACGTTGTTGGACCTAATGCTTTCTCAATGGCAAAATGGCTCAATTTCGGATCCCGCCTCGGCCTACAGCATGCCCGTGTTCATGCTCATGCAGGCCGTTGAGAACATGGCCGAAGTCAAGAAGCTGGGCACGACAGAGAAAACGGAAGAAGCGGAAGAAGCAAAGAGAAAAAAAGACTTCATTCTTCTAATCGTGAGCGTCGTTCTTATGGTGAGTGGTTCCAAAGATCTCTGTAATCATCAATACTAATATGGTAATAGTTCGTTCCTATCGTCGGAGAGGAAGTCGCTGCGGCGGCCGGGCTTGCCACCGTTGCACGTACCGTCGCGGTTGCAGGCGAGCTTGCCAACGGCGCTCTCGCCGTTTATCAAACCGTGGACGATCCCAGCTCCGCTGTCTCCAACATCATTGGTATGCTATTTGGCATTGGTAGCATTGCCAAGGTTTCCCGTGATGGCAAAGGAATTGCGTCTATTGCTAAGCTCCGAGCAAGCATGAAAGATTCTGAGATTGAGAGCTTCGGTACGATCTTCACAACGAATGATGACAAGCTTCAGTCGATCTTAAAGATCTGCAGTGCATAGGCACCTCAACACCAGAAGTTGTGATATTACTCTCTTTTTTAAAGCTTTGCTTTCCCGTCATATACCTCTGGACCGATTTTATTGTTCATCAGCTGCAAAGAGCGTATTTGGATGGACGTATGAAGGATTGATTGACAGAATGCAGAGCGGAAGTAAGGAATAGCGAGAGTTCTGCTATGCTTTGTGATATATAGAGAAGAATAAAAAGAGGAGACAGTTGCAGCCCTACTAACCGTTATATGGAAATATCTATTCCCTGTGTATTCGGGCGTAGCCAGTACCCTGACATGATTTCCCAGAGAGCGAATCGCCTTGTCAAAAGATCGCCTCGCGTGCACACCTTACCATCTTCAACCACTCACCATACCACCAATTCGCTTGAGATTACCATCATTAAGTTCAAGCCCCCGGGATTGCCCCCAACAGAGACACAATGGCCGTCAGCCAACTTCTGCCTTGGCCTATTTCGGCGAGCGGTACAGCCGACAATCTCTTTCCCAGCATCCTCCTCTCCCAGAACAGACGCCGTCAAGTCCGAGATGCATAAAATGCAGTTCATGCGCTTTGGCCTTAAGCCTGAACTGGGTGATAGAACGGTTAACAAAGACTCAACTAGAATGTATGAAAATTGATACATATTTCTAGTCAGTTCGACCACTGATGTACCTCCCGAGATCACCTCAACATTTGAAGCATGCTATGTGGTCATGAAATTATATGTATTATCACTATTCAATAAATAGAACGAGGCATACTTCTATCTTAACAATCATGATTCTCTTCCCTTCTAATTGTGACATTGGAAAGTAATGAAAGGCAGTCTTGGGCCCAATAGTTTAGCCGATAACTCCGAAGCTTGGATCAGATATATTCAGATCCGCCTTTTGACGTGGCCTGAATCCATTTGAATTTTCCATTGGTCAAAGAGCGGCATTTTCCGCTCGATAGGACCCCACAAGGACCACTATTTATGGATCCGTCGCGAACCTGCTCGGCAATCATCTTCACGGAAACTGCATTAAGATCTCTATCTGATGAAGATCTTCAGCTACTACGTACTCTGTAATTATCCTCCGCTTTCAACTGGTGGGAACATGTGTATCATCCTCGCCTTAGTGGCAAAATAGCCTCCAGGCGATAATCACAGCCCACCCTCCCTCATCCATCAAGACTTCAACCGTGGAACCGTGCACTTCCGGTAAGAACCCCACTTGCCATGTGTAAGTTACATTCTGTCCGAGCATGTAATGATCCCATCTCCAGGCCAATACCTAGCAATCATGCCCAAGTAAGTCATAACCGGTGTGAGTGGAAACATTGGCAGCATCGCAGCTTTGTATGCACTGGAAATTGCACCACCAGACACCACACTCTAATCCACCACATCAACCCTACCAAAATTCCCACAAAGACGCTCGAATCCTGGAAATTGAAAGGAGTAAGAGTATGCGCAGCCAATTATGACGACCCGAGCAGCCTCGAACGTGTCCTCGCTGGTACCGAAGCCACAAACCTGATATCAACCTGGGTGTTCGATCGTCGACACGAGCAAGCATAGAACGTGATTAATGCGGCGAAATCGTGCGCTGTGCGCTGTATCTGCTATACCTCTTTCGTATGCGCTGATGACCCCGCCCCGGTGGATGAGATGTCCTTTTTGCCTCACGACCATAAGCAGATTGAGGGGCTGATCCGGGCTTCCGGGCTGGAATACAATATCCAGCGCGATTGGCTTTATATTGATAATATCCCGAACTTCTTTGCACCGTCGTGGAAGTTCTGTGGGAACCGCTGGATCTTTAACTCGCATGGTGTTGCTGGGGCTTATGTTTCAAGGGAGGATTGTGTAGGGTGTATGCTGGTCTTGTCCTGGGTCGTGGGGAGCCGAATACTGTATATGATGTGACTGGTCCGGGAGGCTGTGACTGATGAGCAGGTCTTTGAGTGGATCTGTGGTAATCTTGGAGGTCAAGGTCAGTTTGTTGATCTATCGGATGACGAATTGAGGGAGTATTGGATTAAGCTAGGACTGCCTACTTTGTGACTGAGCCATTGCCGCTTCCTATGGAGCTCTGTGTGGATGATCTTTTGTGCTGTGGTGAAATGGTTACTAAGGGCTACATGGCCAAGACGAGCAATGTCGTTGAAACACTAAAAGGACAGAAGCCCGCGCCCTTCCAGTAAGCCTTGTTGAAAAACAAACAGGCATTCTCCTAGGTGCCTGCTCATCTTCTCTGAGTAGCAGGACATGCTTCATCATATCCCCGGCCTAGTAAGGGTGCCTTACCCTCGGTCGGCCTTTAGATGTTTTCTCTCATATCGCTCTGATCCACTGATCAGTGATCAATGGTTCTTGCTGGGCTCATTTCAATACTTGATCAATGTAACCACGCCTGCCATAATCTATTTCAGTATCTGGGTCCCGAGCGCAGTTGCCGCCACCTGTGGTAAAGACCGAAGATGTCCGAGAGATTGGAAGTCACCACGATGATGCAAAAGATGGAATTATCGGGGGGCTCCGAATATTCTAATGATCAACAAAAGGCGGACGAGATTAAAAGAGATGTGTAGGCAAAAGGAAATATGCAAGCCCAGGCGCCCCATTTGAGAACCTCACGAACTACAAACCGCCGCCACAGACCCTGGCATCATCATACAGATCAAAGGGGCCAATTGAAAAGCCGGGATTCCAATTCGGGTACTAATTGACTTACAACATCAGATCTACGGTATCAGTGAATCCGGGGATCCTTTCAATTGTCCAATAGAATGATCAACGGTGATCTCCGCTTCCACGAGGATGGAGTAAGCACTAGGTTAAGCAGCGGGTTCTGCGGACAAGATCTGGAGACTGCCCCGAGGGTCTGTTATCTGGGGCTAGACTAACCAACTAGACTAACTATGCATGTCTGCTAGCTCTCCTTGATTCCATGTGGGTCGGCTAGACTACTCAATCAAGGTGACGCCGAGGTTAACATGTCTGTACGGATACCGGTTTAGTTTTGATATGAAGCCTATGATTAGACGGATGTCGGATGATAAAAGTCAGAGTGATGCTTTGTCCCCGTGTACATCCGAATTAAGTTACATGGTATGCAACCATGGCTTTCCCCCCGACCCCGCCAAGATGAACTCTGACACCCATGAGGTATACCAAGATTCCAACGCATATCGGCGGCTCCCGTGGGACAAATTCGAAAGCTTAATTCAGAAAAAGCGAAGCTTCAAACTTGAATACCAAGACAGGGGGATAAATGATGAGAGTGATAGCTGACACAGAGTACAGATACGTATCAGCGCGCGGGTCTTATCGGTGGTCCGACCGACCAATCACGAGACCCGGCTGGAAGCGAGCAAGTGAAACCTCGGACTGCTGATAAGCTAGAATCCACAACATTCAATCTCATTGGATCGAAGGGTGTGCCGAGAGGACTCCAGGGCTTGTCATTTGCTTCTTTCTGGAAATTCTCTGATGGGGCCCCACGCGACACCCCCCGGCCCTATCTTCTTCCCCTTGCCACCTGCTACAGGCAAGTGGGGCGACGCGCACGAGAATTTTTGACCGCGACTATATTATAAGGTCGGTCTTTTCCGGTGGAGGAAAAAAAAAAAAAAAGAAAGAAACATGTGGATTTGGGCTGGACAACACGCATCTTTTATCTCTTGATTGGAGTTGAGCTTTAAGAGCTCTTCGGATTCTCTTCTATTATCCCTTTCAAGGTCCTGTACCTTTTTTTTTCCTACCGAAAACGAAAAGCGTCGCGACTACCTACAGCAATGCGCTCCAACTTTGGATTCGGTTCCCGCGGGAATGCCGATATCGAGAAGGCTCCTCATGTCGACAATGCCTATGAGAGTCATAGCAACGAGACTACCTTCGACAATGTTCCCGACAATTTCAGTGACGGTGCCGTTCCGGGTGAAACCTTCGAGTACGGTGACTCGCTCTATGCGAAGCTTCAACGATTTGCTGGCAAGCTCAATGTCGAGCAGCGTGGTATCGAGCGTGTGCCAGAGAATGAACGGACGGATACTTCCTACTTGAATATTGGTAGCATGGTGTGTTTTTGCAAATCTTGCGATGAGCCTCTGGGCTTCCCACTGACCAACCCTAGTGGTTCGCTGCCAACATGGTCGTCAGTTCCTTCGCCATCGGCGTTCTCGGCCCATCCCTTTATGGATTAGGCTTCGTGGACTCCATACTAGTGTGTCTGTTCTTTAACCTGCTTGGTGTCTTGTCCGTGTGCTTCTTTTCCTGCTTCGGACCCGCCTTCGGTTTGCGCCAGATGGTTCTGTCCCGCTTCTGGTTTGGATGGTGGCCTGTGAAATTCAGTAAGTCATGGATTGCTGTCTAGTAATAACAGTGTGCGGGGCTAATTCAGGGTTCTCATAGTCGCCTGTCTCAACGTTATTGCCTGTGTCGGTTGGTCTGCCTCCAACGCCATTGTTGGCGCACAGCTCCTCAACGCCGTTAATGGAGTTGTCCCTGGTTACGGAGGTGTCCTCATCATCACCTTCGTCACGCTTTTCATCACCTTTGCCGGATACAAGGTCGTTCACATCTACGAATTCTGGAGTTGGATCCCCACCTGCATTGTGTTCTTCATTGTACTGGGCATGTTCGCACACTCGGGTGACTTTTACAACATCCCCATGGGAGTCGGAACTTCCGAGCTGAGTGGCTGCCTGGGCTTCGGAGCAACCGTTTACGGTTTCGCTACAGGCTGGACCAGCTATGCCGCTGACTACACGGTCTACCAACCCGCGGATCGCAGTCGCCGCAAGGTCTTCGCCTCGGCCTGGATTGGTCTAATTATCCCACTGCTCTTCACTGAATTCCTTGGTATCGCCGTGATCTCCCCCGCCATGCTCAACGATACCAACAAGTACTACATCGGCTACAACACATCCGGCAACGGCGGCTTGATCGCAGCCGTCCTCGATCCCCTCGGTGGATTCGGCAAGTTCTGCCTCGTCATCCTCGCCCTCTCCATCGTCGCCAACAACTGCCCCAACATTTACTCCGTCTCCCTTACTCTGCAGGTCCTGGGCCGCTGGACCCAGAGGGTGCCCCGTTTCATCTGGACCTTCCTCGCCTCGTGTGTCTCTCTTGCCATCGCTATCCCGGGCTACTCCGACTTCCAGACCGTTTTATCGAACTTCATGGACTTCATTGCCTACTGGTTGGCCATTTACACCGGTATCAGCGTTGCGGATCACTTTATCTTCAAGCGCGGATTCGGTGGCTACACCCCAGAGAACTACGATAAGCCTGAAAAGCTTCCAATTGGTATCGCCGCCACTGTTGCATTCTGCTTCGGTGTTGCTGGTATGGTTACTGGTATGAGTCAGACCTGGTACACCGGCCCCATTGCGAAACACGCTGGCGGCTACGGTGATGTTGGTTTCGAGTTGGGTCTTGCCTTCTCGTTTGTTGTGTACAGTGCTGTGCGACCCTTTGAGCTCCGTTATTTCGGTCGGTAGAGTAAATCTTGTTTTGTGTAAATTATAGGTTGGGAGCTGGGAAGGTGGATTTGAGTTTTATATTAGGCATAGATAGTGTGCATATATTTGATGCTTTAGTGATTGCATATAATTGATACATTTACATTGACATTTTCGCTTTTGACTGTCTACCTAATGTGCTCTCATTGAAACTTATCCGATTGCCAAGACCTGCTCCATTTTTGCGTTTTCTACTCCATTCAAGAGGCTCAGACAACGCACCTCAATCTTAGTTGCAAAGATTTATCTACTTCCAACGATGTACCGCCCATACCAATTACCACGACTTCATACTAATCCCCAACTATATCCCCTTACATCAAGAATCCGCCTCTTCTCTAGAATCCCGTCTACACAAGCTCATCAATCTCCGAATCAAGGCAGGAATACTCCTACTCCTACCCCTTCAATCAACAAAACATCCATCTTCAATCCTGAATTCTGGTCCTGCGCCTCAACATGGAAAAGAGCTCGATTAAACACCCTCCGCTGCCTCCTCGGTTGCACAATCGGCGATTTCTCAGCCATGTGGACACTCCAATCTTTCTACCCTGAGCTAGGCACGAATACTACAATGCTCGCTTCCAGTTCGTTCCCTCTAAAACCAATTCAGCTTGAAGTTACTAATACCCAATCAAGTGGCATCCGGAATTGCAACGTCCATCATACTGGAGACCGTCCTCCTTAAACGTGGCGCGGATGGATTATCCTGGAGTAGAGCTTTGCGAACAGCAATGGGTATGAGTATGGTATCTATGATTGCGATGGAAGTAGCCGAGAATGCGGTGGATTATCATCTTACAGGTGGAAGGGTGGTATTTGATGATCCGAGATTCTGGCTTGCCGCTGGACTTTCGGTTGGGGCGGGATTTTTGGCTCCGTTGCCGTATAATTATTTGAGGTTGAGGAGGTATGGGAAGGCTTGTCATTGATATTGGCATTGCTTGGCTTGTTGTTATGTATGCAGCTGATACATTTGCACTGTCAACATCCGAATCTGGACTAGACCTGATACATATCACCACCCTGTGGTAGATATGTCACATGATACAGTCCTAGCTTTCCATGAGTGATTTTCCTGTGAGACTTGGTCCCTTGAATAATCCGTACTCAGTATCGCGTGGTCGGAGACGGATTTTCTGATTGATGCGGACAAGAACGCGGTTTTTGACGATCAGTGCCACCTCGCCGGTTCCCCAGTCCATTCTTTCCACAGATGGCATAACGACTAGAATATGCTCCCCTAGCTTGGTGTCTCGTGGGAGATTCTTGGTCATTTCATGCTTGAGTCGGTATCGTGTATTGTAGTCTACTATCTCGAACTCATCCAGCTGGTTCAGATCTGCGTCCGGTCTGATACGGTGCCAGTTCCATTCATATCTCGCGCCGGAGCATTGCATTTCCGTCGCGAGCTCACCTGCAGGTACGACGATATGCTCCTTAAGCTCGAGGAGTCTTCTCTGCCAGACTTTGCTCGTGATGTTTCCCAGTGTTTGGAGGAAGTTGGCGATAGTGACCCATGTGGCTTCACAGGCTTGATTCAGCTGGCTTGGGTAGTTAGGGGACTGAACCCAGGCTCGAACCATTTCGACTCGAAAAGTGCGAACGGATCTGACGGCTGTGGCAAAGGACAAGTTAGCGAGAAAAAAAAGCTCGCTCGAGCTTTGGTAGGAGTCGGGGCTTACTTTGCTGGGGTTCAATCAGTGGGACATTGCTGTGCAGCTGTCCCAGAGCGTCGCGTTGAGTCTGCGTTGCACCAGCTACTAGACATAAGAATAACTTCTTGACAATAATAGAGATAATTCCAACTGAGATCAGCTCCGGCTCTGCACTCGGGATAGCATCATCGAAAGCCCGGGTAGCAACTTCAATGAAATCATGGTCTTTGAGGTAGCCGATAGCCGCGGGCCATTTTATGGCGAAGTCACTCGAAAGGGGCACGGAAGTTGTCCAGGTGTCAAGGTCATCATAGATTTTGGTGAGTCGTTCGCGTACCCATTCGTCAGTGGTATCGCCAACATTGATAACGGTTGCTCGGGCGAGATGGCCATCTTTTTCTTCCTGTAGAACCTTGATCTTCTCCTGAGCTTTCTTAAGTTCTGTCTCTGTTTCCCTGGTATGATCGCGAAGGGTCTCATACATTTGAAGTAGGACGTCAAACTCATGTTGAGCGCTGTTGAGAGAACCCACTACCTTTCCGCGCCATGCTGCTGTGTTTATGTATGCATCCGTCATTTTGCAGGTTTGTTTTGGGTGGAGGAAAGTTTCAATTGCTGGATGGATAATGATCACGTACAACAAGGTGGCCACTGATGAAAGAGGGAACACAATTTGACAGGTGATCATAGAAGGCTCGGCTGCTGGGCGAATCTGACGCGTCGAAGAGTGGTGGATTTTGACCCCGAAAGGAAAGTGGACGTAGAGTATCAATCGGAATTAAGAGCTTGGATGTTGTGTTTTCTTTGGTCAATGTTGACTTTCAATTGAGCGAATCAATAAAAGAAGCACTACCTTTACCTTATTGCCTTGGTTAGATGGATGCGCATGTCTTTCCTATCCTATTTGTATTTCAAATTTGGTTTTAGCTCATAATAATTGAGATTAAAGTGCATGCTGTATTGAGATATTCATAATTGTGAGATGCCATAGCACTGTTCGATGTGGTCCAGGGTCCCTCGGTTCAAATAAGAGGCTCAAATGTTCAAGGTTTCCAAATATTCATGAATGGCGAGCCTGGTGATGGGTCCGCATTAATACTTGATGGTATACCACGAATGAACTACTAGTAAGTAGTAAATATCAAAACATCTGCTTCGAGTATCAAGTTGTGTTTGTTGTGTTTCCGTACCATCTATAAGGCGTCACAAAGCTAGTTCCTAACCGTAGGTACAGAGTATATCGAATAATCTGAATGAACTTTGAGCGGTGGTTCATGGCATATTCGATGGTGCCATTACAGGCCTCTCACTACATACAGGTTATTTATTTGCACAGTATAGGGAGTATGCGCAAGCCTTGGTACCCGCCCCAGACTCTCAGGACATCATTCTGATACCGCTAGGTCAATCTGGCGCGCGATGTAAACGAGGTATCGGCTCTCATCGGGAAAGCTAGGAATATCAATCGTGATCTTGCTAATCCATGTTGAAGAAACCTCCCACTTCGTCCCTGTCGTCCTGCCAGCCTCATCCCACAGCTCTTGGAATGTCTCGGGGTTATGTAAAAACCGTGTGCCTCCGGTCACCTTGGTGAAGCTACCTGGCTTTAAGCTACCAATGTGGCCTCCGAGGACAACCGCATCTGTAACACCTGGTTTCAGAAATTTGATCATTCTTGTCGCAGCCAACAATTGTTGGTCCCAATCAAACAAGTGGAAAAAGTTCCCCGCGTTAATAAGCGTGACCTTACCATCCAACTTCTTTGACCCTTCATCACTAGGGTCAAGTATGTTGGCGGCAACAAATGAATCAGGTCTGAACTTCTCACGATCATTGAAAAGTTCAAAGCCGAGGTCTAGAAATTCCGAGGAGATATCTGTCCCATAGAGTCTGGCTGGATCGACACCATCGAAAGCTAATTTGCGCAGGACCTGTCCGACGCAGCAGGCTACATCGAGGAATGCATCCTGTGAGCCAGGTTGCGTAAGTCGCTTGACGATGGCCTGAAATGAAGGATGGTCTAGCCCTTTTATATTGGTGAAGGACCAGCGCCCGATACACGGGTAGCGATGAATGGCCCAGCCTTTGTCGCGCTGCGAAGAGAGTCAGTTTGCGGTCTTTGGGCTGAATAAAGGGATAGGGTATGCCTACAATAGAATGGAGATGCTCATTCACCTTCTCAGGTGGGATATTGCTGTAATTTTCCAAAAGCTCTCGGAAAGGACCGATATCGTCTGGAAGATCCTCCGTGTAGTTCCTAGCTTTCCATTTAAGGGCTCGAGCAGCCGAAGCATCCGCCGCCATCTTTGTGATAATGGGTTAATTATTGGTGTTGAAACGCCTAGCTTTCATCAACTGGTCCCTTGTCGGAAATGCGTTGAGGTATTTGACAGAAGCAGTGGATAGAGGTAGCAAAGTGGGAGTGAAGCGGACATAGCTATTGCGGTTCTAGCGCCGGCTTTCTAAAATGCCGAATTCCCGTGCCTTTATTATCTCCTTTACTTCTCATCAAACATTATTGGCGAGCGGGTAGGAAATAGTAGTAGCTAGTAGGTTCGTTGGCGAGGCCTTTGCGTGCTGTATCTTACGCGAAACTGCTACACACACACGCACATATATGTAGTTCATTAACGCCCGGCGGCTAAGCCGAAAGGGCAACTATCGCTGATTGACTATACATGTTATAACATATACAATTCTCCTTAGAGCCTATACTAAAAATTTACCATATACGTCACTTCCAGTAAGTAGTATTGTAGCGGATCCTTATAGGTTAGTAATTTTGTTAGTAGGCTAGCTTAAAGTAGGCTTCCTCAAACCACAATTAAATTGTTTGTCACGTGACCATTACCAGCCACAGCGTGCGCCACAAGAAAATCGCCGCGAATGAAATCCACAACGGACTCGCCTGTGAAAGAAATCCTAGAAATTCAGCTCTCGCCGTATCACATCACAACCACACACCATGTCTAAACTTGGGAAGTGAGTAACAACACCAGGACAAATTTCCGCAAATTTTTCTAATCAAAGATCTTTAAAATTTCTAGCCGTGCCGACTGGGCCGACGATGAGGAGTTTGACGACCCCTCCGCGCTCCCCGCGCAACAAGTGATCGCCAACAAAGATGGCACCAAGACCGTCATCTCCTACCGCTTCAACGACGATAACAAGAAAGTGAAGGTCACCCGCCGCATCAAGACCACCACTGTCCGCGAACACGTCAACCCCCAGGTCGCCGAGCGCCGCTCGTGGCCCAAGTTCGGTCTCGAGAAGGGCCACCCCCCGGGACCTACTTTCGATACTACCTCCGTTGGCGAGAACATGGTTTTCCGTCCTAGCATCAACTGGAAGGCGCAGGCTAAGGAGGCTGAGAAGGACGGCGGCGAGAAGGGTGGTATCAAGGACCAGCTCAAGGACAAGAAGGTCAAGTGTCGTATTTGTTCCGGGGAGCACTTTACTGCTCGCTGTCCCTTCAAGGATACCATGGCTCCTGTCGAGGAGGCGAGCGGTGGTGCTGGCGTGGATGCGGACGACAAGGAGGCTGGTGGTCTCGGTGCGGGCAAGTCCAGCTACGTGCCTCCTCACATGCGGAATGGCGGTGCTGCTGGCGGCGAGAAGATGGGTGGTCGGTTCGAGAAGGACGACCTCGCGACTCTGCGTGTCACAAACGTATGTTTCTTTACTTTTATCTGGGGCATGCATGTTCCATGTCTTTTTGGACCATTCTAACGAATTTTTTCCCTTACAGGTCAGCGAGTTGGCAGAGGAACAAGAGTTGCGGGATCTCTTCGAGCGGTTCGGTCGTGTTACCAGAGTTTTCCTTGCCCGGGACAGAGAGACTCAGCGGGCCAAGGGCTTCGCCTTCATCAGTTACGCGGACCGGGGCGACGCCGCGAGCGCCTGCGAGAAATTGGATGGCTGTACGTATATACCTGGGAATGGATATGGATATGGATCTGGATATGGGAATCAGATGCTAACAGTTCTCTCTAGTCGGTTACCGCCATCTCATTCTTCACGTCGAGTTCGCCAAGCGGTCTACTTAAAATTGTTTTTCGCTTTGTCACGACATTTCTGGTTTCCTTTTTTTTTCAGGCGAGCCTAATTGGCTAGTGCTCTTCTGCTTTGTACTGTATGATCGATAATGATTATTCTCGAAAAAGACAACCCTCATGTCATTTACATGCATCAGTCTATACAAAAGCAATGGTTTAGAAGAGTTTTGCATGCTTAGACTGCTACCCCGGCAAATTTCAGCTGTCCTTGTTCCGTTCAGTTTCAACTTGCATGCCAGATACCACATAGATATCATCCTTCAACTGACCAGGATCATGATCATCCGCCATATTATGCTCGTCCAAGTTGGCAGAAGGTCCGTATTGACAATTCAGGTCCGGTCATCTGTCAATACACTACACCAGGCCCCCACCGATAGCACAAGCCCACACGAGGCAATCCAATAGCCTGTCATTAAGTGTCATTTCCAAAACCAAAATCATATCAAATCCCGAAAGTAAATGTACTGAACCATGACCTAGACTCGATAAATCTAAGCCGGTCCCGAATTAACGCCTAACGTAGATAGGGACTCAAGGCTCGAGACTCGGAAGACCAAAAGTCACACCCGCAGATCCTGCCCAATTGCAACAGCACACAGATCTAGATCGCCAGTACAGCCGGCTCATCTTGTCCTGCTAGAACACAGAATCCGTTCTAATTTCCCGCACGCAAATTTGGTTGCATCGCGTTGCATCGGTCATTCGTTTAGGCAAGAGATGGGGTGAACAGAGTAGAAGAAAATGCTTCTTTTTGACTAGGTCAGATTGTTTGTTATGTCTGAGTGGCTTGCGTAGAAACCTCTGGAAATGTGTCTAGATCTGGCTTTCCTGAAAAGGACAGGGAATAAAATCCAAGTCAGCCTTGTTACCTTTGGTTCCTTGCCTATCACTGGGCCAGATAGATGGAGCTTTGCCTTTTAATCTTTTAGCTCCTAACCCCTGACCCCTAATCAGAACCATAATGCCTAATCCCTAATCCCCGTTGTTGTTGCTGTTGCTATTGCTGTGTGACCGGTCTGATACATGTGAAGGCGTTCGGGATGTTTTCATGTCCCGTTGCCATTCTGTTACGCATCCACGTTGCCTGTCATATCCGGCATCTGCGGGCCCGTCAGACGGGGGTGAAGTCATTTTCACAAGAAGGGTATTTCTTCACGGGACACTGTTGGCCTCATGTCGATGAGCAGATTTTTCTCTTGGCTTTCTTCGTGTGACGGCTCCTCGTCTTCGCATTGGGTGTTGCTTTGCCCGGGATAGCTAGTGATGGCTGATTGCCGCAGCAGGGAGAGCACATCAATATGATCTGGTCTCTTCATGTCTGCCTTGTTTGCTCAAGGTTCTGGGGGGCAAATCTTCCCCGAAAGAGTAAAGTGATGACAGAGTTTGGTACCGATGTAGCAATGGTCCATGGATCCCGATCCCTGCCCGGGAAGAGTAAACGTATCACCCTTGTCTTATCTTTGTCTGCCCGAGATGTTGAGGCTTCTGGGTCTTCATGGGCCCCAAAGTGTTGCTAGGATATTCAAGATCAGTTTTCGATCGGCACCGCCGGCTGGAAATTCCCAGGTCAATCAAAGTTTGTGTTGATAGGATTGGTAGAGCACCAATGAGAGCTTCTTGCCTCGACTACCCCTTGTCATCTCTTGTGTAGGCTTCTTCGCCCCCACTATGTAACGTCTCAGGAGTGGGCTACCGATGATGAGGTCTAGCGTCGCTCCAAGTGACCTTTCAGTGTTTGCCATACGTGCCACACAAAACCTTGTATCCAGATAAGTATGGAGCAAATACTAGCATTGAGTTTGCTCTCAAGGAAAGGAATTCTGGTTCCCGGAAAAGGAAAAGGAAAACCCCGTACGGTATGCTTTTGGATTGAACAGATTGTATAGGAATGAAGAACCAGGAAATTTGGTCGAGTCGGGCGTATCCGTCTCTTCTCTTTGGCACGACTTAGCCTCCGAGGCACTGTGGAGGTTTACTTCCCGAGTGACATCGTCTTTGTCTCAAACTTTATTAGAGGGCTAAGAACCATGGATCCCCAATGGGGGTAGAAGTCTGAATGCGGCCGTGGGGTTCAACGGCTTCTGTGAAGTCGGAAGATTAGGTTCCCGCATATCCTTTTCTAGTCTTTTAGTCTCTTCTCTCTTTGATGCTGACGTGTCTAGGGTTATTTTGCCGACAGTGGAGTCATTGGACGCGGATCCACCACGGGATTGCATCCTAGAACAACGGGCATATTCTTACTAGGATGACGGAACAAGAAACCCATAGAATATTAACTCAGCTGCCGGTAAGCGTCCACGCTGAAGATTGTTCATTAGGGCCAATGTGCGTTGGGAAGGTTAAAGAAACCGCATCATACCATTGAGGAATGAGGGTGCAATGTTGACCTCCAGTATTATTCTCTGTAGATTTTATTCCCTTCTTCGTTGAGCTGAGCAGTCTCTTCCCAACTTTTCCTTCCCTGTCAAAAACTGGGAAATCGGCCAGGTGCAGCCTGGGAAATATGAAGCGGAACTGGGCCACGGGTTATCATTTGCGCGCGCAAATGTGGGAGTCGTACAAGGTAGAAAGTTTTGATTTATTTTGTTTCCTTTTTCATTTTCCTTTTCTTTTCTCTTGTGTTGAGATATCATTTCATCCCCACTAGGGCTCGATCCCCGATCGTCACGCCAAGATCATCAACCCTTTAGATCCGGTGGCACGTGCCCAGAAACCCTGGTCATCGATGGGAAGGCTAACTTGAGCAAGGATGGAAATCCCGAACTGATGTCTCAGGAGACTATGTAACGTCAAGGGCCAAAACTCAGGTTCCGGGGGGATTTACATAGGTCGAACCATGGTTGGATCAAGGAGTCCATGCCAAAAACGAAACTGTGAAAGCCGCAAAGAAAGTCAAATCAGAGATGCGGCATAGTTGACTATCTTATTGGCAATCAAAAAAGAAAAGAAGACAGGTACCTGCAGAAAACTAGCACGGGGTCAACTCCGCATGTTCCTGAAATCGGACAATTAATAGCGCTCGTTCCTCGGGTAAAAGTGATAGCTCGGAAATGGTGGAGCTTCGGGATAAGTGGAGTCTTCGGGTGGATCGATCTGATTGTACAGAAGAAAAATCACTAGTTTACACTCAACTGATTTACATTATTTAATTTGATTTCTGCAGTGTACTCCGTGCTCCGTGTTAGTAAGGTACGGAGTACTCCTTACCGACCACGTAAGCTAGACTAAAGTACGTAAGTTCACCGCCTCCACGTGATATTAGATCATGGGAAGAGCGGATGATCTTCCTCTGTCCCAAACTTTGAACTTTAGACCTCGGCATTTGATCACTGTTCTAGATGTCATCGTCATCTAGATTGCTGCACTTGGTGCCGAGTTTGGTATCACTGTGGTCCGTGTTGGGGGGAAAACGAGCTGCATAACATACACATTTCCTCTTCACTAATGATTGGTCCCAAATATATCGACCCAGTTTCATTCCAACCAATCAACATCTGTCGGGTGCTTTAACACTACGCACTTTGCAATTTGGACCAAGTAGCCCAACTAGCTTCCTGCAGAATGGACGATCTTTCAGCCACTAACGCAGTTTTCGACACGATCAAGCCTGGTGGTCCCACTAATGGAGAACCAGGATCGGGGTCCTTTGGATCTATAACCAAATTATCTCCACATCGAGTAAAGCCACCGGTGTTGCTAAGGGGGCTGGTCCTCCACTTTTCTCTCGTTCTTTCCCATTTCCGTTCGGTCATCATTTGGTAAGATTCTCGATTTGCCATGTCCCCCAGTGGGTCCCACGGAGCTCCATACTGGAAAAAGCTGCCGGGTACGGACCGCACACCACCACCCTTCCCGCTGCAGCTGTTTTGGGTCAACGGTGGATCCCACCATTCCCAGTTGAGGAGTGATTACATTCATAGTCTCGGTCCTGGGCTCTTCTCCCCGGGACAACTCGCCCGGAAGGAAAAAGCCCCCCAAAAAAATAAATTATCTGCCTTAATCCCTTTCCCGGGATTCTGTCGGTGAGAGCATTGCCAACATGCACAATGCAGCTGGCTGAATGGAAATTGCCGATCGTCTGATCTTCTTGGAATGCAAGAATCGTGCCTCATCACAGTAATAATTCAAAATTAAAAAGAAAGATAGTATCCTTGGGATCACTCCGACAGGTCTTTAATCAGTCCCAGTAACTTGGTTGCATTTTTTTGGCCAAAGGTTGGAAGCAATGAATGATTTTTAGGCAGAAGACCACGGTCTATTGGTTTACCGATCCCCACAGTCTGATACATCTAAATCAATGTAGGTGTGAAATGACTTTCTGCACGGGTATGGGGGGGGGGGTAGGGTTGATCTCTATCCTGGTTCATCTTATTTGGATTTACCTGCAGCAACCCGCCTTCGGGAGTTCGCGCTGGGACATCTGACTTCATCGAGAAGGAAAAAGACATAATACATTCAGGGTGTTAGCCACATATCGGTCCGTGCAGGGCTGTTCGGGTCCTTCCCAGGGCACGTAACATGTAGAAACTGACCAATGCCATGCTCCTTGAACAATCAAACTGTCCCCAAGCTCGGACCAATGTGATGTTACCTATGGATACTCTTGGCCCACACCCTCCATAGGTCCGTAGGTTCCATAGGCCCTTTCATGGACCGGGACCAGGATTACACGAAAATGCTTTTCCTTTTTGATTTTATTTGCCTTTTCTTTCTGAATTTCCGTTTTTTAATTCGGCGTGGAAAAGGGAAAAGGAAAAATCCAGATAGTCTCGGTCTTAATTATGGTTGGACCCCTTATGCAGAATGAGCTGCTGCCACCCACTCTGAATACAACGTATTTCGCCCTGACAGGGACTTTCCCACTCCCTTTTAACTCGTGGCGAGAATGTTCGGCCGATGATAACCTTGAAAACTGAGGCTATTTTGGTTTTTGAGGACTTACCAGGATTGAACTGCACTTTGAAAACCAATATCAATTGTTCCTACCTTCTCTTTTCTTTTTTTTTCTTTTCAGACTTCGACTTTCCAGCCAAGCCACTGTTCAAAACCCCTCAAAAAGAAAATACGTCGGAGGCTCTTTACATTCATTTTGGTTACTTGTCTTCCAAAACTCTAAAGAATAGGAACAGTAGGAAGATATACATTGTTCTAACAGGTACTTTGCTTTTCCTTTATTTGCCCCCGATGTCATAATTTCCCTTTTCATGTTGTATTGCGTGGTTTTTTCATTCGTTTAGATCTTCTAGGGCTGGTTTTTTATAAACAGGCCCATGACCTTACCTCAAACTATACGTACTATACTACGTACTCCCCTTTCCGGTTTCCGCATACTTCTATGCTGACTACTCGGAAACCCGTTCTATTCACTCTGATTGTTCTTCCTGAGACATGTTCTACTTCTTATTCTCGTCTTCACCCTCCTCAATCATCTTATTCACTTTGAGTCTGATCTACTTCAAAGTTCCCTTCTGATCCCTTTCTCCTACGTTCCTTGAACGTGAATCTTGCATCCTTGTTCCTCTCTAAGCCAAAATCATCGCAATCGACTTTCATTCTGATTCGACTGAACTGCAACGGAACGCAACCCACGTTGTTCTAGCATCCGCACTCCACATCCCGCTTTTCCCGCTTTCATACTTAGTTACCCCCCAATTCAGAGGATCTCAGTCTATTTGTGAGAACTTTCAATCATCCAACCATAGAGCCTGGATCGGTTACTAACGAGCTTCTAGACAGACACAATCGCTTTGCCACTGGGACTTCAACGGCCAGCATCTTAGTGTCACCTGGAAAGCAATTCTTCAGGGTCCTTGAATCTAGTATCAGCAGGATCAAGATGAATCCTTGTAAGTCTTTCCGTCATGCGCAATTCAATGAGCCCCAACTAACTCCCCGATCAGCTCTCCTACCTGAATCCTTTCCCATGGACTGCCCCGTTACTACTGAGCGTGACTACATCAGCTCCCATGTGACAGGGTTCTCAGACGAGGACGACAATCAACGAGTCGGAGGGCTCGCCTCCATGCCTGTCACCAACGGCGTGCGGTACCACACACAGCAGCCTGCGATGCAGGACTTACAGTAAGTTCTTCATTTTAGTTTGGACTGGTTGGGCTCCATTCGGCCAGAACCCTGGTCGCTGCGCTTTCTCCGGGTCCGGGCAGCTAGGGCTTTAGTCCAGCCTGGTTCGGTACCTTTCATACCGATCCTGCGTGCATGCGTTTCTTCCATGTTTTGTCCTTTTTTATCCGAACCTGTCTCGGTATCTTTCTTTTTCGCCATTGCGTTTTGTCGTTACCTTATTTAATGCTTCGATTTTTCGTTCTCCTCGTTATGTGATACTAAAGGATATGTCTTATAGTTACCCTAGCTCTTCGGCTCTTGCTATGACCCCTCCAGATTCTGTTTCCGGTATGTTTTCATCTCTGCTGGAATGAGAGCATCTTTACTGATCAAGTTCTGTTTTACAAGATTCCTTTTCTCCGACATCTGGTCCCATTTTCCCATACCTGCCTCAACAGCAGCATTCATTTAATCGCATGAACGAATTTCCACGAGGACTAGCTCTGTAAGTATCGCTCTTTGTTTCCCAAGATGCAAGACTGATAGGCTTTGCGAAACAGTCAGCCTCCAATTGGCATGTCTACTACTATGCAGGCCCCGTCACACGCCGTTAGCTCCATTCCAACCCTAATGGGACGAAACAACACCTACTCATCTTCCTATGCCTTGCACCGTGGTATAGGAATATCCCTATCAGGAGTTAATGATGTTTCTCGCTCCCACCAATATTCAGGCGCTCCCCGAACCCTAGATGGTCTAGATCGCCCCCAGACCATGTTCCAGCAGCCGATGGTAGAATTGTCACCACGATCCCAACCACAATTTGAAGCACCGCCATTCAACGAGACCAACATTCTCGAGTCCATCGTCGCAGACTTTGGAAGCGCCCAACAGGTTGTCAAACCTGACATTCAAGCGAAAATCGGACGGGGCTTCTTCGCATCCGATGGCAAATGGACATGTTACCGCCGTAACTATTTCGCTGTAACCTGCAGCTTCAGTCTCCACCCATGGACTTCCACAGTACCTCTCTACATCAGACACGAAGGTGGAGCCCTAACTCCAATCCGCGGATTCCAAATGTCCATCTCCGCCATCGTGAACGAACAATACAAAGAAACCCGCGAACTGGTCCAGCACACTCCGAAACGAGACAAGCAATCCGAGCGAAAGCCAGGCCCAGTATCCCTCCAGCCCGCCCCTCCCCCATCCCTAGCCACAGGCTCAACAGGAAACGGCCACTCAAACTTCCCCCTTAACTCCCAGTCCCTAGACTACAACTCCTCTTTCTCAGGCGGTCCCCAACCCTGCTCCCCACCAACCTCCCACATGTTCGAGCGCATCCAATTCCAAAAAGCAACCGCCAACAACGGAAAACGTCGCGCCCAACAACAATACTACAACCTCGTCGTAGAACTCCGCGCCGAAATAACTGACCCAGTCACCGGCGAATCAGAACAAATCCTGATCGCCCGCCGCCACTCCCACCGAATGGTCGTCCGAGGCCGCTCACCTGGCCACTACAAAGACGGCCGCCGAGACAGTGCAGCCAGCATGGGCCCGGACGGAAGCAGCGGCGATGGCAATAGCGGCTTACCTCATGGAATGGGGCAATCGACACGTTCGCACCTGATGATGTACGACACCGCTCCTGCTCACCGGGGCGCACTTCCCTATGGAAGAACAGATTATCGTCAGATGCCGACGGCGGAGCATTCGCATTCGCCACTGAGTGATAGTCCGCTTGTTTCTTCTTCTTCTTCGTCGGGTTTTGATTATTCTATGATTAATGATACGATGGATCCGATGGATACGCTGAAAACTTCGCCAACGCTTGATTATCAGGATCCTTTTACTGGGATTCCGCATCACCATCGTCCTAGTACTGGTGGTTATGATCCCGTTTATTCGACATCGAATTATGGACGTTACGACCCGATCCAGAATCCACATAGCTTGTGCACTTAGTGCATTTCTTTTCGTTTCTTTACTTTTGTTTTATCTATTTTATCTTCTACCTATTCTATATTTTATCTATTTTATCTCTTATTTCTTATTTCTTGGACTTCGTTCTCTGTATCTTTCATCTTATCTTATGTGACTTACGTTTCTGTTTCAGGTTCTGGTTCTGACGAAATTTATTACGGGGGGTTTACGGATCGGTGCAGAGGCGCGGGAGAACCATTAACGGCCCTTTTATCAATCAATTTCTTCTTTGTCTTATACTTACTTCACTTCTATTTCTTTCTCTATTTCACACTACGTTTTCTTCGGTCTCTTCTCATTTTCATCTTTGATTTGACCCATATCAGGCAATTTGACCATATCCACATCTATTAGGACAGTGGCAATGTCATTTCGTCATCATTTCCACCCTTTTCCTTACTTCACTTTCATGCCTCTCTTCTACCAGAAAAATGGAGCATACAGAATGCTATTACAAGGTTTTCATTTAGATTCCACTCCATAATGAATCGTTACATGAGACGAAAGCTTCTCTTACAAGTGTTTGCCTGCGCTTTCCCATCCAGCGCAATTCCCCGATTCGCCTAGCCCGCCAGGAACCGTTATTTGCTGCACTTCTAGTCCAGTTTGATATCTACCAGGGTGGTGCAGGATTTTGCAAGAATTAATGGTCTCGATTGAAATACTGTATGTTGGTAGAGTTGGTATGGACTGGCTAATACATGCTCATTTACCGAATTTGGAAAACTTCAGTACTGGAAACGTTTCAAGCTTTCAAATGGTATTGCAGCTCTTACTGGTCAGTTTCTATACTACTGTAGTAATGCTGATGGGGGTGGGTTGAATGCCTTGAATTGGAATCCATTTAATCTTGCATACAGGATACAATGGAAAGACTAAACAAGGCCACCCACCTGCCTACCTAGGCCTAGATAGAGTCAGCGTGACAAGGATTGACTGGTAGGGGTGAGAAATTAAGGAACTAAAGGAATGGTGGCGTTGTCTGAATCCCCGCCAAACGAGATTCGCTGGATGCACATTGGCAAGAGTAGAGCAGCCAATCATATGAGAGCATAGAAGCCTTTGCAGGATTATGATCACGCTTTCTGGAGAAGTATTTATTCAGGCAGCAAGGGTTAAATGTGAAGATACATTTTCCATACATATCGAGGAAGGTGGGGGGATCCAACGTGATTGTGATTGTGATTATATGCTATGACCTCTATGGTACATCCTATAATCCTACTGAATATACATATCATGTGTAATACATGATTAATATTGGATACTAGTTCAGGTACTAGCTTGGAAAAAATAAAATTGATTTTGCAGATGCATGCAGATCCCATGTCCCATCGCCATCGGATCGACAGTGCATGCACATGATTTATTACGTCTCAGCTCAGCCCGGTTTCTAAGGCACGGGCCCGGATAGTCCACCGGTGGCAAGGTCTTCCTGCATGTAGATTGGATGCGTTTATTGTGGATGACTAGTCTACTTTTAGAATGGGGTGAATGGTGGACTTCCCTATTCGGACATTGAGTCATAACCTCCACTTAAAGGCTCGGTGATGTGTGTGTCACAAGGTTGGCTCTCGTGATCCTGGCCTCATGCGGTTCGGTAAGTTCCGGTGTTTCAGTATCTGCGTAGATGCCTAGGTACCCAGGGACTTTTGTCATTCATGAGGATTGTGGTGGTTTGGTTTGGATCGTGGCAATAAGAATATTTCTAATAGCCACATACCTAGTGGTTCGTACTTTTGTGTATGACTTTCGGATAAGTGTTCCCTTTTTCAGTGATTATTGTTCTTCAAACCTTATGTACTTTAGTATTGGTTCTGGAAATATACTGAATACCGAATTTCTAAGGACACGGCATTTCAGCCTCGCCTCTTGCCCGTGCCCTACTGTCGTACAGAAGCCGGCGGCCGAAGGGGTCAGGCCCTACAGTTTCATGTGCATCATAGCCTCCAGCCTTCTAGGAATCTTAGGCTTCTTAGCATGATTTCACAACAGAATCAATGTAGCGAATGATCGATCAAATTGAATTTAACTTGATGTGCTCAAGCCCCAAAGTATTTGTATTTGTATTTGTATTTGTATTTAGGTAAGATGTGAGGTATCAGTAAGGTTTCTTTTCTTTCCTTTTCGATTCTTGATCCTAGTCAATCTAGCATATACATGCACATATTATTTAAGACATGAGGACCCGGGGATGTCCGTGCAACAGAATGTGTTACACTCAAACGTATGACCGGGATCTTGATTATTGCTTGCTTGGTTGACGTACTCGACATCTATCAACTTGTACTTGATGGAGTATAATACCGCCAGATGTAGTTATCATATGCAGTATGTATCAGCTCATGTATACCAACATAGCTAGGTATAAGTATGTAAACTAGGCCACTTAGTCCACCATCACTCATCTGAGTATTTCAAGTACTCCCAAGGTCCAGCCACATGTACATATAGGCCCTAATCCTCATTGAAATTGCAAGGAAACATTACATCCGTTGCAATTCTAATCTCAACATAGATTGAAAAACCGCGTTTCGGCCGCTTGATCGGAACTCGAATCTGTCCGACCCTTTCTCCTTCATACAGCCAGCGGGGATGGTCAATTTCTCCGTTGTTTCACGTCAACGGCCCTGTTATCTGAGTCTTTTTATTTTACTAGGCTTTTGTGTTCTACAAGATGATCGGGCTTGGACCCTTGAATTGCACGTGAGGATTTTGTTCGGGGAGTTGAATTGCAGTTTGGACGAGGGTTCGGGGTGATGTTATTGGCGCAGGTATCGGATATGGGATTTGGGATTTTACCGTACTAGTAGATTTTAGATTATGAGCTGTTACGGAAAGTAGCATTTACATTTGCATTTGTATTGGCATTGGCATTGGTATTGCCATTGCCCAGTGATATACAAACAACGCCCGAGATAAATATGTGACCATACACATTCGACACCGACCAGGCATCCATTCAAGACACCTGGGAATTTTGTCCAATCTACCATCAGCAACCCGAAACATCCTGCGGCTCGCAACGCATCCCAATTCCGACCCCAGCGGTAAGTCCGGAGAATAAAATGCGCTGTAATTGGCCTTTCAAAGCCCCGACTGGCATTGCGATCTGGACTGGACACACCACCGCTCGCTCAGCGCCAAGAATAAAGTTTCCGACTGGCGACAGCGCGTGCGATTCGAATCTTCTCCAAAGGATTATGAAATTAGGTATATGATGCCGTAGGTGTTGTTTCGGTAGGTATGCATGCATGCGCAGGTTTATGCGAGCATGGGCAGGGTCTGAGCAGGGTCTGAGCACTGAAATGCGCAGGCGGCGAGGTGCTGGTTGGGTATTCTCGGATTACCTGGTGAGGGTATGGATCAGGATTGACGGATAACATCACTGCTGATGGAAGGGACGGGTCTGAACTTCATGTCTGCAGCGAGGGCTACCTTTGCTTCGAAATGCAGTCTGGTCCAAGATGATATCACCGAAATAAAATGGCCCGACAAACTCAGCCTAGGCCACTGGTATCCACGGAATGATATGGAATAGTATGGTATAGCCTGATCAAGGCAGAATTGGCCTTGGTTTTATGGTTGTTGGTGTTTATCAGTTCCGATCCTTCTTCTCCTCCCCAACCTGTGACACCCGCACAGCAAGTTGTCGTTCCAGCGCCTCTTGCTCTTCCTTGCTCGATTGCATACCGAGCGCACTCTCAACCTGGGGCTCAGTCCAGAGTCCGATGGTTGCCCAGGCCATTACGCCGACGCCAAAGAGGGCACGGGTTTTCGGGGTAAGTCCGCGGTAGGTGCTATGACGCGTTGTTAGGATGAGGTGAGCGCTGCAGGGGATTCGAGGAATGTTGGCTACCTCCACAAAGACATTTTTGGTACTATCGGGTGTATTGGATAGTTTCAGAGTATTTGAGGGGCTTCTCCTGGGCGTTAACTGGAATGAAGACATGAAGCTGGGTTGAAGCGGAGATCACGTGTCCATAATCTAACCCGATTTGGTAGCTGAGGCTCACTGTTCCTGTTGTTCCTGGAGGTTCCTGTCAGGTATCTGTACAACGCCAGAGGTCGATCTGGTCTCTTAGTGGTGTCGGTGTTACTGTGGCTGAAGTATCTTGGATGGAGTGGAACTTTTGGTGTATCTAGAGCTACTGGACAAAGGAAGGAGGATTGTAAAACAGAGCCTTAGAAGCAACCCCATCGCAAATTCATGTCTGTATTCATTACCATCTCTTCTAAATCATGGCCTGGCGAGAGAACAAGAGCATGTCGCCAGAGGGAATAGCATATAAACAAGGCTTGAGATCGCATCAAATCAAACGCGGAGAGGGTAACAGGGAATGAAAGACAAGATGAAGAAGAAGAGCGAAGATTAGACAAAGATAGATAAGACATCACACCTTCCGTCACTTTTAGAAGTTAATTATGCCTTGCTGTAGGCAGCGTCGATCTGGGCCTTGTACTTGTCAACGATCTTCTTGCGCTGCAGCTTCTGAGCAGCAGTCATAAAGCCCTGGGGAGTGTCAGTATAGTTCATATCATTCTCGAGTCTAGCACTTACGTTCTGGGGAGTCCACTCCTCGTCGGACAGCACAACACCGTTGATGATCTCAATACCCCGGAGGCCACCAGAGCGACCACTGGCCTGCAGCTGCTGCAGGACAAGACGCTGGAGCTTCTCGTTGTGAACGAGAGTCTCCAAACTGTCGCCCGAAATGCCATTTTCGGAGGCAATCTTCTTCAGTGCAACCTCTACGGGAACAATGATGGCAATCGGCTTGTCCTGGTCTTGAGCGGCGTAGACACAAATGTTGCCAACCACCGGGCACGAGCGGTAAACAGACTCCAGCTTCTCAAGGGCAATGTACTCGCCGTTCTGAGTCTTGACCAAGTTCTTCTTGCGATCGATAATGTTTAGGTGACCGTTGTGGTCGAACTCGCCAATATCCCCGGTCATGAACCAGCCATCTTCGGTCAAAGCAGCCTTGGTCTCCTCCTCGTTGTCAAAGTAGCCGGAGGTCACACTACCACCGCGGATCCAAATCTCGCCTTGGGGAGGGTTGTTCTTGGCAAAGTACCCAGCATCGGGGAAATCGACCAGCTTGATCTCCACCGATGCGGGTATGTCACCCAGAACCTCGGGGTTCCAGGCCAACGGGTCATTCAGGGCACCCATCGCGGAGGTCTCAGTCAACCCGTAGCCGCTGATCATGGGCGCAATGGCCATAGACAAGAACTTCTGGGTGTCCTTGGAAATGGGGCCACCACCGTTCATCAAAACACGAAGGCGACCACCAGTCGCCTCCTTGAGCTTCTTGAACACAATGGAATCAAGGACGCCAGCGCCAAAGTTGGCACCGGGAAATCCGTTGTTCAAGAGGAAGCTCTTGGCGGCAAAGGCACCCCAGAACATGCCCTTGACGACGAAGCTGGTCTTGTTGAGGTTGTTCAAGACACCCTTCTTCACAGTCTCCCAAACTGCCGGCACACCAACCAGGATGGTCGGCTTGAACTCGCGAATATCACCCTTGCAGTTCCGCACTGAGGTATCGGACAGGGTGCGGGGGTTACCGTATCCCATGGTACCACCCCAGAACAGGCAGAGGTTCTCAAACATGAATTCCAAGATGTGCGCTTGGGGCAGGTATGTGAGCAGGGAGTCAGTGGAGGTAATGCAAGCATCGGTAATGGCGTTGACACCGGCCATGGCAGCAACCACGTTGGCCTGGGTCAGAGAAACACCCTTGGGCGGGCCGGTAGAGCCAGAGGTGTACATAATACAACAGAGATCCTCGGGCTTGGGCGGCACCGGGTCAACGAGGTTCTCCTCGCCGGACTTGCGTAGGTCCTCAATGCTCTGCACGGAAATGTGGGCAAAGTCGCTCTTCAGCTTGTCCAGGTCCTCCTGGTTCACCTCGGTGTCGGTGTTGTAAATGATGTGCTTGATTGACGGGATATCCTTCAGAATGTGGAGAAGCGACTTGATCAGACCGGGGTCCAGGAAGATAGCTTCGGATTGAGTCTGCTTGAGCGAATGCGCCAGACCTTCCTCGCCCAGGGTGTCATAGGCGGTGACAATGGTCACCGATTGAGAGGCAGCACCGTGCGACATGGCCAGCCAGTGCGCACTAGTGGCTCCGTAGAGGTGGATGCGGCTGTTCTTCTCGAGGCCGATGTGGCGCAGACCGGCTCCAAGCTGGAGACAGAGCTGCTCATACTCAAGGAACGACTTGTATGTGTATCCGCTCAGCTCGAAGTAGGTCCATTTCTTGTCCACCTCGGTCTCAGCTCCATCAACGATCTTCTTGACCTTCTTGTTTTCGACGTGGGTCTTGACCAGCTTACGGGTTCCGACGGCCTTGTTGTTGCCGAATAGACGAGCAGAGCGACGGAAGTTCTCGTAGGTGGTGGACACGTCCTCTGAAGGGCGCAGGATGAGGCCATCCTTGGCTTTCGGGTGTCGGCGGGGAATGGTCTCTCCGGCGACGGGTTCGCAGCCGGGGGCCTCGACGGAGAAGGGGCCCTTCTTGACCATGCGCGGCTGGATGACGGTCAGGTCGCGCTTCGACATGATGGCGTCTTGTCTCGCGTGTGAGGATGGAGTTAATTAGGGAAGGGGTTTAAAAGGAAGGAAGACAGATTGGACGGGAAAAGTCCGCTGCAACCAGTGACGTTAGCGCTTTTTGTGGCGGCAGCGAACGGGGCCAAACAAGGGAAGCTTGGGTCGGCAATGCAAAGCTTTACCCGGACCCATCCAAGAACTTACCTGTACAATAATTATGCACTTTGAGGAGCAGCTTTAAGGGGATGAACTTGCCAGACAAGCGGTTTTGTGATAGAAGCAAATGCTATTAGAAAAGGGAAATCAAAGCAAAGCAAAAGAAGGGAAATTCCAAGTTTCGTGGCTTGGGTAGCTCCCCCATGCGTGGCTGGGCTTCCCGCAATCTCAGGGATGACGCAGTTGGTCAATCAATAAATAGTACTCCGTAATTAACTAATTCAACTGACTCCAAGTATTGCCTTACATTGAAGTAGAAAGTCATTGATCTATGGCAAGGACATCTCACAGATCCAATGGATCTCGTCTAACTACGGAGTAGAGCCTCTTTATCCATATAGTAGCTTTTCCGTAGATCAATTACTCTTTCTAACTGTTGGGACGGCCCAACACGATGTGGAGCGAATAAGTATGGAACCTTTGACAAACCTTGAACCTCTTGGTGATTATGATATTTAGGTATTCTGATTTTATATGGTTCTATGTAGATTTCGAATCTGAGATCCCACGTGATCTACCTTTCGATCTTTCAACCTGGGACACATTTGAACTTGGAGATAATTTATTGAAACCCAAAATGTCAATTTCTACACTCCTATCCATCGGAGAAGAAGTGATCGATCCGGAAGAGGGTAAGCCAATAAGAACTCACTTTTTTAAGCTCCCGAGCTCTCCAGTAACTTACATACCGAACACGGTTAGAATCCTTCCTGCTCTTCAGCCAAGAAATCACCCCCGGTAATCTGGGGTTCTTGGATTCACGCGCAAGCACAATTGATATTTCGATCCATGATCATGAATATACTATCCACCAGTCTCCGTCATTACTTTCCTCGTCTCGGTCTGGAGGCACCACGGGCGCCGGTAGGTTTTCGTTTTGTCTTTTTCTGATCTGCGATCCCTATGCACGGACTCGACACCCCGCAGTTGGTCGTTTTAAGCCAGGAACCAAGGTGAGCCGAGGCTCCGCTCTTTGCTTCGGCTTCAGTTGGTCTGGACTTACATTTGATCCCTCTATTCTGGATAAGATCTGATGTCTGATTGGCTATGTTCTTTGACTTCTCTTCTTGTGTTCAAACCTAGTCAACCTAGTGGATTTCTACAGACAGTACAGCACTAACAATGTCTAGTTCTTTGGAAAATCACTCCCCCCTTCACAGAATGGATCTCATCACCCACAAATCCCCTCTGGACAAACTCTATTCTCACCCCAGAATCCGTCGTCGCTGAACTAGGCTGCGGTATCTCAGGTCTGCTCCCCCTTACCCTCGCACCCTCAATCCAGCACTACATCGCCACAGACCAAGAGTACGTGCGCCGATACTTCCGCACAAATATCGAGGAAAATGCATCTGTCAACTCCGCAAAGCCAAAGGGAAAGTCAAAAGGAAGCACTAGTAAAAAGAGACATGTATCGAAGACATCCCCTAGGACGTCGAATATCACTTTCACAACATTAGACTGGGAACTCGATCAACCCGGTTTATTAAAGGATTGTATTGATGATTCGCATGGAAGCGAAGATAGAGGTTTCGATCTTCTTCTCTCTTGTGATTGTATCTATAACGATGCCCTTGTTACGCCGTTTGTGCGTACCTGTGCTGAGATCTGTCGTTTGCGGCCGGCTTATGAGCCGGGTAAGGAGCAAGCGGGTCGACCGACGGTTTGTATTGTTGCGCAGCATCAGCGGGCGCCGGAGGTCTTTGAGACCTGGCTGAGGGAAACGTTGAGGGAGTTTCGGGTTTGGAGGGTGAGGGATGAAGTACTTGTTCCTGGTTTGAGGGGGGGGACGGGGTACCTGGTGCATTTGTTGTTAGCTAGGGAGAAGTGAGTACAGTACATGACTGGATGTATGTTTCGATGGAATTATGGATGTATTCCTATAGGACAATGTATATACTGGTAATTTCTTCGCATTTTGTAGATCCTCAGACCAATGCTCAATGTATCATTAATGCTCAATATGCAAATTATAGACAGGTTAGTCAATCATGTGGTGATGACATAGACAAGAATAAGTAACAGGTCACCCAAAGACAAAAGGGTATTGGGAAAATGATAGACAAAAGTCGATTAAAACAAGTGCTAATGATTTGATGCAAATGTGATGTGTCTGTCATATCGATGCTATATGGCTCCATCGCCATAGGATTATGAGATTATAAGTGATGAGGAGAAAGAGAATGACGAGATCACTCAGTCGCAGATCCCTCCTTCGGCTCTGTGTTCTCTTTCTCGGGCGAGTATTCGAATTTTCGCTTCACGGGCACCATTTGCTCCAACACAGGAGTAGGGTTTTTGGAACCGGGTTCCGACGGAGCGAGGGACGCAAGAGCTTCTCTAGGCTCTGGTTCGGGGGTCCGGTCGATTATGGAGGAGATGGATTGCTTGACTGAACCGTTGATCGCTCTCGGGGCTGGAACGGGAGACAAATCGTGTGGACCAGGGGTGTCGTGGGCCTCTGAGAGGAGGTTTTCGGAGCCTTCGGTCTTCACACGGTAGGATTCGGGTGAGTCCTCGCTTTCTTCTGGGTCGGACTCGAGATCCTCGTCTTGTTCGCCGTCGTGGTCCATTGGTGTACCGCTCTCTGTTGAGCCCCGGTGGGTGGTCGCTGGGGGTAGAGGCGAGTTGGGGTCGAAGACCACGCCGCAGAGTTCGAGGGCGCGCGATTGGCTGCCCAGGGTGCGGTCTTTGTGTTTTTTGGTAAGGTGGCACATGAAGCCGTGGAGGGTGACAAAGTCTGATTTTCCGCATCCTTGGATTGGACAGGTGAGATACACCAAACTGCCGTCTGAGGGTCGCTTCCACAAGGCTCGGCCTGATGGGTCGTGGGCTGCTGGACGGCCATGGCGCTCGCCCCATGCCTCGACGTTCTTGATGGTGTATTTCTGCTTGCGCCGGATGGATCCAGGGCCGTTCATGGACTCATGGTGAACAATGTGATGCTGCGGTTGGGGAGGTGGAGGCGCATGATGTTGGTGAGGTTGGTGAGGCGGGTGAGATGGGTGGGGGGTATGAGGTGGATGGGATGGATGAGATGGATGGGGGTGAGTTTGATGGGGTTGGTGAAGATGAGCTGGTGGGGGCATAGGAGGTGCCTGCTGCGGCTGTGATACAGGGAGAGGAGCTTGACGAGGCTCTGGCGGACTCTGTTGCTTGAAAAACGCCAAGGTAGTAGCTGCGCTGGTCTCAGACAATCGACGTGGTGGTGTGGGGCGCAACGGCGGCGAGTCCGCTGCATGATTAGATCCCAGGCCCATTGACTCTCTCTTCATCCGCTTGCGCTGTCGTCGAAGATCCTATAGAGTCAAATGAGTATATATTCCATCTGGACAGCTGCTTTGATACATATATAGAACTTACCTCTTCCTCTATCTCCGCGCCCTCAGTCAATCTGCGAAACTCCTCATCTTCACGCTTGCGCACTGCCAAAATATGACTCCTTGTGGCCATCCGGTTCATTTCCTCATGTTCCAATTGGCGCAAACGTTGTTCGATCTGTTCCAACGAAGTCGGTGCCGGGGTTGGTGGCACTGGTGGAGGACCAGCATGAGGATCATGCATCAGCGGCGGTGCAAAGTGACGAAAATGATGATTCTGGACCATTTGGTCCGGTGGAGGCATTCCTGGGTGTGGTGGGTTTGGGTTCATGGCGATGGGATGATAGCGTGGTAGTCCGTTGGGCATATGTCCGGGACCACCATTGATACCACTGTCAGTGACAGGGTGAGGCACCAGCGGTGCAGTAGTCATAATGAGATCCGAGCCGATCTCAGGTCGAGATAATTAAAGTTATTTTCGGCTATTCAGACCATAAAGTGGCCAAGGTGTAGGGGAAAAATGACAAGGGAAACAAAAAGCAAAGCAAAAAGTAAAAGTAAAAACAAAAGCAGAAGCAAAAGCAAAAGCAAAACAATGACAAAAACGGTTCAAGGAAAAGAAGTCCCAGAGTGGGTAAAGAAGAAAAAAAATAGCAAAAGACCCAGTCCCGATCTATGGGTCGACGGTTAGGAAATGATTGACAAAAGTATCCATTACAGTAGAAGAAAAAGACCCCAAACAAGCCAAAACGAGACCAACAAATTAGAAATTTGGAAATAAATTGACATCCACTAGCGCGACCCTTGGGCTGCACCCCCGTTATGCAAAATTTCCCGTAACGGTCAAGTAAGGGCGCGATCTATGTGACGAGACATTGAATCTTGGGCAAAAACCAGTTTGGGTGAAATGCGGTCAAATCATTTGCTTTCCATGGATTGGCTCGGCGCTAGTGGATGTAATCAATCACAACAATCACTTTAGCTTATTTTAATATAAGGGGGAACTATTATTATAATTACTATTCCAATTATTTTAACATTGATCTAGTACATACGAAGTACTTCATACTAGACAGTTACTTTTATCGGGGGGAACTTACTCCTCTCCGTGTACGTAGAAGAGTAGGAAAACATAAAACACAAAAGTCAGCTGACCCAGATTGATTCTCCACTTTATACCCACAACATACGGAGGAGCAATCCAGCTTGTATTCTGTCCAGCTAAGTCATTTCATCGGTATCAGGGATGAACAGTCCCAACATGTGTAAACAGCAAAAAGGGGAGGGAATTCAATAAACACAAAGTAGATTGATTTATTTTTACTACGTTTAGGGTTACGGAATTGGTCCGTGGAATAGGGAGAAGGGAGAAGGGACAAGGGAGAATGAACATTGATCTATCACCTCCCCCTAAGTTAATATTGAAAGGGAAAAAGTAAGCGGCTCCAGAGTTGATTGCAATTTCAATTCCTATGAATATAAGCAGGTACAAATCTTTCCGAGCATGACCAATAGCAAAGCACAGATCTACCATAAAAAGTGCCAAGACCAATCGTCATTGGGGAAGATCAATTATGTAACAGGGGGAAAAGAACTCCCTTTGTGGTTCCATGGGACCACATCGAAGCTGCTGGAAATAGAAATAAAAAACAGAAAAACAAACCCAGAACCTTGGAATCAATACAAATACAAATTACAAACTACAAATTACCCACAAAAAGGGGGCACCTGGGGGAATTGGGTTACACGGTTATGTACTCCGTACAAGGGGAAACATAAGTACTTCGTAAAACCACCCCCCCTCATGTCCTGTCTCCGGTACTCCGTTATGGATTTATTGTCTGTGTGGCATCCAATCTATTGATTCCTGTAATATGTGTTCCAGTCTTTTCAAGCCCCTCTCTTAACCTTAGCTCTGATGCTAAAAGTTCCAAAGTCTAAAAAGGGGGGAAAAGAGGATCGTTTTGGATTTCATGCGGTAAGGGCACATTCACAATCACAGGCGAATAGGCGATGAAACTGAGGTGATCCATTTCAATGGGAAATTGCTTTGCTCCACCAAGTGCTAGCTGGTCCCCGCTCAGCGCTACTGGCCCCCTGTATCCTATGGATCTATGAGATCCATTACAGGAGTACGGAGTACAGATTGGGTCAAGTGACCAGGTTTTATAAAAACATAAAAACAAATAAAAAATTAGTCCGGGTTCTTAGTCTGCGCTTAGTCTGCTTTTAGTCAGTTTTGGTTTTAGCTCGGATGATTTTCGTGTTGGGGGACGCCAGGGCTACAGATGAGAAAAAGAAAAGAAAAAGTGGAATCGATTACCAAGTGGGGAAAAAAGAATCATACACAGCACTAGGGGCACACTAAGGCGGATGGTCTCATAGTGATCGACGAATGGAAGTCAAATGGCGGAAATTTTCAGGCTTTCAGGCTTTATCCATTTGAACTTATTATGACCTACTCGACAACAAACATAGACCCACTTCAAATTATAGCCCAACTGGTGTGTACAACGATGATTTGCCCGCTGCAGGAAATTCTGCTCTCTATCACTTCCCAAATCGGTGTACATCCCTGTTTATACAGAATGACGCATATACACTTTGTCGTTTCATCGAGTGCTCTAGACCTTCTCAAGTCCCCCCAGGCTGTCCACCATCCTGGACTTTCCCCCCTAGTTGCGTATAGCACCGTCTGATAATGTCTAGCTTTCTATCGTCAAACACTGAAGACAGACGCCACGTTACGGCTGTCTCACCCGAGAGTACACAATCGAAGTCAAAAGAAAAAGTAAAGTAAATCAGGGATTATCATCTATTTGGGAAAGCTTCCTCGTTACAGCCGTTTCATGCAAGGAATCGAGGTTTTAGAGGCGATTGGTCCATCTACAATGTACTCGCCTTTTGACTTGCTTTAATGGTAAAAAAATTTAAATTCTAATCCGAATGATGGCTGTCATTAGATTAATTTATGTTTTATTCATTTCGCTTTTATTTTGATTTTGATTTTTCTTCCCCAGGTCGAGACTCAAATAGATTGGACTTCAATAATTTCGAGCTAATGGGCGGATGACCAACCCGGGAATCGCAAACGTCAAGCTGCATACAGTAGGGGAGCTTTTCCGACCTATCATTTCTCTAGAATCTTGGCCTTGGGCTTCAGCATGGAGAAATGGTACTTTGGTTAGGGGGACTAGAGGCAGGCTTGCAGGGAGACAGCCTTGATTGTCTTATTGGGTGGGATAAATTTGGGGAGAGCATCGTGGCGCACTGAGAACCACAAGCCTTCCCAATCGTGCTTTTCTGGAAAACCAGTCTTACAGTACTTGAGCAGGATTCAATTGTAAAGCGAGAGGAGAATGGTCCGATTTCTATTGTCACATGCACCCAGAAAGCTAAAGCCTTGCATCCTTTTTGGTAGCCCGCCCCCCTTTTGCCGTAATGTCATTAAATACAATGGTAGACAATCCCGGCATACTCTGCCAGGAACAGAGGTAGATAGGAGAAATGAGAATAGAGTAAAAGAAAATAGATCATACAAGTTGGTAATCAAACACCGATACACCAGAACAGGAAAGGGGGATAAAAGGACATTGAGAAGTATGTGTACAGTTGATGCGAAAGGAGATGCGAGAGAAAGAGATCAGGGAGTCTCTAACAGGAAATGATAAGGAAGACAGAGGAAAAAATACATGGGCCAAATGACCAGAAGTGGGAGCGTTAAAAGGTGGACGCAGTATTTACTGCTTGTTCTCACCCTGCTGCTCACCACCCTGGGGCTGCTGCTGCTGCTCGTTGTTGGCCTTGTGCATCTTGTCGAACAGAGTCAGGGAAGCGGTCTGGAGCTCGTCGGTCTTGGCCTTCAGCTCCTCGGCGGTGGCGGTGCCCTCGCCGGACTGGTTCTTGACAACGAACTCACGGAGAGTGGCAATCTTCTCCTTGATGGTCTCGGCCTCGGTCTTGTCGAGACGGTCCTCGAAGTCCTTAAGGGCCTTCTCAGTGTCGTTCAGGACAGAGTCGGCACGGTTGGCGGCCTCAATAGCGGCCTTGCGCTCCTTGTCAGACTCGCCGTACTTCTCGGCATCCTCAACCATGGACTGGATCTCGGCATCGGAGAGACCGGAGCCGGAAGCAATGGTGATAGACTGGTCCTTGTTGGTGGACTTGTCCTTGGCGTGGACGTGGACGATGGAGTCAGCGTCAATGTCGAAGGCGACCTCAATCTGGGGAACACCACGGTGGGCAGGAGGAATGCCAACAAGCTGGAAGTTACCCAGCATCTTGTTGTCCTTGACAAGCTCACGCTCACCCTGGAAGACCTTGATCTCGACAGCGGTCTGCATGTCAGCAGCGGTGGAGAAAGTCTGGGACTTCTTGGTAGGGATGGTGGTGTTGCGGTTGATCAGGCGGGTGAAAACACCACCGAGGGTCTCGATACCCAGAGAAAGGGGAGTGACATCGAGCAGCAGAACGTCGGTAACTTCACCAGACAGGACGGCACCCTGGACGGCAGCACCAATGGCGACAGCCTCATCGGGGTTGACGGACTTGGAGGGCTCACGGCCGAACATGGACTTGACGGACTCGGTAACCTTGGGCATACGGCTCATACCACCGACCAGGATGACATCCTGGATGTCGCTGGACTGGAGGCCGGAGTCCTTGAGGGCCTTGCGGACGGGCTCAACGGTACGGCTGATAAGGGGGTCAACGAGAGACTCGAGCTGGGCACGGGTCATCTTCTGGTTGATGTGGAGAGCACCACCGGCACCGGCACTGATGAAGGGCAGGGAGATCTCGGTCTGGAGGGAAGAGGACAGCTCAATCTTGGCCTTCTCGGCAGCCTCACGGATACGCTGGATGGCCATGCGGTCACCAGAGAGATCGACACCGGACTCCTTCTTGAAGTTCTCGACAATGTTGCGGACGAGGTGGATATCGAAGTCCTCACCACCAAGGTGAGTGTCACCGTTGGTGGACTTGACCTCGAAGACACCCTTCTGGATCTCCAGGACGGAGATATCGAAGGTACCACCACCAAGATCGTAGACAGCGACAACGCGGTCGGCCTCCTTCTCAAGACCGTAGGCAAGAGCAGCAGCGGTGGGCTCGTTAACGACACGGAGAACGTTCAGACCGGCGATCTGACCGGCATCCTTAGTAGCCTGACGCTGGGAGTCGTTGAAGTATGCGGGAACAGTGACAACGGCGTTCTTAACGGGCTTGCCGAGGTAAGCCTCAGCGGTGTCCTTCATCTTGTTAAGGACGAAACCACCAATCTGCGAGGGAGAGTACTTCTGGCCACGGGCCTCGAGCCAAGCATCACCGTTGGTGTGCTGGACAATCTTGTAGGGGACCTCCTTAATATCACGCTGAACCTCAGCATCGGTGAACTTGCGACCAATGAGACGCTTGGTAGCGAAAAGAGTGTTCTCGGGGTTAACAACGGCCTGACGCTTGGCGGCAACACCGACAAGACGCTCGCCATCCTGGGCGAAGCCGACAACGGAAGGAGTGGTACGGGCACCTGTAGAAAAGACGTGTTAGTTATTGGAGTTTCACAATTGCAATCGACAATTAGCAGCCTTTCGGGCCAGATTTCCGATGCGCTGCCGATCACTCCAAGGGGGAAAAATTTTTACATACCCTCAGCGTTCTCAATAATCTTAGGGGTCTTGCCCTCCATGATGGCAACAGCGGAGTTGGTGGTACCTATCATTAATTATGTTAGACATTTTTTCTAAAGGATGATATTCAAGACTGTAGTTGTGACTTACCCAAATCAATACCGATGACGGAACCCTTCACCTTCTCCTCGCCACCCTCGGTGGAGTTCCATCGCCGGAAAGCGGCGCCGGGAACTCTGGAGGTAGGGGTGCGAGCGAAAGCAGCGCGCGGGAGCTGTGTATGAAGTTTAGTCAATGTTGTTGCGACGCGTGATGGCTTTTTTTCCGTCGCGAAGAGGAAAGAGAAAAGCAAGACTTACCGCGCGAGACATGCGAGAAGGAAGCATTGTGAATTAAATTAAGTGATACAAAAAACAGAAAAGGTAGAAACACTCGAACGAATCAATCGCGGAGTGATGAAGAGGTATAAAAGGGGAGGATGAAGATGGGAAAGGATTGTAGAAGCAGAAAGAAAGATTTTACGGGATTGGAAGCTTATGGAAATCCGGGTGTCCGGCGACCTTCGATCGGGCCGTCTATCTTCCGTTACCGCCCGAGTTTTGCCGAGTTAGTTTCCCGGTGACGATGGTATAGAGTTGATCTAGGTTATTTATACTGGTCTTCATGCTTGAAACACGTTAAACTATTTCAATGTTTCCAAGCTTTTTCACCATTGACTCTCCACTTATAATCTGGTTCATTCCTTCATACTTCTTTTGTTCCATCGGACAACTTTCAAACCCTACATCCTATGCCACTATCATGATTTAGGATAGAAAAACTGCTACACTCACTGAAAAGAGCTTTATTTAGGTATTCACTTTGCCCTGCTTATTTTAAGTCAACTGCCTCGGCTCTCCGTGATATCCGGTCTGTTTGATATGTCTGTGTTGCCACCTTGTTATGTTGTTGAGTTCAACTAGGCGGTGTCGTGTGACCATTTTAAACCCTTGATTGCGAAGCAGACGATGGTCGGATATCGATCGTGGCGGCATGAAACATCTCCGACTGAAATAAACTGATGTATGGAGGCCATATGGATCTCAAGGGGGTATAGGTAGATCTGCTATCATTTATAATTTATTAAACTTCTCACAATAAATATCTTCCCCGGTCTTTCGCCCCATCATTCTTTTTTCTTTTATATCTACTACCCTCGACAAAGAAACCTCCGACCTACAGTATTGCCACTGTGATCTATTCGAGCTTGTTTTCTTATTCCTCTTATTTTGTATATTTTCTTATGATATCTGATCCCTCCAGGTACACCTGAGCAATCTCCTGTATGAATCCGGCAATTTGAAAATTCCATTTACAAATTGCCTCCTTATCATACTACGCATACTACGGTACAACCGCATTCGCTCCCCGGCTTTTAGCTCCACCCAAGTCTTACGTCATCAGTTTGAAAGCGCATGCTAACTACTTATCCTCAAATTCAGCTCCGTTAGTGCACTTCAAAGCTCTCGATCGGGTCTGGTGAAGCTCTCAGTACTTGCCAATTTTTATATCGGACAATGTTGCCGAGGGCGTAGCTGCTCACCATGACCTCGGACTCGGACCTGTGAGTACTTTGTCCCACACCCCCTCCAACGCTCTCAGCCCCGTATCATGTCGATCAGGCCTTCTCACTTTCGATCTTAGACATCGCCCCACGGAGTCACTCATACTTCCGAATAAACGCCGGTTCTTCCCAATAAAGATTCCCAACTTGTATGCATCCCCTAAATCCGCCCCCTGACCTGTATATCGGAGTTCTTGACCTGACAAGATCGCAACGCCACAGCCACCTCCAGCTCCGCCACTACATCAGTACGGCCGATCCGGATCGCATATATGTCGTCGTCGATCGGATTATCGTCGCAATCCACATTGCGGCGCAAAAGCGGGAGAGCATAGCCGTCATTCCGTTCGAGCCGCGATGCTTGGCGGCTGGCTACGGGTGGATCGCGGTGGGTGGGCCTGACAACGGCGAATGCGCTTACATCAGGATCGATGAAAGGGGTCTGCAGGTTCATGATGAGACATTTTCATCCCGCCCCGCTGATGTGGATAGTGCGCTTCCGCTGGACCTAGAGCCGCCGTCTCGGCTCCCCTCGCCGGGAACCTTTGGCAGTGCCTCGGCACATCGTCCGGGGAGACGATCACCACCAGAACTCATCCTACACAAATTCGGAGGCACTATTGTTAATTCGGTGACAATTCATCGCTTCCCCAGCAACGGCGAAGGCACTTCACACGAAGATGTGATGGTTCTCAGGTACCATTCTTCAAAAGCTAGCTCAAATTCGCATATATAGCTAACCACATCTATAGTAACAACGATCATACTGTGACTGTCTACTCCTTGACCCGATCAAAAGTTCTCAAGATTCTCCAACATTCAACTTGTATGAACTATACGACTATCTCCCCAGATCAGACCATTCTGGCAGCAGTGGGTGATGAGAACAGGGTCTATTTCTATCGGATTTTGCGTGACTGGGGATCAACTGCAACTACGGAAGCAGGTGGCAAACTCGCGGGCTGGGAATGGGAAATGCTGCAGTGCATTGAGATAGAAATCGGCACGCGTCCTGATGACGCTTGCTGTTTTACCATTGCCTTTTCACCATCAAGCCACCTGTGTGCCATCGGTTCACAATCGGGGGTCATCACAGTGATTGATGTGGAGGTAATTCGCCAGACTTCGGGCAGCACTCAGTCTGATGAGAATCCGATTTTATACCAGTTTATGGCTTCCAGACCCTGCGCTGAGGGAGGTGCTGTACGCTGCATGACCTTTTCCCCCGAACCGTGGGACCTACTGGTATGGCTTGAAGGCCATGGCCGAGCTGGAATCGCAGATGTCCGCCAGTTGTTCCTTCGACGGCAGCTTCTTAATTTAAGTCTTGATGACCCACAGCTCCAGGGCGCTCATTTAGAGCCATTGGGAGAAGAATCAGATGACCAGTCGATGGACGAGGATGATTTGATCGTATTGCCTCCACCCCCGTCGCGTCTGAGACTTTATGGCGACGATTCCACCACTGAGCGAGAAACTGCAGATGCCGATCGTTCCTCATTACGCGAAAATCTGATACAAGATCTCACCGAGCGAGAAAGATTGATTATGGAATTCCTGAATACTGCACGGTGGACTTCAAGATTGGAAGAAGGACTAACAGAGCGGCCAGAGCGGCCAGCCAGAGCAAGCCTGCATCCACATCATGCGTCTCGCACGCGAAACTATGGCTCAACAGATGGCACCGCTCGAATCACCCATCCTACTTCACCCCCACATCCATATGAGTCTTCTGACATAGCTCGAGATAACGATCCTGAACTATTCCTCTCACCTCCACCCCCTCCACCCCCACCGCGCATGGGTCATTCCAGGCGCACGGATACTCACACTGAGCGATCATACCATGCTAGGCGGCAGAGCTCGATCGTTTTGTCGCAAGAAGGTCGATCTTCCGAAACGGAGAACTCCAATCCCGATCCCCAGCCTAGCCTCACTCTTAGCTGGACAACGTCACCATCCGAGCTCCTGTCCGCAGAATCGGACATCACATCAAGAGGGGCTGATCCTGATCTTGTGAATCACGAGAACGATTCGGGCCCAAGGACACCGGACACGTTAGGGCTTTCCCCCACGCTTGACTTTGGCATTTCCTCGGAGGCTCTTGCTCGACTTCGTTCCCAGCGATCAAGCTCCACCCCGCGGCGAACCGATCGGCCTCAGACCGCGACAGAACGAAGATATGATACTTCCCGTCGCTCTAACTACGAAATTAGAGCCAATCTTGCGGCGGAACGTCTTCGGCGTCAACGCCCATTACCAAATGAGGTACAAAACCGCTCCTCCTTTGAACGAGAACAGAGAAATCGCCAACATTTTCTTGGTTTTGAGCAGACCCATTCGCCCCGTTGGATCAGGAATATCATCAATGATCTGCCTGACCGAAGCTTACCCCAAGGCTCTGGCGCCGGTGAGCCAGATGCAACAGCTGGATTAGGGTGGGGCGCTGATGGGAGAACATTGTGAGTCTACCTTTAACGACAGTATTATTGATTGTTTCTGACAGTAGTTCTAGGTACATTGCCACCGTGGAAGGAATCTTCGAGTTCCAACTGAACATCCACGACCGACGAACTTTTCCATCAATCGAATACCGATGAATAATTTACTAGCTAGCACTATGTTCCTGATACCATTCTGCTCACAAACAGACCCTCTCGATGCACGGAGACTGATCTGCATGCAGCCTTATTGGCCACTATTGGAGATTTTCAATTCTTGGGTAAACTGACAGTTTCATGTTATGGGTTCCAATTCGAACGTTCTCCTTCTTATCATTATTTGGATTTGGTGTTCTCATCTCTTGCATATGCTTGGGGCGCTCGGGCGTACATTCATACGGTCGTTTTATCTTTACTATAATGTTGTCATGTCTTGCACAGTTCGCTTGAATGGCCTGTCCCGGTACAAAAGTCCAACAGCGCATGATTTTTGGAATGGCAATGCTTATGAAAACTTATGTAATAAGTTTATCTTTGACACATATGTTCCCGATTGTATTGCATAATTTAAATATATTCATCTATTATAACAGTCCTCTACTCAGCTAGCCAAGTCGGGATTGTTCACGACGTACCGAATCGCGGTGCGTCTATTCATCTCGGTGGCAAAGGCCGATGTAAGGAAAAGAAAATAAGGTCCGCGGTGTATCCAAGCCATGGACGGGTCGACTGCTCCAAGCTCATGTTAATCATTCCAAGTTTTGCCGGAATTGTTTTGCATTTTCCGTTAAAAAAATATATCTTAGCATTTCACTCATTGGATAATGCAATTTGAACTAGAACATGATTATTAAGGCATACACCTATGTTAAAGAAATACCTAGGTAGTAAGTAAATCTCCACCTTACTTGAATTACGTTCTTATGAACATGTAGCGGATATGACACTCACTTAAAGCTGTCATCTATGGATCCACCAATCAGAGTCAAGGATTTGAGATCACATCGTCCCGGGCCATGTCGGCGCGATGACTCAGCTTGGTCGCCTCAGGCATCGACACCACACCACCCGCAAAATCCAGCTGGGTACACGACAACTTCCTCCTCCCTTCCCCGTCTCCATCCACTCTCCCCTCACCACCTCCCTCCAATTGACTCCGGTCCAACCTACCGACCCGCCATGTCGTCTTTGTCCATCTTCCGTATCGCGACCCGCGCCGTCCGCCCTGCCAACTTCGTCCGCGTTCCTCTGGTCCGCTCCCGGGTGCAGACCCCCATCACCATGGCCGCCCGCGCCCGCACTTTCGGCACCACCGCTAAGCTCTCCTCCGGCCACGAGGATGAGACATACGAGGAGTTCTCTGCACGGTACGATATGTCTCGCCTGCAATTAGCATCCGTGGACCTCAGAAAGAAGAGGGGATAGGGTCGGGAGTAAGCGCTTCCAAGCGCTGTCCTGACCCGTATTAATGCTATTCTATCTCTGATAAGAACTGGATTTTCTGACTATGTGTCTCAATTGCAGGTTCGAGAAGGAGTTCGAGGGTGTGCAGGATGTTTTCGAGCTTCAGGTAAGGCTGAATTTAACAACTCCCGGAATCGATGCGATATTTGGCCGATCTTGCCCGATCACCAATTCCTATCGATCTTTCTTTCTGAATCCATAGAGATGACCACTAATTTGTTCTTCTCGTTTAGCGCAACCTGAACAACTGCTTTGCTTACGATCTCGTTCCCTCCGTTGAGGTCCTCACCGCAGCCCTTCACGCCGCCCGCCGTGTCAACGACTACCCCACTGCTGTCCGCGTTTTCGAGGGTATGCGCCACCCTCCAAAGGCGAATTGCAATATAAAAGCAATATTGCATTCCCGAATCTATCCCCACTATAGTATCAATCTGATGACTAACCCACTTTAACAGGCATCAAGGCCAAGGTCGAGAACCAGGACCAGTACAAGCAATACCTCGAGTCCCTTGAGGGTCTCCGCCAGGAGCTCGGTGTTGCTCTTCGGGAAGAGCTCTTCCCCCAGGAGGAGTAAATTAGCGTCTTGAATTTTGTCTTGTGTTCTTACACTGAACCCTCCCGCGCCTCATCAATTTTCTTTCTCACTCCGTACCGTACCCACACAACCTTCACCGTGCCACCGATGGCTATGATCATGCGCACCCGTTCGCGTTGGCTGGGACGCTGATCGGGTAGAAGATTGAAAGCTGTATACATACTTTAGAGATTTCCTGTGTTGCTAGTGCCGTTGTTTGGAAAAGGGTCTTGTGTACCGATTGGTGCTTAATTCATCTTTGTCGTGTTTCCTCACTTCCTTGTGTTGCTAGGCTAGGATTCTCGTAGACGTTGATACGGATTATCCTATACAAGGCTCTCGGGTCCATTGAACCATATCTATTCTGCGTTTCAGCAGGCATATATCTTTCATACGAAACAGACAATGACTGACACTAGGCTATAAAGCCCAAATAGAAAATTCATCCACATCTAAGGAAATTTGGCAATGTGCAATCAATATAAGTACAAAGAAGGCCGGACCGGCTTCAACTCTCAACAGGAGACAACATCCTCCAGAACATGTTTATGAAGGGGCAACGGAGAAAAACGAACCCTGGGCGTGAAAAAGGAAAAAAATGAAACCAAATGGGAAAGGGCACAATGTTTCATCAATAGGTATGTGTCCGCTCAAAACGCCAGGTACCCAAATCACGAATGGTCGCGAAAATAAACTCATCAGGTATGCGAAAGATAATGCAAGGTTATCAAGTCATCAAAGTGACAGCTTCTCAAACATAGACCACCGTCTGGGGTTGTCACTTAGTGTGTTCCAACGTGCTTGAAGTAGGACGGACGGCAGTCTTCCTTGGACAGCCAGTCGGCGCCCCCGAAGAACTGGCCGGCTTTGCATCCGGAGCACTTGGGCGAATTGGGGCAGTTGTAGTAGGGGATATGGTTGTATCCGATATCACGGAACCTAAATTTATAGTGAGTTGAATGCTTAAATGGAGGTGATGGGCTGAAGGCAACACGTACCAGTGTACATTGTTCGAGTCGGCGAACAGACCGATACCAAGCGAGTGGACGGGCGCATCACCCCAGCGCTCGTAAAAGAAGCCACCTGCGCGGTCGAGGTGCTGGAAGTAGGCCTCGTACTTCTCACCACGGAAGAAATCTAAGTCACCAATCTCGAAGTTGGACCAGAAGTGACAGGTCGAGTAGCCGTTCGCTTTCTCATTGTGCTCGGGGCGGGCCTGGTCATCAGTGATCCAATCCATCATGTTGTTTTCGTTTAGATAAGACGGGTTGGCCGCCAGGAACTTCTTGGTCTGGGGCCAGAGAGTCGCGATAGTCTGGGGTGCGTCATAGAGGTTGATGGTGAACCCATAGGTTTTGTTGCGGTCCTCCATGTATCGGAAGACGTCATAGTCAACATCGCAGAAGAACTGGACCTTGGGCTCGATGCGCCAGTAGTAGCGGTATTTCTCGAGGGCCGGGTGCTTGTAGAACATGCCGCTGTTCCAGCGACACATCTGGTGGTAGGAAATCTTCGACGCGTACTGGATGTTTTGCTCTTCGAGCAGCTGGGCGGATTCGCGGAAGAGATCCATGTTGATCCAGCTAGGAACCTCCCAGTGCTCCCTAGGTACCAATTCTGTATACCAGACGGTTAGATGGGTTCCGGAGTCAAGAGGTCAGATTACAAGGAAAAATTGGGGGGAGCGAACCATATTGGACATGGGCTTTGGTGGCGGCCTTGGTCTTCTCCTTGAATTCCTCGGAGAAAGGAACATCGTTGAAGAAGATATAGGGATAGTTAAACTTGTTGTTCCAGGTGCGCTCGAGATCGTGCATGGTCTTGAGGAGGTCGTGAAGTTCCTCATTGCGCACCAGGGTGATCAGGGCGGCATTGGTGCGCGCCGAGTTTTGGCTATCGGGAGAATAATCATGCTCATCGGCTCGCCATAAGACCCCTTCCGGTTCACCCGTGGCTATATCGTAAGTCAGTAACCCCGTTGGGAGGATAGATGGGACGAGGGGGAGTGGCGAGAGACTCACGGTCTAGAAGGGGATCCCGGGTCATGCCATTGACCAATTTGGAAGAAGGTTGGTCAGAGGACTGATGTAGATTGAAAATAAGAAATAGAGTTAGTAAAACGCAAGCAGCGCCTAACATGCGAATCGGACGTGCGATCGCCATGATGGGTAGTGGTTGATAAGATGGCGAAAGGGGGGGGGAAGAAACATTGTATGTGAAGGAACTCCGGAGCCACTTTACTCCTTCAGGTTTAGGTCCCGCCGCGTCATCCAGTTGGCTTTCCGCGCGTCCATTTTTAACCATCTTTAATCTTTTTATCCACCTCTTATCCACGATTCGTGGGGTTAGATCTGGTGTCAAGGATCCATCATGGCTCTTGCAGCCTTGGGATCCCTGATAGATGAGCTGATAACTGCTGTCGTCGAAGTTCCCGAGCAAAAGGTAAGTACATGTACTCATTTGTTTTCTTGCCGGGACTTGGCGCTCATTACCACTAGGATTCTACCCGCGTCTTGAATCTCAAGCGCCGTGTGGAGGGATCTCTACGCCCTAGCGGGCATGGCCTTACCGATCAATTTGCGGTGGCACGCCAGCTTGAAGGTCTCCAGGAGAAGTTCACAGTCGTGAATCGAGATGACCTGGCTGAGGCTCTGCGGGGCCGCCTTGCCGAATTAGAGGGCCATCGCAGTTCATATACCCCAGAGATCCTGAGCTTGCTCTTGCAACTATCTGATCGCCCGGCTGCATTGTCCAAACTGGAGAATCTTTCCAAACCAATACAGGCACCAGCTGTGGAATCACTGTCAAGCTCTGACTTGAAGGACCTCGGCGGTGCTTTCAGTGAGGAAGACATATGGGAACAGGTGGACTTTGCTGCAAACTCATCGGATGACGACCTAGCTTCGGTATCTAGCGAAGAATCGCTTCCTCGCGCTCTGCCTCGTTCACTCAGTTTCTCAGAACAGGACTACGTCATACCAGATGAGATCTTCGTTCCAGGGGAGGACAGAGAATTAATCGCCTCTATAGAAAAAGTCCAGTTTTGGAAACCAGAAAATCATCAGCAACTCACTCGACTGAAAGGAAATGCATCCCGAGTAATTACCGAATTGCAGTTGGCTAGAGAAACTATCTTCATGCTGCAGGGCCTGCCAACCTCTATTTTTTGGCGTCTGGATGACGATATTGAAGTGGATCGCAATTATACGCTTGCCCATTCGTCCAGACAAGCTCTATCCTCACTTCTGCAGTCATTCACCGATATTGGCGCTAAAATCGATGCCGTTCGACGGTTCACCCATACATCGCAGGCAATACCTTATATGCAGACCTTTAACCGAGGCCTTGAGGAACGCCTGCTCGAGTTTGACAGTCTCCTTTCTCGAATTGAATGTCATTATCTCTCCCCTGGCTCGACAGTGAGTCTTCTCCAGCTACTGGATGATGTCCGCCTGCATTCTCATTCTTTATTGGTCCTGGCCGATCTTGTTGCCATATTGAGCCATGACCATGCGCAACCAATGCGCTGTCTCGACTTGCTCTACGATTCGGTTTGTATGCAAGAAGCCCTTAGTGACAAACATGCAACGAGAATGCTTAGTGCGCTCTTCTTCTCCTGCTTCAAGACCTATACTCGATCCATTCAACTTTGGATGGAGACTGGACAAGTTGATCCCTTGGACACGGCTTTTTTCGTGCGTGTGAACCGCAAAAATGGAGATTTACGAACTCTGTGGCATGACTGGCATGTGCTTGATGAGGGTTATAAAAGACAAAATATCCCTCGATTCCTAGAGCCCGCTCTCAACAGAGTCTTCACTACGGGAAAGAGCGTGGTCTTTTTACAGCATCTGAACGCGCTTCCAGACCAGCCGGAGGCCTCTGAAACCTCGGAGGCCCTATTTGACCACAACCAATCACTAGAACCCTCCCTTATATCACCTCCGTTCTCCGCATTAGTGGAGTCGACATTCGACAAACTGGTCGAACGCTACTATTCTATCAGTGCTGGACTACTAAGATCGGAACTTGATGAAAAATGCAGTCTATGGAACGCTCTTGATGCTTTGGAATACGTATATCTGGGAAAGGACCTGAGCATACTTGGAGCAATCGACACCAAAATTTTTGAATTGATGGACCGAGGTCGTGCCTGGGATGACAAGTTCTTGCTCACCGAAGTGACCAGGTCAGCGTTTAGCGTCATGCCCGAGATTGATTTGTCGAGACTAGTTGTGCGGTCTGAAGGATCTTCACAACATGAACAGAATCGATCCGTCCACACACTCGAGTCAGTATCAATAGACTACGTCTTACCGTGGCCCATGGCAAACATCATCACCCAAGACGCAATTCAGTCATATCAGCAAATCGCCACTTTTCTCATGCAGATCCGACGTGCGAAGTATGCCCTCGTCAGACAACGCATCCGAGATGCCCGCATTCCGACGGGTGATAGCGCCCACACCCTCGTCCATGGTCTCCATCATCACCTCCTCTGGTTCCTAGACATCCTTTACTCACACCTTACCTACTTTGTCATATCAACTGCAAATCAATCATTGCGCTCCACCCTCTCCGACACCAAGGACGTGGATGCCATGATCGCCACCCATCAGTCCTATATCTCCTCTCTAGAACATCAGTGTCTTCTCTCAGAGAACCTGTCTCCAATCCACGAGGTCATCATTGATCTGCTGGACATGTGCATCCATTTCGCAGACTTACAAGCCGTTCACGCATATGAGATTGCCGCTTCGGAAGATGGGATGTCCGACTCCCGCTTCATTCCGAGTACATCGCGGCGGAAAAGGATTGACAATTCGTTTGATAGCGATTCAGACGAGGATGATGATGACGGCATCGACCACGAACAGACTCTGACGATCTCATTCAGAGACTCGCCATATGATCTCCAGATGCAAAACCTTAAGCGTGAATTTGATCATTTGATCAGTTTTGTTGCGGATGGTTTGAAAGGAATTGCTCGTGCGGAGGGGCTGCTGAGCTGGATTATTTTGGCAGAGAGGCTGGAGTGGAGGAAGCGTTTAGCTTAAGGCTTACCTGGGAATTGATTTTAGTGCTGGGGGTGACATAATCAAGCTAAATGGATGGGGCTACTCTATGGTGATGACTTTATGATCTATGATGACGAAGAAATTTCACGAATGCAATAAATTCATGGGCATTGGCCCCTGACTCATATACCAAATGCTCTTCTCTCTACTCTGTAGAATGTATAATGTACAAGAACGAGTCTGAAGTAAATTGGAGTAGATTTGCTACATTTTGGTATATCTTTACTATCTTTCCTGTGAAAGACCGGCATTTAAGATGCCTCTTATCTCGGACGTTTTGTTCTGTCTGTTTCGTTAGTGCTTTTAACAACCCTTCCACCCCAATATAATCCTGAACCGAAAAACAAATATCAACAAAGAAACGTAGCACAATGGCATAAGTTCAAAAAAAGTCAGAACTATCATCAGCTCTCTAACCGACCCAGCGTCTAGCACTGAAGAAGATACGTCCCCAGGGGCCAATCTCGCCCCAGTTCTCAGCCTCCTGAGGCAACCAGCTGGCAATGCCGTTCATGACAGTACGCTCAGGGTGGGGCATAATAGCCAAGACACGGCCGTCGGGGCTGCGAATACCGGCAATACCCTCGGGACTTCCGTTGGGGTTGAAGGGATAGCGAGTAGTCGGCTTGAGGGTGGCGTTGTCAACGAAGCGGACGGGCGCAAGACCCTCACGGACAAAGTCAGCGGCGGAGGTACCAGGGGTACCAGCGAACGAGGCACGTCCCTCGCCGTGGGCAACGGCAATGGGCAAGGAGGTACCGTCCATGCCGTGGAAGAAGACGCTGGGATTCGACGGGTCAGGGTCGGAGACGCGGACCATGCAAACACGGCCCTCGTACTGCTCGCTGGTGTTGCGCTCAAAGCTGGGCCAGTTGGCAGTGCCGGGGATCAGCGCCTTCACGCGAGACAGGAACTGACAACCGTTGCAGACACCCAGAGCGAAGGTGTCGGGACGCTCGAAGAAGGCCTGGAACTCTTTGCGGGTGTTCTCGTGCAGGAGGACGGACTTGGCCCAACCTTGACCGGCACCCAGGACATCACCGTAGGAGAAACCACCACAAGCGGCAAGACCGGCAAAGCTGGCCAGGGAGACGCGACCGGAGATAATGTCGGTCATGTGGACGTCAACGGCAGAGAAGCCGGCAGTCTGGAAGGCGAAGGCCATCTCAGCCTGACTGTTGACACCCTGCTCACGGAGAATGGCAACGCGAGGCTTGTTGGTGAAGGGCGAGTACTGAGAGAGGCTGGTCATGAAGGGCAGACCACGATCCTTGGGATCGAAAGAGGGGTTCCAGGACAGACCTGGGTTAGCGTTGTCCAAGATATTCTCGTACTCCTGCTCAGCACACTCAGCGTTATCACGAATCTTCTGCATCTGGTAGGATGTCTTGGCCCAGATCTGCTGCAGGTTGGCGCGGTTGTTGCGGTAGATCAAGGAAGCCTTGTGGTAGATGACCAGATCCTGCTTCTTCTTCTCGGGGACACGGCCGATCTTGTGGATCAGGCCGGCAGGAGGACCACAGGTGGCGAAGCACGAACGGAACTTAATCTCATCCTCCTTGCGAACCTGGAAGACGGCACCAAGCTCCTCGTTGAAGAGTGCTTCGACGACATCTGGGGTGTGGAAGGATGCGGCGACGTTATCGGTCATGATCTCAACTCCACAGCGACCAGCGAACATCATCTCAGCAAGAGTGGTGAAAAGACCACCATCGGAACGGTCGTGGTAGGCCAGAACGATGCCAGAATCCTGCAGCAGCTGGGTGGCATCGAAGAAGTCCCGGAAGATATCAACATTGCGGATGTCGGGGCACTCATTGCCAACTTCGTTGAAGACCTGGGCAAGAGCCGAGCCCCCAAGTGCCTTACGACCAAAGGCAAGGTCAACAAACATGAGCACAGTCTCGCCGACCTCCTCAAAGCTGCGGAGAGCCGGAGTCCAGGTCTTGCGGAAATCGCCGACGGGAGCAAAGGCAGAGACAACAAGCGACATAGGGGCGGTAACCTCCTTAGCCTCGTTCGAGGCTTCATCCTTCCACTTCATCTTCATGGACATGGAGTCCTTTCCAACGGGAATACTGATGCCAAGCTTGGGGCAGAGATCCAGACCGATAGCCTCAACACCCTCGTAGATAGCAGCGCCTTCACCGGGGTGGCTGCCAGCAGACATCCAGTTGGCGGACAGCTTGACTTGGGTGAGGCGGTTTACCAGATCGGCGGCGGCCAAGTTCATCAGGGACTCAGCAACGGCCATACGAGCGGAAGCAGCCGGAGAGATAAGGGCCAGAAGGGGCCTCTCACCCATGGCCATAGCCTCACCAGTCTTCACACCCTGAAGCAAAGAGGTGGCAGTAACCGAGACGTCAGCAACGGGGGTCTGCCACGGGCCGACCATCTGGTCACGGGCAGTAAGACCACCGACAGTACGATCACCAATAGTGATCAGGAAGGACTTGGAGCCGACGGCAGGCAGAGACAGAACTCGGTTGACGGCCTCGTTGACCAGCTCCACCTTGGTAGAGAGCGAAGGCAGGTACTTGGTCAGACTGGAATCGACAGCGGGCAAGGTCAGCTTGCGTGAGTCGACAGTGCGGGTCATGCGCGGCGGCTTGCCAAACAGCACAGACAGGGGCAGGTCGATAGGAGTAGGGTATTCCTTAGACTCGCGATCAAGGAGGATGAGTCTCTTGTCTTCCTCAGATTTGCCGCCGCCACGGCCAACTACCGAGAAACCGCAACGTTCACGCTGAGCAATAGCGGTGAACTTGTTCATGCTTTCCTCGCCAACAGCGAGAACGTAGCGCTCCTGGGCTTCACAGCACCAGATTTGCATGGGGCTCATGCTCTTGTCAGTGCTGTCAATCTCACGGAGCTCGAATTTGGCTCCCAGCTCGGAATCGTGGATCAGCTCGGGAAGGGCGTTGGACAAGCCACCGGCACCAACGTCGTGGATGAACTTGATGGGGTTGTTGTTGCCCATTGCAACACAGGCGTTGATGACCTCCTGAGCCCTGCGCTGAACTTCGGCGTTTCCTCTCTGAACACTGGCAAAGTCAAGATCCGCGGAACCCTCACCAGAAGCGATACTAGAAGCCGCACCACCTCCAAGACCAATAAGCATGGCGGGGCCACCCAAGACAACAAGGAAAGAACCGGGCTTGACAATATCAGGGTTCTTCAAGGCGTGCTGGGGACGAACAGTACCGACACCACCAGCAATCATGATGGGCTTGTGGTATCCACGCACCTCCTTCTGGCCATTTCCAACATCAATCTCAGTGAGAAGTGTGCGGAAGTAACCACCGGTGCAAGGACGACCGAACTCGTTGTTGTAGGCAGCGCTACCAATAGGAGCCTCCAGCATGATATCCAAGCTGCTTGCGATGTGGTTGGGTCTGCCGACATCAAGCTCCCAGGGCTGCTTGAAGCCGGGGATCAAGAGGTCAGACACACAGAAGCCGGAAAGACCGGCCTTGGGGCGAGAGCCACGACCAGTGGCTCCCTCGTCACGGATCTCTCCGCCGGCACCGGTAGCGGCACCCGGATAAGGAGAAACAGCAGTGGGGTGATTGTGGGTTTCGACCTTGGCCAGGAAGTGAACAACTTCCTTGGTGTGCATCCACTCTCCGGTGGTCGGGTCGGGGGCCCAGAAAGCGCCCTCGGAACCTTCCAACACAGCAGCGTTATCACTGTAAGCACTGACGGTGTGGTCGGGGTGTTTCTTGTGGGTGTTGCGGATCATGCCAAAGAGACTGTTGGGCATCTGCTTGCCATCAATGACCCACGAGGCGTTGAATTGCTTGTGGCGGCAGTGCTCGGAGTTAACCTGGGCGAACATGAACAGCTCGACATCAGTGGGATCGCGGGCAATAGCACCATTGGGGCCATAGGCCTCAGCCAAGTACTCAATCTCAGACTCATCGAGGGCAAGACCCAATTCCTTGTTGGCCTCCTGGAGAATTTCCTTGGGGGACTTGTCACCGCCCTGCAATGAGATGGTCTTCAAGGGCTGAGTCTCATGCTCAGAGAACATCAATTGCAGGTCGGGCTCCTCACCGCTGATGATCTGGGTCATGCGGTCATGCAAGAGATCCTTGTAGTTCTCCTTGTAGTCTTGAGCTTCGTCACGAAGGCATGAGATCTTCAAACCCCGCTCGATACGCTTGACACACTCACGCAGACCGCAGACGTGAGAGATACCGGTGGCCTGCGAGCTCCATGGTGAGATAGTTCCAGTTCGGGGGAAGATGTAGAAGGTGTCGAATTGACCGTCGGTGGAGTTGAAGGTGGGGGGAATGTCGGTAATATCGCCGTACTGCAGCAGTTGCTCGAGAACTGCACGCTGCGAGTCATTGAGGGGCTTCGCGGTGTGGACGTAGTGAACCCACTGGGCCCGGACATCTTTGACACCCAGGCTTGCAGCAATGGCATGACCGCGAGAGTGGGAGAACGCCACCGAGCCCGGGATGGCGATGTAGGAATCGGTGGAAGTCATTGTGAAGAAATACTCCCGATGATTCAAAGTTGAATCAATAAAAGCCCTCCCTCGGGATAAAGGAGGATTGGCCTCTCAAGTTTTAGCTTGAGTAAAGAAAAAACCCCGCGATGACTCTAAACTTTTTTGTAAAAACCGAGTGGCCCCGCCCTAATCCGATTACGGCGCTTATCGAACGGTCACGTGCTGATTAGTAGAATAATCGAAACAGAAGTCAATAGGGCAACAATAAATATTGAAGTTATGATTGAAATAGCATTTGAAAAAAAAAATAGTTATTCGCCTGCAATTTTTGTAATGATCTAGACTCTAGACTACTCGTGCCTAAGTGGGGAGTAGGATCTGATGGATAAAAGGGATCTTGTGCAGGATGAGGCTGCCCATGAACCATACTGTAATATCTGAAGGTTGTACAGTAGGTTCTAAGGTGGCAACCATATTACATAAAAACGTTTCCTTCATCTGTCATGTGCGAATGTTGATATTCTTGGCTTTCTATTTTTATCCAATCTATACGATTGTTTGATCGTAATAATGAAGCTATTGGATATTCCCCATGAGCTCCCGCTCAATGAACTGGTTAGACACACCTCAATATCATAAATCTTACCACTGAATCATAATGTGAATTACACAAGTACCTAGGTATGCATATAGCCTTGTACAATTGATGTTAGTTATCGGCTTTGAGAATCTAGTATTTTCACAAGCCAAAGATTTCCGCTTCGCGTTAGCGAGCTTTTCTGGCATAGCTTGAGATATTGTGGAGTGGACAAATGTAGTATACATCAGCAAGATCTCTGTTAATGTAGCTATATTAGTAAATTTTGTGCGTTGGGTGATTCTGTCCCGTACGGAGTAGCTTTGTGGAGGTTAATTTTCCAATAGTCCCACATTGGTCTGTGTCCACACATGTGTTCCGCAATTCGGGACATCCTCTCTTTTGTTGTATCTACTTTCCATTTTCTTCTATTGGGTAACTTAGAATATATGGGAAAGAAGCTATTTGGAAAAGATGAGAGTATCAGTCAGACTCTTCTGACACCTGATTCCGAGTTAGATGCATCAAACCTCCCCTGTCGATCACCAAAATTACCCCTACAATGCCGATCATCGAGTCCGACCCACTTAGCATCATTTCAAAGATCGGGTTTGAGATGAAAACTCCGAACCGGTCCGTTGGGCTAACAGGGGGTGGTAAATAAGGGAGGTAAGCGATGTCCCTACTTTCAAAAAAAAAAAAAAAATCTGGCACGTCATGTATCTACGCAGCCTTTTCCCTTTGGCAGTGTCATTTCCTGCGGTTTTCGCCTTAGGCTTCAAGCACGAAGATATTATTACTCGTGATGTCTGTATCCTCGGTGGTGGCGCCACAGGTACCTATGCCGCAGTGCAACTGAGAGAGCAAGGTCATAGCGTGGCTCTTGTTGAGAAGAAAGCTTTCTTGGGAGGCCACGCCGAAACACTCTACTTACCGAATGATGAGTACATCAACTACGGAGTTGAAGGATACTTCAACAACGAAATCACCAAAAAGTTTTTCAAGCAGCTCGAGGTTGATTATGAACTGCTTCTACCTGGTTCCCTGATTTCGGAAAATGTCAACTTCAACACAGGCAAGAGAGTCCTCCCTGGCGATGGACTTCTAGGTACCGTTGCAGGTGCTGTTCTTTACCGTGCGGCCATCGAACAGTTCGATTACCTCTCGACTGGCGCTTACTATCTCCCTGATGAGGTCCCCGAGGTTCTGCTCCGTCCATTCCGAGAGTTCGTGAAAGAGCATGCCCTGGAAGGTGCAATGGATGTAATCTTCGAGTTTGCCGAAAACGTGGGTAACATCCTGGATGCCCCATTAATCTACGTGATCCAGAACTTTGGAATCCCACAGATTGACGCACTTTTGGAGGGAGGGTATATTAAGCCGAAGAACGGCACCGGGGAACTTTTCAGCAAAGCAACAAATTACATTGACAAAGAGAACATTTTCTTCGAAACCACCGTCTCCAAGGCAAATCGCAGCTCCACCGGCGTGGAAATCATTGTCAAGAGCGCAGATGGAACACGCAAACTCATCAAGGCTAAGAAGCTCCTCATTGCCTACCCTCCTACTATTGATGGTTTGAGCGGGTTCGACCTTCGCAAGGAGGAGTATAGTCTGTTCTCCAAGTGGGAACATAAGAACTACTACGCTGCCGCCATTACGAACACCGGCATTCCTGATGGAATCAACGTTGCCAACACCAACCCTGAGAACCAACCGGGTAGCCTCCCACTGCCTCCATTCATTTGGGAGCTGGAATACTCCGGTGTCTCAGGATACTTTATGGTCAAGATGGTCGCTGAAGGCAACTTTACAGCTGAAGATGCCAAGGATTTGATCCAATCTGATATCAATCGTATGGGACAGGCTGGTACTTACGATACGACGGAGCCGGAGATCGCTGCTTTTGCATCTCATTCTCCCGAGACTCTTATCGTTTCCGTGGATGATATTAGAGATGGCTTTTACAAAAAGCTGTATGCGCTTCAGGGACAGCAGAGCACTTACTACACTGGTTACACCTTTTGTACTGACTATTCCACGGTGCTGTGGAATTATACCAGTAGTGTTCTGGAAATGATGGATCTGTGATATTGAGGACTGAATACAACAAATATATGTACTGGAAAGATGGCTTTGGGTGATGATACTAAAAGGTTCTGCCGGTTTCCAAACTGCGGAGTATGTACATGGAGTCGTTTCAATGTTTGGTTCCGTTCTTGAAATTTATTTGCTTCAAAAGTTTAATTCATTCAAGAAATGATATCTAGAGCAATCTAGATTCTAGATTCTAGAACCAACATTGAATTCTTGACACGTGATCGAGTACAATTACCCGATCAAAGCCGGACAGTTATTCCTTATATGGCAAGACGCCCCGAGAAGCTTAAAATGAAAGCAATTATGACAACATGGCTTTTCGTTGGCTTTTAATTCTCTATTTTCCCTCTCTTATCTTTTACTGATGAGTAGTCTCTTTGCCTTGACCTGCTGACTCTAGAGCCTGTTTGAGAATTTGAAATAGCTCTATGAAGTCAATCAATTTTTTTCAAAACTTCCATGGAGCCGGTTAGAGTATCCGTAGTTTAATGTGTTTATTATGCGTATGTATGCTGGAAATACACTGATTAGTGCAAGGCATATGATATCAAGAACTATTGATTTCATCTTGGATATGTCACATGTATTTTCCGTAATGGGCGTAGGCAGACCCACAATGCATGGCGCCAAGCTGGAACTCGGAATGCTGAACAGACCATGCATCAAACACGAATCGAATTTGATTATATTGGTAGACATAAGTTGGAGGGCTGATATTGACTTTGATCCCGAGTGGCATGATTCAAATATTGGACGAACATACGGGCTTGATGTTGTAAGACTGTATCGAATCTTCCAAGATTAAGTCGTGTCGTTCACATTTTAATCACTCCGGATGTCCACTCTGCTCAGAGATTCCGCATGCGAATTTTAAGCGTCCACTATTTCTATATCTTCTATACATTGCAGTAGTATCCTTGAATATGGAGTCTTTGCAAAGTTAAGCAATGGAATTGCTTTACCGCTTCGCAGCATATTACCAAATTCGGCCAACGCTCACCGTCCAAATAAGGAAACATACTCAAAAGTGGGTCTGCCGTCCCGCTATCAAAGACTTCTGAACTATAGCGCCACGGAAAGGTACTCCTGCCGCATACCCTAACCTGCTAGCAAACTCTTCAGAGTTTGGCCACAGATACCACGGAAATGGGTATAAAGAACCTGCTGGTCCCCGAGCTACATGTTCCTGATCCAAGAATCTTAATCTTCACATACGGCAATCCTTCGCCTTTCTTGACTGGCTTGACATAATACAATCAGATTCACTATGGATACTCCTCGGTCAAACCAGACCCACACAGATCTTACCAGTCGGACAACCTCTGTGGGGTCTGCTGGTGAGAGAATGGACTATCTCGATCTCCCTGTTCGGGAACTCAATGACAACGCCGACCTTCGAGAATACACAACCGAGACACGCACCGGCGAAATTATCAAACCTGTCAAATCCAACGCCACAGGAAAATTGGAAGACTGGAAGTTGGTGACATTCACTATTGATGATCCCGAAAATCCGAAGAACTGGTCGAAACTGTACAAATGGTACTGCACTATGGTCGTCTCTTTCACTTGCTTCGTGGTCGCATTTTCCAGCAGTGTTATCACGGCCGATTTGACAGGACCCATGGAGGCTTTCAATGTCTCCCGAGAGGTCAGCTTTGTGGTTGTTACGGTATTTGTTATTGGCTTTGGAGTCGGTAAGATATTCCAATCCCCCTTCCCCATGAACGCCGTTTCAATTTGACTGACACGATTTCAGGTCCCATGGTCTTCGCTCCGATGTCTGAAATGGTTGGACGACGTCCAGTTTACGGAATTACATTACTGATTGCTGTGATCTTCGTTATCCCATGTGCTGTTTCTAAAAATATTGGAACCTTGATCGTCTGCCGTTTAATCGATGGCATTGCTTTCAGTGCACCAATGACTTTAGTCGGCGGCACCCTGTCTGATTTGTGGAAAAATGAAGAGCGAGGTGTCCCGATGGCCGCTTTCAGTGCTGCACCCTTCCTCGGCCCTGCCATCGGTCCTCTTGCTGGTGGATTCCTTTCCGACAACTGTGGCTGGAGGTGGCTTTACTGGCTGCAGCTTATTCTGTCCTTTGTCGCCTGGGTGCTGATTACCTTCACCGTCCCCGAGACATACGCGCCAATCCTATTGAAGAGAAGAGCCGCGAAGCTGCGCAAGACTGAGAATGATGACAAGTTTACCACTGAGGCTGAACTTGACCCTCGCCCTCTTGGACAGAAGCTGCGCATTTTCCTCTTCCGTCCTTTCCAGCTACTTTTCCTGGAGCCGATTGTCTTCTTCATTGCTATGTACATGTCGGTTCTCTACGGTCTTCTCTACATGTTCTTCGTCGCATACCCCGTCGTCTATCAGAGCGGTAAAGGTTGGAGTGCCTCGATGACGGGCCTGATGTTCATTCCCATGGCAGTTGGTGTCCTGTTCAGTGCCGCCTGTGCACCTTTGGTCAACAAGAACTACCTCAAGATCGCGGCACAATACAACGGCAAGCCCCCAGCAGAAAAGCGTCTGATTCCAATGATGTATTCTTGCTGGCTTATTCCTATTGGCCTCTTTATCTTTGCCTGGACTTCATACCCTCGCCTCCACTGGGCTGGGCCATGCCTTGCAGGGTTGCCGGTTGGGTTCGGGTTCATTTTCCTATACAACTCGGCAAACAACTATATTGGTATGTGTTCTGCCCTGATTCACTCGAGGCCTCAAAATACTAACTTAACTTAGTTGATACTTACCAGCACCAAGCCGCATCGGCTCTGGCAGCCAAGACTTTCCTTCGATCTATGTGGGGCGCCTCCACTGTCCTGTTCACCGAGCAGATGTATAACCGCCTGGGATACGAGTGGGCATCGTCTCTTCTCGCCTTCATTGCTCTAGGATGCTGTGCTATCCCATACGTCTTTTACTTCTACGGCGAGTCGATCCGGAAGTTCTCTAAGTACGCCTTCAGCGACGACGAGGAGAAGGGTATCAAGGCTTAAATTCAAGCCACTTCCTCTCCGCTTTCAAATAATTCCAAGGGGTTGAGGTATCTTTGGATGCTAATTTTCGAAGACTTGCAATTCATGAGACTTGCATTTCATGATTGACTTTCCAACTGCGTCATACAGTATAATGTTTCCATTTTGTTTTTCGCGATGCACATCTATGGTTATGGGTCATGGTTTCACGATAGAACAAAACAATTGTTTAGAAAGCTTTAGTTAATATTAAAAGTTAATCAACCCTTATTCATGAATAAAGACATATGATTCCAACATTGAACTTGAACATCAAAACCGCCAAAAGTATGTCTTTCCGCATTCGGACGCCCCACATCACGTGTTTCGGCAGATAAGCCCGATAATGCTCTCTCAACCGCTCTGGATTCGACCTTTTGCCTCCTGCGAGAATGACGGACTAGTACATACACATCTCATCGACAAAAAAACAAACGGCTGCCGGCGCATACATTCGCTTCTCGCGTTGTGTCTGAATTTTCAGGTTGAGCGGTCGCTTTCACGCGCATGCGTAGCCGAGGCCCGATAACTCCAACATACCGATCAAACCCAAAGAAGCCATACAAAAAGCGCCATGACGTCTTCATATCCTCCATTCAATTCGATCTCGCCATCTGATATGGCCAATGCGCCCAATAGGTCTGTTTCGGACTTACCACAATCCCAAGTCGACGCGATCATTCGTACGAAGCGCAAAGCGCGCGAGCCGAAAGCTTGTTACCCGTGCCATGCGCGCAAAGTCAAGTGCGATCGCAATTTTCCGTGTGATGGGTGTGTCAAGCGCGACCATGCGGATCTTTGCTCCTACGAACGCCCTTCCAAGAAACGCTCTCAATTCGAAAGTCCCATGGGTGGCACCTCGGCATCTTCCACAGTGGACCAGTCAACGTTCTATGGCTACGACGATCGTCCATCTAATATAAAACCTGAAATTATTCCCTCCAGCCAACCGAATGGGATCACCACTACAGGTGGGCGTGTGTCGATTCCCCGAGATGAATGGGACAATGTGCGCAACCGATTACGAGAGATGGAGTCGACCATATCGTCTTTACGCATGGGGCTCGAGCGGGCTGAAGAGGAACCTGCCGTAACATTGGAATCCAGGAGTGTGCAGAGTGGTGATGCGGGTTCCCGCTCTAAGGGCGCGTCGCCAGAGCGTGAGGGTATCCACGCTGCAAACACGCTTGGACAAGGCACCGTTCACTTAGGCTCGCGTTCGGTTTTGGCTTACATTCTCAATAACAAGACGGGGTCGGATCAGCTCCAAGCTCTCATGGAGGGAGGGATATTGCCGAAGCTGGGACTTGACAATGAGTCTGCAACTTATCCATTCGTTGACCTGTGGTCGTCGGATATGTCAACATTTGACATCAGTGCTGTTTGTAGCGCGCTTCCCACAGATGAACAGTGCAGAGAGTGAGTTCAGGTCTATTCGGGGTTTTGCAGTAATCTCTAACCTCACAAACAGATTCTTTTACTGCTACAAGGATATCGCAGGAGCTATTTATCCTGTCATTGAAGACATCCATGACTTTGAAAGTAACCTACAGCTTCTACTGCAAAACAGAGCTGCCTCTGGTGGAGTCTATAGAGAGGATGCGGATGAAGCGCAAAAACCGTTCGGAGTGAGCATTGCTTACTTGGGCCTGCTATTCTCTGTCCTGGCGTCTGGCACTCAGTCATCCGATCTTGGAAGCAAAGAACGAGAATTAACCTCACAGGTCTACGGTATGTTTGAGTGCCCATATCAGGGCTGCTATTCCCTAAACTAACCCCTTTCTTAGTGTGCTGTTCATACCAGTGCCTCCGTATGACCAACTTCCTATCCCAACCAACGATCGAAGCCATCCAGACTCTCTTGGTAATTGGCAATGTGCTATCTTACAATATGAACCCCGGAATTTCGTATGTCTTGCTGGGCATGACGCTCCGCATGGGGTTGGCGCTTGGTCTGCATGTCGAATCAAGCAGATTCTTACCTGCTGAGCGATATCGCAGGCGACATGTTTGGTCAGTCCTTGGGCTCCGGTATATGCTAAATATTCTTGTACTAAAACCTGCAGGTGGTCGATGGCATGGCAGGATAGCCATTTCTCTCTTTCCTACGATCGCCCTTCTACTACGGCGGTCAGCCAACCAGATATTGCATACAGGGAGGGCTCTAAAGCAGGCGACCTTTCCTATTTCGAAACCCTCTGTCGAATTATCTCCCTGGCATTGGAAGTGGTTCGCACCCGAATGCTGAGTCCCCATGCACATATAGGGTTCGAAAGTATTCAAGGCTATAAGGAAAGAATTAAGAACATCATGGACGAGGCTAAGTTTTACTTACGCGATGCGAAATGGTGTTCTACCCCAACAGAACATCTGGAGCGGGTGGTGCTGAAACTACACTCGTCGTACTTTTCATCCGAGCTTTGCCGACCCTCGCTCAAACCATCAATCGACTCCTCTGACTCTACGACTGCCAGCATGCGCGCAGACTGTGTGTCTAATCTGATGATCACGGTGGAGGCCTATATTGAAATGCACAATATTAGCACACATGCTGCTCGATCATGGATTGCATTGCAGCGGGCCATCAGTTCCGCATTTTTGCTGGCTGTTGTTGAAGAGGCGAAGTCCGAGCCGAAGGTTTGGAACCTTTTGCGGCAACTGGAGGGTATCATCGCGCAGCGAGCTACTAACGAGAGGGCCTATGACGCTGCTACCGATATGACCTCACCGCCGCAGGGGATCAACAGATACGATCCAATTACTGGTGCAACTAATCCGCCTGGCTATGTCGCACCCATTGTGGATTCTACCTCTCCCGCCGCTCCTACTGAACCTCAGACACAATGGGCCAAGTCTTTGGCCAAAACCCACCGCGCTCTACAAAAGCTTCTCGCGGCTTTCGGTAACCAGAATTCACGCTCCGTGAATGCACGTAGCCCTGCCTTTCTGTCTCAGCACAACCACAATCTGACTGCCACCGCTATGGGTGCCTTTGCCGCGCCTGCTTCAGCTAGCATGACCCCCAGTGTTGGGTCTCTTCCACCGCCAACGCCGGAAAGCTCGGGTAGTGGTGAATGGACAATACCAAACATCCTTGACCGAGCCCAAGAGTATATTCATCCGCCGCTGTGGGGCTAATTTGAGGTACTTGATGGTTTTCTCCATTATTCTTTACGACATTTGCTGCAACACTTTGGCAGAGCATTTCCGGCGTTGGCCGTTTGTTTTGATTTCATATGCGAAATATGGTGTCTTTGCAGGTTTCTGAAACTTAAGAGGGTCATTTCTCTCGTTGTACATGTCGTTGAACCTATGTCATGGATGTCAAACTACATATAGTTCCTTACTAATCCACTATTGACGAATTCACTTGATGTGATTCTGAGAAGCTCATTTATACGATAAAGCGACTGTTCAGCATCTAAGTAGCTCAATTTTAAAGGCTACCGACCAATGTTTTACAGCTCCTTTGCTGGTTGCAACTGACCCACACATTCTCCGAATCCAACCCCGGAAGCCGGACCGCCAGCTACCGCTGTCATACGCACGAGATCCCAATCCTGCAAGAAATGTCTCTTGGAACCATCAATCAATGTCAGCGGCTCCTTGCCAGCCTTGGTGATTTCCAGTAGACAACCCAAGCTCCCTTCATTTGGACCGCTGACTGTACCAGTCCCCAGGATATCTCCCGTCTGGAGATCGGCCCCAATACTTGCGAGATGGGCGCACATCTGTCGTCCACTCCAGTGCAGGTCCTGTACTTTCGATTCGCTGACAGTCGTCATTTGATCTCTGACGATGAGTTCCACCTTCATATCAATCGCATAACTGGGCTCGGCCACATCTTCCAGGTGGCTTGCCAATGCAACTTCAGCCTTGGGTCCTACTGTTTTGAAGGGGGAAAGGGCGTCCAGCGTGATCACCCAAGGCGAAATGCTTGTTCCAAATGCCTTGCCATTCAGTGGGCCGAGAGGGACCATCTCACAGCCTTGGATATCTCGAGCTAGAACCTATTTGTCAAAAATTGTCTCATGGTGTCACCGTGGAAGCGCTTACCACTCCAGTCGTTCAGAATGACAAATCCGAAGATGTTTTCATCTGCGTCTTTCGCGTTCAATCCTTGCAAGCGTGGAACGCCCTGTCCGACAATAACACCCACTTCCAATTCCCAATCCATCGCCCTTGACGGGCCGTAGATGATAGGCTTCTTTTCAGAAGTTGCCGTCTTATCAAAGAAATGGCCGTTGGGTCGGACGATCGGGGTTCCCGAGACAACAATCGTACTGGCACGACCGTTATATCCGATAGGGAAGTTGAAAAATCCCGGTGGAGGGGATTCGTCGTTAAGAATCGCTCGACCTGCATTGCGGACGTGATGAAGACTACACGAGAAATCTACTGCGGATTAGATCTAGATATATTATTGGGTGTATCAAATGACGTACCTGTGAATCCACCGACAGAAACGGGGAGATGGAGTGTTACAGTGCCAATATCCTCAGTGCTGTTTTCCGGCAACTGCCCGGGCGTTCTCAATACTTCTTGAAGCACTTTCCGCAGCTCTTGATGGGTTGATTTAGGAAGTGCGGCATATTCATTGAGGGTTTCCTTATTGAACACTCCACGAGGTAGGCTGTTGACTCCAGCGAACAGGCCAGACTGTTGTAAGTCGGCTAGGAAAATGACTTGATTCTCAAGCCGGGTGACGCATTGCGGATCGGAATGATTTTTAGAGGATGCCACTCCGAATGGGATATTGGCAATGGAGAAATGGCTGCTATAATCGGGGGAAGTCATCGTGAAAAGATACAGATGAAAAAAATTTATTCCTACAGAGCTATTTGTACCGGCCCATTCGGAGTTTGGTGATATCTCCATTCCCCACTCTCCCGCGATGCGGGGGAGTCCACATCCCGAACTTGGTCGAGCCCTAAGTGAGAGCGGAACAGTTCTATTGACTAGAGCGGCAATGGCCGTTGACCATGCTTTTGATGATTTTAATTGTCTAGTAAGATTGAGACCATGCTCCTACACTGGTACAGCAGTCCCAGACCACATTGGATTCTTTATCAAGACTCATCAAGCTCAAACCGACGCAGTTTGACGCACCGATGTGATACAGCGTCGCTCTGTTATTCACCGCAAAGCCAAAACGGTCTTCCAAATCCATGCCCGATTTAGCAGAAATAAGCCCAAACCTGGCCCCCTTCTAAGCTACTCAAACGAATTCCTGTTTATCAACTCAAATCGCAAGCCCCCTGCCACCAAATAAGCTCGTTTTTGCATCAAAAACTTTGAATTATCTACAGTTTAACCATAATGTCTTCCACACCCGAGAAGCTTTACGCCAAAGTGGGAATCCTGCTCTTCTCAGGGGCCGATCTTCTCGATTTCGCAGGCCCAGTGGAGGTGTTGTCCCATGTCCTACATAATCGAAACCCGGATGATCCCGATCCAATGTTTACAATTGAAACCATGGCTCGGACATCCACCACCCGCTCCAACAGTTCTTTGACCGTGAAAGTTGACAAACTGCTGGAAGATGCGGTGAAAGACCTGACCGAATATGATATTCTGGTAGTCCCAGGTGGTCCACCGTCTGTGATTCAACCCCTTCTTGAGGAAGGTTCCGCAGAAGTGGATTTAATCCGCAAATTCGCCACTTTGCCCCTGCCATCATCTCAGAAACCCCGAATTCTGTTCTCCGTCTGCACTGGCGCTTTTCTTCTTGGTGGTGCGGGAATTCTTGCAGGTATGACGGTGACCACTCATCATCGCGCCGTTGACGTGCTTCGGGAAATATGTGCTAGGTTCAACGACAAGAATCATCCTCCGACAGCTGTTATGCATAAGCGCTACATTAACGGAGGTTATTTGCCAGGGGAGTCTGTGTCCCTCCTTACCGCTGGCGGTGTGAGCTCGGGTCTCGATGCCACGTTCCATGTCGTGCGTGAGCTGGCCGGTGCCGACATGGCTGCTTTTGTGTCTCGATTGATGGAATATGACTGGACTGAGCTTAAGAAGTGAGGTCATTTGAGCATGCTTGTATGAATGATAGATCTTTTACTATTGGGCCCTAGAACTTCCCATATTGGATATTTTTATACTTCAAGTGTTTAAATTGCCTTTTGAGGAATCTAGGTAATAACGCAAGAGAAACTAGTGCAAACCAATGAGGGCGATGTCAGAGAGGGTGGCATTTAGTACACCGCACCTTCTGTCCGCCGTCAAATCTAGATCTGTGTCATGGTAAGCACGCTTCGTTGACCCGGAAAGTAATCTTGATCTAGTACTTGCATCTTTGAGACAGAGACCAGCCTTTTAATTCCATCAAACATGAGCGTAAAAAGCATTTTCCAAAGTATAAATGTTCACATGAAGGTGACTTACTGTTACACTCTAACGAAGTTACTCTATAGCCATCAGTATACCTACGAGCCGACCCAGATGAAAGTGTCGCGGGACAAATATTCTGACACAAAATCCATTCAGATCTTCTCCAGTGTCACTTAACTGCAGATCTAGTCATCTTGGCATGGCACATTTTCAAATGTCCAGGGTTGCGGGGACTGTTCCTTTTACCTTCCATTGCCATTGGCTGCTGACACATAGATCATATCACCTCTGCTTCCCCATTGACTACGTATCTCAGGACTCAGCCACGCAAATGTAGTCCTCTGTTTCATATTCGTGTCCTTTGTTACTTTGGCTCGTCTCAGCAGTACTAGAGAGACCCACCCTCGAAGTTGTACAGCACCAATGTCTACTCACGCTGGGTCTCTAAGTTTAGCTTCATTCCCGAGATCTGAGTCCGCAGCGAAAGATACAGTCATCTGGTAGAGCGACGGGTGCCGTCATCTTCCCGAACCATTTCCATCACTCACCGTCGTCGGGTATATAGCCGGAATGTGGTTCTGACAATTATCTCGAGCTACTCTCCTCTATCTGGATCAACAGTTCTCAAAAACACAACAAAAAAGCAAGGATTGCTTCTTTTTCCTTGCTCCTTACCTCGGCTGTTATTGAAATCAAAAAGACCGAAAACTTGTTGGTGTGACCTAAAGTCGGTCACTATGGTTGTTCTATTACCCGTTGCGGATACTTCCCCAGCTCTATATCCGGAGAAAAGCATTATGAATGGAATTGTTCATCCAGAAGAGATAGATCTGGTGGGGAAACCCCCGATCTTGATCGACGCAATGGACTTGGCGCCTCCCGATCTTAACAGCGCTGATCCCCTGGCGGCTACCGCAAACGGAAACGGCTCAACCCGATACACGGCAAATGTTGTTGATAGTCTCGAGATCTCCACTTGTGACGAAATCTTCTCAAATGAACGCAAAATGGCTGTGGATATTCTCAAAGTGATTGAAAGTTATGGTGTTGACTATGAGAAGAATGGTGCGTCATGGAAAGGACTTGAATCCTTCGTCCCCATTGTTATGGCACAAGTGGAAAAACAAGAACCCATTCGCATGATCTTGCCTGCATTTCCATTTAAATCGCCAAATGCACGCGACAAGGTCCTTGGTGTTTTGCCCGATTTTGGTGAGGAGTTGGCTCTTGCTCATTTGAACGGACTTTGTGAGAACGTCGCTCAGGTATACAAACCTGGCGCTGAGGTATATATCAGTTCCGATGGACTGGTCTACAATGGTGAGTTGCAATTAAAATCATTGTTTTCTTTACATTCTTAACAAATCTCTAGATATTCTCGGAGTTCCTGACGAGGTTGTGTGGGACTACGGAGAAGCTTTGCGACAGATGGCCGTGGACAAGGGCCTGACAAATATCAAATTTATCCGTCTTTTTGAGCTGCTGGAGCACCCTTGGTTTAAAGCGAGCAGCCTTGAAGCCGCTAAGTCATACTATCTCTCTCATGCATGCTGTCTCCGTCGTGAGCTCATGTTTGCGTTCGGCGACCCAACGTTCGATGCCGATGAAGCAATCAAGACCGACAACGACACCTGCTTGACATATCGTGGATATATCAAGTTCCTAACTAAAGATCTAGCACACCAGGAATATCCCCCGGGAATGTCTAAGCGGGCCAAGCAGGGACGGATTGCACAAACAGCACGCCAAATGATCATCCGCGGGAAGATGTTTGCAGCTGCCATCCGAGCAAACCGCAAAGATTACGTCCGTCTCTCTATTCACGAGTCTGCCGGAGAGAAGAAACTTTCCGTGTCTCTGATTCCTCAGAAGCGTGGGTCTTTGGGGTTCACGCCATGGCATGCTTGTGTAGCGGTTGGCCTTGATGGATCATACCGCACGGTTCACGCGGAAAATGTGCGTGACACACACGACCTAGTATACAAGAACGGCCAGCCGTATTTCTTCCGCGAGAAATCGGACCTGTTTGACTGGTCTGCAGATGGCTTATCTGTCAAGTTTGAGCATCAGTATCCCTGCGGACTTATTATCCGTTCGGCAGATATTGACAATCTGAATGCCCCGCCCTCTATCAGCGCCATCCCTATGCATAAAGTCCGCAAATTGTCTAATAGCATGTCTCCGGTCATCCTTCGTGGGTTTTCTGAGACGCTGGTGGAGGATCTCTACGTCAAGGCTGGACACGATCTCGGCAAGATTCTCCCATGGAGCTTCGGAATTATCCAAAAGGTGCGCGACGCAGGCCGTAGCGATAAGCTAGGAAACAACGTTACCTCCAACGAGGCCATGCCAATGCACTTCGATGGCATGTTCAAGTTCGAAGAAATCACCGATCCTGAAACCGGCAAGACGAAAAAAGTCCAATGCCCACCCGGATATCAATTCTTCACCTGCCCCGCCACAGCCCCCAAAGGAAGCGGCTACACACTCTTCGCTAGCTCGCGACTCCTATTTCGATACCTCCCTCTTCCCTGGACTGCGGAACGTCTCCAGAATGTGACTTGGGCTATGGATAACGACGGGTTTTGGGATGCCAAGCTCAAGAATCTGCCGCTGACGGTGACACACCCTATTTCTGGTCTACCATGTGTCCGCTGGCACCAACCGTGGGACTCTACGAAAACGAAGTTCTCGACTTGTGATGTAAAAATTGAGAATGAGGACGCGAGTTTGATTCAGGTGATCGATCAGATCCTTTACGATCACCGTGTTTGTCTTCGCTTTGAGTGGGAGAAGGGCGATCTGCTGGTCAGTGATAATACTGCTATGCTACACACGCGTACCGAGTATAGCAGTGACTGTGATCGGGAACTTTGGCGCATTCACGTTGACTAAACTGAATATACGGATTGTGAATGACTTTTTGTCTATTCGTTGTCGCTTTTATTTTTCCTGTCTTTGAAGCCGTCATTCGTTTTCGTTCCATAGCCTGGAGACCAAATTGTTCTTTTTTTTAATCCAGTTGTTCATGTTTGATTATTGTAGAGACTGATTTTGAAGTCTAATTCGAGAACTAGGGTATCATACGAGCATGACGATCTCGCCTGTGGAACTAAGCTAAGATCTGGTTGAATGCAAAGATTGTGAATATTGAGAATCTACCGTAGTAATTAATGTTACCGGGAATTTTAGACATTCATATTAAAAAAGTTTCCTAGGGCAGACCGTTACGGCCGTTGTCGACTCGGGAAGAGCCTCTTACGGTGGCTGTCATTCGAGTATAATGCATTTCTCTCTCTCTCTCTCTCTCTCTCTCTCTCTCACACACACACATTTAATGTCACCGAGAGCAAGTATCTTGAAATTCCAGGAAGATTTACGGACTACATTCAACAATGACTTTCTTCTACCCTGAAAGTTTCTTATTTGCACCATTTACCTTTCAGATCTACAGATTTGACTTAAACAGTCCATCAAATGACGACGTGTTATATACGAGCTTATATTGCACTGGATACCCAATAGTCAGACGCAAAAAAACATCTGCTGTGCTTGTATCACCTCATCCAGATCGCTCCAAGCTCTCGGCGTCATCTACCATAAGAAAGCCCGGTCTACCGGAATTCCCACAGCACACATCACTCTTCCTGTCTTCAAAACAATTAAGCCTTTGTCCACTTTTCATATAGGCAATGCAGAAAAGCTATCACCAGGTGGTCACTCCATTTTGTCATGGGCGAGATGGATTTAAGGCCCATGAGCTGTCCAGGTCTGAGAGGGCATTTGTGTCAAAGAACATGCGTTTTGTCGTAATTGGCATCTACATGCCGTGGTGATATCTCTGAGTGGCGTTTGCGGAACTTCGTCGACTCCATTGTATTTTATTTGATTCATTAGAGATCCAGATACATTTTGTAAGGAGTGAGATCCTGGAGGGACGAGGACGATGATTTTTGACTGAGAAGATGATAGTCTTAGGGCGCGGATTATATGTGGTAATGAAGTTTCTGGAACAAGCGATTAATTGATGAGTTCTTAAGAATAGACCAGATTGAAATGTACCTGTAGTGATGTATAGATGAGGCTGATTGATAGACCCCGAATCGTCTAGAATCGGGCTGTCCGGGCTCATAGTTCGATTCCAAGGATCATGGAGAGTTTCCATGTCATAACAACCTCCCATGAGTTGATAGCCATAGTTAGGCTGGTTTGATAGTATGGAACCCGAACACACCGATTCGGGGAATTGAGATGGATCTTCTGATAATTCCCCGCATTGAGAAAGATCCATATCCATTTGAAATGGCGAGAATCCATATGGCGTGAAGAACGGCGTTGATGGCTCGGTGTTCTGTGGTGAATTCTCAGAACCAAAGCTCAGTTCGAGTTCGGGTTCCTGGTAGAGAGATTGGATCTGGCGTGTGGATATCAGTGGGGGATATGTCTGATCCCAGCCACGTAGTGCTGCTGCTGCTCGTAGTTCATTCGCAATGACCCGTTCTTGTAACTTGGCGATACGGTCTCGGATCTTGCGGCCTGGATCGGTCAGCTTCAAATGATCTGTAAGTTGAAGGCTGGATCTATTCTTACGGTGATTTCTCTGCGATAGACGATTTTGCAATCTTCGTCTCTCGAGTGGATCCTGTTTTTGTGGCGACCCCTCGCTTGACGGACACTCTGTCTTTGATTCAGCTCTCATTTTGGTCGTCTTTTTCAATAGTAAAGTCGTCGGACCCAGGCTTGGGGAGCTTTAAAGTCGGTTTAAGTGATCAGTGAGCCCAAGGGTCATTCACATCATTTTTATATAATACCCTGATCACCATGTGTTCCATCTCTCAATCCAGACTCTCGATCCCACGGTGACACGCACCTGTGCAACAAAAACCAACAAGTCGGTCTGGATACAAAAGAACCCAACCTCAGGCCCTTTCAGCCGCGCCGCGTGATAATCTGGGTCCATGCCACCTAGCCTTTCTTCAGCTGACTTACATATTGCGGATCTCCAAATGGGTGGGAGTCTTGGATTGAACACCCCGGTTTCTTATTTGTTGTCTTCCGTAGTGGTGGAGCTTGTTCCACGAGGCGGGGCCCACTTGTCTGGAGGTAGTGCAAAAGTCAAGGATTACTGACCGTATTTTGACAGTTGGACCATTGTCCTGAATCTGTTCATGTTTCGTTGTTGGTATCTTTATCAGCGGTCTGGGCGAAGTGTTGCACATGAAGCTGGTGAGGGCTTGTTGACCGTATTTCTATGGCGTTCGTTTTCTGGAGCCACTTGGCATGGCGAGACTTGTGTGACGTATTGAAAGATTCCAGTCTAGCTGGGAGCTCAGTGTACATGTCAAATATGTCTTGTCGGGTACAGTTCATATTTGAGGCTTTTTTGATACTGAACCGGGGTCGGCTGGTAACCCTGGAATCTGACGATGTATCTTCAGTCGCAGATTTCGTCATGTCCGAAATTCTAGAAAAATTCATATGCACCGATGCATCCCCTGAATAAAGGCTGACTAGAATCTACAATACCTTATGAAATCATTTTCTCAGTGCCTTGAGAACCTTGGAAGAAAGGCAGAAACACCTGGAACCAAGGCTGTGGGCTCGGTCCTAGACCAGGCTGTTCTGGAACTTGATGGACCTGCCGATACTTGGATATACTCCGAATTCACTAAGTATCTGAGATCTGTGTGCATCATACTAGGGACCCCGGATAATGAGAGCCATGTGGAATCGTAATTGCACCATTGATTCCAAGTAAATGTCTAGCGGAGTGTGCGGTTTCATCTTCATTGTTCAATGGGCTAGAAACTAGTACTTTGGTGTGACCCGATGGAGTTCCATTTCCTGGTGCAACTGAGGGGGGGATTCAATTCCCTGCTTCCAAGGTTTTGGTTCTTGATTACTTCATAGACGAATAGGGAAGCAACTTCACATCAACCTATAACAATAAATAACGTGACCAAATGTCACTTACCTTTGTCATCAATCTATTCCTACAACCCCCAACCTTAGCCAACCCATCAACATCTCCTCTTTACCATCAAGCCCATCATGGACGCCATCTTCCAAACAGCAGGAAATCTTCTCCCATACCACCTCCTCTGCTACGGCACCTTACTAGGCACACAGGTATACCAGGTGAGCACCCTCTGTCCCAAAACCCCTATTTCAAATTTGTTCTACAACTAATAACTAATAAATCCAGAGCTTCATCAACACAAAGCTCTGCTACAAGTACCTCCCTATGCGTGAATTCCTTGGCCTAAACAAACGCATCTTCCCAGTCTACTTCACCTGCCAGATAGGTCTCGCTGTACTGACAGCAGCTACACGCCCACCATACAGTATCTTTTCTCTTACGATAGATCCATGCAGTGCTGCGCCACTAGTTGTCATTTTGACAATGGGATCGTTGAATTACTTTGTTTTTGGGCCGAAGACTACAACTGCGTCTTTCATTAGACGGGCTTTACAAGGTATGCTTTTTTATGATGATATACTGCTTAATATTCAGTGGGCTAAGTTTTTCTTCTCTTTTCTTTAGAGAAGGATGTTCAGTCGCACGTGGATGAGGAAAAGGTGAAGCGGGTGAATCGCAATTTTGCACGCAATCATGCGATGTCGATTCATCTTAATGCTATTGCGTTGGTTGCGACTGTCTGGTATGGCTTCTCGTTGTCACATTCTATTCTGATCGGGCTTTAGAGTCGGCTCTAAGAGTTGAGAAATTATCAAAATAGAGAATAATAGTTCATTGTTATTGAGATACAGTATCACCCTAGTACTTTCATTCTTCCGGAGTCTTGCTTTATCATAAATATGGCGGTATTGTCTATGTCAGCATCCGACATAATAACATTTTCTTCTTATTTGATCGATTACCTAGCCCATGGCAACAGTTTGAATAAAGATCCTCTCTCTCTGTAGCTGTGTTAGTTAATTTAACTTTTGAGGTTGAGATAGAATAGTGCCTTACCTTCAAAAAGAGAGATCCTACAGCAGTCAACATACCCGCGGCGACAACCAGGTAATGTGTGTGTGACATTGCATCCACAATGGCATGAATCGCTTTCGCTTGAGTCTCAGGTGGTATATTCTTGAGGATTTCACTGTTGGTTCCAGATATTGCACCTCGTAGGCCTTCGCTTGGATATTCTGGCAGCAGTATTTGGAGGCTGTCCAAGGCTTTATTCTGAAATACTGCTCCTGATATGGCGAGTGCAAGCACAATTCCAATGTTTTGAGCAAAGGCAATAAAGGATGCAGCATCAGAGGCCCGGTGGGGGGAAACTTTGGCCTGGGCCACAGAGAATCCAGTCTGGATAAACATGCCTGCACTGATGCCAATAAGTGAACAGTATCCGTAGACGTGGGAGAGAGGACTTGTTTCGTCAATTGTACCTGTTCGTGGCATGCACTGATTAGTTGATGTCATATATCCTATATCCTGGGTAAAGAACGTACTCATCAATCCCCCTCCGATGCTTGTAAGGATACCACCCGCCAGGTACCATGGCATATAGTATCCCAGTTTGGTCATCAAGGCACCATTCAAAAGCCCAAAGAAGACCATCAAAATAATGAATGGAAGTAATCTGACTGCAGCAGTAAGAGGAGAGTCCCCTTTGACGAACTGACAGTAGATCGGGATGTAATAGGTAGGGATCTATCGTTGTTAGAGCTGGATTCTGTCCACCTTTGAATCTTTCAGACACTTACAAACACACAGGTACCTGCAGAACACATCAGAGCAAAAAGAAGCCACATTATAGGCAACCGAAGAAGGTCAGCTGGGAAGATTCGTTCTCGGTCCGTGGTACCAATGGTGAAGGCCTGCTGTAGCCCAAACAAGAGAAGCAGGACACCCCCCACAACCCACAGGGCAATCTCTCGGCCTGCTCCCCAGTTGAAAAGATTGCCTCCAAAGTTGATCGCCATGACCAGGGCCGTCAAGGCACCGGCATTGAGAACAACTCCTAGATAGTCAACCTGAAGAAGCTTGTTTTTGAGTGTAACACCTTGTTGAGGATCAGCGTAGGGCAAGAGAAATATATAAACGGGAGAAAAGGCAAATCCGATGCAGAGATTGATGTAAAATGCCCATCTCCATGTTGTATGGACGTTTTGGGCAAATGCACCGCCGACTCTGTTACAGATCGAGTCAGTTTGATCGTCATCAAAGATCAATCATATGTCTTACACGGGTCCTATGACTGTACCGGCTCCCCATGCTATAGCACTGTTAGTGACACAGTTACTCAACCATCACGGATAATCACTTACTGATTCCAGTAAGAGCCATATAAGTCGGTCGCTGTCGAACGGAAGTGGTGATGGACAATAAAGTCAGGCATCCAAGATACATGCCCGCTCCCTGGCCAATTAGCAACAGTATCAATATTGAAAACTGTTTGACTTACTCCAAGACCAGCAATGGCACGACCGATAATCAAAGAATCCATATTAGGAGCCGCGCCACAAAGAGCACTGCCAGCTTCGAAGAGAATGACAGAAATCAGGTAAACCCATTTTGCACTGAATATCCCGTAGAGTTTGCCCCTAGAAGTATCCAAATGTCATCAGCGCCCCGTGGATAGTTATTTCAAGAAGAAAATCTCCATATACCAGGTGATGACCGTGGCCGAGGAAGAGAGTCCAAAGGCAACTCCCAGCCAGCTCAATTTTCCGACCTCACCAAATCTCGTGATAACCGGCGACTGGATATCGGCGACGATGGTGTTATCCAGAGAAAACAGGAAGGTCGATGAGAGAATGGTAAGAACAATCAATATCCACTGGTGCAAACAGTCAGTCACATGTGCAGCAATTATAGTAAGATCGCGCCACACAAGAGGCTTGGAAACGTGCGACTGAATATCTTCCTGGACAAATTCGACATCCTGAACCGTCTCTGTCTCAGTTGTAGGGTTTTTAGTCTTAATTGTAGGGTTTTTAGTCTCAGTCAAAATTGGAATAGACGTCTCCATTATAGTGAGTGAAAAATTGTTGAAAGAGAGGTTGGCAGAAGAGAGCGAACGGAAGGTACGCGCACTGGACGAACACGTGCTGAGTGGATTTGTGCGACATCATTTTAAGGAAATAAGCTTGGAAGTAGTGATCATTTGAGAAGATTACTCTTTGGTTATCACCGGAACCATGAATACTCAAATCCTTAGCTTGACCTTGACTGGTCTGTGGGAAACGTAAGTTTTTCCTTTATCTTCCGGTCCTTGGTTCTTTGCTGAAATGAAATTGAAAAGGTTGGCTTCCAAGCTCTTTCAGGGTGAATTTGAATTGGCGTCAAACCTTGATATATGACGATAAATAGATGGTAGGCCACCCCTATCCGTATGTATTGTAACGCATTAAACATTTAGACATATCCAGTCTCTTTCTAATTCAATGTTGAATAGAAGACATAGTTTTCCTATTGGAATGGGGTTGACTAGTGCATTGAAAGAGAAAGAGTAGTCTGGAGATGATGACACAGGACATGCCTTCAAGTTTGTTCCAGGGCAAGGAACATCACATATTCAAGTGGCTGTGTTCCCATTGTATTACCCTGACGAAGCTTATTTTATCCTTAATTGCTACCTAAGCATATATAAGCGGAATCCGAGTGACTCTCATTAAACTTTGGTTCAGGAACGTCTTGGTAAGCGGAAGAGACCACATGTGTACCAAGGGTGAGAAAACAGTTCCATGTAGACTATATAAGGAAGAAAAATTACAATATATATTGAGATCGATATCAACGATTCAAGAGGTCATCGCATTTTAAATTAATATAGTGGGACTATGATTAAAGAAGACATATACATCTGTCGTGGTATCACAAAAGCTCGCGTTCAACGCCGTCTGCTGACGATAGAAAGAAATCAACCTTTTATCGCTATATGGATGCTCGAGCTTGAGCCTCAGTACCCAGAAGAAATTAGATTGTCTGGTCATCTTTCTATTTGATTCTGTGAGTGTAGCATGACTAACTAATACTAACTAGACAAGTTCTAGGTGACGATTAGTCACCTATCAATTCGGAGTTCGGAGTCCGTACGGAGCTCAAGGCTACTAAGTAAAAGCAGCTTTCTCACAATCTTTGTTTCCTTCTGCATAGTATCATCAATATTTTGCTTTCTCATAATGCTGCTTCCTTATTTTGCTTCTCTTATCGGCTTGGGCTTCGCTGCCACTCAGCAAGTCCTCCGTCCCGAGAACACAGACGGGTTTCGGGTGTTCCAGAGTCAACACAGCGATCACTCAATCCGTATTCGTCAACAAGATGAAACAATCTGTGCAGCGGGCTCAGCCCAGTATACTGGCTGGCTAGATATCGGACCGAAGCACTTTTTCTTCTGGTACTTCGAAAGTCAGAACGATCCCGTCAATGACCCGTTAACCCTATGGTTGACAGGTGGGCCCGGCGGGTCCAGCATGATCGGCCTCTTCGAAGAGTGCGGGCCCTGTCTCATCAATGAGTATGGGAATGGCACCAAATACAATCCTCACGGTTGGTCGCGGAACTCGTCCATGCTATTTGTCGATCAGCCCGTGGATGTCGGATTCTCTTATCTTGACGAGGGCTATGACCTGCCCGGCGACTCTGCAACTGCCGCTGTTGATATGCATCGATTCTTGCAGCTTTTTGTCTCGGAAGTCTTCCCTCAACACCTGGAAAATCCTTTCCATTTGTCGGGTGAATCTTATGCGGTAAGCATTGAGCTCCCCTACCCATATATGCACCTGAGAACCACAGGCGTGCCATTAGAGAGATCAGCGGAACAAAACTCATGATTTCACAGGGTAAGTACATTCCATTCCTCGGTGCCGAAATTGTAAGACACAACAAGCTCTATCCACATGAGCCTCAGGTCCAGCTTCGATCATGTCTAGTGGGAGATGGGTACATGTCGCGGAAAGATTCAACTTTTGGCTACTGGGAAACTCTGTGCACAACCAACCCGGGAGTTGCAGAGCCAATTTTCAATAAGACAAGATGCGATATCATGGCTGCCAATATGCCCCGGTGCATGGAAGTCATGGATATATGCATTAACAACCCCGACCCCGCCATATGCATTGCTGCAGGGAACGTCTGCGAGGAGGGTATTGTTGGTTGGTACGACAACGAGTCCGCGTTTAAAGGTGGCCGTAATAGATTCGATAGTAAGTTATCCAGCTCGCACAAAAGCTCAAGAGGCTGCCGGTTAAGGAAAGCTTGAAGTCTTACTTACACAACCTTGGAAATTTTAGTCACCCATACTTGCGAATATGACAATTTATGCTATATCCAAGCTGCACGAATCGAGGAATACCTGAACTCTGCGACTATCTGGAATGCGCTATCCCCCCCGAAACACATCAAGCAATACAATCTGACCTCCGGTGCAATCTCCGACGCATTTCAGAAGACTTCAGATGGAGGATTATCAACCCAGGACCAAGTTGCGTATTTGCTCCAGAACCAGGTCCACTATCTAGCTTACCAAGGAAATCTCGACCTTGCCTGCAACACTGCTGGTAACCTTCGGTGGGCAAATAATTTAGTTTGGAAGGGACAGGCTGAGTTTTCTTCCAAGTCGCTCAAGCCGTGGAAATCGGTTCTTGCGAGTGGCAAGGAAGAGATTGTCGGGACAATGAAGGAGGTTTACGTTCGCACGAGCAATACCGCAGAAATCGAGTCGCGATTTGCCATTGTGACTGTTGACAACGCTGGTCATTTTGTAAGATACCCTGCCTCGCTGAGGAAAGCTGGTCACTAATCTCAATTTTGGTAGCTTCCTCAAGATCGTCCCGATGTTGCGCTGGATTTAATGACTCGGTGGATTACAGGTGCATCCTTTGATTAGATGAGATGGTATTCTTCTGCAGGTGGTTAATACCACGATTTGCTTACGGACTCTATGTCTTGATCATCATGGAAGTCATCTTATCTCCAAGTTGCTTCGCGAGGGACATACTATTCTCAAGTCATATTGCAATGGATCAAAGTATTTCTGCATAAACACCTGCCCTTACGATATAAATTGGAGTATCCAAATTTCTATTTGATGGATAAGAAGGGTTGTACCCGCAAAACTGCATTTACATTTGACAAAAATCTCCTAAAATCAGAGCTATACAGAGTTCCGAATAATTGCGAGCATTGCATCTCCTTTCGGTGCGGTAGTAAGGTTCTCGTAACCATTAGCCGTAACAAGGATATCATCTTCAATACGAACACCACCGATATGAACGTATTCGTTCGCAACCTCGAAATCAATATACTTAGCGTAGGGTTGCTTACGGGCATTGGCAAGAGCCAAAGGTGAAAAGTAGAGACCCGGCTCAATGGTGACCACCATGCCCTCTTGCAACAATGGGGAAGAAAGGGTACAAGGGGCCCGACAAACGGCAGAATTCAGGACCGGAGCATAATTTGATTGGTCCAGGCCGGAGTTCAAGGCCATAATCTCCGTCTCAGAAACATCATGAACCTCGAGTCCAACGTGATGACCTAGTCCATGAGGTAAGAACACCTTTGATACGCCTGATGAATGGAGTTCAGCAGCCGATCCACCCTTCAAGACACCGAGGGCCAACAGTCCATCGATCGCAATTTCATGGGCTAGGTTATGCAGATTGAGGAAGCGTGTGCCAACTCGAATTCCCTTGATGCACTCTTCCTGCATGCGCTCAACCAACTTATAAATATCCGATACGTATTTGCTGGGCCATTCTCCCTTGAGCGGGAATGTCCGGGTAACGTCACTAGCATAGCATTCCCACTCCGCACCAGCATCCAGACACACAAGGGGTCTCCCCGAGAGAGACTGGTTGTTCGAGGAATAGTGCAGAACGGCCGCGTTCGGTCCCGATCCCGCGATGATCTGATATGCTTGGTTCCGAGCACCATGAGAAATGCATGTGTCAAGAAAGAGTCCCTCAATCTGCGACTCATTTGTCATCTTCTGGATGCCTTCGAGAACTTTCCGGTGTGCCAGCGCAGATACTTTATTTGCCTGGCGAATCATCCGAATCTCATACTCGTCTTTGATCCCCCGAGCTGCATTCATGGCCGGCTTGAGCTGCGCCGAGTCCAGCGGTAGCTCAGCCGGTAAGCCCTTCGGAACCTCCGACTCATGCACCATATACAACAAGCTGTTTTGGGCTCGTTGGCTCAGCCATGATCCCAGTTCCTGTTGGAGTGATGATTGATAAAGCACCCGGTCAATATCATAGCGATCTTGGGCCTCTTCGCGGCTCAGGGTCGGTCCCATCCAGATTGCCCGATGGAGATCAAAGTCCGGCACATAGAGGGTCAGGTTATCTAAACTGATATCGTATGTCAGGGCGCAGCTCGGCTCGACCACACCACTCAGGTAGTAGAAGTATCGCCGTTGTCGGAACGGGCGCTCTTGATCTGAGTCGCGGAGTAAGGCCGTGGGTTCTCCAGCGATGAAGATCAAGCCATGAGAGACACCGAGTTTGCGGGCGACGTTGCGCGCATGCTGTTTGGCTGCGATTAGGGGAATACAGGTTAGCTAAGCGTCGGCATGGTCATCGGTCGAGATCCGGTGGTAGATGGAAGGGAGGTCGGAAAGTCGTCAGGAGGCATGTTGAAGCCCTTCGGAATGACTCCTGGAGTCCCGGGAAGGCAGGCTTACCAGGGTATTTATCGCAGGAGGTGCCAGTCACGGCAAGGCGGATTTGATAAGCATCGACCGAGTTGATGATGACATCTGGACCCGACAAAGTAGTAGAAGTGGCGCGCATCGTGTGATGGAATGTCTGTGCGAAAAGAAGAGGGATCAATTCCTCTTAACTTTCTGCATGTAAGGAGCCACGCGAGAGAGGGGAAGAGGAGAAGAGGGAGGCTTATCCTGAGTAGGGATGGACTCCGCCTTTTAGGTGTACGCAGTACGACCCTATCAGAGAGTAAAGCACCATTCCTTTATTAACAAGATTTGTATAGGGAGAAAAAAGGAGCTAGAGAGGAAAAATACATAGTCTCAGTCTATATTCATTACATTATATATTGAAAATAGCATTTCCTGTGAACTTCTGTAACTTAACTTGCGCCCGAAAGCGTGTTAGATAAACCGAGCAATTGGATCCGCTTTCGCCCACTTATCATTCCACTTTCCTCCAACTCCGCTTGATTCCTCCTTCGCTCTTCATCTCCCCACCCATCGTCTCATCTTTTGGTTTCTATTCTACCGTTGCTTTTATTCACTTCCGCTTTCTTCAATAGTCAATGCACCATGCAGGGCCATGAGGCATCGGGCCCCGGTGCGCTTGCAGGCCTACCCTCTACGCTGAGAACGGTGATAGGCAGCCCGACGACGTCACCGCTCGGGTTCATTTCTTCGACCGTTCCACCTATACAAACCCCAACGGCCTTGTCGCGACAACAAATCGAGGCGAACCTGCAATATGTGCTCAAGACGCTCTCCTCAGAATATGACAGTGGGCGCATGGTTGCTTCGGGTGGCGACTCGTCCGGCTCAACCGGCTCAACCACCAGAGGCGTCCTAATTGGACTATTCTCGGCTTTTGGCTCGGCTGCGATCGCATTGACAATACTGGCGATCTTCTTTTTCTCAAGTATACCAATCGTGGCCGGATTATGCTAGATCGGATGGGCCGACCGGGCGAGTATGATGATGAACAAGCATTTGCGCGGGAAGAGGAAGCGGCTCTGGAAGAGATGGATGATCTCTCACGGTCGGAATATTTGCGAGCGAAAGGTACGATGGAAGAATCTTTGAGTGAATATTTTGGTGAAGCGCTGTGCTGACTTGACTGTGTAGCTTTCGTTCAAGCCAATCCACCCGAATCGATGCAAACCGATATTTCCCTGTCACAATTCCTGGCCATTCAAGAAAAAGGTGTCTCAGCGTGGGAATTTCAGGCTGAGCTGGAAATTGCCAACTGTTTTGTGGAAGGTCGCACAGAGATTGAGTTCTTCGATTCAGAGTGCAGTGTGCAAACCAATCTACCCGTACCCAAGCAAAATGAGGTTTACTACTGGGAAGCGAAGATTTACGACAAACCGGAGTCGACCATGATTGGCGTAGGCTTTACCACCAAGCCTTACCCTCTTTTCCGAATGCCTGGTATGGATATTGTGTACCTGTTACATGGGGCTTCATCCAAACTAACCGACTCTCTAGGTTTCCACAAGACTTCTGTTGCCTATCAATCAACTGGCCATCGCAGACACAATCAACCCTTCGCTCCAACTCCGTATGGACCTCCGCTCCTTCAAGGCGACGTGATCGGTGTTGGATACCGCCCTAGGTCGGGCACGATCTTCTTCACCCGAAACGGCAAGAAATTGGAGGACGTGGCCCACAACTATCGCAACCAGAACCTATTCCCGACCATTGGGGCGAACGGCCCCTGCAACGTGCATGTTAATTTTGGTCAAATGGGGTTCGTATTCATCGAAGCTAATGTTAAAAAATGGGGGTTGGCCCCCATGACTGGCAGCCTCGCACCGCCCCCACCCTATGGCAGTGAACATGGCAGCATCTTGCTCGAGTCCGGGCGAGAGAGCGCGGCCACGATTTCTCAGCGTGTTTATCAAACCCACACTGCGAGAAGTTCCAGCATCGGATTTCCCCAGGCGGTCAGTCCTGGCCCGATCCGCTCTCCAACTGATATTTCCCTTGCCCAGTTGACCCACATTCCTTCAAATGAGGATGCTGGTGAGGGATCCAGTCGCATTGCCGATGGTGATGAAAGTGTCACCATTGGACCTCCATTGCATGGAGTTCCTGACGAGGATGAAGCTCCACCTCCGGAATACTCAAGTCCTGGAAGCAGTCGCAGAGGTAGCGACGCTTCGCTAGATTTTCACTCAGCCTCGGATCAATTCGGCCCTCCCTTGGATTCTACTCAGCATGAATTTCAAAACTTGCCGAGCTATCAAGCGGTGATAGATCGAGAATCTAACAATCTCCATGAGTGAACGTCAGACGCTACACCATTTTCATTATACGTCCTTTTCGCAAGCATACCCCACGGTGTTCTTTGGTTCCTTTTTTAACGGTCCACGGGTTTCAAGCACTATCGAACTATTATTCTCTCTTTTTTTCTCACTTAGCGAATACTCAGGCGGCGTTTCAACTGTTGGGAGGACTACTTGGCAGACATTATATCTGCGCCTTATGTTTGGGATTCTATCAGGAATTGCACTTTATCTGTTACCGGGGTCGTCACCCTCAACGAAGTCATGTACAGGGGAGAACAGTAATCTCTCACTCCCACCTCTCTCTCGCTCTCTCCACTGCTCCTTATTTTGATATCCTTTGACAGCAGGTCTGTACATTTTGTCATCTAACATCCCTTAAGGGATGAATCCTGCTTTTGACGCATCTTCCAATAGCGCAATTCAATCTGACTTTTTCATGCCCTATAATTTTCGAATTCTTATGTAGCTATTCCAAAGTGTCAACGTCATTCTCTGCGGGGAGTTATCGATATCAACAGCTTTATCAGCTCCACTTTTATGAGTTCAATGATTCAAACGCAACGCCGCCACATCTAAGACAGAGACAAATTGTTGCATTAGCGCATAGAACAGGTCAAAGGAGATCTGAGAAACAAGAAATGTAAGGGCAAGCAAAAAATCCTACGACCAAACGCAGTTTCCGCGGCCCATATCGAGTTCATAGCGCAAAGTGGATTAAATGCGTCTCCGTCCCCACAATCTTCTCCGCGTGTGATCATCTTCTCCGCGTGTGATCATCTTCTCCGCTCCAGATCAAGTAGATCAAGTACCTTAGGTAAGTCAAAGTTGAAGATATACGAGGCTCTCAATTTCCCTATATTGAACCATACACATATCAGCAGGTCAAGATCTGCGCAGTCTCGGTCGCGATCGATCAGTGCGCCCCACAAGCCCGTGCATCGCTCCCAATTACTTTCCGCCAGCTCTTCGACACAATACATTACACAAAACGGTCCCACAGGTGCCGGAACTAGAGTCAATAGTCTTTTATCTCCAATCGGGGTCTCCGTATCTGCAGATTTCGTGTGCAGTAGTGCCTGTCCGTTCTTGCACCAACCGCCCTGTCGCGGTTGCAGAGGAAGTCCACTCCGGCGATACTTTCCCTAGCAACAACGGGCTCTGGCTCTTTCCCGCGAGTATTCCCCCATTTCTGCTTTGGTCTACCGCGAGAGCTGTATCACACGCCCGTTGCTGACTTTGCCTACTCTGCGTGCACTGTGGCTTTGCTTGGTTCTTGACCGCAAGTTTCTCATCCCTGCGAACTTGCGCATTGCGCCTGCGCACCTTCCACTAGTCTGGATTGCAACTTTCGTCGCCGCCTTGGTTCAATTAGCTCGCGCCATCTTTCTGCTAGCCGCGCTACTGTTTCGGCGCCTGCGGTGGTTGACCAATCTGGTTGAGCTTTCGGTGAAACAGTCCCATTTTGGAACAGTGGGGAATTGTATACGTTCAGGTTTCCACTTTTTGGAAAATTGGCCTTTGGCAGGTGGTCCTCCATTCAACTGGAAAATCCCAGACTAGACTCACGATGGCAGGTCCGTCATTTGAGGTCATTGTTTTAGTAGGTCATTTCCGGTCTAGAGCCTCCTGCAAGAATCACGTGTTGTAGACATGACGTTTCTATAACGTCCTGTCAGTCGCATTAGTTTCCTTCTGGGTTGCTCTTCGCAGATCACCTCGGGTCCTGGCATATGAAACATCGCCACTTATGGAACAGAATGCTAACCAGACCGCGTCTAGGGCCCCACTGGTGGACCACGCGAAGATAAGACTACTGGCCTTCTCATACGATCAAAGTCCACAAATTGGTCTCCTGGATCGATTGTTGCTGTTGATGCAGGGACTATGCTGGCTGGAATTATCCGCATATTGGAACCACATTTCTTGAACTCGAAGAATAGCCGCGCCAAACCTATTCTCAAAGAGGGTCCCTTTAAGGGTCTGAAACTACCCAGCATGACCGCCGAGGCCAACGCCGCATATATCTTTCAGGAAATTATTGGCGCTTTCCTTATCACTCATCCCCACCTGGATCATGTTTCAGGCCTGGCAATCAACACGCCGATCATTGAGGCGGGAAGTGGGCCAAAGCCGGTTGCGGCTCTGCCGTCTGTGTTGGCTGCTATCAAGAACCACGTGTTCAATGATGTTATATGGCCCAATTTGTCAGATGAAGATGGTGGTGCTGGTCTGCTGACATACCAGCGCTTGGTTGAGGGTGGAAATCCTCGATTTGGTAATGGAGAAAGCAGAGGCTACGTCCGCGCCTGTCAAGGCATTGTGACTAAATGTCTGAGTGTCAGTCACGGCCGGTGCAAGCAGCGCTATCACCCGGAAAGTGGAAACCATCAACGTGCTACAAGTTCTGTCTTCCTCTCTGGGGATTCAAGGCACCTGCGTCCAAGAGCGATATCTGTGGACCAGTCTACTGAGGGAGGGTAAGTTTCGAACCAAAGCGAACTTCTGCCAGCCATGCTAAATTCGGCCTAGATTCTATTCTCCAGCTCGTTCACCTGGCCTCATGCCCGGCGAGCCTATGCTATCGTCCGTTGAAAGTTCTGCTTTCTTCCTCCGTGATCATGAAAGTGGAAATGAAATCATCGTATTTGGCGACGTTGAACCGGACTCAATCTCCCTTGAGCCACGGAATCGACGTGTCTGGGAAACCGCGGCTCCCAAAATTGCCAATGGAAAACTCCGCGCCATTTTCATTGAGTGCTCTTACACTGATAGTGTGGATGATGCATACCTTTATGGTCATATGTGCCCGCGCCACCTTGTTGCAGAGCTTACAGTGTTGGCTGATCTAGTCTTGAGTGATAATCAGTCCGGTGGAGTGGAACGCAAGCGCAAGCGCCCCGGATTGGGTGAACAAGCTGTTTATGATAATAATGCTCGCTTCAAGCGTACCCAGAGCTCTTCGGGCAGTAAACCCCGCTCTACCTCGTCGAGATACAGTGAACCCCTTGATGGACTTGGCGATCTGTACATGTTTGAGGAGTTTGATCCCCCGGATCCCACTCGCTGGGCTGATATCGAGACTCCTCCCCTGGCTGAGTTGTCTATTTATATCATCCATATCAAGGAGCTACTCAAAGATGGTATAAATCCCGGCACGCGCATTATAGAAGAGCTTAATGCTCACAGCAACCTGATCAGACTGGGTTGTAGGTTCTTCCTCCCGAGTCCATCGGAGGCTATCTCATGTTGATGAAGTGCATTTGGGTTCGGCTTCGGGGTGTTTGGTTTCATCGGCCTTCGGCGTTCTGTGAGCGCGGCACATTTATGTTCATTCCTGAACCCGGGTTTGATGGATAGGTGGCATATTGCTATCATGACTCTCATATTGTGGTCATAGGTTTTAAGAAATTTATGTTTACAGGGAATAAACGATAGAACCCGCTGATTCAACCTGATTACTTCCAAGCTGAAAGATGCATGTATGAGGGTCAATCTATGCATATATTTTAAGGCATCTAAAGACAACGCCAAAAGTGCTCAATGAGACCAGCGACCTCTGGCACTCGTTGTCTAACAACTCCATGTCCAACCTGCGGAACAACGGCAACATTCTCCATGCCAACATCAGCCAGATCCTGCACAGTACACAGATCATCCAACTCCCCTAAGATACAAAGGCCTGGCGTATTCATTTTCGCCGCCTCCGCAAAAGCGTCATGTTTATCGAAAACCCCGCCATCCCGAACAATTCCCACGACACTAGCCAAATGCCCCTCATGCACTCGAACCTCCCACTCTCGTACCGCCTCGGCAACAACCTCCCCTCTTGCAACCCTCTCCTCCCAATCCTGAGGAACAACCAACACCCCACCCTCCAACCACTCAACAATCCACTCCTGCGCCTTCTCTTCCACCCCCTCCCCACCCCGCAAATATCCCCGTTGCACCTCATCAAACTGTCCCGAACGCACCAATCCAGCAGGAGCAACCAAGACCATCGAACTCACACGCTCAGCATACCGCGCCACAAACGACGCAGTCGTCGATCCGCCAAACGAATACCCAACTAAATGCGCATCCTCCCATCCCAATTCCTGCATTAGAGCTAACAGCAACTCATGGAACAGCTCTGGCGTGTGCGCTAGAACTGGCGTATCTGTTAACCCGTGACCCCATAGGTCTACTAGCACGCAGTGTGCGGACGGGAAGCGCGCAGATAGCGCTGTGGCTAGTGGCTGGAGACCAATTGCGGGTGTTTGAACCCCGTGTATTAGTAGTACACGGGAAATATTCGCTGGCTCAGGACTTGAGGTGCAGCTTGGTAGCAGGGAGTAATATGCTGCTCGACCATTTGAGGTCTCTAGGTATGTGGCCTTTGGTAGGAGGCTGCCGAATGTTGAGGTGAAAGTTGCTTCGGATGGTGCTTTGATTGGGGCTTCTTTAGCTTCTCTTGTCCCAGGACGGGGAAGCACGAGATTTGAAGTTTTTTTCGTCATTCTGTGCTTGAGAGAGGGTTGAAAAGAGGTATTTGGGGGGTTAGAGGTGCTTTTGGGAGCGATGTGATTGGGGGCGCAGCTGGCGATTCTAAAGGGGGATATTTTATGCTTCTTTATTTGCCTCGATAAGAATGGCAACTAAAAGGATGATAACGATAGCTGGTGGGGCAATCTTACCGGACTCCGGCCCAAACAAGTAATATACAATACATGTACGCTCGGTGCCACACGCCTAAGACTTCCCATTATATGCGATAAACATCAATTGAAAAAAGTTATGCGCACTTTTTCACCATTGTGAAACACTAAGGTGATGGAATTGATATCAATGATCAAGGACATTTGGATGATGAGATGAATATTCGCTGCAACGTCTCAGGACATTTCCACGCCCAGTGTAATTCAAAAGTTTGTTCCTCAAGTATCCACGAAGCCACGAAACTTTTACATGATTGAAGTGAAAAGGTATCAAAATTAAACAAGACAAAGTCCTGGCACCTTATGCCGACTGGGCTTCGGTAGATTTAGCAATAACATCCTCCCAAATCGAACCAGCAGCCGCTGGAATACGCAGCCCATTCAGAGCCGCATCCGAATCGCTTGCAGCCGGTGGTCGGTTGGCAGGTAAATCCAAGATAGCCTCTCCATCGCGTGCAAAGTCAATCAGATCCTCCTCGGTGCCCCAGTCGCTCATCGCCATAATGCCGATAGGCACGCCAGTGTCGCGGTCGTACCCAGCGGGGCAGTTGATTGAGGGACATCCAGTGAAGTTTGCTAGCCATACATACTCCATGTTCCGTACGGACATTCCGCCGTCTGATACACCGCGTTGCAGGTCCGCGTCACCTCCTTGAATGTTCCATCCCGGGATGGGAGTGGTTGGAGTAAGGATCAGTAGGCCAGGGTGCTTTTGGAAGAGATATGAAAGATGGGTCATGAGAAGATTACGGAGGCGCTGAGATGCGAGCAGATCCTGTGCGGTAATTTGGTACATGCCCATTGATACAAGGACTTTGTTGGGAGCGGTGAGGTGTCGGATCTGGCTAGTAGTGACACCTGATGCAATATCTGCCATGATGGTCAAGACATGGGCTTTTTGGCCTTCTGGGAGGTAAGGAATCGTGATGTCAACAACGCTGTATCCGTTTTGGCGGTAGTAGTCAAGCGACCTGTCAAAGACTTCACGAACTGCAGGTTCTGCCCGGTCAATCCAGTCACGGTAGATACCAATAATTTTGTTTCGTTTCCGGTCCGCAGGCGGTGGTACTGGTTGAGAGAATAGCGAGGAGGTTGAATCCTCCGATTCAGGAGCGGGCGCTGCCATGATGCGATAGGCAACGGCTAAATCATCAATACTAGATGCCATAGGCCCTAGAACACCCACAGTTGGTGCAAGGCTCAGGGATGGGGCCCCGGATACACGGCCATGTGTAGTCTTCAGTCCCCAAATTCCGCAGAATGACGATGGAATGCGGATTGAGCCTCCGCCGTCTGCGCCAAGTGCAATGGGTACCAGACCTGCTGCGACAGCATATCCAGAACCTCCAGAAGAACCACCACAGTAGTAATTCTGGTTGTGAGGATTCTTCGGGGTGCCAAAGTTGGGGTTGTTATTCGTCGTATCTGGTTTGGTCAACTGTGATACTGGGACGGCAAATTGATTCTCGTATACTCACCTAGACCTAACTCGTGCATATTGGTCTTACCAATCACAATAGCACCCGCGTCTTGCCATTTCTGGACGCACCAAGAGGTGCCATCGTTGCCAGCCTTGAAATCTAATTTGGTACCTAGAGTTCGCTTATAGCCTTTAAGGTGGACCTCATCTTTGATTGCAACAGGCACACCGTCGAGAGGCCCAAGCTGTTTGCCCTCCTTATAACGCTTTGTAGATTCCTTTGCGGCGTCGCGTATTATTTCCACCTGTGATTCAAGGAACGCGGTCGAATGTTTGCCCGGGGGCGTGACATCGCGACGAATCAGAGGCAGCAGCGCCTCTACGACCCCAGTCGGAGTTAGCGCGCCCGAAACATAAAGCTCATGATAATCGGCCGACGTGTAGTATCCCTTGCTCCCTTTTCTCTTCGCAATCTCCGGGGTTGGTACATCGGTTGGGGTTCCCTTCTCAACAGGAATCACGCTTGGGTCGGAGCGTCCGGCATAATGGTGGAGGTGAGGTATCTCGCGGATGACGCCAAAGCCCGCATTTCGCCAGAAGTGACTTTGAATGAAACCGATATTATGGATGCTAGGTCAAGGGAGAAGTATGAGTATGTGACAAGCTATCGGGGAAATGAGGGAAGCTCCATTAGCGACTCACAGTGTCGCACCGATCACCAGAGGTGTCCCACGGAATACGGGAATTGACTGGTCCTCGTATTTGTAGGGTACAGGTGGTCCCTCAATAGCTGGGGGATAATTCAAAAATGAGCGATTTTCAGAAGGCATCTTTGCATAGCCAGGAGAGGTTGTCCGGCGAGTTTGAATGCGGAGTTCGAAGCTTTTGAGACAATGATCTCATATTCCGAGGCCCCACGTGAAAGAGCATCAGCTGATGCAATCTATGATCTACAAGACTTTTTGCCTGATTTAGTCTAATTAAAATAAATTAAAAGTACATTTACAATCGCAGCTTGATATTCGCCTTGTCCATTCCAAGCGCAATCGCGGTCAGAATCGCCCCATATATGACCAGGATGATCATCGCTTGCGGCGTGTTGATGTCTAACGTGGGGATACTCAGATTAACCACACCAGTTAGCAGATTGGCCATCAAAAAGATAGCCAGCCCTCCATGATTGAAGGCATGCAAGATGCGACTGGTTCCAAATGATGTTCGATCCTCCTCGCCTGTCTTGCCTGATGACCGGTGAATAGCCGGGAAAAGGACAGTTTCGATCAGGCAGAATAAGAGGAGTTGCGCACAGTTGAAGGCTGCAACCCACAGCACATATGGCATGTTGGCGAGTCGGCGCGATACCACTATATTGGCACCGTAGCCGAACGCGTAGTAAGAATTGAAGAAAAAGAGAGTTGACCAGAAGAGTACCTGTAGACCAAGGCTGACCAAGACGGACTTCCTTGCCTGGTGTGGTGACTTGGATGAAGATGTGCCTCGGGGAATAATACGAATTCCCGCGCCTCGGCCCGCAATAAAGATAGCCAAATATCCCAGGAATGAGAAGATGCCTTCACGGTTCTTGGATAGCAGATCCGAGCCACGGGGGGAGATCAGAATGTAACTTTTGAGCTCTGTTGACTCAAGGACCACTTGGTACAGGACCATAATCCCGAGAGCCAATGCTTCATAAGAGGGGATCAAGACAGTCAAAGTATCGAAAATCTCCACAAATGGCGGCAACAAGCCCAGCGTGAAGAAAAAATTCCAGTGTACGCCGTATTCGGTGACGTGTTCGGCATAGTCTAGCCCCTTAACACTCCACAGCCGGATCAAACCCAGCACAAGCAAAGGAATCGAGTGACGCACGGAGCCAGCAAGTCTCCCAAGTAGAGCCGCCTTGGGTGATTTGGAGGCTCGGCTCTTGAGAACCGCGCGCGCAGACACTACACCGGCAGAGAAGACAAATGAGCCCACACCCAGATCCATCAGCGAGGTACCCCAATTCTCGACCTTAGCGAACCGGCGGGGGAACGCGCGGAAGTCGACCGCAAGAATTGCAATACAAGTGATAATCATCATGGCAGCTCGATATGTTGTCAGGAAAGGGTGTATCGGTAGCGACTCGGCTTCATCCTGAGCTCCGGCATTGATGTCATTTTGTTTGCGGGGCGGTTTGGCTTTTTGCGGAGAGCGCACGGGTGGTTGAGTGAGGAAGAGTAGGACAGCGGGTGTAATTAGGAAGATGTTCAGCAGGAGCGGTGCGGAGGAATAGGCAGTGGTAGCGAATAGAATGGCCAGTACGTTAAGGATGAAATCAGTCAACAAGGCGACTGGACCGTAGGGCGAGAAGTAGGACAGGCGCGACTGGAGAGCGGACCAGAGAAAGACGGAAGCCTATCAATCAATGTCTGGTTAGAATTGACCAAATGTCAGATCACCAAGGAGATTGTACCGGTGCAACAAGTGAGACCAAGTTGATATCCTGAATATCACTCCCTGTCAGGTTCGAGACGAACGCCTCTTTCCGAGCTTTATAGTCTGGATCCATTTGAGGAATAACTTGGGATTGTCGCGAACCCCGAAGATCAGACTCGCTTAAAGTGCCCTTTTTTGATGGAGGATCAATCCGCTAACGCCAAGTTTCGAGCATGGGTGGTGGAGTGTGCGGGAGTCAATTCGATCTCCCGGAGAAAACAACGTGGCATTCAATCACCTGATGCAACGAGATCCTTAATCCTTACCTCCAATTACTTCATGTCCCCTGTCCTTTCTATAGAATTTCATTTAGTAATATATTATCAATGGATCCCGGGCGACGTGCATAATCTTCAATTTAGTCACTCCAACAACCAAATCCCGGCATTTGGAGGGATAAGGCTTGAATATGATCTCCGCATACGATTTCCGTCTGTTTATTACTGACAGGATTATTTCACTTCGCCATCCTAATTGAATAAAAAGTGTGCAGGATTGGTGCTTTAACCGATATTATCGACACACGCCAAATACCGCCGGCCTAGCCGCCTAGACAACTTGCGAGAGATGTTTGGATTCACGCACGGACGAGTTAACGTTCGTATGATTGGGTTAGGAGCTAGTGTGGATCCGATCGGTAATATGGGGCAGGAAACTTTCGATGTTATTGCTTGTCAAGGATTTCGATATACGTGCTTGAGAAAGCCGTTGTATACCTAAGTACGGTAGAATGTGATATGTCGGTAACCTAGAAGATCGAACTTGTCATATTGTATAGCTCCTCCACGATCGATCGATCCGCGTCGAATGATCGAGATCTAGAGCAAGCAAAATCGCAAATATTAGGTTCAAGTAAAACCAAGACGTAAATGGTAGCTTCCATCATAAATTAATCACTCCTCAGTATTCTGGGGCTCTAGTAATATGGTCTATACCCTAAGCGTACAATTAGCCGGTGATTCCCGCATGACTGACTCGAAAATTGTGCCATCATAACTGGGCATTCGTAAAGTGAATATGGGGGCCAAAACCCCCCAATTATTTCTGTTATCAATCCCACCGGATTTTACTTTGGAGACTTAGGACCTATCTAGAAATGGCGTTTGGGTGAGATTCTAGGCTTGGAAGTTTGGGGACATCATATCCATAGTCCCCGACAGAAATTTGGAGTAAAAAGACGTTAATTCTGAAAGTAGCTCGAAAGTTAGGAGGCTGAAGTCCCGAGAGCCTTGCGGTTTCATCGCCCATGATTAGCCATCTGTATCCTCTTCCAGACCTACCTTTAGTGATGTATTTATCAATCCGGTAATCTAAGAAAGTCGAAGCGCCCATGCAGGCGCTGTGAATCTGGATATGCATTGAGCATGTTCCATCACCAACAACTACCTAGATAGTTTGGTGTTGGGTGGTTAGTCGCTAATATGAAGGCCGTTATGGTTCAATTTATTGACCAACTGATGGGCCTTGGCCAACAGCGCTTCGACGGAAAAATGAACGAATCAAAAAAAGAAACAAGACTTAAAAGCCAGACGCTATCTCGATGGCTTCTAAGTACCCACACAGTTCGTCCAGTAAACGTACATCTATTGGCCCGCTCGGAGCCTGGTCTACGCCATTACCATATTGCCGGGAGATTTTCCCTCGTTGGGGCCTGATTTTGATGCTAGCGACGATCCGGAGAAGGGCACGTAATTCTTGCACACTAAGTGACGGGGGACTTTATTAAGCAGCTCGATTCCCTGCATATTTTCCTTTCCATCGAACTTTCCATGTTCACGCAGTTTTCCCTCCATTTTTCTCCCACATCTTGGGCCATGCCCTACCCCCCTGCTCTACCACGATAACAAGCTCTGCCCCACCGAAAGTACCCAACCAAGCGTACCCAAACCCTAAGTACTTCAACTTTCCACTGCCTTTGATGGTTAGTTCACCACGTCAAGTGACTGGTGCAGGGCTCATGGTCACCGATATCCCCTGCTTCCAGCATTATTTTTGGACAAAAGACAGGTTCCTACGTCATCTCAGGTCTCGTCTGGTAACCCCGAGGCCTCGGAACATTATGGATAGCAGTAACAAGGAGAATAAATCACTGAGAAAGCGTGAAGCTCGCCCAGGAGCTAGGAAGGTCTCTGCTCTATCTACGGAACAGCTTGAACGAAAACGTGCCAACGACAGAGAAGCACAGCGGTCTATACGTCAACGAGCAAAGGAAAATACCGAGCAGCTCCAGCAGCATGTTGCTATGCTGGAAGCACAGGTTGCTGGAATGCGGCCGCGGTACGATCGATACGACGAGTTGATGCAGCATAACGCGGCTCTAGAAGAGGAAGTCCGTGTCTTGAGAGAGGAATTGGCTGCCTTTACTGGAAGGCCGGGCTTGTACAAGGCCGAGCACGTTGGCTCTTATCGAGGTGGCTGGCCAGTGGATGAGGTGCCAGTGAAGACAGCCAGTGCCTCGTCAAGTAGCCCAGCTATCCCGCTGCAATTCGCTGGTTCGTCTCATCAGGCATCGGATATACATCGAGCTCCCTCTACACTCTCACTCGCTGCCTCAATGCGCTCACTTCATGGAAATAACTGGCAACCTTATAGCGGTACGCGATCACGCTCACTCGGGGATTGTTCTGATCAAGAATCTTCAACTCGGATGGAGCCCTATGTGATCGACGGGCGGCTACACCAAGGCTCACGTCTGGTGCCCCCTTCCCTCCCTGGCGCTCCTCATATCAGCCTTGGCAGTCCGACCAGCGCATCGAGCCTGCAAATGCCCGATGCACCTTATCCTCCGGTTCCGTTGCAATCCGACCCTAATCAGGCCGTCTGTGCTCAACTTCCTCAGTCTTACCGGCCGGGACCGTCACTTCAGAGTCCTTCAACTCAGAACACACCCAGGGATCAAACATTTGTATACCACCCGTGGACTTCTGAGTCCTGATAGTATCGGCTAGGTGGGCGTAAAAAGGGGCCAGAGACGGCATCCCATCCGAAACGGCATCCCATCAATCTAGGTGATTCTTAATCAATGGGCCTCTTTAAGTAAGCTACTGCCTCAGAGACCCCTCAAGACCATTGTGCTAACATTAGTCTCTCGTTCAGCTTGTTTTTCTGTTTCCGAAGCTACAAGAGAAGTGGCCATAGTTCATAGGAGTTCAAAATGCGATCGAAATTCAGGAATATAGCTTAGGGTGGCGGAATTTGTTTCTTACAGATTTTAGTACTAATAGCATTGCTGTGTTTCCAAATGTTATTGAGCCAATACATATCAATAGATATTATATCTGTTTTCTCCTTCTCGTACATTCTCCTTATTTTAACTATCCTAATTCAACAGTTCCTCCAAGACCAAGCAGTGGCTCATCCACTTCATCCACTTCATCCACTTCGAAATCAAATCGAACGAAATCTTCTTTATATGGAATAAAATAGGCAGTTGTGACTCTAAAATCCAGTATCAGCAATCCCCATTTCAAGGCTGATGATATCAAATTAAGAGTGTCTTTTACCTTTTGTGTTCACTGCTTGCTTGATATTCATCCAGTGCTGCGCGGTCCTCGTGATAGCTCACGAGAGCGTACTGGAAGCCTTTGCTTTTCTCGGCCGGTTTGGTAATTGAGGGCCCTCCAACAATGAGTCTCTGATTTTTCACACAGGATAATAACTTGAGAGTCTTAATCTCCGAGAGAAATTTATCCCGGATCTCCTTTGCCACCTCTATCCGAAACTTGAACAAAACTATGCTTCATCAGCTTGTGTCATTGCAAATAGGTAGGGCAGGTCTTACCAATATGAGCGATAGTCATTTTTTGAAATAAATTGAATTTACCACAGAAAGTTGTTGAAAATCATGCTCTTATATAGTTCCATTAACGGAGGCCATCCGCTGCTTAGCGGGATCATCCCGACATGGATTTTCCAACGCATTGAGTGTACACGAATAATCACGGATATGGATCTGGAAATTTTACATCTAGAATTACAATTCTGGGTCCATAATTTGCGACCCTCAAGGTCCACGGGTTACAAAGAATGTATGCAAAGGCTTCAACTGGACTAATCATTCATTTTCCACATTTTCAAATGTTAAGTAACAGCACTTGAGTACTTGAAATCTTCGTTACAGGTTTTATTCAATGCTATGATAATCCCATCTATATAACATCCAAAAATTCGAAACCTTGGCAATTTTGTCCAGTTTAGTCATCTGACGGATGACTGCCGTGGGGGCGGAAGCGATCCGAACATCCATCGAGTGACTCTCATTCCCCGAAAGTTCCTCAAAATTATTCTGTATCTTTTTTGCAGACATCAATTAATACTACCCACTATGGATTCTCCACACCGGAGTCGGAATCGTGCGGCATGTCGGCGTTGCCAAAGACGCAAGATCAGATGTAACGGGGACCAGCCTCAGTGCTCGGCGTGCAAGAAGGCGAATGTTCCATGCGTTAATGACGAGAAACAACAAGTAAATCGAACGTATGTCAGTCATAAGGTTCAATTGGAGTATTGACTCACAAAACTCTAGCTATATTGCAAACCTGCAAAGACGAGTACAATGGCTTGAATCATTGGTCAAGGAGCAGACCGATGTATGCCTAGAGGATGGCCCTCCCCTGGCCCAGGAGGAAACCCACCAAAAACAACACCCTCACGAATATCTCCATTCAGCTCTCACAGCAGCACCAGCTCAACAGGAACAACCTGCAGGGATTTCCGTGGTTTCTCACCCGCCGGAACAAGCAAACCAAGCACATGAAATCGGGTTGGTATCACTTTCTGCTGGTGGTGAGCTGAGATATATTGGTCCTTCTAGTGGCTATTTTCTTGCAAACCTTGTTTTCTCCAGCACCGGTCGGCGAACCAATCCTCCAAGGGGTCAGAGCAGCAGGAATGAGCCACTATCGTTATCAAGTGAGCTTTTTGACAGTCCAGCCCCATTACCGACTCGCAAAGAAGACGCAGTCGAATTATCCGCTAAATATTTCTCATTCATCCACATCCTATACCCATTCCTTCATGAACCCTCTCATATGGAGCGTGTGGAGAAGATGTATGCCACAAGAGGCTGCTCTGATCCGATGGCCGCCTTTCACGTCAACATGGTACTGGCTATCGCCGCCTCGGATCTCTCTAGACGTTTTCGTATCCGACTTCCTGCTGAGGGGTACTACACTGCAGCCACAAAGTTTTTTGAAAAGGCTTGCGCAGAGGGCTCTCTTGATGGTCTTCAAAGTTTGCTTCTTCTCATGGTCTATGCGCTACATAACCCCTCGTGTGGAGTGAATATCTGGAGTCTTAATTACCAATGTCTTGCTGCGCTTATCGACTTAGGTCTTCAGCGTGATGTCCGTACATCTTCCACGTTTCCAATTTCATTCTTACAGCAAGAAATGCGAACCCGGATCTTCTGGGTAGTTTACAGCTTTGATCGCACCTTGGGGACCATGATGGGAAGACCAATTGGAGTACGCGATGAAGCATGTGATCTGCGAGTGAGTGAATCTTTCTTCACATATAAATTGACTTTCACCAACCACGATTCTAGTTTCCATCGGATGTTTCTGACTCCGATCTCAGCCAGTCCGCACCCGAGGGAAGCGCGATCGAGAAACCGTCGTCTCATGTGACATACTCCATCCATCTCTTCAAATTGGCACGCATCAATTCCGAGATAAAATATGTCATGCACAGCATTTGCAGGGATGCTCCCCATTACGCCTATCCTCCGGTTACCAACATTCATGAATGGCAAGGAGAAATGATCCATCGGCTTCAAGCGTGGGTATCTGAAATCCCCCAGACTGCTGGCATGGAGTCAATCGCGAAAATATGCGAGACGAAGTATCACGAAATGATGATCCTTCTCTTGCGGCCTAGCCCTGGCATACCGGAGCCCTCGGAAGAGCTGCTTTCCTGTTGCTTCCAGCACACTGTGGATCTTCTCAGGGGGTTCGGTGAGCTCTACCGACAAGAGGCGCTCATATATAGTCGACTCATTGTTCACTCCATCTTTCTGACTACCATGATAATGTTACATTGCCTATGCAGGCTGCCACAAGTTTCATCTCAGGTGCAAATCGATGATGTGGTGGCGGATACTTGGATTAGCTTGAACATCCTAAGTAGCATCGGGGAATACTGGATAGAAGCCAAGCGAGCAAGAGATTGCATTCAAGACTTATCGAATGCCACAATTCAACGCTTGGTCAGAAGCCGGGGATTGGAGACATCGAAGGCAAGGAAAGGAGAGACTACTTTCCTCTCTACGATTGGGAGGAATGATCGGAATCAAAATACAAACATCGAGATAGATCTCGACCCCTTGGAGTCGGCCATTAACATTGCCCCGACTACGAGCGCAGTCGATGATTATGATTTCAACTTAGACCCAACGAGCTGGTTGGACGAGTCAACGTCTGGTGGATTCATGGATTTTGCGGGTATTCCAGATTTCGATGGCTTGATGTGGCAGGTCTTTAACAACACATAGGGTTGTACTTACCCTGCTATACAGACTGACTATTGATCATCTTATCTACACTTTGACGCGCCACATATTCTGGTGGGTGACCTTTAATCTCGGTGGATTGATTAGACAAGATTAGATCGGACAAGATTACCTTTTTTGAACCAAGTGGAGCCTTCATACAATTCAACTCCCGAGGGATTCGTCACGCTTTATCCCTACTTCAATCTATGGGCTCTTTTCTTGTTTCGAACATTTTTTTTGCAATTGAAAATATCTTGACAAGGTTGACAAGATGTTTCGCCCTGTCATTTCTCTCCTCTTCGCCGCAACAGCGTTTGCACAAACACCACCCGGAAGCTATGCGCATACTAAGCATGCCCTCGGCGCAGCCTATCAGAATGCAACAATAACCCCTGGAATCTGGATCAGCCCCAATGGTAGCGACCTCCTTTCTGCGATTATACAATTACCAGCTAACACCCAATAACAGACGTCAGCGATCAACCTGCCATCTGGCCTGCTACCAAGAAAATGCGCAAAGACACCAAGTACATGCTCTTCATGATGGATCTTAACATCCCAGACTCCGACGTCACTACTGCAGCATACTATGACACATTGGTCCCCGGACTCGCTCCGAATACCACCACCCGTCTCCATTGGTGGGGTGGAAACTATACCATCGAGGACGGCAACTTCGTCAACTCCAGTGCTGGTCTGGCGCCGTACACTGCTCCCCGTCCTCGGGATAGCACCAACCACACCTACGCTTTCTACCTGTTTGACCAGCCTGCCAGTTATGCTCCTTCAAAAGCTGCGCTGGATGGCACTTATTACTCTGAAATCGGTGATGCTCGCTTCAACTTTAGCTTGACTCCGATTGTGGAAGCTGTTGGGGAGCCTGTTGCTGCGACATTTTTTTTGAGTGACGAGGTGTAGATAATCACCACCGAAGAAGGGGCTATACACTATTCTATCAGAGTAATGACACGCCTACTCATCTGGCTTTCTCGATCTCGATTTCATTACCTACTAGTAGGTACATGCAGCCTGTGCCTCTTTCAGACTTTAGTGCAGAAATGGAAAGATTAAATTGGTAGATCAAAGTAATCAGGACGTAGAACATCTTGAAGGAGGGTTATACAACACTGAACGAAACATGCTGTATTTGATATTCCATGGTTGATCTACAAGGTTCCAATACAAGCGTAGTTTGCTCAAATTTCTCGGACTCTTTCAAAATTGGAGAATGCAGTGTTACTAAAAGTGGAGAGAGGTAGTGGAAACGGGGTACTTTGACAATACCATATGAGATCGTCTATAAGTCCTCGCTTTTGGGACAGAAGAAAAAGCACGAAAGAAAACGTAGGATCATCGAAAACACGAACGCAACAGTGGACATCAGTAAAGAAAAGCACAAAAGCTCATAGAAACAAAACCACCTAGGTCAAGTCACTTCTCGTGAGCGACTTTTCCGTGAAGTTCAGAAATCATCTCGGGGATTGCTCGGGGGGCATCATGTTTATCCATATGAATTTCCACAAGTCGCAAAGGCTCAGACTTCCCATCAAAGCTCTCAGCTGGTCCAAACAGATCATCCTTAAGAAGCGTCTCCAACTCGCCTCTCGTGCGAACGCTATAAGTCTTCAACAAATCAGGCTTGGGATTAAACACCTGAGGAAGGAGTTCGTAGTCCCAAGGCTGGACATCATTGTAGCTCTTATTCCAACCATTGATAAAACGCTCAATAGTATACCCGTCGTTGCAAATGACGAAGATAATCACACCGAGCTCTTGTCGAACTAGAGTGCTGATCTCCTGTGCTGTCATTTGGAGGCTCCCATCTCCTGTAAACAAGATGGTGCGTCGCATTTTCGTCTCGGACGCCTTGAGCTGTTCGCGCGCTGCGATTGCCGCTCCGACTGTCGCTCCAACTGCAAATCCGATTGAGCACCAGAGAAGCTGGAAGAGCGATTGGGCTCTTCGTGGGTGTCGGCACCATAGTCCACCAAAGGCTGATGTACCAACGTCCATTGTGATGATGTCGTCTTCTTCGAGCCATGAACTCATGCGCTCCCACATCCATTCCTGGGTCACTGGTGCGTTCGTGTCTATTTTTTGACCTTGGAATACTTGAATTGACTCTTCCATCGATAGACTGGGAGGATTTGCGCCGCCGACGGAGCTCGCTGGACATGACAATGGGCTGCCATCCGATGAGTTTGACGGGGTTTTTGACACGGAGACGGAAGTTTCCTCCGAGAGTTTCCTAAGAACGTTTTCCATTGAGCTTATGGGGTAGGTCTCTTCTTTCACTTTCACGATATCCCGATGAAAGATAATTGTCTCTACATCGGGTACGTCACTCTTGAAAGCGCCTGTGTTCAAGTCTGTAGGCCGAGGTCCAATGAGAAGAATCAAGTCACTGGATTGGACTTGCTCTTGTACACCGGGATTGGAGACACTGCCGGCGTAGATTCCACGGAAGTTGGATAGACTTTCGTTGATTATGCCTTTTGCCATTGGGAAGGCAAAACACGGTATATTAGACTTTTCGACAAAATTCCTGGTAGCATGTAGACCCTCATATCTGCCAGCAAGACTGTCCACAATTATGACTGGATTCTCAGCATTGATCAACCGCTCACGAATACATGTTACTGCAGTCTCTTCCAAGGGCGTTGGGGTAGATGGCAAGTGACGCAGCGACAAAGGTATTTCCAGCGGAGACGGATCGATTTCTGCCTTCACCAGATCCATTGGAAATCCAATAAACACAGGTTTGCTAGAGCGGTTGCACTCAACAATTGTTTCGTCAATCATCTTGGTCGCTTCTACTGGGTCTTTCAAGAGAATAGCAGCGCTTGAAATCCGTGCGCTCATCTTCATGAACAATTCATAGTCACCATCGGCAAGCGTATGGTGGATAGGCAGCTTCTTTTCTTGAACAGCGGATGACGGGAATCCCACAATGTGGATAACAGGAACGAGCTCAGCACAGGCACCCGCAATAGCATTCAGAGCAGAGAGCTCGCCAACTCCAAAGGTAGTGACGATGGCTGATATTCCTTTGATGCGTGCATATCCATCGGCGGCATATCCTTGGGATTTGTTAGATATTCTGCTAAGTTCAAGATGCACTTGGTTGACGTACCAGCATTTAATTCATTGACATTGCCAATCCAATCCAGGCCACATGGCTCAACATAATCAAGTGCAGTAAGGTTGAAGTCACCCGGTACACCGAATATAGCCCTTATGTTGAGCTGGTGGATCCGACGGAACAGATACTATAGGGAGCAGATCAGTAAGTACTTGTGACTTCTAAAGTGGATAGCGGGTCTAAGGTACCTCTGCAAGATGCATATTGTGGAGAATGTTTCGATATGAGATATTTGGGTAAGTTCAAAGTACTCTTGACTGCTTTAGTTGGAAATAATACCGCGTACGGTCTGCCTTTTTATACCCTCTATCTCCATCCTTTCAAATGTTTGAACAGTCATCATCAATTGGATTCGAGTTCCACAAACTTTCTCAATAATGATTCGATTTCTCTATATCAACACATCATAAAACATAGGCAATGTAGAGTGGCCATAAAAAATGACAGTACATTACCCGTTTCGGCGTTGTGCGTCGAGATCTGCAGTGTTGAGTACGATATTGACAGCGATCTGCTTCTTCATACCCAATTTGACAGCAGGCTATGCATTAATTGCCATATCTGTCTCGCTTTATAATTTGACGCATAATTGGGGGAGGACAAGGTCATTTTAACTTCATGTGTGACATCCATGGGAGGCGGATTGATCAAAATGGATGAAGACGATGGCAAGTAATCAGGGTGGGATATGACGAAGGCCTGGGAGAGTAAATTAGAAAAGAGATCGCTCATCTCGAATCTTCAGCATTTGGAAATCATCTTGATGTCATTTTCTCTTATGTTCAAGTTGACCACACAATGCCGATCTTCAAGATACTATCATCCGATCCGTACCAGCATACGCGACAAATCATCAATCAGGAACTTGCTCTCGACCCGCCCCGGGGTTTAATAGTCGAGTTCACTGATAAACTTTATGGCCGCTTTAACCATATCGAGCGACTTCTATCTCCGGCAAAGGCTGCAAGCATGTTTAGTGAAACCTACATACGCCAAAAGGAAGACTGTGGCCCGAAGGCTGTATCCGCACCCGAAGCAAGGAAGCTTTCAATGTCTGACTACAACATTGTAGAGCATGAGAATCCGTCACCAAGAGATGGACGGGGGCTCATCACGGCGTTGACTGGCCACCTTGAAGTTCATGGGAGAGTATTCTGGACCCAGGGTATTGGCAATGGTGCAATAGATTGCTTGAATGAGATTCTGCACTCTATTGGTCTTATCATCGAGGTACTTGAATATGAAACTTCTATCATTGGATTTGATTCTGCTATCAAGTTAAGACGATATCGCGGCATGTCGAGCGACATGGTTGTCACCTAGGTCAAGTGTTCTGATATCACTTCCTGCACTTCTTGGGGAATCGGCATCGATGATAATGACGTGGATGCATCAATGAAAGCTCTTCTGCAGGCTGCAGCATCTGTAAGTTCATTGTTCAGTATGGTGTGTCAATGTTCAACTTCCTCGCTCATCGTTCTGCAGTTCATGAAATAATGGGTATATGAACATGACAAAGATGCAACTTCAAAGTCTTCATTAGTATATCCAGTTCAACCTGGAAAAGCAATGAATCTAATCGATTTTTATCCCTAAGCCATCTGGCCAATTTGTTTATCGGGTAACATAGACGCTAATCCATAAAGGGGAATTCAACTGTAAACATGCTTTTACCCGCAAAGTTTCCCAATGACCTCTCATCATGCCACACCTTAGGCGACAGAGTCCTTATGATTTGCCGCAAGGGGCTAGTCTCCGCACCCAATTCCAAACCCCTCCTTCAAGGCATACCCCAACCAACCCAACTCATCGACTCCTACCTTCCTCCGGTCCCCATGAGATAACTCCAGATCCGTTGCCTGTAATGGCGCCTCCAACGGGATACCCAAATCCTTTTAATATTTTTGGGCGGGGAAGAACTCAACAGCCTCCTCCTGAGTTGGTCGATGTTGAGGACCAGTTTGAGGATGCCGACTATGATGACAATGCGGGCACGGAACTGGGGCAATACGATGATGGAATGGTGGGGGAGGATCAACTAGAGATGGATGATACTGCAGATATGGATGGAGACGAGATCGAGGAGGATATCATGGAGGACCATCTTGAGGGGGATGAAGAAATGCACGACCAAGGTACGAGTCTCCGTGACAGGCATTGCATGCCAGAACGCATCAACTGACTTGCGAAACAGAACGATCTCCGTCGCCCCTGCCACCCAACCTCCGCGAGATCTCATCCCTCGCCTCCTGGACTGTCTCCACGTCGAAACCCGGCTGCGGCGTTGCAGCCCTCCGAAACCCCTCCCCTCAACAATATTGGCAATCAGACGGCCCCCAGCCACATACACTGACGCTGCACTTCTTCAAACTCGTCGCTGTTGTTCGACTCCGCGTATACCTCGATTTCGAGCTTGATGAGAGCTACACCCCTACGAAGATGATATTCCTAGCCGGCATGGGAGGAAACGACCTCGTCGAGTTCGCGACCTGGGAAGGCGATGGACCATGCGGCTGGGTCGATATACAGCTAGAAGGTGTCGGGGGACGAAACGGAGGCTGGGTCCGAGAGAATCTATCGCAGAAAGATCGGGCAGTTAAGAGCGCTCGTCGCAAGTCCCAGAAACACGATAATGGCCAAGACAGTGAACCATCCGATACGGAAGCTCTTGACGGTGTGGATCCTATCGGCGACGAACTGGATCCGTACTGTGGGAATGTTCTCAAGGCTATGGTGATCCAGGTGCGAATTATGGAAAATCATCAAAATGGAAAAGATACACATGTTCGTGGCTTCCAGGTCTTTGCTTGCGATGAGGGTCGTCGCCGTGTCGCTGCTGCTCCGTCTGCATCTGCTGATGGTCGGGATCGTAATCATCGTCGGTACAGTGCACGGCAGTCTATGCGTGGGAGCTTCCCTGGTGATGCTCATCATGCGCGTATTGCGGGCATGGCGAGTGAGGATCTTGATACTTCTCGACTTGGTGCGGCTTCTGGGTTGGACGAGCCGGATTGGATGGGCGAGCCTATTATTCGATAATGACTTAAGTTAGGCATCCTGGGCGTTAAGTTTTGATATGGGGAGTTTTCTGGCTTCGAGATACCCAAATCCAGGTTTTTTTTACGGTCAGACGCATGGGAATTACTAGACGTGACGGCATATGAATCGAACCGAGGCGACATTTCGCTCTCGAGAGTGGTGAAATACGCCCGGATTGGTTATTCTGTGAATTCCTGAATCGTACTAGCTTTACCATCATTTGCTATATTAAAAGGCTTTTTCCTCCAAGAATACGATACAGGTTGATATACATCAACGACCAATTATTCATCTAGAAGCTTCAAAGGGTATTCAATTTTTTCCTAGACTCGTCATATCATGTACCGAAAACTCCTAGTGCAAAGCTAACTTCACTTATATTTACTGAAGCAGCTTAGCCAGCTCAGCAGCGACGGCATCACCGACCTCAGTGGTGGTAGCCTTGCCACCGATGTCACCGGTGCGGACACCAGCCTCAATCACGTTGCTAACAGCCTGCTCGATGATCTTAGCATCGTCAAACATGTTGAAGGAGTACTGCAGCATCATAGCGACAGAGAGAATAGCAGCGACGGGGTTAACAATGCCCTTGCCGGCAATATCGGGAGCGGAACCTGCGATACGAAATCAGTATTCAAACAAACGCATATAAGTCGAAAGTTATACATACCGTGGATAGGCTCGTAGATACCGTTAACCTTGGTCTTGCCATCAGGCACACCAGTCAAACTGGCACTAGGCAGCAGACCCAGCGAACCAGGAATAACACTCGCCTCATCACTAATAATATCACCGAACAGGTTGCTAGTAACAACAATACCGTTCAACTGGCGGGGGTTCTTGATCATAATCATAGCAGCAGAGTCAATAAGCTGGTGGCTAATAGGAACGGTCGGGAACTCGTTCGCCATAACCTCAGTGACAACCTTGCGCCACAAACGGCTGGTAGCGAGCACATTGGCCTTATCCAGACTGGTCACAGGGAGAGGGGGGTTGTGCTGCAGAGCAAGGTTCGCAGCGAGGCGGGTAATGCGCTCGATCTCCGCGCGGGAGTAGGGCTCGGTGTCCATGGCGAAGCCGGATCCGTCATCCTCCTTGCGGTCGCCGAAGTAGATGCCGCCGGTCAGCTCGCGGATGATGTTGAAGTCGACGCCGCGGCAGACTTCGGACTTGAGGGGGGAGCTCTCGACGAGGGAGGGGGCGGCGAAGTTGCAGGGGCGCAGGTTGCCGAATGTGCCCATCTCTTTGCGGAGGCGGAGGATACCCTGCTCAGGGCGGACGGCGCCAGTTCCCCATTTCTGGTTGGAGATATTGTCAGTATTCGGGGTCGTAATGGTAGCTCAGGGTGGCGTTGGTTTGGAGGGTTGAGAACGTACCGGGCCACCAATGGCACCGAGAAGGACGGCATCGGCGTTCTTAGCGGCGTTGAGAGCCTCATCGGTCAGGGGAGTTCCGGTAGCATCAATGGAAGCCTGCTCAGATTAGTTGAGGTTCTTGCTTCTTCGGGTTCCGTATATACTCACGCCGCCGAGCAGGTGGTCCTGGAGGTTAAAGGTGACATCACGGTGCTTCTCGAGAATGCGGAGGATCTAGACAAAAGGTTAGGGGCTGAATTGACCTGTAACATGAATATTGATTAGGCCTTTCGCACCTTGACAGCCTCAGCGGTAACCTGGTGTTTTCAGCTTCGTTAGTCTTTTGGTCTCAATGCTTTTGATAGATCCATGATACAATTAAAGGAAGTCACTTACATCGGGACCACAGTGGTCACCACCGAAAACAACGACGTTGAAGGCAGGCATATTTAGTTAGATAGAAATTGTAAATAGGAGAGCACTCAATTGGTTCGAAAGGGAGCTTTAAAAAAGATGGGATGCGGGTGACATTCGACCCCGCCAACTCCGAGATCGGCGACCTGCACACTTTCTCCAACGCTACATCAGATATCCACAACGGAGACCGTCTCGGTTTAGCGGAATTTGCTTGTTTTTATTTATCCGGCTATCTGCGGGCCGCAGATTTCTATCGGTATGTGGGATCAGGTTGCACATGCATTAAATGTTGTATAAAGTTGCATTAAGAATGTCGAGGTAAAAAAAAAGCAAAAGATGGGAAAAGACAAGTTCGAAAAACAGGGATTGCGTAGACAAACCAAGGGGGAAAGAAAGAGAAAGAAACACGACCCCGTATGTACTGTACAAGGTTCCAGAACCCAAAGTCCAAGGTCATTCCTGAGGACCACAATGATCATGCCCAAGACGCCTTCAAAGGATGTGAACCGCCAAACCAAACCGAACCTCACGTGGAGACCAAGGCAACAGCTACTAGCGGTAGCGATGCCGAGGCCTCTGAAATCACAGACCAAAGCTCCCAAGATATGCATGACTCTCAAGTCGGTAGAAAGATAGATGAGCCCAAAAGGAAGCTATTCCATCAGCTATACGCCGATAAAGAATCAGCAACCGAATAATGCCTAGCATGATTATTTCTTCTTGCGGGTGCGGCGAGCCTCGAGATCACCCTCGGCCATCCACTTGCTGGCATTCACCATCTGGACGACGTTGACAAACTGCTTGAATGCCATGACAGGAGCCGCAATGCCGGTGATAACCCAAGGCCAGAAGCTATCGATCTTGTTCGCACGAGCTAGCTCAAGCGCTCCGGCACTCCACGGGCTCGCAAAAAGACTGCTCGGCGGGGTGTGCGCGGGGTTTCCGGGCTGGGCGGAGGATGGAACGTCGTGGACCGGTTGCAGAAGCGAGGGAGAGAGGGTAGGAGAGGAAAAGGACAGCAAGTAGAGACCGATGAAGAAGACCTCGTTCAAGCAGCAGCATATAAACAGAACAGTCTAGAAGGGTGTTAGAATCGGAAGAAAACCAGATGAGAATCGGCATGTAAATACCACCATCGTACCTTGCTGTTGTAGTATTGGTATAGCACCCAGCTCCGGCTGGAGTCGACCTTCTTGTGGCTCTGGTTAGATCCACCCTGGCTCAAAGTGGCGTACATATGCATGTAGTGACTGGCAAGATCCAAGCAGATCAGGCCCTGAAAAATAATTGCCCACCGAGGCCAGGCGGAGCCAAGGTACACCAGCAAGCATGATGTAGTGCAGCGATCTGTCACCATGTCCAACACAGCACCAAATGAGGTGGACTGGTCAAAGTAGCGCGCCGCATATCCGTCCAGTGCATCCAGCAGACAAGACACGCTGTACAGGATGGAACATGTCCGGGGGTGGAGGGGCATGTAGTAGAGAGACGCGAAGGCAAGAATAATTCGAGAGTACCCTAGGAGGGAACAGCACATCAACAAACACTATTTTCCAAAAGCTGATCAGACTAGCGAGGACATACCGATCAGGTTTGGCCAGAACAAAAACACATTCTCTCGGGGCGCTTCACGCGCCGCGGACCGAGTCCGTTTCTTGGATGGTGTGCGCTTGGATGGGGTGGGCGCAACACCATTACCCTCCTCGCTCTCCTCCCCATTAACAGACAGGGCAGCTTTTTGCCGTCGGGTTCTGGCGCTCATTGTGATATGTAGGAGGTCAGATTCAAGGGAAAGACTAGGGAATCGAAGTGGAGGAGAACACAACAAGGATAAGGGGTGATAATCCACATAAAACGTGTGCTTATCTAAGCTTAGCTATCTCCGGGGTTCCGGGACGCGTACTAAACAGGAAACTTGGTCTGGAAGGTTTCCTGTTTATTGCTATTAAGCTGCCTGGTGTATTAATTTTCCATATTTTCATAGTCACGAACCCCTCTTTGCTGACTTGGTCAGTCGAGGGGTCTGAGCTAACTTCTCTAGTACGTTTGCAGCGCTTATCGCTTTGTTGAAAACATAGGAATGATAAGGCCAGCTACCTCATCACCATTGGTGGGATACCTACATGCGCCATAGGCTGCGATTTCAGCTCTAATTCTTCGACTCCAACGTACATTCCGCATGATGATTGAAGTGTTCGACATGCCGAGGGTTCTAAGATTTAGATTTATGTGGTATACAGAGACAAAGAGGCGCGACGCTTGTGGAATGGAGAATAAGGCAGCAGAAAATGGACAATGCATATTGGAACGCCCAGGAGCGTAGCACCTCAGGCTTTTGAGAAAGAGCGCTTCCTAAAGACAAATCATTTCGAGTAGCATGGCCCATCGCGATGGACCAAAAGACAAGAGTACACAATGTGAAGTGGCACCTACCAGGAGCAGAATCATTCGGAGAGCCTAAAAACAAGACGCCAAAGGGGATCTGCCTGAAAAAACGTGCCATGTTAGAGAGAATACAGAGTAACACCCTTAGGGCGTGGGTGGGAGGGCGGTTAAATCGCTTTGGTGCGCGAAAACAAACTGCTGTAGACCGCGTCCACGACCGGTTGAGCAGTGATCGTTCTGCCACCAAAGAAACGGCCATTCAAGCCTTTGATGGCGTTCTCGCCACCTTGGACGCGGTCGAACTTCAAATAGATGTCGCCTTGAGAGCTCGGATCTAGCGAGATGTGAACAACGTGACCATATTTTTCTTCGCATTCGGAGCGAACGTCATCCTCCAATTCTTTGATCCATGCCTCTCCTTCTTCTCTATTGAAATTGTTAGTGACCGAGGTGACAAAAAGATTTAGCAGAACTTACTCGGCAGCATCAAACATGTTACGAAGCAATACACAGCGACTTGCCATGTTCACATTGACGGGCAGCGGCTTGGTCTCGGTCTTGGGTCGAAGCATCTTCTGCTTTTCATCGGCGGAAGGCTCGGGTTCATCTGTTCGTGCAAGTTTCCTCATCAACGCGTCCCTACTGTAGTTGTTGAAGTTTACTCCCGCAACGTCTGTGTCGTCAAGGGCACTGGCACCGGTGCCTTTCTCGGATTCTCGGCCACCCGCGCGATCGAAATTGTTAGAGCCGCCGGCTTGGACACCGCGGCCTCCGTGGCCGGAGAAGGAAGAGCCCTGGAAATTTGTTTGACTGGCAGAAGGGCCCTGCGGGCGAGTTGAGTTCGAATCCGGGGTGAACTTATCATTGCCAAGGCCAACGCGAATGGCTCGACCAGCAAGATCAAATCCGTTCATCTTCTCCAAAGCCTCACGGGCTTGGTTGGGGTCACGGAACCTAAAGAATTGTTAAATCTGGGGATAGGCAAAGGAACAGGGTCGGGCATCTTACTGGACAAAAGCATAACCTTTGCTTCGACTAGTCTCATCCTTCTGCAATTGCACGAATTCGAGTTCGCCAAACGGTTCGAAGACATTCTGGAGGTCATTCTCAGTGATGCTGAAATGAACATTACCCACATAGAGTCTGTGAAATGGTGCGGAGTGTTGAGGGCCCGAACTGGCCTCCGGGTTACGGGCCTGGCGATTCTTCTCGGCCTCGGTCAACTGTGCGATAATGGGAATGCCTAGGAGTTTCTGCCCGGTGAGTTGAATGGCGCCGGGAACGGATTCTTCACTCTTGAATTCGACATAACCGACACTAACCACATATTAGCTGAGTTCGAGGTCAGTCAAAGGGGAAACAGCAATAACATACCCTTTGGATCGTCCGCTGACGCGGTCCTTGACAATTTGAGCCTCCTTCACAGGGCCGACTTTTTCAAAGAAGGCCATCAATTCTTTAGTTCGCAAGCGTGCAGCAAGTTGCTGCACGAAGATAGTGCGCTTGTCCCGCTCATCCTCGTTAAGTTCAGGAGACTTGCTCGGGCTCCGGCGAGGGGTGTTGCGACGACCATCGCGCTCACGGCGAGGGCGACGTTCCTCCTCACGCTCTCGTCGTGAAGGACGGTAGTGCCGATCATCACGGGGCGAGCGCGAACGAGAGCGAGCGCGTGGTCCACCACGGTAGAAGTCGCCACTGGAGCGACGCTCATCGTAACGATCACGACGAGGGCGACGTCGATCACTCTCGCGGCTCCGGCTCCTCTTCCGGCTTCTATGGCTTCCGTTAGCACTGCCATGTTCGCTGTGTGGGCTTTTCATCTCCTCATCGCCGTCCACATCTCGGTCGCGGCGACGGTCGCGGCTACGCTCTCGGCGTCGGCGTCTATCACGGGAACGGTCACGATCACGGCGTTCAGAAGTATCGGCACGGGAGCGGTCATCTTGATCATCCTGCTTGGGTGGTACCTCAGCTGGGGCAGCGGTTGACTCGAGAAGAGCCTCCACGTCGAGTCCCGACATCGTGGGGACTGGTTGGGTTGGTTGCGTGTGGTAAGATGGATATAGGAAGTAGTCACTTCTGGAATGGGCGAGAATGTATGGAACTTGGCAAGAAACTCTCTTCCGGGTAATGAAGCTTGACCTTGCGATTGGTTTTCCTGGCGGTCCAAGGGTGGTTGGAAGGTAGATAGTCCATGTTGAGGCGGACTTGGCAGGGTCACGTGTGATATTCAAGTTTTATTCATGCCTCAGGCAACATATTTGCCACCACGACACCCGTGGACTTTCCGGATGCGTCCACTAAGTAAATGAAATTATGAGAGTAAACACAAAGTATTTTATCTTCGTGAACCGAGGTAAGAGCGTAGTATGTACTAGGTTTTATATTATGATTAATTGACAATGAACACTAATAAGTGATGATGAAAGGATAGCTCATCCAACCTCCTCGGGTGCTTTCTGTACCGCGAGTAACCTGTACAAGGATAAGGAGAAAAAAACCAAAAACTCCAGTATTGCCATAATTCATGGCGAACATATACAAGCTCCTGACCTTACGGTCGCACAGAGCAAGAGACTCGACGTGAATTCGTGAATGTGAAAACCTTGCCGCTTGCTGCAAGAATTAAGTCCCGGGGAAGGCTTTCTACTGAGCCTTGGAGCCCTTTGGAGACGGGGTCTCCAACTCAGTACCAAAAACTCGATCCCAGAATCGGCTGGTAACACCAAAACCGTTCTCAAAATCTGCGTAGTGGTGTTGCAGGTGGTACTTCTTGAGTTCTTTGTAGTACATAGGAAGACTTGATACAGTCAGCACAGTCTGTTGCAAAGGGGTGTTAGTGTTGAAGACTTACTTGCGGTGATGGAGGAAATAGTGGGTCAAATCATAGCAGACGTAGCCAAAGATACCGCCGCAGAAAACCTGCACGGCCGCGTACCAGTTATAGAAGAAAACGGCATGCGCCAATTTCCAGAAAGGAGCGGCCAAGGCCACAAACAGCGTTGGTGGCATGACCAGGCGGTACTTGTCCATGGGAAGGTAGTGATGAATTCCGTGGAGCAAGAAATGCGCGGTCAAACCGACTGAATTATCCGGAAGCCAACTGAAAAAGAGATTAGTAAGGCGGAATTTACATGCCGAGGGGAAGGAGATCATACTTATCAACGTGGAAGAGGAAGCGGTGCATAAGATATTCAATCAATGACCACAGACAAACACCAGTAATCCAGTATGCACCAGCAGCGACAGGATTACCCAGACCGGCTGTTCCAATCATGGTACCATAGGCGACGCATGGTAGCCAGATAATAGGTACCACATACCATGCAGTCTTGCTGAGAGGCTCCAAGAAGTTACCAAACAGTGGGGCGGATTCGCCGCCCTTGTAGTGGCGAGGTCGGTGGATCTGTTCAAGGTAAAACTCTTTGGAGAAAGTGCTGTACCACAACTGAGGAAAGAGAGGCTTGTTGAGATCCAGGAACTTGTGCGTTTTGAAATCTTGTGAAATGTCCGTTTCGACTGACAGATCCTCCTCCCGCGACATTCCAGTGGTTTGGTAGATAGGCGTAGAGTTAACCGCGATGTTCTCCTCCCCCGGGTACCTTAGCCTTGCTAGAAGTAGCGCTGCTCAGAGCCAGGAAACCGACGTGGTAGTCATCCAGAATTTCATAGGCGGCCTCGGTGTGCTCGTGGGAAATTTCGTCCTTCATAATCTCCGCAACATCCTTTCCTGCGTAGTCGAGAATCAAGTCACCACCTCCAGGGTGGTCCTGTACGAAATCTGTAACATCGTAGACCTTGCGACCGATGGTGATGAAACAAGATTTCGCGTTATTATGCGCCTCGACATCTGCAGTCGTAAAGGTCGGTAGAACCCGTCCCGGCATTTTGAGGGTTGGAGATTCGGAGGTGCGAGGGAAACGATAATGCGCAAAAGTAATGCAGGTGTGTGAAGTAACGACGAGGGTCGTTGAAGCTGGAAGTTGATCTTTTTCGGAGGCCTGCGGGATATTTTATTTCAGGGGAGGCGTGGCGTGACAATCGGTCCGCCCTGGCAGAATTTCTGCCCCCGGTGGCGCCCAAGCCAAGTCCCTGGAGTCCCCACTATTAATATGCCCCTTTATGCGATTAGCCAATCTCTCACTATTCCCACATTATAAGGAATCAGGCAATGTCATTCATTACCAACAAGAGATACAAGGAATGAATTCGGCCAGTTGGCATCAAGCTAGGGCCTTATTTAGCAGATTTCCTTGGAAGGCTTGCAATCTCTTCCTGGGCCTACGAGACTCAACATTTGACCACTAGACTGATATCATGCCCATATTAGACTTAGTTAAATGCACCGTTTAATTAATACTTAAATCTCTAACTACATAAAGATGAGCCAATGACACAATATATATGACTTTGGCTTTTAGATGTTTGGTATGGAGAATAGCGGTTGAAGTCGATAACGCATAGTACGAACCCATCATTAGTGTAACCGCGTAGGCGCAGGCAGTCATGTCTTTCATTGATGTCGAGGTACAAGCCCAAACAGCAACTCCGTGCAATTACTGTCGTCCTTGTCTGGTAGCGCCTAACTCCCTTGCAGATCATCTTTGCCATGTCCGTACGCACAAGCTTCGAGATACTCATGCAATATGGCGGTAAGACATGTACTCTCCAGGGTCCTGCCGTGCTAGCTGTTGGATAAGGCTGAGCCCCATATCTCGTGCCCATCCGGTGCAAGGTTTTCTCGGGCGAGCGTGGTAGTGCCAGTCGTATAATTCAAATTCTTGTATGGTCAGCGGCAGTATGCCGTTTGGGTGCTGTCCATCGAAATCCTCTTGCAAACACCCGAATAGGCCAGGGATCGCAACGCTTCCCTCCTCTCTTATTGTTTGTCTATTTGTCCATTAGCATAGGTCGTTTTGTGCCCAAAGCAGCGTTGATACAGACTTGAGAAAGTAAATGACGCAAGCTGCACAAAATCATCGTTCCTAAGCCTGACAAGTGCAGCATTTTCAAAGCGCTGGCCAGACTAGAGGTTGCTGGCTCTGCCTTTGAGCCAAGGAGGGTGAAGTTGCCCGACGGAATCACGAGAATTTATATTTTCGTATAAGTGAGGAAGACGCTCATACATCCGTGATGTCCAAAACGATGATCAAGACACATCTGTGTGCAAAGGCTCCATGGGTATGCTACACAGAGGCGGCAGGTGTTGGTTTAGCCGCCTATGCTTGTCTCTCAGCTCACCGTCCAGAGGACTTGCTTCTTCAGTGTATTATTCGCCAGAGCCCCTTTCAGAGATTAGGGTAACACACGTCTAACGGCCGCTTTAGTAAACGAGCATAGATAGTCCATTGATATTCTAAACACCTGTAGAGTCTTGGATCCCATGAATCGCAGGCATAATCATCCGCAGCAAGCTGGTCGTCAAATTGAACACTGGCAAAAGCACAGGGTCCTTCTTACTCTTCATTTAATTGTTGCATTGCCGCTCTCCTCGGCAATAACATGGCTTGCAAATCCAGTCATACTCTGTAAAACAGAGTGTCCCGAGCTCTGTCACCAGACTCCTAAACTTAGTTTTCCACCGACATCAAGGCCCATTTGTGTCTTGTGAAGAAAAGGATACTTTGTTGTATCAAAGAGGGGTCTGAAGAGGGGAGGGAGATAAGAAGATAGAGGGAAAGAAGAAGGAAAGAAGAAAGAAAGAAGGAGACGGACGCAGAGAGAAAAGAAACATTTGAGAGTGGTTTCTTGCCTCCAGAATCACGGTACGGATCTACCTTTGGAGAGTTAACATCGAAAATCTTATTATTCCTTGGGTGTCTTGTACACCGGGAATCTGTTTATATAGTTTAAACTGGTTTGTCAATTTCCGAGCTTGAATAAGTCCACTGGTAGTGAGAGTAGCTTTGGAAATAGTAATAGTAAATACTGTAGTAAGGTTGGACCATGGTGGAAATCATGCGTAGATAGATTGGTGAATATTGACATGTAAATTTTGTTGTAACGGTGGAAAGGTTTAGATTGAGGTTTGAAATTAGATATATAGGGTGGATTATAAGGTTTAAAAATCATGCCATCTATCATATGTGATTACTAAATTGTTACTATAACTAGTATGTATGCTTCATAAGTAGAAGTGATTAACTATACATATTGTACTCTGTATACGTAAGCTGAGTGTGGAGTAAAGAACAAGATTAAGTATCGATTTACCTTTGAATGAATAATATCAGAAACATTGATTATCTCCTACATATGTAGTAACGGTACTTGGTTGAACCATGCCAGTAATCACGGATCACCTGATAGTATTTTACTTTTACGTGTCAGGTTTTCGAAATTGGAATCTCCTTATGATATCAGAAGTGACATATTAAGACCGAAATAAAATTTCCCATCTGACCACTAAAGGGGGAAATTGGCCTAGCTGTCTGCATAAGTTAGGACCTGGTAGAGATTAAAAGCGATTCCGAATATACCAGGGGACCAAGCCCACAATGTCTATATGGGAAAGAGTGATCTGTCTACATGTCGAAACTTTAATAAGAGCTCACAGAAGTGGGAATTCAGGAACTAGGTGTTTAGTGTCGATCATCTTTAAGCAAGGGCAGCCGATTCACCTGATACGACGTTGACCTAGAAGACTGTCCCTAAGGAGTATAGTTCCACGCACTCATGCACACCATGTCAGCCATGAACGAATCCATCATTGGATTAATGTTTGTTCAGACCCGGTCACACTACCCCTCCCTAGATGTTTGCCTCTTGAACCCGGGGGCCTGAACCTCTGCATGTTCGTGTCGGCGGCTACGTTCTGAATAATCTAGCCAATCAAAGACTTTGAATGGGTTCAATTCCAAATATCTATCTAGACCCCTCCTATCCTTCTGATTCCTTCATTGTTTACTTAAACTTACACATCGTGAAGATGGTGGGGGACACGCGTACTAGCGTATTCGAGTACAGATTGGTCTGTACGAGGGACACATGTGTTGGAAAAGGAAAACCAAGAAAGTGAAACGGTATTACAAAATACGTAAAGGACCGAGGCTGCCCTTTTAAGGTTACAGAATGAGTTTCTGTGCTAACCTTGCAGACCCAAATCCTGCAGAGTCCAATCACGGATTTCTTACCAGTTTGCTACGGGACGATCCGCGCAGGAGGCCGGAGTGGAGACTTCAACCCGATCCAATCGTAGAGTGTCAACTACTAGGATCGACGTCTGTGGCATAGCGTGAATCCTTTATGGGCAAAAGTCTCGGTCCGAACGCTTATTCGTGCATCGGTGCAGGGAGGGGGAACACAGAGACACAAATCAATGTCGGCCCAGTCGCTTACCCAGGATCCACCATGAAAGGCCGTGGAAATAACATCGATCCCCCTTTCTCTTATTGTCCTATGGGCCCCAATTTTAATCAGAAAATCCAGAACAGGGCCATTGTCCTTTTTAAGGACTTAATTTCATGACACTGACATCTGGCTCGTTCATGTGGAGCGTATTTTGGCCCCGCTATACATTTTCCCAGCTTCCCTTATATTATTACCTTGGGCCCATAAACTCATTTTCTCCTTTCCCTTCCCTTTCCTTTTCCTCCCCCCCTCCCCCGTCCCATTCTTTTCTTTCCTCTGTCGCCTTATCCTGCGATAGTAAAATATGAGTGAATCTACAGGAAATACAATCCTGGACTATGCCCAGAGTTTGACCACGGTAAAGAAGGGTCTTCCGTTTGGTCAACCGGTTTGCGTGATCCCTTCCCATGCCATCTCAACCACGGCTCAGCTTGCAGAGCTGGCTTCCGAGCTCGGTCCCCACATTGCATTCCTTCAAGTCCAAGCCGAAAACATTGAAGATTGGGGTCAAGATACTATCGACCAAATGACATATTATGCCAAAAAACATGGTTTTATTTTATGGGAGGGGAGCCAGGTTTTGAATTCGACAGTCAACTTCATGGGACGAGGATTAACCAACATGGAGACCCGCAAGGTTCTAGCCGACTTTGTCCAGCATAAATACACCAGTGGATTGTTGAGGACCGCACAGTGGTCTGGGCTGGCGATCTCGTGGGCACCTGGAGTACCGTATGACCAACAAGAAAAGGATCTCTTAATTCCATCCCTTCGAAAGGCCTCCCGTGCTGCCGTCGCGGCTACAAGCAAAACCATTCAAACCGAAATCTCTGCCCAGGACAGTGAACCGACCTCCGAGCACGAAGAACCTCCCTTGTCTCCACCGTCGAACAATGGCTGGGCTGAATTCATGGGGGATAGTATGGGCAACGCATTGCGGAAGCTATCAACCATTTCCGTCAGTGAATCTGTCACAATGCAGCCTCATGTTGAAACAGACGAAGGCATCCCTCCTCCACCTCTTCTCGCCCGTGGCATGACCCTCTTCTTACCAACTTCCATCGACACGGCCTTCACGTACGAGTTCCGTCAGAGCACAATGGCCGCTGCATGCGCCAACTCGGACTTCGTGGCTGGGTTTGTCACCAGCGAGCCATACTTCCCCAACTACCGTGGAAATAACCTGTTGGAGATTGCTTATGAAGATGGCCATGGAATCCGGAATGACGATAACGGTGACAATCTGCTTAACAACTCCCATTACATGGACCAGGATATAACTCTCGGACTGTTCTCTCTTATACCCCCGGAGATCATCCGTGACTATTATGATGACTTTAAAAAGACCCTCGATACTGGTTCGCAGTCTGATCACATCGCCAAGTTGTTCTTTATGATGGATCGCGCTATGAAGATGCGAGAGACAAGTCGCCAAGCGAAAGAGAAAGAACGTGGATCCCATCCTGAACACATCGATAGGCATAGCCCTGGGATTTTCCAAGTGCCCGTCGTCATTCTTCCCTGAATGCCTAGTTCCTTCGATCTTCAATGCCCTTAATGTCCTGTCAATAATGAATCGTCATGTCAAACATCATCACAAAGCGCATTGTATTTTTACTCGAATTTAGATTGGGCGTTTGGTACAAAAGTCTTGCTAGCCTAATTATCCACCCATTGAAGCTATTCAACAATCCGTTACTGAAGTGGGCATGATACTCATGTGTCTGGGAAGGCCGGTATTGCCTCTAGATTGGGGACTTTCGTAAGCGACAAACAACTAGTGATCATTTAAATTTTTCAGATGCACCTGGGGATTCATTCGTATTCGAAGTCACGATCGAGCTTAGTATCTAAGTGCGCAGTCGCGTAACAATGCCAGATCCATACAAATTAACCTTTTCTAATAGACATGCAAGTAGTAAATACAATAGTCTAAAATGCGGCCCCTTACGGATTCATCTATAAAAAGAAATCGGCGCTATTCCCACCTAGTCGAATCTCATCGCGCATCACGCTGATCGCCTCCTGCAGAGTCGAGGTCAATGCTCAGGTCGTATTTTGTGCTCTTGGAAACTTGGTTTTAACATTCGGAACAATTCCCTGTGCCATCAATCTCTTTTCATTGTGCTTTACCCTTCTTTTCGGGGTATCTAAGTAATAGAATACGTGAGGCTTTCCACTGTGCATTTCACGCGGCGGCTAGAGTAACTGAGTCCCCGCTATATATTCTTTACTATGTACATACTCAGTCCCCTACCCATTTACCCACCTGCATAAAAGAAGTTGCTTTGCTTGCTGAATACGTCAGTCCTCCCATCAGGTAGGTGATGCTATGTATGCAGTCCAACTATCAGACGCCGCTTTTTGTGGCGGCGAAGCAGGGGAGGGTTGGTTTTGTGGATGTGTCGGTGGAGAGTGAGCTTTGCGCCACGACCACGCAGATCCAGTCTAGCACCATGAGTATTGAGTATTGACACTGATCGTCTCAATTTCTCATTTATCCGAGCCAGGATGATAGCGACATCATTTGATGACAAGCTTTCATAAGGACTTTCCCCCAGGGAGATTGAGAGCGTCAGCATCTCAAGCTCCTTGTAAAATGGAGTATCTTATGCCTCCCAGTTGCGTTTCTTCGCAGTGAAGAAAAGCCTAGCGTCTCTGGTGCTGTTCATGGTGGAGAGTGTACGATAAGGCCCATTCTTCGATTCTTGGACTGCCTGGAGGTTCGACTGGCGTACATCAACGCAATATGCCTTTGTGCCTGTCTTCCACTCTGTTGATTGGCGAGAGAAGGTGTTGTTCCAGTCACCATAATCGATCCCTATAAGACTCTTTGGGTTTAAGAGTAACTTTTCAATGCAGGGGATGATAGGAGAGATTCGACGTTTGATGCCACAGCCTCCATGATTGAGGTCAACTTGATAGTCAGGGAATTCTTTCAAGGTCGATAGTATGGCAGTGATATCAGATAAATCAAAGAGGTCTGAGCTTCCTCGCCTTTCTTCGCCCTCACTCTCAGGGTTGAGGGTGAGGTCAGGATCCAACAAATTTGATCCAAGGAAGACGGTTTTGCTCCTCATAGCAAAGAAACGTATTAGTTGACCGACTTGGAAGATATCGCATTCGCTTCCGTTCGCAAGTCCTGCTCTGCACTGAAATTGTCGTTTCTGTGGTGTAGAAAATGGCATGACCATTGGCCTTTGCGCTGGTACAGAGACAGGGGGTTTAGGGTCAGTGTCCTCTAGCACGCCATATGCACGGAGGAAATGGGATTGTAAATCTGTGATTGTTGCCATGACACACTGCCGCCGGTAGTACAGCTCCTCTATAGCAATACCAAAGGTCAGCAATGTTTCATAGAATGCACAGAGGGTGATATTTCTCGATACCTTCAAGTTTACCAGGTAGATACTGCCATAGAAGGAAATCGCGCCTTGGATGGTGGGGTCCATTAAGCCAGTACTTCGAGCCAAGCAGAATGAGCGTATGAGTGAGGACTCTGGTGACTTCATGATCATTAAGATTCTTGGAGATCAAAATAATTTGTCGCAAACGATCTTCGTTCATCTTCAAAAGTGTAGTGCTAAAGGAACAAAACGAGGATCTCCCCTTCTTGCCATATTGGTAACCAACCGAACAAAGGACCGATTCAACAACATCCGGGGAATTGAACGAGTCAGCAACTTGGATAAGTTTTGCAATTACGGACGGCGACTCCAGTTGCAAAGCATCAGTGAAAAGCTTTCTGACAGAATCATCCATTGACTCCAAGCAGAGAATCTTCAAGAAAAGCCCGAGGGCATCTGCGCCATAAAGTCTAGTCGTCGCATTTGACGTGATTGCTATCACAGGCAATGTAACTGGAGCCGGAATATCCTTGAGGATGAGCGATGGATGTGAATCTGTGCTAGTTTTCATGGCCTCCAGTTGTTGTGCAAGCTTCGCCCCTTCGGAGAACTTGTTCAGATCTAGCATGACCCTAAAGTAGCTGCTTTTTTCGACGAGCATCTCAAGGGATACTTGCCAAAACACGCCACCGTCGGTTGAGGGTGAGTTCTCATACTCGATAATCAAATTACCATTGGGTGAAATGATTATCGGGGAAATTGCACTGCTCTCGGCAATCTCCAAGCCTGCAGGGATTACTCCAGACTCGTTCAGTCCATGATCAATAACCAGCGAAGATCTCCAGCGACCAGAGGCTTTTTGCGGAATTTGTGCGAACAAATCTGGAGATTTCGATGACATCGTTGGTTGTTAAGATCCCAGCCAAGATCTTCAGTCAAGAATAAGGTAGAATGACGATGCGTGCATTTGACAAAGAACCGAGGGTTCCATTGGGCGGGTGAATTTGTGCAAAAATGATAAAGTGAAATAAAGGAACGCGCTTAAGTGTCAAGCATGTTTCTGAATAGTCATTGCTGAAGCTCCGTGGTGTGTGCACGTGCTCACGATCGCCATGGTATTGACATCGGAATATAATTCCCCCGACACACCCTGCCTTTCTGTCTTTTGTCTGCCTTTTCATCCGTTTTGGAGACCTCAGACCTCCTTGTGGAGGCGGGCAAAAGAGTTGATTAGATGTTTTAAGTATATCCCAATAATCATTGCGGTCAATGGCTGTAGCTGGTCAAATCTTCAATATTGAAACCTTGATATATGTGCGGCCGCAAGCCCCACTATGCCAAGAGAACCTGGGAATATTTGGCTAGTAGCGGCCGCTTATCTCCGTAAGCTTACTATCTCCGCCGTGAATGTCATCAGGCAGAACAAAGCCGCGTTTTGATGACCAAAAATTCCACTCCATAATCCTATATAAGGCGGCCTTTTCCACATCTGACCAAATAGTTTATTTTCCACATATGCTTGGGCATACCTTGACACGCGGCTCACCATGCATATCATCCTTACAGGAGCAACGGGTCTTGTTGGATCCGCTGTTCTTCATGCCATGATTAAGAACGAGAGGATCAGCAAGATCTCAATCCTTAGTCGGCGGCCTGTCCCAATGACTCAAAAGTTTAGTGATGATCGAATCAATGTGGTTCTTGCCGAGGACTTTTCAAAATTCGATAACAAAGTGCTCGACCAATTGAATGGAGCAACTGGGTGCGTGTGGGCTATGGGAGTTAGCCAAAACGACGTGAACAAAGAGTAAGCTATTACATCAGTACACTAAGCTGGCATAAAGCTAATCCTCCAACAGAGACTACACAAAGATCACGAAAACCATGACTCTTTACGCAGCTAAAGCGTTTCAACCCCTTGCTCCTCCGTCTGAAAACTTCAATTTTGTCTATGTCTCAGGGGAAGGTGCAACCCATGATCCCGGGTTTACTACCCCAATTTTCGGCAGAGTGAAGGGAGAAACCGAAATTGCCCTTGCCAAGCTTCAAGAGCAATCGCCTCGTTTCCATGCTATTTCTGTCCGCCCGGCAATGGTTGACCCCAGCGCACATGATGAAATCAAACCGTGGATTCCACCACAAACTGGTCTCAAGTATGTAGCGTTCGCGGGGCTAGGGCCATTTGTGCGGTGCTTTTGGAAAGGGATGCACAGCCCGACAAGACCACTGGGAACCTTTTTGACGGGACTGGCTACCGGAGAGTTTGATGGGAAATTGACCGGCCAAGGGATTGATGTTGTTGGAAATTCTGCCATTATAAACAATGTCGGCTTTCGACGAATCATGGACTTAAATAAATCACAAAAATAGATAGGGCCTAATTAATGCGCGTCGGACTTTTCTTGATAACTTGGTCACGCTGATCATTTCTCTCCGTTTCGTGAGAAGCCAAGCTCCAAGGGAGCTTTTAATTTCCCGGACTCGGCGCCAGGTTGGGGGTCCCTGAATAGTGGTGGAAAGGCGTGAGTTCAAGAATGGGCCTCTGTCAGAGTCCACTGCGCAGGTGGCATTGAGGGACATCTGGATATGTATAAGACAATTGATTGTCTGCATATACGTGTACAAAAGTGCCAACTCCCAACATTGAGCATTTGACCAGCTTTCATATTCAATTATCAAGGTAAGACCTCAGGAACCTATATATATACTGTCTTCGAATCTGCCAGGTGAGTGGTACTGTTCACCTACATGCACTTTCCTATCTATATATATAATTCAAATGTTGCACTTACTTCAACTATACTACCAGACTCGTATACAGAAGTTCGACGATCAATGCTATGGACACACCACCACCCACCCGCCCACTCGCCGGAATGTGCTGCGTACATATGCACACCAGCAAAACGATGCATTTCATCTCTGCATAGAAGACAATAGGCCTCTCACTCCATCCCCTTGAAGATCCATGGATGGAAACGTCAATACAGCTAAATTTTGAATAGTACCGTTTCCAATGTGCCATTTCGACTTTTATGACCGGTTCATCAACTGCACAGTATTGGAAAGTGGCCGACGACTATACTCAAGTGCTGTGAACAAAATTTCGACATGGACATATGTGCAAGTTTTATCAAATACATCATGTCTGGTCTACCAAATTCTGGATAGCCTTGGTTATTTTGCTGATCAGCAACCGGATTGGATCAGATGAACGCCATCCAAGTCTTGAATGGCCGTTTCTTTAGTGGCAGGACCATCACTGCCCAACAGGTCGTGAACGCCGTTTACAGCAGTTTGTTTTCGCTCTCCAACGTGAGACGATGATGGCGAGAAGATAAGAGGGCCGGTGCTTTTGACGCGGTGAAACGTCATCTGCGGCTCTTGGCTTCACTCTGATGCCAATCCAATTTGTTCATTCATATGATTGTATGACATAATGTGTCTCTCTCGAAAAAGACCGACCTAGACTTGAAAACTTCGCCCATGGTTTCGAACCGGGTGGCTTGGATGGGAAAGGGGAATTAGTGAGTTTACTTGTACTGCGGCTGTTTAAATGTTGGTACTACAATTGGACAGAAATACAGGAAATATTGAAAGATAAAATTATCTAGGGAAGCAGTGCATTCTTGTCATTCTAAGTAATCTTCGCATGAAAGACGAACTTTTCCCTCCTCAATCCTAGAAATGCTACTATTCAAATCCTTTTTTATCAATCACCGTCAGTAAGGAAATATCAAGTACAGAAACAGTTAATTCAGCAAACAGGATCTGGCCAAGTATATCCCAGATCGAAGTCCAGGTTCGACCCACTCGGGAAGAATGAGCCTGTAATCTGACCGGTTGCAGGATCATAAGGGAAGTAATTATCGTAGGGACTCCGACCAGAGATTGATTTCTCTGGCTTGATGAATTCCATAAGATCCGGCTCAAGGTTACAGGACACAGGCATGGCAAGTGGAGTGTTTGCCTGATCTATTGGGGAACATGCAAGGGAGTCCATCTCCGCAGCGATCTCCGCAGCAGCTAAAACAGGATCAGTTGGCAGAGTCACAGACGGGTCGAATGCGATGTCCTCGACCGTTTGATCCACCGCAAGAGCAGCAGCGTCCATGAGATCACTTGCATCGAGAAGAGAGGCAGCGGATGACTCCTCATTATCACTTCCTGAGAAGTCATCCACATCAATTCCGACATGGGGCACCAGTCGAAGTAGGAATCCATTGCAGAGCTTCCAGGCCCGCTCGGACGCCAGGTTCGATTTGGATAAAGTCGACAGCCAATCCAGGGCCTTTTTGGCTGCCTTTGATACCATGATTGCTTTTTCGGGGACATGTTGAGCCCGGTAAGCAAGTTCCAGTAGTAAGACGGTAGCTGATTGCATCAAATAGTGAAGTGTGCACCACCATGGAGAGATGCGGTGGAGGAGTGCTGCGTCAGGGGGGTCCGGGAACAGTGTAAGCATGTGGCATGCGGATTCGACACACTCAGCAGCTGTTTTGCTGCAAAACTCGTGGGTTTTATCGCCCTCGGCTGGCGATGGGTCGAGTCGACAAAGGCAAGGACGGGTAATACCAATCTTAGTACTGTAGAATAGAAAGGCGAGGCCCATTCGTTGACCAAGAGGGCACTGTGATGTCTGAGTAGAGGTAAAATCGTAAGCCGAAGGGAGGTTCATAAACCAGGAATCAAGTTCGAGCATGAGACTCTGAATTGTGAATTGGGTGCTGGCCCATGGTGACTGCAGCGCCTCGGGGCTGTAAAGCTTCATCGTCATCCTCTTGGCTATGGTGTTGAGGGATGTCAACTGCAAGAAATGCAGCGACACACACGGCGGTAGGCTCTTGAGATAATCTGCTCGGCTCATCTTTGTGTTCGTCTCCATGTGTGTCTCGTTTTTGTATCTGTCGGCGGTGGACTCCAGGCTGGCCGCACTATGACTGGCAGACATCCGGTCTAGAGGGCTTAAGGTAGCCCGTCCGGCGGTGCTGATCATTTGTGCGACCTTATCTCTCTGGAATTCACTTTCGTCAAAGGGCACAGGAAGAGGCGTTGTACAGCAGTTATCGATGATGCATGACGGGCGTCCAGTCATAACGGAAAGAAGATGATCAACATTGTACAGAGACCACCAGACGCGATATCGGATCTCCTTGGATGTATCAGAGGTGCAGGACCCAACGTTACGTAAATGTAGACCAAGTGCCAATGCACCTCGAACAGCGCTTCCGCACAGTTTCCACGCCCTAATATAACTGTCAGTATGAGCCTTGAATCATTTTCGATGAGGGATATAATACCTATTAATATGCCCGGATGACATCATGAACAAGCAAGCAAGACCTTCAACCTGTAACTGCTGTAAATCGGGGTGGTGCAGGAGCTGATTTTCCAAGCTCAGAGCTCTCGCCCTTGCAAAATACAGATCATGGGCATCATCCCCTTCCTTCCACTCTGCATCAGTCAATTGTCCGTATTTTGCCGCAGCAGCAAAGATTAGATTGAGGATAGCTAGCCACTTATCTCCGGGCTTTAACGTTGGTTGACTGAAAAATACCCGAAACTGGGAGACAAAGGTAGAAACACCAATGATTGGGAAAGACGGATGCACCGAGGTAAGATAAGCATTAAGAAGCTGGGTTGCTGTCTCTCGTGAAGGGACGGCATGGGCGTCAACTTGGCTTTTGCCGGGAATATCCATGTCATCGAGGTAGAAGTTTGCAGACGCCATTAGAGGATCGACGGGATTATCCGGTCGAGGCGTCAAAGTTGGCGATGGTAAGCCATTGTCGTCGCCCGAATTAGACATACTTGCAGACCAAGCCTCGCATTCGTTGTTGACCTCTTTGCTAAGCTTCTGGAGCCAGTTTATCTCGGAGCTCTTGCCAATGAATCCGGTGGCACGGGCGGTCTCATCTCTATTAAAGTCTTCCTCTGTATGATCGACTTGGTCCAAAGGGGTGGTGGACGAGGAACGAGATGGTGGAGGCTCCGAGTCCCAAAAGACATTTTGCTCTCCGGCTTCATTTCCATCACCGTTAAGCGTAATATCAGGAGCAGCGCCCTATCATTTGTTAGATAAGAGGACATGTTATTGTAATACGGTACGTACCGCTGTCAATGCAATATTAACAAGCTGTTCATCAGAGACACCAAGTCGACTGCTAAGTCTTTTGATGACGTCCTCGTAAGCATGTACTTTTGCTGATAAGCTAGCGAGCTGCCTGTACATGAGGTAGTTGAGTCAGCTACGTCTTTAAAAAGACATCGTATATTTTGCTGACCTCTTGGACTTCTCTCGTTTGCCATCTGTATAACAGCAGATAATGCCGGCTTCGCGACAATTGCGGCACCCGGATTTATCTCCAGTACATTTAGTCTTTCTCTGTCGACATGACTCGCACGCTCGACGGACATGTCGACGGTGGAATCTACCAGGCGAGGTAAATGCCGACTCTGTGCCTTCAGCAAGCCGTGGAATGGCCATTTTCTTTGCGGCCACTTCAGAGTCTGCCCTTTGCAAAGAAGACATGGGAGTATCCTGGAGAGTCGAGTCAAATTATGTTGTTATCTTCGTCTATAAGAGTTTGCATACCATGCTAGAAAACTGGTTGCACGTTTCCGCATCCGCACATGACAACTTGAATAGGCTCTGCTGTTCCGTCCATGATGGAAGGTAAATGCTACTCATCATAAAGAACAGAGATTATTCTTCGCTGATGTCTTCTCTAATCTATCTTAAGAGGGTCGTTAGTAGGATAGATTGTGATGTGAATAGCTTCATTGAATCAATGGACTCACCTTAGGTGTGCAATGGCAAATCCGACACCGCAAGTATGAGATTAGCAATGAGGCAAGAAGCGGGAGAATCTGGGATTATAAAGCCATTGGAAGATCCACCCTACTAAAAAATGGAACATTGCTCGCTGGGAATGAACTAGTTTGGGTCTGGCTACATAAATGATCCAAACTCGGTACACTTGATCTTCTAGCAATGACACGGCTTCTCGGGAGCGTCTTGGCTAGTCAGCCAGTTTAGCCACCAAGCAGTGTAAACAAGGTGTCTACAGCGTCAATTCGCCTTTGGAACCAATGAAAATTGAGGCGAATTTGAGGTCTTTTCGCGACCTCGATCACGCGATTTGCCATCTACAGCAAAAGAACAGTGGTGTTGCATCGAAGCTCCAAGCTTTTGATCTGATTATGCCCGCATATTGGCCAGACCATGGAAGTGCAGCCCCAGTATTTATCCACTGGTTGCGGTACCTGTATATCGGTATTTCAAACCGACAGGCTCCAAAACCCGATAGCTTATTGTCGGGGAAGGGACGATCGACAGCCGTCAGGAAAACTTTGTACAAAGACCGAAGCATGGAATATTGCGAGTGTGCTTTCCTTTAAGACGTTGTTGTGATCGATATTCATCAGGAGGGTCTTTCCAGTTAGGGAAATGGCTCGCTTTTCCTTGAAAGTAGCTGCTATGGCCTAGACCCAGGAGCAAAGTCAATCTGACGTTACTGGGTGGTGGCGTCGAAGCTTGTTTATGTCCCTGGTTGAAGTTTGGCCTCTTCTGTCTTGATTCGATGGCGGTTGTGAGAACCCACGGATAGATGGAGAGGTACTGGAAGCTTGTTGACTCAGTGATGGGAAGGGGTATCCCGATCGAGAAACGTTCTATCGATTTTGGAAACCCAGAGGATCCGATAATTGATAATATTGACGTCGTGGATTACACTCAAATGATCGGATTGGGCATCACTGCGCATAAGTGATTAAGTTACGGAAGAATGCATCAATATGAAGACTGTCAAGGTCGAAGTTCGTTTAAATGTGTCAATTTTGTGTAGGAATAAGACACAGCCTTGCAAGGCAAAGGTCTCGGGAAACAATAAAACGGGCTTTGAACACGATCTTAGAAGCAAAAATGTCAACAGTCATTAGTATCCGACTCTATACAATTCCCCAGAATCATACAATCACGAATTTCTCGGCAACACTGCGGACGTCCTTGGAGAATCCGGTACTCTCACCCTCCATCTCCAGTAGCGACACATCAGTGACATCAACATCCACGAATGGCTGACTCTTTGTGAAGCGAACGCTCATTGGGAAGAACTGATCCTCATCGCCGTCGGTAGTCTCAAACTCGAAGCTGCCAGTAGGGTTCGATTCATCAACAGCACCGAGGTTCCAGTCAATGCTGTCACCCGAGACCTCGTATACCGCATCAAAGCTAGCAATCGCGGGCTCTGAATCCTCGTAAGGAATAGTGACAACAACATCGCGCAGGCTATCGCTGCCGGTAAGCTCGTACTCCACAGTCACAGTGGTCGAGTCGGAGCCCTTGTTGACCCACACGGTGAATGTGATGGGGAGAACATCGGTGTTATCAGCCGAGCTGGCCACGCGCCACCGCAAAACACCAATCGCGTTGTTTGTGGGGAACCGCTTCGAGGTGTCCTTGAGTTGAATTATGGAGGAGCTGGTGAAGAGGGCCTTGTCCACGTTGGGGTGAGTTCGGAACTGGGCGCCATGGGTAGGATTGGCCTGTAGATCAAGACGCAGTTTTGTGAAAGCCGGGTCCGAGATGCGAAGTTGAAGATCTCCCTTGACTTCGAATTCCTTCAGGGCACCGTCGCGTGTAAGAGTTGCGGAAATGGTCTCGGCAATAGTCATATGGATGGGCTCCCGGTCCGCCGTGAGAGATTCACGCGCCGAAACGGGTTCTTGCACTGGAGTGGACACCTGTGGTGTCACCAGAGGGCTGTCCTCCTCGGGCTCGGGACCCAAATCGCCTCGGACCTTTTCGTAGATATCGGTTGCCTTGGACTTCTTACCAAGTTGCATACCCTTGCCACGGGTTGGGAGGGGCCTGAATATTCAAATCGTTAGATGCGTGCTCAAAAGAGTCTTCCCACACAGGGGTGCAACATACTTTGCGAAAGTCTTCTTCTTCTCCGCCTCATAAGAATCATATGTATCCGGCACTGATGGGCGGGAGGGGGGTGTGTAGACGGGGTAAGAAGGAGCCCGCGGGGCTGCGCCACGGCCTGTACGAGCAGCTTCCTTGCGCTGCATCTCCAATTGCTTCGCCTTACGCTTCCGCTCCTCGCTGGCCTCCAATTCCTTGTTCTATTCGCCGGTGTCAGTCTGTAATCGGCCACGCGTCATTATCCAAACATACCCGCTCAATAATCTCTTGGATTCTCTCTTCGTGACTCTCCATCTCCAGGAAGGTCTTGATCTGAGACAAAGACAGATTTTCCCGGTAACCCAGTGTCACCAACTCATCGAATGCGCTCAACAACTCAAAGGCATTGCGCACGATCTCGCGCTCGTCTAGGCTCTTGCAAATGCTGGTGGTAACCTGGGCAAACAGGTGCAGGCTGTCTATATCCTGGAGAATATTGGATTGGCGGTTGGTGATCAAGATGATGTACAGCTCATCCAATGGCTGGTAGACGAAGCGCACGTTGTCTTGCTCGACAGTGGTGTGTTGGGTTCCCGAGTCTGCCAGCTTAGGGAACGAAGCCAAAAGTGCCTCAATCCGCGACCGGGGGATTTCGCGGAACTGCCGTGAGAGGACTGCTTTGCCTCCACGAGTGCATATCGACGCTGCGAGAACGACCTGTTGAGAGAGTAGAATGGGTCAGTCCAGGTCATTGCGGGGAGGGCTTGAACGGGCAGAAAGGGGGATTGGTTATAGTCTACCATGGTGTAATTGTAGACAGCACTCGCTGTAAGACGAAGAAATTGGAAATGTGAATATTAGGTGGTGGTGCTCAGAGTAATTCAAAATTCACGATGCCCCTGTTTGGTGTTTAGTTAGATCATTGGGCAAGGCCGCAAGCTAATCTGTTCTCTTTCATGGATTGGTCCGTGCTCACCGCTTCCCCCCTTCGCTTAGTCTAACAGTGAGCAACTTCTTTTCTCTTTTCTTATGTTCAAATTATCTTCACGTTCGACTACTTATCTTCTGCGTTTCAGTTCCTCGTGACACTTCGTAATATGAAACCAAGTTGCTAACTTGAATTTTCGGAATCTTCCATTATTTCCATTTTCCCCCTCTCATGACCTTCACACTCTAAAATACCATCCCCCCAATCTCGCGTCACGTACCGCTACCTCGCCTTTCGACGCGTTCTGTTATGACAGCAACATCTTCCTTACTTCCTTCCGGCATGGAGATTCCTGCCGAGGATCTTGAAATGGCTTCGCCCTATCAAGGTCAAGCTGATGATTTCGATATCGATATCGACCTGATGGAGGATCAAGTATCCAACATGGACAGCGACATGATGGGAGCGGACGATTTCCCCAATACTTCCCAGCCATCTCTCTTCCAGAACGATGTGGCAGATGATGCCGATATGGTGGACGAAGCCTCCGAAGGCTCTATGGTCGATGCAGACAATCTGCCCGATGAAGACCACGACATCGATGTTCAGTATGACGACGTAACCTATGAAGCCGAAATGCTGGAAGGTGACCACAATGAAACTGCCGATGTCGATGTGCCCACCATCAATGTTGAGACCACTCAAACTATTGAGAATAACGATCCGAGTCAGATTGCTCCGGAAACAGCCACCGAGCCCAACACCGAAGGCCAGGAAATTCAGAGTCTACCCCCAGTGACCCTCCCCGCAGAGACGGATCAGCAGGAGACTGTCATTCAAGAACCACAAGTTTTGCAAGAAACAGTTCCTGTTGAAAAAGATGAAAAAGTTCAGAATGAACCTGTCCAGGCAGTTGAGAGTGCTGAACCTATTGCCGACAACGACAACAGCGAAGTCGGTGAACGGACTAATGAAACTGCAGAGAGTAACATCCCTGGCCCTGAGGTGCAGCACACTCCCGACCACTCGGTTGAGAATCTGGAAAATCCCAAGGCCGCTGCTCCTAATGCAGACCCTACTGCTGTTGAACACGAGGAGATTCATGTTTCTCGCGAAACAGAACATGAGAATACCCACGAGGAAGAGTCTCTTCACACTGTCAAGGTTATCTATCAGGATAACGAGATCTCCTTGTTCCCACCCCTAGAAGGTGACTCGGCCGAAACATTCTTCCTTCATGATGAAGATGTGGCCTATGACAACGTCAGTAGATTGTTCAGCTCCCTGCGTGACGTACTTCTGGATAATATCGCCGAACACGACACTCTTGTTATTGATATTGATTCCCTTGGTATTCAATTAACAGAGGTAAGTTTCTCACCTCATCGTGAAATCAAGATTGGACACGGAATGCTAATTCAAACACATCATACAGGACTCTTCGGATACATCCAGAATCACTTTACACCAGATCCTAGATATTTATCTTCGTCTCTGCCATAATGATGGGATCTATGACCCAGACGCTCTCTATCTGAGCCTTTCTAGCAAACCAGCTGTTCATCATGAACTGGCTAGTCTTGATTCCGCCGCCAAGGAAGGCAAAGGTCTATCTCAGATTCACCTGTGGGCTGATTATGATGAAGAAGACCCCGTCGTAGAAGACGCTCATGGCACTCATGAACAGTCTGACGATGGACTGCAACGGGATTCTCAGGGTAATCAGCCCGGCGACGGGGCCGTCGCCTCCCAAAAAACAGATTTGTCTGATGAGGGAACGCATGAGTCTGATGAAAGCAATGATATGGAAAACGTAGCAGACGAAGCTCATCAAGGGCTCGATTCCAGTGACGCTGGTATCAAAACAAATACCGAATCTCGCTCCACGGAGGCTCAACACGAGCAAGAGACAAACCAGAGGAACGATGAACACCAGGACAAACTTCACGGTAACGAAAGTCACACTGAAGAACCCGATCTTGGCGAGAGACCAACAACGGAGTCAGCTGGCTCAGCGGTCCTTTCCGAACCAGCTGTGGCAATTGATCAGCCTGAGGATGCATCCGTAGAGGCCACTCACGACGGTCATGAAGCTTTGGAGCATCATGAAGCCAATGAAAACAACCAACGCCCTGGTAATGAAGACCTTGATGATGACGAGTTCTCTGGCGCCGATGACCTTGAAGTCGCTGATCTTGCTGTTCCCGCTGAGCAAGTCGATGAACAAGGGCATGAGGATGGTACTCACAGCGTTGATTCGACATTCCAACATGATGGTGAGCCCACGAGTGGCCTGGAAGCTGTTAATCATTATGATCACGTCTCCGAAGAAGCTCCGGAGTATAATACGGACCCCAATGCCTATGAGGAGTCGGAGTCCACATTAGAGAACCTGCCCCGGGAAGATGCCGAACGAACCCCAGAGCCCGAGGATCACCTCCTTGAGATTGCTGAAGACGTACTGCAAACTCCTGCCAAGGAGAAAAAGGACGACGGCAATGCTCATAGTGTGGATAGCGTGGACCAAGAGTACCTTGACGATTTTGCCGCGACTTCTTTTGCACATGGTGATGATGATGAGGACTACAACTATGACTACGAATTTGTTCCGGAGGAGGAAACTGAGTTGGGTGGAAGAGATCCCTCTACTGACTTCCATGCTCCCGACAATCTCTCCGTGAAACGGTCCCGTGATGAGGATGATGAGTGGGATATCACGGAAGCCACTACACCCGAACTCAAACGTCGACGACCTTCGTAAACGACCCCCTTTTGCTTTCCACGGCGTCCTCGACCTCCAAGTCTTTTTCTTGGTTGGCAAGCCTAGTCCAGATTTCTCTGGATGCCCTTACGCCATGGTTCCCAACAGTTACGCCCTAATTTACTAACTCTGATAACATTCAGCAACGGTGACGACCCGTGGGCTTACTTCTAATAATCACAGCTAACAACCAGGTACGTTCAATACTTCCCGATATCCCCCTTCTCTCGGCCTGCGGGTCCCCTTTCCTCCCGCCCCATTCCACCAGCGGCGTTTGAGGTGGTTTGCAACGCCCTGCCTTGCCCGTGTGATCTATTCTTCTCCTGTCAGGCCATCGACTTTTTTTGTGTTTTTTCCCCTTGCGTGATACCACTTCCTATCAAAAAGTTGAGCTTGGCGTTCATTGGGGTTTCGAATGGGCGTGTTTTGCAATATGCACATTACATATTTATGGCGTACGCATGCAATAGGGTCCACCTATCTTTACATAGGTAGCGCTGTTGCCAATGAACTAAACTTATTCTTCAATTTCCCTAGGTCATCAGATGGCATTCCATAGCATGGATCCTATGTATCGAGTCCTATGTAGTTTCAATGCCTGGCTATCTGGGTCCAAAGGTCTAGAATGTCGTTATGGACGATTGATGAAATCAAATTTGGGGAAATTAGTATAACTCATTTCCCGAGTGGATCTATGGCTAAGTATAGACGGCTGAAAGCGGTGGTGTGAGATCTTGAAACGAGACTGATCGACGCCATTCATTACCAAGACCAATGGAACAAATCAGGGTCCAAGTTATGCCATGCAACAAACCCCCTACCAGATGTCTTAGCCCTGTACAGAAACTTTATGAAAAGAATTATAGCGAATCAAATAATTATATTGACTCTCAAAAAATCCAGGCAAAAGAAAAGCTTTCAGTTAGTCAAATTTCTAGCATAACACTAGCCCAAGTACCATCAACTCAGCCGTTCTCTTACGCGTCCCGGATCGGCCAATCTCGAAACGGAACCCCACCGCACGCAGGCACCAATCTTGCCTTTCACCACCTGGCACCCGCAATCTTCATCCCCTTACTCATCAACTCCTGCAGAAATCTCGGGCTGGCTCGTCGTTTCTACACCCCGGTCGCTTCCTGATTCATATATCCTCTCTTCGTTTAACGATTCGCTCCTTCCCGCCCCCAAAACCCATAGCTGGCACTGGAGGCCTTTCGACAGTAGGAGCATCGGCTCCTAAGAGATAATTACCGTCAACATGCTTCCAGACAAGTATGTGCGCATGCGCTTCCCTTCTACTCTCCAATGTGTTGAGCACAAAGTGTCCAGAAGTTAACAATGCGCGCGAAATAGATATGTTGGGCTAATACTAGCCATCGCATCAACAATGGCCATCGGTACGGCATTATCTATCTGGGGCGTCTTGAAAGACCCAACTAATGCAATGCATCATTAGGCACAAGTTTCGTTATCACCAAAAGAGTTCGTCCAACCTCAGAAATCGCCAACCGAAGACCTCAGACCGCAGACCTACCTCGGTTGGAGCAACGGGCGGCCACGCATTTCGTAGACAGACACTAATGCGCCTGGTTTAGGGATTGATGCAAGCGTCCGAACAACATGGCTTTGAGGGCGAAGGGTTTTCATACTTGAAGAGTCCCATTTGGTGGGGAGGTGTCGTCACACGTACGGGAATCATCAACATCCGATTTTGAGAGGAATCGCTAACATAAAACCAAAACAGTCGCCCTTGGAGAGATCGCCAATTTCGCCGCTTATGCCTTTGCGCCCGCGATTCTGGTGACACCGCTTGGAGCGCTGAGTGTTCTGATCGGGTATGGAATACGCTCCGTGTGGCTGGGACCCTGCTGACAATGCTTCAAGCGCCGTTCTGGGCTCATATTTCCTTGATGAAAGGTTAGGGAAGCTTGGAAAGCTGGGCTGCGCCATGTGTCTTTTGGGCTCAGTCGTAATTGTCCTCCATGCGCCCCCTGATAAACCGGTCGAACGCATTGACGAGATGCTCGCATATGCTGTCAAAGCACGTATGTTTGCGACCTGGGCTCTGTTTTTGAAGGTACATTGCTAACTCTTACGCTCAGCTTTCCTTATCTACTGCTTGGCAGTTGCGATCTTCTCGACGGTTATGATCTATCGAGTCGCCCCAGTTTACGGAAAGAAAAACCCCCTCATCTACATCTCGATCTGTTCCACTGTCGGCTCGGTCTCCGTGATGTCGATGAAGGCCTTTGGTATTGCGGTAAAATTGACATTCGGTGGTAACAACCAATTCGGAAACGCATCTACCTATGTTTTCGCCATTGTTACCGGTTTCTGTATTCTCACCCAGTTGAACTACTTCAACAAGGCATTGAACTCATTCTCGACCTCAATGTAAGCCAACGTTCCCACAAGACTGATTTCCGCGCTAATGTTTCTTGTCATTCAGTGTGAACCCCCTCTACTATGTCACCTTTACGACCTTCACGCTCTGCGCCTCTTTTATCCTTTTCCAGGGATTCAATACTACGGATGCAGTCAACACCATTTCCTTGTTATGCGGCTTCCTGATCATCTTTACCGGTGTATACCTCCTCAACCTGTCACGCCACGATCCTGACGGACATGCCCTGGTCAATGCCAAGCTTGACGACGAGGGAGTCCCGACCGACGGCATCGCAAGCTTCCAAACTCGACGCTCCATGCAATCCCGCCGCAGCACCGATCCGCATCGTCGGAGTTCCTCCAGCATTTTCCTCAACGGTCACGGTGATCGCGAAGGGCTTATCCACTCGTACGATATCGAGAACAACTCTGGCATTGGTTTGGACGATCTGGCAGAAGATGACGGCGAACCAGGCCCAACCTTCTCGGTTGATGACCATCGTACGTTAAGGCATACAAAGCGAAATAGCCAGGTCTGATGGCCTTCGGAGTGATTTGAAGCCAGCGCTCCCCCTTCCTTCACGAAATTACTGCCTCCACGCTCTACAATCTCGTTCCATTTCCCACCATCTTCGAGCCCTTTTCTGGCTTCTGCACTTCTTTCCTCATCGAAGCCCTTGTATTTTTATTGTTTCCTCCAAAATGCCCGAGTGCAGAGATTGACGTTTAGAAAATCTCATGTCAGGCACTGGACATGCTATGAATGATTGGATATGACTCTGGTTTCTCTGAATCGCTGGTTTTGTTTCTCTTTTCCTTTTTGTTCTTCCCTTTTCCTTGTGAGATCGGGGGAAGGGTTATGTATATACGGAGTGTTTTTGAAAGAATTCCACATCACAAATAGATTGGCATATCCCAGAAGTGGGGCTCCCGCTCCGATGATGTAGCTTGCAGGTCAGCTGTTAATGGAAGTTTCACTTCCGACTCCCAAGCCGGTTGATCGCCGGTTCTAACCTTTCGTTTCTTTGATTCGTCCCCCTCCTGTCCTTTTCCCCAAGAACCGAAAGATATCGATTCCCGAGGCGACATCCTCGCCATGCCGGGTTTGTTGCGGAAACTCGTCATCGTCGCCGCAGTCGACGGACTGATTCTGCACGGACATGGCGTAAATGGGCCCCGCCATAACAATGGCAGCAATAATGAGGCCTCGTCAATCCGCATCGACTATAGAACGAATAAGATCACAGCCCTGCCTGCTTCCACAGAGGAGTCACTAGAGGGTCGCGAGTATTTGGAAGCCTACGGACTCGTCGGTATATTTGAACTGAGAAGCCTCGGGGCTATAGCTCCAGATTTGTATCACTTGGCATTAACACCCTTCAGGTCTTCTGTCCGTCGCATCATACTCGTTTCTTGTCTCCATTACTCAGCGTCAACAAGTCGCGCAGATCCAAGGCCGTCCCGTCTACGCCGTGACCAATGTTGCGATCATCCCCATCTCCTCGCAAGCAGATGCTACCCACGCAATTACACAGGCGCGCAAAGAAGTGTCACGCGGTGATGCCGACCTAGACTCTGACTCCGATGATGATATCCCAGAGCAGGTTGCGGATGGCGCGGAACCTGAAATCGGTAGCGCGCCGACCTCGCCCAGTCGGCAGGCAGCTTTCCATACCCGCGGTGCGAGCGTCAGCAGCATTGCAGAAGATGTGATTGGAAAACGCGTTCCATTCGGTCGCTTCGCGGCGAATTGGCTCTCACGAAAGCCTCTGGGATTGCCCAGGCCTGGAGCGCTGGGGCAGGATGTACCCGAGTCGCCTTTTGATGATACCCCCGGGCTAGCGAGTACGGATGCTGACTTAGAGGAAGCTGCGGAAGCGGCTTTGCCTGAAGATCAGAAAGATGGCTTGAATCCTGAGGATAAGGATAATCGTCCTCGCTCGGATCAGGCGGCAGAGCTGTTGCCGAAGCTGCTGAAATACACGAAGCTGCTTTTTGCGTCGCATAATTTCTTTTTTGCATATAACTATGATCTGACAAGGCCGTTTGATGCTCAGGAAGCACGCACAGAGCATCTTCCTCTGCATAAAGCTGTGGATCCATTGGTGGGTACTGTCCTTGCCTTATTCTTGGTATCTGCTAACGCGGCTCTAGTACTTCTGGAACAAACATCTAATGTTTACATTCATTGAAAATGGCGCCCATGGTTTCGTGATGCCACTTTTACAGGGATTTGTTGGCCAGCGAGAATTCACAGTGGCCAGTCCGGAGAAAAAGCCAACATTCGAGTCCGCAGATGAGAAGCCGGTCGAGGCAAAGATTCTAGGCGAGAGTCAAGAGGCAGCATCTGTGGAAACGGAAGTTCCTAAGCGCAACTTTTTGCTGACCCTTATTTCGCGCCGGTCTGTTAATAGACCTGGTCTGCGTTATCTTCGCCGCGGTGTGGATGATGAAGGGAATACAGCCAACACTGTCGAGACGGAGCAGATTCTCTCAGGCCCGGAGTGGAGCCCATCCGACAATGTCTACTCCTATTTGCAAGTGCGAGGATCTATTCCCTTGTACTTTTCTCAATCTCCATACGCCTTCAAGCCCGTTCCAGTGCTGCATCACTCTGCTGAAACGAACCAGCTTGCATTTGGAAGGCATATAAGAGATCTGAGCCGGAGATACGGCAAGATCCAGGCTGTCTCCTTGATTGACAAGCATGCGGGAGAGTTGAAACTTGGTGAACAGTATGAGAGATACGCCGATGTCTTTAATAAGGCTGGTGGGTTTGATGGGTCGCTAATGCGGTTGGAGTGGTTTGATTTCCACAACGAATGCCGTGGAATGAAGTTTGAGAATGTTTCTCGTCTAGTTGATCGGGTGAAGGACACTTTGGACGAGTTCGGTTACACTAGCGTCAAAGATGGCGTATCGACACTCAAGCAGAGTGGTATTGTGCGTACCAACTGTATGGATTGTCTTGACCGTACTGGGGTGGCTCAGTGCGCGTTTGGGCAGTGGGCTTTGGAGCGTCAGCTTCAGAATGAGGGTATCGCGATTGACTTGGGTGGTGACTCGTCTACTCAGTGGTTCAATACTCTCTGGGCAGACAACGGCGATGCAATCTCCAAACAGTATTCGTCCACTGCCGCTCTGAAGGGCGACTATACCCGCACGCGAAAGCGAGACTATCGAGGCGCTCTCAATGACTTTGGTCTCACTCTCTCGCGCTACTATAACAACATTGTCAATGATTACTTCTCGCAGGCTTGTATTGACTACCTGCTGGGTAATGTCACCCCGCATGTCTTCGACGAGTTCTCCGTTGAACTGCAGACCACCGACCCAGGCATTTCGGTTCAAAAGATCCGTCAGAATGCAATCGACACCAGCTGCAAGATCGTCATCAGCAGTCCTTCCGAGGAGTTCCTAGGAGGGTGGACTATGTTGACCCCCCGTCAACCCAATACGCTGCGGACTCTCCCCTTCGAGGAGTCCGTCCTTCTCCTGACAGATGCGGCAGTTTACAGCTGCCGTTTTGACTGGGAAACCGACAAAGTCCTCTCCTTTGAACGGATCGACCTACGCTCTATTTCCCGCATCCATTACGGAACATACGTCACCTCCATCCTGACAGAAAGTCAGTCCAACGAACGCACCAACGTAGGTCTTGTCATTGTCTACCGCGACGGTGACGAGAACCTCCTACGTGTCAACACCCGCTCCTTGCAAAGCAACGTCCGACCCGCTGCTCTCGAGGCCTCCACTGGTTCCACCGGAGAATGGGATCTAGTCTCCTGGCTACGTGGCACCAAGCGCGCAACTACACGATTTGTCGCATTCAAATCTCTTCCCCTAACGAATGCAGGGACTAGTCCTCGCCTCGGGCCCACGACGGGTAATGTTCGCGAGCTTGATCGAGTTCGCTCTATTTGTCTAGAAATCGAACGTGCGATGCTCGCTGGTGATGGACAGAACACCGATGCAGCATCTGTGGTTGAGAAGTCTGATATCATTTCTTTGGCTGATGCGAAGAAACGTACTGGAATCTTGGAGTATTTGGTCTATGATATCAAGAAGATGGTTTGGGCGTGAGCGAGCGGCATTTGGGTATTCTGTATAAAGAAAGTGACTACATGTAGAATGTATCGAATACACGTCGTATCTCTGCCACTTGTTGGTGTAGTACTTGTTCAATGTTCCATTTTCGTGCTCAGCCCTTGCTCTATTTTGCTTATTTGTTTCTTTCTACTGGAGGCTTTCGGCCGCGCATTTCGCGCGGGGCCTGGAACAAACATGTTTTTTCTACTATACCTCTTCGTTACCATTTACATACCTTGTCTCCTGCCATATCTTCTGCATTTTTACCTCTGGTGGATCCTATAGATAAACACGTTACTGTATCTGGGCACTGAGCGCGCCCAATCACGTGGCATATGGGATATTTAGTGGTCTCCAAGCCTACTAGGTGCATACTAGTGACCGTAATTGGTAATTCTTATTTGATTTGTGACCTCCACAGATGTAGCCATTATGTTCACGTGCGTCGTGCCTCCTGCGCTTAGAAATACGGTGTTGAACAACGTACAAATAATATAAGCGTGGACGAAATTTACAATATATTTCTGTTCTATCTTCAAGATGTAGAACGAGAGTACCACGTGGCTTTAGATTCGATTGAACACTTGATGCTGATCTGCTTCAACCAGTTGACGTTAGCAAAATGGAAGGTTTAGACTTAGTTACCGCCTTTCTTTATTTGTCTGTTCGCCCCAGTTTTCCAACTTCGATTTCTTGGCGACGTCCGAGTCATTTACTCTTTTTTTTGTTCTTATCGAAACCGTTATCTTCGTCTTATTTTCTCTCTCTTTTACTCTAACTTCTTCGGTATAATAACTGGTTTGCCTGGTGCAGATCAGGAAGCGTTTGTTCCTTTGATCTGGGGAACCAACGAAGAAAGGGGAGCCGTTCCCACTTTCTTGGCGGGGCTCTTTGTGCCACACGCACTTTTGTTCCTACGGTCGCAAGCCAAGTCGACTTTAGCACCGCTTCAACATGGATTGGCAACCTCAGGATGAGCCATTGAGGCAGCTGGCTTGCTGCCTTAGAGACTCCCTCAATGGCCAGAACGCCGCGCTCCGGAAACAAGCCGAAGTGGTATGTCTATAACAATTTTTTTTTGCTCTGCACTTCCCCTCCCCCCTCTTTGCCAGGAACCAAGACACAAGAAAGCGCACTCAGGAACTTGAAATGGAGATTAATATGATATGGCGTTTCTATAGATGCTTGCTTCCGCAACTACATCCCCGGATTATGTCAATTACATCACCTACATTTTCTCGACGCCGCAGGCCCCTCCGGCTGTTGGCATGGACGATGCTACCTATAGTCTTGTTCGCTTTTCTGCCGCTCTGAACATCAAGACGAAGCTTTTCATGGGATATCACACAATCAGTCAGCAAAGCCTACACTTTATCCGATCCGCCGCTCTGCTCGCTCTAAGAGACACCAACCCACAAGTCCAGGGAGGTGCCGGCACTATTATTACGGAGTTGGTACAGAGGGGTGGCCTGCTCTCTTGGCCGGAGGTGCTGCAGGAGCTTCTGGCCTTGGTTGGTAATACTTCGGGGGATGTGTCGATCCCAGCCCAGGAGTCTGCAATGGCTGCGCTGCACAAGGTGTGCGAGGATAACCGCAAGATCCTGGACCGCGACTACCAAGGTCAACGTCCGCTCAATGTGATAATTCCCAAGCTGTTGGAGTTTACTACCCGGGAGAGCGCGCGGATCCGCTCCCTCGCCCTGCGAAGTATCCACATCTTCCTCCCCCATCGACCTCAGGCCCTAATGGGCTCGTTGGATCTTTTCCTGTCCCAACTCTTCACCCTGGCGGGCGATCAAGACACCGAGGTGCGGAGAATGGTCTGCAACTCATTTTCCCAGCTTGTAGAGTTCGCCCCCGAGAAGCTCATCCCTCACTTGGAGGGTCTGGTCAGCTATATCCTCATCCAGCAGCAGAACGGAGAGGACCCCGAGCTTGCTCTGGATGCAGCGGAATTCTGGATCGTCTCTGGCGAGCAAGAGCGTCTGCAGGGGCCGTTGGCTCAGTTCATGCCCAAGGTTATCCCGGTTCTGCTTCAGAATATGATTTATGAGGAGGACGATGTGATCCGCCTGATGGGCGATGACGACGATGATGCCGACACAGAGGACCGCGCCGAAGATCTTAAGCCCCAGTTTGCCAGGACGAAGGCCGGTCGTATTGATATGTCTAAACAGACCGACGGCGCGAATGATGCGTCAAACCAGCAAACCCAGGAAGAAGATGAGGATGAGCTCAGCGAGGGTGAGATTGAAGACTCGGAGTATGGAGATGACCCCGAGGACGAATGGTCTCTGCGGAAGTGCTCCGCAGCTGCACTAGATGTCTTTTCGAACGTCTACCATGACCCAATTTTTGAGATCATTTTGCCATACCTGAAGGAGACCCTACGACACGAGCAGTGGCCCAACCGTGAAGCCGCTGTGCTTACTCTGGGAGCTGTCGCTGATGGTTGCATGGACGCTGTTGTGCCCCATCTTCCCGAACTCGTTCCCTACCTCATTTCTCTGCTGAACGACCCACAGCCCGTTGTGCGGCAAATCACCTGTTGGTGTCTGGGCCGGTACTCGGAATGGGCTTCGCATCTCCCTCAAGGAGCAGAGAAGCAGCAGTTCTTCGAGCCAATGATGGAGGGAATTCTCCACCGTATGCTCGACAACAACAAGAAGGTGCAAGAAGCCGCTGCATCTGCGTTTGCCAGCTTGGAGGAAAAGTCAGATGAGAACTTGGTTCCTTATTGTGATCCTATTCTCCGGCAATTTGTCCAATGCTTTAGAAAGTATAAGGACCGAAACATGTACATTCTCTACGACTGCGTGCAAACCCTGGCCGAGTGTGTTGGAACAGAGTTGGCCAAGCCCCATCTCGTTGAAATCCTGATGCCCGCTCTGATTGAACGATACAACCAAGTCACCGACGAGTCCCGAGAGCTGTTCCCGCTGCTTGAATGTCTAGGATACATCGCCGCGTCCTACGAGGATGCCTTTTCGCCATTCGCCCCTGCCATCTTCCAACGCTGTATAAAGATCATCTACCAGAACCTTCAGGAATCACTCGCTTCAGTAAACAACCAAACCATTGATGAGACTGACAAGGATTTCTTGGTGACCTGCCTTGACCTTCTCAGCTGCGTCATCCAAGCCATTGACCCGCAAAAAAGTGGCGAGCTGGTGGCCGCCTCCCAGCCTCGTTTCTTCGACCTACTTTGCTACTGCATGCAGGACTCTAATTATGAAGTCCGCCAGTCTTCCTACGCCCTCCTGGGTGACTGCGCCATTAGTATCTTCCAGCACCTGGAGCCATTCGTCCCTACCATGATGCCCATTCTCATTAAACAACTTGACCTGGATCTTATGCCTGACGATGATCGCGTGACTGGCTTCAGCGTTCTCAACAATGCCTGCTGGTCATGTGGAGAGATCGCCGTGAAACAGAAGAGGAGCGACCTTGCCCCGCACGCCGACAAGCTGTACTTCGGCCTTATGGGCATCATGAATAATGAAGAGATTATCGACTCAGTCAATGAGAATGCAGCCATGGCGCTGGGTCGTCTTGGTCTTTGCTGTCCCGACCCCCTGGCAGCCCGACTGAGCGAATATGCCGGTCCCTTTTTAACATCGATGAGCAAGATTGACTTCAGCCGCGAGAAGGCCTCCGCATTCCTTGGTTTCAACCAAGTGGTGATGAAGAACCCCCAAGCCATGGAATCGTGTCTCGGAGCCTACTTTGGGGCCATTGCTAGCTGCGCGAGCAAGTCGGTCTCATCACAGGAGGACTACCGGGATATTCACACCTCGTTCCAGCAGGTATGTGCCTCCACTGTTTTCTCTGTATATGATTCTAACCATCGAGCAGGTCTTGCAAGGATATAAAAACATGATACCCCACTTTGATTCGTTCCTCTCAGAGCTCCCCGGCACTGTGGCTCAAAAGCTACGCACGCACTACCAGGTTTAACGCGGCATACCATGGTTTCCGTTACGATTGCAAGCTACACGACAACGGCCGTATGAAATGCCGGAAATTGTTCTCTCGTGTTACCTTTAGGCTACATCTATATGGTAGGATGACGTCAAACGACAATGCCGTCTGTCATATCCAGCCTCTTCACTTTCCAATCCAATGCACTGTTTCCACTTTTTTTTTTCTTCTTAGCGCCGATGGCTTATCATAACCCATTGTCATTATGACTTAGCAATAGGAGGAACGGTCGGACTCGGTTATGAAAATTCATTAGGTCTAATCAAGGCGAGCCGAGCTTTCGGCCGGGCGTTTCATTACCATATTTTACCACATCTCAGAGTCGGGGAAGCGCGGGGGAGCAAAAAGTGGATTTCAGATGTCCTTTTGACTATCTACGATGTATGACGATTGCAACGGGCATGGTTATTTGATCATTCTGGCATTTCTTTTCTTCCCTGGCTCCAATGTTCTCTTTGCATTGATATTATCGGTACGTCATTTAGCGCTGAATTTCCCTTTCAGATAGATAGATTAGATAGATATGAAAAATACTAAAACTTAGGTAGTCTTCTGATTCATCCCTGCAGTACCCGCCACCCGTGGTCCACGGATAATGGGATATGCACTCATCATCAATAATCCATCAGCAACATTATAGTCACAAGCTTGCCCAAAATAGGCGACGTGGCGTCCCCTCAACCCGTTCATCTGCCGCCCAGGGTCCAATATCAATTCCATCGGCAAAAAAGCCCCATCCAGTGTATTTTCTGTCACATCCATAACTCTATCATGATGGAAAGAATCCCCCGTCGGTGCGCGCTTTCACTTGCCTCTTTTTGTAGATTGCAGGGTCACTTGCCAAGTCCATGAGGGGTCCAGGTCCCAATCATTTTATTCTTTCATTTCCTCCCGCCAAGGCTGATTCCCCCAAGCTAACCAGATTTAATTAATTTATTTAACCTTCCCCTAACAAGTTAACCTTACGCCGTAATCTACTCTACTATTACTTAGGTTAAATTGTCTCTCAACTTCTCTCCCGCCACGGAATGGATCCTCGCTTCACCTCGCTTATTTGACGCCTCGGGAGCCCAAGCTTAACTTCCGGTCGAGGGGTATTGGTCCGTTGAACGGGCACGGGGCTGAAGTACCAAGCCGCGAGCCTTTCCTCGGGGCGATGCGATGCGATGCGATACGTTGGGATGTGGACTGGGACATGCAGGGTCTTTGGTTGTGGCTGGGCGTTTTCCCCCGAGGCCCGATCCTTGTAGAAGTACAGTGGCGAGGACTTTCCTTTTCTCCTAGGTTTGGAGGCTATTGTGGACTTTCGGTTTCGGTGCGTAAGGTAAGCTGGACAGGTAAGATTGGGTTATCCAGTCCTGCAGGGAATATTTACTTTACGCGTTTCACTATGTGGCATGCCTAAATTAGATTGAGCTGAGATTCTGGGGTTGTGACGGAGTAAATTAATCTATGTTCTGAAGTTATACTTGTCAGGGGATATACTTTCATAATTATGGCGCTGCGGTGGTGTGATGCGACAGTATAGTCTTACTGTGCTGCAACTCCCCATTCTGTTGAGACTCTGAGTTATCCAAGGCCTATGCTCGCCACGTATGTACGGTCTATTTGAAGCGATCAATCCAATCGTATTGGATATTTGATATTTAGTATTCAATCAATTCAGAATCTAGAAACAACCCATGTAGCGGAGATGTCCATTCTCATTCTTGATACAGTCTGCCAGGTTCACAACATCTACATGCTGTATACCTCCCTCATCGTCCAGCGAAGCATGGAGCATGGGCTCATGGGTTGGACCCTCCAGCTCGAGAATAACGTCAGACGCATGATCGGAGAAACCTTCAACGCTCCATGCGAATTGACCTAGGAAAGAAGCATCCATTAGTGACAAGGCTGCAGTGGGGCGTACAAGGCTGTTCGGGCTGACCTTTTTTTGCACCCAAGATACCATCCAGGTTCAGCTCGGAATATGTCGCGTCCCCAGATGGACGACGACAATAAGCAGTGAGGATATGGCCATTCTTGAGCTGGATGTCCATGGATGTTTTGTGGAAACCCATTCTGCAAGATTGTGCCGTCCCTAGCTGGATGTATACGTATACTGTACTGATTATGTACTTGAAGAATGGAGAAAATTAGTTAAATGTTTCAATTATATACATGGGGATTTTGAAGCGACGATGTTGCCTCTACATGTCATTATTGATGTTGCCTCTGTTACGGTGTGTTGTTCCGACGAGTCCCTGGATATTTGGGGGCGTTTTCACTGCATCATATTCGTCTCATCGCGACCTGGTTGACCGCCCCGTTGGTCATGATGACTTCATGGGGATGTTCAGCCTCAGAATTGCCTTTACTGAAACAAGGCATACAAGGCATCCATTCACGCGAACCAGGGTGGCTTAGCAAGAAAAGTACAGTTGACGCTAGTGACTTTAATTAAATCGCGGCGCGACGAGGGAGTGGAGGGGAAAGCTTGGAGATCTGGTACGGGTACATCGTTCGAACGTTTTCAAACGTTTTTGGTACTTGGTCTCTGGTCTCTGCACTGGTATTGGGTGTAATTGTTTAGTGGATTCTGGGGTTCAAATTTGGCCAGGTCTGATGCTGTTCCCATGACCGATGGACTAGACCTGGGATTAGCTATGGAATTGCTTTAAACCACTTCTAGGCTGCTTCAAGACTAGTGGAAATCTGAAACCATGGAGATATAGATCGACAGGATGATTTGCCCCTCCGTGGAGGTTCAAGCTAAACCGACAGGCTGGTAAAGCATAGCCATTGTTTGATCTCGCCATGATCGACCATAGTTTATCCCCACGCGTCCAGGATGACCCTCGTTTTAAGTTGGTTAGCGGGAGTTGCCTCCCATGGACCGTGCTGCTCTAGGTCAGATTAGTTAAGACGATGTCATCTGGCAGGGCGGGAGAACCAGACCGTCGGGTCTTTATCCTTGTAGAGCACAGTCTGGCCAAGCCCACAGGGTCCAGATCTGGGAGGCCTAACTTGTTGAAGCTCTTTGTAGCTACCCAACCATATTCTTATCCAAAAATAAAACAATAAAAGGAAAGTTATTCTGGCCCCCAAAATACTGGTCCCAGTGGGTAGCTCCCCAAGCTTAGACTAACCCTAATTTGGCTGAATGTTGCGAGTTAGCGAGACTAACCGTATTAGGCCTTCCATAGGTTTCCCGACTTCGCACTGAATGTCCTCAATTGGTGAAACCCGATCAGCAAGGGTGGAGCCACGTGTAATGCTTCATCGCTGTACTTCATCTCTCTGCATGAAAAACGTGGGTGAACTGGCGGTGTAACGTGACACTTTCGTCAAGAAAAGCCGCGATCCAGTATAGCGGGATTTGGGGATCCCTGTTATTCTTCTGGTCCCCAAGTTTCATAATCCCTAAGGGAAACCAAAAAAAAAAAAAAAACCATTTCCGGCCCCCCGGATTGTCCAAACGATGTAAAACCCGATGGAATGGTCAGACCAAAGGATTAAAAAAAAAGAAAAAGAAAAAGATAAAAATGGGAAAGCCAATAGGAAGCGAATAAGTGGAGTCTCAATATGCACGTTCGGTTGTCATTACCGAGTTGAGTCCGTCTCATCCCGCGTCTGACTTGATTGTCGGATAGAAACGGCCAAATCAAATCAAATTAAATAACTTGGTCTAGGATAACACTGTTACTTGACTTGGCATATGGTTCGGCTTGGCAAATCCCTGACGTTTTTTCCGATCCACATTTCAAGGGTCCTCAGATCGCGGAACTGGTCGATCCATATACACTGCCCCCCTGCATATTCTCGGGACTTTGTAAAAAAAAGAAAAAAGCAAAAGCCACAAGCCCCCTTTCCCTTTTCCTTTGCCTTCTTTTTCTTTATCTTTCCCCTTTAGCGGAGTCACTATCTAAAGTCTAGAGAAATACCTTTGCTTAGTCAAGCCAAGCCTTTGCCGCTTGAACTACCCAAATATAGTTACTGTAGTTAGACTAATGGGCCTTGGCCTTGGTTGACCCAACATTTTATTTCCATTTTAATTCATTTTCTAAAATATATCCACTTCCCTAATTTCGGTCTGTTGGAGGGAAAAAAGCTCCGGAAAGGTTCCCTGGGGCTCCCCGGCAAACCAAAGTTTGAGATCCCCCCAGAGCTCTGCGGTAGAGTGGAGAAAAGCTAGACTGATCCAGGAAGCTGTCTAAGGCTTGTCAAATTAGAGTCTATTCTATTGGCCGCCATGTGGATGCCTTCATTAGCCCAAGCTGAAAGGGTCATCCTGGGTTCCCCTGCAGAGAGGCTCAAAATGATGGGGAAAATAACATAACCATTTACCTAAAGTACGGAGTACCGTAATACATCTGACCGGATCTTCTATTCTCATCTTTTATTTCCCCCCCCTTTTACCTACATTTCTGATTTCTTATTTCCATCTTTCTCCCTCTTAAAAAATGCTTCTGACTCGGATCTTTTAACACCTGCAGCTCGTATCTCCCACGTGTGGATTTCCCTCGACCTTCTTCTATAAACGGGGACCTCCCGTGGTCATCTGCCCGCCTTAACTTTCGTATACTTTTCACCTTGCAACATGGCTGGCCCGGGTGGTGGTCCTCCTCGCAAGAGCCACACCAAATCTCGCAACGGATGTAAGACGTGCAAGAGGAGACACATTCGCTGTGATGAGACCTTCCCACAATGGTACGTCTCAACAGTCCTTATAGTCAGTCTGGGAGGTACCAGATCTAATCTTCATTCTAGTCGCAATTGCACCAAGCACAACTGTCGATGTGACTACCAGGACTCAACGACGCAAATCAGTCCCCCTCCAACACGGCGGGGTCCTGATCTGCTGATGTCGCCCGCGATCGAAATGGAGATCGAGAACTGGCACCGAACCGGTGTCCCTCCCTACCCTGAGTTGGTTCAATGTCCCCCGTCTGGGTGGTCGCATCTATCGCGCCAGGATCTGCGTTTGGTCCATCACATTATTGGCCTTTCGATCGATTTGCATCGGCGTGGTCTGAGTAGCTGCACCGCCTGGGCGCAGAAGATGCCCAAGTATGTTTCTGTTCATTGAAGGGGATGAAGAGCGATAGCTGACATTCATCTAGCTTCCTTGCCATTGCCCTGTCTAATGAATTTGTTATGAGCTCGATTTTGGGTTTGTCGGCATTTCACCTCGCCTTCTTGACTCGAGATCAGGAAACCAAGCAGTTAGCTTATCACCACAAGATGACTGCCCTCCGGGGCCTGCAGACAGCCATCGGCTTGTTTTCCAAGGAGAACTGCGAGGCTGTTCTTGCCGCCTCCATTCTGCTTTCATGGCAAGCAACCGAACGGTTGGTATTCCTGTTCATTCAGCTTTTCAACCATCTAATGATCTGTTTAGCCAAATGTGGATGTCCTTGCAACAGGGCATCTCAACCGTTCTCGAATCGATGCACCCCTTCTGGAAACAGGAATCCGAGTTAGCACAATTCGTCGAAAACCAACGCGCTCTCAGCGCATCTGATTTCCCCTTGTCCCTTGACGACGATCTAAACTCACTAGATCAAACCGCTCACGCTCTCGAGCTCGCCCAAAAGCGAGTATCCCACAACCCAGAGCACGCTCAACGACTAGCGGAACTCGTCGAATTCGTGCAGCACTTCCGGAATGACTACCCAACACAAACATCCGAGCAAGCCTTTGAGCGCATCCAGATTCTCCGACGCTGGCTTTTCTGGCTCCCTGCGTCGATGCTCCGAGGCAACGACTCCGATTTCACCGCTCTAGCCATCCTCTCCCAGTTCTTCGCTGTCGGCGTAGCCCTCGACCGATTCTACCCCGAAATGGAAGGAGCATATCTAGGCGGACTGTCCATCGGCCCGATCGAAGAAATATACCGCATCCTCGCAGCAAACAGTGCAACAGATCCATACAACGCAGAACTTCGCCTGGGCATGGCCCTTATGGACCTACCACGGCGCATTGTTGCCCGCTACCGTCTCCGATTGAGTATGTGTCCTCGCCCATCGGTCGAGCATTACTCCCCTGATCCTTCAAGCCCATACCACGGCATGCAAGAATACCCTATCGCCTCATCCTCTTCACCTGCATCCGCTTCCCCCTCATACGTCGCATATACCCCTCCGCTTCAATCACCTCCCGCAGTCAATGTCGCGGGCTCCCCATTCCATCTCGCGGATGGCTATGTCACCGCCCCTTCGCATACTCTATACCCTCCTTCTCCACAACTTCTCGATGCGCACGACCCACAACTAAGGATGTCTGAATTGCGCCACACAAGTCTTTCAAATCCGGCTTTCACTCCTCCTTATGGTGATGCCCTCTGCACAGATATGCCCCAGGATGGATCACTCGGCCTCAATGTGGATTTGTACCAACAAGCACATCACTTCGAGATGCCGAGTATGGTTACATCTGAGACCTGCTGGACATGAATGGACTGGTTTTATTTTGATTATGTGGATAGGCGCAAGAGAATACTAATACCCCTCAATATGTGATACGGAGTCCGGTCTGATTTTTGTGATTTCTTTACTCAACATACTTTGTCTACGAGAGCTTGGTCATATTTGATTGTTCTTGCTTATATTTCCTGTGAATTTTAATGTCTTTATCATTCCGCATGAGCGTTGTATTCATTGTTCTCGAAAAGCGAGAAAATGAATCAAGTGATATACCCAGTTCCAGCAAACCACGCTACCATAACTGGGAGTGTTTGCATGTTACTCACCTTTTATACGATAAGACCTACTACGGTACATGTGAGATAATCTGATTTTGCCTGATAACCTCGCAATCAATATAAGACAGACAGTATTGTCACCACTACAGAATTCAAGTTCAAGTCTCACAGTTTAGCGCCCCCATCACACCAAAGAACTTTATGAATCCTTCTAGCCTCTTGCCCTATCTCCCTCGCTCCCCTTTCGAGAATCTCTCCTTAATTACATGTACCAAACCAAAATACCCACCACACCACTAGCCGCCGTATATTTATCAAGAACCAGATCGCCAGGGACCTAGGACTCAGATACCCTAGTTCCACAGTGACTAAGAATAGAGAGAGATAAACTATCTAATACCCCAGATCTGCGCGTCTTATTGGATAGTTCATTGCAGCCTTACAGGTTAACTCCGGTGGACCTCGTATTCGGCTGCCTTATCTTAACTTGAACTCCGTGAGGATATTTACTAGGGTCTTGCCACGTTTTTATCCCTGATCGTGCATTAGGGTGTGATTCTATTGCATATTCAGGGATTTGTCTTAGTTGCTTTGGGTGATATGTGATGCATGTACTCCGTACCTAGTGTCGGGGCGATATAAGCGGCGGGTCCACTTCGCCCCATTATGTGGCTTGTATTACGAGGTATTGTAGTGTAGGATTTATTTACTTGTCTTTGTTTTGGGGGCTATGATGGCTTTGTTTAGTTAGTGTAGCGGACTTTGGATTGACAACAGTCCTGTAGTTTCTGTTTGGAATGGATGGGATGGATCTTTGGTTTCTCACTTATGATATGTAGTCTGCGACTTGTTTATATGCACATGGAAGAAAAAGTATGGTTGAATCTTTGCACGTAGATCTACAGTATAGAAGCATGATTCTACAGAGGGAACATAGAGCTATGGCTCAAGGCAAACAGAACTTAATAGTGTGAGAACGAATTTTTTGTCCATTTCATATTATTTCGTGTCACAATCAGTGTTACTAAATTTATTCATTTTATATTTCACTCCCTGATAGTTAACTAACGTTAGTATGGGTGTCGACACCTGAAAATGGTGGTCAACACTTAGCACGCCTATCACACGTGATGATAGGTCACGTGACCTATGACATACGTCCCGCATGTCGATATCAACACATCTGTCAAGCTTCCATCTCTTTACCTACCACTTGACCTGAATTCCTCCGTCAAACCAACCAACTGAACTCAAACTATACGCAATGGGCGACGCAGGTGGCTGGAGCACCATCGAGTCCGATGAGGTATGTCCAATAGCTCAAGCCCAAGCTCAAGCAAACCCATCTAACAACCCTAGGGCGTATTCACATCCCTCATCGAGAACCTCGGCGTACAAGATGTTCAATTCGAAGAACTCATTTCCCTCGACGCCGACACAATACGCTCCCTCGGGTAAATCAAAAACCCCATACCCAACCAGCTCCTCCTACTAAAAAAGAATCCACAAGCTAACAAACACCCACAGCCCCGTGTACGGCGTGATCTTCCTGTTTAAATGGACCCGTGAAGCAGCCGGTGCACGCGCCGAAGCCCCAATCGACGGAACCTACGACCAAACAGCAACAGATAACAACGTCTTCTTCGCCGCGCAAACAATCCAAAACGCCTGCGGCACACAAGCCATCCTCTCCGTAATCCTCAACAACGACAACCCCCCAGCTCCCCTCCAACCCATCCCTCTCGGCTCCGAACTACGTTCCTTCAAAGAATTCACAACCGGCTTCCCGCCCGAACTCCGCGGCGAGGCGCTATCAAACTCAGAAGCGATCCGGACGGCGCATAATGCGTTTGCGCGCGCGAGTCCCTTCGCGGATGAGACGGCTAGACCGCAAGATGAGGAGAATGCGGCAGACGTGTATCATTTCATTGCGTATACGTCTGTGAATGGGACGCTGTATGAATTGGATGGATTGCAGCCACATCCTATTAGTCATGGGGAGTGTGATAGTGGGAACTTCCCTGAGGTTGTTAGTGAGGTTTTGAGGAGGAGGATTGAGAGGTATCCGGCCGGGGAGACGCATTTCAATCTTATGGCTGTTACGCGGGATCCGAGGATTGCGGCGAGGGAGATTCGGGATGTGGAGACTCTTGAGAGGGAGGAGAGGAAGAGGGGGGCTTGGCAGTGGGAGAATACGTTGCGGAGGTGGAATTTCGTGGGATTTATTGGGGAGATGATGAAGGGGGTTGTTGAGATGAAGGATAAGCAGGGTGTGTACGACGAGTGGGTTGAAGGGGCGAAGAAGGAGACGAGGAAGAAGTTGGAGATGAGACGATGATCTATTTGCATTTATGCCTGCAGCCTGCAGTCTCTATGTTGTCGCAGCTAATAACGTGAATTTTCAGATACCCTATAGATGTGAACTATTATGGTCTGCATTCACTAGATACAGTCTCTGATCTACCTAGGATGGTACTATGTACTGGCATAATCGTAACTTCATATGTCATGAATCCCAATGTTCTGTTCAATGATCAACCGCCCGGGCCCGAATATGTTCAACCATTGGCGCCGGAAGGTCGTTCGGGTTGATCAGACCAAGAGCCAACAGGTCAGACCAGAAGAACATGGCTCTGTCCTGCGCATACGCCAGGTAATCGAAACCATCTTCCTCATCGGCATCAACATCGACCGTAGGTGTCTTAACACCTTCGTCTTTATGTCCATTCTCATTGGATGTAGCCAGCATCTCAGCAATTCCTTCTTCCATGCCTGGTGCCTTGGCTTGTACGATACCCCAGGCCACCCACTGGGCCGAGTTCATGGCACGCCACAAACGGGTCTGTTGCATAAGCCGCCGCACCTCAGCTTCCAGGTCCTCCTCGAGTGACTTCTCAACTTGCGGCCAATTGGAATCGGGGCCATCATCCAGGGTGAAGGGTGTGACAGCGGTACCAGTCCCACCCCGCATGGCTGGAGTGGCTAAAGGCGAGGCCACACCGCCGATCACAGCAGGGCGATGGGTGAGGTATGTCATCACAAAGCGGCGTTGCTCCTCGAGTGTGGGGTAAAGGCGGTTGTTGCAGGCCCAGGATAGCTCCTCGTCGTGGTAGTTGTAACACCATTCAGTCTAATATGGTTAGAAACGAACAGAACGTAAGAACGGAAATTCAGAACTAAACTTACAAAGTGGTTTGCGAATTCAAGACCAGCGGTGTTCGCCGAGGAGTATTCAAAGTCAATGACCACCAGCTGCTTGTGGGAGTTGGCGGGCAGGAGAAGCGGAGATTCTGTAGCTGGCTCCATGCGAAGAAGGTTTCCATATTGAGTCTGACCCAATTAGCATGTCGTTATCAAAACCAAAAGCATGACTTACATCATTATGGGCAAACACAAGTTGTCGCTTGATCTCCTCAAGTCCACCACAGCTGGCAATAAGCCAAGACCGATAGCGATCCACGGCCTGGCGGAATGCTGCCCATGGCACACCGCAAACAAAGCCCCGCTGGCGCCAAGGTTCTGCAGCCGCCTTGAGTTCATTTTGCGGAGACTCAAGCTCTTTATCCAACCAAGTGGTTACTTGCTCGCAGCGATCAACCCACTTATCCCAATTCTTAAAGATCATCGGCCCGGCATCTCGTTCTTCGGGGAGAAGTTCGACACCATCGTGCAATTCTCTCATACGCTTGGCAATCTGCCTAGATGTCGCTGGAATTCGCAGCTCCTTCGGCGTGAGAGGACGTGCCTCAAAGTATTCTTCAAATCGACCATTCAAGAAAGTCCCAAGTACACGAGGACCAATGTGCTTGCGGCCCAGGCGACGAAGGATTTGGAGTTCCTTCTCCCGATCAATAAGATGATCTACTTGAGGACCGTAAATACGCAGCAAGAGCTTCCTAGAATCAAACATTATTTGCCGGCCGCATCAGGATATTAGTTGGGAACTTACGGTGGGGGCCTCCTCGGGCGCAAGGTGGTAGAACCATTTTCAGTCCTGCGTGGAGTCTTGGGCGGGACGACCACATACACAGCATTGGTCAGAGCACCACTGAGCCGAGTGACTTCAACGTCCTCGGCCATGTCCATTGACAATCTACGCCAACCTCGGAGCTGGAGAGTATGCGCAAGGCGCACGATTTCGGTCTTGAAAATGGTCCATGCCTCTCGGTCTTTGGATTGCTTGATAGAATTACTGTCAGTAGTGTCCTCGTCTGCTGCACCATTTGTGATGTAGGCGAGAGTCTTTGTATTGTCGAGGTAAGCTTCGACGTTTGGCACTGGCGCCTCAACATCCGTGTACTCGGAGTCTGAAGCGGAGCCTCGACGTAGACCCTTGGGGCGACGGCGAGGTGCGCGCTTGACGGCGAGATGCGATGCTAGACCATGTGCATTCTGAGGGCCTGCAAACTGTGCCAAGATTCTCTCCAATTTGTCGAGCGAGAACGTGCTCTCTGAACATTGTGGCTCCGCGATTGGTTGTTCTTCGCTATCCGAGACAGCGATCGTGTTACCAGAAATCGCCTCAGCACGCCGCGCCTTCCTTGCCAATCTCCGGGTCTTCTCGTGCTGTAACCAATCGTACACTTGGTGGAACAGGCCTAGCTGAGGGTCTTCATCCGGTCTAATGGATTGCTCGCTATCCTCAAGTGTTCTCGCCTCAGTCTTGTAGTTCGATGGAGCGGACTGGGGGACAGTAGAAGGCATTGACATAGGATTGGTGGGTGGACGAGCGGTTGCTTTCGCGATGGGGGCTCGGTATTGTTTCAAGGTCGGACCATCCGAAGCAGAGCCAGTTCCGCTTGTCAAGGGCCGTGGCAGCGAAGGAATATTCAAACCCGTTCCTGAAATAGCTGACGAGTCTACCAGAGATCAGTCAAAAGTAAGTTTTTTTGCCGAGGAAATAAAGTGCATGGGGCAGATCCGACGTCACACTTGCCCCGCGGGGGCCGTTGCAAAAGTCGGAAACGGTAGTACAAGTCGCAATGGGGTAAGATGCTTGGCGACGGAATTGAAAGTCGAAGTTGCGTGGGCAGTGCGGGCGTTCTAAATTGTACAGGGAGTAGGAAAGGAGAGCCTACCTGCTACTTCAGGGTCCGCGTTTGTATGCTCCTCGGTGAAGGAAGGCATATGCTCAGGGGCAATCCGAACGACTCAGTAAATGAATGCGGCTGACGTCACAAGACCAACAGTCACAAATATCAAAGCGTTGGCTTAGGGAAGCAAGCGCTCAGACAACGTCCGACTGGAGGCCAAGAGAAGGTGGGGGAAGGTATTTTGGACCAAAAGATCCGCTGGTGGACAAGCGAGCGGAAACGTTTCCAGTCAGAAACAAGTCCTATGCAGGCTTGCGCAAGACAGACTATACTCCAAGTTGAATAGTTTCTAGAACACAAAATCCAAAATCCAAATCACCGTGTGATCGCTAAACAGCAGCAGCCCAATACAAGAGAAGAAAATAAGTGGCGAAAAAGTGCGCTTATCGGGACTCAGGTGACTGGGTGCCTTGCGAATCTGGCAGCTAATTGTCAAGCTCCATCGTTATCGCGTTTACTATCAGGATTGGGAAGTTTGTCACGGGCGCAGTCGGATGAGATAAGCCAATGGTGATCCATTTTGATTGTATAGGGGTAGTGTACCGGCCGGTTTCCCAACCAGTCCAATCTTGATCAGATGGATCATCCCGCACACCGGTCTTTCAGGTCGCGTGCACACCGTTTATAGAATCGATTATCTTGAGACGTGGCGCAAACGGCTTTTATGTTTCATATTTCAAGTCGCATATGGGATATCGTTGGCGCCATGGGAAGCACCCGGTCTAATGGGGTAGGCAGCGCATAACCGGGATCTGTTGGACGTGATTGGAATGTGAAGCCAGACTAAGAGTCAACTAGGCCATAATTGCCTGAATATCTCGGTAATCAAGAGAGAAGGATGAATTCTTGATGGTTTCTGGAGAGAGATGGAAGAAGGTAAGAATGGAGGGGTCGATGAGCTGAGGGGGAGTGAATTAGTAAACATTACCGTACAGGAAACGGCATGACACGCGACCAACGATCAATGACGTTTCTACGGAGAAAAGCAGAAGAAAATAATAAAGATGAAAATGACCTTCGCTAGGCAGAATAAAAATTTGGTGACAGGTTTTAGCCATTGTTTCATGACTGAGCTCCAGGAAAGAGCATAGCATGTTGGATAAATCGGATCTCACTCTGATCAAAGTCACGTAGACTATAATGGAGCCAATTCTGAGTATGTCCTGAATCTATGTTGGACGAAACATTGAATTCCCAGATACGATTTCGCAAGGATGGAATACATCCTGGTTTGGCGAGTATTTCGCTCACTTCAGTAATGTCATGAGCTGTGCTAGGATCTTCCTCCAGTGCCACAAGAACCGCCACTGCATGAGCTGCAGGCTTGCACATGAACAGCCCCTGTACCGGTGGAGCATCACTTAAGAGAGACAAGGCTTGACGACGTAATTGAGGGAACCGACACTTGAGAGCGGTGATGAAGAGTGGGAGGAAGACCCCCATTTCGAAGATGAAAGCGGGTTGTTGGCCTTCAGAATCTTTTGTGGCAGCAATCGCTATAGACGCATAATTAATGATCTGCGTAAATTCGGCTTCAAATGCATCATATGCGGATTGATCTGGATCAAGACAAGTTTGGATCTCTATGAGAACACTGTAATAGGTCGTGAGCAGGAGCGCATCTCCACCCCTCCCACTCACATCCTGGTTACAAAGGGCCAGAGATAGGAAAGACCGATGCCACTGGTTTAGACTATTCTTTAAATGTCGTTGTTTTGTTACAAGGACTTGAGAATCCAATAGTCGTCTGTCCACTGGGTACGTCCAAAGTCGCTTGGTGTCAATATTGAGGATTTTCATCTCTGCAACAAGCCCATTGAGAACATTTCTGGCCTCATCAAACGATGTCAGTTGGACATTTGAGGTATCGTAAGCAAATGACCAGTTGACCCTGGTGGTGGGCACGCCGTCTATAATTAGAGCCCAGGTATCTAACCGCTGGAAAATAGGCTTGATGACCGACGTGAGAATTGCGCGATTTATAGAGCCTCCATTTATGGAATTCAGCCCTGTGGGTGCCATCGCGTAGATCATCATCTGCATCCCTTGTCTAGTTAAATTCAAGGCAGCAGGTCGATTACCCTGCAAGAGCTCAATGGCAATGAACAGGATGCAGCTGATGAGTGAGACCGTCAAATCTGCCACACCCTGGTCGATACGTTGCTGCACAGTAGCCAGTGAGCGCGAATACCAAACAAGGGCTTCACGATGGTAGGAATGCTCAACTTCGGCGGGGTTGTTAATGAGCCGAAAGGGCGAAGCATTGTGGATTGGGGGCCGCTCATACAGCGAGCTGAGCGAAATAATGGCATCCCAGATTGCCGGTTCCATGCGACAAATTTGCAGGACAGAGCCTCTCCAGAATGCAACATCAAGAACACCAGAGAGTGCCGGACCAGCTTGGTGGAAGTAATATTCAAATGCGCGCCGCTCTCGCCATCCCTGTGAAGATAGAGCGAGTTGGCGCGGCGGCGAGTCAATCCTTGGTGCAAGTTTCGAAATGTAAGAACACTTGCGACCGGTGCTAGTGCACTTCAAGCAATGTGGCTTCTCTTCTCCACATCGAACTCGGCGGGCCCTGAATCATACCGTCAATAATCTCCACCAGGATGGATTGAAGGGCCCTTACTTGCAAGTAGCGCACCCCGTCTTAGACTTGGGTCGGCCGAGACGGCCAGATCGAATGGGTAATCTGTTCATGAGAGATCTGATAAGAGTAGTCCTCAGTGATCCACACTCCGAATTGATGATGCTGCAAGGGGCAAGGATTGTGTGGGGGTCGAGACTTCCATTAAATCCGACTTAACTCCACCGCCCAATGATTGGTCTATTCTATACTATTACAAAGTGAGGATTTGATCTATTGAGTCTCAAGACTTTAACTTAGCCTATTGACCATTTGAAAGCATAGAATGATTCTCTGCATTAATTTCCTGGATGCAATTTCCCCGCCACATAGTCTAAGAAATCTACAGAGCACCAGGGTCCGCTCTAGTCTAGGACCTCCATTCCAGCAAGTGAAATCATGGATTTCATGATGGTATTCCTCCAATTTGCTTTTTTCATTGACATAAATGACCCATTAAGAACCTTCTGAGATTCTCAATCTCTTGATGAAGGCCTTACTCCCGCAGTGCTTCCAAGCAATCTCTTCCCTGGGAGGCAAAATCCAAGGCTCCCATTCGATCCAACAGATCCAAGCAGTCAAAAACCCATGATTGGCAATTCCAAGCCTCTCCTCGATTGTGCACTGGATAATTCAAAATAGCGTCCAGAGCGAGCTGGTGCTTCTCTTCACGAATAGAACCGCAACCAATAATGCTCTCAAGCCTGCCGGAGTGCACAGGGCTTGAGTAAACAGGGTCAGCGATACGATAATCATACCCGTACATGTTGTCGGTAAGCTGGAGAATGACGGATTCTTCCGGATTGTAGCTTTTCAACCAAATGGCCCAGTGGCGGATTTTGCCTTTGCCAGCACGGCGATAGATAGCGACGTTCAAATCTGTCATTTTGGATGTTTGAAAATCGAATATTGAGGCTTGGGGTATCTGGCTGGTATGAAACTGGTAAATTATAAGAAGAGTTGGATTATCAAACCTGGCGCTAGCGAAGCACGTCTGAAGCCCGAGGCAACAGTTGAAAAGTCTGAGTGACGGAACTGGAAGTGAACTGGAGGCTTCCGATATATGAAGGAGTCGTAAATGCCTTCAAGAGTTGGAACTAAAGATGAAATCAGGTAGACAGATTGTGTTGGATCTGTAACCAAAAGAAATGGGGAAAAGAACGACAGAAGATACATTCAAATGTTCCCTCTATTGTGGCCTAAAGCCTGTGGACGAATACTTTTCCACTCTACTCTTTGACTATTTTCTTCAGTCTGGTCTCTACGCATCCTCACTCAAAACATGTGTTTTGTCTTTCAACACCACATCTCAGTCTTTGCCATCGTCGCACTTCCTGAAAATCATTAGGCTAAACGGCCCCTCAATTCATGGTCCGGATTAAAAATGAAAGGAACAAGAAAGCCAGCAATTGGGCAAGAGACATATCGTTTCAATGTGGATGAGCAAGAGATGAAGGATGAGCGACATTCCAGGTAGTCTTGTTGGCCCATAAAGTCCCTTCAATTAGCTAAGTTGATGTCAGAAAACTGGCATTAGTTGACTACAGCCAATTTGGAGATTCACTCTCTACTCACATTACCATTTACTTACCTACTAGGTAGCCCAGATTGCAAGTTCAGCTCCGGAGGCGTCCATCATGCAGCCAAGAAAGCCCCCTGGAGCCTATACGAGTTATCTCGAGCCATAGCACAGCTGAACACATGAACAAAAACCAAGTCATTTAACAGGAATGAATTCACAGCCGATATAGTCCCTCGCAATTAGTACTGTGGACCCTGCCGATCCCCCACCACATCCTTAACGCCAAGCAAACCCCCAGCCATGAGGAGTCACCAACTGAGACATTGCGACTTACTGCAGGATTATGACCTGCGGTATGGCACTAGGGGTCAAAATCGATCTGCACAGGTTATAAAACCTGCGTTTCCTCTTTTCGATTCCCCATTCCCACTCAATACTCTATTCTGATCTATACAAACCTACAACATGAAGATCACTGCAATCATCACCACTCTGGTGGCCAGTGCTACTGCCTTTGACAAATGGCAGCGTATGTTTATTAACATCCCCAGCCCATTCATTCAAGACAAGTTCTAACTCAACAGAACATAGCATGGGGAAAGCGTGATTACTCCTGTCTGAACGTCTACCAAGGAATCCCAGATAATTCGACCCTATCTCCTGGTCAAACGGTGTCTATCCACTTCAATCGTGCGCCCACGACACACTGCCCTGACCCGCTGGCAAAATACCCGACTGGCACGTATGGGGTGTGGCTGTACAACAACCCCGTGCGACACCTGGACACCATTTCATTTGCACAGACTATTAAGATTGTGCAGGGGGTAAAGGGTACATCTGGGCGTATTGATGTAAAGATTCCCGAGAAATTGCCGGCGGTTCAGGAAGGGAGTCTTTGGTATTTACGGTTGGATTCTTCTTTGGATACAGCGCCACAGGTATGTCTTTCTCTTCTGGCATGAGGCTGATGCTGATTCTGTTTTAGATGCCTACTGTATTTAACGCTGCTGGGCCGTTTAGTATTATCGCTTAGGTGCATGGATTCGGTCTAGACAAGGTCAAACATATTGGTGTGTGAGAGAGTCTTCTCGCCGCGCGTTTCGCACGGCGCTTCGATAAAGTAGAACTATTTTTACTACTTAACTATACTACTACATTTTACGTGGTCTTCTACAGCATCTCATACCTTCTCTACAGTGCTACATATCATTTTCAAAGTCGGAGAGCTCTCCAAAACTCCGGCAAGTACCCAAGTAATAAAGAGGTAGATACATCATGCGAGATTTTTCCTTCATCATTCATTTGATATTTTTTAAAAATAAAGACGCGCTAATATAGCTTCTAGTTTGGTGGGCGAGCTACAGTAAAAAAAAATGGTAAAAAGCGCATATCTCTTAGACTTCGCCAAGGCAGGTATTGTCGTGTTGAAGAAATATATCCCACATATCGAGTTTTTGGGCTCCTGGACGTGATAGGTAACGCTCTAGGCCTTGAGACCCTTTCTCGGAATCTGGACCCAATCATTCATGTGGAAGGCGCCTTTTGATCAGTATTGAGATAAAACCCACTTTTGGGTACTGGATGCTATACCCGTTGCCATTACCGAGGAAGGACAACCCCATGGGTTCCGCGGCATAAGAAGTTTTAGCGTTGGCCAGCTTACCATGAATTTCAAAATCCTACATTGTATTTACATGTTGAGTTCTTAGTTTAGATTTCTGCAAGTACCTAAGATCATGCAGAATAATTCATCTTGAAGAGACCAAGGTAAAGATACTCAGGTATTGAGTTTGATGCAATATGAATAATTAAAAACGAGGATAGAGAGATCCTGCAAGAGGACAGGGGTAGGAGGTTATTTAAGCCCAGCAGACCGGAAAGAGACCAACAAGACTGATGAACAAGCAGTCATAGAGATGTGCTTATGAAGTGTGAAACACCACGCCGAACAATGCAAACGCAAAAAGAGAGAATGGATCATGCAAGCATCACTACTACCAACGACGAGACCAGCTTCGTCCCAGTTGGTTTACGTACAAATTTATCAAAGGGGTATCTATGCGGATGCCCATTCGAGGACTTCCAGTCCACAGATGACCAAAAAGAGTGTAGAGGGGAGGATCCTATACTTGTCAGCTGGGTTTGCCTCAGATGCCGAGAAAAAAAGCAGGAAACATACCAGACAACATAACTCTGGAATAACAATTTCGACATAGCACCCACGTAAACATTGTTGATCTGACAAATCTGTGCCAGCTGCAGCGCCGAAGGTGCTCCCGTGAGGAGGAAACAAACGATAATGAAAATAGGGTCATCGAGAATACTGATTGGCACGAATTTGGCGAGCAGTGCTAGGAACGGCGCCATTATGAGAGTTGGAAGGAGCATACGCGCCAATAAAGAGGCGATGATCAATTTCCGCTCCGTACTGGGGTGATCGATATCCTCAAGCGCTTCTTCGGGGAGTGTATTCCGGGCCAGGTTAGCGCCTAGCACGACCAGAATAAGTGGGACGGCCACTTGGGCGTTCTGCTCGATGGCTCGAGTGACCGAGTTGCGGACGAAAGTGCCTTCGTCGAAGAACAGATGCTGAAGCGCTGGGAAGGATGCGATGATGATAGAGACTAGCATGGCCCAGAGGGGAGGATTCATAAAGGACCACAGTCCACGGACGAAGCGACGGACTCCGCTTGTTGTGGATGAGAGGAACTTTTGGGCTTTTGTGGGGAGCCGGGAGTATACTGCGTCATTCTTCTGGGCAAAGAAGCGGCGAGTTCTCTGTCCATATTTGCGGATAGAAGCGTTGGATCGTTGCAGATATGTTTGCTTTGTGACTTGGGTTTCCCGGGCAGTAGCCTCCACGTCAGGGAATTGAAGGATATCGCCATCGGTGCTGCGGCGGGGTAGGAAGGGTCCTGTAGGTGGAGGGCCGATCACCGAGGGAGTATCGTCGGAATCAGGCTCGTCGCCGTTCGAGGTACGCGAATGTATTGAGGAGACCTTACTGTAGGAGTAGGCGCGGGCTGATACCGGAGTCTGAGATCCAGACTCGAACCGGCCTCCGTTTGCATGCCCGTTATGGGCATATTGTAGATCCTGAGAACTGTGTGTACGGACCAGCGGCTCATCCGGATCGGTTTGAATTGGATTATCGGTGTATCGTTCCTGGCCCTGTTCAATTGCCGTCTCACCGGTTTCCTCTCGTTCTGCTCCTTCCAGGTATCGGTCCTTCGGTGCCAAAAGTACGTGATAACCCCAGCTCCAACGGACTAGTTGACCTAGTTGTTGAAAAATGAGAAGATATAAGATTCCTCGGGCTGCAACCTCATCGTCGTTGTCGCCAGGTACGCGGTCCCAGTGAAGACCCTGGAGGGTTGCGGAGAGGGATATGACGAGGGAGATAGGGAGAGAATTAGAATTTCCGAATACCTATTGAACACATCCTTGAATCAGCAGGAGAGCTATGCGGATAAGAAAGGTGATCACCTACCGCCATCGCTGTCACAAAATTGGACTGACGTTTCTTGAACCCACAGCATCGCGTGACCACAAACGCGCAGAAGTATGAAACGGCAGTTTGGACGATAAAGATAACAGGGATAATGGCGAGGTCGGTGAGTTTTTCCGCTGTCAATTGGGAGCCTAGCTTAATGAAGACTTGTTTGGGTCAGCAATTGAGCTGTTGTTATAATGGAGATGGCGCGATAAGAGACTGATAAGGAACGTACTAAGACAAGGAGTGAAGAGCACCACGTTGAGATTTGCCACGAATTTCTGGGCGTCCGCATCGAACATCCCCTGTCGAGCGACGATATAGCCTGGTAGAGAGACACATACTACCTCCAGCACTGCCTCAAAGACGAGCAGAACCAAGTGAAAGAAGGATGGATGTTTTGATTGCACGCTGACACCTGCGATAAGGCTGGCGCTCAAGGAGTCCTGCGCCAGAGGATTCTGGAATGATCGAGGAGCTGTAAAAATGGCCATCGAGGTGATGAAGCTTGAAAGAAAGAGTCCGCGCCCAAATATTGGGGGTTGGGAGAAGATGACGAAACGGGGGGAGGGAGGGAGAAAACTGGGCCGGAGCTTTGTCAACCAAGATTCCTTGAACTTTTGGCCACCGTAAAACTCCGTAACAAAGACCCGCCTACATATAGTGACCGTCGGAAGTTTATTGCATAGAACAGCAGACGCACCTGCCGTGATACGCGTTATGCCTACAATTAGCTACTTTTAAATTACTTCCATTCATGGCCTGAAGGAATTCGTAAACTAGAGGCTTACCGCCACGCCTGTCGCGCGGCGCCTAGAATGATATCCACCAATTATGTGCCCATCCAGTCTCCTACCCAGTCTCCTTCCATATCTCCTACCTTCCTTGCTATCTTCTTTGCTACTCTCTTAGACATATAGGCAGAGTACTCCCTAAGATAAAGAGTAACGAAGAAAGAAGATAAGAGAAGTAAATTCTAAGGAACCTTGAGTGGCGTAAATGATGTGCTTAATACTTGGTGGGTCCTGTAGGCTGCAATGCAAGTCCGTTATCAGCAACAAATCATGGTGGATCATGTCAGCACGTTGATTGGGTCCGTGCATGTAGATCATCGGGTAAAATAGCTGTAACTTAAAGAGCTAAAATTTTGAACAGAAAGAGCACGGGGATATATTACAACTCTAGTTTTAGAAGCAACTCCAGGGGGTTATTCAGTATTCACTCTCTTACAAACCCCAACTTTTCACCCATTTTAATTCGTTGACCCTTTTCAACACTCCATGTCCATCCGTCACCCTGCTTCTGGTCAGGCCAACCTGCATCTGGGGAGGGACGGGAGCTCAGTGGTGCTTCAAACACTAGGACAACAGTACTGCCCAGCTGGAAACCTCCCATCTCCTCACCCCGCTGCAAGGGATGTCCTCCAAGGGTGGGACTGGCGTGGCGATAGGTCGCCTCAACGAAGCCAGGATCTTGCTCGCCGCGCTTGGCTGCCAAGGCTGCTGCCAAGTCCGCGGCGGTGTCAGTCAGAAGACTATTGGTGCGTAGCTCCGAGTCGAAGTTGATTTTGATCGAGCCCACGTTCGTTGCACCCACTGGCGTGTAACTGAAGAAGCCCCATCGCCAGCGGCCCAGCAGTGCCACACGTTCGTTGAGGGTGAACAGGCCGGGAAGGTGACGCTGTAGGTAGGGAGAGACCGAGTACAGCTCACCTGCAAAGTGGCGACGACTTTCCACAACCCACGCGGTAGGGGAGTGGAAGCGGTGGTAGTCTCCGGGTGCCAAGTAGATCACACAATAGAAAAGTGCATGGTTCGCGGCCTTTTTAGGCGAGTACCATGGTGTGCCATCCCCGAGAGCTAGCTCCTCCTGTACTTGTATCTCCGATGTAACTTTGGATGTGGTGGATGCATCAATTGACGCCCGTCGTTTGGCTGGTGCATCAGTATTGCCGGAAAGTAAACCTGGTACGGTGTAAGAGATTCCGTTCACCCGGGCAAACTCCTCGTCTGACTTCATGTTGGTAACATCTTTCTCATCTTGCTCCGGGTGGTCATCGGTCAATCGATTACTATGGTCGGCGTGAGAAGGTGTGGCTGAGCCTAGCAAAGCGTCCAAGCTATATGTCATGCCTTTCACCTGTTCCACCTGCCCCCGCTCGATAATACCAAATTGGAGAATGCGGCCATCTGACGGAGAGATGAGAGCGTGTGGGTCGGGGTCGAGGGGGCGCACGCCGTCTTTTAACTTGCGATAAAAGAAGGCTGACAGGTTCGGATAAACATGCAGGTCTGGCTCTGCCACTTCACTGAGGTTGACACCAAAAACCCATGAGTACAGCTTAAATCCTGGTACACGGAAGTAATAAGGCAGTTCAATCTCGTTGAATCGACCCCATAACCGTGACATGGCCTTCAGGGGTAAGGTCGACATGAACTGCACCTGCCAGGAGCCTGTTGGGACAACTCGTGGGCGACGAGGGGGCCGGCTTCCATTTTCCCAGTCCTCTCCAGCCTCCTCACGTAAAGCACGATCCCGGTCAGCTCGGTGAGCCTTGTAGAAATGCAGTAACCCCAGTAAGCCAATTCCGAGACCGACAGGGATCGGGTACCATTCAACCTTGGTGTTGCGTAGGGCAAATCGAAGACGGGACCAAGAGCCAGACTTGGGGTTTTCTGAATTATTATTATCTTTGTTGTATTGTCGCCATGATTTGGATGAGAAATGCCGAACAGTGGCTTTGTTACGGGCAACGGCCCTGAAGGAGAGGACCTCCATCGACGCAGCACCCCCAGTCACCGGGGCAGAAGGGAAGTGGAGGGAGATGGAGTGATACAGAAGGCGCTTGGCCATGCTGAAAATCAATCCATGAAGATCAGAGTTGGTAAGGCTATCTTCGTTGCCCTGAGGCTTTATTCAGGGATTCTAGGCACGATGTTTTCCTCCCGCGCTAGTTCTTCACCGCCTTTGGCCCGAATTTCACCGCCAAAGTCTCACCGCCCGGCATGATCGGGCATATGGGAATCGTCCTGTCACTTGATAGTGTTGATATTCCCATCCATAACCAGTTTCCCTCGTCCTTTCAAGCGTTTCTCAGTGCCTGTTCAGCTCAATTTCTTCTGCAAACATCTTCATCCACCGAAATCAATTTGCATACCTGTGACACTGCGAGACGTCCTTCCCGTTATCAACCCCAGTCTTGGCCAGATCTCCAGATCAAGCTGGGCTTCAATACTTCAATTGCGGGGTTAAATCAACACTCCCTGCAATATCAGACGCGTCCGAATTGCCATTTATTCTCTGTGGATTTCCTGCGGCATTTCACTTTGCCCTTTTTATCTACAAATCTACAGAATATGATCCTTTGATCAACGTACCACCGATAGTATCCCAAATACTCAAGATGACTTCGCCTAGTCTGGCTTCACCGCAAGATGTGGATACTCAGCCCTCCAGCCCTAGTGAACGCAAGGTCAAAATACACATCCTATGCCCTTCGTTTCCGGTCCGTTTCACATTAAATGAACTACCGCTGAACACCACAGCTGCGAGCTTGCGTTTGCAAATCATGGACTGCATCCCAACGCATCCACCCCCTGAGACACAGAGGCTGATTTTCGCTGGAAGATCTATTCTCGCATCTGACTCTCGCCTGACCCTCGGGGATATTCTAGGTGCTGCGGAGGTAAGTTTAGCCTTCGATAAATCTGTCCCGTATCTCCTCTGATTAGATTCAATCACAGGGAGACGAATACACAATCCATTTAGCGCTGCCACCCCCCGCTGTATCGGACGTGTCGTCGAATACCACTTCAACTCCAATTTATCATACAACTTATCAAGCTCCCGAGGTCATAGAATATTCGAGCATCTTAGATATGCCTAATGATCCCTTATTCTTGGCACATGCAAACTTGGATGCAGCACAAACTGCTTCCACTGAATTAAACGGCTCTTCAACCCTATCTGGCTCGTCTGAATTCTTGAATGCGCCTCCTGCGCATTGGAACTTATCTGCCGATGCAACACCATTCGCTCTCACCTCGGCAATATTGCAACAAGGCGCTGCTTCCTCGCGCCCTGCAAGTCGGAATCTTCCTTTCACGGCCTTTCAAAGGCAGGTGGAGCTCATAGAGGAGAACATGTCTGTGGGCCGTATGCCTTCATTGGAGCAATTGTTCCGTCTACGCTCTGATCTCATGCAGAGCATACATGTGCAGCGAATTTATCGGCGCGGAAGGCCGCATCCTGGATATAGCAATAGGATCAGGGAACTGGAAGAGCTGCTTACCCGAGTCCTCAATATCTACAATCATATTGATGGCCTCATTGCCATTCATCCCCATCCGGAGTCAACTGGGCCCCATGTCTACATTGCTACCTCTCCTGAAGGTTTAAACGTCATGATCATGCACCCAGCCGCGATGGATTCTCAACCGATTTCGTGGCCCAATCCTCACCATGTCGCCGTGGGTGGACATAACTTTGCCCCTGTTGCAACTCAACCCACCGCTGCTCAACCTACCGCCACTCAACCCAACGTTGCCCTTAGGGCAGACCAGCCAAATGCAGCTGATGTTGTGCAAAATGCCGTGCATCAAGCCATCGTCAACCAACCACAACGGCGGAACGAACCAGCCAACGCTGGTGCTTTTGTACGTCATGTTCGCCAGGTTTGGCTGTTTATTAGACTTTACTTCTTCATCTACATGATCAGTGAATCTGGCACTTGGACTCGCGTTCTCTTTGTTACCTTGGCTGCGTTGATCGCTTTACTTTCGGACTCTCAGATTCCTCAACGGCTTTATGGCATGATTGTCGCTCCAATTCAGCGTCACCTGGAGGGCCTTGCTCACGTGGGAGGCCCGGCTGATCAGGCTGCACGGACCACAGCGGAGCAGAATACCAACAATCAGCCTGGCGCTCGTCCTATGAGCACCGGAGACGAGATCCGTGAATATCTTTGGCGTGCTGAGCGATCTGTTGTGCTTCTGCTTGCAAGCCTTATTCCAGGAATCGGTGAACGGCAGGTCCAGGCACGGAACGCTGCTGAAGCTGAACGTGTACGACAGGCGGAGGAACGCGAGCGGGAGCGCGAGCGGGAGCGCCAACGGGAGCAAGAACAAGCTCAGCAATCTCAGACTGAAGATCAAACTCAGGAGCGCACCTGATTTACTGCGCATATCAGCAAAACAGCCTCTAGCTTTACATTTTTCCAACGCTGAATTTCAAAGATACCCTATTATTGCGTTTACGTGCACAAGGTCAAGCTCACTTGCCCATCTGCCAGTTTATCTTTCAGCGAAATTCCGGGTGATCAGATTTGATGCCTTTTGTTTGATATGCATCATCCCAGTGCTACATATCAAGACTTTTATGTTCACCACTTACAGACAGAAATAAATTTTTAAAAAAAAAAAATCACTAAATCCGGGCTTTTATTTGTATTCAATCAACGATTGACCGCTCAAACCGTCTTTTTCAGTCTCCGGTCAACTTTGATGCGTGCTATACCTGCCAAAATCGTAGCAGCCGTCGCCATTGAACCAGCGTAAAAGATGGCAGGTCGATAAGCACCAACACCACCCGCTTCTCCACCCGAAGCGTTCAGGATATAACCAGCAATCGGAGCTCCCTAGAAAACCGCATATTAGATGTCAATCAAGTAAAATCGTCCATAATAAGAACTTACCATAAGATATCCTCCAAGCCACCCACTAACGATCATTCCAACCGCAACCGACACTCTTGCCGATCCAAACACATTCCCAACCACGGTGGGCATAGTAGAAAAGAAACCGCCATTGGCAGATCCATTAATAACCACAAAGGCAATTAGTGGTCCGATGGAGTTGGAGACGGGCCACAGCACAAAAAGGCTCAGGGCACTGAGCAGCAATGATATAAATAGAGTGTTCATGGCGCCGAACTTGTCACATGCAAAACCGCAGGATAGACGTCCAATTGCGGAGGAAAAGTTGAAGGCCGCTACTAGACCAGCGCCAGCGCTAGAAGGGAGACCTAAGGAGTTTGTGTAGAGGGGGAGGAAGAAGGCTGGCACGAACAGAGGGAATGTGCCGATGGCGCCAGTAAGCCAGAGCATTGCGAACCGGACATCACGGAAGAGACTCCTGGAATCAACGTATCAGTATATGTCAATGCAATTGAAAGGGACCGTAAGAGAAGACATACCACTCAACCATCTTTGTTGGACGGATCGGGGCTCGTTCCTTGATCAGGTACGCAGCTGGCAATCCCGTAGCGAGAATCATGATCCCCAGAATTCTGAATGTCCAGGCAATTCCAACATTCTCCAGCAGCGCATTCAGAATGAAGCTGATAACCGTACCACCAAGACCGCCACCAGCATAAACAATCCCATTAGCGATCCCACGCTTAGCTTTGAAGTACTGCGCCGGTGTCACAGAAACGACCTTTCCGAGGATACCAATCAGCATATTTCCATTCCACAAGACAGTAAAAACTCACCATAAAACATAAACTAGTCCCCAGACCTCCAACAAACCCCCACGTCATAAACAACCCCGCAACACTATGCACCGCAAATCCGGACAAAATACTCCCAAGCCCAAGCAAGAAAATTCCCATTAGTGCTGTGATTCTCGCGCCAATCTTGCGTATAAGAGTCGCATTAGGCACGGCCAGCAAGGATATACAAGCGGGACATAATGATCCCACGAATGCTAGTGTCGAAGACGAATATCCCAGTTCATCAACTAGGGCGGCTTGCATCACACCCCATGTGTAGGATACGCCGACGAACCACCATGTCACGACTGCGCATGCGGAGATGAGGACCCAGCCATAGCCACCGTCGGGGACTTGGGAGTCTGCCAGGAGAGATTGTTGCATCACTTCATCTGCCTCGGGTTGAGAGTCCGAGGCGTGGACATTACGACGTTCAGCGTTGGGGCCGAGAGTCGGAAGTTCGATTGCTGTACTTGGAAGAGTCTGTGTGCTAGTAATTGTTGCCATTTTGAATCTGAGCTTTTGGCCGAGCTTTTACTGTGGTTGAAATGTGTCAATGTTGAAGCGGTCTGCAATGACACATGTAGTCAATGTTGGCGTACGCTTGGGCCTTGGGTTTGTGTAAAGAACCAATTGCGGATGTTCCAAGGATAAATGCGGGAAGTAACCTTTAAGTGGCTTATCAGCTTTGAAATCAAAATGTAATGTACTTTTGCTTTTTTCTTCTGAATCAAACGTAACTTTCGGAGGTTATTTTAGCCCCACAAGGCGGTTAGCCTCGGGCATGATGTTATCGAAAGGGCGTCCACTAATATTGAAGCTTTCCGGGAGTCTGCTATCTAGGTTACATTCTTGAAATTTTTATGACCCAGCGGTGTCTGCATAAACATTAAATTCAAGACCTCGCCAGGTGAGATGAAGTAGATCTATTCATATGCACCTATATAGACAGGATAATGTCCGCCAGATCCGCTTTATGAGGGTGCTAAGGCTCAAACTTTGCACTTTGAATTATTCTCAATCAATGCTTGTCCTAGCTTTGAGGTGGAAACATTGGCGCCATGAAAAGATCGTCCATCAATTTTGGCCAAAACCACCCCGGGTCACTATGCTCTTCATTTTCCTTGAACCACAGACAGACAGCGTTGTAATCTCTCTTGGCCCGTTTCTCACACCACCATAATTTTTCAAAACGACACATCAATCCTAGCCAATACCCGAGCAACCACATGGCCTTCTTCTCCCTCCTGAATAGCAGCGCACGAAACCGAGAGTCTATCTTCATCAGGAACGACAAGTACCAAAAGGAATTTGACTGGATAGGCTCAAGACATCTTATGTTAGCCGCAACTGTCAAGGGCAAGCGATATACATCATTGGACTCGCAGTCAGAGGCTTGATCTTCTCTGGACAGGTCAAATATCTTCAGCCAATGATCTGGAATTGCATCTGGAGAAAGAACAGTGCTTCGAATAAACTTAATTGACTCTGCCTCCTTTAGGAATATGGAGGTGAGATAGTTCATGATTTTTTCTTGGTTGGGTGAGATGGATACCAACAAGGATCGGAAACCTGCGGGTAGCGTTATCCAACCTAGACGATCGTCAGAGTTGCTGAAAACAAATGAGAACTCCATGCTAGGCTCCCCATCAGGAGGTACTTCATCTCGTGGGAGTGCGAAGGTGATGATATTCAGAAGCACCCCAACAAGGACTAGCAACTGCGCATCTGTCACACTTCTTGACTCCGTTGGAGTCGCTAATGCGCCTCGATAAGCTTCTATAACCTTGAAGTAGTGGTAACACTCGGCAACATAATATGCCTGAACTTCCGGATGTGTTGCTCGGCAATGACAGGCAGATATTGCGAGTATGACCTTGAGAACCAGGGAGTTGGACCTTGACAGTCGTAACATCTCTTTACTGCGGGGTATGTGAAAAATGTCTTCCCAGTGGTCCTCGCAGTGTTGCAATAGTTCGATGACTGGCGTGCCGCAATCTTCACTTCCAGTAGGAAGGACTTCAGTTTCAAAAACTATTCAAAGTTCGTTAAATCAAATTGAAAATTTGTGAGCATCGCATATGGTCCCATATTATCATAATGGCCGAACTGACCCTGAGCTGACTGCCCGTAGACACATTGCCTACTGTTTCTCAAACATCTTCGACAGATTGGTTTTTCTTCGTCGCACTGTGGCTTATTTAGTCTCTAGCAGATATATCCAAGTGCCACAACCGCACCTTCACCTTCTTCAACTTGCATGCCTTACAGCCGGAAATGGACCTGTTAACGACATATCGCCTGGACTTTAAATATCCACGGACGCTGGGGTCAAAGTCGTTCATAGACAACTGCCGAAATTTGGTGCTCGGTTCCATTGCCTTGGAAATAGTTGATATGTATACGAGAGAGATAACCGAGCTCTCATAATCCGTGAGAAATTTCACAAAAAGAGTAAACGAGCTCTGGGGCGTTTACTTAATATGACTGATCCAGGCTTGTTCGCGCTGATCTCATAAGTGGAGTCAGCTCGGTTGCCCTTTTTGGTTAGCGCGAACACATGCGGAGACATTAATAAAAGGGTAAAACACCACATAGGGTGTACTCACATATATGCCGGATAATGTCTGGCAACTCTTGGCTTTTCTTTTCCGATTAAGTGCTCACCCCTTGCCGCTTTTTGCTCACTGAGTAAAATTGAGCACGTCCCTGAGTATGACAAGCATCAAATTCGCGCGCTGAGCATCACCTGATCCTCACGTAAGCCGGAAGTAAAGGTCTTTTTAAGAGCGCTGGCTCTCAAAACCACCGCTTTGGATTCTTAATAAGAGCGCGAAGGGATGGATTAGTGATGAGATTGGTATCAATTCGCTCAAAAAGCACTTTTTATCCTATCATCCTAAACGGAAAGGGAAATATGCGTTGTTGATTCTGGATGGACATTCATCTCATTTGACACCTGCATTCGACAAATTATTCTCGGCGTCCTTCTAGCCCCCCTCCGAGAATGGAAATAGAAACCTGGAGATAATTACGGAGTACCACATCCATACTCCGCTATCTTGAGGCTTAATCCTCCGCAGTGCTTCGTAAGTCCCGCCGATAACGATAACGGCCGGCGAATCATACGTGCCGATGTCCTTTCTGCTCTGCGTTGCCTGATAACACACCTTTTGGACCCTCGACACGGGACCATGATTTAATTTTAGCATCGGGCATGAGCATACTGAGCGTATTAGAAGAAGAGAAAAAAAGAACATTATCGCGAGATCGATAGCCCATGAGAGATAGCATTTTTTCCTTCATAAGAGTTTTGGTACCTTATCAAAGTGAAACTCTATAAGTTATTGTCGAACATCTTCGAGCAAGTGGAAGCTCGTTTTTATAGGTTTTTTTTTTGGCTATTACAACATGATACTCTTTGATTCCTCCAAAACAAAGATGACTACGACCGAATACGATGTCGTGATTGTGGGCGGTGGCCCTGTCGGTCTCTTGGTGGCATACCAGATGGCACGCTTCGGCGTGTCGGTATGTGTACTTGAGAAGCAGGATACCAAGACGCAGGAAACCTTTGGGCGGGCAATCGCTCTATTTCCCCGAACATTGGAGCAGCTAGATCAGCTCGACCTGATCCAACCTATGCTGCAGAAGGGGTTCGCGTGCCGGGAAAGCGTCACCTACAAAGATGGAATTCAGCAGTAGGATACCCTTACCCTTATGTGTTATCAATTGAGGCAAATGCTGACATTGAGCTACTCTGAAAAAAGGATTCCCGGAAGAGTCTGGACGTTCATGGAGAATATCAAGGGCACTCGATTTGATTTCACTCTCGTTCTCCGACAAATGTATACCGAGGCCATCCTCCGTGAAAAACTAAAGTCCGTCGGCGCCGTCTACTATCAGTCAACAGAGTGCACTGGCTTTGAGATCGACGATGCTGCACCACTCGATGCCTACGGTGTGACATCTCATTTTGTGGATACACAAACTCAAAGGTCTATGACATTGCGCAGCAAATTCATCATTGGCGCGGACGGCGGTCGCAGTTTTGTCCGCAAACATGCTGAGATCCCCTTTGATGGCGATACATCTGAAGACAAGTGGATTCGGATTGATGGCCTCGTGGAAACGGACATGCCCATCAATCGTGCGTATGGGTGAGTTAATCTTGATTTCCTGGTACATGGATTCTAACCAGCCAATTATAAAAGTGCCATCGAAAGCAAATCACATGGAAACATCCTCTGGGCGCCCCTGGATCATGGAGCGACACGCATAGGCTATGCTTACACTGCCGAGATCGCTGCGAAGTATCCCGAGGGAGTGACCGAGGAGGTCGCTGTAAAGGAAGCCATCGAAGGCATGAAGCCATTCGACGTCAAATTCACAGAGGTGCACTGGTGGACACTGTAAGTTGTATCATAGACCCTGCCAATCTTGTCAAAGAAGGAGAAAGGCTGATGAATGATAGGTATACAATTGGACAGCGCATGGCCCGCGATTTCTCGACTAAGGAACGAGTCTTCCTTTGTGGCGATGCCGCCCACACTCACAGCAGCGGCGCCGCGCAAGGATTGAACACCGGTATTCACGACGCAGTGAACCTGTGTTGGAAAATAGCCTCGCAGATCCGTGGCTACACTCAACCAGAGGTCCTGAAGACCTACTCTGCCGAGCGCAAGACTGCCGTTGAGAAACTGATCAAATACGACAAGGACATTTCCCTTCTCATGACCCACAAATGGCCAGCATGGTATGACGGGGATAAAAAAGCTGATCCATATCTCGTCCTTGGAAAGATTTTCGAGCAGGCAGCATCTTTCAACACCGGGTTGGGCATCTCGTATCCTGAGAATATTGTCAATCAGGCTCTGTCGGGGGAACTCGGCGTCGAACCGGGGACTCGATCTCCTGACGCCGAGATTATTGTACCTGGAATCAACCACAAGACTAGCGTCCACCAGGTCGCTCGCAATCTAGGAAACTTTTGGGTCTTTGTATTCACAGGACAGGTGGAATTCACCGGGTCTGCACTGAAAGCACTCCGGAGCTATCTGGAAACCGACAAGGAGCTGTATTCCCATCCAGGTCTGCGGTGGATTACAGTTAGTGCCACCCCCGGGTCCTCGCCTTACGAAGCATTGGGCATGCAACCGTTTGGCGATACGTACTTTGACCCAACCGGCGAGGCCCATGGTGCGTATGGAGTTGACTTCGCTAAGGGAGGAATCGTATTTCTAAGGCCCGATGGGTTAATTGGGTCTGGGTGCGGCCTCAAGGGGACGTCAGTCAGGGAATACTTTTCGAAAATTATGAATTTATAGAAGACTTTCTTCCGTCACTCCCTTTTCTGCTACTGTCACTTCTCTCAAAAAATCAGTAAAATGACTTTCATTTTTCCAATACATCAAGTCCACACCACCTTCGCCGGCGCCTTCCAACCTTAGAACTTCTAGTCTACCTACCTAACCCCAACGTAATCTAGAACATAGGGCTTAACATAAGGGAGGCTTGGGTACATGTATACCATAGACTTTTTAGACATATGGTCGAAAGCTCTACTAGACTTTTACTTATTCCCCTTCTCCTTCCACTTCATCTTTCTTCTCTTCCCTTTTTTTTCTCTTTCTTTTCTATTTCGCTATTTATAAGTTTAGGAAGACCTTTAACCGTTAGATTAATATGATATAACAGAAGGTAGAATACTAGATAGGATACCGAGTAGGATAATAAGTAGAAGACTAAGTTGGAGACTGAGTAGGAGATATTAAATAAAGTAGTCATAAGTTGCAATAAAAGTAGCAGCAAAACATTTATACGATGACCGTTTGATCGTGCCACTCGGAAGCAGTAATAACCCTGCCGTTACTATCCAAGACCTTGGTATCGTTTGAGGGCCGTAAAAGTTCGCAATTGTGTGTCGAGATTTGTTCTGGCCTTCGACGGGGATAATTCGGTGCAGACATGAGCGAAGACGTTTCCCAGAAAGGAACCGAAGGGAGTCGCCAACGTTGATGAGAGCACTTCCTGCGCGGGGTTTCGCTGATTTATCAATAAGAAAACCTCTTTAGGTCTATCTAGACATGTCTCTCTCCTATATCCTAAGACCCTACATATTCCACATCCTCGCGGGGCCCACGTGTCTATAATTAAGAATCTTACTTAACTAGCTATAGAGGCAGCTTAATGAAAGGAATACAAGTTTAGATGAGGCGATGAGATAGATAATGCATTGGGACATGGTGCCTATATATAGCTAAGACTTCGAGCTCGAGTCGCCCGCTATATATAAGAAGATAAGGAATTTTGACCAGACCATCCCAAATAAGATGGCTTTCTCTAGCTTCTTGCGCCTGATGGACATAATGCATTTATTTGGTGACATGCGATCCTCCAGAAACGAGTGCAGCCTAAATATGAATAACGCACTACTACCCATCGCAGAATAAATGGCCTTGTGGGGCCTGTCTTTTTTGGGATGATCTAAGCTGATTGGACGAATCAGGGGTGCTCACTAAGCATTTCTACAGGTCACTGAGCACTCACTGAGCACGCACTGAGCGCGATCACTGAGTCTGAGCCCGTGCTGACGTCTACTCAGTGATCCTGAGCCTGGGGCCACTCGTAAAAGCGGCGGCAGGCCAGATAGGAAAGGCCCCACCCGGCAGACATTATCCTGTCTTTATCGGTGCATATAACGAGTCGAGGTTTTCTATGGAGACATTTGAACTCGGTTGCCCTTTTTGGAACGATTTTAGTCAAAGCAAAAAAATAATATTTAACCTTGGTCTCGTCCTTTTCTAATCGGAATAATCTTTTCAATCACTCTTGATTTAAAAAGAGGTCCCCCTTCATTATGCCTTGTCGCAATGAGAATGAAATCACCCAAGAGCATAATGCAACTTCGGTCCTTTCGAAGGATATGCCGCCTTTTCCTCCCAATTTCGTACCCGTCTTTATTCGAAATCAATTTCGAACGAATCTTGAACTCCCCAACCGAAATACCTTCCCTAGCGCTGAGGGCAAATGTGCTGTCATTACAGGGGCCAACACCGGGCTTGGATTTGAGTCAGCTAGGCAACTGTTGTCGCTTGGCCTATCGCATCTAGTCATTGCAGTGCGGTCTCTCGAAAAAGGCACTGAGGCAGCTGCCAAACTCCAGGCCAGCTCTTCTGCAAAAGTTGATGTCTGGCAACTGGATATGGAGTCATACCAATCCATTGAGACCTTTGTCTCCAGATGCCAACAGGATCTAGCAAAGATCGATTTCGTCATCCTGAATGCCGGCATCAGCCCGATATACTTCACTACCGCGGCCACCGGTCACGAAAAAGCGATCCAGGTGAATCATTTCAGCACGGTGCTACTGGCGGTGCTTTTACTTCCGGTTTTGAAAGGCAAATCGATCGACGGGAACACGCCGCGCCTCACTGTTGTTAACTCCGTCATGGCGCATCTGTGCTCGTTTCCATCCCGGAACATGCGGCCGCTGCTGTCATCTCTTGACGACACAGACATCACTCCGTGGAATCCAATGGATCGATATGGTGTTTCAAAGCTTTTGTGTCAATTATTCATCGTTCAGCTTGCAGAAAGAGTCAGCCCTGATGATGTTATCATCAGCATGGTGGAACCAGGACTAACCAAGGGCACTAGCCTCGCACGGGACGCAAGCGGCCTTATGAGAATTGGCGTGAAGATTTTCAACGGTATTGCTGGTAGACCCGTGGAGAAAGGTGCGGCTACCTATGTTGATGCTATCCTTCGACACGGCAAAGGTTCTCACGGTTGCTTTATTATGAACTTCCAAAATGCGCCGTAAGTGTAAGCCCACCCAGTTCTATGACTACGATTAGCTGATGTGGCTTTTTTCATGGATAGACTTGCCGGTCTGTTTTATAGCGAAGGGGAGGTATTGATGGACCAAGTTTGGGAAGAGACCCTGCAAGAGCTCGAGTTTGCTGGTATTGAGCGAATCCTTGCGTCAATGGACCGGTTCTCAGGAAGTCAAATTTGACCACCATCTCCAAGGTACCAATAATGGAAGGCCAAATGGTATATACTATGACAAAATTCATTGAAATCCAAACTCGAAGGCTTGAAGGTTTTTCGGAAGGACAGACCATCTATCTATTGGGAATTAGTTCCAGTCAATATACATGAAGCTCAATTCGAAAAATAAGCAAACATATCTATGCAACAAAAACCATATTCAGAGTTTCGTCGCAGGTAACCCCGAGACCGGTGCCATAGGACCAGTATCGAAAGACTCCTCTCCATTGAAGTGCCTGTAAAAAGCATTAGTATCAATCCATGCAATAAAAAAATAAGACTCACCATCCCCGCTCAGCACCACCACTCAAAAAGCTACAATCCCCATTTTTCACACAATCCCATCCACCTCCAACACCACTATCCATCCACTCAGGTACACCTCTAGCACGAAAAAGTTCCGTCCCTTCAGCTAGATCATCCGGAGAACTCTTGCGTTTTACATGATTCCCAGCGTCAAGGGTACGCCGCCGAAATGTGCTCAGCCCAGACGTGAACACGAAGAAGTCCTCCTCGGACGGATCCTCTGGCATTCGGCCCGTCAATACACGACCCATCGCAATAAGTGGTGCGGCATGTGAGCAGATCAGTACCGATTTACTAGTTCGTTGCTCCGATGGGGTGTTTGACTCCAGGGCGGTGATCTCAGCGTCTAGATCCGCGATTATACCAGCTAATGCCGTTGCGAGGCGGTTGTGGAGTTGAAGAATCGTCTCACCCTGTCGAGAGGGGTGGAGGATGGGGCTGTAGATGCTTAGGGGATTTTGTGGGACAATGGACGGGAAGTGCTGCTGCATTGTTTCGGGGGTTGGATGAGGCGGGTGTTCAAAGAAGGTTGTTGGGCCGAACCACTCTCTGCGATTATTGTTAGCTACTTTTTTGGAGCCCTGATGTATCCTGTACTCTGGGACGAGGTGCACATGGAGGCGTTAGTGTGATATAAGAGCCAACTTACCCAATGCCATTCTCAATCCGAACTTCGAAATTCGAAGCTGGATCAATAGCGCCTAGGCCTGTCTCACTATCTGCATGTCCTTGGCTTTGTTTCTTTAGCTCTTCAACGGACGGCTGGATTGTCTGCAAGCACCGATAAAACGGGCTGGAGTAGACTCGAAAGGGCTTTGGGTGGAATCCCGGGCTGCCAATATGTGTAGCCAGTTCATGAGATTGGCGTATACCATAGGATGTCAGCGCCGGGTCTGCGGGATTCCCTGTTGGCGTTGGAAATTGTGACTTGTAGATTCCAGTGCGGACATCAATGGTCCAATTGAGACGGTGCTAGTAGTGCGTTAGCTTAGCCATTGGTGGCTCAAAGAGTAGGAGGTATTTTGTAAGAATACATACCCCATGACGAGTGAGATATATAGTGTCAAGCGGCATGGTGGATACAGAATCAAGTAAAGAAGTATGTTGGATGGTAAGTACTAGCTTGTTGCGGGGAAGGATAAGCATATCAGGGGCAGAAAGTGGGCGGTAGGGAGGTGAGCCTCGGCCCGGCAAAGTCTACAGGAAGATGTCCTATGATCTTCTACACAAGCAAACTAAGGTTGACTAGAAGCGCCTAGCATTGGAATGTGAACCATGTACTCTGAAACTATCACGGGTATTCTCCGTTAAATTAGATTACATTCCCAGGGTCCAGCCCAAGTGGCAGTGATTCCAGTCAAAATAACTTTTTTTTTTTGAAATTCGTTTCTAAAACGACTCCATCTAGTAGAAGAAACCGAGGAGCTTGCCAGCAACGTGCTTGCGGCGAGCCTCCTCGTGGTCCATGATACCAGCGGAGGTGGTCAGGACGACGTAACCGAACTGACGGGAGGGAAGGAGCTGGGTAGCCCACTTCTCGACGTCACGGAGCTGGACGGGGTAGCGGGGGTTGATGACACCACACTTGTTGAGACTAGACATGGCATTAGATTGATGAAGATAATGAACATGTGTCATGAAAACTTACCGGCCGTTCAGCTGGATGACGATCTTGCCGGAGCGGTGGTCATCGACCTCCTCGAACTCGCCAATGTAGCCTGAAAGATGAGATGTCAGCATGTTGCGATGATTTAAAAGTCGCCAAATACTGAAAAACGCTTTGGAAACGTGTAAGATCAACGCGTCAATCTATCGGACACTTAAAAGGCAAACGTCGTGGGTTGGTTGAAACAATCCGCCTAGTTATCAGTCCGACTATCCTCCGCCAACACAGAATACATGAAGACGAAACGGGGAAAAGATCAAAGCGTTTTTCAGTAAAGGCGACATTATGCCAACGAGACGTACCGTGCTTCTGCATGACAGTGAGGAACTTGACGATGACCTTGGAGGAAGGACGGATGAGGACCTGGCGCTTGCCAGCCTTCTCGGCGTTGTTCATGGCGTTAAGCGCATCGTTGAGGACGGAGGTCTTGACCATTTTGGCGGTGTCGGAATCGAGATTCTCAAATCGGAGGGTATAAGATAAGAGGTATCTACTTCAACCGAAGTACCGGTTAGCCATCAACTAGTCGTCAAGCGTAAAGAGTGCCCCTTCCTTGTGAAAAGGAGTTCTTCAGCCTGTGCCGGATGGGAGATGCGTATCATCCTGCAGCCCCTGTATCCCCTATGATATTTCAAGTGAAAAGAGGAAAGAGAAATGCAGAATGATTGCTCCCCCAGACTAGCTGAAAGGCTGGTGAGAAGCGAGGGCGCGAAGGGCGTACATACCTCGAGTGACTGTTCCGTCGGGTGTTGGCGTGTCAGGGAATGAAAAGTTCGAAGATGGAAGGTTGGGCTCTGATGACTGTGCGGGTCCGTAGGGTTAGATCCGCTCTTACCCTTATCGTAAGAGTTTTACCCGTAGATCACGTGGTGATAAAAGATTCATGATTTGCTGCCTCAGGCACTTGATGCTCATTCTCCAAGGCAGTCAATGTTTCTATTTCTTTCACAGTAACCAGAGTCAGGCTAGTACGGAGCACGTCCCTTATCATCATCACTTTCTTCTGTCGCAAAAGTAGTTATTAATTTCCTCATGATGGTGGCTCTTAGGGGACCGGACTGATGATCCCGGAGTGCTTTAGAATCACAAGCTCAAGTTATGGGACAAAGTGACCCCCAGGTCCGAATCCCTCCCCAAGGAGAAGCAACTTGACATGGTCAACGTCAATACCGTGCTTTTTCTATCCTCTGACTATCCAGCTCTTGTAAGGTGTAAATATCGGAGTATCTACCAAAATATATAGATTAAGTGGATTACTCTAGCAATTTACAGTTGTACATAGCTAGCTGAAAATTGGCATACAATCTTCAAGTATAGATATAGTCTGTCAGACTTATCGATAGCACCAAACTTAAATCTTCATACAAGGTGTGCAAGTCTCTGTGACGGTTGGGCATGGGAGTTAGGAAGAAGGGCCGGAATATACGTAGTTGTCAAAACGAACAGCTTTTCATGAAACAACTCTTCTTCTGAAAGGGTGAACATGGTTCAAAGGATTACATGATTGGGGATACATGAGTTGGGGTAGGGGAGAATACATGAGGTCTTGGGCTACATGAGGGGGAATGCTATAGGATGCGAAGGGGTCTTGTCTAATTAAAAAGCAGCGTAGGAAAGGGCAAGACAAGAAAAGATAAGAAAAGGTGTTTGTATCACGAAGAAACTAGCACAGGGCATGACGGGAGGGGAAATGGGGATCGTTCGAGGGCGTCATCAAGGGAATTGGGGGTCGACAAAAAGTGCCGAGTGCTGTGGGAGGATGGGAGGGGAATGTCGGGCTTGAATTCTGGGGCAGGGGAAGATGGGCATTGAAGACAAACAGCAGAACAGGTTGTCACCTGCGAGCAAATAGACAAAACCTCACCGTCCATTGGCAGTCCAGGTTGCGCTGGACTTGGGTGGCCTGGACTAAAACCGCAGTTACGGCATAGCCCATCACCGACCCGCCGGCTCGTTCCAACGACTTGAGGTCTTCTTGGAACGAAGCAGCGACGTGGTTCGCTCGTTCACCAATGGGATCAAAGCGGGGGAGTGATTTTAAGCCATACCAGTGCCCATGTTGATTTGGCGCTTGACCTGCTCACGGGTCCAGCGAGCAGTTTCAATGGTACGCGGGCTGTATTGGCGAGTGGCACGGGTCTCACGGACAAGGGTTGTGACCCAGTCGTTGCGGTAATAGGCAGAGATCTCACCGTTGGGGAATGCATCAGCAAGGTCACCAAGGACACCCATGGAGGAGCGCATCAAGCCCTCGCTGCGGTCACCCTCCTTTGAGATGTTGTGGAGCAATGCGAAGATGGACTCAACGTAAGGCTGGAGCTGGGTAATTTGAGGGGTGCCCTTGTAGGAGATAAGGATACCGCCCCATGCATCCATGATACCCTCACGCAGGGAGACAATGTACTCGACCATATCGTATGGGAGGTCAGAGCTAGTGGTGACGGAAGAGGCCTGCTGAAGAACACCCGCAACAACGCTCAAATAGGTGTCAAAGGCGGTTCCAATGGCCTGGGCAATGTCACCGAAAGTCTCCAAAATGGCCGGCTTGAGCTGGTTGGTGGAGGTACGGAGGATGCCAAGCAGGAGGTTCATGAAGGTGTCGCAATAAGGCTGGACCTTCTCGTTCAGGGCACGAGCAATGTCACTGACGAGGCCAATAGCCATGGAGCACAAGGCAGGTTCTTCCTGGTTGCCCAGAGCATTGTACAGGAAGGGAGTGAACGAATCCATGTACTTGATGAAGTCGTCCTCAAGAGCGCTAGCCATGGCACCCACGGTAGCAAAGATAACATCGGGGACACTCGACTTGGGACCAACGGTAGACAAAACCTGGAGCAGGACCTGCATGATGCGGTCGGCCTGGGGCTTGATATCAACCTCGAATCTTTGAACGATGGCAAGAATAACACTGATCAAACTAGTCTGCATCTCCTCCAAAAGCATGCGGTCCTCGGGGCTGACAACCTGCTGCTGCATAGGAATAGTCTGCTCGAGACGCTGGAGAATGACATCTGAGAGAGTAGCAACCATAGGGAGACTATCGTGGGCGGAGTTCATAACGAACGAGTTCAGGACCTCGTAACCGGCAGTACGGAGCTGGTTGTCAGCATCCTGACGCTCGGTCACGGTCAAAAGAGACTTGATGCTGTCCTCGAAGTGCTTGGAAAGAGGGTTGGTCTGGGAGCCACCATCGCCAGCAAAGCGATCGGCAACATTCATCAGAGCCCAGCAGCAGGAGCTGGCAATCTTAGGGCTGCTGGCAAGGCCGTTGAAGAGGCAAGAAATCAAGGGCTGCAGGTGGACCTCCGGGTCCAGAACCTCGGGGCAGCACTCGCAGACGCGGCCAAGAGCGTAGGCAGTAGAGTCACGGACAAAGACTGAGTTGTCCTCCATCATGCCCAGAAGAACAGGAAGAGCCTGCTTAATCAAAGGCTCTAGAACTGAGGGCTCAGGGCCGTCCATGATAGCACCGAAGGCAGCCACGGCAGCATCCCGACGACGCCAATCCTCGTTGCGGATGTTCTCTTCAACAAAGGCAACAACGGGCTGAATAACATCACCTTGAATGCACTGTGCGTACAGCTGCAGAGCCTGGTAAGCAGCACGCGAAACGTTGTACTCGTCATCAGTCGCATCCTCATCTTGGCGGCACATAGTCTGCAACAAAACAGGGACGACCTCGCGGGTAGCCACGCGAGCGAAACCAAAGAAAGGACGGGCCTCGGTACCTTCCTGGGCAGCCTAAATAATCGCGTTAGTCGGGATAGGTGAAGATTCGGCGGAGTCGGATCGCTTGATACATACCTCGGCATTATCGTCCTCAATAGACAGCTCCTCCTCACAGACAGTGCACCAGAACTCAATGGCAAGCTTGGAGACCTCTTCCTCCTCGCTCTTCATACCCATAATACTGAGTCCAAACAGCGCCTTCTCCATGTAGAAGCGCATCTTATCGTAGTAGGCGCCCATAATACGGTTCAAGCAGCCAAATGCAGCAGCCTGCACACGGACCTCCTCGGCCTGAGTAGCCTCGCAGACGACCTGCATAATGTAGTTTCGCTCTCCCTCGTTGTCCATGTTAGAGCGCACGAAATCAACGGCGTCACTGAGAGCAGCAATAGCAGCATAACGAACGTCCATGTTGGGCTCCTCGCGCCGAGCACCCTGAACAACGGCGGTCAAGATGGCATTTGAGTGTGCGATCAAACTCTGGCGGAGATCGGCATCTTGAGACTCGCAAATGAAACCGATGGTGGCCAAGGAGGACTGCTTCAAGTTGTCGGATCCGCTTGCGACGTTCTGGACCAGGATATTCATAAGATCGGGCCACTCATTGCGGGGCAACTCGATGGCGGCAATAGAAACGACCAGCTGGGCGGCGGCATTTCCAACTCGGGTATCGGATGCCAATGTCTTGATGGCAAGCTCCTTGACCTGTGCCTTGGTCTCTGTGGGAATTTGTTGGATCCATCGCTGCTGCACCTCACGCAACTTGGCTGTGTCTTTGTAGGTGAAAGCGTTCTTCAGGGCGATACCGGCAGAAACACGGATGTGGGAAGGGGTGTTATCGTTGGCTAGTTCCTGGCCCAGGGTAACAAGGTAGGCAGCCTAGAAGGGAGAAAAACAGATGTTAGCGGGCGGGGGGTTCTCGGAGTTGGCAGGATATCATCTATCCTCTTCCAGGGTTTAGAAAAACAGGGTAAGAGGGAGATCACTTACAAAGTCGACCTCCGCGGCGTGGGCGAGCTGCTGCTCAGCGTTGGAACGTGCCGCCGCATCTGATGAAAGATGGTCAGGTCAGCAGAAGGCTCTCGCAGCCGGGAAATTCCTAGAGATTTCACAAAGTGACTAAGGAAACCAAGATAAGGCACTTACCAGGCGACAGGGTGCTTTCTAACACCTGACGAGCATCCATGGTGGATGGCAGTTGAGAAGAGATGTGGGGGGGTAGGAGGGTGGGAGAAAAAAAAAGAAAAAGCTGGAAGAAAAGAATTAAAAGACTCTTGGTGCGCGAGAGTCAACGAAAATCAGTAGCACACAAGTCACAGTCCACCAAAAAGTGTGGGTATGTGATGGAAGGAGAGGAAGAGGTTTGTTAGGTGTTGGGAAGGGACGGGGTGTTTTTGTGGATATGACGAAGCATGCACCAGGTCTTTCCACGATGAGACACAGAGGGAAAGGTGCCTTCAATACAAGCCTAAATGTAAAGAAAAAATGTAAAATATTTAGGCAGTCACTCCGTAAGATAAGATAATAGGAGTTTGAAAAGGTTTTTAAGAAAGAGATAGGATAATCTGGACGACAGAAAGAACAGGATGAGGGATGAAGTTCATGGGAATCGAACTCTGATTGGTCAGTCAGCGGGATGAAAGCCTGATTCACGTGATACAAACCTCAGGCAAATAATTTTTGTTTCTTTTTTTTTCGTTTTTTTCACTCGAAATTCATCATTGACTAATCAGTGATTTACTCCTGCATGAACTTAGTAACTACTCTGTACAATCCCTGTCGATTTAAATGGTTCCAATCCCATTGATATCTTCATATACAATCAGATTATCACGCACCTCGCCCATAATATAATGATATAATGGTGTTATAGTGTCGGCTGATAGACTTTGTTTCTCTTTGTTATGGGGCTTTGCCCCTCCATGAGAGTTCTGCTTGTTTTGGTTTTTCTCCTTGAAGAAGCACCCACAGTCCATCGTGTGGCCCCAGCGACCGATCCATTTAGCCCTGGCACACACAAGGCGCAAACTATTTTTTTTCTAGTGGGGAAAATCCTAACTTGGTGCCTGACTAGTGGATGTGTCAGAAAAAATTGTGGACAATATTTCTAGAACAGTCTAGGGAAAGGTAAGGGACGCAGATAGTTCAGAAGATCGTCATCAAGTGCTATTATACTTTAGAGCTACAGAGCTAGATTATGTCGTCATCTATTGTGCATGTATCTATGTACATATTGAGAATCAGGCTATTCTTTTGAATATCCCTCTCAAGTGATCTCATGAGAAGGACCTAGGCACCAATGAGAAAGTCGCTAATGCACATTGTATCCGAGTCCAGGTACCAAGATGACTCAGATGAGTGCTACAATTGAAGCGATCTATGTGTCTACTATATTTAGCCTTGGAGGTTGTATGTACCTTCTAGCCCTGGTAGTAAGTGCTTAGCACGGTCAAATCATTTGATTGTTGGAAACAAAGTGCTTGGAATCTGTAGCTGATGTCCATTCATGGATGTAATATTAATTTTAAACGCCTACCAAGGTATAAGTCTATTGATCATTCTTCCTCACTCTCATTCTCATCCTCTTCCTCCTCTTCCTCGTCCTCCATAGCAGCATCCAAGTCCAAAACATCATAACGCATCGCATCACCATATAACACACAAACCGCCCTCCTCCCCTTCCGCCCATTAACATCAATCCTCATGGGCTTCGCCTTCAGCCCTGATGGCGCAAATACATGCCTCACCATTCCGGCCTCAGACAACGCAGACACGTTGAGTGATGTGGCTGGTACACTAGGCTTCGAGTCAGAGGGATGCGGGTCGCACGGTACAAATTCAAGCACACTCGACTGGTCTCTTTTAGAGAATTGCGCAGAGTGGGGTTGGAAAGGGAGATTGAGGAGATAGGAGGAGCCTGGAGTAGACCAGAGGATCATTAAGGTGTCGTCGGCGACGAATTGGAGTTGTTTGATTTCGCCTTCTTGGAGGTCAAGTGTGGCGATAGAGGTGTTTCGTGTGGAACTGACGCCATTGCTGGAGTCGAGGATGACGCGGTAGATGTAGACTGTGCATGTGAGTTTCAAGATTAGAACATGGTATATACGAGTGGAGCATACCTAGAGACTTAGATGTCGTAGACCGAGCTGTGACGTAAATAGAACAGGGTCGTCCCTCTTCGCCGTCCTCATGGCAGATCTTGACATCTAAAATGCTTTTATCACAATCCGCATGGAGGGTAAGGGGTGATCGATGCAGAATGCCTCTTCGCTGTGTCAATGCGATCTCTGCGAAGACTTTGTCAAACTGGATTCCCAGTCGTTTTGTGAGGTCATTCAGTTTCGGTGCATCAACGGTCGTCCCATCGCCTCCTTCGGCTTGGACATGACGCTGTTGTGCAAGTAATGATTTGACTTTATCATAGAACGATCGATCGTGGTCGCCAGGAAGCCATTTGTCGGTGGCAGGTGTAGGTAGTTGAGGAACACCGATCATGGGAAGTTGGCGGATGAAATTTCGGAGGACACTCTTGCGGAGTGCACCTGTGATGTATTTCACTGTAGGTGGAACGTCAAATAAGTCTCTTTTCTCGAGGAGCTCTTCAGATGTCTGAGACAAGGGTTCGGCGTTTAAAATGAGGATTTCGTGTTTGAGCCATCGCGAGAATGCATCGAACTGGTCCAGCTCTTCATTCGCGTTGTTGAGAATGCAATGCGCGATGAGGTGTAGACAATCCAGCGTCTCAACGATGGCATTGAGCTTGTGAGTATCCAGACCGAGCACGTCGCTCAACTTGGCGAACTTTGATAATCCCACGAGTCGGCTCAGGAGAATCTGGCTCCGTTCTAATGCAGGAAGAAGGCATTCATGGGTTAGTCGACGGATACTCTCATATCCACCCGAGACAGCCTTTTCCCATCTTTTATGTCCCTGTAGCTAATCGTCAGAAAGCTCTTATCACAGGAATGGTTATGCATACCCGTTCTCCCACAATATCCACCAAAAACTCCTTCATCGGCTCAAAACAATGCCCAGTAACCACAAGATGATAGATGGCAGTGACAAAATCACATTGACACTTTTCCTGTAAATCCTCATTGACACTCCGCAGGAACCGCGCCGGAAGCTCCTGCGCGTTCTTCCACTCCAGCTCAATCTGCCGCTGCACAGAACCAATATACCGAAGTAGATTGTGAAGCTGAGTCGTTTTCGACGCGAGCAATGACAAGTACCGACCAGACTTCGTGATGAACCGAAGATCAAGCGTAACAAGATCAACAGGCGCGTCAGACGACCCGGACGCCAACAAGGCATGCGTCGAGCTCAAAGGATGCGATGCATGACGAAGAATCCGTCGCGACTCAGCAACACCCACCGTCTCCCCAACAGGAAAATTGCCAATCTCAAAGCAGTCAAAAATCCGCAAATGAACGCTCCCATCATCGAATCCGATAAACAACACATCCACCGAATCACTTGCATCCTTCGCCGAAGAGTGAAACATAGCATCGATCGACGCCCGCGAGCTGAATAGATCATCCTCAGCCCCAGTCGCAGGTAATGTGCTCAGCTTCGGCAACGAGCTCTCAATATCAATTAAAGCGAGTTCCCTCGGTAAGTCCGCCTTCAGCATAGCAGCCGCCTTAGAGGGATGGATCCCTGGCGCTAGCAGATCCTCAACACTAACCTGACCAGCCGAGTCAAGGAGACGTTTCTGGGCAGCGTTGCTATCAGTGAAATTCACTCCCCAGCCTAGACATGTCACTTTTGGAGAAACAGGAGCATCCGGACTCGAAACCTCCGCGCGGTGAACGGGGAAATGATGCACAGTCTTCCCACTATACGCGCTGATAATACGTAGAGTACCATCCCCACACGCGACAGCAAGCAAACGACCTAGAAAAGTAAGGTTCAACATCAAGTGCAATATCGGCTGGTTCGGATTGGTACTAACCATTCCCCTTCCACGCTACAGCTCTCACTTCCCCGTCCTCCTCATCTTCGCCAAGGTAGGGATCACCCCCGAATGAGCCCCCAAAAACACGTTGCCCGTTCAGTCGGAAGACGCGTAGTTCTTCGTCCTCGGTCGCTAGCGCGATCAGATCCATTGTTGGACAGTAGGCCAGGGTGTTGGGTTTACATTTTGCCGGGAGGGATTTCTCCCCGACGGGCGTGAGTTGGGGGGCTTCTTCTGTCATTATCGTGAATTAATTTTGGGCGATCGGACTCAATCAGCCCATTCTGGTTTGGATGTGAGGTTGTTGGAGTCCCTTGGGTTGGGATGGGATTTGGTGAAGTTGTTGATCGCGGTTAAGCGTTCTTGGCGCGCTGAATGTTTTTTAGCGGGTGCTGCTGTCCGCTGGACTGCAGGGTGATTTACTTGAAATGATCAAAGCAACCATGATCATACAGTCAATTCATACTGTACTTCTCAATCAATACTGTGCAGGGGTTTAGTTGAAGTTTTTTTTTATTCGCTTCAGTGTTCATTCTTCGCACGTCTTGTGCTACTTACTCTATATATCTACACTTAAATATGTTCTCGGTGACCAACACCTACTTGCAGTGATTAACATAACTCAAAAGGGTTCGCCGTCCATCTCAGCCTGGATCATATTCTTCAGGTAACTGAGTTCATCCATGATTTCCTGCATGGTTGCCTTCCCGCGGAAGGAATCAGCATCGCTACGCCGAGAATGCGTCCCCGAATCGCGTCGGTCATTCTCTGACAGAAGAATCGGGGACCCGTCACGACTCTCTGTCAGGGAAAGCGCTTGCATGGATTCCAGCGCACTGAATAACGCGGCGTGACGTTTCGGGTTGCTTTCTACTTCATCCATTTGGTCGATTCCGAGACCAGAGCCGGAGAAATGAGGTGAGGATAGGGAGACTGTGAGTTGTGGCAGCCACGGAGGGATATCACCCGATGCTGAGTTGGGGGACGAGGGTTTGGAATTTACAGTGAGGTGGGGTGTGTTGGGGTCGGTATTGGTCGCAGTGTCGTTGGGTGTGAGATCGGGAGTTCTCCATTCCTCTGGGGCTGGAGACTCTTGGGACCCACGGGACTCGAGGTGGAATGTTGAAGTGGAGATCATCGACTGAGGGGAACTGTCCTCGGTCTCTGTGTCGGTGCTCCATTCCGAGAATCGGCTGTGTTCGGCCACGAAGCGGGAATTGGTAAAGTCATCCGCGGTCATGCTGGAGAAGTGGCTATGTAGCACTGCTGCATCTAATGCTTTGTCGCGTTCATCGATAGCACGCACAGCTTCATCCATAACGGAAGAAGGTGTGTTGGGAAGGGAGGGCAGTCTCTTATCGCTGATATCATGCCCAGTAGGCGTCAAGTCGTCAGAGCCGCTCCTAGCATGCGCGCGCACCCTATCGTTTGGCCCTGAACCCGAGCCAGATGCAGCCATTTGCCCATTGGGCTTGCGGTGCTGGGGACGAGTCTCCACGGTGAGCAGATTTCGAGCTTGGGAAGCGTTCCCTGCCTTTGCCTTGAGTGCACGACGGGTCTGAATGCTTGACATAGCATTGTCGGAATGGCTGGTTGACGGACAGGCCGGCCCAGAATTGACGCAAATACCAGGAATATCGCGGCGCTCATTGATTGGGGCCTTTTGACGTAACGCTTCATTGAAAGCTTGCGCTCTCGGGGATGGCCCAGGTCGCTTCTGAGTCAAGGCATGGCGAAGGCCAAGACCTCTCGGAGGAGACGCTGAACGTCCCTCTTTCGACTTATCCTGTTTCCGGGTTGCACTATTCGGCTGAGATGCACTCCGATGGAGAAAGCTCCCGCCAGGCGAGACGCTGGGGGCATTTGATGATTGCGTGGGATCGGGGATGGAAGTTTGAAGACGAGCCAAATTGGGCTTTGGTGGCTTGCGCGGGTTCATATATTTGTCTTCGGGGTTCATCGTGCGGTAGTCTTCTTTCTGCGAGCTGCCACTGGCAGAGCGACCATGGCAGTGGCTATCCGGTAGAATGATGGGCACGTTCAAAACATTGATAGGTTGGCCCGGCAAAAGAGGACATTTAGTGGTGACGGGTTCGGCCTTGTTATAGGACTCCACGTCGTCATTCAATAGATACTATTGAGATTAGAGGCTTATTCATATGTTCAGGTCTTGACGACTCACATAATACCAGTAAGTGGCTCCCATTTTCAAGCCACCCGTGCGCCATTGGTTCTTATCGGGCCCATCGCCCATGATATCAGTAAAGGTATGACATCCCTTCCAGTGGCCTGGGCCGGCACGCCTGTCCCTTTCCATCACATAAGGGTTCGTAAAATTGTCCCATGATCCGAGTAGTTTTACCGACCAAATATCGGAATTGGTGGTCCTAAGCCAAATCAGCATTGTTCGATATCTATGACCAAGACATACTCACAATAGAAAAGTCATCAGGGTAGTCGATCTCATCGCAATGCAACTCGCTCAAAAGAAAGAATCAACGGGCCAGCAAATGCACCCAGAAATGAAGGACAAAGGACAATGAAAGTAATGTGCAATGAAAATGCTAGCGAGTGTGCTCAAAGATGGAGTCAAAAAGAAAGACTAAAACAACACCAGTAGTATACAGAAAGGAAATGCAATGCAAAATGCAACAAAAAGAAAGAAGAGATAACTTGAAGAAAAATCCCCGAGAGCGCAATGCAAGGAATATAAAGGTGACAAGAGACCGGGCCAGCCCAAAAAACAACAAACAGTTTCTATAATTACCCCTAGAGATCAACGGTACCTGTTTCAGACAATGACAGGTCTATTAATGGCGTCCAAGAGCCGTTTCAGTGGAGCTGGACAGCGCCCATTGCCCGACCTGACACAGGGGCAGAACGCGGATGCTTCAGGAACCGCGAGAGGGTAGGCAACTGAATGTTGGCAGATGTGTAATTTCCCGGCACTGGGAGGGCGACAAGGTAGACCAATGGGCGGGCACGAACGCGAAGCGCCCGGATGTACCTGCAGGAGGACCAGGTTCCCGGCGCTTCGACCGAATTGGATTGGTTGGACTGTCGGATTTGTGATTGCACAAGCACTTTGTAGTTCTTGTTTGAGGTGATTCTAGGCGATGTTGTGAATCTTTGAGCGGAATGTTTTGGTCGTGAAATAGGAGAAGGAGAGGGTTTTTTTTTTCTCGCGGTGACGCGCGATCGGCACTGCGGGGAATATTGAACTGTGAGGGCTATCAATGCCGATCGGAGGATTTTAATTAGAAGAAGTCAGTAGCACTTGATACGAGTGGATCCTTTTGCAGATGGTTAATTTGAAAAATAGAGCGTTGCATCATTAGAGATTGGTGTTGAGAATAAGCTGAATCGGATGGATCGGGTGAAGGTTGGGGAGATTATCATCTACAGTCAACCAACCATGGTTCGATGCTTCAGTTGTTTACCACTACGGAGTACTTTGGAAGTAATTTAATATGATTTCCTTAACGCGTCAGCTCTGATGACTCTACGGTCTACCCACTTTATATTTACCTGAATTACATTTACCTAAATATACAGAAAGGGTTGAATTCGTTCTCCTACGATTTGGGATCGACCCTGCAGGATCCACCCCAGCGGTTCCTGAAATTGTGTGGCGCATTTGAGTTATCATATCTCCTTTGAGGGAAAACATTGGAATAGATCACTTAGAAATGAACATTAAATTGAGAATTGCTAGTAAATCTACACCATCTTCCGATCCAACTTCTTATTCACAGCGCCCAAAACACACTTCAAAATCCCTTCTGCGTTCAATGTCCCCGTAGACCCTCGCCAAGGTACAGTATCCACAATATCCCTCAAATTCCCATCGTCACACTTACCCAAATCATCATCCAACTCCTGTAAATAAGCCATCGCTTGTTTATCATTCCCAATTTGGAAAAATTGAATCCCAACCTGCCACGGTACCGCCATACACTGCGAACTATCCAAAATCCTCGCCACCTGCACAATAACACTTTCCGCATCATCCGAGAATGCCCCATCGGTGATCGTAATAATATTCACCGGCTTCACTATCTTCTCGGCATCAGAATAGGTTCCATCGGGGTCCCGAGATGTTTGCATCGCCTGTACACGTTGCATGTAAGGTGCTAGAATATCGTGCAGTCGTCTCCCGACCATAGTGCCTCCACGCGGAGTAACACTGCTGAAAATTTCGCGGACTTCTTGTGCGCTTTTGATGTTCTCATAGGCACCGCTTGAGTTGTTTGCGTGACTGGATTGGAAATAACTGTTTCTTTCGTTTCGGTGGTTGAGGAAGTAGAGGTCTATTCCATCGCTGTCGTACTGGGTGCATATTGGTGCGATGGCTGCGATGGCGGCTTCGGCTTCTTTCCAGCGAGGTCCGTACATGCTGCTGCTGTCATCTACTAGGAAGATGGTATCGAAGCTCCCGAGGAAGCTCAGTGGATCGTCTCCAGAGATCCGTGGTGGGGTGGGTCGGCTTTGGTGTTCCTCGTAGGCTGGGGGGTCCCAGGGTGTTGCTGTGGAGCTTGAGCTGAAGATGTTGTGGGATCGACTGATGGTGTTGATATTGGGCTCCTCAGAATTCTTATGGCCCCTGAAGATTGAGAAGCTGCGACCCATTCTGCTTGGCTTTTTGCAGTTTGTAGTTTTAGCTTGGGTTTGTCCAGTCGGTCTCTTAGAAGGGAAGGAGGACCAGAGTGGAGGGGAAGTGGTTTGTTCAAATAGAGACATGATTTTGATATGTCGGTTACCCAACTTGTGTTGCAATGTTGATGAAACTGAGTGGTTGGGATGGGGATCTTGTTGTCTCCAGTGGTCTTCTCTTGTGTTTTATAATGAAGAAACTATGTAACAATGAAATGTATCCTCGTTCTTTATAAGCTAGGTCATGGCACGGCACAGTGAAACAAGGCTGTCAAAGCCGCTCATGAACGCCTTAAGTCAGCTGAGTCGCAATTCTAATAAGTCAAGCCTCGTATTGAACTCTATGTTGTTAGATGATATGCATATCTTCTCGTGGCCGGGGCCCTGGGGTGAAATACAGAACCCTGGATCCATGGATTAGAGTATGGCAAGGCTGAATGTGTTCTAAACTGGCTAGCATCAATACAATACTCTAGAGCTGGAAGCGATAGGGCTATGCACGGATCTCACGGAATTGGCGCCAAAAAAATCCAATTGAGATATGCCTGAGTCAAGGCCTATGTCTCACGAGGCGGAGTTGACGCGCACAGCCCCGCATGAAACCAATGACCCCGCAAGGCAGAAACACGGGGGAAAGAAAATAAACCAATAAGAGAATAAACATTCAGAGAAATTCTAAGTGGTCAAAAAATTGAATTGTCATACTTTCTAGGAATAACTAGTCATGGAAAGAAATTGGTCATAATCATCATATTCAAGCGCCCCAAGCGTTTTTCGCGTTCCGAAGACTCCGCCCCAAGCAAACAAAAGAAAAAGCAAACAATGGATAAAGCGCAATGCAGAGTCCCAGGCCTCAGAATGTTTGCATAAGGCCAGGTGGCTGGAAAGAAAAGTTTGTCATGTCGGAGGGTGACAAGGTTGATAGCCCAGGTACCTCGGTGATCCGATTTTGCTCTTCTTCGCGCAAAATACCCGGGTCTGCTGCAACGATGTCCATCAGTGCCAGGGCTTGGTCCAGACCATAGGTATTGCCAACCATGCGCAGACACTGCACCACCCACCGACGAAGCGGGTGGGTTGGTTTTTCCGCAGTGCCAGCTAAGTACATTGGCCAGAGAAGAATTAGGCCACCGAGATAGCTATCTGGTGGAGGTAGGGATGGGTCCGATTTATTATGGTGCACACCTAGGCAGAAGGGCACACTGCGACAGATGTCCACTGCAAGGCGATGAATGGTAGCCCGGAGGGTCTGGCATTGTTGTCGGAACTCCTCTGAGAGTGCTCTCATTGATGACGAATCGGACATGTTTCGGACGTGGGTCAAGATCATCTCGCTGACAATAATGCGGGCACAGCGGTATTGATTCCATGAATTGCAAACCCAGAGATTGGGGTATACATGGTACTGTTCGTCGTATAAAGCTAGTCCCCGACACTGCTGCTGGAACTGGAAGTCAAAACGATCCTTCTTGTGGACTTCGTAGGAGAAGCCGGGTGGTAAGCCGGCGAGCCAGGCGATCAGGTCAGCTTCAATGGCCGACGCCCCCGCGATAATTTGTTGGTCATCGGTTATTCTGTGTGCGATTATATCGGCCCGAAGGTTCGATAGCCGACCGACAATGATGATTAATCGATTACCATAGGCCTCGCTGGGACGGAGGTCTAGGATATATTTGGAGCCCTCCAGGAGAGACTCGGGTACTCGGGTGTCTCGTTGCATACAGCTGATAATCTGCGGAGGTTAGTAGCGAACAAAGAACAGAAAGCAAGGGAGACGGACAATCTGATACCGCAGGTGCATAAAAAGACGAAGGCCAGTTTCAGTCTTCAGTTGATCGGGACCACGCATCTCCAGGAGGGCAGTAGCTCCGTTTATATGGTTAGTCCAGAGATCAATATCCTGCGGGGCTCTTGAAGTGACAACCTGTGCGAGGTGGGTCAGTGGTAATGTCCATTGAATCCTTCGATGCACTTACTTCGTATATGGCAAGCAGCACGACCGCTCCGAGGGCTTGATTGGACTTGGCCTCTTCTGGATTGGCCAGTGCGTCATTTAACAGTGTTAGTGCAGAAACATATTCTTTTCGTGCGACCTCCATGAGCGAGGTCACTTTCTGAACCCTGCACAGCATTGCGGACGCCACTGCGTTGATACTTGCCTTCATGGCGCACTGACTTATCGGTCCATCAGACTGCATCATGAATCTGCCCATCATGTCGGATGACCAAAATGCGCCCGGGAATGAATGAGAGCGCATAAAGTAACATAAGGCATCTTCCTTGGTTGGGGCCAAAGGCTGCACTTCCATAGGAACATCCCATGCATTCGGTACGATATACTGTGGAGTTGCGTTGAAGCCGAACCGCTGATTTGGCCCCGCTGAAAGGTTAATGGGGCGCAGAGGATTCCATTCTAGGGAAGCTGTGCGGTTCCCCTCTGGGGAAGTAACGCGAGGCGACCGTGTTGTCTTCGATTTGGCGGACTTGACTAAGCCTGCTCTTGAATCCTTTGCCTCCGCTTTCGCTTTCCTTGCCACTGATTTGCTTTCGTCGCGGAACATTAATGATAACTGGTCTCGATAGCCGGGGCATTCCCGCTTGGCCCTAACGCACTGCGAGCAAGCCGGTTGGGCCTGATCGCATCGGACTTTGCGAGTCCGGCACTGACCACAGCCTTTGCTGGGCTTTCCACAGTAAACCATGATAGAGGGGCTCAGGCTGTTTATCTAGATGATTAATTTAGGGGAAGAAGTTGATATTAATATTGTTTGGGGGCCATGAGGGCATTAAGGCTGCACCGCCACTTGGCGTGATTTGTGTCCGTTGGGCTGACCCCACCTCTCCGCACTTGACCATCCAATCAACTTACAGAGATAGAACCAACATGTCCGGATTTGGAATACAGCGCGAGATAGAATCGAACGTCGTGAGAAGCTTGACCCTGGAAAAGAGCATAAACGATGATGCCTGGACGATATTTTCAGCTGAAGCCATTATATTCGGCGAAGCGACTGAATCTCCGCCTGCTGCCTAGATACACTGCCACCATCCGGCCTGTGACGTACACTTCAATTAATGCTCGATGTCATATTGTGCAGAAGACGACCTTCAGGTATGCATCTATTGGTATTGGAAAGGTAAAGTATGTGGTATCGAGGTATCTAATCTGCTGTAAGATCATTCACTCCACCTTGGAAGGCGTTTGCTCATCAATTTCCTCAACTCGCGATCTCAAACTCTTCAACTTCCACAATTCAAACATTCTCCAACAAACATAGTCCACCACCCATTCACCAAACAATGTCGATCCCCACCACAACAACCATGCCAATCCACCATAATAGAACCAGTCCGGTCTCCCCACCCAGCTCCGGACAAACCACGGCCATTCACTCTTCAAAGAATTCGCCACGAGTTCTTTTGAGAATGAATCGGTATCATATGGACTGTTGTTGTTGACGAACGTTAGACGCCTCTGAAAAACGTCATTGATAGGTTGATAAACCGAGTTCGCAGGCAGAGATCTGTGCGCCCTATTGTGAATATTGGACTTCACCGTGCCGACCATGCAAACCATCACTCTTACGCCAAGAGGGCGTAGCTCTTGACGCAAAGTGCGACTGTAACTAACAATGGCACCTTTGCTAGCACAGTAAGCACTTCCAAAGGCATATGGGACAAGAGCTGACAAAGAGGCAACGTTGATAATCAAGCCTTGGGCTTCAATCAAGAGATCCGAGAATGCAGCCACCATTGCCATTACACCAAAGACATTAGTCTCGAATGTTGTCCGTACGTCTTGAATATCCAGATCTAGAGCAGGATGCGTGTGTGTACGACCACTTGATGAAGAACATGTTAGCAAAGACGTGATACTGGTTGCGGAGATTTGATCTTACGCATTATTGACGAGAATGTCAAGTCGTCCTCCGGTTAACCCAGCAACAATTTTGTGGCAATTTTTGATGCTGATGGGATCTGTCACGTCAAGTTGGACGGTGCTCATCCCCAGTGCGGCTAGTTCTTTCAAGACTGATAGATCACGAGCTGTGGCGATAACATGAAGACCTGGAATAATGTTAGTAGCTGAACCGCCTTCTTTAGTCATTCCAAGCACCTTGTTTGTAAAATTCATGGCAAAGACCATGACCGATGCCACCAGGTGTACAACTAAAATGATGTTAATAATTGTCATTCAGCATGATTACACTTGCGCTGACCCACCCTGTGACAAGGACTGATTTCTGTCCAAGTCGCTCTACCATTTTGCACCGTATACGTAGCTTTGCTAACTCGAAGATATCTTCAGTCGTGATTGAAGCAACGGAAGATTAAGGTGGTGAGCTGCAGGATGTGAGCTCCGTGTTCTCTTGCCAAGTAATATGTGTCTTTATGAGAGATATTACAGGATTCTTACATCGCAGCTCCTGAAGTACTTTTTACTCCGCAGAGATATACGGGGCTGTCAAATTGGGGGACTTCAACTGTGTCGATCCTTTCCTGAACAAGCAAGGAGCTGAGGAATTGCGTGGTTGACTTTAAGATGCTGACTGGTGAGTCGGAAATTGAAGATTGAAAAAGTCAAGAACTTTAATAGCAACATGTAAGCATCAGTATATTGCCTATCTTGGTAGGTGCTTGACTAAATGGGTATGATAGTTTTGATAATAGCCCCCGATGAACTTTTACCTGAAAAAGAACAAGTACATGCATTGGGGCTGTAAATATGGACCCCAGTTTCAGAGGCACTTACCCCGATATTACAATACGAGCGGTGATTCTGGCCTGTGATATGGACAATACTGTGAAATACAAAAACCAAGCTAATCCACATTCGGAAATCAAATATAGACCCCATCTCCATATCGGACTATGATCCTAAGAATGAAGTCTTCTGGTATTCAACTGGCTCCTTTAGTGCAAGTCCACGATTGGGTCAACATGTCCGGAAAACTGGGGGTTTCACATTCTTTTTCGCTGTAGCAATCGTTGATTTGACGGCGTCATCGGAGCCTTGCTCCTTCCTGTTTCAACCACATCTTGGACCCTAATTCCAACTCTCGTGTGATTTTTCTTAGATTCCCCAGGCCGAAGGAATATGGAACTAAAAATATCTGAAGTAAGACGATGAGAATATAAACCTCGCTGTCCGCCAAGGTAGCCAAGTCTGCCAAGTTAGTCCAAGCTATTCAAAAATTTCTAGACCCACGTCTTTACCAAATTCGCACCAATGGCATCCATCAACACTCATTCAGTATCATTCAAGCCTCTTCACCCCACAATTGGCGCCGAGTGCCATGGAATCGACTTCTCCAGACCGTTGCCAGAAGAAGAGATCCAGGTCATTCGTGATGGCATGGCCAAGTACGGTGTCCTTGTCTTCCGTGGAGCCCAGCTCGATGACGCACGCCATGTAGCCTTTGCTCGTCAACTTGGCGAGCTCGATTCATCCACTGTTTTCGTAGCTCCTGGCAAAAAATATCGCCTGGATCCTTTCACCGAGCTCACGGACGTGTCCAACATCGAAGACGACGGCTCGCTTCTTCAGACAAACAGCCTCAAATACCAACTCGGCCAAGGAAACAACCTTTTCCACGTGGATTGCTCTTACAACAATCGCCGAGTGGGACTGTCCATTCTTCGCGCCCATCAGCTCCCGCCCAAGGGAACTGGCGGCGGTACCGCATTTGCCGATACCCGAACCGCATACGATGATCTCGATGCCGAGACAAAGGAGAGAATCAACGATTATGTCCTGTGGCATTCTATCTGGCATAGCCGGCGTCTCGCCGCGCCGGACTGCGACTTCCTGAAGTATATGCCCGCGGAGAAGAACGCGATGGCTCGTCACAAGCTGATTCAGCTGCACGAGCCCAGTGGAAGAATGAACATGTACATCGCCGCACATGGACACCACTTTGATGGATGGACGAAAGAAGATAGCCAGCCTGTTATCAAGGCTTTGCTGGATCACGCTACACAGGACAAGTACACTTTCACAATTGATTGGGAGAATGATGGCGATATTGTCATTTGGGTAAGTTGAGCCACACTGAATTCTGAATTATGCTAATATTAATAGGATAACACATGCGTTATGCACAAGGCAGCTGGTGGCTCCTTTGCGGGAAAGTATGTTCGTGATATGAGGAGGGCTACCCTGCTCGATTCGTCATCGACTGCCTGGGGATTGAACCCGAAGACGGAGACTGAGGATCTCATGTCGGACTTTATTAAGGGATATATCGCTGCGAAAAAGCAGGCTGCCATGGCTGCTATGGCTCCTGAGAAGGGAATCCCAGAGAAGAAAGAAGGTATCATCATTTGAATAAAGAAAACAGATTTTGCTACGATTTTTATGGATTCTAGCCCTTTACTTCAACTTGTGATTTCGATGAGGTGTTAGCAAGTTGCAGCAGTTTGGTTTTTGCTGATTACCTATTACTATACTATATCAGAGGTTTCCTGCTAAATTGTTAAAAATGAGTCACCTAGAAGAAATATCATCTAGTGCCTAAATGGTGATATTGGTGTGGTCATAGCACTAATCTATGAGTATGCAAGAAGCATAGGCAACAACAATAGCATCTACGACATTCAATATGTTCGAGACCGTTATACCTGTCTGCCTGGTCAGGGTCCAGGCGTACGGTTTAGATTATGAAAATAAGACTATGATTGGTTGTACTTAGGGCTACCCCGCACTCAGAACAATGATAGCTTCTCGGAGATATCCGTGCGCCATTGCAAGGTAGGCTTGGCGTTCGCGCCATGCTTACGCCATCCTGTCGCTTATCTTTCTGAGGCTGTTGCCTGAGTCTGATTGTAAGGTTGCAATAAATTCCTTGATTCTCACCTACGTTCATGGACATCCCTCCATCTATGCTACTTATGCGTTTTCGGCCCACTTAGCCCTCTTTCATTCTTATTCAACTCCGCCCATTTTCAAGTATCGAAATTCTCATACTGCGTGCTCTGATTATGTCAATTCTCCCAGCCCAGGGCGGTCTTTTGGGAAACGCCTCACATCCATTGAGCCCCAGGAACCAAAATATCAACGCCTTTGGTCCGGGGGCAGTCACTGGATTTGACTTCACACCACTTTTTGAAGACTCAGTTCTCTCTGTGGTGCCATCTGCACTTCTCTTATTATGCCTACCCTATCGCATAGTTGCCCTGAATCGACAGCGCCCAAAAGTCTTGGCGGGTGGCTTTCTACATGAAAGCAAGCAAGCATTTCTGGGAGTGTTTTCGGCACTGCAGTTGGCACTAGTGATTCTTCACATCTTAAATCCCTCTCTACGCACCAATTTCACAATCGCTGCTTCGGTGCTGGCTTTTGTTGTCAGCCTTGGTCTTTGTTTCCTCTCGCATCTCGAGCATGCACGTTCCATTCGCCCATCGCCACTCATCAATGGATACATTCTACTCACTCTGATTTTTGATATCGCCCGATCTCGTACCCTATTTCTAAATGGGGCAAGTAAGTCAATCACCAGCTGCTTTGCGGGAATGATCGGCGTTAAAGTCTTGGTGCTACTCGCCGAGGCGACAGAGAAACATGGTATTCTATTGGAAGCCTACCGCCACCTTTCTCCCGAAGAAACAAGTGGAATTTATTCCAAGTCATTTTTTTTCTGGTTGAATCAACTCATGACATCCGGTTTTCGCCGAGTTCTTCGTAATGAGGATCTCTATCCAATCGATCGCGACATGTCAGCTGAACTCTTGCAGACAAGAATGAATAATGCTTGGGATAATGCTCAGCAAAGCAAGCCAAGGGCCCTCTTCTGGGCGGTTCTGCGTGCAAATACTAAGCCACTCTTATATTGTATTGTGCCGCGGCTATGTCAGATTGGCTTCCGCTACGCTCAGCCGTTTCTTTTGACGCGGACAATCTCTTTTGCAAGCGATGAAACTCAGCCCGATAGCGTTGGATGGGGCTTAACTGGAGCTTTCTTCATAGTCCTCCTCGGTGTGGCTGTGTCGAATGGTGCCTACTATCACATGACATATCGCTTTGTTACAAGTGTGCGTGGCAGTTTGGTTAGCCTTATATACTCCAAGACGGTCGATTTATCAATCACAGCACTCGATGAGTCAGTCGCAGTTACTCTCATGTCTAGTGATGTGCAGTCTATCTGTCTTGGATTGGAGTATATCAATGATTTCTGGGCGGTCCCACTTGAGCTGACCATTGCGCTCTATCTGCTCGCTCGCCAACTGGGCGTAGCGTGTATCGCTGCAGCTGCAATTGCTCTATTTTCCACCGTCTCAATCATATCTATCTCCAAAATTATGGGCCATGCTCAGGAAATTTGGATGCAACGAATTCAAACAAGAGTGGATGCAACTACAACCATGCTTGGGTCAATGAAATCTGTCAAGATGCTGGGCTTTACGGATTGGCTGGCAGGTATTATCCAAAAACTTCGAGTGGATGAACTTCAGGAATCGAAGTTGTTCCGTAGGCTACTTATTGTACGAGTCTTCCTTGCAAATCTCCTACAGGTCTTCGGATCGTTTCTCACCCTCATGACTTATGCCCTTCTTCCTGAGAACGGTCGGTCTGCTCTTACAGCAGAAACCGCGTACACAGCCCTCACACTCATATCTCTCCTTTCCAGTCCACTCAATGCACTCATCCGTGCCATTCCATACATGAGCACTTCTCTTGCATCTCTTAAGCGGATCCAGACATTTCTGGAGTCAGATGCCCGACGAGATCATCGGATAACCCTCGATGAAAGGATCAAGCACCGCTCGAATGAAGATTCACTATCAGATGGAATTGAACTTCAGGATTTGACCCCTGGGTTGAAAAACTCAGATGGTAAACCAGATGTCATTGTCGTTCGAGACGCCAGCTTCTCGTGGAGCGATGATTCAACATTCTGCATCAAGGACATCAACCTAAATATTCAAAAAGGACAGCTCTGCATCATAATCGGACCTACAGGTTGTGGAAAAAGTACTCTTCTCAAGGGCATGCTTGGAGAAACTCCCTCCACAAAAGGGTTTATATATACAAGCCACCCACAGACTGGGTTCGTCGACCAAACCCCTTGGATCAGGAACACTTCTTTCCGAGATAATATTTTGGGAACTTCCATGTACAATCAGGACTGGTATGATGAGGTTGTTAGTGCTTGTGCATTGGATCAGGATATTGCTATGCTGCCCAATGGCCATTGTAAGTTCTTCTTCTACGCTTACGAATTATGAACAGGTGCTAACATTTTTCAGTCACAAAAGTTGGCTCATCGGGTATTTCTCTTTCTGGTGGCCAGAAACAGCGTCTAGCCCTTGCCCGTGCTGTTTACTCACGCAAAGAAGTAATCATGTTGGACGATGTTTTCTCTGGTCTTGATGCAGATACAGAAGAGCGCATATTCATGAAATTGCTTTCGAGGCAAGGACTGCTCCGCAAATTAGGAACAACTGTACTCTTGGCTACCCATGCCGTACACAGACTTTCTTATGCGGATCTCATTGTTGCCATGGACAGTAATGGGTCTATCGCTGAACAAGGTTGCTTGGAAGAACTGGAAGCAAACCGTGGCTATGTATCGCTACTCAAGGCGCGATATCGAGCCGAGGCAAATGAGGACCCAGTCAAGGCCCAGACCCATGTTGAATTCAATCTTCCAACGGCAGGGAGAGAGCAGGGTGCTGGTACCGAAACCATTGCCCAAGAGCTTACCAGACAGAACGGCGACTTATCCCTTTACGCTTATTACCTTGGCTCAGTACATTGGATATCCAGCGTTTTTTGGATTGCTTCGTTTCTACTAACAGGCGTCTCGATGAAAATGAGCGAATACCTGGTGAATTCCTGGACTAGTTCATTGGAGGAGCATGGTCGAGATGTCAATGGGCTCTATCTAGGACTTTATGGAATGCTTGCGATGTTGGCGATGCTTTTCCTTATTGGGGGTGGATATCACTATATCATATTTTTCGCCTCCAAGAGTGCCCAGAGGCTTCATCAAAGACTTGTGGGGTCGGTGATGAATGCACCGCTTTCTTTCTTCACATCAACCGATATTGGCAGCACTATCAACAGGTAAGAACTTGATAGTCTGACCAGGATAGAATTATCCAGCTGATTGAGCTTGTGCAACTAGATTCAGCCAAGACATGACTTTGATTGACCATGACCTACCCTACTCCGCCACCGATTTTACTCTGTCTTTGTCTGGTGGCATTATGTCTTGTGTGCTGATGTGTATCTCAGCCAGCTACTTTGCTGCAGTCATGCCAGCAGTGTTTCTTTTCATGTGGATGTTGCAGAAATTCTACCTTAGAACGTCACGACAGATACGTTTTCTCGATTTGGAGGCGAAGTCACCCCTCTTTTCTCAATTCATCGAGAGTTTATCTGGCCTGGTGACAATCCGGGCCTTTGGCTGGTCTCCTGTTTTTGAAGCTCAAAATCTGACACTGCTAGATGCCTCCCAGAAGCCATTCTACTTGTTATTCTGCATCCAACGTTGGCTTGAGCTCGCTCTGGATGTATCAGTGGCCATTCTTGGCGCAATCCTCATGATTCTAGTTGTCAGGCTTCGAACAGAGCTCGGCACAGGATATGTCGGCTTGGCCATCCTCAATGTCATCACCTTTAGCCAGTCTCTGTCGGAGATTCTTCGCAATTGGGCCAATCTCGAAACATCTATTGGTGCAGTCTCTCGCATAAGGGACTTTTTGACCAACACTCCAAACGAGAATCGATCTGGAGAAAATAATCTTCCGGATTTCTCGAATTCAATTCAATCCTCATGGCCCTCCAAGGGAAACATTGAGTTCCGCAATGTCTACGCATCTTATAACTCAGGAGATGAGAACTACGTTCTTCGCAATTTGAGCATGACGATAAGAGCCGGAGAAAAGATCGGCATATGCGGAAGAAGTGGCAGCGGCAAAAGCTCCCTTCTAGCCAGCTTGTTCCGCATGCTAGAAGTTGAGCCTACAAGTCAAATTCTGATTGATGGCGTGGATATTACTCGAATTCCACGACAGACCACCCGTGCGGCTCTGAATGCGATTCCACAGGAGCCTTTCTTCACACATGGCACCGTTCGCGCGAACATGGACCCCGACCAATCCAAACCTTTGGACAAAATTGAAGAAGCCTTGCGTCGCGTCGAGCTTTGGGATATCATCCACACCAAGGGCGGACTCGAGGCTCATTTGGATATGAATTTCTTCTCACATGGTCAGAGACAGCTGTTTTGCCTGGCAAGAGCGCTGCTGCGTGGTAGTAAAGTGATTATTTTAGACGAGGCGACGAGCAATGTGGATGTCGTTTCCGACGCGCTCATGCAGCGTATTATTCGGGAACAATTCGCGGACTGCACAATCTTGGCCGTCGCTCATCGACTGGAGACAATTATTGATTTTGATAAAATTGCTGTGATAAAAGATGGACAATTGGCAGAGTTCGACGCACCCCAGACCCTTCTTCAGCGTGATAGTGCATTCAAAGAGCTCTATGAGTCTTGAGGAGATGGGGAGCCAGCCGAAGATTGGGTTATTTTTTGGAGAATTTGATTCATCGCGCTCTGGATGTTCCAAGGTCGTTGAATGTTTATTTCATTTTTCGACTTTTGGCCTTTCTAATTTATTAGGGTGAGTTAGGAGTAAAGTCTATTGTAGAAAGTTCAAGGAACAAGGTTGAGAGCAAAAGCAATTTGTATTTAATTATGACATAATTTTAACACATGTTCAAAGTCAAAGCGATCTATCTATTCTTTCTTGGAATCATTAAAGTCAACCTCACTTGCGGGGGGCGTGATGACAGTGGAAGTAGTAACTTCACCGCTGCTCTGGGAGTCCGAGTCCGCAGCATTCTCCTCTTTGGCTTCGCCCTCACCCTCAGTAGAAGACTGTGCCTCCTGAACATTGGGAATCAACTCAGGTGACAATCTTGAGACAGCATCTTCAACCATATCCTCAACAGTAGCACCACCAAGCAACTTCAAGACTGGTAGGTCGAGATCCAGCTCGCGCGAGAACCAGACTCGCATGTCAACAGCAACCAAGGAATCGATACCCAGCTCGATCAGTGGAGTGCTGGGAGAGATAACTCCATCCTCAGGGCGCATACCGAGAAGCTTATACAAGACAGCCACGAAGCCTGCGAGGAGAGCCTTGTTAACACCTTCCATGGTGGTCTGCTCCTTGAGCTGGTCGCGGACAGAGACTGCACCACCCTCGCCATCCTGTGTGGCACTGGCGCGCACACGGCGGTACCAGGAAAACCGGGGAACCTCCAACCAGGGAGGGGGGTTCTTGGCATCAGAGTCGACGGGCTTGATGGCAGAGTGGATCTCCCAGGTCGGGTACTGGGCACTGGTCTCGGGCTTACCGGCCTTGACGGCCTCGGCGAAGAACTGGAGGTAGTCCCACTCGGAGATGTTCTCGTAACCCATCTTGGCAAGGTGGTCAAGGAGCTTGACATCGCGACGGGTGATGTATCCAATACCGAAAATACCAGCCAGGTTCATGACGGAGCCGGCAAGACCCTTCTTGCGACGACCCTCGGCAACACTGACCATAAAGGAGTTGGCAGCGGCGTAGCTGGATTGACCGATGTTTCCGGTGACGAAGGAGAGCGACGAGAAGATGATGAAGAAGTCCAAGTCGTTCTTCTGGAAGAGGGAGTCGAGGAACTGAGTACCCTTGACTTTGGGGGTCAGAGTAGCGTTGAAGTCCTCGAAGGACTGGTTGGCAAGAACGCCATCGTTCAGCACCATGGCACCGTTGCAAACACCAGCAATGGGAGGGAACTCAGAAGTGATGTGAGCGTAGGTCTTCATGACCGATTCAGCATTGGTAATGTCCCTGGAAGATTGTTAGTAAAAGTATCAAGTGATCAAGGGCGTTTGACTTACATAGGCAGACACTTGACAATGGCACCAGTGGACTGCACAGAATCAATCCACTTCTCGCTGACCTTGGGGTTACGAGAAGTTAGAACGATGTAGCGAGCACCACGCTCAACCATCCAGCGGGTAAGAGAAAGACCAAGCTCTCCGGTAAGACCAGCAAGCCAGTAGGTCTTGTCAGAGCGGAACTCAACATCATCCTCAGGAGGGCAGAGAGCGCCAAAGGCGACAGACTGATCAGCAAAGTTGAGGACCTCAAGAGTACCGTTGGTCTTGTCACACTCGTAGCCCGGAGCCTCATCCAGGCCAACCTGCTGCACACGCTCGGTGTAGTCGAGATCAGAGTGAGCCTCGAAGAAGGCTTGTCCCTTCTGGAGCAGCTCAAGAGCAGCCTCGGGGTTAGCCTGGGGCTGCAGGTAAGCCAGGCCACCCAGGAAGTCATTGGGAGAGATCCGCTTGACATAAGAGGGCAGGTACTTCTCGATGTGCTCTCCCGACTTGGAAGAGTCGTGGGCACTTGGGAAGCTGGCGTAGGCGGATAGCTTGGCAGGGAATGCACCCTGAATAGTGCGCCGGTGGGCGCGGGGGTGGATGTACTGCAGCTCCTCGGATGGGGAAGATGTTGTCATGCTCAGGGCAGTGTCGCGCTCCTGGGCCAGATCCTTCAGAGCGGCCGCCAGAGCAGGGGTAGGCTCGTGGACCATGATGGAGTTGCCCTTAGCGGAGTGGGAGAGGAGGTAGTTACCCAGTAGGTAGCTGGCAACAGAAACGAGCAGCTCCTGGGTCTGGTCCAATGAGAAATCCAAGGAGAGAGTCTGATTTTGGGGCAGGGAGACCTTGGATTGCAGAGTCTCAGACAGTGCAAGGACGGTCTGGCCCGTGCCAACAATCTGACCAACAATAAGGTGGAGAGATCCGAGCGAGGGAATCGCGAGAGGAGCCAGGGTGGAATGAGCAACCTCAACCTCAATGAGCTCTGGGTCGGCAACGGCCCAGAATGGCTTCCGCACCTCCTGTACATCGCAGACACCGTGCTTCGAGCTGATAGCAACAACGGAGCTCTTAAGATCAACCTCCTCATAAATCTTGCGGCGGGATGCGTTGTAGCGAGCATCAAGAGGCTTGCAGGGTCCAACACGTGGGATCATGGCCTTTCCTTCAGCGAAGCGAGTCTCCCGCTCCAGGACCCAGGTAGTGACATAGGGCTGAGACCAGGTTCTCCAGACACTGGCAATGTGTAGCTTCACAAGCTCACCGGCAATCAAGATAGTGTCGATAGGCTGGCCGTCAGCAAAGTCAATGACCTGGATCTTCAAGTCTGGCTTCTCGTGAACCAAAGCGCGGGAAACACCGACAATCATGTTAGCGAATGGGTTCTCAGCACCCACACCATGAGTCAGCCAGAGGATGTTCTGGGAGTTCTCAGTCAGAGTCTGAAGGGCACTCCAGCGCTCAGCAGTGAGAGGTCCGAACAGGTTGGTGTCAAGCTCCATCAAGTTGAGAACAAGCTGCTTAGGCTCAAAGTGGCTCTCCTTCAGGTCCTCAATTCGGGAGACAATTTGAATCTCCGAGTTGAAAGGCTCAAGGATCGCGAGAATCTCATCCTGAATCTTAGCTGTGGCCTCGGTTTGACCGGCAATAACGAGGAGCTTAGGCAGCTTGATGGAATCCTTGTGCTTCGGGCTGAGGGGCTCCCGAAGAAGTTCGATCTGAGAGTCAATGGCCTGACTCAACATCACACTGTAGGGCACAGTAAACATGTGGGTCTCGGGGGTCGCGGTCTCGATGCCAGAGAAGCCTGTCTTCTTCAAGACGGCGTCCCAGCCGCTCTGTAGAAGCAAGGGCTGGGGCTCTCTGCCATCCTCGGCGGCCCACCAGCCAGGCTTGGATCCAGCATAGAACGATGAGCGCACGTGGTCGAGATCAGTAACCTCGAGCAGAACAATGTGACCAGCAGGCTTGAGAAGCTTGCGCAGGTTCTTCAAGGTTTCCTCGACGTTCTTGGAGACGTGCAGAACGTTTGAGGCGACAATAAGATCGTAGCTGCGCTCAGTGAAGCCCTGCTCAGTTGCATCCTCTTCCATGTCGAAAGTGCGGAAGGACATCTTTCCTTCTTGGTCCTTGAACAGCTCTTGGGCCTCGGGGAAGAAGGAGGCTGAGACATCAGTGTAGGTGTACGAGCCATAGTGGTAGTCGATACGACTCATGATGGCCTGAGTGGCGGATCCAGAGCCGGCACCAACCTCAAGAATATCCATTTGACGAGTCTTGAAAGTGAGCTGCTCAACCAAGTCACCGAAGAAGCTGTGGAACTGTGGCATTCCGTATCCGTCCTGGTAGATGCGGTCAATGACCTCGAAGTCATCGAAAAGCTCCACAAGAGAAACCTCTCCCCGGATGAAAGGAATGAGCTGGTCTCCCAGTTTCATCAGGTGGTGGAGCTCCTCGTGCTCTTGGGCGAACTCAGACATCGGACATTCGAGCTTCTCGAATGTGTCGTTCAGCCACTCCTTCTTGATGGTAGGGTGAGATCCGGCAGCGACCTTCTCGACAACGGAAGAAACCCAGGTGAGGTACTTCTTTGCCTGTACCTCAAGACCCTCGATCTCTTCGGGCTTGATAGCATTGTGCAGCTGCTTCATGTAGTAGAAGCAGGTCCGCTCGACGAAAATGGACTCCTCCCAGCGTTTCTTCTCAGACTCCAAGTTCCAGAACTCAGTGTAAGCGCGTGCGGCATCAGCCTTGTCATTGCCCCAGGTGGTGTCAGAAAATTTCTGGGCATCGTCACGAGCCGTGATTTGGGTAACAGGAGTAACCTGCAGGCCTTCAATCTGGATCATTGCGTTGCCGGCATCATCATACACATCGATGTCACCACCGACTTGCTGGTTAGAGCGCTCAACTTGCACATTCGCTTCAAAGGCCAAGTCCTTATCAAGGCAGCCAGTCTGGTTGCATGTGAAGGGGTTGACCTTGATAGAGCGAATGATAGTGGGAACCATCAGAGTCCAGAGCTGGCCGTCACCGGGGGAACCAATGGCAGCGAAGAGGCCCTGGAAGGCGACATCGAGAGGGGCCGGGTGGACAATCAGGTTAGTCTTGTAGTCCTCCTCGCTGGCGGTGTGAAGGATACCAGTCGAGGCCAGCTTCTTGCGCTTCAGGCTAGTGATAGTCTTGAACATGTCAGCATAGTTGTAGCCCAGCTTGGCCAGGGAGTCGTAGAAGACATCGGCATCGAGCTCAGTCATCTTGTCAGCCTCATTAGGCGCGGGGCGCGAAGGGAGGGTCTCGGCAGAACCGTATCCAAGGGTAAGCTTGAGGTGAGCAGTAGAGATGGTGGTCAAAGCTGCGTCCTTGGAGGGGCAAGCACTGCACACGAAGTCACAGTCAATCATGTCAGAAGAATCATCTCGCTGGATGTTGCAAAGGGTCACAGTAACTTCAGAGCCGATGGTCTCATCTAAGAAGCTCAAGGCCCAGTGGATCCGCAGGTTTTCAAGCTCCACAAGGTCCATTGTCTCGCCGAGATCATCCACGTATTCCTTGGCTGCCTCGATAGCCATGGAAGCAAAGCCAGCACCTGGGAAGATGGTCTGACCCTGGATGGAGTGACCACGGGTCCATGAGATCTCGGTCGGCTTGAGGAAGTTGCGCCAGCGCATCTCGTCCTCGCCGCTGTCCATACGGACACCCAGCAACTCGTGGTGGCCATGTTGGCGCATACGCATCGCCTTAGAGACACGAGACTCAGCCCAGAAAGTCTGGCTGTGGTCCCAAGTGTAGCCTGGCATGCTGCGCAGGAATTGGGGCTTATCGGCGGCAGAATCCGCAAACGCGGCGTCGAGGGGTCCGAAGGAGATTTCTGAGCCACCAACGTTGGCCCAGACAGCTCCGACTGCGTCGGTGAAAGCTTCAACATCGTTGGACTTGCGGCCGAGGACGCCGGAGTACGGGATAGTGGTGCCCAGAGCCTCTTCGATCACCATGCTGGCCGGACCCTTAAGGGCTGGGTGAGGACCAACCTCAAGGGCCAGAGCGGGAGCACCGTTCTTCTCAAGAGCGCTTTCAAGAGCCTGAGAGAACAGAACGGGCTGCAACAGGTTGTCTTTCCAGTAAGAGCCAGCGAGCTGCTTGTTCATGTCGCTGGTAACAAGGTCACCTCCCAGAACTGAGGAGTACCACTTGCAGTTGGGGTTGGGCTCCTGAATGGCGATCTTGACGCGGGCCATGGCATCCATGTATGGTTCGGAGCAGGGCTGCATGTGGTGCGAGTGGTAAGCGGTGTCGACCTTGAGTGAGCGAACAAACTTGCTCTCATCCTCAAAGATGAACTTGGCTCGCTCAATCGCGGCGAGATCACCAGACATAGTGACACTGGACGAAGAGTTGCTTGCAGCGACGTTGAACTGTCCAAAGCGCTTCATTGTCGAGAGCTTGCACAGATCATTGGCATCCTCCATAGAAGTACCAACAGCCAGCATAGTGCCAGTTGACCCGTTGGGCGCAGCGGCAAGCTTGCCGAAGAGACCACGGTAGTAGGCAATACGGATGGCATCCTCAGCCTTCAAGAAGCCTGCGGCAAAGGCAGCACCGATTTCTCCACTAGAGTGACCGACTACAACGTCGAATGTGATACCAGCTTGCTTGAGAAGCTCGACCAGAATGATCTGAACGGCAGCGCATAGGGGCTGCGAGTAGGTTCCTTCCATGACACGGGAGCTGTCAGCAGACTTGGCAAGCTCATCCTGCAGGGACCAGCTGGGGCGGTCCTGCTCAGGCAGGGACTGAAGAGAGTCATCCAGGGACTTCATCAGGTTGGCGGCGAAAGGAGAAGACTTGACAAGTTGGTATCCCATGCGAGGCCACTGGGCACCCTGACCAGTGAAAACACCCAGGATGGTGTTGGTCTTGTGGGAAGGACGCACACCAAGAGCGGTTCCATCAGTCTTCTTGGCCTCAAGCGCAGCAGTCAGCTTGGAGCGCAGGGTCTCCAGAGTCAGGGCCGAAAAGGGTGCACGCATGGGGAAGGCGGATCGGCGAGAGAGGGTCCACGCCAGGTCGCGTAGGTTGGTGTTCTCCTCGTCCAAGCCCTCGGAGTAAGCCAGGAATGTCTCAATTTGGCTGACCAGCGACTTCTCTGAGTTAGCCGAGAACATAAATGGCACGGCAGCGGTGGCGCCTCGAGTGACAGTCTGGATAGCGGTTTCGGGCTCGTAAGACTCGATAATAGCGTGGGCATTGGCACCACCGAATCCGAAGCTGTTAACACTGGCACGACGAGGAACTCCAGGAGGCAGCTTGGGCCAGGGCTTAGCAGCCTTCAAAATCTCGAGGCGACCGTAGTAAGGCTCGATGTCAGGGTTAAGTTCCTCGAAAAGCATGTTGGGAGGGATGAAGCCATGCTTCATACCCAGCGAGGCCCGAAGCAGACCAGCAATACCGGCGGTACCCTCGGTGTGTCCAATAATAGTCTTGATGGATCCAACGTACAGCTTGTCGTTGGGGTCGTCATTCTCTTTACCTTCGAAGAAAGCGCGGTAAATCGCACCAGCCTCCTGAGGATCACCAGCCTTGGTACCTGTACCATGGGCCTCGAAGTACTGGCAGCGATCAGTGTGGGGCGAGAGACCAGCTCGGGCGTATGTCTGACGAATCAACTCAGCCTGGGCGAGGCTGCTAGGCATAGTGATACCAGTGGTCCGGCCATCCTGGTTCACACCGGTCTCGCGAATAACACAGTCAATGTTGTCACCGTCCCGAATCGCATCACTTAGACGCTTGAGAATTACAGCGGCAACACCTTCACCGCGAGCATATCCATCAGCTTTGTTGTCCCACATGCGGCTGCGGCCGGTGGGGGAAAGCATGTTAACATTGCTCTCAGCCACAAAGTTGGTGGGTCCAAAAATTAGATTAGCTCCAGCGGCAACGGCCAGGTTGGATTCGCCCTTGCGAAGAAGCTCAACTGCTTGGTGTGTCGCGATAAGACTGGAGGAGCAAGCGGTGTCAATGGTCATGGAGGGACCAGTCCTGTGAAGAGAGTTAGCCTCCATGCGGAGATGATGCGAATTTTTGAAGCTTACCAGTTGAAGAAATAGGAAATGCGGTTGGAGAGAATGGAGGAGGCGGTTCCCGTTGCGGCATACTTGGGGATAGATTCGAGGTCATGGTAGGTAATATGCGCATAGTCATTACACATAACACCGACGTACATGCCGGTTGCGGAGCCAGAAAGCTCCTCGATCTTGTGGCCCGAGGCCTCCAGGGCCTCGTAGACCACCTCCATCAAGATTCGCTGTTGCGGGTCAATTCCCTCGGCCTCAGAACCAGGAATGGAGAAGAACTGGGCATCGAATTCACGAGTGTCCTCCTCAAGCTGGTAAGAGTGCAAGACGTTGCTGGTGCCGTGGTGGCTACCGTCCTTGTGGTAGAAGCCTTCGGCACTGAATCGGTCGATCTTGCTGGCGACATCCCGCGGCGATTTCATCAATTCCCAGAGTTTTGAAGGCGAGGAAGAGCCACCGGGGAAACGGCAGCCGCTACCAATGACAGCAATAGGTTCGTTCACGTAGGCCATTTTGGAATGTTGAGGTAGGTTGTATAAGAATGTTAAGCTGAGTAGATAGAAGAGTGAATGGATATAAATATCAAGGTCGTTTCAATATGCGTGGCTGGTGAACTTTCTATTAAGAGAACCGGGGTATTTTGTCGAATGCTTTGGATGCGAAAGAGTAGAGAATGAGCTGGTATGATGATTGATGAAAGTGATCGAACCAGGGTACTTAAGCAACGAAACCTCGAGAAGCCTCAAACAAGCGCGACAGCACGTGGAGACGCACATGGTTGCAGTGTGGGGTCCCTTGGATTGAGTTTCCACGGAAGTTCACAAGGATAGGGCGCAGGGGTAGCCCCCACTTACCCCAGTAGTATCCTGAAGCTTGGAAGCTGATGCTGAACATTACTTCATTGGGGAGACGTTGAAGAAGGTTTATGGGGGCGGGGGGCTAATAACACTTAAGAACTTTACTCCGTATTTAATAATAAACCATCTGTCTAACCATGTCTGGTTTAGCTCTGGGCTAGTCTTCTTTAGCGTACTTTAGCGGCCTTTAGTATCTTTGAATTGTTTTTAGCTCTGCAGACACGACATCCATAGAATTTTCTAATCTTTAATCTTACACATGTTTAAACCTGAAACTCCGTGGGGCGAAATCCCTATTTTTGGTGTCTTACACATATCAATTCTCCGTTTCAATATCTTCAACATGCTTTGGGGGCTATACTTTCTAACTACCACATTGACGACTGGCCCATACTCTTTTTGCCCGAATAGTCCATAGTAATGCGTAAGAGCTTCTAAACGTAAGCATATGATTCCTTCAAAACGTCATGCTGTCGCATTAATTCATCCTCGCAGTCTCTCGCAAGTTTATCCCCGATCATCCTTCCACTTAGACCTACATCATGGCAGCACCTGCTGAAATTACTGTCCGCAATCTGAGCGGCAAATGGAACTCGGTATGATTCCAATAATTCCAAAGTACATGCTCCGGCTCACCTAAGGACCTGGAAATCTAGAACTCGGAGCTTTCCGATGATGTTACTCCCGTCATGGAACTTCAGGGAGTTCCCTGGATTATTCGGAGCATGCTAGCCAACGCATCGATCTCTGTCACTCTCCATCAATCAACGGATGCGGAGACTGGCGTGTCCAAAGTCGATTCTTCTCAGACATCAATGGGTCAGGTTGTTCAAGAGGCGAGGGTTCTTGATTGGGAGCCTCGAGACCAGCCTCACCTGATCTTTGGCAATATGACAGTTCGCTCACGATTCAGCTCGCCGAATGATTTGGAGGTTGTTTTGCGAGGCCGTTCAGGATCCGGTGAATCTGATTGGGAGGGAGAGGTCATTGAGATTGAGGTTAGGACCACCAGCTGGCAAAGCATCACAATCTGGGGCTTCACGACTATTGATGGCACCAGGAGATATATTCGACGAACAGTGGCGAGGAAAGGAGAGGAGGAGAGGGTTATTCAGTTGGTTTACGATTGGGCTGGTGCTATCTAATCATAAACCGATAGTGTTCGTCGCTCAGATCGGTCAAGCTATTTGGTTCATAATGTTGGCTATTTACAAGGAATTTTACAACCGAATTTAAGTGAATCTGGATATTCATTGAGCCCGTCCACAGCTGCTATTACATGTAATAAACTTACTCCACCCTTCTTTTTATCCACTTTGAGATAAGGAATAATCTAGCCGTGACCAGGAGGTCTCTTCAAAGAGAAAATTAATTATATCCTTTATGAGTATTTCATTTGCCATACGCATGTTCATCCTGCTTTTCTGAAAAATGAAAATCAGCAAAGCGCATTTGGAAGCTCTAGGTTTCCGATCTATATGACGGGACGCAACGATCAATTCCGACGCCTAATAACCGGATCCCATAGCTACTGGTCAGCGGATAGAATGAACGAGTTAAATAAAACAAACATCTGAGCCAAAAAAAAAATTTGAAAGAACCAAAGAGCTGCTTACAAAAGCAAAAACACCTGGGTGTTAAAAAGAAAGAAACTGCTCACGTCCAGATTTGAACTGAAGACCTCGGCATTACTAGTGCCGCGCTCTACCAACTGAGCTACGCGAGCCGCTTATATCACATGACTGTGACAAACAGAATATATTCTACATTAAAAGCAAAAGAACTGGAACAAATTGGGAAGCCATCCATAACATACTGTTGAATATATTCGGATGGGACAGGAAGCCATGCAGAAGTGAAACAAGATTGAATAGGCATGAATATATCTCATGTACACATTGATTCATCGCCACATGTACAGCGCAATAGTATACAGTTGCAATAAACATTTGAACACCTCACTGGGGTGGAGCTGCACATGTGTGTGTTACCTTGGTGCAATATATATTTTCGATATTCAATCTTGAAAACAACAGTTCGAAGTGAATTCCTTCCAAGGAGCTTGAAATCTACCAACATGTAGAATAAAGATTGTCTTTGAATTTTTTAAAGTCGAAAAGATCAAATTTATCATTAGTATTAGGAAATCTTATGATGGATGAATGGGATGTTGTACACTGATGGGTTGAACCCCGAAAGGGATTTAATGGATTTGAGTTGAACCCCCAAAAGTAGTTAGTAAAAAGCAAACCATCCTTGAGAGTTCCAAATTGATCCCTGCACGTGTGGGGAGTCACTGTTGACGAATCTCAAAATCTAGCTGAAAAATGGGTATTCAAATTTTGTTTTTGATTTTCGAGGCAATTGAGCTAAATGCGTTGCACAGGTGTATTGCCACTCAAAACCAAGAAATATTGTAGAGTGCGCCAACATTAAATCAGGGTCATAACAATTGATTGAACTAATACCTTAACACAAGAATCCTCAAGCCTTCCGCACTCTCAATTCCTCGTCAAACTATTTTCTCTTCCAAAGAGCAACTTTGGTACCATTCAAGCTGCTCATTGTAACTGCCAATTTCTCCTGCCAAGGCATGGGATCCCGAGGCTCCATGCGACCAAACACCTGCAACAACCGGACAACAGTGTAACTAGCCTCAACAAGGGCGTTTTGCTGTCCGAGGCAAAGTCTCGGTCCTCCGTTAAATGGCTTGATGAAATTTGTCAGCAGTGTAGTTTTGGTTCCTCTCGCAGGAGGCAGGGGAAAGAATGTTCGGGCGAACTAACCAGGAAACCCCATCCGGGACGCAAAGGGACCTTGTCATCCATCCAGCGCTCAGGGCGGAACGATTCGGCGTCATCGCCCCATATCTCTGGAAGCCGGTGCATGGCCCAAATTGAGTAGAATACTCGGCTTCCTCTGCCAACAAACATTGGAGACAGTCCATCTGGACCGCCGCCATGGGGGAGGACGGTATCATTGCGTGCGAAGCGCATGTTAATTGGGACCGGCGGGAGGACACGAAGTGCTTTGAGATGTGAGCGTCTGGGCTGTGCTTTGTATCAGGTATGCTGGGCTCTCTTACTCTCATTCAAGACGCTCTTTAGATAAGGCATCTCCTTCAGGAATTTGTAATCGGGGGCTTTGCCGTCCAGTTCGCCTACCTCTTGACTAAGTTTGTCCCATGCATCTGGGTTGCGGGCCAGGAGATAGAATACGCTGCTAAGCAGGCCAGCTGTGGTATCTCTGGCGGCTAGGAGAACGTTCAGGAGCTCATTTCGAATTTGGATGGGATCACTACAGGCACCTGCCAACTCCGCCAAAAGGTTGTATCGGCCTGCCTTGGTGTCGCCCTTCAGTGCCTCGCGAATGTATTTGTCGGTGAACTCGTGAACAACCTTACAGGCGGGTTCGAATTTTTTGTCACGGATCAGCCATGCTAAGGCGCCCAATTCACCACGCTTGTGGAGCACTTGCTCGGCGTGGTCGAAGGCTTCAGAAAATTCCCATGCGGGTGAGCCGACAGCGCTTCCCTGACAACTAACCGACTGGCCTAGCAGGAAGTCTGTGGCACTATCGATAGTCAAGTTGAAGAACAAGGGCTGTAAATCGATCGTTGTTCCATCTTGAGCAGGCACACATGAGATGAGAGCCTGAACGTGTGTTTCAAGGCTGCTGAGATCGGCAACCTGCGTACGTGTGAAACTAGGTCGAATTAAAGCCTGTTCAAGTCAGCTATAGCCGCTCTCAACTACTAGGAAATGTATTTCCCAACTTCAAAAGCTTTGCAGTGAACTCACCCTCGAATGCTGCCACCGCTCGTCGTCCGTAGTGAAAATACCTTCTCCCAGCAAAGGTCCCATGGCATGCATCCTAGGACCAATGCCATAATCCTTGAAATTCGTCGCCAGAACGGTCTTGATATTTTCCGGATCGCAGGTGGAGATAATCTCTTGACCCATTACCACAGCCGTGTTCGTGCGACCGATATCCATGGCTCTACGAAATGTCTGTTCCAAGCTGATATGTTCCCGCCTCGTCTTTTGAAGATGCTGGTATGCGGTCCACCCAATGATGCGCTCCTTTTGAGGAGCGCGGACAGGAGGCTCACATCCGTGAGTCTTCTTGAACGTGTGAATCTCCAAGTATCGTCGCACACGCGCGCCAATTAGCACGATCACGATACCGACGGCGAAGATGTGCCAAGGGCTCTGGGCCATAACAGTAGACAGCATAGTTGGAAACGCAGCAGGAAAATCTGCCTTGGTCTGTTAGAGTGACAATTCAAACACCTTGCAGAAGGTTTGTGGTTCTGTTGGCGTTGTGGAGAGAATGTTGTTAAGTGGAGGTTTGAGAGCACGAAATCCAGAAAAGTCTCCTAGAGCTAGATGATCAAATTTTTATTGAATGAATATTTGCTTAAACATAGCCATATTGAGTCATGCAATATTCACATGAAGGCGATGAAACTGGAATGGACAATTTGATTGGGGTCTAAATCATCGGCGTTTCATCTAAATATGTGGATTTGATCAAAGATGACTGAAACCTTAAAGCAATCCCCGTCAAAACCCACGTGGAATCATAAAGTAAACATTTCGTCATTACCATATAAGGTAAAGGCCCCCAAAGCCCCAAAAATAGGCAGCTTGAAAGCCCCACTGCGGCTACCATTGAGCCTGTTCCCAGTTGAGTAAGGAAAATGTTCATCATCACCAACTCCGGGGGCCAAACAATCTCTCGGCCCCAAAGTGGGGGCTGTCAAACTAACCAATCCTAACGCGCTTACCATGTTCCCAGCTAAGTTTATTCAGGCAATTGATCAGGTATAGATGACGGAAATGCTTATAAGTTAACCAACTTCAACAGCGTTAAGTGCAAAGAATCTAAAAACCCCCGATAATTCGCAGACCATATCACATTCACTTTCCTACTCTCTCTTTCTCATTATACCCTTCAATATACCAGCATAGCGTTAACAATGTCTGCCTCTACCATCCCCCAAACCCAAACGGCCATCATTGCCGGCCCAGCGGGCGAATTCATGGTCTCAAACGATGTCAAGGTTCCTGCTCTCTTGCCCGGGGAAATTATCATCAAGACTGCCGCGGTGGCCTTGAACCCTGTCGATACAAAGCTCATTGGCGACTTCGTGACTCCTGGTGTCATGTTCGGCTTTGACTGTGCGGGCACAGTTCTGGCCGTTGCAGATGACGTGACCCTCTTCAAGGTCGGAGACCGAGTATGCGGGTCCGCCAGTGGAAGTAAGATCACACCTTGTCTTGATGCGATGGACTCGAAGCTAACATTGATTTTTTAGTGAACAAAAAGAAGCCGCTGTGCGGTTCATTTGCCCAATATGTTAAGCTTCAAGCCAATTTGTCCTTGGGTGTGCCTGAAAACATGTCCATTACTGATGCGGCTTCAATGGGCACTTCGATCGCTTCGGCTGCCATGTGTCTGTTTTGGTCACTGAAGTGGCCTGGAAACCTCTTGGAAGGACCCAAGGAGGGAGATGAGCCCAAGCCTCCTGTTCTGGTCTACGGTGGAAGTACATCCACCGGAACCATGGTTCTACAGCTGCTGAAATTGTAAGTCATCCGCATTGCTTGGCTAAAAATTTACTAACAGTATATCCTAGGTGCGGATTCCCTACAATCGCAACATGCTCTCCCCACAATTTCGACTTCGTCAAGTCCTACGGCGCGGACGTGGTGTACGACTACAAGACCCCCGATTGTGCGGCCAAGATCCGCGCTGACACCAACAACGAGCTGGAATTCATTATCGACTGTTTCGCGGAGGACTCCTCCATGCGATTCTGCTACGCTGCCATGGGACGCGCGGGCGGCAAGTACGTGGCGCTGAACCCATTCAGCGAGCACTTGCATAACCGCAAGGTCATCGAGCCGGACTGGATTCTTGCTACCCGTATCAACGGTGATGGTTCTAGCTGGCCTCCTCCATTTCAATGCCCTGATGACCTTAGCATTTTGGATGTTTCCCTTCCCCTATATGAGGTCTTCCAAAAACTATTGGATGATGGCAAGCTCCGTCCTCACACCGTGAAGCTGGAAGCTGGTGGTCTGGGTGGAATTCCAGAGGGAGTTCAAAAGATTCGCAGCGGAGAGATCAGTGGTGTCAAGCTTGTCTACTCCCTTGCTTGAGTTCGGATTTTTGACTCGCATAATGCATGAACTACCCCAGAAACAGTGTCATGGCCCTTTGCCGCCTACTCCATCTCAGCTCTACTTAGTATTCAATTAGATTTATTTACTTGAATGTTGTATGAAATTTTAAACCTAGGTGAATACTCAATATCCGCTTGTTATTTTTGTTGAAATCCAACGTGTGCTCCTGGGCTTGACCTGCCCAGGTGATTGCATAGAAGATATTTTTATGACTTCGAGAAAACCAGAATCCTAGTATGATGGTAGTCTTAGACTTAGTAAATAAAAATATATCTATTTGGCATTTGAGAGTCTCAAAATAATCCAACTGAGCTATCTCAATTACTTGAGCCAGTGGTAAGCCCCGCTGGATCAAGATGATCCTACTACGAACATTGAATCGAATGATAGAATAATCATACAATAGAGAAATTACCCCCAAGAAGTCCACGAAATGTCAGAGAAACATAGAAAGCGAAGATTTCTAGAAGCCTAGATTCAAAAAGGCAAGCCGAAAAGCTAAATCATGTACTGGCAAACCGGAGTCATTTATGGCATGATGAAAATCGGGCGGTTGTACCAAAAACGGTTCATATGATTCTATTGTTAGTTATATTCTCACCAGCGGAGATTTACACTTACACCTTGCCCGTTGAAGAAACCATTTTAGGAAAGTAGCCCCCAGATTTCCAAATTAGGAAATGAGTGCTTACTCAAATGTCGATCAGCTAACTCGACAGTAAAAGTACTTACATGCTTGAGTGCGGCACCAGTAAAACCTCACTCATTCACTATCGCCCCCTGTTTATCTGCCTTTTAATTATTCTTGTGGCTGGCCCACTTTTGAGCGCAGATCTTAACTTAGGTTAAGCATATTTTCCCTCTCCAAATTATCACTACTTGCTTTCTGTTTCCAAAGTCAAAATGGCGATAACCGGCTGGCAATTCACTCAGATTGCAGTGGTTGTGGCTACATACGGATTGGTTCATCATGGACCGACATCGGGGTTTTTTGCCCGTGGCTATATCGGAACCTTTGCAATTCTCTACTCCATTGCCTTATTGATGTTGGTGATCTATGCGAGAATTTTGAGGCCTCTTTGGCTGAACCCCCTTACAAAGCTACCTCAGCCTAAGGTGAGACTTATAATGACGATTGGCGTACACAGAAGCTAATGAATTGCAGGGTGGAAGCTGGTGGAATGGTCACTTTAAAAAGATCTTTAACGCGGGAACTGGCGAGGTCGAGAGAAAGTGGTGAGAATAATAATTCCTTATGTAGTACATGATCAGTGAAGGTCTAGAAAGCTAACTAATATATTGATCTTAGGATTCACGAGATCCCCAATGACGGCTTAATTTACTACCGCAGTATCTTAAACACGTCAAGAATTATTGTCACGGCACCCAAGACCATTCAGGAGGTTGCCACACGCATCGATGAATTCAAGAAGCCAGTACTGGCAAGGGCTGTTGCCGGGAAGATTCTCGGAGAAGGTCTCGTCTTGTCTGAACTTGACAAGCACCGGCAGCAGCGACGTGTTTTTATGCCCATCTTTGCCCCGAAGCACATTCGCGAGATGTACCCCATCTTCTGGGGCAAAACCTGCGAAGTGACACAAAAGCTCACACAGCTTGTAACTGAGCAGTCGCAGAAATCTCACAAGGATCATGCAATTTTCGAAGTTGGACACTGGGCTTCTCGTGCTGCTCTCGACATTATTGGCATGGCCACCATTGGTGAGGACTTTGGATCCGTGCAAGATGAAGATGCACCCCTGGCATCAGCATACCGAAAGACAATTGAGCCAACCCGTGGGCATGTTGCCCTCGCCATGCTCAAGATCTGGTTCCCCGAGTGGCTCGTGAACATGCTACCCAGCCAGATCAACCGCACCCTCAACGAGTCGGTGCCCGTGTTCCGCAACCTATGTCGAGATCTTCTACGGGAAAGGCGCCAGATGGCCGCTGAGAAAGTGAACGGAGGCAAAGACCTCCTGAGCTTGTGTTTCAAATACGAAGATGTCGCAGCCGCAGACGAAGAAGGTGTAATCGACCAAATGACCACTTTCCTAGCAGCCGGCCACGAAACTATTTCTGTCGGCATCACCTGGACCCTTTACATGCTTTGTCTCCACCCCGAATGGCAGACCATTCTCCGCGAAGAGGCTCGCACCCACTTGCCTGATCCTAACGCCAACGATGCTTCGGACGAAGAAAAGCAGACTCCCAGCGCCACAAGTGCCGATGTCGAGCAGATGCCCATGATGCAAGCTTTCGTGAACGAGGTTCTGCGCTGGTACCCGCCCATCCCGCAGACTATGCGTGAGGCTCTAGAAGACACTGTGATTGATGGTCAGATCGTTCCAAAGGGAACATTGATTGTTATCCCCTTCAAAGGTCTTCACCGGGATTCTCGCTTCTGGGGCCCTGATGCCAACCAGTTCAACCCACGTCGATGGATCAATGCTGATGGCACAGTCAGCTTGAATGGAGGGTGTATTAACAAGTATGTGAACTTGTCTTTCATGCAGGGTCAACGCAGCTGTATTGCACAGGGCTTCTCCAAGGCTGAGATGACTTGTCTCATTGGTGCTTGGGTCGGTCGCTTTAAATTTGAGCTGGTTGATACCACGCTCTTGGATGAGGATAAGATGCCGATTACCATTGGTAGCTTGTCATCGAAGCCAGTTAACGGTCTCGATGTGAAGTGGTCGATTGTGGAGGGATGGAGGGATTAAGCGCTGATTAGCAAATTCAGTATTGGGGATGTTGCCTCAGTGGTGTTCATTGTTTCACATTCCGTTATTTTGCGGTTCCTTGTCTTATCAGCACTTCCCTTTTGTTTCACTTTAAATAGTCCTTTGATGCCCATCAAAATCATCATTCGAACTTGCATTACTTCGCCTATGTCATACGAGTAGAATTATTTGTTGCTTTTCAACCCCTCTATACACTTGAGTGACGGCTGTTTGATTTCAAGTTGTGTGCACAAAATGAACCCTGATTAGTTAAGTAAAGTTACGCATGATCACGTAGTTAATAGTCCGTCCTGGTGAGTGACAAAGCCGTTCCGGGACTGCGGATCAATTCCGCGGATCAATTCAGCTTATTACAAAGCGTCACCATATCGGTCTCGGCATCACGACACCTTGAGGCCGAACTGGTTGATCTGATTTGTATAAAGACATGCCATGATTATGTAGAAATTTTATTGATGAGCAATCTATGAGAGAATATCACGCCATATATTCTACTATATTTATATAAGGAAGGTAAAACACGTAGGTTGTGCCATTCATCTTTCAATCATATCAACCTTCAACACCAACACCAACACTCTCAACTTTCAACTAAATCCTGACAAAATGCCCACCAAAGTTGCTCTAGTTGGTGTAAGTAACGTTGTTCAGCTGCCATTGTTTGTTGCACTTAAATAAAATCCACCAGGGAAGCGGCAATCTAGGACCAGCCGTCCTGAACCAATTGCTAGAGGCTGGATTCGACGTGACAGTTCTGTCTCGTCAAGACAGTGACAAGACCTTCGACTCAAGAGTCAAGGTCGCAAAAGTCGACTACGAGTCTCTCGACTCGCTTAAGAATGCTTTTTCTGGCCAGGATGTCGTGGTTAGCACACTCGGCGTGGGCGCAGTGCCACGAGATATTCACCTCCGTCTTGTTGATGCCGCTGTATCTGCTGGAGTGAATCGTTACATTCCATCAGAATACGGATGCGACACGACCCACCCCAATACTGCCAAGCTCCCTGTTTTTGGCGACAAGGTTGCTGTCCAGGAACATCTTAAGAAGGCCAACAAGGATTCTGGTCTGAGCTACACATTCCTTATAACTGGTCCATTCCTCGACTGGGGTCTTAAAGTGGGATTTTTGCTCAACCTCTCCGGCCCTGTTGCAAGCTTGTATGATGGCGGCGAGCGAAAGTTTAGTACTACCACTCTGGCAGATGTTGGACGCGGGGTTGCTGGAATCATCAATCACCTCCCAGAGACCGAGAACAAGACAGTCTACATCAGCTCTGCGACTGTCTCCCAGAAACAGCTATTAGATTTGTCCGGTAAGAGTATTGATACAAAGACCGTCCCGACAATTGATTTGGAGAAGGAGGCATTTGAGGAATTGAGCAAGCCGGTCCCGAACCCACAAGTCTTTGCTCATCTGTTCCTTTTCCGGGGTGTCTTTGGCGAAGGATTCGGAAGTCTTTTCGAGACCGACAAGCTTTTCAACGAAGCATTTGGCTTAAAGCCTTTGTCCGACGAAAACATTTGTGGCTTCTTCCAATGAACTTTGTCAACAAATTAAGCATCAGCATTATAATAATATAGCGCCAATCCATATTATATCCAGGGTACCTCGTATTCTTAGTTGGAAATTTCTGTAATGTTTACATGTGGTGGCATCGCACGTCCAAATTTTACGAATTTCATCAAAGAGATTATTAAGACCCACTTTGTATTGGGTCCCTGCCCCGCTCTTTAGCATATCTCTCGTGACTAGTGAGTCTCGCCCTTTTGCTTCTTTCCTTGGTATGGACTCGGACTGTCCTCTCATTGATTTCAATAAAGTCTGACGGCTATTCGTTGGTTTATTATAGGGCGTCCCAAAATCCGTGCGCCTATCATATAGATCAGCTATATACGGCTCAACTACCCACATTTACAGCTTTGAACTCTACTAAGACTTTGGCTATTCATTTGCGCGATGATGTATCAGCTGGTGAGACAGAATGACCCCTCTTGAATGACAAGATCTTGAAAGATCAAAAAGTAACTCATTCAAGTGAGGATCCGCATACCTCTGGCTGCGGAGGGTCACCTTCTGTAGCGCTGGGAGCGACTTGCAATCGGACACCGTATTGATAATGAAAGTTAGTGCTCTCTCTTTGTACAGAGAAGCTGTTACCACTAGCTCTTCCAGTTGGGAAGGTAATAACAACCATGCATCCACGTCAATGCCTGTTGCTTGCCCCCTCACCAGCGCGAGATCTGGCACTTCAAGATGTGTGAGAGCAGAATAGCCACGGAAGCACGATGGGTGCTTGTTATGTAGTCTGCGGCGAATTATCCTCCACTGATCGAATAGAGCTGTGACCCGAAGATATTTCAGAGTACGCTCATGTATATCCACAGCTGGTTTCAGAAGTGAAAGATCATCCCTCTCGATATCCGAGGAGAATTCATAGTGGAAGACCTCAAGTGCATCAAATTGACGCAGTAGATCTTTCAGCATATCCAGTGGTAACCTCGACGCTAGAAGCCGTAGATCACGAACAGTTGAGAATGCATAGTCTTTGTCTTGAAAGTAAGGCTTTGCTAAGGTGCTGACAAAGGGCGCAGCCAGAAATAGCATCCGTAGGTTTTGAAGGTAATAATGCATGAGTTGCGGTGACGAAGGACGTATGTCAAAGGTCAACGCAGAATTTTTCCAATCTTGTCAAGAATTAACAGCCGGGCCCAGGGGGAATAAGTCTGTAGACTGTGTCGAGAAATATAAAGAAATGTTCTTTGAAAGTTCCATCGCCTACATCAAGTTGAAATCGCTGTAGATTTTCAAGCCGGACAAGCAAACAGACAAGCTCGAGAGCCGAGTACCCCTTCTCGATTCTGCGATACCACTGCCAAGTGATTTCTGGAATTAATGGAGCTAATCTCTGAAGGGTGGCCCAAAAGCAACCCAGATCCGATGGAGGTGGTTCGTTATAAGGATGGTAGAGTATCCCCGGAGTATAGAATATAGTCTTGACGTGTTTGGCGAGGCGGGATAGTTCGACAATTGTTCTGAAGAATTTACGTCGCCGCGTATGGTATAACAAGCGAACTGTATGATAGAGAACTTCCTGGGCGATTGTGTAGAATCTCCGGGATGTTAATGATAATGCGTGAAGTGTACTCAAAATGGATCCCGTATGGTCGCAGGGTATTCGGTTCTCGGAGTCGAAATATGGATACGGATCGCTGATCTGACCTATTTCCGCAAAGATTGCATAGAGAAGCTCATCTGGAAGCTGATTCACATGATCCTGATAGATCTCCATACTTTCGGACAGAAATCGACCGACTTTCTCCCCCTCTACCAAATAGGCCATAAAAAGCTAGGTTGCCCGGCTTTCCTTCTCACGACTATCAGCTATATTATTTGGCCACGTCGGGTCAGATGACTTTTCTGATTGGAAAATATTTTCTTCTGAATGTTGGCAAATGCAAGAAATTCCGCGTATGGATATGCTTATATTAGTTAATCGACTATCTTAATCTTTCATTACGTCACTGAAGCCCTAAATTTAATACAGACTTTTACTATTTGTTCAAGGAAAAGAAATTTGTAGCCGCACCTGGGAAGGGGCCAAACGTGGCTGACTTTTTCTCTTTATACCCTGACCCGCCTTTTTCAGCCCTATACCGCCCCTAATCACACCTTGTAACGAATAAGCACAGGTTGGCTGTAGGAGCGGTGAGGAAAAGGCAGGGTGATCAAAGCAACACCTCAAAACGGGTTGGAACATTTAGGTGGCATGGCACAATCGAGAAGTTTCGGGAATCTGCGTGAGACTATTTTAATTCCTATCTTGCCTTCAACTGGTGAAATCCTAATCCAATTGAGATGCCTATTCAACTGGTAACCTGGCTCACTAGAAATTCCAGAAGACACTTACATGTCAAATTGGCCCTAGATGCTTTGACGTTCTTGAGAATTCCCAATTTGGGAAATAAAAAGCAAGTGGGTCGTTTGCAGTAATAGCTTTGATGATCCAATCAACAAAGTTTCATGGGGGCCAAGCAAGATACAGTGCAGGCTTATCTATGGAAATTAACTCTGTCTACGGGTACGCTGAGTATGGAAAGTCGGATAGTCTATGGACCTAGAAGGTGTAGAAGGGAAAAAGAATAACGCCATTGGACATTTGATGCTTTATCACTAGGTTTATGAATTCATGAGATATAGGGAGATAATAGGAAAAATGCAACCAAAACGCCAGGCCTTTCAAGCAATCTGTTGAGATAGTGATACTAAGTGCACTTGCATATGTATCATAAGTCATTGTCGTCGATATGTCCCGCATAAAATTTGACCAGCACCTCGGCAGTGCGACAATGCCATTCAGATGATTTTTGCGCACCATGTATCGATAGATTCTCTAGCATTTCATCTTCAAAGACAATTCCTTGAAGATCGCCGCAATATCAGCGCCCACTTGGGGCGTCCTAGGCAAATCATGACCACCCTGGTGATCATAGAACTGACGCTTAGCTGGATCACATAGATAAGCCAGCTGAACACCTGAAGGCCAAATAGGGTCCTTTGCTCCAACAATATGCACACTGGGGATGCTGAGCAAAGCCTCTTGGGGAAGGAAGGTGAAATCCAAGCCAAAACAATCGAAGACCGGAGGCAGACGCTTGGGGTTGTGCATCAACTTGCTAGTATCATCCCAGAGACCATTACCAACACCAGGCTTCACAAGGGTCCGGGCAAGTTTGGCAACGCCTTCGATTCTTTGCTTGACCAGCTGTTCGGTTTTATATTTGATTTGGCGAGCTTTGGGGGTGATGGGCATGCCTAGCTCCTCGAGGAACGGGTACTCAATGCTGCCGTTGATGAAGATGATTGAACCGGGCATGATACGCTCGCGCAGTCCCGTGTCAACGAGGGTTTCGTCCATGAGCATAGCCATTACGACTGCTGAAGCTTTGGAGAAACAGCAGATGCAGTCGTATGGTCCGTTGACCTCGACATAGCTTGTTAGCCATTGGACAGCTTCACGTAGGCTGTCGATATCGTTGTTTTTGATCCAGCCGTAAGAGGTTGAAACGACTGTTGACAGACCACGTGGTGCCGGCAATGTGTAAGGACCATCCACGAAGTCGAAGGTGAATGACTTGTCCAGCTTGGATCGGAATGGGACTTGAGATTTCGTCAGTTTCAACGTCCAAGAGATGGAGTTCGGATGGAAAACCCACGTGTCTGCGCTTTGAAAATGAGAGCGCTAGTAGTGTGACCGTGGAGCATGAGAGTATGCATTTTGGAGATCTGTGAAGCTCTATATAGGTTTTTCTTTGGGGGTGGCGGGAGGATTGTGGAATAAGAGCTGTTAGCTATGATGAATGGGTCTCAGAAGTCGCCTTCGTGGATGCTTTATATGTTCCTCTACAGATCATCCTGACTTGGGTAGCTTACACCACATGGTGTCTATTATTGCAAGCGCTGTGGTAAATTACTGTTTTGGGGTGAAGTAGTTCAGATAACCAAACCCGGAAAGGTTGCTGGGCACGCGATGGCGAAAAGGCCACGAGCCTTACCCGATCGGGTGACAATTGAAACCGCTGAGTGATGTGGTCCAATCATGTATAAGATTGGGAGGCAAAGTGGATCCACCTGTGTTTTGGCCACATGAATCAATGCAGTGTGGGGAGCACCGTATTCAGGGAATTTCTAGACGATACTCCAAAATAAGGCCATTGGCGAATGCTGAAGGAGTGTTTCAAAGCGAAAATGGTTGCCATGTTTATTTGACTGGATCCTTTCAAGCTGTCAGTACTAAATCACTGGCTTGGTAGAGTCTGACAGCGCTATACCGAATTAAGGATGCACAGCGAGTATAGCAAACCAATCAAGTTGATAGAAATTTACCCAATGAGGAAAGGCGTATGATGAATGAGGTAAAGTGTGTTCTCTTTATGGAAAGTGAATGTCTTTTTCTGATGTTTTAATTTGTGAAATACTCATTCAATATCTATATGTGGAAGTAGACGTTAAAGTTGTAGGTTGGAATCGCTTCATCTTGATTCTTTAGCTATCTAGTTTGAGTTATTACTATGTGGCCTTTGTGGCGGTCATTGCCATTAAGCTATATATTAAAGCGAATAATACCCTTACCTTGTATCCCCATCTCATCGAAAATCTTACCCCTGTCCATATCCATCGATCTGACTTGGACCCGTTTCATCAACACTACTGCAGTATTCCCGAAGACCCATTCCGTCCAGCGCCCAGCGCCACCTGATAACAAGCATTTATCTCGGTCAGCACTAGGGGAAACCAATAGAAAATGGATGAAATCTACTAAATGATAACTTACACAGCAAGCAAAGCCGATAGGATTGATGGACAGAATTTTCACGCATGAGAGGGAATGGAAACAATCACTATCTACAGCCGAGTGCAAGTCACCATTTTACGAAACACAGTCGAAGTATAAAAAATTCCAATTCTGAAAAGGGGATTTACATAAAAAGGTACACCATTGCACTCATGACGTAGTCAGATGCAGACACCAGTGATATTGGCTCCCTGGAATATTTTGGAGAGAGTCTGATCACGACTTATCTGTCGCAAAAAACATCTATTACCACGGAATCCTTCGCGCCATAATTGTGCACGACTAATTATTAACTAGTCAAGACAAACCCATTGGTTTCATTTGAAAATTTTTATATTGCAAAGCTCGCTAATCGTGACAAAAGAAAGGATGAATAAGGGTATAGGCGTGGTGATATTGGCCATGATTCTCTTCTTTAATAATGGAGAATCCAAAACCAAGAGCCCACATGCAGAGTCGTCTAAGTCTAGCAATTTCAACAGATGATCCTCTCCAATTTTGGCCTAAGGCAGCCATGCAATGCCACAGGTATTACTCCGTCGAGGGGCGACTCGGACTCAGGTACCGGCCCTCTTCGCCAAGCCACCACCTCGTATAGAGATACGTATTACCAGTAATACGGGACGCGTTTTTAACCAACGGGAACACGGGGGTCAGCACCCCGCTCTAACAATAACCGCACGATATCGCCATTTTCTTGCAGGACCGCGTGATGTAAAGAGCTTCGTCCAGCACTGTCTGCCATGTGGATGATGGAGTGGCCTTGAGTGCTGTCCAGCAGCAAACGGGCAACGTCGAAGTGACCCTTTGACACAGCCAAGTGTAAAGCAGTGCGTCCGTTAACATCTTGGATGAGAGTGTTTGCTCCTGCGCGCAGCAGTTCGGGAATAACCTCGAAGTGGCCCTCCGCTGCAGCGATGTGTAGTGGCGTTTGGGCCTCGTGGTTGAGTAGATCTACATCTTCGGGGCAAGTAGATAGGAGAAGACGAATGATAGAGAATTTTCCGAAATAGGCAGCAAGGTGGATAGCGCTGAATCCATTGAGGCCGACAAGGTTCAGACGCGGGTCTGGTAGCTGCAAACCGTCGCTCGAGTCTGTACCATCACTTCCAATAACAGACATATGGGTATCCATAAATGTCGGATCAATTTGAAAGGGCATAGAGTGTTGGTCCATAGGCGGTGTAATTAGAGCAGGGTCGGAGAAATTAAAGAGGTTCTGGACCATGAGGTCGTCTGTCATCTCGGGCGCGCTTCCAAGGTCGAACAATTCCATGTCCATTTTCCATCCTGGGAGATCTTTTGGTTGAGTGGGTGGTGTCAGCAGGCTTGACATGGCCTTTTGCTGTTCTTGGATTCCCGAATTCCTTCGTGAGCTATCCTTCTTGGGCAACTCTGGCGATTTCGACACCTTTCTTGCGTTTTTGTGGAGATTGGCTGGAATTGTACGTGGTTGTGTCCATACTAATTCATTAGGAGAGCGGCGCCGGCGCTTCTGAGTCTCCGGGTATGGGGCAGATGATTGAGAAACTACGATCTTGTTAGCTAACATCCGAATCTCCGGTGTTGGCCAGGTGGATGGCATCTGAAAGACTGTGGACTAACCGGAGTTCTCTGGGGATCGAACCCTGCTCTGTGATCTGCTGGCCATATTGTGTTGTTGGTGGAAGTGGGAATGGTTATCCAAAGTGGAGGATAGACAGTATATAATGGCACAATGAAAGCAATGACCACAGGGCTGTGGCAAATCTTGATTACAATAAAGAAGTGAGAAATGTGAAGCGTACAGAGAGACGAACTTTATTAGAACTCCAGGCTGATTGAGATGTCAAATCATACCCCTGTAAAAATAGATCGATCTTCACTATGGAAATGGGCCTCCATACCTCTAAACCGTTCTGAGGGTCCAAGGTAAAGTGATCCTATTGGTAGTAGTCATCCCCAGACTAGTTCTTTTCCGGTAATATGTTTTTAGCCCGCCTTGTAGCTTGGTACTGCCCCACTGATATGCACATGGGGGTAAGGGTAAAAGAACATGGTGCAAGCGTTTCATCCTTTCTTCGGGTTTCGGCCCCTAGAGTTGGACCCACTTGGCCCCCAATATAGTTCTGATTCGTGATTCTGATTGGTTACCAATGTGCCTCTCACCTATATTTATACATGTATCCACCACTTTATCTCAGGACTCGCTTTCCAATAGTGTGCGGAGTATCTATGTAGGTCAGATAATGAGGTCCATGATCGACATAGCCATAGGCTCACTCTCATCACAAAAATCATCACCATCACTATCACCACATCAATTTTCATCAGTTCCATTCAGTCATTCTAATTCTAGCAGAGTAGCTTGTCCTGCATAGATCATGAATCCGTAATGTCAATTGATGCTATCAGTATTCATGTCGTGTCGTGTCGCGTGCTAATCCTGCCAGAGGACCGATATTCCCTATCGGACCCTACAATACCATGTCATATTCCAGTCGGAAACCCCTTGCAAGTCGCCGACAAACCCATCATTATTGCCGAATCCTGCAATAGACCGCGTGTCATCGATTCTGAAGCATTACTTCATAAGGAGATGGATCATGCCTTGTTTAGGACAAACTTCTAGAAGAAAACCTGATCAGGAAAATAGACTCCACTCTGATATGTAAGGGGGTAAATTAGAGATGGACGAAGGTAGAAATACTGTGCAATGACTGGCCCCCAGAAGGTTAAAGTGGCCCCTAGTGACATCGTTGTAGGGGCCGACCGGGGGAACGTCTCGTGACTGCACAGTTCGTAAAGGGTTCGTTTTGTCCATGTGTAACAAATAGCCGGACTTTTTTCTCTCCGGATAGCTTGGTGAGTGGGTCTCAAGAGGTCAGGCAATGCCAAGTATTCCATTGTTCGTTTCAAAGGAAAGTCTCGGATTATGTGTTTCATCCTTCCTGGTCAGTGCGATGATGAATAGTCGATCGATCCGGATTCCTTTTACATAGTTGCATTTTACGGTCGGCGGTGGCAGTGTCGATCACTGTATAACGTGGCGTCATCTTCATGGAAGCGTCAGCCCGAGAGGACACAGATTAATACGATTGGTTCGACTGTTAAAATATACTTTAACTATTGATGTATCTAGATCTAACAACCTGTTCCTTGACACTGCCTAGACCTCTACATCATATTTCCGATGCGGAAGTCAGCCGACAGGCAAAAAGGCATTTATGCATACTCAGCTTTTAAGATTTTACAGTAAGGTTACGCCAGAAACTCGAAGGATCATACATTCAAATCGATTATAACGTGAGCAATCATCATCTACAAACGATATACGAGACCTACGATGCTCTTGGGAATAAAATGAGTGCGGGGAAAAACTCGATGAAGACAAACATCAAAACGATTCGCAAAGACTTTAGTGTTTACCCCCTACACCTTTATTGGATTACCACCCTATCAGCTTGGATTTCAAGCAGCTACATCCCACTTGAAATTAAAAGAGTAGTGTCACGTCTACAACAAATGGACGTAGATTTTGGTCTGGTAGATAAAGACCCAAAGAGGACATGAGCGGTAAGTAAACTGAGGATTAAGTCAATTGTGCATCTAGGCAAGTGCCTAAAGGTCTCTGTACAAATTTATCCAAATATCACTACGTATTCTGAGAAATATGATTTCTTTCGCAAGGGCTGTATAGGTCTTCATTTCGGACCACCCAGCTAGAAAAAGCACATTCGTCGCTTGTCACCTGCACATGTGTGATAGAATATTTAATTAACAAATAAATAACAAAAATTTGACACATAATATCATATCCGTCGGTATAATGGCTCGAATGGTTCTCCATTCTTGTCATCAATCTCTCCCACATCTACCCTGTAATTCAAATTCCATAAAAGATTCACATGTACAAATTTTTTACCTGTCAAAATCTATGCCATAGTCTCTTCAGAACCATTGCGACGCGTAGTGCCCTTGATCTCCGGCGAGAGCTGTTTAAGGCCCATGCCGAAGTAAACGTATACTGCAACCACAACAATCTCCTCGAGAACATCCATGCATAGGAAAATGGTGACATTTCCAGTAAGCACACTGAATTGTCCCCTGAGACTCGGAACATAGTCTCCCAAAATACTGTATAGCAATCGGGCAATCATGAAGGGAGCAGCGATCGGCATACAGAGGAACATCTTCTGCTCAGCCTCAGGAAGTGCCTTGCGGTCTCCAATGAAGAAAAAGAAAAGAGCCCAGAAGGCAGCGTAGCACACCACGAAGAGAATGACGGAAACCTTTAGCATAGCGTTTGTTCCTAGCGTTGCTGATTCCGCAGACTCGGTACCGCCGTAGACAGCAATGGCGATAGCGACGATGGAGATGACGGAGATAGCGGTGAAGACCAGACGATGAACTTTTTTGAAGTACATATTCCTGCGTATGTTAGTCGAGTTCTGAAAGGTTATTTGAGATCTACTCACATTCTTATGAACATTCCAAGGTTCAACAGAATCAGTGGAGCCAGACCGATACCCTGACAAATGAGGGCACCGCCATAGGTTGTTGTGTTAGGGGTGTTGATGGTGGCAAGTTGGAAGCTTGCGGCGAGGATACGTAGAATCGATAAAATTACCACCAGGATCCAACCATCTGAACGCTTGAACCCGTGGCGCCAGCATAAAACAATACCAAGCGCTAGTGAGATTACAAAGAAGAACAGCTGAATAACGGCAACACCATCACGGTAGGTGAAAACGCCAGACTGATCTAAACCCATTTTTCTTGATGTGTTTTGTCGAAGCCTGGTTCAACTGTTGGATTGAGGTAGTGGGAGGTGTCGTATGAGAAAGTGACGGAAGTTTTTGACAATGACAAGAATAAATTTGGAGCAACAGTGGTCTGTCCAGATGAAAGGAATAATAGAATCAGGAATAAGGAGCCAAGGAAGGGTGGGAGAGTAGCTTAAGTAGACGCCGCCTCAGCTAGTACCGTTTCTAACAATATCACACTGGGGAAGATCTAACAGAATTAAGTTTCTAGTGCGATAGATACCCCTCTTTCTTAAAAGCACATGGCCTAGAGTGTCGATCGCTATGTGAAATCGATGCTCCGAGTCAGCTCGCGGCGTTAACCAAAACCGACCCCACGCTGATCATGCCCGGCGTTTCACTGGAGCGTCAATCGCGCGGCATTTAAATGGCGGGGCCAGATAGAATGTTTTTCGGTACAGAATCTACCCGGGCATCTATCTCATTGTGATGACCGTAAAGGGATATGAGAATTTGGAGTTGAAGGCACTGAGAACAGTCTGTTGAGGTGACTGTTCATGGGAAATGACAACGTTCTGTATAGTATCTTCCTCCAAATTCCCATGAAGATCCTCCTGAAATTTTAAAGGATTTCTTTGTTTACCCCTGCAAGTCCCAGTAAGTTACGGCTCATAGCACACTAAAATTTGGGGGCGGGTTTCAATGTTCTTGGAGGCTTTTTAATCCATGTTCACGGGTTCCCTGCAGCTCCGCCTTACTTGCAAACGCGCCCGATTAATACCATAGCATTATGCCTGTAGGCTCCTTTTCTAGCCAGAAACCTAAGTCAATAGAGAAGTCTCTTGCATGGTGATGCGAAGGCCCTGGTGGTTATATCTTGAATCAAGTTGCATGTGTCCTCTATGTCTATGAGCCGAGCCGCCCTAAGGCGCTGATGGAGACCAGGGGGCATCGAAGATATTTGAGTTCAAAAGGCACAGTGCATTTAGTCTCACCATAAATAAGTGTTATTTCCGATCATTTACCTGTTTTGGTAATTTGTACTGCGCTAGATAAGCATATTCTGGGGGCTGATTGACACACCATTCTCATAAGGCAGTTTCGGGTAAAAGAACTCCCATTGGGTGGCATTTCGCGTTCCTTTCCTTAAACGAATAGCTTGACCGCTCATGAATTAGTGGTAAAGTCTATGTAGATCAACGGAGTTCAAGTTTACTTGCCCCCAAGCTCAGACTTACCAGTCTTGGCTGGCCAGCTGAATTGCCAGTTTAGGGCTTGTAATAATTACAGACGATATTTTTGTGAATAGAAGGGCGATGGAGGACCTTTTATTATACATGTTCCACTCCAAAAATCCGTTGTTCACCTTTTTAAATATTCTACAACATTTTCTTGGGGGCTCTGTCACTGAACCTCTCCATACCAAGCTGCCCACTTTCATACCCCAGAGTGGATATTGAGCCTCAATATAATCATCTGCATTCAAACTTTTTGCCCTACATTATTAACTACTACCACCCTCACCATGGGATTAATTCATCTATCCGAGCAAGTGCAAGCCACTTCATTCCGGGATCTCCCTTCATCTAAACTTCCGCCTTATCATATCACTGGACCAAACCTCGACACAACCTTGGTTCGAGCTCACTCCTTCACTGTTCACGGAATCCCTCTTCAATCCAGTTCTGATTCTCGAGCCGTCCTCTGTCGTTTTGCTCGATTTGTCGGCGATGTTGTCGGTTCAGATCGTATCGCATTCCTAGCGGATGCACCAGAGACCGGCCCAACCTTAGTCCAAGCTGGAATTCCAGTCCGAGCAGCTACCGGTGTGGCCCCCGAGCCGACGCTGGAGTTCTTCGCAGGCGTGACTCATGTTGAGGATATTGACTTCAAAATTCTCATCACGGCCTACAGCGGATCGCGTACAACAAACGGAGTCGCCGCTTCGGCTCAAAAGGGACCTTTCCTTCTTTCGGTAGTATATACCCAAGAAGACACAGCCGATATTACTCTCCATCTTCGAGGGGATTACGGCGGATGGATTGCTGCGAAACACCTGGTCAAATTGGCCGTTGCATATTTAACCTCGGGACTGTCCGACAATATTGCTATTGGGGCAGGGCTGGACCCTTCCCGAGTGAACTTCGAGTCTTTTCTGCAAGTAACGCCACAAGTTCAACACAAGAAGCCAGACGTCAATGGCTTCAAGAGAAATGGTCATGTTAACTCTCGCCTACTTCATTCTGCCTTTGAGGACAATGTTCGCCGGCACCCTCACAACGTCGCAATCGAATATTTGTGCCGAGCACCTGCTACATCCACGCGATCAAGAGAGCACTTATATGACCGACGTGATCTCACATACGCTGAGGTTGACAGCCGAGCTAAGGACCTTGCCTCTGAGCTTGGCCTTCTGCTGCAGGTCCTAGGGGCCCGTTGGCGTCCGGCCTTAGGCGATCAATACGCATTTCCCTTGTTTATATCACCTAGTCCGGAACTTTTCCTCTCCATGTTGGCTGTTCTCAAATCCGGCCATGCATTCTGCTCTCTCCCAGCCGATGCGCCGCCCGAGCGGTTGAGAGCTATCGTCGAAGATCTTGGCTCCCCGATTGTGTTGGGAGTCGGCCCAGTGCCCTGGAATGGCACTACAGGGTCTCAATCTGAGCGCGAACAGCTTGCAGAGGGAACTATGTGGGTCGATATTACCAATCCCGCAAGCTGGCGGACGGATTGCATTATCCCGAACACTGTCGGAGCCTCATCCAAAGGCCTTCGCATTCCATCTGAAGATGATCTTTGCTACTTGTTTTACACCAGTGGCTCAACTGGAAAGCCTAAAGGTGTACTCGGAAGCCATCGCTCAGCCTTGGCCTGCGTGGAAGCAACGCTTGAGGGACCACTCTCGCATCTTCCTGCTGGTCCGCGAGTTCGATGGCTGAATCTAAGCGCGCCATCCTTTGACCCTGTCATTATCGACACTTTTGTGCCACTCTCCCTTGGTGGAGTTCTCTGTACTGCTGAACGTGATCTACTTCTCACGGACGTTGAAGCATGCGCGCGCGAGCTTCGTGCAACAGCCTCTTACGCCGTGGCCAGTCTGGCACTTCTCATGCGACCGGAGCGCATGCCCGCTTTAAAGACACTGATTGTGGGTGGAGAATCGGTGAATGGCCGAGTGATTGAGAAATTTGCCAGAGTGGAAGGGGACCCGGATGACGACAGACATCTTATTAACGCATACGGTCCCACGGAGACTACAATTTTCTGCACAGCAGAGGCTTGTGTCCAAGGCACGCGCAGCTCCGTCATTGGAGATGCCCTGACTTCTGCATTCTTTCTCATGGCTGACCCAGATGCCCTTGATGCGGGAGAACTGAGAGAAACCCCCCTTGGTCTCGCGGGCGAGCTTATTGTCGGCGGGCCGCAGGTTGCTCTCGGGTACCTTAACCGTCCCGAAGCGACGGCAAAGGCATTCATTCCCGTTAATGCGATGGGCCTCCCCTCCGGCACGACACTTTATCGCACAGGTGATAAGACTCGCGTTGTCTGGTCCTCGGATGGCAAGCGCAAAATTGACTTTCTCGGTCGCTTTGGTACAGACCAGGTTAAGCTGAACGGTCGTCGTGTGGAGCTTACTGAGATTGAGAATGTCCTTACAAGCGCGCAAGGCGTGGCTTCTGTCGCTGTGGTGGTAGCCAACCCCAAGGAAGGTGTGCAGGCTCAGTTGGTAGCATTTTTGACAGTCTGGGCCGACGAAGATCGTCAGGGTGTCGCCAACAAGTGTCGCGCGGAAGCAGAGAGACTGCTACCAGAGTGGATGTGTCCTGGGAGCTATACTGTTTTGAACCAGCTGCCGTACACACCGAGTGGCAAGGTGGATCGGAAGGTGTTGCTAAAGCTTGCTGCCGGTGAGACTATGAGTGACGCCGTTGTCACAAATGGAGGCTCCGCTTCCGAGAAAGCAGTGGAGAAGAAGCAAGACACCACCGAGCTTGAGATGGATTCCACATCAATCGTTTACCGAGGCCTTTTCGTTGCTATTGGTGATAAGGCTACAGGCGCAGACGCGACAACACCTCTTTTGGGCCTCGGTCTAGATAGCTTGCGGACCATGTTGTTCCTTCAGAGCTTACGGGATGACGGTATTGAGGGTTTGGCCTTGCATCAGATTCTATCCTCTACCACGATCAACGACTTGATCAATTTAGTGGAGCCCAAGAACCTGGCCTCAAGATCTCTCGTGGGACAAGAGATGGAGGTGGATCATGAAAGTCATGAAAATGTGGTCTCCATTGATCAATCTCTCATGACAAAGACAGCCGCAGAGGAAATCGATGGTGTGGATGTTCTTGCTATCGCGGCCGATGACGAGGAAGGGATTTTTGAACTCTCTATCCCTGCGAAACTCCGCCATTTCTCCCACTTTTGCTTGCCTCAATGTACATCGGCTCTGAATCTCGCCCCTGCCGACATCGAGCAGGTATTACCAGCTACGAACACACAGACCCGCATTCTTTATCTCTCCACACGCCATGAATATGTGGACCCAACACGCTACTCTGGTCGGCCGCAGCTCGAACACTTCCTCTACGACCTGCCTCTCAACAAGCTTGATCCAGTACGCATGAAACACGCTGTCGACGTTGTTTTAAGAAGACACGATTGCTTCCGTTCAGTCTTCTGCGGCATTAAGCATCCACTATCTCCTTTCGCTCTATGCATCCTGAACAAGGATTCAGAGCGTGCAGCTATCCCAACAGTCGAGATTATCTGCAAGTCCGAACCCAGCAATACCAGCCTCTGGCAACATACTCTTGTTTCCGCTCAGCGTGCTGCCGAAGGTGATATGACTCCAGACAGACCAGGCGTCACAGTGACTTGGGTCAGCACCCCTAACGGTTCCCGTCACGTCATGATCCTCTCTCTTTACCACCCCATTTTCGACGGTGTCAGTCTGGGACATCTCCGCGAGGAGATTGCTGCTGAATATGCCCATCTCAGCCGCCCAGCAGGTATCAGAGACCTGACAGATCAGGGCAGGAAGCTCACCCTCCTGCCTATGCGCAAAACTGTCGAGCTTTTGTTCGAGAGCACCGACTGGGTGGAGAGCATGTTCTACTGGATGAGGCGTTTCGCAGGAGTATCATCTTTTCATTTCGGATCTAGCCAACCTGCTTCGCAGGCCGTTATGCTACCCACCGAGCTTAGCTTAGTCGACACACACATGCGCACCGCCTCCCTCCGCAGCAGTCTTTCCATGGATGATCTCTCCAACGGCGCCCTATCTCAGCTAGGCACAACCATGGCAGCCGTTGTACAAGCAGCGTGGGCCAGTGTGCTTGCTCAAACTTGCACCAACGAAGGCAAGCTCGATGTACAATTCGGCAGCATCTTGCATGGCCGAAGCACACCAGACATGTGGCGCTGCATGGCCCCGATGCTGACGACTGTACCAATGCATGTAGTCCTCCAGAAGGATGGACAGAGCAAAAACCCTACCAACCGTGAGATCTGTCGTTTACTAGCCACTCAGTATGCTGAGGTTGCACCGTATATCGATGTTCCTTGCCCGACCGAAGAGACGTTCGAAATGGGAGCCGACCGATTCGATACTGCGCTGAACCTTCAGGCGTATCGGAGCGAATCTGCATCTTCGGATATCGCTGATAAATTCCCACGGGACCTGCCTGGATGGAGCACCGAACATAACCTTCTATGTCCGTATAAGGAAGTGGATATCGGGTTCCCCATTATGATGGAGGTGTGGCCCGCATTCGGACCCGATGGCCCTGATTGGAGTGAAAAGATGACACTGAAGTGTGTTTATAATTTGCGAAAGCCGGGATATGAATTCTTGAATGAGCAGTGGGTCGCTGGCATGGTTGGTGCTTTTGAAGACTCGCTAGTGAGGCTTTTGAGAGAGCCGGACGCCGAGTACTATGTTGGTTGATTTATATGTACATTTCCTTTAGCGATCAGTATTTAGGTTTGTGCTGCTCTTAAGCGACTGTTGAATTTTGTTTCTTTTTCATTTCCTCGCTTGTATTCAAATCCAGGCCTCAATTTGAATATCAGAATTACTGTTTCATAGTAATGTCTTCTTAAAATTTAGTTTATATTTCGTTGTCGGAGCATCAAAAAGATCTAAAATTGATTGAAACTCATGGTCCGACCGTCCTGATTAGTCCTTTATTCTTACGCGCATGTCCCCCAAGATGATCGCGGTGCACACACGGCTAGGCATGATCTTGATGTTTGCCGGATACGGGTTCCTGATCAGCACTGTGTTGTATACTTTTTTTTCGCCCCCATTTTATACTTCATTTTCGTAATATGGCCCCTCCTTTTCTTTGCTTCCTCCAGATGTCGCTTGTGAATCTATGATGTGAACTGCACATAGTATTGTGTCAACATTGGCATAGATGTATATCCGAATTTCAAATTTTACATGTAGCGTCAATAATTTTGAATGGATCCAATTTTGCGAGCCCAACCTCAGAACTGCGCACCCAAGCAGTTCAATAGTAAGTTAAGAAATATACTACCAGTCAAAAAAATTCATTAATAATTTCTTAACCACCTCCAGGCGGATTGATTGTGGCAAAAAGGCCAAAAGGCAAAAAGATATGACAAGAGTGGGATTTGAACCCACGCCTACAAACGTAGATCAGGAAATGATGTCAAGGTGGACCTTAACCTGACGCCTTAGACCAACTCGGCCATCTTGCCAGTCGATATACACCGATTTCTTCTCAGGATAATATTATAGTAGACAGAGGTAGCAATGATACTCTGCAAAAAGCTAGCCCTTCAATTACTCTTTCTTGAACCTTAGTCCTAAATTAGTAATTCTAATTCACTGCTCCCACTACACTAATTCCGGAAATCGGTATCACCCCTCCATCACTTACATACTCATGAACATACAGATGCTCAGCAGTCCAAATCCTCCCACAGTCCCTCCTAGCCCGTTAATAAGCCAAATTGCTATAACATTCTGGATGCCCTTTGCGATCCTCAGTAAAGTTAAAGCCAATGAGATGTAGGATGAGTTGTGTGCGGGGTAGACAGGGGATGTGAAATCATTGGGCAACTAGCATATTGTATTTACTACCCCTCTATCAGGTGACCTATCTCTTAACAAAATCTACCCTCCCACTTATCCTATAGTGCCTGTGTCATAAATTCGGACTCAGTCATACGAATCGAAACCCGAACTATGGACAAAGCAAAATCCTATTGTAATGACAGTGCTTGCGACAAACCGTGTTGGGAAGAAGCCTCCCAGAGGCTGCGCGCGGAACATTCTCAACTATTCGCCCAGTTGGAGGAGGTGCTAAATGCACAAAGTCAACCTTTATCTGGTAGAGACTTATCAGGCCAGATAGCAAAGTCGATAGCGGAAAGCAAAAGTCGGATTATGGAAAGAGATCTACCTTTTCCTTGGAAGCATCGCGATGAGAGCGAGAAAGCGAAAATACGGAAAGCCTTGGACAGTATACTCAAAGCTGTGTCTGTGTTTAAGGACATGGGTACCGCTGCCGCCAATGTTGACCCGTCCCATATGGGAATTGCTTGGATTGGCGTCAGTCTGATTTTACAGGTATTCCAAGGTTTCATTCTTGCACATGTATTCAAGTGAAGTTTTACTAGAGATAAATGACTAATGTATGCTCACAGCTAGTACTGAGTGGCGCCGAACAAAATGCTGCCGCGCTACAAGGGCTGGCTCAAATTTCTCCTATTATCACGAGATATGCAAAAGTTGAGGAGATATATATTGAGCAAAGAAGGAAAAACCAGGCTATAGATCTCAAAAAAGACTTCAGAACGCAGGTTGTCAATCTCTACACCAATATCTTGGTATATCAGGGGACAGTTATATCGCACAATAAGCGCAACCGCCTAGGTGAGTTTATTTTCCTCAACCACTGGCAGCCTTTGTTATACAATGCTAATTTTACCGTTGTGTAGTGCAGTATGCGAGAGCAATTCCAAAAGTCGATGACTGGAACAAACTATTGCAAGATATTGTGAACTTGGATGCAGAGTGCAGAAAATTTACTCAGATTTTCGATTTCGAAGGTATATTGACAAGCCCCAACATTAAATCGGAGACTAGACTAATAGTTATGAATGTCTAGAGCAAAGCGCTCAACACTGGGAGCTGAAAAAGATCTTGGAACAACAGGATCAACAGATGGAGCAAGTGTTGTTTCAAATAAGTCATATAAAGGAGCAAAGTGAAGCACTAATCAACGATAATGATCGAAGTGGTACGTATCAGGCTCAGAACCATACACAGACAACTAATTATTGCGCAGAAAATAAGACAATTCTTGAATGGGTCTCAACCACCTTGCCTCACGATGACCATACCCGAATCCTAGAGCATGGAAAGCTGAACAGCGACTACGCACAATCAGGAAAATGGCTCTTTTGCCGGTCGGAATTTCAGTCATGGAATACCAACGATGACAGTCGGTCTGTACTCTGGTTGCCCGGACCAGGTGAGCGAAATTTACTTTTCAATTTGCATTCAATCGCTAGGCTAATTTATCTGGCATCTAGTTGGCACAGGAAAGAGTTCTTTAGTGTAAGCCAGCCTCTTATTAATGTGAAGTTTGAGTCTGACTAGAAAAATTCCAAGTTGTCTTATTGTTGAGCAATTCTTGAGTCACTCAAGACCTATTGGACAAGAAGCCGATCGACTCGCATTCTTCTACTGTTCGAGAAAGCAGGGGACAGAAGAAGCAAACAGTCCGAAAACTGTTCTTCGAAGTGTTCTTCGTCAACTAGCCTGGTCAAAAACTAATCTCTCAGTCGCACCAATCGTGAAAGAGAGGTACCGACAATGGCAGCAAGATCAGGGCTATGGTGGCCGTGAGCTACTAACAGATGATTGCATTAAGCTGCTCACTCAACTCATCGCGTCCAACTATCACACTACAATCATTATAGATGCTTTGGACGAGTGCTCCGACTTTGATGAGCTCCTGTCTAATCTAGAGAAGATAATGTCTGCATGTCAGGGGAAAGTCAAGTTTCTACTTTCGAGTCGAATGCATGTTCCCGTACATGAGATATTTCCAGCCAATGCCAGGATAGAAGTCGGCCTGGACAACAAAGATGACATTGAACTTTTCATCAAAACCAAGATTGAGCAGAATCAACGACGTCTGGAACAATGCAAATCGGCAGAGCTCAAGGCTCGAATGATTAAGACACTGAGCGACCGGGCTCAAGGAATGTGAGTGCAGAGCTTCAGTCCCTGATGTGTATCATAGCTTACTGATGGATGAAAAATATAGGTTTCGATGGGTTGAACTGCAACTGGATGTTTTTTTTAGTTCCAAGTCTAAAATAAGGCGCCCAGACGTTTTCAAGAAAAAGCTTGAAACTCTTGAATCAGGATCTGGAATTCCAGAGCTAGACGAAGTGTACGATGAGATTTACGATATGAACGTGTCAACAAACGAGGACCGCAGGGCTGCAGAACGAACATTGAAATGGATAATGTGTTGCCGAAGACCTTTGAGCATCGAGATTCTCGTGAAAGCGGTGTCTCTCGATTCAAATGGTGACCTCGATGAGGCAGTGGATGCAGATTATATTTTGGCAATCTGCAGTAACTTCATCGTCATCGATCATAACCAAATGGTCCAATTTGCGCATCTCTCGGTTCGGGAATATTTGGTAAGCGGCGCAAGGCATGGCTATACCGCCGCCGATGCAAATACGCAGGCAGCAAGGACCTCCCTCTTAAATTTGCTGAATGGATGTTCTCAGGGTGATGCAGACGCGAGGAAAAGAGATGGATTCCTTCAGTATACAGCATTGTACTGGCCAGTTCATTGTTCACTAGCATCGATGGACGATGAAAAAGGACAACCCCTTCAGCACCTTGTCAGCAAGTTCCTATCCCCAACAGAGCCAAGCGGGGGTTTCACCACATGCTTGCAAATCTGGGCAGATGTATTATGGGAATTTGATACCCGTGAGTTGAAAATGCGGATCAGGGCCAGCCTCAATCCTTCCAAATCCCCAGTATTTACAGCATGTGCCTGGGGGTTCTATGACGTGATACAGAAAGCCTTATCTGGTGCTTTCAATCTGGATGAGCGCAATTATGATGGTGATACCGCTCTGGCTGTGGCAGCCAATTTCAATCATATTGAAATAACGAGACTGCTACTGGAGAGCGGGGCAGACGTTAATTCAGTTAATAGTGGAGGCTATACGCCTTTGCACTACGGGTCAGCACCCTGGAGCCGGGAGTCGTCGCTTGAGGTTGTCGAAATTTTGATCCACCATGGGGCAGATGTCACCAAGGCAATTGAAGGCCCCATAAATGATCAGTGGACATCGTTACATCTAGCGACACTCTTTGGATATGAGGATGTAGTCCGTCTCTTACTGGATAAAGGAGCTAGGGTCAATGCAAAAACCAAGCATGGCTCGACAGCTCTACATGTCGTTCACCATAAAAGCACTACAATTGCACAAATACTTCTGGAACACGGCGCAGATCTCAGTCTAGAAGACGAAAACGGCCAAACGCCTTTGCAGGAAGCGGCAGCGAATGGAGGAGAGGAGATGGTAAAGTTCTTTTTGAGGTACCAAGGTCTTGAGTCTGATGCAAAAAAGTGGATTCAGCAAGCGCAATTTTATAATGCAGTTCTTGAAGGGGATGAGGACACTGTTGGGTTGCTGCTGGAAAATGGGATAGATATGATGATGAAAAACGTTCGGGGAGAATATCCACTTCACTGGGCTATACGCAGCGGGCAACTTGGGGTTGCGTCTCTACTTCTGCAGAAAGGCGCAGATATCGACGCAAAAGATCAATTTGGGTGGACTGCGCTGATCTTGGCTTGCGCGAATAGAAATGAGGAAATGATGCAGTTCTTGCTGGACAACGGGGCAGACATCAATATAAGAACCGATGAAATGGCTGGTGGTCACACGGTACTCTCTTACGCGACTGCCCAGGGGGAGTGGCAGCTTGTGGAAATGCTTTTAAGACAGGGAGCAAGCCCACAAAGTGTGGCACTTGATTCGCTGAGGCGGGGGATATATGTCTCACCTCAAGAGTTTGAAAAGGCACTAGAAATTGTTCGGTCTCACATTAGATAGGCCTTTCTAAGTTAATACCTATAGAAGTGAAGGATCCTTCGGGTCCTTATGCCATTCGCAGATGCCATTCCTGCGTAGGTTTCTCCTGGTAATCCCAAGGTAGTCTAGACTATATGAACGAATTTGTAGATCTGTGCATGACTTTCACTCTTTTGCTCTTGCTGCTAGCTTAGAGCATCTATATGTATGATGACTCGGATGGTTTATTACTCGCTTAGAAGAAATCACGTTGTAGCACTGGCACTTGCGTTGGGTGAGCATTGAGCCTTCCTCTTCCCGTCCTATATTCTAGAAAGATACCTAATTTGAGCCCCTGAGCTAGAAAGTAGGAATTTGAATAATTTATTACTTGGTATAAATTTGTTTGAAATTCAAGCGATTTTTTTGAGAAGAGACAGAATTATGATTGGAGGTAGAGCTCTAGTCAAGGATGATATCAAGCTCATAGAGAGCAGAGAATGGTAAAGAGGAGGATACAAAGGATAGAAGACAAGGAAAATCATGAACATCAAGACCGACTCAGTTCGCGTCCGAGCGAGGCCCAAGATAATCATAGACGAGCTTAACCCGAACGACTTCATTTCCCTTCTTTCCAACAATATGCCTGCTGTGGTATCTCGACCCATTGATGTCCTCAAATCCCCAAGCCTGGTGTGTCACGGCATTGTAGTCCAGGTGCTCCGTCTTCAAGTGAACGAAGCTGTTAATGCCCTCTTCCATTCCATCAACCAGAAAAGAATCTTCTTCATCCAGTTCCTTGGCACCAGTCCACCCCTGGCTCACACGAATCTTTCCGAACAGCGCGTGAGTGGAGTCAACACCTTGGAAGTCAAGCACCTTGTTCTCCTGGGTGGCTGGCAGGCCTGAGGTCGGCTTGAGATCGATGTCCATGTGGGTGAAGCCGTCAGATGGGTCTTCCCACTCCTTGACTTCTAGAATGACATTGGTCATGTTTAAGACTTTGCGCATCAGCCAGTTAACCCCTTGAAGCTTGAGAAGAGGGTCGTATTCGGTGGACATGGCACGATTCTGTGGATGTTAGTATCGGGCGCAGAATAAAGTCTATTGAGAGACTTACCAAAACCCACTGGCCATCGAGGCTGTTGAGTGTAATTTTTGCTGGGGCGGACATTTTGATTTTGTTTCCTTGCTTGCTGCTGCTAGAATTATTGATGCCTTCAATTTTCTTTCTCGGTGCTTTTATGTTGCTACTTGAGAAATCAATAAATATAGATCGATCAACTATTAATACAGTCGAAGTTCCAGAAAGCAGATCAGCTAATCACTTGCTGTTTCCATATTAGTAGGCGTATAAGCTTCCCCTTAATTTCCTAAAGGGGTAATCCACCATATGGGTGCCATGTGGTTTTGTCTGACGATCTGTTTCAAAACTACAGAACCAATGAAAGTCAAATGTCAGATTGAAGATCCGATTTACGAAGATGCTGATCCTTTACTTACTCAAAGGTTTAAAAATACCATCACTATACGCACTCCATACGAAATCTCGTAAAATATGGGATAAATTCTCCGTACCCACATTATGGCCCCAACGTACAAAAGGACAGTCGAAACGACGTCAAAGCCTAGATTACTCGTAATATCTTTTTTTAGAATTACAAACCTTACCATTTTCGGTAATATGTGGTCTTGATCTTACCTACCTGAGTACTGTAAAGCATCAAGTTGGAACTTGGATTGTTGTCGGCTTTAGTGATGAGAACACTTTCCTTTCACCCCGAATTCGCCACATGATGCTGTCCGAACATGGATCGACACTCTGACTACGTGAGGATCCCTGCACCATGGTATATGGAATTCCTAATCCGGAAGGCAAGATATGTTGTCAACAAAAGGAGGGAGAGCTGCACATTGAAAGGAGGCAATCGAATCAGCTTCTTTCGTTTCCACTGATCAAAATCTGCTTATTTTGAAATATTGGTGCTTTTGCACTGCTTCATTGCTTAAAATCGCCACTTCACTGCAAGGGTAATACGAGTCTACCTGTATGTAAGGCTAAGGGCGGCCTTCTGGATTCTCAATCACTACGACATACTAACAAGGATTTCAGAATTCATCGCCCACTATCTGGGTACTTCTCGACATGTCATCGTCTAACAACGATGCCGAGCTGGCCAACCCAGAGATCAAGCCCCGTAAATCCTCATGGAAGGTCATGCCGGTGCCCGCAGAACGACAAATATCACCCGAATATGGAGCGGGCTTCATTAGCAGGTGGACGTTTAGTTGGATGGGGGATTTGATGTCGGTTAGTTGAATTCTCGAAGATCCTCGCCAATACCCTTACATATGCTAATCAATCTTCCATTCTACTAGACTGGTTACCGCCGTCCCCTGAAGATCAATGACATTCCACTCCTCAACCCCAACAGAAGTGTTCAAAAACACAGTGTCACCTTCGATGCCCATTTCGCTGAGGCGAAAGCATCGGCTGATATCAAGCACCCTCTTTTCACCGCCCTACACAAGACCTTCGCCCGCGAATTCTGGATCGGCGGTCTATGTCGTTTGTTCGCTGATCTATTTACTGTTGGAAATCCTTACACGCTTCGTTATTTGATCGAATGGGTTCAGAATAGCTATTATGCCCATCTCCCGGGAAGCACTATCAGAAATCCGGATCTCACGAGAGGAGTCGGGCTGTTAGTCGGCATTATCTGCATGCAGATATTACTCAGCTCATGCCAGAACCACTTCTTATATCGTGGAACTATGGTCGGCGGACAGGTCAGGGCAGTTTTGACCAACAAAATCCAAGAGAAGAGCATGAAGATATCTGAGCGAGCTAGGGCTGGTGGGTCCGCCCAACCTCTTATCAAAGACTCCGGGACCACATTACACGATGTCGACTTGGATGAGAAACCCGGCAAGGAAAAGCCTCAATCTTCTGAAAAGCCCAAAGATGTCGATCCCGAAGCCGGTTGGTCTAATGGTCGCGTTGTTAACCTCGTGTCTATGGATGCTCATCGGATTGATTCGGGTATCAGCATGATCCACGTCGTGTGGACCTCACCGCTAATCATTTGCGTCTGCATGGCTCTACTGATTGTCAATCTTCGCCAGTCCGCTCTGGCTGGCTTCGGAATGCTGATTTTTGCCATGTTCTTCCTCGTCGTTGCCGTGAAAGCAATTTTCGCCCGTCGCCAGGTAATGAACATGGCCACCGACGTCCGCGTGGGCCTAACGCAAGAAGTCCTCCAGGCGATTCGACTAGTCAAATACTTCAGCTGGGAGGAAAGTTTCATCGAGCGTTTGATTGAAATGAGAGCCGACGAGACACGCCAACTGCAAGGATACAACTTGATTCTTAACTTTGTGACGTCTCTCGGACAGAGTCTGCCTGTTCTAGCCTGCATGATCACTTTCGTGACGTATGCCTGTATCACTAAAGGCGGTCTTGATGTCGCTATTGTGTTCTCAAGTGTTGCCCTTTTCAGTTCTCTCCTCACACCTACCGCTTTCTTACCCGCCTGTCTTGGTCATGCCTCCGATGCATGGGCCAGTATGACAAGAATCGAGGAATACCTTCTAGCAGAAGAGGTGGAGGAGGTGGAGGTTGACGAAAAAATGCGAGATGCGGTGATAATCGAAAAAGCTGAATTTACCTGGGAGAAGGGACTGGCTAACCGAACTGCGGTCCTTGATGAGGATGAAGAGGAAGAGGATGAGAGCCCGCAGGCCGTTCGGAAGTCGCTAGCCGCTTTAAGAGCAAGCAGAATGTTCCAGGATGGAGAAATTAACTCTTACAATAATCGAGACTCGCTGTCTGCATTGCGAGCGAGTCGAATGTTCCATGATGTCGATTACGACACTAAGGGGTTTGCATTGCCTACCTTCGACTGGGAAGGAACCTCAATTGCAGGACCTTCATCGCGGTGGGACAGACCGGCATCCTTTATGCCGACTTCATATGGATTTGAAAGACCCACTTCCTTCCTGATGCCCTCTTTCTCGCGAGATAGATCCAATACGAACAATTCACAGGATAGGCGTCTTTCCGTGGCGAGACCTAGATCGACGATAAGACCTATGTCAAATTGGTTCCGGCCTGAGTCAACCTTCCGACCTAAATCGACTATCCGACCTATGTCGACTTGGTTCACGCGTCCTGCTTCGACCCTGAAACATCCACTGGAGCGGGAAGAAGTCGGTATAGTCCCTGCTCTAAGGTGGGAAGATGGCGCACATGCCTCCGAAAAGGGATCAAAGGGGCGACGCGCATCAGGTGCCGTCTTGTCGAGCCCGCCTTCCTACGAAGAGTCTTCATCGTCGAGCACCTTAGCAGACGAAGCTCCTGTCCTAGCTCCGTTTTCAATCCCCTCTATCTCCCTGAATATCAAACGTGGAGAGCTCTTAGCAGTTATTGGCGGAATTGGAAGTGGGAAGTCCTCTCTTTTATCTGCTCTAGCTGGTGACATGCGCAAGGTACGTGGAACTCTTAAGTTCCACTCTGATTGTGCCTATTGTCCCCAGACAGCATGGATCCAGAACGCCACCGTCCGCGATAACATCCTCTTTGGTGCTCCCTATGATGCTACGTGGTACGACAAAGTAATCACCGCATGTCAGCTCCGTCGCGATCTGCAGATCCTCTCCAACGGCGATGCTACAGAGATTGGAGAGCGAGGTATCAACGTGAGTGGCGGACAGAAGCAGAGGATTAGCTTGGCACGAGCCATGTACTCCAATGCCGATATCCTTTTCCTGGATGATCCGCTAAGCGCCGTGGATCCATACGTCGGACAAGCTATCTTCGAGGAGGCAATTCTCGGAGCCCTTGGAAGCAAGACAAGAATTCTCGCAACCCATCAAGCTCACATCCTCAGTCGTTGTGATCGGATTCTGTGGTTAGATGACGGAAAGGTCAAGGCGCTCGGCAGCTTTGCCAAGCTGAAGAAGAAGTATCCTGACTTTGCTGCTCTAGTAAAGGAAGCGGAGGGAAATCGGGAGAAGGCAACGAAAGAAGATGCAGAGAAGAAAGCCGACAAGCCCGAGGAAGAGATTACTACAGTCAGAAAGCTTGCTGGAGATGATACCATGCCGGAGCTCATGCAAACCGAGGACGATGTTGATGGTGGCATCCCTTGGTCTGTCTACAAATCCTATCTTGCCTGCTCCCGAAGCCCCATCGCTATCACCTTAGCTATCCCGCTTCTCTGTCTCGCCCAAGGCAGCGCCATTCTCTGTGGGTTGTGGCTCGCCTGGTGGGCATCTGACAGGTTTGGGTTCGAAAGAAACACATATATCGCCATTTATGTCAGCCTTGGTTTGTGTCAAGCCCTTTGTCTCTATCTTTTCAGTCTTTGCATTTCGATTCTCTGCACCAGCGCCAGCAATGTTATGCTCGACAAAGCAACCATAAAGATTATGCGCGCACCAGTTTGGTTCTTCGATACTACGCCACTTGGCAGAATTATGAACCGGTTTTCGAAGGATGTCTACGTGATGGATGACGCTCTGCCAGAATCGCTGAGACTCTTCTTGGTCGGAACTGCGATGGTTTTGGGCATTCTCTCACTTATCGTGTCTGAGTTCCACTGGTTTGGCATTGCCCTTATTCCCTGCACTGCCATCTTCTTTTTCTCCGCATTCTACTATCGCGCCTCTGCGCGTGAGCTCAAGCGCCACGAGTCAGTCCTGCGTGGTGTTGTTCTCGCCCGCTTCACTGAAACACTTTCCGGTGTGAGCACCATCCGCAGCTATTCGATGCAAAATCAATTCTCTACATCGCTGCAGCGCGCAATCGACGACATGAACAGTGCCAACTTCTTGACATCTGCCAATCAGCGATGGTTGGGCATGCGCTTGGATTTCGTTGGTGTCTTACTAATCGTTACAGCTGGTGTTTTGGTGGTTACCCAGCGCTCTACCCAGAATCCGGCAATTTCTGGTGTTGTGCTAAGTTACTCCCTCGGTGCTGCACAGGTTCTGCAATTTATCATCCGCCAATGGGCTAATGTGGAGAATGCGATGAATGCCACGGAACGAATTCACGCTTACGGACCCGGTGACACTCTCCCTATTGAGGGTAACAACGGTACTCCGCCTGTGGCTGCTCCCGAATCCTGGCCGGAACAAGGAGGCATCACGTTTGGAGATGTGCACATGCGTTACCGTGAAGGCCTCCCGGAGGTTCTCCGCGGGTTGAACCTTGCCATCAAACCGGGTGAGCACGTTGCCATCGTTGGACGCACAGGTGCCGGAAAGTCATCCCTCATTGGAGCTCTGTTCCGGACATGTGAGCTCTCTGGAGGTTGCATCACCATAGACGGTGTCGACATCTCAACAATTCCATTGGATGACCTACGCTCCCGTCTATCTATCCAGCCTCAAGACTCAATCCTCTTCCGCGGAACCGTCCGCAGTAACCTTGACCCGTTGCAGAGGCACACGGATGAAGAGCTCTGGCTTGCCCTGCGTGGAGCCTGGTTAGCCGAAACCCTCCAGCTAGACGATACTGTCGAAGAAGAAGGAACCAACTTCTCCCACGGCCAACGCCAGCAACTCGGTCTAGCACGTCTCCTTGTCCGAAACAGCAAGGTAGTTGTATGCGACGAGGCAACTTCAAGTGTGGATCTAGAGACAGACGAAAAGATCCAGCGCACTATGGTTGAAGCTTTCAAGGGGAAGACTGTGATTACGGTAGCCCATCGTATTCGAACTATAATAAATTATGACCGCGTGTGTGTTATGGACAAGGGATCAATCGCGGAGCTGGGAACGCCGAGTGAGCTCTGGGATCTGGGAGGTGTGTTTAGGGGGATGTGTGAGACGAGTGGGATCTCGGAAGAAGAGTTGCAGCGATTTATCTGAGCGTTTAAGCATTTGATTTTTATAGACATGAATACTAGCTAATGAAATTTTTCCTTTCGTTCAATATAAAAACCTCTTATAGAATTGGCACTATCTTGTACACTAACAGGAATCTTTGATGACCTTGGTAGAGGGTCTGCCACTCTATAATTTGTCCAGCATGATTATATCATTTCTAGGAATTAGGCAATGCCACCTTGGTGGTCTTTGCTTTAGTCTCAATACAAGACTTGCTTTCTGTGATAGATAGACGGTGTCAATAATTCGTCTGTGAAAACTTACCGGCTGACATGTTAAATAATACCAGAGCCTTATCATGCGCTATACAGTAAAATGAAAATTGCGTCAACGCAGGAAAAAGGTGATACCGGACATTTTACATACAACTGAGTACCAGGCGAGATAACCTGCAATAGTGTTCTAGAGTAGAAAATCGGCAGATCTAGTGTGTCAATAGAATACGTAGAGTTCGTTATATACCATTAGTCTAAACCCAGGTCATCCTTCCAAGCGGGCGTATATCATATTACGCAGGTGCTCTAATTGGTTGACAGTACACACCCCATCAAATTTCTCAAACAAACCCTGTCCCCTGTGAGGTTGATTACTGCTTTAAAGCTCTGGTAGTAGTATTTGCCTGCACATAATACTGCCCTTGCAGAAGGCGGCGGGGAATATCTACGCCCTGTTTGGGGGCCATAATCAGCTTTGCCTATTCAGGAAAAGCGTGTACACAGAAATGTAGAAGGTCGGTAAGGATCAGCAAGCCCCAATCCAAACCCCGCTTTCCAATTATAGGGACGCTAGCTTAATTCTTGCTCAGGGATCACAGAATAGCCCATTTTGGTTGATGATCCCCTTATACAGAGCAACTGAATATAAACCAACCAGAGATGCTCTGGACCGGCATGATTGAAGTTTTCGAGTAGGACCCGCTTGCACTATATGAGCCAATAGAAATCCAGAATTTCCCAACAGGGGTGAAACAACGTGACTTGATTGGTTTAAAGTTTTCGCGTTGCATGCTCAATCAGGATTAGCGTCGCGAAATCGACCAAATCGGGTAAACAGTTTGCCTGGTTGGAGCTTAGCTGCGCCTTATGAAACAAGGAATCCGACTGGTTGCGGTAAAAGAAAATGTTGGTGCCTCGCCCGCGCTAGTGACCCTTTCTTTTACAACTCCATTTCCCAATCGGGCTCATTTTGAGAGGCTTGGCCACAGCCACGAGAGCTAAGCAAAAAGGGGAATGCAGGTTGTCAGCAACTTACTATATAAGATATCGATGTCTCCCATAGACATAGCCTTTATTAGATCAATCTCCCAAGCTTTCTTCTATCACTATCAAGATTCATCACCGGATCTAAAATAGTTCTTTCAACCAAGCACTTGCCAAGCTTTATACTAAGTATTCGTTAAAGACAACCACATTCACCACAATGGGCAAAATCGACTACAGCAATGGGATCTCCATTCTCCAACTAATCGTCTACCTCCCCGCCATCTTTGTCTCGATATTCCTCGTCGCCCGCCATGGGCTCCGAACAAGCTGTGGCTTCATCTTCCTCACTATTTTCACTCTCCTCCGCATCATCGGTGCGGGATGTGACCTCGCTACAATCGCATCTAGCTCAACATCTCTGTACACCACATATGCAATCACAAGCTCAATCGGTCTGACCCCATTGATGATGGCCTGTTCCGGACTTCTCTCTCGAGCGTAAGTTACCCTTATTCTTGCATCAAAGAAAACGACTAATTTTAAAACAGCGATGGTTCCATCAAGAGAACCACGGGACACGGTCTCCCTGAACTCCCAACATTCCGCGCTTTCCGCATTCTCAATCTCGTGGCCCTGATTCTCTGTATCACCGGCATCACTTTAAATATGAACGACAGCGGCGTAATCAAGCCATCCATCGAAGCAAAGATCGGAATGATCCTCTACATCGTCGCCTGGTTCTTCATGGTGTTACTACTCGTCATCCTCAACAACCGCCGTGGTGGTCTTGAGCCTGGTGAGCGCCGCACTCTACTGGCTGTCGCCATTTCATCGCCCTTCATCCTCGTCCGTGTTGCCTACGGTGTCCTCGTTTGGTTCTTGGACAACAAAACCTTCAGCATGGTCGGTGGCAACGAGACCGTGACTTTGGTTATGAGTGTTCTAGAGGAGTTTGCTGTTGTCATCACTCTTCTTGGTGTTGGTGTTACCCTGCGCGTGCGCGGGAGTCGGCAGAACCTGGACAAGGAGCAGGCAATTCAGCCTCAGTGGCCTGTTCAGGCTTAAGAGATCTGATTCGTCTAGAGCTTCAGGTCCGACATTTATAAAAGATGACGGAACTACATAGATGAGCTGTCGGTGGCTTTATTGATTTCATGGTGCATGGACTTTACCTGTACAGGTTTTAATGACCTATTTCCTATGTTGGTGTTATATCGGTGTTACAATTTAGCGACATATGAAACTTTACGCATCTTCTTGGCAATCGGTCGATTTACACATTAGGTCTTGTACGCCAAGTATAATTAGATCGATAGCATGCTCGTGGCGTCGAGTCAACTACATAACTTCATCATTTAACATCTTTCTCTGGTCTACACAGGTAGCGTAAACTATCTGTATCGCAATTCCTGCCCTTGTGCTAAGGTTTAATATGAAACTGTTTTAAAAGTGATTGGAAATGTAAGCAGGAAATGAAAGGATTATGGGGAGGTACTGAGGTCAATATGACCCTAATTTGAGTAGAACATTTGAACGTTATTAGATCTAAGTGTGGTTCATGGAAAGAGTTCTATGTTTTCACCTTGTTTTGTGGCTTGTACATGGAAGAAATGAGAAGGTTGGGGGAATAGTAAAGTATATTTGATATCGGGACGGAAATACTACTGATACATCGTGGTCCACTGAGTCCCTCCTACTCATTAATCATGCAGTAAGGCAAAGCAAACAAAAAACACCTCAATCTGAGGTCCACCCCCGCTCAGACAAGAGGGCACTTCTCCGAGTCGCCACTCTTCCACGACTCCACAACGCGGTCACTGGGCAGGTCTCCGGCATAGAAACCAGCGTGCTCCTTGTTGATTTGATGAACTTTGACGATCATCGCGTACCGGCGCAAAGATGCCTCCGCGCGCATCTGAGCCACCAAAGAGCCTGCTTCTTCGATGCCGGCTTCTCTGCTGTTGAAGTCCGCCAGAAGATTGTGCAGAGTAATGAATTCCTATTCAAGAGACGACATGTAAGTTATTAATTTACTTAGGATGAAAAGGGACAGAGTAGCCAACTCACCCGGTACCAAACTCGACGTCGTTCAACATCCTCGTCTTCTACCAGCAGCCGTCCGAGGCCGTTCAAGGTCTGTCGGACGCTGTCGAGCCCAGTGGTATCCAGTTTGACCTCCTCCAACTTGCCGGAGCTGTTGGGGGGCAAACTGGAGGACCAAAGGGTCGCTTCTGGGTGCCCTTCTTTATGGGGCTACCGGTCTCACTGGTGGAGACGCGAGAATTGGGTCCGACGGCGCTCCGGGGGCCCTTCAGGGCGTTGGTACTCTCACCCGTGGACATTGGAGCCCGACGGCCAAGGGGCCACTCGGGGTTCTTCTTCTTGAGGCTACCGGTCTCAAGGTTGGGAGTGGGACCTGAGGGAGTGGTGGGAACCGGGGGGACAGGAACCGGGGGAGCGGAAACCGAGGGCTGGACTTTCACCATATCAAACAAAGCAATGGACTTTGAGCGCTTCGTCAAACGGGGTTGGAGAACGAAAGTTGGAACCGGCTCTTCACTGAAAAGCTCCTGGGACAATGTGGATTTTGCGCGCTTCTCAGAACGGGATCGTGTAAAAGCACTGCGAATACCACCCATGACTCGAGAAACTCGTGGAACCGTGGCAGGAACTCTGATGATGCCCGTCTGAATGACAGTACCTTCCATTTCAGGGTGACTCTGGCAGATATCTTCGAATTTGATGCTTTCACTAGCTCCAATCATCCCGACAGATCTGGCTTTGGTAAGATCATGTGCAGTAGTCCCGATTGCTCCTGCAGATTTGGCGACGGTGAGGTCATATGCAGTAGTCCCGCGTTTTCCTGTAGATTTGGCAGGGATGGGGTCGTTGTCGAATTCACCCGGGCTCACAGGGTGGCTGTGCAAGGCCGTCAAAGCATTCATGGATGAAGTCCGGGGGGGAGGGCGCGGGAGAAGGCGTGGGAGAAGATGTGAGCTTGGATTCATCACGGGGCTGACTCCTGAAATTGGGTCAGGGATGTTACGATCGCCATTGAGCATTGCAAAGGTGATAATGTCAGGAGATGGGGGCCGCGTGGTAGATAGCCCTGCCGGAAAATACTGATTGTGAGAACGGGCAAATGATGTATTCGTCTTATCATCGCCAGGCCTGCCAAAGTTCTCGCTGTGCGGGCTGCTGTTTTGGATGATTCGTGGACGAAATTTGCCCTGTGAACGACTCTCGTTGGTAATGACTGGAAGACAACGGGATTGAGCTTCGTCTCCCATGATGACTTTGTTGGCACTCAATGACATGCGAACAGTGGGTCCCAGAGGTGTGGTATCACCGTAATCAGAGCTATCGGAATCTTCTGTGATACTGGGACCACCAGTATCAGGGTTACCGGATGGAGAGGGGGGACGTGGAATTCGCGAGATGGCGTTCCGACGTCCAGGGCTGAATGGTGAGTTATTTCCATAACTCGAGGGGGAGGCTACGAGTATCAAGTCAGTATGAGTGCATCGTTGAGATGCTCGGAAGCACATACCCCGATCTTTCGGCACTCGAAGCATTTTGATATCCTGTAGAGGCTACTGCCTCAAAGATCTTCGGATGGTGGAAGTGATGATGAAACAGGTATTGGAGCAGGGGATGGTACATGAATGGATGAGGGAGGAGAAAAAGAAGAAGGGAGAAGATGGATTATGTTTCGTGTTCAAGTGAATTACGCCGGCGACGACGACAGTAAAGGATTCAATCCTGTACCGTTCTTTCTCACTTGCTCAAGCTTTCTCTCCATCTGAACCAAGCAATTCACCAACAAACTTGGTCTTTAGACAAATCCGAAAGGTGAGTTAGCAGTGAATTCAATTAACATTTTGATCCATCCGAATGATCCATCCGGAGAACAATGAGAATTCATGGGCATGTGTATCCGGGATATCTCAGTTCATCACCAGTCGTTCTCAACGCTCCCATACGAGCCGCTCCTGTCTGAGCCCCCAGATCTGTCTACACCGAAGGTCCTGCATTGTTAAGGTCTAGACTCAAGATCGAGTCCAAACTACAGTGCCTATGCGAGGAGACGCCGACCTGAAACATCACATCCATTCTGAGTGGGGAGCCACATGATGGTAACCCTAGATGTCAAATAATGGTAAGCACCGATGGCCGGTGCGGTCTGTGTCTGCCCAGAAGAAACAAAGCTGGGCCAAATAAACAGCACTCTCACCGCTATCAGCTTCTGACTTATAATCATAATTCTGCCGCCATTGCCGATTCTGCTCCAACATCGAGGGCAGAGCGGGAGCCGAGCGGGCTGGTCTGTGGAGGCCAGCTGAGACTCTCGACATCCCATTCGAAGGCCCCGAGCTCCGGGTGCCAAACGGAGGATAAAACCTCTGGGGAAAGGATTCTCTCCGAGCCCCAGTCATCATCGAAGACTTCGTGTTGAAGCTCCCAGTGGAGACTCAATACGCCATGGCAACTCCTGCCATGTAGTTTGCCCTGTGCCATTTCCCTATTCACTTTCTGCTTCCATCATTTCCACAACCGGTGCACGAGGAACGGCCCAGTTAGCATCACTACTAGCTGGGCTCCAGATCCTGGTGGTGATGGAGCTGACGGTATCCTGTCTTCTAGTCAGTATCAATCTGCAACAGGAAAATCATTTCTATACAAAGATTAACTTATAGGCTCTTCCCGTGTGCCCATTTGGCGCAATCTCTGGATTCCTGCTGTGAGCTGTTCACCAAATTATATCAGTGATGGGCTTTGCACGACTACCATCTTTGTCATCAATACTCCACAGCACACATTACATGACATGGCAGCCGAATATGCACGAACCCGATTTTTTGATTGCCACAAAGGACCGGCTTCTCTAGCGCGGCACTCTGCCGTCGGGTTCTGGCAGCGGAATCTGCTGCAGGTAGGGCCTGTTGTATCTCCCTATATCTTTCACAAGCAGATCGTCAGCTAACATGCTTCAAATAATTAAGAACATGCCAAGGGTGCCAAAGAGACAAAACGTTTAAGCCTGGGCGACCAAAAAAGTCGAGCGCCGAAAGCGCGCTCTGAACGATCACCCACTTATCTTAATTGGACATCTATTTAATATCACTCTTTCCATGGAGTATCACTTACTTATGATCAGATATCAAGTGCGAGATTGATAAAGCCGCGCTGAAAATCAAAATCCAAGGTCGTGGGTCGCAAAGAAATAATACAATATGATAAATTGCAGACGCGTAGGACGCAGGTTGCGAAGGATGGAGAGCGCGTGGCTTTATCTATTGACTTGTGGCAGAAACCCTACGCCGCTATTCAATGATACCGATATCGCTTAAGCTGGTATCTAGTATACTCGATGTTGGATCAGGCACCGTTTCGGTTGTATTGTCTTTGCAGTAGTCGCAGGAGACTAATTTTATCCAAATTCCTTCTCACTATCTATTCACTAGATTTTTAAGCTTCATTCAGATAGCTTACTGTAAATGTTTCTCACAACGCCCGTTGGAGGAAATATGATCCATCGCAATAGAGCTCCACACTATAACCACATTGTCTTCTTATATGAAAATAAATATACAGGCATAGGAATCTAAAGCTTATTTAGAAGGTTTAGAATTTTGAAAAATCGTTCGTTCATTGGTAATTTCCAAAAGCGACGCCGGGCTAAATCCGTTTGAATGATGTCAAATCTTCACTCTGACCGCTTTTGTAGACGCTGAACATCCCCTTGGTCCCCCCGTTTTCTCTTCCCTGTGGCTTTGCCGCTCGAATCAGAGTCCTCTTGCTCGATTCCACCGGTATCGCCTTCATGCCACTCACTAATTTCCCACTCAAAGAATGTAGAGTTGTCCTCGCTCATTCCCTTTCCTCGTTTCGCCCGCATCAATCGACCAAGGCGACTTCCTTCCACCATCTCTTCAAACCAGGGAATACCATCAATCGTACCATGTCGGAAACTCCGAGAGATGATTGGAGTATCTGCAAGCGAAGGTACAATAACAGAAGTGTCTCCTTGGGGCGGTGCAAGGGCAGATGACGTCGAGATATCATGTGCATCATCATCAAGATCATCCGGTAGCAGATTTAGATCACTCAAAGCATGCTGATCCTCCCCAGTAAGACTCCCAATAGCGATCGACATGAAATCCGCTTCATCGGCAGGCTCTTCCGTCCAGAAAGTCAACGGTGTACCACAGAAGCCACAGAAGATGCGGCGAGTCTGGGGAGCATGACGTGGTGTGAATATGCGGCGGATGGAATCGTGAGTTTCGTCGGGAAAGAATGATGTAGTATGTGACTGATACCAGTCCAGTGGCACACGCAGCCAGGCTGTCAATGGTGTCCCGTGAAATCGACCTATAGATGTATAAGCGGGAGGGCAAAGTGGAGCTTGAGCTTGGCTTCGGGTATGAAATCCATACGATTGTCTCGGCTGCTGTCAAAATAGACTTGTGCATGCTCAGTCACATCATCAGGGATCTGTATCTGATATTCATTGCGGCCACATGAGCATGATCCACGGAGTGGCTCGTGGCCCATTGTTGTACACGTAAAAGTAGTATGGAGACAGATAAAGGTGAGCAGATTAAAAATGAGACGAGTTTTGGAGGAAATTTCAATCCAGAGCTTAATTTATAGATTTAGAGCCTTCGATGTGTGTTCAAAGGGAAGAGAGGAAGAAAAAAAAGAAGAAACGAACAGGGTGTGAGGTGGAACCATCTTCTATGACGTTGAAATGTTGCCAAGACTCGCAACCCAACTTGGGTTTCTCCGCAATTCTCAGCTTATCGTTATCGCTATCGCATTTTGTCCACTTCCACTCAGCTCGGTCCCCCCTGTTCCATCCTCTGCTACTCTGGCACAATTAAAAGGGTCTGGGAGAAAGGAAGCACAGGGCACGTGATAAATTTACCCTAACGTCAATCTTTCGTCTTTCCATCCTACGTATCGTCTGCCCTCCCATCTCTGCCGAATCCACTACGACCCACAATGAACCCTGACGACGAAAATGACCGGTCCTCCTCGACCCCCACAGCAGCATCTAAGTCTGTGTCTGGCCAAGAGAAGGAGAAGCCACGTTTGACCGATCAAGAGAAGAAGAACAACCACATCGCGTCGGAGCAGAAGCGCCGCGCTGCCATTCGAGAAGGCTTCGATCGTCTTACAGAATTGGTCCCTGGCTTGGAGGGACAGGGTCGCAGCGAGAGCGTTGTCTTACAAAAGACTGTCGATTTCATGCATCTCAAGTTGCAAGAGCGACATAACCTGATTGCTGAGGTTGAGAGAAAAGGCGGACACGTGGACGACTCCCTGCGACCTTCATAAGCACTCGAATTGCTCTCGGTCTCTCATCCGGCGGTTCAATTCATTTTGAGCCCTTGTTTGGGGTCTTTGCATCTCCTTTGCCATTGTGGTGGGTGCTTTGGCGCGTCATGGATATGCCGAGGTTCGGGAGGCGGGCCTCTTCACTCACACGAAAATGAAAATGAAAATGAAAATGAGTCATGCATTCAAACGAATCTCTTTCTCTATTGCGACCTCCAGCCTGTTATAATCATGATCCGAATTCATGGTTTATGTTGACGACTGTCATCACGGTCCCATCCTTTCAATTGCTCCTTAGCACATTGATGGCTTCCCTTCGCCGACGTCTGTTGGATTTCTTTTATTCTCAATGTTTCTAATACTTCACATATGCTTTTTTTTACATCTTGGGATAGGCAGAATGTATGTCAATTCATCTATGGGTGTGGCTCTGCAGCCACAAGGGCGTTTTGTACCGGTCTGCTTCGAATTTAACAGTTCAACCCCTTTCAACATTTACCATCCGTGCCCCGGTACATTGTACTGCACAGCCCAATGCTGAGTGACAAAAATCTTGGTGAAAATAGGCTGCTCAGGGCAAATAATAAGGAATGCTACCAGACCAGGCCATATTTAGTCTTTTATCCGATTATAGCCGGCCATTGCAAAAAGGGAAGAGTTAAGGCCTGCCCTTCGACAATTCAACAATATCCTACCCGGTTGCCTGCTCAGTTCCCTACTCAGTACTTACCGCGGTCTCCTACACAGTATCATACTCATTATCTAACAGTCTCTTGCTTGGTGACGTTCAAGCGACCACGGTATAAAAGGTGTCTCCTCTCTCTCTTTTCCTTTCTTCTCTCTCTTTTCCATTTAATCTCTCCTTCATGCCTCGACCCTTATTCATACTTCATACCACAATCCCTCCCAATGGCTTGTCAGCTGCCAACGATCAGCCTCATACACAAGCTTCACGAAGGGAATTTTCGAGACTGACTATTGACTAAAAGCAACAATGTCCTCAGTTTCACTCTTCTGTCACTCCCATGATTTCCGCCAGAGATGACAAGGACGAGATCAGAATCCCTGATGCCGCATTTGGGCCAGCAAGACTCCCCCATTGGTTTCCCAAGAGAAAGACCCACCCTAGTGATCGAAATCGGAAGAAAGTCTTCCAAGTCTTGAGGAAAATGCCAAATGGTGACTCAGATCGGCGAAAGGGAGTACAGCGTTTTGCATAACCTGCAAACTTGATCGAACTCTAAGGCTAGTGGTTGATGTTTGGGAGCGACATGCACTGGTGGGACGAGGAGTTGATGCAAGTGAAATCATCAGGGACCAGCATATTATCATCACAAAGAAACAAAAGCACCGGCGAGATTGTGGTTAGAGGAGCTACAATGACTGTTAGACTCAGGCTTCTTGTGAGAAGATTACCGGACGCAAATTCAAGCAGAGAAAAGGACTTGGTGATTGGGGTTGAAAGATTAAAGATAATTGCAGTCGATATGTGGAATCAGCAAAAATTGCTTGGGAGCAGAAAAATGGGTTCACTATTCAATCACGAAACTGAACGCGGAGAAGGCCAAATGCAAGATGGAGAATGAGCATAGCTCTTGGGTTTTTTTTTTCTTGTCTTTTTTTCTCTCTTCTGGTTCTGTATGTGATCCACTTGCCCGTGCCCAATAGATGATTCGCAAGATATCGAGCGAATTGATCTTTTTCCAGGTTATAGGGTATAGGGTATAGCCATTCTTTGGCCTTAATCAGATCGGCGACTGGTAGGGGAAGGATGTTCCTTCGTTATAGTCACGAACATCCTCCGATGAAACGGTCCCCGTTGTCCGCCATTCATTCACCGAGTTTCTAAAAGGTTCAAATTGTTCAAAAGACGCTAGCTGTTCTTCAAGCTCCTACCCGGTCCTCCAATCTGGTCCAACGACTCAACGCCTTGCAGTTGCATACTTAGCCTACCTTATGTCTGGTTACCTTGGGCAATTGATGATAAAATACCAGAAATGGAGTAAGAATCGCGTTTATGCAAGCCGAAGAGATTGCATAGTGACTCCCTCCCCTTGATTTTCATCCTCTTACATAGATAAAACGATAGAACATGAATATCATGCTTTGATTTTGAGGGCTCTTCACAATTTCCATGGACTATTACCTTCCAATATATATTCGGGTATTATCCCCCTTCTCTCTCCACGTCTCTTTTCTTTTCTTCCTAGTTTGCTACTTATTATTCTGGAGATCTCTCCGACTTAACTTATACAGTAAGGAAGAATAGGAAATCTAGACACTTTGATGGGCAGAAAGCCTCCAATACTAGAGTCTACCAATCAGGGGATGATCACTGTGGGGAAAAGCATCGTTATCCGCAAAGCTCGAAACTCGCTCCAACCAACCCAACCCAAACCCAACATTTGAAATTGGAACAACCATGTCAACCTCCAAGACAAACCTCCTCGACCAGGAGGATCCTATTGACTCCCCACCAGCCTACGATGACACAAAACCAACACCAACCCGGGCCCTCCCACGCCCACCACCACTCTCCCTCCCCGCGCTCAACGACCTCCGCAACAAACGAGTAATCCTCGCATCCCAATCCCCCCGCCGACGCCAAATAATCGCATTCCTCGGCCTTCCCAATCTAGAAATCATCCCCTCAAACGCAGAAGAGGACCTCCCCAAATCCCTCGGCCCAGTGGAATACGTTCTAGCAACAGCAACAAAGAAAGCGCAAGCAGTCTACGCACAAGAAATCGACAACGAAATCAAAGGCGAACCAAGCCTGATCATAGCAGCTGATACGATTGTCGTCGATGTAACAACGGAAACCATTCTTGAGAAACCGCGCTCAGAAGCGCACCATTTCTCTATGCTCCGGGCTCTTCGCGACGCTCGCGATCACAAAGTCTATACTGCTCTTGTTCTTATGGCGCCGTTGGCTAGTGCGCGACAGCCTGGGTATGCGATGGAGACGGTTGTGGAGGAGACGAATGTGCGGTTTGATGGGGATGTGACGGATGATTTGCTTATGGCTTACGTGAAGACGAGAGAGGGAGCGGATAAGGCGGGTGGGTATGGATTGCAGGGGCTTGGGTCCATTCTCGTGGAAAAGATTGAGGGAACTTATGATAATGTTGTTGGATTGCCGCTGAAGTCAACTTTGAAGCTTATTGAGACTGTTATGCAGAAGGCTGATGATGAGGATCGGTTGGAGGGGGATCCGCTTTTGGAGTTGGATGAGGAGGATGAGGATGAGTGATTCCTGGTTTTCTATGCATGTGGCTTGGTTATATACATTTAGCATAAAGATGTTTGTAGGGTTCTGTATTTCGGATAGATTAAAATGGGACATACAGTATATGAACTACATATACCTATAGATCAATCTGTATCCGGACTGTATCCAAACTGCGTTCAAATAGGAATACTACTTCCGACATCTGGAGTTATCGCTATTGGCCGTGAAATATTGAAGTATTCAGCTCCGATATATTCGGGCGAGACAAATGAAATTGTGTTTCAAGGACATATACATAGGCGAAACGCCTGGAACCAGATTAAAAACGAACCCAAAACAACCCTTTTCAAATCCACGACACCACTCTATGCGTTCCAGATACGACGCAGAGCCTCAGTAACACCAACATCGTTGGTCTCGAACTCGTACAAACCGACCGCGGTGGTCAAGGTGAAGGCGCGCAGAAGCCACTGGCAGAGAGAGTAGAACTTAGGCACACGCTGGGGACGGAAGTAATCGACAATGGCGGCCCTAGATGATGTCAGAGTGCTTTCATAGTATGGCGGATGTGGGCGGCTGCTTACTCGAATCCGATGTGGGAGTGGGCGACCAGGAGAGTGCAGAGAACGGCGTCCATGACGGGGTTGAGGGAGCCGGCAGCGAAGGGAGCGATGCTGAGGGGGATCAGACCGACGCAGACAGCGCTAAAATAATGTCAGTCATTGTTCTCCATCCGGGTGTATGCGAGGTGCAACGAACCGCTCGAAGGTCCAGTGGTAGCTTCCGTGCATCGGGCTGGGCTTGGGGACCGGAACGGGGTCGTTCACTGTCTCCAGTTAGTAACATTATAACCGCAAGTGAAACCAGTCCATGTTCCGCCAGATGTTGACAATCGTTGTTCTCCAATAAGCATGCAAGGTGGACGTCGTTCAAAAACATAGCGGGACAATCGTCGGAAGTGTAGAATCGGTACGGGTGAGAAACATACTGGTTCCCTCAATGCTCTCTGTAAGAGATGGAATCGCGGTTAGCAAACATATTCAAGCCACTGGACAATCCGCTAATAGTTTCCCGGTAATCAAACGCCATTTCATGCTATGAACTTACGGGGCAGAGGAGGCAGGATCTGCTTGCGGGCAGAAGCGTGGAAAGCCACGGCCTGCGACACGCCAACATTCTGGCGCATGAAAGGCGACCGGGTCGCAAGGGACTGCCGGAGCAGTGACGAACGCGCGAATGAAGCCATTGTGAGGAGTTTGAGGGGAGATGGAGGGTTGCTAGATCAATGCACAAGGATGAAGTTGTGACAACCTCGGGAATCCGACTCGGTATGTCATCCATTTACGGGTCAGGTGATTGGTCAAGAGGTTCCCGCGCAGCCGAAATTGGCCGATGCGGGCGGGACTAAACTCTTTGCCGGATCTGGGGATATCATACAGTGAAACAAGTAAAACTACATATATAAGTAATGTTTTTCATGTAGAGGATATGGAATTGATTATTTGATTTTTTTTATTCAAATTATTACCCTATCTCGAAATAGACTTGGAGAATTTAACTACAGCAAATGAAAATTGAAATCGTTGCAGGCATTATTTCATCTCAATATTTCCTGCCATCTACTTAGAACTTCAGCACAGCCTTGCCCATGTTCTTGCCGTGGTAGATATCAAGCAGACCCTGAGCAGCGTTGTCAATACCATCAGTCTGGTGAATCAGAACCTTGAAGGAACCGTCCTTGATCCACTTCTGTACGTTCTCCTGGTGCTCCTTGGTGTAGACAGGGCCCATGTTCTCATCACCAACAATGAAGCCACGGCAGGTAATGCGCTTGGCAACAAGGTGCATGAGGTTGGTAATGGGGTAAGGCTTAGCGTTGTACTGCGAGATCATACCGCACATCACACAACGGCCAAAGTTGTTCATGGCATCCAGGGCAGCCTCAAAGTGCTCTCCACCGACGTTCTCGTAGTAGATATCAATACCCTCGGGAGCAAGACGCTTAAGCGCATCAGCGGGCTTCTCCTTCTTGTAGTTGAAACCGCCATCAAATCCAAGATCCTTCAGGATGTAGTCGAGCTTGTCGTCGGAGCCAACGGATCCGATCACACGGAGACCCTCGTGCTTGGCGAGCTGACCGACCAGCTGGCCGACGGCACCACTGGCAGCAGACACAAAGATGGTCTCGCCCTTCTTGGGCTTGCCGATGTCGTACAGGGAGGAGTACGCGGTCAATCCAGGCATACCCAGGGGGCCAAGGAAGACACGGATATCCTCCAGACCAAGAGGGTTGTCGATCTTCTTAATGCGCACCATATTGGGGCTGTCCAGAACGGTGTACTCCTGGATGGGCAAGAAGCCGATCACCAGGTCGCCCTCCTTGAAGTCGGCATTGTTGGAGCGCAGGATCTTGCCAATGGTGTTGTTGTCGATAGGCTTTCCAAGCTCGAAGGGGGGAGAGTAGGACTTTGTTTCGGGAGCGCGCATACGGCCCCGCATGTAAGGATCAAAGCTGCTGTAGAGGGACTGGAGGACGACACCGTTCTCGGGGGCAGCGGCATCGGGACCATAGCCAACCTCACCAATGGTGAGATCCTCGCCAACCTTGGGGTATTGCGCAGGCGCAGGGACCTTGCTGAAGATGAGTGCCTTGTTGACCATGATGTAGGGGATGCGAAGAATGTGGTATATAGAAGTTTCAAATTGAAGAATGGAGCAACACTTGGGTTTTATATAGTACGGGGCAGAGGGCCCGAGGCAAAAACCCAGATTGAATTAATATTATAAAGCAGATGTTACCTTGCCGAGGGGGCCCGGAGAAGCTTCTCGAGAAGGTTATGGGGTTTTGAATACATGTGCTGGATCCACTCAAGTGCTTCGAAAATATTACATTTCAATACATAATTCATAATTTGATAGATATACTCGTCATAATTATTTCATAACCGGGGATCTACCCCTTCGCCACAACTCTAAGTCTAGAAAAAGCTCTTCAATATCTTTGGAAACCTTGTATGTGGAGTCAATATGGACTACAGTACGGAGTACAAGGGTGGAGCTTCGGAGGAACTGAAAACAATCAGGCCGACGGACACCGCCATTCCAGGCAAGAGGACCGTTCTTCAAGAATAAGCCTTGAAACCATGAGAAATCGAAATAAATACTCCGTATGCCGATTCTTGATTTCTCAGCACGGAGCAGACTACCAGTTCTGGCATCATAGCGGGGAGGCAAAGTGGATCAATTTCGGACAGAATTTTTATCATTGGTTCCTTCAATTTAACTCTCCAGATTACCATATAAGTGGCTGCATGGTACTTTTTACCTTGAAAATATATAGATATCCTTGTCTAGCGCACAAATTATTCATTCAAGATCAGAGAAAACAGCGCTCAGAGGTATCAAACATTAAGTACATAAACCAGTTCAACGTGGAAGTTCCCATCTTCCATCTAACCCCTACCAGCCAGATACTCTGGCGCCTTGGACACGAAAAAGTCCTTGCCCTTAATCATGCGGATCATGAAACTCCACGGAACAAAGCCAAAGAGCTGTCCAGTACCACCGGACTCGCCAACAGGTACCAACATCGTAATACTCTCACCCTGATCATAAGACTTGCGGTCACCCTTGTTCAGAATATCGACCTTGATGTTATGAGCTGCCACTCGAGCCTGTTCGGCCGCCTTGAATCCAAGACGCATCCAGTTGGTGGTGATGTCACCAGCTGCGTAGATTGGCAAGACCCCTGAGCTCTCGGTTGACTGCACGCGCAATTCCTTGTTGACTCTAACCCACCCCTCGGTGGCGAGCAAGGACTCAGGAATAAAGCTGTTGTTCGGGATGGAACCAGTGGTGGGGATGTAAAGATCGGTGGTGAGCTTATCACCACTGTCCAAGGAGATAATCCATGAGTCACCTGAAGCCTCGACCCCGAGGACACGCGTAGAGGTGATCAAGTTGACATTTTTCTTCTTGAGCATATTCTCTGCGGCGGTACTGGCAGATGACTTGAGTGTATGCAGAACTCGGTCTGTCGCAGAGACCAGCGTGATGGAAACGTCGCTAGAGTTCTCTGCCACTGCTTCGGCAAGTTCACCAGCCAGTTCCACTCCGACCGGGCCTGCACCACCGATAACGATGCTCTTGGCACTGGTGGTTAGCTTCTGGGCTGCCTCGATGAGCTCCTTCATATCGTCGCGCCCCGAGTGCTTGAAAGGGATTTCAGTGCCGGTGACTTGACCGGTTGTGGAGGGAGTGGTGGCACCCGAACCGATTAGAAGGTAGTCATATGGCAGCGATTTGACGTCGCCGTCATTAGAGGTTACGGATACAGTGTTGGAGGAGATATCCATAGCAGTCACAGTTCCAGCAATAAATTCAAATGAGTTTTCCGCATATTGGGCAAATGCCTCCTTGATGGGAAGAAGATACTGGTCGGCATGGAAAGCGTTTGGCTTGGCAAGGATACGGGGAGCAGCGATATTCCAGTAAAAGCTTGTTGAGGGATTGATCAGAGTGACCTTAGCTTTCAAGGCACTAGCATCACGCAGTAACTCATGGGCAGCGGTAACACCCACCGTGGAAGCTCCAATGATCACAATGTTGACCATGATGGAAGGTTGGTAAAAAAAAACAAAGTTTAGGGGGTTAGAAAAAACTTCATATTTGCCGTGATTGGGGACTAGTCTTCTTATAGGAGTTCCAGTTCCAAGGAATCCAGACCCCCACTCCACACCGATTTTGCGGGACATTAGTATGTACTAGTGTGGCTCATTTTCTTTAAATTCTGTTATCGTTCATGGGTAAGTTTGAGCACCAATTGAATTACGCTTATCAATCCAATGATTGTGCACAGAGTAGAGAAAATCCCTTGACCTAGCCAAGATGAGAGACATCGAGACTAAAATCTTACACGTCTAACCTTATCTCATAGTACTAGTCCTCACTGGCATATAAAGCTTCAGTTTAGTAACAAACCTTTTTCAGATTGTAACAAGACTTGGGATTTCATACTTTATACATATTAGTCATAATCAAGTATTTGGATAACATTTTCCGATATTCAGATAGGTATTCAGATCGGTAATAAGAAGGTTCGTAGCCTTGAAAGTCCAAATCGCGGAAAAACTTACTCTCTCTCTCTGCCTCAGGCATCCAGGAACCCCCTTATCGATAAGTGTCATGTGATCGCATGTTTTAATTTTCCCTTTTTTTCTGCGCGACGCTCCGCTCAAGTTGCGATAGGCATCCTTTCATCAATCCATATTTTCATCATGCTTGGTGTTTTCCGCCAATTCGGCGTCTCACAGGCGATCCGCACATCTGTGCCTCGTAGCCTTTCTTCACGATGGGCTCCTCAACTGTCCAAGTTGCAGCCTTTGGCCATCCGGACTCCTGCGCTTGGTCGATCATTCCAAACCTCCTTCCCTGCCCTGAAGGCCGCCGCTGGACCGGTGCCTACCCGGATCGATGAGGAAGAGTTGATCACCAAGTTTGCTGATCTCAGAAACAATGATCTTATTGATGAGATGATCGTCCGAAACATCACCCACCCTGCTCGTATGGGCTTGGAGACCATGACCGCCGTCCAAAGCGAGACAATTCACCAAATGCTGAAGGGCGATGATATGTACGTCTACCTAAGCTATACCAAATGCCATCGATCTATTTACTGACCACTTCTACAGCCTTGCGCAAGCCAAGACCGGTACCGGAAAGACCCTCGCCTTCCTTCTCCCTACCATGCAGAACATCATGAACGACCCTACCCTCACATTGAAAGCCGATGGCCCCGCTCACAGACGCGGCCCAAGAGCCTCCTCCAGTGATATCAGAGCCCTGATCATCTCTCCCACCCGTGAGCTTGCTGAGCAGATCGCTGCGGAAGCCCGGAAGATGACCCCCGGCACTGGTCTGCTAGTCCAGACCGCCGTCGGTGGCACACAGAAGAGAGCCGGACTTCAGAAGATTCAGCGTGAGGGTTGCCACCTGCTGGTCGGTACCCCTGGTCGTATCAAGGATATCCTGTCCGACCCTTACAGTGGCGTGACGACTCCTCAGCTGAACACCCTCATCCTCGATGAGGCCGATCGTCTTCTTGACCAGGGTTTCTCTGAGGAAATTAATGAGATTTCCGCCCTGCTTCCGGATCCTCTCCAGGTGCCCCGTCAAACTCTGATGTTCTCCGCCACTGTTCCTAAGGAGGTCCTGAAGATGGTTAACCGAACCATGAAGCCGGATTACAAGTATGTCAAAACCGTTCGGGATGACGAAGTCCCGGTCCACCTTAAGGTGCCGCAGAAGTTCGTTATCCAGCCTGGTTATGAGAACGCTCTTCCTGGTGTCCTCGAGCTTGCCCAAGTATACCAGGCACGTCAACAGGAAGACCCCGAGTTGCGCCCGTTCAAGGCTATTGTCTACTTTAACTCCACCAGTGAGACTCAGCTCGCTGCTGAGGCTTTCCAAAACCTGCCCCGTGGCAGCCGTGAGGACCCTTCCAATGCCCCTCTGGGTCGCATGCGCTTCCTGGAGATCCACTCGCGTCTCAGCCAGCGCCAGCGAACCTACGCCGCTGATGCTTTCCGCCGTGCTCCCGAGGCTATCCTATTCTCATCGGATGTGACTGCTCGTGGTATGGACTTCCCGGATGTCACCCACGTCATCCAGATTGGTGTTCCTAACGACCGTGAGACCTACATCCACCGAACTGGCCGTACCGCTCGTGCTGGTAAGACCGGTGAGGGCTGGGTCTTCATCCACGCCAACCAGATCGATAACCTAAGTGACAAGTGTCATGGTATGCCTGTCACGCAGGATCGCCAGACTCTGCAAACTTCTTCTGTGGACATGTCTAAGAGCATTGATGATGCTCCTGAGGCCGCCCGCAACACTATTGAGCTCATCAACAACGCCATGACCAAGGTCTCTGGAGACCTGAAGTTCCACACTTACCGCGCTCAGCTTGGCTCTACTCTGCAGACCTTCAACAGCAAGCGGACTGCCATTAATGTTCTCAACCGACTGGCCGTTCACGGATACCGTCTTGCCGAGCCCCCAGCTCTTAGCTCCGCCCTTGTGAAGAACCTTGGACTCCGCAACATCCCTGAAGTTAGAGTCGATGACACCCGTCGTCCTTCCAGTGGAGATGATAACCGCAGACCCGGTGGTTTCGGTGGTGACCGTGACCGCCGCAGCCCTCGTGCTTTCGGAGGTGATCGTGGCTCTCGTTCCTTCGGCGGCGACCGTGGTTCCCGTTCCTTCGGCGATCGTGAGCGCTCCCCTCGCTCTTACGGTGGCGACCGTGGCGACCGTGGTTCCCGTTCCTTCGGCGACCGTGAGCGTTCCCCTCGTTCTTTCGGCGGTGATCGCGAGCGTTCCTCCCGCTCCCGTTTGTTTGATTAGATCTTGATGACCCGGTCAGGAATCGGGGACGGTCTTCAAAAGTGACGATTTGCCGTTGTCATTGTATTTTTTTTCTTGGTTTATCGTTTCGCTCTTCCGTTCCTGATGACAAAAGAAACCTGATAGAGTTTTCCATCCTCGCATTTGGGCGGCGTTCTGTCTCTCTTCCTCTGACATCTGTACCATATGTCGATTCCCCATTTCAACTTCTCACCTCTTGTCTTATATTGCAATTTCATACTGGGCCTGGGTATCAAGATTATAATCAATTACAATGTACTATTACCTGGAATTTTCATATCTAGTAGACTCTTGCTGTATTCCATGTTCAAATGTTCCCTGGGTTTTGGGCGTTGTCCTAGGTACTTTCAATCAATCGTGGGTTGCACAAGTGGAATTAGCCCCCGTGCCTTGGACAGTGTCGCGGAAATGATGTACACCAGGACAAGTCTGTATCCAAAAGCTATGTACATACCATATTTACTGTTTGATTATACATACACCTATCTATTCAGCAATGAATTAATCCCAAAGTCCAGACAAGGTCGAATATTGGCATGGATAAGGATCTAAGGATGAAAGGTATATATAATTCAATCACGTACCTCATATACTGCCCAACCAGAGAAAATAACATGAACAGAGAAATCTACTGCAGGCAGATACTTACAATGAAAAGAACAAAAACGACCACAAGTCCCTATTTTCCAAGATTGTTCCTACTCGCGAGCAATCATGTGTTCCCGCGCAGGACCAGTTCCAATCCACTTGATAGGAACACCACCAATCTCCCGCTCAATAAACTCAATGTAAGAACGAGCATTGGCCGGCAAATCCTCATACTTCGTGACACCCATAGTGTTAGACTTCCAACCCGGCAAAGTAACATACTCAACCTCAATCTTCTCAATGACATTGGGATCAGCAGGGAACGATCCAGTCGTCCGCTTACCACAGGGCAGCTTGTACGCAACTCCAACCTTGATCTCATCAAAGTCATCCAGGACATCGAGCTTGGTGAGGTTCAGCGCAGTGTAGTGGTTGATCGCGTGCGAGTACCGAGCAAGAACAAGATCCAACCAACCACAGCGGCGCTTGCGGCCGGTAGTCACACCGAACTCGCGACCGACGACCTGCAGCTTCTCGCCATCGGCGTTGAGCTGTTCGGAGGGGAAGGGACCCGAGCCGACGCGGGTGGTGTACGCCTTCAAGACACCGATGACGTTCTTGATGCTCTGAGGGTTCAGGGCGAGGGCCTGAACTGCGCCGCCAAGGCCGGTGGAGGACGAGGTGACGAAGGGGTAGGTGCCGTGGTCGAGGTCGAGCATGAGGGCGTTAGCGCCTTCGACCAGGGTGTTGGGGGAGTTCTTGTGCTCCTGCAGGAACTCGAGCTGGTCGACGATGTAGGGCTGGAGCTTGGTGCGGTATTCCTAGTGAAGTAAGTATATTACATATACCAAAGCGTCAGTTTTTGTTCTGGTTTCATACCTTGAATCGAGCAATCTCCTCCTCGACATCATATGCCAGGTCACCGAAACGTGCCCGGTAGGAGGTATCCAGAGTGCGCAACTTGCGCTCAAAGGTCACCTCGTCCATAATCTCACCAACGCGAACACCGCGACGCGCAGCCTTGTCACTGTAGCAGGGACCGATACCCTTACCGGTAGTGCCAACCTTGCGGCCACCGAGACCCTTCTCCTCAAGACCATCGACAACGGAGTGGAGATCAAAGCAGACGTGTGCGCGGTCAGAGACGAAAATGCGCTTGCTAGCGGAGGTGAGACCCTTAGCTTCCAAGTGGCCGAGCTCCTTGAAGAAGCTGGGAACGTGGAAGACAGTTCCGGCGCCGATGAGGTTGATACATTTAGGCGAGACAAGACCGGAGGGCAGAATGTGGAAGTCGTAGGTCACGTTGTCGTGAACGATAGTGTGGCCGGCGTCTATAAAGAGTTAATTAGATTGGATTGGATCTAAGGGCCCGGGTATTCCATTTTCTCGTCAAAGGTTTGAAATTTAAATCGCATAGGTCACACTTACTATGGCCACCAGCTGCACGACAGCAGAGTGTCGCCTGCTGCGAGAGCATGTCTGTGATCTTTCCCTTTCCTGTTCATCGAAGACCCGGTTAATCACCGTTTTCACATATTCATGTCGTCCATGTCTCAGGCGTTCATCGGTACTTCAGCGCGGGGCTGGCGGGGTCGACATACCTTCATCTCCCCATTGACTTCCAAGAACGATGGAAACCATGATTGCGGAATGTGGGGTGTGTTATCAATTAGAATCAATTGCTGCGCTTCGATTGGCAATTGGCGAACAAGTGCTAGTGGCGGAGGATTGGAGAAGATGAGAAGTAAGTCCGGCTTCGGATGGCGGGGCAGGCAATCTGAGTGTACGGTCAGTTCCGGTGTGTTTTTTTGCAACAATGCTGGAGCGATCTTGTTAGGACACTGGGGAGAACTAGCAACCTACTGACTGTGTGCTTTTGATATGAAGATTTTCAATTGCGACTATTCAGTCTGGCTAGAATCGACTTTTCTTATATTTCGGAGTGACTCACAATATGCAATATGGTAATTTATTAAATTTTTCCCGTGTATTAATGGTATGTAATATACCTATTTTATGTTGCCTTGATGCCTGAAGGAAGACGGAATGATTATTATCCGTACCTTAGGTCCACAACAGATACACATCTTGAAGTATTCAAATGTTAGTAGCGGTACATGGAGAATTAAGACATAATACAAGCAATATAGAAAGAGTCGATGACTCTGAGGTCATATGAATCACATGTATCATGACCATTAATAGGCATAAACCAAGACCTTGCGCCTAACCTTGGAATAAGTAGTAGAAACACCCGAGCCCGAATCATAACTCATGCAAAATATCCAGGGTATTATTCATCGAGCTGACCAAAAACACCATGCCAACATGCAGGACCCTCTAATCCTAACGCCGAAGCTACCCAAGGTAGATATCCAAGTTCATCATTCATCATATAGTAGAAAAAGATACCACTTTCCCACCATTCCGAATCCACTCTCGGAGGCGTCCAAGGGCAAGAATACAATCCCGATGCATCTCACAGGCAACTTCCCAATGCTTCCGTACTTGAACATCCTCTTCGATGCCACGCAGATAAGCGCTGAATCCACCCTTGCCACTTCCAGGAATCAGAGTGTCGTCGAATGTGTCCATGTCGTGCTTCTCGATTTTGTCATCTGTATCGTCGTCGTCGATCTTGAGGCGAGTAGAGTCCCCGACGGCGCTGATCCAATTGGGTGAGAGGCCTGTCTCGATGGCTTCTTGGCGGGCGTGGAAATAGAGTAGCATGCGGCGGTTAAAGACGTTCCAATCGTGCATGTAGGTGCCCATAGCAGAGACGTAATATTGCCATTTCTCAAGAGGGAGAACCATTATCCCTGGAGAAAGGGCAACGGTTTCTGGTGCCGAGGGTCGTTTAGGGGGGTTAGGTAATTTGAGCTCGCGGGGGCGAATGTCACGCTGGGTCGTAGTCTGTTGCTTTGCGCGAGATTCAAATGGCAATGTAGCGTGCACATCATCTAAGTTCTCGATACCACCGCTGTTGGTGCTAGTGAATGGTGCAGTGTTGCGAAGATTTTCCAGATTAAATAATGGGGTGCGTGTCTCCGTATTCGATGCATTGCCTTCGGCCTTCGATGACTGGGCATTTCTGCTCGCAGGGGCCTCTTGACCAACGTTGAGATCTGGGTAAACTGCGCTCTTAGCCCCAGCAGACGCCTTCTTTGGCACGGATGGTGATTCGACGTCAATGTCCATAGCCTCAGCATCTGCGGCAGCCCAAGCTTTTCCATCAACCTCTTCAACATCGGGAACTGATTCAGGCACAGTACCGTTTACGGTCTCCTTCGCCTCATCAGCCTCTGACGCCACGCTTGCAGCCTGCGGAGCACTCCGCACCTTTGTTCCCGCCCTAGACTGTTTTCTCGGGCTTCGAGGCGGAGTGTGTGATGCTCTATGTTTATCCGACTTGGGAACATCCCAAGTAAGATTGTCTAACGATTTCGACCATTCGTCCGCAAGAAACTTGGCCGCTGCGAATGGGGTAGGAGCCTGCTGTGTTTTCGGTTGGGACGGATCATCAGCTATACCAAATGCATTTGCGCTAGCAGGCCCTTTCGAAGGGGTCGATTGCGCAGAATCCTGTGGATTGGTCCGACCCCGGGGCTTTGAGTTGGGAGAGTTGCGCGCTGCAGCAAAATTCGAAGCTGAAGCTCCAATGAAATCGAATTCAGAGAGGTGACCTCTCCAGTCTTCAGCAGAGAATTTCTTGTGAAGATGATTCATATCACTGGTGCTTCGGCGTCCAAATGCCGCAGTCTTGGGATTGGTACTCTGTGTAGGATCGGTTCTGGATACGAATCAGTCGGACATGTACATCACAAACAATACCAAAAGTAAACATACCGAGAAGTGGAGCCTTTAAACTGATCGGGTGGTTGCGGGCGATTCGAGCCTCGAGTAAATGCGGCGCTATCTGAATTATGTCCTTTATTGTCGTCGCTGTCAGCCGTAAGATCTCCAAATCCAGGGACCCTTCGAGGTCTGCGAGTGCCTTTATTTGACGGGCTTGGCGCTTCCTCGTAGCGATGCCGGGTGGAAGGTTCCTCACCAGTTCCGAGGCTGGAATCTGCCTGTCGATGAAAGTCGGAGAATTTTTGATGCGGTGGAAGGCGACTCTTGGGAACGGCCTTGGGCTTGTTGCTTCGGGTGCTTCGGGGCGGTACTTCCTCAAATTCATCCTCCGACTCCAGGTCACTTGAGCTCGTAGAGGAATCAGGATCAGGTGAGTAGCGCCTGGGCTTAGGGCTGGCGCTTCGGTGTCTTTCGTTTGGCTGAGGGTACCCCGGGCTTGTGTTGGTGCGAGGGTTGGATGTCCGGAAACTGCCTGGGGGTGGGCGCGTACTTGTAGGTCGAAGTGGAGTGCTGGAAAAAAAAGTCTTCTCTCCTCCCGTAGACGCGTATCCTCTCCTGTTTCGCTCAAACTCCTCGGTAAATAGTGGAGGCTCAGGTGCTGGTGGGGGTTTCTTTGCAGTTGGTGGCGGCGCAGATTCGAAATACATGCTGCTCGGCCGTTCGCTTCGATTGTGAGTATAAGCTGAAGTATTCCGCGCCGGGGGCTCATCGCCTCCAGCGGCAGTTCCTGGGGCGAATCCTTGCTTTTTCCTGCCTGAGTTAGGACTGACGTTATCCTGCGATTTGACGCCTTCTTTGAAATATTGGTAGGCAGATTTTGGTCGAGTTCCACTCCCATTCCCAAAGGGGCTGTTCTGCTGTTTCGGCGTGCTACCAGTGGGGTTTCCAGCACTGGTGCGTCCAGTCTGGGGATCAAAGCCTCGCCATGATGATCCTGCATTAGAAGCACCTCTCATCCCAGAAAAGCCCTTGAACGCGTCGGCCCTCGTCTGCGCGTCATCCTGCCGCGGAGTCCATTGCTGCGGGCCTGCACGAGCATGTGCAGAATATCTCTGAGCGCCAGCTGATGCTCCATTCGGCGTTGCACCTCCCCACTGCTCGTACGCGGGTCGTGGATTTGGGGTCTTGGGGGCTCTGGGAGGAGGAGCCGCAGGGGCTTGGGTCGATCTGCGCTGGGTATTCGTTCTCGGGGGTCCGTAGACTTTACCATATCCTGCGCGCAGTCGATCTGTATCGTACTTGAGTCGTGTTTGAGGATCACTAAGTATCTCATGGGCGGCTTGGATAGATTGGAACTTCGCAATAAACTCTGTTTCCCTTCCGGGATTCCTGTCAGGATGAAACTTAAGAGCTAGAGACTTCGGGTTAGTGGCATTTTCTTTGTTTGATATTTCAGCCTCCATTACCTAGCTTCCGGAACTGTTTCTTGATATCTTCAGACTCCGCGCTTGGAGCTAGACCCAAGTCCGCATAGTAGTCCCTCCGTACGTCGGCCTTCACCATCTTTATCTCGTTGTTGCGAGGAAATGGGTCAAAGAGAACACAGGGTACATAATCGTTATTTAATTGAACGCTTGGATGATTCTAGGGATTTTGTTTCGAGACAGCCAGAAAGTCGCATACAAATGCGATGATGCAAGTTCTGGTTGAGATAGAAGGAAGGTCGAAGTAAACCTGAAATCTTCGTGTGATAAACTTCTACTGGAGGCTAGGCAGTGATCGTTATCCAAAAGAACGAAGGTGTCGCTGGACTCGGTTGCCTGCAGGATCCGCTAAGATAGGGCTGATCAGTATCGATCGGACTGAGACAAGTATGGATCGGTGCTGCGGTCGCGTCCAACAGGAAGAACAATGTTTCTCGATCGTATGTATGGGAGGTGGTGAGGTGAGACCGAAGAAAGGGACAGTTGAACCCGCGGGGGCTGAGGAACCGAAATGCAGTCGTGGGGCACCTGATGAGGCAGTTAAGTCAGGCAGTTGGGTCCAAGCGCCAGATCGCGCCGGGTGAAGCAGCCAATGTGAGCACTTTCGCGGTGTGCCGTCAGCAAATGGGACTGGACGTTGGAGTTGGCTGGGGAAGGAAAAAAGCGGACTTTGTTTGTTTTGCCGCGGAACTTTTTTTGATTGTTGCTGCCCAAGGCATTCTCTGATCTAGACTGACACTACACTGTGCAAAACCACTTTCCTGGCAGAATAACATGAATAAGATCTGCAAAGTATAGTTTATGTAGATTCGAGTGGATTCGCCTATATTGTATATGGAAAAAAGAATATATGGTGTATAATATATGGTATCCCAAACTCAAACACCCAGCAAAACAGCCAAGTTATCAACCGCAGCCTTGTTCCCGTGAAATCAACCCATGCAGAACCTTGATTCAATTCCCAAATGACGGATGTGGTAGGAGGTAGGGTGAAAGGTAACAAATAAGACCAAGAGCAGTGAAATGTTCGCCAAAAGGATGAAGGGAAGAAAAATATAGATAAAGAAGCGAAAACTCCAAACAACTCATCCAAGGTATAGAAGGGACTCAAACCTTAAGCATCGCCACCAGAAGCACCGGGTCCAGAACCACCAAAGAAGTAACCCTCCAAAAGATCATAGTTCGGATTCTCGCTCCAATCATGTTGGAAATCCATCGCCATGCCAAAACCTAGGTCAATGCCCACGTTCTGGCCCAGATTAGGCCCAAGTGGAGGCATGTTAGCCACATTATAATCACCATTTGGATCTGCCTCCATAGCTTGGTTATCTGGATCTCCAGATCCAAAGTCCAAGAAATCAAGACTCATCCCGGTCTGCGCTTCCGGGTCTGTTGGTGCGCCAGCATGGGGCCCATTTGTAGCATATGGCGCCACACTGCCTGGGGAACCACTTTGTTGTGGAGATGTACCGTGGTAGAATTGCTGAGTGGGCTGTGGAGATCCAGGGTTCTCGTACTTCAGATAGTACTCCATGGATGGGGTGCGCTGCACAAACGGTCGGGAGGGACCTTCGGCGGCTAATCCAGGCGCCATTGATTCTCCATGCTCCGATCGGACAGGGTAAGGATGCCCCGCTAGATTATCTGCTCGAGAGCGATCAGCGAGTGGTGTGTTGTCGTTGAAGAGATCGGCCAAGTTCATGTCGAATCTTGGCACCGGCCGTGACGAGCGGTTCTGCGGTGGTCGGCGTGTTTGGCTTTGGTTTACTCGTCTAGGATCGAATGCTTGACGCCGACCTGAGTGAAGAGACCCAGATGCGTGTGAGCCTGCATGCACACGGCTCATATCAACCTGAGAACCGAAACCGGTGGTAGACAAGCACATTTGAACGGTTGCTTTGCTCATCCGCTCGAATGCATCCCGACAAGCTTCAGCTGGAGGACACTTGTGCATCAGATCGCCAAGGACAGAAGTTGCGGCGAGGACGGTAAAGTCGACCTCATCGAGAGACTAGTAGCCATTCATTAGCGTCATATGCTACATGAGTTAGAAGAATTGCATACCAGACGACTGCGAACCAGCGGCGAATACCAGATAGCATATAAGAAGGAGATACCTAAAGCAAGATTAGTCAGATTCAAAACAAGCCGAGCAGTAATACACACCAGCCATGAAGATATGATGCGTTGCCAGATAGGTGTAGTTCACCAGCCTCACTCGGTGTAACTGCCGATAGATACGGATAACTTTTTGACCAGCCTCAGCTACATTCAGATAAACGTGGTCCTCTTCATCTCCATCGTCTGGATTGGAGAATGATGGACTAGACACATCGTCGGCTGGGGTAAGTTCTCCAGCCAACTCAGCAGGCACGGTCAAGCTCTGCTGATATAGCAAGATAATCGCCTGCCAGTAGTTAAGCTCCAAAAGCTCGATTGAGAATCGTACACCCGTATCAGGACGTGTCGGAGCACTCTCATTCCACTCCACAAGGCGGCGATGCACATCATGGCGCCACGAGCGGAAAGAGTCAAAGCCTTGCAGGAAAGGAGAGGTCAGTTCGGCATGAGGAAGGATGATCGCGCTATCTGTCGCGCGCCTTCGGACCGCGCGCGCTTGCTGATATTGTAAAACGTCGTGAATTTCGGATTGAAGGAGGCGGAGTTTGAAGTAGTGGAAGGCGACATGTTTGTATGTTGGAGCCCCGTCCGGGGGAGTCAAAAGGCCAGACTTAGTGATATATTTGTCGTCCATCATAGACGGGAATTCCGTGCTAATGGCCTGGTCGCTGATACCGAATGGTCTTCCGACACATGTAGCAACGAGACGGTCGAAGCTGTATACACACCACCATAGACGGCGTCTTAAATCGCGTATCCATTCTCGTCGTCCTCGTTCGCGAGCGTCGATTCGCGATTGTATTTGATTGCCGTCTTTTGAGGTCTCAAGACCTACGCCATCCTCATAATGGAGTCCAAGGTCAACTGCTAAGCGCATTGCGACACCAACGATGTACCAGAGACCCGGTGCGACTGGGCGCAACAGAGCAAAGCTGGCCAGCAGGAGGACCGCTTGCAGCTCTTCCAGTCCGCCAAAACCTTCGCTGGATGAAGACCCGAGGAACGATTCCAAATGTACGATAGCAGAGGCATGATATTCTTCAGGCTGATACTGATGACTTGAAAGCCTCGGTCTTTTGGTCGTAGAAGATGCGCGATCACGACCCGCACGGCTTTCATCATCTGAACTTTGGGGCTTATCATCGAAGATGATTCCTGCACCAATCGCAAACACAATATTGAGGACATAAAGGGCCCGTGGAGATCGGTTTTTCTCTTCAAGCTGATACGTGCGATCCAAGAGCTCCATAAAGTCCCCGCGATGCAGGATTGGCATTTGCGGGTTAGCATGTTCGAAATACAAATCGACCAGTCGTTCTGCAAGCTCGCGGTCCGGGAACGCCGCTCGCTTCATCATCGGACGAGTTTGCAATCCAAAGAATGAATCACGCATCGTGCCCGCACCAGGACCAGCCGCCGCCGTTTGTGGTAGTCGCTCGCTAGTGCGAATTGGAGCGCGTTCGGGCATGTTCCCTGGGAGCGAGCTTCGAACCGCAGCAAAAACGACTCTAGCGAAGGAAATCCCCGACGTTGAACCAAGATATCGTGGATCGGACGTTCCTTGCACGGATACCATGCCAATATTCGAAACCAAATTATGTATCCTCCAGCTCTCTTGATTTGCCGTGTCTTGATCTCTATCTGCACGATCTCCTTCTACTCTCTGCTCGGATCGATCGACCTCTTCCTTAGGTCCGGTATTCTTCCAGAGCGCCTTATCTGTGTCGGCAGGTTGCCCATTATGGCCGGAAGTGGATTGCGCATCGTCCGTCTCGGTCTTGACTGCTTCGTCTTCGTCGAAGGCGACGGCCTTTTTGAAGTTGATATTATGATCTAGCAGTTGCTTCTCAAGATAGGCGACTCGAGTCTCGAGGAAATATACGTAGCTACGCGGAATCTCGCGCTTGGTGATGGGGTCGTATCCGACGCAGCGGACGCCAGCTTTTTCACAGGACTGGCACCTCGGCAGGCGCTGGTCACAACGGTTCTTTCGCAAACGACAGCGATTACAGGCGGAAACATTGCGGAAAGAAGAGGATGAAGCGACGGTAGTAGTTGAATGCGCGGTGGACAGCGCTGGGGATGTCGAGGATACGGTTGGGGCGGAGGGGTTTTGAGCGTCACGCGAGTTCGAGGCGGGGTCGGGATGGTTGGGCGGTGGTTCGGAAGGATGAGGTCTCTTCTTCCCGGAGGAGACCGGCGATGGTGGGGAAGGGGCGTTAGGCATTGTGAGAAACGAATGGCGAGAGCCGCAGTGCGATCATCTCTTGATGGTGGAGTTCTGCGGAGATAGCGATAGCGGTCGGGAACAGCGATTTGAGTCCCCGGACCGGATCAACATTCATGATAGATGGGGGGCGACTTGGGACTTGTTCGGCTTGGGACACAAGATTGCGATCCAGAATAGAAAAGGTTGCCCGCACCTAATGGGTATTGGAATAGAATGGTAGGTTAAACTTTGCGCGCAAAATATGCGACGGAATGAGATTATCCTCCGAATGGATTGGAGGGATGTGGAAATCACGATCGCTCAAAGTGACTCCAGATCGAGATCAAGATCAAGATCGTCTAGACCACACTTGACCCCAGGATAGATTATGGAAGAAGAGTAGAATTACACGATAGGGTTGTGGTGGAGTTCGGGTAGAAAGGAATTAGGTTACCAGTTGCCCTCGGGAATGGGGAAATAGCCTCTGTTTCCCCAATCTTTTGGTTTGGAAATCTGCTGAGTGAATTGGGAAGGTAACAGCGATCACTTCGTCATCTTAACATTCGATCTGCGCCCGGCAATTGGCCACGCGCGAATACCGCCATAACTAGATGATATCTGCGCATGTAGGCGGAGACATCAAGTGGAGTCCGGGATAAGTCAGTTTTTATTGGTGGACACGAGATTTGACAGCCGAAAGATGGAGCCTGGGGGAGATTATCAAGGAAAGTCCAAATGTCGGGGGGAATAAGGCCTTTATAGAGAGTAACCCTCGGTATAGGATCCACATGCATTAAACATCTGCAGGGTAGATACTACGCAAATGGTGGATCTTCTTGGCTCACACGGAAAGAAAACTACTTGAGGTCTAGTCCTCGGAGATGATACAAGTGGGGAAAGAAGCACGTAAGGCAGGATGACGTTCATTGAGAGTTCTATTGAAGGATTCGATCATCATGAGAAATGATGAATGCAAAAGACGTGACGCAAAGGAATAGAAAAAACCCCCCAGATGCATGAGTATCATCGTGATATAGCCGGTTATGCTCCATAAGAAAAGAAAAGACAATGGAAAAGAGAAATGAGAAATGAGAAAGAAAAGAGACCCCAGTTATATGCTTTTTTTCATCTTATGCAATGCATCCACTCTATGTTGCGCCGGTATCCAAAGTTTCAAGCGAAAATAGAAAAAGCAAAACGTCATGAGGGATGAAAGATGAGGTATCGTGGCTAAGATCAGAAGAATAAAAAAAAATAAAATGCCCCGAAGGGTGTCCAAAAAGACTATCGAAAGTCTTGTCCTTGCCAGAAGGAGAGGAGAATTGAATGGTGGAGGGGGGGGGGGAGGAGCAGATCGACCAACTTATGAGCGAGCAGGCGTTGTTTCGGAGTCGGAGATAGATAGGTCAATAGCATTCAGGTCTAGGTTTGAGATGTCGTATTCCTGGTCAATGCTGGAGCGAAGGGACAGCAATCGCTGTTCTTCCTCGATAGAGCATTCGGACATCGCCTCATGCTTCAACTCCGCCTCACTGACTTCAGGCTCCCGATTTTTGAAGCGCTCTGGCTCATTCGACTCCTCCATCCAGAAGCTCTGAATGGCTCCGGTGAGACAGACTAGTCCGCAGGCCCACCATGCCAGCACGGAGTACCCACTCTCAAGACCCTTGGAGTGCAGCAAACCGGTGATGGTTGGGCCAAAGGCTCGGCTCAAGCTTGCGGTAGAAGCCGCCGCCCCATTGATGGTGCCCAAGACCTTCGAGCTGGGGGCGGCATTGGCCAGGAGGATGGCAGTAGCGGGGAAGGCGATGACATGGAGAGTAATCTTGCTAATGAGGGCGGCGTAGACGGCTGGCATCTGGAGTTTAACCGGCAGGAGGATGAGATAGGGCACAGTCAGGTAAATGACTGGCCATGCCAGCAAGACAAAGCGAAAGGTGCGCAGAGTGCCAAAGTGCTTGACGACGAATGGGAATAGCCAGAGCTGGGCGATCATCGAGTAGACACCCTGGACGGCCAGCATGAAACCAATCGTCTTCGTCGGAAGACCCAAGCCACCTGTGAATTGGAGTGGAAGGACAACCCTGTCGTCCGACTTGGGGGTACTCAGAAAGACGGGCATCAATTGATCAAATGACACACTGTGGCTGCAGGAGAGAAACAAAGGTCAGTATTACTTGCAGATAGAACAAGAAATTATTACGTGCAGATAGAACAAAAAAGGCAAAACTTCGGAAAATCCAAAATGTGGCGCGGGGTGCCAACTCACTATGCCAGAATACCATAAGCGATGATGGTGATGATGACTTGTCGGGTGAATGTCTTGAGTGCGGGGGTCTTCTGTCCCTCCAGGTCGCACTCCGTGGATCGGACGTCACTCACGGGGCGAAGGCAAGGAGATGATTCGGCACTTTCATACTCAGGCGGCACGTCACCGTAAACAAAGTACTTTGTCTCCTCAACGTCGGAATCATCTGGAAGCTGCACGCGAGAACGCCAGCACTTGCTGATGAGCCAGTGGCCCAACTCACGGCCGAAGTCCCGGCGGTGCTTTATCTCCGGGTGAGTCTCCTCCAAAAACAGGAAACCAACAATGATGCCGCAAATCAGCACAACGATACAGACCAGGTTGGGCAGCAGGAACGGGAAGCGGTCGAAGAGCGTGTTACGTTGGAACAGGCCCGGGTAGTTGTCGCAAGGTTGGGCCAAAGCACCGCCCATAGCCGGGCCAATAATTGATCCCAAACACCACATGAAGGGCATGATCGAATATGCTCGCGGCTGGTGCTCTTTGACCGTCACAATCTCGGCGACGGTAGTTTGGAGAACACCAATGTTGCCATTTAGCAAGCCGCCGAGGGCGCGCGCGATCATTGCCGTTGCGAGATTGGGCGCAAATCCAAATGCCACCATGCTTAGTGCTGTGCCAATCAATCCCATGATAAGCACGGGCTTGCGGCCGATCCGGTCACTCATCTTACCCCAGAACATGCCTGCTGAGAATTCCGCGAAAGTGAAGGCCGAAGTGATCATGCCGGCGTAAAGCGCGATCTTTTGGTCATTGTCGGTCACATGGAATGATTCCACCATGTGGTACACGTACGGGAAAATCGACATGAACGCAATTGGTTCACATATCCTGACAAGTGCTGAAAGACATGATGGTTAGTTTCAATGTTATATCCCATTGCGAACTGCGCAAGGCTTTTTCCTGTGGTTCTCAAGATATAGATTTGCATCCATGTGGATTGCGACAAGCCACATAGTTCGCGCGTAACAAAAGTACCACTTACCTAACACAAACAATTGCCGGGCTGGAAATTTAGACCAATCCTCACTGGAGCCATTGCGCTGGCGCCGGCCTTGTAGACAAGCTGGTCGTTGGAACATTATGTCGGTGTGACAAGTGAAAGGGGAATATAAAAATTTCCTCCAAGGGTCGAGTATAAAATTTTCTGGACAAACAAAAACACCCCGCTTGTAGATAATCGAAGCAATCCAGAGGGGAAAAAAGTACCAAATGGTGCTTTTGATTCCCCCTTTTAGTTACCCCAGGTTAATGCGTCAGGGTTCGAAAGGGAGAGAATGCAATTGGCGTGAGCAGCTGATTTGTCTGAGCAAGGAGTGATGTCGTTGTTTTAGGGCTTCAGCATTGCTAGCCCCTTGGGAAAATCAATCGTAGAATCCGATAAGGCGAGATTGAAGATCTTCAAGATTGAGACACCTGTAAGGAAGATTTTTGAGCCAGAGGAACTCGGAGGTTTTTGAATCAAGAATGGGAAAAACCAGGGATGATGGCAATTCTCTCCCAAGGTTTGTTCTTTGAAAAAAAAAGTGTAGTTGATCAAAAAGACTTTGAACCTTCAAGATCGACGAGGAAGCTTGAGTGGTTGGAGAGAGTATCAAGAATGGGAAAGGGATCTATGAAGAATCTCGAAACCGGTTAAGTTTCAATTGGGGAAGTAATTGTGATGAACAGAAGGGGATCATTCCATGGAGGGGAAAGGGGACATTATATTATAATCTCCACGGGTGTCGACAGTGGATAGCTCCATCAATGGCAGATATGATCAGGCGCCAAAACTAAAAAAACGTCAACCGTTCTCTACTACGGATATTTCGGTTACAGCTGCAGATGGCAGCAAACATGTTCCAATAGAGGGAAAAACCCCCCAAAAATTAAATATAAAATAAAAAATCTATAAATTCTAAAATTCAATTAAAAATCCCAATTGGAAAATCGGTATTTTCATCTTTTCAATCTATTGTGGGTCTTCTTTTTATTCTATCCCATCTTACCTGTGTAATTTCACAAGGGCGGATCGGCATCGTCCGACTGGGGGATCTAGCCAGTAGTATGTGACGTGTACTGTACGGCTATGATTTTTCAAGGTTATTTCAAATTAAAACATTAGAGCCTGAAAGCTAAAAAGGGGAAAGGGAGCGGAAGAGCGGAAGAGGCAAGGAAGGGGGAAATAAAGATAAAAAAGAGAAAAAGTGATAATAAAAGGGTGGAGTCAACCGGGGAACGTCATCCTGGATACAATGGGGCCAATCATAACTATTCCGAGAAAGGGATTTTAGAAGGTTGGCATAGATTCCTATAGGTAGAGAGTATATAATAAAACAGGGAAAATGAATGTAATTAATACCATACCGAGGACCGTATCGTGTATAATTCGGGGAACAACAGTCGATTCCTTAGTGTCTTCTAAAAAGTGCGCTAAGAAGATTCTCCAGTAAGGGAAGGATGATCAGCTTACCAGTTTTTTGTTTAACTCCCGGAGATGTGGTTTAGCGTGAATTAGTGAGATGATAGATCTCACTTTCTCTTGCCGGCCTGCGCCTCCCCGAGACCCGGCAAACTCTGGTAAATGATTGAAGAAGAAAAAAAGAAAATGTCCATAATAATAATAATATAGAGACTGCTCCATACTTCTTACTGACTAGTTCAATGCTGTCCTTTCTGAAAATATACATTGAAGATCCGAGTCAACAAAAGACAAAAGTACCCAGCCGCTTTCCCACATACCTGGTACCAGCCATAGCTGGAAAAGACGGGAGATGAGCTGAACTCTGATTCTCGGGACTTAAGGATCGCCTTCCCCGAGGTTCTTGCTTCATAGATTTCTTTGTCAGGAAAATTCGGTACGGAATGGAGGGTCAGTGGAGCCGGAGCTTTCTTTGTTCCCATTCCCTGCATTGCAATAAACAATCAATCACAAACAATGGGCGATGTCTCGAATTGATTCATAGTCATCGCAAATGAAATAAATTAAAATAAAAATAAAAAATAAAAATACAAAGACTAAATTTAAAGCAAGCAGCAAAAACTTTGAGATAAATCCAAGCACTTAGTTCTTTATTATCTCTCCATCCTTGTTATAGTGTCGTTAGTAAACAGGAATTCCCCAGAATTGCGGTGTACCAGCGGATTCATCCAATAGTGGATCGACTCCAGCTTTCTTTTTTTTTTCTTTTTCTTTTTTTTTTCGGTTTTGTGTTTTCCCTTGTGACGTGCCGGTAACTGACACCCGTTGGGGACATGACAATCATAATGCTAGTGTAAAGTAGGCGCAGAATATCTTATCCAAAGCGCTGGGTCGGTTAGCGTGCCTGATATTTCCGTGCCTAGTCGATAGTCTCGACAAATCATAAATCAGATCAGATTCTGGAAGACTTCCAGAGTCATTCATAGGATCTATGCATCTGGAATTTGGGGAATGTGTAGAAGAAAAAGGGGGTGGGCTATTGAATTTGGTTCCTCAGTGGAGTATTTAGTAACGAGAATACGTGTATTGATCGGTATTGATTATGGGTCTTCGAGAACATCAGGTGAGCTTCGATTTCACCGACACTCTGGGGACCCGCTCGATCGCTTGCGATCCTTTCGACATCACCTTTTCCCCGAGGTTATAGTCGACCTTCAATGTTCTTACAGATCTTCTACTCTATATCTTTCAAGGGTTGCATTTCTTCACAGATTAGATCATCTGATGTATCGAAAAGTCGATAAAGTGCCGACCCAGCAGAAGGGGCCAACAGAGGGACCCAAGGGACTGGAAAACTTTCTTGTTAGTGGGACCATTATTGTATCACCTGTAACAGGTACGATACCCATGTACGACAGAGTGGACATGCAGTTCCTAGCCACGCGAGCCCAAAGGCGGGGCATTGAGAAAAGCCGGTGAGAGACAGAAGAATATAAAACGAAAGAGGGGTTAGAAATATGGGTACCGACGTCATCGTGCTTTGACAGCTATCAACTGAATCTCTTGAAGGGTTGGGATTGAAGAAAGATCCCAATTTCACCGTGTTGTCAAGATTGAAGGTGAATGGTTGAATCTGCAGATCGAAGGTCCCACGAGTCATACATGCAGGAGGCCTAAGTCCAAAAGCAAACAAGAATCGGAAGTTCCTTATAGAAGCCAATGAAAGAAAAGCGCCTTGCTGGACAAGGCTTGTCGGGCAGGAAGTGACAAATGTTCTGCAAGAAATGCATTGCGGGGATTATATTGATTCTTTGACAGCTTTTCGGGGATCAGCCTGATGTTGGATTGGGAGCGGTGACGAGACAGTCAAAGCCTCTTACCTGCCATGCATGCATCACGCGACTATCGTGTCTACCTCGATTACCATTCGGACTGTTCGGAATCAGTAAGATGGCCCAACGGGCGGTTGCGGATTGAATCCCGTTTTATTTTCTGCTTGCTTTTTCCTTGTTGTTTGTTTTTGGTTATTGGTGGTTTTGGTTTGTGACTTGATTGATCCTTGATCTTTGATTCTCGTAGTCCCCGGAGCCCAACTCCGGTCGATCCAAGCAGTGGGCTTGCAGAATCATCCTTGAAGTCTTACGGGGGAGACCCTGTTCGAATCCTCCGATTCTTTTCCTGAGGAAAGGGAGGCGACAGCGGTGAACTGCTTGGCTGCATGGTTATGTGTTTTCATGTTACTTCACTGCGCCCCTTGAGCATTGACACCTCGTCCCTGTCCCGGAGGCTATCCATTTCTCTGAGATCGAGTCATCATTGCCCGCCCATTTGCGTCTGCAACACTGGTAATCGGTAGTTTCCCATGGACTTTCTGGCCGATCATTTCCAATCGAACTGGAGCTACATCTGTAGCCCAGATTGATATTCCGACCTCAACGATTCTTTGTTGCCCAAAGAGGAGTCACAAAAGACGGTGAGTACAGGTCAACTACACCGCGAGGACGACTACGTGAAAAATAGCCCCAAGGGGTACTTGAAGTCCTGTCCTTGTCGAATCTCCCATAAAACTAAAGTTTCTACCGAGCCATCCGACTCGCCCCCTTGGTGAACTTACTCTGTTCTGATCGAATCGGGTATACTCCTAGCATCACATCGTGCTCGCGGAAAGTATCATTATCCCTCGATCTTCTGCATTCTTCATGTACAAAGTACCCTTCATTCCGTCGATTACCTCATATTGCCCTCATTTCTTCGCAACATGACTCTCCGACTAACAAGGGGGCTGAGGGCCAGGTGTCAAGCGTTCAACGTCCTTTGCCACAGCAGCCACAAAGGAAATAGTTGGACCGTTACGATCGCGATGAATCGGAATTGTTTTACAAAGCCTCCAATTGGCTCGGGATCACCCTTGAAAAGGCGTTTGTCTAGATCGAATTCGATATAGATTGGGGGGCTTGGGATCGACACCGAACGCAGGTGTCGCGCCAGGTTGTCGGGTATATGACAGCTATCACATCTGGGGGCCGAACATCCGACCCAAGTTCAACAAAAGCGAACATTGAATTCCAAAGTATTTTTCAAAAGTGGAAATTCCAGTACTCGATGGCGCTCAGGCTTTTTTTTCGGCCTCCGAGATCCAAAGGCAATTGTGATGTATCAATTCGGGAGGAAAAAAGGTTTACTAACATTCCAACCGATCAGATCGATTGGGAAGGAAAGGGGCCGAGGAATCACAATTTAATCCGAAATTTCCCCACGACTGATGTGTAGATCACTGACACCGACTACTTGGTTTTCAGGCGATCAGTCCCGATACGGGGGATATGCAGCTACAGACGCCATATCTACGGCTTCTTAGGCTAGGGTTCCGCCATTTACGTATTTGGGATATACGTAACTTCCCGCGATCGATCGAGGAAGGCTATCGCTCAAGGTTTTCGTCGAACTCCAGATCTGGGTGATATTTTACTTGCGCGGGGCGTCCGGATTGCTTGCTTTTTTCCCCTTTGGTCTCGACCATGGTGGATCATGGATTGACAGGTTGACTACCGAACATACTTTTCCCGATCTAGACTTGGGACAAAGTACGTAAAGAGTATACTGAGAGTTCAATACACTGAATTAACATGGTATTTTCACTTTTCAGTTTGGATCTTCACTGATTCATTGATTCATAGATTCTGCAACATTCTCCCACGAGTTAATCCGATCAAATTCTCATTTGTTGATTCGCTTATGGGTTTCTAATAGTACTACGTACTATATATTGTACTCCGTATGTTTGTACCAGACCCAAAATTCCAACTCTCTTGGTCCGGGAACAGATCTTAACATCCGCACCAATCACAGATCGAGATCGTCTTCAACCTCAGGAAAGCCCCAGTTTTTTTTTCTTTTTTTCTTTTTTGCCCCTCCGGAGCCGCCAGGGGAAGAAACATGAAAATAGGAAAATCAAAAACAAAACAATCCCCACTATGACAGAATGTCTCATGAGGACTGTATTTTCCTCCGTTTCATCCGGTTCCTTTGTCACATCCCCGACCAACAGGAAGGATCCCTCTACTCGTCCTTTCACCAGTGGCGACGCAAGCCCCATCGGAATGCAGGATCCGGTGCCGCGGTGATGGGTAAGAAACCCACCATTAACTAATTGGTGGCGGAATTCATTCCCCTTGCGATGATTTTCCAACTATTGAATTCCTCTCTGGTCATGTGAGAGATTGTTCTTAATCTTCTTAGTCCTTTGCTCAGATCCACCCTTGCGTTTCGCTCCAGTACAGTACTGTATGGTTCGATTTCGCCACCGTGGATTTTCCGATTTTACGGCCTTTTTCTCTTTGAAGATCTACGGAGTACTTTCTCCACTGTTAATGTTTGGGACTTGGACCTGAACTTTGGGTTGATTCTTGATTCTTGCTCAGGGGTTGTGGTGGATTCCTCTGCCGATCCTGTACTTTGTCTCGAGTTGACACGTACTTTGTTTGGACTTTCGTACTTTGGCCTTCCGGTCAGTCCTGCCGTGCGGGGGCGATGACACTCTGGACAAAATAGGCTCGTTGGATGTATCGATTGCCCCTGTGGGGAGTCGTACGTTTGTGCTACGTATGATTGTTTGGCCCCCGGGGCTAACTCAAGCTAACTCAAGCTGAGTTCTAGAGTCAGCTTGGATGAATTAACTTTTGCTAGTTGCTAGCCAAGGATTAGTGGTTTGTGATGACGAATGTACGGGTACTAACTCGATTTGATAATCAATGGAGGATGCGTCAACTGCTTATGGCTCTGGCTGTATGACTGACCACAAAGTCCACGGGCTTGATGCGTCAATCTCTTCGATCCTCGCAATCAAATGCCAGTTGCATCAGCTCTACGGCTCACGAAACATTGCAACATCTACCTAACTAGGTATATTGAGATTCTCACGTGCTTCATTGACGGAGCACATACGACATTTCTCAGGTTGCGCTTAGATAGTAGTCTTGACATTATTTAATGTACATTAATATAAGTATTGAACATTGAACATGATCGCCATCGGCTGATTGACATCAAATCTAAAACATTGAACCCATCAATTGAAGTGCTTGTCAGCGCACTGAAATGATGAATAGAATTGTTGGGCCCAGACTTGACGGAAGTCCATTTATCGTACTTTTGTCAAGACTAATCACCCTATGATCAACCCCAGATGCATGATAGATGTGACAGTCGTCCAAGACTTGAACTGTGACCAAATCAGCAGGGGACCAGGATCTCAAACCAATCATTGCAGCAACTGGGACATCCATGAAATCGTGGTCGCACTGTCATAGTAACCTTACTCAAGATATTCCAAATCACTAGATTTCCCGATACATTGAATCCCTTACCCCAGCCTGCTGCACACCATACGTACAAGGTTCCGAATCCTGAATTTGGCATCTGCATGTCTGTTATAATCGCATGTCATCGATCCCGACATGTCTGTGCGCTATCCATCGCATTAGTGTAGTCCCTGGCTTCTGTTGAATACCGATTCGGTTACCCGAGTACCTATCATGTCCTTCGCCATGGTTCGAGCATCGAGCGGGCAGGTACGTATATTCCCAAGGTACCTTGTATATCAACAAACTTGGCACAAGTCACATAAAAGTCGTACATGAAGCTGCCGTTTAACAGACCACCCTGAGTCCATGACTGTAAATTGGATCTAAGCAGGGGATCTACCCCACCCGACCGGGTATGTCGAGAAGATGCCTGTTTTCGATCGCAATGAACAGGGATTTGATGTTTTCGCCCGTCTGATCCTTGTATGTGTTAGCTCCCATTAGCGCAAGGCTCGGCAATTGGCCAGACCGACATGAATCGACAAGGGGCAACATATGTAGCTCTGCCGAGCGAGAATCAAACAAAAGTACCTCTGAGCAAAGTTCTCGGGTATGGCTCAGCTTTATGGTTTGATTTCCTGCGATGTGCCGGCCATCGAAAGCCTATTTGACCGAAATGTGCCGTGAATGTGTGTTTGCTGTTGTTGGCCACCTGAGGCATCTACCTGTACGGATGTGTGGCTATCTGCGAGCCTCAACGTTTCCGTAATTGTTATTTGTCAGTAGAAGAGCCTTGGCCAGTATTAATCGACCACGATGCGCAAAGGGGGAAGGGAAGGGCCAGCGCATGCCGTGCCTCATCGTCAGGTCCAGACTCGAAGCCGCTAGGCTCATACGTTTGTCCCAAGAAAATCTCTGCATAGGCGTTAGGTCGCCATATGCAAGTGAGCTGGGGCAATAGTAGAGTCCGGGGTGTACTATTGGTCGGTTGTTTGTTCGACAGGTCGATCAGTCAGCCACGTCGGCTTCGTGCATGGATGGGATTGTTACCCAGAAGAACGGTGAGGGCGTTTGCGTTAGCCCAGTCTTAGACGTAGGGAGAAGCTAGCCCTTATTGTGACTAGCGCATCGGTGATTTTAAATGTCCAGAAAATGTCCAGAAAATGTACGGCTCAGTGTTGATCTTGGAAGTCTCTGTCACGGAAAAGTAACATTTGCTTTCAACCTTGGAGGGTTTTCAAGGCTCAGGCTTTGTTGAAGCTACATTGAGATTCTAACAGATCCCGTGATTATCTCTCATATATTACTTGGCACCATGCAGGGGTAAACTTAATTGGCTAAACGTGATGTTTGTAGAAAATACCTGAGAGCGGAGGTATAGACATCACATATTTGAAGGAGAGAACAAAAGCTTCATAATGGAAAGAAAAAAGAAAGAAAAAGTAAATAAATACAAAGGCGATAGGAGGAATCGATCTGTAAGCCCTAGAAATGCCAAAAAAACTCCGGGTTGGATGTATACCTCTTGGGACCCAGGAAAGACGTGTATGGAAAGCTCTCTAACCACTAGGTTTTCTGGCATTTCTCTTGATATGTACCTTAGATCTTGTCTCAGGCCTTATGGCCTTGTTCTTAACATTACCAGAACCAGAACTTTTGAAGCATTTGAAACATTATAGATGTATGACGTATATATTATCATCGGCTTATCGGCTTATCGGCTTATCGGATGATCGTTATCGATAACAAGTTGGAGATATCAAGATCTCCATCTTCACGTTATTTATAATTCACCCCTCCTTCCTGTGTGCACTTCTGTCTCTCGCCGACGTGATAGCTTCGTCGAGGCCGTGGATCTCTTCCCACCAAATCTTCATGATGAGTCTCGTATACTCCATCAAAACGGCGCTCGACGCAATCTGGGAACCCGACGCAGATGATCCTATCCTCCACTATGGTTCTTCTGTCGATGCTGAAGAAAACCTTCGCTTGCTCATGCAAGATCCCGACAGGGCCTTGAAAATCGCTGATTTGAAATTGCGTGTATTTCCGTTTTACGAAGTTGACGAATGCTGGCTCCGACTTTACACCGATGCGCGTATTGTCAAAGCGTGTCTAATCATAATTTCCAATTGCCACTTAACGTCGGAGAATCCTACTGAACAGGATAAAGCCGACATCGAACAAATCATTGAGGAGCTTGAAAACTACAAAGGAGTCATATCTATTTCACCCAATGCCAGCTGGCTCTCAGAGGCAATTCATGAATTTGATCGTGCATTGATCATGACGGGCGGCCTAGGGCGCGAGAAGTGCATTCAAGATTTGATTTCCGAACTTGAGCTAGCCGCTAATATCAACAAACCTGATAATCCAACCAATTCCGACCAACCCCACAAAAAGCGAAGAAAGATCGATACATCTACCTTGTTTCCTCCCACCTCACTTCCCGAGCCTCGCCTGAACCATTCCATCTCCCGGATATCAGCACCTACGTTTGAGGCCATGCAGCACCACATCCAGAACATGCGTACCCCAATCGTCATTACCAATGCCATTGACGAATGGCCTTGCTTCCAAGAACGGCCCTGGGCTTCGCGTGAATATTGGGGGAAACGTACATTCAACGGCACCCGTCTAGTTCCTGTGGAACTGGGCAGATCATACACGGATGACAAATGGTCTCAAAAAATCATGGAATTCCGGGAGTTTATCGCCAAGTACACCTGGGATGACCCAGAGGTTATCTCGCAGTTCGAAAAGTGGGAGTCACCTGACGGACACGAGAAATCTTGGGATATGGGCTACATGGCCCAGCATGATCTCATTCGCCAAATTCCTGCTTTGGCCGACGATATCGGTACTCCCGAATATTGTTATATTTGCCCACCGGGCCCAGAGCCAGGAACTCCTCTGTATGCTGCGAAAGAGCCCAAACAAGCTAAGGAAGCCAAGGAAACCAAGCAGAACGTCGAAACACAGCCTCCTGCTGTCCCTTCTCTTGTCTCCGATGATGCGTCTGACAGCTCAGATATGGACACAGCCACTGACCCCATCATCAACACCTGGATCGGTCCGGCATACACCATCTCACCGCTGCACCATGATCCATACCATAATATTCTGGTCCAAATCGTTGGTAAAAAGTACATTCGCCTCTACTCACCGCACTCCCCAGCCTCACAGATTCACCCCCGTGGCAAAGAACGGATGCAATCAGTCGACCCCAGCGTGCCAGCCGGGACGAGCTGCGTCGAAAAAATGATCGATATGTCCAACACCTCTGAAGTGGATATTACAGCGATTGAGGAGTCCCCTATTGAAAGTGACCATTGGGAGGATCTTTGGCCTGGTTTCCAGGATCTCGACTACGTTGATACCATCCTGCACCCCGGGGAGTGTTTGTACATTCCCCTGGGATGGTGGCACTATGTACGTGCCCTGCAGGGTGGTATTAGCGTTAGCTACTGGTGGAAGAACAGTGCGGAGTAATCGGAAGACTGCTATATATTTGTATGTGCCACGAGGTCCACGATTATGACTTGTGTACTTTTATCTTTGAAAAATACTACCACTTCACTTGTGAAATCTCAGTATCGCCGTTGGTTGGTAATACGTTAAATGATTGATTCTCATATGCTAACTCGTTGCTTTTCCGATCGGGGCTACACACTCTATTGAGACAGTTGATCTCTCATTACATCAATTTTAAGTCTCGGTCGATCGAGCCTCACGCTTGAACAATGATCAATAGTTGAGCCGAAATTAAATTTAATCTATCGAGTCTTTCCTCTCTATTTTGTTTCAAGTTAATTTCATCTATCAAATCTCATAATTCTAAATCATCTGGTCTCGTATTTTCTTCAACTCCACCCCTCAACAAATTCACAAAGTGTGGACTCCCCACCGACATTTCCGGGAAACACAACAAAAGGCACACCTCAATGCCGAGATGTAGCCTCATCACACCTCCACAAAGGCACACCAGGGGCAGCTTGACCAACAATCAATGCCCGTTTAAATTTCAAGCCTTTAGTCGCAGCATCGGAAGAAGTAATACCACCCTAGTCATCATGAGTATAACCACAAAGGAAAAACACCAAAAAAAAGGGAAGGAAAAGAGAAACAAACATACCTTAGCAACAATATATCTTGGCCGCACTTCAATTCTCTGTAGAACACTAACAAGAGCCTCCGCAACAGCAGCCCCAATCCGCAACGACGAAAGCTCATCCTTGCCAAGTATAAGCTTCCGACTAGTCATAACCAGTGTATCCATCCCAGCACCTAAATGCGACTCCGTCTCCTTCACAATCCGCGATATAGTCTCCTCCGCCTTCTCAGGTGAAGCAATGAGCTCCTCAACTTGGATCTCGATAATCGCAAGCTCTCCCGTATTTCCACGGCGGTCTACCAGCACCTTGAGCTGGGCTGTTGTCTTCGGTACATAGGATCCTGCAAGGATAAGACCGCCAGTTTGCCGGGGCGCGGGAAGGTGGAGATCTTTCGCTGTTATGGGTGCTTTGGAGCGAATGCCGAGTCTAGTTGAGACGAACGCTGCGCCTGTGCGGTAGAGGAAATGCTTCCCTTTTGATTCAGCTGTGGAATTTATTAGATTTTTCTCTTTTCTTGCGAAGGCGGGTATGTGATGGAACGTTCCGTACCCAGTAAAAGACCCGCGACAAAGACGTGCATATCTGACTCCGCGGCTGCGTTGACAATCACTACACCGCCAGCTGGTGTAGAGAGTAGTTTTTGACAAACCGTCTCAGGACCTCCATTTCTGATCTCGGTAATAGTTACAGAGCGTAATTGATTGGCTGAGAACCGTCCAGGCGCTTTTTCTTGTACGTAGTCGCGTAGATTGGAACTCTTGTATCCGAATGTGGCGTCTTGAGCGAACTGCGTTGATCCCGCTGGAATGAGCTGATCGCCCTCTGCCACATAGTGTATGTCGTCAATGGTGTACCGACCTCCTTGAAAGAAGAAGGGTGCTAGGACGAGTGCGTCCGCGGGTCCGAAGACTGACTGTGCGACATCGGTTTCAAGTGGGAAATGGCCACGCAGTGTACTATCGCCGCGGAGAACTATATCAACCTTACTTCCTGTGGATTGAGCGGCTATGGAGACATTTCTGCATATTGTTTGGATCAACACTTCGGCTTCCTTGGGTGGGAGAGCGCGAGAGTTGGTTAATATGAAGAAGCCGAGGGAACTGGTTTGAAATTCTGTTATCAGGGTTGGGATGTCCCAGACAGCGAGGACATTGATGTCGTGGCAGGTTTGTGTGCCGGTTGGGTCGTCGTCTAGCACAACGAGGCGGTTTACCTTGGAGGTTGCGAGGATCTGGGCAATTTGGTCTTGGGCGTCGGGGTATTCGGCGGGGAGTTTGGCGAGTGTACTCTCGCGAGGTAGAGATGGGCATTGCTGAGGCTGAGACATGCTGTATATTGAAGAGGAAGATATCAATTTGTCAATTGGATAGTTCAGTCTATAAAGCACTAAGCTTGGGAATTGTGGCGTGTTTTGGTGCGGGGATGCGGTGCGGTGCGGGGAGATGAAGTCGGAGAGAAGGCCGATGCAGATGCAGAGTATAGACAGGAAATTGTGCTGGGTATAATTGAGTTTTCGTAGCTAGTCCTATCATATCCTTACCCTATCCCCTAACATTCCCATACTCTGTTTGTATAACAAACAGAGTTTGTAAATAATTAGCGAAAACATAAAATCAACAATTGACCTCACCAGCCATTGAGGAGCGTTTATATATGCATATATGTGGTCGCTGCAAATACATACAATAACCCTCTACTTTCCAAAGTTAAATAGTCCATTCTGTCTTCCTTGTTTGAAGGCATACTGTATGTACATTCAATTACATAGATGCAGACCATTCCTGTCATTTGCACTTTCTCAGAAATGATAAGTTCCGATTCCGGGATGGGCAATAAGAGGGAATATTCTTCAAAGTTCTAACAGGGCGAAGATGGAACAAAGTAGACTGATGCAAAGTAGATTTCGTTGCTTGAGATAGATGGCTATCAAATACTAGATGACGAATAAAAAAGCTTCTCCTAACGCCATAGTCCACAAGGACCTCAGAAATGCAAGATAATGGACGTGAATGCAACAGTTCATCGTTCATGTAGTCCCAGTCCAGCTCTCAAACCCAAATCCTTCCTCCCATAATTCAAAGAACGCGTAAATAGTGCAAGATGTCGGGTCGTAGGCTGCGTGAATGGATATTTTTGGTAGGTTCTTAACCCACCACACTCCGGAAGCTCAGTGCCTCCAAGAAACCGCCGAGGTCGTCCTTGGCTACTTCGACCACACAGTGCTCGAAGCTATCAATGCGGACACGAGCATTGGTCTCCTGGACTACCTCCTGGAAGGCAATGCCGAATCGGTTGCGCAACAGATGCTTCTTGCCGCGTGGGTCTTCCTCATCTTCGGATTCTGATTCAGAAGACGATTCGGATTCGTCTTCAGATTCTTCGGCATCGTCATCTCGCTCAGCACGCTCAGCACGCTCAGCAGCGCGCTTGGCTCGGTTTTCCGCTCGCTCCTTGTCCTTCTTCTCCTTAATTTCTTTCTTCTTGCGACGCTCTTCTTGACGCTTCGACATGGCTGCAAAGTCGACCACGCCGCCACCACCGCCGGTGCCCACCACGACGTAAAGATCACGGTCCTCATCAAGGCCAGCAAGGACAAGAGGGGTACCCGCAGCTCGCTTCCGCCCGATCTTCACAGAGTCACCCTTTTCACGCTCTTGCACACGAATGGCTTCCGCGACCCACAAGGCCAATTTTGTCAAAGCTCCAGGGTTGGTAAAAAGCTGGACATCAGGTCCGTCCTTTACGACCGCAATGCGGAATGCTCGAAGATGCCGAATTTGGTGCTTAGATAGTAGTGATGTGCCAGTGCGAAGGATCGCACGGTGAAGATGTTGAGCTAGGGGCAATGCCTCCATCAAAAGGGTAGGGGATTCCGATGTGAGTGAAAGGGCGTCATAGGCACTCCAGAAGCGGGGAAGAAGGCTGGCCAGATCAGATTCTCCAGGAACACCTGGATTTTCACCATCCGTCTGTAGTCGTGGGATGCGCTTTGCATCCCAGGAAGGAGTAGTCTCGTGTGGGCCCACTTCGAGCATAGCTCCTAGAATAACACCGACGTCCGTGGCAGAGAGGCATGCTTTCCAACCCCAGCAACGAACAAAGCCCCAGCCCTCACGGGAAGAGGAATTTCCAGATGGCTCCGGAGGAACCAAACCATCCAAACCGTACATGGGTGCGTACTTGAGCAACCGTCCCCGAAGCACTCGCTTCAGTTCCATGTCCATGTGGGTATAGTACTGGTGGCACTGGGTTAGACTGACACCCATTTTGGCAAATAGCTTGTGCAGTCGCTTTCGACCATTCTCAGTCCAGACATGAAGCCTCGGGGCCAAGTAAGGGCTGTGAAGCATACTCTCGTAGAGCGACCAATGGCGAACAAGCAGGAAGCGTGGCTCGGGAGAAAGACGGATTGATGTGTCAGTGGGAGATCTAGCCGTAGTTGGAATGACACCATTAATCTCGCCTCTGATATCTCGATCTCGCTCCGAGGGATCAGGTGGGTTGAGACGATGGACCTCGTCTCGCATAATCTGTCGGATGTGTTCTCCACGTTGCCCACCCCAGCCGGCAGAACCTCCGGAGTCTGAGGTATTTGAGATACCCACGCCAGTCATGGTCCGACCACTGAGCTCTAAACTGGAGACGCCGATGATCGCAAGCCAGAGAAGGTCGTTGTCTTCTCGACCAAGTTCCGATGCTAGAGAGTAGATCAAAGACGAAATTGGCTCGGAGTATGATGTACCCGACGCATAATAATTCTGCAAGACTGCCTCGTGTTTCTTCTTGAGTCGGACTAATCGTCGCTTCAGAGATCGTGCCGATGGTTGTTTTTGTTCGTTAGGCGATGGGGAGTCACTGGGGGTGACAGAGCGTGATGAGTTGGACGAGTTAATCCCATTTCTTCTTCCTCGACTAGGTGATGTGACGAATGAAGAACCCTACAATGTGAATTAGCCCTTATCCTAACATCTGAGTAGAAATGACGTACCGAATTGCTGCGTTTCCTTTGCCGAGGAGGTTCGTCATCCTCATCCGAATCGTCCTCATCCTCACGGCCCGACCACGACTTGCGCTTCTTGGAGCCAGGCTGTGTTTCGTCATCTTCCGCCTCACCGGAAGAACCATCGTCACTCTCGTCATCTTCGTCTACCTCGGGCATCTCAAGAAGCGCGTAGTATGCCTCTCGTTCATTGGCTAGATCCTCCTCGATATCACCATCATCAAACACGACAATTCCACCACTTTTCGAATTGTACGCAGGGGTTATACACCCCCTATCGACCCCTCGCCCACGCCCACGCCGTAATGCATTGGTGTCGATCTCTGTCATTGCCGAACTCATCCCAGGTTGACCTCCGAAGACATTGCCCAGGTTCCACGGCCGGCGCGCGTCAAAAACCCAGATGTCGACCCCTCCCATATCCTCCGCCTCGTCCTCGGGGTTGTTCAACGCCAGTATCTCTGTAAGATCAACCAGACCACCTACACCAAGACACACAACCACACCTCCACTTCCGCCATTCGTGGTCTGCATTGGCTGGATAAGGTCCTGCCCCGCGCGCGCAAGGTCGCCATAGCCGGCGACAGGTTGAATTTTATGAGGGATATAGTCGCGTTTTAATAGCGCGGTTAGAATTCGGCACGCACATAACGCGTCGGGTTCGAGTGCCACGAGGATCAAGACTGGTGGGGAAAGTGGGTGGTGAGATCGGAGAAGTTGAAGGTATAGGTGGGAGATGAGCTGGCGCGGAAGATACATGGCCAGCTAACGACGAGGATGGGAGATGAAGAGCATGAAGAATTATAAGAATAGCGAGCAAAACAAAGCAAAGTACTGTAGATGGCAAAGTTGTGGGGGAATCATGAGGTTGATCTTGGTGAAGCTACGGAGTAATTGATCTTGGAAGGGAAGTCGCGACGCGTCTGCGCACGTGCCACTAGATTCCATTGGTCGCCGAGACAAAATGAATTATTTTCATAATTACTTTCCCCCTGCTTACTGCTTATCCATTTGAACTCCTGTCCTATTTATTCAATAAATGCAGGGAGATACTCAAATCCCTACAAAGCTGCGTTTGAGTGGCTTTGTGTGAAGGGTTTAGAGAGCCACTGCTTATGTTCGTACATTACGTAGCACAATGTGCCAATTTATATCATTTTTCCATTAATTTACTCCGTATTACTAAGAGCCTGTGAACATGACGAAAATGACGAAACTGACGAAAATAACAGCTTCTGGCGCCAGAAACGAAAAGACACTCGACCGCCCTAGGCCACCACTACTATTCTGCACCCGCCAAGCGCTGTTAGTCATCCTCCTGAGCTGCACGAAGTCCTCATTTTCAATCACGACCGTTAACTACGCCGAAAATGGCTCCCCTTTGCACTAATCAGACACCCTTTCGCCTAGCTTGTTTACGTGCATATATGATACTTTCTATTTCCCGTAACTGGTATTCATTCTGTAGAACCCTAACTCACGCTGACTGTGGAGACCAGCTATACCAATCAAGCCAACAATTCTTGAGGTATAGATTTGAAAATCGATAACATCTCATCTGGAGAATTATCTTTGAGAAGGGCAGAATTGAGTGGCTTCTCACATGTCGCATGCAGATCCGCAAGAGTGTCTTGTTTAACCGTCCAAGTGGTAGCCAGTTTGTCGAAGAAGCTTTCTTTAATGAATCGTCCCACTATCCCCGGGAGAAAACAAGAATATTGGTCCAATTGATCATATAGAGGATGAACCACCAGCTGGATCAAGCGTTGTGAATCCTGGCATGCGCGTATGTGTGTGAAGAATGCCATAGCCAACCTCTCGCTAATAGCACAGTTGATCATGCAGTCCCGAATGAACCATTTAGGGCAAACGATACCATCCCCATTGTTCGCCGTAAAACTCTTTTCAAAGTCAGTCAAGTTACGCAGTGGGACTGGCATCCTGTTGGCACCCATTTTCGGCAAGCAATTTAGCACCAGGTCCAGCTTCGTCAGGGACGGGAACCGCCCTAGAGCACTCCACATACCCGCCTCAAGACCTAGTAGATGTCGCTGTACGCAGATTTGGAGCTTCTGGAGGGATACACACCGGGCTGCCAACTCTAGAGTATCCCCAGTCGAATATATAGGCCCAATTTGCCTGCTAGCCCATTGAGATGATGTGAATATACGATGTAATTTCAACTCAAGCAGAGTTAGCCCATGCTTAGAACAGACCACATCATTGGCAAATTTAGGCGTATATGTGCCCAATAGACAAAGATATGTTAAGGGGGGCAGCGAATTATACATCAAATCCGCAGCACGCCAAAACTCTGGGCCATCCTTTGGAAATAAGGCGAGGGTCAATCGTGTCAGCTGCTGGAAAGGATGAATATCCGCAATAGTCTGAAGCAGTATCGAATCTTCAATGCAGCCGACAGCCCACGATTTCAGAACACTGAAATCGGTGGTTTTTGCCAGTTTCGGAACTGCGTAGCTGTGATTTTGCTATTGAGGGGCCATGATATAGTTTCAATTCTGGCAGGTCCAAGAGGCTCTTCACTTTGGGCTAGCGGGCCTAACGTAATATTGATTAACCTTCTTCCAGCGAGGGCACCACTAAACTCGATAATCTGCAATGCGATCTCTCTAATATGAGGTGCCTGTAGCACAATGTTCTGTAGGATCCTATTAGGATGCATATGTACCCTTGAGTGATCATGGTCCAAACAGGTAAAATGAACCGCATATAGCATTGGCGAGGAAAGCCAGACATTGTGGATAGTAAAAGGCTTTCCATGGAATGGTCGAGTCAAGGGCAACGTGGTAAAGATAGAGACTCGACAAGTAGGGTGATACTGCGAAAGAGCCTCAAAGAGCTTAAGCGGGCCACCCTTAAAGACAAATAAACCCACATCGTGTAAATAAGGGATTCTTCGAATCAAATCGAGGACCGAAGTCCAATCTCCCCCAACGTAGGAACAAACTCGGGGGATGTACTCGTCTCCTAAGTATGTTCCTTCCAGAATACGAGGGATACGAGAGAAAGGATTAGGACTCCTTTGAAATCCTCGCGTTTGACCGTCGTCATCTCTCTTACGGTGCTGATTCGAACGCCCTTCTGCCACAATGCTCAGTTGTCTCGTTTGTGTAAGGATACTTCGGGCATGCGGCACATGGGGGGGTTCCCCATTCCTTAAGTGGATGACGATATGCTGGTATAAGAATAACCTGGCAATTATATTCCATTCCCGATTCACTTGGCACAGCGCTTGTAGGCTTCCCTTAGAGATGGCGCCTGTCTGTCGCTTGAATTAGAGCTGCAAAATATTGCTTCAGGTGTGGGGACTCATCCAGTCGGCGATCATTTGCCTGATCTCTATTGGTAGCCGATCCATAGCTCTTGTTTCGAGTTTTGGCAATATTGGTCATATGTGATCAAGTGGAGAAAAAGATGTCCGTGCAGAAAAGACGAGAAAGAGAAATTGATCCACCATTTGCTGGACTAATGGATTATTTCGGCAACAGAACTACATATGGCGCTAGACTAAAGTCGGCAAAACTAATCGCATATAGTAGTTCACAAATTGAATTGCAAGTTGATTGGGCTCGTTCTCCCCTCCTTAAATCACTCATCATTCACCTTTCTTGATATATGGTATTGAACCGATCAACAACTTAATTGATTTACATAAACCAACTAAGCCAGGCACTGACTGAAATTAAGTGCAACCCAGAGCTTCCTGGATCAGGCTCTTCGAAATGTGTGTTAAACGATAATGCATATTTTCTTGCGGATGGACCTTTGTTTAAGAGGCTGTCGATGGGTTCTTCGCCTGCATAACTAATCCGACGTATACTAAGAAGTTGATTATCATCCTTGCCGGTATGATGATGCTTCGTTTTCCATACAAAGCGTACAAGCCGAAACAGGGGCGCATATATCGGGGTTATCCCTGAATACTACGGCTACGGAGTGGGCGCCATGGAAGCTCGAAATGAATGTCACATTGTTGGGCTTGGGATATCTGATTCTCATACAGTGGCTCCCGAATGTTCCAAGAAAGACCCAATGGGCACTCCTGAATGCGGGTTTCTTCAAGTGAGATATTCATAGATAAGATATGACGGAGATATAACGGAGAATAGTCCCCTGGTTCGAAGGAAAAATCCATCCTGCAACTGATCTGGGACACAGGTCCGTAGAAAGAAGGTGGATTTTGAACTACCAGTATGTGCATATTCGAACATACCCCAGCAGGTCTTCGGTATAGGCTGCAGCTTCTAGGGCTGTATATTCCTGCCATTTCTTATTTCTGTGCGAGTCGGCATAATCACAATCCTCTACCGGGCTGGGGTAAGGAGGAAACTTAGGGTTTGAGGCAAAGTCTCTGAACATGTTTTGCCAAAGAAAAACCTCTTGATTCCCTATTTGTTATACTCCAATTTCTTTCATAGTATCAATCATTGGTATCTTTCAACCCTGAATATTTTATTTGTAAAACAAATCAATAAGTAGTAAGTCTCAAGGTTACTATGTAGTGAAGAGAACAACGCTCGGAGGCTAGCATGGTCAGAACGTGCGGGTCACTATCTTCAGCGTCATCGCTTTTCACGACGTAGTTTTTTTCCCTATGTAGCTTGTGCGGCTAATCTAGTGGACCTTTTCATTGGTAGTCTAGGGCACCGGGTTACAGGCACAACAACCGATATGGAAAACGATGAATGTCCTGGTGAATCCATTCCCTCTAGCCTGGGAGGTAGCCCCATTTCTCTTTTGTTATGCACGGAACACCGCTCGATTTATATTGTTCTCGGAAGAGATCCAGCATCGTGCCGTTGCTTGCCATGACGAAATTGTCTTCGGGTCCGTCGGTGAGACCGTTGACTCGGAGTTACGTTAAAAATTCCTGACCCTGAAGATTGATAACAAAGCGGTTTTTTTTGGCCACAATCGGGCTCCATATGTTATTATCATTGATAAAGAATGTTCGGCGGTCATACTTCGTTCTTATCGCCCGACAACTCCATTCTGGAACCACGGCTTTCAAACATTGGGCCGACGCCATGTATGCCGCTGCCCGGATGATGGTCAAAGTCCGAAAAGTTAGCCCCACTAACGGTTGTTTGGCCAGCATCGGGATCGTCCAGGCACTCCCTGGAAGCGTCAACACAGTCCCTGGGCTGGTAACATTCAGCCTTGATGTTCGAGGGCCGACGATGGGAGTGACAACTACCTTGAAGTGCCGAATGACCAGGGACAGCGAGTGGAAGAAGAGTGGACTTTTGCATTCGAGGTGTTTGGCAAAATTTCAGACGGTTGGTCAGATCTAGTTCATCTGAGATCTATCAAAAGCAATGCAGTGGGCTGATGATAGATGCAAAGAGAGGAGGTTTGCGGGAGGGCACATGACCGCAGCAGAACAAAGTAAGGCTCGCTCAGATCTTTCGTGGAACTAAGACTGATTCCTAGGACCACATAATATAATACGACTAGGCAGCACCGGGGCGGTTATTTGTAATTACGGGGAGAAATCGGCCAGTTCTGGCCTCGATCGTACCATATGCAATATAGAATGTAGATTAGAAACAGGCACCTTGCCTACCATCCCGCTGAACACCGAACACCAACATATGCTATATACAGTAATCCATAGCTGAAATATGACAATAAGAGGCTGGCTGAACCACATGGCTTAATAGGTTTAAACCACAGAGCGACCAAGATATGAACCGGCGACCCAGATCGCAGTGCACGTCCCCACCACAGACAGTCCAACCAGGCGCTTGCCCCAGCTGCTCTCGTCTGTCATTCGGGTTGGCCCAACGGGTTTCTTCCGGGGCAAATGCACAGAAGGCGAGTCTGCCTGTTGCTCGGTTGAGTTGTTGATAATGGCGGAGTACTCCTCATCGCGATTCTGCCACTTCTCAACCAGTCGCGCAATCTCAGCCAGGTCTTCCTTGAGAGAACCAGGCTCTCTTGCGTTGGCATTCTCCACCTCAACATTCTGGACATTACCGAAGAAATCCACCACAGTCCGAAGGCGGCCTTCTTGTTCGCCGCCGGGGAACAAGTCCCATCGCACACCGGGCTGTGAATGGATTTTCGATTCGTCATAGGAGTCAAACAGATCACCGAGGTTCAACTTTGAATTGGCGCTAGTTACCTGCGTTTCGAGGAATTCAAGCACATAGTAGGTCCAGCGATCAATGACCGCAACTCCGACATCGTTATCCGCATGGTGGGAGTAAGAAGACTGGTCGAGTTCACTGGAACCTGTTGCAACGATATTGGGCGAGTAGAAGTGGGTATACATCGTGTTTGCTTGACAAGTATCGATCATGAACAACAATTCATGGTAGCGCTTCTTCTCCCACATCTGACCAAATGCGTCGGCCAAGTCCCATGCGCCGATCTCCTCCGCATCCTGGAACTTGAGGAACTGGTCGCCTCCGTGTCCGGTCATGTATACAAGCACATTACTACCCGCATCAGATCCGAGTCTCTTGCTGCGTGGCACATCTTCATCGAGCCGGTCGGTTAAAAGGCGAATGAAGTTCTCCACCGTCACCTCGTAACCCCTGTAGTCTACCTCAATGTTGTCGCCGTACAGGTCGACCGCACGGTCGGCGTTACTGTATACAGTTCCAGGGAAGGCATTGCGGGGGTTGCAGGCCATGTCATCGGGGAGCATGAGGATGATTTGTGAGTCGGGAATGCCGAGCCGCTTCACGGTTCGGTAGAGGGATAGGACATTGGCGAGGTGACGGTAGTTGAACCAGAATCGGGAGGTGGAAACCAGCACCGCCCAGTTGGAGGTATGCTCGGCGGTCACTGCGCAAGTGAGAAGGAGCAGCGATAGGAGCTGTAAGAAGCGAGAAAACAACGTCATTGTGGTGGTGAGGGTCGAAGCTAGATCATAGTCTGGAAAGGAGGGATGCTTCCAGTGCTACCTGGATGGGAGGATAATGCGCGAGGCGGGAATCGAGTAGATAGAAGTCCCTAATGATAAGTCCCCCCGATTATATGAAGGCCATTACTGGGACTTGAAGGGCCAGAGGAAATGTTGGCAATGAACGGTGTTGATGATAAATCTCAAGATGGAGCTGAATGATGACAAACGATGCATTGGGGAAGTGACACCTGAATATTCAGGTTTTCAGGGACCTCGACTACAACGAATAAGGTTAGCGTTGGCTTTATGAACTAAAAATTATGCAGAATAAGGATTTAACAACATTTGAATATGAAAACATTCCTCCAGAAGTCAGTAATAATTCCAGCAAAACATGAAATATACAAACCCTAGTCAGACCTGTAGTTAGTTAGTCAGCTTGATTGAACTATAGATTAGTCACAAGAGACACCGCCCGCTTCGGCATCGGCATAATCACCAGGCGGATCAGATCACCGAACAGCAATCCACTTTTTTCTTCTTCATACTCGCCATTTTCTCTGATCGTTGCAGCGAATCATCCAGAGTGAAAATTTATACAAAATGGGTGGCAAGAAAGCAGTCGGAGAGAACTCCAAGAAGGCCGCTGGCAACGCTCGCGTATGTATTGACAACCCCGCCCCCGCCATCATTGCCACAAACGCGCCGATGCTAACAGTGGAATAGAAAGCCGACGCCGCAAACCAGAAGAAGGCCGCCGAGGACCAAAAGAGGGCTGCTGAGGAGGAGAAGCAATGGTCCAAGGGATCCAAGAGCAATGCGAAGAAGTATGAGTCTTGTGTATGCCCATACGACATGACGGTTAACAAAGTGTTTTTTTAGGGAGGACGCCGAAGCCAAGAAAGCCGAAGCTGCCCGCAAGAAGGCCGAGCGCGATGCCCAGATTGCCGAAGAAGAAGCCGCTGCCCCCTCCAAGCCTAAGGGTGCTGGAGCTAAGACCGCACAGAAGAAGAATCGTGGTCTCGATCTGTCACAGTTGGACGAGCCCTCCAAGAAGGGATCCGCCCTCAGCGCCTCCGGTATCGATAATGCCCTGGATGCTCTGTCTCTGACGAGCAAGGATACTTCCAAGGTCGAGCGACACCCCGAGCGACGATTCAAGGCCGCCTATGCTGCCTTCGAGGCCCGCCGAATGCCCGAGATTGAGGCGGAGAACCCTGGTTTGCGACGGCAGCAGCGCATGGATCTCTGCCGGAAGGAATTCGAGAAGAGCGAGGAGAACCCCTTCAACCAGGTCCATGTTGCTGTCAATGCTTCCAAGGAGGAGATCGCCGCGGTCAGGGACCAGGAGCGCAGCAAGACCGAGCGCAGATTGGGTAATTAAAACACAGGAGGTTCTCGGCAGAGAAGGAGCTTCAACAAAATTCGCTGTAGCGATTCAAATTCGCGCGACTGCATGGCACGCTTGGTATTGCATGCCAGATTGACATGCATGATCTCAAGGCAGTGACCTTATTGGGTATTCGCAGTTTACAGTGCATGGATCTGATTCCGAGGCGCCATTTGCGCAGACGCAGTCTTGCATGAATAGAATGAGGGGTCAGATGCATGTTTTGGGCATTCTTAGCGTGGTACACGTGGACATAAAATTACGAAATGGAATGACCGTGATGCTTAATTGCTTTGGCTGAATAAAGTAACTTTGAAAGGAAATCTGTACATTTCTGTTTGTTTCCGAAAATCAAGCGCCTTGAGCAGCCAGAGCCTCGGTCCTTGAAGTGCTGTTGGGGTCGAGGTAGGGCTTCTCGCCAATACCAACGGCACGGTGACCAAATCGTTCTCCGAGTCCTTCATAATCAAAAGTAGCCGTATGGAAAGCAGAGCGGTTATCCCAGATCGCTGTTAATATTAGAAACCCATCGATAAATATCAGCACGGATCCAGATGAACTTACCGATATCATTCTCATTCCTCCACTTGAAACGCACTGTCAGATCATGATTCTCCGTAATAGTAGTATAAAACTTCTTCAACAACTCATCCGACTCTTCCGCATTGAGCTCATTGATATACTTAGGAAAAGGTCCTACAGCATAAATGCTCTTCCACCCAGTAACAGGATTTGTCCGCACAACCGGATGAACAGTAGACAGCTCCGCACCGACATTCAATGGATTCCCACGAGGCTCAGTGTAAATGTAAATTTTCTCCGGATCAGCCTGAGCAGCTTTAATAAAGCCATCACCGATATACGTCGCCGTAAGACCCTCAAAGAACTTCTGATAAGGCTTCGAGAACCGATCATACATTTCATACCCTGAAGCCCAGAGCGTATCTCCACCCGTCTTGGGAAGCTGGGTTAATCGGAGAGAAGTGTAGTCCGCTGGTGCGGGCTCGAATTGAATATCCGAGTGCCACTGTGCTGAGTCGTAGCGGCGTCTGTTGCGTTGATTGGCGTGCCGGTGCATTTTTTTGCGGGATAGGGAGCTGATGGTGCTGACTTCGGGGTCGTCGACGCCGAATTCGTTGGTGTTATTTAGAACGGGGTGGATGTGGAGGGTTGAGTCGGTGGGTTTGCCGGCTGCTTGGCCTAGTTTGTGGACGAGTTCTTTTTGTAGGGCGTCTGTGAGGTTGTTTTGGGCGCGGAAGAAGACGACACCGCGCTGGGAGACTGGTCTCGATTAGGATTTGGTATTGTAAGGGATCTTGATGAGCTTACTAGTGATAGCGAGGTCTCGCACCAGCTCGTCTGCATTTGGGGCATTCAGAATGTCGTCAACAATGTTGAGCTTCGGGAATTCACGACCGATCACTGGGGTCGTTTCTTCAAACTCATATTGATCCAATGCACCGCTGAGCTTGAGAGGTGTTGGATATTGTTGCTCAGTCTTAGGTGCTGGGCGCACAGGAAGCGAATCGCCAGGGATGGGAGCCATGGTGAGTGAAGTATACGATTTATAGACTAGTGATTGAGAGAGGTACTGGTCCTTTTATAGAGATATTCTGATTGATAAGAAGTATACGTTCCCGAATAATCGGGACTATAAATCACGCAATTGGTCGTGCAACTTACGGATTTTCTCAAGCTTGGAAACTTACATACAGTTGTCGATAGCCCGATAGCTAAAAATGCGGGGTATACATATCACCTATCAAATTGATTTTTCTCTATGATTCCTCAACAATGTGAGTACACCGAGCGAGTGTTACAGGTGCCACGCTAGATTGTCATACAGCGCGAAGTTGAGTTGATTGAGCATCGTATGGTTTGCGCAGAAGTACGAGTGTAAAGATAAGTGTGATTCTGTGTCGCGTCTCGATTATCTGGATAATTATGATCCGCCTTCTGAGTGGTGGCTGATGACGAATTTGCAGCCCCGAATCACACGCAATTACGTGACCAAGCGTGTTGCCGAACTTTCGGCTGATCGCCATTAAAGTTGTCAGGCATCCAAATGTTGCCTGGAACCGCAAAAGATATTTATCCGAGATGTTGATCAGAAGTTAAAGACAAGAAAAGAGAATCAGAAGAGAATCTTGAGATAAAAATCTGAATTTGGATACAGGATAAGATTAAGTAAAGTATGTATTTTGAACAGCGAGACAAAGCCATCGGGTATCATACTAGCCTTTTAATGATAATTCAGTCCTTGATATATCAGGTAAAGATAATAGCCATGGAGAACAATGTGTTCGGTTGAGGTGTCAGGTAAAAATAGCCTTATAAGCAACTGGAGATCATTCAAGTCATCACTCCGCGCACATCCCAGACGAAGAGATTCTCATCCCAACCAACGCTTGCACACCATCCTTCATTCCCGAACAAGCACCAGTCTATACCGGTTGCAAATTCGGTATGTTTGTTCATCATGCCTAGCTGGGACCCAGCACTTGGCAACTGCCCAGCAGGTTGGTCTGAGCCGTCACTCCAGACACGACAGGTCATGTCATAGCTAGCACTCAACAGAACACTGGAAAGATGTGGTGACCAAGACAACTTTTTGACTGCATATGAATGGCCAGTCAGTGTAGTAATCGCAAGGCCTGGGTTGGGGGATCGGATGTCGAAGGTGCGAATTGCAGTGTCTACACCACCTGTTGCGAGAATGGAAGGGCGGTACTTGTTCCAGTCGTGAGTAAGGACTTCGTTAGGGTAGGCGGCGGCGGGTGGCATATATTGGCCTGGTAAGCCTGGGCTCCCGTGGTTGCGGAACTGCATGACAAGATGGTTTGAGGCAGAGGCGGGAGTGCGCAGATCAAAAAGACGAATTTGGCCATCAGATGATACTGCGGAGAGGAGGTCGGGGCTGTGTGGAGTGAAGGTTGCGGAGTATGTGCAACTGTGGATCGGGAGGGTGAGGAGGGATTGTTCACGGTGTGGTGACCAGATGCGGACGGTCCCATCCCAACTGCTGGAGCAGAATTTGTCTTTCGCAATCATATTCCAGTTCACACTGAATACCTCTCGCCCATGTTCCTTCCATTGTTGGATAGGGAACTCATTCACGCCGCAGTCGAATAATTTAATGCTACCATCACCAGATGCTGTGAGGACTTGATTTTCATGGATTTCCGACCAGGCTAGATCATAAAGCGCGTCTTGTGTGGCAAACCTGTAAATGCACAATACCAGGTGTTAGTGTCATTACGGAAAATCCGGGGTTCAAACAGGTGCTGCGCATGTGAATTACCATTTCATAGGAACAATCCCTTCCGGTGTGAGTTCCAGGATCCAAAGCCGGCCATTTCCGACCAGGCCAAAATTGGCTGCACTGGCGACTGCGAGACGATTATCGAAGAATGGGGAGTACTTGACGGCGGACCCGTTGAAACCCTGGGTGCGAAATTGAAGCATTATGAGGGACCGGGCTCCCTAACCACTTAAAAGTGACTAAAGAAATGAAAACCGCGATAAATGCAGGCCAGACGGAAAAATTGGGTATCAGAGTAAGAAAGTCGTAACGAGCATGTTCACGCGTTTGAGATGAACAAATGAACTGCGGGGGAACTCATCTGTTTAGACCGAGGTTTATTCCGGTTTCTTATCGTTATCGTTATCTTCATCGTTATCGCGTTATCGGGCGGAATAGGGTGATATCATGGTAGTAGAAGTAGGACAATTGATTTGTAGGGTATGGTAATAAAGGGAATGAGGTTCCAGTAGAACGAGAAAAATAATAAATAATGGAAGGACATCTTGCTTCACTCGAGATATCAATGAAGATGATAGAGGATACCGGAATGGTTTCTAAAATTCGTTATGGTGCTGTTGGTGGTCGTACCTCGTCTGATAGTACTAGTTATCAGAAAGCTGTGAGTTCGTCAGGCCTGTTGACCGCTTCCATTCCAAAATCTGCTTGGACATTCGACACGACATTCCTCGGTATGTCATCCTCAACATTCTGAATCTCACTGCTGAGCTGTTCGACAGTCTCCTGACGCTCTGTTTCACACATCCACCATCCTGACAACGGTTGGATAGAATCAAGACGAAATTCCCCTGATGAATCCCCATTGTTCTCATGTATTGAAGGAATCGAAGCAACTTCACTTGATGTAGCTTGGATGCCTACTAGCCCAGCTACTACCATAGTGTCATATTGATGCCCATTTTCTTCCACAGTGACTGGAACAGCGGAGAAGCCAGTTGGAATATCATCCATGTTGACACGGCGTGACACAGCGTCATCCAAGCCCAGATCAGTGTTACGGGCCTCGAAATCCCGCGAGTGATTGGGATGCATCGTTTCTTGGTGCAACAACTTTCCATCTGCATCCCAAAAACAGAAGACTGAGATCCAGCCGCCCAAGTAGGCTGTTCCACTGCCGAAGTGGCGCTCATGGCAACTTCCGCTCCAGAAATTCAGTACTTCGGGTGAGTTTGGATTGTCAAAAGAAGCGACAAAATGATTAAGAACTGGCCGGAGAAGCTGGGCAAATCGCGCAGGTTCGTCCCCTAGCTGATAGATTTTCTCAAGCTTCTCCAAAAGAAGTATCCAATCCTTTCGTTCGCCTAGCAAAGTGACAGATGGAATTCCACACGAGGTCCTCACTCTGTACGTGAAGTACTTCTGTACGGAACCCATCATCAAAACAGCTGCGACAACACGGTCGGATTCGGTTGTGGTGGTAAATTCTGGCATGACCCAGGTCCGCAATTCCTCATCCACCAAATTCTTCTCCATCATCCGAGTCATCAGCAAGGCCAAGGCACCAAAGTCACCAAAGTCACCCGCATCGATAACTTCAATCTCTCTTTGCCCCTCATGGGTCACAAAAAAAGATCGCAGTTCCTCTGCGTGTCGATTGACAAAGAAACCAAGTTGCGTCAGAATAGAGAACCACACATCTTCAGGCCGTATCGTCAAGTGATGATGATCAGAATAGGCGCAGAAAACGGCGCACACGAAGGCATGCTCGGAGGCGGATATATGGGATGTTTGAAAGATGTTCGGTGGAAATGAACTCTGCAGCAACTTCCGGCTGCGAATATACTCATGCCGGCATGCTTCACTCATTAATTCTTCAGAATTGCGTTATTTCCGGCCAATCCATTTACTCGGAGAGTTTTCGGATGTGGTGGAAGTGACAGGCATGTTGTTTCAGGAGGGGTTGAATGGTGATAGAAGTATAATCGACAGCGATCGTCTGAAGGGAAAATGAGGGATTTCAAGACGGGTTGCTCTTCATGAACTCTGGTGCCTGTCAAACTATTACGTACGCACATACGTACCTGGAGTAAGTTCAGTGGAGGGACTGAATCTAGCTGTCCTTCATAAGCGAGGAGGCGGGATTCTCACCTGTCTATTGCTCAATCATCTTTCTCCACTCCTGGTCACGCGAGAGTAAAGCGGCGCTCCTACATTTCCCACGTCTCTGTATAGGAAAGCCCTTCTACACCAAATCATGACAGACCGCCCATCTTCTCTATCGGAGATCTACCGATCCCGGTGACAATTCTGATGTGTTCGAGGACGTCGGAGGGTTCAACCTGCGAGCTTCCAGATCCGGCAGGGCCCGACCTGTCTGCCTGCTAGGCGCACCGCACCAACTACCGAGGAATCAAAAGACACAATCTTCGAGAGGGAATGAATTGTTTTATGTGGCGATTGGAAAATGTGTGAGAACCCGATTAAATGACGGCCGGGAAGGCCGAGAGCGCGAAGCCCTAGCTTTGCCGTTTTTCGGGCTATCTGACCAATCCCTATCGAGAGCCTTGCTTGACGAAAGCATGATAGCATTCACTAGTAGAATCGGCTCTTTCAGCGCCCCCACTTCAAGCCACAAGCGGGGAATCTTTATTTAGCCCAAGGTTCTCGAACTTTGAAATTTAGGGCGAAGAAACTTTGCAATTTGTACTAAGATAACAGAAATCAAAGAGCAATATTTACATCTTGAATGACCGCACCTGTACGCGCAGTGCAGTAGGACGTAATGCTATCATCCCTTATTATACTTCTAGGGATTTTAATTGGTTGAAAATATACCTATCCCAGAAGGGGATATTGTATTATAGTGGCCAGAATCGTGCTTAATGAGGCCTTGGGGGATTTCATTCTTTCCTTCGCTCTTTATGGAGACCTGATGATTCAAACATGGAAATTTATAGAAGTGTAGAGAGCATATAGGCTAGTGAGTAGTGCAAATTGGGCAAACAGATCAGGACTAGAGGTCGCAGATGGTGGGTTTCTATAGCTAGATATATACACTTTATGTAGTTCACCAATTAAAATGGCTGCACTGGCGATCGCGAGACGATTATCGAAGAATGGGTAGTACCAGCAATTGATCACAGACTGCAGCTATGTGCGCAGATAAATGTTAATAATTGAGCGTAGCAAAAGTACTACAGGAGGTATTGCGGCTGAGGAGGCAGTAAATACGGTGGAAGGTATATCTATTGGCAGATACGGACAGCATGAGGTAGGCTTCCAACGCATAGCCAGGTGCACAATATGGCGGGAGAGGAAGAGGAGGGGGTGAGGGACAAAGATGACAAGGAAGCAAACGTTCCTGCTCCTATCAAGTACCTGGAAGACAGATGCCAGAAGAGGTTCTCTGGTAGGGTTACAGTTCCCTCAGTCTACAAGCACTTTTACAAACTCTAGCAGTCTGTAGCATAAGCTAATCTTAGGATTTTTGTCAATAGTATTTGCCCATTCTAGAATAACTTCTATAATAATAAAGCAAGACGCTCAAACAAGAGCTATACAATCTGTCAGAACATTGAGCGGTAACTTACCGCCACAAGTGATAGGTCACACAGCAGACCATATTTCCTGTCTTTAATTATGTAATTCTGAATTTCATACTTGATTCCCATTCAGTCGAGTTTGACCACATATTTTGCCGTCGCCTGGGTACTGTGAGCTCAGGTTTGTGGGCTGGAATTGATACAACTCACCTGCCCTATGGCTATGCGTGGCATCAAGCTAGGGACATCCTCCAAATGAACAACTTCGACCTCTGGCACCACCACCCCTCGCTGCACAAACCTCAAAGCATCTCCGATATCCTGTTTCGATCCAACCACGGACCCGATCACTCGAATTCCGTCATCGATAAACTGCAGTGGATGGAATTGGATCTTCTCGGACGGAGGTGGGATGCCAACGCACACAAGTGTACCAAGGGGAGCAAGCATGTCGAAAGCATCCTGATAGGCCCTGGTCGACCCAGCAGCGACAAGAACCGCCGCAGCACCTTGTCCCTCAGTAACTTCCTTGACAGCCTGAGCAATATTCTCGTGTTTTAAAACATCCAAATACGCCTCTGCCTGCAAACGAAGACAATAGTCCCCCTTTTTCTCACCGGCGTCGATAGCAAGTACCCGATATCCCATGGCGCGAGCATACTGGATACCCATTGCACCGACTCCACCACCGGCTCCCGAAATAACGATCCATTGACCCGGAACAACGCCACAAATTTTAAGCGCTCTATATGCAGTTACTCCAGCACACATAATCGGCGCGATCTTCTCATCAGCAAGCCCCTCAGGCAGGCGTACCATAGCCCTGAATGGAACAATAGTATACTGCGCGAATGTGCCATCAACAGCCCTCCCAGAATGGACTTGCTTCACACAGCGTGTTTCTTCTCCGTGCAGACACATTGCACAGTCGCCACAGCTGTCTCGAACCCATGGTACACCAACTCGATCTCCGATTTGAACGGATGTGTCTTTGATACTGGTGCCTATCTTGATAATTCGACCGATTCCCTCGTGTCCGAGAATCTGGCAGCATGGACCTAGTTTGCCTGAAGCCAGAGCGACATCGGTTCCGCAGATACCGGTCACAGATAGCTTTACAAGGAGGTCGGTTGGACCTAGCTTTGGGAGAGGGATATTTTTGATTTCGAATGTTGGCTCATGTCCTTGCTAGAATGAATGTTAAATAGGTTCTAGAAAGGGATGCGGTATCTTACCTGGACGATAGCCGCTTTTTGAAGTTCAGGTGTCGCCATTTGAATGATTGAAGCTTGCCGTGGCTGTGAGTCCTCTGTGGAAGCTATTATGTTAGCAGGGAATGAAATAAACTATAGGTCTACTGAGGCAAATTATATAGACGAATCTGCTATGCATGGTGTTCCCCAGTCTACGATAGAGTTTCGGTAATCCTTATTGTGCCATTATGCCGCTCCGAGGCCCCACGGCTCCGCCCTGTGTGAATATCCCGCCTGGGAACGCTGATTAATGACCAGAGGATTGAAACAATAATATTATTCATGGGTGAATGGGCCACCGCAGAATACCATAGTTAAGTCGATGAATTATAATGCCTTAACTTAACAAGAGGTATATATATAGATTTCAGATATCAAATAGAACATCCATAATTCTTAGCAGAGCACTTAGACAAATTTCACGGAAATAATTTTCGTAAAATGGTGAGCATTTATTCAAATAGATGATAAATGATACATAACAACATATTTAAAGCATGTCAATCAAACTCAAGTCATAATTATATGACACACAGCGGCGCCCCCCGCCCCCCCCTTCCTCTTTCTTCAAAAATACCAATGTTTATAAAGTGTTAAGCAGAATTCCTGAATCCATTGCCTCTATCTGTAGATATGAATTGACTGTGTGTTACAGTACGACAAAAGACCTTGACGACCCCATTCACCACCGATGCCGCTTTGTTTATGTCCGGAAAAGTAACCAGCTGGATTTGGCTTTTCGTAGCTGTTGATCCAAATCGAACCAGCTTCTAGCTTTCGACCGATAGATAAAGCTCGAGTCGAGTCTCTGGCCCAGACGCAGGCCCCGAGTCCTGCGTCGGTGTCATTGACCCGTCTGATCACCTCCTCTTCGTCTTTCCAAGACATAACTGGAATGATTGGGCCTGTGAGATAAAAGTCAGAAAAAGAGATAGTAAATCATCATCACATATTTCAGATCTCACCAAATTGTTCCTCTCTCACAATCCGGGAGTCATCAGGAGGGTTGTCCACAATGGTTGGCTCTATGAAGAGACCATTGACCGATTGGTTCTGACCTGCCACAATATTGCACCCTGTAGCCTTGCAATCTTCAATCAAATCCCGAACAATGGCATGCTGCATGTGATTTTGGATTGGACCAAAAATGGGAGGTGCAGTAGATGGCTGTTCCGTGAATACTTTCGCCACTTCCACAATTCGTTCCAAGAACTCCCTATAGATGCTCTCATGGACATATACGCGCTTCGTAGCGACACACATTTGCCCCGCATTAAAAAGACACCCATTCACAACTTCGGATGCGACCTTACTCACATCCACGTCCGGGCACACAATTGTCGCGTCATTGCCGCCGAGTTCAAGTGTGATTCGTTTCAGTGTCCCACTGGCAGCCTCCATGATCTTCTTTCCCGTCTTGGTCGAACCGGTAAAGCTAATCTTCTGGATTCCTGGGTGAGTTGTCATGCTCGCTCCTAGTGCGTTGTCACCATTGAGAGCTTGGAATACTCCTGCGGGAACAATCTTGGTTGCGATTTCCGCAAACTTCAGAATGCTGTATGGAGTGAATGGAGACGGCTTCACGATGATGCAGTTTCCGGTCAATAACGCTGCTGCCACTTTTGCAGTGGCGAGGACGAGTGGGAAATTCCATGGGCATATCGCTGCAACGATACCAAGTGGACTGTGCGTTTGAACAATCTTCACAGTATCGTCTTCGTGAACAATTTCATCCGTAATTTCCTGGGAGGCTTTGACTGATGATCAGTGATCTTTCAAAGTATAAATGGAGGCAAGGGTACCGTTGAACTCGAGAAAGGCGATGCTATGGTCAACCTCCAGGCCGCCCATGAAGTCCTTTAAACAAATAATTAGCCGGCCATTCACCATGAGTATTTCAAAATTATAATCTCACAGATTTCCCCGTTTCTTTTGAGACAACCATCGACATCAATTTTCTTTCCTCGCGAAGTATAGCCGCCAGTTGCCGTAATATGACTTGTCGTTCAGCGGTAGGCTTCTTCGACCAGACAGGAAAGGCATTCTGAGCCGCAGTGACTGCGATTTGCAATTCTTCTTCTCCGGCAACTGGGACATTCCAGAGTGGCTCACTGGTTCTCGGGTCCTTACAACAATTGAATCGTTTGCCCTCTGATAGCTTCCCATCCACAACATGCGCGAACTTCATGCCCCGGGTTATCTCGTTGGAACTCATTTTATGTAGGAGGAACCTCAAGACAGATTCGAGAAAAAGATGCCTTGTGCAAATCAATAATCGATCTGTTTGTTACTTTGAAGACTTTTAAGCGTGGTAGGACCAAGACGGGATTTGGTGATTCTTGCAAGTCCCGGTGGATACCATCTCCACCCTGTGTAGCGGAATATTCACCACAGCGGGGTTAGAGCTATTCTCTTTCACCAAACCGGTATAGTCCGCACTGCCGATGTAATAGTTTGATTGCAATCAGCTACTAATGATTTTGAATGTTTAAATTGAAGCCAAAATCTCCGCTCTCTCTAGAAAGTGATCAAATCCCGCTTACTACTAATCCGAGGCAACCTTATATATGTTATTGTTCACATCTGGACACCATTATTAGAACCTTGAAAAGTTTGCAATTTTGTGCTTGTTTTCCATTATCCCATTTCCATGGCATTGAACTGAGTGATCAGTTGCCTCACTTGTTCCATATCCGTTTGGTCATATTTGTCAAGCGTGCGCTTCGCGACACCGCTATTGTCGCCGGAATCCGACCGTATGCTCTCTAACAACACATTGCATAGCAGCCAATACTCCCAGGCACATTTCATAAATCCATCACGCCTCCATGCTTCATCCGGAGGGTCGTCGACATCGTCATCGTCCAGGTTAGATAGGACATGCATTTTGTCCCATGCATTTTTCCAGTTCTTCATCCCGCGCTCGATGTTTACAAAGGCTGTTGGAGATGCAAGAGAATTCTGGAGCTGAATTATAGACTCACATAAAGCTGTCCTGGGTTAGATGAATGATGAAGTAAGTGGAAGGCTTGACTTTGTCTCTTACAAGAAATTATCACAAACATGTTCATTAGCCCAAAATGGGAGAATACCTCTACGAGGCAAGTCTCAGTGTCAGGCTGGCAGATTGTTTCGATAGCAGTGGAAACGGAAGGATGGTCTAGCACTTCGTCTGCCCATTTCTTCAGATGTTGAAAACACTCGTCGGCCGATCCAGCTTGAAAAGCTGCTTCGGGGCAACTGATATGCATCTCCAATTCCTGTCCGAAGATCCGCGGCGGTGAGTTATGGAATATTACGAAGGCAGAGTCAAGTAAAAAGACAAAACTCAGTGTTCTGGGGAATCTTTAGTGGACTAGACACACGACGGGAGAGAGGTATTACCGAATTGTTTCCTCCTTCTGGATATAGGCTTGCCAGTCAAACTTTGACGCATCATTCACGAGCCAAAAGGCCTGGTGGATAGTGGATCTGAGAATAAGATCCCTTGTAACCTTCATGCAAGTGAGATGAATGTCTGGATGATTCTGGTGGAGAGTTTGACTTACTGCCACGACCGTATTATATCGTCGACGTCGAATCCGTCGTTGTGTTATCTCCGATCCCTCCCAGTTCTGGAAAAGGCAAACCAGATACGCCGCCTGTAGAGCCTCCAGCTTCTGTGACTTTCCATTTGCACCTTCATTCACACGGGCATCGGCATATTCTTCTTGGAGGGATTCGTCATCGAAGACCATCTCCTCGACAGCATCAAACCATATTTCTGCATTTTGATTATCTTGCATGTTTGATAGAACGCAAGATCCAATTATAGCCATTGATGCCAGCAATAGGGGAGAAGCTTTAGTGGGGTCGAAAGACGGTTTGTGAATGATCGGACAGTTGGGATACCAGGAACACCAGAAGGCTTCAATGTATCTGCAAAGATTTGGAGGAGAGAAGAAGTGAAAGCACATTCTCTCGATCATGGGCGACCATTCCAATGTCACTGGGCTGCGTCTTGTCTTGTGGCGTATCGTCTCCTTCAGCCCTGTCACAATCTCATGAGTTTTGAATGCCAGACGATGAGCTGCCCATTCATGAAAAGAATCGAGTGCCCCATCTGGGGAGAGTATCAGGTGATTGGTCTTCTGATAGACCATTTGCAACTTGGATGCTAGGCTGGTCGGTTCAATGTTATCGGAACAATCTAAACCGAACCGACCGTCATCAAAACTATACGAAGAGGAAATCGAAGGGTCTTGTAACTCTTCCGTCTCTGATAGGCTAGGAGGTACTCTTCGATTGGCAAATTGGCAATTGAAACAATTCTTGAGCCCAGTCGAGCCAGTGTGCCGCGCCAGAAATTCAAACTTGCTGCGGGGACCGATTTCGGATTGTGAGGGAATCGACGTCAGTTCACAAGACCAGCTTATTGCAGTGGGTGAAAGTGTTAGTTCGGGCCAATCCTGTATTATCTCATAGCCTTGTGGTGACGGTCGAGAATGATGTAACCCGTCAAGTCGAATCGAGGGAGAAGCCAATCCCAAATCCAAGCAGGGAAAGCCGTTCAAATCGGTTTCATGTTGGTCTGGTGGGATATTATACTCTTGCAATGCTGCAGGTGCTGTTCTCTTTTCTTTAGAGACTGTGTACACGCATTCCTGATGTTTGGAGATGCATGTGTTGCAGGGGTATCCAGCGTCGCACGCCCTCTTCAGCCTGATACACCGGTCACAGGCCTTTCTCTTCTTCCCCCGAGTGCGATAGGGAATGGACGGGATTGGGGCACCACTTTCCAATCGAGTTCTACATGTCTTCATGTGTCGGGTGAGGGCATCGCTTTAGTCCGGTTAGCTTCAGACGTGACACCTCTCTGGAGCTGGCCTGATACCTGCGAGTAAAGGATCTTTCACAGAACTGACATATAACTGGGCGTCTGTTTCTATCTGAAAGGGCCTATGGCTTAGTTCAAAGCGGAGTCGCAAAGAGAAGGATGGGTGCTGTACGAGATCCTAAGTGACGATTTAGCTGCTCGAAGCCATCGAATACCGCTGCGCATAATGCGCATTGACAACGACCGGTAAAATGTTCGGGGTCCATATCAGGTGGCATGATTATTTCAAAAGACAAAATGATGCGAATTGACATCAGCTGTGAAAGGGAAATTTCAATAGCGCCACTATCCCCGCAAACCCCACATGAAGCGAAACTCTGGAACTGCGAATCAGGAACCAGAATTGCTTCTCCCAGCCGGTAGTGGACAATTTCCCGCAGATGATTTCATAGCGGGAATTGTCCACCTCCGCTTTAGCGCCAAAAATGCAATATCAGCGTCCAGTCACAAATTGTTAGTGTGGAATGGTATAAATACATGGATCTAAACAGTGATTCGACAATAATCAATGCTTGCTTCTTTTCATTCATTCACTGCCTTTGAACATGGCTACTCCTCTTGCCCTGCCCCCAAATACCAGTCAGGAAACCTTCGCGCGTTTCTTAGGCGAGGTTTCTAAGACCGTTGGTGATGAGAACATCAGAGTGGTACAAAAGCTGGAAGAGCTACACGATGGATCATATCTCGAACAGCCTCGTACCCATGATCCCCATCATATCATTGATCAAGATTATTTTTTGGCTTCGGCCGTAATCTGTCCACGCTCAGTACCGGATCTTCAGGCCATCGTTCATATTGCCAATGATTTTCAAATTCCTCTTTGGCCCACATCCATCGGTCGCAACTCTGGCTACGGTGGTGCTGCTCCTAGGCTGCGTGGAAGTGTCGTTCTTGACCTTGGAAGGCACATGAATCGAGTACTTGAGGTCAATGTCGACGGGGCCTATGCTATTGTGGAACCTGGTGTTACTTTTGCCGACCTTCACCAGTACCTGGTCGATAACGGTTTGAGAGATAAGCTCTGGATTGATGTAAGTTATCTCCTGCGCAGGGTATTTCAATTTTCACGGTAAGCTGATATTGTATCGCTAGGTTCCCGACCTGGGTGGTGGCTCCGTTCTTGGAAATACTGTGGAGAGAGGTGTGGGGTACACACCTTACGGAGGCAAGTCTAAAGGCATCTCAGGTGTGAATGTCGAAGTACTGACTTTTCCAGACCACTGGATGATGCACTGCGGAATGGAGGTCGTGCTCCCGAGTGGAGAACTGATGCGGACCGGTATGGGCGCGATGCCACAGCCGAAGAAACCCGGTGAACCAGCCGTCCCATTGCATGAGGAACCTGGCAACAAATGCTGGCAACTGTTTCCCTATGGTTTTGGGCCATACAATGATGGGCTATTCTCCCAGAGTAACTTGGGTATAGTAACAAAGATGGGATTATGGGTGAGTAGCGCTAGCCAACCGTTATTATCTCTATTCATTCTAACAATTACAGCTCATGCCAAATCCCGGTGGATATCAATCCTATCTCATCACATTCCCCAGAGACGAAGACCTTCATCAGGCAGTCGACATCATTCGGCCTCTTAGACTTGTATGTATGCTCCCCTTCTGGTTTTCTAATATCCCACTGATGGAGCCCACTTCCAGCAAATGATTCTTCAAAATGTCCCGACAATTCGCCATATTCTCTTGGATGCTGGTGTTCTTGGAACAAAGGCGGACTACACATCGACCAAAGAACCGCTCGACGATGCTGAGCTTGATATGATAGCCAAACGCCTGAATCTCGGGCGATGGAACTTCTATGGGGCCTTGTATGGTCCTGAGTCAACTCGAAATGCCCTTTGGGGTATTATCAAAGGTGCTTTCTCGGCCATTAAGGGAGCGAAATTCTACTTTCCGGAAGATATCAAGGAGAACTGTGTGTTGCATACCAGAGACAAAACCCTCCAAGGTATCCCGACTTTCGATGAGTTGAAGTGGATTGACTGGGTTCCCAATGGTGCCCATTTATTCTTCTCACCCATCAGCAAGGTTTCCGGTGATGATGCAATGCTTCAGTATTCTGTTACAAAGAGGCGAGTCCGGGAAGCAGGGCTAGACTTCATCGGGACATTTACTGTTGGTCTGAGAGAGATGCGTAAGCACAACTGGATTGTCACAACCTGAAGGAACTTTTCGCTAATCCAATTGCGACAGATCACATCGTTTGCATCGTATTTGATCGCAAAGACCCCGATTCAAAGAAAAGAGCTCATTGGCTCATCAAGAAACTGATTGATGATTGCGCAGCCCACGGCTGGGGCGAGTATCGAACTCATCTGGCACTGATGGACCAGATTGCGGAAACGTACAATTGGAACAACAACATCCTCATGCGATTCAACGAGGCTATCAAAAATACCCTTGACCCCAAAGGAATCATTGCTCCAGGCAAGAATGGCATCTGGCCATCAACCTACCAAAAGAGTCTGTACAAGTTGTGAGCGCGAAATTGTTGGACTATGGACGGTTGCTCATTTTCTAGTGTATTTAATTAATATTCTATACCCAATCAAATTTTCGCAAACTAAGATCTCACCACCCTCGCCCCCCTCAACCTGAGAATATCTATGCTTCTCGGGGTCCTAAGGCCCTAGTGATCCCAACCTCCTAGAATTCACACATTTCTAGGCTTGGAACCTATTTTAGAGGTCATCACGCCTTGCCTACTGTAAGGAGTGATTGGCCTGTGCCTATGACCCCTTGGTCCAAGATGTGAGAATAGAGGTCAGTTGAATATCACGATAGGCGTGGGATTGTTTTACCGGCTTACTTATCTAACCTTCAGCTCGAATTGAGATCCACGGACACGATAATGGTTGCTTAAAGGGGGTATCGACACCGCTCCCAGAATACGCGTAGCTCCTGAAGACGAACAGTGTGGAGACAGGGCATGTGATGCGACAGCCTTTGAAACAAAGGATTCCAGCCAATTGACCAGAAACTGTCCCGACAGTGATATCTCATGTCCGAGGCCGATCTGAGATAAGCCGCGGATTTAGTATATTCAGCGGATTCCGTGGGATTACGAAGTAGTCTTCGCGGGAGATCCCCTGTGTCATTCCTCTCCTGAATCACGTCTTACTAACCCCCGTACTTATCGAGACCTTAGTCTCCCGGAGTTATAGAGCCTAATAAGCAGAGGAATGTTGATCATTGTTTGTTGTTTGGTGATCTTAGGGGTCGGTGTACCGTCAAATTTCGGCTAAGGGGCGCGGCGTTCTCCTCCGTAGCGAAGCAAAGGTGCTGGTAGCTAGGTAGGAGAAGGCAGCTGCGGCGGGCGGTCTTGATAATCTTCAGATCTTGGTTTTTCATATATTTACAATTATATCGCTTTGAATATCGAGATAAAAGATGTAGGTAGACCTGGCTCGGCCCGTTAGGTTAGCCCATTTGGGCGTCCAGGTAGTAGTAACCTATCATCTACGCCTTGCTTGCCCTCATAAAAGCAGTGGTAGCTAAGATAAGAAAGTCCCACTCAGGACAGGAAATAATCAACATATGGACCCACCTAGTATGTAGTAGGTTAAACTAAACATTGGGTTTGCCAAGATATCAAAAATTAATTACTAGTAGGTAGTTTGTAGCTACTAGGTTCCTTCATGTAGTCTACATGATAAGACCCTAACTACATGATGAAATATCGTTGACGTCAGCAACCCACATCTCAAGCGACCAGCCAGTAACAGAAAATCTAGCTCCGAGAATGCGAACTTCCCCACATCAAATACCCCTAAAAATTCGAGCTGATAGTCAGAAACTGGATGCCATGAACTCAATAGTGATTGGCACAGACGGTATGACGCCATGGCTTCATTCCGCAGCTACATGTACGCGACGTTGTCTAACATTTGAATTGCACCTTTAATTCAATCAATCGCACGAACTCCACCGACATGACAGATTCCAATTCTTTCAAATGTTGAATTCTTCTCCAGTCGAGACACGACAATAATAAAAGCCCACAATGTCCGATACCGAGTATACATCCCCCGCCGACCTTTTCCTCCAAGAGGAAGTTTACCGACTTGGTACATCCCCAGGCCTCCGATCTCTCCCACCAGGCCCCATACGCGACTTCATTATATTCAGCTGGGGCCCGATCGCCTACCGAACGTGCTACAGGTCCGATATGAAAGACCTCCTTCCCATATTCCTACGCTGTTTGAACGACGCAGTGAGCAAATCACTAGGTCAGACACTTACAGGATCGGACGACCAACTTCAGGCCTTAATAAACAGCTATTCCTCCAAAATATTCAATGCACGAGACCAATACGATAAACTTGATGAGGACGGGGTTCGCCGGGCATTCCACGATTATAAAGTCTCTTTGGCTATCCCAGCGACAGATCTGCCGAGTCGACTACGGATCTGTCTGATGGTTGATTATGAGGTTTTGTCGAATTTAAAAGCGGTGCTGGATCTATGTGCAATGGTTGAAAAGAATGTTGATCTTGGTCGGTGCTGGGTGAAAGTTGTTGAGGAGAATTTTCCAGATTCGAGGTGTGGGGAACAGCCATATCTTACCTCAAGTGATGAATTTGACAGTGCTGGGGAATACAGGGGGAAATATCGGGGCTGGACTATGGTGGCAATGCCTGCGCTTCTTGAGGTGTTTGATGGAATAAGAAAGATGAAACATCTGGTGGAATATCATCGTGAGGGTCGAGCGTATCTTGGTCGAGGGGAATGGAGCAGTATATAGCCTTACCATTAATGATTAACGAAATTTCTCGGCCTACATGGCAGATTAGCTCATACTCCGCTTGCTTCCTACTAGAATCGATGCTCTATGATATTATTGGTCAGTTCGATGCAAGTCATGTGCTGATAGCATCTTATCACCAGCTTATCAATCAACCCTTCTCTTTTGACTCACTTTGGTTCATCACAGAAGGGATATGGGGTTGGGGTTTCCAGTCCTATGGATGCATTTCTCTCCAGGAAAAAGCCAAGGCTGTCAGAGCCAGAGCAGAGAATCGAGGTCTGTGATGTTCAAGACGAGGAATCAACGGATATCAAGCTTGCTATTCTCATATCGCTCCACCCAGAGGTCAAACAAGACGATCTACTTGAAATACTTGTCTCCTGTGACGGATCTGTCGAATCTGCCTCATCTTTGTTGTCTAAGAGAGCCGCAGAGAATGTGACACCAATAAAACGACCAGCTCCTAGGTCATCCCGTGTTCAGTCGTCGTTGTCATCCCACGTCCTAATGAAATCCAAAGATGGATCTCTCACACCCATGAAAGAGATCAAGCCGTTGGTTACTCAAAAAGGAAAGACTCTGCATCTCTATGCCCCCGAAGACGTCGCGCTCAATACCCCCTGCACGATAATCCACAATTTTCTTCCACAGGAAGAGGCCAACGAACTCCTAGCAGAGCTCCTGGAAGAGTCAGAACACTTCTCCAGAAACGAGTTCCAACTCTTCAACCGCACAGTGCAAAGCCCCCACACTGCATGTGTATATGTCTCCACGCCAGAGGAGCATAAACAGCAAACTTCAGAGTACACGTACGGCGGCACCTACCGCGCAAACGTGCGACAGGCAACACCAGAGCTACGTTCTGTCTCGCGCAAAGTGCAGCGTACAGTGAACGAGGAAATTCAAAAACGTATCCGGGATATCTACCCAGACGGAAAAAAATTGAAATACCAATCACCGAGGCAGTGGCGACCAAATGCAGCCTTTGTAAACTGCTACGATGGACCTGCTGAGAGTGTAGGATACCATGCGGATGAATTAACCTATCTCGGACCACACCCAGTCATCGGTAGTCTGAGCTTAGGCGTGGAACGAGAATTCCGTGTCCGTCGAATCGTCGCCCAAGACGAGGATGCGGATGATGGTACGGAAGCAAATGATGATCCAAGCGCTGGCTCGCCTTTCAATAAAGCCAAATCCAAAGCTTCTACTGCCCGTGCTGATGCCCAGGGGCAGATCTCCATTCACCTTCCTCACAACTCACTTCTAATAATGCATGCTGAGATGCAGGAGGAATGGAAGCACGCAATAGCCCCTGCTCAAACCATCTCTCCGCACCCAGTTGCTGGCAACTGTCGCATCAATATTACTTATCGCTGGTATCGCGATACCCTCCACCCTCGATTTATACCACGGTGTCGTTGTGGGACCCATGCTATTCTACGGTGCTCACAGCGCAAGCAAGAAAGTCGTGGTCGATATATGTGGATGTGCTATGCCGGGACTACTCCGGGTAAACAGGGCTGCTCATTTTTCCAGTGGGCGGAATTCGACGATGATGGCGATCCGGTGTGGGACCGTAAGCCTAATCAGGATGTTGCGCCTGTCTTGGCAAATCTCTCGGCGTCGCAATCATCCCAATAATCTGCACCTAGTCACTAGCTTGAATAAAAGTGGAATCCATTGGATAGGTTGTGTTACACCGCATAAGCCCACGAGCCGCCTGAGAAAAAAAAAGACAAAGAGAAAGACGAAAAGAAAGTCATCCTTTCCCAGACCCAGAACAGATCTGAAGATCTCAACTGGAAATTAAGAGAATGGCGGATTTTTTATATAATAAATCCGAAATTTCCATTGAATGAGAATTAGAGTTGATGGTAAATGCGGGGGTGTTTCCGCTAATATAGTACAGTCAGCGTCAAAATTCAAATCCAATCAAAAGTTGTTAAATCCTCGGTTAAACATGATCGTACCCCTCTTAATGGACAGAAAGGCGGAATTGGCCCCCGTGCTTCGCTAGGAGGTTTTGGAAGTGACCCGGTGTATCGGTCTTAGCAGATAAATGTTTATAAAGAGAAGGATCGCTAGTGATTCCATCGCTGGGATCATCACTTTTCACTTTGCCAGAGCTCAATCATTATGACCACTCCAAAGGAAAATACATATGATTATATTGTCTGCGGGTAATTTTGTCAGCACTTGGAAGATGAATCTTTGTTAACATGATACAGTGGTGGAACCTCTGGATGTGTTGTCGCAGCTCGTCTTGCTGAGAATCCAGAGGTATCGATTCTTCTAATCGAGGCCGGTCAGCATAATAAAGATTTAGAAAATGTGCACATGGCAGGAGGGTGAGTAATCCGAGGTCTCCTCATAGAAAGATTGCCGTTGACAATTTAAAGATGGTCGAACAATTTCGATTCCGAGACAGATTGGAATTTTGTTACTCCACCAATGAAAGGCGTGGATAATCGTCAAGTGAAATTGAGTCGTGGCAGATTTCTCGGTGGATGTAGTGGCGTTAACGGCACTCTTTGCATCCGCGGTTCCAAGCAGGATTACGATGACTGGGGGTTGGACGGGTGGAGTGGAGAGGAATTCTTCAAGTACATGAGAAAGGTGAAACCAAAAAGTCACGATAAAAAATAGTGCTAACTAATGACAGTCGGAAACTTTCCACCCCAAGCCATGGCACAAAGCCGATGTTGACAGTCATGGCTACTCGGGACCACTCCATACAGAGCCTCATGACCTAGCTCCTATCTCGGAGTTACTACTCCAATCAATGGAGTCTCAAGGAATGCCCCTGCATCACGACATGTTTACCACTGGCGATGTGGCACAAGGCTGTGGCCATGTACCCCGTACAGTATACGAAGGGATCCGGACAACCGGCGCCGATTTCGTGACGAAGAAGAACCATCGAAATAACATCACTATCAGGACTGATACAACAGTTGACAAGATCATTTTTGACCAGGGCGAACAGCCCCGTGCGTCGGGCGTTATCACCATCAGCAATGGTACTTCCAAGACGTTCTTCGCTCGAAAGGAAATCATCATCTCCGGAGGCGCATACTGCAGCCCTGCTATCCTTCTTCGCTCAGGTATCGGCCCGAAAGACGAACTAGAAAAGCATCACATCCCAATCACAGTGAACTCACCCGGCGTGGGCAAGAACCTCATGGACCACCTGGTAGGTATATCCATGTATCTACTACCTGACACAAAATACACCAAACAAACTAACTCTCGTAGATCGTCTTCATATTCTATGAGACCGAAAAAGAGGGCCTAACAAACGACTACGCCGTCTACCACGACGACAACTTCGAAAACACATACCAACTTTGGAAAGAGAAGAAAACAGGCTTCCTATCTACATTCCCCTTCGGAGTCTTCGCCTTCGCCAGACTAGACGACCGACTTAAAGACGAACCACTCTGGAAACACGCCCCCCGCCTCCCAGGCCGCGATCCAATGGGTCTAGCACCAAACCAACCGAATATCGAATTCTTCACAACAGAATGCTACGGTGGACCGAAGCAGTATGATCAATTCCCGATCGATCACAAGCATGCATTCTCGATTATAGCGGAACTATTTGCGCCGAAGTCTCGTGGCTCTGTGACTCTTTCTTCGATGGATCCACTGGAGAATCCGGTCGTGGATTGTAATTATCTCGATGATCCGTTGGATCTGCTTGTTCTTAGTGAGGCGTGTCGGTTCGGGAATGAGGTTGTTATGAAGGGTGCTGGGACGAGGGATATTGTTAAGGGGTCTTGGCCGGCGAATTTAAAACATCATGAGCATACGACGAGGGAGGATTGGGTTCCTTATGTTAAGGAGCATGCGACTACTTGTGAGTTGTGTTTTCTTGTTTTCGTTATAGGTTACTGATTTTGCTTAGGTTATCATGCTGCGGGAACCTGTGCGATGGGCAGAGAAGATAACCCCATGGCTGTTTTAGATGAGAAATTGCAGGTTAGGGGTGTGACTGGGCTCCGTGTGGCTGATTGTAGTGTTATGCCGGCTTTGCATGGAGGACATACTCAGATGCCAGCCTATGGGATAGGTGAGAAGTGTGCGGATCTCATCAAGGAAACCTGGCGTCAGGCAGGAAATGTCTACCCTCGGATTTAAAGACTGTTAGGCGCATTCAATACTGGCAATTTGGCTGCTCCTTTCATAACCTACTAGCTTAGGTACTTGAGTTAAAGAATTTCAGAAATTGAGCTTTTAATCCATTTCCACCTGATCTAAGTAGACGAGCTCGCAGCATATACACTGTCACACGGGAAAAAACCGATAAAAATATGCGATGTGTGAAAAGGGTCTCATGAAGTTCAGCTGCAGTCCGAAAAGGATTCTATGCTGAGACTGAAGTCGCTGTCTTGTATACTGCTTCCCATATTCACTTTCACAGCGCCTTGAGATGCACCAAAGCCCATCTCCTTTCCTCGAATGACGGTAAGATTAGTATCGACATGAATTGTGCTCGGCGCTGGTAGCAAGGAATGGCGGTACTCGACCTTTGCTGTCAAAAGAGGCTGCGCTGTCTCCTCAGACGAAAGGTCTTGCAGTAGGCGATTGATTCGATTCATCATTTCCTCGATCAAGGGATGCTGGGAATCAGTTTGTGCAACTTGCGATATCTGTCTGGATGCGGCTGGGACATGAACCTGGACTGGAATGCTCCACGTCTCTCCAGGTCGAAGGGAAATAAGGGAAATATTTTCAAAGGCTGATTGAATTTGACATCCATATCCAGGAGCAATAGATATCTTCACATCAGTGATGGATCCAGTTCGTATCCCAGTGCGAAGTTGTCGAATGACCCTGGAAATCCTGCGTATAAAATGCGTTTCTCTAGGACCCGATTCAGAAGCCCCGACCGTGTAAGGTACATGCCAACCAGACTGCGATGGTCCATTGTCTAGTGGTAGGCACGCGTGTGGCGTAATGGTATGGAAGCCGATTGCCTGGTCAATCCAAGATAGCAGGAGATGGTCCGGCGGTGTTGCAGAGACAAAAAACATGTGGCAGAATGCTGCGCGAGGAGAATGTGAGAATATACCAGACGCTCGTTGAATGACACTGCCTATATCAAAACAGAACTCCTTATCGTTGTTGAGCTGGCACCGTGAGAAAGTATTCAACGCCGACCGAACAGTTTCAATCGAGTGAAAGCTCAATGGAAGCAACATCTCGAAGCCATAGTTTGCTTTTCCATCAATGTAGGCCAATGAAATCCTGTCGTGGTTGTGCATGAGGTGGGAGGCAAGGACAGATGAACCAAGAGTTATTTGTGTGAGAAGGTTGACAGATGGCTGGCGCCTGCAAGCTCAACAATTAGTTTCAATCACGTTTGGGCAGTATGGAGAACCTACAGAGAATCAAGGAGAATGACTATGTCCAAGGGAGCAGTGCTTGAGGTTCCCAACAAGGGTGTAGGACTGACATCGGCGGAAACATAGACGGTAGTCCATAATGATGTAGGTTCCTTGCTAATGTGGAGTGTGCTTGTTGCTGCCCTCACGTTGACAAATGCAATTGGGAGATCAATGGGATGCAGATAGTTTGGTTCCATCTCAGATGTCAACTCAGCACAGGAACCCCCAGCTTCGGACGGGTAACATGTCCGCGATGAGTCCCAAGAACCGGAGCTCCAACGCACAACCAATCGAGGGTTCACCCGTCGGTTCCTTTGTCCTTTGCCTGCACGCCTGGGGGTCTAATGAATCGGTTAGCATACCAAGGAACGCCTAAAAGCTACTGGAAATCATTCACATTGTCCACAAATCGATCTTCCATGTTTGCATCTTGTTCTCCAAGTTGGCGGACCTTCACAATCTCAATCTGGTATTGACTTTCGCTTAGAGAAGGTGTTCTAGATGATGATGCTGGTCCATAGGAGCCATCACTCACAACCGCAGATAGTGATGAACTTCGACTGGGAATTTGTGGGTAAGAGGAGTAAGAGCCGATACTGTGACTTCGGGAGACGCTACGCTTCCTGACAGTAAGCGGCTCAGGAAGCTCATCGGGCGGGAATCCCCTAAACATGATCGGTGCCGGTAACGGGCGATTCATATTCGAGCGCGACGTCGGAGATTTCGGTCTCTCGATTCCCGGCCGAGCTTTCCAGGTCCGATCGAAGCCTTCTCTGCTTTCCTCGACGATCACGGCAGCGGCAGCGACAGCGACACCACTGGGGGAGCCACGTAGGTATGGTAAATCTGCAGGTCCAATACTCTGAACAGGCAAGGATCACGGCCACGGCGCAAAAAAGGATGACGATAGGGACAAGAACCAAGGCAAGAAGCAGTGCAGAGCTCTTAAAATCAAGGGATAAAATACTGGTCATCTTGTATGCATGTGAGCTATAGTAGAAGGGTATGGATGAAACGGAAGTTCGTTGATGTTGGCCGTGAGCATTCATATTCGGCAGGAATGATGCAACTGCAAAAAAGTAGAATTGGGTATATTGAGGCAAGCACGAATCATTGCTCTGTATGTACATTCACCACTGACTTCATCCTCTCCTTTACTGAGCCCATTGTAGCATCGTCTAACCGTGAAAATCGGATCTGAGTTGATTAGCATATGATCGGCCATACAAATGGGAGGGCACTTACCATCTCATCCCCACCACCACGAGCAGCGCCCCCAAATAGCATGGGGTCGGAATGACTGGCTTCAATCTCAACCTGCACCCGCTTGGCCCAGATTCCATCCCAATGCCAATCTCCAGGTTGCCGAGCCTGCGGACTTCCCTTTTTCCAGTCACCAGAATCACCCCCCCGGCGGTGTGCTTTCCACGCATGCCATGCTCCTGGGTTGCCTGCGACCTCGACGGGCAAGCTGTCGAGGACGGACTCATTGTCGAATGTCGAGCGGATATAATCCAGGAGCTCCGCAACGGGCACTACTTTTCGTGCCTCTGCGAATTGAGCGTCGGAAGGGATTTGGGCAATGCGGGGACTCTCTGTGTCTGCAACTTCTTCGGTTTCTATCGGCTCAGGGGCGTCTGATGTGGCATCATCCTCCGCTGATGGAGAAATAGGTTTGGCTCTTTCTTCTGTCACAAGGACTGCACTTTTCTCGCTCACATTTCGTGATGATGCTCCAGAGACAATACCACTCCGCTTGGCCCGGCCGAACCAATGGGGAAATCCGTGTCGGAGACTAAACCCACCCGGGGGTAACCGTTCATCGTCCGTCGCACTGACAGGGTTATCGCTTGCGGAGCTGGTGCTGAATGTGTATGTGGTGAGGGGGACAATCAATGGATGAAAGACATCAGTTGCAAAGGTCACGAGGGGTGGGAGATCTGGGTAGATGTCTGGAAAGCGGATTTGGAAACGAAGAATGGCCGAGGCGTAGGGTCCTGGGAAATCTCGGTGTTAGCTAAGGAAATGAAGTATCCTGCAGTCTTAATATACCGGAGCGAACAAAAATGACGCCACTCCATAGAGTTGGGTCGCCGGGCGCAAGGCTCACGTAGACCCCTGGTGGTGCGGCATTTCGCAAGCTTGAGCTGAACGGGAGGTCAATTACAGTCCCTTGAATGAAATATGATGGACTCACAACTCCAGGTGCAGCTGCTGCTTCCGTAGAGATGGGACACAAGGTAACCTGGTGGTTGACATGGTAAAGCACAACTTCTTCAAGGAATCCAAGTGACGGAGATCCGACAACACAACACGTCGCTTATCGCTTATCCTTATCGCATCTCCACATCATATCTCATCTATGACAATAATCGTCTATGACATTAATTCGTAAAATGTAATCTAACGTCTATCAATCTGTAAAGCCAATCTATCAAGTTCTAGGCCTTGTCGCAATATGCCAAGGTGCATCATCCCTTCCCCAACCCCTTCATAGATTCCACCTGCAACTTCCTCGACCCACCAGCTTGCAATATTGGCCACTGCCACGCCAACACGACCTTGGTTAAGTCTGCAGACGGCGGAACTGATGTCGACACCTTTCTTGCCCAATCCATCGGCTGCATCTAAAGTTGCCGTAACAACTCGTTGCGTGATGTGGTGTGATCGCTCGAATTCGTATACTTGGCGCAGCAGAAGTCTAAAATAAGGTAAAAGAAAGCGAGCCAAGAGGAAGATCTGAACAATCATGGATGCAAGAAGTCGATGAAGATATGATCGGGGTGGTGTTATAGCCTTTTGAGACATGCGGTCTTCCAATTGTGTAGGGCACGGCTGCGAGGATGTCGCTATTGATGATTTAACAACTTCTGGAAGGCGATATTGAAGCATAGCCGTCTCCTCCGCCGTAAGATCCGAAGGGAGTGCATCCAAGAGATACATCAAAGCATTAATGTATAGCGAACGTGCCAGACGGCCATCAGCTTGGGATTGTTGAGCTTCATATCCTGCATTCCGCAAGAGATTATATGCTAAAAGCTTATCAGTGACTAAATGTCCAAAGTTGGGCTTTGGCTTAATCAAGATCTCACCAGGAACCACTCTGTTCCATCGCAAGCCGGACTCCGTCTCATACTTGGCAGGCGAACTCTCCTCAAGCGGCGGGGTATCCGACCCAGATCTAGATGCAAAAGAATCCAGACTATCACCCGTTGACGGTCTTTGCACCTCAGATACAATTTGTTCTGTTGACTGGCCACGGAAAAACATTTGTGGCTCAGAAAGAGATGCCAGTCCGTGCCGATCCGGGCCCGATTTATTTTCGGCGTCAGCCCTGTGAGACGAGTAGAGCCGAGGGAGTCGACGTCGAATCGTGGCTGTGATGGGTAGAATTGAGAACCTGGTGTATTCCATTGCTGTGTGGGATCAACTGAGTATTGATTGCCGATGGTTTGAGGCGTTTCCAGTTACAGGATTTAAGTGAAGGGAATAACAGGTAAATTGACAGAAAACGGCGCACTTGCATTGCATATTTCATGCGCCATTTTCACATGCTAGCGTCCTCGTTTCTGATATGCTGATAAGAAGCGTGGTCTGTGCTAAATCTGCCCCACTTGGTTTTGACTTTGGAAGTGATCTCTACTGATCTCACATATATCAAGCGATCGTATATCGTCTGTCTATTTCTGAGGTGTTGAGAATGTTCAATTGCCGTCTGTTTGCAATCCTCCACATCAACATCGAGGATATCGCTATATACTTATCCTGCTGATGTCTAACATCAGTAGGGCACTACCTCATCTGGTAGGTTATACGAGGTGATAGTTTGGTAGGGGCTACGTAGTGCTGTGAGTGGCATACTTTCTCTTCCGTGCTAAAATTCGTTCGGGGATCTAAGTTAATCGACTGATCTTGAAATCAAATCGAATGAGATCATATCAGGGTCGATGTGGTTTCAGACCAGGACGCGGTCAATTGGACCGGCATCAGCAACATTTATAATTGCCCCAACTCCAGTCTAATCCCATATCCCAAGGGTAATATAGTGGCAAGGTTTTCTTTGGAGTTAACCATACCCGAGACATTCACCACCGATTCTTCACTGACAATAGACCAGCTAGCAAAGCTAGACTGACCAAAGAATTTGCCATAGACGTTCGGTTCTTGTGGATCTTTCGAACTTTCGTGTGCGACGAGATAATCTGGACCCACATCAAAATTAAGACTTTGCGCCTGAGCGCAATGCGCGAGGTGCTGGTTGAGGCACTGCTCGCAATCTTGACATGATACAAAGGAGAAAACGATGTGATCGCCTTTCTTTACAGTTAAAACGCCTGGTCCTACCTCTCTCACGCATCCCGCTTCTATGAAGTGTCAGCTTCGAATTCTGTCAATTATCGATATTTTTCTTGCCTTCATGGCCCAGGATGCGGGGATAGTGAACACCGCTGCCAGATTCCATACCCCCAAAATGGAGGTCCGTCTGACAAACAGCGCTTGCGACCATTTCTACTAGAAGTTCGTTTTGTTTCAACGGTTTTAAAGGGATGTTTCTCATTTTCTAGCCTCCTCTCTGGTGTGGGCCGGAGGACACCAATGCCCGTATTTCATCCAAGGCCATGGTTCTGCGCGTGGTGATCCTTCAATTCAGTTCAGATATGAGGGCAAACGAGGGGTTGATTTGCTGGGCGCTCAGTTAAAATCGATCCCAGGATGTTTATTCATTTCACCAAGCCAAGATCGGAAATGATCCTGTCTTAGATTCGCCGCGCAACATTCCCGCGATCGGACTAATTCATGCTTCTTTCAGTTTACATTTATGCGTCGCATTGGGTATACTTGGCTATCCGTAGATATACTCATATTTCATAGATGATGGTGATTAAGTTTGTGCATAGTTTTAGCCTCTTTTTGGTTATCTAGAGAAATCATGTAGTCATAGTGCGTGACGATTGATATCCCCTGTGATTCTCTTATTAGACCCAAAATCTGAAATCTAAGTGGAAACCCAGCATATTTAAACGACATGAGAATCGGATAATAAATTTTGAATTTGAATCAACATTTGAAGGCAAGAAAATTAGATATACATATTTCATTAATCATGGGACTTGATTGCCAGTTAATATCGATTGATGTGTAATGTAATGGCCCCCAATACTCCAAATGTCCCATCATCCGAGCCATCAGAGTTAAGGACTGCGTTTTTATAGCGCCAGAATCACCTTGATCGTTGAACAGCAAGAACTTTCCAACTGAACATTACCTAGGTACTACATAGATGGGTCACAACACTAAGGTATTTGTGAGCTGTCCGAAAAATGCTCTGGTAATGTTGGAACCAAAATTGAGGGATGGAAGGATTGGGCTGACCCCCAACCTCAACAACTCCGGGCTCTCAACATAATGAAATGAGACCATACGCGTCATTTACACATGCGACCGAGGAAAGGGCATATTTCAGAATAAAATCATAGAATATATATGGACTTATATAATGGAAATAGTTTGTTTTTCCAGGGTCAATAATACTCTATTGTGTTCCATTCGTCAAGGCTTGCCTCGACGCAGCAAATCCGATACGAGACAGCAAGATTGAAAAAAATTGGAAATCAACACCGCAGAAATGAAGTCAGATGCTCAAAGGCTTCATATTACTGAGCAGCCTCTCACCTTGAGTAACTGGCACCGCCATGTTAATTGGATCAACACAAGCCTGATACTAATCGTACCTCTCTTCGGCTGTATCGCTGCCTTTTTCACAGAGTTGCGTCTTGCAACAGCCGTCTGGGCAATTGTGTATTATTTCTGGACAGGTCTTGGAATCACAGCTGGTTATCATCGCCTTTGGGCTCATCGTTCATATGAGGCGTAAGCTCTCCATCGTCTTGTCTCATCCCACCCACAACTGCCATAGATTGAATGCTGACAAATGGATGATTTAATTAGGAGCGTACCGTTGAGAATATTCCTTGCCTGTGTTGGGGGTGGTGCTGTTCAGGGTTCTATCCGTTGGTGGAGTAGCAAGCACCGCGCCCACCACAGATGGACTGATACCGTCAAAGACCCGTATAGCGTTCGGAAGGGCGTGTGGTACTCCCATTTCATGTGGATGGTTATGAAGCAGAATCCCAAGGACCAGGGTCGGACCGATATCTCGGATTTGAATCAGGACCCGATTGTTGTGTGGCAGCATAAGAACTATGGAGTGTTCATCCTGTCTTTTGGTATATTATTCCCTATGGCCGTTGCAGGGCTGGGTTGGGGTGATTGGAAAGGTGGTTTGGTATATGCAGGTATCTTGAGATTCCTGTTTGTTCAACAGGCAACGTTCTGTGTCAACTCCTTGGCTCATTGGCTGGGCGAACAGGTTTGTTTTTCCTCGCCTGATCGACGGTCACTTTGCTAACAAATACTTAGCCTTTTGATGATCGAAACTCACCGCGTGATCATGTTGTTACTGCATTAGTCACTTTAGGTGAAGGGTATCACAATTTTCACCATGAGGTAAGAAGTGAACCTCGATGCGCAGAAAATTCCTCATTGCTAACGGGTGCAGTTTCCCTCGGACTACCGCAACGCTATCGAATGGTGGCAATATGATCCTACCAAATGGTCAATCTGGATGTGGAAGCAGCTTGGTCTGGCTTCAAATCTCAAACAGTTTCGTGCAAATGAGATTGAAAAAGGCCGTGTCCAGCAACTTCAGAAGAAAGTCGACCAGAAGCGAGCTACGTTGGACTGGGGTGTTCCTCTTGAACATCTGCCTGTTGTCTCATGGGATGATTTCTTGGTTGAAGCCCAGAGCGGCAAAGCTCTAACTGTTATTGCTGGCGTTATTCACGACGTGACAGGCTTTGTCAACGAACATCCCGGCGGCAAGACCCTGATCAGTTCAGCTATCGGAAAGGATGCAACGGCTCTGTTCAATGGTGGAGTGTACAGTCACTCAAATGCGGCGCATAATCTTCTTTCCACGATGAGAATTGGTGTAATCCGGGGAGGTGGTGAGGTGGAAATATGGCGACTGAGAAACAGTGATAAGCAATCATCGGATTAGTGGCATTTTCTGACAAAATAAGAGCGCACTTGGCTTTGAAATATTTCGTCGACTCTAGTGATTTTTGGTCATATTTTTTGTAAGAAAGGATTCATGGTTGGCCATACCAATTGTGTTCTGGACCGCTGGTGATTGTTGGCGATCATCCTTCCAAAGTACTTGGATCTTTTGTGATTGGCTACTTACAGATTAGTTGTTATGAGATCGAGTACATATTTACCGAGTGTGGATATTAGGCTAGTTCCCACATGGCAGGTGTATAAGTATAGTTGTTATGGTGGCGTCCACGTGTAGGAGACGGTCAGTCAAATAGACTATACTTCATAGGACCGGAAAAAGTGTTTGGAGATAAAAAGCGCCTGGGTTCGAACATGTGTATACAATCGAATTTAAGCTTGGCATTAGACCTTCACAATTTACCTTAATATAGCCGAAAACCTCTATCCGAAGACCGGTTTTTCTCGGAACCGTGAACGGTGAAGAGTTTTCGAGTCTTGGCAACTGAGTATATGGTATTAAGTTTTGCTACAGATGAACTAAGTATTTTAGCTTCGTTTTACGATTATATCCACTACGATAGGGCATAGGGATTGTCACATGAACAATATTCAGAACGCATTTTTTTGTAAGAATTCAAATGCATAGTTGCTGTAGTTTGATGACTGTGAGGGCCAAGGTCAAACCTTGGAACTGCTTTTTTGGTCGGAAAAAACGAATCAAAATCATTGAAATGTTGGAATCAGAACAGAACGGACTAGATTTGATCTCGAAATTGATTCTCGAACCCTGTAGAACTCTCCGATATCGCGGGGAGATGAATCATTCTTTCCTAATTGGGAACGCCTTAGAGCCCCGCTTTGCAGTCAAACTAGACCTAATTAGGTTTGGCGTTGACATGCGAAGGGCGTGCAGCTGCGTCTTCTTGATCACACGCGGAACTTCAATCTAGCTCCGGTCTTGCCTATCCCGCAAGGCCAACGGATGACGTTAGATTCATTTGGCTTCTCCTATTCGATCGGCTAGTCCGATTCTTATTCTTTCTAGCGGCTAGGAAAGGTCTGCCTCGGCCGAAGCGACCACTGACAGTGAGATACTGATTGCTTATCGTGTTAGCAATGGCACGACCCCTCCAGCTTGAACATTCAGGGCCCGTTTAACCGCAACGCTGGGACCAAGGTCCAAACACTCCACTCCCGCAATTTGATTAATCACCCAGTCAGCTTTACCCCATACCAGGGTTACCCTTCCCAGACCGACTTTTTTCCAACCTTCCACATATCCTCCAGAAATAATTTGCTTAGTATCGTGTCGGTCTTAAAGGCCAGACCTATATTCAAGCTATGGAGTATTTCGACTTTGAAGGTGCCTCATCGGCTCACGGGTCTACTCACCAAAGCGACCTTGCTTCGGTTGATCTTGAATTTGATGAAGCCGATGAACGGGCCGCCAATTTCAACTCGTTACTTGATGACCAGCCATTGGAGGTTGTCCATGACCCGCCGGTCCCGGAGACTGCCGAATTGGAACTACCAGATGCCGTTGGCCCAGACCAGGACACCGGAGTCTACCCCATGTTCCGCGCCGAACAGCCCTGTGACTTTTGTCGACGAATGGGACTCGATTGTTTTGTCGCCAAACGTGGTGTGATGCACCAGAACGGTTGTACCTGCTGTATCTCTCTCTGGCGCGAATGCAGTTTCACCCATGCCAAAGTTCCTGGCAAGTTCCTTCAAACATTACAGCCGCTGTCAGAGAACGCCTACATCCCAACGGGCGGCCTGACTGGAAAACGAGCCCTCAAATCTGTGTCTTACGGTGGTTTTGGGGATGATTCAGACTCGCGCTCACGCAAGAATAGTGCTACTCGATTTTCTCGCAAGGCCCTTAATGTTCTCAAGGGTTGGCTGCGCGACCACAACGAGAATCCCTACCCTACCGAGATCGAGAAAGATGAATTGAAGGACAGCACTGGCCTGACAAGAACTCAAATCACCAATTGGCTTGCGAATGCTCGACGACGCGGCAAGGTTCGCCCTGCCGGCACCGAATCTTCTGCTCCAGGCGCTGTCAACATCCCTGGTCAAAACAGAACAGACGTGTCCCTCATGACTCCTATTGAACGTTGGAAACATTCACCCCCCGAGAACGAACCTGCTACGATCAGTGATATTGCTCGCGCTCTCGCAAATCCGCCATTTGATCCATCACGCCAACGCCCACCCCAATCGAGTCACGTGAGGGTCCGTCGCCCTGGATCTACCAATGAGTCAAGCCGTGCAAGCTCAGACCACAAAAGATATACCGCCTCGGGAAGTAGTTTGACTAGTCATTCATCCGTATCTGATCTTTCCTTTGCTTCTGCATACTCCCATCGATCTTCCCTTTCCTTTGGCTCAATGGATCGCAAAGAACGTCGTCGTCGTCGCAAGACGTCGGCACCGGTCAATACTTTCAATCATCAGAAGGCTCGGGCTGCTCGTCCCTTTCAATGCACCTTCTGTACCGATTCATTCGCTGCCAAATACGATTGGCAACGCCATGAAAAATCCATGCATTTGATCTTGGAAAGGTGGACATGTTCTCCGCACGGCGGCGTCACTGAAGAGAATGGCACACTTCGATGCGTCTTCTGCTTTGCAATCAATCCTGACAAGGACCATTTGGAAACCCACAACTACCTGAGCTGTCAAGAAAAGTCTATCCAGGAGAGAACTTTCTATCGGAAAGATCACCTCAATCAACACCTTCGCCTCATGCACAATGGCAAGTTTCAGCCCTTTATGGAAATCTGGCAGAGTAGCATCACCAACATTAGATCCCGATGTGGGTTCTGTACATCGATATTGCACACATGGAAAGATCGTGTGGACCATCTTGCCGGTCACTTCAAGAATGGGGCCAATATGTCCCAATGGCATGGGGACTGGGGCTTTGAGCCCCATATTCTTGAGCGGGTTGAAAATGCCATACCGCCATACATGATCGACTACGAGTGGCGTTCACCAAATCCTTGGACTACCGTGCAGTCACAAGAGACTGAAACCACCCCGAGGCTGAGTGTGCCTCACGATGCCAATTGCTATGACCGCCTCTCCCACGAGCTCACTGCGTACATTCAACATCAAGCCTCAGAGGGGTTAATTCCCACTGATCAGATGATACAAGCTGAGGCTCGTCGAGTCATTTATGGCTGTGACGATCCTTGGAATCAAACCTGCGCCGACAACCCTGTCTGGCTTGGTATCTTGAAGCGGGACAATGGACTTCAATCTGCTGTGAACAACGACAGCATTCAGTTTTCAGATCTTGGGTTGCAACCCCCCTTCGCCGCCCCTGGAGGTCTGCGCAATGCTCCACCAGAAACCAATATTCTAGCGAGGGCCGTATGTCCTGGTACCCTCCCCAGTTCAGCAGTATCCAGTCCTGGTCTCCGGAGTCCGGCCTACCCAGGAACCGGTTTCTCTTCTGCTGGCCCCAGCGGCGCAGGTAGTCTTTCAGGCAGCTATGTTGGCAGTGCAGGGATGATTTCAGCTGGTGTCCCAGCATTTTCCTCTGATTGGGGAAGCAGCCTTCCAGGGAACGCTTCAGCCTCTTCCGCTCCTTTAGAGGGGTCTGCTGATCCCTTGGTGCAGATGGGCTTCGACCCAGAGTTCCTGCAACGTCTGAACGATAGCTACAGCGAACTAACGCCGCCCGATCTGGGTGACTTACCTTTGGGTGATTCCGCAGCTTATGAAGGCAAGGGGAAGCAAAAATGGACGGGCCCAGCCCAACAAATGTCGGATTCCATCGCCATCCTCCATTCAAAAGAGGGCGGTCCTCCTGCGTCAGATAATGTCCAGAATGATCCGTCTGCATTTTATGATAATACTGGGTTCTAATTGATGTCACGCGATGATATTAACTTGGAATATATGCCGAGTCGACCTTGGAGGAAAAGTCTAATCATCTATTTGCATTTTGCGAGCATATCAATAACAGTATCAAAGATTGATTTTTGTACTACAGAATGAATTCATATTTCAACTTGGCATTTCCTAGTCTTAGTCTGCCACACCATGGTACACACCTCATCCTCGTGGAGGGAGCTCGATTTCCAACCGAGCCGCCACCACGCGTCCTTGTTCACACCCAAATGCGTCATTATTGTTTTTTTAGTGTCCACCATGCATCGTATGGAATATTACTGACCCACTTTCGACGTGGGGCCTTTCTGCACCAAACGAGCGGGTCAACCCTTCGGAATTACGTCGGAAGCTGATTGACTCATACCCGACACTCGTTAATGGTCAGCTTTTTTTTTTCTTTGTTTGGACCCACCACTTTGGTTGGCTCTTATTTAACCTGCAGAACGCCGAGACAGCCCGTCTCAGTCGTATCCAGGGATCAGGTACCTTTATGATGGCGTACCTGATTCGTCCCATGCAGAGGATCTGATCTGGCGGTACCGAGGTTCATCTATAGCCATCAGCCTAAAATGAAAGACATCTTTTGCAAGAAGCGCTTTGACTCCATCACCTTGCATGACTTCCTATCAAGGTCACATTGACATTGGGGCTTACATCCACCGGAGATCTAGATTGGTGGCTTTCTTAGATCAATCTTTTTCCCGATCCAGGGCGAACGGGGCAGATGCGAACTTTGCCCCGATGCTGGAAGAGCATGGATTAAACAAACTGAGACTTGATTGGTTCCATTTTGCGCTATCACACCTGAATTCACTTCTATAATGCGAACCCTTCCAATGCGCGGGCCAACCACTCAGCCCAATACGGATGGCAGATACGCAAGGCCACATGATCACCGCGCAATCCACACCGGGAAACGTTTTCATTCTTTGAGCCTGGAACAGATCTCGTGCGCGATATCTGCAATATGATCTTTATTAAGACCAATGATGAGCATGGTGTGTCAGGGTCAACCCTGAGAACACCGGCCTGATCATGGTGGGTAGCATTGCTGAAACATATCTCGATCGCTCAGAACTGTGTATATAACTCATATCCTATCCGCACACATTTCACTTAGGTGGAAATCAATTTATACCTCAACATTTAGTTATCAAAGGTCACAATGAAGTCTTCACTTGGTGCTTGGGCATTCTTAGTCTTGTTCTTTGTCCAATGGGTTTCTGCTGAACTCGTCTTCTTTTCTATCTCTCTCACCTGGGCTCAAAAGAAAGTTGCAGGTTTTACCAGGGATGTAATATTGGTTAATAACCAATATCCAGGTCCTCCATTGCGTCTAGTGCAAGGGGATGAAGTCATTTTTGATGTTCACAATGAATGTCCCTTTAATGTCACCGTGCACTTCCACGGTAGGTTCAGCGAGTCAAAATATCAATTTACATTACTCACATGGGATTGAATAGGCATCGAACAAAAGAACACGCCTTGGTTGGATGGTGTCCCTGGTGTGAGTCAGCGACCAATAGACGAAGGTGACTCCTTTCGGTATCAATGGACCGCAGATCAGTATGGTGCATACTTTTACCATGCGCACCATCGCGGCCAGTTTGAAGATGGTCTTTATGGGTCTATTTATATCGAACCTTCGAACTCCGAAGAGAGACCTTTCACTATGATCACGACTAATGCATCTCAGCTGCAGGCCATGCTTGTTGCTGAAGAAAATACCTCCCCAGTACTTGTCTCGGATTGGCGCCTTTTGACGTCAGAACAGATTTGGGCAGCCGAGGAAGCGTCTGGCGTTGATGCATACTGTGCGAACGCGCTTTTGATCAACGGAAAAGGCTCCGTGTCCTGCTTTACGGCTGCGGAACTGGCTGCTTTAACTACTGCGGACCAGAAAGCCGTTTTGGGTAACGAGACACTGACAGACATTGGGTAAGTGGTAATCAAATCGAACATGAATCATCTACTGATCACCAACCAGATGTTTCCCGCCAAATAACGTTGGCACACAAGGTAATTTCACACATGATGGCAGCAAGTTGTTACCGACAATTTTCTATGGCTGCACACCTTCCAACAGCGCCCATGAAGTCCTGACCGTCAATTCGAACAAACAGTACGTCAGCTGGGACTTGACCAGCACAGCTGGACTCTTACATCTAATGTTCTCCGTGGATGAACACGATATGTGGGTATATGCCGTGGACGGCCGCTACATCCAGCCCGTTCGCGTAAACGCCATCAACATCCCTAATGCAACTCGCTACTCAATTTTAATTCCCCTAAACAAGACACCGGGTAACTACACAATCCGCATGGTCAGCGGCACTGCACAGCAAATCATCAATACGACCGCCACAATGCAATACGATGGCCGATCCCAACTCAATCGATCCTCCACCCCATGGATAACAGTGACAGCCCAGAACGCTACAGCTAATACGATCTTTTTCAACGACTCAACTCTTATCCCGTTCCCCGTTATCACGCCCGCTTATACAGCTGATGAAACCTTCTTCCTGCATATCGATCACTTCAACGCATCGTATCTCTGGACATTGGGAAATAGTAGTTATAATCTCGAACTCGAAGAGTCTCAGCCTCTCCTTTTTAACCAAACCGCTATACCAAGTGACCTGATCATTAGGACAAAGAATGGATCTTGGGTCGATCTTATTATCCAAGTTGGTCAGCCGCTTCAACCAGCTCATCCGATCCACAAACACTCGAATAAACATTTTGTCATCGGTCAGGGTAGTGGCAACTTTACTTGGGATTCTGTCGCGGAGGCTATACTGGATATTCCGGGTTCATTTAATTTGGTTAATCCGCCTCTCAGGGATACGTCAGCTACACCTGTTGCGGTTACAGAGTCTATGTGGATGGTGTTTCGGTATCAGGTTGTGAATCCCGGAGCGTTTTTGATGCATTGTCATATCCAGCTTCATCAGAGTGGGGGGATGTCGTTGGCTATTTTGGACGGGGTTGATGCTTGGCCGACTATACCGACTGCTTACTTGGATGATTCGGGGTTTTGAATCCGTATATTATGAAGCTTTGGGAAATTGGAATGGATTGAAGAGAGGGACTTTGGTGGTTTGGCCAGTAAATTGCAAGATATGGTATATAGTGACGAGAAAGCTAATGGGGCTTCATGAATAAAGAATCTTACGAGCAAGACCTGGAGACGTAGAGCCCTCTGTCAACTGCCAAATTGAAAATTACATAGACCTCAGGCTATTGTTAATTCGACTCGATTGTACTGAAATTGAAATCTTAGCATAATCATACATCACCGTACTTAACATGATCATCAAATTGACATAAAAGAAAGACTAGCTGGCTAAAGAACATCAAACGAACACCAAAATGGTCAATATATAATCAACGCAAGTTCCAAACGTTTCGGCTCATGTCATTCCAATCATAAATGTAAAAATCGCGGCTTTCCATAGTTCTATCATTCTGCTGGCTCATCAATTGACTCGTTGATGTTACCTTCAAGCTCTTCGATGGGTGTATCGGTAGCCTCAGGCGCACCCTGGATGACTTCCGGGACATCTGAATGAACCGGTTCCTCAACAAGTTGTTCAGCTTTATCGTTGGTGACTTCGGGGACATCTGAGGGAACCTGCTTATCGACAAGTTCTTCAGCTTTATCGTGGGTGACCTCAGTAACGTCTGAGGGAACGGACTCCTCAACAATTCGCTCAGCTTTATCGTCAGGAATATTATTCTCAGATTCCTCCAACTGTTTAATTTGGGTTTCTTCAGCAGGTTCAGAGAGCTCTGTCTGTGTCGCATCCTCGCTAAGTTCCTCTGAAGTAGTGGTGTCCTCAACTAGGTGCTCTGCTGCGGTCGTAGGAAGGAGAGGCTCATGGTCGGTTTCTTCCGATGGTTCAATTGAAGTTGCTTCCAAAGCGTCAGGTAGCTCTGTTTCAATGGCTGTCTCAATGGATTGTGACGGTTCATTGATGGCATCAACCCCCGATTCCTCAGTAGAAAGGTACATAGATTCTGTGGGACGAGGCGCTTCTTCATTAGCAGAGGGCTCCACCGATTCCGAAACTGCGAGTGAGGCGACACTAGATGCTGGGATGCTTTCGATCTGTGCAGGCGTCTCAAAGGCAACCTTTGAAGAAGCGACGAGTGAAGAAGCTGTATTCAAAGACTCAATGGTCGTAGATGCAACCGATAGACTTGATGACGCCACTTCCGCACTTGTATAGAACGGCAGCGCTCCAGCATTTTGGAAGAAGATCTGCATGGCAGGAATTTGCTGCAGCTGCTGCGGTCCAGTCCCAACGGCTAGAAATGCGACGACGATGGACATGATGACTAGCGCGATATTACGCTTGTCACTTGCCAACACACGGATATAGTTGATCAACAAAGTCCCGAGAGCAATCTCGTGCTCTGGCTCTTTGCTTCTGATCGCCGGTGTTGGCGCTGGAGCAGCCACTGGAGGAAGGGCTAGAACAGGCTGTGAAGGAGCAGCAGATGAGAAAGCTGCCTCACTAAAGGACCTCATATGTCCTTGAATGGAGTCACGCCGGTCCATGTCCTGATGCGCTGCTTCGCGAATAGCTAGCATACCCGAAGGTTCCTCCTTCGGCGCAGCTGCACGCTCCTCTAAAATTCGTTTCTCTAACGCTCTACGCACACTGGATGGCAGCCAAAGCCCGACCTCGACATCAACCTTTTCCATCTCTTTCCACGCAGCGGCCCAAGCCCCAGCGCGCATCAGCCCATTAGCTGCAAAGACCCTGATCTCCCATTTGCGGTTGGTGTCAGTCTGGCGAAGAACATGCCCTCCACAATCTGGGCACTCCTCGCCTTGCTCGCTATCTGACTCGCTTCCACTCTGATCTGAATTCTCAGCTTCTGATCCGGGATTACTTTCCTCATGACCGAGGAAATGGCCTTGGTGAACCCGTGCACGCTGAAGTTCCAGACTTTCCAGAAGTCGCTCTTCGAGCATGTCGTACAGATCTTCTGGATGTGAGATCAGAACACCTCTATCACGGAGAACACCGGACCCGGCCTTCTCTTGCAACCGCCGCCAGCGTTTCCAGTATTGAGGGGGTAGGACCTCCTCCACAAGCTCTTGATTCTGCGGATCCGAAGCACCTGGCACCGGAAGAGAGGGAGCAAGTAGATTGCAGTGGAGTAAGACGAGAGGGTAATCTTTCTTTGGCTTGGGTTTGCTGGTCGAGTTATTCGGCGAGTAATATGGTGACCGTTTCACAGGTGAAGATCCTGGCGAGCGCATCCCGGGCCGACGTCTCGGCGGAGTTAAATATTCATCATCGTCCCTTTCATCTTCTGTGTGCATCTGTATGGCGCGGACAGAGCTCGGTTTCCGGAATCCAGCTTCACGGGGCCGAATAGTCCGCATCTGTCTGGGCGGGTCGTCGAAATCGCCGAAGCTGGCCTCTGATTCTTCAATTTTATAACCGGCCATTTTCTCGTGGATATCCATTGGCGGCATTGATTTCACGTGATTGATAGGATGTATGAGAATAGAGGCAGGCATGGAGGAAATGGACGAGCGGCTCGATGCACGCGATTTCATATGTTCGAGCTCTTCGTCCATCTCTCGACCAAATATGTCGCTGGTTGAGTGTCGGTTTGATGAGCTAGATGAGTTGTATTCATACTCTTGACTCAACATCCGGCTGCCATCGGTTGCTGATCCGTTATCGCTGTGTGGAACGTGGGATGTGTCGAACGTGGCAAGCAAATGCTCCTTGCCTGGAGGAGCGCAGGGCTGGGGGCTTAGGATTTCATTTGAGGAGTGAGATCCGGTAAAGGCCTGACCATCATTCCCCAGTCTCGCCATATGGAGTCATGTATAGGGGTTGTAGACTTGAGAATGGCGTTGTACGCCGCTGTGTGTCTGGTTGTATGCGGTGACGATATGTTGACAGTTGGCTCACCGCTCCGTCTCCCGGGGCAACCATATAGCCGTTGGGCTTCGTTAGGCTCCCGCAAGTCCGCGACTCCATGGACTCCACCAAAGTTAAATCATCTAGAACACTGTTTTATGTGAGAGAATTTTGAGAATTACATTACAATGAGATTCGTCAAATGTGTCATATGAATTTCCTCCAAATATAAAATCAAGTTTTAGGATGTGTTTCACGCTGCTCGAGATAGGAACCCCCACATGTAAAACCAAAAACGTAACAGGAAAACTTGATCTATGAACTTACCGCTCAAGGATATATCACCACCAACGCCGATCATATCTGTCGATCCAAAATAGAACATTAACCACAAAAAACATAAATCGCTCACTAAAGACAAGAGGAATGCAAATCTGACTTGAAAGGAAATACATGTACACGTAAGATGATTCAAACATTATGGTGGGGGCTGGGTAGTGTCGTCGGGGCTCATGAGAGGGTAATTATGGTTGTCACCAAAGAAGCTGAGAACATCCTGTGGGAGATACTCCAGCCACGGGACAATTTCACCATTGGTAAAGGGGAACGACTCCTGGTGGTGAAGGGTGTTCATATCGACATCGTGGCTCCCTATCATCATCCCCGCATTGTTGTGCATTGAGTGGTGTAGGTCAATTCTAGAAGTCATATGCGCGTGACTGCCATGTTGATCCGCGGGTCCAGAAGACACTGGATAAACGTATGCAGAGGCTTGGCCATCCATTTGATTGGATGGGAGGCCGTTAAAGCTCGACCCTGATGCCGTGGGTCCTGAATCAGGGTAGGGGGAATTTATCCCCATGTAATATGGGGATTCAGTACCAATTGCATGTGTAGGAACCTGGGAGTATTTGCTGTTTGCAGTGGCGAGGGAGGATGCCTGGCTTTCACCGTGAGAGATAGATGGGGTAAGGGGATGCGCAAACGAGGAAGTCGAGCTTGGCCCGGCATTTGTGACAACCGGTAATGGTGGAAAACTGTGACTATACTGTGATGAATAGGCGGGTCTCACGGAGCGAGTCTCGGCCTCTGTTGTGGGCATCTGATATAATAAACTCAGGTTCGGTTGGGAAGAATTGGTGGCCCCAGTGAGCGCCCATCCGATGGCTGCAGGGAAGCATTGTCAGTAGCCGGTCTGATGTTCTGGATTTTGAATATTTACCTTGGCTGGGGTCAAACTTTGGTGACCACCTTCCATCAGACGGGATATCAGCAACACCGGGGGGTCTATCGGACACTTGAGCAACATCCGTCGGCTGACCTGGGCGCCAGCTGACAGCTCCAAATGGTGTTTCACCTGCGGTGTTCTCCATGTCCTCTGTATTGTAAAGAAGAGGATCCACAATACCCTTGGCCTTCTGATCTAGTACCGTCAAGATGTAACCAGTACCCTCCCAGTATGAATTGAGTGCCTTCAACGCCTTGTAGCAGCGCTGATAATTCTCCTTGGCGGCGGATGCAAGTAAAATGTGCTTCGCAGTGGAATTTCGCTCTGATCCATGAGATGGCTCCATTGTCGGCATCACAAAACCACTAGACTGGTTGTTCAACAATGGCTGTGGGAGAGGTGATGTTCCCCTCGATGCAGGTGATGTATAGTACGCGCTTTCCATTAGGAAGGCACAAGCCGCGATGTACATGGGCTGGCTAGTGAATGGGTTACCGATGAAACTCTTACCATCTACCAGTTCTGAGAATGATAGAATGTCAGCGATAGTCTTTGCGGAGGACATTGAAAGTTCGCGGCTGTTGGGATAAAGATGCTGTATTGATCCGCCAAATGAATTCAAAAGAGTAGGCTGATGAAGCAACACAATCAACGTGTGAAACCACTGTGAATCGTTAGCGTCATTCACTCATCTCATATAGATATACGCACAAAATGAAGCAAAATGAAGTTAGTTCCCTCCTTAGCTTTGACATATGCTTGGAAATTTGCCGCGTTGAAATGCAATTTTGGTGACAACCGCTGATAAATGCCTGTCAGAATATTGTGTTAGCGGGTGATCACTGGGATCATACAGTGGGTGGGTGATACCTGTCAGATCACTTTCCATGCCAGCCAATCTTTTAAGAGTATCAGATGTGACATGGTTGACATCTTGTATCCCGTTGATAAGATCCGTCACTCTCCCGTAGAGATGAATTACCCGGATAAGGGGCGGGAATGGTGCAGGCCAGCCATTTGGTAATTGAGATTCAGACTGAAGGGGGAAACAAAGCTCGATATCCTCATCGCGCAGAGTAACTGGTCGCCCAGTTCCAGAAGAGATGACCCGATCGAGGAAAAAGATGCTCCAAAAGGAATCGACCTGTTCCTTTTCTCGTGCACGTTCACTTCCAAAAGCAGGTGGCAACGTCTTAGGACTCTGGTAGACGTCAAGATCGTCGTACTGATCTTCTCGTAGCTTGCCAGCCTGACCAGTCATCACCTCGCTCGGGGTCACGCCTTTCCGCCCATAATTATGCTTCAACCCTTGGTGTTTTTGCAAGCCAAGGTCCTGTGCCATTCTGATAGAGATTCCCAGGTACATCCAGAGGCCACTATCGTGATTGGAGCCAAATTGCTCGTAGGCTAGTAATAAACAGGCCTGGACAGCGTAGAGAGTTGGGCAGGAAAGTGAATCGACCAGTGCGCTCATTGCCCGGTGTGCAAAAGGTAGTCCCCGGTCCCACATTCTGATATCAGCGGGCGGCTGGGAACGATCAATGGGTGGTGCCTGAGGAGGCCCAAGTAGCGGGTGAGGTGAAAATCTAGCAGCCAATGCGCAAACGGCGTCCACCAGCATAGTATCGAGCCTTTTCTCCCTCAGATCTTGTAGAAACCTCTCTCGCTGAAGGAACGGAAAGTTGCAGCCCAGATGCGTGAAAAAGAGATCACATAAGTGAGAGACTAGGTTCGATACCGGGGGCGTGTCATCTCGGTCGTAAAATGGGATGGTATTGGCATCTCGACTATCGCGGCTGTCTATACCCAACGGGCCACCTGGGATATCAGAAATTCTGGGGCTACGCAGTGGAGATAGCGACTCTACATTGAAGCGACGATCAGCAGGAGGCCAAAACGGACATAGATGAGCAAGGACAGGTGGTAACAGACCTGATGACATCGACGGGTTGCTCTTGCGTGATCCCCGAACTTGTACAACCTGATATTTAGTTAGAACAAAAAGTTCAGGAACTTGAGAAGAGTGTCAAACCATTTGCTTGAAGCCGGGCACAATGGCGGTAGGCCCAAAATATCGAAAATACGGAACATGGGTGCGGTTGCCAGAGCTCAGAGATGTCCGACCTGGTGGATGAATTTTAGTATCGCAGCTTATGACAGATATTCACAGATATTCGGCGATGTTTCCAACTTACTGCTTCCAGGAGTGTCACCAGCGGCATGCGAGTCAGACTCCTTGCGGGCGGAGGCGTCTCTAGATAATGAAGCCTCCTTAGAATCGGATGTCTTTGATACCGGGGATTTATTAGGTATTGGGTTGGAAAGGTGTCTCGGTGCTGAAGCCGGCTCGGGCGAATAGCTATCTGCCCGTTCCCTTTCATTGCGCTGGTTTGTATCGTTGGAGTTGAGGGGAGGGGCCGGTATCATGCGCGAGGCTGAATCGGATTGGGATCTTTGGTGGGCAGTTGATTCACCGTATCCTAAGCAAACATGTTTGTAGTCGGAGCATGTCTTGCATACTAGATCGATGTGTAAGCGGGGTATCGCAAAGGCATGGAAATGGTCTAGAAAGCTCGTACCAGGTTGTTCCCCCGAACATCTGATCTTGCGACGGCGGCAGGTTAAACAACTAAGAATAAAAGACGCGTTAACATTCCAGTGGCTCAAAAGGAATCCACATATGAGTGCGCTTAACATACGCGGCGTTAACTCGGCGGCGTTTGGTCTGTGGCTGGCCATCGGTAGCGACGAAGCGAATCTGTCTAGGGCCGGAGGTATTGCCGCCATTCTTTGGTTTGGATGAAGGGGGGCTCATGGCGAGCGAGGAGCTTAACCGTGATCACGACCCATTGGGCACAGGGTGGTGGCCCCCAGGGCGGCTTTGCGTCTTTGCGTCTTTGCGATCGAGCCGACGGAATTTAATCCAGGGCTCCGAATATAGGGCAGATGAAGCGGTAAAGGTGAGAGAAAAGAATGAAGTGTGAAAGCGCAGACGTCATGAGGCTTTGGGAGAGATTCCGTTGGTGGGATGCGAGGCCCCAGAGCCCAATAGGAAGGGATGGCCTTTCAGGGTATATTTGAAGGAGGGTTTGTGTGGAGGGGGCAAAGATGTGGGTGAAAGGAGGGGGAGAAGCAATAGCTCTGGAACTCCTTCCCTTTCGGTTGATTTTCTATCCAGTACAGACTACCGATAGACGATCTGAATTACCGTACGGAATGATAATCCCCCAATGCCCCCCGATTTCCCCAATCTCCCCTTGACCGCCCCATTTTCATTGGTATTTTCGCCGAAAACAGTGCCACGACAGCTCGGCCCACAACTCAGGGACCAAATGATGACATCCAACGATCCGATGGTCATGGGATGCACTAGTGGATCTTTTATCCAACGAGATTCTCTAGAGTCAATAGCCCGTGGCAATGAATTGGGCCCAAGACCACAGCCTTGGCTCATGATCGGCGGGGCGATGGAGAGCCGGAACCGAGTATCCTCATGAACCATACAAATCCAACGGTGAAAGGCCAAAAGGGGGAAATCTGGGGCTTGACTATAAGCGTGGAGTCCAGACTTCGTGGGGCTCCAAATATATGGAGCTTTGGGGTTTTGCATCCACTCGGACCAAGTGTTCCCAAGTCCTCGACACGAGTAACCTGACTGATACCTACTTCAGCATTTTCTTGCCCTAACAACCCGGAGCCAAATTTGTGTCTATAATTTCATCATCATGTCGCTAGAATTATGAATATGTGGAACAAAAGCTGAGTTGATCTACAGGATCTCCAGTGTTTTGTTTACCCGAGGCCTCGGCGCATCTCCGGTGGTCGCATCCCCCGAGTTCGGCCATTCGGCGAACAGAAATTTCTAGAACACAATCAGTCATTGTAGATCCTTTCAGATATCGATTGTCAGATCTCACGAGAATTATGATATCATGCCCAATTCATCAAAGAAAGATCCCTGTTTAAACCCTGGATTTAAGCTACAAATCTAGGGAGGTAAGATCAATTCGGAAGCCAAGACTGGCTAAATCGGTCAATTGAATCAAAATTAGCCTATTCTTGTCAAGTCGGCTTATCGACGGCCTAGAGCGTGTGAGAATTGACCCAATTGCTTATCCCCTTCTATCAATTGATAATTGCAAGATAGCATCACTTGACCTTTTCAAATGGAACCTTGGAAGAACATGCGAATGTTATCAACGTTTGATATGCCCGTGGTTCAATTATCCGAATCTTTAACGTTTGAACAATCACAGCAGGCTTGAAGTGAAGTTCATGTTTTAAACTCCTCTTAAATTCAAAGTGATCATAGAACACCAGGTCAACTTGTGGCCGGGATTTGACTTCGGAGTCGATTGGACCATTAGAAATATCGAAGAACATTGAGTTTTTCGCGTAAATCCTGCGATGACTATAGTGGAGACTTGCCTGTGTGGACTTTCCAACCTTTGAGATTTCTTTGCTTTCTTTTTTTTCTTCACGTTTCTTTTCAAGCCAAAGTCAGTGTGCCACGTGAACACCATCCATCACACCGGTTTGGATCTTGGTTTGCATCCACAAAGGACCTGCCTTGGAAGATCACCTCAAATCTGAAAAGCCTTCCTTTAAGCTCGTATGGTTCCAAGGTTGGTCAGGGTGTGGAGGGACCTCTAGAGTATATTCGTGGGTGTGTATACTATGTAGTCTTAACACCTGTACATAGTGCTCGAAATCAATTTTGTCTCAATACTTTGTTTGATTGATTCATGAACTCTAATCTGAAACGCCCTTGTCTTCGAGTAGTATAGTGGCAGACCAGCCGTTTCCAGAACGCTTCCCAGAATAGCCTTCGTATTTTTCATCTTTACTATATTGACTAGCTTTCTTGAGAGCTAAGGAATGATTGTATATGTTCCTTTTATGCCTCCATTTGCTTTCTGCAGCTCGTCATAGGTCAAGTTTGTCCACTGTAAAACCAAACTGTCCAGAGTGTTACGGTTAGGCCTATAGCCTACAATATCGGATTCTGGAGGCGGGTGAGGGGTCGGCGAAGGGTTGGTCCGTCCAATAGTATATTTTGGCTTACCAAGGTGCTGGTTCATATCAGGGGAAAGGTGAAAAGTACCTGAACTGCGGTTGGAAGGGGGCGAAGACCCAGGTGGCCCCAAGGAGTGTTTTTTTTTCCGTTTTAACCCAAGACTCTTGAAGTGAGCTTTCAAGTGGTCAATCCCTTGCAATGTATCTTGCATGAAGTCAGAGCGTTCAGTCTCTAAGGTCTTTGCTTTGTTTTCCAATGCAGATTCGGGGCTTGGTGGTCTTCGGCTCGTTTCTGACCGAATAATTGCATGATCCGTACTCCGAGAAGAAGCCGCTTGGTTCGGGGGGTTGAAAGAACTTGAAAAATTGATTTCCTTAAATTGAAAGCATGGTTCACGAAAGCGCTGCATATCCTCAGCCTCATGGAGTTGTTGAAAGAGATTGACTTCATTGCAATGCACCTTGACCACTCCATTCCTGATCCTCAAGTGCCGTTTTTGCTCTAAGAGATGCTCAGATCTATCGATGTCTTCGAGCATTTTCTTGATAAGTGAGTAATAGTCCTCCAGCTCCCGGGTTCTTGGTTTTTCTTCCCTTCCAGTTTCTTTGGGTTCTAAAGTTTTTCGCGATATGTCACAAACATTAGTGATTGCCTCAGTACCAAGATTAAGGCTGGCGTTCTTCAGCTCAGCCTCTGCCTCATCTCTGTCTTCTAGAAGCGATTCAATGAGAGCACGCTGAGTTTCTAGTGTGGTCTTTGTGGTGTTACTGTAACGGATATTTAGTGGTGTTCAGAGACCAGCGGGCATATAGCCTCAGCAAAATCCAAAAATCACTTACCCACGCACTTGGCCGGCGTAGATGATGACGTTCAGCATCAAAAGCATCGTAGACTTTAATCTCTCCAAATTCATTTTCAGAGCCTCTATGTCCGGCCCAAGGAAGGCAAATGTGATTTTCTTGGCTCTCCGTAGAAGCCCATACTCCTCATTTCTTCGCTCATGCTTATCAACTGCAGTGTGTATCTCTTTAAAAACAGATTTGCATTCTGCAATAACGTTTTGCGCTGTATCAAACGCGCTCCGCGAGGTCACTGGCCCTTCATTATCTTGGTCTAAAACACATCCGAGCTCTTGAAGGATAACACACGTCAATGCAACATCGCGGGAGAGGCCCTGCATCGACTGGTTGGCGGCTTTGGCGGTGCGATAGAAGGAACAGAGCTTGAGGGATAACTTCATCCCCAAATCTGCAATTTGCAGTATGCTGGCGACAGTACCGACTGCCTCGAGGCCAGACATCTTTCGAAAAGGAACGAGAAGTTTCGGTCTACTGTTCACATTGGGTTGAAATGAGACATACACTCTGATCAATCGTGGGCGGGGGCAGTGCACATGGGTGGGGCGGCAATTGCCCGCTGAATAGCACTTCTTATTCGATATAGTAGGTACATAGGATACTAAGTAGGAAACTCGATACGAGACTGAGTAGGAAACAGGGTAAGTAAATAGTATCACAGGTATACTACTTAGAAACATCAGTTATTCTAAGCGCCGTGCATTTCAAAGCCTTCATGTACACGCGTAGTGTTTCCACGCACCATGTCCGAAAGGTCGCAGAGACTTAGTGCGAAAGCGGGACGTGCCCGCAGCACAATCAATCTGGTTGTGCCGTGGAATTAAGCTTAACTCCGCGGGAATTTCGTCATTACAAATGCGATAAGCATTTCTCTCCAACAGCTTGAACCTTGGAACATCCCGCCCATGTCTGCACTGGCAGCTACACTCCGAACGACTCGGTCCATCCACGTCCCTATAACACCATTGTAAGCCTCCACTCTCACCGTAACAGTGGCAACAATCCAATAACACATGCTGCTGATCCATGCATCTGACGTGTGACGTGGATAGCGTGCTGCGGGGCATTTGTATCACCTAGCTAACCCACAACGTCGAATTTAGATTGAATCGCTTTCCCTGCCCCGCGTCCCGTCTCCTTTGCCGATCCTTCACCAATACACCCAGCATGTATAAGCCGCGGCCCGATTTCAAGCAGGTCGAAGCTACCCGGCCAAATTTCCGCCAGGATGCCGAAGTCATCGTGACCAAGACTCCGAACCCTGCCTGGAAGGAGGGCGACGGTGCTAACGATGGCGGTGAAAGTCTGAAGAAGAATCATGTTGAAATCGATCCTTTCGCCGAGGGCCGTTCAGTCGCGTCGAACTACAAGCTCCTCATCTCCAGTGTCGTGCCTCGGCCCATTGCCCTGGTTAGTACGCAATCTGCAGATGGGACGACAACAAACCTTGCGCCATTCAGCTACTCCCAGGTTGTATGCCATGATCCGCCAACTTTCATTGTGGGCTTCGCTGGTGGTCTCGGGAGCGCCAAGGATACTCTGCGTAATCTGCATGAGACTGGAGAGTGCGTGATCAATATCATCTCGGAGCACTTTGTGGAGGCTGCCAACTCGACTGCTATCAATACTCCTTACGGTGTTTCTGAGTGGAAGACCTCCGGTCTGACCCCGGCACCTACCTCTGTTGTCAAGCCGGCGCGTGTCAAGGAATCGATTTTCGCTATCGAAGCCAAGCTTGTCGATACCAAAGAGTTTGAAAGCCGCGCAACCCCTGGCAAGAAGACGGGTGCTATGATAACTGTTGAGGGCGTGCGGTTCTGGGCACGCGAGGATGCTATCGACGAGGACCGGTCTGCTATCGACCTCAAGGTTCTCAAGCCTATTAGTCGTTTGGGTGGCATTACTTATGGTCGCACTACTGAAGCATTCGAGATTCCTCGTCCTGCCATTTAAGGCTGATTATGCATCACTTAGACGTGCTTTACTTGATACTTAGAACTTGGGATAGAACGGGGAGTGTGGGTAGATTGAATCAAAGTATTGTTGAAGTACATATGAATAGTCCATCTATCTTGAGATCCCCACAGTACATTATACCAACCTGTGCAGTGAAGGTTGTGTTGGATCCCTGCCGTCTACTACTGCGTAGCGTATCTCCCCAGGGACTAATTCTTCCTGAAACAAAGCTTGACAGTTGAGGGTGTCTCCTCGGATGTTTAGTGCTTGTTATTCAATGTTGAAAAGAACTTGGAAATTCTAGTAATGTTGGGAAATACTTAATTTCTTGTAGGAGTGTGAATGCCAAAATTCACCTATAGCTTTAAGGTTGAAAGTGTATATGAATACTATAAACTTTAAATTCATGCTCATCAACGATAATAAGTCCCGAATGAAGGAACTGGAAATGATTAAAAGAGTGATCGGATATCCGTGGGAAACCGGCCTTTTCCTGTGGCTATCGCAGTCTCCGACTGGAACCGCGTATCTCGTGCGGAGAGAGCGGGGTTCTTATCCAGGGCTTGGGCATATGTAATAGTTGCAGGCAACAGAACACATGAGACAATCACCTTTGAAAGCTCTCTTTTACGACATCTAATACACCTACACCAGTTCCAACCGCAAAGTCCGCAAGATGTCCCAGGATGATTATGAAACGTACAAGCTTGGTGACTGGGAGCTCCAAAGCGGGGAAAAGATCGTCGATGCGCACATCGCGTTCAAAACATTCGGTGACCCCGAATTACCAGCGATACTGTACCCAGGCTGGTTCTCAGGCTGTGTGTTTTAAAATCAACTTCAGTGTTCAGCTTGGTATGCAGTTCAACTAACAACGATATCATTCTAGTGCTTTCAGATAATTTCTGGCTGATTGGGGAAGATAAGACTTTGGATCCCAGGAAATACTTCATCATCGTTACTGGCCTTTTCGGCAATGGGCAATCTTCCTCACCATCTAACCAGCCTACATCTGGCCCATTCCCCAGAGTATCGTTTTACGATAATGTCAGAGCCCAGCATGAACTGGTAAGCAAGCACTTTGGCATCACACACCTACGTGCTGTACTGGGCTGGTCTATGGGAGCTGGGCAAACTTTCCAGTGGGCAACTCAGTACCCAGAATATATGGATCTCGCCGTGCCATTCTGTGGATCAGCAAAGACTTCTTTGCACAATCAGGTTTTCCTTGAGGGTGTAAAAAGCGCTCTTCTTGCGGTTAAGAATACACCGTCCGCAGGGTCTGGGGAAATCGGAGTGCAGAAGAATCCATCTGAGTTCCGAATTTGGACTACCGAGGAGAAAGAAATCGGACTCAAGGCGATGGGCAGGGTCTATGCTGGATGGTAAGATTTCATTTCCCTGACATCTCTAGGCTGTACTAAGATATAAAATACAGGGGTTTCAGCCAGGCTTTCTATCGACAGAAGGTCTATGAGACTGTTCTAGGGTACAAAAGTCTTGAGGACTTTATGCAGAAGTTCTGGGAAAAGTGGGCTTGTTCGAAAGGTTGGACCTACCACCTCCCTATTTTAGTCCTTAGCTCGCGCTTACTTACGATTTTAGACCCCGAAAACATCTTGGTCATGCTACAAACCTGGCAGAATGGTGATGTTTCCAAGCAAGAACCATACAACGGAGACTTTGAGCAAGCCATGTCGTCGATCAAGGCAAAGACTCTTGTCTTGCCAGGCAAGACCGATCTTTACTTCCCGTAAGGTTACCCGCATGACTCACGGATAATATAAAGACACTGAATAAGGGTTATGAATAGACCGGAGGATTCGGAGTATGAAGTTGCGTGCATGGCGCCAGGGGTTGGAAAACTAGATGTTTTCCCATCTATTTGGGGTCGTGAGTACCACCCAAATTGTCTTGAAGATAGTCCATACAAAGCTGACATCTTTATGCAGACTGGGCAGGAGGGCCTGGAGATAGCAAAGAAGATGTGGAGTGGCTGGACAAGCAACTTGGGCAGTTATTCGCGGAGAATGAGCCGCGTGGCATTACAGGCTTGGTGGAGAAGATCACAAAGGTGCTATGATAGCACAAGATCTTTTGATGAGTCTGACGATTTAAATTTTGAAAGTACATCATTTAAAAACTGTATGGAAATGATCAATACGGAGTCAATAGTGAATTCAATTTTCATGGTCATAGACACTTAAGGCAAAAATCAGACCAAAGAAGTGGGGTCATGTGATGGACTGAGTAAGCGCATTGCAAGCGCCGAGCCCAGCGTTTGCGCTGTGACCTGCTTAACTGCTCTGTCTGCCGCTCATTGCTTTTCCTCCCTTCTTCGTTATTTCACTGGGGAATTTTTCTTTCTTTTTGTCATCTCTTGCTTATTCACTTTGTCTAATCACTATTCACGTGTTGCCCTTGGCACGCGACTGTGACGTCGATTCGATCACTTTCCCCGTTATCTAAACCCCATCTTTCATCACAACCGAGGATCACCCTTCATACACAACGCCAATGGCTCAACCTACCAGACAGTGGGGTGTGACACCCCCAATCTCGACTGTTCTACCTACCAAAGATGAGTTGGTTGCCAACGATGACCTTATCGCGGAGCTGAAAGCACAAGACAACTTTGAACCTCCTAGCGAGACTGAGCGGCGGTACGTTGAGCGAAGTTTCATGATATAACCGCCGTAGTCAAAACTGATGATTTTTATATGATAGACAACAAATGCTTCAACTACTCCAACGTGTTGCCTTGGAGTTTGTGAAGCTTGTCAGTCGCAGGAAAGGATTGTCCCCTGCGGCGGTTGAGGCCTCTGGTGGAAAGATCTTTGCTTACGGAAGTTACCGTCTCGGTGTTTATGGTCCAGGTAAGTCGCATATGTATAAGATCTCCTAGCTTGCCTCTCTGACAAGCCTTCCATAGGATCCGATATCGATACCCTCGTCGTCGGTCCACAGCACGTTCTCATCGAAGATTTCTTTGCCGATTTCCTACCCGTTCTCGAAAGATTGGCCCCGGAAGGAACAATTGAAAAAATGACACCTGTTCCGGATGCCTTTGTACCTATCATCAAGCTTGAGCTTGCTGGTATCAGCATCGATCTGATCTTCGCTCGACTTATGGTTCCTTCTGTACCGATGAATCTTGACTTGAAGAATAATGACTATCTGCGTGGGCTGGACGAGAAAGAGGTCCGATCGCTCAATGGCACTCGTGTCACGGATGAGATTTTGGAGCTTGTTCCGCAACAAAAGACTTTCCGTCTGGCATTGCGTGCAATCAAACTATGGGCTCAACGTGAGTATTCCATCGCGCCTCTTGATCTTACATGGGAACTAACAAACACAATCATTAGGCCGCGCGATATATGCAAACATTGTCGGTTTCCCGGGAGGTGTCGCATGGGCCATGTTGGTAGCGAGAGTTTGTCAATTATACCCCCAAGCGACTGGTTCGGTAATTGTGGGCAAGTTCTTCCGTATAATGAACAAATGGGCATGGCCGCAGCCTGTTCTGCTCAAACCAATCGAGGATGGACCTCTGCCGATGAAAGTTTGGAACCCAAAGGTAAGTTAGTCACATACTGCAAAACCCACGATACTCATTTCTTTAGATTTACCACGGTGACCGTTTCCACCTCATGCCTATCATCACCCCTGCCTACCCTTCCATGTGTGCAACTCACAACATTTCTGTGTCAACAAAGACCGTGATTCTTCGGGAGCTCCAAAGAGGAGGTGATATGGTTGATAAGATTTTCATGAAGCAACTTACCTGGAATGATCTGTTCACTCGTCACTCCTTTTTCACCAACGCCTACAAGTATTACCTCAGCATCACCGCCTCGAGCAGAACCAAGGAAGCGGAGGGTATCTGGTCGGGTCTTGTGGAATCCAAGCTTCGGCATCTAGTGGGAGCTCTGGACCGGAAAGCCGTCATTGCCGTGGCTCATCCCTTCCCAAAAGGCTTTGAACGAGTTCATATCACAAAGAACGAGCAAGAGGTTGAGGCAGTCAAAAATGGATCTACCAAGTACCAGGCCAAGGGAACCACAACGGAGACAACTGATGAGACCAAAGATGCTGCTCACCAGGCTGCCGCCGAGAGTGGCGCGGAGAACGTGTCAGTCCCGGAGCCCTCTGAAAAGCTGGCCGAAAAAACTGATGGCCTGACCATGTACACTACGACCTACTATATCGGACTCGAGTTGAACCAGCTGGAACAAGGTATGACAAGCCACCAAACCCTGGCAATCTCCTCTAACCAGTTTAGGTGCTCCACGATCTTTGGACATCTCGACCGACTCTCAGATATTCAAATCTACTTGCACATCATGGCCTGGGTATCAACCCGAGGTAATGGACCTGGCAGTCACACATGTCCGCAGGTAAGTCATGGTCCATGAGCTAAACGACGAACTTTTTGTCTTACCGTTTCGCAGTTTTGATTTGCCAGATGATCTGTTCGAGCCTGGCGAAACCCGCCCAGTTAGGAAAACTAAGAAAGTTCCAAAGAAGAATGTCCAGAAGACCGACGGGGCCAGTCAGGGCCAAAAGCGAAGCATCGATGAGTTGGACGTAAGTGATGACAAATGAAGGGACTGTATCTGACTGGGCAAGACATCGATACCCGGACTCGGGCCTCCACGGCCCGCAAAAAGACCCACAGTCAGCACCGGCAGTTAGGAAGGACTAATATCGTTTCTCCCCAGGTCCCGGCACACAGTACCGCCAAACGCCAGGTGACACCGAATACCATTTCAGCTGCCCCTGCGTGAACACGGTCTGTCCTTAAATAATCAATCGACCAACTATTGCACCGGGGCTGGTCCCCGCGACACATCCAACCACATCCAACAAGATCCCAAACGCCACTTCAACTTGAATCACAAATCCAACAACGCCCTTGTATCCAAACACCATACCGAGTCTCCATTTTATCATCTGCGAACGAACCGACCTATGAATCTAATTTGACCTCTGCTTACCTGACAATGGTGGCATCTCACAAGGCCTATTGGCTCTCAAAGCGCAAGGTTGGTTTATTCTCCCATTCGCCATCTGGCGTTTAGACTCGAGGTATCCTCGGAGAAGTCCGAGAGTAATCTATCCACTCGTTCCGGCTTTCCTCCTGTTTTGATCGCTTTCATTGAGTTAATCTGCAGGCTCGAACCGGTCTGGCTTGCATTGTACGATTATCTTGCGGGGTTGCAGATAGCTCAGCTAGGGTAGTCTAATCAAAAGGATATCCTCGCCATGGGCGGGTGAACTGTACTTTTTATGACCAAGACGTAGTTGTGTTTGGGGGTAGTAAGAGGGGAGTTTGAATTGCTGCAGCGGCCCAATGCCTGATCCACCCAATATTACAATAATTTAACTTTCAATTAGGATAACAAACAATAGTAGGGGTCATTCACTGCCTGCCAATGAAGTTGATGTGCATAGACCTCATTCAGTATAGACGCGTGTTTGGCTCGGGTTTTATTTTTGCCTCATCGATTTTATCTCGGGAAGCCGAGCGGCATTCGGTCGGCATTTTTGCGTGGAATATCAAGCCGATTGACCCACAAAGCCTCCCAAGCCACACAAAATTTGAGTTGCCTCGCACAGTAGTTACGTAGTAGTACATTCCTAAGTCACAGCTTGAGGATCGACTTAATTTGCCAGGCTCTGTGATTCTCCGCGGATAGATCGAAGCCAAGACTTCGCTATCTGGAGTCGATCAATGAATTTGTCAATCTGATTTGAAAATGAAACATATAATTCAAAGATTAAACGTAATAAGACCGCATCTAGCCGAGTTAACCGCCCATGGCTACGAGCCGATTGGTCCAGCATTTTTGAGGCTGCACTAAGTTATGTCGCTGAAGAAAAAAAAAGCTCTTCGCCTTAGCGGGATCCACGGAAAGCAACGTTAAATGGCTTATGTACACAGGGCAAGGTGGTGTGATCCTTTAAGCTGACCAATCATATTCCAGATATGGCAGGTACGCCCCACCGTCTTTGTCCCTTTTAGGAAGGCGCCGAGAATCTTGACGGAAGGTATGCGCCGAAGTAAAGCCGCGTGCAGTTTGGTTTGCCTGCGTGGATCGAAATTTCAGATCTCCCGGGATTAACTTCTATCGCCCGAACTCGTTCCTTTTCCTCTTCATCAGCAGCTCTGGCTCTTGCTTTCAGCTACTTCGATCTCCATCTCGATCTCGACCCGTCGCGCCGCCCACAGATCCGATGTACGACAACAAGAAAGACGCCGATCACATCGGCCCCGAGCCCATCTCGAATATGATGATGGATGCCGATATCGATGATCGCGAGAAGCAGATCTACCAGGGTGGCATGGAGAAGTTCAGTCGGTTAGGATGGAAGCGTCTGACCATTGTTCTGATCGTCGAGGCTGTTGCTCTGGGAAGTCTTTCGATTCCCTCCACGTTCGCGACTCTCGGTATGGTGGCTGGTGTTATCTGCTGTGTTGGCATCGGTCTCATTGCTGTGTACACGAGTTACATTATCGGTCAGGTCAAGGTCAAGTTCCCGCATATCTCCGACTACCCTGAGGCTGGTCGTCTGATGTTTGGTCGGTGGGGATACGAGATTATGTACATCATGCTGGCCTTGGAACTTCTTCTTTCCGCCGGATCACACTGTCTGACCGGAACGATTGCATGGACCAACATCACCGGCAGCAGCGTGTGCGCCGTTGTCTTCGGAGTCGTGTCTGCCGTTATTCTGTTCCTCTTCGCCATCCCGCCCAGCTTCTCTGAGATGGCTATTCTGGGATATATTGATTTCGCCTCAATCATCATTGCCATTGGTATCACCATTATTGGAACCGGTGTTGAGGCCCACAATTCGGCTGGTGGACTCTCTGGTGTGGACTGGTCTGCTTGGCCCAAGGAGGGAATCACTTTCGCCGACGCCTTCATTGCCCTTTCCAACATCATCTTCGCTTACAGCTTTGCGCTTTGCCAATTCTCTTTCATGGACGAAATGCACACCCCCACCGACTTCCCTAAGTCGATCTGGACCCTGGGTTTGGCTGAGATCTTTATTTATACCATCACTGGTGCCCTCTGCTATGCTTTCATTGGACAGGATGTTCAGAGCCCTGCCCTGCTGTCCGCTGGTAGCTTGCTTAGCCGGATCGCCTTTGGTATCGCTCTGCCAGTCATCTTCATCAGTGGATCCATCAACACGGTCGTTCTGGGACGACTGATTCACGGCCGTATATTCGAAGGATCGACCACCCGCTTTATCAACACCAAGATGGGTTGGGCTACCTGGCTCGTATTGATCCTTGTCCTCACCATCCTCGAGTTCGTTGTCGCAGAAGTTATTCCCTTCTTCGATGATCTGCTCTCGGTCATCTCTTCGCTCTTCGTCTCCGGTTTCACTTTCTACTTCCCAGCGATCATGTGGTTCATGTTCATCCGCGAAGGCAGCTACTTCAAGCCCAAGAACATAGCTCTTGGCTTGCTCAATCTTGCCATTCTGATCATTGGTCTGGTTGTGCTAGGTGCCGGAACCTACGCCAGTGTTGTCGATATTGTAAGTTGCCTCAAGCTCCATTTTATTCTCCCTGGGATGCTAACCTCGAAACTAGATCAACTCCTATGCAGAGGGTACCGTCGGAGGTGTCTTCTCGTGCACCGCCTCATAGGCTCCATTGTGTCTATAAATCATGTTACAAAAGTATTTGCATCAAGCGATAATTAATTGATCATTCCTGAGACATCATTCATTTTGATTTCCGTCATATCTAGGAGTTCGCAAGCCGATAGAATTGCTAAAGGCACACCATAACGCTAAGAAGTATGGAAACTTATCTACTGCTCCTTGACCATAAAGTAATCTGCTCCAAGACGATTGTAAATCTTAAACTCTCGCGGCTTGACAAACATGGGCTCCGTAGCTGCGAAATATGGTTTATAGTAGTCCTTGGTCACTTGGTTCTATAATTAAGTTAGCATCGAAGTAGTTCCGTGCTGATGGAAAACTATGCACCTCCATAAACCATTCAGGAGTCACATTCCTGGAGATAAATTAGCATTTATTCCTTGCACTCAACGAGGACAGATACCAGTTTTCTACCCAACTCAACGTTCCCGGGTCCGCCGGATCTTGATATACCTCGAAGAATCGACATTCAGGTTCTGCCACAACTGCGTCATAGACGAGTTTGAAATGCTTGAAGAATGTCTCCACATTGGAGGGATCGATGTAAACCGTGACGTGGAGACTCAATCCGGAAGCCATGTTGATGATGATGTTGGTGATGTAGAGGGGTAGAGGGGATATGCGGGGTTTGTGAATCTGACAGAACCAAGGACGAGGCTAGAACACGTGTTCCATAGAAGTCTCGTTAATTCCTAATGTCATCAATATTCAGATCGCTTACTACGCTAATGGATGATATGATTCATCAAGATATGCACTTCTTCCACCGTCGACCCCACATTTAACGCCTCCAGCGAAGCCTCAATCCTCCCAATACTTTCCAGCCCAACAATCGGATAAAAAAAAGCTATCGCAACAGAGCTCATTTCACATTTCTTCTTGTTTTAATCTCGTGAACTTGAATAGAAATCACCTCATGTCGAGATCTTACCAGAACCTGCTGACGGGCATGCCCGCTTTTTCCGCCGGTAAGACGTTCTCGCCAATCATTCATTAGCAATTTATCGGGGAAATCCACACTCACGTCAGCTTCAAGGCTTCTCATTTCAGGTAAGATCTTAGGCAACCCATTTGTTCCTCATGCCCCTCGGCTTCCTTGGGTTGTTTTGCAACTTCATCTTGATCCACTTCTGTGATGCGTTCCCGAGTCTAGAAGGTCATAAGAAATTGCAAGGCTCTCGTGCCCGTTCGGAACCTGAGTATGAGCCGGCTGAACCTAAGGGTAAACTTAAGCGTAATGCTGCTGTTAAGGTGTTAGTCTTCTAGCGTGATGGGGACTGCTTTATTTTGACTCGTCAGGGTTCGCCTTCACTTGAAGGGTGTTGTTGCTGACCCGTGACCAGGTCACGGGGGCCTTAAATAGCCTTAGGTAGTCAAGATCCATCCAGGATCTCTGCTTTTTCCGTCAGTGTCCATCTATTTTACGATCTCTGCTCTCATTTGGTTCTAGGCCTTTCCTCTGTAACAAAGGGGTCATTTTTGCCGCTTAGACTGCACATAATCGGCTATTGAGGTACTCTGATGTGTCACACATCGCTTGAATAAATCTTGCGTCATTTGCATATGCTCTCAGTGCTGAACATTACCGGTTCGACCGACAGCCTAGCCATATAATCTGCGGTATCACTATCGACAGTTTGCATTTGGCAACTTTTTAAATTATTATAAATTTTCAATTTGTATGCATCTAATGATACCAAGAAAATGACGATTGACTATGCGTATTTCCCACGAATGGTATATTAACAAAATGCAGCGAGACTTTCTAGCTAGACTAGATCTTTATATTAACGCCATTCTTCTGCGCTTCCGATTCCTCCTTTTTCCCAAGTCTCTTCTGCCGCCACTTGATTCCATGGGTCATCATGATCCAGAAAGAAGGTGACGCCGCGAGTGCAATCAAGGCAAGGGTGGTATATGCCCATCCCGAGCTCATGGCTTGGGTCATGGGACTAATAGCAGCAGACGCAGCAGCGCCAAGTTCACAGCGAAAAAGGTTGTTTGCGGCAGTAGCAGAGGCTGACCTTCCCGGCCAGATGTCCACCATCAATGCATTCAATACTTGCGAAGCGCCATTCAGACAGTATCCGCAAATGAATAAGAGAATGATCGGGGCCGCTAGGTTCACCTTGTGGCCCAGAACCCACCCGTATCCAATGACTGTAACAAGACTCGTATAGTACAGCGGTAGCGCGACTTGAATTCGTACTTTTTCAATATTGAAGTTGCGGATGTCTGCTCGAACATTTTTCAGCACAGGGAGTCCGGCTTTTTTGGCGTGGCGCCGATAATTCCAGTCGACGATGCGACCTGTCGTGAATGCGGATACAATTCCACCGGCACCGATTGGGAGATACATCAATCCAGTTTGAATGTTGTTGAAGTGGTAGACTTCATGGAACGAGGTAGTGGCACCGGTCATGACGGCATAGAAGCAGGCGAACATCAATCCTGTGGTGAGCAGGATCAAGGCCGTTTCCAAATCGAAACACACTCTCAAGGTAGGCCATGGCGAAGGAATGCGCAAGCGATAATTCTTCCGAATCTCGGCCACTTTCTCAGGGTCGGGATTCAGGCCCTTCTTGATGCGTCGCTTATGTCGGAGGACGTCTGTCAAAGACATATTCAGGGTAGGCGGCGGGATTGATCCATCTCCAACGACCTTTCGGCATGTTTCTGGTAGGAAAAGGGCGAGGCCGGTAAAAAATACACCAGAAAGGATGAGGAGGAACCAGAAAATCCAATGCCAGTTTAGATACTGGCTGATCAGTCCACCGATGACGGGTGCCAGGGAAGGACCAAGCATGCTTCCGAGTGAGGCAAAGGCAATGTAGCTACCTCGCTCCGAAGAAGTCACCATATCTGCTACCAGGCCATTGGCAAGGGCGACAGTACCACTGCTTCCGGCACTTTGTAGCATTCGGAGAACGAGTAAGGCGGCATAGCTGTTTTGAAGACCGAGACCAAGATTTGCTGCGAGGTAGATTGTGAAGCAGATCATGTAGGCTGGGCGTCTTCCAGCTGTGTCAGAGAAGCCTGCGATGAACATCGGTGCAACTCCTTGTAGGATCTGATAGGAAAATAGAGGTTAGTCGTGAAGCCGAGCATGGAATGATCTTGGGTTGTCCTACCAAGTACGTTGTAACTGTGATATTGATCTTCGAGGTGGATACATCCAGCGCGGACGCTATTGTGTCGAGTGCCGGGAAATATATGCTTGACGACAAGGGCGAAAAGAAAGCAGCGAGAGAGCCAATCGCGACCATGGCTCTCTTTTCACCCGTAGTAAACACAGAGAACTTCTCATGCCCGGTCGCTACATCTTGAACCGGTTGCTTTTCAGGGTCTTCGCTTGGCTGTTCTGCAAGTCCGGTGGAGTCAGTGGGGTTCGCCTGGCTGCCGGGCATAGGCATAGTTGACGGTGGACTATATGGCAAAGGATCTATGATAGCCTTAGTAGTCATTGAGCCTGTCTATCAAGGGGAAAAAAACATCTGAGAAGATGCTGCATCTTATATGCTTTCCAAACGAAGAAAAAAAAACCGAATGAAGGTGCGAACTAGGCAGAATGCCGGTAGCGGGCCGGAACCGGGATGAAGCTATAGCGGGCCGACTCGGGCAAGATAGTAGATAAATTTGAGAGAATGTATTCGCGATCTCACATTCGCAGAAATAGAGCAGGAAACTATCTATCAAGTTACTTATTCTAGTCCTCGCTTCATTCATAGATCCCTCATGCCAGTTGCGAGATCGGAACCTTGGACCACCAAAACTCCGTCTCCTCCTTCGCCCAATCATCCTTTATAAACTTGGCAGCTGGAGCAGTAGAACCCCCAATAAGCTCTTCATTACCTTCTCCGAAAACCAAGACATGTGCATCGCTCGGCTCATAAGCTTTCCATTCCGGCCGCTGATTATAACGACCTGAGATAGCATTCGGATCACCCGTCGCGATAAAGCTCGTCACGTATGCATGGAGGGTACCTGATAGCTCTTTCTGCGACTCCGATAATCCTGTAATGGCATTGTTGTATGTCTCATAGAACATGTTGTCACCATGGTTTGCCCGACCGATTACAGTCCTGGGAAGTGCCCAGTTGTACAGATAGACCGTTGCACCCTGCGAAGAAGCAAATTGTGCTGTCTGACGAACCGGTGCAACGTAGGCATAGTGCCCATATGCAGCCTCGATTCGCTTATACTGTGGTCCAAGACCTTGTCCAGTTCTTGTTTCCACATACTGTGAACTGGAGTCGGAGCTTGGATCGGGATAGAGGCAATCGATTGTATCCAGATCAGCAGAAGAGAGCTCTGGAAGAAGGCTTTTCCAGAAATCACGGAATTGTTCTGGCTTTGACATTTTCTTGTCTACGTAGAAAGTTCCCTCGTTGCTGTTGTAGCCTGTCATGATGGGGACCTTGTTCCATAACTCGGAGTTCCAGGCGTCCAATGGCTTGCGGGCGATGAGGTCGTCGTCTATTACGGGCTGGAAGGCCCATCGGAGAGAGGGGTTGTATTTGTCGAAGACTCTGGTCTGCGCGTCTGTGACGGTTGAACTTGGGAGAGATCGGAGGAAGGGAAAGATTTCGTTTTCGGGCAGGTCGGATGGACAACCCACTTCATTGAGGAAATCCTGAAATTGCTCCTCATGAATTGTCGCGTCGTAGGGACGAACGGCGCGAGATGTCGGCGAGCCGGATTCCATGATGGCGCGATGGAACAAAGAGGGAGACTGGGCATTGTAGTTCAAAATATGATGGCCAATCTGAACTTGGTTAGCAGAGGAATATAACGCAGCAAGTCATAATTTCTCACCGAGTGGGCTCCTGCTGAAAGGCCAAATAGCGTGACATTCCCAGCATCGCCACCGAACTTCCCAATGTTCTCCTGAACCCATCCAAAAAGGTGTACCTGATCACGCAGTCCGAGATTGAGAACACCTTCTTTCTTTGATAAGGTTGATGGCAAGAAGCCTAACGCTCCAACACGATACCCAAAGCTCACGCCAATAAAAGGAGCCTCGGACCAAGCCACCATAGACGCAGTATTATGCATCGACGCAGCCCCTCGATTGAATGCCCCTCCATGGAGATAGATCGCCACAGGTAGCTTATCCGATTCACTTGTTCCAGCAGGTCGAAAGATGTTGGCAGTTAAACAATCTTCGCTTTGCTCTAATTTTGGACCACTCGTGATCAATGCCTTGCCTGGTGCCGCTGGACCAAATTCCGAAGCATCAAATGTATCGGTAGAGGCATTGACCTTTTCAGCTGGTTTGAAACGTCTTTCTCCGACGGGAGGTAGGGCATAGGGAATCCCTAGAAAGGCGTCCACCGGCTGCGGGGTTGTCTCTTCCTGTCGGGCTCCAATGAACGTGCCTTGATGAAGGGTTACTGAAGGACGAGTAGATTCAATCATTGTGGCAAGGATGATATATTTTCAAACATATGAGGTCAGTCAATGGTACAGAGGGTTGTTAGTGTTATACAAGTGCGCATTTCTCTCCGGTGCGTAAAAGTAGTCCCGTGCGGGGAATCGGTAGGAGTGGAGACGGGTTATCTGGCAAGAGATAGGAGATCAGTCTATCTCGTAGAGATGTCAGCTTTCGGACAGAGTCCGAAGAAAAGGAGGTGCATGAAGTGTTTAGTCTTGGAAATTGGGGTTGGCGTGTTGGAGAGCAGAGATAGCGGTCACACGCCGATTCCGTCTATAAAGCAGCGGATTTTCTTTCTCTTTGGCTTACATTGAAATCTGTAATTGTTTTTTTGAAGTTTCTAGCAATGAAAGACGATATAGAAGCTTCCATCATACAAACTGACGAGAAAGACCTGCAAGTCGGGATCATCACTGATCTTGACGAGGGTGAGGTCTTTCTCCACCAACATGGCTACACCAACGAAGCTATCCAAGCACTTTTGGTCGATAAATCACGCAATAAAGCTCTAGTCCGACGGGTGGATCTTGTACTTCTACCTTTACTTGCGGGTACCTACACCCTACAATACATAGACAAGTCGGCACTAGGCTATTCTGCCGTCTTCGATCTACTGTCTTCGACCCACATGACCAGCAACGAGTACAGCTGGTTAGCAAGTATCTTCTACTTTGCCTATCTCATCGCTGAGTATCCGTGGAACATTCTCGCACAAACGACCAGACTAGGCAAAGTCGTCTCTGGAAATGTCATCGCATGGGGTGCGATGCTCATGATTACCGCTGCTTGCACTTCATTCACCGGGATGGGAATTTGCCGATTCCTTCTTGGCATTTTCGAAGCACCTATTACACCCTGCTTCATGATGATTGTGAGTATGTGGTATACACGCTCTCAGCAACCGTTCCGCGCCGGTGTCTTCTACAGCTGCAATGGTCTCGGTGCTGTGATTGGTGGTGTCTTAACATTTGGAATCGGGCAAATCAGGACCATTGCAGTCTGGCGAGCTATCTACCTCATACTTGGTGGAATCACTGTTTTATGGGGAGTCTTGATGTTTGTATTCCTGCCAGACGACATCATCTCATCGAAGCGCTTCAAGATCGAAGAAAAAGCGCTATTGATCGCCCGCAGTCGACTTGGTCGGACTGGAGTCATCAACCATCGAATCAAATGGTCTCAAATCAGAGAAGCATTGGTCGATCCACAAGTATGGATTCTGTTCCTCTTCACTCTACTCAATGAGATTATCAATGGTGGAATAGCGAATTTCAGCAAACTTATCATCAAGGGCTTGACAGATGACGCTCTTACCACAGTTGCACTGGCAATTCCAATGGGCGGTTTTCAGATGTTCTATATTCTCAGCGGAACTTTCCTTGCGTCACGCTTTCGTAACAGCCGCACAATTGTCATGTTCGCCTATTTACTTCCGACGATTGTTGGTACCTGTTTACTGTGGAAGATGAACCACGCAACCCATAAGGTGGGCGTGTTGTTTGGCTACTATATTTGTGGAGCATACGTTTGCTCTTTGGTGCTGGCGCTGCAAATGCCTGCCACTAACCTGGGAGGTTACACGAAACGCAGTACTGGTGTGGCCTTGGTATTTCTCGCGTACTGTGCTGGAAATATCATCGGTCCTCATGCTTTCTTAGCAAAGGAGGCACCCGTTTATCAGACTGGCTGCAAGGTGATCATCGCATGTGCAGCGGCTCAGGCTGCTTTGGCTCTGTGTCTTCGCATGCTTCTGATTTATCGAAATAAGAAGCGAGATGCGGCTGCTAGTAATGAGATCGTCGAGGGACTATCGCAGGCCGATGAACTGGCTGACTTGACTGATTTCGAGGTAAGTATTTCAAGGTTCGAAATATTCTCAAGGGATGGGTATGCTAACCCATTGACAGAATACAAATTTCCGTTACGTGTTTTGAATAATCACCGCTGTGCTAGTAGGCAATTTTGTAGAGAATCGCTAGGGTTTCTCCTCTATAGCCTGTTCAGGAAAGTACCCAGGTCTTCGGGTCAGACACATTGAATCATTTCTCTGTAGCTACACCAATCATGTGCAGTATTTTACCGGCGTACCTGTCCGCATACTAACGACATACCAAAACGTGTGCAATATCGAAAAAGGTGATAAGTGATGCTGATGCATAGGATTGTAAATCTAGGCATATTGTTAGTATCTTTTGCTCGTTGCGGAACAAAACAGTTCTCAGTATATTTACTTTATACGGCTGTACAATCCAACTACGCGTGGAGTATTGAAACATAAGAAACCGTGGATGTCTTGAAGGAAAACTGAGACGAAGTATTGTACATCGAGATGGAGGGATGGACAAGGCTTTAAACAAAAATCTAAGGGTTATCTCTATTATCCTCCTGCGTCAACATGGGAGTCCTCTATTTGCCGATCTCAACACCACCAGTGGCACCGAGCATACGCTTGATGTCACCGTAGATGGCGAACTGACCGGCAGTGATGGAACCGACCATGACAAGACGGGCACCAATACCGGAGTAAGAGCCACGGATACCGAGCTCCTTGGAGATCTTCAGGAGACGAGAGACAGTGCCCTCACCGGGAGCACCGGGAGTCTTGTTGATCTTGGAGAGCATGGTGTCGGCGGGCTGGGAGACAGCGGCGGCGGCGAGACCAGCAATGAGACCGGAACCGAGGTTGATACCGGTCTTGGTACCGTTGGAAAGAGCGTCCTTGTCACCCATAGCCTTGTAGATGGCCTCGGAGACCTTCTCGAAGACAACGAACTTGGCCATAGTGTAAGGAACCCTGGAAAGCGTGTTAGCGGATATACGCGGATGGCGCGTGCGCCAGACTTCAGACATGCGGGCTTGTCACTTACTGCTTGAACAGAATGGGACCGAATCCAGAGTAGAAAGCACCGATACCCTCCTCCTTGAGGATCTTAGAGAAACCGCTCATGAGACCGGTAGCGAAGGTGGGCTGGGAGACCAGACGAATGCGGGTGGCCTCAAGAGGGCAGAGACCGATGTCAGCGACGAACTCAGCGGCGGCGGAGGAAGCGAGGTAGACAGCGGTGCGGTTGTTGGTAGCAGACTCGAGTCCGAGGTAGTTGACGGACTGCTGCTTGAAGAACTCGTAACCACCGAACTTCAGGGCACCCTGGATGAAGTAACCGGCAGCGGTGGGACCGAAACCAGTGAGGAGAGCACCAGCACCCTCGTTCTGGATGACCTGCTTGAAACCACCGATCATACCGCGGTTGTAGGTGGCAGGGTCAAGCTGGATACGGGTCTTGACGCTATATGAAACGCGCCGTCAGTGAGAGTCCGATGAGTATCGCGCGATTCTAGATTCGACCTACACATCAAGAGGAGTGGCAGCACCGTGGGTGATGGCACAGCACATCGCGCCAGCGAAGGCGAAACGCGAGTACAGGTCGAGACCAGTAGGGCCAGCGGGGGCCGGGACGGCAACAGGAGCGGAGGCCATTGTGATGTGCAAAAAACCCTGAAGGGATGGATGCCCGAAAGATAATAGAGAGGAGATTCAATTGAAGCTTAAGAGAGAAGAGGAAAGGAGGAAAAGGATTTGAAAGGGATGGGTCCGAACCCGCAGAAATTTCGGACCAATCCGGCAGCGTTCTCGGCAGGACACGGGGCACCACCTTATATCCGGCCTCATCGCCCGGTCAACCGTAAAAGATACTGGATTATGCTGAGAGTTTATGTCTCGGGCATTTCTTGCGATTCCTGGTCATGTTGAACATGGCCTCTGATAGTGAAGTGTGTTATTTTCAAGGTAAATTGAAGCATATATCGGGAATATCCGGTACCAAAACACCATAACAATGGTCGAGTAACGTCAAGGTTTTCCACCTCTAGACAAGTCATACGTACAGGGCTTATTTCCTTCAATATCAAAGGCCCTTCTACGTCACAGACATCCGACAATGCAAATGCATTATTTTTTTTATTTTCAGACCGCCCTGTGTTGTCGATACTCCACCAGTCAACGGGAACTCCACCAATCGGGGCTGTTAGCTTGGCGCCACCATTCCCGATGCTATGATTGGCTATAACTTCAAGGCAAAAGGCCAAAGGTACTTTATAGTGTCAATATAGATTTGGGCTTGTTCTGATGGTCCTATTTCTTTCTTCTTCTAATTTCCACGGTATTGCAATGTAAGGAACATATTAGACTTTTATATAGCTACCCGAAAATTAAGTAACTCTAAATGAACAACACATACAATTGCCTGATTATCAACTGACAAAATCGGGCAGAATTTCATTACATAAAATTTACGGTTAGAAAGACACTGTGCATGGTGAATAATGAATTGAAGATGGGCTATAGACTGTACCTAGGCATCATGATGAAGCATAATTATTCAAAATAGCCAATCCATAGATGGCGGCAGTAGGAATAGCATGAAGAAAAGGTGTCAATCTAGGAGGCTATGTATGGGCATGGGGCAGTATTGATTATGGGACCTACTAAATTCACTCCCGTTTTTACTAATTTCACTCCCCTTCCTGGAGCTAAGTGACACATGTTTATTCTGTCGCGACTTCGATGCTATGTTTATCCTCTACGTACTTAAGTCTGTGGAGATGAATGAATTTTACTTTTTAACGCTATTTGATCTAATCTTATTATCTCTTTATCTACTTCCTTTTGTATTAAGAGGAAGATTTGATAGAAGACTTAGAGCCTAGGTATTAGACCTTATCTCCTACTATATCTGCTACTTAGTATTCTACCTTTTTTCATACCATGTTAATCTAATATTTAAAGGTCTCCCTAAATTCATGAATAGTAAAATAGAAAAGAAAGATGGAGAGAAGAGGAGAAAAATGAAGTAAAAGGAGAAGCCAATATATATCCAAAAACTCTGCGATATACCTAAGTGATAGAGGGGTAGACAAGCACAATAAACATAAGTCACTTAATTTTTGGGCAGGGAGTGAAATTAGTAAAAATGGGAGTGATTTTAGTAGGTCCCTTGATTATTTACCTGGGTATTCGCCCTGCCAAAAGTCAGCCTGGCCAAGGATATGGTTATATGGACAAGAACGGAAACATATACATATTGAGAAAATTGCCAGATAACCTAGTTATTAATGAGCTATCCATTCACGTTTTTCCCGGGTTCCAAGGGGTATACATCCAAACTGGGTTTCTTGGTAATTTTATAGCACTTGAGTTTGCGGATTGATTCTTCTTATTGCCTTTAAATTGAGTATGGTGTAAGTATGTATTGTACATAAAATCATTTCAAAACAGGCATTGAAGATAGTTCAGCTCATTGACCCTTTGAGCCTCTTTGAAGTGGAAAGCTATGCCAATCATTCACCCATTCTGCATTTTTCTTTGGCCACAGCTCACGGAAGACCGGCTCATATTCCTCCAGGTCCACCATGGATGTGCGTTCTGTGTACTTTCTCATTTCTTCCTCAGCTTCCCGAACAATGACCCTGTCTCCATCGGCTCTGATACACCTCCACCGGCGATGCATCAAATTTGTGATGTCAGCTAACTGCATGGGACAGACCTCGACAACCATGTTCAAGTCAAGGCGTTGCAAATTGCGATTTTCCCCAATGACCGAAAATATTTCTCGTGCAAGGGTAGCGTCGACTGCATAGCTAACAAGGAGCTCTCGTGCTTTCTCGGTGTCTGAGACCAGAAAGCTTGATGAAGATAAGCCTGTATCCTCATCTTCCTCCCAGCCTTCGCAAACAAGTTGTAAAGACAAATCGGTCAGATGAGGCATGCCGGCAATAATTCGGTAGATTTGAACCTCCTCGTGGTTTCCCTTTGTGCGTGCAACGGGGAGACCTAGATTGCACAGATTTGGGCAGCTGTCTCGAATTTGGGTGATCCACTCTTCTGAAATGGCGTTTCCCTCTTCGTATGTTTTAGCTTCCGTCCAGAGGGATAAAGAACATAATGAGTCTGCATGGCGATCCAGGATGGCTTTCAATGTTTTCTCCTTTTCGCAAGACGTGAAACGAATGCTCTGTAACGGAGGGAGAGAGGAGATGAAAGCACTCGCTGCTGCATCAAAATCCCGGTAAGCAGCATCATCGCTGGGATCAATCATCTCGAGGACGAGGGCCTTCAGGGATGGGAATTGGCATTTAGCTGCCAGTACCACGGCGTCAACCCTGGCATCAAGCAGTTGCAAAGCCTGAAGATTGGAAAAGTTGCTTTGCACAGTCCAGGGTTTGAAGATATCCTCAGCAGCGGGGCTCAAACTCAGCTCCTCTAAATTTCTCGGGTGCAAATTCGCTTTTATTTTGCTAGGATTTGACGGGAAAAAGCCTTGCCAGGGTTGCAGCGGTTCCAGCTCATAGTCATAGTCCTTGATGAGAATACGAACAGTCTTCAGATTAGGGGCCAACCCAGACGCGAGTTGAATTGCCGCCTCCTTGTTGTATTCAACATGACCATCTTTGTGATCATTTGAATCTTCAAACTCATATTCATCATCATCGTGGAAAACAGGCACCATGATGGTCGAAAGGGAAGGTGATGTAGCAAGCGAGAATTCATAGTCGCTGATGTCTTGAGGCTCCAGTGGGTTATAATACAAACTGGGCAGTTTGAAGGCGAAAATGTGTAGCTCACAGCGTGGAAGTGATTGATGTAAGATGTCTAGCAGACACGGTGGAAACAGGGTCTCACAGCACCAGTTGAAGTCCCGGAGGCCTTGAAGCTGTTTTACAAAATTTGGCAACAGACCCCAATCATCACGTGCTGGTTCCTGGGGGGTTGAGCTCGCATCATCTTCACCAGAATCGTCACCATGAATTTGCCTCAGACGGCGAGCCAACTTGACATCGGAGACACGTTGCGCGCGTTCTTTGGGAGTCTCGGGATCATGTTCAATGGGAATCAGCTTCCCCAGGACTGTCAATTGTCGCACGGCGGTGAAGGCAGAATTCTTTCCCAGAACTTTAATCAATTGACGAAGCTCTTTCGCAAGCTCTGCTCGGCGAGCGACGAATATTTCAACGTTTTGAAATCGGTGTTTCATGGTGGCGATCTGAAATGCCTTGCATGTCTGAGCCAAGGCCCGTATACTGGGCAAGTCATCGAATGCCACAGACCCGCAAATCAGCTCCAGTACCTCCTGAGGAAGCGAAATGAGAGTGTGCATTTCGGGCAGAAACACATACAGAACTGAAAGGCAGGAATGGCTTTGGAAATAGGGAATAGGGAATAGCGGATAGCGGTGGATGATTTTGTGTTGATGCCTGAGGCATCATACGATTCTGCCTCTCACAGGTTACAAATCAACGGATTTATGAAGTTCAAATGTTCCATGTTAATCCTAATTATGAATCTCAATTAAGGACGCCTTCCCAATCATCCTTATACTTACTCGCCCGCGGAACCCTGTTCAAGTAGGCCCCTCCTAGTACCATTCGCCAAAATAACCAAGAACCCAATTTTCATCTCCACCATACTCCTCAGTCGCTGGGTCATAATTCAGACCTATTTGATAGAAAATAATACATCATAGTCAGCCTCGTGTATTAAAATGTTGATAGGAGCAAAGATAAAAAAAATTCAGCTAACTCACGTTTCCCTCTATAAGCAACTCCAGGAAGAGCTACATGCTTGTCGAAATAAGTGGGATTAAATACTGCATAACCCACAGGAATCTCGTATGGCATGGGCTCCGAGTCTGGCTGGCCGAAATTTTTCTTTTCCTGGTAGTTATAATTGAATTTACAGTAAAATTCCTGAGCAGTGTTAGCCGGGATATCGAGGACATCGGCCTTGTTCAGACAGTAGAGATATTGCGAGCTATATGATGGATTTCAGGATTAGTATACGATCCAAAATTGAGAAAAATAAAGGAATCCAGCAAAACGCTTACTTGAAGTCTTTGCAGGCAAAGGCATCGTCTTCCATGAGGTTGAATGAAACCGGCATCAAGTCATTGCTTTGAATAACCCGAAGGAAGTCTTTGACCTGGAAAGTCATCCCGTTGGTTCTTTTCATTGGTACCTCAAAAACATATGCCGCGTCCCGATGCTTGCCATCGTACTTGAAGGGCTTTATGTGCAATTGGCCCACGTGACTTGGTCCCCGTACACTTCCACTGTTGTAGGCGTTCAAGTCGAAATGGAGATCTATCAATATGCCTTTGGTGCCAGCAGCTGCATAGTCAGTAACATATTCCTGTTCATTCTGGAAGGTCAGTCTGGCAACACAATGATTTGCCGGGATATCTAGGGATTTCCCTAACATTCCTTGATGTAGGAACTCGATGGAGAACTTTGAAATATTCTCGGATCTTATAGACAGAGGGATATCGGCCATCTTTGTAAAGGTCCATTTTCTAGGATGTCCAACGGGGGAAGCAGCTGAAGAATCAAAATCAATAGAGTATTCAGCAGAAGGGCCAAGGGCAGCTTTCTTAGCTGGCGGTTTCTCGCTCTCAGGGACCGAGTTCGATCTCTCGTTTCCCGTCATTCCAAAGGGCGTTAGTTCAATTGGTATGGATTGGGCGTATATTATATGAATGAGTCTTCAAGAGTTTGTGCAAGTAAGCTGGAGATTTGGATATAGCAAGATTAAAGTCAAGAGGCTGGAAGAAGGATTTATATAAGAGGATTGTCGGTCTTTCAGAGGATAATTCGATCTATAAGTTGTAGTGATATTTCCAAGTAGAATTACAATGGATTGATTGTAAAGAGCCAAAATAACCTTGAAAGGGACTGATAGTAAAGCTAGTTACAGAATCTCAACATAGACTTGAACTTGCTTTTTTTGACAGCGACTCTCTTTATGAACCCGAAAATAATCTCACAAGCATGAAAGATAGGTATTTAAGGCTTTGCGATCGTGTGCCTCAATTACAGGGGCTTTGTTCCACCTAATTTCTTTGTTTCATTCCACTCTCTGCCTAACATAATCAGATTCAATCATTGTCATTATCATAAGGTGTAGTATTATGCTTCTGGCAGACCAGGAAAGCCCGCTTTCATTGTTGCCTCGATCTTCGCTTCCTTTGTTAATAATCAATTTGGAAAGTGAAAGCCTCCACATCTCTTTCATACGATGCCTCTTTCTATGTATATCCCCAGGCGCAGTGGTGTATGCAATGCCTGTTTAGCTTGGGAGGCTGAGCCATACCCAATCAGAGATCATCATTACCCTCCCCCAACATCTGGTTTCGGCAATCTTTTAGGCCTCCCCGGCCTGATCTAATTTTCACTTCTGGTTCCCTTCAGCTGTATGTATTTCTTCGGCACCCCGCCAGAAAGCTAGCACTTTTGAGCTGAGCCGTTATTTTATAAGCGGGGTTGAGGAAATCGAACCTTTGAAACCCCCAATCAGAAGCCTTTCTCGGATTCCCCGCGCCATGTTTGTTTGATGAATGTTCTCAATGCTGCACTTAAGTAAGTTCAAATATTATGTACATACTCTAGATAACAATCCTATGTGATGATAGTGTCCCTTGACATCGTCTCTTCTCATATAGCAACCATGTTAATTTGAATTATTCTTGATCCAAACTTGAGATCACTTCAGCAGTAGAGTCCAGTCTTGCCTATCCTGCGAGCCAAATTGCTAATGTTCACTAGTCTCATCCCAATAAGTAATCATATTCTTCCATGTAATGAAATCCAAAACCCTCTGCCTACTCACTGAGCTCGAGTCCGATTCCATCACGTCTTCAAACATACGCTGTAGTCTATGCCTCGCAAAATGGCACATCATTGCCATATCATTGACAGCCAGATCTTGCCCGTCTTCACGAGCAGCCCAGACATTCCCTATCTCGCTGTTCCAGTACATTGGGGCCCAGCCCCACTCGTCTTTGAAAGTATTAGTTTCCATCATCAAGAATGCAACATTAGGATTGCTGTCTGCACCCATGCCCCCTTCCCATCCTGGTGGGTCAGTGCGGAACTCGGAATCTGGTTCCTTCCAGAGCCGTATAGGCATACCGAGGCAGACGGTTATCGGTGAGATTGATCCACTGCCCAGGGAGATCTTGTTTGCTCGGGCAATATCAACGGAAACGAAAGGCACAGACCCATGAAGCTTTACCTCGCCATGACAACAGATTTTCACGCCACGAACGGTTGTCGGGGCACGGTGTTGTAGATCAGGGACGCTTTCCCTGATATGCGTGTTTTGGTAGCTTCTTAAGTAGTCCATTAGATGCCGGAAGTCGCCTAGTGTTATGTCGGCATAATCCTCTTGGGGGATCTCTTGCAGGGCAATCATAGGGCCACGGTATGCATGTGGAGTGGTGGATGTGCAGGACGCTCTCACAGAAGCTGATATACTTCTGTTTGTTTTTGACCCATCTATCAAATAGGCCTCGCGATGTATCAAAGAGACGCAGTATCCCTCCTTACTCGGGGAAAATGCTACATATCCAGAGCCTAGATTTCGACATCGTACTGGGTTATGTTCAATACGCATCACTCCTTTGATTGGTTCATCCGTTCCAAGATAGGGATAGGGATCAACCTTCGTCCATCTAATCCCGTCCTCGTCGTATTGGTGAGAGTATCGAATCCATATCAAACACGGCTTTTCTCTGTCAACTGGGAAGAATATAGCCCGTTTGTGTTCCGGAGACGGTCTATCACGCTGAGTAGCGAATTGTTCGCAGAGAAGGCTGTGCGAAGGAAAGTCACTCTCCCGACAGTCTCCGGAACAATAGTATGTGCTCCCACACTGTGCACATTTTATTCCGGGGCTTTTATTGCACATTACGCAACAGTCCTTCAGTTCGAAATTCTCGAGCGGGTGATACCTCGATTCAGTTGTTGGTGTAAATCCCTCACTTTTTGGTATCATGTCCAGTCAGTTCTTTAGCATTCAACGATATGAAAGGATATAAACTCACAGTATGAGTTGGTCTTTATGCCGGATTGTCTGTTTGTCTTTAAAAAACCTCAAGGCTTGTTCTCTCTGCCGCCAGTCTTCAACAGTGAAGTGTGAAAAATCAGACACTAATCCGGATTGCTTGACATTAACATGCACAGCGAGGCTTTTTTGTGTAGGGTGCATCAGATCGGCAACAAACTCCTGAATGCGAGCTATAAGGCTTGACTCAACCCGTCCGAGAGTGGCCTCTATGGCATCTGAATTCGAGCTTGGCACGGCCCAGGCAGGATAACAAACACCATGCCTTCCACGCGTGGAAATTGGACTTGGCAACGCACCAAGAAAGGTTTCACAGAGCAAACAGGTCTTTTTACTGCATCCAAAGTAGTTTAGAGTAGGCTGATGTGCACATTTCTCCTCGTAGTGCATCACCAGCTGCATCTCAGCATGCAGATAATATGCTTTTGCACAGGCCTGTTCAAACTTCTGGCCAAAGGGTGTAAGTTTCGGGATCACATGCTCAGGTGTAGAGCCCATCTCCAGTCGTTCCCACGCCTCGAATATTCCAACCACGTACCTGGCTTCCAGTTTTGTCATCGATCTAGACGGTATGACTAAGATTTTACAGTTTCCAAACTGTGGCTCTCGAACAGCTATTGATGCCAATAATCTGCAATCGAGCAGTGGTCTGGCAATAAAGCTTAACTGGCTCCAGAGCTTCAAGCCAGTCGGCGTCCCAAAGGCATCTGACAACACCTGTCGAATTTGAGTTGATTTGAGACAATTGTAAGCTTTTTGTACTATCATAACTCGAGTATTATGTTTGATGGCTTCCATATCAGTATTGAATTGTCGTAGAAGATTCGTAATGGTCGTCCAAGATTCAACTTCAGCCTCCTGCCCAAGCCATCGTAGAGAACTCCAGTCAGGAAAAAGTTGGCTAGTTTTCAGGGTTTTCTGGAGATCTTTCACCCAATCATCGATCCGTCGGGACATGTATCTTATCGCTTTTAGCTCGAACTTTGAGAGGGAAGTTGCAGTCGTGTTTGAACCCATCCCAGCTCTCACTTTGAGTTATCAGATGCTCAAAAACCCGCTGCCATGATTGGAGTAGCTACATACCTCTAGCATTACTGTCCAGATATTCCTCCAACATCTTGCAGTAGCTCATTCTCTCATTTTCTTCATCTGAAACAAAGCCATCGTTTCTTGTTATATCGACCTCCACTCCTTCTTCCCCTTCACGTATCGCTGCAGCGGTAACCCAATCCCATCCCTTGCAGGGCGACAGCAGTTGTGCAATACAGTCCAGAAATTTTTGCCGAACGGAATCTCGAGAGCTTGACAGAATGACATTCTTCTCTGTCTCGTAGTCTGTCTCATAATCGCTCGAGTCATCGGCGTTGTTGTCGCGCTCGAGGTTGTTCTGATCTTCGTGTAGTTCTTCATGTTTTCGGTTGTTTGTGAGATAGAAGAGGATATGAGCAGCCCAGACGATGCGTGCAGTAGATTCTCCGGGTGAGTATACTGACTTTCTATCTAGCCCGAACATTGTGCAAGGTAATGTGACTGCCATCGGGAAGTAAGTCAGGGTTCGTTGCTCGAAATCGATGGCGGCGGCCAGCTCGTGCGGGGTAGTAATACAAGCGGCTATATAAAGAATCAGGTTGATAGTATAGAGGGAGTAAAGAGCTACTGCTGTATTCGAGTTCGTTGTAAGGACTAATAGTACTACACGAGCCCACTGTCACGTAGTCGTTCTAAGAGTAACGTGTTATTCAGTACAAGCTGATTTTATATATTATAAGTGAATAAATGCTATTCCCATGTTAGCCAATTTAAGAGGTACGGACCGTGGATCATCCAATTGTAAAGCTTTTTCACGCGATTCCATGTGGCTTTACGGTGTTCTTACACTAGCTTAACGATCATGGCATAGCCAGTATTGGACGGTTCTGGCGACCTTAAAAGACTAGTGCTTTTCGAATCTGGTTCCCGAGAATTAATTCAAAAGGGTTTCAAGTAAAGCTGATTTCGAGAATTGCTGTAGGCGATCGGGAGATATGCTCCATATGAAGAGGGGTGGCTAGGTGGCCGACTGGCTTGGAAGTTACGGTGCGGGACTATCAATGAGTTCAAGAAATATTGAAGTCAATAAAAGTAAGCTCTGCAACGCGGCTGAATGAATTTTTACCTATATCCTCGGCGGGATGTCACATTCCAAAATCTTTGATGAAGTTCTATCTTTCTTATTGACTTAACTGTCAATATGATACTTGCATGTAGAGGACTCAAGATCACGCCCAGAGGGATACCGAGGTGGTCGATCCAAAAGCCTCGAAGCAAGTTCAATAAGAAAGGCCTGTGGGAAACGTGATTAACGCCAATCATGGAGCCATCCTCTGTGCCCAGGGTGTACATATCCGTAGGTAGTGTGCGAATTTTAGCGTATGTAAACTGTGGCACGTGTTGATGTATGCATATTCTATTGCTTCTCCAACAGGAAGCGATGATGACCCATTTTGAGCCTTTGAGGCGCCTTTCTTGATGATAGCACCTATAGTTAAATTTTGGAGCATTGAATTCAGGGTTGAAAATTTGGTCCCCGAAGATCCATGCCAGAACTAGGTCAATGTATTTGGCATTTCCAGGGTGGCCTGTTTCGGTCGCAAAGCACCAGAAGTGTGCTACAATAAAGCCAGTGTAGATAAACCTCGAATATCTCTGGCTTGTCACCTGGTAGTTGAAAAGTGCATTTCAAAGACTCCTGCCATTCACCTGACATGGCCTTTTTAACAAAAGGAAGAAGAAGTACGGATTAACTCTTCGTAGACGACGTAGGCTTCATGATAATCTCCTGCAAGTGGGTCGATTGTCCTTCCTGAAAAGCTTTATGAAAGATTAGCGCGGAGAAGAATGAAAATTTATTATTTACTTATTAGCCTCATTTTTGGGCGTCCGGATTTTTTCAAAATGTTCTAAGGCATGTTATTGTCTTATTCGAATTAAGGGTCATTTTGTGTGACCGAAAATTCGAAAATGCAGGCAAAATGGCAGTGAAACGGTGGTTTCGTGATTCAAATGCTGTGGCAAGTCGCATCACAAAAAAATAAGAGGAGTCCGTATCAACAACGATTTTGCAGCAAGAGAGAAGATGCTAAACTAAATCCAACAAGTTTTATCCCCTCCCACTCTTATAGGACCATATCGTAAGACAGTCAAATATGCAATGAATCTTCAAATCTCCCGGAGATTCCCGTTAAGGCAAACACCCAGATCATGCAAACATGCCTCCAGTAGAGAAGTAGAGAAGTATCGTGGATCTGGTGAAATCGTTGACTCATGATTGTCCAGGCATCCAATATTTTCTAATATTCATTAATAAAGCTGTAATGAGCTATATGAATAAATGTTCCCACGTATCCTTGGCAAGAGTTGTTCTTTGCAAACCAAGTCTGTTGACATGCACGCGAGGTATTTCGTGCCTGAGGCTTTCATTACAACCTTCATGCCTCAGGTGTGATCAAGTGATGAGTCAGCGTCATAACCTTCCCCCAACTGGAGAAAGAGAAAGTGTTTCTGTTCCCTAAGCCACCCGCAATTGGCGGGTTCAATTGCGTGTGTTCCTAGTCATAGACTGCGGGGCCCTCAGCCCACTTCAAGCCCCCGGTCCACAGTCCTCCATAGGGTTACCACGGTGCAAAGGCCCAGACTGGATCTGATCTGACACTCCGCATCCCAATGATGCGCAATACCGGTTTACGGGAAAGAGATTCAGGGCGAATCCTCCACACCCCCATGAAAAACTCCTGATTTTTTCCGACTTACTTCCAGATTCCCCCTCATCACCTTCTCCCGCCGTCGCGAACTGTTTCATAATCACCCGGGTCATGACGTCAAGCGCGACCGGATATGCCGCACAATAGAGAGGACTGACTTTCGACGACCCGGGATCAGACCTCGATTACCCGATGGTTCTCGTGCCATTCTCGGCCGAACTTGACTAAGAAAAAGAAAATAAAAGAGGGGGGAAAACTCATGAGGTGATTCACTCATGCCTCCGCTCTTCGGACATTTTTCCTCATGAAGAGCTAGACATTTTCTCAAGCTGAACATCGTCAAGTTGCAGTGGACACTTTGGTTCCCAAGTCGGTCCAGACATGAAGATCCATTCCTCCAACTGCCCACCCGTTAGCTTTCTATTGGTTGGAAAGTGGTAGCTAGAGTTTTACCGTCCGTTGCACGCTCATGGCGGATACGCAAAAAATAATAATAGAAGCGGATAGGTACGTGCTTGCCCTGCAGCGGGGCATGGTGGAGGGGTAGACAGGACTGGACTTTGTAGCAGCTCTGATTTGTGAACTGGGACAGCAATTTTGGCTTGACCCAGTTTACGTTGCCTCCACGGGTGATTACCAAAGTACTTGCGAGGCATGAAATTCTCTACATAACAGAAGTAAACATGTACATTTTCATGTTCCATAGATATGGGTACAGTGTTGAGAAGTAAGGGTTATCGTAGGAAGTTAACCAGCCATGGGTGATACCTACAATGTGTACCATAACTCCTCCGCCCATAAACATAAATCCTTGGTTTTTGACATTTGGCCCCTCCCAAAGCCTTTTTCTTTTTCCAGATAAAATTGAATAAAACTGGATCCCGGAAATCAAGTCCCTCTTATAAAAAGGCTGCTGCCAACTTAATCTCTTGCGCCATCGCACCCCCGTGTCAACTCATCTGCAAGCAATCGCATTTGCTATAGGCCCCAGGGTCTGACTGTCTCCAGACTAGGGCAGTTTAAACTCTTGATTTCTATCCAGCGCATTTACACACATAATTTGCTGGCTCAAGCTTCCCACCCAAATTACGAATCACCTTTGCCACTGTTCCTGAATAAATCATGTCTAATAAGCCGATCTATGTGGCTGCGCACCCGCGCGCATGCTCTACTGCTTTTGAGCGAGTATGTGAAAATCTTATATTCATTGAGCTAGGAGCTATGAGTTGTGAGCTATGAGCTACGAGCTAATCCAGTACAGGTCTTCATGACTCAACGCGATACCATTCAGTGTGTCCATGAGCCTTTCGGTGATGCCTGGTACTACGGTCCTGAGCGACTGGCCGACCGCTTTGAAGATGACGAACAAGCTCGTCTGGACAGTGGATTCAGTAACTCGACATACCGCACTGTGTTGGATAGGCTGGAACGTGAAGGCTCCGAGGTCCGACCCTTTTCCCTGCGCTGAATTTTCCCCCCCTTTACCCCTGCCGTGTAACATGTAACCTACACCTGTACACGGGTAGTGGAGATCACCATGTATTTGCGGGGTCTTCTTTCTCATGAACCCAGGACCGAGAAATCGGTCCTGTCGTCGCTGTCATTGCTGGACTGTTTTCGGTGAGCAGAAACTTACCGTCATACAGGGAAAGAGAGTCTTCATCAAGGACATCGATGCCTACCTACTCCCGCCAGGTGGAAAACCAGCAAGCATCGCCCCCTCACTGCGACGCATCAAGCGTGGTGTAGGCACCAGCGACGAATCGGCCAATGGTGTGACCCATACCAACGGCCACTCCGTCGGTACAAACGGTACCTCGAACGGAGCGAACAGTGTCAACGGCCATGCCAACGGACACAGCGAGAATGGTGTGAACGGCGACGCCAACGGCAACAGCAACGGAGCCAAGCGCACCCCATACCCGTACGACACGCCCAAAGAACCTGGAAACCCAACCGTGATGCCTCGTGAGATCCAAGAGCGTTTCCACTGGGCATTCCTGATCCGGGACCCGCACCACAGTATCCCGTCGTACTACCGGTGCACAATCCCGCCCCTGGACGCAATGACAGGCTTCCACAACTTCGACCCCAAAGAAGCGGGGTACAACGAACTGCGTCGCCACTTCGAGTATCTGCGACGGGAAGGCCTTGTCGGGCCCCGGGTTGCTATGCGGCCGGATCTATCGCCTGAGGCTGGTTCCGAGGCGGATAGGGAGACTGTTCATGAGATTTGCGTGGTGGATGCGGATGATATGCTTGACGCGCCGGCACCGACTATTGAGGCGTTCTGTCGTAGTACTGGTGTTCCGTATACGCCTTCCATGTTGGAGTGGGAGACGGAGGAGGATTATGCGTTTGCATGTGAGGCTTTTGAGAAGTGGCGGGGATTCCATAATGATGCCATTGAGTCGAAGGGTTTGACTGCTAGAGCTCATGTAAGTCTGGAGAGATCAGAGAAAGGGAAAGGAGAGGAACATGGCTAACTTTCTCAGAAACATGCTCCTAAGACGGAGGAGCAGTGGGATGCTGAGTGGTTGAAGAAGTATGGGCCTGAAGGCGCCGCTCTCATCCGTACGACTGTCGACCAGACCATTGACGATTACCTTTACCTGAAGCAGTTTGCCATGAAGGTTTAGATTTTCATCGGAAGTGACACGAAAGAAAGAAAGAAAAAAATCAAAAAAAAAGGAATCCTGGGGGAAGAATGGGGAAACCCCATGTTTTGAGCATTAACCCACGAATATTGCTTTTCACCCTTATGAGAACTATTTAGTCCGAATCACGCCATCTCCACCCGTCTACGGAGACGGTGGGATTGGTGGACGACGTGACGATCCTGCATCTTTGTGTTTCATTTGTGCTTTGTCCTACACCGACTTTGTATCTGCAGTTTATGCGAGGATGTTATGATTGCTGTTCTTTGTGTGTAGGAAGATTGAATATCGACTTCTGGCTTGGCTTGCTCTGGAGTAATGTGGCGTATACATAGATAAAATTCTATGTTAAGCGAGAAATATGGCTTACTTAGATATTATACGGAGGATCAATTAGTGTTTATATCTGTCTAGATCTCCCGTGAAGCTATCCCTAGACTACGTGGTCTGGGGAACGCCAACCTTGGCAACGTGTCCGGGTCAATGGGTGTATTATCCAACCAGTACCAGCCATTCCGGGCCTTGATCCATGTGACATTTTCTTACTTCACTGATCTATACGTATATGCGACTTCCAATGGATATCGAATACATTTAAACCATCCATTCAAACTACAGTCCATGTACCACAATCATCCAAGGTCGAATCAAGCCTATAATTCTTCGGCTCACATCTAGCGCCAAGACTAACGCTCCAAGCCATAAAGGCCCCCCAAAAGGGCCAATTGACACAAGCAAAGCAGGCAATCCCAAAATACATAATCAGGTGCGAATGACCTCACACAGCGCTGTATCCGCCCCTCGTTCCGCCCCCTTGTAGCGTGCCCAGCACGCGGCGAACCCAGTCCTGGAAAATATACGGGATATCACGCAGATTATCGCCGTGGGGAAGAAGATCCCAACCACGAGCGCCGTGGCGGTTGTAGTTGAGCCATGAGCCGAAGATGAGGTAGGCTGCGACGGCAAGGAAGAGACTAGTACATTTAGCCGATGATCATGCAAACAAGCAAAATGGAGTCGCAAAGACAAAGGAAAAGAGACTCACATGATAATCAACCAGGTAAAGAAACCCCAGTGCTTCGAACTATCTCCAGAGCCAGAGTTCCCGCCGTCGTAATTGTCACATGCATATCTTGTCCGCCAGTTCAGTTTCAGTATATAAACGTTATCGTCATTCGGTCCGAAGCTCTTGAACTGTAGACTTGGGTCCTTTGACACCTCGTCCCGTCGTCGTTTCTCCACATCTTCCGTATTCGCCAATCCCTCTAATCCGGATCGGTCGGGGTCGCACTGGAAATCAATCACAGCTGCCGCAGGCTTCTTCTTTGCGTCTGCCTCCTCCTTGTATTCACCACCGGACATCTTGATGCGCACGCCTTCCTGCGCCTCGTCGATTTCCTTTAGTTGCGTGACTTCCGGATCCTTTCCGCCTTCGCCTAGGTGCTCGAGACCAGCGAGGGAGTAGGCCCAGTGGGAACCGCCGCCATCTTCAGTGGATGTTTTGATGAATCCGCAGACTACATACGTCAGTTCAGTTCAGAGAGATTCGCGCGACAAGCATCCCGGCGTCAATGCGATACTCCCTGTTCGGAGCGGTTGGAGAATTGGACACGTACTGTTCTTGGTCGTCCCGCATTTACCCTCCGGACGATTCGCCGCGCCCTTGAGGTTATTGCAGATGTTAAGCACGTAGGTCGTATTGGTCACTTGACCTGCTGTCTCGTTTCCGGATGAGTGCACAATCTCGTGAGTCCCGCGCAGTCCACTGAGATCGTATGTATGCTCCTTCGTCTTAACGTCGGCGCAGTCGAAAATGTAGCCGGATGCGAGTGGCAATAGTGCCGAGAGTAGCAAGGCTCCACTTGATTGTATTCGCATGGCGGTGGTCTATCGTGTGTGACGGGTGATGAGTGGGTTCGCGATTCCAGTCGGGAGCTCAGGAGCTTTGGAGGTGGCTTCGTAGCTGGACTTGGACTCTGTAGATCCAGTCTCGGTCTCGAGGGGCTTAGGGAGCGGAAATGAGTGACTGGGTGGATGGGTGGTGGTGGAAGCTTGTGTTAAGCTGAAGATGGAGGATTTGCGGAGGTGTTTTCGTTTCTCCGAGGTGGCTTGTTACTGGCTGCTGAGTGAGCTATAGGCAGCACATCAAGGGGTCACCCAACTGCCCGACAATCTATCTGCCTTAGGACTCGGTCTGGACAGTCGGAATCTTGGAAGTTTCAAGATATGATTAGATGGAAGGTTTTGAAATGGAGTTTGTCTTTGGGTGATGATGTCACCCGACCGGGAAAAGTGACATTGTCAGTCTGTAACGGAGTACTCTGTGACTATTGATACCAATTCAAATATGGTAAGGAGTATAGCAGTAGAAATGAGAGTACTCTACTTATAAGATATCCATAGCTACAAATACAGTTTGACTTGTTTCCCGATTTGCTTGCACTGTATCTCAACACTGAAAGCCTAGATCACTGATATTACAAGTGGCTAGACAAATATTGAAGCCAAATACCTACGGGCTCAAGATTTGAATAAATCCAATGAAATACAATATACTAGTAATTATTACTCCCAAATCCCTATAGAGCCTCAATCAACATCAAGCTCTGGCCCACAAACCACAAACCAACAAACCACGTGCGCACGGACCAGTTCAAATCCCATCACCAAAACCTCCCCAAGGCCAACCACGAAACTACGTCCTCCTCAATTCCAGAGGCAATTCACACAAAATGGTTCAACCACGAATGGTAAGCATATACACCCCCAAGTCCCAAGTCCCGGGTTAGGTGGGTAGAAGTCTCACTACCCCTCCATCCCACCTTAGCCTTGGCAACGGAACAAGAACAGAACAGAATCAGGGGAACTAACGCGGACACTTACAGCTTTCAAGAGAGGAAGAGGGCTCCGCTGCTAGCGAGGAGAACGAAGTTCGTCGCGAGGATCAGGAGAAGATTAACCGGTTTAGTCGGCTTCATCAGCGCGAGACGGTTTTCTTGGATCAATTGAAGGCGAAGCAGGTATGTTTTTCATTCTTTCATTCTGTTTGTATGGAGTTGACAATTTTATAGAAGGATAAAGAGGATCTGGAGGAGGTTTCTATGGAGCTGGAATTGGCTGATGAAGATGATCTTGTTCCGTACGTGATGCATTCTACTCTACTCTTTATGGACAATTGCTGATATTCATAGATACAAAATCGGCGACTCATTCTTTCAGCTTCCTCTGGCTGATGCACAGGCCATGCTTACTGCATCGACGGAGCAGATTGACACAGATGTCTCCAAGTTGGAGGATTCGATTAGTGAACTTCGCGAGGAGCTGCAGCAGCTCAAGGTCTCGCTGTATGCGCGATTTGGCCGGAGTATCAACCTGGAAACCTAGTCTGGCCTGATGACTATGAATTTCCTGTCCTTTAAATAGAAATAAGACGAACAATATATCAATAGGACAAACAGTTCTACAGGTACTCTTAAAAACCCGGTTCTGAATGTAATGTAAAGCATTACCCAACCTGCCAATCTGTCGACCACAGCTCGTAATATCATTCAAGTCGGAAATAAAAAAAAGGTATCTAAGGGGACAAGAGAAAGGTATAGAAATAGGCAATCCGCCAAGATATCGCCCATCAAACTCGAAATGAAAATCAAAAAGCACGCCGTAGCAGGTATGTAGAAAGGGAAAAGATTCGACAGAAACCAAACAACGCCCATTCTCCAGTGCAGTGCTGTCCAGCCAGTGTAAGGGTCCCGGAATAAGAAAATAATTGAAATATCGTCCGCCACTGTTTTCTCCCCTGGGGTATGATATTTACGACTCCAATGTCTCGTATCCGGTATTTTCAGTCATGGATTTTGGTGCCGCTTTACCGGAATTTAGCACGGCAGCGGCCCATAATCTCATTTTGACAAACCAGTTCGGCGCTGAATTCACTGCCGTCCAAAGTGAGGTAGATGTCAAAGTATACCCGGTAGAAGACACCCTGTGGGGTGTCCATACGTTCAAAGTCAGTCTCCAGGTTCTTGCGCGACAAATCTGAGGTAAGAGTGACAACTTCCTTGATGCCTATGAGATGATAAGTAGAGTTCACAGCGAATGTACGAGCAAGGGAACTTACGAGGATCCTTGGTGTACTCGGGGCAGACATCTTCGTCGCAGGCGTATAGAACATCCTCGTACATTAGGGTGGCACCTGGGGCCACTTGACGGAAGAAGCTGACCTTGACGGGTTCTCCAATCTTGACACGCTCGCCCTTTTGAACAAAGATCTGGCGGGTGTACTTGCATCGGTCGCGGCCATCCAAGCTGGGTACTCGGTATTGCTCGGGGTGGTAACCTTCTTTGAATGGCTGCAAGGTGGCCATAAGGTAGTGTCGACGGGCGACACGGTGAGTAATAACTCGCTCGGTGATACCGGCAGTGACGGCACCCTTGACAATGGCGGCCACCGAGTCCATAGGGCGAACAACCTTGGTTTGATATTGAGGAGGGACGTGAAGTTTGATTTGCTGGAAGAGGTATTCGGAGGCACCAAATCCACCAACGACCAAAACATTCTAGATAAGTCAATAACTGTGATGTCATTAGAAGGATGCATTTCGTACCTGGAGCAAGCGGTTTTGTGCTTGGATAGCAATAATCTGGTTCCGGACCAGCTCCAAAATGCGGTTCACCACAGGCTCAAAGCACTGGAGGATTTCCTCGTTGGTGAAAGTCATATAACCCTCCTCGATTCCAGCATCAGGGAAGTCTGCTTCGATACCAACATCAACAGCCCACTTCTGTCCGTTGTTACGGAAGTCAGCTTTGATGCGGTTCTCAAAGTCCATAATACATTTGGCGTAAACTTTGCCAGCCGTTCGTGAGCCATCAGGCAGCTTCATCTTTCGGATCTTGGCCCGCAAGATGTTGCTAAAGTTGCGGTTGAGCGCTGTCGAACCACAGGAGTCACCCGAACCAGCGGTGCATTCCATCACACTGAAGGGCTGTTCCTCCTCCACCTCGTATGCGATTAAATCAACGGTACCACCTCCGCAATCTACGATCAAGATCGCGTCACCAATTTTTAGGTTCAGCAATCCAGTCTTCGCACAGAAGAGGGCTGCGGCCTCTGGTTCTGAGACCAGTGTCAACCGATTGTCATTTTCGTCGCGCAGGAAACCAGCCTGGATGGCGGCGGCACGAGTAGCCGCTTTGCCCGCGTCATTCCAGATGGCCGGGACTGTCAAGTAGTAGCGAATGTTGCGCTCCTCACGAGTGAACACCTCACCCAGGGTCTTCTGTAGTTGGGCGCGCATCGCCTGTCGTAGCTTGAAGAGGTAATCAGCTGCGACATCGATCTCGGACTTGCCCGGGGGCAGTGGGGGCAGGTTGATGGGATCGATATAGGTGTTTCCAGAAAGCATCAGCTGAAGCTTGAACCACTCTACCTTCTGCACACCCGGCTTGGGGTATCCGGTAGGCGCCAGCGCCTCGGCGATATCTGGACCCCAGCCCACGACTTTCTGGTATTGATCATAGTAGAGGACAGTGGGAATCTAGATATAAATAAAGGTTAGAAAGTGCGTAACGAATAGTCGACTATACGCACCTTTTGTTTGGTATGAGTTCCGGCACCGGGCCATTCTGTGATGATGTCCTCCCTGGCTTCATTGTTGGTTGCAAAGGCGAACGCGACACCAGAGAAAGTGGTACCAAAGTCAATACCAACGATCAGCTGTGCCTTGCTGCGATCTGCACTCTGGACCTCGGCCGGGTTTCGTGCTATGTACTGCTGAGGGATACCAGCAGGGGCGCCGTGCCCTAGCTGCTGTGGTTGCTGCATGCCATATCCTGGAGGCGCATTCATTTGCTGTGGGATAGGTTGACCGTATTGATTCATGGTGGAAGGGTTAAGCGGGGCGGGATGTTGGACGAGTTGCTGACCAGGAGCCAAGGGGCTTGTTGGACGGTTGGTGAGACTGTTAACTGAATAACTGGGCGGTCGGCCCGTAGTCGTCTGGGAAAGACTTGTGGTGGAGGAACTGCGGTTGGAAGGAGGTGATGTGGGAGAAGAACCGATGGAGGGGACAGGGTTGACGTTGGGGGTGGGGAGTGGAGCGGAGTTGTGCTTGTCTTTACGTCTGGGAAAGCCGAACGACTTGAATCGGGCGCTCATTAGGTCGGGCATATGCGGCGGCCGCTTGAGAGGGGGGGGTTGGTGGATAAAAGGTAAGAAAGAAAGAGATGGGGGGGGGGGGAGGGGGTGCAAGGCTGAGCTTGAAAATACGAGTAAAAACAAACGGTGTGGATCGACTGTCACTCTTCAGCCCCGGCAAGGGATCGAATATGGAAAAAATACACAAAGAGTGTGGCAGAGCCTAAGGATTGAGAAAAGGATGTGAGGCTGAAGAAGAATTGGGGTCGAAGATTATACTTAGTTATAAGTGGGTAAGGGATGAAGCTGAATACAACAGGCCCCCCTCATTTACATGTACGTACCGAGATAGTTAGCCCCAGCGAAACTTCAAGTTGACTCGAATTTCTATAATTCTACTGTGTATGGTATCATGAAATTGAACTTACTTCTTTTAGAAACTACTAGTTTCACTGATAGTACTAACTTCCTTTTATTTACGTTTTATACCTGTGTTCAAAAGACCCACGGTTACGTCTGAATCAAGTTCTTTGTTTCGCCCCCAACTTCTAACCATTGGGGCCAACTAATCGGAGATTTTACAAAATTACCAATTTACCAATTTACCAATTTATCATACGAGGTTGGAGGATTTAGGTGGTCTCAGCCACTTTTCTCACTACCCAATGCGAAGGCTGATACAAGTTCTGAAGCATGCTATCAGCATCCTGAATATAGCCGCAAGACCGCCGATCGCCCGGCTGTGTCTCGAAACGGAATCCCATGCGTTCAACTAAAGAAACCACTTCCTCCTCTGTCAATTCCACATTACCCGGCTCACCAATACCAGTCGCGTCACCATCATTGTCTTTGTGCCCGTCCTCGAAATGCCATAACAAAGGACCCACGTTGATCCAGATTCCATTCGGCTTGAGACAGTGCCGGATCGCCTCGATGTATCGAATCAGATTAGGTGCCGTGTCGATAAAGAACACCGTTGCCACCGCGTCGAACGCCTCCCGATTCTCGGGTTGGTTATATAGAACCACAAAATCCGCTGCCGACATCGACATCGTTCCAATATCACTTGAGCCTGCAGCCTTCATTGCTGTTCCAGGGTGCACATCGGGGATCATGACAGACCGCAATTGTTGCGCGCGAGACTTCAGATTGGAGAAGTGCAATGCGAAAGGGTGGAGTGCGTGGGCCTGAGGTCCATCGGTGTGGTTGAGAACCCAGCTACTGGCCAGTAACTGGTGGTACGAGATCTCGTTGCCTTCCGCGTCAAATCCAGCCAAGCAAACTTCAAAGACCAGTCGTCCCAACCCGGCACCAGGGACCAGGACTCGGATCTCTTCGCCGGCGGCACGGCGCGTCTGAAATTCATTGCGCAGATCCTGGAGGACGGGGTCGTAGCAGACCTCGCGCTCAATGCGGCCTTCGGCACTCCAGTCACGGTAGAACTGCCGGATGGTTGAATGGGCTTTGTTCACATCGGATGATGTCGCAGTTCCGTGCCAGTTCTTGGTTGGGTCGTCTTTATCTGGGGTGGCAGAAAGACCAAATGACTCCAACCCGACGCTCAGGATGGCATCGGCGATCTCAGCATTGGTGTCGATCGCATCATCTACTTTGTTGAACTGGTCCAAAATGGAGAATGGTGGCTCAGACAGCATTTGCCAGTGCTCTGAAGGCAAGGCGTAGAAGGCCTGTCGGCGGCGATGTGTCGTATTTTGATGGGCATTTCGCCGATATTGCCTGTGGCGTACTTAGCAGAGGCCCGTTTCAACATCTTTGACAGTCTATGATTAAAATTCTATATATATACTCACCTGAACGAGTCGAATGTAGCGAAAAGGACCCGCCGTTCTTCGGGGTCAGCGAAAGGATCAAAATCACCTGCCCAGCTACGTTGATCCTCCTCTTCAACAGAGTGATCGTGCTCCATAGCGGAAACACTCGGAAAGTCCTGGGTTCTTCTATGGCCTGCTTGTCGTGATGATGCTTGATAGAGATGCCTTTGGTTTGTGCGGTACGGGCAAAATCGACCGGGATTGGTGGATCGCTTGTTTTGCCGCATGGTGGGGGAACGCATATAACTCCGCCAAGTAACCTCCCGATCACAAACCGACTCTTTCACCATCGCTGACATCCACATTCATCGGCATGGCGACTACAGCACAGTCTGTTGCTCCACACTCGGAATCAGCCTCCCCCAATCTCCAACCACAGGAGATCTCTTTCCCACTGCCCAAAGCTTTGCATACCACAGCGCATGTTCATTTGACATTCCTGGGAAACTGCACGACACTCTTTTTGACAACTTCTACCCCTGGTGACTCAGCGGGCTCATATAAGCCACTGGGAAGCTTTGTGTATGCAATGCCGGATGTAAGTCACGTGTGCATATGAATTCTTTGACATTCGTGCCCATGAAAGTACTTTAATATCCTTTTTCCTCATCATGATATTCATCCTTCATTGCTGCACCATTTCCAGCTCTTCATACACCTTTAATTACCTAAGGATCCTTATCTGACTACTACGATGCATGACATATTCACAAGAGCTCCCAGGCTCTCACTCCGAGCTGTGGCTAACTTATCAAAGCGCACATCATCAAAACAAACAATATCAACCACCATCTACACCGCGCCATCAAGCATCGAGTACACTACACGAGTGGCCAAGATTCTGGCTCGACGAACCGGCAAGCCTATTTATGTCGGCTGTAGCATCGATCCAAACGGACTTGGATTGACCGTTGAAGAGGAGATGGAGGGTCTGTCGAAGATCGTGAATGTTATTACAGAGAAATTTGCATCCCAGCAACAATAATACGTTATGTACCAACCGCATTCATTATGTGGAGCTAGGACTTCTCCACATATCCACTCATGATGGAGTTGGGGTCGAGCTTGGTTGAATGACTAGAATTTTAAATTTTCATAAGCAGCACAACTGCATCGCTTTCATGCTGACACCAATGTCAACCTGCTTTAGAAAAAATCTCTTATTACTCCAATTCTACCTACTGATCTCTCGGCTATATTCGAATTCGGAATTGAATTATAGCAAACTTGGAAAATTCCGATATACCTGAGCCATCCCGAATCTGATGAGAAATGATGGTGCCACGTTATCTTCATTCATCTCCCATCTTGCTTCCTGTACCACAGTTTCTAACATTTGCTGAGCATCCCTTTCCTTCAGCTTGACAAGAGGTGAAGGATATGGAGTACGTACAATCATCATTTATCAAACACTAACCAGTCGCCATCAATGGTTATAGCTTTCACCTTGAGATAATCATCACAGGAATGACACGCTTTCCTCAGCGCAGCTGATGCGAGAGTTGGGAAAACTGTCGCCTCGACCTTTGGAGTACTTGAGGAGATCTGGTGATATAAACAGAATATTTTATTGTCCAAGTCTCCCTTGATAACTAGATTCCAGTTCAAAGAGGTCGAATTGCATAAACTTCGAGGTTTGCTGGTCATATCTAACTGCCCTATAGAGAGCAGAAGTGGTTGGATCCGGCCTTCCTCAGGGACCCTGCAGTACCTCACTAAACAAAGAGTGGTAGAAATGAATTCTTTGCAGCATTTCCATTTACCATGCCTTGGCCTTTGTGGTGATCACAAAGGTAAACCGTAAATATGAAAACTGACATTGTGGATACTTCTCTAACCAGACTCCTTTATTGACTAAACATATGCCCTTCATACTAGCAATCTTCTTTTCGACTCAACAATCAAATATTGGTCACCAACCTTGGAACGCCAGTTGACTCAATCATCGCTGCAGAGCTCCCAATTCATACTCGCTCCAACTACCCCGTGTTAATGTCCACTCTGTTCCATCTGAAGGAAATCTTGAAACCTCGGAGCGCTTACTACAGTGGGACAGGGCAGTGAACTGTACTCCGTATGAAAAACTTCACCGACATTCGTCAATGGCAGCGGCAAACCACAAGTGCCGAGAGACGTCAGTGGCATAGTGAGGCAAAATGATCTGCGCGATCGCCAACCGGCAGAGACTTTCTCCCCTACAACAAAGTGCGACAATTATTCCTACTAATCCTAATGCATTTCCATTAGGCGGTGGCGATTAAAAGAAGGATAACTTTAGTCGCTTACACGCGGCATCATCGCCATCACACAGGTACAGAAGATGATCAGAAGATGATCCCGGACCATAACGCCGTCAAAGACTATTAAATTACATTGCAACCACACAAGGCCGGAGAATGCAAAAGCGGGTTCCTGGCGTTCGCGTTGGATTTGGGGCGTCGGGATAGTTAGGCTTAGGCTAGCAGGGATGAACACCTCGGTTGGAAGGGAAAAGAGAACCAACACAATACCAATACCAACACCAACACTAACACCAACCAACCAACCAACATGACAGCACTAACCAAATCGAATCATGTACTCCGCGCCTATACCGGAAAATATGAAAACTTGTCAGCATTTGAAAATGAATCGCATCATTTACTGTTCACTGTATCTACGTCATCGGCGCAAGCCAAGCCAAGCCAAAGACAATCGATTAGACTCCCGCGATTTAGACCACGGAGCTCTCCGGTCTCAGATAGAAAGTGTCTTTCTGTCTGTCAGGTCACAGGGCCAGACAAATCGGAAGAGCTCGGTTAGTGGCCGGTGTTTCATCTCGGATCGTTGTTCCCGCTGTGGGGCATTGTAAAATAGGCTCGAAAAACAACTGGGACTGGAACTGGAACGGGGCTCGGTGAAGCTTTTCCTTGAGCCATAGAAAAATAGCCTGGCGGGTTGGTGGTACGTGTCTGTACCTTGGATTGATCGCCGTTCAACCTTTTAGTGGGGACTTGACTGGGAACGACTGGGAGGACCAAGGGGTTGTCGGATCGGGAAGCATCGGGGATCGGGGATTGGAATGAAAATTCAATGGGATAGGTTAGGGGGTCAACTGCTACGTGGGTAGATGGGACTCGCTCGCTAGTGAATGGCTTGGGCTAAGGGAAATGAATAAGTATGTATTCTGGGTCTCTGGTTGGCGAGTGTCGATCATCGAGGCAACCGGAGTACATGCAGCATAACTTCCGACTGGCAGCACGGCACGAACCGAGTACTTCAGCCGCGTCGAGCAAGAGTTTATGAATGGGAGACTTTCCATGTGCATATGCACTCTAGATCAAGGATACCCGCTGACGTGACATTAATATTAATTTCAGGGAGGGGAGGGGCGCAAATGGCGCAATTCACATAGCGCAGGACTGGAGCGTAGAATGGACCATTCAATGAACCGTAAAACGCTCTTAGAATGGTGACTGGAGACTTGGACTGGAGTGGGTGCGGGGAAATAGTTGTCGTATTCAGCCCTGAGCATCACGACCCGCGCGCCAGGATGAGTGATGCAGGGCTTATATCTTTTTTCTCCCATCCAATGATCTCAATGTATTTTATTTCGTGGCTACGGTACCGGGAGTTCCCTATCATTTTGGTCTAGCATGGAATGCATGTAGGTACCTGGTCCTGTGATCATGGATCCAGCGCCATGGGAAAGACCCAAACCACCGGACTGGTTAAGGAGATATTATCCGGCAGGTCGGTCGGCACATAATCCTTGTACTCCCGTAGTGATCAAAGTACACCAAGCCCGTGTTTGCGCTCGGGGCGTGCTAGGCCGCCTTGATCTCCCCTTTTGCGGAGTCTCAACTGGGGCCGGAAGTTCAACGTTCGGATAAAGGTCGGTTCTGGACTGGACCGTTACTAGATCGGGGGATTGTTGGAGATTAACCAGCTCGGCAGAGACCGAAGAAAGAAACGATTGTCCAGACTTTCCAAGCCCTCATCCCCTTTGCCACTGGGTCCGGGCCAACATCCGGACTGGGTTTCCATGTGGTCCGGTGTGGCTTCCGAGCGATCATCCATTTTGATTTACTAACCGTGCAGAATGATGAAATGAGGCGCAGTCAAAAGATCTTCATGAGAAGAACATTCCAAGTTTTGAAGAGGTCAGAAATTAATTCCTAGCCAGAACAAGAAAAGGGGGAAAGTGCATGTTTCCCTCTATTCCCTTGACGATCTGTCACGGACCGCTCGATGGCTCCAAGTGGGACCCCGCTAACTCTGCCGAGGGAGAGTTTACCGACTCAAATGTTAAAACATTAAATCATTACGGAGTACGGAGTACAGTTTCACCAATTCCGGATCGAGAAGCACACTGGTGCCATATCAAAGTAATAGCAATCCACGCCGATCTCGGGGGTCTGATCTCAAGAGATTAAAATTGAATACAGAATACAGAACCAAACTGTCGGGCCTTAGGTCTATCAGTCATTTCGGCTGAAGATTCCTTAATCTCTCCACGATCTGACTCTTTGGGTCATTAATACCCGGACCCTGGGAGCCAAAAGGGTTGATCGTAATACTTTGTCGATCTGGTTCCTCCCCGGCTCTTTTAATTCTTCTCCTTTGAAACCTTCCCAAATACAACACACCAGCCTCGGCACTTGACCTATGATATTTTGAGATTGACTTTTGGCCTTTACCCTCGTTTTTACTCCAGAATGGACCTTGAATGACCCGTCTTTGCATTGGGGGCTAAGCGATCTGGGCCTGGAGTTCCCGTGGCGATAGCAACTTTCCGTCCACTAGCATTCTCTCGCGGCTTATTGCCAGTTCTATGATCTTGATTGGAAACGGCTGGACTCTTGGCCATCGAATGCGTTTCTGATCCTTTGCATATTCTTTTTCTCTAGGAGGAAGGAAAAAAGGTCCAAGAAAAACTTCATCTTGAATTTGGTTTTGTAACCCAGGTGCATCAAGGGATCAAGGATTAATTTCCTTCAGAGTTCAGAGATGAACCCTCTTCCCTTTCGATCGAATGTTCCAAATAGCTATGACTTGCCTCCCGTGCAGTCGGTGACGTCGGGCGCTTTCCCGGCTCCCGGTGCGATGCTTTCCGCCCCGCCAAGTAGACCCGACAGCGGGATGCGCATGTCACATTTATTGCAACCTGTGTCCCATACAGGTCAACAACCAATGCCTCAGGGACTGCCTGCAGGTCCATCGACTTCACCCTATGACCGTTATTATGACTCGGCATCGGGATCGCCTGCTGAAAACACCGGCATGCGCGACACCGCTCATATGGCTCCGGGGACCCCGGGACTGTACCAGACAAGCCCGATCGGACATGCTCTCGTTCAAAGTCAGTTACAGCAGAAGCGCGCGTATCGACAGCGCAGGAAGGATCCAAGTTGTGACGCTTGTCGGGAGCGGAAGGTGAAATGCGATGCGTCAGAATCGAGCAGCTGCACGGAATGCAATAATCGACGCGTTCGTTGTCAGTTCACCAAGGAAACCAATCGTCGCATGTCTTCTATCAAGCAGGTACAGGATATGGAGAAACAGATTGATTATCTCAAGGATGAGTTGATGAAAGCTAGAGCTGCGAGACTTCGTCCTGATCATATGGATGTGGATGATGCGCAGCCGTCGGTCAAGTTACCGGAGATTGATTACAAGCCCGCGCGACGACCGAAGATCTCTATCAACGAGGACCTATCGGCCGTGCGCAGGAACTTGCGCCAACATGGTCGGGGGATGTTGAAAATCCCGACACCTTACCAGCAACAAGGCGCCAAATCCCTTGTCTCGGGTGATGCGCCCGCTCTGCCTCCGAAGGACGTTGCGGATAATCTCATGGCGCAGTATTTTAACTGTGTCCACTCGGTCCTGCCGGTCCTCCACTGGCCTTCGTTCACCGCCGAGTATGACCAGGTCTATCAAAAAGGCTCCCTCGCTGGTGTCTCGAGTGAATGGGCTGCGGTCTTATTTGGCGTTTTCGCGTGTGGTGCTGTTCATACAGTGGACCCAAACCGTGAAGAGCAGGGTAAAGGATTTGTTCGTATTTCTAGCGGGATTATCGATGTATGGGAAGACAGCTTCAGCCTGGACCGGGCACGTGCAGCTTTACTTTGCAGCATCTTTCTCTACGAGGTCAACTCCAAGTCTGCGAGCTGGGTTTGGATTGGATCAGCGATACGTGTAGCTCAAGAGATTGGCCTGCACATCGAATCTGGGCCTTGGCCCGCCCTCGAAGGAGAAATGCGCAAGCGCCTTTGGTGGGGGTTATACACTTGGGATCGGTGGGTGCTACTGAATCTGGATCTGATATTTAGAACATGGACTTACACGTGACAGGTTACTTGCTCTTGAGATGGGTAAGCCAGTGGGAATCAATGACCAAGACTGCGACATTGACCTCCCTTGCCCGTTCGACGACCAATATATTACAGATGGGGGCAACTACCCAGAAAGCCCCCAAACAACCCCCATGCTAGCAACAATCCACGTGGTCCGCTCAATCGGCCAACTTACTCGCACCCTCAGATCTACCAGTATCAGCCGCGCAACTCTGGACACATTCGACAGACACTTCAACACCTGTCTCGCAACCTTCCCGCCACATCTCCACCCAAAGACAGACATGGACCTCGATCCCCGCTCCCTAGCTCCAATTATCTATCTCCAGAACGCCCGCCTCCTTCTCCACCGGCACAACATCACACCCTACTGTCAAGAACTTGACCGCTCAACCGCCATGGACTACTGCGTTACAACCGCGCTCGACACCGTCATCATCCTCTCCCGCTGCATGCGCACAAACTCCCCAACAGACTGGCGCGTCCTCTTCGCTTCATCCGCAGGCACCCTCCTCTGCACTCACATCTGGCGCTGCACACTCTTCCTCCTCTTCCGTCAAGAATTCGCCGCAGCACTCATATGCATCCAAGCCAGCGCAGCAATCGGCAACGGCCGCGCCACAAACGTCGCCTGCGGTCGATACCTCGTATTCTTCCTCCGCGTCTTAATCGACCGCTTTAGAAAAGATATGGGAACCCTGGACCAAGACGAAGAAATGATGGCTTACGCATCGGGTGATATGCAAGGGACCACCGACGGAAGCTGGGTCTGGCAGGGTAGCGAGACGGGCTCACATCTCGAAGCTGCGTCTGCGCGTAAATCGATACCCCCAGAAGAAACGTGGGAAACACCTGAGAATACGTGGGCGTGGATCGAGAGCACGGTCCATGAGTTTATCCTGGAGAAGCAGAGAAGAGATCAGGCTTTGTCAAGGGAGGTCCAGACTCCACAGCAGGAATCGGTTACTATGCTTAATCCCGAGGCTGCTTCGGATACGGATGGCCGGTCCAGTTCTGCTCATTCGCGTATGGATATTGCGAGTCTGATCTGATCTGATTCAAGCATGTTTCTTGATTTATGCCCAGGTGGCGGATTTGATTTCGTCTATACATTATTCTTTTGCCTGCATTTGTGCCCGTGGATTTATATACGATTACCCTCCACGGAGACACTCTTTAGGTGATCATTTGACTTCGTGGAAATACCCATTTTGTTTTTAGCCTCTGCTTAGTCAATATGACCATACATACATGAACTAAGTAATTGAGTACTTGAGACTTCTTCGTTGACCTAATCAAGATACAGATATGGTTTCAAATCCGATATTGCCTTTGAATAAGGAGCATTTGAGCCCTTTATTTGTCATGAGGAGTTGAAACAACGATCCTAGGTTTCATCAAAAGACTAAGCGGCCAAGAGCTTGCGTCGATTACACATGTGAATCAATTCTTTCTCTTTGCAACTTGCAGTTGACTGTCTTGCCCTGAGTATAGACATCTATAAGCATCTTGTCCTCTTCACTAGGGTTCTTCCAACCCCATACCACTTCCATGGTTTGGAACCCCCCCATTCATTCCAAGAATCACATGCCTATCTCTCTTCCCCTCTTATTTCCGTCTACTGTGCCCATGAGCCCCATTCATTGGCTGGAAATTGCTTCTTCGGATTTGATGATTGGCAGTCTCCAGCCCACATGCCACTTTGCCTCTTGACTCTTTCCCCACTTCTCCAGATACCCTGACGGTGCTCTTCCACCCCCGGCGTCCTTCCCGAATTTCAGCTACATTATACTCCTACTACTTGGGCGGACATTTTCAACATATGGGCTACATCTATCTGACCGTATAAAGCACTGCAGCGAGTGCCAGCAAGGACCCGCATCTTCCACTTTACCCGGGTGATCGGGTACAGACAATCATATTCTCTATCGGGTATGGTGGCCGGTTCTTGGGCGCCTACAAGGGTGATAAGCCGGACAAACAATGCTGGGTACCCAAGAGTGAACCGCACCCTGCCGACGAGCACGCTGGCAATCTAGATCAAGATCGAGCCTCCTGCAGACTGCAAACTCTTCCAAACGCTATGACATGGCTTGCAGTTAGATGGTAGCGTGGTCGTGAGAATAGGATCATGACAGCGAATGGCCCTACATCTTCTTTATCGATGAACTGCGGAACCTTGTTTTCTTTCACACCATCATGAACAGCCCCTGCAACATATTTTTTCATCTGGCTTTACCGACTTTTTCATCTTGTTGGAATGGGCAGCAACATTGGAGGCTCGAGTGGTCTTCAGAATTTTCGATTACCATGGTGCTGGGAGTTGAAGATAAATAGTGTGTTTTACGCCGTAGAATTTGACTTTTTTCTTTATCAAGTTTCCTGATTATAACAAGTCTACTCTCTACTTTATCCAGTGGAACCTCTGGTAGCATCCAAAGATACTTCGACTTTTGTTTTCTGGGCTATCATGAACCCATCAATGCTAGCGGCCCGGCCCGAGTCCGTGATCTCCGCTTTTGTGGCTGAATATCCCGCCAAAAGACCGTTCTACCAGCGAACCGCCAAAAAAGTGGAGGAAATATGCCACGATGCCCTCGACTGTGAAGGAATATCACATAGACCGAAGAGTCGCGCAAAGAAAACAGACAGCTTGCGCGAAAAGCTTCTGGAACGCGCAGAAGAGGGTCATCATTACCAGACGGAGGAAGATATACAAGACGACATCGTGGACCTTGCCGGTGTTCGCATTGTCCTTGATACTGCCGTGGATAAGGAGAGGGTCGAAAACATTATCTCTCGGAGATTTCAGATGGTGAAGACAAAAAACCATCCGGATCCCGATGTCACTCGCAAGGAGGCCAGGAAAAGGGAGGGCTATAAAAAGGTGTTCCCAGCCTACGTTGCTACCCACTATCGCGTCCGTCTTAAGAGTGAGGATCTGCTGGATGTTCTTGATCTGGGCGAAGCTGGAACTGGTGTGATTGAGATTCAGGTCAGGACCTTCGTGGATGATGTACATGCAGAGGAGGAGCACGAGGCCTATAAATCAAAGTCCGCGCCGGACCCAAAGATGGCGCCCATCTTAGACGCTCTGAGTGGAGCAGCCCAGCTTTTCAATGCTCTTGACGGGCAAGCGAAGGGAAGGAGAAGCAAATCGAAGGGAAAAGAAAACAGAGCTTTCACCAGTATCGACCAGCTCGGGAATTTCCTCGATAAATTTATCAAAGATAAGGCTGCGGCATGGGTAAGAGCTGAGCGGAAGGGTAATTCATGGACGCCGTTGTTCGCTTTCTTGTCGACGTTCACTGATAAGAACACACAATTGTCTTTGGAAGCGCTGCTGAGCGACAATCTCGATGCCGAGTCTGAATCCGTGTACAGGAGGATTTCACGCGTTTACACACTTGCCAAACCCACCCTGAACATATTTCTCATGGACCGAATACTCTTGGAGGATTTTGGGGAACCGGCACAACCCCTGAAAATGCCCGAGGATTGCGATTCTCATATATACAAAATCTTGACGATGAAGAGCACGATTATCTGGCTTCATAAGATTTTTTTACCTTCCGAGTCATGGACTTGGATCTTTGCCGACTCGGGAAACCAGGAATCTCTTCTTCAAAGTCTCAAATGGCTGGATGGCCCTCAAAAAGATCGTTTCGGGCAACCACTATTATCGAGTGATGTCGTGAAACTGGATTTTCTATGGAACTGGTTTGAAGACCAGGAAGCACGGCACATGCGGTTAGCCTTTACCATGGCTAAGCATGGTATGCGAAGAGACAAGGATCGGACACAGATCTTTGATGTTCTCATCAATGCATTATAGGGAAACGGGGTAAATTGAAAATAAAAATAGGGTGCTTTTCGTGTTTTGCGTTTGGTATTTATGCTTTTTATCCAAAAAGTTTGTCATTTGTTTATCGCTGAGAAATCGGTCAATATTTTTGCTTCGCCGGTATTTTCCTAGCTGTTTCGCTTCCAGATTCAAGATACCGCAGCTTTGGCGTCCTCTCTGTGCGTGAAAGCCAGAGCAACCCAAATTGTCTGCTGAAGTTCTGAATACAAGTTTCGCCGAGAATTTCCAAAGATTCCAAGACTCAAGATTCCAAGACTCGGGGTACTTTTGGTAGATAAATGTCGAGATTTTGATGTTCATATCTTCCTCAACGTGATTGGCCTTTGCTACCGAAGCAATGTGATTGCTCACATACAGCAAGACACTCATTTTTGTTGACACCCGTAGCCAATCAGGCTCCAAAAGGTCTTCGCGGTTTTGACCTTGGGAAAAAGGGGTATTGTAAAGTTTTTCTGCGGTTTGATACGGAAATGTGATAACGAAATGTGATGACTGAAAAATACCATCAGATCCAGATTGAAGTCGTCGTAGTACATGAGAATAACTCGTAGTCATTTGCTTCGGGTCTGGTGATTATGTCGTTCTTGCTCTGGGCTCTGGTGAGGAGCAGTCTCCAGATGATATATTCAGGTAAGTCAAACGCAACACGACGTCGCGATGGTATATCCATGGGTGAAACTGTAGCTCGCTGTATCAAACAGTCGATCAAAAGTCTGTACCTGCGTATTGTGACAGCCACCAAGACGGTCGCTAAATATTATTAGTCTCTTCAGGTTTTGCCAAAACCCACAAACCTGTTCGGTTAGTAGACACCCTTGCTACCAGTCTGTCGATTAGAATTCCGGCTCAAAGCGAATTGTGTACAAGGACAACAGTTCAAGATGGCCGTCGTCAAGCGAGTCATTGATGGTATGAGTCGTAGCAGTCAGCGATAGAATCCTGCTAACGATTCTGTTGAATAGGCACCAACCCCTCTCTCCTTTGGTTTCGTATAGACTCAGTCGTGAATGGAGGCACCCAGGCCGATAATGATAAGACTTCGATGCAAGAAGCCGCCATCTGGTTGCGTATGGCGGAGCTTGCCCATGAGGACGGCTGGACGGGGCTGTCTATAGTAAATCGGGTCCTCGAATGTTACCTTGACTGTGGCACCAGGCCTGGCGGGTGGGATATTACGCCGGGTGGACCAAGTCGTCTTGAGTGGGAGACGTTCAAGGAGAAATCACCGTTTTATACAGCTTGGCGTGAGTTTGCTTCTTTACACAGAATGTGATAGCGGCTTGAGCCAGTGATTGGTCGAGCTATTAGCTTGAACAGCAACATGCATGAGTATTCGCAAGGCACTGACTGGCTATAGGTCCCTACCCTGGAACCAATCGCAAGATGCCGGACATTTCCGGATACAGACCTTCAAATTTCGAGGCGCAGGGCTATTATCGTGCCATAATTGAGGGTCTTGCGATATCTGAGGATGGGAACTGAAGCCACAGTACTCACCTGTTTGTCGGATGTTGAAACGGCGGAGATCCTAATTTTTCACTTTTCAATGGCTGTTCTTGGGCCTTAAGCCATTATCGATGGATGGAAAAGAGGATGGATGATGAGAGGGAGAGGGGAAGTGGAAGTTTACTGGTAAAGAGAGAAGAGGGGAAGGAGCCCTTGCGCTATGCCTGCATGCTACCGGGGTTCGCCAAAAATATTCCAAATTTCCTAATCTTTATGCAACATCAGCGTCCATTGTTCGTGCTGTTATAGCTGGTTCTTTGCAATGAATCTTCTGTATTGTGCATGCTATATTCATTTTCTCGCCATTTGAAAGACACAAGAACAGTTTTGATTGTCCGGATAATGACATATCCCAAGATCGCTTTGATTGGCACGATCTACCTTGGGCCTTGAAGGCGATGCAGATTCGATGCAGATTCCTGACAGATCGGAACTAGAACTCGGTCCGAGCGTTAAAGTATCGATATCACATGCGCAGCGTCAGCCTGGCACTGGCTGAATTCATAGTCCAATCCCAACTGCATGTTTGCTTGACCAAACACGTCTGGATTCACACACCGCCTGAACATCTGTAAGAACCATTCTCTAACAATGCACCGGGTCAGATATGCTGACTCGATGATGGACTGAAGCCCCTTATTAGTACTTGGATTTAAATCCGAAGTCTACAAGTGATCACATCAGGCGACTCGTGTTATCCGACCAGTTACAGTGATCAGTATCACAAATAAGCAAATAAAATTGAATCTGCTTGCAAGGATACATCTAGCAGCAGAGGACAAGTAATGGACCAATGGCTAACCGGATGCCCGCCTGGAATATCTACCAATCAATCCGATACACACCTTTTTCTGCGGTGCCTAAGTAGCCCATCCATCCCGTGTAAAAGAGAGGAAGATATACTCGAGTCTCAGTTGTCGAATATCATTAGCAGTGATTTATGTTGCAATAACACGTTTGAATTTTGTGAACCTCATCGTAGTAGGCCTACTAAGATGTATACTAAAGAAAGAACATGTTGAACAACGAGGTCAACAAGCAAAATAAGGGTCAGGTGTGACCCTAGCGAGCACATAGAATAGCCCTATCCCTGACCCTATAGCCCGGACCCTATAGCCCGGTGGCCAGTCATATGTCCTCCCATATCGCTCGATATTTATCTAAAGTGACATTTATGAAGTCATGAGTGCACCATAGAATCAAGGAAAAAGTATGAACATCAATACGAAATCCTTGGGCTATTTGTAGATTTCGTCATCATTGCAAATCCAGGTACCGCCCAGAAGTCTCTCTCTTGATCCCCAACTCATCGTGGGTCCATGGGTGTCCAATGCTTACAGAAGCCTGGAATTCTTCGATACAATCTCGGAATTGAATTATTGAAGCCCAGTCCACTTCGATAGCCCCTATTTCACTCAAATTCTCACTTCCCCAACTGCTTCTCCTTCCACCACCTCGCAATCTCCCCAGTCTGCAAAAACTCCACCTCTCCCTCACGCTCCCACTCCTTCAACCACCCCAGCATCCGCTCCAACATCCCAATAACATGAGCCATACCACTCGTATCCGGATGCATCAAAACAGGAAATATCGGCTCCTCCTCGTTATCTCGAATCCATAAGAACCGATCGCGCCATAAATTCTCAATTACTCGCACATCCACATATCCCTGTGAGTTCTCGGTATGCGGCAGGAACTGCATCGGAGTCATGTCCTCCATGTAGTAGTTACATGGCACGCAGACGAGGGGACGTCTATCAGGTGGAGATGCAGATTCCTGGACGGGATGCATCCATGTGGAGGCTGGTTTGGAGAAATCGATTTGTTTGATAGGAGGGCGCTTGGGAGCGAAGAAGGGGTGGCAGTCGTTGTCGGTTAGGGAAGCGTCTAGAGAGGATGATTAGTGAGGCACGAAGGATTGGGAATACTGCACTGCATACCGTATTCGAATCCGTACTCCTCGAGAAGATCGAGGGTCGATTCGCGAAGCTGGTATAGTGGCGCTCGATAGCCTACGGGCTTCTTGCCTGTTAGGGTGTGTGCGATGTCCATGCATCGGACGAGGACGTCACGTTCTTGTTCGGGAGTGAGTTGGTACGCGCCCTCGTGTGCGTAGCCATGTAGGCCGATTTCGCAGCCTGAGTCGACGACTTGCTTGACTTCTTCGGGGAAGCTTTCAGCCGAGTGGCCTGGGATGAACCAGGTGCAGCGGTCGGCTATGTTGAGCTTTTTTAACATGCGCAATAGGCGAGGGACTCCGACGCGGGCTGCGAAGAACCCGGCCGAGTAATCTGCGAGAACGTTGTCGGGGTGTCCGTCTATCCAGGTTGATTAGCTTGGGGATGATGATTGTATTGGGGTATACTGACTTGTTCCGAGCCATCCTGAGACAGCGTCAAGATCAATCGAGACGGCGACGCGGATCTTGTTACTCTTTGGCTTTCCAAGGTCCCGAGGAATAGACTGTGTAGGTGCTCGGTTGGCTTCCAGCTTGGAGACTTGCGTATTGCGTGCAATTTCCTTCCCGCTGACCACAATGCATTGTCCGGAGACAGCACTCTGCTTGGAGGCCAAAAAGGCCATGGTTCGAGCTACATCAGCAGGGGCAGCCTTGTTGCCCGCATCGGTGGAACCAGTCGCCACAGCATTGATACGGCCATCAGGGTTGAGCTGCAAAATATCCTTACGTACAGTTTGAAGGAGACCGTAGTGAAGAGATCCCTTTCCATCAGCCAGCCCTGAGGCTGTCCCAGTCTCTGTCACAACAATAGACGGGTTCACTATCGTGCGCCCTGTTGACCGCTGGTACTTCTGTACGCCTTGCAAGAAATGTTTGATTGCAAGAAAAGAGCCGCGAACATTCGATCTATAACTCTTTTCCCAATCCCCCAGTGGAAGATTCCAAATGGGCTGCTGACTTGTCTCTTCATGTGCAGAGTTGACAATCAGAATGGTGGCAGTTCCAAATCTGCTCTCTGCTTTGGTGAAGCCAGACTGGATAGATTCTTCGTCTGTGACATCGCCATTTAGTATATGCAATCGAGAGAATCGATCAGCGTCAATCCCGGAGAGTTGCAGTGGGCTGTCATCGAAGGCTGTGACACGGCAACCGCAATCTAGATGATAGTCAGGTAATTGAGAAGGAAAAAGAAAATGTATTAGATATCGCAGGGCTAAAGTAAACAAGTATGGTGTACATATGCAGGGGGTTGACAGCGCTCTCTGACAGGCGATGTCACAGATGCAGATGACAGGAAGTCCAGTGTCTTCCGCCATTGCCAGAGTTTGCTCCGTCTCTCCCCGACATCAGGAATGAGGAATGGACTACAACCTACCTAGGAATTCCCGGACAGCCTCGCCCCCGATGGAGCCGGATGCCCCGGTAACGAAGACATGCTGGCCTTCCAAGCCCAGGGAGTGTTTAGACATTGTCTGATGACAAATTTCCAATTCCCCTTTACGGAGTATTGCTGTCTGGATTCTACAAGGGCGCTGTTGTGGTCCTGGCGAAAGTGGAACTTAGATTCGATAGTTTCCCGCGCAAAATAAGCTCTCTCCAACGTGCAGGTCTTCCCCAATATCCAGTATCTAACGATGTGTCAGTATGCAGTGCGCCTAGTGGACCACCACGGTCAGTCCGAATCTCACTCCCAACCAGATATTCTTCCTCTCGGACATCACCGTCTACTCAATGTACTGGCAAGAGAATCCCGATCGGGATGTATACATACCTGACCAAGAACTGACAGTGAATCCGATTAACTTTGCAGTGGATGCGAGACGTCTGTTCCTGCGTCTGTGCGCCACAAGCTGGCCAGACCTTGGATTTAAATGGGGCAGGACAAGCTTTGCAGATTCTGAATCCTTGTTTTATGCAAGTCGATCCAACGATTTGAGTTGGATTTAGCGAGAAGATTCAATAGTCGAAGCATTGCCAAGTTGCGCAAGTTGCGCAAGTTGCAAAGTTCATCACGTGAGGCTCTGACTAACAAGTAACGCTGTTTCATCAACTAAATTCTTTTACCACTTTTGTTTTGTCATATGAACTGATCACATTTATTAGAGAATTCTAAAGTTCTTGTCAGATTCTTTCAATGTTTTTAGATTGTTCCAAAGTAAGCACTAGAACCCCTTCAATCATGCCATGCAGCCATCTGATATCCAAGCCAAGCACCTACTCCGGCATACCCGGAACATAAATGGATATTGACTCCGTCCTGCGCTCAGACCTATGCCTACTCTCAGGCCCCGAGAACTGGAGCAAATCTAGGAGCAAAGATCGTATTCGGGAGTACTTCCCGTAGCCACAGCACGGGCCTAAGTGGATCAGAAGCAGGCACAACGCACGAAAACGCACAATCCGCCGTAAGATCGAAGCTGAGGCGTTTTCAGTACTCATGGCCCACAACATGTCCACATCCCGAATCAGGAATGGAGTGAACTTTCCACTTATATATGGTTCTATTTTGCGAGGTCTCGACTCCATACGTACGTACTACTTACTACTGGTTACGGTAGTTAGCGGGTACTCATTAATATAAATCTAAATCTAGCCAGATCGATCGGTGAAACGCGAATTAATTTCTGTTCATTAAGAGATCCAGAATTCATTTTATTTCGTTTCCTTTGCTTGTACTCCACTAGGCGCAGTATGGATTCTGGAGTCTCATAAACAAGCGACATCGGCAGAGCATCTTGCCGAGATTGGCGTTTACAGCAAGGCCCTTTCCGTTGAGGAAACATGGTCCTGGCTCGAATCGGAGGGTTGGGGGCTTACTGGCCCGGCGGACCGCGCTGGAGTAGCCGTGGGTCACCGGAACTCACTTGAAGTCAGTTTCGCAAACATATCTAAGTGGCTGATGGCTTAAAGTCAATTCATATTTTCTGAAAAGTGAAACCTTTACTTTTTCATTTCTTTCTATTTTTCTCTTTCGGTTGATATCCGTTACCATGTAAGTGATCCTATACATTAATCAATTGACGGCCGAGCTTCGGCCGGTGCTGTGATTTAGTAGTGGATATTGATAATTGCTCCAGAACGCTTATCGCTCTCCGCATCAGTACGGAGTACTCCGTACTCAGTCGATCTTTGCAAATTTACAATACTTGGTAAATGGGGGTGAACCGGAAAATCTATCCACACCTGTGTACCATGGAAGACAGATTGGGGTAAACCGTGGATCTGTAGAACACTGTGAAAGGGGCTGGGAAACCAGTTACGTTGGGTTGTCGCCGGAAATGGAATCTAAGTGGATCCTCAAACTGCACTGTAATGGGTTGAACGGTGAAGCAACAGCACTTAATGACAAGGTTACAGTACGGAGCACAAATGGTCTTATTTTTGAGGTTCGTTCGTGTGGGATTGGAAAGATCTCGTTTAGGTGGAACATTCTAACGAGATTCTTAGCGCACGGCATTCGGTCAACCCTAGCCCAGGTGCGGTGCTCGCTTCCACCCACAAATCTCTGGGCATGCTGCTTTTTCCATTGCGATTGGCTGTGGACGTAAATTGGCCAAGGCTGGGATGCAGGGATGAGAGCCTGTCTTTCCATCTCGGTTCTCGTGAGCGGCTTGATTTCGCCCGATAAGCATAAGATCAGCTGCGTTGACGCAAGGAGGCGGGAGATCGGCGGCTCGAGTGGATTAATTCTTTTCCAGCTTTGGAATGGATTGACTTCGTCGGACAGGTTTTGATTCCGTGGCACTGGGAAAGAAATCAAAGTCCGAGGATAATCGGATTATGTAATTTGTTTGACTATACAGATGCAAGTGTACTCCGCACAAATCATCGGACATTCCGAGAAAAATAAGCATTGGTCGTTGAGACGGTGGTGAAACATTCCCACAAAAGAAAAATTCTAACGAATACAGTATATGCAGTGAAAAAAAGAAAATGGTGATCTAATTAGTCGGGTATCAGGTCCACACGGGCTCCGTATATTCGTAACAAAGGAATGTTTTCGATTTTTTGGGGGTTTTCCGATCGACAGAGGGGCGATTAAACACTCTCACGTCCATGGACAATGTGGGAACCGCTGGATTCGTAGTCTGGTGGTCTCGAATCATGTTGCACAGTGACGGTAATATCCTGACGGATCCGTAGCGCGCGCGCTGATCCGTCGTCGCTGCTCACATCGCCCCCCTCACTGGCCTGCAAGCTGAGATCAGAGACTTCGGGACCACCCTTGGTCGGGGTGACTGATGCGGTGTGGAATTCAATCATATTAAAGTCGTCTCCAGAGCGGAGCTGGCTGGAGGGTCCATAGGGTCGAGAATTCTTGCTGTTGGTCCACGGCTGCGACTTGTACCGATCGGTTCCTCTCTTCGATCCTCCGGTCCAGCTCTTCAGGGCGGGGAAGACGTCTCGGAGGAGGGACCAGACGAGTGGCAAGTTTGTCACTAAGATCGCCACTGTGGCTTCGCGGAAGTACCAGTTCATGTAGACATAGGAGATGAGTGAGGGGACCAAGCAGTAGATCTTGTTCAGGATGGCGGCGACGATGACGAAAACACCCATGCCGAAGAGTATGATGAGGATCAATTTCTGCTTCAGTGGGACGCGGACCTGAACCATCATTGGGATGGCGACGAGCAACATGAAGATGTCGGCTGAGATGGACAGACATCCTTGAACAATTTCATAATATTGATATGAGGAACATTGGTCTGTGTAAATTAGCGATGAGCAAACCATATGGAAGATATGCCTCGTACAATTTGTGGTGGGAACCGCCCAATAGCTTGATAATGGGCGACAGATCAAGAATAGAGAAAGTTCAGTACCGATAAATCCAATGACCACGTAGATGGCGATGTAGTTGATCCATTTTCGCTGCTTCAATCCTTCCCTTTGAAGATGTCAGCGAAGTTCTCAGTTCACAGTCCTCAGTCCACGGTCCCCAAGGGATCCACATACGTGATACGGGCATAAATCACCAACATACACGCCTTCAGACTCCAGACGCAGAGAATGAAAGCATGTTCAGACACAAACACCCATTTGCTGCCCTTAACCCGGTCGGCATGGATTGTAGGCGTCAAATTATCAATTTGCTCCTGGGTCATCAAGTTCGAACCTCCACCTGACGCTACTTGGTTTAAAGCGACACAAAGAATAGTATACCAAAGCACAGCATTCAACATGAGATAGTCGTCGGCTTGGAGGTTGCGAACACCCAATCGCCTAACACGGGCCATGCTATAAAGGATATACTGTTAGCAAGGTATACCACCACGCTGAGACTGGCGTTGTACTCACTATCGAAGAACAGCGCCTAACACGCCAACAGCGTAGAGAGCCCATGTCTCTCTCGCAAATTCCACGGCGAAATCACCACCGAGACCCGACATTGATGGCCTGTAGATAATGGTCAATGGGCGATCAAGAGGGGAAAAGAGTTAAAGGGTGCAACCCACATCCTTATAAAAGATACCGGGATTTCGATACACTGTATAGACTTTCCGATAGCGCATGCATCTACCGGAACGATCTTCCAGGGGATAATCGGAGCGTTCGCCGATTCGTGTGATAGATACTATTGGGAGGGGTGCATGGCCAGGATGCGTGTACTCAGTAAGCTCAGCGAAAGAATGATCTTCCAGTGACAGCACAAGGCGAACCATAGAACGAAGTGGAGATTCGAGGGTGGACAGGATCCATGGATTTGGGATGAGAACCTTGGAAATTCAATTACTGGGAAATTAATCTGAATTGTTTAAAATGTAACACTGAACATTTGAACATTGGAAGGAAAATCAAATACTTGGTGCCTGACTACTGCGTATGTTTTGCCGATATCCCCACATTGATGCGCCCTCTCAGCTCTCAGCTCTCGGGGATTCAGGTTCTATGGACCTGCCATTTTCGGGAAAATGTGTATGGAATTTCCAATTTGGAGTAGCTAGGTTGAATATACTTTTAAAATCTCATCTGAAAGAGTTTGACGGTTAACTTGGCAAGGCGGGTCAAAGGAGTGCTTGTCTCAGCCAACTACATTCTTATAGAAAATACGATACTATAGCCGACCTTTCGAATGTTAAAGCACGCGAGCTTTTTGAGCCTTCCTAAAGGAGTTAGGTAACGGGGATGTTTCTAATTGTAAACTGATCCGTAAGTACAAAGTAATTAATTATGTGGAGGCAAGACTCCACTGTTAATCGGCCAATGTATGAATCGGACAACAGTAAAGTTTACGGTCAACATCCGTGGACTTTACTTACTTCGATGCGTGCCCATCCCTGAATGACGAAGCAGAGCAATATAGACTTTCATACTAAACCATATGCAGAATGGAGTAAGTGGGTCCCCTTAATTGAGGGATTTTGATGGTGGAGACGGGGGGAGGATCACTACTCCATACGGGGATTTCCGTGGGACTTTTTTATGGAGCAAATAGCACATGTAGGTTCAGCGTGGCAAACCTATGCAAATCAAAATAATCTTGTCCTGGGTAACCGAAATTGTAGACAATCTTTAGCATACGCCGATCTACTGGAACGAACTGGTTTTACAGTACATTTAAGGTTTAGATGCTGCATCGAATCACCCATGGTCGACGCTATTAAGATAAGCGAATCATGGCCGACCATCCATTGATACTTTCTTAGTCTCATACAAAGTACCTGAACCAAAGAAAATGTAGAAGCGCGCTCGGGGACCTACCTAGATCCGGGAGTGCACACGCCATCTAGCCCCCCCGATCTGAGTCTAAATTTGCGTTCGTTTGTTAAAAAGAATGTTTGAAATCCAGGCTCAAATGTTCCAGCCTTTGTGTTAGCATCCACACCTTTACGCAAGGTTGGGGAAGATTCGTCCTGGGGCGTCGATCCAGTGGACCATACGATCCACCTATACGGCCGATTGTATCCGAGGGAATACGGATAATAAACTGGTTTTCACTGTTCAAAATGGATATGGACATCTTATGTCTATCTCCGTGTTCATAGTAATTTCCAGTGCCCCCTAGTAACCAAGCTAAAAAACGAGGCTCACGCTAGACTGCAGGGAAGCAGAAATTTTCCTAGCTAGATCGAGTGGATCTTAATTAATATGAGATGGAGCGGCGTAGTCGCCCAGATCTAACTAGTCATGCCACTTTGTCTCACTCGGCTTGATATTTTCCAATGTTCTCGATTTTGCGATGGAAAAAACCTCGGGTAACAATGAAATTACCATGTGGAAAGAATTTCTAGAAGATTAGAAGGTGAATTTGGTACAATACATGTATGAGTAAAATACGTCATGAACTCCTGTAACAAAGGTCAACCGGCAGGCTAAGTAGTCTCACAGAATACCACTTTAACTATTCCCCCACGACAATAAACAAAGAAGAAACAATTCCCCATACAAATAACAAAGCCAACGGCCCCATTCTCCACTACCCGGTCAATCATGTAACGGATAGATCCAGGACCAGGGAGTCAATGTGAGACGTTCCGAAATGATTCTCCTAAAGACACAAAAAGCATTTCTGTTGAAGCTCCCCTTCTGGGTAAAGCGTGCTGCACGACTCTCCGTGTCCAGGCTTGCATTTGGTTGGAGGTTGGCTGAGTCGCCCCAAGTTGTGTCCAATAACAGGTTGATGTGGCCCCACTTGTTCAATAAGTAGCCACTTGGAATGTCATTCCAGTTAAATGATTGGTTGGAGATTGGGTTAGGGGGATTTAGAGTGGCTAGAGATGTGGAGTAAAAAAGAGTGAATTTACGGTTGAAAGATGTTCTTGTGTGGTTCACACCTTCTCCGCTCCGAGTAGGCTCGACTTGCTCCTTTCTCTCTCTCTAGCTTCTCTACATTTCCTTTGTATATAACCTAAGGCTTCCCCTCCCCTGGAGCCCTGTGATTCCTTCCGACCAGTTCATCCCTTTGGGTCGGAATTTCCCATCGGCGACGCCAATACACAATACAGACTTTCGTGGGAAAGTTAATCATCCATCGCCATGGCCGAATATTCCGAAAAGACGCAGGTTACCGAACCTTACGAGGAGGAACAGCAGGGGGAACAGATTAATGTGTCCGGTCATCGTCAGGAGGTCGATCGGAATTTCAGTTTGATCAGTCTTTGCGCCATCGCGGTCACGACTGGTAACACTTGGATCGCCCAGGGTGGTAGTGTGGTGACGGCTTTGAGTAATGGTGGATTGGCCGGATGTCTTTATGAATTGTACGCCACTTTCCCCGTATACTTGATATACTTACTGACTTTTTTTTTTAGCATCGCCGTCTCCATTTGCTACTGGATGGTCGCGGCCTCTCTGGCTGAGCTGGCATCAGGCATGCCCTCATCTAGTGGCGTGTACCACTGGGCTTCTATCACTGCCGGAAAGCATGGTCGGGTTTGTGGTTTCTTTGCCGGTTGGTGGAACTGCTTGGCTTGGATATTGGGTGCCGCCTCCATGTCTTTGATCATGGCTCAGCAGCTTGTTTCCATGTATGCTTTGATGAACCCCGGCTTCGTCCTCCACACCTGGATCACCTTCGTGACCTTCCTTCTCTGTACCTGGGTGTGCTGTTGTATTGTTCTATTCATGAACCGTTGGTTGCCTTACATCGGCAATCTCGGCATGTTCTTCATCCTTGCTGGTGTCTTCGTCACTATTATTGTGTGTGCCGTCATGCCTTCCGTCAACAATGTCGGATACGAATCCAATCAAGCCGTCTGGGAGGATTGGACTAACAATACCAACTACTCGCAACAAGGCTTTGTCTTCGTCATGGGCATGCTGAACGGCGCGTACAGTGTTGGTACCCCCGACTGCTCTTCCCACCTGGCCGAGGAGATCCCCAGTCCAAGCCGCAACATCCCCAAGGCTATCCTTGCTCAGATGGGTGTTGGATTCATCACCGGTCTCCTCTACCAGATCGCCATTTTCTACTCAATCCAGAGTATCGACGATGTCGGCGCAAACCCGTACAACTTCCCCCTCGCCGAGATCTACCGCCAGGCTACTGGATCCCGAGGCGGTGGTCTCGGTCTCTTGATCGTCGCCTTTATTCCGACCCTCATCACCGCCACCGGCTGCTACATTACCGCCGGTCGCACATTGTGGACCATCTCCCGCGACCGCGCCACGCCTTTCCCTAACTGGCTCGGCCACATCAACACCAAGTTCCAAAACCCCTTCAACGCTACCCTGGTCTGCGGCGGTGTCGTCACCATCCTCGCCTGTATCTATCTCGGCTCGACAACCGCTTTTAGCGCTTTCGTTGGCTGTTTCGTTCAGCTGTCCAGTCTTTCCTATTTCATGGCTATCTTCCCTCACATCCTTACCCGTCGCAACTCGTTCGTGCCGGGCTTCTTCTTCATGAACCACACCATCGGCTTTATTGTCAATGTCCTCTCATGTATCTACATCCTCGCTTTCGTCGTTATCTTCTGCTTCCCTTACGCCCTCCCCGTGGACGCTGCTTCCATGAACTACGCCAGTCTGATGACAGGAGGTCTATCCATCTTCGTCGCTATCTGGTGGTTCGTTCGCCAGGGTTCTTACGAGGGACCCAAGAACATCCCCTTGACCGACAAGGCTGTTATGGAGGATGCTCGGTAAAGTGTTTGAAGAATTGATAGAGGCATTTTGTTTTCATATACCACTTCGTGCTCTTTCGCTATATACTCCTTTTCTTGCTGATGATCTTGGATGACCGTCAGATGCATTTTTCTACTTTTTTTCTTGATGTGACGATGTGATATTCCCCTTTGTATCATCTTAAATGTGCTGGGATATTGGTACATATATCATGCATGCACTTATAATTAGCTTTGGAAACGATCAATAAAGTGCTGTTTACTGAAACAAATTAGATGAATATTGTTGATAATTTGCACTTCCACCGACCGATAAGTGAAGATGGCACAGGCGTGCGGAGTAAATATTTATCCTAAAGCTGTAACAAGTACTATCTCTTGTCATCCGGCGGCACCGGGTATCAATCTGATGTTTGACTGATATATAAATATGCACGCACCACCTCGCCCTTGCTGCGATTTGGAATCTAAATATGTCAGCACATGCACTTGAGTGAACGGAGAACAAAGGGGAAACTCGAGCTAATCCGCGGTCGCTGGTTGATAAGGCGAGCGAGAAATTATACTTCTTTTTACGGATCGGAGACGGCGACTGCATATTACTGTTTTCAGTATATGCTTAGCTTAGTTGTTATTGTTCTAAAAGGCTCGCCTAAAAACTCATATTCAGGACTAACCTTCGAGAACTTCATATGACAAAATGCCACGGTGGAGGAAATTTCTCTCCTTGGTGCAATTATGATACATGAATACAAGTACGTATAAATGAACCAAAGGATATCATGAAAGTGAAAACTTTTTAAATCGTAAATTCTCAAATGGCAAGATTTTGGGCTATGACATGGCAATGCCCAGATGGGTATGGTAAATCCGTCGCTCCGATAAATCAGTATATACATCACCATTGTCGTAAATCATGGCGGAACTATTTAAATACAAAATCGTTAATGCAAAATTGATGGGGTATAAGCTCTCTCCTACACCAAGAGATTCTCAATCATGGCTCAATCGAAGGCTGGCTAACTCGTCGGCCACCGTTCTCCTTGCGATCAGCAGCGAGAGACTTGGCGAACTTACTCCTGTCGCGAATCTGCGGTCCATACCAGTAGAACACATAGATAGGAGCGACAACCAGACAAGAAAGACAACCCAAAATGGTGCTGGCGTATTCGACATGCCATTTGTCACCAATGTTGGTGTACATCGGCGTGGCGTACATCGCCGAGATACCGGCCAGCAGATCACGAGCGAAGGCATTGCCACCACAAGCGGACGCGGAATAGACACCGTAAGCTGCGATCATGTAGTCAACAGACGATAGATAAATCGCGTAATTTGCAATTCCGACCATCGTGGAGAAAATCATCGATGCGATCCATGGTATACCGCGCGCTTTGCCGAAAGATGTCCAGGCAAAACCAAATAGTCCAATCGGCTCGAATGGTGCCAGCCAGAGAAGCCACTTGAGACGGCGCTCGGGTGGGATTGCATCGTTACCGTGCTTCTTGCGCTTGTATTCGTCTCTCCAGAACCAGGGGAAGTAGGAGATGTAGGCGATTAAGTAGGCAAGGTTGATTGGGATAACGGCCCAAGCGCAAGCTAGAACACCAAAGCCCCAGCCCTGCTCATAGACCGTAGTGAAGCTCTCCAGGAAGGTAAAGATGAGTGCATCGGAGAATCCAGAGAGAAGAGACAGGCAGAACACAATGGGCTCACGCAGCAGCATGTGGAATGGTCGCACCCAAATCTTTCCTGCCTCTTTGAGGGAGATGCGAGGTTTCTTGAGCTCGTTGGGTCCGTAAACGTTCGGGTCTTCTCCGCTCTTGCGACGGCGTTTCGCTTCTCTGTCGATGAGAATTGTCGACCGACTCTCGGGCATAAAGAAAATGATCGCTTGAGTGACGGCTCCGAAGATCAACTGGATCCAGAAGAACCACTGCCAAGAAAGGACTATTAAATGCTTCTATTAGTATTAAGATGTTTATATCATAATTGGATAAAACTCACAGCGTTCGATCGGACCACCGATGACACCACCGATACTAGTTCCAATGCAAGATGAGAAGACAATAAATGCCAGCGGGAATTGCTGCTCATCGGGCTCGTAGACGTCGGCAACCAAACCAAGAGTAACACTACCACCTGCAGTGGAAATTCCACCTAGAGCACGTGCAACAACAATGGAGCCCCAGTTAGGTGCCAATGCGGCGGGGAGCTGCCAGATGTTGATCAAAAACATGGAGAGCTGGAGGATCGGCCAGCGACCAAATTCCTCACTCCACGGCGCCCAGAGTTCACATCCAATGGAGTAGGTCACAAGGTAGGCCATTTGCCCGGTTCGGACGTGTTGTTGACTAATGTCGAAGGCCTTTGAAAGAGGCTTGACTGCATTGGGGAAGACGGAGGTATTGAAGTTCATAGACACCTGTACGAAGGCAACAGCAATCAAGTATGTCCATTTTTTCCACCGAGGCCAAGAGTAAGCCAGCTTGTCGTAGCACTCGTTTTCCTTAAGCTCGCGAGGACTGTCTGGCGCGATGCCTCCATTTTCGGCCTTCTCGGTTGTGGGCACCAGGCCATCGTCCGAGGGAGCATTGGCACTTAGAGTACTATCTGAGTGCTCCGCCTCGGGGCTGTCCAGTGGGGCTTTGGGCTCGGACATGATGAGATAAGAACACTCGGCTGGAGAAGGTACACAACCCCAGGAAAGCGCGTTAATTTAACTGACAGGTAGAAAATTTGCGTCAGACCAGAAGGGACTCTGGGCACATCGTCATAGGTCTGAAACCGGTTTGTACCTACTGTGTTGTATAAACCATAGTTGATCAGTGGAGACGGGTGTGGATCATCCGTTCATACTTCTATGGGTTCGTGCATAAGGTAGTATATGGGGCTGGCCACTTCCGGGTCCGATCGAGAACTCCGTTTGTGTGAGGAGAAACACAGTAAAGGCTCAGTAGCAAGTCTCATAGCAATGACGGTGTTGTGCTGCGTTTCCCAATCACAGAGTAGTTTCAAGCAAGGGATTGAAACATCAAAATGGTGAAAAATGTATGCCAAGTGGGATTTGATAACGCGATAATGGCCGTGCTCCACCCAGAAGTTTAGAGAATGCCCAATCGACGAGCACGGAACAGACGTTTGTCAAGTAGGGGTTCGGATCTCTCAATGCATAATGGGGATGCGGAGATCCCAACATCGAGCATGGACGCCTAGTCGGCATTCAAACTGCTGCCACTGCGCAACACGGTCGCGGATGTACCGAGTACCGGCAGAGAACGTTGTCCTCGGTTTCAGCGACATACGTCACACGCTGAAAATCTCAGCGAATGTTCGCCCGGTTGAATCCACAAAGGGTGTCTATCGGTTCCACTTAAAGACTCCACAAAAATGGGTCGTGCAGGATTGACGTCATGAAACAGCCTCGGCTGCGATAAATGGAGAAGGTATTGCGGTATTCTTCGGTGTACCTGCAAACAATGGCCTTCATTATTCGACATATCCCGTCCCAGGTTCATGAAAGGTACAGGAACACGTTCCTATCCTTCCAAGGTTGGTCGCCAACTCAAAATTCCACTATAAACAAGCTGAGGGGGTCCAGGGGTCTAACCAATCAAAACATCGGGATTGACGGGTTAAGTGGAGACATGAAAATCAAAACTCAAAAAATCAAAGATCAGATATCAGGTAGTGAGGAAGTAAACATCGTTGTTCTGATGAGGTGAATAATGTCTTAAACATTGTGAGTATTGTCAAATGGGAGATATATCAACATTGGTCAGCCACTCGCCTCTGAGCAGAGAATTATCTGTAAGGAGGACAAATGTGCACGTTTTCAATGTATATCTCAAAGGGCAAGTTGATCGGAATCGTAGAAATGAACACCTGCAGTCTCATGAACAAGAGTCAGTGTGCCTGTTAGAAGCTCTGTCGAGTCTAAAATAACGAATAATGCAGATGTGTGTTGAATACCTCATTTCGAAAATTGGTTTCCTTTGTGATAAAATTAGCTTTCGATTCATGAAACAAACAATGAAGGAAAAAAAATACTAAAAGGGGAGCACAGCCTTTTGACAGATATACACTTCTTTGGCAACGGCGGTCTTGAATGGAGCATTTACTTCTTCGGTATTCTTTATGAAGTCTTTCATTATGTTACTTCAATCTAAATGTTAACCAAGTCTTTATGCAAGCTTTCTCAATCTACTTTTCGCCGGTATAGAGAATGGATCTTTGTTTTCTATTTTGAAATATAAACATACTATCTTAGATTAGTATATTTTCAGATTTATGAAAGAGTCTGTGTCCTCAACCTGCAAACTGCATTTCGCTCCTGTGCAAAAAACCATATAGACCGAGTCATATCCTATCGTTTAAGCCATCACAACTTCTCAAGGACCTTACAAGCAAAGAATCATTTATATTTCCTATATTTATTGATTTTCCTTTCCGTTCAGACCCTTTGCATTCTTAGTTTTTATCCTCCCTTTTTCATCATGCGCAGAAGGCTGGAGAAGGTCAAAACCTCTGCCAAAAAGATCAAAAATGCTATCAAAGACCTACCAAAACGCTCCAAGAAAGAACTTAAGCCACCTGAACAGCTACCACAAGCTACAATAGCACCGGTAATTCCTGAAGTTGAACTTCTCCCAGAGCTAGAAATACCATTCCCTGGCGCCGGTGACAATGCAGGCGCAGGCCCATATAGAAAAGCCTCCAGGAGATCTGGATCAGGGTCTGGATTAGGTTCCAAGAAGTCTGAACCAAGCTCGAAGAAATCTGGATCCGGTACGAAACAACCTGGGTCAGGTATTATAAAGAGGAAAGCTGTACCTGCGCCACCAGCAGTACTTGCAGCTGGACCTCCGCCAGAGGAAGAAACGCCGGCTTTGACAAGAGCTGCATCGGATCCTGAGACATCCAGCACAGGCGAAAAGGTGGGCCCAGATCCGTCTAGAAGAGCTTCTAGGAGATCTGGATCAGGGTCTGGATCAGATTCCAAGAAGTCTAAATCAAGCTCGAAGAAAACTGGATCAAGTATCAAACAACCTGAGTCAGGTGTAAAGAAGAAGAGATCAGGATCGCCAAATACTGGATCAGGCTCTAAGTCAGGCTCAAAAATAGGCTCTGGTGCAAGCGAAGACCCCTCTGGATCAGGTTCAATTAAGGCCGCATCTGCTAAATCATGGAGCACAGGTGATTATGGTACAGGGCCGAAGACAAGCCCAAAGAGATCCGGATCGGGTTCTGGAGCATGGTCTGAAAAGTCTAAAGCAAGTTCGAAAAAGTCCGAGTCGGGTACAAAGGAAGTTCCAGAAGGATCACTGAAATCCGGGGCAAGCGTAAGGTCGTCTGTGTATGGACCAGGTGAAGGGCCACCCGACAAACCACCTGGTCGTGACCCCGCCATGCCTCGTGTTTGGCTCCGTCAAAAAGGAGCTCAATATGCGAGCTGGATCAATGACCCTCAAGCCCCCGGCTGTCCTATTGGCCCAAATACACTAACAATGCCCCAGGCAGTCTTATTGGGTGGAACGAGACAGACCTTTAGCACTGGTGATGACTTAAAATGGGTTGAACAGCCTTTGTTCTTACCACCACAGGAAGAGATGCCCCGAAAGCATGAAGACTATACACAGGAGGGTCTGATGTTTGATAGGACATTTGTTCGTATACTGTTCTCGCCACAAATTATGGAATGCAAGAACATCGATCGTGAAGAAGACTTGGGTGAACAAGCTGGAAATTATCCGCATGTGTCCGAGCAAATGCTGGCTCTCTATCGACGAAAGCATGATCTTGATAACCTTCGGTATATCTTCATGACAAGCATTGTCAACATTCAGACTTCGGACCTTTTACTATGGAAGATGTATCCTTCTAGTGGTCCATGGGAGCCGGAGGCTTGGGAGTCTGGCACAGATGAATATCTGGAGCTTCTGGGTACCCGGATTGGAAGGACTGCGGCGTCTATTGTGCTGGCTGGTTTCCCTCGTGGTACAATTCGAATCGCCCGTATTTGGGTCTGGGAGTATGGTGGTGCGAGCATGCAAATGCGCTTTGATCTTGAGCGAGCTCAGTAAGTCTATTAAGTAGAGACATGGAGTTTGATCGGCTTTATGGGAAAGTGTAAATGGGGCGAGGTGGGATGTTGGGGTGTGAAATATGAGGCTGTATGATATTTTTATTTATAGGTTTTCTTCGTTCTGTCCTGGTCACGATATGTCTAATTGGTCTGCTTATCTATTTAGCTAGTGTGCACATTGATCAAATCGAAGTAAAGTCTCGCTCGCGTCTCGATTTTCCTGTAGATGAACAAAGCTAAAACTTCCCTCTTAGACAATAGTCTACTACTTACCTAGGTATATACTTATATAATGGAGCTATGTACTTCATTATTGAACTTTTGTTAGTGATTTTTGGACATGTAACATCAATCTATGAAAAGAAGCAAGTTTGCCGAGGAAGTCAACTGGTCAATACTATTAATTTGGGTCACGTGACCGCGCGTCTCCCGTCGCGTGTTTGGCAATCCGTGTTGATCAGTTTGATTCACCATATCACTCGTCATGGTGTTCAAGCCTTTCAAACCTCCTTTGATCAGGAAGCCTGCAACAACAGAGACTCAAGAACAGGGCACATCCAATAATTCCCTTCCAAAAGAAGATCTCGCACCTGGGGCCGAGACGCGGCCAACACCCGTGACTCGAAAACCACTCCATCAAGCCGGCGATGTGGGGAAGGAATCCGCGGGGAATGTAACGCCTGCAACTGAACCTATCAAACTGGTAGGGGATGAAAAGTTTTTCAACGCCCTTTGGTACGCATTGAACCTCGGTTTGCTTCGTGGCCTAGCTGACATTACTTTATCGATTAGGAGAAAACCGAGCGCCAAGAAGAACAAAACCTGGGATGGAGATGGTATCCTCACAGCACGCGCAGGCGTTGTCATCCTACGAGATGTAGGAGGCAAAGATATGGGACGGGCGCGATTCGAGGCCGACCTGGAGCCAGGGAAGATGCTCTATGTTGGGGGGAAGGAAGTTGAGGTTGACTCTGAAATTCCCCGCAGAGAGTATTTAGCTGGAAGGAATATTGTGCAAGCCGTACAGTCGGCGCCGGCACAACCAAAAAATGCCAGGAAAACTCCTTTGACAGCGCTGAAAAACGGCGACAATCAAAGTAAGACCCTAGGCCGGAGCGGATCTTTGAAACGAGGCGCACCGGACTTAGATGGTGATGGCAAGGGTCATTCGGGGTTTGGCGCCTATAAGAAACCATATCTAGATGATTCCATCTTGCCAACACATCCAGTCAAGGTGGTCCCACGCCATGATCCGACCGCGCCAGGAGCCTTGGTTATGCCACGACCAACCTCGGTTCCTGATGGGAAGCAGATTGTTGATGTAGTTGTTGATCCACTATTGACGAAGAGTCTGCGGCCACATCAGCGAGAGGGTATTCAATTCTTGTACGAATGTGTGATGGGAATGCGATCATTCAACGGTGAAGGAGCAATCCTTGCAGACGATATGGGCATGGGCAAAACATTACAGACCATCGCCCTGCTATGGACCCTTCTGAAACAGAATCCAATTTATGGCGCTCCTCCAGTCATCAAGAAGGCTTTGATTGTCTGCCCCGTGACTTTGATCAACAATTGGCGAAAAGAGTTCCGCAAATGGCTCGGCAATGAACGTATTGGAGTCTTTGTCTTTGATGACAATCGGAAACGTCTAACCGACTTCACTAAAGGAAAATCTTACAGCATTATGATTGTGGGTTATGAGAAGTTGAGGACGGCCCAGGAAGGATTGGCAAAGGGTGCCGGTGTCGACATTATCATCGCAGACGAAGGTCATCGGCTCAAGACCTTATCAAACAAGAGTGGACAGGCGATTCAATCCCTAAATGCAGCCAAGAGGGTCATTCTTTCTGGCACCCCAATTCAAAATGATCTGAGCGAGTTCTTTGCCGCGGTCGATCTTGTGAACCCTGGAATTCTGGGTACATTCAAGGGCTTTGTCAAGGATTTCGAAACACCAATCGTGCGCAGCCGGCAACCAGAGGCCACAAAGAAAGAAATCGAGAAAGGTGAATCTCGAAGCGAAGAGCTTCGAGAGCTTACTTCCAAGTTTATCCTTCGCAGAACTGCAGACATATTGGCCAAGTATCTGCCCCCCAAGACAGAATATGTGCTTTTCTGCAACCCAACTCGCTCCCAAGCTACTATCTATCAAGCCGTCCTTGCATCCCCTATCTTCCAGTCTGCTATGGGCAATTCCGAGAGTGCTCTCCAGTTGATCACTATCCTGAAGAAGCTCTGCAACAGTCCCTCGCTCCTCACAGCGAAGAACAACAACTCCCCCAGTGAAACTATTACCGCCCTTCTCGCCTCCCTTCCACAAAATCTCATGCGCCACTTCTCCCCCTCAGCAAGTGCGAAAGTTCGAGTCCTCGATCAAATCCTTGATAACATGCGATCAAACACATCCGAAAAGATCGTGCTCGTCTCCAACTACACCTCAACCCTCAACCTCCTTGCCACACTTCTCACCTCCCTCGGACTACCTTTCCTCCGTCTGGACGGCAGCACTCCCGCTCAGAAACGCCAACCTTTAGTAGATGACTTTAACCGCCTCCCTGCCGACAAATGCTTTGCTTTCCTGCTCTCTGCCAAAGCAGGCGGTATGGGCCTCAACCTCATCGGCGCCAGTCGTCTCATCCTCTTCGACGTCGACTGGAACCCCGCAACAGATATTCAAGCCATGGCTCGCATCCACCGCGACGGCCAAAAGCATCACTGCCGTATCTACCGCGTCATTCTCAAAGGCAGTCTGGAAGAAAAGATCTGGCAGCGACAGGTGACGAAACTCGGGCTGGCAGATAGTGTCATGGAGCACAAGAACAGCGTCGCGCAGTTCTCCACCGCCGAGCTCCGGGATTTGTTCCGTCTCGACGAGGAAAGCCGCTGCCAGACTCATGATTTATTGGGCTGTGACTGCGGTGGCAGGGGTATCAGTGCTCCTTCTTCCGGCATTGCCACGCCGAACCTGAAAACTGGTGAGGACGAAGATAGTAACTCCGAGCTCTCGGAGCTAAGTGATGCCTCGGATGAAGAGCCTGAGTTCCCGAAGTTAATTAAGGCGTCTGAGGTCGATATGGAGGAACAGGAACGCTCCATCCGTGATTCTTCACGGCGAGGCCGGAAGCAGAAGGATTCTATGCACCAGTCGTTGGCGCAGTATGCGCATATTGACCCGTCGGTTATTGTTGGTGATGATGAAGAAGAAATGGCTACCATTATTGATGACGATGTTCTTCTTTCTTTGTTGAAGGATGAGGGTAATCGGATTGGATACATCTTCAAAAAGATTAATGGTGCGGAGGTAGAGAGTCAAGATACTACGGCTTCAGACGATGCTGCTGTTGCTGATGCGTGATGAATACCACATAAATGAATAGATTAGATACCACTGCTTCAGAGTTACAACAAGATAATTTTTTTGCCTGAATAATTTACTATGTATAGATTGATTGGTTTATTAGCGTATCCATGGATACATACTTAAAAGGTCAACTATTCATCACCTTCCTAATGACCGAGGGGCCCTTTCCCTATCCTAAAGAGAGAAGATAGCTAATCATAAAGGGGAAAAAAAGAAAATCTTGATTAGATAGACATGACCAGAACCAGAATCGAGATCACATATGGCCAGAAATCTAAATGTACAAAAGAAAACATCGATAGATCTAGAGCGATCATAGGGGTAAATGTTAAGCCAAAAAAAGAGAAAAATGAAAAGAGAAAAACAAGAAAACCACCCACATCCATCCACCACGCACAATCCAAACGTTGACATCCCCAAATGCATCAAGGTGCAGTCTAATACCGCAGTTTGCCCACGAGACCGAATGTATAAGCGGCCTCGGCTTCACTCTTCATTTGGATCATGAAGATTTTCTGAGAGCTCGTGTTTACACCGCCTTGCTTCGCAATGACACCATCATTAGTCTCTTCGTACACCGAGACAGCGATGCCAGTCCGTGCAATGCGCTCAAAGGAGCTCTCGGGGAGACACACGTCCAGCAGGATCTCACCACGTGTCTTGCCGCGGACAATAATCCGCTTCTCGGAATCGACGCCACCACGTGGAGTTGCTGCTCCAGAGCTGGGCGGGGAATTCTCGCCATTCGAGGCATTGTTCTCACTACGGCCGCTACCAGATGTGCCGGGGCGAGAGAGGTTCTTAGGTGGAGCAGGCATGATGGTTAGACGGGCGGCGCCCATGTCGCGCCATTTGGAAGCGGACTCGCGGAGGTAGATGCGGATCTTGGCGTTTGAGAGACCGATTCCGTCGGCGCCCTTGATGGCCGCTGCTATGCGGCCTACGCCGGATGATGGTGAGGGCGCATCGCCTGAGTCGCCTGAGCCGGAGTATAGACTTCCTTCGCGGCCGTTGCGGGAGCTTACTGTTGAGCGGGCGATGTTGAACATCTTGCTTCCTCCACCGAAACGTTTCAGGGCGGAGAAGGCGCTGCTCATGGTTCCTACACTGCTTTCAGAGCCTTCGGCGAGAGAACGGGGCGCACTGTTGGAGGCGCGGTAGCTCCTTCTGCGACGAGGAAAGCCGAACCAGCTTCCACCAGACTTGGTCTCGGGCTCGAAGTTTGGTAGGGCGTCGTTCAAGGGCCCACGGGCGTTTTGAAGAGCAATATAGGTTGGGTTGTTGATACGGGCTTGGTTTATGAGAGCATACAACGCGTCACAATCGTCTGGGTTTCGAGACCGGAACATGATGTTGTTGCTGGATGTTATCTTGGAACGTGCAGTTGGAGGCGATCGAATGCTGATGTCGATTGCCGTACCCCGGCGAATGGGGACGAGAGGGGTGAGCTCCATGGAGATGAGAGGTTTTGATCGAGAATCCGCACTAATCTTGAACGCTTCTATGAGGCCAGGACTGACAGTAATATTGCAATCATCGGGAAGCAAAGCCTCCCAAGTTCCCTTGTCAGACCATGCGAAAATGGATGCGATGGCCTTAGAGGACTTGGCAGGCTGCAGAGGCACAGTCCGATACCCGCTCTGTGATGCAGAATTGGAAGGAGAAAGCGAACTTGCTTCGGAAATACCTGATTCCAGACGTCTTGGTTTGGGGAGCTCACTAAGCTCGCTGTCCTCGTAATCCGAGTCTGAGACTGAGGAATAAGAGTCCTCTGAGTCGGATCTCGAGTATTCCGAAGAGGAGTAGCTGTAGTGTCGCACCGTCGATGCATCCGAGTCCGACTCCGTATAAGAGTCAGATGCCGTTGAGGGCTCATACTCGTGCTTCAAAGGGGAAGAGCCTCGGCGCTTCAGTCGAGCACTCGATGGAGTGAGGACGGGACTGTTGGAAACCTTGCTATTGGAAGAGCTTGGTGAACGATGAGGTGGTGGTGGCGGAGGTGCATCATCGTGCGTTGACTTGCGGCGGGACTTTCTTCTCCGGGACTTGGTAGGGGTCTCTGGCAGTTCTTGGGTTGGCAGCGCATCCAGGGGCGGGTAATCTTCCTCCTCATCGGCGTCAAGGCTGGTCGGTGTGGTCAAATGGGTTTGGCTGCTAGTGCTCCTAAGCTTGGGAATCTGAGGGAGGTATGCCGAAGGGACTGATGATACACGAGGGGATTCAGGCTCGGGAGACGCCTGTTTTCGCGGCGTTTTAGGTTGGGGGATCTTTGAAGCGGATTTCGCCTTCGGCTTGGGCGATGCTGTGCCTTGGCTAACCTCGCTGCCCTCTCCATAGAATCTGCTCTTACTTGGCGTCGACTCTGCGGTTTTACTGGGCGTAGGCTCTGCGACCTGCTCCTCGACAATGGTCTGAGGAGAAGGCGCCTCTGAGGCCGGGCTATCACCATATCGGGATTGCCTCTTTGCCTTGGATCTTTTCAGCCCAGGGGATGATTTGTCACTAGTGCTCTGAGAAGGCAAAGATTGCAATCCAGAACGCGGCTGCTTGTTTGAAAGCTCAGATCCCCCGGTAGTGTAGTCTGTTTCACGAGTAACTGCGGAGCACAGGGAGCTTCTCGTATCCGTGGCGGAAGAGCTGACGGTGCTCGGCTCGGAATAGTGCTCTTTGGAAGTCAAGGAGCGTCGTCTCTCGCCAATTGGAATATCAACATCACTGGGATATGCTCTAGGTGGAGAATCGCTGACAGAAGTTTTGCGAGCCTTATGTTGCTTTGCTCGACTGATAAAGCTTTGACTCCGACAAATGGATGGTGGAATAGGATCGGAGCCCAGCAGCGAAACCCATTCCAACCCGATCTCATAGTCATCAATACGGAGAGAGATCAACTCCTGCCAGTACTTCTCATCCTCAGGGCCACTGCGAAGCATGACCACAATCTCGCCTGTTTCGCCGCTGCGGGCCGAAACACAGCGAAGGTCCATGGGTGGGAAAAGAAGCCAGCGATCCGAATGATCAATCTCGCAAATCATCAGGTCGCCTCCAGATCCACTGCCAGAGACATTGTCTCGATACAGCAACTCAGCTCGGCAGTCTACTAACTGGCCACTGGAGTGATACAGCGAAAGGTTAAAGAAATCGCGGGCCCGGACACGCCGAGTGTGGTCAACCACAACATTCCGAGCAACTCCTAGAGTCATGGGGTCTCTAGCGCGACTTGCATCTATGCAAGCAGCAGACTCATCTTCCAATCTTGCCCTCTCATCTCGGGCACGTTTTCGGGCATCAAGCACAAGACCCTGATAGGCAGTGGCGATCTCCTCGGCCTTGGGTGACGGGTGAAGAGTGTTGATACCCTTGAAGCTCTTTGCAAGGTACTTGAGTCGTACCAGAGGCCGCTTCAATAGATAGGCAACATCAACTTTGTCGCCCTCAGAATCGACTACATCGCCATTCTCATCCCTCTCCATGCCTTCGTCCAGACTTTTTGTCTCGGCATTGTCGTTCGCCTCACCTTCTTCAAGGGGGGCAAGGTTCACAATTACATCTTTGAACCCAAGTCTCCAGGCTTTCAGATATTCTCGGTAGACTCTCTGTGCCCCCTGGGCCCAGCTCAGTAGGGCATCTGTGTCATTCTGCGGGATGCGCTTGTGTAATGTCTTCAAGCGCTCAATGGCAACACCCATATTAACAATAGGCTTGGAAAAGTTCAGGTCATCCTTCGGATCCAGCGAAGGACGGAACAAGCCAGCGGCGATCGCCGAATCAGAACGAGAGAGGACACAGGTCAGCAGCACGGGAATGACACCACCAACAAGGGTTTTAAGCTCTCGCATATATTTGGCCTCGTCAGCGGCCAGTTCGGCCAGAAGGTCTGGAATGGTCGCACTGGCTAATCGACTCTTGTTGGTTCGGATACTTCGAACAGATCGAATACTTCTGCTTCGGGAGGCGGGAACTGAGAGAACAGACATGAGATCATTGTGGGTTGTGAGCCGACGCTTCAATTGCGATGACACTACAGGAAGGGAATCAGGATCAAAATGGTCTTTTTCTTCCGCAGCCTCATCTGCTTCCTCTGTGGGTTTCTCGGGTGTGGACTTTGACTCCTGGTTCGCTGTGCTGGCTGTAGTCTTCTCTAGGGCCGATGGAGCCGATAAGGATGATCCTTCTGGAAGAGTACTCAAAGTCTCACTTGACGCAATCGTTGATAGTCGATGGTTTCCAACGCTTGGGAATGGCTTGCTGAGGCCAAGCGGCACAGGTGCGTTGTTCCCTGAGACCTCAGATATTTCCGAGCCCGCTTGAAATTCAGACTCGGATGTCGCAAGACTGTCCTCGTATAGCGGTTCTCGTAAACGTTTCTCGACCTTAACTTTTGGTGACTTGCGGAGCTTCTCGACGCTCGCTCGCTTATGCACTACCTCGCTGTCCTGGGATTTGCGAGGTCTATCGCTAGAGGAAGGGCGATCATTTTCTTTGTGTCGACTACGAGGCCTTTTGGGACTAGACTCGCTTTCTGCCAGAATGTCGGAGGTCAAGCTACTCGAGGTTTCCGTATCAACCACCCTCTTCGAGCGTCTCTCTCGTGCTGATTTGATATCCAGCGGAACAGGCATGTCACTTTTGTTCCCGTCGTCCATGAAAGGATCCGGAGTGTCTGATAACCACGCCTCGATCTTTGATCCTCGGTTTACCGTTGGGGGAGGAGGTTTTGGAGGTTCCGCCTTGGGCAAAGTGAACATCTTCCTGGATTCGTCCAGCATCTGCGCAAAGATGCCCCCTTTGGGTATTTGCGGATGACCTCGAGCACGTCTCCGCGACAACTCCGAGAAGTCGGCCTCGCTTCGCGCCCACTCCGCTGCATCTTCAGGTGGTGGCGATTGTCTCTTATGCTTCGCTGACACTTCAGACCGGATGGCAGACTTCGGACGATCGGCCTCCGTCTCCCAGTCGCTTTCCACCACGGACTCGGGCCGTTTGCGGGGAGTCGATTTCACATCCTTGACGGGCGCTTTAACTACCATTCGCGGAGTACTCCGAGCTTTCTCAGATATATCTTTTGTATCCTTCGCGCGCGGAGATCCAGGTCCCACTCCTTCGTTTGTCGTATATTCACTGATGCGTTTCGGAGGGGGCAGATTGCGAGATGGCGTTTGTCCTACCGAGGTATTTGATCGGTTTCTTCTCCAATGTTCGTCGCTAATAACTCGTTTGCGCGGGGTGCTGTGGCTGCGCTTTCTGGTCTGCGCCACGGGACCCTTGGCCTTTACTTTGGGCTTCTCCTTCCCTGCATCTGACTTCGGCTTATCTGGCTTGGGCTCCGGTTTCGTCTTGCTCTCATTGTCGTCTTCGTCGTCGTATACTCCATCGTTGATCGTGATTACCCCGCCTCCTTGTTGTTGCCAGTTGCGCACTCTTGCGCGAACCGTATTTGTATCGTGGACCCCGAGCGGCAGGCCAATATCCACAGGCTTTGTTGGAGTGGGCTTGGCACTCCCTCCAGCCTTGGAGGGACGGTGCGGGGTCACAGGGGACGGCATCGATGTCTATGAGACCCAAGAATGCATTAAAATCAGACTTAGAGGGGAAAGCGTAGAGTTGATGATCGCACAGATGCGAAAGCGGGAATGTTTGTTGACGTTTCGTCATCGGTCGGGGGAACATGAATCAAGTCACTCACCACACAGACAATGGCCTTAAAATTTCAGAACAGAGAGCAACATTTGCTTTCCTTTAGACTTTATCGCTGTCAGACACGTTTGGGGAATGTAAACAAGGATGATTAGAAGATGGTTAACGATAAGCCCAAACTCCCACACTAATTCTGCTGCCGGGGAAACCACGCGCCGATCAGATCTGACTTGTGACTGGTTCACAGCTTTGACCCTGTAAGGAGGATCAGAAGATCAAAATGATTTGATCGGAACAGACTTTCTTCTTAGCTCAAAGCTGAGGGCCTCGATAGGCTTGGCATCGCCAGTTTTTACCTTCAACGTCAGGTCTGAGGAATGTGGAGTAACCTCAAGAATGAAAGGAAGAGAAAAGATGTAGATTTGATCGGAGCTTTTAGGGATAATATCATTCCCGTGTCTCCGTACATTGGGCGTCATCGATGTCTGATTATGGAGATGGACAAAGTTGGACAAAGTTGGACTTGAATGCATATGAAGCCCCTGGTAATCTTATACACGCACTATTTCTTAACTATTTAACACCCTAGCATTGCTTTTAGTTCCTCAAATTATTGTTGAAGTTCTATTTTATGATCCATAGACTTTCCTTGAAAGGCCTACAATCTCGAATTCGACCAAGACAACATTTGAATGTATCCCAGTGGGATTAGTCCCCACCTACTCACATGCGGCTATGACGGAAGAGGTGTTACTGGGCTTTCCGCCTCTCGGCTGACCCTTGTCTTTTCATGGCGGTGGAGAGGGTGCGCATGCTATTATAGAGATAATCTATTTCAAGTTAGTCTTGCTTGCTCCTAAGCGACGGACAACTTACAAAATGGAACCACAATCCAGATGAAATTCATCAAGAAATAGTATACCCAGAAATAATACCTCTCCGGACGACTATACGGTCGGTCATGGACATAGTGATCGAAAAGACTGGTGACATAGTACAGTGTATCGCCGTAGAGATGGCTCATGCACACAACGACTTGCATCGGGTGGCGCAATGAGTGCCGCGTTGCGGTCAGATAGGCAACAACGAAGCAGAGGGGGCCCCACAGAAGCTGGTGGATTGGGTTGGTCAGTGGGTTAAGCTTGGAAAGGCCCGGTCCTAGTTTCGGTGAATGGGCACTCACCACCGTCATCGTTTCCATGCATAGCACCAGTGTGTCTGAGGTCATGTATCGGGAATCGGACAGGGCGTATTCTTTCCACAATTGTCCGAAGAGATCCTGGGCAGATGCCATGTGCTCATGGTGCAGCATGAAATACCCTTCAAAGAAACAGTGTAAAGTCCCAGCTAATCCACAGTTAGTTCCATTCTTTTCATCTTGGTCGGGCAGCATTGGTGGGGTCATACAGAGCACAAACCACAAGATGGCAATCCGATCCGCTACACAAAGAGTTGGTCGTACATAACTGGCCAAAGCAAATGTCAATCCGAGCAGGACCGCACATCCCCCACCAGCTGTTACCAATAGCTCCAGAACAGGGGTTTGGTTGGGCGAATAGCCGACGATGTCGGCCCCGAGAGGATAATAAGGGTGAGAGCCGCCCGCCATGTCCTTGAATGTCAAAAAAGCTTGTTTTGGCTCCAATGTGCGAGACTTGGCCCAAGCTCAATTGAATAGAATTTCTGGATTGGATCGTTGAATGATCAGGGCGACCTGGAAGTTGGAAAAATGTTTTGTTTTGCTGGGGTCTGATCCATCTAAGGAGTATGATGGTGGATCTGCAGGGCTGGACCAATTGGAAGACAGAATCAATGCAGAAACCCAAAGGTATTGACCATCAAATCAAGATAATATCGTAGAACGAGCAAATGTATTAAGTGGTAAGCTATTGATCAACAATGAACCTTTAGATGAGGTCAACACGTGACCCTGGATACAGGGAAATGCTTGGCTCCAAAGGTTCCTCGATTCCCCAGCTTCGTACCGTGATTCCCCGACTGCTTAAATGGCGGCCCGCTCCTTACCTTCTCCATGCCATCCAATGCGACTAGGAAGCCCCTGAATATCGAAATCTCGCGTCCCCCAATGGAGTCGCCCCCGGGCATTGCGGCCCTCTTCGTCATCACCTTCGACATTCGGACCGGGTAAGTCCTACTCCAGCTCCGAGCAAGGAGGGGCATATCGCTGATAGAGGCTACATTGCAGATATGTGGTGTCGTGGAAACGAACTGCACCGGGAGGTAAGAAACATACCCCGGTTTATGTTACCCATCTTGGGGAGTGGCGCATAACTAACGCGGATCCAGTCGACATCGAAGGGGTGGTGGAATACAAGTCGCTCCCTTCGGGGTTGCACAACGTCACAGAGGACCTGGTGTGAGTCGCCTATATCTATCGAGCTCTTTCACAAGCTGCGCTAAACGTTGTTCTCTAGCTACTTCGTTCACGATCAGTATGCCGGTATCAGCGCATTCCTTAACCGTCCCGCCGCCGAGGTGGAGCGCAATGCTAGGATGTTCGCCATTGGAGTTTTGGTCCCCCTCAGTTCTGGGAGACTCGGAAAGAGCTGGAGGCATGCTCCCAAGCTGAAGGATCTGGCGACGTATGTTTTGGGAAGCTTCAACGTGCTGCCGTGCGACTAATAATTGCGTCGATAGGAGATACGCCGCGGACATGTCCGACCTGCAGCCATTATCGGACTACTGGGATACCTTTCGACTGGGAAGTACAGAGGCTGCGCCCGTGGATTCGCCGGTTGAGTCGCCATTAAGCCTTCGATTCCGACCGGAAGATCGACCCGATATTCGCAATCGCGCCTTTAGTGATGCCATGGTGTTGGAGACGTTCAGGCCGGCCTTGACGCCTTTCCACCCTGCTTCATCTCTTCCAGACTTCCTTGATTGCTTTGGACCATTGATCTTCCCATTGTACAGGGCAGCACTCTTGCGGAAACGCATTCTTTTCATGAATGAAGCGCCAGTGCACACTCCGTGCAATTATGGTAGGTTTCCCGTCATTGCTCGGCGTTGAATTTTTACTCACTCGATTACAGTGTATGATCTATCGCTGCTGGCATCTCTGCCAAACTCTCTTCTGCAGATACTTCCGACTGACCGCATCCCACCACTGCGACCCCGCCCCTTGTTCAACGTTGGAATTCATGATATCCCTTTCCTCTCCTCCTTTGACCCATCTCGGGCAACCCTGGACCCTGAGACGGACCCCAGCTGGATCGCTTGCTCGACTGATACGGTTCTCACCATGAGACCGGAGCTCTACGATGCTCTCGTCACACTCCCCCCGCTCCACTCTCGGCAAGCCGCTGAGCGGGTCTTCCCCACAATCAGCTTGATGGACCCCTCCATCACCAAGCAGAATTCGAATCAGACAGTCCAACTCAAGGCCACTCAACGCGATGCTCGGAGATATGCCATGCTTCGCAGAGGCCTCCGCCAGTTCTCCCAGGATCGATCGGTCTCACAGGACAGCTCGGACGCCGAGTCAACCTACTCTTCAAGCAGAATTGTAGAACCTCTGTCCTGGACCCGACTCGCATATACCTCTTTCATCTGGTGGGCATCTGCGGGCGAAAACCGCGACGGCCTATCCGAAGAAGAGGAGGAACAACAAATCGAACAAGACGCCCGACTTCTGGCAAGCGTGGAGAGTCTTGCATACCCGGGCGCGGGTTCTACTCGCCGCCGCTCTAACCATTCTGAAGATCCCGGCCAGGAGCCCCCGGAAGTCGCGCTGGTAGCTTACTTCCGTCGTCTCACGACCCAGATCTTCTACACTCTCTCTGGTGCCATTGCTCGCCATGACCATGATGGCGAGACTGATGCTTACGCTGATACGCCTTACCTCGATGACACCGCCGACGATGAGGCAGACATCTCTCTCTCTCACTCGAGACAGTCTATTCCTAGTGATGATGGTGAAACACCTCTTCTACGACAAAGATCACATGCGAATTCCTCTGGTCGTCATGACTCTGGCTCAATGCATAGTACACAAGATGCAGAAGACCCGATTGCAATCACTGTTGCTGATATGGGGGAGATGGGTCTCGATGTTTGGAGCGCCGCTGACAGAGTTTTCGTAGAGGAGCTTGTTTCACTCTGGTGGGGGCGCTCGGCTTATGTCGACAGCGCTCGTATTAGATGTTGTGGTATCTCGATCTTGTAAAAGGTAGCATTTTTATCTTTGTGACATATCTCGTGATTTCCTTTTATCCGGAGTTTCACGAACTGACATTGTTTATTTGTGAATACCTCCTGTGCCCAGCATTATGTGCAGAAATCTATTATGCTGTCATGGAGATCCTATTCAAGCGAGGTAGCTTTGGTTATTTCCCTCTCTATAGTCCTTTCAACTATACGGTGGGTACAGACGCGCTCGAAAACAGTCTCACCATTTTACAGTCTTCAATTCTTCCTTAATTCCATTTTGAACATGGGCCTAGGTCGAAATAAGACCTGAGGGTAACAGGGTAAAAGGTAGAATGTATTCAATCTCATCAACTTTCGTAAGGCTAAATACATCATCGCTTGATCACAGTATCTTCAGACAGGGGATCAAGATTTCCATTTCTGACCGGAGCTCCAAGGTATCGCTCAAAAATTTTCCAGCCATCATCTGTCATCCGCAACCGATCAATCATAGGACCAGACCACCATATCGCCGGCAACCCGTCATTTCTGATCACATCATGACCAGCAAGGATCTTCGCATCATCGTCGGCCCAACCATATCTGATCAGGCATTCATGGTACCTGACCATTACACCTTCTTCGTCACGGTCAACAACATGGTTGGTAGCACTGCGGCTAATGCCATGAATGAAGAACGCATAGTGGTTTTCGAGGAACTCTCTCATCTCCGCGTGGCCTCTGACAGTGCCATGGCTGTGATAGACCACACCGTTTGGAAGGAAAGTAGAGAGCATATCGTCGGGGTTGAACTCCTCAAAGACATAGTTGTGGCGGTTGACAAAATCGATCGCGGTAATTCGCTCATCGCTTGAGACATCGTTTGACGTGGATAACTTGATAGGCGGGAAACGATCGTTTTTAACAAAGGAAGACATTATGGTTCCAAGGTTTCCGACGAATGCGAGGGATATTCCAGGTGGTTTACAAAAGTCCGAATATTGCTTGAAATAATTTTCAGTCCTGCCCCGGTGATTCTTTAGGATATAAACACTCTGCTTTCCGATCATTGAAAGGGCATATCCGACCAACTACTGTTTACATACGAGTATAGAAGCGGTGATCGGAATGATTAAAAATCAGTTTTTCAGTGACTAGTACAACCCTGGAAGAGGCTATAGTGTGGTTATTTGGTTTATTCAATATTAGGCCGAAGTTACATTATAAAACCAGCAGTCAAGGGCAGCGACAGGTCTATCTACACCTCAACGGTATCCACTTCGGCGATTACTCTTTCCAAACCCCGAAAGATGGGTCGGCAGGATGGCGAGACATAGCACTTGAAGTATATGTTGAATAATCAATAATACTACCTAATATTGAAGGGACTTAGCAAAATTTAAGAATGCTCTCTCACATGGCAATCATCATAACCGAAGCAAACAACGACCATCATCAACGTGTTAACTAGTACCGAAGTGATGATCTGAAGAAGTCGAACCCCCGATCCAAGGTAATAGTTACGAGCCGAACGGGCCAACAACTAACCGAAGTTTTGGTTGAAATGTATAAGAATGCTGACTTGTAATATGGATTATTAAACCTGATCCGTTACATACAGTAGGAGACTAAGTCGGTGACAGGGTAGCATGGACTAGCAACTGTATCTGATACTTGACATTTGTGATCTCATAGCAAAGGAAAATATTTGTTTATCACAATTACTATCATCGCTCTGAGAGGGTTCCAACTTTGGTCATATAAAGGCATTCATTATTAAACCGCTTGATATCAAGATAACTCCATGCCAACATAGGAAATAGTCAAGGAGCGTTCGGTGGATACGGGTGAAAGTATCCGAAAAAGCAAGTGCAGACAAGTGATGCATAGTAGACTGGCACTCTAAAACCAAAGACAAGAGTATGATAGTGCAGCGCCATGCAAAAGGAAAAAATCACAATAACCGAAATACGTAAACAATTAGATGCATTTGCGCCGGGGTATTTCGCAGTGTAAAGCCAAGGGCCGGCTGAACAGAATAACAGAACAAAAGACATCAGATAGACATGAAGATTCGTATGCGCAGGACAATTTGAGTAGTCACCGATCAGATTTACCGACGGAACATACGGACCGGAGCACTCAGATCCCGACGTTCGACCAAGTCGTTTTCGCTTCTTGAAGATTGCGTTTGGAGATTTGGGATGCGTCGTGGCCCCCGACCAGGAGTTGTGGCAGTGCTTCCAGTGGAACCTGCAGACCGGCCGGTTGCTTCGTTGAGGCTCACTGAGCGGACATTGCTTCGCGCCCGGCTACGTCTCGCTCTTATCTGTGCGAGGGCATCATCGCGGTTGATTGGCTGATCTGGGAGAAAAGACGAGCTCTGGGGCTGTGTTGGATCACGAAGAGGAACTCTCTTGGTTGTTGAATGAGAGTGATATTCCTCTCTCTCCCTATTTCTTGTAGGCCTGGCGTCAATGGACGTATTGGTGTGAACGTTCTCATTCATAACCGGCTCTGAAGGGGCAGAGTTCGCCATTCTAGACGACGATCTGGGTTCTTCTGATGGAGTGAAAGACCGCACATGTCCACTTGAGGAGGCTGATTCCCTGGATTCGGCGCGGGATCGAACTCTTGGGTACGGAATACTTTGGGAGGCAAATTCATCAATGCGCCGGGGTGGGGGCCTAGCATTGTCGCGGATAGGTGATGGGAATGTTTTGAAAGTTCCTGTCTCCGGTGAGAAGGTCACCAACGGTTCATCCGGCATAGGCATTTTCTCAGGGGGTTCTGTTGGCTCGCGCTTGACTTTCACCCCCGATTCCACGCCATGTCGGTGTGGAGGAGGGGCAGGAGGCTCCACAGAAGGGGTATGGCTAGACTGAGGCGCAGAGTATGAGATCTGGGCTCGTCGAGCTATCTCTTCTTGGGCCGCTGCTTCTGCCTGTCTCTTTGCTTGCGCCGCCTCTGCTTGCGCCCGTGCCATTATTTTCGCTGCTTCTGCTTGCGCATCGGCCAATATTTGCGCCGCTATTTTATCTGCCTGTGCCTTTGCCTGCGCCGCCGCGTCCATTTGGGCCTTTGCCTGTGCTGCCGCAGCTTCTTTAGCTGCCGCGTCTGCCTCTGCCTTTGCTTGTGTCGCTGCCGCGTCTGCTTGAGCTTTGACCTTTGATTGAGCCGCTGCTTCGGCTTCCAATTGCGGCCTTTGGAACCTTTCGTAGTATTCGGTGTCGTAAATGTATCTCCGACCTTCCTTTTCAGCGATTCGGCACGAGCATCGTTCAAACTGGCATTCGATGTTCAGGAAATGGACCATTTCCTCCGCGTGAATTCTCTGACGACGCTCGATATAAAGCTCATCCCTCAGTTCATCTATCATTTCATTGTCCATTTCTGACGAGGGGGTAACGGTTGAGGCTGGCTCCTTAACAAGAGATGTAACCTCGGATAGTCGTTGTCGCTTCGGGGGAGTGGCTTCTGCAATGTTTTCAGGCTCTCTTTCCTGAGCAGGAGATCTGATTGAGTCTGCGGCAGCTCGCTTCGGTCGGCGTGGTGTTGTCAAAAATGCTAGATCACCCTCCGCTATTGACATCCGGCCAAAGTCTTCCTTTCGAATCTCTTGGGCTCGAACCTCCAGTTTATCTGACTGGCTGGATGCTTCTATAGATCGGAATTTACCCTTGAGGACTTCTAGTTCTTCAGTGAGACCGGCCAGAGCGTATGCACGTTCGAATGCCTCCTGTTTCGCGTGGTCCTTGGCTTCCCGCTCCGTGGCGACTTCGTCTTTCAAGGCCTTTGACTCTGATTTGGCGTGTTTTAGCTCTTCTTGCAGCTTGACTAGTGTCGAGCCCGCACGGAAAGCTTCTTTCCGGGCCTTTCTGATTTCTTTCTCAAAAATTGATCGTTCGTTGGCTTGGCGTTCTTTGGTGCCGTGGAGTTCCTCTAATAGTGATTCAAGTCGCTCGCTGATTCGGCGTTCTCGTGATTGTGCTTCGGCGAGGTCTTCTTGAGCTGATGCGAGGGCGGATTCAGCCTCCTCGCGACCGAGGATTGCTCTTTGCAGCGCGGCATTGTTTATGGCTGATTGTGCTTGAGCACTTGGGCTTCCCCCTCGAGCGAGGCTATTCAAAAATGCCACCTTTGCTTGAACCTCTGACACTCCTTTCGCGTTTTTATGGTGTAGGGACAAGAGTTCCGAGGGGAGGGAAGGAGAGGCGGGGATTGTTTGTTGATTCATGCGTTCCGGCGATACCGGGTTCAGGGCTTTGGTGGGACTGAGGACTGGACGCGTTGGAGACTCCATCGCGGATAGAGTCAAGGGAATATAGTTTTCCGTAATCGATGTCAAGAGGTCATTAGTGCAGGTCGGCAGGAAAGGTCGTACACGGGAGAAAATCACCGTTGAAGTTTGGGGAGTGACGCACCCACACGATCCATGTTTATTGCCCTTTTCGTGCGAGTCAGGTGACCGTTGCCGTGGACACCACTGAACCCTACCCCAATCTGGTTAGTTCCCTTTTGCCTATCACGGGGCCAATCATCACGTGTGGATGCGCCACTCCAATCGGGATTAGCGCGGGGAGAATCACTGATCTGTGCGGCATCAAATGCGAGCATGCACGTGGCTGCAGACTTGAAAATTTACGAAGAAATATCAGCAGCCAGTGTCATCTAAAAAATATGCATGAGATTGTCACCTTACAGCTGGGTCAGCGTGCCAACTACCTAGCGACACATTTCTGGAATCTTCAGGTACTGTGAACCAGGCTACTATTGGTCTTTCTAGCTCTGATCTATGAATAGGAATCATATTTCACTTACAATGAGAGCGAGGAGTCTCCTATTGACCATGATGTTCATTTTCGACCAGGTGTGGGGGCTGATGGCTCAGAAACTTACACTCCTCGAACCGTCATCTATGATCTAAAAGGCGGGTTTGGAACCCTACGAAAGTACAATGCCCTTTACGAAATGTCCGAGGGCGCGGCTAGCGGGCAGGGTCTTTGGTAAGTCATTACATTCTGAATGCATTCAGATTTAAACTCACCTTTGATTAGGGATGGACAAGAGATAGTACGAAAGCAAGCTCCGATTCTGCCCAGTGAATATCAGAAAAGCTTAGAGCTGGGCACTCCCGCGCCTCGGTTGACATCGGAGACTGTTCGCTATTGGTCCGACTACAACAGAGTCTTTTACCATCCGCGATCCATTGTCCAGCTGAATGAGTATGAGTTGAATTCCCAGATCATGCCTTTCGAGGACTGGAATGCTGGTGAGGAGCTCTTCAACGACCTTGACAAGGAGCATGATCTCCTTGATCGAGATGTCAGACCATTTGCTGAGGAGTGTGATCAAATGCGAGCGTTGCAGCTATTCTCAGGAGCCGATGATGCTTGGGGTGGGTTTGCAGCGCGGTATATCGACCGCTTACGGGATGAGTATGGCAAGAAGAGCGTGTGGGTTTGGGCCATCGAGGATGGTGCCAGAGTTCAACGGGTTTGTCTGGCCGAGCAATTTCGAACGCAAAGATTAAATATTAATTTGTTTTTCTCAGCATCATCAACTGAAAAAGGATGTCAACAAAGCCAAATCGCTGTTCTCGATTTCACCACAGTCCAGTATTTATGTACCAATCGTTGACATTCCCTCGAAACTTCCAAGCTACATCGATGTAGATCGTCATTCGCGATGGCAGACCACCGCCCTGATTAGCTCCGCTCTTGAGACCGTGACCTTGCCGTCCCGTCTACGACCGTATCACGACTTCGAAGCCTCTCTAGCCGGTGATGACGGAAGGCACACGATCTATGAGCTGCAGTGTTCCATCAACCCACAGGATGTTGATAATAAATCATCAAAAGACGAGGAAGGGCGACCCAAGGCCCAATCTGAGTTTGACATTGACTTTACATATGGGGATTGCGATGACAAGGATGCGCATATTTTCAACCAAGTCCAGGTAACTCGCGGACATGAGCGTGGAAAGCCCACTGAAACACAAGAAGACCTTGGCCATGTTCGCAAACTTCGATTGTACAATTCCGAAGCAATGCTTCAGAGGTATGTCTCATGCTTGTGATCCCTCTTTCAATTCATTCACTGACCGGGTAAAATAACTAGCTACCATACTCCACTTCGCATGCCTATTCTTGATAATTTCCCGCACAATCTCTACCCAGCGTCCCAGTCCAGTGACGGTCTCAGTGTCTTTGCCGCATTGACCTCTTCGATCCGCACAGCTCAAAGAATCAAGTCTATTGAGGCCACTACCGCCCGCATGCTATCAGTCGACGAGCGGGAGAACATGATGAATGGTTTAGGCGAGATCAGGGAAAACTACGAGACAGGATGGAACAGTGAATCCGATGACGATTCTGACTAGGTAGGACAAGGAAAATTAGATACCACTACATAACCATATGACGCTCCCCGTCGGAAAGATCGGCTATCGACCCCAAGGTTAATCTCACGACGTTATTTGGTTATGAAGCTCGGTGATCTATTCCGCTGCAATAACCCTAAATTTAGTCGATGTGTACTTGTGGAACCATCGATGGGAATGGCCCACTCGAAGAATACGAGTTCTATATGGAGAACTCACCTATAGAAACGATGTCGCTCATTTCGCTACGGCACAAGTGGCTTCAGACAGTTCAAGGCCATAGCATAAACATTAATATGTACTAGTACTTATAATTGAGATCTGAAACATGACAACTCCTCACATCTGGGCAGGAACATTGGCACCCTAACATTACCAAGTTTCTTCCCGGATCTTGACATTGCTTTATTAGCCCTCCATGACAATACTGCTTGAAACTAATGATCCAAAAGTATAGTTCCCAGAATGACCCGCCTCTCCCGTCACTACTCCCTGGCAGCGTGTTTACAGTTTCCGGGTGTCACCGGCTTGACTTACAATTCTTGGAACGCAACCATGGAACCCCAACTATTCCCAAGACATTACAAGAACTGAGCCATTGTTCATGGTGATAATATGGAAGGATCAATGGGGAATTTGGTGACAGGTGACACCATATCTACTGACTTTTGTCGAATGATTTATCACACAAATTAACCCCGCAATGTCTCCTGTGCGCCTGAGCGCAATTTGTTATACACCCCCAGCCCTCACTGTCTCTTAGTGTCTCTGCTGATTTGTTTTGACATGCTCAAAGCCATGGTTACTGTTATGTAACGTCACCTTTCATGATCCACCTCACCGCACTGGATCGTCATATCCAATTGACTCTCAGAAAACATACCTGAGCCGTAGATCCACCTTAACAGATCCACAATGCTAATTCTTGATGGGAAATGGGCTGCAGAAGCTCGTGGTACTCATCATAATGGCCTACTTTCTGGACCCTGACCCTGAAATGCCCTGGTCCTAGGCTAATGCACAGATGTCATCACTCCCGGTTTCTTTCAATAAATCTCTCGCCCTACGGCAAATAGTCAACGCTAGACTAAAAAGTTCAGCGCTAAATTCAGTACTAACTTAGGTACCGGAGCAAGACTGCCGAGTGCTTCTCATTCGCGAGATTTCCCTACATAATGCCAATCACCCAACGAATCATTGATATCTATCTTTCTCCGTTGGACTCTAACCGACACTTGGTCAGATGACGATCAGTTTCTAATTAGATCCAGGAACATGGTCGGGTTCTGCCGCTCAGTATTTATGTTGACGAAAAAGGCTGGCATCGAGATGGGTCCATGTCTTCCTCCCAGCCACCAGTGCTCTTTTACCAGGGAACGATCGATATTCCGATCTTCCTTAGCTACATATTCCAGGATCCACCTGGATCGTCAGGTCGCCTCGAGTTCTTTTCCTCTTCAAAAGTCAGTCCCTGATCTGAGTATGGAGCTTGGCTGCACTCATCCTGGTGCTTCCATTGACCCAACCAAAGATTGATCGTGAACATCAAGCTCGTTCATTGACCAACCAACTGGACGTATTGCCGAGCCAGCCGGGTGCATGTGCTCGTGCTAGCTTCGGCTCTGCGTGGAGTCCCAGTTGTCAAAGCTACCGGCGTTATCCCTCTGGGGTACATGGAAAATTCGCTGGTTCCTGTTGCCATTCTAGGCCTAGTCAACTTTCCCCTGTGGACTCTACTACGGAAATATGACTTTGTATTGCATGAGTACCAACATCGTACGAATCAAGTCTCGCACCATCTAAATCGAGCCAGGTTCATCCATCAATCCAGGAAGTATAACATCCAGTCCAGGAAGATGCTTCCGGGAGCTGTGTATAAATTGATCTAATATCCTCGCCGTTTCCTCTCTGGTTCACTGCTTCATTTTTTTTAGAAGCTCTTTCGCTGATGTTCCTCTGGTCCGTCGTTTTAAAGAGCTTATACAAGACCTATTAACGACTTCATCTTAGCAATACCGCTCGTTTGGTACTCAATATGCGTGGCGCTTCTATTATTCTACTCTATATCGCCAGTCTGGCTTCGGGCACTGTTCTGCCGAGAAAACCTTTCGGCAGCGTGCGGCTTGATTTACGTCAGTTCTTAAACAGTACTTCATCCGCCTCAGCACCCCCACCACCTACATCAAGACCCTCTGTGAGCCCTAGCACAACTCCCACTGGGAATGGGACGAGAACGCTCTATAGAATCTCGGTGTCTTGCACGGAATGTGAGATTGGGTTTTCTACCGGGACACCTCCACCTAGCACTCCATGCGCTGAATGCGAGACTAGTCCAACCTCTACTCCATGCGAGACCGAGATCACTCCGACCTCTATTGAGACTACGGCTGCGCCTGAGTCTACTCCCTGTCCAACTGAGCCCGAAACCCCCCTTCCAACTATTATGACTACTACATACATGACAACCACCTGCCCGGGTATGCTATAATCTAGTCAATTACTATGGGCATTGCTAATTTTAATAGTCTCGTGGACTTCTGTCACAAGTGGATCGGGCGTCGTTAACCAGCCAGTCACTTTGACTAGCACTTTGATCCTGACCTCTGTTGTAACCTGCGCTGGGGATTGTTTTGAGTCAACCGCCGCACCTGAGGTCTCTACCCCGGTTGCTGAAGCTTCTTCTATGGTTGCCGCTCCGGGTGCTAGTAGCAGCCCTAAAGCCTCTTCTATGGTTGCCGCTCCAGGTGCTAGTAGCAGCTCTGAAGCTTCTATGGTTGCCGCTCCGGGTGCTAGTAGCAGCCCTATCTTCAATACTGCCTCATCCCAATTCCAGAAGTCCTTTTTTGGTTTCTTGCCTGGATTGGTTGTTGCTTTGGTATTGGTCTAATCTGCCAAGTTAGAGGTGATTGGAATTCTTCTCATGAATATCTTTTGCTGTATGGCAAAATTGATAGTGATTTTTGGACGTTAGGCAGCACAGACAGCGTGAAGATATGGGGTGAGTGACCTATACAAAAGGAAAGAAAAGGCGAAAGATATTTGGACTCCTGTGAATCTGGGCCTAGGTGAATGATGTTGGTGCTCACTACAACGCCCTCCTTGGCGATAGAGTTTTGCTGCAATGACTTTTTTATATGATAATTCAAATCTAATAGTTCTTTGAGCACGGATATAGCATACATATTCTAAAGAAATTTGTGACAATCTTATCAGAATATCCAGAGCTATTGATAAATTTTGTTCTTGGCTTGAACATGTCAGCCTTAGGTTACATAATATGCCAAACAGTGCAAACACCCTTGCATCCCAGCTCAGTCGGACCCGTGGCCTCAGATGCGGCTCGTTGTGTTTCTGTTGCCAGGTGGCCACTCTATCCCCTCGCACCTAGATGGATTAATCGACGTGTTGTGCTCCTTTTATATCATCTATCATTTTCCTTTCATTCGAACATATACACAACAATCCCTCCACCGTACGACTTCAGAGCTACATTCGTTCGGCGCTAAGACAGCCTTCCACCGACACACCAATTGGCGATCCGGTGGAGCGGCTTTCAGTACTTACTAGACTTCTGTACTAATTAGCTGCCTTCATGTACGTCATATCCAATTAGCTTGCTTAAAGCTTGCCCCAGAATCACAAAGAAATTTGACTAACAGTCTCAGTGCGCAGTGCAAACATAGATCATGGCTCTCCTAGGCCGCCAAAGGCTACATACTTCGCCATTCCTCTCCCTCGTGATCCTCCCGTTCCTCGTCTTCCTCCTGAGTTTCGCGGGTCCAGCTTCCGCCGCTGGATCAGCAGTTCTCGGCCTCGATGTCGGTACAGAATACTTTAAAGCAACATTAGTCAAACCGGGTATCCCTCTCGAGATCGTGCTCAGCAAAGACTCGAAGCGCAAGGAAGCCGCTGCTATCGCATTCAAGCCCACACGAGACTCTTCTGCGGCTTTCCCGGAACGGTTCTACGGTGGTAATGCGCTGGCCCTGGCGGCTCGCTACCCGGATGACGTCTACATCAACCTGAAGACGCTGTTGGGCGTGCCTTTTAATGACGGAAATGATGACACGGTTAAGAACTACTGGAGCCGGTATCCAGCTTTGAAAATGGAGAGTGCCCCCGACGGCCGCGGTTCTGCTGCCCTTCGCAGCAATCGACTTGGCGAGGCAGAGAGGAAGGACGCGTTTTTAGTCGAGGAGATTCTGGCCATGCAGTTGAAGCAGGTCAAGGAGAATGCTGATACACTGGCTGGAAAGGGCTCTGATGTTCGGGATGTGGTGATTACTTATCCCGCTTTCTACACCGCGGAGGAGAAGCGGAGTCTTGTGTTGGCGGCGGAGCTGGCGGGTCTTAAGATTGAAGCGCTTGTCAGTGATGGCTTGGCTGTTGGTTTGAACTACGCCACTTCCCGCAGATTCCCTAGCGTTACCGACGGAGAGAAGCCCGAGTATCACGTCGTCTTCGATATGGGCGCTGGCTCAACCACTGTCAGCGTTTTACGGTTCCAGAGCCGTCAGGTCAAGGACGTTGGCCGCTTCAACAAGACTATTCAGGAAGTTCACGTTCTTGGAGCTGGTTGGGACAAGACCCTCGGAGGTGACTCGCTCAATGATCTCATCGTTGACGACATGGTCGCCAAGCTAGTCGAGGACAAGAAGCTCAAGGACAAGGTCACTCCAGAGCAGGTCAGGGCGCACGGAAAGACAATGTCGCGTCTGTGGAAGGATGCGGAGAAGATCCGACAGGTTCTGAGTGCCAACTCGGAAACATCTACTAGCTTCGAAGGTCTTTATGACGATGAATTGAACTTCAAGTACAAGATCACCCGTGCAGATTTCGAGAAGATGGCCGATAAACATGCGGCTCGCGTTGGTGTTCCTCTGGAGCAAGCTCTCGAGGCGGCTAAGCTGAAGCTTGACGATATTGACTCCGTGGTCTTGCACGGTGGAGCTATCCGAACTCCGTTTGTTCAAAAGCAATTGGAGAAGGTTGTTGGCTCATCCAAGAAGCTTCGGACCAACGTTAACGCCGATGAGGCCGCCGTCTTTGGTGCTGCATTCAAGGGTGCCGCTCTCAGCCCCAGCTTCCGGGTCAAGGACATCCGTGCCCATGATGCGGCTAGCTACCCTGTTGTCCTGAAGTGGACCTCTGATAGCAAGGAGCGCAACCAGAAGCTCTTCACCTCTACTTCCCAAGTTGGCCCGGAGAAGCAGGTGACTGTCAAGAACCTCGACGATTTTGAGCTCAGCTTCCACCAGCTGGTTGGGCAAAAAGAACAGCCCGTTTTGAGCGTGCAGACCCAGAATCTGACCGCATCAGTGGCCAAGCTAAAGGATAGCTTTGGCTGCTCGGCTGCGAACATCACCACTAAGTTTGCAATTCGCCTCAGCCCTGTGGACGGCCTTCCAGAAGTGACCGGTGGCAGTGTGAGCTGTGAAGTCGAAGCCGAAAAGAAGGGAATTGTGGAAGATGTCAAGGGCTTCTTCGGTCTTGGCTCCAAGAAGGACGAGCAACAAGTTCTTGGTGAGGATGGCGAACCCGCTGAATCTATCACCCTTGAGTCTGGAGCAGAGTCATCCACCTCGTCTGCCAGTGACTCAACTGCCACTCCTGCTACCAAGGAGGCCAAGGGAACGCCCAACACTAAGATTGAGATCATCCCGATCGCTTTGAAGTCCACGTCCCTTGGAACTAAGGCTCCCTCGGCCTCCGAACTGACCCGCATTCGTGCTCGTCTGGCTGCGTTCGACGCCTCGGACCGTGAGCGTGTTTTGCGCGAAGAAGCTTTGAATGAGCTCGAGTCTTTTATCTACCGCAGCCGTGACCTCATTGAGGGCGAAGAGCTCGTGAATGCCCTCAAGCCGGATCAGTTGACCATCCTCCAGGACAAGGTTTCCAAGGCCAGCGACTGGCTGTACGAAGACAGTGACAACGCGCACACCGCAGACTTCAAGGCGAAGCTGAAGGATTTGAAAGCAATTGTTGACCCCGCCCTCAAGCGTATCAAGGAGGCTTCCTCGCGCCCTGCGCGTGTGGAACTACTCCAGGAGATGCTGAAGAACGCCGAGTCCATGAAGTCGCTCATCGAAAGCCAAATCGCAATTGATGAGGCTGCCTACTCCTCTTCTCTCTCGGCTTCCAATACCGCCACGGTCGAAGATTCCGAAACCGTCTCCGCTAGCACACCTTCTGCAGCCCCCTCCGATGACCCTCTGGATGACCTCGACGATGACGCATACTCGACTTCCAGCAAAAAGACCTCCACCAAGTCTTCCGCCGCTGCAAAGCCCACTGGCCCCAAATACACGCTCTTCACCCCCTTCGACCTCACCTCCTTGAACCAGGTTTACGAGTCCACCAAGCCCTGGCTCGAGACTCAGCTAGAGCTTCAGAATAAGCTCACCGAGTCAGACGACCCCGCATTGACAGTCGTGGAGATTGACTCCCGTCTGCGTGAGTTCGAGCGTATCCTCAACCGCATGTACGAGCGCATGACTGTGGCCGCTGGAAAGGATCAGAAGAGCAGTGGCAGTGGCAAGAAGTCTAAGAAGGAGAAGTCTGATGAGAAGACTAAAAGCAAGGCTAAGGGTAAGGAGCAGGAGAAAGAGACAAAAGAAGATGATCGGAAGGATGAACTCTGATCTGTCCGACTTGTCACAATAACTCGCATTTTGGTTCATTCCGCTTTTTTCAAGTACAGCGCATGGATAGATCAAACTTTTATATCCTCATGTACCATGTATTCACGTCATCCATTGTTTCCAAATCATAGAGAAAAGCGATTCGAGAGTTCTTTTTGCAAGCGTAGGAACTCAACTTTTCAGCTCTGGTTTCGATCTAATAGTACTGCCGGCAATAGATCCTTGACATGCTTCTTTTCAATGAAGTTAATCCCAGCAGAGTAGCATTGAAAAGACCACACCAAATAAGTAGCACAAGCGTTTTACAAAGCAAATGCCGATGAAGTCGACGATTCTAAACTATCCTCGCGGCCCCATGACGGACGCAACCACTTCACGACGAACTTGAGAAAGAACAGCAAGACTTGTAGCGCAAGTATTATGAATCGAAGTAGGAAATATGATCTCCAGGAATCGGATCTAATCTTTTGTTTCAGGGAAGGCATTATGTGTAAGGACCTATGTTCAATATTTGGCTTAGTTTAGTCCAGGTCCCTGATGTGAGATTCATTGTAACTCACCAACCAAAAAGAAGCCATCTGCCATTGAATAAAAGTCTGTATTGTATTCCAAGTGCTTCACAGTGAAAGTGTGGCCCGCATCATAGCATTATCTGCATTCTGTCAGTTTTCTGTCATAATTCATATTCAGGGTGGAAAGTGACATACTACATCTGCGTTGTGGGTGTGTCTAGGGCTCGGTCTCAATCCAAATTTCCATTCCAAGATTCCAGGGACTCCAAGATGATTATAGGCAAAAGAGGGGAACATTGTGTCACACGGCCTGCATCTATTGAAATTTGCTTTTTTGTGATGAACCACGCCTCTGTATATGACATAGATAAGTGTCTCGTTACCTACTAGTCGGTAGGTGAATGGAAGATTACGCAGTTGATTCATGTCGTGTCACCACATGATAAATGCACTGTAGGTTTTTCACTTCCGGCTCTTTTCATCCGATCTTCCCTTCTTCACATTGGAGATGGGATAATGCTCGGGGTTTTGAGATCCGAATCAGCATAATCTTCCCTTACATGACCCTTAGCCCCATATGAAGCTTCAGGGTTTCAGCTTCGGCAGCATCGCTGGATGTACCACAATAGAGGATTTCCGAGATCTGCGTATTTGGGAACACAACAGAGACAGAGGCGGAAACGTTTTGATTTGCGTAGTGTTTATGAGGGAATGAATTTCTACTACAAACATGCCATTTATAGACCTTAAGATTACTTCTCGTTCTACACCTGTCGACGCTTTATTACGTTATTTGGTATATTGTACAACTACCCGTGGGGTGACACCCACAATGGCACCGCCATGATGAGTAGCGCAAACGTAATCTCCACAGGCGTCACATTAATCCTAAACGCCACCTAAACCGGCGCCTCAGATTACGCCTACGACTTCTGAACGGTCTGGGCAAAACAAGCATTCACCGTCGAAGAATCCAGAGGCCTAGATTTTTCTGCTGATTTTCTCGCTCCAGTGGTGACGGGTACGGGGCCCGCATTCTGGCTTGGTGGGGTGAACTCCTGGCCTCCTGAGGTGGATATCGCGGGGTGGAAGAGGACTGGCGATATCAGTTGTAATACTTTCAACACGTCCAGCGAGGTGACGGCTGATGATGTGGCTTATCCTGACTCGACAGAGGTTCATACTGTTTAGGCTGAGTTTAGGGATGAAAATGGGAGTGATGTTAGTATCAAGTTTTATCTTGATGGGACACTTGTTGCTACGCAATATGCTAGTGGACTCACTGAGCAGCCTTTATATTTGGGTTGTTGATTTGCAGATGGAGGGGAGTAGTGGAAGTCCTGGATCTACTGGAAGTAAGTTTTTTTGACTTGTTCTATCTTCTATGGGTGTTTCCATACCAATATTTCTCAACAGCGACAACTTACCAGATTATGAATTTGGAGGTTATTATTTTAAATTGATACGCAAGAAAAGAAAAATTTTACCTTATTGACTTGTTACCTGATAGGTTTTGCGGTCAATCAGACTAAACTTCTCCCTCGGTCATGGTTCCGCAAATCCCCGTATTTGATATCATATTGACCCCCAAGTTCTCCATCTCTACGGAGTACATCTGGGGACTCCAGGCTAATCGATATTCCCTAACCTTATTCTATGACAACTAGATAGGGGAATCTTTACTGTCAGTCACCCGATTGGTTCCCTGCTTATCTGTGGTGCCAAGAAAAGCCAAGAAGTTAAACATTCCGTTATCGGTGGCGCGTGAAGTAACGGAGTATTACCGAACCATCAAGATAAGCTACTTCTATAATTAATGGAATTCCCAACGTTCGATGGTTTCAATATTTGAATTATATTCGCAGTCATGTCTGAATCTGTATCTGACAATCCCAAAAATGACGAACATACGACTATCGCAAGTGTCGACATTCCCAAAAATGGCGAACATACGACTATCGCAAGTGTCGATATCGATCCACAGGCTGAACGATCCTTGGTCTGGAAGTTCGATCTGCGCTTACTCCCCGTGTTGGCTTTGATGTACTTTTTCAACAGTCTCGATAAGTCTAATTTGGGTAACGCAAAGACAGCAGGTCTTGAAGATACCTTACACTTGGTTGGTAACCAATACAGTACTGTTCTCAGTATCTTCTATGTGCCATATGTCCTTACAGCTCCGTTTCTTGGCTTGCTCGGCAAGAAATACGGTCCTAATCGTGTGCTACCATGTATGATGTGTGCATTCGGTCTTTGCACTGTTCTCATGGTTGCTGTGAACAATTTCAGCGGTCTACTTGCTATTCGGTGGTTCTTGGGTATGTCCGAGAGTGCCTTTTTCCCCTTGGTTATCTATTACCAGACAACGTAAGTGGTTTTGCTTAATTCTCAGTTGAGGGAACAAAGCACTAATGGATCACCAGTTTCTACCGTCGAGGTGAACTAGCCCGTCGTCTCGCCATTTTCTACGCTGCTCAGAGCATCGGCTCGGCCTTCTCAGGCTTACTCGCTTTCGGCGTCTTCCGAATCCACACAGGACCGTTAGCTTCATGGAGATATCTCTTCCTCATCGAAGGTGGCGCAACACTCATCTGTGCCGTGTTCGCACTATGGTACCTTCCACGATCAGCTTCCGAAGCAAGCTTCCTATCACCAGAAGAAAAGGAGCTAGCATACCTCCGCCTGCAAGTCGACAGCTCGGCAGTCGTCAATGAGAAGCTGAACATCCGCGCTTCATTCCGCATTTTCAAGCACTGGACTAGCTGGGCTATTCTGGTTATTGAAATGTGTCTCGGTGTCCCTCTCCAGGCCGTCTCACTCTTCTTACCCGTCATCATCGAGAATCTGAAATACAGCACTGTGAAAACAAACCTTTATACCGTCGCGCCTAATGTCTCGGGCGCAGTCGTGCTCCTCATCCTGGCCTTCTGCAGTGATTGGACAAGATGGCGGTTCCCGTTCATTGCTTTGGGATTCACATTCACATTTGTCGGAATGGTGATCTTCGCCGCTATCGACGTCACGCACGATGTCAATGTCGCTTATTTTGCTTCTTTCCTTATGTGCTGGGGTACATCGGCGCCGTCAGTCCTGCTTGATGTTTGGTATAACAACAACATCGCGAATGAGGGACAGCGTGTCGTTTTGACGAGTATTGCCGTCCCTGTCGCTAATATGATGGGTGTTGTTGCTTCAAATATCTTTCGCAGTCAGGATGCGCCGAAATACATCCCGGCTTTGGTGACTACGGCCGCTTTTGGTGGTTGTGGTATTGTTTTGACGATTTGTTTGGGTCTTTGGATGATGTGGGATAACAAGCGGAGGGATCTGGCTCAGGGTGTGCATGTCCAGGCTAAGGATATTCCGACGGAGTACCTAGCCGATGGACCGGCTGGGGAATGTTTCCGTTGGTTTTATTAATGACTTTATTGTATGCATAATGACACGGCATGATAGAAATGATTTTAGCATTTAGCCAATCTTGAGCAACATTTTTTGGTTCACATTGAAATAGCAATCAGCAAAGGGTCATGTAGTATTTCGATTGATTCAGGATCAAGTATGTTCTCTAGTCAGATTTGGAGAGCCACTAGTCTGGGTGTCTGATGCAATTATCCTTTGTTAAGTTGTTAAGAGTCGGGAGTACAATGTAATTCGGACAAGGTGGCATGATACGATTCTACTACTATTTAGCAGTTGATTCACTAATTTACAGAAAATAAGATACACATATGGTACAGGCCGGGTATATGTACAAAAGAAAAGTACTCTGGTGAGCAAGCACAGCACAGAGAAGCCATCCGGTGGCACTAGAAAGAAAACTCAAGAAGAGAGATGGATCAAGCGCAGTCCATATGACTGTCCGATTCCGCATCGACCTCCTCCCGTCGACGAAGAAAGGTGGCCTCTTCAAAATCATCTAAATCCATGCCCGGGAATTCATTCTGTCGAGATTTCCGAATCGCAAGAATCCGACGTCTCTGCTGTCCCAAGCTTGGGGATAGAATGGTGCGTTCAAAGGGAGCCACTCGCCACGACTCATTGTCTTCCAGATCGGATTCTTCATCTGCATAAATCCCAGTCCGTCCATCCAAGCTTCTCTTCTGGCCATTCAATATGATCGGAACGGAAGCGGATGACGTGATCGATTCCTGGCTGCTTGGTGGGAGTGAGAACGCATCCCCGTCGTCAGTGACAAGGTCGCTGGTGGATCGTCCCATCCCAGAGAAGGGGGCTAGCTCGGAGTAGCCCTTGGTGGTGTATGTTTCAGCGACCGCTGCATCCTTCGCTGCCATGGCCTTTTCTTTCTCCAGCGCAATCTGAGTCTTGTATCCATCGGCTACGGACTTCCGGACCCGCATTCCGACTGAGAGAAGTGAGGATTGGATTTTAGCTGGGACGACAGGAGTGGCTGAGAAGGTGGCGGTCGAATAGTGGTTGTGCGATACTGAAGCGTCGGGGGTGGTTGATCCGGTGGAGAAGTATGTGGTTATGGAGGGCTGGAAGCGCCGACGCTTGGACAATGTGCTGTTTGAGGGCTGCATCTTGGAATGTGGATAGGTTGAATAGAGTGGAGTGGGGTGTTGGGGATTGAAGAGGGGAGAGATAAGAAATGCAAAATGATGCGGCGGTAGTCTGGGAAACGCGACGCGGGTCCATGACACGCGCTGGACACGCTCTGAACACGCTTTTCAATTATGCCTGTTTGGGATAAGGTTAGGGCTTAGGGCTTTGACAATGAACTCAGTAAAGGAACTAAGTGATCATTGACAACGATAGCTTTTTTACGTATTCAATTATACAAATGAATCCTCACATTCATGCAGTTTTATCATACTGCTTACTCTTACAAATAGCACTGTACATATATACTGAATACAAGTTGTCTTCTGTTCTAACGCGGGAACGTTCTCACAAGTGCATCAAAACATATATTTATATATTCAACTAGCAGGGGAGGTGAGTTATTCGTGGACGGCCCATCCCTCAACATCGATCCAAACCCAGGAAGTTGATGTCATGATAAGGCTTTATAGGTACCTAGGTAGTACAGAACTATGTACTATATACATCTAGCATAGTCAATACTGTAATTTAAACTTCAAATGCTAGAGGCATAATATACCAGGTATATTAGTATAGATGTAGTGTGTATTGGTACAAATGTAGACTCAAGTACATGGATATATAAATAATGTATCTAATTATCCCATTAATCATCGACATGCACATGTGATCACCTAGATACAGCCCACATAAGGTAGGTAGCCCTGGAGGCACCACGTTGACTAGTATTCCCGAGGTCTTTGAAACAATGTTTTGAATGTAACATAATCTTGGAATTGATGCTATAATACTACCTAAGTACCTAGTGGTATTGTCACGCAAATCAACATTTTGAAGCTTTTGTCCCAAAAAACCTTGGAAAACAGAGAAACAATAATCTAACGCCGCGTCCCATCGATGATAAACATTGAAAGTCTAGCAAGAGATATATACCATGCACATGTGAACATTGATAGACTGCTTAATTACCAATATTTCCTCTCTTTCCACCACGCTTCTTGCGGTCATGGTGAGCCTTCAACACAGCACGAGTCTCAACCAGACTGCGCTTGTTCTTGCTTCTGGCTTTACCCAAGGTCATGAGGAAGTTCTTCTTGCGAGCCTTCTCCTTGTTGGTGGTACTCTTTCCGAGCTCCTCCTTGCGTTCTCTCCTCTTGGCTTCCTTGCTCTTGTGGTCGGCCCGATCAGTCTTGCCCTCCCTGGCGTGGGCAATCTTCTCCTCGCGAGTGAGCTTGGCGGCGGACAGAGCTGCGAGACCCTCGATCTCTTCGGCTGTCAAGGGGTCATCGTTATGGCGCGATTGAGGAAGCTGGGGACGGCGCTTGTTGCCAGAGACAGCAGCCTCCAAGGACGCCTGAGCTCGAAGCTCGGCAAGCTTGGCCAGATCAGCGGGAGTGAGGATGCGAGTGGTTGCCAGCTTAGAGAAGGCTGACTGGGCATCTTCCTTTTTAGGCTCTTCGGTCTTCTCCTCGGCCTTTTCAGCATCCTGCTTGGCCTTCTTGGAGGGACGATCCTTGCCCTCATCTTCCGAATCACTGATGTCGATTTCACCGTCACTCTCGACATTGATCCACTCTCCATCAACACTGCTATCATCGTCATCCTCGACGTTCCAGGCGTCCCAGTTGTCTTCATCCTCTTCATCGTCATCTTCGGCATCAGATGCGAGGCCCTTCTCAAGTCGCTTCTTGCGGCGCTCCTCTTCCTTCCACTTCTCCAGAAGCTCAAGACCCTCGATTCCTCCAGTTTCTTCCTGACCGAAACGTCTCTGTTCCTTATCGCCGGAACGAAGACCCATGGCAGCCTCCTTACCACGGTCGCGTTTCTTGAGCATGCCCGCGCCAACATCACGGAAGAGACTCAACAAACCCTTCGAGGCCATCATCACACCCTTGTCCTTACTCTTCTTGTACATGACAAGATCCTGAAGCAAGGTCTCGTTCATCGCCAGAGGTTGACGAACACAGATCTCTCGAATAGCATTAAGACCAGCCGTAGCGACCTCTCCAGCAGACGCCTCGGAGACGAACTCGTTGGCGATCTTCTGGATAAGAGGCTCAAGAACATCCGGGGGCACAAGGTCGTGAGATGCCTGGGCCAATGACGCCAAGAAAGAAGTGACCGAGGGCTGACGGGGGGTAAGGAATTTCTGGAAGTAGGAGTAAAGTGACATAATGTGCAACTTGTGCAAGCCGACCAGTCGCGAGACTAGCTGCAGAACAAGGAGCTTCTGTTCCAGCTTGAGCTTAGACCGGCCATTTTGCAGGTGCTTGGCAAACAGGTTTTCCGCAAAGCCCTGAGGATCATGCAGCAGATGAAGCGCCGAAAAGTTGAGGGGATGAGGCTGGTTCTTCTTCTTCTCCTTCTTCTTGTGAGCGGTCATGGCCTTATGGGCGACACGGGCCTTCTTCTTGGTCTTCTTGTTAATACCAAGCTGGTGCCTGATGCGAGCAACATCAACTTCCTCATCACTGCTCTCATCTTCCATCTCCTCACGCTCCTTATCTCCGCCGAGGAAGAAGCGCACTCCACCAACGATGACCTTCTCATTCTCTGACAAGCTAGCTTCCTTCATAATCTCAACAGTCTTGGAGTCCGTCCAAATCTGACGTTTCCATAGCTCTCGGGTCAATTTGATCGCCCAGAGAGCCTTGGAGGATGTGCGGTCTGATGTGACTAAGTTGAAGAGAACGGTCTGCATGGTACGATTCAACTTGTGATTGGCAGTTTTCGAGTTGGATGTGCGCAGTTCAGAAAGGATTTTCTGGAACAACAGGGCACGTAGAGACTTGCTGGGAGTAGAGATGAGAATCGGGAACAAGGTGTGGAGCAGCCTATCACGAAGTAATTTAGCGTTCAAACGACATTTCAAGAGGAAGCACAAAGGCAGCATACGTTGACGAGTCCAAGCAATCCTTCTTTCGGAGAAGAACAATACTTCCAACCAATTTTTCCCTCAGCTCCGTTTCCAGCACCAAATGGTGTTGCATGAGCATATCAATCAGTTGCTGAGGGAAGTCCTTGAGAATCTCGGGATAACAATCGGCGACATGGGTAATGAAATCAATTAAATCTCGCAGAGAGATAATACCGGTATCAGTGGCCGACGTGGGCGCGGACATGAAAATTTCACGATGCGACTCATATTGGTAGTGCTGGGCGCGGAAATCCTCGATGTAGGACCTGTGTGATTGCGAACCATGTTAGTCTCGCTCAATTACCACAGATAAATATTCAGAGAGTCACAAATCAACTTACTTGGGATCCCGGCGAATTTTGTGCTGTAGATTGGGCCTAGAAGTTATGTCAATATACCGCTTGTGAAGGCCGTCTGATTTGAACAGGTCCTCGGGCGCATTGCCTCAAATAAGGAGAACATACAAGTCAGCCTCAACCTTTTCCAAGGCCCCCAACTTTCTTTTAACCATATTGTGGGTTGTCTGTAAGAACAGAGGTAAGTGCTGGTGGGAGAGGTTGGGGTGATGCAGGTCCACCGCTTTGAAACTTTTTTTTCTTCTGCCGTATCGATAAGCGCCCGGGGCCACTTCAACCCTGGAATCGAGCCAGTACGGAGTACTCCGTAAAAGACCGTAAGATTTGTTAATGAATACTGATAGTGATAGTGCATTACTGCTAGTGATTTACAATTCAATTCCTTATACAATTTACTCCATGATAGATAAATTGGAAATGCATAATATGGAAATAACATTTTTTTCGTATTGAAAGTGGCCATTATACGACCCGAGGTCTTCATCATCGTATCCCAAGTACGTTGGAAAAAAGCCATCCCATTGCGATCCTTATTTTTTGGACTCTGCTTTCTTTTGACTGTCTCAATCTAATGTACAGCCGCGCAGATGCATGCAAAACGACTGAATCCCGCTGAAAACCCCCCGTCCACTCCCGATTCCATAACACAGAACCAAACGGAGAACAACATCCAGAAAACCCTTTACCGGTTGGACTTGGCAACACGCTCGAGCTCGTCCTTCTTCTTAATAGCGTAAGAGTTGGAAGAACCCTTGGCGGCGTTGATCAGCTCCTCAGCGAGGCACTCGGAGATCGACTTGATGTTACTATAAGGCAATTAGTATAATCTCCAGAGGTATTTGGGATGGATGTTCGATAATTCGAATCATCTCAAGTGGCGAAAACATACCGGAAAGAAGCCTCACGGGCACCAATGGTGAGCAGGGCAACGGCCTGGTTGACACGGCGCAGGGGGGAGACATCGACAGCCTGGCGACGGACGGTACCCTGGGAACCGATACGGGTGGAGTCCTCACGAGCACCGGAGTTGACAACGGCATCGCACAGAACCTGGAGGGGGTTCTGGTCGGTCATGACAGCAACCTGAAGAAAGAAGAACAGGTTAGAGCTTGAAAACGGGTGGTGTTGAATTTTGGATTTGACGTACGATCTCGAAGGCGTGGGCGACAATGCGGACAGCCATAACCTTCTTACCGCTGTTACGGCCGTTCATCATGAGGGAGTTGGTGAGACGCTCAACGATGGGGCACTGAGCCTTGCGGAAACGCTTGGCGGCATAGCGACCGGCAGTGTGGGAGGTGTAGACCGGAGCGCGGATCTGGATGTAGTCGCTGTAAATTGGCAAACGAGTCAGTCTTGTTTTTGGCATTCCTTCGCTTTGTTGTGTGCTGAATGGTGTGTAGCTGTGTATGCTGGACGGTCGTGAAAATTCGTTGTTCGATATGATGCCGCCCAAAAAAACCGTCCCACAACCCAATTCTCCTTATTCGCGCTCGATTGGAATGATAGACTGGACCGAAACTGGGTGCACTCACGTCAGAGAGATATCACGGACCTCAACACTGCGATGGATGTTAGCGATCTCGATATTGAATTCGGGTCACGGGTTTAACGAACTCGTAGCTCCATTTTCCGAAAAGCTTGATCTCGCCCTCAAGGGCAGCGATCTCCTTGGGCAGGGAGGGGTAGGCAGCGACCTCAACTTCCCCGTTGTCGGACATTTTGGCAGGGTTTCGTGGGAGGTTGTCGTTGGGTGGATGAATCGTCAAGTCGAGGCGTCTGTGACCAAGGGAAATTGGGTGCGCTCGCTTAGCCCTGTTGTGGGGGTCACATGAGATTAGGGCAGAATGCGGCCGCCAATGAAAGTAGGTATGTCATGTGACTTGTGTCATCGGTTATCAGGCAGAAAATCGAAAATCAGGCAGAAACTGGATTTGTATACAGTTCGATAATCCTAATCATTTGTGGTTAAATGGAGTCCAAGCTTTTTATCCATTATTACTGTATATGGATCATATTGATAATGTTTTTACGTCTATTGAATAAAGAAGAATAAATATTCATTCCACCCCACCTTCATAGCTTTAAGTATAAAAAAATATGTACTTCTTGGTATTCATATGGGATAATCAGCCCAATGCGCTGCCTATTGATTCGAAACCCAATTGAATGAAATCTATCCTGTGGTTTAATGCCACAAATTCTTCTTTAGTCTAGTCAGCGTATTTTTTCAATAACTTCAGGTTTGACCACGAGTCTTAACCCTGTACACGCTCGGTTCGCCTGACCGCCTTGGTGTGGGTGACGTTGTGACGCGGAAGTCCCGACACTTTCAAGGACAATTCGAGGACGTTCGTCAAACGACCCCGGATAACTCGACAAGCAACAGGGGCTTCGGAACTACCCCTCTTTTGGGTCATACCCCCTCACTGCGCGAAAGCCGCTAATCTGCGATGAGGTGTTCCTGAGCTCGGTGCTCCTGTCATTCCTCCCCCGCGCTTTTGATCCACACTTCTTCGATTTGAGTCCTTCCCCGTGTCCACAATGGCGGAAGCGAACCCAGAGCTCCAGTCCGCTTTACGGAACTTGGATAGGGAATACGAAGTATGTATTCCCCCGTCTATACAATGGCCCCTGTACTTGCGCTTACACAAGGTGTGCGACCAAACAGGAGGGTGATCTCACCGAGAAAGGGTAAGCTGTGTTCCCCCAACCAATCAGTTCTACGATCCGGGGAGAATCAAGAGGCAGAAAGTGCTTGTGGCTGGATGACGGTCAGGTGATACACAAGAAATGTACATGCTAATGCTGAAGAAAAGGTACCAAAAACGTCGTACTCTTCTTCTCTCGCAGTTCCTCGGACCAAACAAACCGCTCGAGATCAATACTCACGGCCATGAGGATCCATCGGATGGAGGGCAGATGGGACCCCCAGCGATTCTGAGTGTCCGACCACCCACAGCAGAATCTTCACAACAAGGCATTTCTTCACCAACCTATTCCGGCGGGTATGAGGGCGCGCAAGGCGGATCATTCGGATACAACCATGGTGTCGGTATGGATATGCACGATCCGTCATCGGTGCCATCTGCACCTTATGATAGGGACAGCATGGGCATGTTACAGACACACGATCGGATGCCTTCTGCGGCGTCGCACGACTCGCTGTTTCTCCCCAAGCCTATGCCCCCGGCCCCACAAGGCCCGGATGGCTCGAGAACGGCCACTTTGATGAGCCAGAACTATGCCTTCAATCCTGATGCCCAACCTGAGTATGTTGACGATGGCATGGATATGTATGGCCCGGGATCTGGTGGTGCCACGCGACAGTCAACAATGCTTGACTCCCAGCAGGGATTCTTCTCTGACTTTGCTGGCCAACAACACGAGGATTACCGTGAGAGCTACCGCGAGAGCTACGGCGGTGGGTATCATCGTTACTCACAGTCAGGAGAAGCTTTCTCGCCCACAGCAAACATGCCGCCGCCGTACATTCCACCCTCAGAATTGGCCCACGGGCCAGCCATTGAACATCTCATGCCCCTTGAACCTCGAGAGATCCCATTTGCAGTGTACGATCCACATGACAAGAACATACCTATGTCAACCTTCGAAAATCTTCCTGCCGTACTCCGCCACCGTGCTCGGACGCATCCAAAGCAGCCAGCTTACTGGGTGTTGGACCTGAAGGGAAAGGAAATTGCATCTATTACCTACGACAAACTGGCTAGCCGAGCAGAGAAGGTCGCTCAGGTGATCCGGGACAAGAGTAACCTGTATCGTGGGGATCGTGTCGCCTTGATCTATCGTGAAGCCGAGATCATAGAATTCGCCGTGGCTCTTATGGGTTGCTTCATTGCGGGAGTAGTTGCAGTCCCCATTAACAGTCTTGATGACTATCAGTCTTTAAATTTAGTTCTCACCTCGACTCAAGCTCATTTAGCCTTGACTACTGAGAACAACCTGAAAGGCTTCCAGCGCGACATTACCGCACAGAAGTTGAACTGGCCACGCGGGGTAGAATGGTGGAAGACGAACGAATTCGGAAGCTTTCACCCCAAGAAGAAGGATGACACACCTCCCCTCGTCGTCCCTGACCTCGCATATATCGAGTTTGCCCGGGCACCCACCGGCGATATGCGTGGTGTCGTGATGAGCCATCGAACCATCATGCACCAGATGGCTTGCCTCAGTGCAATCATCTCCACAGTGCCTACCGATGCCAGCGCCAGACAGTTTGCTGCCAAAGGAGAGACCATCACAAGTTATCTTGACCCAAGACAGGGGATCGGAATGATTTTGGGAGTTCTTATGACCGTGTATGGTGGCCATACAACTGTATGGCACGAAGACCGGGCGGTCGAGACTCCTGGTTTATATGCCCACATAATCACTAAATATCGAGCGACAGTCATGGCCGCCGACTACTCCGGCTTGAAGATTGCCGCCTACAACTACCAACAAGACCCCATGTCCACCAGACATTACAAAAAGAATTCTGAGCCCAATTTTAGCAGCGTTAAGATTTGTTTGATCGACACTTTGACTCTTGACCCTGAGTTCCACGAAATCTTGGCCGATCGATGGCTGCGACCGATGAGAAACCCGCGGGCGAGAGAGATTGTGGCTCCTATGCTCTGTCTACCGGAGCATGGTGGTATGGTAATTAGCATGCGCGATTGGGTGGGTGGTGAAGAGCGGATGGGATGTTCCTTGACTCACGATATGGATCCCGCACAACGTGGTGGACCCAAGGACGATGACGAGAAAGCAGAGAAATCCGAGACAAACACTGGCTTTGGAAGCAGTCTTCTTGGGGGTGGCTCTCGCGTCTCTGCACCAAAGCAAACCACCAAGAACGAGTTGAGTGAGGTCCTTCTTGACAAGGAGGCTTTGAAGAGCAATGAAGTAGTTGTTCTCGCCATGGGCGAGGATGCTCGAAAATATGCTCGAAGTATGCCTCACGCTGTTCGTGTCGGGGCCTTCGGTTTCCCACTTCCCGATGCGACACTCTCTGTTGTCGACCCGGAGACCAACCTCTTGTGCGTGCCGAACGTTATTGGAGAGATCTGGGTTGACTCGCCGTCACTTTCGGGAGGCTTCTGGGCACTGCCGAAGCATACAGAGGCAATATTCCATGCTAGACCATACAAGTTCGAAGACGCCAACCCTACCCCCATACTCGTTGAGCCCGAGTTCCTGCGAACTGGCTTGCTTGGCTGTGTCATCGAAGGCAGGGTTTTCGTGCTCGGTCTATATGAAGATCGACTTCGGCAGAAGGTTGAATGGGTTGAGCATGGTCAAGAGGTTGTCGAGCATCGATATTTCTTTGTCCAGCACCTAGTTGTCAGCCTTCTGAAGAAAGTACCTAAAATTCACGACTGCACCGCGTTCGATGTATTTGTCAACGATGAGCATCTGCCAGTCATTGTCCTGGAGTCATACGCTGCCTCAACGGCTCCTACAACGTCTGGTGGACCTCCACGACAACTGGACTCCGTACTTCTCGACTCATTAGCTGAAAGATGTATGGAGGTGCTTTACCATGAACATCATCTTCGTGTGTACTGTGTCTTGCTCACGGCCCCCAACAGCCTTCCTCGCGTGACTAAGAGCGGTCGACAAGAAATTGGCAACATGCTCTGCCGGAAAGATTTCGAGGCCGGTATGTTGCAGGCTGTGCACGTCAAATTCGGCGTGGAACGATCTGTAATGAATCTGCCTGTCGGTGTTGATCCTGAAGGTGGGATCTGGTCACCACTGGCACTTACCTCGAGACAAGATATTCTTGCCTATCAGGAAAAGCAGTACTCAGGTGTGGACTATCGGGATGTTGTCATGGATGACCGAACTTCCACGCCTCTCAACAACTTCAAAACAATCGTTGATCTTCTCCAGTGGCGTGTCTCACGACAGGCTGAAGAGTTGGCATACTGCTCGATTGACGGTCGCGGCAAGGAGGGCAAGGGCATCACTTGGAAGAAATTTGACCTCAAGGTGTCAGCGGTGGCTACGTACCTCAAGAATAAGGTCAAAGTACGACCAGGTGATCATCTGATTTTGATGTACACTCATTCCGAAGATTACATATACGCCGTTCATGCTTGTCTGTGTTTAGGTGTTGTGGTCATCCCGTTGGCTCCAATCGACCAAAACCGCCTGTCTGAAGATGCCCCGGCGTTCCTGCATGTCATCAACGACTTCAACGTTAAGGCCATCATCGTCAACACCGAAGTTGATCATGTCATGAGACAGAAGCTTGTCTCACAGCATATCAAGCAGTCCGCGCAAGTTCTTCGAATTGGTGTCCCGGCCATCTACAACACGTCGAAGCCTTCCAAACAGTCCCACGGTTGCCGCGAGCTCGGATACATTTCGAAGGATTCATGGCTCCAGGGGCAACAGCCTGCTATGGTGTGGACCTACTGGACCCCAGACCAACGGCGAGTATCTGTCCAGATTGGTCATGATACGATCATGGGAATGTGTAAAGTGCAGAAAGAGACTTGTCAGATGACAAGTTCCAGACCTGTACTTGGAAGTGTGCGCAGCACATTAGGTCTTGGATTTTTACACACTTGCTTGTTAGGTATCTACGTTGGTAAGTTCAAACCTGGAATGTCTATACCGGGAAGCCTTTATTCTAACCATGGATTGAATAGGCGCACCCACATATCTGGTCTCACCTGTCGACTTCGCCCAAAATCCCATGACTTTATTCGTGACGCTTTCCCGCTACAAGATTAAGGACACCTATGCAACCGCCCAGATGCTGGACTACGCTACAAGTGCTATGCCGGCTAAGGGATTCCAGCTGCAAGAACTGAAGAACCTGATGATCTCGGCAGAGGGTCGGCCCCGTGCCGATATCTGTATGTTGAAGCCTCTGTAACAGCAAGTTTCTGAATCCTGGCTAACCTTTTACTGCAGACCAAAAAACACGCTTGCATTTTGCTACTGCCAGTTTGGATCGTACCTCAATCAATGTTGTGTACTCGCATGTGCTCAATCCCATGATTGTCACTCGATCTTACATGTGCATTGAGCCAATTGAGCTCTGGCTGGACATCCGTAGCCTTCGTCGCGGTCTAGTCTATCCTGTCGACCCCGATGCGGACCCCACTGCCCTTCTTGTCCAGGATTCCGGAATGGTACCTGTCAACACACAGATTGCGATTGTGAATCCCGAGACTTGCACTCTTTCCCACGTGGGCGAGTATGGTGAGATCTGGGTGCAGTCCGATGCCTGCGCTGCAGGGTTCTACAGGTCCAAGCAAGAACTCGATGTCGAGAGAATGAATGGCCGGGTCGCTGATGGAGACCCTGCCGTACCTTATGTTCGTACTGGTGACCTGGGCTTCCTCCACACGGTGACCCGGCCCATCGGACCCGGAGGTCATGATGTCGAGATGCAAGTCCTCTTCGTCCTGGGAAGCATTGGCGAGACATTTGAGGTCAACGGTCTTAACCACTTCCCGATGGATATTGAAAACTCCGTAGAGGCCTGCCACCGAAACATCGTGAATGGAGGATCCGCCATCTTCCAGGCGGGTGGCTTGATTGTGGTCGTGGTTGAAGTCACCCGAAAGGCTTTCCTGGCGTCGCTTGTTCCTGTTATCGTTGACGTCATTCTGAATGAGCACCAGGTGGTGGCGGATATCGTTGCTTTCGTCTCTGTAGGTGACTTCCCTCGTTCCCGGCTCGGTGAGAAACAACGCGGAAAGGTCTTGGCCTCGTGGGTGACCCGCAAACTGCGCACGATCGCCCAGTTCAGCATTCGCGATTTGGACGAGAACATATTCGCAGACTTGCCACAACACCGCGCCAGCAGGGGCTCTAAGCCGGGCAGTATGATGGGCACCAGTACCCGCCGAGGATCGACCATGAACCTCGAGAATGATATTCCTGCTGTCCCGCGATCCCCTGCGGGTGTGGTGCTCGAGGAGACAATCGTTCCCCAGGCGTCCTATAATGAAGGACAATCCCAGCATATGCTGCCCGAGCTTGACACCCGTACCGATCGGACAGCATCTGGCACCCCTGTTCCAGAACCGTCCTCCGCTGTGCCTTACATTGAGGAACCGCAATCAGCTACCATCATGTCTGCTGAAGACAACCATCATTTTAACCTGGAACATGAGCAGGACACTGGGACTCCAGGTGCGTCTCGCGATTTCCGATTCAGTTTCGACATGGTTAGCACACCCATGGATCATCCAGGAGGCGAGCGGCCCCCCACAGGGCGTGACTCCATACCTAGCCAGCAGCCTGATTTGTCCAATGGTGGCGCCAATGTTGCTGGTCCTGTCCATGACAACATGTACCGTCCAGGTACCCAAGAAAGTGGCATCATTGATGACTGGCCACAAGAAGCTTTGATGTACCAGTCCATGGGCGCAGATGAGCAGGACTTTGTCCGCCGACCCAGTGCTCAAAGTGCCGCGAGACAGCGCTACGATGGCGCAGGCCACGAGTAGTCCATGTCTTAATCGATTCAAGCCTGAAACTACTCTGTATATGACACCCACATATTCTTCATACTTTTCCAAGCTGAGAACACTTCACAGTGTAAAGTCTCCCTGACTGGCATTGTGCTTTGATGTGAGCTTGGTCGAGCGTTTTTGTTTTTCTCTTTATTTGGAATAAGCTCTCAGCGTCTATCTATCATGTGTTACTGGCAAATTTCCCACATCCTCCCCATGAATACCTCTGCGTTTGTTTTCCTTACGATTTACATTACCTACCTCAACCCATTTTAAACATCTGATACCTAGAAATCTACTCGTTTGACTTGATTCCCAGTGCCATCAGTTGTGACTTTATTATGATCACTTTTATCTGATGGATTCTTCTTGAATGTTGAGTATTTAAGCTTTTCTCCGCTGAAAGACGTGATGCCGACCCACACTGGCATCAATTGATCAACTCTGACATCATTGATGTGCAAAGCTCGCAATAGGCCCCTTCTAGGTGGACTCTTGTTTATTTGACCACTGAGAATACAAGGACCTTGCTTGCCCTGCATATTTCCCCAGGATCGTCATCAGACCCTCTTTTATCCCGTTTTTTTGGTGGACGATGTTGATCAGCGGAGTCGTTGCTCTATACTGCTTACAGCAATGTTACTGAACGATCACCATTGATTGTCGATGGTGCAAATTCTTGAGAGAAATGAGACAATCGCTATCACATTTGACCTTTGTTCTGTGAGGCTCATGAAAAAATTATTGGCACCAATTTCCCTATATAAAGACTTGTTTTCAGACGAGAAATGGGTTGCTCAAGCATCTTGTCTAGTACAACCTTCACAGCATGAATATCTTCCAATTATTACTGCTAGCTGGTCTAGCTGTGGCCAAGCAGCCCAACATCCTCTTCATCTTAACCGATGATCAGGGCAAGCATGTAGGAGGGTTAGACCACATGCCTAAACTTCAGGTAAATTCGCACTATCCAGTATAGGACTGCCTACTAACTTTAAACAAGGAAAAACTCGTCGAAAAAGGAGTATCCTACCCCAAGCACTATTGCTCTATTGCACTCTGTTGTCCCTCTCGCGCAAACCTTTGGACAGGCCGCATGCCACACAACACAAATGTCACAGACGTCAGCCTTCCCTATGGCGGATATCCTAAGGTGGTAGAAGCCGGCTGGAACGACAACTATCTACCGCTCTGGATGCAAGATGCCGGGTATAATACATACTACGTCGGCAAGCTATGGAACTCCCACACAGAAGAAAATTATAACAAGCCCTATGCTCGCGGTTTTAACGGTTCAGACTTCCTGCTCGATCCTTGGACTTATCGCTACTATTATGCGCGGATGACCCGCAACGGAAACCCACCCGTCAACTACAACGGTAACTACTCAACCGACGTGATCACTGAGAAGGCCTCAGGCTTCTTGGATGAAGCGATCGCACAGGATAGACCGTGGATGTTAACTGTGGCGCCGAATGCACCACATGCGAATGGCTCAACGAATAACGGAGTGACCTGGTTTGGGGAGCCTGAGTATGCGCCACGACACGCGGATTTATTTAAAGATGTCAAAGCGCCACGAGATTCGAGCTTTAACAAGCCGATCGATGGTGCCGTCAGCTGGACGGAGAACATACCCGAGCTGAACCAGACCGAGGTGGATTATATTGATGTCTTCCAGCGATGTCGGTTGCGCGCGCTGCAGGCAGTTGATGATATGATTGGGAGCTTGATTGATCAGTTGGAGAAAGCTGGTGAACTAGATAATACATATATCTTCTACTCAACGGATAATGGCTACCATCTTGGTCAACACCGTCTCCAACCGGGCAAGAATTGTGGATATGGTGAGTTCTTCCGTGTCTCTATTTGGATGAAAGATACTAACTAGCTAGAAACCGATATTAACGTTCCTCTTATCGTTCGAGGTCCTGGGATCCCTGAGAACCAAACTTTGAATGCTGTCACCAGCCACACAGATCTTGCCCCGACTTTTTTGTCTATCGCCAACTCTACAAGAGACGGGTTGGATGGAAAGGCTATTCCAACAACCGTCGCCGCCAGCAATGCTGACAACAAGACCGAGCACGTCGCCATTGAATATTGGGGCTTAGTAAGATCAGTCTTTGAATAATTCCAAAACATAATCAGACTGACCATTCACTAGGCTGTTCCCGAGGGAATCCACGGCTACGCTAGCAACAAGCTCAACGAGGTCGGTAACAGCTACAAGAACAACACTTACAAGGCAATCCGCCTCGTCTCCGACAGCTACAGCCTTTACTACGCAGTCTGGTGCACAAACGAAAAAGAACTCTACGATCTCAAGGTAATCACCCTAGATTAGATACATAAGACAAAATTAATAACAACACCCACCAGGATGATCCCGACCAAACAATCAATCTAGCAGCAAACCCCTCTCAACACGAAAACTTCAAGGTCGCAAACCGAGACATTACGAAGGTCATGGACCGTCTTGACGCTTTAATGATGGTCCTCAAGTCCTGCCATGGAGACGAATGTCGATACCCGTGGCTCCAACTCCATCCTAAAGGTCAGGTTGGTACACTAGCTGAAGCGCTGGTATCTGGGTTCGATACTTTTTATGAGAATCAGCCGAAGGTTACTTTTTCAGCTTGTGAGCTTGGGTATATTGTGGCGTCGGAGGGTGCGCAAAAATTTGATGTTTATGTAGGTGGTAGTGAGAAGAGATGGGATGATTTACTTGATATGTAATAAGTAGTGAAATATTTTATGGCATTTTGCCTGTATAGAATACTTCCAGCTACATTACGTGATTCAGATTGATCTTCAAATGGTATAAAGTCATAGACATGCATTACGTGCTAACTGCTGGTAAAAAATTTCGAATCACTTTTAAGCCATTTAGGTCTCAGCTTGCTTGGTGAGCTGCTCAATGTTGACCTTCGCGCTCAGACCACCGTTAGCAGTGACCGCCTCGGGGGCGTCAGTCAACTGCTGGAGAGCCTGAATGTCCTCGTTGGTGAGGGTGTTGGAGCGAATGGGACGGAAAGGAGCCGGGGAGCCGGCACTGTTTGTGAGGAACTAAAATAGATTAGAATCATTTCGGCTGTAACTTGATACCCTGATAGCTTACCGAGCTAGCAGCACTCAGCATCGCAATAAGCGATGCTTGTACCACGTCGGCGTGGATACCGACACCCCAAACCTTCTCCTTGCTGCCCGCTGCGGTACAGTTAATGTATGTAGCAGCCTTCACGTCACGACCGAGACCAATAGAGTGCTCCTTGTAATCGACGACATCGAGATCAATACCAAGAGAAGCGAGAGCTGCAGCAAGGGACGAAAGAGCACCGGAACCGACACCTGTAATGGCGTGCTGGACGTTGTCGATTTCAATAACACCCGTGAAGCGACGCTTGTGGTTCTTAGTGTTAAGAGCCTTGCCGGGCTCAGGCGGGGCAGGAGATTGCGAGCGGTCGGTGGTGATGTTGTAATCGATAAGGTTGAAGCGCGGGTTCGACTTCAGGTGGTAAGACTCCTCGAACAAATGAACGACCTCGGCAGGTCGCAGCTCGCGGTTGGCATCCTCGGTAGCTTGTTGGACAATCTTGCTGAACTCGATCTGCAGAGCACGGGGGAGATCCAGCTCCAGGCTGCGCAAAATGACCCAGGCGGCACCACCCTTTCCGCTCTGTGAGTTGACACGAATGACGGCCTCGTATGTCCGTCCGATGTCCTGAGGGTCGAGAGGGAGATAAGGCATCCTCCACTCGTCGTCGTCGGTTGCCTTGGCCTGCTCGCGCAGCTTGAAACCCTTGAGAACTGCATCTTGGTGACTGGAAGAAGATCAGCATGAGAGACATTTTGAAGCACTAAAACTGAGTCATACCTTCCGGAAAACGCTGAAGTAACAAGCAATCTGGTAGAGCGTTAGCAATGAGTTCAAAATGGGAGCAATGGGAAGCATACCCTCCATATGGCCAGCGCTCGTTGACAGGGATCTTATTACTCTCCTCCACAACCTTAATAACGGAGCAAATATCTGAGAAGTCGACATTCGGCGAAACACCTTGTGTGTAAAGGTTCAGGGCAAGCGTGACCAAGTCAACGTTACCAGTACGCTCGCCGTTACCGAAAAGGGTACCTTCAACACGTTGAGCACCGGCCATCTGCGCCAACTCAGCAGCAGCGATAGCACAGCCTCGGTCATTGTGGGGGTGGAGAGAGACGACGAACTTCTCGCGCTCAGTCATGTTGTTGCAGAAGTACTCGATCTGATCAGCGTAGACATTGGGGGTGGACATCTCGACTGTGGCGGGCAAGTTGAAAATAATAGGGTTCTCAACAGTGGGCTCCCAAGCAGCCTTGACAGCCTCGCAAACCTCAATGGCGAAATCGGGCTCGGTGTCGGAGAAGGTCTCTGGTGAAAACTCGAACTGCCACTCTGTGCCAGCCTGGGCGGGGTCATCCTTGGTGATTGATCGGGCATACTTGGCACACGCGACGGCCTTTTCTAAGCTTTGCTTCTTGTCCATGTTGAAGACGATCTGACGGAAGCATGGGCTGGTGGCAAGGTAGATGTGCAGGATGGCCTTCTTAGCGCCAGTGAGAGAGTCGACGGTGCGGCGGATCAGATCCTCACGGCAAGGAGCGAGGACTTGGAGCCAGACATCGTCGGGGGTCAGACCTGGCTCCTCGACAAGGCGGCGGGTGAAGTCAAAATCGATTTGAGAGGCGGCGGGGAATGAGACTTCGATTTCCTTGTAACCAATCTCCACCAGCATCTTGAAGAACTTGAGCTTTTGTTCACCATCCTATATTTTAACATAAGATGTTAGTCAAATTCTTCTCAACTGCTTCATGGCAACAACGTGGGTAAGTTCGATTGTTTACCATTGGGTCAGGGAGACTCTGGTTGCCATCACGAAGGTCGGTCGCCAACCACCGGGGAGCCCGGTCGATGGTCTTGTTAGGCCATTGGCGGTTAGGCAGATTCAAAGGCTTGAACGGCTTGTACTTTTTGGAGGGATCCTTGAGCCTGTGAAATCGTCAATATCCAAACTATATTGGTGTTGGTCATCCAATAGGCAAATATCAACATACATCGGCATGGCGGCTGATGGCGGGGTACCGCGGGGAGACAGGTATGATAAGATATGACAGGACAGATGCTGTTGAGTATACTCAACCTGGGTATATCTGAGAGAGTAAGGCGATATTGAAGGATTCTGAATGAAAATCGCTTCGTTTTAAAATGCAGAAAATAAGAAGCCAATGAAGAGAAGGGAATTTGTGACTCAAAAAACCACTGGATCGTCGATGACGCCGAGTTTTCGGCGCCGACAGCGGAGTCACGTGGAGCCCCTTCTCGTCAAACTACTCTAATATTGGTTTACCAGTCATGCAGATCTGTCTATTCTTGGTGTCAAGCATCTTCTAGTCCTACCTGGACTCTGTTACTGATCCAATTTGATATATCTTACAATACTTGAAGTACAAGGTGGCATATGCCAACGCTGGTTGACAGTGGCAATTATGTAGATTGGGCCCGAGTTCGGAGCATTCTAATAGTTCCACTCCGAGACTAACCGCGTATCTCGCATATCTCAGGTCCACGGTGGTAGTTGGTTGGTACATACGTATATTAATGTAGGTCGTAGCGAATATTTTCACGTTACGGTTCGGATATCGTCGCTTGGCTCAAGAGCATGAAATGTATCTAGTTTCTGCTAGCTTCGCGCCTTTCCGTTTTAGTGATCGGCATTTAAAGCTAGATCCACGGGCTACCCGTGGACTCGACGTTAAAGAATTTGCGATTGCAATATGCATTTGAATGTTCAGGTGTCTCTAGAAAGTTATGAGTGTAGCAGATGCATGTGGCATCTAGGAAAACCCGATGTGCAGCAACTTAGAACCTTGGAGCTTCCAATGTTTCCGCTACTTTGATATGTACTGTACGAAGTACCTATACAATATATAACCATACATATTGTTGTACATCTACGTGGGCAAGTCAAGCCGCACGATACATATGTCTCGAGTGCTTAGTACACACAGGGCCTGGGCATGTGCATGGAGCTATACTATAACCTTGGAATGCATCTAACCGTTGATTGAAGGATCCCACATGCAAGGTCTCAAGGTTGGATCTTCAAATTAGGTATTGTCGGGCATATATGTTTTGGATAATCAATATGGTCTATAGTACAGGTTCGCTTAAAGTATTCTACAGCTCAATGCATCCGTCACAGGAAATTCTTCTCAAATTGCACCAGCAATGGATGCACCTCATCCAGCTTAAGCTTCACAGCCCGAGGGTTCTGTAGCGCATCGTCACCCAGCTGGGACCGGATTAAAGTTCGGAACTGCTGCGCATCCGCATCGGTCCTGCTCTGCATCTGCCCAGAAACGTCGACCGTGATGCTACCATCGGCCAGGTCACGCGGACCCAGAATAAAGATAAGGTTATACTTCATTTGCTTGGCGCGTTGGATCTTCTTACCCAGGGTCTGAGCGCTAGTGTCAACATCCATCAGGAAGGTGGAATCAAGTGATGACAATGGACGTGGCGGCTCGGTGCCATTCTGAAGGACTCGGAATCCAGAGAATTTAGCCGCCGCTTCTTGTGCTTGCTTCACGACTGCTTCGTCCTGGTTGACCGTTAGGATAATTCCTTGACGCGGAGACAGCCAGAATGGCCAGTGGCCGCCATGTTGCTCCATCAACAATGCCAGGAATCGTTCTAGGGAGCCGAAAATAGCCCGATGCACCAAGACAGGAGTTGCAAATCCTGGTGTGGCCGGGTTATAGTCCTCCTCTCCCTCAGCGACTTGGTACTCCAGCCCAAATCGCTGGGGCAAGTTCATATCCAGCTGGATAGTCGACAGCTGATGAAATTTACCGGCCTGGTCCTGAAGCTGGATATCAATCTTGGGCCCGTAGAAAGCGCCATCACCTTCATTCAGCGCCCACTCTCGACCAGTGCTGTCCAGGGCCTGGCGCAACTGGTTCTCCGCATTCTCCCACATTTCCAAAGTTCCAATGTAATCAGTCTCGGGTCGGGTCGAAAGCACCAATCGGTATGGACCCAGCCCAAAGGTCTTCATGGCCATCTCGACAAATCCCAATGCCGATGCGATCTCCGACTTGATCTGCTGTGGCCGGCAGAAGATGTGGCCATCGTCCTGGTGGAACCGGCGCACTCGCGTTAGACCGGTCAACGAGCCTGAAATTTCATTTCGATGTAGAGGACTGAAGTCGGCGTATCGCACCGGCAATTCGCGGTAGGAATGGTTCTGTGATTTAAAGAGCAGGCAGTGCCCTGGACAGTTCATTGGCTTGAGCCCGTAGGATTCATCTTCTCCTACCTCGCCCTCTGTTTCACCACTCGCGCCGCGGCCAGTCACCTCGTACATATCATCTTTGTAGTTTTGCCAATGACCTGACACCTCCCAGAGCGATCGTTTGTAGATGGACGGAGTTAGGACTTCGCGGAAGCCGTACTGAAGATATTGGGCTCGTAGGAAGGAGATAAGCTTGTTGATGACATGTGTGCCATTGGGGAGAAAAAGAGGAGACCCAGGACTATAGACGGAGGAGGTGAAGAGCTCTTGCGTGGTGCCCAGAGCTCGGTGGTCGGTAGAAGGTATGGATTCGACCTTATTGGCAGCGTCGCCGCAGGAACAGCGGCGAATTGCTGAAGTTGACAGCCATTGCGGCCTTAAAGTCTGCAACTGCAGAGCTCTGTTGAGGTGTGGTCGAAGTCGAGTGAGTGGGCGCATGGTTGTTGCTGAAAAGCCGTTGCGTTTTCCTGCCGAACGGGACTTTCTTCTCCACCGCTTTACAGAGTACAGGGCGGGATCAGCGCGCTTACAACAGCTGTACGACCGATCAGAGTTGTTCGATGATACATTAAACACTATCTTTTTTTGTTTAACGACCTTGGACTCTATTAAGCACGGGTTGATTTTCTCGCTGAGCGGATATGTTCACAGCGCCATGCCGGAGCAACCTCGCATCTCAGATTCCTCGATGCTGGGCGAGTCCTGGGTGATAGCTACATCCTCGATTCAAGAGAAAGACCCAAAGACTGCATCGGCCCCAAAAACGGACCCGGGTGATCCCCAGGAGCCGACGAGCCCAACTCCCCAGAGATCTAAATCCGCGCGAAACAAGAACGACACAACAGAGTCAACAGAGTCGCTGACATCCTCATCATGGACCATATCAGGCCCGGAGCTTATCATGCCTTCTATCTACGAGGTTCCCATTTCCGAAGCATCATGGGTCGCGCCTGGTATTCGCCCAAAAGACCAACCATCCATGAGAAAGAGATGCAAGACATCGTCAACTCGCAATAAACAACCGTCCAGCACTGTACCTGGGAGCCAAGACGCAGGCTCGTCTGTCCCAACCCCGCAACAAGGCTCGATCGCAAAGTTCACATCATTCTGTCAAGGAGGTCTCGTACGCACAGCAATCAACGGCCTTTTAATCGCCTTCATCTTTCACCTACTAGTTCTCCCGGAGATCGTCTTCCAACTCCAAGACCTCTGTCATCTCCCCGCGGTCAAAGCCATATACCCAGAAAGCTGCGTTAAGCTCAAACCCCAAAATAACCCCTTCTACCCATCAGCCAACCCTGTCACCCCCGAGGAAAGTATCACAACATCCCAACAAGACCTCGAGAGCATCTTCGAGACAACCCTCCAAACCCTCTCACCTCTCACCAAGACTCTCCAAGAAAGCGAGTCCATGCTCTACGACCTCCAAGATAAACTTCAATCCGTCTTCCCAGACGTGCGCAACGCCCTCGACCTAGAGTTTCAAGGAAGCGACCAAGCACTCCGCGCCGCAGCCTGGGAATTCGACTCACTTCGCGCTGACCTCCGCTCCGCCGTCGAAAGCCTCCTGTCCTCCCCACCAACCCAAGAACCAACCGGGTCCGTCTCAATTGCACGCGACACGCGCCTTGCAGCTCAAATGCGGCGTCGCGCAGAATACCTCGACCGTCTACGCGCCCAGATCCGCACAAAGGCGGACTCGCTTGGTACGCGCTTCAGTACTTTAGACGACCATCTCGAGGCCGTGGATGGGATTGTCGCACGGGAAGAACGCAAGGGCTCCCTGCCGGCTTCAGCTTCTGGTGGAGAAACTGCAACAGCAGGAGGGGGCGAGTCGGACGGGACGGGGTTGTTCGCTGTTCTGAATTCCTTAGGCTATGCCTCTTTCGGATCACGCTGGTCGCGATCGACAGGTGACTGGTCCACCCCTTCGGATTCAGGCTCTGCTTCCGAATCCGAGGATATGAAGGCTAATTCACAGCCTGTAACGACCCTTGCATTGTTGAGACTTGCTGCGACGCACCATCGTCCCGTGGCTGATTCGGTGGCCGACCTGTCACGACAATTACGCGACGTCCAGCGTGCTCGGCTGGGCCCCACCTGGTGATGATCCACTTGGTATTACCAGTGGGGCCATTGTAGGGTCTTATCAGGGATTTTTGCAGGTCCACCGGGCGGTAGTGGTGTGTGGATCAGATTGGACCATATCATCGTGTTCATTTGTTTTATGTTTGCATAGCTAGGACGAGTCATATCATAGCGAGTAGGTTGATTAATTACATGGCGTGAGCCCCTGAATTTACAGTACAATACTTTACTATCCATGGGGAGAGATTTATTGGACGCACGGATAGAACCCTGGAATCACCCAGAATGACAGCGATTAATGGTTGCCTAGCAGCACTTCGGACATCACGATCAATACAGTTCTCTACCGGTACTCCACCTGGGCATCATGTCAGGCTTCAAAAGTACCAGCAACCATCTCCACGCTGATTGCTCACCTCGGCAATTCAATTAAGTACGAAATACAAAACCATCAATTACCAGAAGTAGTATTCCACCTAACGTGCACCCATCTCCCCCCACACTCCATCATCTTTACAAAGCCGATCTAATAAACAGCAACATTCAATCCAAACCCGGAGATTTCTGTGAGGATTTGAAAACCGCACAGAAATCTTGCAGAATACTAGCATCCAAAATATCACTCATACTCGAGCAGGTCTTTCTTGACGATTCTCAGGAAGCGTATATTAAGCGCATCGGCATCCTAGGGACGGGGCATAAAATTAAAGAGCTGATGTCTTCTGATGTCTTCATTGACTGGACTTGTTCAGCATGTTATTTTTAATATGTGATATCTGTGAAGTCAGAGGATGTGGAACTAGAACGTATTCGCGAGGAGATGGAATCTGTTCAAGACTCCACTTCTTCTGAGGTCTACTCTGTCTTGACCGCGGTTCTGCTTTTTTCGGATTTTCACTGACTCGCACGAGATCCACGTTCGAATCCTGCCAAATTTTTTTTATTGCTTGATTTTAATTGGATTTCTTCTTACTGAAAGCTATTCCACATTTCAATACATTGAACTCCTAACATTTGAATCCAACTCGAAGAATTTCTTTATATTGTACTATATATATGTCACTTTCTATCAAGTTTGAATAGAATTGCCATATCGCTCCCACGGTTCGGGAATACTTGAACCATGGAACAAAAACAAGGGTTCTCCATCTATTCTTTGATGAGCCAATCGCAATACAATTTACAATCCAGGTCGGTCGATGGACCCTGAATGGATAATGGTGTAAAGAAAACTTGCTCAGAAGATGGTTCCATGGTAGATTCTGACTATTTTTGTTAGATTCCAGGCAAATATACCCGAGGTATTAGAAATAGCTAGAATTAGTGAGAGAGAAAGTTCTTTAAGCTTCCAGGGCAAGAACTCAACATTTTTGGTCCATGGTTATACTATCTAAGGAAACAGGTACTGGAAGTCAATTTCTTGGATTTGGATATGAAAGTACTGGTATCGGGAAGACCGGCTGGTTAAGCTATCGCACTATTACGTTACACAATGCATAAGGCTGCAGCAATTGAAAATAGGGTAGATGGGATGCAAATGCCATGCATGCTAAGTCTCGGCACGCGTCCTTGCATGACCGGTCAAGATTCAGGTTTAGGTCTTGTTATGATGGATTGAGGGCTAGGCATTACATGCAAAGACAGAATATATCGGTAACCCGAAGGCATGAATTAGTGACAGATCTAAGATCTAGATATATAAGATAGATACAACATGAGACTCATAAGTGAAATACATGACACCATATGAACCGTGAACCCAAAAAAAGATACAGATCCAAACAGAGACGCCTCGTATCATTTCCAAAGCATCCGGTTCCAGACCAGTGCGATTTGCTTCATCAATGAGGCGTTAGGCATTGTCGTCATTTTACAGCTGGAGGAAGGCAGTGACCAGGGCCAGGATGGAGATGGGGCCGAGGTAGTTGGATGCCACGTTGGCAGCCGCGTTGTAGGTTGGGCTTGCACTGGGGGCAGCGGTGGAACCGGAGCTTGAAGAGGAACCGCTGGAGCTGGAGCCAGAGCCCGTGGTGCTGCTGCCGGTAGAGGCAGAGCTTGAACCAGCAGCTGAGCTGGAGAAGCCGGAGGGAGTAACGGAACCCGAGCTAGCGGATTTGGAGCTGGAGGTGGTCTCCGAGCTGGAGGTGCTGCCAGAGACCGAGGAGCTATCGGAGGAAGTGGTGGATGAGCCCTTGGTGGTAGAAGCGGATGAGGAGTGAGTAGTGGTAGCCAGGGTAGTAGCAGCGGTGGTAGTCTCAGTAGACTTGGAGCTGGTAGAAGTGGTAGAAGTGGTAGAAGTGGCGGAAGTAGTGGAAGTAGTGCTATCAGTCTGGGTGAGGGCAGAAGCACCGCTCAACTCGATGCTGTCCATGGAACCGGTGGTGTCGCTGTAGGTGTACGACTCGGCAGGGTTGGCGTTCGTGATCTCCACGGACTTCACGTACATGGTGAAGGGGGCATCAGCGTAGTCGGTCTCGCCACCAGCCCACTCGATGGTTCCCTCGGCGTTGTCCGGGTCGCCACCGGCCCAGATACCAATACGGATGCGCATGGGGGTCTGGGGGTAGCGGGTTCCGCTCTTAGCATCGGCGTAATTGAGAGTGCGGACGACGGCGCCATCGATGGACCAGGTGGTGGCATCCTTCTGCCAGTTCACAGTGTAGGTGTGCCAGTCGTTCTGGGGGTCGGAGACGGCGGGCCAGGTGGCACGGTCGTAGGTGGTGGTATCACCCTTACCGAAGTAATTGGTCTCAATGGTGGTGAAATCGCCACCAAGAGCCTCCTATACGATGTTAGAAGATGCATAAAGAGGAATGCGGGGAGAAGGAATGTCAATGCTTACCCAATCGATCTCATCAAGATCGTCAGACTCGAAAACGAGACTGCTCACGATGCCGGTACCCGGAGCGGCCTTCATGACGACCGAAACCTCACCGAAGAAGATATAGAAATCGGTCTCAATGGTAGGGGCATCACCCTTCTTGGCAAGGGTGAAGGCGGCACCATTGGAGGTGGTATCGACAGTTCCAGCAGTGGTAGTCCACTGATCCAAGCTCTGGGTGAAGTCGAAGCTCAGGCTTGACTCAGTAGAACCCTTGTCAGAAGGACAAGTCTTGTCGAGAGGGTTGCAAGAGGTGTAAGTCTGAGCCGAGGCTTGAGCCACGGCAAGAGCCGCCGCAGCGAACTTGATGATAGAAGGCATGATAGAAATATAAACAATGCACAACCCGGATATAGACAAAGTGAAAGATAAATTAGGGAGAAAGGCTGGGATTTATAAAGAAATCCAAAGTGGATCAAACTAGTCCCCGGGTTCAAGCACAGGCAGTACAGTACTATGCTCCATGGTTGCGGTGGCTGGTGGGTCCTCTTGTATCCAACTTTTACACTTTCCATAGTTTACAATACATTGAAAGGTAAAAACCCAAAAAAGCAGGAGGCTGAGGACTTCAGGGATATCCCTCGGGTCCAAGCGACAGAATATGATTGGTTCTCGGCGTGGAAATGCCGCCCCAGGGATCGAGGTGGAGTCAGCACATGAGCTGCTGGGGGACACAGTGGAAACTTGGGCAAACTGAGACATTGGAGACCACGTTATCAACTGCCTAAGATGTATTTTTATCTTTGAACTCCCACTCCCTTCTATTCCCTTCTTGTTTCTACTCCTAGATCCCCTGAAACTACTATACTCCTATATCGTTCAGTATTGCATAGAGCCATAGAGGATAATGAGGATCGGCCGATCATCCCGGATGATCATGTTACAGGATTGATTTTGCTCACAGCGTAAGCGCTTGAGCGTCCTAAGATCCACTATACATAAATTACCCGATCCAAGACACTGTCGTGAAACAAAGACCCTACACTGCCCTGTAGACCCTGCAGGTGAGCCATCATTTCTTTCACGCGGTAAAAATAAACCAATGTTGGATTATTTCGCAAAGTTTCTTATTTAGTAATAACAACTCAAGTCGCTTCGATTTGCCGACTCAATACGGATCCCCCGAGCCTAAAGCGCCCGTGCACTGGACACTGCGACCGTCCACTGCACCACAAGACGGAGTAGCCCGTCCACTAGTTAACTTTAGGCAAAAGCGGAGACTAGGATGGGTCATTTGTTAAGATAGAATTTTCTTATAGGATAAAATATATTAATAGTGTCCCTCGCTTGGTAGGGACCCGATCATTTGACTTTTTAGTCCTGAAATTTCTGGGTTGATGCAGGAACCAATTGCTTGGCTCTGGTACCTATAGCTCGATCAACTCATAAGTGGGCGTAATATGTAAACATGATTCCTAAGTTAATATACATACAAGCAGGATATGTATCTAAGTGCAGATGATGATATCAGATGTACAAGTACAAATCATTGCCTAGGTAATGCACTATTACTGTCGGCTCTCGCCAACGATTTCCTATAGCATTTTGAAATTTTGGACATGAGGCTGAAGCATCCGTGCGTTAAAACATGCTCGAGCCTATCAGTTGCTTACCCCCACACCGACTTTATGTAGAAAGCCGTTGTCATGCACAGAAGATTAGTCAAACTGTCGCGATCTAAATCTTGAGGGCAGCCTGCAGCTACAGCTGCAGCAGCACCTGCCAACTGCCAATATTCACTCATTCAGCTGCAATATACTCGGCCCAAGTACGGAGTACATCAGTAGTAGATGTGTATAACAGCCACAACCCCCTTGATTTCCACCTACATCACAAACCCCCGCTGATGGCCTGCATATCGACCCTATGTACCTGCTGTTCGAGAACCAATAACACAGGTCAATGCAGAAGAATGGCTTATTGGTCCTCTTTTCTTCCACCGGTCAAAAGGTTCATGTGACACATCTACCTGCTATATGTCAGTTGTATGGTCACTACAGCGCCTATCCCATCACCTACGAGCGTACAGTCACCAACAGACCCGAAAATCGAGCTAGTGTACGATGCAGGGGACTGTTCGGCGGTGTGGTCAATGGGCAACTCCGCATTCTGCAAGGTCAAGATAAGCGTCCCCGCATAATATTCTCGAGAAGCTACAACATTAGACTTTGTCCATAGACAAGAACCAAGTTTTAACCTCGCTACGATATTACAAGAAACGCAGTAACGAGAATGTTCCTGATACTGGGGCGGTGGGTATTATTGATTGGGAGATTGCCGGTTCGCACGAGGTTGGATTCGGACCAAGTCTCGGATGAGTAGTGGGTTGAAGCTGGAAGGTTTGGAGAATCCACTGGAGTGGAGGTTGGGAGCTCAAAAGTTACTTGCTATTCATGGGGCTGAAGAATATGTGGCGGAGATTCAGGCGTGACGTTTTTTAGATCAAGTGACACATAGGTTTTTTCGCCTGATAACTATATTTAGGATTAGCAATCAGCTTACTGAAACAGGTCTCAGTGGAACTGGAAATAAGTTCAATTGGTTCTATGACTCGTGAACGGCCCCAGTTACCCCCACATTTTCCCCAATGCGGCGCATTCCAGGAACGAAAACCCTCGCAAAATAAGATTAAGTATCAGGATCATAATGATCAGATACTGATAACCGTAGGTCCAGTCAACTCAATATGAACCACCTTAGTCAAAGCCTGGCGATCAGCATCGAATTTGACATCCTCACCCCGACGAACGTGGCTATTTCCCTGACCAAGCACAGTCACAGATTCCACGACCACACTCTCAGCTTGATAACCAAAAATACCCCGAATATGCAACTGGCCGTTGTCGTACTCAAACTCCACCGTGGATGTACTATCCGGATTCAAAGACTCGCCATCATCAAGATACAGCGAACCCGTAGCACAACCACCCGCATTCGGCGCAACAACAAGCTCGAACCCTTGACGACGAAGCTCGGTTGTAGTCTGTGCGCTTTTCGAACGTAGAGGAATAACGAACCCACCACGGATATGGATCGGGATTTCGGTAATTCCAATATTCGTCAGTGTGATCGTCTCTCCATATCCCTTTATCACCTTACCGGTGTGCCAGTCATAGAATAGGTCATCGGGGAAATAGGCGTCGACGGATGTCTGACCCTGATCTTGTACCGGGGATATGAGAATCGCATCACCGTAGAAGAACTGGAGCTGGTTGTTGAATGTATTCGTATCACCGGGGTAAACATAGAAGAGCGGCTGAAGGAATGGCTCGCCTGTCTGTGTTTGGCGGTGGAATGAGGTGTACAGGTAATCCAGAAGTCGGTAGCGGATATTGATGATCTTGCGAGCCGCATCGGCGACGGTGGGCCAACGGTAGAATTCCTGATCGATGCTGCCGAACTCGTTGTGGTTTCGATAGAAAGGATAGAATGCGCCTAGGGTGGCCCAGCGTGCGCACAATTCTTCGGTTGTGTCTCCACTGTAGCCACAGACGTCGGATCCGGTCATGGGCACTTGGAAGATTGAGGCGAATTCTAGCATTTGGGCGATCGAGATACGGTACTTGTCCCAGTGGCTGACGTTGTCGCCGAGCCTGTATAGTATCATCGTTAGAGAGAGAGTTGGATGGTGTAAGGTAAGTTTGGATGTTTACCAGTGACCGACATGAGCACCAGCACCAGCGAATGTGCTTCGTGTAATAATCAATGGACGGACATTAGGACGGCGCGCGAGCATGGCGTCGCGAGACGCAGAGCTCATCACTAAAATGTTAGAAATGCAAGTGAAATGACTGATATGACCTACTGGTGCCATAGAGGTTGTGAGTGTCATACTCAAAATACCCTTTGTCGCCACCATGAATCAGACTGGTGTCGAGAGTCTTGTTGCTGATGGATCCAGCAGCATTACCAATCTTATACAGAGGAGCAATCAGGTCTCGACCAGGAAGTCCGGCCTTGTGACCCGGGGTACCACGACGGTCCAGAACAAGTGATCGCTTTCTATCAGGTCTGGGTTGATAGTCCTTGGGGAAACCGGGCAAAGGGCGAGGGGGAGAACGAGTAGCAGGGGGGGCTGGAGGATAGCCGTTGTCTTCTGCGAAGAGCACTGGGTCCAAGCATGGCCAGACACAAAAGTTGGAAGCTTCATTCATATCGATCCACAGACCATCAATGTCGACACCGTCTTGCGGGTTGAAGAATCGCTCGAATTCTTCGTTCCAATAAGACTGGGTCTCGGGGTTGAACCAGTCAGGCCAGACAGTCACACCGGGCCAGACCGCACCTATCCATTGGGTTATTCAAGGACTTCAGGGGAGATGGTATACGTACCTCTGTACAGCGACTCCGAGGGATCAGAATTTGTGAGGAAGACTCCGCGATCTTGGCCTCGGTTGAAGGCACCGTTATCTAAAACACGTTAGAATAACGTCTTTTTGGATTAGCGAGATACGTACCGCTATCGCTGATAGCTGGATCAACCATCATGATGTAATGCTGATTGTGCTTGTGGAGGTAGTTCACCAGCTCGGTCATCATTTCCAACGGGAATCGCAAAGGGTCCAGAGTGAAGACTCGGCGTTTGTCCATGTAGTCAATATCTGTCCACATTGTCTCCAGGGGAATGTGTGCACGACTGTAGTTGTAGACAACCTCTGCTACCTCGTACGCATCCTGGTATCCGTATCGGGATTGGTGAAACTAGATTCGTTAGCTTAAATACTCTGTTAGTCAGTAGATAAGATTGACTTACACCAAATGTCCAATAGCTTTGCATGGCAGGAAGACCAACAATCTCCGAATACTGCATGCTTACATCCTTGGGGGTCGGACCCGCCAAGAAGTAAAAGTCCAAGACACCGCCAATGGTATTGTATTCTAAGAATTGTCTTCCTTCGTAGGATTTGTCGATTTTCACATCCATACCGTTGGAGTTCAGGAAAAAGACACCGTGTGTACCTGTATCTCCGCGGTGATCCACGTAAATGGGGTGGCTACCGTACAGATTTGTGTTGTCGGGAATCTTATATGCATCACGGTTCCATAGGGTACGAGTGTAGTTTGTGGTTGACATACGCAATGAATCAGAATGTTCACCCAAGCCGTAGAGGTTGGGATCCTCCGGAAGCCAGGTTCGAAGATTCAGATATTGAGACTCAAAGACGATGTTGGTGTCCGTTGTGTCAAATAGGACTTCGTCATTGCGCAGGACCCTGAAGCTGAATGGCTCACGCTGGTAGTCAAAGCGGAGGACAGAAGTATCACTGCTAGTGCTCTGAGGAGCAGGACGAGAGACCACAGACTCAGGAACCTGATAAACCTCCTCATCGGCATCGTAGATCATAACATGGAGGCGGTTGTCTATTTCATTAACCAGTCACGTCTTTGAGATGCAGGAGAGGAACTCACTGGTCTGGTACTCTACCAGCAGTTTAAGGTTAGGAAGATCAGAGCCAAACAAGTTACATCCATCACCGGCCAAGACCAAGTCAGCCAAGAGAGCGTTATCATGTTGCTGGATGTTAACGGCATTGTAGCCAGGGCACTGTTCGGGGCCATCGCGAGTTCCAATGACTGCGGCGCCCACAAGGGACAACAGGCACAGGAGAAGTCCCCACATGTTGAGGATTCAACTGGAAACGTTGAATACGCAGCAGGGGGAAAGGAAAATGAGAAAAAGAGATTCGAATTCTTATGCCAATTGAATTTGGAATTGGTGAGGGAAATAGATCGGGATAGGTAAGGGGGAAAAGGGAGAAGTTAGGAGGTGACAGGTCTGAATGGGAAGATAATATCCGATCATTGTTATATCAAGTGGCCTAAAGGTCTGCATGGTTCACATGCCTAAATACTTCATCTGATGCAGAGATGCGGGCAATTACCGGATTTGTGGTCTTGGCCGATCTACAGAGTCTGTGATGCAACCCCTCATCCTCTTGGCCAAGAAGAAATAGACACCGAGGTGAAATGTGGGGCTTATGTGGTTTATATTTGCGGAGATCTGATGTCAAAGTGATCGATCGTGGGGGTAAAATAGGGTTGACCCGCGGGACACAGAGATCTCTATTCTGATGTCAACCTACATATACTTTTTGTACATTGTAAACCGATCTGTTCAAACACGATCTGTGTTTCTGAATATGTAATTTGGAGCAGACATATATGTTGCTAATGACCGCCATTGTTCTCGCATGCACGAAGACGCTTTGGGTTGCTTATAGTTGTATGTCGGTTTGACAAGAGTATCCTCTCCGAGTTCCATCGTGATACCACAATCATGAGACTTTACGTGGAACAATCCCAAGCAACGAAGGAATTATGATAAAGATTTCCCCGGGAAAGATCCAAATGCCCCGTGCATAACTCATACAATCATATCAGTGCTTCCGCACCATCTGTGCAAGAATTCCCGGTCGTTTTGCATCCCACTCTTCCCATACAATCGAGAAAGAAGCAGTATGTCTTCCCGGTAATTCCCCTAGAGTTCCATTCCTCTTCTTAATTCCCCTAGAGTTCCATTCCTCTTCTCCAGAGCTTTCACCGAACTACCAATCGCAGATGCACGGTGCCATCGCGCGATACCTTCAAATTCGAATCCCATACGTAAAGCAAGTCTTCGGGATGCCAGATTCTGAGAATGACACTTCCACTCTATACGTCGTAGACCTAGACCGCCAGCTGACGGTGGATCTAGAGTATATTGGAGGATCAGACCAATCGCGTTCGTTGCCACATGAGTGCGTTGGAATGCCGAGAAGATCAGAACGCCCAGTTCTGCGGTGGCGTGTATGGCGTTCGTGGAAAAGAGGTTGATTGTCCCGGCATATGCTCCACCCGTTGATGATTTATCAATAATAGCGTATAGGAAGTCCGCGGTGGATTTGTGTATGGTATCATAGACTGCTTTGAAATCATCATCTTTTTGGATTTTGGAAAGTCAACGTATTTGAGAAGCTCCGGTCTACTTTGTATCTCCTCGACGAATCTCGACACATGAATATTCGGCTGTACATTAAGTCAGCTTTGTCGTGCGGGAAGGTGATAGGTGCCTGATACATCGAATGGCTCAAGAGCGACACGGTCGTTCTCCAAGTATTTCTGCTCGTAGACAAATGTGGAGGACATGATGAACTATCAGTCTATTATTTGCTCATCAAATTTTCTCTGCAATGAAAATCCGTGCAAGTGCATGTTTGGCCCCTTTTCCGTCCGTTACTTTAGCTTATGACAGGTCATAGATGACTAACCTGACTAGCTTGTTAATTCGCCGACGGTAGATTGGCTATCTTGAATCTACTTCTTCAAAGGTTGGGTGAGTGAGAACTTGGCTAACCTTTTGATCATGCTGATGTCATGCTAGATAGCGTCTTAGAACAGTACCCCTTTACTTATACCACTATACTTATACCTGGTGTATATGCACCCATAATGTCACGTTGTCGTTATATAGAAGATGAGTGGCATTTCACGGATATTTGATTTGATTTGAATTTCAACACAGGAGTTCGAATTAGACCATCTGAAAGGTACCGACATATCCTGCTGTAATGATCTTACAAATGGACGGTCCTTCCGGTCCGCGGATGTACTTGCCAGTGCCCGATGCAGGAACCACTATCTACATGAGAATTCGTCTTCAAAATATCTATATCCAATCGGATATTTCCTCGGGTGTAGCCTTTCTTCAAATCTCAAGGCATTCAATTGAAAGTTGAAAGGTAAAATTTGAATGTTGAAATTGTCAATTCATTTTCTGTTTACACATCGTTGGATGGAGCACGTGACCCGGTTCCCTGAAGTTCCCGAGCCGCGAATCCGCAGATTCTGGTCTCTGTACTTGCGCCAGACTAAACAGCCATTGGACCCCCTTGTCCTCCTACTAGTGACTGCCTTGGGTGACCCGTGCTTGGATCTTTATTTTCGCTCCTTCTCCCCACAGTCTCACCAAAATGCCCGCTGCCACCCGTGCCGTCCTGCGGCAATCGCAGTTCCTGACCCGGAGAACCGCCGTCAGACACGCCTCATCCACCTCGGAGAAGGCCACCCAGGCTGCCTCCAAGGCTCAGGAGGGTCTTTCCAAGGCCACTGCTGCCGCTGGCCCGGCTCTCTCCAATGCTGCCACTGCCCTTCGCAAGGTCGGCGGTCCCGTCGGCAAGGTCGTGTCGTTCGTCGACTGTAAGAAATACCCCCGGTTATCGGAGCCCTGCATTGGATACAGACAGGAAAGGGTGCAATAGATGTTGGAAGATTAATGGGATCATTCCTGCTACGATGGAATTCGTGACAAGATGGCCCCGGATCTCCTCGGTTGCCCTGGAAAGGGTCCAATGCAATTTTCCATGTACATGGCTAACATCAAATCTTCTTATAGCCATGATCCCCCCGACCATCTACTACTCCAAGGTCGGCATTGAGCTCGGTCGTCTGGTTTTCCGTGGCCAGAACATGGCTCCTCCGTATGTCCCAAATCTTCAATCCACCTATCCCTCTCCTCTCTCTCTGCATGCTAACACTTCTCAGCAACTTGGCCACTTTCCAGTCCTACTTCCAGCCCCTGATCAACGTTGCCCGCAACCCCGCCTCCTTCAAGACCCTCAGCTTCCCCTCTCCCCAGAACTTCCTGGCCCGTGTCCGCAACGCCAGCCCCAAGGAGCTTGCCCTTGCCGGTGTCACCGCTGCTGAGGTCATTGGCTTCTTCACTGTTGGCGAGATCATTGGTCGCATGAACCTGATCGGTTACCGCGGCGAGGCTCCTTCTCACCACTAGACTCTGAAAACTTTCGTCCTTTTCCCTTTCCTTTGTTCGCCTTACCTCTGCGTGTTGAGCTCTGTATGATAGACGATGGAATATAAACTGTTGTCTGAGATAGAATCTTTTTACAATTTATTTGTCTAGTTCAGGCATCGTGACACAATCAAAAGTTGTAGTCATAGTTATGTAGTTGTGTTTGTAGTTGCCATTTGGTACTCTCTCAGTCCTGTCATCTCCTGTAGAACACCATGCCCGATAACCTGGAGCTCTGTTTATTGCTGCTTTTTCTCTGCATCTATCATCTATGGATATTTGATACCGTTACCTGTGCCTCCTTTATGTTTTATGTCGTCCTCTATCGTGTCTACAATCCGCGGTGATCTGCCATGTCAAATCTCGATTCTCATTGGCCCGGAAAGTCTTTCAGTGGGTCAAATTTTTTCTCTTCCCGAAATATCAAAGTCCGCATTTTGCAACTTCAAGGTATCAACGACTTTCAACATGGATGCATTCAAATTACTGACGCGGTCGACGAAATTCAAGTCAGCTGCGCCATCGGCAAAGCCAGCTGCCCGGCTGCCCTCGTTTGGAAAAGCGGCGAATCCGCAACTCTTCCGTACTGCGGAGGGTGAAAAGCTTGAATCCGAACAGGGAAAGAAAAGAAAGCGCGCAAATGCTACTGCTGATGATGAGCACGAGGAAGATGCTGCTGATTTGGATTTCTTCCATTCCAACAAGCGCTCTGCGGCACCTTCTTCTGGGGCTTCGGCTCCGACCAAGGGCGAGGATCAACCACCTCAGCAGGATGAGTCCGATGAAGATGATTCTATGGATGAAGTGGAGCGTCGTACTATCTTAAACTCACACAAAATTAAGATTACTGATCTTCGCGACCTGGATGAGATTCAGCCTCAGCCTCAGCCTCTCAAAGAATCTAAGAAGGAATCCAAGAAGAAAAAGAAGTCCAAGAAGGAAGAGCCAGCTGCTCCTCTTAGCAAGAAGGAAATGAAGCGTGCTAGACGTATGTATCCGCAGCCGCTGGTTTCTTTCAAGGAACTGCGGTCTAGGTACAAGATCTCCAGCCGGCTGGCGGAGAATGTCGCCGCGCAAGGATTCACTGTTCCTACGGAGGTGCAGCTAGGCAGTCTGCCTCTTTTACTGGGCGATCCTTCAGTCGCTATCGCCGACAGCACATCAGAGCCCGATCTGCTGGTTGTGGCGCCCACTGGTAGCGGTAAGTCTCTGTCATTCTTGATCCCTGTGATCAATAAGATTGTTCGACACCACCATTCGCAATCAGACGAGCACGGAATTCTGTCGGTGATCGTGGCTCCTACCAAAGAGCTCGCCAGTCAGATTGTCAACGAGGGCCGCAAACTGGTCGCGGGGACTGGTGTGAAGATCACTTTGATGAGAAAGGGCATGCGAGTGGTTGAGCGAGATGACGAGGACGAGACCAATATCCTTGAAGAGGATAGCGAGGAATCTGGATCGGACGAGGATGAAGATGGCGACAAACCGAAGAAAACTCAAAACAATGCACCCGTCACCAAGAGCGACATTCTGGTTACTACGCCTTTGATGTTGGTGAATTCCTTGTCTGCAAATCAGACAAAACCCGTAGCCCACCTGCCCTTGGTGCGAAGTTTGGTACTCGACGAGGCAGATGTGCTCTTGGATCCGTTGTTCCGGGAGCAGACACTCGACATTTGGCGCTCATGCGTCCACCCAGACTTGCGTGTGAGTCTGTGGTCTGCTACTATGGGGTCTAATGTTGAGGACCTCACTCGGTCGACAATCAAGGAGCGCCTGGAAAATATCGAACATCAACCCACCACACCCCACCCTCTGGTCCGCCTGGTTGTTGGGCTGAAAGACTCGGCCATTCCCAACATTGACCACCGACTCATCTACGCTGCGACAGAGCAGGGTAAGCTCCTTGGACTCCGACAACTCCTCCGCCCGGCCGCAGCCGCGCCTGGAGATGTCAAACTTCGACCTCCATTCCTTATTTTCACCCAAACCATCCCCCGTGCAATTGCTCTGCATTCTGAATTGAGATACGACATCCCAACCGAAGCCGGTGGCTCATCGCGAATTGCCGTGCTGCATTCCGACCTCGCCGATAACCAACGAGCTGATATCATGCGTGACTTCCGCAAGGGTGAGATCTGGATCCTCGTCACAACCGACCTGCTCGCGCGTGGTGTCGATTTCCGAGGTATCAACGGTGTTGTCAACTATGATATCCCCAACTCCGCCGCCGTCTACGTTCACCGCGTTGGACGGACAGGTCGCGCTGGTCGCGAGGGCGGTATCGCCGTGACTTATTACACGAAAGAGGACATTCCCTATGTGAAGAGCATCGCTAACGTCATTGACGTGAGTGAAAAGCTCCGTGGCGAGAATGGCGGAAAGTCAATTCAGAAATGGCTTCTGGATTCCTTGCCCGATCTCAGCAAGAAGGATAAACAGGAGCTCAAGAAGCATGGTGTCAAGGCCCGCCAGATCTCCAAGCAGATTGGTGGTAAGGGCGATGACAAGGAGAGCAAGGTTGCGCGTGCCGCCAGAATCAGTACTAAGAGTGGCTTTGAGCGACGCATGGAGAACCGCAAGAAGGGTGCTATTGCTGCCAGTCGGAACAGAAAGGCTGCTGCTCCGAACGATGGCAATGTGAGTGATGGAAGCTGGGATGGTCTAGAGGATCAAATATTGCAATAGCTGTGTCAGGTTGGAAATGTATATCAAGGAACTAAAATAATCATCAACACTTTCCTCATGACAATCGTCTAAGTCTGCTATTCATAAATTCATCCCTGATCCTCCGCAATCCGTCTAACAAGACTAACTGGCACAAAAGCACAATCCAATAAGCCCTGTTCCTCCAAAACATCCGCCAACTCATCCCCATCCCGATCAAAATAAAGTGCCCACTCCCCCTCCTCTTCTTCAACCGCTATGAAAGCATCCCTCCCCTCTAATGTGATCGTTTTCTCGTCCTCCGTCCAATTCCACGGCCCGACAACATGCTCCACGCTCTGTGACCGGTTCCCATACTTCAACTCGTACGTGTCAACGTCCGCGTATATCCAGTTCAGAAGTGGTGGGTCTGCCGATACATAGGTCGGTAGCCCAAGTCCACGATCTAGGTGTTTCGTTTCCTCGAGCTCGGGATATTCAATGTAGAAGGCCAGGGATGTGAATGCGGGGAAGGCACGGTTTCGGGGGTTAGGATTATCAAGCCAGACCTATAGATTTTAGCGACTGGGCATGTTAAGACTTAGTTGTTGGAACTGACCTTATCGTCTCGAACAACCACCCTTAACCCATTTACATCTTTGTCGTCATCTGTATCGCCCTGGCAGACTGCGTCGATGTTGAACTTTACCATTCGCCGCGCATCTTCTTTGCGTTGATTCGCCTTGCGCTGCTCGCTGGTTGCGAATGCCACACCCGTCACCGTAGGGATCGAGGTGAGCGTCAATAGTCCGAGCATGGTACCTGACTGGGTTCTTAGGCTTGGAAAGGTTTAAGCCTGGATTTGTCTGTGCTGCGGGGAGTGATTCGCTGTGTCTCAATGTTGGCTTGTGAAGATTTGCGATTCATTCAGCCTGGTGAAGTATGCATCTCATCCGGCTAATATAATGATAGCTTTGGTAAATGGGTGAGTTTGGCACATTGAGAGAATATTTTCTGGATAGATCGAGAACCTGGGACAACTAATCACCTGGCAGATGGATTCTAGTATCATTCACACCGACGTCATTAGCTCCACGTGATAACTTAAATACATTTATGCCTGAAGATCTAGGCTGAGAACCACATAACGAACTAAGTAGTAGTTAACTAACGAATTAGTACTTGGCTTTTTCGCTTTTGACCTTGCTACAATCTCATATTCCTACAATGGGAATCTAAGTGAGCCATCGCCTATGCCATCAACTTAACTTTTCTTGATCGCCTTCAACAGGTACCTCGATTGAGATGAACAACATTACCAGCTTTTCTGGGGATCACCACAGCTAAAACTTGATATGTACATTGAGTCATGCAGGTTCTCATGATATGAGCGCATCGATGACCCTGTCCAGCGAGATGAGGCGAGCGCAGGCATGATGTACAATGGGCTAAATGGATCAGCCAGAGCATTGGCGAACCAAGATAACAACAACGTGCTATTTCATTTTATCCAACTGGAAATGTTTTTAAGGGCCGCTTCTCATGGAAGCTAATTGAACCAGAAAGCCTCGGTTATGTTTGACAACAGCTTGCCACATTGTCACAGGACGGTCGGCCACTGGAAGACTATATCGGCGTCTATAAGATGAAACCCAGAATTCTGAACGCATGCTATGGCCAAGGGTCCAAGTAACAAGGCCATTCGAGACTTCTGCTTGATTCGAGTAGCAGGCGGCGAAGCTAAAAAGGCCCCTATCGCTGAAGAAATACACTGAGAACACCCAACTTATGATAGGCCGTTGAGATATCTGATATATTTATGTTGTTCAAGGTAGGTTATTCAACCGATAGGATGATAAATAATATTGCCCGGCTAAGGCTAAGGATGGCTCAAACAAGCAATTCGAGATCTACCTCTTATCACTTGTATAGGAACATAGTAGAAACTTAACAGTAAGCCTGTAGATTCAAAGCATCAGTGGTATCTATCGTCAATCGTACAATCATTAGCTTTATTGCCTTGCTCAATGCTTAATTCAATGTCGCCTTGAAGCCCTGATAAGCTTGTTCGATATCAAAAGCCAGCTCTCGTGCCTGGTCCTCACTCAACTCTTCCGTGGCCCGCATTTGATTCAAGGCAATCAACCATTGTATAATCTTTCCTCGGTTCTCAAATTCACCATCTGTCACTTTGTTCACGGATTGAATGACTTCCGAGAGCAGAGGGTGCAGCGCATCCTTCGATACCATGTTCAGCTTCAAAGCGTCGAGGAATGTGATGAAGTTCTCCGTCGCAGTCAGGATCAAACTGCCTGATGCGCCACCTCCTGATCCTCCTGTTGCGCCACCTCCCGAATTGGGTGCATTGTGTGAAGCCTGTTCAACGGTCGCGGGGAGACCGATTCGTAATCGCTCGGTAGCTCGGGGACATTCCAGCTGTTGATCTCATTAGAGGTGGAATAGCAAAATCATTTGAAGGTACTTACACCCCATGTCCGCTTAAATGATTCTAAATCAACGAATTCCCGTGCGACGGTCTCATCGCCCAGGCTGGACTTGTACTGTTTCAGGAGTCGGGTGCATGTCTCAGTGTACTCCGCCTCGGTAACGACATCTTTGATGTAGGCTTTTTCGAGCCCATCGAGGGTTATGATAATGCTGTAAATCTCAGCGAGAGATTCGTAAAGGTCACGTTCTCCTGAGCTTGAGACCAATTTGACCTCCTAGACGCTGATTAGTCCGAGTGCACCCCGCGTTCCATAAGTGGGCCATACTTCGTCAAGATTGATCGAGGCCGACCGCGCCGGGTCTGGAGTGTAGCTATATGGTGTTGGCGCATAGGATAAAGGACGCTGGGAATACATTGTCAAATCCCCAGAGGCAAAAACAGAAAGTATTCAAGGTAGCAGGTCTACTCTGGTGAGGTTCAGATAGGAAGCTTGCTTATCGGCAGCCAAAGGCGGTCGCGAAGGCGGAACCGCTGATTTTCCCGGAGCCAAATTTTTTTTTCTCAGCGCTGGATCTATCTGCTCGACAAGCTGTAAGCAGAACCAATTGCCCACCATGGCCGCCGGAGGAAAGAAGTCGACGAAGAAATTTAACACAAAACATCTCAAGGACACTCTTGAGCGCCGAAAGGAATTTGCCAAGATTAAGCAACGCCATGTGTTGAAAGACAAGCGCAAGGAAAAGAGTGCCAGCCGCCGCGAAGCCGAAGAAGCTGCCAACCAGCCGGACCCCGAGCAGGTGAAGAAGCAAAATGCTTTCGCCGAGATGAACGTGGACGATTTCTTTGCAGGTGGCTTCGATATTGCCGACCCAACAAGCGACAAGAAGAAGAAGAAGGCCAGCAAGAAGGACGTTACCCCCAAGATTGGCAAGCGCAAGCGCTCGACAGACCAGGCACAAGATGAGGAGGCGTCCGGTTCGGAGGCTAGCGAGGATGGCTCTGCACACAGTGATGATGAAGAGGCCAATGAATTTGATGAGCACAAGGACCAGCTTCAGTCATTGAAGGAGAAGGACCCCGAATTCTACAAGTACCTTAAGGAGAACGATGCAGAGCTGCTGGACTTCGGTGACCAGGGGGATATGGCCGAGATCGACGAATTGAGCGAGAGCGAAGCCGCGGAGGAAGAGGGCCCTGCGAAGAAGAAGAAGAAGTCCAAGAAGCAGGACGAGGAAGAGGAGGAGGAGAAGGTTGTCGACAACACCTTGACCATCCCTATGGTGAAGAAGTGGCAGAAATTGATGGAGGAGCAATTCTCGGTCCGCGCCATGCGCCAGACTGTTTTGGCATTCCGCGCGGCAGCCACTGTCAACGACCCCGAGGCCGGCGACCAGAAGTACACCATTTCCGATCCCAATGTCTACCACCAGGTGCTGGTGACTGCTCTGAACACCGTCCCTAAGACACTTGCACACCACCTTCCCGTCAAGGAGGCCGCCGGTGGAAAGGTCAAGGTTTCCCTCGATTCGAAGAAGTTCAAGACCCTTACACCATTGATCAAATCCCACACTTCCTCGGTCCACCAGCTTCTGATGAACCTGACAGATGCTCAGACTCTCAAGTTGACCATCTCTTCTATGGAGCCCATGCTTCCCTACCTTCTCCAGTTCCGCAAGGTCCTGAAGACTCTTATCAAGACTGTTGTCAGTATTTGGTCTGATGTCTCCACCGCTGATGCTACCCGGATCACCGCATTCCTCTTGCTGCGCCGTCTGATGACCATGGGTGACCCCGGTATCAAGGAGGCCGTCCTCAAGGCTACATACGAGGGTGTGGTTAAGGGAAGTCGTAACACCACCGTCCACACTATTGCTGGTGTGAACCTGATGAAGAACTCGGCTGCTGAGATCTGGGGCATCGACCAGAACGTCTCCTATACTACTGGCTTCACCTTCATCCGCCAATTGGCTATGCACCTTCGCAACAGCACTCGTCACACCTCCAAGGAGTCCTACAAAACCATCTACAATTGGCAATACGTCCACTCGCTCGACTTCTGGTCCCGTGTGCTCTCACAACACTGTGACGGGCTCGTTGAGGCCCAGGCAGGCAAGCAGTCCGCTTTGCGGCCACTCATCTATCCCGTTGTCCAGATTACCTTGGGTGCCATGCGCCTTATCCCCACTGCGCAGTACTTCCCGCTCCGCTTCCAGATGGCCCGCGCCTTGCTTCGTATTTCCCGCGCCACAGGAACTTACATCCCGCTCGCCTCATCCTTGTTGGAAGTTCTTACCTCTGCCGAGATGCGCAAGTCCCCCAGAGCCGGCACTCTTAAGCCTCTCGACTTCAACACTGCCATCCGTGCTCCTAAATCCTACCTCAGATCTCGTGTCTACCAGGATGGTGTCGGTGAGCAGGTCGCTGAGCTCCTCTCCGAGTTCTTTGTCCTCTGGTCTAAGCACATCGCCTTCCCTGAACTTTCGGTTCCGGTTGTTGTCTCCCTTAAGCGCTGGCTGAAGCAGGTCTCTGCCCGCAATGGCGGCAACAAGAACGCCAAGATCAATCAGATGATTCTTCTGCTCGTGCAAAAGGTCGAGGCTAATGCTCGCTGGATTGAGGAGCGCCGTTTGAACGTTTCCTTCACTCCTCGCAACCGCACGGAGGTTGAGAACTTCCTGAAGGATGTTGACTGGGAGACCACACCTCTTGGTGCATTCGTGAAGACTCAGCGCAAGTTGAGAGAAGAGCGCGCTGCTATTCTTGAGGAGGGTCGCATCGAGGAGGAGAAGCGCCGCGCTGAAGCTAAGAAAAACGATGTTGATGAGACCATGGGTGATTTCGGCAGTGACGAGGGAAGTGAGGATGAGGAGATGGAGAGCGAGGACGAGATTGAAGAGGAAGAAGAGGAGGAGGACGAGGATGAAGATGAGATGGAGATGGAGGACGAGTAGATACCGTCTCCTTCCATTCTTGTATATCTTTCATGTCGATCTACTATTACTACCGGGATATTCCGCATCAAAAGAATCAGGCGTTTCTATGTTTTTACACAATCATCAATTCCAAATCCACGCTAGTTCAAAGTGCTTTGTAATGCTAAAGGGATATCTAATTATAATGATATGCTCAAAAAGCAGTGGAAACTAAACCGACCCAACAGGCATTCGATCCTCCCCCCAGGCCCTTGTCCTTTCCTTCCTCAACGCGGCATCCTCCTCTTCCGCCCACGCCAAAGACTCATTCGGCAACATAATCGCCTTATCAATAGCAACCGGCAACCCCCTATGTCTACCTCTCAACGCAACAGCTGCAAGAATAAGCTTACTAATAGGATGCCACGCTCCACAGAACGAATAATTCTTCCCTGGATAACCCACACTTACGCCGACACAGCCATACGCCGACACAACCTCGAAAATGATATTGAAGGTCGCAAATGCGACAGGGTGTGCGGAGAAGTGGTCCGATTCCGCAATGGCGATGAAGAGAACGGCTAGTGCGATCCACCAAAGATCGTGGCTGAGTTGGGATCGGAGTTGCTGGTGCACAAAGTAGCCGCGGGATGTCTCTGAGGCGCTGGGTCGGCCTAGGTGGTGTCGAATTAGGTCAACGAGAACATTACTGCGGCTTGTATTGGCGGGAGATTTGGCTGATTCATCATTGGCGTAGATTCCGAGGGAGCGTTCTTCGTAAACGTTTGTGTTGCTGGAATAATTCAGCTATGTTTAGTCAAGAATTTGGACTGAGACATACCGCATTGTCACCAGCACTGGAAATGCGGAGACGTACTGTTATTCTGTTAGTGACCTTGCTATAATATGGTTGAGATGCTGATCATCTTACCATCATGAGAACTAAAAAAATCAGTTAATGGTTCGAACATTGTATTAGATATACTGAAAGACTTACCATAGAGTACAAGCAGGCCCTGGCGTAGATCAGAGATCGTCACGACGTAGAACCCTCCAGAACGAACAGCTGTCACCATTGTTAGACATGCATAGTAGAGACGGTGTGAATAACGAACCAACAGCTTGGAACAGCCCATCCAGAACTCGATACTCAGATGGTAAACTCTCGATTTCCTTGTTGCCGATAGATAAGATCTCAAAACCAGCCCAGTCTATGGCGTTGAGAACAATGATTGTTCCGAGTAAATACCAAGTATGACGAGCCGGGAAAAGGTTTGTATAAACCCTGCGTGGATGATCCAATATGAAATCCAAAGTCATACGCCATGACGTACATGCCGGGCGATCGGGCAATAAGGCTCTCATGGTCCAAATAATGAATCGCAAAAAGCAGGGATAGAGGGTGTTGCCAGCAAGAATCAGCATCGCCATGGTGAGGAGTGGGTAAGCACTAAATTTCTAACGTTAATTAAGCTCTCTAGCACATCATAAGATCCACATACTTCAATTGTAAAGCGGTCATATTCTTATCCAAAAGAGCCATACCGCTGTTCACAAACGCTGACACGGCAAAGAAGGCACCTGTCCAGAATGGCGAGAGGCCATTCTCCTGTGCAATCTCTGGGTGGTTTACCTGCATCCAGGTACCAATGCCGACTACTCCAAGGACGAGGAAGGCGATCAGGTAAAGTGAAACGATGACCGACAGAAAAGAGACGGCTTTATACTCGACTCCACCAAGTTTTTCACGTTCGGCCGATGTTAACCCGTGGAATTGCGAGTTGCGAGATATCATTCCCTTTGACCAAAAGTATTTCTGTGAGCCTTGGTTCAGATCTTCCAGCTTCGATTTGGGTGACTCGACTGGGTATAGAGGCACTGGTGCCGCATCACGAGGGTGATTATTCAGATCAGGTCTTGCGCCCACACCGACCATGGGGAAAACCCGATGGTGATGACGATGGGCTACTGTATCTGCAATTGTGATCTGGTCGCCGTCATCCCATGTAGCCCGATCACTGGAGCCCACTTGGGTTTCATGAACGGTCACAGTCTGTGGTCGGGATTTGCCCTGTGCCTCGAGCTCATAGCCTGTTGTGTCGGCGCAGGTTGCATTCTGTAATCCCAGAATTGATGCCTGACGTGAAGCGTTACGCTCTTCTGAAACGATTTGCAGTTTTGCCTCAAATCCTCGCTTGCGGACAATCAGCACGGCGATGGAGACGAATATCACAGAGCCAAGAATGAGCAAAACGAATAGAATAACTTGCTGAACCGTATTGAGAGTTGACAGATCAACCTAAAATACGTTAGAAATTTTTGCGCTGTTGATGTTCGAGATCCTACCGTATTTAATCCAGCGCCAGTCATCGCACTGACGCATAGGAAGATAGCATCAACATAAGCGACACTCTGCCATGGTGTCGATGTCAAATAAAATATAATACTGCTGACCAGACATGTCACAATAAAGTAGACATAATGTAACGTTAAAAAATTAGCTGGTGGCAGTATCGCGGTCATAGCTCGGCCCATAGGTCCTTGCCATAACGCTGCGGGTGCAAGTTAGCCAGGAATTTAAATAGTATAATAGCGAGACGTACGGGCCAGTCTCGCACGAAATCTCATTTAAAATGCAAGCCAAGAATCAATATTTCGAGATAAGGAAGAAAGGCCAATTGGAAGAGAAGCCCCCGCCTCGTGGAGGCGATTGTCGGTGAACAGATGTAGGTGTATTTCTTTCAGGTTTAAAAGTGAAGTAACACTCATCCACTATATGGTCAAAAGTATTGTATTCATGTCGTGACCGTGACCAGTGGAAAAGAAAGAGTCTCACGGGTTTGACGGATTTGACGGGAGGCTGTACTGTGGGCAGAACGGGTATAAGAGATTTTCCAAGGATGAACCCCACTTTAACCCTGTTTTAGCCCTGCCAACATGACCACTTAGATGTCACATGTGCAGGTTAGATCATAATCAATTATCTGGATTATAGAATCACAATGAATCCTACCTAGCATAAAATATTTGCAAATAACATACGGTGAAGGCGAACTTATTGCTGTGGGTCGCGATGATCCTCGCGTCGCGTGGCGTAGGGCTGGACCAGTAATCAGCCACTAAGTATATATTGAAGACGGGAACGCTCGTAGGCAGCACGCTCTGACGACGTACGAATCGGACACACTAAGCGAAAATTTATCACGACAGAAGGTCGCCTACGGAGAGTCGCAAGCACCCTGTCAAGGTGAAGAAAAAGAATAATTTAATATATCAATCTGATCCTTATATATTCAAAGCATCTTTTGTACGCGCTTCACCAGACTTCGCTCGAACTGTTCCACTCCGTTCGATTGCTCGTTCAACTTGCCCGTCTTGATCACATAGACAGATCGACGTCGAGTGATTTCTTTGGTTTCTTCCTCTTCGATTCCCTCAAAATCATCATCTAATTTATGCTCCGTATCCCGCTTCCCTTCGACAACTGACCGGACTAAGAATCGATCGTGAGATACGAGAAGGATGGCCCCGTTAAAGGAGGACAGCGCCGTGGCAAGCGCCGTGACAGTATGATAATCTAGATGAGTGGTGATCTCATCGAGAATGAGAAGCTGAGGTGCACTCCAAACAATCCGGGCTAGAGCGAGACGAACCTATGGATCGATGAGTATGTTGCTGTTCTAGAGGGAAGAGTTGACTTACCAACTGCCCACCGGACAGTTTAGCCACGGGTACATCGGACGCAATGCGGCCTTGTAGACCCATTGATGAAAGAAGTCCTCTAACGGCTCCCTCATTTAGAGCATCGCCCGTTTCCGTCATCAATAACCCGAGTGCAGTGAGACTGGGCTCCCCTCGACCACGTTCCTGTAGTTCCTCTACCGAATGCTGGCCATAATAACCCACTTTCAACCGTGAATGAGTCGATACTTTGCCTTTCGATGGAACGAGCTGTCCAGTTAAGACGCGAAGAAGAGTCGTTTTCCCTGACCCGTTGAGACCCATTATCCCAACACGATCACCAATGTGAACCACTAAATTGATATCGTCTAGAATGATGTGATCATTCTTGTATCTGAATTTGATACCCTCCAGAGAGACCAGTGGTCCTGGGAACCTTAGCTCAGTCGCATCGGGCAGACTCATTGTTGCGCCTCGCTCATCCGTCGGTACTTCGATTTCTGCCCGACAGTGGGCATGGTATCCTGGCAGATCACGATTCAATTTAAATCGGCCTCCAGTCGCACTAACTTGGAGTCCCATTCGATCCTCGACTCTCTTTTGTCGCGATTTTGCCTGTCGAAGCTTGTTCTCGTCATTGGTCTTCTTGCCTATCTTAATATTCTCGCGGATACTGGCCTCCATGTGGGCAGCCTGTCGTTCTTGCGCCTCCTTCATACGTCCCAGATATAGCTTCTGTGCTTCGAAGTCTTGCTCGTAGGCGGCGAGGTTTCCGCGGAAATAGTTCAATTTTTGATCCCGCAGAATTACAATCTCTTCGCAGACGGCGTTGATAAAGTCTCGGTCGTGCGAGACGAGAAGGATTGTGGTATGAGAACTGTCGCGTAGTCGTTGGAGGTATTTCTCGAGCCAGACTACTCCTAGAAGATCGAGGAAGTTGGTCGGTTCGTCAAGAATCATGACATCGGGTTTTTGGATCAGAACGGATGCAAGCATGCAGCGCATTCGCCACCCCCCTGACAATGTTGAGACTTTCTTTTCCATGGCTTCTTCTTTGAATCCCAGTCCCTGCAATATTTGGCGTGCCTCCTTTTCGATATCAGCCAATTTCATCTGTGGAGATGTTAGTTGGTAATATCGCGATCAAAGTGTAAGGCACTTGCGTCTTCAAGTTGGGATTGCAAATTCTGGAGCATTTCAACTGCAGCCTGTGTATCTATTTGGACCGTCTCGGCATCAATAACATCAAATTCCTGGATCAGTCTGTTTGATTCTCAGACAAGTGCAATTCTATATTGAGGCAATTTCCTTACAGCTCTTGTGTTGATTCAAGTTTGGATTCAGCAGCCTTTAGGTCTTTTCTCGCCTGTAGACCCCTTGCACCACTTTTCAAGTGGGCATTTTTATGAGCAAGGAATAATCCCCTCTCTGCTTGTTGATGTCGAATGTTGCGAATGGCCTGCACCGGCTTCGATGGCTCTTCAGTCTCGAAGCTCTTGGATAGAACTGAATAAAGTCAATAACTGCCATCAAAGCCATCCGAGGGTTCTTACGGTCTGCCAGCCGAACAGCCTCATTTCTGGCTTCGTCACTTCCGAGAACTGACTCCAGAACAGATTTATCCAATCTCAAGCCGTATGTGCTCCCACATTCATCCTGGTCATCTGTCTGCTGTAAAATTGCAATGCGAGTCGCGTGGGGAATCCCAGGAATGAGCTTCTCAGCCATCGCTCGTAAGAGTGCTTTCGAAACTGTGTCAGTAAAACATATATCGGTGCCTCAACGCTCGGCCCAGGGAATCAATTTGCTTACTTGACTTTCCAGTTCCATTCCGTCCTAGCAACCCATAATGAACACCTCCCTTGAGCCGAAGATGACCATCAGAGATAAGCTCTTGACCAGCTGCCAAAGCCTTAGATTTCCCCTTCGCTCTCAGTTTGGAGGGGCCTTCAGTTGTGGTAGAAGTGGATGAAGTGACCACGATGCCCAGGCCTTCCACATCTATCTTTTTGGTGTAAGTCGCGATCTCAAAACCATGTTGGATTCGTTTACCTCGGGTGAGGGGTTATCATCTAGAAGATGAAACCGAGTTTGCTTGCAAGTTGCAAGAATTGTGGGAGCAGATGTCATGGCCGATATGTATGGCTTTTGTTGACAGATCAAGATACTGGATGAATGCAAGCGGTATGATAGAATTATTCACACGAATCCAGATCACGAGCGAATATCCTCGGTTATTAATTTCAATATATCACTCTAGCAAATTCCAATGTCCCTCGTCTTAAGAGTTATGCCAAGAACCAAGTTAAGACCCCTTGGTAGACCCTGGGGTCGGGCTCCTAAAGCGGTTTAGCCCGGTGCCGAAGACCGTTATATGGCGGGCAGTATCGACACAGACTCAGTCAACGAATTTGTAGATTCATGAGTCACGAGCAATCAATTGATGCAACCGTGAGTCTCGAGCAATGCAGCTTTCAAGGATACCATAGCTAACGTTGTTGATTCTAAGTAAGAATGCACGGCTGAGTGGATGAATTCGACACCTGCAAAAGGTGGCAATAATCACGTGTGTATTTGGCGAGTTCATGAGTAAGCGACACCTCGATCATCTGTGCTTGGGTTCGTAAAATTGGGGAAAATTTCAGAATAACTTGATTGTACAGAATAATCATGGAATACACATTTCACGCAAACTTATATACTTTGTCATATCTGGAACCGACGTTCGTGAGCTTGAAATTAACAGAAAGTCTCTCTACATAGATAAGTCATAGTAAACATGATAAAAATATACATACAGTACCTATATTTCACAACATTCGAAGGAAGAACGCAATCAAGACATTCATATGTATATAGCCAGGGTATGTACAGACATACATACAAGGTATACTAATTGATGTAGGCATTATACATGCGCATGCTTATCGTATGTATATATGTACAATTGAGGTTCAATCTCGAAAATATATCTGAGCCCTGGAATTAAACTTGACTTCATGGGCACCTGCAGGGCATGCCCAGGTTTCGGTAGTGCACCTTGGAATCCATGGATGTCCCAAGGTCGTGGCCTCCCGGGGGGAACAAAGAAAGCCTTGGCCTTCTCGAATCAACCGTGACCAAGGCATATGATGTTTATCCCTACCAATGTAGGTTACATACTTTATTGGACCGGAAGCTTCGGGATTATCGAGCACGCCCCTAGTATATCCACTAGTAGTGATGATCATGAAAATCTCTATCGACTAGTGATCATCACAGCCGTTGACCCGTCAATATTGACAAACGGTAGCTGGATGGATCATGGACGTGCACTGAGGTGATCTTCTTATACTATGGATATATTACGTATCTCCTCGACTTGCATGTGGTCTCACGGTCCACGTGGGTTGTATAATCGTGTGGTATCAGTCTGTGGAGCTCGGCACCTAGCAGTTGAAAATAAACTCTGGGCAGGGAAAATTCCTAGCCGGAAGATCCCTGCTAGTTGATTGAGACTAGTGAGTCCACACGGGATATCAGGGATTGAGTTCAACTGTGCTGGATTTTTTTTTTTTCAGTCAGGCGATCTGGTCCAAAGACGGCAGGTAGATAGATTCGGTTCGATCGATATACGAGAAGGCAACCAAGCTGAGGCTCGACCGTTTCCTTTGATCTAGACACACAGCCAAATTGAAGATTTCGTCAGAACCAAACAACCAGGGCATCGAGACCTTCCATTTCAAAGTGGACTCGGTTAGGGGTCTCTGGGCCCTGAGGCGTCTAACTAAGCGACCTGATCAGGGCCAGCGGGGCGTGCAGAGTCGTCGTCAGACAGCCAAGATAGAGCATGTAAAATTCTGGGCTCGGGGCAGGACCACTTTTAGGACCCACGTCGGTTTCAATTAGGTCGGATATATACGTAGCCAATGGGTATGCCAGAAAAACCTAGACTTCGGAGGGTAGCCGGGTCTATTAGCTGTTCCCAGGGTATAGTTACATAAGCGAAAGCACTTAATGTGAGCCGTTTCATTAGGAACCAGGATAGAATTTGAAAGATAAAGTTGGATTGGGCCAAGCTATTGCCAAGGTCCGTCTGCCGAAATTCGGCACTGGGTCAGGGGAACCCGCCTTGTGAACCATTGGACTCTTTGGTTCAAGCCGAGGGAAAAAGAATATTCAAAAAATAACCACAAGTTAATTAGTGGAAATAAGCAATGGTTTTGAGTAATTAATGATCGCCTGCATTATCGACGCCTTACCGCACCACGGGGAACTAAATCGGTTTCAAATGTTATTTTTGGTGAGACTACTCCGTATAGAGTACTGCATTACGGATCGAGTCCGTGAGGCGCAGACAATCAAGCTCAGCCTCTCATACGTTTCCATGTTTGCATAACGCCTCAGCCCTAGGTGATCGTTTCTCAAAAAAGGGGTGATGCCGACTGAACAAAGTTTCTTCGGTCCGTGATCCGCTGAAGGCCGCGCGGCTATGAGTTCATCCGCTAGACTGTGATACTGTTATGTAAATGTTTGATTCTCAACCAGAGGAAAGAACACAATTGAGTTTGAAGATCAGCTTACCTGGGAAGATGTTCCATGTGAGAGTTTGGGAAGTTTTGGAAGTTACAGTATGCAATGTGCTCATGAAAAGTTAGCTCGGCCGAGCTATCCGTATGGGGCTTATATCTCCTTGTATCCACGGAAGCCTCCCGGACCAATCATAGAGTAGAATCTAGCGAGGTAATGGATACTCCGTTGTCTCCGCCTTCATTTCTAGAAGGAGGATAAAAACCTTATTGTTGGTTCCTACGGGACGGAGTCTGTCTTCCGAGGTCTCCATAGATTTAGCCACCCAGTTTTGCATTAGCTCGTACAATGTGAAACATGTTCGGGCCATGGGACGCGCAGTGTTTCTGAATGAAAGAAACGTGCAATAATATCCGAGATGGCGAAATTCCTGAAGTATTGAGTACATTGCATGAAGAACTAGGGTGTAAAAGGGGTCTCTAGGCGCTATTCGCGCAATCATGCTAATGACGCTCCATGGTGTTTTAAGGCGGAATCAAGCCTCCGCTTACTCTGCGCCGGGACTGTCTAGACCATTTCCAGGTAAGCTAGTTTTATTTGGGCGATCCTTTGTCTCTTTATTCTTCCCTCGGAAAATCTAATCCAAAATTACGATCTATGTTAATGCGAAGAATGTCGAGGATAGGGTGATAAACATCGGGAGCACAGCCACCAGCGTCATGGGATTTCGGCATTTTCCAAGATATTCGAACCAATTAATGGAGGGCCATGCCTTGGTACAAATAATCTATTTTGATGTGAAGAGCCAATCATAAGGATTTGTTCTCCCCACTAAGTTCAGGGGATTTCGGGTCAATTGCCTTTGACCACCGCAGTACTACCTAAGAGGATATGGAGAGGGAATATAGACACAGAGGCGGACATTCAAGATAATTATTCAGAATTAAAACAAATCTGGAAAATTAAACTCAGAATCAAATACAAAGCCTAATAAATCCGAATTTTACCCATGAGCCGTGGCACATTGGCCGTAGCGGAGTAAATAACAACCGTTTCAGCGCTAAGTTCACCGCCCAACCAATCAAACTTGACAATTCGGAGGCTCCGCTGAGTCATCAATAAGGACGCGCAAGCCTTTTTTGCTGCTATTCTGGATCTCTTGCCTTTCCCCTGGTCACTGATCCAATCCTCCCCCTCCCCTACTCCATCGACCCATTCTATTCCGTACCTTTATCTCTTATGATCGAACGCCCCCCATTCTAGCCTTCTAGACTTTCACTTTTCTTTCGTTAAATCCATTTAAATACTCCGCTTTATCTCCCACACCCACGCAATCTAATCCCCATTTCTACGACCTTATCCGAAGGGGGGGAAAATATAATAAAGAGGGCCCTCGAATATAACACCATGGCGACCCTCGCTGAACACCCGCTCCACTCCGCCTCTCCCATGCCGACTATGCCAGCTACTTACGACCAAGAACTTGACTCCTTTATCAACTTCGACCAGCTCGCCTATTCCTCCGCCGACGCCGCCCGACCCAAGGTCGCCTTGGCCAGCCAACCCTCGGTCGCAAGTACGGATTTCACTAGTGATGCCAGAAGTGCCAGCTTCGCTTCCAGTGGACAATCGCCAATCGCCTTCCAAGCCCCCAGCCATCATTACGAAGAACACCGCCAGCAGACTGGTCTGCCTCCCGGTGCCTTGTCCATGACCTACAGCCAACAAGTACCTCATCCTATGGGTTTCAACGGAAACCAAGGCTACCCGGTGAATGGTGAAATATACGCCCCTATGAAGCGAGAGGAGGCTCCTTTCGATTTTAGCGCCGCCCCGACCCGGAATCCATCCGAGATGGACATGGAGTCTGACGGCATCAACTCCACTCCTTACTATTTCTCGGCGAACCCTGGCAACAAGAGCCAATACGTCGACCCCAACGCTCTCGGAGGCCATGAGCTGGCTCAGCCTGGTCCATCTACGCAGGTGGGTCGCATGTACCCTGGTATGCATCAGCAGCAGGCTGCGATGGCCAAGGCAGCCCAACAACAGAAGCACAATGAGATGGTCCGTCATCAGATGCAGCAGCGCCGCGTCGAGGAGGCTCCTACTCCCATGCCCATGCCCATGCCCACCCGTGGTCCTCACAACCCCGACCCCATCGTTGAGGAGCGCATTTCTCGTCTCTTACAGCAGATGCGCGCGAACGCCGTCGCTGCGGGCGAGGTGTCTCCCACCCCCTCTAATCTTCCCCAGATGGCCAAGGCCCGCAAGGACGAGGCCGACATGGATGAGGATGAGCGTCTGTTGGCTAGTGAGGAGGGCAAGAAACTGAGCAGCAAGGAGCGCCGTCAACTACGCAACAAGGTGTCTGCTCGCGCCTTCCGTTCCCGCCGCAAGGGTATGTATATGCGAGTGCCCATCTAATTTTCTTACTAACATTTCTGCAGAATACATCGGTCAACTTGAGAGTGAAGTTGCCGCTCGTACCAATGAGGCTCACGAGGCTCGCCTTCAAAACCGTGCACTTTACGAGGAGAATGCCCGCTTGAACGACCTGGCTCGCATGCTTCTGGGATCGCCTCACTTCGCCAACTTCCTGAACGAAATGCCCGACAGCGTCCCACCCCAGGTCCAGGCTCACCAGCCACCCCCGCAGCCCCAGCAAGCACCCGCGCCCAAGGAGGCCAGTGCTCCCCGCCAGGAGTTCCAGATGCAGCAACACACCCAACCCAACATGGTCATGGTCCCGAACCCTAACCAGGCTATGGATTCTTCTATGCTGAACAGCGGTTGGAACTCTGGAATTGACATGAACTACGGCAACACCTCCGTTTTCGCTGTGCTTGAGGTTCCCGAGGGCCCTTCCTTTGACGCTGAGATTCTGTCTGGCAAGTCTTCATCGCTGGGTTCATCCGAGTCTGCCAAGGACGAGGCACCTGTCTTCGACCACCCCGAGGGTGAGGTTACTCGGAAGTCTGACATCGGTTTTGCCAATCCTGACGTGGAGATTGATGAGTCTGACCCTGCTTATGCTCTCTTTGTTGACTCTCCTGCTCCGTCTGCTACTTCTGATGATCATATTTTCAATGGTCTCCAGTCCGAGAAGTCGACTTCCCACTACGAGCTTGTTGTGGACGCTGCTCAGGCCTCCGCCGTCGCCCATGCCCGCTTCAATACCCTCTGCTCTAGCATGCAAGCTGCTTTTGACCGAGTGTCTCTTGTCACGTCCCACCTCCAGTGATTCCCCCATTAGCGTCCATCTTTTGACCCACTTTTTTCTATGTATATCTGTTTTTTCTTTTTTCTTTTTTTTTTACCATTTACTGGCATATCTCATTACTTTTTTATACGGCGTGACCACCCACACATTTAAGTTAGCCGTCTCCTGTTCGTGTGATCTGGTCAGTCCTGGGAGTTTTTACGGCGCCTATATCTTGTCATCATATTGTGTATCTCCGGGGTTGGGCTTTCTGGGTGGAAATTTGGTAGCGGTTCCTCGGCGTAAGGACCAGCGATTTAAGCTCAAAATTGATTTTTTTTTACTGATATCGCTTATCGTGTAAGCTGCCCACTTTTAGGCAGACGTATTCTTTTGGGGGCGGAGCCACTGCGGATTAAACATCAAAGGTTCGTGGGGGCTGCGCAATGCACGAACGTCTCATTGTTGATTAGCGCCAATTCGCAATCACCATGCATGATACCCTCACCACTGAATACGCTGAAACTGACCCTATGAGGTTAGTTTAGGCCCGCCTCGATCCTAGCATAAGCTTGGTTAGTTCTACTCGCCAACCCCGCCGATCACCCGTATGAATTCGTCATGTCCTTCGTCCCGACTTGCCCTTGGTTGGCCAGCGCCTGTTCCAATATCCATACCGGGCGCTTGTATCTTTGCTCCCACGAGCCGATTCATGGTTCTATTTTGACATAACCTCCAGGGCTGATCACCAAGCATGGTCAGCGTTCCAGGTAGATCGAAGGCATGCAATACATGCCTCCAAAGAAAGATCAAGGTATATTGAATGCCCACTTCATCGCGCGAGTCTCCGCGCTAAAATCGGTACTAGTGTAATCAAGGCCCCGTGCCGTGTAAGCAATGCCGCTCTTCCAACCGCCTCTGCACAGGCTATCAACGGAGACGTGGCTACGTGTTTTCGGAGAATGTCGTTTTAGCCAATCCCACCACGTCCCAAGAATCTTCTGTCACCTACCAAGGAAGGTGACGTAAGGCTGAGCCCCGGCAGATCGAGAAGACTCCCCCAGTGACATGGGCTGTTGGTCCCCATCACCTTCTACCTGCTACTCTTAGCGGCATGAAGGTCCCCAACCATGCGGTGCTGCGAGAGCAGTTTCACTATTTATTCATGAACAGACATATGCCCGCGGATTTATGGGACTTTCGCCCCCGCAACTCGATCAGCAATTGGCTCTCCTCCTCCAGGAACGGACAATTCAATCCGCGGCTTTATCAATGTCGGCAACGGCGTTTTTCGCTGCCAGAGTCGGTCATATGTATGGTGACTGGGAACTAGTTCAAGGAAGCCGTTCTTTGTATATTGATGGTTTTGCTCAGCTCCAGCAGGCACTGAAGAATCCATCAAGCCGGTTATCTGACGAGACACTGGCGGCTTGCATGGCTCTATCATTCTATGAACTTAGCGAGGGGCCTCCAGGACCCGGAAATGCCGTTGGTACTCATCCAAAGGGCGCTATAATCCTTCTTAAGATGCGAGGTATAGAGGCATGCGGTGTTTCATCACTGGGTCACGCGTTCCTTTTGGCTCTGCGAATACAAATGGTGTGCTACAGTTCTTGCTGGTATTCGTTGATTGGCTAATTTTGGGCTTAAGATTCTTAAAAGTTTGATTTATCGCCATCCATCATTTCTGTCCGAGCCCGACTGGATGGAGAAACCCTGGGGCACAATAACCAAGTCTCCGGCGGACAGATTGTGGGATATTCTTGCTGATATAGTGGGTGTCAATTCCAAATTCGACAAGTCACTCCAGGAGTACAATAGAACGGGTAGTGACCTTTAGACTCTCGAAAATATTCGTTTCGAGTGCCGTGAGATCCATACGGCTTTAAGTGAGCTATACAAGGAGTTTGAACAGACCATCTCTGGTCCATTATACTGGCCTGAAAAATCTACTCTGAAAGGATGCGATACCCCCGACGGGCAAGCCAAGCTATTCCCTGTCTCCTTTCACTTCTCTGATCTCCTTGTCGCTCAATTCCTAGTCACATACTGGTCAGCCGTAATGCTCATCCACCGCCAAATCATATCAAAATACCATGAAATGGGCCCCAACGCCCCGATATTCTCATGTCGGTCGCAGGAAGCTGCAAGTACAATATACACCATGGTAACAAACATCTGCCAATCCGTCGAATACCTCACTCAACCCCGAATGGGAGGCTCAGGTTTACTAGCTATAATTGCACCACTTCACGGGTGTAAACCCGCACTTGAAAATGTGGCTATGCGGAACGAAGTTAGTCGGGAAATTGCTTGGGTCAGTGAGTTCAATCGGAAGGACACATCGGAGATTTAATTCCAATATTAGTTTGAGTTTTGATTTTGGTGCATAGGATCTACTAGTGAGACCATGGATTTTTTCCTGTTTCTGCCTATTTCTGTATTGAAACCGTGGTTTCTGTGTTTAAGCAGTAGAGAAGTTTTAATTTCTAGAACCGAAGATGGTCAACTGTGCGAGAAGGTTGAAATTCAAGGCTTAGACTTTTGAGCTAAACCTATTTGGGTCAGATTTCGCGACGGCTGACTCCACTTCTACCGAGTCTCAACCATGGAATCTTAATCCAATGGGGAAGTGTTTTCGCGACCCTTTAATGTCTGTATGTCTATAAGAATGTGTGTCGCCCTGTCTGGATACGATGCTCATCACTCGATTCGAGATTTTCTCTCACTTGAATCGAAATCATGATTCTGATCTATAAGAAGATCAAGAAGCGGAATGAAAGGAAGAAGCTGGAGGCACAACGGGAATTAGGCCTTGCTCAAACCCCTGCTGTGAATGAAGTCTCAGTGGTAGCAATGGAAGCAACCCTCGAAAAACGACAAACCTCACCCGAGGAAAGAGCCGAGAGAAAGAAGAGACGGATTTACCGCTGGAAAGTTATTCTCGGTCTTTTCGGTCCATTCTGTCTTCAGTCACTGGATACGACTATCATTGCCTCTGCTCTGCCATACATCGCCGAGGATTTCGGTAAGTTTTTTTTAGAAGTCAGAAGTCACCAGAGTTGCGAATAGTAATAACAAAGATCAATCAATAGACCAAGTCAGCCAGTTGAATTGGATCATCTCGGCTTTCAACCTGACCTCCGCCGCATCCCTGTTCTTCTGGGCCCAGCTTGCAGACCTGTTTGGGAGACACAACACACTCCAAGCCGCTATCTTTATCATGATAATTGGATCGGCTATTTGTACCGGCTCCCCAACCTCGACATACGGTGTTCTCCTTCTCGGTCGTGCCTTACAGGGTATCGGTGCCGCCGGCGTGAACATTTCCGTCCGAACAATCCTGGCGGATGGTGTCTCGCTCTCGGAGTTTGCTGTTAACTGGACCATCTTTGCCCTTGTAGCGGGTATTGGATTCAGTATCGGTCCCGTTATTGGTGGATACTTGACCACCGCGTCGTGGAGGTGGTGTTTCGCTATTAACCTACCTATCGGCGTGGCGGCTATGATCCTGCTTGTTTTCATTCTTCGCAAAGATCTTCAGGGTCCACAGCCTCTTCCACAACTCGAAGGTCGGGATCTCTCTACCGCTCCTCGCCGTTTCATGGCGCGGATCATGACGATTGATTGTGGTGGTCAGATGCTTTTCCTTTGGGGATTTGGTCTCCTTATTCTTGCTCTCACATGGGCTGGTGGTAATTATGCTTGGAACTCTGCTGCTGTTCTGGCTCCTATTAGTATCGGTGCTGTCTTATCAATCGCCTGGGTGGTCTATGAGCGACTGATGGTCCCTGGAGCTTTCATGGCACGTGCTCTACCCCGTCAAAGGGCCATGATGCCATGGGAGCTGATCTCACAACGTGACATCGGCTTATTATTCCTCATCAACTTTACGATGGGAGTGTCCATGTTCGCTGTAATGTACTTCATGGACCTGTACTTTGCCCTTGTGGAAGGAAACAGCGCAAGTAAAGCCGGGACATCCCTACTATACTTTTTACCAGGCTTGGGTGGTAAGTCAATGCTGACTGTCTAACCATGATCGAATCTAATATTATATAGCCGGTGCCTACATGGCCATGTTCTCATCCAATATCTGGCCCCGTCAAACCCTCCCCGCTCTTATGCTCGGCAGCATCGCCTCCGCTGTCGGAATCACAGTCCTAGCATGGGCCGTCAAAGCTGCTGAAAAGAACCTCATCTACGGCATGATGGCACTCGTAGGCTTTGGCGTTGGAAGTCGCATGAATCCCGCCTCTTTGCACGGTCTGGCTTATTTCCCAGCTATGACAGCCCAGATCTCATGTTTAGTCTCTTTTGCGCTTCCATTTGGCGGTCTCGTGGGATTAACCATCATGTCGACGGTTTTCACGAATAAAAGTGGTACGAACGAGTCTGATCCTAAGAAAGGTATTATGTGGGCGTTTGTTGCCATGATGCCGTTTATGTGGATTTCTGTCATCTTGACTACTTTCCTTGGGAATGTTTGGATTCAAAAGGATGGTGGACATGAGGTTGTGAATGGGGCTTATTTGTGGAGCTTTGTTACTCGCAAGAAGCTTTCTAGGGAAAAACGGGATCGGGTTGAGGATGTGAGACCTGTGAGTGTCGGTAATGATGTGGAGATGAATCCCCATGCTGGTTCGGGTCAGGGGGATATTACTCGGGGTTGATCTGGGGTTGCACTTCTTCCTCCCTTTTGATGCTTCACATGTAGTGTTGAAAATGTTTTAATTAGATATCAAATAGCTTATTTCGTTTCAACTAGCCTGAATGCCTAATACAACTGGATATCTGAGATTTATTTGCCATCCAAGAACAGAACAGAACAGAATGAAAACATGCAAAAAGTGAACAAATACATTAAATGGTATCAGTGTCAGCTTATGATCTCGCTACTTCTTGCGAGGACTCACAAGACCATTGAACTTCAATGGCTTCACACTGAAAGCCCCATTGAAAGTAAGTTCATACTTCGGATCCTCAAACTCAAAGTCCACGTCTTTAAGAATGCTAACAAGAGTGAAGATAGACCAGCGCCATGCCCACATCGTTCCATAACATGAACGCTTGCCGTTACCGAAGTTCCTCCTGGCTCCCATTGGAAGCTTGTCCCATGCTTCACCAAGGACTCGCTCCGGAATAAATGCCTCCGGGTCATCGAAGACTTCGGGATCCCGATTCACAGTGTTTAAAACCGTGATCATGATTTGATCGTGTGTAATCTGGTATTTACCTCCAGCAAGCAGAATAGGACTTTTGTCATCAGTGGGGATGGGTTCGATATTGAATCCCGGTGCTGTGGCGGAAAGGCGAAGAGACTCCCGGATGATGGCTTCACAGTATTCTAGCTTTTTGAGATCTTCCAGCTGGACCTGCTCGTCGGGTCCGACAATGGAGTCGATCTCTGCCCGAGCCTTTGCAATCACGTCTGGGTTCTTGATCAGGTAGTACAATGCGAAGGAGACGAGGTTGGGCGATGTCGCGGCTCCGATGAACATGGTCACCACTTCATCAATGACTTGGGCATCGTTGAGCTTTTCGCCAGTCTGTGGATCGGTGTCGTGAAGTAGCCCGTTGAGAAGGTCATCCCGAACCTCTTCGGGGTTCTCTTTCCTGCTCTTGACAATTTCCGTTGCGTAATCGCGCATGTACTTGATGTTATCCTTGAAGCCGCGATCATACAATAGCCAATTCAGCATCTTTGGTCGGTTGGGTCGTTTCATCGCTTCCAATGTGATGGATTCCCAAACGTGGATGAGGGGATGCTCGGGTCCTTCGAGGATGTCGATGCGCTGGTTGAAGAAGCATTGCATAACCGATGTCATCAGCAGGCGATCAAGGTCACTGGTGAAGAGCACCTGCTTCTTGATCCCCGAGGTCCATTTCTTGGTCAAGTCTGACATCACCTTCGCCATGTCGCTGAAGATTTTATCCGTCGCAGCCCCGGTAACGTACGGGGCCATGATGCGGTGAGATACAGGCCAGATAGCTTCTGTGTTATAGGCAGTGAAGAGACAGTTGTTTGCGAGTTGTCGCATTTCCACAATTGGTCCTGTTACGCATTTTCGGAATCGCTTCTCGTCGCATATCTCTTCTAGCAATGCGACGTTACTGATAAAGACAAGTTGTTTACCCAGAACGTTGATCTTGCAGATTGGACCTATTAAATTCGTTAATTTGTGTGCTTTCGTATACTGACCTTTACATACCGTATTCTTTGGAGAGCTTGATTAGAGAGTTCCAGGTGTCATTGGGATTAACATCCAGGATATTCCCTAGCAGGGGAATACCACGCAGTTGAGGAATTTGTGATGTCATTGCAGGCGATGGGAGTTTCACGACGGACTGAAAATAGAAGCAAATTCACCCAGCCTGTGGGAAATGGTCGCTTTAAAAAAGAAAAGAGACCCCGCATCGCTTGGGTCGTGGCTTGATCATCATCGTGCAGATTCGAGTAATACTGGGGGATTCCACCCTAGCAGGTGACACAGGTCTCAGCTTGCATTCGAAAGCCATGTCAAGGACTGGTGGAAGAAGGCAACTTGAGGCGATAGGCTGACTTTTTGCCCCATCAGGAAAGCCAAGAAGATGTTTTCCACTAAATCGCCCAAGAGCGGCCCATGATGCCCGCTGGTCTGCAGGCGTTCAGGCACATGAAGACATGAACTGGTCTCAAAATATAGAAACATTACACAATCGACAATTGACGGGCTTGAGAGCAAGACTAGAAGATGCAAGATGCAGAATAGTGCACGGTTCATGATTGGCTTATGCAGCCACGAAATGTTGAGAATTGTTAGAGGTACACCCTGACTAACCCGATCGGGAGTAGTCTTTTATCTCACATATGGCATACTTTGATATTCTACAGTAGTCAAACATTGATAGATGGATAAACATAAATAATTTAGATTATACAGGCCGTTGAAAACTGATTCAACCCGGCACTTGACTCAAATTCATGCTTAATAGGCGATACCCAGCAATTTTCGACATAAAAAACATCACATTCTGTACCGTAGACTCCAGATTTAAATGAAGTAATATTAGAAAGATACTAACATTTTCATATACGAAGAGAGTCAGATATAGAAAAAGAAAAGATGGAAAGTCGGTCAACAATATGTACAATCGGACTCACTAGTGATTTTATGCATTTCAAGCTAAAGCTATGACCTCAACCAATTCCTGTCCCTGTGCATGTTTCCAATGACCTCGGGAGATGACCATTTTCTTAGCCTGGTAGCCTATCAAAGTTAAGATTTTGATTAGCCAGCTCCATGAACATGATCCTTTAGACCTCGGAATGCGAGGGATCCGAAGATCCTTCCATGTTGAGCAACTTTTGCTCCAACAGGTCAAGTGGTTGTTTTGCAGTTATTTGAAATGCTACATAGAACAAGAATGTGCAATTGAGATTTAACCTCCTTTTCTCATTGATTTACCTTCTTCCGTCCGGAGAATGGGCATTTAGCCTACCTAAAATCATGGCAGTCTTATCTCTTCTTCTCAAACTTACACTCGCCATCTCGGCTGTTTCTGCTTGTGGTGATTGCGAAGGGAAAGAGCCCGCGGTTTATCCTAGGGTTGCGCGTCGCATGCAACCTGAGTCTGTGAATGCGACGACAGATCCAAACAGACCTTTGCATTGGGGACAGCTCAACTTCATCCACACCAGCGACTCTCATGGATGGCTCGAAGGTCATATCAAGGAGGGGAACTATGGTGCGGATTGGGGTGACTTTGTTTCTTTTGTGAAGCACATGAGGGACAAAGCAACAAACAACAACGTTGACCTTTTACTCATTGATACTGGTACGTTGACTCACTTAAGAGGGTCTTACTTGATGCTAACACTCAAAGGGGATTTGCATGATGGGAATGGTCTCAGTGACGCGACAGACCCCAACGGCAAGATCACGAATCCAATATTTGAGAATATCGACTACGATCTTCTCACACCGGGGAACCATGAGCTGGGTGTCGCCGACATTGCATACGAGACATTCACCAACTTTACAAAGGTGTATGGGGACAAGTACCTGGCCAGTAATATTGATATCTGCACGAATTGTCACAACAGCAACCCAAGCAAACAGGAATGGGCGCCCATGGCAAAAAGATCTCGATACTTCACCACGAAACAGGGCTTGCGAATCATGGCTTTCGGGGTGATTTTGGATGTGACTAATAACAACAAGAGCATGACCAGAATTCAGCCCGCTGCAGACATGATAAAGGAAGACTGGTTTAACGAGGCCATCAATCGTACGGATATTGATCTTTTCGTACTCATTGGACACAATCCAGTCAAGCCTGGCATCGCAGGAGGCGAAAGCACCTATCCACTTCTAATGCAAACTCTCCGGTCCAAGCGCCCTGATATTCCGGTACAGGGATTCGGGGGCCATACGCACCGCCGTGACTTTTACATCTATGATCCCAAGTCCTCGGCCATAGAATCAGGCAAATACTGCGATACTGTGGGCTGGCTCTCCTTGGACGGCATCAAATCCCAACCAGCTCAAAGAGAGAACCCCGAAATCAAAGATACTGTTAGTGAAAGAGCCGTAGCTAATCTGGTCAATTCATCCTGCACTCAGACCAAAGAGTTTGATATGCAACTGACACGTCGCTGGTTGGATTGGAATCGGCGAAGCTTCGCCTATCATGCGCCAGGATCCCAGCACATCTTCAACACTGCCGACGGACTCCGGGTTAGCGAAAAGATCACAGACAGCCGAACGGATCTTAATCTGACCTTTACTTACGGATGTGCACCACAATCGTACTGCATATCGTGCAAGCCCTTTGGCGACGAGGGCAATGTCTATACCTTGATGCAGAAGGCTGTAGCAGCGACTGTCATTAACCCGAATCGGATGTCAAATTCGAGGATGATAATTATCAACAGGGGAGCCATCCGCTATGACTTGGTTCAAGGACCTTTCACTTTAGATGATTCCTACATCGTCTGTCCCTACACGACCCCCTTCAAGTACATTGCCAATGTTCCTTATTCTCTCGCTTCCCAAGTTCTCGATTCTATGAATTTGGCAAAGAAAAGCACCAAACGGTCTATGACCGTCGATACTATATCAAGTCAGATGCTAGGATATGACGAGTGCACCAATGCCTCGCCTCACAACCTGAATGGAACCGACCTCGCCAAGCCCAAGACCCTTTTCCGCCGTGTCCTTGACGCCACAGTACTCACACCGGGGTACACCACATGCGACGACCTTGGGAATGATGGTGATGACACTCCACACTCTGAGATTCCCGATTATGGAACGCCGTCTTATATCCAAGCTGAGGCAGCGTTCCCGGATGGTAACCCAGACAAGGTGGACCTAATTTTCTCGGACTTTCTTGCCGGAAAGATCATCGCTGCGCTGAATGGTGCACATCCAGCAACGAACTACACGATGAGTGATACTACCTATTACCTCCCAAAGGAGTTCACGACGAATAGTATCATTCCAAAGTATGCTGCTTTGGCCTGGTCAAATGACACCAATAACTGCGCCGTTGGAGGATAAGAGAGTGATCTGAATAGATGAGACAGATTTCTGAGCTTCGCTGGTTAGATTAAGCTCAAAATCTAAGCCTATATACCTTTCTTGAGAATTCAATTCAATTGTCCAGAGTCCAAAACGAAAGAAATTGCTTACAAGTCCAAAGCATGGGAGTGGATGGTGATTCTTGTCTGATAAATTCCCGTGACGCAAATAATTCCATATGAGTAAATCAGACTGCCCATTTGATATCACGTAGCGTGCCATCTATGAATAGAAGCTTTGCAATTAACCTCTTCTTTTAGCTTCCATTGGACAACTTCCAACCTCGCACAATCGTACCTACTAACCATCTACCTTGGCAGCACCTTCTTTGTGTCCTCGATCCTTCCGTTCTTACTTAAAAGTTGAAGTATTGAGACCTCAAGGCCGAAAGTCTTGATCAGCCAGTTTACCACCAGGCTATCCACACCATATCGTGAAACCGGCATATTAGAGTCGATATCATCTGCTGCTAGGCCGTGCTCTGCGAAAAGGGTCGTGTCTTCGGGCTACCTGACCCGGACTGAATGATGCAAACAAGGTAAACTCGCCAACTTCAAGATCGTGCGATGAACTTGGGAATGATGTCGATGACACTCCAGTCTCTGAAGTTTCGGAGTATGAAACACCTTCATATGTCCAAGTCGAGGCTACATTCCCGGATAGCAACCCAGACAAGATAGACAAGGATCACCTGGCATTCTTGGACTTTCTTCTGGGAAGGATCATCGCCACGTTACAAGGTGCACATCCAACCATGAGCGACATCAGCTTTGCCTAGCTCGCGAAGAATTGTACTATTCCAAAATATGCTGCTGACAAAGTAATGTAATTTTATGAATGTCCCAGTGGTGGTGACTCTTATCTGATAGGCTCCCGTGACGCAAATTCTCCATAAAAAAGTTCCGCAACTTTGACTGATTTGAACGTTCTCTTTTCAACCAACTTCCAAGCTCAACCACATTAATTCATTTGTGGATTTGCTTTTCTATTGCATTCAACAGCCAAGTTGGCTTCCCTCTTTGCCCGCGGTACTCGCCTTACCGCTTCTCCAGGCGCACTCGCCCGCGCATACCTGCGAACCTCAAGCTCTCCGTTCCTTGTTTTTGGCGCCAATCCCCGCGTCGCCCAGCACCGACTCCCAGGTTACAATCGTTCAGCTTCAGGATTAACTCAATTACCCAATGCTCTATCTGTGAGCGACAACGCAGTGAACTCAGTACCCGCCTATCCCGCAGCTCTCACGACCACTCAAGCTCGAACACGAAGGCAAAGGACATCGCTGGGAAAATTCGTTATTGTTCCCACAACCGACTCCAAGGGATCTACAAAATACGTTCTTTGCAACCCGAAGTTCATAGACCCTGTTCAAGAAACTCTTCCTCCCGATACCCTGCAATCCAAACCAATGAAGGTCTACTACGAGGTTATCACAACTCCGACCGCCGACACGCCCGGCACGGCCCTCTCCTTGCATTATCCTGATAAGAGATATATCTTTGGACAATTGTCGGAGGGTACACAGCGCGCATGTACCGAGCGCGGAGTTAGAATTGCCTCATTGAGTGATGTCTTCATCACGGGACGGACAGAGTGGGCCAACACAGGCGGCTTGATCGGGATAATCCTAACCCTTGCAGATGCCATTGCGTCTGGCAATGCAGCTGCTGAGGATGAAAACCGCAAGAAGGCCATTCGCCGGGCCGCCAACCAGGCTCTCCCGAAAAACAAAGCCGGTGCCATCCCGGCGGCCCCTGTGGCGGAAGATATTGCAATCGAGAAAAGCCATTTGACTATCCATGGTACAACGAATTTGACACACACTTTGGCCACTGCGCGACGATTTGTGTTCAGGAAAGGAACGCCATTGTATACGAAGGAATATGATACCGAATCTGTCGCAAAGCAGGCACGCAATGAGGCGGAGGATCCTTTTGAGACACCTACATGGTCCGATGCGAACATCAAAGTCTGGGCGTTGCCAATTAAACCCTTTTCGCCCACTAATTTCGACATGCCCACCCCGGCACGACCAAAGAGTCCGCGGAAGCGGAGCTTAGATGAATTCCAGGAGTCTGACGAGCCTAAAAGCGGAGTTGACCAGCGTACTGCTGATACCATGGTGCGACAGTCTGTTGTGACGGATATGTTCAATTCGACCTGGAAGATGGACGCACTGATTGAGACTCCGCTAGCCGAAGTCAAAATGCCTGCCGCGATGTTTGTACGCAATCCCGAGACAAAGGATATGGAGCCCTACAATGGCCCGAAGCCTGGTGAGGACTTGCCGTTACCTGATATCAAAGTGTTCGTCCGGCAACCCTGGCCAGGAGCTAAGGTGGACAGCTTACCGCCCACGTCTCCTTCAAATGATGCGCTTTGCTATATTGTTCGTAACCATGACATTCGTGGTAAGTTCGAGATAGCCAAGGCGAGGGAATTGCGAGTCCCAAAGGGACCTGCCTATGCCGCCTTGACAAGAGGGGAAAGCGTCCAGTCAGAAGACGGCAAGACAATCACCGCAGACATGGTTTTGGGCCCCAGCCGTCTGGGTAAGGGTCTTGCTATTATGGATTTGCCATCTGTTGAATATGTGGAGTCTTTGGTAAATCGGCCGGAGTGGAAATCCCCGGCAGTTACTACTGAACTTCAATCTTTCGTCTGGATACTCGGTCCAGGGGTGGGAGATCATCCCAAGCTCCGAGAGTTTGTGGCGACCTTCCCTCACTGCGAGCACACCGTGTCAAGCACGGACTACTGTCCAAACTATTTGGCTCTCAGAAGTACAGGCGAAGCTTCCGTTCGACTTGCTCGGCTGAAGGGCGATAGCTACTCCATTCCCGTCCACGATAATGTGACTCTCCCACAGAACCGGGCTTTGCTTCCCAGATCTGCCCCTGCGCCTTATGCGCTCCAGAATTCCCCATTCCAGCGCCTTGATCCTGGCCTTGTCATTGACATGGAGCCAGAATTCAAACTCAACAAGGACGAGGTTGTCCCTCACCTTAACACAGCCAAGACGATTTTCCAAATCCCCAAGGCTGTTGAGCAACGAATGAGTGTCATTCGCAGCCGTGTTGCGAAACCAAAATTCCAGCAACATCTCGAACATATTCGAAAGGATCTCCCTGGTGGGGATGCCGAGATTGTTGCGCTTGGTACGGGTTCATCGTCGCCATCAAAGTACCGTAATGTTTCTGCGACTCTTGTATATGCTCCTGGGTCTGGTTACTACCTTCTTGACTGCGGTGAGAATACCCTAGGTCAACTGGAACGAGTCTTTGAACCGGAGAAGCTACGAGAGGTTTTCCAAAATCTTCGCATGATCTGGATCAGTCACTTGCATGCTGACCACCACTTGGGCACTGCCTCCGTCATCAAAGCCTGGTACAATGTGAATTTTGGCCCTGATGCTAAACCCGCAGCCCACCCTGAAACAGACCTGGCCAAAATACTACAAGAAAAACGTCTATTTGTGGCCTCAGATGAAATGATGATTACCTGGCTAGAGGAGTATGCCTCAGTCGAGAATTTTGGCTTCGATAAAGTGCTTCCTCTCAGTGCGCACCCTGAAGCTTCTCAAACCTCCATTGTCACTAAGTTTACATACCGCCATACTCAGAATGGCGGGCCACCATTTGGTCGGGATGCGCCAGGCAAAACGATTCTTGATTTCAATGATGATTCCTCGCCTCTTACCCCCCTTCTCAAGGCTTCCACCGGCCTGACTGACGTTCTTACTACTCATGTGAAGCATTGCCGCGGCGCCCTTGCCCTTTCTCTTGTATTCCCCGATGGATTCAAGGTCTCCTACTCTGGCGACTGCAGACCGTCGGATAAGTTTGCTTCGATCGGTCGCGATTCCACCGTTCTCATTCACGAGGCTACCTTCCAAGATGACATGGTGGGCTCTGCTATAGCGAAACGCCACTCAACTGCCGGCGAGGCAATCGAGATTGGCCGCCGCATGGGAGCTCGCTCCATTCTTCTCACGCATTTTAGCCAACGGTACCAGAAGATCGCCCATGTGGACCAACAGACTGGCACTTTGGCCCACGACGACATCTCCTCGACCAAGAAGGCTGCGGCCGCTGCGCAAAAGAAATTGAATAACATTGCCGACATCCCGTTCGATGATCCCGTAGATGAGCCAGCCACTTTCGAGTCTGGCGCCAAGCTCTTGGACGACATCATGTTCCCTTCAAAGGCTCGGCCTCCCCTGCCCCGCAGCGAGACTCAAATTCCCCGTGAGAACACCCCAGTTGCGGCAGCTATGGACTACATGCGCATCAAGGTTCGGGATCTTGCTCTTGCGCAGGCTTATGCCCCGGCTCTGGAAAAGCTCATTGAGGTCATGGAGCGCCAATCTGCTGAAAAATCTGCGTTTATGAAGCAGAAGGCACAAGAATTGGAAGAAGCCCGCAAAGCCAAGGGCAAAAAGAAGGGTCTCAATAAGAAGGCCGCTGCCGCCGCCGCTGTCGTCTCCGCTGCTGCAGTCACTGATGAATCCGAAGAGCAGAAGAAGCCTGCACACTCTGCCTTCAGTGCTAGTGAAAGCGAAAGCGGATGGGAGACGAGTGATCTGGAGTGATGGAATATTCCTAGAGGCCTTGTATATACCCATAGCCATAAGTGCATAAGAAACTATCCTCTCATTTGGAGTTGTTCCAACATTTACTTATTTATTTATTTTTTATTGTGAGAGCCTGAAGTGCCCTAAATCTGATCATTTGGAGTCCATTGACCGGTGAATGTGGTTCTATGTAGGATTTATCGTGTCAAATTGGAAGCATGGAGATGTCGAGTACCAATTGGGGTATCCGTCTAGCCCCTGTACAATCGGATTACCTCGGCATGACGATAACATGGCTCAACTTTGATATTCTAGAGTGAACTATCAAGAGGTCACTGTGTATCGATACTATTCAAATCTAGGAGCTACCAAATTTATTTAAAACATTTCCTTGGTTGACAATTTGTCTTGTATAGATCAGCGTCATTGGTGACCCCTCTCACCGCCCCACCGATACATGTCATTCTATCCTGGACAACGCTTCAACTCATCTCCCGTCGCCAGCAATGACGACTCTCATCCCGCGTGGGCCGTACTCCCCGGAGGAGTTGGAACAACTCTATCCAAAGTCATTGAAGCTACAATTGGTTCAGGTGGTAAGTTAAGCAACCCGGACTTCAATAATGCAACAGCTAACAGCTAACCCCGGCAGTTCCTACGTCATGGTAAGCTTATAATGCCTGCATCTATCGGTGTGATTCTAATTTGCTCTAGGTGAACGTACGCCTGTTTCTTCGCGTTTCCAAAATGTATGACTTCTACCTACCACTGAGTTGATTGGTTGCTAATATACTGTGAAGACAGGCTTGAGTCCATGTACTTCTCCCTCTCCCAACCCCACAATTACCGATGGACTGACCCCCAGTAGTCTGGCCGTACTGCAATGTTGCGCGAAATATGGTTCAGATTGCGGCGAGCAAGCAGGACCTTTCCAGTTGGGACGGGTTTCAATGGCGCCGAAAGATCGAGACCTTTGGTGACAACGACGAGGCCAGGGTCGCGTCGGGATCGGATGGTAACCTTGAATCGATTTGGTCAGTCATGGATTTGTTGTATGAGTGGAATATTCCTAACGATTACAAGTCAACACGGTGAATTGACAGACAAGGGTCGCGAAACAACCTATGCTCTCGGACAACGCTTGCGTCATCTCTATGTTGACCAGCTTGGGTTCATGCCCAAGATCAAGGAAGATACGGAGGATATGTACCTGCGAGCTACCTCGATTCCCCGCGCTTTGGAGTCAATGCAGCAAGCTTTCTGGGGCATGTACCCTACCAGCGCGCGCACCCAGGACTTTCCTCCCCCAGTGATCGTCGCTCGTCCTGTGAACGAAGAAACTCTGTTCCCTAACGAGGGTAACTGTAAGCGATTCCGACAGCTGGCTCGTCTATTTGCCGACCGCGCCGCTGCCCGATGTAAGATACCCGTTTGCTTCCACTAGTCACGTCTAACCTTGTACAGGGAACGAGTCCGAGCAAATGGATTATCTGAACAGGCTCTGGTCTAAATACATGCCGGAATCGTCACCAAATGTCGCCGTTGATGCCCACCCCCGTCTCTCTGGTATTATGGACACCATCAATGCCTCCGATGCCCATGGACCGGGCACCAGGCTGCCCTCTGAGTTTTATGACAAGAAGGCCCGTGCTGTCCTAGATCGAATTGCGGTGGAGGAGTGGTTTGCTGGCTACAGCGAAAGCACCGAGTACCGCAGGCTGGGTATTGGTGGTCTGATGGGTGACATTGTTGATCGTATGGTTAGTACCGCCGTGGACGGCGGCTGGCACAGTAACACTTCTGCCTCTGGGTCTGGTAACCCAGAGACTGGCACACCTATCAAATTCGCGATGAGCGGATGCCACGACACTACCCTTGCGGCGATCCTGTCTAGTGTTGGAGGTTTCCAAGACGGCTCGTGGCCACCTTTCACCTCGTCTATTGCTGTTGAGCTCTTTTCCCAAGCTCCAAGCAATCGTGCAGATGCCGGTGCTGTCCTTGAGGAATTCTCTAATCCGCCAGTTTCCAAGAAGGGCGGTCTTCTCTCATCGATGTTCGGCAAGAAGAAACCTGTAACCCAGACGCTGGCGCCATCCGCGACTGCACGTGCATCCCTCGATTCCTTCTCGGAAGAAACGCGTGACACTCTGCGCAAGCACTACGTTCGTATCCGCTACAACGATCAGCCCGTGACCATTCCGGGCTGCGCAGCCAAGCCTGAGAATCATCTTCCCGGAGATGAAACGTTTTGCACGCTCGATGCATTCAAGAGCATCGTTGACAAGTTTACTCCCAAGAATTGGACTGAAGAGTGCACGCAGAACTTGGGTGAAGGCCTGCATGGAGTCAATGACTCGGAACGCAGCGTCGCCGGATTCTAAATGATTTACTGTTAGCCCGATATTTGCTTTTCCCTGTTTTAGTTTCTTTGCAGATATATTGGGTACTCCTGGGTTGTAATTATTATACCAAATACCTAGACTAGATTACCGTCTATGCCTTTTTCGCTTCCATTTCCTCCTTGCGTAGCGACATCATCTTCATCGTCGTGATCCTCATCATTACCCACCGTGGCAACACATCAAGACTAAGGCCCTGCAACCAGTGCCCGAAATGTGCCCATACAATCACCCGACCACATCCAACCCGATTCAGCCCTGCCGATGCCAGTCCACGCGCGTCCGGAACGAACAGGCCGGTCTTTACACCAAAGCTAGCAGTGCGCACCGGTCCAACACGCAAAGCCATGACATCAACATTCCGACCCTCAGCGTGAACCTCCGCCTCAAGCGCTCGCGTGAAAGTATCAACAAACCCCTTCGAAGCTGAATAAACACTAATATAAGGTAACCCATACGCCGTCATCGACGAAACATTCAATACAAGTCCCCTCGTCCTCTCCTGAAGCAAGGGCAACAAACCCCGCGTAATCTGCATCATAAATCCAGCATTCGAATCCATCGTCCTAGCCGCCTCCTCAAACGTATACTCATCGAAAGCCGTATACGGCCTCACCTCCCCACCAACATTATTCACCAAGACACTCAAATCCCCTCCATCCCCTTCCGTGATCGCCCGCACTCGATCAACCACATCATCCAAAGCAGCAGATGTCACACCTACAGCATCCAGAACCACAATGGCTGTCTTCCGCATCGGGAACTCAGCCTCCAGTTCGCGTGCGCGCCGTTCCAGCTTCTCGGCATTCCGGCCGTGTATAATGACGTTAAATCCGCGCGTGCAGAGTTCCTGACAGAAGCCGAATCCTATCCCGTCTGTAGCGCCTGTGACTAGGGCCCAGTTTTGGTTGGTTGGGTTGTGAGTTTTCGTTAGGGTCGAGGGGAGGAGGTAGACTGTTGCTTGGCGGGTGAGTTTGTAGGTTGTGTAGGTTAGGGCGGCGAGACCGATGTAGGCGATTGGGGTTTTCCAGTCTGTTAAGGACATTTTGGGAATGATCAATTCGTGTTGTGTTATGTTATGTTTGGATTCCGGGGTGAAGAAGGTTCATTAGAGATTCGTATCCACTTTTCGATCGATGATATCACCGATCGATCGGTCGCATCGATTGAGAGACAATGTTACAATTTTTAGTTTTGACAGGTATCTGGAGGGAAATGAGCGCTTATATAATTTCCATCTGTTACTTTTTTTTCTATCTTATCCGATTTATATACTGAACTATAGCTCATAGACCGATATCGAAGCTTCGGTCCGATATGGACGCCGAGCACCGATGAAAGTGACAAAAGTGTCCGGTAGAAAGACCGGTAGAAAGACCGGTAGGAAGATAATCATATAACGATCAAGGTAGATAGTTGAATAGACTTAATGATTATCATCAAGTGAATATAAGTCAATGTTGAGTAGCCCTCCGTAATAGTATTCTACTAAATATTAGGACTAGTATATTCATAGTCAGCGAAGACCGAGTACTTTCAGTCTCAAAGATTTAACATTGGCGTGCATTCTGTTCGGCCTCCTTTTTCTCAGCTTCCTCTTCACCAAATTGATAAACAATCTTGACAGATTTCGGCGTCTCTCCCCCTCTGGCAGCTCATGGATCCATAGATAATGATCACTGGACTGGAGGTATTCAAGTCGAAATATACTCCATAGATCTGTTCCTGGTCGAGGGCAATAGCGGTCATTGCCCCAAAAAGCATTAACCGCTTGCTTGGTTCCCTTTTCGTCCATGGTGATAGTCCTACATAGATCAAAGTCTAGCACCCATACCCCATGATCCCCAAGCACATTAGTCATGATACCTGGCTTGGTAAGTTTGCACTCATCGTACACTGGAGCGAGGACAAATTCAATGTCGTTTGCATCCATTTCCCTGATCCAGTGCATTATAGCGAGAGTTTCCGCCATTATGCTTGCATATTGCTGAATATCACTAGGTGGTATCCCAAGTCCTTGAATTTGATCCAGATGAAGTGGAAAATTTCTCAGGGACAAAAACGATGGATTGGGACCTTTGGAAGATTTCTCATGGTGCCATCGCCGTCTACCCAGGTACGGTCTAATAATACAATCTTTGTTGGGCTCGCTCATCAAAATTTCATCTCTTAACGCATGGTCCTCTTCAGACAGACAGCAGTAGGTATCAACAAGAAGTTCTCTTGTTCTCTCGGCGAATGGCGGAATGCGTTGCGACTGGATCATATTGCATGGTGTGTATTGCGATGGAAATCTTGCTAGATTCAATGACCACCAGTCTTGAGTTTCTATGCCGATGAAAGTGTGGCAGGCTGGAATGTGAGCTGAGGGGGCTTTGATACGTCCATCGCAGCCTTTGGGCAAATTGCGAACCTTTTGAAAGCTTCTGAGGATCCGTTGGTGCATCTCGAAGTCGTTTTCTAAAGATCGGTTGGGCCCGCCATCCTCTCGTTTGAATGCCGGACCTCTCGTAGATGAAGCCCAAACAGAGCCGCATTGTCCTTGTCCTATCTTGCGGAGTGGACTAGAATCGCGTCCGGCTGCTTTCAGTGCTGAAACGCTCGTCATGGTGTATTCTTGTTAAGTGGTGTTCAAGTCGACAGGTGCTGAACACGAGACCGAGGCGCTGCTATCTTTTTGATTGAATGAAGAGTTGGAGCCTTCGACGGAGGAAAAGTTAAAAGGTCAACTCCAAGGCAGCATTTATTTGAGGGTGAGGATGCGTTTGTGATTTTAGATAGCTGTAATTTCCCAAGGTTTGAAGTTTGAAAAGTAAAAGCGGGTTTTCTTGTAGTGTAAAGAGACCAAGTCTTAGGTTGTGTGGCGGGAGCGATATTTGACGAATGAAGCCTATGCCGCCGCACATGAGGGATCATCACCCACGGTTGTCGGTCATTAAAAGGGGAAATGTACTTGATATGGTTTAGGCGGCGTAGGCTACCATGGTTCTCAGAATAATTTATCAACGCGGCTCTACATCGGCAGGTCAAGTTAGGTGGCCATCTTCCGTTGGAAACCTTACTAACCGCATTTAGCATTCTCATGGTATATTCAGTTCGATGTCTAATTAATCTATAAATTCATTTGCTAGTCAACTTGCATCCTCGGCTCGGCTCCCATTGGATTGTGCACCATTGGGGTGGCTTTCAGGGGTCGCCGTCGACGCGACATTGATGGTCTTCGAGGCCTCGGGCCACCAAGAATCTAGGTTCTCGCGGTACCAGTTGACCGAGGCCTCCAGTCCCTCAGAGAAGGACACACGCTGGTGCCATCCTAATGCAGCCAATTTGGAACCGTCGACCCAGTAGTCATGATCGTTGAAGGGCCGGTCAGGAATCTGAGTGAGACAACGGTTGAAATCCCGTGGACTGTACCCGAACAGCTCAAGTGTGCGAGCGGCGACCTCGAGATTGGTGATAGCTTGGGAAGATTGAATGTTGTATGCTTCACCAATGACACCCTTGTGCAGCAAAGTATCGAAGCCATCAGCAGCATCGGCTCCATAAAGGTACCGGCGAATGTTCTTGCCGGTACCTTGTATTGTTAATGGCTTGTGCTGCATTAAAAGGGTGCAAAAGCGAGGTATTATTTCTATATTTCATCAAGTCAGCATTTATTCATCACCATTCAAAAAAAGAGATCTGGGGCATTCTTACTCTCGGGATATTGACCAGGCCCATACACGTTGTTGCTCCTAACAACAAGAGCCGGGATATCGAAAGACTTGGCATATGACCAAACGTACATCTCAGCAGCAGCCTTGGAGGCTGAGTAGGGATTGGTGGGCATGAACTGCTTGGTTTCGTCACACGCCGATTCCATCACATCACCATACACTTCATCAGTGCTGACATGAATGAAGCGGCGCACCCTTCTGGGCCCTTTGTGATGACGAATAGCCTCGAGCAGCAGCTGAGTACCGATAACATTATTGATGGTGAAATTTAATGGATCATTGAATGAGTTCTGGACATGCGAGCATGCAGCGAAGTGCATCACACAGTCAATATCATGCTCGGAAAGAACGTTGGCAATGGCTGCCTGATCCATTAAGTCCCCATGCACAAACTGAAAGTTTGGCAGAGATTCCAAACATTTGATATTGGAGAGAGAGGCAACAACGTCGAGCTTGTCAAAGCAAACAATGTTGTATTCGGGGTATTGCACCGCCAAGTGTCGGGTTACCCAGCCTCCACTAATGCCAAATTAGTAACAAATAATTGGGGGGTTTGCGGATGTTCTTACATAAATCCTGCACCTCCTGTGATCAGAATGTTTTTCACGTCGCTCCGAGGTTCAAACCGGGTAGTGCCGATGAGGCGCTGACCTTCAAGGCCATTAACTCTTCCAGTCGCCAGCGACGGACCCTTGCTGGGAGGTGGGGTCGCAGGAGGAGATATGAAACGAGGGGCAGGCATTTTGCCTGGGTTTAGTGTTGAAAGTGAAGGTGTGTGTTGAAAGTGGCTGTGCCGTGGTCTGATTTTCCTGCGGCGCGCAGCGCCTTAAAGTAGTTCAACCTCCAAATCCGTCGCGATAACAATGAATCTGTAATGACCGCAATAGATATCCTTATTTTTCGGGATAGATTGGATGTTATACTCGCGCAGTTCACATTGATGAACAGGGGATGGAGGCGAATGCGGTTCCCGGTCGCGGACCCCAACTCGGAATTACTCCGTTTGGTTAGTGTTGTGATTATCACAGTGGCAATATAACCGATCTCTCTATCCAGACCCTTTCTAAATTTTTATATTGATTGTAGTGACCCCGATGGACCTCTTTCAGTTCTATGGGGCTTTGTCAGCTATAGTCTCAAGTCCCACTGCACTACCGAACAGACCTAGTCCCTAGTGGGCTATGCTCGGATGGGGAAACTACAATACTCCGCCGCATAACCCCGCAGATTAATCATGGCTGATTTAACCATGTCTGATTATTCTGTCATTACTATGGGTATAGATCATCGCGACGACTAAGCTTTCCTTGCCTTTCAACTCGATTGGGTGGGTTCTCAAGTGATTCATTTGCTTTTCAATTAATAAGAGTGATCTGTCATCCTCACAACAAGATGATAAGTTGATTATACGCGGAGATGCACGCACCACATCTGCCTCTATGTTTTTTACAAACAAAGTTTCTATCTGGAAAGTCAAGACATAAATCTTAAACATATCAACGATATGATTACGACGTTAGCCGATGTAAAACCAAAGTTGTTTATTCGATTGATATAGTCGTGGATGGAAAATCTAATTTAGAAGTTTTCGGTCGCAACTCAAACTCCTGTTTTCGGAGAGGGACCCCGGGAGCCGTTTGTTGGCTCACGTAAACGGTGGAACTTATTAACCAATAGGGTCTGTACTCGAATGTGTAACTATCTGAATTATTATTACCCGCCCTCAAACCATGACTTTTTTATATGCGGATTATGACTAATGCCATGCATGGTCTTGATGGGCGAAGAAGCCTTTCGAAAGCCATAGGAAATTCCAGCAAGGTTCGAATATTGAAACAACAATCTAGAAAACGTCCAATGAAAAACCTCTTCTAGTTGTATTTCAAATATGACTAGTGTCTAGGCTGGATGTCTTTTTGCTCATTGACCCGGCCTGGTCTGGGTCCTAGTCACACCATCTCATTTCCGACCTATGAGATGCATTAAATTAGCAATATAACCTATCGTACGAGAACTGGCCAGTAATATCTCTCTGAATTCGAATTCAGTCTTGCAGATCCGAGGTGAATTGAGAACCGTGAAGGTCAACGTCGTCTACCAGGTACCTTGGGGAATACTCTAACCAGCCAAGCAAAATTTTCCAATTACCAGCGTTATGGGACGCTCGCCACTCTATTGGACCAGAGCTTACTCCACACTGTTTCTGTGAACCTTGGGGTCCTGTATAGACCGTCGTATCGTGCAACTAGAATACAGCGGCGATGAGGAACTTGGAGATGATGTGTATAAAGGACAGAAAGAGTTGCCCGCAAGGTGCCCCGAGGCGTAAACTCGTCAATTCCTTTCCTGTCTTCGATTTCTGTTCTATCTTTCATTGAGATTAATAAGGCACCTGGCAGTCATCATGGTGATTGATTCTGGGAAAGAGTCGATGGCTTATCATGTTCAGCCTCAGGCGGACACTCCTAAAACACGGCAGTTGCCGGTCACTCTACTCTCTGGGTTTTTGGTAAATCATCCTGTTTGATATAAGTGGAGAATTCAGCTTGACTCATTCATTTTTTAGGGAAGTGGAAAGACTACTCTGCTACAGCACATTCTCAAATCGCCAGATCATGGCATGCGCATCGCGGTCATTGTCAATGACATGAGCCAGTCAGTATTCCACAGTAAAAATCCTGTCCACCATACTGACAAGTTCTGCACCTAGGCTTAATATTGATGCCGCTATTATCAGAAACCACAAGGTCTCTCAGACACAAGAGAAATTGATCCAGCTTCAAAATGGATGCATCTGCTGCACGCTCCGCGGCGACCTGCTTTCCGAACTTGCCCATCTTACCAAATTGAATGAGATCCAGTATGTCATCATTGAGAGTACGGGCATCAGTGAGCCTATGCAAGTTGCCGAGACCTTCACGGCGGAATTTAGCGCTGCCATGTTAGAGGCTGAAGATCAGATCGCGGACAACGATGAGGACACAAAGAAACTCATCAATGAGATGTAAGTATCGCAAATCTAAGCTTTCGACCCTTCTCTAACGGTCATAGTGTTGAGATGGGTGGGTTACACACAATGGCTCGTCTCGATACCACAGTGACCGTTATCGATGCCTTCAACCTCCTCTCGAATTTCGATACCACTGAGTTCCTTTCCGACCGATATGGACGGAATGAAATCGTCCCAGAAGATGAGCGAACAATCTCCGATCTCATGGTTGATCAGATTGAATTTGCCGATGTCCTCATCGTCAATAAGATCGAGACTATAGATCAACAAACTCGGGACAAGATTATGCAGTTGCTCAAGTTACTCAATCCCGATGCTAAGGTTTTGATGTCCAGCTACTCCCAGGTCGATGTGCGGGAACTTATCGCGACTGGCAAGTTTGATTTTGTCCGCGCTGCCTCGGGCGCTGGCTGGCTTCGCAGCTTACATGAGATGACCATCCAGACCACCGGCAATGGAGATCGGTTGGCGCCTAAGCCAGAGACATTGGAGTATGGAATAAACAACTTTGTCTACACGGCTCGTCGACCATTTCATCCTCGTCGATTGTTCTCACTTCTTCATGACAAGTTTATCATTCTTCAGAATAACGAAGTGGAAGATGAGGAAGATGAAGACGAGGGCGAGGAGACAGACGATGAGATGGAAACCGATGAAGAGTCACTTGAAGACTTCGATCAACCCGATCCTAAAGTCATTTTGAGTAACAAACGCAATCATCCAGCCTTTGGTCCCGTCCTCCGCTCCAAGGGATTCTTCTGGCTGCCGACCCGGCCCTATCAATTCGGCGAGTGGAGTCAAGCAGGTGGCATGCTGACAGTTGGCTGTGGTGGTCCTTGGTTTGCTGAAGTAAGTGACGAGGCGTGGCCGGAAGACAAGGACGTGCGTGAGTCGATCGAAAATGATTTTCAGGGTCAGTGGGGTGATCGGCGGCAAGAGATTGTCTTTATCGGGGAGGGCATCGATCAGGCACGGATCTCTGCCATTTTGGATGAATGTCTGTTTGATGACAAGGACATGAAGCAGTGGGAGAAGGTCATGAAGAACAAGAAACTTAGTCGGGAGGCTAAGTGTAAAAAGATTGCTAATATTTGGGAGGATGGATGGGAGGAATGGCCTGCTTTTGGGATAGAAGATGAAGAAGAGGTTGGGAAGCATCGGATCAGTGAGTATCTTGGTCATCAACAAAATCATAGTCATAAGCATAGACATCGTTAGAAGTAGCAGTGATCCATGGAAAAATTTACAGTTTTCCAACGATATCCTCTACAGTAGCTACTGCTGAGAGGCTTCCGCCTATAGCAAAGGGTTTTCTATATTTTCTATATCATTTACCTGTTGTATCTGCTAATTAAAGACTATTGTTGGCATTCGTGCTATCTAGGAAGCATCAAGTAGAGCTATAACAGATACTTTGACCCTGCAATGGTATGTCCATCATCTAGGTAGGAATCAGTATCCTCTGGCACCAGAAACAGATATATCTGGTTTGTACCAAAGATTAACGAATCAAAGGTTCAAAGTATTATGGCTTTGAATGCGACCGCAAGGCTGAGCATCATTACCAGTTCTAGGCTAGAGCGGGCGGGCGATTTCGGCACTAAATATGCACCAATTGACGTGGCAGTTCTCGAGCCTCATGTTCCTTCTCCCCTGAATCTCTTCGATTTTGAGAATGGTCCCTTGAAAATCCCAATCTGTGAGGTTTCCGCTATGTTAACCACATCTACAAGTACCACAGCGCCGCTACCCTTAACAACCACCTTTACCCCACCTAGCGCCTGTCTTTCTGATCTATGGTTTATCAACAGCTCGGGCGGCAAATGGATGAATCTTGGCCCTGCCAATACCAGTGAATGTCTACCATCAGGATGGGCTACGTCAAGTACATTCTCCCCTGGAGTATGTCCAAGTGGCTGGATCATGGCCTCCAACTTTACAACAGAAGTTTCAAATAAGCCTCAAACCGTTGGCACGTGTTGCCCTCAATATTTGTGGGTCTAAATTCCGAGTCGATGCTTGAATTGTACTGATTGTTTTTCATACATAGACCTAGTAGTTGGGTGTTTTCCACGCGAACGACGGTAGACTCAGACGAACCATGGCAAAACACCGAAATTTGCCAATTTGCCCCACGGACAACCATATACTACGGCTATACCTGGTCCACCGAAGGCACTAGCACATCAACCCCAAGTGAAATGAAGCCTGGCGGCCTTATCAACGCATATGGCCTGGTAGTCGCGTGGCAAGCGACTGATAGTACCAATCCTGCTGCTGCCACTGCCACTACCACTGCCACCACGGACACAAACCACACAACCACATCAGCTTCGAAATCAACATCAGATGATCGTGCATCAGGTTTATCTGCGGGCGCCAAGGCTGGAATTGGTATTGGTGTATCTGTTGGAGCTATTATGGTCTTAGCCTTACTTGCTTTCCGCATCTTGCGACGGCGAAAGCGACAAGGCGCCTCGTCTGCACCCGGGCCTCGAACAGTTCCAGCAAATCAAAAGCATCCGACTGAGCTTGACTCCGCTCTAACGCGAGGCTATGAGCTAGGTTCTATCCCTCTTCATGAAGCTGATAGTCTGAAAAATGGTCCATATGAACCTCTATCCCACAGTCCGGTTGAGCTTGAAGGGGCTCACAGTGAACGTGATAGGCTTTGAAAATAATCTCAGAAGGAACTGGAGCTTTGAGACTTTAATTCTAAATATACATATTTTTATTCATACTTACAATCGGACTCGGCATAAGACAGTCTAATTATTATTCCGATGTATATGCTTATCGATAAGGATAGCGATAGCGATAATGATAACGATAACAGAAGCGCTAAGCGGCCTCCGCCTTTTCCAATAAGAGACTCTCAGTGTGACGCTCTCCTTAAAATATCCCTGTCATTGTTTTCATCTTTTTCATTAAATCATAGCCGCAGATCCTCTCCCCCATCCCCGCACCATCGAGGGGGAGAATGCTGCAGTGACTGCCGCTGTCCGATCTTTGTGCTACATCCATCCTGGCCTGGTCCGAGGTGTCGGATGTCCGCATGCAATTGACTTCAATAAGATTACGTTTCTGAACGGAATTATCTGGTGACCTTGTTCACCATTGACTCCTGTATGTCTCGACCCAATAGTGAACGTCTTGTGCGCCATGCTGACTTGCCCCTCATCAGTTCCCCGCTTATTTAGCTACCCGCAAGCGGAGCTTCCGATTTGATGGAGGTAAGAAATGTTTGCATGTTTCATGCTTTGTCATATCCATCCTATCATTTTCCCCATCTCATTCACGATGGATGATTCCCATTAATCTCGGCTGCGTACTCTGTACTGCACCAATGGTGAGACAGACGTTTGGTCGTTTCGAAATGCAGTCGTAGCAATGGATGGCCTCCTCCTTCCAAGCAGGCCTGGGGCTTTTCTGGAAGCTCCGACCGGTCACAATCACATTCTGTGATGAAACTGTGCGAATTTCCTCTGGAAGTGGTGTCTTCCGGCCCATTTCTAGGTCTTCCAGAAATGCTTGAAAAACAAAGAGTCTACAGTCACCTGCATGTGATGTGATGAATTGCCCCTTGGGGTATTCCAAGCCGTTTTCCTGTTTCTGTTCCCAATCAATGCCTACCTCTATGATTCAATATGCCCTCCTCCGTTCGCAGGTCGCGTTTCATGGACCCTGACCCTAAGCCCCTTCTGTCAAATCCCTGTCTGCTATATACCCCTACTCAGAAAACCAACGCCCAGCTAAGCCTTGAGCGTATATTACAGGGAACCAACTATGTCAGTGGGACAGTGCAGCCCAGATCAGCTCTGATCCCCAACACCCAAGCTCGTGATGCCAAACCCCGGCTTCTTCTCATGGGCCTTCGTCGGTATGTCTGCTACCTGAAGAGCTTGGTGGAGAAAGATTAATATGGTATTAGGAGTGGGAAGTCTTCCATTGCCAGTGTAGTCTTCCACAAAATGCCTCCGAACGAAACGCTCTTCTTGGAATCTACAACTCGAATTCAAAAAGACTCCATCCAGCAAGTCAATCTTGAATCCAATCTTGAGGATTCTGCTGACATTGTCGCAGTTCTTTTATGGACTTCCAGGTCTGGGATTTCCCCGGCCAACTGGAATACCTTGAGCCATCTTTCGACCTGGAGGACATTTTCGGCAGCCTCGGCGCCCTGGTGTGGGTTATCGATGCCCAGGATGACTACCTCGACTCCGTCGCGCGGTTGAACCGCACCATCTTGACTGTCCAGCAATACTACCCGGGTATCAACATCGAAGTTTTTATCCACAAGGTCGACGGGCTTTCGGACGAGTACCGCACCGACACCTACCAGGATATCGTGCAGCGCATCTCAGACGAACTGAGTGATGCTGGGTACGAAAACGCACCTGTACACTACTATCTCACCTCCATCTACGACTACTCGGTCTTCGAGGCCTTCAGCAAAGTTATTCAGAAATTGATCCCTAACTTGTCCACCCTCGAGAACTTGATCAATACGCTAGGTAACAACTGCGGCTTTGAAAAAACATACCTCTTCGATGTTCTCAGCAAGATCTACATCGCTTCTGACACTCGTCCCGTCGACATGGCCTGCTACGAGATGTGTTCCGACTATATCGATGTCATTGTTGATATCTCTGAGCTCTATTCATGGGACCACCCGGAACGCCGCCCCAAGGGAGAACAGATTCAGGAGGCGGAGAGCCACGTGGTGTTACACGATGAGACTATGATTCATCTGATGGAGATGAACAAGTATGTCCCTTCCATTCTCTTGTGAACAACAACTGACTGAACCAAGATATCTCTGTCTCGTTTCGGTCATCCGCAATCCGGAGGCAAAGGAGAAACGCGGTCTGATCGATTTGAATTGTCGCACTTTCCAAGACGCTCTGAACGACGTTTTCTCTCGCAGCTGGGAACAGCTGGAGGAAGAGCAAGGTCAAATTGAAGGCGGCGCCTCAACTTGATCAACGCGACCTGTCACATGGTCACCCATAAAAAGGCTATCGAACGATACCTCGATACTCTCGCAGCGGAATGGAGGGGAATCCAACATTCTAAAGTTATTATGGCAGTCTGAATGCTGTCAACTTACATGTTAAACTCTTGAGGTACACTAGTGTAGTCCAAATACCAATACCAGCTTCAGTGTTATAAATCCTCTGAGTACATTTACCATTTTATAATCATCGAAATTGCCATTGGACCTATTTCTGGGTATATTTGTGCACAAATGTCAATGTTTGAAGCGGGCTGTGCTAAATTTTCCATATTGCATGTGGTTGAACCTTGATCCTGGATTCTGCGGTGCCTGGACTAAATATATATATTGTGGATCATTCGGATGTCCCAAGCTGGAACATTTCTTCCCCAGGTTTCCGACCACCTCATGCTATCACACAGCATTTGAACACCACCCCTCAATAGCCTAACATTGAAATTCTCCAAGGTTCCAATCTCAGTATTCCAAAAACCAAGCCATACCAGAAATGTCAGAACTTCGCCAGCGGCAGCCCGCCTCGGCAACCAAGCGCAAAGAAACCACGCCACCGCGACCGCAAGACACCGAAGACCATGGCATCAGCGTCCTAGACATAATCCGCGTCCTCGCCACACTGATCCTCGCAACGCTCGGCACATCCTACTACATGACAAATGGCGAGTCATTGCTCTTCGGATATCGACCATGGTATACACGATGGCCAGTCGTGAAGCAGTACATTGTAAGCAAGTCCACTTCACTTCTACACACTCCGCAGCTGCGGAACTGTACGAAGGTTTTACTAATATCATACAGAGCGGTCCTGTCATGCTTACACCTGCACAACTCTCCCTCTACGATGGGAGCGACGAGTCTCTACCCATCTACGTAGCCGTTAATGGCTCTATCTTCGATGTCTCTGCGAACCCCGCCATGTACGGTCCTGGTGGAGGATACCATTTCTTTGCGGGCCGAGATGCTACGCGCGCCTTTGTGACGGGGTGTTTCAAGGATGATCTGACGCCGGATCTGAGTGGTGTTGAGGAGATGTTCATGCCTATTGAGGATGTGGAGGAGCAGTTAACTTCTGCAGAGAGGAAAGTGCGGCGGGAACGGGAGATGAGGCATGCGAAGGCGCAGATTGCGAAGACAGTTGCGCGGTGGGAGAGGTTCTTTGGGAATTCTAAGAAATATTTCCTGGCGGGGAAGGTGATTGGGGTTCAAAGGGAGGCGGAGGATGGGAAGCGGGTGCTTTGTGGTGCGGCGCAGAATCAAAGACCGAAAAGGAGTGAGATGGATGGGGCTGTTTAGTTGATTTACTCTACAGTACCAATGTATAGGCCGTCGGCATTCGAGATAAATGTATCCACTACGGTTATTTCGAGCTTCTCGAAATGGAAACGATATGGAAGTTTTGTAACTTTTTTATTTCATTCGTTCTGCTAGACGTAGTCCAGAAGGACAAAATGTTCCACACTTCCGAGTCTCCCTTGTGATATCATTCGTAGCAAAGGAAATAAAAGAACCGCGAGAAATGACGATAAACGGAACGTTTACTCGGCGGTGACGGCACGGGCTAAAGAAAAAAGAATTAGTTCGGTGTTGTCGCACAAAATGTCTGATGTGATGAACGCACTGTAGATGTTCAGGCTGTTGTGGCCAACAATCTTCTTGATCTGACCGCGAGCCTCGAGGTCAGCGAGAGCCTGGCGGGCAAGGCTGCCGTTGATCTTGAGACGATCGACAAGGGTGGCGACGGTGATCAGACGGTAGGTCTGGACATCCTTGTTGAGCTTCTCCTCAATGGTCTTGTCCAGAACAACGGCGTGCTGGGCCTTGTCCTTGACTATAGAAAAAAAACACCAGTTAGTCCATCATTCGCGATCGATCGTAGCATTCCGAAAGGTTGGGGGTGATCGCTTCAACGATTCCGAGTCTCTCGCTATTTTCGCAGAATTCGAGGAAAGTTGGAAGTCGTTGTCACGGTCGGGTGGCGGAGTTGGTGATGGATGGAGATGGAGATAGCGTACCCTTGCCCTTGGACCACTTCTTCTTTTGCTTCTTGCCACCGGTAGCTGAGGGCGCCTGTATCACGAAACCATGTTAATCTCTGTCGAATTCGAGTCGGGCGTGGAATGGGCGCTCACCATTTTGTCTGTTGGGGTGGATGGTGTAAAGAAAGAGTAGCGCAAACCCGACCTCAAGTGCAAAATGGGCCGTGGGGCGTGACTCAGCAAGGGAAGCCCTAAGCCCCAGGTCATGTGATGCTACTCGGTTAGGCAAAGTGCTTTGATTGGCTGATAATTAACCTTCCAGACGCGGGTATCGCTTATGTAACAATTGCGTAGGTCTGTCTAACTAGTTCAGTAGTTTTTGTATGGAACTAGATCATGGCATATACTATTAGCATTACGATGTATCAATCTTGGGTATAGTACCAAACAACAAAGAATGACATGTGCACTTGGTTATCAGACTATGCATAAGTATCCAAGTAAACATTGTTCATCAGTATAACGAAATTACTCACAATACCCACGTAAATGCTCAAATGCTCTAGTGCTGTAGATCTTCTTATTATTCCGGAGTTAACATGGAGAGCTAGCCATGATGTGTTTGTTAAAAGGCCACACACCAGTGAGAATTCACTTTAGATCATTCGACCTGGAAATCAAATCATCGACCATCTTTCCTAGCCCGTGCTATCCACTCGAAATACACACCTTTGAATCAATCATGATTCTACTGCGAGCGACCCAACTATAGGCCCAGTGAACTCTTTGGCATATCCGAAATGAGTATGAAGACTCCACGTCAACGATATGCTCTGTTGCTCCCCCAATTTCGGTTCGAATTGAGGAATGAAATGATATCTGCTGTTCTGTAATGTGTTTTTTTAGAGCGATATTTTACCCATGCTAGGCCATCTCAACCTGCATAGGATAGGAGCCGAAGACGCAAGAGGATATATTGGATGTTACTAGGCTATATAAGCTCGGTTCGCGGTACACACCTGGCAATTATTCAAATGTCTCAGAACATTCGATAGAACTAAATTGATAATAGAGTAAGACTTACAAACTTAGCTTCAACAAGTTGTTCCAGCAAATCGACATGTCTCCTTGCAGCTTTCTCAATCAAATCAAACCCAGGCCCAGGGAAATATCCTTGAATTTGCATCCAGAAGCCACGATCAACGCAGGGTGAATCCTCGGGGATCTGGCATACGTAGAACTCATGGTTATCAAACGCATTAGTCAGGCATGCAATGAGCTCCTCTTGTGTGCGTGGTGCGACATGTAATATGTCCATGTCCACACCTATCCATACTTCTTTATGCTTGAATCTCGGATAATTCTGGCAAAAGATTCTAGATGGGATATACAGTCGCTTCAAAAGATGGTGGACGGTCATTGGGAGCGTTACGCAGTAGGGTCCGGAGGCAGGTTGGAGTTGGTTCGTCTGTTCTAAAACAGGGAGTTTATGGGGCCTTTGGTCATTTGGTCTTGGGTCAGTATATGGTTTTCTGTATGGCTCCGATATGAAAACTTTGGAGTCGTCAGCATGATATTCCCATACACTGACCATTGAGTAGTGAACTGGCTCTTCAAATATCAGTGGTATCTGAGGTTAAAAGTGCCTGAATTTGCCTAGTTAAATGATGGAAAGCAAAAGCAGGGCTTATGTAGGTTTGGGCTGATGAGATAGAGGAATTTCCACTACTTTGCATAACAAAGAGTATTCTTGAAAAAAATGGCCGGAAAGAAAGGCCATTGTGGAAAATAAGGCATGGCATCAAAGAGGTGTCTCAGTTGGTTGGCACAAAGAGAGGTCATATCTTGCCTTTCATTCAGTTCATTCTTTTTCTAGAAACCGGCCGTGACATCTCATCGGCTTATACTACCAGCAGGATATCCCCGATTTATCACCGAATTCAACACTTCAAATTGAATAGAGTTTTCATCAGCAGAGAGATATCCCACCACATATTCCTCGGACGAACCAAACCAAAATGCAGAATCATGATCCGCCCCAACCAACCATTTCACCTCATACTTCCCACTCTCGCTCTTTTGAGTAGGAACTCGAGCAATCATAGGTTGACTTTGAGGTGACCACCACCGTATCACAGGTAGATTATTTGTGATGGCACTAATAAGGAGCTGTGGTGTAGAAGGATGCCAGACTAGCTGTCGTACGGGATGTTCGTGGACCAAAACGGACGCCAGTCTGGGCGTACCGTCCAAAGCCCAGATCCAGACCACATTTGATCGCATGGTATCCACCGTAGCCAGGAAGGTCCCATCAGAGCTGAATGCCATGATAGCTACACCTCGAGGTGGGCCAGATAATTCGGGGCTCATGTTGAATGCCGAAGAACTTGTTGCTTCGGCGTATTCTGCGTCGCCCATGGCGCTTGTGTATCGCTCACGCCAGATGTTGGGAGAGCTCTGGTCTACTGGGAAAACATGTGATAGTGTAGTAGAGGATGAGAACTGCAGTTATTAGTGGGGGTATTTTGTCTGTGTTTTTCCATCGAAGTGCATACCGTGCGAGTCCGTAGCAAGTCAATATTGCCGTTAACCTTGCCGACGGCGAGAGTCTCTGAAGCACCGCTCGCGGCTGGGGGGCTCCATTCAATATGCTTCACGCCTAGATCAAACGCATCATCCACGCCCGCTGGTCCATTGTATGTTCTGAAGATCTGCCCATCAGCAGTCAATATCAGCACTTTAGTGCCATAGCTAGCGACGTCCCACACAGCAATCCACTTTCCGTCTGGACTCCACTTCAAACCTTGGGCATCGATGGTGGGAAGAACTGTGCGGTTTAAAAGACCGTAAGAGGGAAGCTCGTGAATAGTAAGTACATCGGAGGCCTCGGGCTTCAGAATAATGGCAAGGTGCCGCCTGCTTCGTGGGCGGTAACCAAATCCAAGCGGGTGAGGGAACTTGGGCGTCTTGATCACGGAGGTTTGACCATTATCTATTGAGTGAATTGCCATTTTGTTATTCCATGCATGGAAAACAAGAATTTCGGTTTCATCTCCGCCGAATTCAACGTTCAACGTGCCTGGTTCGAGGTTTTCAATGTCGGCCACTTGTTGTAAGGGTTCCAACTGCCAAACAGAGATGCGTGACTCATTTGTGATAAGCAGATGGCGATTGGTATTGCTATGTGAAGTCCCTAAGGGACAGAATTTGAGAGACTTGACAATACTCTCTTTGATTCTTGCTGTTTGCACGTCTTTATGATCTGAAGTGAGGTTTGTGTGGAGGACCAGGTCTTTCCCACTGATATGGGCCGCAAAAAGGCCGTCATCAGAAGTCACCAGTGACAATGGAGCTATTGAGAAATTAGAAGAACTGGTCAAGGTAAGTGGATTGGGGACTCACCTCCTCCGCTGGTTGAGGCGTCCATTATTGATGTCAACAAGAAGTCGCGTAATACTAGTAGTAATTTTGCCCCGCGACACCTCCGAGAAAACAGCCACAGACAATTGGCAGTCTGATGAATACACCACTCTAATTTTAGAGATCTTAAGGCTGTAGATCCTGTGTGCCCGCTTCCAGTCTTGAGACTTTTCACAGTATGCGCGTCTGATAAGAACTGGAGAATTATAGACCCGCTCCGCGATAAGACGCGAACCAACTTTCAGTTCATTTCAAGTTACTCGTACGTTGATGGATAGTAGTGATGTACGGCTAGTTGATGTGCCAGGAATTGGAAATCGATGAGTAATTTCTGACCTAGTGGAAATATTTCAAAGTAGTTTTATTAAATGATCCAGATCTATTTGTTCACGAAATTCCAGATTCCTTGTATAGAATTGTATGCAGTCTTGATAATCCAGGAGACTTTTATTTAAACACTTGCCTCGGCCTTCATGTCAGCTTCGGCAAAGCCCTTAACGATCTCCCTAACTTCCTGCCATGAATTGCTCACATCATCCACACGGGATTCCTTGGACGAAAGAGCCTTCAGCTCGTCAGGAAGCACCTGGGTCTCGAAATCAAAGGCAGGATCGTCCTTCAAAGCCATTGTGACAACATCTGAGAACTTGGCAGGGTGGGCAGTCGAAAGCGAGATGTGAGGTACGCTAGACCGAGCAATCGACCTGTGTGATGCAGTGATTCCAACGGCGGTGTGGGGATCGAGGATGTATTTCGTCTGTTGGTAACAGCTCTTGATAGTCTCAACTGTCTCGGAATCGCTCACACGGTCGCTCTCAAAGGTGCGGCGTCCTTTTGCCATAATATCCTCTGGCACCGGTCCGAAGCCGCCTGTTGACTTGAGTGACTGGTACCACGCCAGGACGTCTTCACCAGCCTGCTTGTTGCTGGAGTCTTTATCCTTGCCAGCAGCGAGTGCGGATTCTAAAGCTCGTTAGTAAAGAATAGAGATTGAGGAAAGAATCGACATACCTCTTGCAAGGAACCACATCACTCTCTCAAAGTTACTAGAGACCAAGATATCCATGGCAGGGCTGTATGTCTCTTTGCAGGCATCGGCCTTATTCGCGTCCTGGACGGGGTGCTTCTCGTAGCGTCCAGTCTGCCAGAATCGGTGCAAAATATCGTTCTCATTGGTGGCAACAACCAGCTTGTCAGCAGGCAGTCCCATTTTAGTAGCGAAGTAACCCGCAAGAATGTTTCCGAAGTTTCCAGTAGGAGTGACAAATCGGACCTTGTCCCCAACCTTGAACGAAGAGGACTTTCTCGCAAGGGAGAAGTAAGAATAGAAGTAGAAGACAATCTGGGCGAGGATTCTGGAGAAGTTGATCGAGTTCACAGCACCGAGCTTCAGAGTCTCATTTGTATCAGCATCACCGAACAGAGCCTTGACGATGTCCTGACAATCGTCGAATGTGCCCTTGACGGCAAGGTTGTGTACGTTTCGGTCGATGCAGGTTGTCATCTGAGCCTCCTGGATAGGGCTAACACGACCCTTGGGGTGCAAGATGGTGACCGAAACATCCTTCTTGCCTCGGAGGCCGTAAATAGCTGCGGATCCAGTATCGCCACTAGTCGCACCAACTACCGATAGGTGGTGTCGGTCCTTGCCTACCTTTCCTTGGTTCTTGCGCACAAGCAGATATTCGAAAAGGTTTCCAAGGAACTGCAAAGCGCAGTCCTTGAAGGAGTAGCTTGGGCCGTGGAAAAGCTCCAGAACATGCAGGTTATCCTGGAGTTTCACCAGCGGAACAACTTCCTCTGAGCGGAATGTGGAGTAGCTTCGGTTGATGATCGATTTCAAGTCTTCGGAGGGGATTTCGGAGGGGGAGATGTACAGGCGCATAATCTCAAAGGCAAGGTCGGGGTATGAAAGATCCTTCCAGCTCTCCTACAATCAATGTTAGCCACCATCCCTGGCAAGTGAAGTAGATTGAGATCCAGCGGGTGTTCCACAAGGCATTGCCCGTGCATACGTACCCAGTTGGTTGCCTGTGGCACTTCATGAGGCAGGAAGAGACCGCCATCAGCGGCAAGGCCCTTCAGGACAACAGTCTCGAAGGAGAGCTTTCAAAGTAATCAGCCTACTGTCATAAACCGAGCACATATTGAGACTCACGCCATAGTCACCACCTCGCGTAGAAAGGAACTTTTGGGACTCTGTAGGTGCCGCCATTTTGTAATTGATTGATTGACTGATTAAAGTGAATCCTTGAAGGTAAAGTCGTCAATACAAGGAAAGGATTTTCTGCCCCTCTCCCGACGTCGGAGGGGTGAGTCACTTTATCTATGATTACGTGATGCTATAAGGTTTGGCGGGGTTCGCCACCACCTCCCCGAGGGCGGTCAGGGACAAAATTGGAGGGGACTTGGATCACTTCTCGACACTACAGTAGGCAATCACTATATGAATATTGTAATTGATGAATAGACGTCTGAATTGATTGACTACATATATCTTCTTCCTGACAAATTTGAGGGTTCTTGCACATGTCGATAATCTGCAGACTGGTTGGTCACTAAGTTTATCCACAACAGCCTGGCCCAGTGGCCCCACAATCCGGGAAAGATCAGTGGCGTAAGAGAAGGAAAAAGCCTACATATGTATCTAGGAAAAGGGAATCGGCATTAGATCAATCTCTACTAAAAAGCAATGCTAACTTCATAAGAAAGACAGGTTATATATACCAATCAGGTTTCTGCTAAGTCATTCATATTAATTCTCCCTCATTCTTCTTGCCCATCTCAAGAGTTAGCTACAATCATGATAACAGCTGAGCGGTCGGCCAGGGAAATCAAATGTCACATCGTGGTAGCCGGAAAACCAGCTAAATGTTCAAGTTCTCTAGAGCCCCCTGTGACCTGACCTCCATCCCACAACAACATATTCGATGAGCTACTTCCACGCAAGCATATTACACTGCAGTGCCGCAAACCACGCATCCTCTGTCTCAGCCCATTTTTTAGAGGCGAGAAGCGTCTCCTGTATTTCATCCTCAGTGATTCCAGCCTCCCGCCAGCTTCGGTGTAAAGGATCGCCGGGCTGTAACTGGCTCTCAGCACGCTTAGCTAGCCACTGTCGAGTATCTGCTCCTGAGAACACCGTACTTCCAGTGCCGATAACAACCTTTCCCCCGTCAGCATCAAAACCTGCACGACGAAACAGAGCCGGCATAAAAGGTGGCGAAAGGTCTGTTTCAAGATTGCCTTTCAGTACCGCTCGGCGGAAATTCCCCACCCAGAGACGATCGAGATCCACACTGCGTGGGTAGAAGTGCTGATCGACTGTATCGCGCGTGGCTAGAATTCCTCCAGGCTTCAGTACCCGTCGCATCTCGGTCAGTGCCTTAAGCGGCATGTCCGGTGGCGGCATATATCCGAAGGTATGAGCGCAGAATACGATGTCGAAGGTATTGTCCGGGTAGTTGATTCCTTCCAGGATATTTCCTTCTTCGAAGATGAGAGAGCCAGGTCCCTCCTTGGCAATGCCAGCCTCATCGGCCGCTGCCTTGGCTCTGCTCAAGACATCTGTCGAAATATCGATTCCGATCGTTCTTCCTTCACTAGCGTATTTAACAAAGCCTATGGTGATTGTACCAGGACCGCAGCCGACATCGAGAATAAAGTCTGTTTTCTTAATGTATGGCAGTAGAAACGCGGCCTCGGTCTCGGCCTTGCGAGTTTGTTGGGTCGCGACAGTCTGGCTAGAATAGCCTTGCTTGTAATTGTTCGTTTGCCCAAGACTTGCCATGATCCTGGAAGCTAGAGTGTAGTTAGAATACATTCTTCAGACCGAAGTTTTGAAAAAGCTGTACAAACCTAATTGTTTTCTTGCTGTTCTAAAAATAGGTACTGGTGTGAACATTCGATGAGGGACACATTCAGCTTTAACTTGACAAGGATGCCGGTTCCGCGACCTCAAACAAAAGATGATCCAATCAAAGCGGGCTTACCGGGCCTTTGTCGGGATTTAAGGCGTCACGGCAAATGAACTTTCGGGCTGAACCGCTTTCACCTAACTAAGAGAGTATGGGGTATAAAGCCTATCTCACTTTTGGTTACCCCTGATACCTTTAAGAATCGGTTTTTGATATAATCTAATATATGCTATTTTACACCTACCGAATTTCCCCCTGGTATATCTATAAACCTTAAATATACCTTTCTAGGTGGTAAAATTGGTATAAAGTCTCTTTTTCCAGTCGTTTCTTGCTAGGAGCCTCTAATTAGGTATACCGATTTATTATAGACCCACTTTCAACGTATCTTAGAGAGAAAGATGATGGCTAACCATTTCTCAGGAACAAGTTATAAGAATAGATCATGTGAGTTGCCACGACGCTCACTGATTAGGCACGAAGCGATTAGACGGCAGAATGGTTTAGGATCAGAGATCTACTTTACTACCTAGTATAGTGGGGAGACCTGAACCCTTTTACGGATTACTATACTATTATAGGTCATATCCCGTACCGTAAGGTAAAAGGTCATAAGTACGAGCTTACTACTAGTTATAGTATTTATACTCCTACACCTCTCTCACTTAAATCTTTGTGTATAGGCCCGCTTCTCTCCGAGAGCGACCTTCCACTGTGGTAGGTTTTGCTTAGTATATCCGATTCGTACGTCGCAGAGCGTATTGCTAACGAGTGTTCCCCTCTTCACTAGGTAAGAGCTTTAATTAATTCAACTAATCATATAATTTTCAACTACATATATCCACACGAAAAGGGCAATGAATACTGAAGCAAAATCGCTCACAAAGTCCACACCATTTAATATCGGAATTATCCAAATTCATGCAGCTACATAGCCACGTATAAACTATCAGTAAAGTGAATTCGGCAACTCAAAACGACGCCCTGTATCAGAGCGGTATTCTGGCAATTCCTTTGCATCTATATCTTGAAGCGGAAATAGCTGACTATGTTGTTGTTGTTGTTGCAGCCGGCCTGGCCAAGGTGTCAACATTCCGCATCTGATAGAGGTGCTGCCATCGGTGCAGTATTGATACCATTCATTCGAGAATTCACCTTGTCTTTGCTCGTCACTTGTCTCGCTCTAAGACATATAAGGATTTCGAGGACGTACACTGGTGGGATACAAACGCCAACCTCAATGCCAAGCGCGATTTTGTTTGTTGTTGTCAAACTGGTTGACGAATCGGGATTTGCAGAGGAAGAAGCAGCCGGACCGGTGGCTGTGGTCAAGGAGAATTGCGTAGCAAGGTTGGAAGTATTTATCGAAGTCGCAGTTGCGGCTGTAGTGGTGGTTGTGGTTGTTGTGGGTTCTGTCATGTTGAAGTATGTCGAGACGAAGCCGTCGAGACCACCGTGTTTACCCAGAGGAAGAATTTGTTTGAATACGATTAATCGAAGCCAAGGAGCTGGACTGTCCATGTGAAGTTTGTGACTTGATTACTGGCATGGATCTTGGCTGCATGGTCGTTAGTTCTGGGCGCTTGAGGTTTCATGGTTCGTGAAAGATGCATGGTATATAATCCTTTGACTTGCCGCACCTTCCTGGACCTGACTGTCTTGCCAGAAAATGAAAATTAATTCGCCTAGTGTGGTGGCCCTGGCATGAGAAGTCGGTCTCCGAGTGTGGAGGATGTTCGGACTGCATTGTAAGAAACGGGGCTCTTCATGTAGTTTTTGTTGCTGGAAACAACTATAGTAAATCCAAAGAAACAAATTTGGCAATGTGTTAGCTGCACAAAGAGTCGATCTTTGATGATCACTCCAAGAGTTCATTGTTGACTTCTATGATTCGGAATTAAATGCAATCTAGACCAGAGTGGATAGCGGCTGCCCTAGTTTTACAGGCACAAGGAACAGCACTCATCCGACCAGCGTAGGAAGCGCAGGAAAATGGTCTTTTTTTAGCTTCAATGAAGAGTCTCTCGGGTGAACAGGCCATGGATGTTAACAGGGTGTGCATAGCGAGGCACATTTTGGTAAAAAGCTGAGCAATGGTATGGAGCATGAAGTAGGGAATGTGTACCTGAGCGATCATATCAGGTTCGTTGGAGGCACGCTAATGCTAGGGATATGGGGCTCGGGATATGGGGCGAGACTATTTTAGCATGCTATCCAATTGACTTCGCTCTGTCTGTCAATGGATAAAACCGATATGAGTCTGATTGGATGGGTCTGTTTAATAGGAATTCGCGAATGCCTACAGATGTCTTTGGAGCATATCTATACCTCCATTGTCATAAATTGGGACCAAGCAAGACGTATGAATCTACCTAGATTGCAGTGATACTAATCATGATCCAGGTGCATAGTCAGGAATACGCTAGGACGTGCCAGAGCGCTGAGGAGGATTGCATGAACTAATGCACTAACCGGGTTCACTCAATGGTCGAAACGAGCCTCTACGATTGCCATGATAAGAGATCGATCCATATGAAACTATTTAAGTTATTTCTCTCTTGCTAATAAGACATCTTTTCTCCTGTATCAGCATCTGGTGAGGCTCTCTCGGATGCCCATGCATAGCTCAAACTATGGGTTGGTTTGGGCTATATTTGGATTCCTAAGGTGGTCGCATGATTTGCGAGGACACTTTCAAACACTATTAGGTTATGAAATCTATAGTTTCGTGATCCAGTCACTCATTGTTACAAATGTACAGTCCTTCGATATTGTTCATCCACAGCCACGGTTTCAATAACCTGTGGCCCAGTCTCAGCCTTCATGTATAATTTCCCATGTCGAACTCCAATATCTTCTGGGACCATTATTGGCTTTTCAACATCACCCCATGTTGCCTTTACAGGCTGTCCTCTGAGTATACGCTGCACGTTTAACATGGTGCTGTACAACATTCCCCAACTAGCGAAGCCAACAGTATTTCCTTCTTCTTCTTGGTGGATGTCTGAGCCTTTCTCTGCCGCCCCGGCAGAACGGAAGGTACCTGTGATGGCCGGATATGGCGCAAAGCACCGCAGGTATCCATGGCCACACATACGGCCTAACGCTACGTCCATTTGCGCGCCAATATCAATCTCCTCAGCAAGGCCGAATGGATTGACAGACAATGCGGCGAGAATTTTTTGTGCGCCGTGATAACTAACGGCGTAGAAACTCGAACAGACGGCATCTTGAGCGGTGCATACCATTCGGGAGTGGTCGGAGCGTTCGAATGCAGGCGGATCACGCCAATAGGGAAGGAAATGACGAGCCTCAAGGACCGTGAGGTCGTCTTCGCTTTCATAATATGGTAAATTGGTCTTGCATTCTAGACCACAGTGTCCGAGCCAGAGAACGTCCCAGTCGTCGCCGTATGGTGATGATGTTGGGGTTTTGGATGCGCCTTGGAGTGCCCGGATTGCGAGGGCGAAGCTTTGAAGTTGGGTTTTGATGTTGAGGTCCCAATCAGCATCGTCTTCAATGATAACCCCACTGCCTAGACCTTGTTCAACGATGCTATATGAAATTAGATTTCGAGTATGTGACAACTGGGTGGTATTATTGTGATTCGTACCGTCGGATTCCATCTAAATGTGCGCGGCGAGCGGCGTATTCGCTCGCGGTGTGGTCGGGATTCCAGTTCTATAGAAATTGATCAGAAGGCAGTCGCAGCATAAATGGGTTTGTAGCGTACATATGGATATGTTTTCGGTGGTATTGCGTCTGGAGTTACGCCGTCGACAAATTCGACTTGAAAATTGCAGACCGATGAGCCTAAGACAATGTTGTCACGCTTGTCTGGCCGGTTGGGTAAATTGATGGCTAAGACCTTCCCAAACTGTATTGTGGTCAGCTTAAAAAGGCCAGGCTTGGAGAAGGAGAAATTACTCACACCCAGTGTTCGATTTTCAATAGCGTGTATATCGTTCCAGGCCGAGTCCTGCTGGGATCGTGTAATTGATGATCTAGTAGATGACAGCGGCGAGAAACGCCAAAGGAGGATGAGGACTCCAAGCGGAATGACAAGCATTCGTCCCCAGCGCAGCTGGATGGAGGATAATGTCATTTTGGGTGTGGCTATGGTGTAAGACTATGAAGACTTGTAGGTCATTTCGAGTGTCCAGAGAAGAAAAGGGTTCCAGAGGACAGTTCTGAGCTCCGTAGTCGTTGCGAAGTTAGTCGCGCATAGGGAGACACTCGCGTCCAGGGGAACAGAAAAAAACTCTTTGATCACAGAAGTTCCTATCGGATATGGGAAGGTCGGAGATCTCCATCAGGAATGATTTGGAGGGTCGATTCAAGACGGAGCTAGCTTGGGCCCAGTGGATTAGCTGGTTGGCACGTTGGGGGTTATCATATAGGCTGCGGTTGGCCTGTGACCTTCAAGTCTCCACTGGAGACGGGTAGAAGGACCCAATTTGAAATGGGCCCGGACCGGTGCGAGCGGAACATAGTTGCATGAAGATATCGTTTGAGGCTTAGCGCAGTTGGCAGTGGAGCTAATTTCTCTGCGATGTATGGGTACTGCACACAGGTGAAACACGCTGTTATTGCGGCCAACCCCTTCATATAGCGCATATTACGGAGTTCCTGCATATTCAGCCTAATTTGCCAGCCAAATCAAGGCAAGTATCGAGAGCTATTCGATGTTTCACTTGAAAGATCACTTTTGTAGAAAACTCCCTGATGCCTCTCTGGGGAGAATAACGCAATTTCTATAGCTTCATTCCTTTCCCTCTCTTTTGTTCTTGAGGATTTTTAATTCCATGCAAATTTCGTTAAATGTTTCAGGATTTTCCATTTCTTTTACAGTGATCTTGAAGCGCTAAGCCTAAATAGTGTGGGAAAGAAGGGAAATGTCTAAGCAGCAATGCTATCGGACTACCTTCTCTTCTATCAAACTCCTACCTGTTTAGTCTGCTACCCAATCTCCCACTTACACCCACTTGCACTCCATTTTATTGAATAGTCGACGAGCTTTGCCAAATGATGAGTTGTGAGCTGGAAAAACTTGAAAAGAGAAGTGGGTGGAGAAGGCGACAGAATTATTTGAAAATTCAGGAGCGAATCATTTGTCCTTCTCCGAAAATTCCGCGATTTGGTCGAGTGGGCAGATGAAATGACTCACGAAGGGCTCCAAATCTCCTCGTTGGCGTCGGAAAGAAAGTTATAAATTTAAAATGGAAGTAACCAGTTGACTTAAGATATTTCCTAATCGGGTCCCCGCCTACTCCACCAAAACATTCAACTTGTAGCCTAGATGAGTATAAGAGGGCGTCCTGTTCTCTCTTTTTCCACTAATTTTCTCCATATTCTCATCCTATATCGCATCTACTCTTCTGCAATCTTCATCGGTAAGTATTGAATTTTTCCCCTCTGATTGCAAGTATCACTTACGTCCAAGGCGCAGATGGAGATTCCCGTTGATTTACAGCCTCAGGCGTTGCTCGTCCATCCAACCGCGCTCGCAGAACATCTACAAACTATCCTCGCGAAGGACCCTTCGCGCGAAAATCTCAACTCCATCAATTCACACATCCTTCATCAGACGCACATCGGGGCGATTCCGTCTTTCGTCTACCTTGTTTGGCTATTTATTGCCTATCGACATTTGCCTCATCTTGTTTCGCTTGCACTGCGAGATCAGATATCTGCAGGAGTGCGAAAAGCTGGTATCAAAGTTGTCCGGCACATTTTCCAAAACCCCTTGCGGCGAGTGTATGGATGGGATCAGCTTGGAGGTGTCCAGGGGATCAAGGCCATCCTCGATGGACTTTCACTGGCCGAAGTACGGTTTTTCGTAAAAGCCATTTCGAAGGGTTCTCAAAACTCGGATAAGAACGTTCCAGCCACAAATTTCGATGAGCTCGCCAATCTTATCCAAGAATCTGACAACTGGACCTCGAGATCACTGCGACGGCATTTGGCCCCCTTATTTGCGCGCTGCAGTTCGACGAAAGTGACTGAGCTTTTGAGATCTGGCATACTTATCTCCCATAAATTTGGCCGCTATGTGAATCGTTCGCAGCAGCATATGGACCTCTTACGACAGATGGCGATTGGCAAGGTCGAGACGCCCCTGCATGTACACCGCTATATCTTGGAGATATGGGGAGAAATGTTGGTGCAATCGAAAAAGCCTTATGTGCCGATTCATGCTACCAAATACGATGCCAACATTTCTTCTGGTTTGAAATTTGGCATGGATTTGCTGTCTAATTTCAAAGCTAGCAAGTCTGACCCATGGTCAAGCAACACGTTAATTCGCCAATGGACTCAGCGGATCATCAAATTGGCAATCAGTCAAAGACTGCCATTTGATTCATTGTTACTAATAATAGTCTCCAGCTTGGAAATGTGGCGAGATGGAGACTCCTCTTTGTGGCCGCTACAGTATCTACCACAAGAGTTTATTCGGTTCTGGTCAATGGCAAGATTCGGTAAACTTGGACCTGACGGACCATTTGGTACAACCATGAAAGAAGCCGAAAAATTATTTTCTTCGCGACTCGAGCCTGCGAATCAGGCCGCACTAGAGCTGTGTTTAGTAGAGCAGGTGTTGCATGATAATAACCAGCGCCCTTCGGCGTTGCCATTCTCATCATCCTATACTGCGCGGTTAGATGGACTGCTCTCAAATAAGCTCCTATCATATGTGCACATTGATGGACGATTCGAATTTCTTCAACTTCTGTGCAAACATTCCCCCTATCTGAATTTCGATCTCACAGTATGGCCGCCTTCGGAAGAGGAGCGGAAGCTCGTGCCTGTATGGAAGTACAATGTTCTGTCTATTTTACCCAAACACGGGGCTAAGGCACTCTTCCAACGATCGCTGGAGATCCACAAATGCAATACATTTTTATCGGAAGAGGTATTGGAATCCAATCCCTGTGGACTGGATTGGGAGCAGCAATGCAGACTTTGGGCAACCTGGGAATCTTTAAACTCCAAAAGAAGTGAAAGTTTCTCCGTCACTCTCAAAGGTATGATACATTTTAGATCTGCGGAGAAATGATAGACTCACTAACAAGATATAGCTTTTGATGAGATGAAGCAACGAGCAACGCGTGAACGAGATAGTAAGGGGCGGCTGCGTTGGGCAAGAGCAGCGATACAGCTTGCCGCTAAAACAAATTCCGTCGCCATTTTCGGCGATTCAGTTGAATGGAGCAAAAGATTCCTGCGCGATCATGTGGGTGTTCATAATACCCTTCCAAGTGTTCAATTAATAACTTTCTATCATATTCATAGGAAGTATTCCCAAAAGTCTTGCCTCTCATCTACCAGGCTGCCGGCGATATTCTCTCTTGCGGAGCCAAGGAACGAGCCATGAAGCTTACATCTGAATCAGAACTTCAAGACGAAGTGCAGATGGCCCATCTAGTTCTGAAGGGACTACTTGAAACTTTACTTCTATTACTTCGTGAGCCTTGGGCTCGGAATATGAGATCTATGACAATGCTGATTCCCTCTATGTTCTCCACTGTGATCCGCCAGAGAATGGATGCAGTGAGGTCATATGCCCTCGACGGGCTGGCCACTGAGTCTATATTGGGTAAAATATTGCTTGACTCCTTGTTGTCAGTAATCATTGACTACGAGACCAAGGGAAATAGGGAAGACCAGGCGGCTTTTTCTTGGAGCGGTCCAAAAGGATTAATTCGAAATATTGCTTGCCCTGATAACCCTAGTAAAGTCGAGCTTTCATTCATTGACCGACTCGCAAAGGCACGAGATGATCTTTGGAGAGGTTTACGCGCTCAAATTAACCCAGATATATTCTTATTGGAGCCTGGCTGGCCTCGCGGTCTTCCAATCCAAGATTTGGTCCCAGATGAAGCGTGGTTGTGCCACGCGCTCCAGCGTACCGAAGAGACAACATTTTTATCCTCGAGAATTTCCGACCTCCTTTTCAGCCCACAAGAAATTATTCTCGCTCCAGTGCGAGAGGATGCCAAGATAATCGGGAGTTTCGTGGACGACTTGGGCTTTGCAATTCGTGCTATCGCTTTACATGAAGAACAAGCAGACAGGATGAAGTGGATTACACTTGTCTGGGATCATTACTCCTCAGTCTTGCGGGGACATCCATTGCAGCTCGAACTTCTTCAAGAGGGGCTGATCGGTCAACTTAAAAATGCTCTGTGGAAAGAAGAGGATGGCTTGGACGAATTGATTAATATCATACTGGCTCCTATACCTCCAGCGCCACTCCCATTGATATCAAAGGTTCCAACGGGATCGGAGACTACAGAATGGGACCCACATGAAGATTTCCAGGATACCTTGGAAGCCAGTGTTCCTTCGCTACAAGAACAGAGGCCAAGAGAAATACCTTGCATCGTTCTCAATTCTCGAATGCGAAGCACAACCAAGTTAGTTGATGGACTTTTACTTGTACGCACGAAGGTCATCAAACCTGAGCAAAGGCCTGACGTTGTCGCCATTTGGACGAAGGAAAACTCTTTCGACAACTGCGAGGCTATCATCTTGTCAGCTCTGCTGTTTCTGGACACTTTGGTTCCACATTCACGGCTCTTGCAGACAGGTTTCCCAGACAGCGAAGGGTTCCGCTACGGACCAACATATCTAGCGGATGAGTTTATCATACGATTGACTAAAGCCGGCGTTGGAAATTTCGAGGAACGTGCACTCCGTGCCTTGAAGAGAAATTCCGGGTATGTCCCAGCTCAGATATTGCGAGATTTGATTCGTTCATTGCTGGATACGATGAAAGCATCACCGAGTGCTTCTAATTATCCAACCCTCCTGAATTGCACGCTACAATTGATGGATGTACTTTTGAACAGCGATGAACCACATCTTGTAGTTGAAGTGGCACTCAAAATGTGGCAGGACTTTCCCGATGACTCTTCAAGCCATCGCAAGCTGAGTCTTGTGAAAATCGGCAGATTTCTTACGCCCGGTCAAGCCAGCAAACTCATAGAGACCCTCGTCTCTTATGCAGATGGTACGATTCAAAGACAACCGGAACTTAATGGCAGCTCGAAGAAACCTTTCATCAAGGTCACCACATTGAAGATGTTCACACGTGGTCTAGCCGAGGCAGACTTCATTGCGCCTTCTACTCGAGTGTATCACCTCGAGAGAATGTTCGACACCCGAAGCCACATTGACGTTCGCGTGCAGGTAGTTGAATCGCTTTTAAAAATGGTTAACCTTGATAACAGTGTTCAGCTGTTCAAGGCTTTGTCTACTGCTGCCATGTTCGCTGCAGGGTCCAGCGAGAGGGATATTGTTACCGACCAAGACTGGCGCACAGCGGAGGCTGGGGGCCCACTACCTCCTGTTCTGGACTCCCAGCGTCCTATCCTAGACATTCTTGTCTCCCGGGCAAAGAAAGAGATTCCAAGTCAACTACACTCGGATTATTGTCAAAAGGTCGTGTTGCCTTTGGTGACAGAGTCCATTGGCCTGCATTCCCGATGGATGACTCTGCTGCTCGCAAGACTCGGTCTTTCTCTCCCAAGTCTCGGGCTAGTTGACTTAGACGTCGGGCCTTTCTCTTTCGATCTAGTGGATGACGTTTTCTGCGAATGGGAACACTACCTCCCAGGCAAATACCTGGAGTGCCATCGCAGCTGGGACCTATCTTGTTTGAAGCATGATTCTTTTACTCAGATTGCCGAAGCTTTTAAGTCATCCGCGGACATGATAGCAAGCGATACCAATGTGCGTGATCACCTGCAAGCGTTTATTAAGTCCCAGACTGATCGACGCCCTTTACACTATGCCTTCGAGCACACGTCTACCCCCGAAAACGAGAACCCAAACGGCATCACAAATGAGCTTTTCATTAATGATTTCGTCTCTCGCGTTCAACTGTTCGTCAGGTCTCCAATGCTATATAACCCTTCATTCGGAAGGTATAGTATCAACCCTGTGCACACATTGAATGTTTTACGTCTGCTTAGGAGACACCGTGGTTTCAACAAAGATTATGAGTATGTCGAGAAACTCATGATGAGTATCATCAGAACTGCGGAATCGGTCCGAAGGCAAGGGTGGTCACCAGGTTTGACCGCTCATCCTGCGACTGTTCCATCTTCATTTGAGTATGAAGTTCAGTTACTTCCGGGGTTATATTGGAAAAATGAGCTTCGCAGCTTGGGGATGCAAGAATTTGTTTCGGGCATCAATGACTTGATCTCCAAGTACGGTGCAGACCCTGTATTGCTTATGAAATTCGATGTTTTCGAACCGATTTTGGAAGAGTTTCGCAAGGACGATAAACTACCGTGTGCTTTGCTACTTGGTGAGGACTGTGATGATGAAGATGATCAGCATAGGCCTACGAAGGTATGGGTCAGGGTGAAATTGGCAGCCATGCTGTTGCAGGATGCGAAGAAGTCGGGTGTGAAGCTGGAAGAAAGTGCACTGGATATGGTTGAGAGGTGGAAGGCTAGTGAAATTGAGATGGTTCGGGGGATTGCATGGGAGTTGGATTGGAGCACGTAAGGACCTTTGACCTTCTTATGTCTTACATTTTAGTTTTTGGTGCGTGAATCCGACCAAGTTGCTGGAACGAATAGTAACTGGTGTTGAGATGGAAAGCCAAACCCTAATTTATACCACTGACAGCCCTTTATACTTATCAAATCACCATGGAATACGGCAGATTTCTCAATTCGTGTGAGTGAGAGAGGATCCAACTAGTGGAGATTGAGATAGATTGAGATATGCGTAGCACAGACGCACGGATCATCGCTAGTGGATACGAGTGGGTCAGTATGGAGATCAAGAGGTAAATAAAGATATTCAGAAGTGAACTTAGAACCTTTATCACGCACCGTCTCTAAGACTTTATCACGAGCCATTATTGCGAAAACATTTTACGTGAATCCATCGGTATATCTTCCATGAATATACTGCGAATCTGCGTGCTAATGAAGCAGCATTCTGAGACTAATATACTTGTGTCTAGCAATGAATTCCAAGCCTCCCGCACCAACTATTGGCGTGACCAGTGTCCCATCAGGTGAGTGGGCCCACCGAGCTCAAGAGTTCGCAGTGAAAGTCACTGGTGTGCTTAACACTAAACGCCGATTCAATATCGTCGCCCCCCTGTTCTCGTTGAGCCTTCTTGATCTTCGACGCGAATCAACAATGCGCGACCCGACAGAGCGAAACAGCGCAGCCAAAAAAGCCACGTGGACCGGCCTTAACTTCCAACAGCTAGTTTCTTTTGAAAAGTCACATGCTGAAGGCGTCCTAGCCCAGGCGACAGGCAAGCTACTTGAAGGTGACAGCTCGTGCATGCATTGCAGCACCGGAACGGACAATTTTGATGGATGCATCAGGGTCCCCGCACATGAACATTGCACCAACTGTCACTACGGTCGCCAAAGTAATCACTGTTCTCTTCGCAGTGATAGCAGCGCCCCGGGCCCCACAGCGACTTCTGGCCAGCCGGAGGCTAACATGCCCACTAGCCGTGGAGAGCTGCAGGGGCTACTTGTTCAGGCTATGAAGCACAGGTATGAGTTTTTGAGACTTGTGGACAATGTCTTGGGCCAGAGAGATACAGAAAACGAATCAATTGGCCGTGCAATCCACAATTTGATCTGATTGATGGTCAGATCACTGTCATTTAACATACCATCGCCCTGTCTAGGAATCGAACGCAAGCAAGCATAATTTCTAAATATCCTTAAGATAGCATAAATTGATTAGAGCTAAAGATTCCATCATACCGGTCTTTTTTACTTAACTATACCCAGTATCGGTTTACACCGCTCCGTAACCTCCATTCATCCTTGTCTGTCCACTGCTGGAGTCGCCATAGGAAGTGAGCTGATAGGAAGGAACCAGAATCCGTTAAGAGTGAATGACGCCCAGTTGTACGGCGCCTTCCGGTCCTGGCGTGCATCATCGTGGCGAAGTCTCAGAATCGACTGCTGGAAAACCTTGGCAAGATCCACTGCGCGTGTAAAAAATGCACTAGCCTCAGGTATTTCTTCTTGTTGCTGTCTCTTGTCCAAATTTGCTGCCTCTACCCTGCCTAAAACGGCATCTCGCTCTTCAAACAAGGCCCCATAAAAAGTCGTTCCAAATGCCGCCCCGTCCTCATCATCCAGCGGCCACAGTGTGCCTACCATGGCTGTCATGCCAGCATAAAATAATGCTGTAGGAAGGCCAAGTAGGTCGTCCGTGGTAGAAACTCCACTCAAACTACTACCGCACCCAATTATCGTTACTAGCGCCGGTTGCGCTAGACGAGCTTCGGAACGGAAGAATTCACGGCCAGCCAGAAAACGCGCAGCAGTGCGCTTACGCAGAATGGGCAGCAGCGCGGCCTCATTGAGGGCCAGGTGAGTTTCCAATGCTGCCCCTGGCTGGTAAACTACGTGTCCATGATAGTGCAGTACTGTGCAATCTCGAGCGGCGTTCCAGACCGTTTGCGGGTCTAACCACTCGCCGTGATGGAAGGCGGACTCTTCAGCCTGCAGAGCACGTGCTAGGTCTTTGACACGAGATGTCGATGCTGCGGACTCGGGTAGTGGATTTATCACAGCCGCCTTCGGCGAGTGGGGATTGGATGAAGCTTTGACAGTCTTCTGGTACAGCCAGTGCAGGAGCGTCAGGCTTTGGCAGTAGACTACGGGATTCCGCTCAATCAGGGGCGGACCACCCTCCTCCGTGGGAATAGCATGCAGGGGTATGCGATTCAGTAAGCCTGTGGGACAGAATACGATCGTCTCACCGGGCTGGATGGCATATTGAGGCAGGGTTGTGAGTAGAGGTGTAAGGAGTCCAGTCAGCTCGGCTAGTTTGGCCTCGGCATCAGCGTTTCCCAGATGATTGATCAGCTTTGAATCGTCCTCCTCAACATTGAGATTCTTCTTCACCCATATATTGATCCCAGCCATGGTTAGAACTGGAATGGGGATGGGAGGGTTAGTCATCTGCTGTCTCCGGTACACAAGAGCATACATTGTGGGCCCTCCTTGAACGTATGGAACATTTATGATGTCGACAATGACTGTGTTTGGGGGAAGAGTGTTCAACATTTCTCGAAATTGGGGTACTCTGACCCATTCAGGGTACCGCGGGCTTAGTACATGAGGCATTTGTTGCTGAATAGCACTGGATACTTCAGGGGAACTGCCCAACTCCGCTTGCTGAGCTTCCTCGATTGCTCGTTGTGTTTGTGACTCCAAGTTGAGTAAATCAGAGAAGCCGGCGCCTTTGGACCGACGGGCCCACATGGCAAGATTTAGAACGTCCGACACAGCTTGGTTGTAAAAGTCCGGGTTTTCACTGTTTCGGTAGAGCTTTGCATAGTGGTTGAACGAAAGTAGTCTGCCAAGTAGCGCAAAGTTGTGGTGCTCTCGAAATTGGAAATCATCTGCTAGCTTGACACTGGCGACAAGGCTATCGGGGGCATCTAGGCCGACTATTTGTCCCCGGACACTGAAGAATACATCCTGGGCTTCATTGACACGAAGCATGATTTCTTCTACCGTATCACGTAGCGCCCTGGAGCACTGCACGTGTCGCTGCCAGATCAATCGCATGCGTTGGCAGAGAAAATGATATTGCCTAAGAGGCTGCCGCGCGTCTCGTGCTTGTATCGTCAGTTGTGAGCAGTCTTGGAGACGCTCAATTAACTCGTCGTCGGTCACTAGCCCCGCTGCACCACTATCCTTCCGTGCAAAAGACTTGACAAGCGTGATGCGGACGGCGGATGCCTTTTCTTCATCAACACTTATCGCGTCCCTTGTAGCGGTCTCCAGGCTTCTAAGTTCATTCAATAGACCTGTAGTTGCTTCAAACTTCCTCGCCTGCTCCGGGCTGGGTTGTTTCTCCTCAGTTGAGCACATGGTGTCGCGGAGACGGAAAAGACAAGCCTCGAGAAAAGTCCTTAGGGCAACTATACGTGCCCCGCGAGACGGGGGTCTTTTGTCCAGCAAGGCCCAGCGTTTCAGCCTCACGTATTGTGTCATAAAGGTCTCTGTGTTTTCGAGGCCACCATCAACCCCGTCTGACCAGCCATCGAAGGCCACCAGCAAAGATTCATTCACGGCGCTCTTAATTTCCTTAGATTTAAGTACCTGAACTGGGTTGCGTGGGGCTTCCAGTCTATGACCAAGCTTGTCGCCGAAGAGAAGCCGTAAGTGCTCCCAGGATAGCAGCTTGGCGTCCCATTCCCACGCCGCCCATTTCAACATCAGCCCCACCGCGTTCTTACCCCAAGACATTGTGTCCGAGGCCTCGTTGTTAATCTCATGGACGTAAAAGGACGGATCCAGTAGAGCTTCCTCTGAGAGGCCGGCGCCGGCAGTCCAAAAGGGGCATTTCAACAGCCAAGGGCGATACGAGGCCTTGAGCTCTTTTTCTTCTCTTTTGAGATCTAGTTTGCGAGTTGCAGTGAGTCGGGCATCATGAATGCGCTCTTGGTACAGAGGGATGGCAAAGTTCGGGTGAGCATCTGTAAAATCGCGAGCTATCTTGACCATCTCGGTGTACTTGTGGCCTAATCGTAGGGTGTGGAGGTAGTCGACTGTCGCGCTTCCGGCAAAGTAATACATGCAGCTGACATTCTCATGGAAGTCTTGATAGATCTTGTGTACATCATACAACTGCCGCATGGCACCGTCAATCTCAGTCTGACCTTGAGCTGTACGGAGCCACTCGTGAGAAATATTTCGTGCTTCAATGTAGCAGTGATTTGCCTGAGTATAGTCCAGCTGCTGTTTCGCCTTAGCTGCCAAACCTAGTAGCATTCTCACTTTGGCACTAGGGGGGCGCTCGGACCGTATGACAAAGTATCGAGTGCTCTCCAAGTCTAGAGATGGAAGGCATGCCTGCCAAGTAGGAAATGCTTTTGGCTTGATCTTTGATAGTAAGAAAAAAGACTCGATCCAGAGTGAGGATTCCTTATCCTCAGACTTGGTCATGGAATATAGCTTTCGCTTCACCCCAATGGCGCGGACTTGGAGTGGTGCAATTCCGCTTTGCTCAAGCTCTTCACACAGACTCATGGCATCAACCAGAGTCTCTTTCAGCTTGCCTGATGTAGTGTGTTCCAGTTCAAGAAGGAGGAACTGAGACGCCGCCTGCAGGCGATTTTCTTGATGCAGCTGTTTTCTCAGGCGATTTAGCTCAGTGGCCGTATCAAACCAGGAATCGGTAAATATAGCATCGTACGTCTTTCCCAGCAGATTTGAGACCCTTCGCAATGAGATTGCCAGCTGATGAAAGAGAATAATTATTCGAACCTAAAGTGAGAGCAAATGGAGTTAGTAAATTCATCAGTATCTTTAGAGATCAAGATGAGGCGAATCACCTGGACATCATCTAGCCCTTGAACTCCAATGTTGCCTTCCTGGAAATGTTCTTTCACTGCCGCAATGCTGATCATTGCAGGCTCGGTTAGCCCCTCGGCCCAGAACTCCGCATCTGCTAGCATGAGGTTCATCAGGAGCCGAATTCTGGCAACATTTATTGTCTCCGTGTCAGGTGGTATTCTTCCTAGTGCACGCTCAAGCAGATCAATCCTAGCATGTTCGCTACCTTGGAGGGTTAACATGTCGGCCCGTTGAAGGGCAAGTATGGGCTTCATTTGGGAAGCGGGGAGGTCGGTTGAGTAAATTGCCGTGGCATGCTCAAAACGTCCACAGTGCTGCGCATAACACGCAGCCTCGAATTGATTTTGCTGTGCCGAGTCTTCCAGTGTAGGAAGAAGGCATGGGTATGAAGTCCACTTGCTGTTTGCTGTATTGGTAGAATGAGCCATGGTTTCGACCGAGAGGCTTGTTTGTACACTCCAGAACAAGTTACGAGAGTGCGATACCCAAGTAGCTGATTAGCTGAAAGACTTGGCGGTGATCCGCTTTATCTTGTGCATGACATGGAGGAGTGGCGCACCAGAATAAATACTAAGGAACTAAGCCAGACTTGATCGGGACAGAAAGACAATGATCTCGTTTGCTTGTTCTCGTATAGAGAGATCAAACCGTGCGTGTGGATGCGCAATATTGGCCAATGGGTAGTTCGTTAATAACAGGCAACCTGTAGCTGTAATACCATCGATGGTGGTGCCTCAAAGGTCCAATGACTTTCCTCTGCTAGAATAACCATGATTCCCCCCGCAGACGGGTATGACGACAAGGTGCATAAGGTCAATTTCACAATTGGTCAACTCTCATCACTAACTTCATGCTGCCGTGTCTGTCGCCAATCGATGGGTTTATTGTGCTTCGGCTGACGGTCTGACCTCAGAATACGTGCTTCAACTTGAAGCAGCAACTCTAGCCGATACCTCTGGTGGACCTGTTTCCAAGTATCAGTTTACCATTATCACCAGCTTTTCTCAGATTGTTCTCAGACATTGCTTATCAATCACAAAGTAACCTCTCCTTCGCAGACCAGCCAGTATTCTCCATCATTATTTATGTCGAAACAACCCGAGTTTTTGCTTCTCAAGCAACCCCTGGGCTGGGTTCCTGAGGCCCGTTGGGATCAAGTACTAGGATCGGTCGTCCTCAACCCTCACTCGCCCCTCGATAACAGAACACCTGATCACCCCCCGATCGAGTTGAACGACATTTCAGAGACAACATTCACCGACTTCATAATAAAAAAAGATTTTGGCACCGACGCTTCCACTACTTTCAATGTCGAGGGACTCGGTACTCTCCACCGGCAGATCAGCGACGCCTCTTATCGCAAACTTCACGGAAAGTTTGTCATTTCTAAGCGCCTTACCCAACGTCGTCTTTTCTGGGAAGCCATGGTAGATGCCGACCCAAACTTTGCTGAGAAGGCCGCCGACTGGGTCGGGGAGCGCCGTGGCTTTCTCAGGCTACGCTCCCGTCATGAAGTTTGTTGGATTGTGGGCGTGTTGATCTGCAAGGACGTCGCTATCGCCACTTCCATCGAGAAGAAGAGAGAATATCGCGCCCGAGGCGACGTTCTCTTGGGCACAGCGGCGCAGATAATTGCAGCGGCACACGGTGTGCTGCTACCGACGGGTAATATCGGGAACGCCAGTGTCGGGGGTGGGAACAGTCAGGAAGAACACGAGTATTTTGTAGCAAATGGAAAGGGTGGCTTCATATTTGCTCTAGAGGTTGTACTAATAGGCTCGACCAAAGGGAAGTTACAGGTTACAGACAAGGTGCCGAGGGGACAGAAGCTAGGGAGAGGGGCCTTTGATGATGAAGCTGTGGTGTTTCCAGAAGATCTACAGCTACAGGAGGAGCTCATTGAGACAGACTGGGATGACTTGCTCGGAGATCCCACCATGTGAGCGTGTTCAATATAAACGGAACTAAATCAAGTCAGCGGCTAGATATTGCATCAGTAGAGATGTGAATCCCCGTGAACGATGACGATATCTTTCTGGTTTTTGATTTTTCATTCCATATCACGAATTACGCTCTCGCTGATTATGATGGGATTTAGGTTCTGGGATTGACTTCCTGCTGACTTCTCAAAGCTGATCGTAGCCACTCGCATCAGACAATACTCCTCTTTTTCGAAGACGCGAGGCTTCAGGTACCACACACACAGCCCATTGCAGCGCAGGAGAACAGTCGATCACTATTGACTGGCAAAATTACTAAATATTGAAATAAGAGCACGCATTCAGGTATCCTGTTCTAGAACGATTTCAATCTTTTAATTCTTATCCAAGTTGGAGCTGTAGTGCGATGTCCCTGGAATCGCCGTAGTAAAGCATCCTCATAGACAGCCCGTATTCATCTGCTGATATATTTCCGCCACAAATTCTCCATTCCAACAAATTCCGTCGAAATTGTCAGGCCTATTAGCCTTTGAGAAAATGAATTTAGATGCATATGTTAGAAAGTTGAGAAAAGGCCCCAGTCCATTTCTGTTCATTGTTCGAATGGAAATGACCCTTATGTTCTACTTATTCTGCTTAAAGCCAGCCATTTGGGGACGGAGGCAGGAGGAGAACCTTGAGATAAACGAATCCTGTAAGCTCTATGCAACAGTTCCCTTATTAAGTATATTGTGGCTGTAAGATTGGTTAAAGAACGGCAATGAAAAAAGCAACAAATAGCGCAATGTGAATTAGTACTTACTACGGGATTTTTGCCCATATGCTTGACACACTCGTTCTCCTTGGTCGCTTTTTCGAGGCAATTTGATCAGATGGTTTCAGTATGTTGAAATTGCAAAGAAGGTCGCTAGAAATTTGCATGCTTGCTCCCATGTTATCAAACTTGCCGCAGTACTTAAACAAGAGTTATTGTCAGTACTCATCGCACAGTCAACGAGTGGGAAAAAGCCAAAGACTCACATTTGGTGCAGAGAAGACCGTAACGAGATTGCGCTCCCCAAAAAACTCATATCCTCCTTCCACCACCATGTGCGCCCGGCAGACAAGGTCTAAGTTGTGACGCTTCAGGAAATTGGATACAATCTTCCTTCCAAAGAACCAACTCACACCTCTATCATCGTTAGGTTCCCAGTCTTTGATATTTGCGGGGTCGCTCCATAGGAGATCGTTCAAAAGACCCTGATCAGGCACTTCCGTAGGACGAGCGATGTTTCGGATGTCATTCATATCTAGAAGCTTTGGGGAAAGGCCTCCATGCACACAGAAAATCCTTTCAGCGATAACTGCAGCGATTGGAAGACAGTTGAAAACATCGGTAAACGTTTTCCAGATCTTAACACTGGATCTTCGCTTACACTCGTCATAAAACCCGTAGATTCGAGAGACATTGGCACATTCATGGTTACCCCGGAGTAAAAAGAAAGTTTCGGGGTATTTGAGCTTGTAGCACAGAAGTAGAAGTATTGTTTCCAAGCTTTGCTTTCCACGGTCAACGTAGTCTCCTAGAAACAGATAGTTTGCGGCAGGAGGAAATCCAGACATCTCAAATAACCGAAGAAGGTCCGTAAATTGACCGTGGATGTCCCCGATGATATTAATTGGAGCATTTAGCTCTAGGAGAATAGGCTGGGAAAGGAACAGGTTGCGGGCGGCCGAGCAAATGGATAGAATGTCATTTTCGCTGAGACATAGATTTTTCTCAGGCCTCGATTTTCCCACGTTAAGTAATCGTGAAATCATGCCATCTAGATCAAATATAGTGGATCTTTCTGTATTTGTCCGGTCTCGAGAAGAATCATCCCAGATTAATGTTTCCAGGTTGAGCTCATTATATTTTCGCAAGATAGATTCTTTCGTGGCTCCAGGAACCCCGGGCGGCGAATTTTCAGACAAGGGAATATCTGGTTTGTGGCTGGAGTCCTCATTCAGGTGACTCATCTTCTCGTTCGATGTATTTGGAACATTGGTCACTGGCGGGCCTGAGCTGCTGTGCGTGCTGAAGTTGCCCGTATTGTGACTATCCCTTCTTGAGACATTAGAAAGAGGGGTTTTAGGTAATTTGATTGCGAGATCGTCATCGTCAGCTGTGACGTTCCCGGTGGTATGGCCAGATCCCATTTCTTCAGCCTGCTGAAGGTCGTTTGGCTGTTGTTTTAAAAACTCCCTCAGAGTGGGTTGGCCCTCTTTCATCGCTGTAGCCCTGTCTATGCTCACGTCATTAGGTTGGCCAAGCTCGCTTTCCTCTGGTATCAAAACCGGGGTCTGGTCGGCAGCCGTAGGAGGCAGCTCATTATCGGCAGTTGACATAGCTTTGGCTATTATCGCAATAGGCGACTGATTCCAAAAAGTTGTAGATATTTCATTGTGGAGGGCACGATTTCGGAAGAAGCTGGGTTATCAGCATACGTGCGGAGATACTCTTGGCAAGCCAAGCCGGGTGGCGAAGCCGGACTGTGATTGGCAACAGGAGCTGGCAGAATTCTAAATGGCGTATGGACGGTTTAATACACTCATATATTAACCTTGTGATTCTGCGGCGCATTTAAATGTATGACGTCATTTACGCCAGCACATCGCGGAGTGATGTATAAGACTATCAAGCGGGCTTCGTGGACACAAAAACATGACAGGCCCTCACATTTTACGGTAGCCATCTCCATGACCATTTGATTTCATCACGCCTGATAAAGTGTCTCTGCCCTCTTGTAGAACCTCATCAAATCCCATCATCAGTCGTCGCTATTACTTGATTCAGAATCTACCGGCTCAAAGCCTACGCACATTTCATCCTGAACTTACCACTCTGCTCATGCTCAAACCTCCTGCCCACAATCATGGTGGTTTCTATATCTTACAATAGCATAACCTCTGGAATTCAAGTCGCATAAAATTATGATCCCACTACTGTAAAGTTCGGGAAGTGGGGAATGACAACTCAAACGGATGTGGCTAAAAGGTTGCTGCTTTCAGTTCAACTGATCGAATTAAAAATATCTTCGGGATTTGCGTAAGACCGATCCTAAAGATGATAGCAAGTATATCGCAAAACCAACGAAGGACTACTCAAAAATTCATATCCCTGGTTTCTCGATAATCAAGAATGCAAAAAGTCACGAGACAGCCAGAGATATAGTCTCCGCTGGATCAGGTGATCCCGGCAAAGGCAAGACAATGCTGCTACGTGGTATCTTCGACGAGATGACAGGATTTGATTGAAGCGCTGCGAATGTCTTATTTTCTTTTGGATTTTTGCCAAGCTCCCGACGTGCGTATCAGCAATGCCACCGTTGTTCTCCGGGGCTTCGTATATTTGCTTGGCGAGAAGAGCCCATCTCTTCTCTACTACGTGCGGAATCGGTATGAGAAAGCAGGCAGGGCTTTTTTTGAGGATTCCAATGCATGGAGTGCACTCTCGAAACATACACATACTAACAGATTTTCCCAACTGACCGTCTTGGAACCGTGCCTATCTAATGATTGATGCCTTAAATGAGTGCACCGATGGTCTTCGCTCCCTTCTGGACTTAATCGTCCAGAAGTCATCACTTCACCCACAGGTAAATCACACTTCAAATGGATCAACAGAAAAACTGCTCAAATGCAACCGCGACTTAAATTGTATTGAGAGCGCCAGGGGACGCTGACAAGAGCTTTGCAGTTGGAAAGTCTTGCTTCCTTGACGGACCCTCGCATTACCAGGCCGGTCACATTTAGCTTCAAGCTTTACTCCATAGTACTAGCTGTTCGATAGAAAGACCAATTTTCAACAGGCGCTACGAAGGAATGAATTGGTTTGGGCGGAGAAAGTTCCCCTCAAATAACGGCGTAAGCCGCGCCTTATGTAAGCGGCCTTATCGTTTCATTTTAGGGCGCCTCGTGATCGAGAGAATGGCGTTTGCCCTGCTTTTTCTCAAATCTAGCTCTACAAAATGGCCGATTTCCCTGCAAGTTGCGAAGAAACATAGGCACGAGCACGGTCTGGACTCAGGAAAATATGTAAGCTAGGCTCAGAACGCAATAGCGTTGCATCAAAGTGGGAAACGTGGGCCGGGCCGAGACCATAGATACGTCATAACCTGCTGGAATCTGGGCAGATTGAGGATGCTTTCAGCCAATCAAAATTCCGATCATGGCATCCATATGTTTTCAGCCAATCGAAATGCTCAATCTCGAGCCGAATGTCACGGAAAAGATTGGAAGTATGCCAACTTTTGGAAGTTGGTCAAAGCCCATACCAACAAATTTTGCACATAGCACGCATTCTGGAATTCTACTTTTTCCTTAACTAGGAATTTCAACTCCGTAATAATTCTTAATAATTTTTGCCACTCAGGCAGGACGGTCATCAGGTAGTATAGAGAGGTTCTTAGCATTTTCGCTCGCTGCAATGCTTCGTTACCGGTTAGTATCGACACAATTTGGTCATAAGTTGGCAGGAATTGGTCACTAACTTGGTAAATGCTAACAGATCAGTCAATAAGCCTGATGACCAACTGATCAACCAGTTTAGAACGCGCTATGGCTCGTTCTTGTACAACGCCTGTCATCCACATTGGGCCAAGATTCGCGGTGCCAATGACGCGCAAGACTCGATCGCCCCTCGCGGGTTTGATAATGCCTCCACGAGCTTGAATCCCGCCGATCCTGGTACAGCTTATATGGCGGAGTCAATTAATCCGCAAGCCATTACGCTTCAAAACGTCAGCACGCCAGGATCTGGTGCAGTCTTTCACAACTCGGGGGGTGACCTTCACGCTGCTGCTTTTAGATGGATCCAGCCAAGTCCCCTTCCACTTAATGATGGGCTGACACCACAACTTTCGTCAAATGGAACCAGTGGTTTCCCTGCTTCCATTGAGACGCGACACGATCTACAAGAGAACAAGACTCTTGGCCAGGCGGACCATCTATTAATGCCATGGCTTATGACGGGTCCAGTTCCCAGTTGGGAGAGCATGAATCCAGACTGCCTGAGTTATCCCGAAAATGCATTCAATGAACTTCCTGAGTTGACCTTTGGCACGGACACCTATGCAACGCCCGTCAGTCAAACCGCCACTCCGGCAGCCTTCAACATGCGCAGAGAATGGTACGTCCTTCCCACACACCCTTCTCAGTAGGTTTGAATGGTGCTGACTGATTTCAGTAATAACTTTCGGTTCCATGTGACTTTAAACGCCCCGGTGGCGATGTTTCCACTTGCCAGTGGAAACCAAGTGACATATCTCAACAAGGGCCATGTTTACAATGTGGCCGTCGTTGACTCTACTCCCCAAGTTATGCAGTCAAGCCCAGTGAGATACAGGACCCACATACGGGTCACTTTTGAGGCAGAAGAGCAGAGAAAGAACCCACACGCCGCATGGGAGCTCTGGAAGTCGCTACGTGGGCAGAAAGAAGCTGGCAGGTGCAATAATTCGGCTTTAGGGGTTGAGTATGCTACTTTACCCGATGCTAGCATGAACGGTGAACCTGATGCCAATATACAACTTGAGAGAACCTCTATCGACGGTTTCTCCGTTATATGGACCGCCGATACAGCCTCCCAAGTTGTCAGATGCAACATCCCTGTACGATTCAACGTCTTGTCCACTGATTTCAGTCGTTCAAAAGGAGTTCAAGGCGTTCCAGTACGGCTTTGTGCGATGACAGAGATCGTAACAGAAGAGCCTCACGAAGCGGAGATGTGTTATGGTATAGTGAAGCTGTTTCGTGATCATGGTGCCGAGAGAAAGATGTCCAACGACGAAGCGTACGCCAAAAAGCGGGTTGAAAAAATCAGCCAGCAAATGGCTGAAAAAGAGGCTCGGAAATTGTCTAGGAAGCATAGTCATAAGCGTTCCTCTCAAAACACTGCTCTCTCTGACAAGCCTCCCACGAAGCGAAGACGCTCGAATTGGCTCAATGATCCATCATTCGAATATGACCCAAACGCCGAACTTTCGTTCTTGACCAACCTACTGTCATCGGAACGTCCTTTAACCGTTCTAGGCCTTCCTGGTGTTGCACAAGATCACCCTGTCAATTTCCCGGTTCAGCTATCGGACCTGAATACTTCTGCTGGGTGTGACCTTACAAGACGACAGTCTGATCATTTTCAGGCCAATCTCATGACTCAGAAAGTGGCAAAGAGCCTCAGCTACGATGGCTCTTGTCTTTCCTCTCCCTCAGTTCAGACACTGCGCAGTTCATCCTCAGACACCCAGTCATCACAGTCTACTGCATTATCCAGCGTCGAAGGTTCCCCTGTATCAATTTCCAGTGATGCTCCCAGATATGGTACGTTCAAGCCGATGCTATCAAATTGATTAAATTATACTAATCTTTTCAGTTGCATGCTTCTACGTCCAGTTCATCAGAGATGGAAAGCCTGTTAACAACTGCTACCATGCGATTTATCTGAGGGAGAGGACAGAGTTAGAGCTCTTGCGGGGAATTTCGAAGAATCTGCTGATAGGCACAGATCAAATTCGCCTCATTTGGGTCAGTCCCAAGGGTATGAAAGTCATTGTGGACGACGATATGGTAAACCACTTCCCAGAGGGGCAACTCTTGTCTGCAGATATCTCCGATATCGATATTTCTCAGAACGAAGGGAGAGACTTGGACTCAAAAGTTTCTCCGATTGAAGTTAGGTTAATGTTTTCCGCATGTTAATATTCAGTTCGTGTCAGCGTGTCATAATATATCTCCAGGTTCCTTTCTTCGCATTCTTATATTCCTTGCTCTTGGTCCGGGAGATTGAACATATTGAGAAGACGTTCGGCGGCTAGAGAGATGTCATGATCAGTACTCGTCGAAAGCCAGCAATTATGGGTAAGAAAAATCATAAATGGGCCACTCTGGGCTAGAATGGTTTGCATGCTATTTACAGAACAGACGGCCGGAGAGTTCGTGGACGCAAATGCTTGACGCGTAGCAATCACATCATTGATCTCTGTCGTTGCATGTAAATGACTGGCCCCAGACTGAAACACGGCAAGAAAATCCCCAGAACTGAAAGGTATTCATGAACACTGATAACAGGTATCAATCTGCAAGATCTTTTGCTGCCTGAAGCAATTCTAAAGCCTAAATTGCTATTTGGTTGCCATAAGTTCGCTGGCACAGCTGATTTATCCAAGGTGAATTATGGCAGTGCGAAATGAGTCATGAGGATCGAAGGGTAGCACCCGCTTCAATGTTGGCGTCGAGTATTGAGGTTTGAGTTCCGCTGTGTAACTTTCGGAAATTCTTATTGAACTCAGATAAAGCCTTTTCTTTTCTGCTAACCTGTCAATGGCAGCTAGTCTTACCTGGGGAGATTTGCGTGAGAATTTTCATGCTGAGGTTCGACTGAAGCCATAGAATCTTGTGATGGAACATCCTGCACAAGTGGAGAATTTTGATTTGGGAAATGCATTGTGAATACTAACTGGATCTAAGATTAAGTATAAAATGGTGGAAAGGTGTAAAGCCTTGAATAGTCGTCTAGGGCACGCTGAAGCTGCCTTCGGGAACGTGGTCCTCTCTGATGACGTTCCGGGGGCACCGTTGCCTCGAAATAAGAGACCACTAGATCCAGCTGATTGATCCACTCTGCGAAGGAAATTTTGGATTGTCTTACATCAAAGCAAACAGTCTCCCGCCCTTTACAAGGAACCGTACTGTCGCATAAAGAAAGCGACTTGTTTCGATAGCTGAGACACTCCATAGAAAGAAGATCCAGTGCTAGCTCATCTCGGAGAAAATTCCAAACCTGTCGCCAAAGTTGTTTTGCTTCGTCTGCGATCTGATCGTTTAAATTGGTATAATTTTCTGGGTCTTCAAGAGATGGTAATAGATCGTTCAGGCTCAAGCTGCTCATGCGGAGAGATTTCAAAGTTGGCGCGGCACTGCGCAAGAATGACTTGACAGCATCTAGGGTAATGTAGATTCCGTCTAGATGAAGCTCCTCAAGTTGAGTCAACTGGATACACTGCGAAACCTCTGAGAAGTATCGAGGGTCTAGAATTTGATCTCTGAGCCCCCGATGAGAGTCTTCGGTTAATCGGACAGCTCTGGCCTTTTGGGAGAACTTCAATACTCTAAGACAAGGCGCTGCTGTCAAAAGGATATCGAGGAGCCTCCTGAATCTGACGGCATCTGGATAATCTCTGACATTATGTAGACACATGTGGAGATGCTCTAAGCCTCGCAAGGATGGCATCAGAGTATCGTAATCTGATGTTGTAAGGTAGATAATCCTCTGGCGCGAGACCGCATTCAAAGTCATTGCAAGTATAGAGTCTCCGGAGATTCGGCGAAGATGTGGCCACTGCATTTAAGAGTGCGGAAAAGAGATGTCCACGCCGAATGTCTCTCACTATCATTTCAGCTGTTTTATGACGTGATGAAGTAGTGCTGAGTCGGACATATGGCAGCAAATTTCTTATTTGTTGTAAACCTAAGCATAGAAAACCAGTATTCTTTTCATGGTTGAGCAGAAATTCTTTAGAGCATGGTCTCAAGCCGACAGACTCGAGATTCTGAAGTTTCCTCATGCAGCTGTTTAGCCTTCTTTCGAGGTCACCTGATTCTAGAATGGTGAGCTGATCTGAAAGTATCTGCTGGAATTCTGAATGGCAATCCCAGGGCCCATCATCCGTGAAGTCATAATGATGCCGCTTAAATAAATTTGGCACAACCCATAGCTCCTTGACTTGGTTGCGAAGGCCATCGTTTGCGGCGAGTCTTTCGAGCTGGTGTAGACTGTCAAAGGTTATGAGAACAGCGATGCTCTTACAATATCGACCGGCAAATGCTTCGAGTGACTTTTTGTAGAGGAGCTTGCAAGCGAGTCGCAGAGATCCCCACTCTGGCGGTTCCAGATAATAACAGATTGCGTTTAGCAGCTCGACTGGAAGCTGATCGAGGAACAGCCTGGCTTGTTGTTTGGAAGAAAGTGCTCTCCTGATCGAAAGAATCGCGGTTTCGGGGATGCAGATAATAGTGCAAATGTTTCGGTCAGTGGTTAATGTGTACCAGCATAAGCAAGTTCGCCCATGATCATTGAAGCTTGCGAGTTATGCATTGGAATGAATTTTTTCATTTTTTCGCGCGGAGTTGGGTGTGTTTCAACAGTTGATGGAAATCAAGTGAGGAGCTGAGTGTTCGTAATTGCAAAAGATCTCTGAGTCAGAGACCCAGCCTGTGACTGCAAGGCGTTTTTGGCCCCCATCGCATTACTTGGGGAAAGGCGCTGCCTAATTGGTCAAGCCTTCGGCTAAAATATCCTTCTTTAGGTTTGTTATTTCTTTGCTTTAAGTGAAGCTTAAGATGGCTCTACGGAAACGTCTGCGACTAGACAGATTATCGCATTGAAAATGTGCTGCTGTGTGCTGTGGCACTAAGACCAACAAACTAGAAGAAACAGGAAGAAACAGCGCCCATGAATAATGACTCAGACTAGACTAACTGGATCCTGAGTTGACCTCCCACATGAAGGGATTATCACCCTGAAAAACATATTCTCTTAGAATTTGCACATGACCATTCATTAATGTCGCAGTAGATATTGAATAGGGGCATTGGCAATCATTATAAAGCAATCACATGCTGCTCCATGTATTGTCGTTTTTTGGATTCTAGACCAAAAGCATTCAGCTGTAATCGACTAGCCTTTGCTTCATAACCATACCCCAGCCAGTGGTACCATGGCCTTGGGATCATCTGGGTCTCCGATTGCATATTGCCGCCGCTTTCTATCAAGAGCCTTGCCACAGCCTCATGGTTGTTGCATATCGCAAGATGCAGTGGAGTGCGGCCATATGAATCTCGAGACTCTAGGCTAACCCATTTTGCTAGCAAATGCGTGACCACTGCCTCATGGCCTCCCTGTGCTGCGTATAGCAGTGGTGTGCAACCCAATAAATCTTTGGAATCCATCATTTGCAGATCAACGCCCTTCTCTAGTAACAATTTAGTTACTGCTTCGTGGCCACCGTATGCTGCGACGTGTAATGGGGTTCGACCATCTGAATCTTCAGGCTCCAGATCAACGCCTTGAGCCATTAAGAGTCTGACCAATGCTTCATGGCCACGGCGTGCTGCTTCATGCAGTGGGGTGCGACCAAATAGGCCCTTTTTCTCTGGATCAGCCCCATGTGCCAGCAAAAGTCTTGCTACAGCCTCATGCCCGTTGAAGACCGCAAGATTAAGGGGAACTAAACCAAGATTGGTATGATATTGCACGTCCACCCCTTGGCAAATCAACTTTTGGGCTGTTTGCAATTGACCGTGCTCAGCCGCCCACACCATGGCTGAACTGTTATGATGTCGAATGTTTGAAGAATAAAGGTAGGGATTGAGAAGAAAGTAAAGGCGACGGTTCGTCTGTGCTAAAGCGTTGATATCTCTTTGTGATTCAAGGATTTGTGTGATAACTTGTAGAAGTTCGTTTGGCAAGTCAAGCAGAGCCATGTTGAGACGATATTTATTCAGTATGATCTCTTCATGGAGAAGTGAGCTAATAAGTACTTGGGCTGAGTATTGGCATAAAATGGTCTTAGTCTAAACCCTATCGAGAACTATGGGGCACCGATCTGGCCAATCAAATGCAGAAGGGCGATCAGATCGGATCTATGACGTGGCAAGAATGGCTTTATTCTTTAGAGGTGTCTTATCAGCTGGCTGATAAGCCGACAGAATGATTGACCGCTACGGTGTTTACCGGCTTACTTGACCCGTGAGCTCAAATAAATCTACCCCTCTATTACTTGGGTACACTGCAGACTTTTTGGACATACGTCCGAAATCACCACCAGACTTTTTGCTTTTCCCCCCTTCTCCTTCCATTTCATTTTTCTTCTCTTCTCTGTTTTTCTTTTTCTTTTCTATTCCGCTATTGATGAATTTGGAGAGCCCTTGGGCCATTTGATAAAAACGGTACGGAAGAAGGTAGAATACTGGACAGGATACCGAGTAGGAGACCGAGTAGAAGACTGAGTAGGAGATGTAGTAGGAGGTGAGGTCTAATACCTAAGTAGGGGGCGCGCTTTTTGCGCGGCGATAAGCCTCTAGTTGACTAGTACCTGGAAGATACGTTCCTAGTGAGGGCCACTCTGTTCCCTGATGAGAGCTTGTCTAGAACGCAGGAAGCTGAGCGTGCCATCGAGCCAGTGCCGGCTTTCCGTATTGTTCCAGGCTACGAAAGGACATACGTAAGCGGTCTTGATTCCGAATACTGTATTAGCGTAGACGACTGGGAAAGATCCACGCTTTGGCGTTATACGGGGTAGCCCGGCTCGGCCCGAGGGATCAGAATGACTAAGACAAGATCAGCAGGTTGAAATACATCTGAGACCAGATTTAGGGGTGCGTGGATATAAGTAAACGCAGGTGACCTGAAAAAGCCCTTAATTTACTGAAATAGTTGCACCCTACCTGACATCACTCCTGTAGTTCACTTCACAAAGAATCAATAGTACCTGAGCAGACCTTATAGCCCCGCCATCTGATTAATATTATCATAAGCATATATGATATATTCGAACAAATTTTACATACACAATGTCAAAAGATTAGCACTCTTTCACCTGGCCACATAGCAAGCAGCGCACGCCGCGTATCTTTGGGGATCAAGAAATGACACTGTCCTTCTCAAGTGCTTTAGGCTTGTTGTAATATAGACGTATCCTACATCAAAAAACACTCCTACGATCTTTACAACCATATTTTCATTCAAATTACAGGTTAACACCTTTTTTGAAGCCCTCTTTCACCGAGACAACTTTCAAAGTGTATCATCATTATTATTCATTCCGTCTCCACATCTGATTTGTCAACCAAGTATCGAGATTCAAGTGAACTGGTCATACGAATGATAGTTGATGACTTGCCGAATCTTCAAAGGGGCCTCCCTTGGATCATTGATGCCAGACTCGTGAGGGGGGTTCCTGATTTCACCTCTGAAAACTTTTTCTTAGTGACAATGAACATATGCATTCAATTACTTACAACAGCTGTATTCATTGCAAACACGTGAGATATCAATATGCCTGAACGAGCTTTTAGACTTAATACATGTTGAAGATTCCTCCCTTGCGTCTGTAGCCATGATGAACAAATATTAGGTGGAATTTTTGCCAGCAGGACTTCGTATATTTGATAAGTAACATGACATCACACATAACTATCCTGGTCCTCCTTTTTTGTAGCATCCTCGTCATCTTCAATACTTGAGTGTTGGAGAGATGTTCCTTCAGGGTTTACACTTTTCCTATACGTATCTCGGGTGGCATCCTCCTCAACATTACTGGCAGTTGGAATGTGAGCATAATGATGTGAAACATTTCCGTGATTGGAATGGGCTTCGCCTATTTGAACAGCGTCGCTATAAGTTGCTCGATGAGCAGCAGACAGAGCAAAGTCACCAGAGTCAAATTGCGTTTGTTTCTTGAAATTGTCAGTGAGTACGCGCCACAACGAGGAACTTCCATTACCTTGGCCTTTTGACTTAGTATGACTCCACCTGGAGTTTTCCCATACTTGCTGAAGTGCTTTTTCTCACTTTCCGACAATGGCTGTGAGAATATTAGCATTTCTTCTATACTTCAGCGTGCGAAATTATCACCTCAGGATATGAATATTTGCGTCCAGACTGCATTTCACGAAGCTAGAAATTTGTTTCAAGGTTTTCTGAAGAACTTGAACTGAATTGGCTACACTCGATGAGGGAAGATCTAGACGTCATTGAGAATATCACGTGCGCAAAATGAGGACGGGAACCAGATTCTAAGGTGTGGCTGATTGCCTCTTTTGGACTAGCGACAATTTGACACCTACCGCCTGCCGTCATCGTCAGCCCCGTCAAAGAAGACAAACATCAGAAACATCACCAGGCTCCGTATTTTACTAAAACTATCCTAATCTCGCCAAAGGTGCGAGACGACTATGCCGGGTGGGAAAAATTTCCACATCTTGATCCGGATGAGGCATATCCCCTAACTCCTAATGAAGTCAAAATACTTCGGGAATTCGTTGAGAATTACGGCATGCCCAACGCAATTCCAACAGGCGACGCTGCTTGTCTCTTCATGTCACTTCGTAATGAAGACAGCCTGATCAAAGAGCGCGGGAGTCAAGGTGTCGACAAAGGCGAGCGCGTTTCATGGCTACTGTGGGATGCTGCTATTGAGATGCCGCGCTACCAGCCTGCTATCTTGAAGTTAGTGGAAACTATACGAGGTCTTCCGGAGCTTGATAGAAGTAAGGAATAGGTCTGCACAACACGATTACAGGACATGCTAGAAAACTGGAGGAATCTAGAAGCATTTGAGAAAATCTGGCAAGATAATGATAACTACTTCTTTTCGCCAAGGGCATGACGCAAATTGGCCGTAATTTATTACGGACATTCCTTAACCTACCTTCATAAAGGCTCTATTCTAAGGCCTGGGGTATCGCTAATGCCCGGATGCTGATTATAGGTTACTGGGAAATGAGATATGGTACAGATTCCTTCATAGGGTGGTCCGCTTTCACCAATAATAACACCTTTTCTGCCCATCATCTTGTCGCGTATCCGCCATATGACCCTAATTCACCCGAGCTAAGTATGGCATTACGGATTCCTGTCTTTGCGCTAGAGCAGGATCCATGGAACCATGCGCCAACGCGAGGCCCGCCCCGTTCTCCGTCGTTCTTAAAGCGACACGGCCTTCGAGATACCCGCCCGGCTACACATTATTTTCTTATGCTGAATATTAGTCAAAAAGCACTATAATTACTACGCTTAGCTTAACTAACTCTAGCTTCTAGACTGATGTAAATGCTATGGTTCCCTTATTCGAAATTGCAGGATCCATCATCTTTGTTTATAGGTAAGAAGGACCTTTCTGGAGTCGAAACAGTAAAAAGGGAGCCTGATTGGAATCTATGGAAGGGGGGCCCTTTATTTTTAATAGAGCGGTGGAATTTTTGGAGGGAGCGACTGCAATGGGTTAGTAAACAGGATGAGCTAATGGCAAGAACTCGAGGCGACGCGCGGAAGCTTGTGAGACTTATGCACAACATAGAGCAAGAAAGTCGGAGAGGAAGTTTGGCGCACTAGGCTTAGCATAATTACACAGCTATAACCTTAAAATAGGATTAGATGATTCACATAGCTATAACAAGGACGTCGAGATATTCTAGTTCGGAAATACTAGGGATGGAGTAGGGTACATAGTGGCTAAAGAGGAACGATTCTATCCTATTGTTTCTTCTACTATAACTCATAAGGTGCCTTGCTCTAAGACATTGGATCTTAGAATATCGGTGTAAGTCTGGTTAAATTTTAGTGCCGCCCGAAGAAAGTAGCTTAATCTATCATAGTATTTCAAGTGCTAGGAATGAATTTAGACATACCGGAGCTTTCCTCTATTATAAATTTTCGATCTTCAGCTTTCGCAGCATCTTCCTCTAAAGACCAATGAAGTTAGAATGCCCTGAGCAAAACTCCCTCTTCTTAATTCTAGAGGCAAATGCACTCGCTAACTAGATGAGAAGCGTATATAGCCGGGCATATCTCGAAAGAATATGTTCCTCTCGTCACCATCATTGGTTCTGTAAAGATGCTCTTCTGTCTGTTCGAGCAAAAATGGATGGGCTAGTGGGTGAATAATTATGTGTCAAGCTGCCTTGGTTGGAAAAGATAATACTTGAAGGATATGAGTTAGCTCTAAGGGGCAGGCAAAGACTTGGGCCCATTATACTTGTATCACAATTTCGGTGAAAGTCTGTGAAGCAGTTTCCCTGCTAAGCGGTCTCCGCTAATGCGTCGATCTTTGCTACGTAGGATCTAGCCATGGCGGCATGCTAAATGAGGCTGAGGTTTTAGAGAGCAAAGGCTGATACTACTGATACATGGACGGTGACTGCTTAATCATTGAATTCATCTAGCATTTATAGCAAATTCATCGTAGTGAATCTCCAACAAAGGGGTTTAGCGCTGTTTTCCAACTGGAGTGAAGAGGTATTCCGCAATATGATAGAAATTGCGCAGATTTACCCTATAAACCTGGGTCTAGTACCAAGAGGTCCGCTCGGTACCCTTGTCACTGATCACACCCGTCTAATTTCAGCTATGCTTGAAGACTGGGGTCCTGGGCTCGGCCGGTGCGAGGCGTATCGTGAGCCATATCTTGGCCGAGTGCTTCCCCATGGCGCGATTACCATCCTGCCAGGTTGTGATAATGGCGAAGTAAATTTTATTTTTGTTGGTGAAGCTGTCATCTTGGAACGGCTGAGGAATGACAAGGATATGAATGCCGTGGCTTCGTGTCAGTTTATCAAGGACGACTTCATCTAGGCAGCTGCAAAGCATCTGCGCCCCGCGAGACTATAATGCAAATCATCCGACTTAAATTAGCTTCATATATTGGAGATAGGCTTAGGTGAACCCCCTTATGTAGTTTGCTTCCAGTGCACATTTTGCTCCATTTCTCCTCTTATCCCTTTTTCCCTTTGAATGTTCCTTCTCGGAATGCAGATCCCGAGACAGCCCACCCGGCTTTCCATCTTCCCCTGGCCAACGGTCATCTAGCAGGGTCAGGCCTAGTTGAGTATGTGGTCAGTTTGTATACCTAGTGTGGCATCATAAGATGGACGTATATGTATACATGTGATATATATCTGGGCAGATACCTGTATACAAATAGAGAGGTCAAAGAGCCATTTACTCTATTGAAAGGACTATTTAAGACCTCCCAAAGCTCCCGACGTTGCAGAGACATCCTCGGGTAGCGGAGGTAGGATTGACTAAGGGGTTTAGTAGGTATAATGATCTATAATTTTGCCTAAAATTCATACGGTCGCACCGCAGTGATTTTAGGATATACTAGCATATCCTGTGATGATTTGTCATCACTAGCAGCGGTGGCGCAGTGGTAACGCGTGAGATTGCAATAACACTTGCAAATTATCTCAAGATCCCGTGTTCGAACCACGGTCGCTGCTTTTTATTGTTGAATTTAACAATTCCCAACTAAAAAGCCTGTCACATCTCTATACAAAAGATGGTGACTGTGGATTGACCACAATTTGGCGTGGCGCCGAGCCAGCAAAGTCGTGGTCTTGCACCTAGATATCATAGCCAAATAATACTTCTAGCGTCGGGGCTAAGTGGATACTAACGCGACTGGCCGACAATCAGTATGAGCGCAGAAATAAGACAAAGCGCAAGTCTGCCTCTCACAGTGCCTTTATTTCTATCATTCTCCTATTCGGAAAATCGAGAAACTACAGGAAGGCCTTGGTAATAATGCACATACCTGTTATTGCACTTCACTTTCTCTTCCACATCTCTCTCTGACTTTACTTTTACTTTGTTTACTTACTTACCCTTTCAAAAATTGGTAAGTCTCCGAGGTCTGAGGATTATTTCTCCCCCTTGAAAATGTCAAAGAATTATGTCTGCACTCGAGACTTGCTTGATAACGATCATAATACCTGATCTCGTAGGCAGTTCATACTCCAGAAGCTGAGAGGATTCACAACATCAACCTCCACAATTATCTGTTGCGAGAGTTGTATGGCCATTTATTTCACCCTTCAATCCCGGCGCGGAGTCCCAGTTTGAGGACTGTAGATGTTGGAAAAGGCACTGGGTTGGAGGTTTTGCTGGTCCAAAGTCACCTATTGTGTCCTTTAAACGCCATGCTCACCTTGATAGGATCTGGCTCACCAGCCTCCTTCCGACGTCTTCCTCGACAGGCTGAATATTAGCCATGAGATATACGCTTGATGATGAGTATCTATGGATTTGAGCGATATGCACTACTGCCTTTGAGGCAAATAGCACACTCCTCTACGATATTGTCCAGCATCTGATACTGCTAGCACGACTAATGGTTGAAGACTTCATAGGTCAGAGAATGATTAACATAGTTTTGCGTCAATGCAAAATATTGTGGGTGCTCCCACCATCTCTGGTATCCTCATCGGAGCCTTCTACATCCACATGAAACGAGCGATCGACAGAAATGCCTTTGATGCCAAAAAATGGATCAGTACTCCCTTTTTGTACACTGTGAAGCTCATACGAGTGTTGGGTCTTGCTGTCCTTAGGCTGGAACCTACTGCTGTCCTCTTTGTTTCCTGTCTTCCCAGTCCTGCGACTGCTCGAAGGGAAGAACGATAGCCGTGGCAGGTATGTTGAAATCAATCTCTTGAATCGCATGGCACAGCCACAAATAACACCAAGGTTGACTTCGACGATAGACCAGACTCCTAGGATGGCTTCGGTGTATGTTGTGTCGGTGGTTTTCTCCAGCAAAAGGACGTATGGCAGACGAGCGATCGAGCAGATGACGACACTGCGACAAATATTAGCGCGAACGATATCAATGGAATAAATGGGCAAAAAGGCTGAATAGGAGAGACCTACCCTGATCCCAGAGTTAGGAGGCAGCCGACAGTCAATTTTTGCTTCACAGAGAATTGGAGATTGTGAACTGTGGGAAGGGGCAGAGTCACAACGGCGAAGTCGGATACGATATTTAGCACCGCTTGCGACAAAGCGACATTTTCCAGACACTTTGTCGTTCCCGTTTTAAGAGGATTGCATGGTCCTCCTGTGATAATGCATAATGCCAATGTGTAGGCGAAGATCGAAGTGGCGACGGCCATGACAATGTAGCGGTAGATAGCCGATGGGTTGATGCGATATAAAACAGACAAGATTGCCATCTTGGTTATGCAGGGGCATATTAAATATGTCAAGGTATTGGGGAGCAGTTCCTATTATGTGTTAAGCGAGGAACGCGCATTAATCCCATTGATTTGTGCACACGAGTCTCACCTTATTAAACATGACGAGATCTGCCAAAGACACGTCCCACATGTGCTTTCCCCATCCATACTTCATTACTATTGCGAAGTTAGCTCCACGATGTCTTTGGCTTCATGATAACCTATAATACTCACAATTAACGATAGTCACGAAATAATAACAGGCTACTCCATAGGAAATCGTAATAGCGACTAAATGTATAGTGTTAGTATTTGGACTGCGTTTCATGGCCATGGCGAATTCGGTCAAGGGCTTACCCAGATCCAAGTCAATCTTCTTAGTCAATTTAAAGGCCTGAAAATAGCGAAGGCCAATAAAAGAAGTCGCAATAAAATATGTGATACCAAATGCGATGATCGTACCAATCTGTAGTGAGTTGTAGGGTGCGTTAAAATCTGAAGTTTGGCCGTCCGGTGGCTGCATGCCCGGGGTTGTGGCCAACGTTTCTGCCATTCGTCCCCACTGTGCCGAGTAGTTTTAGAAAAAAGGTACACAAAAGGATTTCTTTCTATTAAAGCCCTTTTCGGGAAGATTCGGAAAATGCCCGCCGCACGAGCTAGTCCATTAATTACAATTAGGTGTTGAACGAACGGAAGTAACGGATAGTGGGGACTAACGCGGGCTGGCGCGGGCTGTCAACCTAAACCTTACTTCTCTTGGACTTAGTATACTTCACTAGCCCCCAAGACGTGAAACACGTATAAGGGGCCCCTGAGAAGATGAGCTCTTTAGCTAATTGCTCAATCCTGATTTTTTTCTCCTCTGACGATCAAAATTCAACATGAATATGTTTTCTACACAGAAGCCAATGGAGCCTGTTCCGGGTGACCAGGTTCTTCCTTTGCATTTCTTCGAGAATAGCCAGCTTGTCCAGGGTAACAACATGGCCGTTTCTCTGGTGTTTGACGAAGTGCTGGATCCGGAAATGTTGCGACGATCCCTCGAGGGCCTTGTTAAGCGGGATGGGTGGCAAAGACTGGGAGGTCGACTAAGAAAAAATGTAAGTTTCACCCGATGTGATACTCTATGCATACCAACGCCTTCTTCACTGCTCCCTAGGCATTGGGAAACATAGAATGGCACATCCCAGAAAAGTTCACAGCCGAAAGGCCGGCAATATCTTTTGCTCACGTTGATCACGGCATGCCCGCTGCTTCACACCCAGCAGCATCTCAGATTCCGAAACCTGAAACCCAGCCTGCTATCGTGAGCGACCCAGATCAGTTACAAGATCTTGTGTGGGAGCCCGGATATAAGTCAGGCGGTATCCAGGACTACCTGAACTCGGACAAGCCGGTGCTTGGACTGCGGGTCAACTCTTTCACGGACAAGACCGTCGCAGTTCTGCAATGGCAACATGTCGCGTTCGATGCGCTTGGCCTGCAGTATGTCGTAGAAGGCTGGAATTCCATGCTTTGGGACAAGGCAGATGAAATTCCAACCCCGGTCCCGTACGACACGGATCCATTTGAGTTGTTTGCAACGGGTTCGCGTCCTACAACAGAAGAACATGTCCTGACCGATAGGAAAGTGGGTCTTGGAGGCTTACTCAAGTGGGGATTGGGGTATGGCTTTGATATGTTGGTCCGAGCGAAGGAGAATCGCATGGTCTGTGTGCCCAAGTCATACTGGCAGCCTCAGTGGGAGAAGGCCTTGGGTGAGCTTCGCGCCGAGGCTGTTGCCAAGGGAGAAGACGAATCAAAGGTCTTCCTGACCGAGAATGATATAATAACTGCGTGGATTTTGCGGTGTGTGGTTGGTGAGATGGGAATGGACCCCAAGAGAACGGTATCTTTAGCTCTAGTGTCGCCCAAGCCTACTCTTGCTCCTTACTAAATTTCTTCTAGGTTGCCGCATCCATCGCCATGTCCCTCCGCAAGGCCTTTGAAGGCGATCTAATTCCTATATCCTCCGAGCACCCATATGTTGGTAACGCATATGGCTGGGCAAACGTACTCACTACCGTGGACGACGTTATATCGAAGCCGTTGAGCTGGCTGGCACAGCAGATTAGACGCGCCATCAATATACAGGGCACGCCTTCTCAGCATGAGGCCTACTATGCCGCAGTGCGTACAGGTGGATATGGCCTGCCAATTGCTATCTTTGGGGATGGTGGCATGGCCCAGGTTGGCTTCTCTAACTGGTCCAAGGCCGGACTATTTGACCTAGACTTCTCCCCGGCGGTTAAGGACCCTAAGGGCGACAATGCGCCGTGTAGGCCTTCCTATGTTCAAGAAAACCACGGTCCTATCAAGCCAGGTGATGGCTTCTTCATCTTCGGAAAGGATCAGAAGGGAAATTATTGGGCCTCCGCATATAAATTGAAGGGTCAGTGGGCGAAGTTTCAGGAGCAGATGAAGAAGGTCTTTGAGGTAGAGTCATGAATAGATGGAAGACAGAATATCCTAGATGACGACTATTTCTCACCCTTTCAGTCAGCGTTTCAGAGTAACCCTGGGAACGGTGAAATTCTTAGTTTCTTTCGTGAGAATTGCTAGAAAATATCATGCTCAAATTATTCGGTTTTTGAGAAAATAGAGCAGTCGGCATTGCTCGACTCCTTTTCGTAGAGCTTCAGTTTCCTTGAAGGTAGCATAGACGGGTACAGCCATCATGGCTGTGTTATATTCGTATTGGGACTGAAGCAACACAGAGTTGTATCTGTTGACATCTTAGCTTAGGACTTGATATTTTCGGACTCATTTTTGTATGAACTTACAGTTAATGAAATGGGGTGGCGGTCAATAGTAACAATGCCCAGAGTACCCGTGGCCTATAGTATGCAGGGGAGTAGGGGCCAAAGAGAAAACAGAATATAGGCCAGCGGGTAGGTTAAGGCTATATGCAGCCGCAGGTCAGCGAGGATATTCAGTAGTTCATTTAACAAAGAATAATTATTCCTGATATCCAAAGTCCGATATGGTGTAGTGGCTAACATCGTCGTCTCTCACACGACAGCCGGGGGTTCGATTCCCCCTATCGGAGTCTTTTTTTCCCTTTTTTTTTATTTACATACAAACTATATATCCCCTCCAGATCAAACTCGCCCATAGATCCACTTCCAATGGACTAGTGACTATCTCATCGCGGCTGAAAGCGCATAAAAACCTACATCCACTGGTAGTTAATCCGGACTTAGTGTCAAAAGTACAAAATATAGCTTTTCGGTGATTTATTTACATCCAGTTACTACTACTATATTCACCACGAATGAATCTAAACTACAGCACATTGAAATGCATATACTTGGAAAGCTTTCGAGGAAATCTCTCGATCGACATGAATTTTAATTCGCTAATGACTGGGTATTTGGTGATAAAATCTCTGGGAACTCAGCATTGATCGTACCTGCCAACTTCAATGGGAAACCAAGTACTCCTCTCAAGTGCTGTTCCGTCCAACTTTTCTTCTTGCTTCAAATTTTTCTTGATCGTGGAAAAATTTATGATGGTTCACTCGAAGCATAAGAAGCCGTCGCTGCCTCGTTTGGCCACGAATATTCCAATGGAGTCACAGTCAACTCCCCTACTGCCACTGATGCGACTCTCCGAGGATACCAACGTACGACCAAAGCGTGAGCGACCAGTGACTTTGCCATCTCCACTCCCTGGAAACGATGAGAATATTACTCCCGCTTTTTATGCCCCCGAGACCAAAACCGTGTATTCGGTCAAGGATGTCCATTCGGCCAAAGATGTCGAAGATCCGGTGGTGAAAACGAAAACAGCCTACTATGAGGACGCTTTTGTAACCCGTGGCTTCCACAGCTCACCCCAGGAACGCATCGTTCAGAATTCCGTGGTCGTCGCAGAGCTCAAAACGAACTGCAAGGTACGTTGACCACTGTCTTTACCAGTGACATGTCCCCTGCTCACCTGCATGCTAGCTCCGAGATGGGGAAGGAATGCTTGTTGCCGATCTGATATTTCGTCTGGCTCAAATCTACAAGCGACCAGAAACATGTATCATGCTCACTGTCCAGCAAGATGTTGGTGTGTTCTTTGGTAGTACCACTGAGCTTTCTTACCTGCTGAAGGTTTATGCCCTTCCGAGCTTCATTGCACCCTTCACCAACCTCCGTAACACCCATCTAATCCAATCTGCCATGCAGGACCTGCTGCAAATTCCCATGAACCAGGGAGTCATTATCTTTCAGCCAGTCTCAGAAGAAAACCTTGCGACCAATGGGTTGACTGCTCGAGGGGGGTTCACCCAGCTGGAACGCAATGATCAGGAAGAAAGCCCGAGTCTCTTCAAGACAATCTCGCGGTCGATGTCTCGCCGTCTGAAAGCCAACAGTGGGCAGAGTGCGCCCATATCATTGCCATCGACTGCCGGAACTGCGACTATTTCTCCATCAATGCAGACTGAGATTCGTCGTTCGCCAGTCTTCATGGGAGATGTGGTGGTGTCTCCTGCAGAACCAGAGCGCGGCCTTCGAAAGCACCTGTCACTGCGAGGCATGGTTCGTCGGCACTTCATGGAGATGACATCTGCCAGGGATAAGGATGGACGAGACAAGGCGAAGGACGTGGGCAAGGAAGGCGACGCGAAAGGAGGTGAGCACAAGGAGAAGAGCTTGGATTCCAAAGACCATTAGGTCATGTTGATGGATGGTGAGAGTATATGACTTCATCCTGCCCAGTGCTGTTCAGTATCCCATTGCGGTTTTGTTGTTTGAATATTGAATATTCGAGTCCTGTATATGTAGCACACGAAGGCTCTTAGGGGAAGAATGATATGGGTAAATACCATTATTCAGAAATGTCTCCACCACGGCTCGTAGATGTCTGCCTGGATGGTTGCCTATTACATGCCTTCAACTATCAATACTCTTTCTCTTCCTGTTCACCTTCACCTTCATCTTCATCCACCTCCATCCACAGCAGTTTCCTTTACCCTTTCTTTCAGACCACACTTTCCTGCCTAACAAAATGGTGAATTCTAAAGATACCAGTTCCTCTCAAGACGAAGACAAGCGCATGGATACTGATTCAGCACAGACTGAGAATGCCAACACCGTCAACGAGAAGCCAGGTGATCTTTTTGAAGCTCCGCAAGGCTCGGCCTTGATTCGTTTGTGATAACTTTACGCCTTGAGATGTGATATCTGGCTGATGAGATCCTAGATGCATGCAATGCCAAGGGGTCGTGGGGATCAGGCATCGCGCAAGCGTTCGCCCAAAAGGTCAGACCTTGAAATCTGATGTTCCTTTGATATTCACTGATGAAGACTTTCGAAGTACCCTGAGGCGTACGAAAGATACCAAGAACACTGCTTGAAATGGCGCGATAAGAACGAATGGCACAAAATTCCTGATCTGCACGCTATCGACAAAGCAAAGACCTTTTCGGTTCGCTATCCCGTTGGCACGGCGCTTATCATCCATTCCGAGGCGGCTTGGCCCACCACCAAAAAGCCCTGGGTCATTTGTTTGTTCACTTCTTTCGACTACGGAAGACGGGTCGATCCGCCTAAATTGATCCTCAATAATACCAGCGCTGCCCTTCATGACTCGCGGGAGAAGCTTATTGCTATAGAGGTGAAGCGCAAGTTGGGTTGTCCGGCCGTTGAGCATCTTTACTCTTGTCGCTTCAATTCGGGGCTTTTCGGTGTCCCATGGCCGAAGACGAGAGAGCTATTAGAGAAAGTGGCATTGGGCTTGCCGCTGACCGTTGTTTATCCTCCAGAGCCTGCGAAGCAAGGGGATCAAATGACCGAAGCTGGAGAAGATGCCGCTACGAAGAAGCGCTCTGCAAAAAAAGGATTTGAAAAGCTCTTCAATCCCAAAAATGGCCGATGAATGTTTTCAGGTAGTTTCTCATCCAAGGATGGGGAAATATTTAAATCAAGTTAAACAAAAACTAAGTTGTTTGAATTTCTATAATTATTGAACTTGGGTGGAGCAGACATATCACCTGACACCGCGTCTCCAGATCGCGAGTCGCGACCCGCGTTTGATCACTTCACTTTATCAAGGACATTTGCAGCCATTAATATATACCAATCATGGCCGGTGAACCCCAGAAAAAACGCCGGCAACTCCCTTTCAAGCCTCCAAGTCGCACTTCCAGCGCTGGGCCGTCCACAGGGCCAAGCGTCACCAAAGACAAAGGCAAGGCCAAGGAAACCGCAAAACCCGCAAAACCCTCAAAACCCATATCAACATCAACGTCCAAACCCCAAGCCCAAGCCCAAGCCCAAGCCACAGTCTCCATGTCTACTTCCAAGAAGCGACCTCGCGATGACTCTCCGAGTGGACTACCTGCAACCCCATCTGACTTCGGTTCTGACTCGGACTCCGAGGCCGGTGAGCGCGAGAGAGTCCTCTCCGAAGAACCGGACTACATGCTCGCGGAGATCACACACCGGACGCCACAGGAGAACATTGCCATGGGGACCCCACAGATTCATCCTAAGCTGTTAACGGCGCTCTTTCACCACTTCTTCAAGAATGACAAGACTCGCATTTCGAAGGATGCTGATGCTCTGATGGCGAAGTATATGGATCTTTTTGTCAGGGAGGCTATTGCTCGTGGGAAGCTGGAGAGGGATTTGGTTAATGAGAGTAAAGGGAGGACGGGCCCCGCGGATAACTTCATTGAAGTACGTTCCCCCTTTATTGGTTTGATTCTACGGCAGGAAGCGCTAACTTGCATACCTATAGGTCGAAGACCTTGAAACATTGGCACCATGGCTGGTCATGGATTTCTAAGAACAGGATTGGACAGGAGCATGCTCGGGATGACATGGCGTTGGATTTATTTTTTTTCTTTATGTTTTGAGATACCAAACTACCCTATACAGCAAAGCACGCATCATGACATGTTTAGATATATGTGACTCGTAGCATGGTGATATCCCGCGGATTTTGATACGCTGGTGGTTTGCCCGACGAGTGATCCTCCAGATAAGGTGGAACTGCATCGAAGCCGTTGGCATTGTGAAGCATGGCGACATCATGGTTGACTCGCCGCGACACCCACGGGTTGGCCATGTAAGCTGCTCTCTTCTTGCTGAAATGAGCGACGACCACTGGGAGTTGGTTGTGTTCTGGGAGATGGCCCAGCTTCATATTGTAATTGGTATGTGCGATGTCGAATACGATGAAAACACGAGTGCGCCATTGTTGGACGGCGACAAGTCGGGTCTCAGCAGGTATTTCTGGATCTCTTGACAATCCATTCTTCTTCAGTAGGTGCTTTGCTGGTCGAAGGACATCATGAGGGGCCTCGCGAGCCTTCGTGATCAGGGAGCTTCGCTGTGAGACGATGACCAGCACTCGAAGTGGACCTGGGTGGGCCATGATGCTATCAATAACATCAGTGTTGAGTCTAGAGAATTATATGACTACCATTTACAGCTAAACCGTGGATGTAAATTAGCTGCTGATCTTATAAACGTATTAATGGTGGAGGGGACATGGTTTTTTACTGTCAGCTACCTGGCACAACCCTGAGAGGCCCATGAACCTCTAGGGCAGGAGGCTTCGAAACTCGCCGTTTGCACTGAGTGGCAACTGTCAATCTGGCTGCATGCTTCCTGGATGCTTCGATTTCTATTCGACTACGATTCGGGCTTGGGCAGCATCGGACACACGATGCGGATGTTCTGGTTGTGCTACCGGTCATGTGTGATAGTAAGACAGCCATACTGAGCAAGGGAGAAGATCATATTTCAAACATGCCTAGTTACTGGCAATCCAGCCTGTTCGGGGACATGGTGCAGCTCCGATGGAATGTTGATGTAGATAAGCCTAAGGCGGTCTGTCGCCACCGCTTTGTCGCGTCTTTTCCTTCTCCACACGCGCTTCCTCCACGACGAGCCCAGTTTGACCATGAATGACGCAACCACCTCCCTGCTCACTGAGCATTTCAGTTATACCCCATTGGTGAGTTGTGCCGGTCGTGCATATCCGATCCTGGACCTGGCGTGACCAGTCCATCCCTTGCGACTTGCGACCCCGCTAATCCAACTTTCTAGTCGCTGATTGACGACATTATCAACTCGATCAACAACCTGATTTACCAGGCTATCTCAAGCTTGGAGTCTGGCCTACTTTCCACTCCGCCGGAGCGCCTGGGTTTTTCGCACGCCACCAATGGCCCTACTATCGCCGACACGGACGACGATGGCAACATTGTTTACCCTGAAGCAAAACTCGAGCTCGAGAATGGATTGCACCAGTTAGAGACACTGCTTGAGACCAATGTGGACAAGGCGTTCGATAAGTTTGAAATCTACGTGCTCAGGAATATCTTGACTGTGCCGGCGGACTTGCTCTCTTATGTGCGATTGAAGCATTATGAGGTAGGATTGACCTGTGTCTGGCTTTGTGAATGAGCTAACCACACGATACAGGGTCTCTCATTTAATCCCTCCCAAGATACTCCCACCCCAGAGACGATTGCTGCCCAGCGCAAAAAATTACTCGAGACCAGAAAGCTTAACCGATCCTTGAAAGACGAATGCGCGCGCAATGCAGCCGTGATTGCTCAATTGAATGCCATCGTATCGACAGTCAACACTGCTAAAAATGGTGATGCGACCGGAGAATCAAAGGCAGCTGTGCCGTTGGATCTATCGTTCTTGACATCAAGCCCCGCTGCGCAACAGCTTCGTGTTGGGGTTGACACTGGTTCAAACACCCAGCACACACCGCTCACGACCCACACGACTTTTATTCTCTCACAATTGCCAGCGCTGCAGGCGACACTCCAGAATCTTCGGCCGAGGTTGGCTTCTCTACCCGCCTCAATCAAGGAGATTGAGACCAAGTCTAAGCGTGACGAGCGGAAAGAATACATCGAAGGTCGAATTAGGCTACACTTGGAGCGAGCTGGGCAGCTTGCTATGGGTGATGATGGGAATCCAGTTGTTGCTGGTCGCCGTATTGATATCTCTGAAGCTCATGCGCTGGAAAGCGTGGCCAACATGCTTACGCAGCACAAAAAGTCTGCGTAGATGGATTTTGAAGATGAAATTCGCTCTATGAACTGGAATCTTTTGGTATTCTGTCTAAAGGTTTTCTATGAAGACCAGGTAACGGTCCATGTCTCCTGGGTCTTGCGGAAGGGGACAACGTCGGTTGCCTCCGACTGCAGAATATCTACAATCTTCTCACCCTTCTTATCGATGGTGATGAATTCCTTCTTCTCCTCGCCAATCTCATAGAAGGCACGGCCAAACTTGCTCATGAAGCCCTCAAGGATCTCGGGGGTGATATCCTCCTCCTTGAGAATTCCCTTCTCACACGCCTGCTCGAGGGAATCGAGCACAACCTGAGTGGTATACGGCTGAGTGAAGACACCAGCAGCAATCTTCTCACCACCGCGCTTGGAGGCAGCTGGGTGGGGGGCGCTGTCAGAGCCGAAGAAGAACTTGGGGTTACCCGAAATAGCAGCACGGAGAAGGGCATCACGGTCGGCAGGGGTCTTTGCGACGGGCTTGCAGAAGCAGAATGGGTCACCGGCCCAGTGATCAACGATGATAGACAGGTGGTGAGCCGTGATAGTACCGGCAACGGAGGGTCCGCACTTCTTGACGGCCTCAATGGCAGCGGCTGTTGTGCAGTGCTCCAGGATGATGCGGAGCTTAGGGAACTTGGCGTGGAGCTCCATCAGGGTAGGCAGGAATCGTTCCTCGGCCGACAAGACGGTCACATCGCCTGTAGAAGGGACCTCTCCGTGCAGGTTGAGGACCAGGCCCTGGCGCTCCATTTCAGCGAACACGGGGTAGAACGAGGCATAGTCGATCACGCCGGAGCTCGAGTTGGTAGTGACACCGGCAGGGTAGCTCTTGACACCAGTGATGCCGCGCTTCTTGGCGTCAATGATAGTAGCAGGTGTGATGGTCTCGTGCAGGTACAGCGACATGAGGTAGCTGACGTTGGGCTCAATGGCTTGCAAGCGCTTCTTGTAGTCGAGGGCATGGTCGACGGTGGTGATTGGGGGCACCAGATTCGGCTGTACAATTTGTTAGATGGCTTAACCAGAAAATCAATACAGAAGTATTCCCTACCATTACGAAAACGGTGTTCACACCACCCTTGCGGATGGTGGGAGTCACCAGCTCCATCATAGCACCATCGCGCAGGTGGACTACGGCATGGTCAGCTTTGTGCTAATTCCCCAGATTTGGCGAGACATACCATGGAAGTCCGCCGAGGCAGGCAGCCTGATTCCTCGCAGCTTTGACAAAGTCATTATGAAACCGATTTAAGACAATTTGGAGATTGAATCGGTCAAGTTTGCCCCGCCAAATTTTCTGGCTTTCTGCCAGGCGGTGGATCTCCCCGCCGGATTTCCCCGCGGATCCAGACATTGTGATCTATACAATCACTTCATCTTCATCAATTCCCTTAAATCTGGTGGAACATCCCTGCATGGAAAAGGACTACATATCCTGAAACATCAACCAATCTGACTTATGTCCTCCGTTGTTATACCCGACCGTTCAACTCGAAACACAAGCAAGCCTCAGTTTACCAACCTTTCAAATAGATTATCATACATGATCGACCTGTCCAGACCAAGCATTTCTTCTGATGATTACCTTTATCTAAGACAATGCAGGAACATAAATAGCCAATAGAATATCTGAGGGGGCCAAAGACCCATGTAGCCGCCGCGGTCCTCGTATCACATTCCCGGGCGCTTCGCCGCCACCTATCAGATGCGAGCTTCTGCTGCCACGGTGAAACGGCCGTGCTCAGGGACACAAATGAAAAATCATGACTTGTAAGGGTCAGTGATTGCTACTCGGTCCAAACCCTAAATATAACTTTGTGGAACGCTTTGTCCCCAACTCTCTTACTGCCAAGTCTGCAGGCGTCCGGATGGTACGCCTTTCATGAACTATACTCCGACGCAAACGTCAAGTCATGGTACTTGAGCCCACGACCCTGGAAATTAACTTCTGGAGATGTGAAAATCATTGCCATGGGGGGGAATATTATTCCCCGCCATGGCTGAACGCCCTGGGTCAAGACCCCTATCCATCGCCTGCATACGCGCCCAACCCAAGATTAGCATTCGTGATGGCAACATATGAAAGCGCTCGCCAAAAAATGGCTGTAGAGTCTTTGTACTCATACAATTGGTCTTACATATTCAGCTTGATACCCCTCTGGATGATTTCGTTTCGGAGGCTTGAGGTCCCTGTCCTTCTCCTCTACGTTCTTTACCAGAATCATCCCAGTTTTCCATTCTCAACATCTCGAGGTCTTTGACTATTCTCTCTTGACTTTCTATTTGAAAAAGAAATCCTTGCTGGCAAGGTACAACCGTCCAATCCCTTTCCAACGCAACATTGTCCCCCTTTCCTCCATTCAATATGAGTTCCGGTTCCTCTACCACCGGCTCAGGCGCCTTCTCTTCCGATATGGACGAATCAGAATTCTTGAAAAGAAATCGCATGTTGCATTGGGCACGACTATCTCTATCATTTTTGATCTTTACCGCTGCTGTCGCAATTATTCCCTGCGAAGCAGTTCCATTCCATCACTATAGGACTACGGCTAAATGGGCAACCTCTGGTCTTGCTCTGTGGCCTATGAACTTTGATATTCGACCAACGGTAGCTATAATCGCCTGTGGCTGCATCATTGCATTTTTGAACTTGGCATACGTTATCGCGGCACTTCTTCCGTTGGTGAGTACCGAGCCCTGATCGATAATGAATCCTCTAACTTAATCTTTAAGCCTTACTCGCGTATTAAGCTCCTAAACTCCTATGCTTCGGCCTCTGCAATCGCTGGCTTTCTCACTGCCCTGGTCGGTCTGGTCTTCACTATTTACCTTCCCTCCTCGGCGTACCCAACTGGCTTCACCGATAACGAAACTTTACACAGCTGGACTTGCAAATGGAGGGAAAGCTCTGGGGATGACATTGCCCCGATTCACTTTTTACGAGATTGTCATGCTACTAGTGCTGGTTTTGGGCTGCTGTGTTTGTCACTCGGATTGGAGATCTTTATGGGAATGGCCGCGGCTGTCGGTACCTGGTTCCAAAGGGATGTTGGTCGTCGTCGTCAGGAGCAGGTTCAGTTGGAGAAGTTGGAGAAGTTGGAGATTGCGACAAAGCAAGTGTATAAGAACTGAGAGCTGGACCATTGGATGCTCAGGTGACTGGGGGCGCATGTAGCCTTGAAGGCGTTAGGTCTAGGTGTTGCTGGAATATTGGGTATGGTATTGGTATAGGATATGTATGGCTTTTGTGCTGGTCTGCCAGATATGATTATGATTTTTCATGAAATGGAATTATGTGGAATTAAATGGCAATGTTAGAGGATGATGCAAGCCAATTTATCGTGGGGATCAAGTAGCATGTAAGTAATCGATGGTTATTTATCAGATGTTCATGAAGTTTGGGTTAATCGAATTAAATTCCCACAGAGAGTATCGTCATAAAGTCAGTCTGAGACTATAAGTTAATGCTTTTATTGGGATGCAGTAAGATAAGTCAATCCGTGCCACTAGTATCTAGTGCAAACCTACGAGGTAAGTTGTATTCCAAGTCAACCTGTAACGGACGAACGACCATATTGATGCTGTGCCTCTTCCTAGTGAAGTGAACTGAGACACGTGAAATCAGGGATGCTCTAGACGCACTGTACCACCTAGTAAATGCGGAGATGGCCTTCTAATGGCTCTCGCGAAAGCTCGAATGGAGATCGCTCCCGGTCCATTTTCTATACATCATAAGATGTCGCGCACAAGATAATGTCTTATTCTATTTGGCTATTCTAGAGTTCATCATGAAACTCATTTGCTGCCTATCCCTCTTCAAACAATCTGGGCGATGGCCAGAAATAGGCCGGACGGAGCTACAATTGTAGCCACGTCAGGAAGTGCCTATGACACGGTAAATAGATAACCGAATCTTTATGATAATAACAATCGAAACTTAACTAGATTGGCAACATTTGAAGGCGATTATTGCTTTGGAGGCCGGTCGTTCAGTCAACCGGACTATCTTCATAAGACCGGTTTCTATAATAAGCAAAACATAATAGCATGATGTGATTGAAGTTGGAGATGAAAGATAAGTAACGTATTTCACATGCGAATGGGCCACACAAGCGAGTGGGCCACTTCCAAACACCATAGTAAATGCGATAAATTACAACTCATTTACTCAACATTAAAGGTCTTCTCCTTGAAGTTTTGTTCTTTTCTATATGATGTTTAGTCTCTCTGAAGAGTTTTGTGGATTTTCATAGCTTGGTGACTTGGAAATATATATTTCAGCGAATTTGAGATGTAATTTTCAGTACCGTGATACTAGAAGAGTCGAATATATTCGAAATTGAAATGTGCTTCTAAAAATGCTTATCAAAATCTATCGGCAAGTAATGGGATAGAGGAAGAACGTGGTTGTTGGGATATTTGAGTATGAAATATCGCATTTACTATGGTGTTTGGAGGTGGCCCACTCGCTAGTGTGGCCCCATTCGGTAGTGAATTACGTTATGAAAGATTAAAGTGATTCACGGTCGGGCGGGCGTCACTACCGGTCGGGCGACCCCACCAACTTTTCAAAAATCACCAATTTCTAATAACGAATAAAACCACAAAAACAATATAGATTTTATTATTTAAAGCGAGTAGGGCAATAAGTATATATATGCCCTTTTTTCCCACACCCAGAACATGTCACCTGCCGCCGAACCGAAGGCATAGAAGGTAAAGTAGGCTCAATAACCGTATTTATAGATACCTCTGGCAAATATATATCTTTGCTTTCATCTTCATCCTTATAGACCATATCATCTTCACCACCCTCTAGACCCCCGAAGATGCCTCTCTGGGTAATAAACTTAGGTATGGTCGCTCTCTTTTTGGTCTGTTTCTTATTAGTAGCCTCTAATTGGGTATAGCGATTCTGGAGAAAAATATGGTGGTAGACCACTTTGATAGTCATATCGTACGACTTCTTTATCTCCCTTTTTGTTAGTGAAGAAAGGATTGAAGATGAGGATTCTAGACCTTTTTTGATCCGAGATTATGATTTTGTGAATTTTGAGAGAGTCCAGAGAGTATTTAGATCACTATCACTGCCAGAAGAAGGTGGTCGCTAAGAGAGGATCTCTATCGGAGGAAGGGAATCCAGGTGCACATTTAGCTTTTCCAAGACCTTATTAGCATCAAATGGTGCTAATCCAGTAGCTAAAAAGCTATTCTATATAGTAGAAGTCTTAAAAGCACCTATTCTCGCATCTGCGATAAGTTTAAGGAAATCTTCCTTATCAATAGAGTTTACTCCATTCCGCATCAAAGTTAAAACAGCTCCTCCATAAAGCTTCTTCAAAACTGAAAAACAACCCACATCCAAAGGTTGTAAAAGATGAGAAGCATGCGGAGGCATACAGATTGCAATAATCTGGTTTTCTTCATAAACTTGGTCAAATTCGGGGGTCAAATGACTCCCATGACCATCGAGGACTAATAGGCAATATTTTCCTACTCTTGTCCTAATATTTGGGATAAAATGATGTTTTAACCACCATAAACCAATTGTATTAGTAGTCCAGCCATTTTCACTCATAGTCAGATGAGTTCCTTTTTGGTTTAAAAGGAGATAGGGACGTAGATGCTCTGGAAACTTTTTTCCCTTGAAAATGAAGAGCGGAGGTATAACACTTCCAGAAGCTCAAATACACTCAATTGTGGTTACCCACTCTCGATTTCCAGCTTGTAAAAGAACTCTTTTTCCATGATATTCCGCGGAAGTGATAATTTTTTGCGTTGCGCCAATACCCATAGCAAAACCACTCTCATCAAAGTTGAAGATATCATCTGAAACAATACCCCACTTTTCAATAGTCTTTTGAACCAAATCAAACCATGGTTTAATGATTCTAGGATCTTCTGAAAGAGCTCTCTGATAATCATATTTGCGTGAAAGTCGAATAGAGAGATTTGGGCGTCGTTTGATAAATTGAGTAGGCCAATTGACGCCAATAGTCGAGGGGGTATTTTTCTGGGCACTTCGTAGGAGATTGGCCATATCACGTAACATAGGTATCGTGAGAGCAGCACCTCTAGCATCCATATCAAGTAGCCAGTCTTCCATTGATTGCTCTTCAATTTCAGTAAAAATATGGCCAGTTGGTCTCTTCTCAGCCAAAGATTCACGCCCATTAAGCCGATACTTCAAAGTTGAGACAGGTAAATCAAATGATCGTGCAGCAGCTGCAGCAGAGGGATATTTACCATCTTTTATAGCTTTTATAGCTAATAAAAGGCGACCTTCTTGCTCTATCAATTTTGTTTTTTTCTCAGAGCGTTGGGGTGGCATTTTTGTTGTGGTTAAAAAGTATGTATTATTATTGAAGTGGATTTTCGATGGGGTCGCTCGCGCGGCCGTGTCGCTCGGGCGACCGTGGATCACGTTAACTAAGTATCTTACATAATCCTTATCAGCACCGCCTTTCGGCAGTTCCAGCTCGCGATCAAGCTTCCTACACTATCGCGATTTTTCTTCCCTGCACCGGTTTTCAAAATGCCAACCGATCCCACGGTCTCTGCGACTGTCGACCTGGACGATGAGCCCTATGACTCTGCCGATGATGAAGATTTCCAACTTGAAGGCGCCAATGACGAGTCCGACTTGTCATCTGACGACGATGCGGCCGAACCCGCGAAGAAGAAGCAAAAGACAAATAAGAAATCGGAAATTCTAGAGGACGACCTAGATTCTGGAGACGAAATCACAATTCGAAAAGCACGCGAAAAGCGAGAAAAGAGGCGAAAAGGGAGGTCCAGCGGGAAGAATGTAGACAACGACATCGACTTGGATGATGAGGATGGGGGTCCTGGGGGCTATGTACGGACGCGTGCCATGAAGATGCAGATGTACGTTCCTTGAATTAACATTCCACCCTTCTGTTCTGACTCGTATCTCTCACAGACAGGAAGAGCGTAAACCGCTCGCCAAAATCGACGGTGCGACCATTGACGTGGACGCTCTGTGGGAGCAGATGAACAAACCGGGAAGTGAGCTGGGCTTGCGGCCAATTCAGATGAAACGCGATAGTGAGCCGGCTCCAGAGCTCGAAGACACCGACACGCACATGAAGGACCATGTTCCCCCCGAGCCTGAAAATGATTCGCGCCATGCTCACGCCGAACAATGGATCAAGATCAAGCGCACCTACAAATTCGCCGGCGAGATGATTACGGAGGAGAAGACAGTGCGCAAGGACTCGGCCGAAGCGAAGGCATTCTTGTCTAGTGGGGAGAACGTCGAGAGTGTCGTGGAGGATGCGACCCCGAATCGGAACCTGCGTCGCCCACTGCGCAAGATCTCCCGATTCGATCCCAACCCGACAGGAGCGATCAAGAAGAGCTGGGAGAAGCAGGCTGTGGAGGCTGATCAAAATGCAAGCGGACCCAAGATCAACACTGTGGAGAAGTCCCGACTCGACTGGGCGCAATATGTGGATGAGGCCGGGATCAAAGACGAATTGCGCATTCACAGCAAAGCCAAAGAGGGCTATATGGGACGTATGGACTTCTTGGGTCGTACAGAAGCCAGAAGGGACGAAGAGGCTCGACAGGCCCGTATCAAGGGCAGGTGAAGTCTTATCTCCCTCGCCTTCTATCTGCACCCAGGCAAAAATTAAGATCATTACTTGTATTGGTTTATCAGGGACCAGTTTGATACGCCCCAGAGGCACGCATTTAGGGTCGCATTGCAGGAGTCTAGTGCCTGAGTCGCTGATTCTTTGTTTCGAAGATGTGGGAACTCGCTGTTTCAAGCAAGCAGCCAGTCGATCTCGATCCCAGTGGGAACTCCCTATTATGCATCACCACGTTTCCGTTGGTGGACTCGTTTGATTCTCACATTCTGCGGGATATAAATCACTTCAACCTTGGGGAAATGATCTATTTCATTAGTGACGACAACGTCCCCAGAGGTCTACAATATTCAAATGGCGCCAAAGCTAAGAATCTACACCGAGATGTATTCTGCAAGCTACAGGCTTCTCTGGGTACTCCAAGTGGCATAAAATCTGTCATTTCAACAGCCATAATATTTTACATTGTGCGCTATTTTATGATAGTACTTTAATGCTATCACAAACCTGTACATAGACAAAAATCTCCCTACCCCACCGTGTTTCTTGAAACGGGCAGGTCCCTACCTAGTCTAATTCAAATTGCCCTCGCAAACTTCTGAATGGTAGTAACTGAAACTGGACGATTAATCTTATCGCGGGGGTGAAGGGGAATAACTTCAACCACGGCTGTTTGTACAGACAATTTTGCACCCTCATAGACAAAGGTAAGGATGTACCTGGTGATCTTCGGATCAAATGGCTCAGTGAGAATTTGTAACAAGTGACAGATGAAACGAAACTAAACCGTCCAGCCATCATATCTTTTCTTTTTAGGAAAGTTGCATATCAAAGCTCCGATGTTCCTGATGGCATCTCAACTTTTTCTGGACTTTCTTCAGTTTCCTCCTAGTGCCATTTCTAATCGGAATCTACTCAAGTTCCAGCTATGTACTCTAATTTTACATTCCACCTCAGATACTCAATCTCATGACGAAATATTTGGTTTTCCATTTCATGCAAGTACACCCGTTGTAGTCACATTTTCATGCACGATAACGAATGATTCGTGCCACACTTAGTTACTCTTGGGTAAGTACTTGACGCTGCTAGGGCAGCTCGATGATGTAACTAACTATTGTCAGTCCCATGGTCACAAGTAAGGATTGGTATCACGTACGGGAATCAGTAGGCTTGTACTGGCCGTTAATGGCATTACCAGCCACATTAAAGAAATACCACATCTCGCTCAGCGCACCATCCTCGCAGCCAACGTAAGGTACCGATCCGCCATGTAGCTTGGACAGTGCATTCTGGATATCACTGAGCTCGTATGTCTTCGAGTCGTCGGGGGTGATACCAGCCGAGGACAATGCCTATCATCATTAACATTGAGCTGCTTTATAACGGATGAAGCTTACCTGGTATGTGTCCAACCCCTTGAACAGATCCACTACCTTCTGGAAGAAGTCCCCAACCTCCTCTTGCGGAGAGTAGGTAGTGTAGCAGCTCGGCTTGATCGTGTTGATGCAGGTCCCGTGCTTGCTCCACTCATGCTCCCAGAAGGACTCATCGGTGCCGCTGTCACTAACCCAGTAGGTCTGCATGTAGGAGAGCAGATCGGTGCGGTCCTGCGCGGTCAGGATATCGGAGATATTGGTGTATGCGCGCGAGGAGTCACAATTGGATTGGTAGGTACCATCGCAGTTGTCGGGCCTGTATCGTGTTAGCTGTACTCTAGCTTTTTGCAGCTGGTATAACATACCACAAGCCGTGGATCGTCCACGAATCAGTCGGGCCAGTCGAGGGGTCAGTATCCCAAAACTGGGTCTGCAGGAGAGCTCCGCCCGGATAATTGTAGCAGCAGGTTGGTGCCTTGGACGAACTGTGGCAGCTCAGGGTACCATTGTTTGAGCAAGTTCTCAGTTGCGCCAAAGCACCGGTGGTGATGGTAGCCAAAGTGAGAAATCGCGAAAACGGCATTGTAATTGAGTGTTGAATAAAGTATTGAAGATTTGTTTAACAGAGGTGTAAAGACAGGGAAATGAAGAACAGTCAGACATTATGTAGTCACGCGGATATTGTCAGGGACACAGATTGTCGATCAATAACTTGTACAGTAGCACATGTTATGATAAGAGCATTGTGATTCGTGATTCTCATCGGATATCTCCGTCACACTAAAAGTCGTGAAGGGACACGGTCTCATCTTCAAATCACCGTCGGGCGCCCCTTTCTCATTCTCGATTTGATGTTGCATTCAGTGAAACTCATCCGGATCTCCGATGCTGATTGATTCCTCGGGAGATGAGCCCCCGCTTTATTCGGTCGCGCACTTTGGCGAACCAGATGCGATGGAACGGAATGCGCCCTGAAGATCGACAGCCCCATCCCGTTACAAATTGCCTGATAGGTCAAACTAGTGTGGGATAGACTTTAGACCCTGGGATCGGCGACTCTCCACTTTTACGTGCAGGATTTCGTGGCGATAAGGGTGCGCTAATGGTTTCAGCACGTATATTGGAGAGAATATGTGAAAAAGTTACGAGACTAATGCTTCTTGCTCCCCACCCTCTTCATCGAATGATCGGCTAAGTCGAATCCGCCAAATCGCTGCGGTGGCAAATACAAAGCACATAGCGGCCTGTATGAATGGTAAACCCATCCATGCACTGCCGAGATGCATGCCTAGCTGGAAGAGGTAGGCGAATAACGGGCCCGCGATAAATGTCCCAATGGACTGGGAGACCCCGAGGGCCGCGTATAACGTGCCAACATGGTCTAGTGGGACTAATGCCGTAGCTAGACTGCGTGCGCTCACCCCAAAAGCTGTGCTGAATGAGAAGATCACTAAGCCGGCGATCAAGATGGCTGGGTTTGGAGCTAATCCCATCACAGTAAAGCCGATTATTCCAAAAACGCCTGTTAATTGACTGAGTCGGTAATCTCTGAATTTTCCGTGCAGGTTGAGATATCGGGCGGCCAGGAAGGTGAGAGTTGGGATTAATACTAGGTAGCTGAAGATGCCGAATATCCCGCGAATGGTAATGAGGAGACTCGCCTGTTTGATGTTAGTCTTCCCACCAGGACTCAATAGTATAGATTGGTTACTTGGGCAATGCTCCAGTTAAATTTCTTGGAGGCGTACTGTAGAAGAATGTTGGTGCTTTGGCGGCTCATCACGGAGACAAAAGCAACGACAATAATCCATGTGACATTGCTATCTTTCCACATGAATATGATAGATTCGTTGAATTCACGCAGTTTATGGCGGAGATTTTGGGAGAAAGTTTGCTTCCCCAGTAGGGCCGTGGTTTCGATCGAGTTGTTGACGGTGGCTTGTTGATCTGTTCTTTTGGCTTTGGCATCTTCGAGTGTTTCTGGAAGAAATAAAAAGGGAAGGCATCCAAGCACAATAATCACATAACTCAGAATATAGGGGATCCAAAGACTGAATGTCATCATGTATGCGCTGGCTGGAGTAGCCAAGACCTCAGAGACAAGCACGCACGCCATGAGGCGGAAGAGAGCGGTGGATCTAATCTGTTAGACCCACTTGGTGTATCAGGGATCGAAGACATACCTCTCCTCTTCCGAAAACACATCCGCGACCATGTTCAAAGCGACGGAAGTCGTCGTTGCACTGCCACCGCCAATAACCTGCCACATTGATGACAGCCAGACTAGGCGGAGGGGCAGCACATCTGACCAGGCGCCTGATTAAATTAGTGATAATTCAAGTAATCAGAGACCCTACTAACAAATCACTCGAGTCCAGAGCTCGCTCAGAAGAACGCCCAAGGTGGCAAGTAATAGCACCGGTTTCCTCCCCCAATGGTCGGAAAGCACGCCATATGGGAGTGAAAAGAGAATGCCTAGGAGATTTAGTAAAATAGAAGCAAGATCGTTCTCATGGTTCATACCTGGCAGCACATCAAACCCATCTTTATAGCCGTTGATCAAGGCCAACTCCCCTGTAAATAGTTGTAAATAGTCAGTAATTGGATGGCCTAGGTTTCGGTCATTAGTTACTCACCTTGGACGGCTTCTGATTTACACGGGTCTTGAGTCACATTGCCGACAGTCTGGAGCTCCAAATGATTTCGGCAAATAATCTGTTCAAAGATGGCAGTCTGCGGGGCTACAGAAAGGTAGACTCCAAAATCTGCGGAGAGAATGAATCCAGCGCACGCGATCAGAATTAGGAGCTTCTTGGCGCCGTTCCTGGTGGGGGCGTTGATGGGGTCACGTAATAACCCATCTGTTTCTAGGTCGCCAGTCTGGTCAGTACCTACGGCCATGTTGGTGATTGTTGGAAGGAATCAATGAGTCGCGAGTGATGGATCCCTTCCAAGGACTTGAGGGCCCCTGGAATGTTAGGGTCTCAACTTGGAAACAAAGGAGCCTGTTAAGGCCAACAGTGTCCGTACTCCGGACTCCGGACACCGCACGCTTATCTGGATGTCAACGATGGTGGATCCAATTGGCCTGTTGTCTGGCCGATAAAGAAGGTGGGTCTGCTAGACCTGAACGGGGAATCGGGCTTTGTCTCTAGACTCATCTCTTTGAACCTTCCGCCTGCGTGTCGGGGTTCGGAGTAACATTGAGAGAAGCGGAAGATAACTGACTGCCTGACTGCCTGGGTAAGCATTCCGCCAAACAAAATTTGTTTGGGTAGAAACACGTGATGTGGTACGTGATATTCCTTGCGATCGCATCTTAGCAGCACCCGTGGACTTGACTTTAATATGACCAGTCCGAACGCCGAAGTCCGAGCATTTTGAATTGAACGTTGACTTTGCATGCTATTTGGAGAAAACGGTTAATTTGCTTAGCACTTGAGTCCCGCGAATCTTTAAGGTTGAGCATGGACACCATCATGATATAAATATTGAGCTGGGCCCCACGATTTTCAGTGATCAGTGAGGAAGCTTGGAACCCAATTAGAATTCTTCCTCTTGCAACCAACGGAGGCTCATCAGTCCAAGGGTCAGCACTGATCTGGACCACTTCATCCAAAATGGGGTCCGCCGCGTGGTGTTTCCGAATTATGCATCAAATTCAAGCATAAGGGGTCCAGAGTTATCCCATCATTACGTTGACGCTGAGTCAGAGTGCCACTTTTTGATGTTTGTGGCGTTTATGGTTGGCCAGCCAAAACCCCAGATGGAGACACTGACTCGCTTCGGACCCACTTAGATGCTTGCATACATTAAGGGATCGAATGTTGTTTATGCTCATTTAGATTATGCTCATTTCTAAAAAATAAAAATTATGTACAGGAAAATATTGTGAGGAAATTTCTAGCGCCTGATATCTTAACCAGGTTTATATAGCTTGAACGTTTTGACTTATTTACCTTGCTCAGACTCTTTCCCCTCACTTTTTCTTCTTCCGCTCGTTTTGATCCCTATACATACACTGAATCTCCTTAAATCAAGGAGCTCCTCCCCGACACAGGGTACCTCTTATATACATACCCCCTTCTCATTTCACATTCCTTGTCACATTCATTATGGCCTCCAGCGAGAAATCTCGCTCTAGTACCTCCACTCTCGATCGCCCGACAGAACAGCCACAGCACATGCAGATACAGGAGCAGCCCGACCTCGAAAAGCAGGCCACAGGAATTGCCGCTGAGACACCCGCATCCACAGAACCACAATATCCAGAATCGGACTTAAGTCGAGGTATCGTTGGCTGGGAGAGTCAAGATGATCCTAACCACCCTCAAAATTTCACCCCATCTAAGAAGTGGTCGCTTCTCGCTCTGATCAGTGCTTTCACCTTGGTTTCCCCGCTTGCCTCGAGTATGTTCTCGCCTGCGGTGGTTTATATGGCCGACGAATTCCACGAGACAAATGAGACGATCCTTTCCTTTTCCGTTAGCATTTATTTGATCGGTTACACAGTAGGCTACCCCGCATTTTAACGGACATTATCGATCTATATCTGACTGTGTGACTTATAGGTCGGTCCCCTTCTCCTCGCACCCCTCAGTGAGCTTTATGGACGTCGTGTCGTCCTCTCCGTCGCCAATTGGTTCTTCGTCGTTTGGCAGATTGGCTGTGCCCTTTCAAAGAACGTCCAGACATTAATTGTTTGTCGATTGTTTGCCGGTATCGGTGGAAGTGCATGCATCACCCTTGGAGCTGGTGTGGTTGCGGACATGTTCCCGAGAGAGACTCGCGGCATGGCAACCTCCATCTGGAGTATGGGCCCCTTGATCGGTCCGGTCGTTGGTCCAATTGCTGGAGGTTTCCTCGGAGAGCAGGTTAGCTGGCAGTGGATCTTCTGGCTTCTGTTGATTGTCGGGGGTGCCCTGCAGCTCTGCATTGAAGTCCTCAACAAGGAGACCTATGCCCCTGTTTTGATCAAGTGGAAGACCGCCAAGATGGCAAAGGAGCTTGGTCGTACTGACTTGGTCAGCGCGTATGAATTTGGTAAGGACAAGCTCACTGATGCGGAGGTTTTGAAGCGTAGTCTCGTTCGACCGGCTCTGCTGTTGACCAAGTCGCCTATTGTCGCACTTCTTTCGCTCTACATGGTAAGCATTCCCTCGCTATTTCGTTTTATCCGAAACTCTTGCTAATCTACTTCAGTCTTTGGTCTATGGACTGCTCTACCTCTTCTTTACCACCATCTCCGATGTCTTCACTAGCGTCTACGGCTTCTCGGTTGGCCTATCAGGTCTTGCATACCTGGGTATTGGTATTGGTTTCTTCGTCGGTCTTTTCATCATGGCTTTGACAAATGACCGTATGGTCACAAGCCTGACCGTGAAGAATGGCGGCAAATTTGAGCCCGAGATGAGACTGCCGACCATGATCATCTTCTCCTGTATTCTACCGATCAGTTTCTTCTGGTACGGTTGGACCGCTGATAAGCACGTCTTCTGGATTGTGCCTATCATTGGCATGTTCCCCTTCGGTGTGGGCATGATGGGTGTCTTTATGCCCATCCAAACCTATATCATCGATTGCTACCCAGCTTACGCGGCCTCGGCCAATGCAGCCTTGACGGCGTCTCGATCGCTTGTCGGTGCTCTCCTCCCACTCGCCGGTCCAAAGATGTTCGACTCTCTGGGACTCGGCTGGGGAAACTCCCTACTCGGGTTTGTGGCGCTTGCATTTGTTCCCGTCCCTATCATCTTCACGAAGTATGGCAAGACCATCCGTGAGAGATGGACTGTCAACCTTGAAGGAAACTAGAATCTTCGTTTTTTGTTCTGGTGCCGGTCACCTACGACCGATACCCGATTTTCTTATTTTTGTCAAAAGTTCACCCATCGTCTGCACATTGGGCGAAACTATTTGGGAAAACTGTTTGGGAATATTATCACATAGTTAATAGACTTTAGATTATTCATTAATAGATCACTTTGTTATGAGTCCCTTATATATTATATTGTACAAAGTTACTGGTCATCGGGAACAAGCTCAGACCATGGTAAAAAGAATAGAGTTGACATCCAATCCATCCGCAAGCCGAGGATACTTGCTCAGAAATTCCGGCGTAACACCCCATCCTTGCTCACTCATGAATGTCTCGTAAAAGGCAGGCTTAATACAAAGATCGTCATGTTCATTGCGCTCCAGAACATTCACACCCCATGGCCACCGAATCTTAATACAACATGCGAACATGCCAAATAACTCGTCGCGGATGCTATTGTAGAACGGCCATTGTCGGATCATATTGGATCTCATCCTCGGCCACGGTGTACAGCTCAATGCGAGAGGGTGCTCGATTTTTAACTGTTCTTCGACGGGGTGCATGCAAGAAGGTAGGGCTGCAAATGTCTTCGGACTGGGTGCAAGGATCCACCTTGAAATGTGATATGTTATCCAACCGATAGCTAGTTTCTCCGGCTCGCGAATCGGTCGTTTTTCTAGGGCCAGGTGGATCATGTTTGCTAGTGGGTTGCTCTTGCTTCCGTATAGAATATCCAGAGGGGAAGCCGGTGTATCTGGGCAATTGGTGATTTGTTCTATAAAAAAGAACCACGGGAAAGAGACGGTTCTGTAGCTGGAAAAGTCGTCAGAGTAGAGTGGAAGTTGGTTCCATAGTGGATAGGATGCGGAAGGTGTGGCTGCGGAGGATATCGGTGGCAATGAGCTTATTGGCGGTGTGCTTATGCCTGTGTTTGCGACAGGCGAGTGCATATCCATATCCTCTGGGCTGGTTTGTACCAAGGAACTGGCGGGTTTATCATTCACACCCTGGGCCACCCATGCGTTAGTGTAGGCTTCGCTGTCTTCAGTTGTGTCCTCCCATGAGTTGACGAGCAAGTTTAATGCATTTTGGCGGGCCACAAGGATCTCATTCTGCTTCCGGAGTCTCTTTATTATTCCAATAAGTTGCTGAGCGCCTTTATCGCTGTGATGTTGCTCGCAGTAGGCTACCCTGGCCTCCAGCTGTCTTGTGTACTGTTCCTTTTTTGCGCGAAGAGTCTGCTGGGATCGCCTGTCGCGTATGCGTTTGCGCTCTGCCGACGACAATTCGGACATTTTGTCCGATTCACATTTCAGTGAAGTTATTTGGGAGATGTTCAGTTGACGCGTGATTAGGTGGATTATACTATGGCGGTGAATGAACTTGGCCCACTTGGCCCACCCATCTATTTCACACCGGGCTTTTGATGGAATTTGGATGAATATGTTGACTGTCATTCATATTACATATTAACATTAATCTTCTAATTTTTCTTCGTGAAGTTAGATGGATATAATATTACCATATGTCTTAATTGGGCATTTTGGACTGCCAAGGTCTTACAGCTGCAATAATCCGCGTGGAAAGCGGCTTACAGCATATTTTCATATCGGCCGGTTAACCAGGCCAGTTGGATATAGCCTGGTCTATCTTTTAACAAGTTAACCAGTGCCTCGAGGGATTTCTATCTGAGCCCATTACTTTCTTTCCTTTTCTTTTATCGCATGGCAAACCGGTTGGGGAGCATCCACGCCTTAACTCAGTTGATAATTTAATTGGTTACACGGGTAACTTTTAAATTTTATGATCGGTTACGGACAAGTCTCTGCGAAGCTTATAAGGGGACAAGTTTCCGCGAAAGTTACATAGTTAACATCGGCCTCAGCTAGGCTTAAGATCCACATCAAAGCCTATAGAGAAGCCTCATCGGATCGACAGCCCAAATCCAATGACAGTCAAGTACAGGTGGCTGAGGTTTTGTATCTGCAATAATCGAACAAATATATATTGGCACGCGCGTTCTGTGTCAGGGTTCTTATTCCTGGTCGGACTAGCAGGATGATATTTGGATTCAGCTCCACTTTTTTCGGGACTGAATTTTTGTTCTTGTGCCACATATTCTGCTGCCCCAGCTACCCGGAGGTCAGAACGAGAACATCAATGGCCGGCCTGAAATATTCTCGTAGTAACCATGCTTCCAGATGTCCGGTCAATCAATATATGGGCAAAGTGTTGCAGGATTTGACCAAGGCCATATCTGCGGTTTCAAGGTTTACCGCGGGCCGTTCAATTATATCAATGATCAACTTGTCTGCAATGGTCTCCGCATCGGTATCTTACTGCTTTATAAAGAGGATTGCCATTATAGATGCACATATATACTGCATATAAGTACATATAAGTATAAATCAGTAAGCGAGTAGTAGTCCTTTATGCTAATGGAAACATACTTAATACTGTAATATTAATCGTGTGCTTGGTCCATGGGCCCGGGGGTCAGTCGTGAGTAAAATTTACCCAGAGGCTAATGGATTATATATATGTATGTACCGACATTAATACCAAAGTCCCCGGATGCTACATGAAAAATCAAGCCACATACCTAGATCTATGGAATATTCAACATTGCATGTTCAGTCTTGGAAAATAACACTTATCACTTCCAAAATTGAATTAAATTTGTGCTTTATATGGTACTATGCATGTCAGTATATACTGGAATTAACCCATGGATAGATCAATCAAAAGTCATACTCCAAGGCCCCGAGTGCACACATGTACATGTGCAGCCTAAGCGCTTATATATTTCAATCAATAGCAGGGATCTAGCTGGCCCCATTTCTATTAGTATCGATTTACTCTCAAGTTCGGTGCACCAAGAATCCATCGCGAATCCTGGACGTTGACTGGTAGATAGACTTCCAAGGTTCAGACTATACTACATAGCGAGCTACCTAGGAACTCAGGCTCTTCATGTTTGAGATTATTATTATCTGCTGCAACACAGCCGTTGAATTCCGAACAAATCCCATGTAATCTGTATTCAAATCGTACATGATACTCTGCAGTTGAAACAACGCCTATTCTTCCTGCCTGTTTGTGCTTTTTGGTGACACTATCTACAGCAAACTCTACAGGACTGGAGCTCGGTCTAATCTGTCTTAGGTCCTCTTTCAAAATTTTCTCCCAGAGAAAAACCACTATCGCCTTGGCACAGACACCCGGGCAACATAATCCCTCAGGCGACCAGACACCGCCGTTTCGAAGGTTCAAGGACCCTAGTAAATCGCAATACCGGCCCCAGATACGAGGTCAAACACGCCGGATGCAAAAATGATTCACATCCAAGGGTAATGAGGCAAAAATGCCTGTCTGAAACTCATCTCCACATCATCACATTCATCTATTGAATACCCTCCTGGGGAGAAATATTACTTTCTAATATGAAACCACACCAAGTAGCGTTATGCTAGTAGACAAAAGAGGTACGAAGCTCTGACTGGGAGCAAGGGCCCAATAATATGATGTCATTCAAATTCTCCTAAGAGGAACCAAGGTTAACCCCCGCGCCGCCAAAGATACCTTGGTACGTGCGCTGCATGATTTACCAGAGTATACTGTAGCCCCTACTGTATCCCGAGCCCGAGCCCACCAGATCCCGCTCTGACCGAGAATGTCTAGCATACGGTGATGCACGGTCGATCAGGGCGATCAGACTTCGATCGAAGCCAAATCCCTCTGGTTGGTTTTTTCTCTTTGGTGGCGGATCTATTGAGGTATCCGCATAGCTAGATATCAATGCGCTAGTGGGTTGTCTGGCATGCGCATTAGGGTCAACGCTTTGACGACAATTGGGTAGAATGAGCTCAGATACCAGGACTCAGAATAGACCCTTGATAATGTCTAGGGTCCCAAGTAGCTTACGGATTCATCTAGATAATCAATCCTTCATCACGACCCTATAATGGGGTGCACACGAGGTTCATCAATGATCCCTGGATGATAAGGAAAACCGCAAACAGCACCCCGCAAAGCTTTGGACCCTGGAGTATCCATAGTAGGGTGCTGCCGAATAGAAACTTTTGCCACAAGAGACTGTATCCAGGAAACCGGGACCTGGGACGTAAGGTGATGCGCTGCAATGCAAGTCAGTGAATGGTGCAAAAGCACCTACTCCGTAATTCCCAACGGAAGAATCGACCAAAAGCAAATTATGTTTCTAATGTTTCCAAAATTTTCGTGCTGAGGTCGAATGTTTTGGCCGTTGGCAAAAGGAAAGAGGTATGCAAGGGGGTGGAACTGAAAGGGGGCGGAAAGCCCTAATCCTGATCCATGGGTACCTTTTGCACCGCCCACATTACTACTATTGATGTGATATACTTAGAGTCTGAGCGTTGGTTTTTTTCCTATAGGGTGGGACTTTTATCCTTATTTCGAATTATCTGAATTCAAAGCACGGTAGCACAACCTTGGAACCACTGCAGGGACTTGATTCTTATCATTTCCCCTGGATATACTGAGCGGGAGAACATACCAGATCTCCGCAAAAGCAATGCTGCGTAGATCATATACCTAGACATCAAATACTATGTATCGAATGATGATCATGTAAACGCTCACGAACTCTCAAACACGGACCTTATCATGGGTATGCGAGTCAGCACATCCGAGATCACTGTACTGAATGGCATTTTACAACGTCACTGGAGCCGGGTCCACGCACGTACCACAAATGCCATCAATTGGCCTCGCGCGTCCGGACATGCATGTTAACACCCGGGGAATGTGAATTGCTAGACAATAGTAGGGCACGGTATGCCCAATCGTGCTCTATTGGATGGGTGCATGAGACCAGCTCTGGATTTTCCCCGCAAATTGACCCACCAGGATTTCCAAGGTTGTGGATAGTCATGAGTGTTGAGAGGCTTGCATTGCAGGTAGATCAATGTGCAAAATCTTGTTTTGGTACTGGCGTTGAACATGGATTAGAGAAGGTCTATCATCAATAGTGTGCTTCCAGACATGTTGAGTTGACATCGTGCTAATGCATGTATTTCGATTAGGTTCAAAGGGTTTAGTATTAGCAATAGGGGTATATCATATTTCTGGGTACTATAGCTTCCAAGGTTTGTGGTTCCAGATTGATGGTCGAATCGCTGTCGGGTGGTACCTGAGTGAATATGAGATATCATGATTCTGACAGAGAGGACAGTTGTCAAAGCGTTGAGTTAGTTTATGGATGTGTAATCTAACTTTAACCAAACCACTTAAATCTTCATATCAAAAGTTGTATGAAAGCCGTGGAAAATGGGCAAAATGGATCGTGGTGGCGACATCCGGAGTTGATTGGGTTTAGGCTGGCCCAGGCAGGATACGTTGGTCCACAGCCACGGTATGTGCGATAAGTAGATGCCTATCTTCAGGTCAGCCACAGTGATCGACTGTAACTTGGCAGCGGAGCTGGTTCGGTCTAGCCGATAAGGCTACTGATGGTATGACCCGTTGTAACAGCGGAGCTCAGATTTGAAAACCACTATTCAAACCTTCGCATGGAGGTCTTGCCACATCGTGATCTGTGCATACTGTTACCGACCCATCTGGACCTGAATCATGGTGTCCATGGTGAACCGTGTTTTGGATGGCAGTCTTGGCAACTTCAAAGAGTTTAGGTCGGCAAGTCATCCCTTGAGATGCAGGGGTTTTTGAATAACCCGGGGAAAACAGGCTTTCTTTCATCTGGTCCTTGCGGCGGGCCAGGTCTGTGCTGGTAGATTAGATGGTGCAATGAACAGTGACAGAATTTTATCTAAGATGTAGCTAGTTGGGAAAGTTGAGAAAGTTGAGAAAGTTGAGAAATTTGAAAAATTTGAGAAATCAATGTTTTTCTTGATTAGGAAACATTCAAAACATCTAGGAACCTGATTCGCTGTCACAATCATTGAGACCAGAATCTCGGAGCCGAAGAATAGTACAATCCCATTGTAGGATTTTGGTACTATTGCCTATTATTCACATTCATAGCACGAGGAACCAGGTTTTGAAGAATAATGCACGAAACATGAATATGTGGAACTGTTCCAGATGGACTATGGAAAAACCCGCCTAGGGGGAAATCGGGATTCGGGATCGACGAAGGAAATCGATTTTCCTCCAACTCGGGCCTCCCCGATGCTTGGAACGCTAAGATATTATTGCATGAGTTCGTCGCTATTTTCGGAAAAGGGAATAGAGTTTAAGTCAGTGGCCCCGTTCTGCAAATCAGAAGCCTCAGTGGAGCTTAGTGAGAGCTGTCAGAAGTTATCGGCTGGGTTCAAGCGCTCGGCTATTACCTGGCAGGTTTGTTCGGGTCATTTGTTTCAATGATCGACTGAATTTACATAGGAAAGATGATATGAAACCTATCAAACATAGTAGAGGGCGTATACAGTATGGAGCCAAATTCTGGGGGCTGCGAGACAAGTATGGAATCCATGTTCATCACCCACGGGGAACGGGGAGGTCGGAATGGATGCCGCATAACGAAGATCAGTAGTTGATTGCCACTGACTCGGTGGCTTATTCAGTTGTTCCTCGGTCTCGGACTTGAAGAATGCATGAAACGACATCCGGCTGGGTTCACGATGAGCCACGCAGAAGACCAAAGAGCTGGGAATCGGACAGGTGGACTGTTGATTTTACTATGGTGGGTTCGTGTCTTGACTGACGCGTGATGAATCAGAAAATTCCCCTGAGATTAGACGCAGGTCCAGTTAGCGGTTGGTTTACGGATTTTGGGAGGGGGGAAAAGGATCAAACCCTCCTGCAGGTGTTCCTCCCCGGCCTCAACGCTTTTGCTATTGATTCTTTGTGACAATGTTTTGCTCTGCACATTCCAATCATGCCGGGTGACGAAGGTGGGAATTTGTCATTAGAGATTTGTAGGCATCCTATCCAGCCTTAGAGAAATCAATCAGAAAATAAAACCAAAAAAGATATCGGAGAAAAGAGAGAATGAACAAATGGAATTTCCAATGTTACCTAGTATAGATGATCCGCACGGACGGTAACGTTTGACCTGTCGCATAAACCGATCGATTAGCAACCCCACTTTCCGCCACAAGTATTTTTTTTTCTTCTTTGGCTTGGATTAGGGTAGGTTTATCATTTCGCCATTTTGATCATCTTCATTTTAGATGTCTTGGTGAAGCGGAAAATCCATGACTTAAAAATTCGAATGAAACCACCATCCCAGGGTAGGATGTTGTGGGGCGATCAGGGACGATCAATACTAGGTTCCGCAGTAATAATCAAAAATGAAACAAAAGTACATCAATACGACTGCAGGAAAAGAAAGAAAAAAAAAAAAAAAAAGGAAAATTCCCAAAAATCCCCCCAAAGCCCGATTGAGTACAAAAGTCTGGGGGACGATCATCAAACCTAGTTGGGCCAAGTGGCTGCAAGTCAACGAACACTTTAGACTCTACTCACATTGCACGGAATGCATAAGGTACAGCCGAACATTCTTGGGAGTAGATTACTTGGCTCTACTTCGATTATGCAGGTTCAACCAAATCCTAAATCAGAAACATAAGAAATAATTCAAAATTCAAATAAATAAATAAAAATCCCAAAAAAAAACAAAGGTTAGGGATGAATGATTTACTCCATGGAATAAGCTTCCGCACTCGAACTACTACTATAGGCCAAATCAGAGACAATTCCTTCATATAAACTCCCCTTACCTGTCGTTTCCTTCTTATATCCCTCCCCTGCCCTCCCTTCTCTACCCCCCACCCCCCTCCCAACCACCAGAAACGCCCCTTCGGTCTTATCCATCTGAGACCAACCCCTCCACTCCCCCAGATTATACCTTGGAAAGACAATCGAGGTATACGCCAAGTCAAGGAATCACAGGTTTCATTTCCCCTCCAACACGATCCTGTGTGTCCCAGCCACGGTCCTATCTTCCCGCCAATTTCCGTGAAGCAGGTCCACTACGCGAACATTGAAGCAATTTCCAGCAATCTGAAGCAACAGAGCCGATCTCAGTCCTAATTTGGCCGTGGGCACATCATCTGCCGCGGTAACTGATTCTATACTGCATTCTTGGCCTTGCTTAGGATCCAGATAACGCGACGCGCTTCTTTGGATCTGATCCGAATCATGGCGTATAGCTGTAAGTCCGATTCCCCACCCGAGATTCTATGCTCGACCGATTTTGTTTATTTCTGCTCGTTTGTCCCCTTCCTCGTTCCCTTTTTCTCCTTATCCCACAACATTCTTTCGCTTTAGGGGCATCTGGAGATTCGTTCTTTCCCTTCTTTTGCTTTTCTTACATCATCGATTTACTTGCTTTTTTGCTTGTGTTCCCCTGCTTAATCCACCTGCTGTCGTTGCCACTCATTTCATTTCTTCTAAACAACAACTAAATAATCCCTGCCTCTGTTTTTAGGTGACAGTATTATCGACGCTGTCGCCCCTCGAAACCTGAAGACTGAAGATCTCGACGATATGAGATCTCAAGGCCAACACATCTCCGATCGTTTGACGGTGGAAGTTGATTGTCACTCTATGGGCCCTAATGACTGCCCCTCGATGACCTCGAGCTTCTCTCCTTTGGAATCTCCGACACCTACCCCGACCAGTCTTTACAGCCATCAATCAATGGCCTCACCCGGATGGCACGAGGCTGTTCAATACAACAGCTTGCCAATGGAACGTCGTACGTCGGCGACTCCTTTGCGTAGCGCTTTCAGAATGGCCGACTTGACATCAGGCGAGATGGGCATGCCCTGTGGACCAATGGACCGTCCGGATCAGCTGCCAATTGCCGAATACTTCCCCGGCTATGATGAGAACGTGGAACAGTTCCTGCTCCCGGACAACATGCCAAAGACCTTCGAACAACCCACTTTCCCTTATCAGGCGCAAATGCCGCAGTACAACACCATGGGCCGAAACTATCACTATCGCCAGCAGCAGACTAATTTCCTGCCTGAGTCTGCATCCAACCCATGTCTGTCCCGTCCTATCTTCAACCAGCCCGAGCGCATGCCCAATTCTGCCTCCATGTCCAACATGCTCCACTGGATGCCATCCAACGAGTCTTTGCAAACCATGAACCCGTCCCAGGTCTTCCCTCACCCAGGACCTCAGACGCCACCTTCATCTTCGTACTCCGAATTTCCTACCAATCTGCACAGTTTCAAGCCCCACACACCATCAACTCCAGTACGCTCTTATTCCGGCACTCCTGGCTCTGACACACCTATGAGCCGTCTTTCCGGTCACAATGACTACCAGGATGACTTCCCTGTCTCTCCCGGATATCGGGATGGTCTGATGCGCAGCCACACGCACCGTCAGCCTTCTCGCAAATCTTCCAAAAAGCAATTGACCCGTTCCAACCTGAGCTTGGAAAACCTACCTCCCATTATCAAGCAGGTTCAGTTCAAGTGTAAGGAGCCGGGATGCAAAGGTCGATTCAAGCGCCAGGAGCACCTCAAGCGACACATGAAGAGCCACTCCAAGGAGAAGCCCCATGTGTGCTGGGTTCCAGGCTGTCATCGTGCCTTCTCCCGCAGCGACAACCTCAACGCTCACTACACCAAAACCCACAGCAAGCGCGGTGGCCGTAATCGCTACGTTGCTACTTTGGACGATCAAAGTGCCGACTTCAACCCGGAATTTCGTGGACAGCTCACACCTGATGGACGGCCTATCTATGGATCCAAATTGGAGGATCCAATGATGGATTGTGGTGACATCAGCGTTGACGGCTGGGATGATTAGATGTATCATCTCATGCAACAAAAGTCTATAATACAAAAAAACATGCAAAAAAACTCAAAGCCTTCCCAAATATACAGGCTTGCCAAAGCCAAGGCACCCAGGCCCGAATTTTGATACCCTTTGGATCGGTTGCCAAACTGGCATAGACATACCGGTCGTTCCCGGCGTTGTACATGTCTCCCGGGCCAGACTCGGAGACAGTTGTCATTTTCATTCATTTTCATGCATAATTTGTCCGGTGGGCTTGGAGTGGAACTTTGAATTGAGGCGTTTGCATATTGAACTGTTTGGGTCGCCGGTGCGCGCTAATCATGGGAGGGATGCGATCCTGTACAATGATCTCTGATTTTTTCTTTTATATTCATTTCTTTTTTTTTTTTTTCTTTTGTTCTGCGTGTATCACTAACAAAAACAATATTTACACTTACACTTTCCCTGTGGAATAATACAAACACGAATACTTGAGACGTCATTCTTAACCTCCACTTCACTTCCGCTAGTTTGCCTCCACAAAATCCACACCCGGGGAAAACCGAACTTCTACAGTGTCTTCAATCCGACTGGTTTTAATCTGTCCAATTTGTTGAAAGCCAGATTGAACAAACTTTTTCACAGTTATCCATTCGTTTGAATCTTATTCAGTCTTGTTCCACGGTTCCTGAAATCTCGCCCTGAATGTTACACATCACACGTCCCGTTTAGGAGTTATTTGAATCTGGATCTCTCCAAGCGATCTATCTGTTTGTCTTGTGGATCCCAGGCATTAGACCGCCGAGATTCGACTCTATGACCGCCAATTCCCTCCACATTCTAGTCCAACGGGCTGACATCCTATTCGTAATCTCATCTTTCCGCCCCACTCGTGCCCATCGTTGATTGCTAAAGGATTCTTCTTCTGCCTTGATTTGTCGTGCCTTACAACACGCACAGCACACTACTGCGAATGATCAAACACGACCCGGTAGATCCTCCTAATGCCAATCCAGATTTGCCGACTGCAACCCGATGATCATCTTTGAAAGAATATGTGGAGCTACATAGCCATCCTCGATGAGGATACATGCATTCGCCAAGAATTCGGGAACGCCGCTCGGACGACACTTTCCAAGAGCCGCGCATGTTAGTCCGCTGGTTCTGCTCACCCACCGTATCGGGCTCGTTGCATTCATTCCCAGTTTCTCGGGCGAGGCTTGGACCTCCCAGGAACTATCCTGACTGCCGTCCCTGAATCGCTGTCCAACTTACAGGGAATATCCCACATCCCCCACTGTTTCGAATCTGGCCTTTTCTTCCATGATCAACTATGCATGTGAGCCGCTGTGTCTTGAACCCTTTATTTGCTGTCTTTCCCTTCTGACAACGCCACATCAGACCGTCAATTACTAGTAGTGGCCTGGTTTATCTAGTTCCATTCATTGGCCATCTTACCTCCAGGCTCCAGATTTAATTTACTATTTCAAATCATAGATCTACACGGCACCAAACGAACTCGAAACAATGCCATCCAGGATCTTCTACGTTACACCACACAGATTCTAACTTTGTACCTTGTATCATAGTACTTTGGCCTTGTCCCGACCGGGTGAATCCCTGAGTTTTCGATTTCGATCCAGATTCCCGGAACCCACAGCCGGCGGTACTATTGGTATATTTCTTTTTTTCTTTTCCTGGCGCCGGGCGAGACCCCATTTGTCATTAACCGCTACGGATCTTAGATATCAGATTCCGCTGTATGTTCTAATATTGGGAATGATTTGTTATATCATTCCAGCAAAGGTACCTCACTATTGCCTCGTTCTTACATTCTTGAATGTTTTATTGCCGCGTGCTATGGTGGTATCCATGGATGTCCGTGCGCTCACAGGTCCAACGTGTCATTGTGTACGAAGTATACTTCAAGATATCCGAATTCATTTTGCAATTATAATATTTCTTTTTCTTTTTCTTTGTATTTGTTTTTATTTTCTGGAATTTTGCATAATATTCCATCGATCTCGATCCGCTTGATAGACGGATTTGCTCACATTGGCTTTATCTGTGCGTTGGGCTACATGCATTGGAATGTGATATTCAGGTTTCCAAGTTTGTGCCTCTCTTCTGGCCTGGACTCTAGATGCTATGTACTTTTTATGCACAGTGCCATTTTGGGACATGCCATGAGGTTTTGATGAAATATCTCCATTTTGGCTGCGAGATAACTACTTGATGCCACCTGCTCCATCCCTCGCGTGTGGCATGAGTGGGTATGGAAGTATTTGTCTGCAAAACACAACCATATCCTCTCTTTGGTCGATAGGGGGATAAATCCATAGATTTATGCAATATTTTCAATGAACCTGAGAAGAAAAATTCCTGGATGCAGTCGGTTTGTCGGTGAGTCCCGATTCCGTTTCAGCGGTGAAGTAGCAATTGTTGAGTTTTCTACTACTGCAACTACGTCTCTTCTTTTATCCATGTGCATTAATTCGCATCTCCAAATCGTCAATAGTAGGCAATCGGTTAGTCATCATGTTAACAACGATCCTGGTCAAGTCTTTGCAGATCAAGGATTCCCCGTGGTTGGAACTTGACATAACGGTATCTTTACATTCATGTGCGCTTTTATTCCCTATTACTCGAGGTAGAGTGTAGAAATATTGCATGCTATAGATAGTAGGGGCAGTTTTCAATTTTTCAAGCTCGTTGAAAATTCCTGCCGATTCCACATTAAACTGAAGCATGGTATGGCTTCTATCAATCATCACACTTACGCACATTTCCCCAGACTTAGCTTTTATGTTACTTCATTTACGACAGGGACGATGACTAAAGGGTCTAAGCACAAGCTTAAACTCGATTGATTGTTCAGTGGAGAAAGCTACTCCATTACACAGGTCAATCTTGGGATCCGAGAAGCCACAGAGAACGTAAGCGCCAGTAAGGCAGAGCCATAACCGACGGCCCTCTCCGCTATCTAACTAGTATCACCATAAATTACGTAAACTGCAGTCCCGGGAACGAGCATGTACCTAGGATAGGCACCGATTTAGCCCTCGACCACGAAGGTCCGTAGTTCCCCAAATCTGGGAATCACATGGTACATAGGTGAAGTCTCACGACAGCTGGATCGGATCACATTGTAGAAACATGGAACATTCTCTCAGTAGTGGTACAACCGGTGTACCTCTCGCGAGGACTAGATCTGGGCTCGTTGGAAATCTGTCGACAGCAGGATCTAGGGTAGTGCATACTGGTATGGAAGAACATTTGGTTCGTGACTAAGGAACTGCAGGGCCCAGGTCACTTTTTGATCTTCGAGGTCGGTTTATCATTGGGTACTTTTAGGGTCATGAGTTCTATCTCGTCAAGACATAGCGGTATAATGAACATAACATCAGTCAGATAATGCCGGGATATCACAATTCGTCTTCGTCATCAAAGTCCTCCATGTCTCCTTCTTCATCCATACCCTCGAATATCATGAATTTCTCATTCTTAGCATCGGCCTCGTCCTCGACGACGTTTCCATCCTGGACTTCACAATCCTTCAGCTGGGCCTCGCGACCAATCTTCGCTCGTTTGCCAATCACACAGCCGGAGAGAACAGCGCGAGGGCCAACAACCGCGCCATCCATGAGAAGACAGCGGGTCAACCGTGCGCCTGTCGAAATGTGACAGTTGGCTCCGATCACGGATTCTTTGATGACACACTTCTCTTCTACTGTGACGTTCTCTCCCAGAAGGCAGTCACTCTTGGTCACAGTAGATCGCTGCGCCACACCCTCGGGATGAGCGATCTTCTGGTTGTGGGCGAAAGGCGACGCCTGGCGACCGGCCTCCTCGATGGATTCCAGCTTAGCTAGACGCAGTGAGGTAGACAATAGAATGGAGGTGCTGTCAACCCGACGAACAAATGGCGCGGAGCCTCGCTGCACGTAAGCAAGAATGGAAGGCACTTCAGTTGGCTTTGAGGTCTCCGGGGAAGCCTTGACACGGGATGCGAAAATGGGGGATTGGGAGTCATCGAAGTTTGACCCAATCTTGGTGGTGCTCATGCTGTGAAGGTCGATTTCGTCCTCCAATGACTCACCATCTTGGCTTCCATTTTCATCCTCACTATGGCTTTCTTTCTGGAAAATCTCCTTCATTCCAAGCTTGTCCGCGAGTCCCTTCTGCCACCCAGCTTTAGCCCAGTAACCTACGAGATCCTCGCTGATAGATTGCAGCTTTTCCTGGCGAGCGAAATCCTTGACCCAGTAAGGGAAAATATAGAGGTGGGCATCGCGGTAGGTGGTCAGCATCTTAACCTGCGGGTGCTGCTCGACAAGGGAATGCCGAATGAGGAAGCCCTTGTCCTGCTCCATCTTCTCCTTCAGTGTATCCATTGGCATTGCGAGGACCAATTTCGACAGATTGGATCGCACAGCTTCCGGCCCGTCGACCAAATGCGATACAGCTGGTCGTTCATTTTTATCTTGATCCAAAGGTGCAACTGCCACGAAATCTGTAGATTCGCCCTTGACACTCTCCTCCCGGCCCTGTGTCTGATAGAAAACACTAAGTCCACCTCTTCGGCCACCCTGCTCTCCACCTGGACCCGACGACACTGGTCCATGGGCGTTTTTACCCTCTGTCAATGTGCTGCCCCCTAGGGCACCCTGGGACACCATCCACGCCTCGATCAGTGATTCACCGGGAATGTCGCAAAGCAGATCACAGGGCAAAAGGACGAAATCGGTTTTGATACAGGCCTGCACTTCGGGTAGACGTAGAAGCTCAGCTGTTCCCATTGTCGTATCAAGGCCCTTCGGAGCGATCACGCGCGGGGATGGGAGGGCCGTAAGGTGCGGGTTTTGTTTCAGAGCGGCTTGGATAGGAGCGAGGGAAGTGGGAGGAGTAATCAATGTGATATCTAGATACAATTAGAGCCCACTCTCATTCAAATGTCGTGACATAGCTTACCAGTAATTCCCGCTCGCAGTGCGTAGGTCATAGGGTAGAAGAGCATTGCTCGATTGGCTACCGGAATCAAACATTTTGGAAGCTCTTCGGGATTCGCTGGAAAGATGTCAGCCGGTTTAACCCACGTGTTCAGACCGAGAATTGAGAAACATGATCGCACCTGTAAAAGAGTTCAGTGAGACGCCCGGACCGCAAAGGATGAGGGCTTGAAATCCACTCGACGGAGGGGTAGAATGCGGCGGCATTAAGCCGGTGGTATAACTCCGCAGAGAGATGAAGTCGGAACGGTTATGGATATTTGAAGAGGATAAACGTTCCAGCTTCAAGCTAGTGTCGATAAAGGCGTAAATTTAGCTCTGCGCTAGACCACTGTGATTATATCGTCCTGATGAAAGCTATAAAACTGTCCCGCTCTGACTACTTTTTTAGAATTGTAATCACGTGCCTGAGTCGGTGACCCGCTTAAAGTGTAAACACCGCGGCTAACTAGTTCCCCAGCCACCGAGGCTCGATCACTCCCCTTCTTTCCAATCTTCCAGCCTTTCTCATATCTCTCTAATTAACGGGGAGTGAAATGTGAAGGTGAAGGCCTCGCGACACCCATAGTTCTCTAAATGCGCTTTTTCCTAAACGACAATCCCCGCGATCGCAAATGACTTTCCCCCAGGATGGCCGAGGCCGTCGCGGAGCTGGAACCGGTTTCAGCTCCACAGGCAGGCGCACAGCAATGGGCTATTATATTCCTTTGGCCCTGACTGTAGGAGTTGCCGCATTGAGTGTTGCTGCCTGGATCTGGAGTGAACGACACGACAATGATGATCTCCCTGATGACGGAGAAGACCACCAACGGCCGCCGCAGCCTCCCGGTGCGACTGGTGGCGACTTTCCCCCGCCTGCGTACGACACGGGAGCTTATGCAAGAGATGTAGGGACGAATGTGGCGCCTGGCGATGCTCAATACGACCCCGGGTTGATGGCTCGCATGCAGGGTGCGTTGCGCCGAACTCCCAGCCCCCAACAGATCTTTGATGGCGCCAGTCGCAAAGTCGTCGCAGGCGTGGCTGCCGCGGGTCAGTTTGTCGGGGGTGCACTTACATCTATTCGCGAAGAGAACCGCGGTGATTTTGAAGACCACACGAGATGGTCCGAAGAGGCGCAATCCCGGGCGAATGAGAGAAGCCAACAAACCACTTCAATGCCCACTATGAGTGGAGCGCTACCGGGCCGCGCGCCTGGCCAGCAGTCCTTTGATAAGAAGAAGAAGAAAACTGTTGTTATTGTTGTATCCTCCGTAACTCCCTCCGACTCTGATGACTTTGCCACGGAGCATGCCGTAAGAGACCACTCTGAAACGACCAAAACAGCTCATCTACTAATCCATGCATATACAGTCGATTCTCTCCCACCTCCCTGAACATGTGGACTTGGATACAAGCCGAATCTTTGTTCTTATCTATGCCCCGAGCTTGAAACATGCCATTGGCCAGGGAGCCTCATCGCACCCGACACAGTCAATTGCCTCATCATATTCCAACATTGCTACTGAGGAAGCTACCTCTTCTGGTGAACTGGTCGGCGGTGATATGACCCGAGTAGAGCCCCACCAGGAGGATGAGCTTGAAGGGCAGACTCCTTTCTTCCGAACCCTGTACACCCAGGCCCAGGCCCTCGTTGAGAAGGAGACCATGATCATGCCATTCAGTACACCCAGTGGTTTTGTTCACCTGGTCCGCCATTTGGCACCGGACTTGGTATATGCTCAGGAATCATTGACTGGAGAGAAAGGCGATGCGGTTCAACACATCTCCGGATGGGTGCGACAAGTCATTGTCGTTGTTGGTGATGAAGGCGGCCGTGGTGGTCTGATTGACAGTGATGACGAGTCTGCCCTCGCTGACAACGGAGAGCGATGGTGGCAAAAAGAAGGCACCACTGGCATTGGCAAGCGAATTGACGTGGTCGATGTCCTTCGTGTTGGAGATGACTGGCGACGCCGAGTGCGTGGCCTGGACTAAGCAAGGTCCAATGCCCTGTTGCTGTCCAACGACGTTGATGTTGATGTTGATATTTGTTCCCATGTCCATACTTGCTTTGGCTCACTTCTCCCTTGATGATTGTGTTTTCGATTCCCCTTGTTCATTTTTTACGTTTTTGCAAGCTTTGTTATAATTCAGTCTAGCAGGAACATCAGCCTGCTCTATCTAGCACGGCTGGCACGGTACTAATAAACCGTTAATGCAATTACTTTGCTCTCACTTTAACTCGAAAATCACATAGAAACCAAGTCTACGAGTAGTTAGTGCTATGTGCTACTGTGATATATTGATGCCTGAGGCTTCAAGGAGCTCATCTGCTACTAGTCCCAATTCGCTGGTCATGTGACAATGTCACGTCGCCCGCGGCTTCGGCATCATGACCTCCTTCTAATAGCGTTCTCCGCTACCACTTCCGCGTCCCGACTCGACGACTTAAAACTTTATCGTTGGGATCTTCGATGGACGTATCCGCTCTCTTTTCCTAGCCCTCACGGAGCCCTTCACTATTCTTATCCGTTGGTGAACAGGGCCGACTGACCCCACATGTCTTGCGCATCGTCATACCATTCTTTCTCCGGTCACCGGCTCTAAATCGATATCAACGATCCGGTTCCAGATAATTTTCAGTTTTAGTTACTTTTATCTTTGTTGCGCTGAAGAGCGCTGGCAGCATGGCGACCATGAAGCGACCTCCTTTGCCTTTCTCACAATCCGGGGTTGGGGTTAAGCCTCAACCACCTTCGTCATCTCCACCCACCACCAACAAACGACTTCCCGGCAGCACAAATACTAGCTCAAATAACCATTCCGCAAACCGTATGGGCAGTGTGTCAAACTCCTCAAAAGGCCCCATGAACCGAGTACGGCCCCATCTGTCGCAAAAACCTGGGGAACAGTCATCGCGCATGGGTCGGCCGATGACAAGGACAGCCGCAGGCGGGAATGAGAACCGAATTTCCAAGAGATGCCCCGAGCCATACGGTAAGACTTCGCCTGGATGCCATCATCCAATGGCTCTACAGGGTGTGCCATTACTGACCGTGACCCTGGTTACCTTTTACAGTGAAAACAACGCCCTACATCTTGAAGAAATACCGCAAATGCCCCCCATCTCTCATCGTGCATCTTCACCCCACACATTTTCGATTCGAACAACAAGATGGAAGTTTTCCTTACAACTCTGAGATGAAAATCATCATTGAGCACATTCGCGCCGGAACTATTCCACATGATTTGATTGAAGAACTTCTCCGTGCAAACGTACGGTTCTACGAAGGTAAATCTTGATAGATTAGTTGTATAGGAAGCTGTTGCTCATTTTTTTTACCAGGTTGTCTCATTGTTCGAGTGATCGACCACAAATCCGTGTCGGCGCAAACCCGAAAAACGTCCACGGCAGTACCCACCGAGAACAATACCCCATTTTCCCTACATAATTACAACGAACATATCACACCGTCGGCCTATGTTCCGTACCCGAAACAGAACCAGCTCACCGATGTGCAAAGCTCCAAAGTGGCCGAGAATTCCATTGCTGATCAAAACCAGGCGGACAAAGAGCTCAATGGCGAAATGTCCAGTGCCCAGGAACAAGGAAAGGACTCCGGGAACAAAGCCGATTCTTCCAAACCTCGAGTCTTTACAACAGTTCTTCACCCTACCGCTCGTGCATTGCAGGCGGAATTGACGTTGCTTGTTACCACACCGGACCCTAAAGCTGCACGAACATCCAACCCTCAATTGTCTCGTACTCAATCATCGTCAGTGGTGCCTCAATCGCCGGCAACTGCAGGCACTCAGGCCGACCGTAGTCACTCAGCAAAGAGACAAAAGACCCTTATTGAGCCCCGAGATCTGCCGGAATGTGAAGCACTTATTGTGAAGGCGTTAGCTCCTCCGCTTTACCTGGAGCCTGTAGATGATTTTGGAGCCGCGCAAAAATTGCTTAAGTTCATGGAAAGCCCACTCCACAGCGATCCTCCACCATCACCCAAGCGTCGCAAGAGAACTATTGCGGAGCTTGCCGCTGATGAGGCGCTCGCGGCTGAAGAAGAGAGATTCATGCTTATCATGGACGAGCGACTTGAGCCCACAGGATCTGGTGCTGCAGGTGGTGTAAAGGCCGCTGCGGCTGATGACAACGCTGGTGTATCGGCATTTGAACCACGTTTCTCTCGCTTCAAGACTCTGGAGACCATCCGGATGCAGCACGAGGAGAAGGCTAAGCACGAGCATGAAGTTAAGATGAAGTCAGAAATGGCCAAGAGGCAACAGCAGGAGCAGGAGCGGGAACGACGCCGCGCAATTGAGCAGCGGCAGGCCGAGGAGCACGCTAAAGAGGAGTCGCGGCGCCAGCTACTAGCAGCGCAGCAGGCACAGGCCCAGATTGCCGCTCAGCAGAACCGACATGTCATGGCACAGGCCAATGGTGTCAGTCAAGGGCAGCAGTCCTCTCCTGTCATACGAAATCAAACTCCACACAGCACTTCCTCGCCATTGGTTGGTAATATCATGACAACACAGGCGGTTCCAATGAGCATTAGTGCATCCCAGCAGTCTGGAAGCCCACCACGACCCCCGTCTTCCTTGCAGCATACCCATCCGACCTTGATGAGTCACCCAATGGTACCATCCAGAAGTCAACAAGGACCGAGTCGACACGGGACTCCGCAGATGACACAGGGAACGCCAGCGATGTCCCAGGCCACGCCGATAATGCGAAATGTTACTCCAACTCAGCGGATGGGTCATGGCAGTCCAAATCATTCGACAATGAACCAGACTCCAATGATGGGCCAGGCCATTTCCGGCACTCCACAGATGAATGGAATGGGTCTCACTCCCCAGCAACAAATGATGATCCAGCAGAGACAACAGCAGATTCTTGCCGCCCAGCAGCAACAGGCGCAGGGGCACATGGGTTCGAATCAATTCACGCAACAGCAACTTGCTCAAATGCAGGCCAACGCGCATGCCCAGCAGAACATCTCGCATCAACAGCAGATGTTGCAAGCTCAGAAGCAGCAGCAACAGCAACAGCAGACTCACCCGAATATGCAGAATATGACTCAGCAGAATCAGCAAGCCTACCAAGCGCAGCTCATGCGGGCTCAATTTTCTCAAATGCAGATGGTTAAAGGTGGAATACCCCAAGGTCAACAGGGCCATGGCAGCCCGCAACAAGGAATGGCACAGGGCATGACACCCCAGCAACAACAGCAGCAGCAACAGCAGCAACAACAACAACAACTGATGATGGCGGCGGCTCAAGCAAATGGTGGTCAAATCTCAACAATGCAGAATAATATGGCGGCACGATACAACCGTCTCTGCCAGCAGCGATTAATTCACTTGCGACATGAGATGTCCCAACGATTTATGCAGCAATATGGACCCCCAACACAGTATCCGCCTCAGGTCGCGCAGCAGTACACCGCGGGACTGGAGAAGAGTGCCAAATTATGGGTTCAGGATCTGATGCGGCGTGAACGTGACGCTGCCCAGCAGGCACGGGCTTCACAGCAAGCTGCGGCTATGCAGATGCAACAGCAAAACATGATGCATAATGGCATGGGTAACTGATTCTCGGTGCCATAGCAGATGACTTGTTCTCTGCTTAATGGTTGAGATATTTATGAAATCTAGGGCGTGTCCCCAAAAACGCATGTTAATTTTGATGCCTCAATCTTTGCGTGACGTTCAATTTCTGCTTTTTCTTTCTTCAATGTCTTTCTGGGGAATGTATAGGGTCCAGGCAGCGCAGATATCAAGAGGTCGGCGTTTTTCAATATTTCTGCCATGGTTTTCTCCGGTTTTCTATCTTTGACGATTTCTTTGACCATTTATTTTTTTTTTTTCATTTTTTGTCTTGTATAAGGTTACTAGGGATGCACGGGGTTTATTTTGGTGGGAGTGAACGATTCAGAGAGTCATATTTGATACCATTTTGTATAGGAGTCTATTCTCAAGGGTTTGGGTGCGATTGGGTTGGACTGGAAATAGTGGGATTTGAACAAAATGCACGCTATCACTTGAAATCTTATATGTACTAGAATAAGTACTTGTAGATACTGCTGTAAATATACATAGTAGATTCTTGTCTTTTTCTTAGCTAAATGTCAGATACCGGCGTATAAAATACCAGATCAATGACATTATGTAGAGAGCACTATGTATAGCAGATGTCTCCATTTTACAGAAACTCGAACAGTCATCGCCTTCAGCATTTGAATGTTGTGTGTCACTACCGAGGTCGTCGTCGAATCCGAACCTTCATCCCTCATTTGATGTAGTGCTACTGACCTCCTTGGATTTTCTTTACTTTTTTAGATGATCTTAAGCTCCGTACTTTTGTTTGCGAAGAGGCTATGGGATTAATTATAGGTACTTGCATATGTACATAAGTAGGTGACCCTGGAGAATTGCAATGTAGTGGCTGGCTGGATCATGCTAGCGCCTCCAGTGAAATGTTCCGTCGGAAGAAAAGCTGATCCAACCATGCTGACAGGTTTAATCAATCAGGACGCCATCGCCTTCGCTTACCTGCAAAGAGATGGGTGAGCGACTAGCACAGCCAGAAAGCTTTGGTCATTAATTTCATGGTTTACGCGGTACTCCTTTGGGATTACACCTAGACTAAAATATGTAGTAAAAGCGGCGCCAGACCGGATGGAGTAGGAGCTAATGCAGGTAAATTAAACCCGCGAGCCAATTAAAATAAACTAACATTATACCCCGTGGGCCTGCATTCCATTGCGCGGCAGGGAACCCGGATTTTTGGTGGTGCATGGGATTTTTGGTGTCGATCACGCGGGAAGAGAACGCAACGTGGGTTGGGAGGTTTCCCAGGTTAAGTGGATACTAACCTAACATTTGTAGTCAACGCTTGGAAAGAGGGGAAAGATTGGAGATAAGGAGTAATCAATATAGTGATTTGAGACATTGTGAAATTATTATACCAGCATCTACGTACATATTAGGTGGTCCGTGTTCTGGAGATAAGAATAGGATTCCTTTTCCTTATATACCTCTGCATGAGACCTGCATCTTAAGATAACGTCACGGTGCACCAGGTTCGTATATCATAGGGTAGTACGATAAAAAGAAATAAGTTGAACACGTCCCCGCCAGGTTCCAAAGTTCCAACGAACCACGTTATGACCCCTCGTACGATAGGGAAAGTGATTTCAGCCTCATATACAATGCAATGTTTCCCAAATCGAAGATGATCAGTCCGAGCTGAAACCTTTCCGTGATTCCCAGATCCTAGTTTCACTACCGTGGGGGGGGGGGGGGGGGAACCGCAAGTCGCAGGCTGTGACAACAGGATCCATGGAACCAGCTCGAGTGGAAAAAAACTCCCCGAGTTTGGTGGATATCTTGGATTAGCTAGCTTGGGAGGTCCAGGAGAACCATAACCATGGGAATCAGAATGACAGGTCGGATTTTTTAGTTCATTTTATTTACATATGTAAATGTTCAGATATAGATCATTTGGAGAGATTTGAAGAAGATACTCTAGGATTTTCATATGAAGTTCAGCACGTGCGGTGGTACGGAGGACACGGAACGTAATGTCTCGCCGAGTTAAAGTGGATTCGCTGGGGAACCCCCGATTCTGAGTTTTATGATGGATTTTATAATAGAATTATAACCTAACATCCTATGAGTACCGAGTACAAATACAGATATATCGAAATATGAAAAAATCAGATCCAAGAACATTAAAATGCCCCAGTGCCTAGAGGCAAGTTGTAATAAGGGGTCGTAGAGCTTAGTCCCATTTGAACATGTCTACAAATGTAAATAAACAATTATACCGAGAAATGATGAGATTCTAATTCTTAAGATCAATTTTCATCAATGTTCATCAATTTACATCAATTTATTACAATTTCAAGGTGGTTGGATGAAAAGATCGTAAAATACCTGAAGATGTTGATTAGTGGTTAAACCCCTCTCCGCTCTCTTGCCCCCTATCTCCTTCCAATCTCACTTCTTCCACCATTTCATCCACCTCCCGGGCGAAACGACATTCTTTGTCTTGACAAGGTTGCCATTCTAGCAGGATCTGGGGTTTTTTCTTTTCTTTTCTTTTCTTTTCTTTCTTTTTTTCTTTTTTTCTGCTCTTTTCTGCTCGCCCCGGGACCTCTTCTGACCACGTCTTTCCTTTCAACTCGCCTGGTTTTCGAGTTGCTGCATTCTGTTGCCATCTAAGCGTCTTTCTTTTGATCGGCTGTTCTCCTCTTAATCGTCACCTGTAGTTGGTATGGATTCCCCAGGCTGACGCGTTACCCATCGCTCCACCAATTTCGTTTCTATCCCCTTATCCACCCTCATTGAATTCTCTTCAATACCCTGGCGGATTCCCCTTCCAATGAATAGGGGGGAGATATACAATTTAACATCTTGAATGGACCCTAGACTGACATCTCGTGGATAGCAAATCTTCCGTTCTGACACGAACCCCCCCCCCCCCCATCCCGGATATCTTCCCCTCGATCCATTCCGAGCCGCGAGTTGCCTTGTCGAGATTCTCATCGACCTGGACACTCGTCTTGCATCATTTCAACACCCTGGCTGAGAGAAGCACTATGGCTGCGTTGGTTCAAACGATCCCGCAACAGACTGGCACGATTCCTGTGCTTCAGACGCGCCCTTCCTCCTCCTCGGGCACCTTTGCCTCCCCTTCACACCATCCCACCCGGTTTCAGAATATGTCGTGGAGCTCGCTCAATGCTGGCAATTCGGGCAGCTATCGACCAGGTCACCCGGCTGTGGCCCCATACGCTTTTGCTCCAAACCCGAGCCACCCTCCCAATGCCCAACAACAGCGACAGTCTTGGACCCCCCATCTTCGCCCCGAGCACCGCACTTACTCTGCCCCTACCGTTCACGGCTCGACTTCAATGGCCCAACCTGCCAACGCCCGAGTCGCCAATCCTGCAGCTGGTTCTGTATCAACTTCTTCCAACTCTTCTTTCAACTCCTATGTCTCCAAGGACGATAGCGCCATTCCCTCCCGCCAACCGAGACCAGATCAACCTCCCCGTCCATTGTCTACTGCCAACCTCCCTACCCCCGTTATGACCACATCCTCTCCCATCAGTTCCGCCAAGCCCTCCCCAAACCGGTACCGCCGCTCAAATCAACGCTCCCAATCTCCCGCGCCGACACCGGCGGCATCCACATCGGCTCCAGCAGCGGATGACCAGAACAACGCAGCCCCGGCTCCTCGGCCGGTCCAGCGATCGAACGGACACAACCGCTATGCGAGCGTGGATGATTCGTCTCATGCGGAACGGCCACAGTTAGAACCGGCAAAGCGGTACCGCCGGAGAAGTATGGGGAACATGGATCCAGGCTCATATCCCAACCTTCAATTGCAATTACCGATACCGCCTTCACCACATTCCGGTCCTTACGACTTTATTGCTTTTGATACGAATCAACCACGGCCACAGTCGGCCCATTCGCAGAAAGGCAGCTCGCACTCTGCGAAGTCTTCTATTTCATCGGTAGGACGCTTCGGGCCCTGTCCCTGAAACCAACCTCGGCAATGAACTGACATGACTATCTAGACACGAGAAGCGGCTACACCTGATTCCAATCCCACTGCCAAGCCGGAAGAGAAGCGAGTGAGCAAGCCCTCCCCGCTATCCCAACAAGCTTCAACGCCGAAAGCTCCGACCACCCAGCCTACTTCCAAGGCCCCGACCGCTTCATCACCGCCAGCAGATTCACCGGCGGCGAAGCGCCTCGCAGAGCTGAAGAATGACCCCAAGCGTCCTGGAAAGTCACGCCTGAGACGTGCTTTCTCCTTCGGTAGCGCATCCGAGCTTCTCAAGGCGACTTCACAGACCAAGCGCGAAGCAATCGCTGCCGAACAGGCGCGCCGAGAGGCCTTGCGAGAGGAACTGGGTGAAGAACAAGCGGCAATTGCTGAGCAGCAAGAAGCCATGGGATTAGGTGAAAGCATCTATTCTCACCAGGGTGGTTTCTTTTCTGGGTCGACAGATGCGCTTTCCATTTCGTCGACTGCTTCATCGGCTTCCATGATGCTTCGGAAAATGGGCAAAGGTATGAAGAAGTCCACTCGGTCGTTAGTGGGTTTGTTCCGCCCCAAGTCCGTTGCCAGTATCCGTTCGGTCGAGGGGTCTTCCGAGCCGATGGCCCTCCCCCAGATCTCCGTGGTCAATGTGGAGGCGGAGCGTGAGATTGTGGTCAATGCCGACCCCATGGAAATGCCCAAGGGCGGCACCGTCTTTCCCAAGGTGGAGGCTCCTGGTTCGGAAGGTCGGAGGTCCGCTTCCATTCGGGAAAGGGAAAGAGTTGTCTCGGATTCCTCCCAATCGCGTAAAAGCATCGTGGGAGGTGACCGAGAACGTGCTGAGGTTTTGGCGGCCGTTCGGAAGGGCATTCTAAAGAAGACCCATTCCGACTATGGCGTCTCCTCACCCGCCAATGCATTGAGCGGTAGTGACTCCCCGCATTCCAGTGCCCCGCCCACCCCAGATGAGTCTTCTCGACCCAGCCCTCGTCCGACGGAGCAAGTAACCATCGCCGGTGAGGACTATTTCCTCTCCGGTGGGGGTCGGTACACAAGTACTGACGCGAAGAGCGCTCCCATAACTCCTCAGTCGGTTGGCGGCCGAAACATCGTTTTCAGCCCTCGTATTCAGTTCCACGAGACCTGGCCTAGTGGCGAGTACGATCGTCGTGGAGAGATCGCGACTTGCAACCGTCTGACTCCTCTTCTGGCGCAACAAATTCGGGAGGAAATCAATAACTTCAAAATGGTTCGTCAATGTTTCTCTTCTGTATATCTTCAATGCTAATGGTTGAATAGGAGATGGAGGTTCACGAAAACTCCAAGATCTACACGCACTTCATTTGAGATCGATCAGCAACCTATTCCATGGCTTGCCTCTTGGCTAGGCCATGCGTCCTTGTCCATAGATATGCATAAACTTCGGCGACTAGGGGTTGTTTCTTATTTCCCATTTAATTTCCTTTCGTGTTATGGCGAAGACAGATGCAGATCATCATGATCTAACTCCTTGTATCTTCGTTTGCAATGCGGTCACTAATGCCGACTCTCGTTCTGGTCTCCTTTCCCGTCCCGTCCTCGGATTCGAGGACACATGTTCATCAAAACGGTGTGGCTCATTTCAAAATCTTGGTGATTTCCCTCCTGCCAACGCTTGGGCTGTTTTTCTGCGAATCTTGCCTTGGGCGTTGATCTAATGAATGTTCTCCCCTTGCCTGCAGCAGGTGCAGCGGTCCTCGTCACTGTTCGAATTTTTTTTCTCATCTTCTGTCATTTCTCATTTCTGCATGCATTCGAATCATTGTCATTGAGTATTGGGAGCGTGGGCACTGGGCTGTTCTTTCTTTTTGTTTTCTAGCACATCATTTCACGGTCATCTCCTGGCCCATATTTTTCATTATCATCAGCTCGTCAAAAATACATCGAGCCTCTGCATTTTCCACTCACTTCGCTTTTTCTTTTCTCAGTTCCTTGCGATTCACGCTGTTTGTTAGTAGCTAAGTAGGTGTTTTGCATCTACACCACCCTGTACTTGTTTGAATGGAGTTATTCATGAATTCTTTGGTCCTAGAGCTGCTTAGAGTTTCAAGGGCTTGACTGTCCTCACTGCTGCTAAATGACGTTCTGCCATGGATATGTGGAGGAAGTATAGATTGCAATATTTGAACTTTCCCCCGTCGGGCGCATATTTTCGGCCTATGTAGCCATCTTCTATCCTCCAAGGGCTCCTCATTTTCATACCAACTACTGTACTATCTCCTGTGAGTATTAGCCGTCACTTCTTACTCATATGGTTCTCCCTTGAGTATACAAATTCTTGAAATCCCTCATCTACAGAAGAGAGTAATATGGTCGCTGTCAGTTCTACCCAAGAAGCTACAGATACTGCAACGGCGGACTATCGGCAAAGCAACGCCCGGGTGTCTGGATCTGACAGAGGCATGGGTGCAGAACGAATGTTGTCTTTGACCAAAACACAGCGACTGGGGTTGATGTCACCATAAATGGAGAAACTCACACCATAGAGGCCAACAAAGAGGTGATTATTTCGTCTGGTGTTTTCAGTACACCCAACCCCCTTGACCTATCTAGAATTGGAATACCGAGAAATCAAAATGATATGGATAATCTTGGAAGACATGTTGTTGTTGATGATCGGTTTGTTAGAGAAAATCTTCCGGACCATCTAATGCCCGGTATTAGATTTATAGCCATTGATAAAGATACTACGGGAGATCCTCTCAATCATCAAGAGCTGGGAGCTATTTAGACATCTATAAATCCATAACATCACGTTGTGCAAGTCCTTTAATGCCTTATTCAGACGAAAACGGAGTCAGAAATCAGAAGGATGTCAAGGATTTGATAGATCACATCCTTTGAGGCATAAAGATCAGGACCAAGCTGTTCAAGATATCCTCAATTAGCTTCATTCTAATACCTTCCCCTGCTTCATGTTTCCTTGCTAGGGACATCCTTAGGAGACTGGTAGAGATTGGTTGGATGGGATCATCTCTCTAGCAACTGTCAGCTTAGCCGGCAGGCTTGGTAGCATACTCAGATGTAAAAATGGAAGAATAAAAAAGATACTGCTGCAGCGCAAGTAAATTCATATAAATTAGCACACTATTCAAATGTTTGGACATCATTATTATGTAGGATGAAGCGATGAACATCGTTTCCAAGGTTGAAGTATCCCTGGCTGTTCACTTTTCTATAAATCAACCTGCGCATCCTGCATTTTACCTATATCCAGTTCACATGTGCAAAGATTAATTCATTGATTATTCTTATGGTTCACCATCACCTGGGAATATGAGGCACTAAGTATAGCTTTGTACCGAGGTCCAGAACAACTGGATGCATCAGTGCCATGGGTCCGAGATCTACCCCCAGGACCCACATCCACAGAGCCGCAAGGAGAGTGGAAGAACAAGGTTAAAATAAACATTCAAAAATGTAAAGTCTATAAACTCACGATAGAACTGAGAGGCTTTGATTGTGCCTTTAACTTAATTGGGCTCAAAGTTCAAACCAAGGTTCCAAGGTTCCAAGGTTAGACCCGGGTCTGGTTTGTGCAGCACTACGTTCATCCAATGGAATTTTTCATGGTATATAAAGAGATTCAGATTTTATGCATGTAAGCTGAATGATGAAACAGAGGATCCATCAGGACCCCCATCATTCGGCGTATACAGCGCATAGTGGGTATTAGTATGAAATACTGTAGAAGAATAGTGAGCAAAGAACCAGCTGGATAGGATCAAATGTATCAGTTGAGTAAGATTCATCACAGGACACAACTCATGCTTGTACCTCCAACGACCTCGCTACGTCTACTACGCCTGCGCAGTTGTCGACACTGAGTTGCTCCCAAGCCAGGCTTGTTGAATATTCAATCCATCAAAACTCCTTCATTCATGCCAATTGCGTAACACCGTAAGCATATCAGATTGTGGGGTGATCCCTTGTGGCTTCCTATACGGAAACACCGGGGAAACAGTCGGCCAGACCCTTGCTGTGCTTGTTGGAGGCATGCTCGAGGAGACTATAATGCAATTAATATTAGTAATTGTCGAACCACACAAGCCAACAGGAATGGACTTCACGCACGCAGGCGCCTTAGTGGTCTGAAGGAAGGTCTGTCTGCAGGTTTGGCATTGGATGTTCATGGCTTGCTCGTTCTGAAGTCATTCGAAGGTCAGCGTGGGGTAGGACAGGCATCTTGATACTATCGCAAACTTACAGCCTTCTTTTGAGACTTAGGAGCGCCCTTGGCATCCTTCGCGTTGCGCTCGCGCTTCATGTTGGCCTTGGCACCCTGGAAGTAGATCATCAGCTTTCCGCAGCGGACGGGTGGAGCGTAGGAGGGGCTTGCGGTATCCGCAAGGCGCGGTTATCTTACGTTACCCATTGTGAATAGATATCGAAATCCGGGACAGGGAGAGGATTATAGGATGAGGTATGAAAGGAGGACGAAGAGTAATCGGAGAAGGAGGGGGAACGGAGAAGAGAAAAAGAAAAATAAAAAATAGAAAAAAAGATTATGTTATCAGTGGAACCAATGGCCTTATCGAGTGTTTATGCGTGGGATGTCACATGATCCCAACCAATCATGTTGTAAGGTGTGAATTTCCCCAAATCGAGAATGATCCACCATTGGACCTCCCCCCCCCCCCGATCGATCTCGATTTTGAATCTTCCTAGAATTTTCTGGGCTTTGGTCCATTCATCATCCAATGTTATTTACAGTCCTCACCCATTCGTGGGAGTTAGGATACTGCAAACATGGCACATCCAAGATCTCGAACACCGCGTCAGCATCAGCATCCTGGTAGCTTTGGGACATACAGGGAGCGAGAGTTCTTTAGGTATATCACCAACTTTGTCAGGATCATCAAAGACTGACTGGCCACCTATGATACTAAAATAGATACCTACCTCCGTACCATCTCCAAACCCATCCTATACCTCATATCGATCGGGACACTCCATCTACGTTTGCCGCTCGATCTTCGTGGGACCCCGCTCTGACCTCCTTCGCCCAGTTGGGCACTTTACGCCTGCACGCCAAACGAACGTTGATTTCACTATTTGGTCGAAACGAGCAGGTTGTTCTCGCCGAGGCTACTCAGACACTGAAAATTCAGGATGATGACAGCGAAGATGCTCGCCAGGGATTGTGGATTGGATGCTGCACCATGTCCTACGAGCGTAGCCTCTGCAAATTCTTGATGAATAATTCGCAGGCTATTGAGAAACCTCAACCGCTTGTTGTGACCAACATGACCCTACATGAAGATTTCAAGAACCACCCGGATGTGACGAATGATCCTCATATACGCTTCATGGCATGCAGCCCGATTATCAGTCCCAAAGGAATTGTGATTGGCGCTTACACAGTTTTGGACGATAAACCGCACGAACCTTTGGATGCCAACTCTATAAAATTCCTGAACGATATCGCACACACGGTTATGGATCACTTGGTCGCGAAGCGGTCTCTACATGAACATCTTCGAGGTGAGCGCATGATAGTTGGATTGGGAAGTTTTCTGGAGGGCAAAGGTTCTTTGCGTAATTCTTGGATCAACGCGAATGAGAGTATTCTGACGCCGTCCCCGGGCGAAGACACTGAGATGGAGGGCCATGTCAATCAACAGCAGCAGCAGAAACAAATTTCCGAACATGCAACCCCGATCGCGAGATACAACGATGGCCAAGGCTTTCGACCGTTCCGCCCACAGAATTTTAACACCAAAAAGGCCGGGAAAACCCCAACTCAAATAAACCAGGAGAGGGAAATGGCCACTCCAGATGCCAACGCAAGAGACTACTTCTATGCTCGGCCCCGGAATAGACGTGCATCTCATACGACTACGCACAGGGATCCGCTCAAGAAGCCCCCGAGGGATAGCTATGCTTCCAAAGTAAAGGAAACATTTTCCCGTGCGGCCAATATCATTCGCGAGAGTATCGAGGTTGAAGCTGTCGTTTTCTTCGACGCCAACTTCGGCTCTCGAGACGCGTTGGTCAATACATCCACTTTCGATTCAGAGAGTGGCGGGAGCAGTATGGAGAGTAACTCCTCAAGTGAGGAGGAAGCCAAGCGGCGTGGAACCCCCACGCAGCAAGATATATCCAGCGAACCGCAAATAGAGCATTGCGGAACATCCACAAAGAACCCATGCAAGCTGCTCGGATTCGCAACTTCAGACGCTGCCAGCGTAAGCATGGACTATATGTTCGACAAAAAAGTTGCCATATCCGAGAACTTTCTCGGGCAGCTTTCGCGTCGATACCCTCGGGGCAAAATCTTCAATTTTGGCGAAGATGGAAGATTATCTTCCAGTGAAACCAGTGACCGTGGCACTTCATCCAGTGGTGGCAAGAAATTTAAGAGAACTAGGAGGGCATTCATACGGCAGGATGCTGTGACACTCTTGCAGCTTGCTCCCGCTGCCCGAAGCATTGTTTTCTCGCCATTGTGGGATTCTCACAAAGGGAGATGGTATTCTGGTTGTCTGACGTGGACGAGAGCTCCTCATCGTGTTCTAACCTCCCAGGATGAGTTAGCTTTCTTATTCGCGGTTGGGCATAGTGTCATGGCGGAAGTTCATCGACTCGGCGCTGTTTTGATAGAGCGAGCGAAGTCGGATTTGTTGGCCGGAATCAGTCATGAACTTCGCTCGCCCCTTCATGGGATCTTTGGAACTGTCGATATCTTGAATGATACCGTCATGGATGTCCTACAGCGTGGATTGGTACATACGATATCATCTTGTGCCTTCACACTCCTTGGCTCCATAGACCAACTTCTTGAATATGCTAGCATCAACGATGTTCGTGCAAGACCTAGCAAATTTGAAGCCCAAACTGCCCCCAATGCTGTTGCTCGACAGAGTTCACCGCTCGATAAGGATTCTATTGTTCAACTGGATGCTGTTGTGGAAGATGCAATTGAAACGGTCTTTGCAGGCTATTCTTTTTTCAAGAGTCCGAATAGCCCGTTATGGACTGCTGCCCACACGCAGAATCCCTTCGGCTTCAAGGGTGGAGTTAAAGTCATTCTTGACATTGACAGTGCCCAAAACCTGAAATTTGCAACCCGCCCCGGAGCATGGCATGTGATTTTGACGAACTTCTTCGGAAATGCCTTGAAGTTCACTGATGAAGGCTTCATTTATGTTTCTTTAAAGGCTATTCCAATGAAGTTTAAGTCCGATGGCCAAGCCACGCAATCAAAGGTCACATTGTGCATCAAGGACACTGGGTGCGGCATGGAAGAAGAATTCCTCAGGAGCGAATTGTTTACCGCCTTTTCTAAAGAAGACAGATTGTCACCAGGTAATGGTTTAGGGATCAACATCGTGAACCGGATCGTATCATCTCTCGGTGGCGAGATCGAGATCAGCTCTCAGAAAGGCGTCGGTACGGAGGTTGTGACAACAGTGACCCTTGACCATATTCCAGAACGGACGTCTCACCGCAGTTTGAATGATGTCCCGTTTCCTTTGTCCACGAGGAATCTCGTGAAGCAGAAAACTATCGGGATTTTGCTCCACACATCCTCCGATGGGGATGCGGCCTTGCTGTCATCCATACACAAGTTATGCCAAAACTGGTTCCAAATGAAAGTCGAATTGGTTGAGCCATCGAGCATGAATGTTAGCCAATACGACTTCTATATTTCCCTCCATCAATCTTCGGCTGCAGGGATTCATGAGATGCTACCAATTCGCCCTCGGTCCAACAAGCAATTGCCCCCGCCTGTCATCATCATCTGCTCCTCTCCAAGGATTGCGCACACCTTGGCATCCCAGGATCGAAGGGAACCCGGGGTCTTCGAGTTCATCAGCCAGCCATGTGGACCTCACAAATTGGCAAAAACATTGGAAAGTTGCCTTCAACGCCAGCAGCTACGCCGTGACTCACTACTCGGCAAGCGAAGAGGATCTTCAGTCTCACAGCCCGAGGATCTCGATCATCATTTGAACGGACGATCAAAGAGGGATTCAATCCCAATACGCAATGCAGACCCGATTCCACCCCTGGGGCCGCTACAAATGCCCAGCGAAGCCTTCGCCGAGCCTCTCGTGACACCTGTTTTGTCTGTACCTGCAGGTATGGACTTGGACTTTCAACCTGAAGATTATCTGGCAGTCCACCCACAAGTCATCCTCCCCAGAACCATCCTCCTCGCGGATGACAATGAGATCAATCTCAAGATTCTGGTAGCGTTTATGAATAAGCTAGGGTACAATTATTGCATCGCACACAATGGACAAGAAGCCCTTGACACCTTCAGAAAGAATGCACGCAACATTGAAATCATTCTCATGGGTAGGCTAAGTCCTCCAATTCAATGGTGATGATCTAACTTTATTTCAGATATCTCAATGCCCATCATGGATGGCATCGAAGCCACCCGGCGCATCCGTGAATTTGAAAAGACTCTTGAGGATAAGCAACGCACCATGATTCTAGCCTTGACTGGCGTTGCGCAAGCCGAAACGGAACGAGATGCCATTGGGTCTGGTATGGATGCATTTCTGACCAAACCTGCACGATTGAATGCTCTACGACCAATAATTAAGGACAGAATGCCTCAGACATGATCTTACAGCACACGAATTTTGAAGATTAGCGCTTGGATTGGAAGTACATATTTACATTGACAATTTCAATTCTGTATTTGTAACGCAACTGATGTTAGGAACGAATCTTACAGTGACAGGGACATAATATTTCCGCCAAAAACCTCTATATCACTTTACCCAACCCGGACCTTTGGTACTTTGAATATCTCTCACTCAACCTCCTACGTTGTTACATATGCCTGTTAAATTGCACCATGTTGCTCTGTTCACTACTGTATTTCTGCTTCCTTTGTATTAAAATCTCAATCATTACGGTTCGTTCCAGAGTGCTATACCAGCCGTTGGGTGTGAATGTAAGTTATGATACCCACTCATTTTGGTAAGTGCAAGGTCAAACTCGACCGCTGATATAATGCTAGCACTTACCCAGTTCTCACCATGTCTGCCAATTACATTACTAGCTGCTCGACCATTGCGGCGGTTACCATTCTTCGATTCATTCTTGTTCGTGCTAACAGGAAACTTGAGATCGTGGGGACGAGGTTGAGCGCTCCGTCGTCGGTACGGCTGGATGGACAAAGTGGTTTCCGCTACTTGTTTTGATTGCAAGCTTGATTGAGATTGGAAGACGTCACACATTGTGATTTCAATGAATTGACTTTATCTACACATTTCAACCGGTTCATTTCACGAAACCAGCGAATCAAACATCTCCCCCTCCAAAGTTGAAAAGCTAGGTAGAATTCAAATTGAATTCTGCCATTCCCACCTATCTTAGGCATAATTGAGCCTTTCCTTTGTCCAAGAAGGCCGCAGACTGACATCATCAATCTCACTCGTATCCAACGAGCTACCGGCCACGTAATTCACCTTCCAGTCCACCGAGATACTAGCCCCCTCTTCCGTCTGTGCCCAAACAGCCACAGAAATGGTGTTCTCACCACTATAATTCAAAATGCCAAGTGGAACAGGGAATTCCACCTGATTTCCAATATACGGATTGAACCGCCCGTACTGGTAGCCGTTCACAAATAGCTGCGATCGGTACGTAATCGCCGAGCCAGATGGAGTACCCAAGACGAACGAGATGGAGATATCATGTTCAGATGGGAGATCTAGAGAGACCACAGTACGGAAGAATCGAACTGTTGCACCTTCAAAACTCAGGCTTGAGCTGTCACTAACGCTCGACCAGGTCGAATCATCAAATCCTGGGAGATGCCAGCCCACTCTCTCGCCGTACAGACCGTCTTCATTGTAAGCACCGCGAACCGGGTCGAGGTTGGATTCGCCGCCTGCGGTTCCGGCGATACGCCAGTGAGTGAAGCCTGTCGAGGAGCCAATGAGGTTGGCGTCAAGGATACCACGGGGATTCAACGCCCCGGAAGTCTCATCATGGCCTGTATCATCGTGAACGACTAGTAGAACGTTGGGTTTGCTGGTGCTGAGAGTTGCGTTGGAGAATGAGAGGGTGAGATTGGCTTGTTCGCCTGTTGCGTCGCCAAAGTAGGATCCCAGTAAATCGCCATTCAACCAAGCCGACCAGCCGCTGTATTTAATGTAAGTTTTAAATTTTGGTGTAATATATGGGCAACTTACAAGGCCAATCCTCCTTGGACGTTCAGGTTGACACCGGTCGCACTGCCGTTGAAATATCCGCGCCAGAGACGAATACCGTTGTGGAAACCTGATATTATTAGAAATATTATCACCGTGAAGTAAAGTACTACATACCATATTCGTCCGCATACAGAACTGGAAGAGTAGTGGGTGTTCTAGGATTCCAAGTAGTCATATGATCGGCAGCTAGTAATTGTCAGCTCCAACGCATCGACTAGTGGAGTAGACTTAAACTTACCAACCCATGCGGCCCCGGAATCATCGTAATCATTCAGACGCTCTGGCAAGCTGTCCTTTGACTTCCACGAGGTGAGCTCTGGCAGTGTAATGGACTTTGGTGCAGAGATCGAGCCCTTCAAACTGCCGTATGCTGTCCGGCTCGCCTTAATAGCCTTCCCATTCCAGGTGATAGATTCCACAGCCTTGGGGGCAAAGACTTCAATTGTCGTGGAGTTGACAATATCACCCGTCACTGCAAGCTTCGACTTTGAGATACTGGCCCCGCGAACGAGATAGGGGCCTTGCACGAGAACTATCGATACGTTAGCAACATGCTAAGACTATGGAGATAGAGAATTCATACCACTCTCTGTTTCCGGAGCAAATGGATCATTCGTAAGAGCAGGGGCCCAGAACTTGTAAGCATAAGTCCGATCGAGTAAAATGACCCGGAGGCCGTCAATCTCCAAGACGCTCATGCCATACGACTGCGTGAAAGTAGCCGTCAATCCACCATTTTCCTTGATGAATTTCACGTTCGAGCATCCTTGGCATGACTTGATAATTCCTTTCTTTGCTCCCTTGATGTTAAATTCTCCATTCTCTCCAGTGGGTACCCAAAGAGCCAAGACCGGAACATCGTCTAAAACCGTGTAGGTTAATACTTCCGCAGTCGAGTAGAGTAACGTCTTGGATCCAAAAGTAAAATCAGTGACCACAATCTTGGACTGGTGCCCGTTCAGACGAACAACACCTCCATGCTTGGGAATAGTCAAATTCCCAGCAGAGGTGTCGACCTTGAGATGGAATGCCTCATTCGTAGAAGTGGACGTGTTGGCGTGGAAAGTGGCATAAAATCCAGCATTGGTATCTGGGTTGCGTAGTTCATATGCGCGGACTTCAGTGTTGTCAGTATACTGTGTCCCATTACCGATCAAATCAGTCTTGGTGAGATCCTTTGCAGTACGTGTAAACAGAGCCAGCAGCTTTGTCTCATAGTACTTGGATGAAATGGATCGGTCCTCGGAAATGGGCGCCGAGTAGTCATAGCTGGTTGCCGTCACAGGCGTAGCGATGGCTCCCCAGTTCGTTCCGCCGAAGAGCATGTACAAACTCATCGCTGTCACTCGCTGGCCGATGTTCCATCGATAGAACAGATTGGCGAAATCAGCGTCCGAGTTTTCGGCGCACCCTCCCTCTGGTCCACCCCAGGGATTGTAAGAGCCTCCTTGGAATTCAGGCATGAACGCAGGGAGTGTTGGTTGGTAGTCTTGGAAATAGTCGTAGTAGTCCACAACCTGGAATGCCACATATTCGCCATTGGTCGAGGTACATTGACTGAGATCGCACGTCCAGCACTAATTGTCATCAGTTCCAAGTTCATTGGCTCAATGGGGGATAGCCTTACAGATGGATATGAGTCCACGCCAGCGATATCAACGTTGCCCTCTCCGGTAATATAGTCAGTTCCCCAGGAGAGGGAGTTCATGTTGGGATCATTTGCCGTCAATGGAATGGTAATCCCACTGTCGCGCGCATTGGCTTCGAGTAACTCCATGTAGGCAATTGCAGTGTTATTGGGTATCTTTTCGGATGTTGATATCCACTGGTCGCCGTACTCGTTTTCGATCTGGTAGCCGATAGCCATGTGCCCATCGGTGACTTGGTACTGACTGGTAATCTTGGCCATCTCCGTCATGTAGGGTGTCCAGGCCTTAGTATACCGGGTGTCATTGTTTCGAAGGCTTCCATATTCACCCGTGGTGAGCCACAACGGGAATCCACCCGCCGTCGTTTCAGCATTGATATACGGCCCCGGGCGGACAAGAACATACAATCCCAGTTCCTTGGCAAGTTCAAAGATTGGTCTGATGTCGTGAGCGCCCGTGGTGAAATCCAGGGTCTGGTTGTTGGGTGCGTGGTATGCCCAATTGGAATAGAAGGAAAACGCGGTAAAGCCTGCAGCTTTGATCTTCTCCAGAATATCCCGCCACAGACCAGGAACTGGGATGCGCCAGTAGTGGAATTCACCAGAGAACACAAAGATTCTCTGACTGTCGATCTGGAAGCTATAGTGATCCCATTCGACAACTTTGTTCAGTCCATTGTCATGAAGCGGCCATTGCGTAGCTTCTGAGCTTTTGGCAGTAGAAGATAGAGGTAGAAAGACGCTTGCAATCCATAGACCATACAGTATCTTCCCTACACCAACCATCTTGTAAAGATTCCACAAGTAAGATGAGGTTGACAACTGCAGCATACATGTTGGAATCGACTTTCTTATATCCCACCGGGTAACCATGAATATTTGATCAATCTGGGTATAATCCCGTGTATGTGGAGCCACTATAATCGCATCTAGTCTAGTAAGAAGTCTGGGTAATCTATAAGCGTTTAACCGAAGCTCCGCACTTCATCTCCCCCGCATGGCGTGGTATCCGCGCCGAGGTTTTTCCTCCATTTAGATTTCTCGCTAGATTCTGTTTAATAAATTTGATATTTGATATGGGGTGGTGGCAAGTATAGATGGATTTTACTGGCTCGCTTCGGTATAATAGCCTCAGAACGTTGCGCACTTTGATAAATTGCAAGTAAGCAGAAGCTGCGCCTTGGGAGGCATAGGTACCTACTCCGGGAGATTGAGTAAGCTAGAGTTATTTGATTTCTGAAATAAACAGAATTCTCTTAATATAGGGAAGGTATGTCACCTTGACACTTGATTGAAGTCGGCTGGACACTTGCTATACCTAATTAGGAAGTGTTTTCGTCCCAGTTTTTCAAAGTGTCCAGGTGAGGTTTTGCGCTAACAGCTGTGATTACCGATAACTTACGCCTTTAATTACAAATATTACACATAAAAAAAACTTGTATATCCGCTATTCGAACCCGCTATGCAAAATCATATCGCTAGAGTTTCGAAGTTGCATAGAAATCTTTCGAACATCGATATCTACACCAAAAAAGCGTTGTCTTTGCTCAAAGGACGGGAGCATTCCAGTATCAAGATTTTCGTTGCTATGATATTCATGTTGACTTCACCGGTTCTTTGCCCGCTATCCAACGCAGGATCATCCATCCTGATCTTTCGACCCACAAAGCCTAGCTTGACTAATGCACTTCCTCCGAATGCACCGCATACTTGCGACGAGTCTGAGTGAAATATAGAAACGTTCATGAGTCCACGGTGTCGAACCTTCGGACGTCGGTTCTTTCATATCGTCTTTATCCACGCGAAGAACTCCGAAAACACTAATACAAAATCAAGTTAATATTAGTAATAAGAATTTTAAAACAATGCACAACTTTAAATCACATAATAAATAGTCGACTTTCTATCGACTACAGGCTGAGTTCACTCAAACGGTTTCCGGGATTCCCAGCCACCAGTGGAATGTAATCACACAAAACACGAAGAACCTCATTGGCACGTTCCCGAGTCCAAATTGTGTTAGGAGCTCCTAGGAAAACATGCAAGGTGGTCTCCCCAGGTTCCACTTCTAACTCAACATAGTGACGAGTCCTGTGTTGTCCAACTTCGACCGCACCAGACCACGAGCATGACACTCCTCCCAGATCAGGCATTTGGCTCTGGAGAGCAGTGTTTTGGAAAGTCAGGACACTGCCAAACATGGAGCCTTGAGCATCGTTTACCGCATTGCCAAGTTCGACCAGCTCAAAGGCCAAGCTCTCCGCATATTGATGTTGGATCTGGTCCATAAGGGCGCGAACGGTCTGATTTGGGTCTAATCGAACGCGAACAGGGACTTGATTTATGCAAAGACCAAAGATTTGCTCAGATCTTGTATCCAGACTGCGCCCGCTAGTGGTGAGGCCGAATATTATGTCGTTGTTTATGTTGGAAAATTGAGAGAGGGTCAAGGCCCAAGCGGCTTTAATGAGGGTTGCCTGCGTGATACCCGCCGGAGCCTTCAGAAGAGGTATCTCGGTCCGAACGGCAACCATGAAGGGCTTGCTTCCCACACAGTGACTTGAAACATCACCCGGACGAGACATATGGAAGTTTTGAAGCTCGGCTTTCCAAAAATTTAGACCTCGCAGATCTTGTTGGGCCTGGCGCCAGTGATCTATGTGAAGCGAGTAGGGAACCGGTGGATCCATGATAAGGCCTTCATACAAAGACTTGAGGTCTCTGCTGAGAATTTCCAATGCGTATCCATCGTAGAGGGCGTGAGAAAGCCTTATGATGAGGCATGACTTACGATCCGAGCCCTGGACAATAGAGAACTGGACTATAGGGGTGCTGACAGGGGGTATGGAAAGATTGTTTGCCGCGCAAACCCCATCCACGAAGCTTCTCAAGTCCTTATTGGTCTCATAACGAACAAGACGCAATTCGAGTTTCTTCAAAATAATCTGTGTCCATGTGGAGTTGTGTTTCTGGAAGATAGTGCGCAATGTGTCGTAGCGTTGCACCAGTGCCTGGCAGGCAACATCTAGTTGGTCCATGTCAATTTTGTCAGATATTTCAAGAGTGAAGTGGTAACACGGCTCATGAAGTCTCATAACCTGACCAGCCGTCATCGGCAGAATATCCTGGATGTGTTGCGCGGTCAAGAAATGTTGAGGGGGTCCATTGATGTGCATTAATAGGTCTTCGTACTCAAATTGTGGTAGAATCGATATTCTCCCGCGTTCGATACCATAGTCTAGCTCAACGTCCTCTCTGGGGCACGCAATAAAAGCTAGATCCGAAAGCACTGGGTATTTGAAAACATCGACGACTTGGAAGACAAATCCAAGCTTTCGTGAGTGAGAGACAAATTGGATTGCAAGGATGGAGTCTCCACCAAGATGGAAGAACGAATCGTCCATACCAACAGTCACTGGTTCAAGACCCAAGACCGTGGCACAAGATTGACACAGGGCTTCCTCTGCGGGCGTGGAAGGTGGTCGCCTAGCCTGCGCTGCGGTGGTCAAATGGGACAAATCATTCGGAGAAAGGGAAAAGGCTTCATCCCTCAGTCTCCGGCGATCTGTCTTACCTGAAATGGCAAATGGCAGCTGACCGACGACCAGATATCGAGCTGGAGTCATGTATGATGGGAGTTGCTCTTGCAGGTCCTTTGCGAGAATGACAAGAAGCTGATGGAGATTGCTGCAAGGAATGGTGAAAAGACTTTCACTCAAGCTCTGACAATCATGCACATTGCCACACTCATGGCGGATGACTTCTATGAAAGCCGTAAGGATACCAGAGGACTTGTTGTGGTTATCTGGCACTTGTTCAACAGCAACACCTTTTGCCAGCGAGAAATATTCTAGAATAGTCTTCTCGATCTCGGAAAATTCCACTCGTTGACCGCGGATTTTGACTTGAAAATCCTTCCTACCAATGAAATGCAACGAGCCATCATCAGCGTATCTAACCAGATCGCCAGTCTTATATAGGCGTGTCTCCTGACTGCCTTTTCGGAAATGCTCCCACCATGACGGCGAGGTTGAAATGAAAGCTGAATCTTCAGCAGGGCTGTTGATGTACCCACGACCGACCATGGCACCTCCAAGAACCAATTCCCCAATCCCGTGAATTGGGGCGAGCCTGTTATGATCAGAAGGGTCAACTACCCAACAATCCCCTGCAATAGGATGTCCGATGTTCTGTAGGTCAGAGGCGAGTGTGATAGCGGGCTGCATGGTAAAGGTAATGCAAGTCTCAGTCGGGCCGTAAGCGTTGATCAAATACACATGATCGCTCCACAACTGCACTTCCTGCATGGACATGGGCTCACCACCGCAGACTATAGTCTGAAGGCACGAGAGATCTGTGGGATTCAATGTCCGAAGAACAGACGGGGTCAGATCTGCCCAATTGACTCGCATTCTTCTTACTGCGGTAGCCAGATCCTCACGCCTTTCCACTTCGGATGGGATGCAGATGCAGCCACCGACGAAAAGAGTAGAGAGCATTTCTGTAATGCATGGATCGAATGCATATGATGTAAATTGCAAAACTCGTGACTGAGAGTTCAGTCGAGCTTTCTGAGCCCAGATGGGAAGCAAAGAGCAAAGAGCTTTGTGTTCAATGATTACTCCTTTTGGTCGGCCAGATGATCCAGAAGTAAAGGCGCAGTATAACGCACTGGATGGCTTCACGTTTGATGGTGGCACGCAAGTGAGATTTTCTTGGTTTTGCCACGTCGGATTGGCCGCAGTGATGTCAAGAATATTGGCCAAGAGCTGCTGCGTTGCTGGTGGTATTTCCTGCTCATTTGACGTGATCATAAGTTTTGCATTCAGATCCTCACACATTTTCTTCAGGCGTTGTGTAGGAAGGGATGGATCAAGAAGGACGAATGCAGCACCGGCTTTCATGACGCCCAGGATTGCCACAGGAGTCCAGCGAGTCTTTTGCAAACAAATCGGAACAAAGCATTCTACAGTAATGCCAAGAGACTGAAGACACCAGGCAAGGTTTGAAGAAAGGACGTCAACTTGGTGATATGTGAAGTCACCATCCCAGGCACAGACAGCGGGACTGTTACCCTGTTGTGCGAAGACAGACTGGATTTGCTGGTGCAAGAGACCCTCCACATATTGTGGAGAACTATCAGTCCATCGAGATAGTTGACTTTCATCTTCAGGGCTGAGGGTATTGAGATTCGCTAATCTGGAATCTAAGTTTTGAATCCCAAGCTGATGTAGAACATGTGAGAACGTGAATAACAATCTCTGTGCATTTTGAGACAATAAAAGGCTATCATCGAAGCTCAGGCACGTCTGGATTGAATCTTTCGACAAGTCACATTTGAGAGTGAGAGCATATGTGCCCAAACCTTGTTCCGTGGTGGGCATATCTCCAATCAAGGCTTCTTTGCTAGAATCAGGCTGTATGATAAGCACGTTTTGGAAGCTGCACGCTGCAGCTGTGGTGGGATTGATTCGGCGGATATTTTGTACGCCAAAGTCATAGACTGTACACATGTCCACCGATTCCTGTTCCAGCTCCTGCATTGCTTTTAAAATGGTCTTCTCCGGTGTGAATAAAATCCGCTGAGGGTAAGTCGCAATCTGTGTTCCAGCGACGTCAGCGATGGCAGGTGATTTATGGCCTCCAGAGGTGGTCATGCCGTAAACAACGTCTTTCGATCCCGTGTACAGTGAGATAACAACCCCCCAGGCAAATTTGACCGCGGTAGTTCTCGTAACAGGCATTTCTGCCATTGGGATCTTATGTTTCAAAGTCGTTTGCGTTCTCGGAACGTAGTCACTGCACGGCAGAGATGGAAAGGGTGTTGCCTCCGAGCCTTCAAGTACTGACGACCAAACTTTCTCTATACCCTGGCGGTCTCGGGAAGTTATTGGTATGACCTGAACGCCGTTCGTGGATAAACCTCCTGAGAAGTGGTGGCCTGTCACAGATTTTGTGGTAATTTTCTCGCGAGGATCCTGTTGGACAGCCGGGCATAGCTCGCTGTTGCCTTCGCCCGCGCCGGGGATGTCCATTGTGCTGATATTTCGGGACAGGATGGAAAGTTTCTCATCGAATGCTGAGTTCAAGCGAGCCATTGTGTGTCGCAGTTGATGGGACATTCTGTTTACCTGCGATTCGGAGATAACTGATCCGTCGAAAAGAAATTTTAATACAATGCGCTGCGGTTTCAAGCGACATACCACTTCCAAGGCATATGTACCAAATGCATCGCCTTCAGTGATATCTTTAGCAGGGAAAATCGACCCCTGGTCATTTGTTTCGTCTTGCGGAGCTTGAATGACAAGAATATTCTGGAACTGGGAAGCGGTACGATACTGACTGCCCAAGTGTTTAATCGATTGAAGTCCAGTCTGCTCGTGTGGGATTGTCCGAATACTTCGCGCTTGAAGTTCGTACATCGCCTCAAGACCTGTCTGTTCTAAGTTCAATTTGACGCGCACTGGGACCGTTGCAATCGTAGGCCCGATGATTCGGTCGACATTAGGGATGGGGGCACTTCGCCCATTAACGACCGAGCCATACAAGACATCATCGACTCCGGTAGATTTTGAAACAACAATTGCCCAGGCAAGTTTGATTAAAGCAGATGCCGGAACTCCAAGCCGTTTGTTGATTTGAAATTCTTCTTCGTATCTCAGACAGTATGTTGGCTTAGCGATCGAAACGTTGGATAAAGGCACCGGGAAGATCGGTGCAGCCAACTCCGCTAACTCAACTTCCCAAAAGTTACAGCCTTCCTCGGGCTTCAACTCAGACAAGTATCTTATGTAGGGTGTAAAGGGCTGCGTTTCAACAGTTTGCCCCTTGTACGCTCGTTCAAGCTGCTGAAACACATTTCCCAATGATATCTCATCATAAAGCGCATGATGCAAAATCACGGTGAAATTTCCATTGGCGGAGTAGCCGAATTGTATCAAGGGCGAACCAAATGACATCTCAACACCTGAGGAGTTCATCGCAGAGCTCCAATCGATATCTTCCCGAAGTACTACTTGGTGCGTGCCATGACGGGGAACCAGGATAAGCCGCGTACGCAAAATGGGGTTCGACTGTAGAATAGTAGCCCATGCGTTCTGAAACCTTGAATGGTCGATATCTTTGGGAAGTTGTAACTCGAATTTACCAGTGTAGGCACCCTTCTGGCGTGCAGTGAGTGCGAGTAGGCCCTCTTGGAGAGGGGTACAAGGGTATATATCCTCGATTTGCGCTCTCTGAACACCGCATTCCTCCATGGCCTTGCTTATAAGGAACTCACGGTCTTCGGAATTGATAAGTTGAAAATGAGAATATTCCACCATATGCTCATGCGTGCATTGAACTGAAATAGCGAGAGCAAGATCTTTAAGCTGACGATGGGTGAAGATATCTGACACAGTCAAGACGAGCCCACGCTTGTTTGCCCACCCAACCAGTCTCATGGCCAGGATGGAATCACCGCCCAAAGAAACAAAATTGGCTTCCATCCCGAAATCTTCGGGAGAAATACCAAGTACTTGGCTAACAAGTTGGTGAAGAACTATCTCATTGGAGGTTGTAGGCAGTTGATGTTCCCTTGATGTATTCTCGAACTGATACGACTGGAGTTCTTGAAATGAAAGATTTGACGCCTTGTCTCTGAGTAGTCGACGATCTGATTTGTTCGAAGTGTTCAAAGGCCGACGAAGAAGAGGAAGGAAAATCTCTGGAACCATCGCGCTGGGCAGATGCTTTCTGAGGTCCAGCTTGGCTTCTGAAATTTGTGCTTGGAAATCTTTGGAAGGCGTGGCAAAGAACAGTGATTCGTTATGAGGCGCATTTAAGCTGTCAATGATTCCAGTAATGTCCCTTTCCAACTCATCATAGATGAATGCTGCTAGGAAGTGTCGAGTTTTGGCGTGGCTTGGGTTGATCATCTCCGCGACAACGGATTTAGATCGAGGAAAACACTGCCGTAGGTGATGTTCGACCTCACCCAGTTCAATTCGCTGCCCGCGAATTTTGATCTGGTTGTCTTTGCGACCCATATACTGAATTGAGGCATCATCATCGGAACTGTACCGGACAAGATCTCCAGTCCGATACAAACGGCCTGCTCCGCCTGGTCGGAAGCATTCCAGCCACGACGGTGGTTTGATAAAGGCGGCTGCGGATTTTTCGAGCTCATTCAGATATCCTCGACCGACGATAGGGCCCTCGATTAGATGCTCTCCCACGGCGCCAAGTGGCATGAGCTGGTGGATATTGTCGGGGTCTACCACCCAAGAAACAGCTGCGATTCCAGGGCCAATGTTGCCGATATCACGGCTGCTAAGGATTGGGCCTTTCATGTTCGACATCACAGTACATTCAGTTGGACCATAGCCATTCAGCAGATAGACACGATGGGCCCAGGTTAATATGTCGACTTCTTCAAATGGTTCACCTCCAATTACCAAGGTCTTCAGCCCGGGCACGTCCTCTGGATCAACCGTACGGGCAACGGACGGGGTCATGAAGGCCCAATTCACATTGTATCGATTGATCGTACGTACCACGGAGCGACTCTCGACACTTTCAGGAATACAAATGCATCCCCCGTTGACTAGAACATAGACAGTTTCATTGATAACTGCGTCAAACGTAAAGTGGGCAAATTGAAGAACGCGGGATGTCGGAGTGAGCCTCTGCACACCTGCAGACATGACAGCGTTCGTGGCTACCATGGAGTTCTCAATCACCACGCCTTTCGGGTTTCCAGTCGACCCTGATGTGAAGCATATATAAGCGGGGTCATCAGGGCTCACTTGAGAGAGTGCAATATGATGATAATCTTTGAAACGGTCCTCTTTCTCTATCTTATCACACACGGTAACGACTTTCCAGCCCAGATCCACCATAGGCTTCGTCCAGGTAGCGGACGCCAAAACAACCTCGGCTGAGACTCTTTGACAGAGAGCATGCCAGCGGTTGATAGGTTGCATTGGGTCAAGTAACAAGAAGGCTCCTCCTGCCTTCAGGACCGCGAGCATAGCCACCACGAACCATTTTGACTTCTCAAAACATATAGGAACAAATTGACCTGCGCCGACCTTATGTTCATGCGAAAGACTCTTAGCGAGCCCAGAGGTAAGCAAATCAAGTTCTTTGTATGTCAGCTCACCATCCCAGGCAGCGACCGCTACGGCTGTTGGTCTGATTTCACAGTGTTGGCTGATCAAATCGGGGACACAGGTACGAACTGAACTCGGAAGAGTTTCATTCCATTTTTGTACTTTGGAGATATGCCTCGGGTTCACAGCCGCAATGTCACCTGGCCTACCTTCGGGATTCCGGGTTATCCATTCGATTGAATGAACAAATTGAGCTAAGATCCATTCCATTTGAACTCGAGGCAGTACATCGACATCGTAGCTCGCCTCGACATTGACAGATTTTCCGGAGTCGACTAGCTTGCAGTCCAAAGTGAGGGCAAATTGAGCGAATGCAGCTCGGGTGCCCTCAGAGCCCCGAATGGTCTTCCCGAAAATCTGCGAGCCACTTTTAGATGCCTCTGTCTGGACAACCAGTATATTGTTGAACTGGCATATTGCTGCCGCGCTGGGGCTAGACCGAGCAATGTTTTGCAACCCGAAATGCTGATAAGGAGTCATCTCACTGACATGCGATTGCATATCTGAAAGTAGCTCTTGTATATTTTTACTCTTGTCAATTCGAGTAAAAACAGGAAACGTGGCAATTGTCGGCCCAATGATTCTTTCAATCCCATTGACAGGGGTATCTCTCCCGGAAGTTGCAAGGCCAAACACTGTGTCGTTACTATCGGTGTAATGATTCAACGTCAATGCCCAGGCAAGTTGAACGACTGTTGCAGATGTGATCCCCATCTGGACAGACGGAAGGACGCAGGATGAAGAGGCTTTGCAAGTCTCAATGGATTTGCGCATAACTGATGATGTCGGATTTTTGGGAAAAATTGGTGCGTCGATATCCGTGAGCTCAGATGCCCAAAAGCGCGCCATGGCTGTGTCATCAATTTTTCGAATTTGCTTGATAAAGGATACAAATGGCGGTGGTAATTCCGAAGGCAGCGTGTTATTGTATGCACCCTCCACCTCATCGAAAATCAATGGCCACGACCAACCATCATATAGCGCATGATGAATGGTGATAATCAAGTGATGACAGGGGGCTTGGCGATCTTTAGTTATCGTGAAACATAGCAAAGATTCTTGAACTTGTAGGTCACGCTTTGAATTCCGTTGGGCAAATTCTTCAAGTGTTTCCCCTCGATCCTCCCACTGAAGTTCCTGTTCTTTGAGCACCACCTGAAGGGTTTCAGTCATGTCCGAGTAAATTCTGGTGCGCAGGATGGGATTTCTCTTGACAGTCAGTTCCCATGCCATCCGCAATCTTTCCACGTCGATAGTATCAGGGAGTTTGAATGTCATCTGTGTTACGTAGAGATTGTCGGCTCCCTCGTTATTTCTGATAGTCGATGCAAACATGCCTTCCTGAAGCGGGGTGCACGGGTAAATATCGTCAATATGGTTGCGGGAGATACCAAAGGTCCGTTCTACCGCTTCAAAAACCTTCTCTCGGGCGGCATCACCGGACAGAAGCTCAAAAGGATGCGTCTGCTGGGTTTCATCTTCACTCGTCATCCGTTCGGCCAGTGCTTCGAGGATAGGAAACTGGAAAATATCTGCCACGCGAATCCGGATGCCCTCTTCTCGTGCTACCCCAGCAAGCTTCATGGCCATAATTGAATCTCCACCAAGGTGAAAGAAGTTATCGCTCATTCCAAATTCATCGTTTTTGAGCACATCTGTCAGGATATTGTAAAGTTTCTGCTCTGCGTGGGTGCGTGGCGGCTGTTTGATCTTTGATTGTTGCCCGGCAAAGACTTGCCAATCGCTGACAGGCAGTGATGAACAAAGCTCTCGCAATTTTTTTCTATCGGTCTTTTTTGAGGCTGAATATGGCATAGCTGAGAGAGGCAAAAATGCTGTCGGTACGAGCTGGCGAGGTACACGAGCCAGCAGTGCAGATTGAAGATTATGGCACATGTCCTCGAATTGGGTAAATTGCGAAAGAAGGAAGGCATAACTGCCTCCGCATCTCTGGGAAGCTCTTGGCGGGTCTTTCACCAACAGGAAAGCCACAAGAGCGGGTCTCCCTCTTTGAGATTGTGGATAGACCAGCTCCGCAGTGATAGCCTCGACCATACTGGCGGCATCTATGTCATCTTCGCGCAGAGCATGTAATATGTGGTGTTCCACCTCACCCAGCTCTATGCGCTGACCATTGAGCTTCACCTGGCTGTCTTTTCGCTGCAAAAACCGAAAGTTTCCGGCAGGCTCGTACCGTACTAGATCTCCAGTCTTGTAGAGGGGTGTATGCTGTCCAGCGCGAAATTCGAGAATCCACCCGGGGCTCTCTATAAAAGCCGCTTTTGTCTTCTCAGGATCATTCAAGTAACCCATTCCAACGTTGGGTCCTTCGATGAGAAGCTCTCCAACCGCCCCAATCGGCACGAGGGTGTTATGATCGGCCGGATCCACAACCCAGCAATTCGTGCCCTTTGGCCATCCGATCGAGTTTCCATCAGCCGCTTGGGGATCCCGATGCATGGTGCAAGTAGAGGAGCACTCTGCCGGCCCGTAAACAATAACAACATTGCAATAGTCTTTCCAAGAGCAAATATCATCTTGCGAAACAGCCTCACCGCCCATTATAATTGTCTTCAATGAAGGCAGCTTGGAGGGCTGTAGCAAGCGCGCTACAGAAGGTGTCAAGTCGGCAGAGGTCACCCGCTGATTCTGAATGTATGAAGCTAGCGAATTCTTTCTTTCCTCATCGGAGGGCATACAGACGCATGCTCCAACCATGAGTGCGGTAAGAATGTCTTCGATGCTAACATCAAATGCAAAGGAAGCAAATTGCAACACCCTAGATGACGATGTGCGTCCGAAAGTAGCGTTGGTCCTCTGAAAGGTAGATACCAATGACCCATGGCTAACCATTGCACCCTTCGGTTTGCCAGTTGATCCAGAGGTCCATGCTACGTATACACAATCTTCCGGGTTGGATGAAATGATGTGTGTTGCTTGGGTGTCTGCATCTGGTTTTATGCACAGTTCTGGGATGGAGATGCATATGACTTTTTCGTTCAGCCTAGGCTCGAAATTTGGCTCGTTGATCAACACTATGCAAGCGGATGTTTCTTCAATCATCAGATTTGTGCGTTCCAGTGGGTAAGAGCGGTCCAAAAGAGTGAATGTTTTGCCAGCCATCATAATTCCAAGCATTGCTACGGGAACCCACTTGGACTTGTTCATCCAGATAGGCACAATGCCCCCAACACTGCCATCTTTCTTGGCATCTTGCTGCGAGTCCCGTTCCGTCAAAATGCGTGCCAATCTCATGGAATACTGTTGGAGTTGAAAGTATGTCAAAATTCCATCACAAGCAGACACAGCCTCCGCATCTGGCTGCGATGCAAAATGCTCCCCAATCACATCGTGCACACAGACCTTCACTGTACTTGGTAGATTACCGTTCCAGATGCTCAAGTCCGCCATGTCTTGCGGGCTGACGGATGGAATATCTTCAATGGTCATGTCAAGGCTCGAGTTAACGGTTGATAAGACATGTGCGAAATGATATGAAATCCTTTCTGCCAGAGAGGAACTGAGAATGTCCCTATCAAACATTATTTGCATGGTAACTTCATTCGCACCTCTCTTGGTCTCACACGTGATGGTCATCGCGTAGGAGCCGAATGAAGCTGAATCCTTCGCAGATGAACGGCGCAAGGGCTTCATGTGATCATACTCTGGATCACTTTCTTGGGCTTGAATAACCAGCAGATTCTGGAACTGACACGCCGAGTATGTCCCGTTGTTAAGTTTGCTGATTTGAGACAAGCCCAGTTGCTCGTGTGGTATGGTTTCGAGAAAGTCGGCTTGAATGTTTTGAAGCAGTGTTCGAATTGTATGTTCATGAGTCAGTTGAGCGCGGACGGGTACTGTTGCAATAGTGGGACCGGTTATATTGTCGATATGAGGCACAGATGCACCTCTACCGCTGACTGTCGCGCCGAACACGACGTCTTTATTACCTGTATAGTGCATCAGGGTCACTGCCCATGCCAGTCTGATTCGACTGGAGAGAGTGAATCCTTCAAAAGAGGAAGGATCATATGCGACAGCGATCTTCTGCGTAGAGGAGTTTGGTACCGGAATGTGGTTTGATGATGACGACGATGGAAAGAAGGTCGTATCGCAGTCGCCCAATTTGGCAGCCCAAAAGACCTGAGACTCACTCTGCATATCCTTGATATGTTTGATGAACGGGGAGAAATGTCGTGGAGATAGACGTTCCCCGCGGCAAACTTTTGCAATTTCGTTGATAACCAAAGGCATCGACCAGGCATCATACAATGCGTGATGAATGGTGATTACACATAGTCGATCGCCAGAATCCTCTGATATCATCCCAACCCGAATAAGGGTGTCTCCAAGTTGCATGGGATCTGCTTTATCCTCCGCCAGATATTGATCTAGATCATTGTGGACTCTCCACTTCGGTTCCGAGCTTTTCGTGACAACTTGAAATGCACCCATCCGAGTCTGCGCAATCCGTGTCCGAAGAATTGGATTGGCGGCAATAGTCGTGCTCCAAGCGGCTCGATAATCTTCATCCTGTATTTCCGAAACCATACGGTAGACATGTTGCGCCGTATATGCCTCAGGTCTCTGCAGGGTAAGTGCCATTAAGCCTTCTTGCAAAGCTGTGCACGGGTAGACATCTTCAATTTCATCTGACGGTAAAGCACATTGTCGCACTGAGCTTTCCAGGACTTTCTCGACGTCGTTCCCGACTAGAGAATACGGGACGTACGGGAGTGAAGCCGCACTTATTCCATTCTGCGAGGAAGGAAAGTCCGAAAACACTTGGGCTTGGTCGCAAAGTACTGGCCATTGGAATATGTCCGCAACCATCAAATCAAAGCCGCTCTCACGGGCAAGACTCGCAAGTTTCATCGCTGTCACTGAATCTCCTCCAAGTCGGAAAATGTGACTATGGCGACCGATACTTTCAACCTTTTGGTTGAGCGCAGCTGCCCAAAGTGACCGAAGGGTTGTTTCCCGTTCACCAGTGGGTGGTTCCTCATGGACTAGATCAACCCCGCCGTATCTTTGAATATCAGTGAGCGTTAGGCTTGCAAGAAGACTCCTTATACTCTTCCGGTCTGTTTTCTTTGACATGGTGATGGGCATTCGTTGTATTGGGATAAAGCAAGAGGGAACCATAAACCTGGGAAGAGCTTTGGCAAGCTGAGACTCAAGATCTCGCCAAGATTCACGGACAGCTTCAGAGGGGCCGATCGCGGTTGCTGTGTTGAATTCACAAGTTGGTGTTTCGATGCATGCCAAAAGCCGTGGTACAGTTGCACCTTGGGGAATGACGACCTCGACTGCCACCTTAGGCACAATTATTTCAATACGAGCCAGGCTCTTCTGGAGGTGAAATTCAATCTCTCTCAGCTCTACCAGCTGTCCATTCAGCTTGGTCTGTGTGTCTTTGCGACCGAAGAATATGATTGTGCCGTCGGTGGCATTGTATCGGCCGAGATCACCCGTTTTGTAGAGTCTTTTCCGTTCGCCATCGTGAAATTTTTGTTGCCATGCCGCGCAAGAAAGAAAAGAACTTTGGGTTCTTTCCGGCTGATTGATATATTCTCTCCCCATTGCTGGGCCCTGAATGACGATCTCGCCGATGGTTCCAATCGGTGCCAATTTGTTATGATCATTGGGATCAACAAGCCACAGGACAGCTCCAAGACCATGACCAATGTTTTGACAATCCATTTGTGAGTTGAGTTTGGACTGTACAGCGTTGATACCGACACACTCACACGGACCGTAGGCGTTCATGAGCTGTACCCGATCCACCCATGCATCCATTACCGCACGAGGCATGTGTTCACCTGCGACTACCAACCATTTCAGAGTCGGAAGTTTTCTATGATCAAGGAGCGCGACGACAGATGGCGTCAGACTGGCCCAGCTTACACCACTTGTGGCCATGAAGGATGAGAGATCATTCTTGCGGTCTTTTTCGGATGGCACACACAGACAACCTCCCCAGATTAGAGTTGTGAGAACGTCGCGATAAGTGACATGGAATGCGTGAGAGGAGAATTGTAATACCCTTGGTCTCTGGTCTAATTGCAAGCGCGGGCCTGCGGCAGCGGCTCTGGTAGCAAATGCAATGTGTTCTATTATCACGCCTTTGGGTTTACCAGTCGACCCACTGGTAAAAACGATGTACAAGGCATCTGTCGGTTTGCTGGCGGGGTTGCTCCATGCCTGTGGGATGGTTTTGGTCCAGTATGACTGAGTCTCGCTGACACAGAGGACTTTGTGCACCAACGAGCTCGCTAGATCCAACAGTTCTGGAGATGAAACAATCAGACTGGCATTCACCTCTTGGCAAATGGTGTTCAGTCGACTCTGTGGGTATGATGAGTCGAGCAAGACGAATGCTGCTCCAGCTTTGAGGACTCCAAGTATGGCAATATAGGTCCATTTGGACTTATCGAAAAGCAGAGGAATAAATGTTTCCGGTCCGATTCCTATGGAGAACAACTCATGAGCAAACTGCGAAGACAAGTCCTGCAGCTCTTGATAGGTGACGTTGCCATCCCAGGACGAAATGGCTAGTTCTTCTGGTTGGCGGTAACAACGTTCCGTGATCAGATGATGAATACATTCCTCGCGTTGCTCTGGTAAACTGCTGTTCCAAAGTGTGATTTGCGCGTGGTCGCGAGGACTAAGGAGGTCAAGTTCCTCTACATAGCAGTGAGGCTTGGCAATGATTTCTCCCACGACATGGCTGAAAGTCCCGGCCATGTGGAACGTCTGTTTGCCCAAAGGATCGCTTGTATAAAGCAAAGATCCGACGAGATCTCCATTCTTGTCGATGGAAATTGTCGCCACAATTTCAAACTAGAGTGTTCATATCAGCGGACGTTTCGCGGCAATCATCGGCTACCTATTGAGTTTTGCATACCTTGGTGTCATAAGCACTGGCAGTGTCTGGAAGAAACTCTTCGTGGTTTTGCAGCTCCAAAAGACTGTGGAATATTTTGAATAGAGAGTCGCAGTCAACGGTGTTGGGCGACCCATTGGCTGCACGATGTTTGTTTGACGCGTGTTCGTTTCGAAGAATCGAGGTAATCAGATCACGGGACGTGAAATCCAGCGAGTATACTGAGTCTTTGTCTTTGCCTTCTCGATACGAGAAACAAATACTGTCGGAGGAAAGATATCCACGCAGGACAATTGCCCAAGCCAACTGGAGCAGGTTCAGAACCTCTATTTCTTCCCTGTTACAAAATTCCTTGATTCGAGAGACCGTATCAAAAGGGATTGCCGTCGTATGTCGGAATTTGCAGAGCCGTTTCTCAGCCTGAACGGGCAAGACTGAAGGATTTGTTGATTCCATACTGAATACGCCGATAAAGTTTATGGGATTGATGTTTCTGAATGTTAAATTGAGGAGCGAAGGGCAAACTCTTTAAGCTGAAACTTTGTACAGACTAGATTATTTGGGCGTTACCTTTTGGAGAAAAAGCCACTAGCACATTTGAACAAATGCCTCAACTACTCCGTATAGTGTTTATGGCATCATCCCAAGTTGCTCGGGTATCCATACGGCCGCAGGATACAAAGCTGCGGACTCTATTGTAGCGCCAAAGGAGATCTGGCTTAAGCCAATTAATGACTGAGCAACCATTCCAAATGCTGTGAAGAAGTAGGATAGACATGTGGCTGAGCAACATGTGTAGCTGAAAAGCGACATCAATGGATAGTTAGAAGTACCAATTTTCGGAATGTTTCATACGTGCATGCGTTCGAACTACTGTAGAAGCACGTACTGGTGCGGAGAAGAGTAGATTTCTATCACACCATTCTAGGTGGCGGGTCTAGACAATGGAGTATTCACGCCGATCTCTTCACTATCCGGTGTGTCACGATCGCGCTAAATTTTGAACTAAATATTTGCCATCAAATGGGGCTATCTAATGCGTACACATCCCAAAAGTGTCAATTGAGGTCCCAATCATCTTCCACCATCTATAATAATGTAATTGATGTAAGCATCCATCAACTCAGCGGTTATCCCTTGTATTTTTATTTTTTTCATTAACTTGGACTTTCTTTCAACCAAGTCCGTCGCACGGACCACGAACTACCCCTCTACTAATGCATTTAACATGCACAAACTCCAAAGTTCCCCCGATTTCCCGCATCTCCCTGACCCACCGGACGCGCCATAAAAGTGGAGACCTTTGATGCCAATAACACCCGTCTGTCTTCCCACGATGTTTAGAACTAGCAGACTAGAGGCATCATATCTCGAAAGTCATAGTTATGGAACATAAAATACCGCATAATCTCTTTTCTCCTTCCATAATCTTCCAGTGAAAATAAATTATACCTAACCCACTCTACTCCGGATATATCCAAACATACCCCGCGCAGTCATTCTCCCTCCCGAACTTTATAGTCTACATTGCTATGAGCGATTTGCCAGTAGAGCCTATAGCTATTGGCTTCAAATGGCGCTCTTCCAAATGGTTCATTCTCTCGACTGTGACTATCGCTTTGTTCGGTGGTTCGTCTGCCCGTTAAAATCTACAAACCTATGTTGACAATATTCTGTTTAGAGACCTTTCTCTATGGATTTATCATCCCTATTTTGGGCTACATGGTGCAGTCTCGCCTAAAAATCGATCCTGACCAGGCTCAAAGGCTAACCTCTGCCGTCCTCGCCCTCCATGGCGCTGTATCTGTCGTCGCGGGTCCTATCATTGGGCATTTCGCTGATAGGACACCCAACCGCAAGATACCGCTGTTGCTTTCAGTCCTCTCGTGTATTATAGGCACCATTATGATCGCCGGCACCCATTCGGTCACCATCCTCCTCCTTGGACGCGTTTTGCAGGGTGTTGCAACCTCCGCAGTGTGGATTGTTAGCTTGGCAACTATTGCGGATATGGTGGGTCAGCAGAACCTCGGTGCAATAATGGGGTTGACTATGTCCTTTGTTAACTTGGGAACCATCGGTGGGCCTGCGGCTTCCGGGCTGCTATTAGAGGCAGTGGGGTACTGGGTGACATGGTTGATACCACTGTTGATTTTGGCCGTTGACCTTGTCGCACGCCTAGTGATGATCGAATGTCCGAAAAAAGATTCCTCCACGCCCACAGCAGAGGCAGGAGAGGCAGGGGAGACTGCGAGCCTACTTTCTGCTACATATCCACCTGTCGCGCGTAACTTTTGGCGCATAATGCTCTCTGATGCTCGTGTGCTGACAGTCCTGCTTGTTGTGATATCGGGTGCAACCGTGGGCACGAGCTTTGCCGCGACTCTTCCTATACACGTGCAGGAGACATTTGGATGGGGCCCACGCAGAACGGGACTTGCTTTCTCCTGCCTCGTTATTCCGGCTATCATTATTGCCCCTTTGGCCGGCTGGGTTCGCGATCGCGTCGGATCTCGACCCCCTGCAGTAATTTCTTTGGTTCTTCAGGCGGGATTCTTAGGATTGTTGGGTGTTGCTGGGAGTGACCGTATCACTTGGGCCCGCGCTAACCACCAGGGTGGGACAGTCTATGTAGCCTGTATTTTGGCCTTAAGTGCATTGCGCCCTTTTATGTCTTGCATAGGGCCTGTCGAATTAAGTGGTGAGTGGTCTTTCTTGCTCTCGAGCACATTGCTGTATCTAAAGAGGTACTGATTGCCCTGCCAGCTGCCGTCAAAGCACATCAAGAAAAGTCTCCAGGAATTTTTGGATCTGAAGGAGGTCTCTCCCGTGTTTTTTCTATGATGGAAGTTGCCGCTTCCCTCGGGATGACCATTGGCCCGATTGTCAGTGGCCTTTTAAAGGAAAATCTCGGTTACGCCTGCATGAGTTGGACATTGAGTAAGTCGTATCCGGTTTTCATGTGAGGCAGACCGCTGATTCCTGATAGGCTTGCTTTATTTGCTTCTCGCTCTTCTTGTAGCGTCCTTCTTGGGTCCAGGGTATCCTGAGAAAAAGCCCCCATCTGATGATAGTTGCTAGGATTTCCTACCAGATTCCTCTTACACCCTACTACCTTTTCAGGAGTTTCTTGATCCCCGGGAATAATATTGTTATGTATCTATTTTATAATGGCCATTGATTATCTATTCAGAATGGTTAGATTTAGATAAGAATTAATTAAAGGGAGAGTGACGAATCAACGGTAAATGATAAATTAAAGGAGAGTGGTGATTTATAGGAGAGTGGTAGATTAAGAGAGAGCTAAGTACCTTATCTAGTTAAATCTACTGCAGAAAGGTTGGAAGTAACAGTGTCTGCACAGCGCGGAGAAGCCGTCGAGGCCACGTAGCGGGTTTGGACACGCTTTCCGATGAAGGTGAGCCGTGAACGGCCATTTTCAATCGGAACAAGGCACATGGAACTCCCGAGTCTAAATCATCAGGGTCCGGGAGACGGAGTTATATCAGAAGGCTTTCGCTCCTCGCGTGGGTTGAGCTATGCAAACCCGTAATACAGTACAATATAATACAACAAGTAAATACAGATGAAAAACAGTATGTATTGATATGTGATTCTCCTCGATACACGTCACGCCTAAAATCCCTCCATGGCGGCTTCCGCCACCGAGCGCCAGTGGGCCACGCGGTCCTGCGCCTGGCCTCGCGGGCACACCTCGACAATGGCTCGAATGTGATTGACCGCTGTCTGCATCATCTTTTGCCTTGCATTCAGCTGAGTCTGCTCCAAAATATGCTCTGCCCCCTTTTCTCGGCAGATTTGCTCAAACAATTGCTCCATGCGGATCTGCTCTGCCTTATCGTCAGGGTCCGATTTCATGTTCCACAGGAATGCCCGCGGGGGGTTCCACCTCGGGCCGGGAACCACCCCGCTGAACTCCCAGTCTAGGACCGCGGTGATTGGACACCCTGGCTGGTCCGGGTCACACATGATATTGGCAAAATGCATGTCTTTGTGTGCCATGAAGTAGGCGACGCTGTTCAGCTCTGCCTGATTGTCTGGCCGCTGCAACTGCGCCATGAACTCGCGGATCCGGCGGATCAAATCGCGGTAGGGCTCCAGAGAGGGATGGACCTCGATCGCGTGGATATACCGCTCGAGGCAGCTGCTCGTATACGCCGTGTAGCTAGGGAACCCCTCGGCTGGTATGGGATTGAGACTTTCGAGTGTTTCCGTACTCTTGACTCCGGCCGAGGCAGACCAGTACTTGTCCAGGTCAGGAGTCTGCCAAAAGTTTTCGTCGATGGGTGGTCCGGAGGCAATCTCGCCCGTCGATGTCAGGGTCAGCCCGCCCACGTACCCCTCATGCCAGGGTTGCGCATGGAGCTCGATCAGATAATCCGTCAGTTGGTGGACCATCTGCTTCTTGACCCCGTCGGATAGCGTTGCATATATCTGATCGACGCTGATGCCGGACGCTTTCTCGAGTAGGGTGAACTCATGTCCGATCACGTTGTTCTCCGTCGCATCGTACCGGATGATGGCCGGTACGGGAATGGAGGTATGCTTACCGACCCAGGTCATGATGCCCACCTCATTGCGTGTCTTGATGCCGGGTAGCTGCCGTCCAGAGATGCGTAGCACGAGTGTAACGGTACCATCCTTGTTTCCTCGTGCTGTGATACCCTGTGCCGAATCGAAATGGATGAGATAGATAGAATGAAAGGCGGCTTTCACCTGCAAGGGCTCGATGGAGCTTGGCGCAGGGAGGTCCAATGATAGGATCAACGAGGTGATAGTCTCCGCGCTCAAGGCAGGAGGCAGATAAATATCAAGGGTGCCCATTGTCAGGAATTAAAAATTCTCCGAGACGAGAGATAATGGGAAAAGATTCTTGAAAACAAAGATGGCGAGGTCTCGCAAGCGGAAGATATAAGTTAGGTGGGTTGCCCAGGGTCAGAGGGTGCGTAATAGAACGGTGTCTTTGTATTGTAAGCGTTATAAACGGAGTGCTGTAAATTACAGATACCTATGCAACTCGTTATATTCGCGGAGGAAAATGCCGATCCGTCATACAAAAAAAAAGGGTCTTGGAATCAGGGAGATAGCAAATTGGCCCCTGATCAGCGCTCTCAGAGGTTGTCAACTATCAATCAATTGACTAATTATCTAGAGAAATCACCCCACTTGCGGCCTTCCGCCATGGTGATGACACAATCCATCCAGGCGACACTGGTTGCTCGATGCGCCAGACAGAGGACCGTACTATCCCGGGAGGACTGCTGCAGGATTCGCTGAAGGATCTCATCCGTTTTTAGTCTCGTTTTCTATCCAAAATTATCGAGTATTCAGAAGGGTTATACCTAAAGGTATGAATAAGCTGATCCCACTGCACGACGAGCGCGACTGGCCCTTCTACCCGTCCGTGGGGACAATCCTACTTGTTGCGGCGCTGGCACAAAGCCCGCGCGACGGGCTACTGGTGCACGGTCTATATGAACTATACATCTTACGAATCAAGTTAAGTATTTCCAGGTATCATCGATGAGGGTAATATAGAGCAGAAGAATGGACAAGACAAAAGGAGGAGCAACAGCGAACAAACGCCATGAGGGTCGAGGTAAAGTGTACATGTGAGTCTACTGGCTTATATCAATCTCGTGCTGTCTTAGTTACTGACCTTGAACAGTTCCCATCTCTGCAAAAGCAGAAATTTATGAATTAATTCATTGCTAAATATCTCATTCTAAATTAGGTACTTCCAGATGTCATCCAAACTCCACAACTACTCTTCCTCCGTAGCCTCCGTAGCTTCCGTGTATTCAGCGAACTTGCTCATAGCTCGGAGCTTCGAGCCATGGAAATAAAGCAGCCAAATTCCGATAATTCCAATAACACTCAGTCCACCAAGAAGACTGGTACCCCTTGCGACACCCAGATTTCCAAACAGAGGATGGGCAAACATTACACTGCCACAGGCCAGGGCACTTCGGAAGAAATCATTGGCTGCGAACAGACTGGCAGCGTACTTCGGATATGATAGCGGAATATAGACGAATATACATTGCATCACGATGAAGACGGTTGCGCCGTAGATAGTGATGCCGATTGTCGGTACGATCCAATGGATGGACGTTCGGGCCGTCCAGGCGAAGAGGAAGAGACCGATCGTGGGGCCAAAGGATGCCGGTAGAGCGGGGATCAATCGAGTTTCCTGTTCAGGCCAGCCGAAGCGTGCGATTCGAGGGTCCATCCAGAAGTATAGGTAGGAAAAGTACACTGCAATGCCGATCATGCTGGATACCAGGATACAGAGGAAGACAAGGCCAACTTGACCGAGGTTCATGTGGTAGTCAACGGGATAGACTAGAGGGAAGACTTCGAAGAATGAGTAGTAGATGCCGTAGATGATTGCGGTGTAGATTTGGACGAAGAGCACGGCAGGATCTTTGATCGTGATCTCCATGGGCTTGATCAAAGCGTCCACGGCAATATCCGAGACGCGCATGTTATGCTGGTCGATTTCAGATTGTGACATGAAGCGCTTGTTGTTATAAATCTTTCGAAGGCGGTTTGCGCGTCGGAGCAGAATGGTCGGGGTGCTGGTCTCGGGGAGGAAAAGAAGCATAATGATGAAGACTGGAGCAGAGGCCCAAATAGAAATGAAGAGAGACCAACGCCATGACTCGACTGGGACAGCAAATCCACTGAGGAGGGGGCCAAGAGCGGCTATGACAAATCAGTAAGGAATGGGAGAGTCCGAGAGATGATCGTAACTTACGTCCACAGTACGCAGCGGCAACCCATGCCATCATAGCATATGGCAAAGCACTCAGACTGTACATATCACCAATGGAAGCACCTCCTGATGCAAGACATGGCGAACCGAAGAATCCTTGAATGAAACGCAATACCATCAGACCGGCAAAGTTACCGACCAAAGATGTTGGAATCGATATAATGACGAAGAGGAACATGGTGATGATGTAGACTGGGTTTCTTCCAATGACGGGGATCTCACTCAGTGGTGAGAAGATTAATGGCCCGGTACCATAACCAAGAACATAAAGTGACAAGCCCAAAGTGACAACCACCTCGCTGACCCCGAAATCTTTCATAATACCTTGTTCCGAGGCTGTGTAGATGGCGGATGTTGTATACACGACAAAAGTGTACAGACAGATTATGGTCGCAAGTAAGCCACGCTTCAAATTAGACCAGTTATGGGGATTCTCGGCGTCGTCGGTATAGTACCAATCCACAAGAATCGCCCCATCCTTTGTCTTCTTCGGAGTGATCGGGATAGACTTGACCTTCTCAAGATCCTGAACATTCATTTCACGGTCCTCTTGTAGAGTTGAGGTGTGACTGATAACATCGCTTTGATCTGAGTTTTGTCTTTCCTCTTTGGGCTTGGGATTTGGAGCGTCGAGATTTTGCATAACTTGTACCCATGTCTCGGGGAGTTCGAAGCCGGGTTTTTCTTCGGGATATTGAAAGTATTTGTTTTTAGTCAACCATCTGATCAACTGCCCCATTGGGGCTTCTCGAACAACAGCTTCCATTGAGGTGACTTTAGAATAAGGTTTGATAGACTCCAGTTGATATGGGATCAAAGCTTGTAATTATCGTCGGGTCCTGTGACCGAAAGTATTAAAGATAGGCCAGGGTAGCTTCAATGTTTGGATTACATATCAGTTGGGAGTTTTAGAAGCGAAGCAGAAGATTATATATGGGTAAATATGAATGAATCATCCTGGTTCTGCTTATGGAGATTTTGATTCGGAATTAGGACTTAAGACCAAACACCCCCAACATGCTTCCAAAGTACTCTATTCCATCCAATCATGATTATCTATCAAGCCCTACGGTTATAAATCAGCTCTTTCCTGACAACCTTTCTTTAGCGCCTCAAGCACGTCAGATCCACTATGGAGATGGATTCCCCCGATCCCGATACCTATCGAGCCAATAAGAACTGATTGAGGGTGCTTGATTGAGCTTGGAGACTGGATTGGAAATACGACATATTAATCAGCTGAATGACACGAATGGCCTATTTCGTTGTCAAGTCCAGTTTTTCTCCGGTAACTTTCCATGGTTATGATTGAGACTTTCCATGGTTATGATTCATCGATGTTTTGGGCATGACTCGGAGCTTCTAACAAGGCTGTGTCCACCAGCGTGTCTTAGGTCTTTGTAGAGGTATACGATTATGATTGGTTGAAATAAATTTGACAGTGATTCGACTTTGTAAGAGCTTCATATAGATAAACGGTAGTTGTTAGAGCAACTTACACAGAAACAACTCTGTCTCGAGAATCAAATGTCTCGGCCTTAGGCAAAACCAAGCCGGTCAATGCTGCCAGATCACACCGTTATCTCACGTCATCTACCGAATCGAATCAAATCAAATCCAAGATCTTAATCTGCTTCCCGATCGTGATAGGAATCCTGGATGACGAAATTTCCCTATTTTACGAGGTTCCTATGCACTTGAGTCGGTGCTTATTTCCCATTACCATATATAAGGTTGCCAAGCTGTTCGTTGTGGTCCTTGTGGTGATGTAGAGGGTCCAGCGATGAATAATCCACACCGAAGCTCGGGCTCAAGCTATAACCCACCGAGCATAACAATATTTTTTTCGATGGAATTTTATGAAATATAGCGGGTCATGTAGGGATTATGCGGATATCTGGAATTGGTAGGTTTGTGAAATCATTCTTTTCATGCTTTATGATATACAGTCTAGTCGTTGAACGACATGACGAAGACGGCTATGCAAGTAAATTAAATTGCAATCGCCAAGTATTCCCAGCCAATACACAAGATTGAAATGAGCAAATATACTCAACAATTCGTAAAAGTGCTATCCCGTCAACAGGATCCTAGGATACGTTCTGACGGCTGATAAGGGACTGCCAATATACTGGCCCTGTGGACCAATCAACGGCGGGATTAAGGACGGGCGTGTGGCATGCTAGGTCACTTTCCTCATGTCCAAGGATGAAATAATTTTTTGATCTAAACTCCAAGACTCCAAGATAATGCGGCAAAATCAGGGACAACTTCTTCTGATCATGCATTGTTATCAAGGACTCCGAACGGGTTTTGTCCCTTAGTCTCGGAGACGCTTGGGGCCTCTTGAATCCTCTGCTTCTTGGCGCCCTTCTTCGCGGACACGGTGGAAAATCCTTCATCTGATCCAGACTGGCTAGTAGCTGCGGCCTTTGCCTTGTTAGCAGCGGATGCTCGAGTCCGAATTGGTGAATCCGGAGTGGCTTTTTGCTCCACGATCTTCTGCACGTGCGCCTTGATGATTTCCTCGTCGGTCGCCTCGCTGTTCTCACCTTCAATAGCTGCCCGCTTGATCTCACGGCTGAGACCCTTCAGCGCATCCATACCGGCCTTCTCGGCAGCTTCCATGTGGGTCGGCTGCTTGACGCCGGGGTCCTTGCGGTTCAGGTACGAACGCACGAAGAAGCGGGCGAACAGGTAGGTCAGGGGTAGCAGGTATGACACGTTGAGCCAGATCGCAAACGCCTGGCCGGTGGTGTCCATGCAGGTCACCATCTCGTGGGTGTAACCGGTGGTAGTGATGGGGGCAGCACCAGTGCTACCGACATTCTCAGCAATTCCCTCGGCGCCAGCAGCGCGGAGGGCGAGCTTCTTCAGCCAGGGAACAACACCAGCTTCGGCAGTGGCGCTGGCCACCGCGGGCACGACCTTGGACAGGTGACGCAGGGAGGTGCTACCGACGGGGTAGGGAATGCTGTATTCCACAAAGAGGTAGGCAGCGGCCATATTGGTTCCGAAAACGAACTGGGTGATCTGCATAGTGGTCAAGCTACGCTTGATCACACCGGGGACACGAATGCGCAAAGCAGTGAAGGTGTAGTAGGTGTACTATAGAAGATCAACATTAGTTACACGTTAAATACGGTTCATGGTGGTTTACATACCATCATTGCATGGATAGCCGAGTTCACGAGGGCGAAGATCCAGATCGGAGCTGCCATGTAACGGATACCGGCCCACATGCACATCATCGCACCGGCGTGGTGGTAGGTCTGCAGAGTTGAGCTCTTCTTTCCCTTGGCTAGGATAATTGCGGTATCCACGACCTCATAGAATTTAGACAGGTAGAAAAGCCAGCCAAAGTAGGCAAGGCCCTGATTCCAGAGACGGCCGACGTCTGTCGAATCGGGGATACCATTGCTCAGTTTGTAATCTGGGTTGGCGATTGACCATTCGTTGGTGAAGGGGCTGTAGGTAGCCGCATTACCGTAACCCCGTGGGCCATTGATCTTGCACAACGAGTCCACGACACCCGCCAAACCGTTGGCATCGCTGCGATCCGGCCAGGAATTGCCAAATGCTTGGAACATACCAGCGAATGTCCAAGCTGAGTAGACGGCCAGGAAGACATTGTGTAGCACCACGAAGGCCTTAAACAGGCGCGAGTGGCTGAACGCATAGGGCTTGTAGCCGCGACGCTTGTTGATGCGACTGACCAAGATGACGGTCAAGGCGTAGACGCTGGCAATGGTAATGGGAACGCGCACATCCAGCACCTGGTTGTAGAGGTCGTTGGGAATATTAAAGGGCTGCTTCCAGGTGAATTCCGAGACATGAGGCGCCGGAATGGTTACCGGAAGCTCATTTGGAGGGAAGCTGAGCAGGGAGGAGCGAGGGAATCCGATCCGGACGGTGGCCGACCCAAATTGGGTGGGCACGTTGAGGTCATACATTGCGCTCCTAGTATGATCACAAAATCTGTATATTTTTCACCAAGGAGCAATTGGCAACCCAGTCAAGAGGGAATTTAGAAGAGAAAAAAAAAGTGACCAAATCAGTAATAGTGTTAAAAGAGCGACTCCACTCAAGATAAAGGAAAAATGGACTTATCGTGGTGGAGACGAGGTTTGTTGGGAATTGGGGAACCGAGGTTGACTTATCATTGGGGAATTCAAGTTTTGGGTGAATCATGCATGAAACTTGGCTTTTTTTTCTTTCTTTTTAATTACTTTATACCGTACTTTATACGGAGTATGTATATAATTCATTTCGTCGCTTTGTGGGAGGATAAGAAGCCTTTCAGCTTCTGCATTTATCTAGAATTGAATATATACAATTGGTATAAATGTAGAGTCATTATGTGGTCATCACAGGTGCCACTTATAACATTGTTTCTCTCCAGGTTTTCGAGGAAATTACCACGTGACGTAACTATTTCAAGTGGAGCCTGGCTGACTCATCCCGGATTTCACCCGCGAATATCTATACAAGTTCTACAATCCGGGGCAAATACATATGCTCAAGTGCTACTCCAGGGAATGATCTGTTGTTGGGAAATGAAACTTCACATACACATCAGAGGGGCGGATATGCATTGGCACTTCCCAACATATCGCAATGAGATCGGCCAACCGGAACTTCACATGCGGCCGAGGCAGAGCACAGGAATGTCAATCTCGATAACCTACATACAGTGCGGAGGATTGCAGGGGTAGCACAACATATGTTTATCATAGAAAACCGGCTTCTATTCTGTAAATGGATCCCAAAACGCCCAGGTGCATCTCATTTGGCTCCAGGCTCGAGATAAGGTCGTACAAGTACAATGTGCCCCGCTTAGCGGGGTTTGGTGTTCAGAGGAACAGGTGGTGGCGTCGGGGCTGACGACGACACTGGAGAAGCGGACGTCGCAGGTGCAGCACGCATCTCTGCCCGTTTGGGAGGAGGCGGTGGTGGCTTCTTACGTGCTTGAGTCTCCAAGGTAGACGATGATGAGCTTGACCTTGGCACCGAGTTCGGCCCGGGCGGTCGGGGAATCCGTTTGTTCGCATTGGCCGAGAACTTGCGGTCGTCAACAAAACTATTGAATCGCGATGTTACTCCACCCCATTTCTGCTTCCCTAGGTCAATTTTGTCCGCATGACGATCGCGGAACCCCGGAAGTGGACGAAGTTCATTCGAGCTTGTTGGGCGTGCGGGTGGAACTGCCGGAGCCGTTTTGGGTGGAGATCCCGAGTCAGTGCGCATCTGGGAGAAGCGGGACTGCATGTCATGGACAGGCGCCTCGTTGGCCGTGGGGTGAGGTGCGGTCGTTCCTCCGATGCCAAATGCCGGGACTGAAACGCCAGCGTCGGCGAGGCGAGATGCAGCTCCTTGGTTTACATATCCCTGAGAAGGCGAAGGCGGAACAGGGGAGTAGGACGGGGGAGGGGATGGATTATGGGAAGGCGACTCGGTCCGTGGAGGAAGTCGGGGGGGCAGCTGAGGCTTTGGCTTCATGGGCGGCTTTGCGCTTATCGGGGTAGAACTCGGCGAGCCGAGGCGTCGCACGGGAGGAGACGGCAGGCCGTTTGTAGACAATCCAGTTGTGTCCACGCGATACGGCACCGGAGGTGGTTTGGGCTTTTGAGCTTCCTCTTCCTCCGCTTCGGCAATTTGCTGTTGGTAGGCATTTTGTTGCTCGATCTGTTCGCGGGATATAGGAGCACCTAAACCTCGTCGGTCCGGGGTTGTCTCGTTCACCGCGGCAGCGCCATGGAAACTGATATGCTTCGGGGGTGGTCCAAAGGACGCGGGATCTTTGAGAGAGGAGAGAGGTTGAGAGACATGTTCACTTCGCTCGGAGCTGGGGTCTTTGCCCTTGCCCATCCATCCCGCCTATCGTCGCGTTAGTGATGGAACCATTGGCCACGTAAGAGGAAACCTACCACTTGATTGATGCCTTTGAAATCACCACGCCAACTCTCTTTGCTTCCATCTTTTCCTTTTGGGTGCCAGCCCCCTTTGACAACATTGCTAAATCCACTCATGTTGACAGGGTGGTTGATCCTTTTAGAATCCCTTCAACGGGTTCAAGGCAACCCCGCTTACTCCACAGTCACGTGTTTCCGGATAAACTGTACAGACTTAAAAGTTGGAAATAAAGTCATTCCTTGTCTCACTACCGATTCGTAGGATATAAGGAGTAATTTAATCAAATTACCTTAGTCTCTCTTCTTGCTTGTCAATTTTAGTAGACAATGCAGTGACAATATCCAGCAAGCAAGTGCAGACTTACGCGCTTCAAGTTACCCATCGGGTCACCAAATCCAGGTGCAGGAGTACGTACAGGAAGAGAGGGTTTCATGATACCTCTTGATTGAATATCAGGATAATGATCAGGATGTCGCTGTACCCAAATAACGATAATCATACTGTGGATCATCTAAACCAATCATGTAAAGCTACTTTTGTCATGGAGCCTCATCGTGCTTTCCACTAAACGCTAAACAGCTAGACTTGCCGCTGATCTTACGTCCGCCCCCAAGTGAAGCGCTTTCGGTTTTAATTATAGACTTTTCAAGGCGTTTAGGATTACGCGGACAGCGAGCTAGTAGGCTTTTAAAGAGTCACCAGAACGAATCATTGTAATTCTATGCAAGTTTCCACGTATTCAACTGTAATAATTCCTTTGTAAAGTCCTAGTCCTGATCGTTGAGATTCATTCTTTGTACACCGTACGCACTTTTTTTCTCTTTTGGTTTGAAGAAGTTCTCTTGTTGCTTTTTTTTCTAGAGTAACGAAACTCGGGGACAAACGGACTCGAGCCAGAACCATCTAACTAAAAGTGCACTGCATGCCGAGCACTTTAGCTTATGCCCTACTAAGTAGCGTCTATTTTGGCCCCCGATCGTCTTTGGTGTCGCTTCGTTTCGTTATCTTTATCTTTTTTTTTCGTTTTCTCCCTTCAGGTTGACTGGCACTCAACAAGTCCATAGATACCCATCTTTGACTAGCATGCCGATGCTAGAGTTATTGAGGAGGTGGGCAGAGCCCCAGGGATATGGAATGGGAGGTGCAAACCAGTCTGGAGGTCATTCTGGTGAAGGAGATGAGAGTACCACTGCAGCCGACAATTTGGTTACGTCTACTCGCACCAAAGGTGGTCAGTCCAACACGAACATGGTTGCAGCTTCAGCAGCGACATCAACTTCGGGGGCACTACTCGGTGGAAACGAGACAGCGGCAGTGTCTACATCAACAACAACAACCCCTACGGCTACGAGCACTGTCACTTCCACTACCGCCACTGCAGCGGCTAGCCACTCAGGCGGAGAGTCAACAACCACAAAACTAGCCATCGCCCTTCCTATAGCTATTGTCGGTGCTTTAGCAATCATAGCTATAGGATTTTTCCTCATCCGCCGTCGACGTCAGCAACGTGCAGTTCCTTCATCACCAACCTACGACACAGCCGATGGCAAAGTCATCTCTTTGACCCAGATCATGGCTGCTCCCCGCGAACCCGCTCCAGCAGGCCTGCCTCGTTTCCCGATGTTAGATGTTCCAGAAAGCAGAGATACTGAGGTCAGCCCTGTCTCAGCGGGTCAGATGTCCGCGCATGATGAGTCTCATACGCCGATGGGCTTTGGGATGGCAATTTCGAGGGATCAGAGGCCCAATGCGACGGAGCAAGATCTTCGTGGCATTAGTAGGTCTGCATCGCCGGCGAATGCGGTGGGGTCACAGATACAGTCTTTGGAGAATCATGGTGCTGCGGATGATGCGGTTTCGGTTGTTTCCAATGAGCAGAGAACAAATGCCCATAATTATGATGATATGTCTTCTGTGTCGTCTTTCGATGGCGGTAGCCCTCGGGCTAATGACCATCAACATCCTTTCCGATGAACTGTCACTCATGCGCTTTTGTATCCTATTCATTGTATTTAAGCCATGGCGTTGGTCTTATTTTATATCGGGACCCACATGCTGCATACATACTTCCAATCAAAGTTTCATGCTCCATTGCCTTCCAAGCTTAGAAGGCTTGCGTGGTTCATATAGTTTCAAGAACATTTTAAGTATAGCATATTTGATTGCTGAGCCGGACGCTTCTTTGGCCTGTTAATGCATAAGATAAGTTATATCCAAAATACTATATTACATGTATCTGTGACTGGCTTAGAGCTCAACGACCGCCACCGAGGTCAGGCTTCCACTCATGAACCAGACCCTTGGACAGCTCCCGAAGGGCCATGGTCGCGTACTGGCTCGATCCCAGTTGGAATTTCAGCACGATGGCCAACTTGTCACCGGCCGGTGTAACAGGAGCATCAGGAGCAGCTGGAGCAGCAGGAGCTTCGGCATTCGATTGCAGATTTTCCAGATCAGTCTTGATGAATTTCTGATCCTCCTCAGAATACATCTTGATGTCAAATGAATAGTCCCCGCCCATTCGGCTGAAAACCTTGCGGTAGCCGCCACTGAGGCTAGCATCCTTCCACTTCCGGCGCATGTTGAACGGGTCCAGACCACCGCCCCGCTCGCTGGCCATGAACTCACGGTAGAAGTCAGTCATCTTGTTGGGAGGGTAGATGACATCGAAACCGGGCTGGGGAAGAACAATATCAAAGAGAGAGTATTTGCCGCTCGCGGCCTCTTCGGCCGTCAGAGCGCGCGCCCGCGTGAACATGTCATCTGTGGCATTGGCACTATCTCCGCCTTGAGGAACCACAATGATCTCTCCGTCAGCATCGACAGTTTCTGTCTCAGCTTCGCCTCCTTCCTTGTCTCGGTGCTCATGCACGATGACAAGATCACCCTCGACCACTTTGTCGCCGTAGAGACGCCAGCGCTCGCTAGCAGCAAAGTTCCACACGAGGGACTGGTAGGCATGCACGTACATGAGTCGTAGGTTCCGAGGGATAGCCTGCAAAGCGCCGAGATAGTCATTCTTACCATAACCCTGTTGACGGATGATACTGGCCTCTGCGGAGAACTTCCGCGGGAGCACGTTCAGAGAGTCATTGATGTTGCCTGTGGTCTTAAAAATGTGAATCGCCTTGGCGCGGGCCTTATCATCACTGCTGATGAGAGCGGTGCAGGCGTCGCCTTCCTCTGCCGCGGCGAGAACGTGTGGTGCGTAGTGCAGAATGGCATCGCAAGCACCTGCGTAATCATCCTGAAGAATCTTGACACCTACTGTATCGGTGCGGGTCGAGAAGGTTCCGAACCGTTGCAGACCGTAGTAGTTAAAGTAACCGCGGTCGTGGAGATTCTTCAACGAGGACCGGACGATCTCAGCGGCTTTTGCGACAGCAGCCTGGGGGTCTTGGAGGCTGACGCCGGGGACTTGGCAGTCCCGAAGAGTGATGACAAACTCATTGCCATGAAGGTCTCCCAGCTCCAGACCTTGCTTGCGGTACTCAAAATCACCTAGACGAGCATTGCGAAGGGTGGCGTTCATCTTCGCAAGACGATGGGCGTGAACGCGGACCACACAGGCCCGCTGCGCTGTCACACCGCGGCGATCTTTCGTACCGGCAAACTGGAATAATTTGGGGTTGATCTTCATCTGACGGGACAAGAAAGAGATCACCTCCATGGTATCCTTATTCTCTTTGTAGATGGTGAAATGCAGGTATTGACCACCCAATTCATCCCAGCTGACCCGGCCACCACTGGAACGACCACCGCCACGCCCGCTCTGCTGCTGAATATTGCGCTTGAAGCGATTGGCAGCAGGCATTATGTCAAGGTTACCCTCGTTATCGGTAGCGGTCTCCAGCTGTGACTTGAAGATGCGACGGATAGACATGTGAATTTTGGTGCGCTGGTCCCTGTCGGTGACCTTGATCGTGATTTTTCCAAAGTCAGATGGTCTCGCTTTGCGATCGGCCATGGCGCGCGCATGAAGGTCAATGGTGTCTGCAGCATTTTGTTCGCCGAGAATTTCACGCAGCAAAGCATTGTCCTCTTCCGAGACCTTGAACTCGGTATCCTCCTCCTTTGCGACAGGGGCGGTCTCTTGTGTTTCAAGCTGTTGCTCGTTCTTCTTGTCGTTCAAAGCCTCGGGTACGGATAGGTTCTGGAGATGGACGACTTGACCGGAGGGAGTGATCTCATTGACTAGGAAGTCGGTGTATCTGAGGGGTTTTTAGTCAAAGTCACATAAGAGTTATAGTATCATGTCGGAGATTGCGCACCTCTTCTTCAAGGTGCCAGAAAATCCATCGATGTTCCCGGTGACCAGCTCCGTGATACCGACTTCCCGTTCCTTAGAAGCCTGCGCATCCTCCACAACATCGGTCTTCAGCGCATCAACCGTCGCATCAACAGAAGACACATCCTCGGTCTTCTGTCGCTTCTGCGGCGGCTCAATAACTTCTGGGCGATCCATTGTAGCGTGGTGAAGTGAAGTCGTTGCGTTCGTTGCAGAACTTTTGATCACGTATCGGGAATAGCGTGATAGGGCCAGCCCTAGTTTCCGGATTGGGAAATTCCATAACAGTTAGATGAGGCTCTATACCAGAACTTTTATCAAAAGGTCTTGGAACGAGAGTATTCAATTTTGCATCTCAGAAGCCCTGTAAGTGATATATTGAAAATTGAACCCTGAGAGACTGTGACCTTGAAAATTCCATCGGCTCATCTACATGTGATAGTGAAACCGCCAGGTTTCAACCCTCAAGAGAGTAGACAATGCATGGATGAAGCTCAAACATGTATAATCTTTGTCCTGACCTAAAGTGTGCAGTATTCAATGCATATTTGGTTTGAGCTCATTCATCGCTTCAATCGGAGCTAGATACATTTCTTTCATTAATTCATCCAAAACTATCTGATTCACATCACTTTCTCTGTGTCTTCTCACAACTCCCTACCTATCAGTCACTATCGGTTACTATCATCCTCTTCTTGTCCGTTGATCATCAATTCACCAGCCGAGGTTCTGATGTGAAATTGGAACTTGACGATTTCTTCAGTAACAAACACATCAGTCAACAGCCATATTCAATTCGATGTTTCCCAACTCTAACGGAACGCCCGGTGGAGATTCCCAGTCTCATCATCATCAACGTCTACGCCCATGGCAACCTACCGTGACTTCTTCTTCTTCTACAAATAGGCCCCAGTTCCAGCAATGTCCCCGAAGAGGGAATAGCGGCCAGTTCTCAGTTGACAACATGGATATAGATCCTATTGATGAATCTGCAATCCGTGCCAATAGTCGAGATTCAATGGCCCATCACTCCGTCTTCCTTCTCGCCCCTGGAATCTATCGACATCTCATAAAGATCGATATCGTCGGGTACCACCATCAGATGACCATTCTCCAAATTTTCGAGGCAGCACAGAGGTGGATCAATGAACCTGAGAAGCCCGGGATGAGAGCGAGTAGAGATCTCTGTTCTTCACAGTTTGCCCCTCGTGGTTTTCTCCGGGTGGAGATCGTCTGCTTGTCGAATGTCTTCCTAGTTGCTCTCAATGATTTTCGGGTTTGTTTGAGCATTATGCAGAGTATGATTACGAGTGAGTTGAACTGGTTTCCTGGCTTGCCATGGGACTCGGAGCATTTGAAGATGAAAGTGGATCTACCCCGGGGTTAAAGTCGGAGCGAAGCTACATTGCTCTGTCTTTTACTGTCTTCTGTTGTCGTTCGTTGTCTTTTGTCTTTTTTTTATTTCTTGAGTGGACGAGGGTACTGCTCACTGTAGTCCATCAACTGTGTCCACTTAGGGAGGAGCTCATGAAACAGCTGTTCGAAAGCAAGCTTATGATGGCGTAGAAGCGTGCCAGGGCTAGGGACTGTGAGATTGAAATTGTTGGATGGACAAGATTCTGGACATGCTTGTTTCGCCCTGGTATATTGATATCTAGGTAGTAGATGATAGCAAATGTAGAGCCTTAAGCTACTCTCGAAATAAGATATACTGAAATGAAATTTGTTTGTAGGAAGTCGGTATGAGAAAGGAAGTGAAGGCGAAAGATGAATTTCCCGGACGCTACCTAAGTACAATGCATAAATATCTGGTAACTAATGAGTCTCCTATTTTGATAGCATTCCAAGGATACTGGGTTCTGGAACCGGGAATAGAAAGCAGCTTGACTTTATTAAGGTAGCCCTGATCTACTCAATTTTCATTTCCATCGTCGGACTATGTCATAATTCGTACAGTGCAATTTCTGTATGCTCAAACTCCAAGCGCCTCAGGCACTCATTCGATCTCAATCTAAACATCACATTCCCTTAGTCCAACACGATAATGTCATTTATTAATTGCGAGCGCAAAACCAAGTTTTCAGTCTTCTTCGCCTCCTCGCTTCCCTCCCAAGTCTTCTTGATGGCTTTAACAGTAGGCCACACCTTATCACGCGCCTCACACCGCTCCACTCCAGAATCAAGTAGCGAATCATAGGGTGTATGTTCATGCCGGATATGAGCTTCCACAGCGAGCGAAGCCTTTCTTTTGTCTGTTTTCATCGAGGTGCGGCCTACCCGCCCAGATCCCTTGAGAAATGCGTGGTTCAGGATCACTTCCAGCGTCTCGCTAGGCATATTTGGGAACTCGCTACGGAGTAGTTCTCGGCCGCGTGCGACGAATGTCCCATCACGGGCTTTAACAGCACTGGCACGTTTTTCTGCAGTCAAGGTTGCCAGTTCGGATACTTTTTGATGGATCTCTTCTGGAACTCGGATTCCCAGGGTTCGCTTAGCAGCTTTGTCCTGTGTATGGTTAGGATTTTTCGGCCATTAAGCTCATGCAGGTGTATATTGACTCACGTAGACGAGGTAAACTATCCGATTAGACGCCTTTGTATCGGCTCGACAGTGTCTGGTAATGTACACATCCCCCCTAGCAACAAACACATAGTCGTCTGGCATCGGCTCACGCTCGAAAATGTTCTATCAAGGTAAGTATTTGGACTATACTGGTTGCTTGCCGAACCATGGAACAGGAACATACTTCTTCAAGTGGGTCATCTGTATCAGGCAGAACACCAGATTTCGAGGCCGTTGACGTGAGGGGCTTGGATCTGGAGATGGGTGGAGAGCCGTGAGAGCCTGGAACTTTTGCAAGGGGTTTGAGGTCTGAAGAAGGCTTCTTGGCTCGGCCGTGCCGACGGCCTGAAGATTTCTTCCGGCGATGACCTTTTGACTTTGTATGTGGTGCCATGGTGGATTGTGTAACTCCAGATGTCGGCAGTAGAACAAGGGTGGAAAGAGTTTTGGGTCAACAATCAATGCAAATGTTACCTCCTAGTCCACTGCTGCTTATTTCTGCGAATTTGGTAATTTCACTTGCAAATGTTTTTGATTCCTCTATTTGCTCTCAATTCCAACCAAATACTGGTTTTCTGGCTTTGATGTCTGATTCCTTTCAGTTCACTGGTTGGGAAGCCTGTGGAATGTGGCGTCCAATGTGACTGTGGAGCAGTTGCATGCCTGAAGCATCAGGCTTTCAATCATTGATGTTTGAAAGAGTGATGTTCACCTGCAATACTTCTCGATAATTCAGGGTTCAAAATTTCGAGATTCTTATTGATGGCTTTTATAGACAATCAACTGTGAATGTACTGTTCTTTGCTACTGATGTCAAGGTCCACTGTTGATCCAAGCTGGCCCCGCTTGAACAGATATATATATATGTATACACTTATGACAGACAAATGATTTTGCAAATGACCAGTGGAAAATCATCTGATTATGGATCTCGACATGAAACAGGTCTTGTATCGATATATGTTGCGAGAGAAGAAAGCGGCTACATTGTTAGCCTGGAAACAGAAGAAACAAACAAGATCTGTATTCCGAGAGAGAGAGAGAGAGAGAAAGAGAGAGAGAGAAAGAGAGAGAGAGAAAAAGTATTTAGACTTGCAGCCGGAGCAACGGAGATCACCTTACCCCACACTTCAATATTGTCACTGCAATTTGAAGGTTTGTTCCCCAGGTCGGTACGGATACTCGAAAATATACTCCGTATAAGAGCCAAACTGGTGAACGATACCGACGATCCAAGAATAGATCTGACCATTTATTGAAGGCGGGGTACAACTTTTGCTTTTACGAGTAATTGAGCGAGATAAGGTACTCAAAGACCGGGAAACTAGGCCGGGAAACAGCTTGCGTGGGCCTGAAGTCCGGACCTTACAGGCTCACAGCTTCAGTGGAGACACAAACTGGACAAATGTGAGTAACAGGATCAAGTACGGAGTACGGAGAACTTGAAATCAAGATCTGGAGAGGATCCGCTGCGGATCCATGCCCGGCCTGCATCTAGTCGATGACTCCGCCCAGTCCGAAGCGCCCGAAAATGATCCATCCACCGGTCGCCATGGGCCCCCGTTATGATCAGGTCAATAGAAAAGTGATTCCGAGCCGGGCAAAAAGACCATAAGTGGAATTATGATCGCACCATGGTTAGAACTTGGCAGAGCTTGGGTGTGAGCGGGGGAAAGTCGGAATCCGAGACCTCTTCGTTTGGATATCCGGATGATATGAAGGCTGAAGCTGAGAATAGAGGCCACAATTAAAATGTAATGACCCGAGCGCGAATCACAGGAGACCTGGAGTAAGGGTGAAGCGACGCTAGCGCAGGACCATCCAGGTCCGCCAGGCGGGCTTACCTGATTCATATGCCAGGGGCCGGATTAGCTGTGATCTTCAATGCAGGAACAAGAACAAGATGGATCTTCCCTGTGTAAGTAGTCATGAGGTTGTTGGACTCCTTGGATCACAGCCAGACTGATCAGTCAGCATCTTTTTTCTCTCTCTCATATACTCAGGGTAGAGTACGAAGTAACCGAGTTGTTAACTGTTCGTACTTCCACTCCACTTTCAGGGGAGAATGTCGTCATAGGTTAGATTGGCCCGCTCTCAACTTAACGAAAGCGTGTTTGATTGGAAAGCTTGGAACGGCTCCTCCGACTCGATCTTAGGTCCAAATATGGTTCTAGATCGGCAGTATTTTCCCTTAGAGTGAACTCAGCTGGCATATGATAGATACAGGAATCGGAGCATTTCTTGTATGGCGGGATTTTGCATAGATACTCTATACTCTATACTCTATACCCTGTAGTATAAAGTGTATAGTATATGGTACGTTCGTATAATTTTATCCATAAATAAACCGGAGTATAGTGGATACAACCGGTGGAGGCTCATTTGGTCTCCCAAAGAGAGAGAGAGAAAAGTCCCCACGCGAGAAGAAAAAAAAAAAGAAAAAAAAAAGGAAAAAAAGCTCGACAAACAGAGAAAAAGGAAAACAATTTTTCTCCAAAGTTTTGCATTGAAAAAGTTATCAACCGGATTAACAACGAACTATAAAACATTTTTGTTCGAAGCCCAGCTTGGACCTTTGGCCCCCATTTTCTTTACTCCTTTCTCCAATCTCAATCTCAATCTCAAATCTCTATCTCTAGATCTAAATGATCGTGACTCTTTCAACCTTATAACCTTCAACCCTCTTTAGCATTCCTGCATTAAGGTTGCCTGGCAGATTAAAACCTTCAATGGTTGCTGGGAACAAGTTGCTGACATGAGTTGGGATCACCCTGTCCACAGGTATGTTCCCCTTCCCCTTCCCCTTCCCTCCCTTCCCTCGTGCGGGGTGCTTTCCTCCCCCCTTAAGCAGTAACTGGATTCCTGTACTCCATAATTGTTCCCTATGTTCGTTTGGCAATGCTAATCCACCCGGCCATGTTCAGCTTTAGCTATCCAAACGGTGAACCTCAAACTCCGACGAGGACTCCTACTACCGCCGCTATTGACTCCTTCACAACCCCAAAACTCGAGTCAAGTTTCTTTGATCCTCGGGTCACCTGGGATACCGCCGACCCTTATGCCTCCAGCCCCGAGTTCCTACGATCCCCTCAAAAATTCAGCCTCGGTGCCTCCAATCCGTTCAAAACAGAGTCCCTCGACCACCGCATAGATGACTTCAAGGATGGTGGAAGAATTCTGGAGCAGACCGATACCGCCAGGCGCATTCGACCTATGAAGCCAACTGAGGAAGGTCCACGGCCCGGGGATTCGGCCAAATCCGCGGCTTCAATGCAGACACCACCGCCCACCAGTGCATCAAGACGGAAGATCCCCGACTTTGATCCGCTGGCCAGCGTTGGGAGGGGGACTACGCCCCGGATGGGAAACCACCTGGAGACTCCCAGCCGACTGCTAGGAGAGTCCCCTCGCATGTTTGGTAATCTACAATCGTCGCCGGATCTCTTCCAACTGGCCTCGTTGGATCCGACGCGCTCCCCATTTTTCCCGCAACAGCGACTGTTTTGGGACCAGGAGCATGAGCAACCAAACGACATCCCTCTCCCAGGCTTGCATCTCAACCAACAGCCACCGAAATCTACCCCGAAAACCGCTATGAAAACGCAAATCCCACAACTGCCATCCATTGATGGTTCTATGGACTTGCCAGAATTTAGCGGATTTGGATTCTCAGCCCCGCCTAACGATGCAGCCTTGTTTCCAGCTCCTTTCTCGACCTCTCCTCGCCGGCCTGTGGCCAAGGCAGAAGACCCCGCCATGTTCCTGAGTTCCCCTGCTCGCCGGTTTGGTGGACCCCAGTTGACACCGGAACGAAAGCCCTTGCGAGGATTGCGACAGCCTTATCACCACCAAATTGAGGAATCAAAACGGGAAGAGCTCCTGCGTGGTAATGGAGACCGTCAGGCATTCGGGTCCTTCTCTAGCGCTTCAGATGACGATGATTATACACCAAGGGTACGTCCCACATTGACCAGGAGCGTTACGCACACTGCGATGACGAGCTCCTCCCGATCACTCAGCCAGGCAGGAAGGGCCAGTGGAGTTCGCAAAAGCCCTTCAAAAGGACGAGTGTCGCCAGTGAAAGGAATGCGTCCGGCACCCTTGGCCCGGTCTGCCTCACTCGCTACTTTTCCTACTCGCTCTCAGTCTGTGGTGCTTCGTATTGGACGAGATGGTAGGGCAAAGGCTGAGATGCAACCTGTTGATGAGGGATCATCGGGGCTGACAGATCCTCTGACTGAGATGGATCTTGATGGCTCTGCTACCGAGAGTGAAGTCGATCCTGCCGAGTATTCAGAATATCCTGTCCTGCCTCGGTCTCAATCATCTTTCCCTCTGGTAAACAATCATTGTCCAAACCTGGCCCGCAGTGATTCTGGATCCCGACCGCCGTCTAAGGGTTCATATGCCTCTATTGATTCATCACACTCCGGGCGCATGTCTCCTTGGGGAGGATCCTCTCGGAATATCTCGAGTCGATCCACCTACCGTGGGTCTCCCGAAGCCATCAAGCGAACCCCCAAGCGGCATTCGTCATTGCTTCACTCCGATGCTACATATACACGGGGTAGCGTGACATCCCAATCCTTGCCCGGAGACGACGATGACAGCGGTGATGCCCAGGCCGCCCTCCGACAGGTCCTCAAGGAGCGTGGCCGCCCAAGGCCCTCTACTGGCTATGGGACTGGCCTCACACGCTCATCACATTCATTTGCCCTTCTCCGATCATCGCCCCCTCGCATGCATAGTGACTTTGATATCCAATCTCGACACTCCAATGCCTCCCCCACTACGGTGACCGACCCCGACTTAGCCACTCCCCACACGGAGCGGCATAGCAACCACAGCAATCCTAGTAATGCTACTCGCTGCGTATGTAACTCGATGGAAAACGGTGGGCATCTTATGATTCAATGGTTAGTTGTTCCGACAATTTCCTTACTTGACCACTCGCTTAACGTATTTCTAGCGAATCCTGTGCCCACTGGCTTCACACCAAATGTGTTGGGTTGGAACGAGCCAACCTCCCCTCTTTTTACGTGTGCAGACTCTGTGACCAAACCCCATCCCGACAGCATGTTCGATCGGGCTACGGGCCCGGTGGCGGTCCCCCCTCACCTTTAGCGCATAAATCTTTTCGGTTCCGGCAAAGCTCCCGTTGAACTGTATACTGATGTATATTGACGACCCCATTTTCCTTTGTTCTTGCATCAGCCCGGCCCCTGCCTTGTATTCCCTAATCTTTTTGTTGCCCTTTTGATGATACCTATGTACTTTTTGTACTATTACCAACATATCCCATTTTATTCATATGGTCCCTAGAATTTGGGATCCAATAGAAATCATTTCATACAATTAAGACTCCGCATATAAACCCGGTTCAGTGATTAACCCGGTCCGGGATCTATAAGTCACGTGTAAGATCTGGTCCCGATTCCCTGCACCTTATCGGCAAGCGCTCCCGAGATTTTCTTATCTAAAGACTTTCATTGGCGCCCACCCTTATCCACTTCACCGCCTTTTTTTATCGGTTCCTGAAGAAAGAATCCAACTCCCCGCAAAATTGAAAACGGAGTCATTTGCCTCTTTGCTACCACTCCACTCATTTTGGTCTGCACAATGTCTGCCTCAATCCCTGGCTCCCGTGATCTCCCAGTCTCCCAGTATGACTTGACCACCTACTGGGGACGAGTTCGCCATGCTGCAGACATTTCAGACCCCCGGTGAGTCCTACCATCGCCACTTCGTATAAACAACTGCTGATGTGCTACTAGCACACTCCTTACAGGACCCGCTGGCTTGGAGCAAGCCAAGGGCGTAATTGCCCAGTACAAACAGAACAAGATCCCCTTCATGACACCGGATCTGTGGAACGCAAAGAAGATTGTCGACTCCACCCTGCACCCTGGTATGTTTTGAAGCAGTTGGGAAACATTGAAGTTGGTCACTAATATAATTCACTGTAGATACTGGGGAACCTGTCTTTCTGCCATTCCGCATGTCCTGCTATGTCCTATCTAACTTGATTGTGACGGCGGGTATGCTTACCCCGGGTCTCAGTGTGAGTCAACCGATCCATAAGTCTCCCGAAGTAAACTAATGTGCTCCTCCTCTAGACCTCTGGAACTCTCCTTTGGCAAATCGGTAATCAGTCGCTCAATGTTGCGATCAACAATGCCAACGCGAACAAGTCAACCCCCCTCTCCTACTCCCAGATCGCCAAGTCCTACTGCATGGCGGTTACCGCTTCCTGCTCCGTCGCCTTGGGTCTGAACGCTCTGGTCCCTCGCCTCAAGGGCATCTCCCCCAATACCCGCCTTATCCTCTCACGGCTTGTCCCCTTCGCCGCAGTCGCCAGTGCCAGTGCCTTGAACGTCTTCCTCATGCGTGGTGAGGAGATCCGCCAGGGAATTGACGTCTACCCTGTCCTGTCGGACGCCGAGCGTGCCAAGCGCGAGGAGTCAGAGGATGCCGAGCCCCTGCAGAGCCTGGGTAAGAGCAAGAAGGCTGCCACCATCGCCGTTGGCGAGACAGCCATCAGCCGTATCCTGAATGCCACCCCCATCATGGTGCTTCCCCCTCTGATTCTTGTCCGCCTGGAGAAGACCCAGTGGCTCCGTTCTCGCCCCCGCATGATCATGCCCGTCAACCTGGGTCTGGTCCTAACTACTTCCCTTTTCGCCCTGCCTCTGGCTTTGGCTGCCTTCCCCCAGCGCCAGGCTATCAGTGCCAGCAGCCTTGAGGAAGAGTTCCACAGCCGTGGTGGCCGTGACGGCATGGTCGAGTTCAACCGTGGAATGTAAATATTGATGTTTCTTAGCACCGGCGTTGCAGCGTCTGCATTTGCATGCAGGTAGATACTCTTTTTCCTTTGGGATGCATTGCTTTTTGCATAGATTTGATTTTCCTAGGTATATACGTGATTTAAAGCCTAGCATTGCAATTCTATCATCTGATTCAGTTCAAAGTGGTGCCTTTCTTGCCCGGAGGATTTGTTCGAACCGTGCTGCCACATCCAACAGGTCATCATCGTATCCATGTCGACCCATCAATTCTATCCCAATAGGAATACCCCGAGGCGCCGATGCAGTAGATGGACCAAAGCCGGCTTTATCAATTAGTCTCAATTTGGACTCAGAAGATCAAAAGCTTACCTGGAATGCAAATGGCAGGGTTCCCAGTTACAGCAGCCAACACACCATTGCGATTCGGCTGTCTCGTTGCTCCAACATTGACAACTAACTGTCGCTGGTGTGGATATACCATCACATCAATATTATACTTATGAAAGTATTGCCGTACGGACTTTTTCAGAGCTGTTATCGTTCCAAGGCGAGACTGGTACTCCTTGGTTGTGCGCGAGTATATATCGGGTTCTTGAAGGGCAGCATAGAAGACTTCCGTCACTGCTTCTCTGTCAAATTCCCCACTCTCCGCTATAGATTGAAGCGAGCGATATGGCGTTGATAAGATGCACGGAGACTGGAGAAAAGCGTCGAGACAATCTCTAAATTCAAAAGGTTGTGTATCTGCATTGGCAAGCAGATTAGACAGAGCCCATGTCGGATCACAGTCCACAGGAACAAGATTTATATCCAATCCACCCTGAACAACATCTAGCGCATTGCGAACAACACGCTGAACAATGATATTTTCAGCAATGACCTCCTGAGAACACCCCACATCGAGATCGAGATCAAAATAAGCATCCAAAACCCCAACTCTGAGAGGCTTCTCACAAACAAACTCAGGCCTCTTTTTCTTCCTCATCACATCATACAAAATCCTCACATCTCCAACCGTTCGTCCCATCGGCCCTGCAACATCCTGCGTTTCGGAAACAGGTACAATCCCCACACAAGAAACCTGCCCCGTCGACGGTCGAAACCCTACGATCCCACACGCTGATGCCGGCGACCGGAGTGAGTTCATCGTGTCAGTCCCGCACCCTACTAGTCCCAGATTCGCTGCTAATGCTGCGGCTGTTCCGCCGGATGAACCGCCTGGTGTACGGGATAGGTCGTACGGATTCAATGTCTGGCCGAGGGAAGATGTTGTTGTTCCCTGTAGGGCTAGTTCGTGGAGATTGGCCTTTGCGAGGATTATAGCTCCTGCGTTTAGGAGGTGAGTGACTACCTCGCTATCTTGATTTGTGTGTAGGTGTTGGAGGGCTTTTGTCCCTGCGCTCGTGGGTAGGTTTGATGTTGTATAGTTGTCCTTTAGGATGATTGGGACTCCGTGGAGGGGTGGTAGTGGGACTTTGTTTTGGAGATGGTGAATAGTTTCTGAGTCTTTTTTTATTGCTGTATCCAGGGCTTTGGTGTTTATGCTGATGAGTGACTTGAGGGTGGGGTCGTGTTGGGTGATTCGAGCGAGGTATTGGCGTATTACTTCGCTGCAGCTGGTTTTGCCTTGGATGAGGGCGGCGTGATAGCTTGGGATGGTGAGTTCTAGTATATTGAACTGTGAAGTACTCATGTTGTTACAAGATTGTTTGTGTCATTCACTTCCGAGGGGTTGAGTATGAAGTGTAAAGTGTTTAAGTTGGTCGTTCACGGGAAATATCGAAATCTGAAAGTGACTCAGTCAGCACTTTTATACTAACTTTATTACATTTCAAGTGCTCTTCACTTGATGAGTTGAACCGTAGCATCGGTAAGATATGCTATACGGTCAAGTAAACCCAAAGTCCAAGGATCAATGGAGTTGGGTAGATAAGGGCCAATGCCTATATACACTGTCTCCAGTACAAACGCCACAAAACATGGTATAAGAAACGCAAGGAATCCCCACATGGGTCGAAAACAATAAATCGAAGTGGAGAGGCAGTAGCATCCAGCACTGCAAGGGAATGAATGATATATAAGGATCACGATTGAGTCGTGCAAAATGCTAAACCGGGGAGGGCAAGGACAAGGAAAAGGTGAGAAAAGTGTGCCCTGGCTGCTCAGGTGGTACAGGGGTTCAGGGACAAGCCAGGATTGTGCATGTTCATAAGAAAAAACAGCCCTTAAAAGACGCACGCCACCGGTAAAAAGACAAAGATAAAGGATAAAAAGGTAAAGAGAAAACACATCGTAAGCATCATTTTCCTAATGCGAAAACACCATCCCATTCCCACCCATAGAATTAACCAGAACATATAAACCATCTATCCATAACGGACCCGAGAGACGCCGGTGGATCCCCGGAAGATACGCGCGAAAGCCTGGTGCGGCGCAAAAGAGCTCAAAAAGACATGGACTAGCGAGGCGCAGTGCGATGCAACCCCATGCCGATCCTATATGCCTCTGTGCCGTCATCAATGATGCTCTCTTTGAACCATGGGTGCTTCAATGCATCCTTGGCTGAAATTCGTTGCTTGGGATCGTACACAAATATCAAGCGCAACAGATCTAGGAATTGACGGTTGAAGGGGGTGTTGGTAGGAATGAATTCCTGGGCACGTTAGTAAAAAGCCCGTGATAGAAATGGAAGAAGGAACATACAGTCAGTGCTTTCATTGCACGAACATACTTCCGAGACGCCCGGGTGGTTTCGGTATTCGGATAGTCCAATTTGGTGCGGTTGAAGTATCTAAACAAGTCAGTAAGGATCATGTATCCGTTCGAAGAGGGACTTACTTGGCGGCTGAGTTGTGGTTACCCGCGCGTCCTGCCATGACTGACCGAATCAACCGTGCATCTATCTTGGACCCGATCACTGCCTCCATCATTGCCAGATGTTCAAGATTGTCATGGGTCTGGAATAATGCATCTCCCGTGAAGAACTCCACCAGGATGCATCCAATACTCCAAATATCACATGGGAAACTCCAGCCCAGGTTAAGGATGATTTCAGGTGCCCTGTAGTGTCTTGTGGAAACCACTGAAGAATGATACTCATCATCAAAAGTGGCAGAGCCAAAGTCGATTAACCGGATCTCGCTGTCAAGAAGAACACGTCGCTGCCGAGCATTTCGCGGGTTCGCGTGGGAGGAAGAGGGAATGGTGCGGTTGTAGGTGAAAGTTTGGTAGGCGTTGCTGACGAGGAGAATGTTTTCGGGTTTGAGATCGGTATGGATTAGGTTGAGGTCGTGAAGGACTGCAGAAGTTAGCGTCAAATTCTAGTTCCTTTATGTGAGCGACTGGGACTTACAGGCCACGCTGGTGAATAATTGGCGGGCAAAGTTCTGAATCTGACTGCTGGGGAACGGAACAAAGCCGTTGCCTTTCAGGAAATCGAACACACTCTGACCGAGCAAGTCGGTGACGATGCAGATATGATTGCGGAAATCGAAACAATCTCGCAGATGGATACACTTATTGCGGTTGCTTTTATCGTTCGACGACAGAGTTGACAGTACTCGCAACTCAATCCGGGATGCATCCCTATACTTTTGGATGGAGCGGATAATTTTGATGGCGCAGCGGGCCTTTCGCTGCTTGTCATAGGCTTCTACCACCTTTCCGAATGTGCCCTGTCCTAGAAGTTTGATCACAGAGTCTAGCAGAAAGTTAGTCAGATCGGCAGCCAAGTTACGTGGATATTGAACCCACATCGATCCGTCAACGGTGTGTCAGGAGTGACAATATAATGACCGTCGTCATCGTCGAACTTGTCATTTCGTGAACTGGCGTACTAAATGGAGATTCGGATTAGCTTGCTTTTCTGGCGCATAAAATAGAAGGCAATTCACGCACGTCACGAATCGCAGGCACTGGGACATCTTTGGCCTTGATGACCGGCTGCGGTGGTGGAATGTATTCGAGGAACGCGTCGCCAACAGTCTCGAGTTCTCGGCGCTTTTGCTCATCGCGCGTCGACTTCCGAGTCGTTCGTTTCCGCTTTTGCCCAGCCGATGCGTCTTCGTAGTAGACACCGTTGCTGGCGCCTGAACTGCCCTGGGAGCCGAGTGACGTCGGGGCTGTAGTGTGCAAAGAGGTAGTTCGATCGGTTGATAACGAGTTTGACGAATTCTCTCCATATTGCTGGGGGTTGATGGAAAAGGAGGGTCGGTCGTAGTAGCCCAAATCGTAGGCCGTTTCAGCCCCGGTGCGTCGCCGCTTACCGGCAGGTTGGGATACAGCTGGCTGGGCGGTCGATGCACCAGGAGCCGAATGAGCCGGTAAAGGCTTCGAGGGCTTTGCGGTGTCTGGACCTGGACTGTCATCGATCACGATGACCTCCTTGGGAATACCATTCTTGTAGAATTCGCCCCAATCGGGCTTTCGCCGGCCACTTTGCGAAGGGGCCGCGCTGGATGCACTTTGATGGGAAGCCATGCCTGACGGGTTCGACGTCGCCGGCGCGACTCGAGCCGAAGGGTTGTAGGGGAGGGTGGTGGTCGGAGCGGTGGTTGGCGAAGGGACGGAGTAGGTATAGGGATTTGTCAAGCGAGCTCCTGCGGTGGTCGGAGCAGGATAAGTTGTCGCCTGGTATGAGGAATGGGGATATCCGTATCGCTGGTGAGATGGATGGGTTGCAGTAGCTGTGGACGGCGTGGACATTGTGTACGGATCAGTCTCGTCCGTCACACGAACGGTCCCAGGACGCGGAGAAGAGGGCGTTCACGACCGATTGTCGGCGGTGACAGAGGATAATGTCTTCGCGGCGTGACGAATACACGCGGCCAGATAGACTGGCCCGTTGAGATCAAACCGGGATCGAGCAGGTTGGTACGAAGAGTCGAAAGGGATTGGGCTCTGGGGGGGGGGGGGACGTGACAATGACGAGGCGGTCGGAAAATGGGGATGAGATCAGATCCGATGCATCTCTCCAATGTAGAAAATTTTCACTTCTTCTCCGTTCCGAGGAACAATATGCAGAATATCAAGATGACGCAGAATAAAAATTGCGAATCATTGGGTGAAAAGACATAAGGGGAAGATAGAGGTTGAAGTTGATGATGGAACCCGAGCCAGAGTTGGGGCTTTTTGGGACTCTGGGAACGTACAGAACGTAACAGTCGATCATTCTCATTCTCTTTGAACTCGAGTTTGAACTACATTAGGGGACTTTTCCTATCATACAATTGAATACGCTCTTATTTCTCGTTTCCAATATCCAATTTTCAATTTCTAGTTCTATCTTATTTGGCATTACTTTCCTCTTTCTTAGTCTTCCCTTATTCTCTCATTCTATGGAGAAATCTTCCACACTTTACTCCCTTAGTAATAAGATCATTTCCCGTGTTTATTAAGCCGACATGTAGGGCCCATGCACCATACAGAACTTTGTTATTCTGTAAAAGGAATGAAGGAAAACTGAATTACGCCCTCATTCCGTTTCGATGGCCCACTACACGCCACCTGGAGAAGCCCTGGCTTAGCCGATTGAACCCACACGCCCCATCACAGCAAATTAGGCGTAATCTGAAAAGCAAAGAAAAGATGGATCCTCGCCCCATCCACTTACTTAACACAGGGGAAATTGCCATGTAAAAGATCCGGACACACGCGGCCGATCACCTGACATGCGGATGAACAGTAGGACCGATTCATAACCGAGGATTCTGATTCCCAGAATATGATACAAACCATTTGGTAAATGACTATCCGACTTGATCTCTTTCAAGAGTGGATTGAGACCAAAATCTCACCTATAAACGAGCACCTGAGAAACGAGCACCTGAGGTTACCTGCATATCCGGGGGACATATAGGATTATACCCAAAGTGCTCTGAACATAGCTACCAGTTGAAAATTATACTCAAATGACACCTGGATAGTCAAATATCAATACCTATTCACAAACCCTGGGAGCTTTCAAACCTGGGGTTTCAATGAGCACATCAGTGTTGGTATATGACCTCTAGATCACAATTCCAGAAGGCGGTGAACCCATCGTAGCAGAGGCGAATGTCAACTACAGTCCATTACCAGGATGATAGAAGAGATGGAATTTGCTAGGCTGGAGTTAAACTAGTGCATACACTGATTTGATGATGCAATATGAATCATATATGCCGTTAATGGATCTTGGGGATATACAGTCATCAAAATTCAAAGTCACTATAGTTCGTAGGTGGGTTTACGATCTAGAACTCCCCATTTAGTTTATTGCTGATTTAAATTGGGTTGTAGTCCCTACTAATCAAGGTCTGTATATGTGCAAGAATATAAAAAATCAGAAGTTAACATACCCACTAGGTATGTCCCGTTTATAATGTAAGGATCCTTAGCTAGTACTGTATTACCGATTTCAACATTACTAGAATTGTGTCTTATCACTCTGGTTATACATTGCATTTAGAATTAATTGAACCAAAGGTTGAAGACTAATCTTTGTCTATGTCATTTCTTTGATGCAGATTGGCATTCAGGCAGCATGATAACTGTAAATTCTTGGATCAACGGAACCTTGGAAGAGATAATCCACTGGTACAAGTAACTAAGCCCCCGAACTACTCACCCGATCGGGTAAAGGATGCGGATGACATCAGCCAATCAACTGATTCATTACGATCCACTCTTGATCTACTTCATATAAGCATAGCCACCAGACTCTGATACCCATGGGTTATATATTAGATGTCGTGCCCTTCTGCTTTTATTTCAACATTCCAAGTTTGTTCGTTATCATTAAATCTTGAGACCTATCCATAACATTGACCTTTGGCGCTATGGCTAGCACCCAACGCCAGCCCATCAGCCGCAAAGCCTTTCAAGGTATTGCGGCAGGTATCGGTCTTCTGTCGGAGAGTATATCGGCCCACAAGGCAAAGAGGCAGAGTCAAGAAGACAATCTGTCCCCAGCCAACACCGAGAGGGTGAATCATTCAGAGGAAGTTTCCACCTACGAGCTTTCAAGTCAAGATAACGAAGGGACTGAACACCAAGCTAGAATGTTAGAAGAGCAGTGGGCATTGGATGAAGCCCAAGAAGAGCTTCGGCATGAGCGTGGAGTTGAATGGGAAACCTCCCCGCCAAAATATACCGAGACGGAGCCGATTGATGAGGCCAGCCTTGCACATCAATTCGCAAATTCACATCTACCGCCACCTTATACCGCGAACGAGAACCTGCCACAGCCACGACTCTCAGCACCAGTGGTCCTCCCTCAACGCAGGCCCAAGGCCCGTGATCGTGGTTTTATTCGGGCTTATGCCCCTGCTCTCGCTGAATGTGGAATCGACCAGAACATGTTCATGGACTTCCTCAACACCGCCGAGAAGGCTTGTCAAGCGCAGCCTTGGCTCCGGGCGATCAACTTGGCTTCCATTGGAACCATGTGGCTACCTTCTGTGACTGGCATTGCTGTTTCGATTGCGATTCAGATTGCCACCGAAATGGCCATTGCGGCCGAGGGTCGTCGAAAGTAAGAACAGAAATATGCACCCACAAGCTATGCCACTTTGTGTTGACATCTGATCTACAGGACAAGCTCGTTTTTTGATCAAGCCAATAGGGGGTTCTTTCAACCTCGTGGGCTGTACTGTCTTGTTATGACATGGAATCCGGAGCTGGCTGATGCACCTTCTACAACGGTCGATCTCAATTCCTTAATTTCTCGGGCCACAGGCGGTGGTAGCACCGATATGCTAGGACGCCTTCAGCACAAATTCAAGTCTTCTGACGGCAAAGGCTATGGCAACATCTTCCCCCAGGTCGCGCCTCTTGTTTTTCCCGAGATCGAGCAACTAGTCTCCGACCCAAACGCGGAGAAAAAGCTGTCCAAATTGAAGAAAAAGGGCCAATTCGTGGCCAACTATATGGATAAGAGAGCCCAGGCTAAATTTGTAAGCTTTCTGTCCTTTGACTGTTGTGAACATATTCTCTAACATACCTGGATTATTAGATTGCCGAAAACCCAGACAGTCTTTTGGTTCAGGGTCCCGCGCCTACCTTCACCTCACGATATGCCGATCCCAACCACCCCGCGAGTAGCGGTGACCCAGTTGCCTTGGTAACTGGCGGGAAGCTCAGCATGGAGAAGTTGCAGACGTTCAAGTCTGAGAGGTCTCGTGTTGGGCGTCATTGCCCTAACGAATATCAGGATGCATCTGCCTCAAACCCGGCACCACATGCACCCTATGGACGCTCTCTAGGCTTGAGAGATGCCATAGCTCAAGCGAGGGACTTTCGCAGTCCGCGGTGTTCTTCAAGGGACGAGCTATATTCTGCAGGTCGGAACTTCTCTGCAAGAGGGTCCCAGTTGGACCAGAGACATGACCGTGGTCTTCTGACACCAATTGCCCAAATCATGAAAAAGGTAAGTCCCAAAATTTCCGAGCCAATTCCCTATTCTGACCAGGCATAGGATGTCCTTTATCTGGCTATTGTCAACATGCCATCGGAGGAGATGGACCGAGCACATGAGGCTGTGCGACAGATGACCAGATGATTGCTACTTATCCTATGTACGGTGGACGATAGGGCGAATGTCGCCAATGCAAATTAGTTACATATTGAAAAATCAAGGCTAGAGAGAGAAGAAAGGAAGGAGAAATGGGAAGAAATGGAAGCAGTAACTACTGGGAGAGCACGCTAGTCCTAAACCAGTCTCTGTAATAACTATGATGATCTCATGGTTGAATAGATAAAAGTCACAAAAGCACATGAGACTTCCTCCTCTTACTAAGTACCTACCTAGGTGGGTGCTCCCTTTGTAACTAACAATTAAGAGTATCAGCTTGAGTACTATGTACTGGTGGATTTTGTGGATATTCGAGTACAACATAATACAGAATTAGCAAGACCGGTGACCATAGATATTGAAATTCACCCGCATTGGCCGTATGCGCCCTATCGTCCATCGTATCCTATGCCCTATCGGTGTCCTGCATAATGTCAATATCGATTGAAGTCAAATAGTCTACTCTAAAACACCAATGTTAGTCGGGAACCCTCAGAAACTTTTCGGGAGCACATTTACTCCGATCACTTGGTCAAATCCGCGTTTTAATTTTTTTTTTTTCGTAGCTGTTACATACAAGGACCTGCTGGCCAGGTTGAAAGCAAGGATTAGACGAATCATATGCGAAATTACCTCTATCCGCACGCATGGTCAACCATTATTTCGGAAAAAATTCAGTAAAAAAAACCCAGCATCTCAGTGTGAAATAATCAAAGTGCCCAAACGCCACGAACCAGACTCACGCAGATGCAAGAACTCTTGGAGCGGGGGCCAGAATTGATCCATTCTCCTGGCAACTTGACCCTCAGAAACAACCTGGACCGGAAAATAAAGGGAGAATAATTCAACAATTTCGGGGATCCTTCAAGTAGCCTCGTTGTACGTGCTTGATTCCTCTTCCATCTGCCTCGAGCATGAACAAAAGATCCCGGACCTGAATGCCAGCCCCTTTCTCTTTGTCCTCACGCCACGTTCCAATTCTTCGTTTCGGTTGACCAGCGGGCGCATCTCCAGCGCGACCGGCCTTGTCTGGTGTGGCACTAGGGGTAGGGGGGTTGGGGCGTGATGGCGATGAGAATCCACTGGAAGAGCCTCTTGGCTTCAACCAAGAATATGACTTCTTGGTACCGAACATACGGCCGGAAAGCATGCTATTGGTAGCTAAACGGGCTGTTTCGACCGACTGCTGGTGCTGTTGCGCCTCACTGGCCTTGGAATCCATCATCTTCTTCGCTTCCTTCTTGGTCATAGATTTCTTATCGAAGCTGGGAGCTCGTTCGCCGATAGGAGTCGAAGGAGCGGATCCGGTGACATCAACGGATTCAGACCGATTGCCCATAAGTTCGTCCACGGTGGCATCCGCGTTCCGCTTCGCCCGTTTCGCTTCTCTCTTGTTCTCCTGAGATGACTCTTTGTTCACAAGGGCGCGGTATTTCTCGGCGACTGGTCTTGCAATAGATGCTTCGCTTCCAGGACGTGGGCCTAAAGACAAGGTGAGCATGCTGTTAATTTGAGGCCTCAAGACGATGCACATACGCTTGGAAGGAGTTGCCGTATTCCCGGCAACTGGATTTAAAGGCTGTGCGACATCCTGCCACTCATCAGGGACCGCACCATGTGAATGTGCCCGCCGGCTGCGGGATAGGGATGCAGAATAGTCGATGATGCCTCTAAGTCGCTCTTCGCACGAAAGAGACATCAGGTTCAAGATGTCCACCAGGGGTGCGCCCTCCTGATTCAAGATAGTCTGGCCAGTGCGAATGACAGATGACCCGTCGGGTCCAGTCACTTCAATAGGTTGCGGCCGACCGGGAACAGGATGGAAAAGTCCCTCCGAGGGAATGCGAACACCAAGGTCGAAGCCTCGTTTCTGAATCTTCTGCTCAAGCAGTCTGGCCAACAAGAAAGGCTCCTGTAGGTGGTACTGGGATCTCCTCGCAGCTTCGGTATCCTCACGGGTAGGCTCATTGGGATCTTTGAACGGGACCGGGGGTTGCGAGGTGGGGTCAGTATAGGAATGCTGCGGAGTCACAGGCTTGATGTGAGGCAGGTCGCCAAAACTACTGGATGCGGAAAGTGTTCCTGTTGCAGAGCCTTGGGATGCAAACGAAGTGTTGGTGGGATGTGCGTGATGGGGTGTTTGCACTCGAGGAGCCTGCTGCGCCTGCACATTAGGCCCCGAGAAGCTGCGCGTTAGAAATGCCTCCTCCTCCCGCACATCAATACCAGATGATGCCAGAACGTCCGTCAACTCCGCCGCGTCAGTCGTTTTGTCCACAGGTCGCGAGGGCGGCCCCATGGTACCCGGAGGGGCTGGTGGCATGTTGTTCGGTGTCCCGTTCATGGGAGGCGGGTGTTGGGGTTGGAGTTGAGTTTGAGGCAGTTGCATGGCACCAAAGCTTGGCGAAGCATAGGGTGACGATTGCGATGGGGGGAGTGGTGAAAGACGAGGCCGTTTTGATGGAGGAGGTGCTGCGCCTCCATTTACGGGTGAGGCGGAGTGAGGTGATGGAGAGGAGACAGGAGGAGAAAAAGGTTGAGAAGTGAACTGAGGTGGCGGCTGCTGCTGCTGCTGCTGGGGGTGTCGGGTTTGCGCCATGATGAAAGATACGTCGAAAGTGAATTTATAAACTGATGAATTGAAACCCGATTATTGCGCGGGATAGAGAGATGTCCACGCGCGGTTGTCCAAGTGAGCGGCTTGCTCACACCACCAGATACCACCAGGTGGGAGCATCTCAGTATACCCGTAAACCCATAAAGTCGACGCGTAGGAGAATTTCTGTTTGTAAACAAGGCGTGCAAGCGGACTTGAAGGTGTTTATCGACGTAGGCGATGCGGGACGAGGAGGAACAGGGAGCTTTGCGTTCCTCGAGGTTTTGCTCCGCGGATCGCGCTGGTCACGTGTGGCTTAGTTAACATTGGGGAACCAACCTTCCCTCAGGCGGTGAACGCGGTTGGCTCCATTCGCGACTTAATTCTACATTTCATCTTGAACTGTCATTCGTTCTGTGTTGCTTTCCCTCCTTTATTTTCAATTTCCACAGGTCGCATCGGCCATGGAAAGGACCTGTATCGGATACTGATTGCTCGGTTTCTTATCAGCCGCGAAGGAGCTCACGGCGCCCTTTAATCGAACGATTCTGCCGGCAACCGAATTGCGACTACCACACGCCTCAATATTTTGACCCAGTTCAAGACGTTAGGATTTAGCAATAATGGCGTCAAAGCGCAAGGCGTCGGCGATGGGTGCCGCCATGGATGATGAACCCGTGGATCCCTCAGACGAGCTGGCCTTCTATTGTCTCGGTGGAGGTAATGAAGTCGGACGATCATGTCATATCATCCAGTACAAGGGCAAGACGGTCATGGTAGGTTTTAGAATCAGATATTGAGGATTCTTGATGAGCTAACATTGGGACTTAATGTCTGATAGCTTGATGCGGGCATGCACCCTGCCAAAGAAGGCTTCTCTGCGCTTCCTTTCTTCGATGAGTTTGATTTAAGTACAGTTGATATACTTTTGATCAGCCAGTACGTGTATTCCTTTATCTTCGATCACCAGAACTGGGGAGCTTAATTTACCTGCGCATCGGGGCGAGTCGCTGTTTTGTGTTACACTACAGCTCGGTTCTAGATGAGAATCCCCGATACAAATCCATGCCATCATCGTTTCCTCTCAGTCACTAATCCTTTTTTGTCGGCTTTAGTTTTCACGTTGATCACTCTTCAGCACTCCCTTATGTCCTCAGTAAGACCAACTTCAAAGGTCGTGTTTTCATGACACATGCCACGAAGGCCATCTACAAATGGCTGATTCAGGATAACGTCCGAGTCAGCAATACCTCCTCCTCTTCAGATCAGCGCACTACTTTATATACCGAGCGTGATCATCTCTCGACTCTTCCTCTAATTGAGACCATCGACTTCAACACCACACACACCATTAACAGCATCCGTATCACCCCATTTCCCGCCGGCCATGTTCTGGGCGCTGCTATGTTCTTGGTGTCCATTGCTGGCTTGAATATTTTGTTTACGGGCGATTATTCGCGTGAAGAAGACCGGCATTTGATCCCGGCTACCGTTCCCAAAGGAATCAAAATTGATGTTCTGATCACAGAGTCAACATTCGGCATTTCGTCCAATCCCCCCCGGCTAGAACGAGAGGCCGCCCTGATGAAGTCAATTACTGGTGTCTTGAACCGTGGGGGTCGTGTGTTGATGCCCGTCTTTGCTCTCGGTCGTGCACAGGAACTGCTCCTCATCCTTGAAGAATACTGGGAGCGTCATCCAGAATTGCAGAAAGTACCCATCTATTACATCGGTAACATGGCTCGTCGCTGCATGGTTGTGTACCAGACATATATTGGTGCCATGAATGACAACATCAAACGACTCTTCCGGCAACGTATGGCTGAAGCCGAAGCAAGCGGTGACAAGAGCATCACCGCAGGACCATGGGACTTCCGCTTTGTTAGAAGTCTTCGGAGTCTGGAGCGGTTTGATGATGTTGGTGGCTGCGTGATGATTGCATCTCCTGGTATGCTACAAACTGGAACCAGTCGGGAGTTGCTTGAGAGGTGGGCCCCGAGCGAGCGCAACGGCGTCGTCATGACCGGCTACAGTGTTGAAGGTACAATGGCCAAGCAGCTGCTCAATGAGCCGGATCAGATCCCTGCCGTTATGTCCAAGGGTACCGCCATGCAAGGCCGTGGACGAGTTCCGGGGGGTGGTGACGAAGATCAGAAAGTGATGATCCCACGCCGCTGTACTGTCGATGAGATCAGTTTCGCTGCTCATGTCGACGGCGTGGAGAACCGTAATTTCATCGAAGAAGTTGCTGCACCGGTGGTCGTGAGTAGACTAGAGTCGTGTCGCTTTGGATTGGCTACTCACATTTCAACAGATTCTTGTGCATGGTGAAAAGCACCAAATGATGAGACTTAAGTCTAAACTGCTTAGCCTTAATGCCGATAAGACAGTCAAGGTCAAGGTCTATACACCGGCAAACTGCGATGAAGTGCGCATTCCTTTTAGGAAGGATAAAATAGCAAAAGTGGTTGGCAAACTCGCGCAAAGTGCTCCTCCTTCGGAGCAAGACGACAGTCAACTTATGGCTGGAGTCCTGGTTCAAAATGGATTTGATTTGTCACTAATGGCCGCAGAAGACCTCCGAGAGTACGCTGGTTTAACGACGTCTATTATTACTTGCAAGCAACATCTTACTCTTAGCTCCGCCAGTATGGAATTAATCAAATGGGCCCTTGAGAGCACCTTTGGCGCCATTGAAGAGGTCGGCATCAAGGAGGAAAAGAATGGAGCCAACGGTCATGTGAACGCGGATCTCGACGGCGAAACTGCAGATGAGGAGATCCCCATGGGCGAAGCCCAAAACTTCCTCATAATGGGCTGTGTGCACTTGCGATACCACCCAAGAAACCATGAGGTTGAGCTGGAGTGGGAGGGCAACATGATGAACGACGGAGTTGCCGATGCGGTCATGGCCGTCCTTCTTACTGTCGAAAGCAGCCCAGCCTCCGTGAAACGTAAGGGACCTTATCTTTCTACAACTTTCCAGACTAACGAGTCATAATTATAGAATCGGCCAAACTCAACCACCATCATCATCATCACCATGACGATGACTTTGACGCATTTCCCAATCCTCACTCACACCTCGGGGCCGAGGATCGACTTGCTCGTCTCCTCATGATGTTGGAGATGCAATTCGGCTCTGACATTGCCCCCATCGAACGCCCTCGTGTACCGGCTGATCTTGCGATTGGCACAGCGGAGGGCGACGAAGCCGAACTCGATGAGGAGCGTGTCGCTGATATCGAGTCAGCCGAACTGGAGCGTCTTCATGCCTTAGGCATACCAATTCCCGGTATTGAAATCAAAGTGGACAAACACGTTGCCCGTGTCTGGTTGGAAAACTTGGAAGTGGAATGTGCGAATGCTGTTCTACGTGACCGAGTTCGCATTGTCGTTGAGAGAGCTGTTGAAACAATCGCCGGTCTATGGGCAGCTAGTTCCATGCCCAAAGAGGCTGTGGTTACAAATGGCCCTATGAAGTCTCAGGCAGAAATGGAGCTTGCTGCTAGGACCAAGGCGGCTGCCCTTGAGTCATAAGGTTGATATCATGTACATTAATGGGAAATCTTGGAATAAATGGAAATTATTGGGAATTGATCCACGTACCCCCTGAATTACTCTTGTACCCCCTATCTAGCCCGATCAAGAACTTACCCTTGGCTTCGAGTCAACTAACTAAATCATGTTCCCTGTGGCCTACCCGGGTAGTCTCAAGTTGTCCACTCCAGTACCTACCCTTAGCTACGGTGTACTATACAAGTATATCGAATGTATGAACAGATGTAAAAATACTTAGCGGAAAACGAACATTTAAAAGGTGAATATTGTGGGGAGTAACCGAAGTCGCAGCCATGGGTATGTTCCTGCATATGGGTTAGGGTGTACAAGACTAATTTGGGGGGTACGAGGAGGAATTGCCAAATTATTGTTCTAATTTGATTAGTTATTTCTCCAGTCTGAATTGCTATTTCTTATAAAGTAAACCCTGAACTGCATACATGTCACAGGCCCAGCTCGTTGAAGACCTCTGCAAATACCTTTGTAGCGCCATCAACAATGATATCGATTTCCTCCTTTGAGACAGTGAAGGGAGGCGAGATGATCACATGGTCACCCCGAACACCGTCCACCGTCCCTGGATTACCATAGAGTGAGAGAGCATACTTTGGGCACAGGCCCTTTTCCTGCATGAGGAAGGATAGCCGAGTTACCGGATCGAATGGCTCTTTGGTAATCTTGTCATTGACGAATTCGATCTGTAGAACTAATTAGTAGAGCAAGTAGCCTTTGGAATGCACATTGAAACGCTATTACCCCCCAGAATAACCCTTTGCCTCGAATATCTCCAACGTAGGGATGATCTCCAAGATGTTGACGAAGCTGTTGCTCCATGTAAGCACCCATATTGCGGACATTTTCTAAAAGATTTCGTTCTTGAACAGTCTTTTGCACTGCCAAAGCAGCAGCACAAGAGATCGGGTGGCCCTGGTATGTCTGTCCATGCCGGAATACACCCGTTCCATTATCAAGAATCTGCACAATGGAGTCGTTGACCAGGATCGCGGAAACGGGAGCATAGCCCCCACCGAGTCCTTTACCTATGGTTTGAATATCAGGGACAACATCTTCCTGTTCCCAAGCGTGAAGAGTTCCCGTTCTACCCATTCCACTCATGATCTCGTCGAGGATCAGTAGAGCGCCGTATTTCTCACAGACAGCTTTCATGGCTGGGAAGTATCCTGGGACTGCTGGCACACATCCAAGAGCCTGGGGTATTTTGTTAGTTGGCCTTCCAACCTAGGGCGATATTCAAACTTACAGCGCCGACCACAGGTTCCGCGACGAAGGCGCACACGGTCTCTGGACCCACTCGCTGGAACTCGGCATCAAGTTCAGCTGCAAGGCGGACCACATAGCTTGCATCGGATTCGTCATCCTTTTTGCCACGGTATGCGTTGCACGGTGAGACATGAGATGTATTCTTCGCTAGCAAAGGCTCGAACAGCTCTCTTCGAGAAAGATGTCCACCCACACCCAGCGCGCCAATGGTAGTGCCATGATAAGACCGCGAGCGAGCGATGAACCGTGTGCGCTCTGGTTGGGGACTAGGCAGCTCCAGGAAGTATTGACGAGCCAATTTCAAAGCACCGTCGATAGCTTCGGAACCTAGATTGAGACTAGTCAGTGGATTGGAGTAAAATAGAATTAAAGATTCCAGACCTGAGCTTACTACGAACAACTTGGACATTTTGCCTCCTGTGGAGTCAACTAGAAGTTGAGCCAATTCCTCGGCAGCATTAGTGCCAAAGAATGCGGAATGACAGTAGGATATCTGGTCCATTTGTTCTTTGATGGCTTGTTGAACGGTTTCATTGCCATGGCCTAGACATGCAACAGCAGCACCGCCAGTCGAGTCAAGGAACCGTGTTCCATCCTCAAGGAAGATATAGCATCCTTTACCGCCGACGGCCTTTTTGGGAGTAAAATGGCTGTCTCGGTGCATAATTGCACTGCGCGAAGCAGAAGCTGTCATAATGTAAGTATTTGGAAATATGAAGGATCAAATGTCTCTACCGGAATCAAGCATGGTGGAAAGTGCTAGTGATATGAGCAAGGAAACTTCTAGTGTGTAACAAGGCAGGTTGGTCCTTGAAAGAAATTGGAAATCAACCTTCTCTTATAACCTTTGCATGATTGTAACCCGAGGTTATTGCCTGCGGGGCAAAAGTGGGTTCGGTATGCCGATCTAGATAAGCCGATAAGCCGATTGGCCTTGACATGGCCGAGACCATCAGCACACGGTGATTGATGGGTCCAGTGGAGAATGCTTCTCCCAGGGCATACCTATCTTGGTCCCTAGTGCGCTCAGGTCGCGTTACACTGACCATCGTTGTCAGTTCTAGGCAAAGATTACATTTGATTGATCTTCCCCAGCCTCTATCAATATTACACTTTGAGTCTCAGCAAGTGATAAACATATTGAAACACAACCTTGCGATTCCGATCAACTTGCGCTCAGTTCAGACCAATTGATTGATTTTGTCCGATGGAACACGTCCATTTCGATATTTCCAAAGACGACTATAGTCTTTGACGCGGAGCACTGTGGGATGATACTCCAGTTGGGACTCTTTGGACGAAATCGGGCACAGGGTCTCTTCGCAGGCCTCATGAGATGCTCCATTTGATTTCGTCTCAACTTCCATGTCCATGAAGGGGTTGTTTTCCAGCACTTTGTGGTCAGGCCCCATGGTAAACATGGTGTCCAAATAGTGTTGGTCTAGCATATGACCTGAGCCAGACCGAATGAAAAGGCGGCCCATGTAACGATTGGGAATGGTGACAAAATTCAGAACGCCAATGCATGAAATCATGTCAGCTATATTGGCATAATGTTCAATATGCCCAATGGAACAGTCATATTGCGAAGATATATTGGAGTCTAGCCCATCTGGCTTGATCTGCCATGTTCGACGAGGATTATTGAAGTGATTAGCCGCGTTCGCGAACGTATAGACCTCAAGTTGGCGAAGAATGTCTTGAGGTAGTGCATCCAAGAGCCAGTCAATCACCAAGCCACCCTCAATTCCCCCTTGGCTGTGCAGTATCAAGACTACTTTGTGGCAGTCAGGATCCAGCAATGCCGCCTTAACCAGTGGGTACGCTATTCGTATATCCTCGGTCGCATATGAAAAACAACGTTGAATGACACACTCGATTAGGTCGAAAATGATACCCAATCTATGAACACTCATTTAAATTGGATATCCGGGATATTTTCAAGTGCAACTTACGTGCGATTGTGGATTCCCGTGACTCTTCGACCGAAAGTATAGGAGAGTTGATCCAAGTTGTTTTGCACCCAAGACTGGCTATACTCCGTGAGCTAATACAAACAACCAGTAAGAAATTTTAAATCGCGCAATGGCAACTTACCTGCCTGCTATACCGTTTATAAAGAACCAACGTTCTCGGATGTGAGTTGGTTGCTCGGGGACCGGGACCCGTGACACAAGAACCCTGCGAAAGCCGTTTAACACGATCATGCAGATCACGTAGTTCAAGGTTAGTGCGACCATGATGTAAATTAGTATTCCTAGAGCAGGAAACATGAGTATGATTGTGAGTGGAATCGAAAGGAGAAACAACAGCTGAAAGATGGTCAGGACAACTTGAGTTCCAAACGAGATTCCGCTACGAGGCGATGGATACAGCTCATCAAGTCGATCGGTTTTGCCCAGTCGAAGAGGAAAAAACACAAGAGGCAAAGTCCAGGCATATCGGACAATAAGACAAAGATCACTCCACAAGAGTCTGAGTGGTGATGCAGTATATGGTAATGGCGTTGCATTTGGAGGACGATGGGCCAGACGAATTCGAGGACTCATTTTGCAGGAATCATGATCCAATATTTGAAGTTCAAATGAAGTTCAAGTGTGGAGAGAAACATTGAAAACGCTCGTCATATGATAACCATTGGGCTCAATGCGGGGGGGGGGGGAAAGTACATTGGACTGCAACTGATCTCTACTCTGATCTCTTAGGTAATCTTATCTGCGGAGATCGGCCCATCCCGACAATAGTCATTGTACAAATACAACTATGATCCCCATACTATATGCCCAGATACAGTGCCGCCCGTTATTGCCTTCCATATATAGAGACAGAGAGACGCTCTTTCAAACCCTAATCACGTGATGGGATGACCCCAATATGGAATCGCGTAAATTACCCGTCATGACTATACATAGTACTAGTATCTGATTTTGCCCCCCCTATTGTACCGGTACCTGTCTCTCGCGGGGTCGACTAGAAGGCTCCATGCGAACTAAACAAACCAGTGACTGTTAGCAATCTACCAACTTCCCTCCTCCATCCCTAAGCTGCCTCACTACAGAGTATTTGACGCTGCCTTTGGTGTCTATCTCTAGTCAAGTTAGAGGGCAAGGCTTGACAGTAAACATTGTTTCGTGATTAGCATTGCTTATCGCTATATAGCGGATTCCGGCGTCTACAATTCACTTCAAAATGCTTTGACGAACTGATTTTGAAAAGTTCCTCGGCTTAGCATCTGCTATAGTAATACCTTCGATATGATCGACCAGAACCATTCGAACTATGCTTGTGTGTACTGAATTTATAGATAGACTTAAGGAGTATGAACCGCAGTATCTCGGGATCCCTTGACCTCTCACCGCGTACCATTTTATCAAGTTTTCGAGAAAGGCATAAGGCTCGTTTTTCTACCGGCTCGTGCCGGTGACGGTTGAAAAAGCGCGTAATGCACAGACCACCCCTCTCGCCCCATAGCTGCCCCATGCTCATTCCAAAACTCATCCTCCATGTCTGAAACGAGAACCTTTAATCTTGCATCAAGATGCCGAAGCCGTTTAGCAAACTGATTCGCGACAGGGACGAACTGTTTCAGAACAGCCTGTTCGTCACCTTCCACTGGAGCTCGAAACCCCACCTGGAGCTCCCGAAGTATTTGGTACAAGGTGTTTACCGTAGTAACCTCCTTCACGTAGGCTTCTAGCAGCTCAATCACTGCCTCTAGCGACGTGACTGACACTCCCTCGAACAACTTGAGGCTCATGAGCCCTTTCTTGTTCAGAGCTGTCCATAGAGGTTTTAGGACACAGCTTTCTGCCCCGATATCTCTTCCCCGATTGTTCCTGTAGTGATCGTTGAGCTCTTGTTCGGAGTTGTCGACATAGGAAGACATTCCTGCGCCGTCAAAGAGCTCAGCTAATCTAGTAGAGTGATCTCGGCCGTTTTCGTCATGAATTTGATAAATACCAAGCCAGGCCAAGTGATAAAGGCAGAACATCTGAGCTTCCAGACTCTTCTTCTCGGTATTGATTTTGTCGGAAGTTGATGGGAGTTTCTCTAGACTCGAGGTAGCGTCAACACTATCTTTAGGACTCCCCTTGGGCTCGTGCTTGCTGGAGAGAAAATCAAACATTTCCACGAGTATGGCTGTTTCGAAGGGGAAGAATTATCGGACTTTGAACTGGAATCAATGGCAGGATGGGGGGAAGATCTTGTTCAAAGATGAGACGGTATTATAAGCCCCTTATGAAGTGGAGGTGCTGTTGTTGCCATTCGCTTAATTGGGTTTGGGCTAAGCCAGAAACTATTTAGCGAGCCCGCCTACAGTTAATCGCTGGAATTGTCTACTTCCAATTCAGTGTTTTGTGGCCACGCCAACGGCGACGAGGCTGCTAGCCCTCGTGGCACTGGCTAAGCCTCTTGACCGACGAAGAAGCGGAGGCAAAGGCATGCTCCTGGGCCGCTTACTGGATAAAGAGCCTTGCCTGCTCACTGGCTAGTCTCAATTCAGTAGGAGACAAATGATAGCGACTTCATTCCCAGAAAAATAAATCCGAAATACGCTTACCTTTTTGTAAGCTTGGCAGAAAAAGCTCTTATGATGACCATACCTGTTAGATGAGTCATCTCAACAATACAGTAAGGTTTCATGGAACCCTATAGATCTATGGAGAGCTCGATCTAGCATAATCGTCTAGCGTACTTACCGCCCCCTTCCCCGCCCCCCCCCCCCCCCCCTGTCCTATAATAGTTACGTGTATTGGCAGTAGAGCCAGTTATCTTACTGATTGTCACAGAAAATGGCAACATTAACTTAGTTACTAAGAGCTTACTCATCACGGAACGATAACTATCGTATCAACGCTCACGTCAAGTCTCGCGAACGATGATTGGGATCTTGATGGAGAGTCTAGCTAAGGCCATTACACCTCGTCCCAGCTATGGATATACTGAACAACTGATTCTTTTATGGTCTAATACGTGCTATGCGTGAAGACTGACTAGAATCTACATCGCTTGTCATACGGTTGTCGGTCGCCGTGTTCATCCACATCAACATCCACCTGCCCATTCTTAATAGCTTCAAGACCGCTATGGAGGCCTGCGCCAAGTCCCAAGCAGTATTTTCATCACCGCCTTATATCCATGCTTCGCAGCCAAGGATAATGGTATGAGACCTTTGGGGTTCTTCGGGTCCACGCCAATTTGGCCTGTCTGTAGTAATAACTTCACCACCGCCGTACGTCCAAATGTTGCGGCATAGGCCAACGTGTTGTCCGAGCCCACCTCCACCCAGTCTTTCTCAAGTAATAGCTTCACTATTCCCTCACGTTCAAGTGCGGCCAGGAAAGTTGGCGTCCAACGCTCATAGTCCCTCGGAACCATATCCACCTGTCGTGTTTTAGGTAATAACTTCACCACCTCCTCATATCGAAGCTTAGCAGTCCGGGATAGAATTAGGTGAGCTAGCGTGTCCTCTGAGTCCACGTCACTCTGGACTGTCTCAATTATTAATTTCACCACCGCCTCGTGTCGATATCTTGCGGCTAAAGACAACGGTGTCCAGCCGAAATATAAGTCCCTCGAGTCCACCTTCACATGACTTATTTCAAGTAAAAGTCTCACTATCGCCTCACGTCCTTCCCGCGCAGCGTAGGATAATGGTGTCCAACCTTCGTTATCCTCCGAGTTCACATCCACTTACCCGGTCCCAAGTAAGAGCATTACCACCGACTCGTGTCCATTCTTCGCAGCCCAAGATAATGGCGTACGGCATTCACTGTCCTTCGAGTCCACATCCACCAGTCCAGTTTCAAGTAACATTTTCACTACCACGTCATGACCGTTTTGCGCAGCCGAGGATAATGGTGTCCATCCCTCGGAGTCTCTCAACTCCTCAGGAGCCTGCTCTTTCTTAAGGAAATGCGTCAACCTGTGTTCATGTCCGTGCCGCTTAGCCCAAGATAATAGTCTCTGGCGGGCTGTTTTCCCCTCGCAGTTTTTTGAGTTCAAAACCGCCTGCCCTGTCCCAAGTAATAGCTTCACCATCGCCTCATGTCCGTGCTGCGCGGCCCAGGATAATGGTGTCCGGCCCTTGCCATCCGTCACTCTAACGTTGGCTCCTTCTTGTACACATAATCGAGCCGTAGCCACATTTTCATGTTGGGCAGCCCATAGCAGAGCATAATTTGAGTCTCGGGAATTCAGTCTATAGAGATATAGATTAAGGAGAGCGTAAAGTCGTCTATTAGTTTGAGACAATGAGTTGATATCTGGTTCTGTCTCCAGGCAGGTCGCTAGTTGTAGTAGTAATTCGGAGGGCAAATGAAGCAGAATCATTTGATTAGGATAACAAGGAATTTTGCTGCAGCGTTTTAAGCCGGAGAGAAGATTTAGATGTTTAGAAAAGCCATTTATGAGCAATAACGGCCATCGAGCAATAGGAAGTAATAGCCACATATGATAGATGAGTCATCGTAATAATACCGTAATGCTATATTTACGTAATTCCGCTTTCCGTGTCTGACAACTGTAATATTAAATACAGCCAAATTCATGGAAAGCGGTCATTTTATCCGATCAGAGCTCACAAAGACCGGAGTCAATCTCCGGGAACGGAGTTGCAGTGTGGAGGAGGTATTACTGATTTCGAAAACTACTGTAAATCAGTGGCCGTTCCCGAGTCTCATTAACCGTCACTCGATTGATGGAGTATAGTCTGTCTTGGTCGGGCGCAGGCCGAATCTGGTGAATGTTTTCCCCAAGGGCCCCTTAAGGCGCGCCTGGGTATACCGAAATGCAAGTGACTTCACTGGCGTATGTGCTGCCTGGAGAATGGGTGGCTCTCAGCTGCCCGTCCGCCCGCTGCGGCCCTCTCTCCTAGGTTTCGTCCTCGAAAAAACTTTAGTTAATAGCCCATGCCCATTGAGTAAGTGCGGCTTCCATATATTTCTTTGGTTTCCTGAATCCTTCCCTAGCTATGTGCCAGTTGCAACATGCCTGTTGATAAGAAAACGCAGAAACAGAATAGATTGCATCACTATAACTCAATCCTCCAAAACGGTTCCGTTATTGTGTGAAAAAAGGGGCTCGGGGCCATAATTCAGTTGTTAGCAAGTAGACACAACAAAGACAAGTTTCCTCATGTGGCGTACGCCTAGTACACCGGAGGAGTATAAGCAATTTCGCTAACGAGATTTCGAAATGTCACCAGGGCTTACGCTGGTTATTTTCGGGTGTTCGGCATCGGCCCAATCAAATTCATTATATTGGCGGAGGTTACCGCGAGTAGAGAGAAATGTTTGCTTAATTATGCTGAGACCCGCCTCACGGACCCTGCTGGATTCCAAGGCACATGAAATCAACTGGGTCCTATATTCTGTTAAGTACGATATTTAATTCATAGAATCCTCCAGACTCGGAGTTTTTTCATATATCCACCTAATTTTGACATACCCTGACTTGATCCATCCAAACCAGGCTATCACAACCACCATGCGTAACTTTTTTACTGTCCTTCTCGTCGCCGCCTCGGCGCTTGCGTCTCCAGAGCCACAGATCACGGGCAGCGGCGAGTCTATTAGAAGCGAGACCAATCCCGATGCCGACGCATCTGCCTCCTCTGCTGCCTCAGCGCTGGTAGCAGCGATCCCCAGCTCCATCCTGACCGTGATGGAGACTGCCATTCCTGCCTCGTGGCAAGACTGTTGTTGTTCAGAGGTATGAATTGTCTTTTATTCAGAGGGAAACATGAGGCTATATATACAACGAGAAGATCAAGTTGATTTCCAATCAACTTGGTTCTTCGTATACATACTTCGGGATTAATTCCGATAGTTCGGCTTGGTTCCTGATCTGCACCAGCCTTATATCACAACAAAGACGAAATCCTTACGGATCCTTCATTCCGCTCCTCGGTTGCGAGTGCCGCGTCCGCGGGGACTTATCCAGCTTGGTATAATGAGCTGCCCAGCAGCGTGAAAGCCTGGGCGAGCTCGAACTTTGATGCTCAGGTTCTCGGTGTCTCAACTACCTCGCAAAGCGTTGCTTCAGAGACTGGTTCTAACGCTGTCTCAACGAGTGCATCTGCTGTCTCAAATGCCTCGCAAATCACTTCCTCTAGCGCCTCCTCTGCTGCTACTTCTGTTTCCGGCTCTACGTCTGTTTCATCTGCAAAGTCGACTGGCGGTGCGCCCGCGCCTACTAGTGGTGCCGCTATGGGTGTTGCTGGTGCAGCTGGTGTGCTGGCTCTGGCTCTCGCCCTGTAAAGTATCCGCTCATTACGTTGGGGTTCCGTCCACGAGAGGCGGAGGCCTTGCTCACTTCATTGATGCCAATGTGACTAGAGTTGCCTCGTACTGGAGAATCTCACTAAAAAATTGGCTCTGCGGAATAAAATGGGATAATTACCGTTGTGAACATAGAATCACCAATCTATCTACTGATATCCAGCTGTTATACATATTATCTTCCGTCTGCGCACTGCCGAACAGGTTAGGCTCTCTGTCTCAGTCAAGAAAAATTTGTCTTTTCTTGAGAGACAAGTCTTTTCGTAGTCTAACTGTCTTCGGGGAGGTTGATCGAGTTGCGAGCACGGGATTTGCGATGGTTCTATGTTTGCGAGCAAGCAAGAGTACGTCCGGGAGCTAGCGCTGCGTTTGCCACCTGCGATACAGTGAGTCTGTTATTGCTGCGTATTGTATCATATGAAAAATCATCATTAGTTGCCAGGATTTGATTTTTCTTCCCATTTTGTCCTGTTTTACGTTGACCTGTTTTAGGTGACTGCAGTTTCTGGGTTGGGAGGAGTGAGAGGGAACGACGCCATGGTGAGTGTTGTTATTTTTGGATTTGGAGCAGGGGTTATTTTTGGACACGTAGCAGTACATAAGCATAACGTTTTATACTTTCATGTGTATTACCATGCCATCCTGGAACAAATCCTTGAATACGGAAGTAGCCGTATAAGGTTTAGTGTGCCACGTGATTAGGGTTTGAAAGAGTATCTCTCTGTTTCCAGATATGGAAGGCAATAACGGGCGGCACTGTACCCAGAATTGAACATGACTGAATTGATTACGGAATTGGAACAATCATGGCAACGGGACAAGTTGATTGAAGTGCGCACTGGCAAGGCCAAACCGGTATTTGGCTTGCCTATTCAATCTGCCATTTTCAAGTCAGTACGATATGGTTCAACTCCCGTGAGCAAATTGGGATGTCGAGGAGATGAGCATGTATATGAGTTTCATGGTGGCCCTGATAAGGCGCTTCTCCAGTATTGTTCGCGACATTATGATACCTGGGGCCAAGAACTACCTGGCAACGCCCACTTGTTTCGATTGGGCGGCTTCGGTGAAAATCTAGTTGCCCAGAAAGCAAATGAGCGCAATACGTGCATCGGAGACATTGTACGAATTGGCAATGTCGTTGCTCAAGTCAGTCTACCACGGCAGCCTTGCTATAAGCTCAACCATCGCTTCCAAGAAAAGAACATGTCCCGCCTCACCCAAGAACGGTTTCGAACTGGCTGGTACTATCGAATCCTCCAGGAAGGCTCGATTAAGGCTGGGGATGATATTGTTCTTTTGGAACGTCCTCATCCAAAGTGGACTGTGGCCCGCGTTCAGCATTACCTCTACATTGAAAAGGAAAATATGGACATGATGAAGGAACTGGCCGAATTGGTTTCTCTAGGGATGGAGATTCGCAACATTTTTGGGAATCGACTGAAGAAAAAATTTGAAAACCAGGAACAGAGGCTCCTAGGAAACGGTGCCATGGCTCTGGATATGTGGACGGATTACCGACTTGCTCAGAAGAAAAAGGAGACACCTACAGTGACGTCTTTTGTCTTTCAGGCACTGGAGCCGAGGGAATCTCCTCAAAAAGTCCAACCTGGCACACACGTGCGCTTGAAATTGGGTGGCCGTCTCATTCGTGCCTATTCGGTGGTCGAAGGTACCCAGAATCGCTTTACTCTTGGAGTGGCTCTGGACCCACAAACGTCCCGAGGGGGCTCCTTATACCTACATCGTACCCTGAATGAAGGAGACACGGCTACGATCAGCAAATTCTCGACGACATTCCCACTTGCTATAGAGGCAGATCGTCATGTCCTGATTGCTGGTGGCGTTGGAATTACTGGCTTGCTAGCATCTGCTCGAGAACTACAACAGAAAGGCCTAGCATATCACCTTCATTATGTGGTTCGCTCTGATGAAGTCGCCTTCAAGCCTTATATTGAGCAATTGGGCTCGAACGTGACAATCTATTTCAAAGACGACAGACCATTCGATGTGTCCAAAGTCCTGCAGCAGACTGATAGCAACGCCCATATCTACTGTTGCTCTGGAGAGCGTCTGATGAATGCAGTGCGCGATACGGCAAAGGAGCTCGGTTTTCCTGAACAGAACATGCACTTTGAGTCCTTCCAGGCCAAAACAACGGGCGACCCGTTCACGGCTGAATTAGCCGAGTCTGAACAGGAAGTCGAGGTGGCGGGTGGAGAGAGTTTGTTGGACGCTCTTCGATCGGCTGGATTTGATATTCCATCTACCTGCGAGACCGGTAACTGTGGTACCTGTCGAGTTGGCGTGCGCAAAGGGCGAATCGAGCATCGAGGCACCGGATTAGTGGGGAATGAAAAAGACACTGCAATGCTTAGTTGTGTCTCGCGCGGAATTGGAAGCATTGTTTTGGATCTTTAGGATCTGTACAGAGAAACACAATTTATGCTCATATGAATATAGAATAGACATTATTGACAGTAGCTCACCATGTACAAAGGTCTCAATTAGTAATACAATGCAACCGGGGCTTGACGGGCCCATCCCAAACACAAGCAAGAAAAGAAAGAAAATAATGACAGGGAGATGACCAGCAACTCCAAGACCCCGGGACTATGCATGGACAGTTGACACATTCTTATACTTTCATCAAAGGCTTAATTGTGGAGGACGCTGCCGGGTACTCCGTGACTTGGTCCTTTTAGACTGTCAACAGTCTTCCGGCGCAGCCTAGTCCGGGATGCTGGGCCATCGGATGAGACCACCGCCGGTTCATGTTCGATTTCCTCGGCTAGTTCGGTAGCCTTGGCAGCGTCCAGATCCAATTGCTTCTGAGCGGTATCTCGAGCACGCTCATAGCGAGACTTGGTATCCCCTGTCCATTGTGTACCGAGCAGACGGTCCCAGAATATAAAGAAGGGTTGAGAGAAGTTGCTCTTAATGCCCCAACTCTGGTGATGGATGTCGTGGTAGGCGGCGTTGTTCGAAGTGAAGTGCTGCAAGGGGTCCCAGGGGAATTCGTAGCCGCAGTGGTCATCAACAGTCTTGATAGTCGACATGGTGAAGAACCACATGCCTTGTCGATTGCTCATGCCAGAAACCAAAAAGCCAATTCCGGTGCCAGCAGTGTCTAAGAGGAAGCCCTCCACAGGGTGGTTGTACAGGGCACCAAAAGCGTAAGGGACGTACAGTCGGTGGTGACGAGAGTGGAAAGTCACTGTGAGAAAATTAGTCGGGTACTTCTTCCGGAATGAACATTCATCGCTTACCATAGAGCCACCGGTTAAGGTGCATCGCCCGATGCAGGAAGTATTGCCAAGTATCGACGATGGAGATCGCAAGCATGAACTGAAGCGCCGGCACTAAGTACCAGTAAATAAAGCTCGCCAAGGCCAACTCCCAACGAGCGAAGGCTGGCGCGGATACCTCGGCCCCGCTGTCGAGGATGAGCGATTGCAGCAGATCTGGATAGGAACCCCCTGCTAAAGCTCCGGCTAGCAGCGTGTGTCCGTTTTGAGACACTGACTTTGCCAGACCCGCGGCGTCCACGCCAATCAGAGCCAGCATGGGGGGAATAGCCCGCTGGGCAAGTCTTAGTCGCTGTGCCCAAACTGCCACGTCATATTCCTCACGGCCAACTGTTTCAACGGGATCAAAGTAGGCCACGGACATGCCTGCGATTGTTTGGATCACTTGCTGCAGGATAACGTCGCGCACAACTTCCCAGCGGGTCACGCGGTTGCGCTTCAATACCTCGGCGGGGGTGTGTAGGCGGTATTGTTCGAAGTATCCGTAAACATCGAAAAAGTGATAGAGCATAGACATCACCCAGTAGGCGATGATGGGAAGCGCCAAGGCCAGAACATTGTCAGGGATGGGGGCGAGTACTGGTTGCCGTACGGAGAGGGTGTAACTCGGGAGGGGTGGGAGGTCCCAGGCGACCGACGCGTTGGCCATGGCGAAATTATCGATCAATCTCGAGATTGAGATTATGTGCCAGAGCAGAAATTAGGAGAGTTTGGATAAGAAAGGGAAAAATGTGGATGTGGAGGATGGTGGATGGGGTCGCGCGATAAGCTTGGAAATCAAAGGAAGTTTGACAGTAACGACCCAGGGAAGGGACTCGGGGAGAATGAATGAATCTGGGTAGAGCAAGTGCAAAGCACAATTTTGATCTACACCGAGTCCCGGAGAATCTGATAAGAATAGATAAAAAAGGAACGCGAAGATCAGTTCAGGAGGCAAAAAACATGAAGACGAAAGAGTCAAAAGTAAAGTAAAAGTGGCGCCAGTTCGGATGCGGCCAAAACGGATGACGACGGATGACCGGATTTGGAATGTCCGATTGGCGGAATCATGTATTTTATTGTATTATTGATGTATTGTTTACATTACAGATGCGGCGAATTGTTTACCTAATTTAGGTAGTATACTGTACAAGTAATCATTTGTATGAATCCCATGGTTACCAGATCAATGATTTACAGACACGGTTAGTTGGAATGATCTACTGGTACATAGAAACTTACTGTTTACCAGATACTCGTAGGAAGTAGTACTAGTGGAATTTGTATCTGTTGCATGGTAATATAGAACAACAATCATGCATTGAATCACATGTAAGTATAAACAATTATATACTTCCCAAATGAGAAACTCTTAAGTTGTTCAATTTACTCTATAATAGTACCCAAGCGGATATAGAAGAAAGATAACGCACTGATAATGGTAGCAGTCCTGACGACTATGCTCATGCTATGTAGATTAATACTACTAGTATAGATATTACAGCGAACCGGAGCAATGGCAATACACTGCGGTAATAAGCTACTAGTAAGCTTACAGATATCTTTCAAAGTCAATAGATCTGCTACCTGGTAGGTATACGGTCAATGCCATAAATTATAAACTTCACTCCAAATTCCAAGGATAAACCTCTTGTCTCATACTAGGTAGTCCCCGTGATCAGACAAACAGAGCAAACTACCCCCACCAACCACAGCCCGCCACTAAAAAAACTTCTTCCCCTCCTTTTTTTGTTTTCCCTCTTTCCTCTTCACTACTCGTCAATTCCCCTTTGTGAATACATTACTCCTCTTCCACCGCCACCATGATCATTTACACCGTATGTTGTCCTACATCGTCACTTTGGAATCTCTCTTGGGGCGTTTTGACTTGAACCTCTCGAGTCTTCCAGCGGCAGCTTTATACATGATTGGCAAGCTGACAATTCCTAGGACATTATCTCCGGAGATGAGATCATCGCCGATACCTACAAGATCGAACCCAGCAAGGACTGCCCCATTCTGTGGGAGGCTGACTGCAGAAAGTACACCAAGAAGGTCGGCGAGGACTTCCAGCTCGAGGGTGCCAACCCCTCCGCTGAGGAGGCCGAAGAGGAGAGCGGTGAGGGCGAGTACAAGATGGTTCACGACATTGAGGACCAGTTCCGCCTGAACTGGTTGAAGAGTGAGGAGGGCGACAAGCCCTCCAAGGATGCCTTCAAGGCCCACCTGAAGAGTATGTGTTTCATTCCATTTAACACAATTTACTTATCTAATCCACTGATTTTCTTTAGCCTACCTCAAGAATGTCAACAACCAGCTCAAGAAGGATGGCAAGGAGGCGGAGTCCAAGGAGTTCATGGGTGGCGCCGCCGCTGCCATGAAGAAGATCCTTGCCAACTACGACAACTACGATGTCCTCATGGGCGAGAGCATGAACGGCGATGCTATGTACGTTGATATGGATGCCGCCTGCAAATAGGAAATTACCACTTACTAACTTCATGTAGGCACGTCCTGATTGATTTCCGTGATGATGGTGTCACTCCCTTCGCCACCGTCTGGAAGCACGGTCTCAAGGAGACCAAGGTCTAAGCGCTTTGATCCTTGCTGGCGATAATGCATTGCACTTGACCTGAAGAAAAAAGTTACGAAGCGCGGGCCCTCTGCATCCATGCCTAGATCGGACGTGGAGATCGCTCTTCTCTCCCCCGAGCCGGGCATTTGTCTGCTCTGGCTATTATACATGTCTCATATTCGTATCATAATTGACCGATCTTTCCGATCGTCAAGAGTTACGCCTCACGAATCAACAACCCCTTATGTCTTTTCTCTAAATATCCTGTGACTATTCGTAGTCCGAAATGTGAATATTTTCTTGCTATCCAAAACTTCAAATCCCCCAAAAAGTAATCACCTTGGATGTATGGGTTCTCCAAATGCTTATTATATATCCATGTCTAATCCAACCCTTGTCCCCAATTATATTACAGATTATGCATGTCAGGTTCGTCTTGCGTGACTAACAATACCCCGGCCACTCACTGGAGGAAACACTATTGCCTGATGGATTGTCTGTCCAGGCTGTTGGAAACCCTTCCGTGGAAATCTCATCGGCATCAACATCGCCGTTAGCAGGCGGGACACCAAAATTTGCGAATTCCAGTCCAGATACAGGATCCAATTCCATAAGCTCATCCGCCACGGGTAAATGCTGTCCAAAGACAGCGTCCCATTGGTCCCAATCAAAGTTGAGATTCGGATCCACCATGGACGGCGGTGTGGGGACTCCCGTTGGTGGCGGGTTTGGTGACATAGGATCCATGAAGGGCATGTGGCTGAAATTAATTGTGTTTGGGGTCGGTTGAAGAGTTTGAGGTATTTGGGCTTGAGAGGCGGTGGAAGAGTTGGCAGATGGCGGCGTGCCCAGCGATGATGTTGCGCCGGGAGAAGATGACATGACTGACGGTGAAGCCATAGGAACAGTCTTTGGCGTAGAATTGTATTTGGGTGTGGGAAGGGAACGAGATGTTCGTCTCGGACGGTGTGCAGAGTGTCGGAGGGGACTAGGCCTGACTGCTGCCGTTGAAGCAGTTGGATTAGAAAGGATCTGAGACCGTGTCATGTTGTAGAACATGCGGTTGAATTCGTTGGGCTGGCGGCCCGATCCAAGAGTTTGACGTGTTGTGGAGACTGAGGGAGATCCGGGAGCCGGTGAATTTCCTGCGCGGTATGAAATACGCAGGTGATGTGGTTCTGCTGGTGAGGCAACCCCTGCCTGGATTTGGTCCTGTTCGGTCCAGAGCAATTTGGGGTTTAGACCGGCTTTTTGCCAGGCCTTCTGACGAAGTCGACGGATCATGTCCCAGGCTTCACGGCCACCATCCTTCAGCGGCCGCTGAGTCGATATGCCATCTTCACCGCCAACAACGCCTCCATCTGGTCCAGAAATCGCTAGAATTCGGTCAATGAAGGCGCGTGATCTCGAAGCCTCTGGGCTATATGGTCGCTCATATAGATCAATGAGCATAATCCTGCAAAAGGTTAGTTTGATCGGAGAATGATCAAAAAGAATAACATACATCGTTGCGTGCATAGGCTGGTGGTTACTTGGATTTATTAGTCAAAATTGATGGCTTGTCATTGAAGGAATAGCTTACCCTGGCCAGCTCCAATGAAATGGTTGGAAATCTGGATCTGTCGCCAATTGAATGAACTTCTCCATGAAGCCATGGCAGTGGCGAAGTGCGCTACAGATGTCAGACATATTTAGTTGAATCATCGTGGGATACTCACCTCTGTCGGGCAGCAGGCCAGATTCGACTACGAGCATTCTTCAAAAAAGGTTGATACGCAACACAGAACGCCTATAGCTGGTTAGCCAAGATGCAAGCCCACAATGAATATCCTTACCTTATCTATGTATAAGGATAAGATGATTCTGGCCCATTTATGGAAGGAAACCAAAACCGGGGAGTGGTATTGCTCAGTACATCCATTGGGTCCTTCGCCTGGAAGTTCTGTCTCTGTTGATTGCACCTCCACGGGCGATTTTGACATGGACAGGGATCGGCCCGAGCCTGAGGATTCCTCTGATTTATCTTCGGGAATTCGGCTGATGATTGAGTTCAATTTCAACTGAAGATCCAAGAGAATCGTCCGCAGCTCTTCCATATCTCGTCGAGTGACTGGCTTAGTACCCAATTGAATACGCAGTATTCGGCGGACAGCCCCTGATGATATGAATGTCAGCTACCTTGTATCTGCTTTGTTTGGAGACAAAACGTACGAGCCATTGTGTATTTGCCCTTGGCAGTGAGGTAGAATACGTTCACCATTGATGGTCCACCACAAACAGAGGGCTCGTCTGGGTTTTCAGGAAGTTGTTGATTGGTTGCGACCAACTGCTCGTATCGTTCGGCCGCTGGAGATCCCAGTAATGTATCCTTCACTTCACTCGTTTCGCGTACGTCCCAATAGTTCTCATCACTCACCAAAGGAGGAAGACCGCTCGACATTGCTACGACACCATCCATATGCATTATATGCCACCAAAGCCGGCGTCGGTATTCCGCTTCACATGGCTCGACCCCAAATTTGGCCGGATCTCGGTGAAGGCCCATAGTCTGTGCCACTCGCATTGCAAGACTGACAAACAGACTACTCGTCAGGGGCTCTTCCTCTTTGGACAAAATAGTTTGAACGATGAGGTATGCCGAGAGCCCTTGCAGAGACGGGCTTCGAGGAAAGGATATCTTTGCCAACCAATGAGTCACTTCTTCACTGTATATGGAGGACAGAGAGAAGCGAGATGATGCATTAAATTCGGACTTGATCGTTCGAATAGAAATAGATACTGAGCCGCCATACCAGATGGCGTACAGAAGCGGCACAAATGACGGGCATGGGCACGTTTCTCCGGAGTAGCTGCTATAGTCATACCAATTCCAAAAGGCATTATAGAGCTTCAAGATGGTCGGAGGATGGACGACCGGACTGATTGCATGAACGCCAGACATGAAACCTTTGTATAGTATTTGACTTTGTCTTCTTGTTGGAACGTGCTTAAGCATTTCTGGTTCCACGAGTCTCTCATTTCCGGATGGAGACTCGCCGGATGGGAAAATGAAGGATGGCTGGCAAGATCGAGACCCGGACGCTGTTGAGTGGGTAGGACTATCAACTGACCCTTTCCACGCTTGACGACCGTTGACCATGAAATTCTGATGGTCTTCGTCGGCATTTTCAGAGGGTGATATGCCATGCGATCGATTTTGGTCTCTCAGCAACTGGTTTAGATCATTGATCTAGCAGGTTAGCGTTCACTGAACATAGAAAGATAGTAGATCCAGACATACCTCATGAGATATGTAAGCCCAGTATGTTGTTCCGACGTATCTGATATACATTAGCATTGCCGGTACCGGCATCTCAAGATTTCCATCTCACCTCGACCTTCCGCCATCATCCAAGCTCAGGTGTCCCAGGTTCAGACTTCCCACCGGATCAACCAGGTCAGTCGCTTGGCCTGATGGGATGGGAAATTCATCACCACTCGACTCCGCAGCAGCGCGACGTGGACTCAAGGGCCTTGAAGATGCCGCTCTTCCGTTTCGAGCATGAGCCTGGCGCAATTCCTCGAGCAGGGCAGATTCCACTGTTGCGCTTGGAGCTGCGGCACGCTTCTGGGCTGCTTCAAGTGCTTGGGCGGTGCCACCCAGCCGTTCGATCATTGACATCAACTTGTCTAGTCGATGCTCAATGGCGCGTGGATCGGGCTTCTGGCCGGACGAACCCTCGGCCTGCCTTATTTGCCCATAAATGGTTTGTAATTCATCAACATCTTCCTCCCAAGTCTGTGGTGTCTCCCTCCTTCGTTTTACTCCATGGCCACCTCGCTCAGCCCCATCGCGCCTCTCTTCGCGCTTTTGCGACGACACATCGTAAAGGCATTCGGCTCCGGTCTTGGCGCAGTTTCCGCAAATTGGGTGGACCTGGAACGCTTTCTGATTAGCTGAAAACCCCAATACATTGGTGCGTAACAGACAGTGTCTTACCTTGTCGCACTTGACCTTTCGTCTGCGACAAGTGTGGCAGCTGTAGCTCGCCCGATTCCGAGTGATCTGTTTCCCCCCGGCCAAGGATCCCCGCGCCGATGATGAGCGGCGCTCAGAGATAGACACACTCGATGACTCGAGATTTGGTGGACTAGCGTCCATAGTCCCCGGAGGTGAAATGGATTGAAGTACGTGGGACTTGGATGGCGAATTGCGGGGGAGATATTGAACATCCAATGGCCAATGACATATTTTATGTGCCTGAATGTTCGGGCATCGAACTCCGCTAGACGGCCGCGACTCGGCGGAGTACACAATAAGTGATACATAAGAGTTATCAAGAGTTAGTTATATAATTTCTTACTGACTCAAAGATTCAAAGAAAAGGTAATTGAATAGGAAACGTTATCACTTTAGTCTATAGTTGTACATTGAAATCTCCGATCAGGTTAGACTTTGAAGGACGGACACATGATGATCTTCTTTCCTCCTTTACTCCTTTCTCCTTGCCCCCCTTTCAACTTTGAATCAATTCCTCACAATTGATGTCTTGGTATCTTGGTAATACGCGGCCTAGTGGGGCTAGAACTCTCCATAGGCGCCCAGTCCTCTCGATTCGCCTGCCAAGCACAGCCAAGACGATGCTATTCACATCCAATCTCCCTGCACAGCCGCCCAAACCGTATTTTCCCATCGATAGGGAATCTATGCTGATCATATGTCTTAGGCAGTCTGCTGCCTAGATCCATTGCCCAGAAGTTCTTTCTTTCCGATTCCTGTCTTTGGATTCGGACCTGCTGATCTGGAACGCGAAATCAATGGTTTTCCTCGGCGCCAAGATACTTTCTCTGTTTCACGCCTTTGAGCCAAGTCCTATTGTCATATACTGTTAACTGCAGTCTCAATGCTATTATTAATCCTTACTCCAGTAAATGACTTTTTGAGCATCTTCATTATTAACCCCTCCTGTATTCTCAATTCTACAAAACGACGTCCTGCTTCATCAATCCACGAAGATCTACAGTCACGGCGCACATGGTTCTGAGGGTTTTCTTGAAAACATGGCCTTGGTCATTCATATGGTTGTCCTATCTCAATTGCTTCGTTATTGCCATAGGAGTGCCCCTTGATATTGACAGCGAAGGTTGGTTTACTCGCGAACCTATCTAGGTTATGTGACTGACTGGCATAGACTCAATTAGATCAGCTGCAAGCACTATCGCTTATGATCTCGTCACATTCTACACGGGAAACAACACTGGCGATGTACCTGGAAACCTTCCCGATCCTTATTATTGGTGGGAAGCTGGCGCCTTCTTCGGCGCTCTGATAAACTACTGGGCGTTCACCGGGGATACAACCTATAACAACATCACTCTTCAAGCAATGAGCCATCAAGCGGGTGATGACGGGGATTTCATGCCATCCAATCAAACATACACAGAAGGGAACGATGACCAGTGTTTCTGGGCACTCAGTGCCATGGCTGCCGCGGAGCGAAACTTTACAAATCCGGACTCATCGACACCGGGTTGGCTGTCGATGGTTCAGGCCGTATTCAATGAACAGGCTAATCGTTGGGATACTGCCAGCTGTGCTGGAGGTCTGCGTTGGCAAATTTACACCTGGAATGCCGGATATAATTACAAGAATACCATCGCGAATGGGTGTTTCTTCGACATTGCAGCACGCTTAGCTCGATATACAGGCAACGAGACCTACGCTGAATGGGCCACAAAATCTTGGAACTGGGCCAAGAGTGTCAAGCTGATCACAGACGACTACCAAGTGTATGATGGTACAACAGATGCCAGTAACTGCACTTCCTATGATCGCACTCGCTGGTCATACACAGCGGGGATTTATCTTCACGGTGCCTCTGTGATGTATAACTATGTAAGTCCACTACTCTGGCCAAAAGATTAGAAACGAGCTAACCTGACCATCAGACCTCTTCACTATCTACCAACTCGTCCACAACCAATTCGTCTTCAGCCTCCTTATGGAAAGCTCGACTGGATAGACTTCTTTCAAAAACCGACTTCCTGTTCTCAACAAATGAAACCAGTAAGAATGTCATGTATGAGCCTCCGTGTGAACTGATAAATAGCTGCAACACGGATCAGTTGTCTTTCAAGGCGTACCTCTCTCGATGGATGGCCGATGTCACGCAACTTGCTCCTTATACATACGACACCATCATGGTAAGACTGCGAGCTACCGCGCAAGCTGCCGTCGCTCAGTGCCAAGGTGGATCTACTGGTACATATTGTGGTTTTCGCTGGTCGAGTGGTAGTTACGACGGAACGACTGGAGTTGGTCAGCAGATGGGTGTCCTTGAGGTTCTCCAGGGTCTTCTTTCAGCTAATGTCAGTGCACCAGTCACTTCCACTACAGGTGGAACGAGTGAGGGGAATAGCGCTGCTGGAACTGGATCAGATAAAACAGAGACCGAGATTGAGTACTCTGCTACTACTACAGGCGATAAAGCCGGGGCCACAATATTGACTGCGGTACTGACTGGTTTAGTTTTATCCGCTGTATATATGATGGTGACCTGACTGTCACTCTGTCTTTTTTGTCCTCGAACTGACTTTTTACGATACCCAAAATTGGACACTAGATTAAATTCAGATATTGATGACTTGGTTGTAGACTATGCTTGAGACCGCCCGAGGAAAATGCACAAGGTTGCGGTGTACCTCAGAAACAACCACGCGCGTTGCTGAGCCACATTCGAACAATATTTACTTTCTTAAATCAGGCAGCGGATATTTGCTGTTTATCCAATGGCCATTTGGAAATGGTTGTCTCATCTCCAGTCAAAGTAAAGGAAACAACTACCGATCGCTCGTTGTTCAACGCCAATTCGTATTTTCCTGGGTAGACAATACGGTTTCCAAGGGAGTCTGTGCGAGCCACATTATCAAGGGAGATAGGAATGGTCATTGACTGTGAAATTTGCGGTTCAAGCGATCCCAGACGGTCGAAGCCGACCAACCACTTGTTGGGATGGGGCTTCGGGCCCGCGGTCGTGTTGACAAAAGCCATAGCCGTATAATCGGAGACCACACTGCCGGTATTGGTGACGGTAGTAGTGAAGTTGAGGAATGGAAGTTGTTCCACCGTGTTATAGCCGACATGTGATCGAGACAAAAGATCAACGATATCAAAAGAAGATTCGCTGGTCTTGAATTGTGGAACGGAAGTTTTGAAGGTTGTATAGAACAGTCCATGTCCAAACTCGTAAACAGGCTTGCCTGTGTACCACATATAGGTTTGACCGGGGTTATCTCCACTGGGACGCAAGCTCATATCAACCGCTGAGAATTGCAGTGCATACTCGGCTGGATATTGGGTGGTTGTCAGTCGACCAGCCGGTGCGCGCTTGCCAGTGATAATATCCAAGAGAGCTTGTCCACCCGATTGGCCTGGATAACCTCCCCAGATAAGCGAGTTAACGTCCTTGTTTGTCTTCAAGGATGAGCTGTCAACTTGACCTCCGCCCATCTGCAACACAACCAACGGCTTGCCGACATTGCTCAACTGCTTGATTAATTCGAGCTGGTTTCCTGGCCAAGTGATATTCTCACGGTCCATCCCCTCCGCTTCAATTGTATCGTCAATACCACCGGCAAAGATAATCGCATCGGACTTCTTGGCTGCAGCAATCGCGGCTGAGAAATGTTCAGCTGAGTCCGAAGAAATGTTTGTGCCCATAGCATAGTTAACCGTCAGATCTGATGCTTCAAGTGCGGCGAGAGGGCTAATCAGATAAGGAGCATTTCCGTAGTAGTTGCCTTGAAGTTGAGTTGTAGCATTTCCCCATGGACCGATCAGAGCAACGCTGCTAATATCCGAAGACAATGGCAGAGTTCCATCATTCTTCAGGAGAACAATACCCTCAACGGCTGCCTCATAGGAGATGTTCCAGGCATTAGTGGTCGACACATCGGACCAGTCAAGGTCGCGATATTCACTGTTGTTGCCGTCAAAGTAGCCCAAGCGAGCAAGGTTCGAGTAAAGTCTGATGACACCACGCTCAATCTCACTTCGGGAGATCTCTCCTTGGAAAAATGATTCGTTGAGGTGATATTGATAAGAGGTGCCGCAATCAATATCAGTGCCTGCTCTAATAGAATCAGCAGCGGCTGATGTGATGTTGTCTGCATACCTAGATAATTCGGGACAGTCAGAGGATAGATGTTCACAGAAGTAGAGGCATATGGACACACCCATGAGGATTGAAGACGTTATAAACAGCGTCGCAATCGGATGAAACATATCCTTGGGGCACAAAATCCCAGGTATCCCGAAGAAGGGTCTGGAGGAAAAAGGAATTCGATGAACTCGGCACACCATTGACCGAGTTGTAAGAAGACATGACGCTGTGCACGCGGGCATCTCGAACAGCAGTCAGGAACTGCGGCATGAAATACTCAGCCAAGTCTTGCTGGGTAATGTTCAGGTCGTTACCCAGGCGAGAATGGTCGTGCCAGTTTTCGATGTCGTATCCGGCAAAGTGCTTCGCGGTGGCTACCAATTTGAGATGCTCCGGGTCTACACCTCCTTGCATACCGGTAATATATTCATATGCATACGTTCCGCACAGGCAGTATGCATCCTCGCCCGGTGTCTCCTGTCCACGGCCCCAAACTGGGTGTCGGAAAGCATTGATATTTGGCGCGTAAGCGTCGAGGCCATAGCGACCGACGTTGTTGAATGCGCGACCTTGAGTCGAGATAATACCTCCGATTTGGTTGATCAAGGTGCGGTTCAGGGCAGCCATAGACAGAATAGGCGACGGGAAGGACGTTGCCCAACTGTAGTCGCCGGAGTCGGTGAAATTGGCACGATCTAGTCCATGGAGAGCCTCACTCCATACTTGGTAGGGAGGAAGTCCAAGGCGTGGAATAGCGGGAATGGTATTTCCAGTGCTATTTACCAGCTCCTCGAACGTGAAGAGAGAAATCAGAGCCGCAGCACGATCATAGGCCGTGGCCGATGAGTCGCACACCAGGGTTTTGCTCAGTGGGCCATTTTCACAGTCGGGAAATCCAAGATCAATTGTTGCGAGTGTCTGAGTATCGAGATTGGGCTGAGGTTCTGTGGAATAGTCGACGTAGGTTGTATTGGCTTGCGCGAGAGCTAACGGCACCAAAGCTGCCAACACAGCCAATGATGCTACAACGGGCATTGTTATGTTTGACTTGCTGGTCAGGTGTGTTGAACCTAATTCCCTGATTCCATCTGACTATTTATACCCTGATGATGACCGGGTCCACGGGTGCACTTCGGCTATATTCCACGCCCGCGGGTTACTGTATAAACAACGTCCCCACACGTTGCCCAAGATGGTAATCCCCGCAGACGATCGTACGCGGAGAAGCCCAGTTTTCAAGAGTAATTGCAGGTCAATGCTATTTAGCCTGAAAGCCTCACTGATGGTCGGCTAAATATTTTCATTCGGAAGTGCAGCTCAACAAGGGATATAATGCCCCTCATTTCGGAAGCACTAGGGAAGTACCATTCAGATCTCATGTACCATTGATGAAAATATTTGAATATATTTCATGGTTACTTCAAAACAATTTACCTGCCCAATTGTAGACAAGAGCTCAAAGATAAACAATGTTCAGAATCTTCAGCAAAGAAAACAGCCCCGTTTCCACCCCCAGATCCTAGATTTCTAGCAATGGTCACAAGCAATTTTACCAAATGATAGGACTGAAAAGGCGATCAAACACGCATTATTTACATATTCTGAGGTTCTCCTCACAGGGCTCGCTAAGAACAGTAAGTTGTACTGTGCATGCTTCGAAAATCAGAAACGGCGCTTTCTTGCATCGAGCTTTTCTACTCCATCATGTCTTCCCATCCTTTCCAACCAGACCCTCAAGTCAAAAATCCCATCGCTCAGATCCCTCTGGTTTCCTGTAACTTTGAACGTATATCCGATCTCATCTGGGGGCTCCTTTCGGTTGGTATAGCGGATGTGACAAGAGACAGCTTGGTAGTTCTTTGTTTCATATGTCGCAAGCTTTTCCCCGTGGTCAGTCTTTTAACATGATACACTGCGCCTTTGACCACAGAGCCTGGGGCATGTAACAGTGCAGGATATTGCCCCCACAATTTGCACTCATAACCTGATATACTTGCTGGGTATAGCTCGGCATCAGCCTCCAGCCCCAAGATTTCACGAACCATGGACGGGTCAGTCAACGTTCCATAGAATATTGGGTCCAGTAGGTGTGTCGAGCAAGTTCATGTCCTGTAGGTTTGGTGATTGGAAGAAGTAGCTTGGGGAGGCAGTTCTGAGTTTTAACGTAACTGGAGGTTTTGGAGCCAAGGATTTCAGGAGGTGGAGGTGGTGCGGGCGGAGTGTTATTGATTGCCATGATCAGAGTTGGAGTTATTGAAGGAAATCAGAGCTACATGCACTTGAAGATTGGAGAGCTATAGACGGAAGTCATTTTCGTGGTGTTATGTAACCACTGCGGGGTTTTGAGCCTCTCAGGATCTACATCTCATTCTTTGACCATCTTTTGTAGCAATGAAACACTAATTCCCTTTAGTCTAGTATGGAATCTTGAAGACCCAAGCATATTGATCGGCTACAGCCAATTCCTGACTCACAAAGAGAACAACTGAGCCATTGCGAGCCTTATGACTTGGGACTACTGCACCATGCATGTTGCCCCCAACTACAGTTACTTGATCACCCTGCACCCAAGGAATCGGGCTTGACAAAGTGATAGTGCTGTTGGGTTTTGATAGTGCATGGATGTAGAACGCATCTTGCGAGATCGTGAATCGCACTTCGCCCTCTTCGGGCGTAACAAACCAATATGTAGTGTTGAAGATTGCCTCGTCATGCGTCTTGATCCATTTGCCAGCTTCGCGAAGATTCTTCTGCTCGATGTCTATGATGGTTCCATGGCCCGTGGGCCCAACGTCGAGCAGGAAATTTCCGTTCTTGCTGACAATGTCGATAAGGCTAGTAACAATGGTGCTAGCATTCATGTAGCTTGCCAATGGGGTGGCGCGGTTGTATCCGTAACTGTATGGATCCATTCCGAGGTTGCTCTCCCACTTTCGTCTTTGAACCGCGGAATAGGTTGCGTATTCTGGCGTGTCAAAGTCTCCTGGGAGTCCACATCGGGCGTTCATGGTAACCTGGCGATTCTCTCCCGCGGCCTTGTTGTACCACCCTGAAGCCCACTCCGCCGTACGATTAGGTCCTGTTCAATGGAATTTAGTCATGTCTGTAGATTAATAGAAGATTGTCTCTTACCTCCGATGTCACACCACATTATTTCCGTTCCCATCTCGGCCAGGGTATTCATTTCAGGTAGAATTTTATCAGTAATGTAATCGTTCACAGGAACCCAGCCGGTATATGGTAAGGTTTCGTTGGTGAATGGATTGGTAGCATTGCCTTGGGATTTTTCATCAGTATAGATCCGATGGCAAAGTCTACACCCAAAACTTACCTCCCGGCCAAGTAGAGAATCCATATTTCTTGTAGTCCGGATTGAACCACTCGGGCAGGCTATAGTATCTTTAAAGGAGTTAACGTGATGAAAGGTGATCAAAAAGTTGGCTTGCAACCACTTACGTTCCTCGACGTAGTTGAGGCTGATATTTCTTGGCTGCGTCAAACAATTCCTGATATGATGATTAGATTTCCTGATGATGATAAAATGATGAGAATTCGAACCTGTAACAAGTTACGATGGGGAGTCATCGCCACGGAAGTTCTCTTCGTCACATTCTCCGGAAGACCAAACAGAGCATATCCCTCATGATGCTTGCTGACTTGAACGAAGTAGTTGGCACCAGCATCAGCAAATAGGTCTACCCATTCCTTAGGATCCCATTTGCTGACAGTAAAGTTCTGGATGAAATCGTCGTACACAAAATTGGGTCCGTATTTCTTCAGATGGTAATCATATACGCCCACTGAGCCACTCGGACCTTCATTAAGCCACCACCAATACCTTGATTTTGCGTCAGCAACGGTCGGCCAAAATATAATATACAGTCTCAAGCGTACCATTCGGCGTAATCTTCTTTGGATCCCGAGTTCGCCCAGCTAGGAACCGAATATACTCCCCAGTGAATGAAAATCCCATACTTGGCATTGTCAAACCAGCTCGGAGATTCATGAGTGTACACAGATTCATATGAAGGGTCGTAAAGCTGACCAGGCAGACCAAGCCCGTATGTAGCGTTGAATGCATAGCTGGTGGACATCACGTTATGGCCCTCGATGACAATTGTTGCAGGACCAGAGATCCCGGCTTGAACTCCCTTGCAGTTGCGCACGCCGATTTCCACAATCAGTTGATCATTAGGTCCTAGTCGGTTTATAACACCAGCACTTACAGTCTCCAAGCCTGGTGACTCGACGCGTACACGAACGTTGTTGCTTCTCAACGCAATGGAAGACCCCACATTGTTAACCAGAACTTCCACGATTTGGATCTTGTCGGTACCTTCTAGCCACTTCTTGGTCGAACGAGCGTATTGAGTTTCCAAATGAATGGATTCAGTATTTTCACCCGACACTGGCAGCATTGACAAGGCAAAGATATGGAGCTTGGTGCTGATGGACGCACCTCCAGGACTCGTCGACGATCCGGCGGGACTATTAGGAAAAGTCAATGAGACAAGCTCTTTGGAAGAATCCAACCAAGTAGTGGTTTGGAAAATATTGGAGCGATTCCAGTTCGTGTTATTCTCCGTAAGATAGCAAGTAAAGATCAAGTCTCCTCCTTCAGGATAGGGCCAGCTCCACCAAGCTGGGACTAGCAACGAGCCACTCGACGTGCTACCGTCCGCATAGTTGGCAAGTACTGAACCTGAGGCCATACCAGACTCCGATGCAGCAAGCATCTGGTAACTGAAGTATTTGGACCTGGGGACAATTATTTCCTGTCCCGCAGTGAGGACATTGTCATAGCCTGTGGCATGATATTTGGCAAAATGATAGTTGAACCCGCCATAGGAGAAAGCCTCTGGCGGCATTTGTGCTGCTGGATAAGCATCTAATTTGTTTAATTTCAAATTTCAGATACTCCTGGGCATTCATAATACTTACTGGAATCACCATCGAAATCTGCATCATTTGGGTATAGACCAAAGGCCCGATTGTTGAATGGTAAATCGATAGGAATGGAGGGATTTAATCCAGATATTTGATGGAAATTATTTTGAGGCTTGAAAAGCACCGGTTGACCAAGAGTTGCATATGCAAGTGAGCAGAACCAGGTTAGTTTCATGATAGCGAGAAAGTTGACGCGGAATCATTCGTGAGATCGACTGTCTATATAATAGGCGAACATGTTATCGGCCACTACAATGTAGGAATACCTACTTGGTAAGTAACGGTACCATTTCCCCGCAGATACCAGCGTAGCGTGGAATTGTTTGTAACCTTGGCTATCAGATCGGATAAACACAAACTGATCGACATGCGGAGATGTCGGTCTTTTCGCCGAAGCTCTTCCGGTTGAAGGAGTCCAATGCAAGCATCTTAACGATAGAATCTTGGATAGTACATTCTATTTGGAAATGAAAAATGTGCATCGTGACGGTACTTGAATAGTCAGGCGAACATGATGACCACGACCATGATGGATGTAGCGTGTATTTATCCCTGATAGACGTGGTAGTGCGTGGAGATCCAAAGTGAAGGTGGAATCAAGAGATTATTTCTGAATTGATTCAACAATCAAAGTATCTCCTGAAACCTTGCCAATCGTTTTCGACTTCAACAGTTTTAAAGATAAACAAGCTTCAATCTTGTGTCAAGACTGATTGATCGTTTGATGTGGAATATTATTTTGTTCCTCACGTGATTGAATGACGGGAATGCAGGTCAGGTGACCTTCCACTCCACTTCCTCACGATCCGGACGGCGAAAGCGACGACTCAGTGCCTTCGCTCCAAGATTAACCGCAACCATGGCTGGCCCCAGCAAGTGTGAGTTCTGATAAGCTCTCCTATGCATATAATGACTGTCCCTAATCAATTGACTGCAGCCTTGATCCTTGACCCGGCCTTCCAGAAATACTACGGTACATGAAACCCACTCCCGCTTTCCCAACCCACGCTCCAGGAGGACCGGAAATTTAGCGACGTGCTCTATGCTTTGTGTAGAGAGATAATTTGCACTAGAGCTCTGGGCTCAAGCATTAGCCTATCTATCCACAAACCGAAGCTCCGAATGCACCTTTCACGAAGTTGGACTAACAGATCACGATAGAACTCAACGCCAACCGCTACAAGTACTTCCGCTGGACCCCGCGCCATGCTTGGCTGTCTTTTGTGTACATGGGCGTGATTCCGGGTGTTCTCACCTATATTGCCTATCAAACTGAGGTATGATTCGCCGCTGAAGTTGCCATTATGGAGGACCGCCGGGAATGGGCTGACAAAATGCACAGGGCAAGTTCGAACTCCGCGGCAAGCGGAAGGGAGACACAATCTCCGAATGGTGAAGAGATATGTGATTTGATTTGATGACGGTCGCCCTACATTGAGGCGATGACTTCCCTGTGACCGCGAGGTCAATTTTTGAGCAAAACTGCTATTATTTTTACTGTGCCTGCTTGACCAGGCCATGTACCCTATCGCAAGCATATACCGCATGGAATTCTTTTGTTTCTCATTCAGCCCTCGCTCTTCGTATCAAACCTTAGCTGTATAGCAGAGGAGTCATGGACAAATTGGACCTTGTACGAGTCTAGAACTATATTGACGGGCTACGAGCTTGGGTCCTGCTCGAATGTCATTACTGCGGTCTACATGATGATCTTGGTACAGCGACAAATAAATGATATCCGAGGTATATCCTTTACATACATTAATCATACAAATGCTGCAAGCCTGGGTATAAAGCTCCAGCTGACCAGTAATCCAAGATTTTACAAAACGAGGGTCTTAGAACCACATCGATTTTTTTTAATAAGGATTCCATCCTCGACGACCCCCCCGACCACCTCCTTCGGGGAGTCTCTCCCCTCGCCTCCAATCACCCATCGGAACGTTGGGAGGTCCGCCGCGATCTGCACGACCACCGCGACCCGGCCGACCAGATCCATTCTGCCCGAAAGCGCGCATGCCCATGGGAGGTGGACCGGGACCAGCACGAAGCGGAGGTGCGATAGACCCATCTTCGTGTGGCGGCAGGATTGCGCATTCAATGTAGTCTCCAACTATGAATCGCGCATCCTGCAAGGCTTTGTCAGCCTCTCCGCCTTGGAAGCGGAGCGCAGGGCGAGCCCGTCCTTCATTTTCATCACCCACATCTTCCTCTGACCGGTATGGGGTATCTCCTTGTCCAATAACCACACTTCCCAGTTCTTTTGTCACGTAGCGGCCTGCGCGCACATCGGGACCTGCGATTGCAGCGGCACGCGCATCAGGGTAAATCAAACGAAAGCAAAGTCGAGTTCCAATGGGCGAATCAGGAAGTAATGAGGGTAAGGCTGAGGTGAGAAGCTGTGAGAGCTCCCGAAGTGTGCATGACTGCCAGGTGTAGATCTCGAGGTGGGGAGGAAGTGGTGCAGCAGTTGGAGGGGAGGGCGCACGCAGAGCATTTGAACCACTGGCAGGACCCCCGCGCTGGCGAGGAGGAGAAGGGATTTTATAGTCTGAAAGGGGGTAAAAGTTGCTGACGCGATAAAACAGCTTGAGGTGGAAGGGAGTGGTTGTCTGGCGGTTGATTGAGGGCTGAGGGCCTTCTCGAGATGGTGCTGCCATGATAGCAGGGCGAGCTGTCGCTTGTAGAATGAGTCGAGAAGATTGATGTGAGATGAGATCGTGTAGGTTGTGGGGAAAGAGCTCGTTGGTGATTGGCAGGTGTTATGTGGTGATTAAAAGCTGGGAAGTTGGAGGAATCTAGAATGGAATAGAATAACTTTAGGGAGGGAAGACTGATTGCGGCTTAGAAGCTTAGGTCCACATTCACCATTCTTTCTCCCTTCACTCCATCCACCGAATACACATGTACGGTCGAACAATCATAACCGATCGATCGGAACTAAAGCCAGGCGAAATTTGAGCTTCATCCCCCACGATAACCGAGAAGCCTGTCTGGAGACTCCCCGCCACCATGGATTTTGCCGCGCTTATGTCCAAGGAGATCTCGAAGGCCAAAGGCGCCGACTCCTCCAAGTCCTCCGGTACACAAAAAGACAAAGCTTCCCCAGCGCCGCCCCCGAAAAAATACATGCGCCGGGGAGAGGTAGAGGCTGCCCGCTTAGCGGCATACGAGGAGGAGCAAGAACGTCTACAGAAGGAACGCGAGGAGAAGCAAGCCAAAAAGCGCAAATTCGAGGAGGAAGAGGCAGATCGACAACGCGAACGAGAAGAAAAGAAGGCCAGACTCGCGGAGGAATCAAAAAAGAGAAGAGAGGCAGAAGAAGAAGCCCAGGAACGTGAACGCCGACGAAGACTCGGACTGCCCGACTTACCCACCAAAAGCGACGGCGACGCTACCCCGGAGGGAGAAGAGGCCATTGATATGGGTGAAGATGAAGTCATTGAAAAGCTTCGCGAGCTTCATGAGCCTGCGCGGTTATTTGGAGAGAATCACCGGTCCCGACTCCGGCGTTACCACCGAATTGTCAAGCGAGCCGCAATGCTACAGAAATTGACTGATGGACCGATCCCCACGACCCTGGAGCCTGTGCCTGGTGGTGAAATGCTCATCCCCGCTAAGATTCCGAAGGGAGAGGCCGAGCGACTGTTCCTCTTCCGACAATTGGCATCTTACTTCAACATGATGCTCTCGGAGTGGGAGTTGGCTTTGGCAAAACGCGACGTGTCTGTTCGGGAGAGCCATCAGGGAAAGCAAGCGTATAATGCCATGGTTCAGTCTCGAGAAAATATGAAACCACTGTTTCGACGTTTTGAGAAAGGAGATTTGGAGGACGGACTGTTGGAGCCAATTGTGGAGATTGTGCACAAGGTGCAGCAACGAAAATACGTTGATGCAAATGATGCCTATCTGCGAGTGAGCATTGGAAAAGCGTATGTTGATTCTCCCTGTTGGTTGTGAATCTGAGGCTAACCGTTGACTTAGTGCATGGCCTATCGGTGTGACCATGGTTGGTATTCACGAGCGATCCGCTCGAGAGAAGCTACACCAGAGTGATCAACAAGCACACATTCTGAGCGATGAGATCACTCGAAAGTATCTACAGAGCATCAAGCGCTTCCTGAGTTTCGCACAGGTGCGCTGGCCTCCGGAGGACCAGCTACAGATCATGGGATAAGAAGAAAGTGGTAGTAGCAGTCATATATACCCGTTATTTGGTTTTGTAATGAGATTTACATTTGCAATCACAGCTTGAATTCTGGAATAGAAGTGATCCGCTTGCCCGGACTCTAGGTATGCAATTCCGAGGTCCTTGTTCAAGGGGTTTTATTATTCTGGCCCCTGCTAATGGAACAAGCTTGAGGCATATTTCAAGATATCCACTGTCACTGACGCAGAGCAAGCCTTAATGGCTGCCGTGAAGTATGGAATATCTTGCCCTTTATAGTGACAACTATAACCATCGATGCCAATGGTAACGGTGCCGTCACTGCTGTCCAGCAGGACCTCCCTAATAAGCATCGACTCGTCGACGTGACCCAGAACTACCGTACTGCTAATATCTTGGTTGAGCATCAGATGAGGCATGTCGACGTATCCTAGTGATGAACCGCCCATTGTCAGATTAAATATGACATGTCCCTGTCTTTGTTAGCCCAGACATTGTAAGCAGCTAAGGGGTACTCACCATTTCCACCGTGAATGATGTTGGATTGCGGAGGGAAACGGTTGCATTGAAGTTATATCCATCTACTTCAGGGCTCAGGAGATCCACGTTGGTGATATTGAAGGCACCGTCGTTATTCAAAAATTCTGCGGGAGTCAGAAGAAGTCCATAAAGACTGGATATTCACCTTACCGGTGATATTGAAACCTACACCAGAAAAGACTCATAAGTATCCAGTCAAAAGTGTTTTCGCAATTTAACCTACCGTTCATCATTATAGTCTTGTCGATATTTAAATGCGCTGTAGGCAGCGCACCCAGTCTCAAGTTGGGATGGCCTTTGACCACCAAGGAGACATTGTTATTCGAGGCTAATGCGACTGCTATATCTGAGAGACACTCAACGCAGGATAACTCGAGATCTTGATCGATTTCAAGATCGGCACCATTTCTGAATTTGACTTCCGGTATTGGTAAGACCGCAAACTCCTGGCCATCGGACGTACTGAGTGTTGCATTAAATGCCGACAGGTGACCACTTCCACTCAATCCACCACTCATAATCTTCTGAGATTGACTTATATGGAAGGCAGTAGGCCGGGGATTGGTGATGGTCACAGTGTCATCGAACTGGGCACCATTGATATACTTGTCGGCAAAATGTGGGATTCCCACATAGATAATAGGCAAGAAAATGATCAAGAAGATGCAAATGAATAGAATTGAATACAAGCACCACCACTGCTTCATATGTCTCGTGAAGCGCTGCCATATTGTGGCCTTGAAGATGTAACTGTTTTCAGATTTCGACATGGTGGAGTGGGAGAGAAGAATATGTGAACATGATCGGTGATATTATCCAATCTATTTATCTTACTCCTACAGGTAGCACAAGACAAATTCCAAATTTCACTTCGAACATTGGCCGCTCAGCTAAGCCGCGGCAAGGGTTCGGCCTCAAATGTTGATCATTGACGGAATTGGAAAGAAAAGGATCTTTGGAGCAGTCACAGGCTGCGAATGCAAATGCATCGGATAAGCTATCTGGAAGCCCCTTTGCAACTTTCTTCACCCCACCATGCTCGGAATACTTGGCATATTGTCAGTATGTTGCTTGTTTGGTCCTCTCTATTTTATCTACAAGCCTCCCCAATCTCTCATCCGATACTTTCAAACTCGATGGCCCGATGTTTTGTTCCACCATCCAGTGACTGAGAAGATTGTCGCGCTGACTATTGATGACGCGCCATCAGCACATACAGAGGAAATTCTCAATGTACTCAAGGTCAATGATGCGACCGCCACGTTTTTTGTGATCGGATCTCAAGTGCCAGGGCATGAACATGTGCTTGCCGAGCTCGTCTGTGCACGGAATGAGCTGGCCAATCATGCGATGCACGACGAGCCCTCCCGCGCGTTAGGCAACGGGGAGCTGACGAAGCAGATTATGGCTGTCCAGAAAATGATACAAGAAGCTTATATGGCAGCCGGTCAAGACCATGGCCCCGACGCGTGGTACTTTCGGCCTGGCTCTGGGTTCTTCAGCTCAAGGATGCGGCGCTTGGTAACGGGGTTGGGCTATAGGCTCATCTTGGGAGACACATATCCTCATGACCCGCAAGTTCCCTATTACAACTTAAATGCCAATCATATCCTAAGCATGGTTAGGCCAGGGAGTATCATTATCTGCCATGACCGCAGAGAGTGGACTGTGCCAATGCTCCGGGTAGTTTTGCAGAAACTGAAACAAAGAGGATATCGTGTTGTGACAGTATCGGAATTACTGCGAGAGCCTCTGCAAGTCTTATAATACCCATCTACGGGCTTCCATGGCGCTCTGTTCATTCAATTCTTCTTGTGGAACCTTGCGGTAGTCCCAAAATTCATATCGTCGGGGACTACAACCATTGATGGAAGTGACGATGGTTCAGTCCTATTGTTCCATTCACCTGTGCGCGATGGTCCCGAGAACCATTGTCTGGTTCTCGTTCTTTAATGAGCCCTGCTGAACCCAATCAGAAACATACCCATGGCTCTGTAACATGGGCTACGAAATAGCGTCTAGTGTATCTACCTCTCCACAAATGGGGAGCATAGATCGGAGATCCCCATCTGAATCACTTCTTCACCGTGGTCATGCAAGACACAACTGTGATGTCTATCCTTTTCTCAGGCCCACTTGGCGTGTGGGCTATTATCCTTTCTGTTGACTGGAGGCCCGCACTTCTTGGCCCCCTTGGGACAACCCAGCACCACGTCCTTCCTGACCTGGAATGGTATCGGATGCTTTCCATTTGAACGTCGCATGAATATGCCCCTCAGTTGTACTTGGAGAATTGACAACAGCCACCTTTTGCAAACAGGATAACATGCCGGTTTCCCTCAACTGTAAGTCCAGGATGTAATATTCCTGTGTCTTGTATCAATATCAGGCTATCAGTTGTGACCCGTGGATCTCATCAAAATGGAATATTTAATTGTGTTTGCTGAGCCGTGTACGATTGTGTAAATTATGGTGTGCCCATAGGTCTAAATGCTATACATACAGCCATACATATATGTAGGATGTTTACATCACATCCTCTAAGATTATCGTATCAAATCCTTCCACATACGTGACATTGTCTTCCACCAGCTTTTAGAGGGTATCACGCCGGCAGTTGATACCTTGCTCAGGGTATCGTCTCGGGTCACCGAGGACATATCGGTAGGAAAGATGTCATGACCGTCCATACCATTCATAACAGGGAGAGATGAGGAGGGCCGGGTCGACGCTGCACTGCTGCAGGTGCTGCGTATCTCTCGTTCGCCATCTCGTTCGCCGATGAGGCGTCCCGCCGTATAGACACAGCCACCGTACGCAAAGCGCACTAGCGAATCGCCGGTCAAGCTGCCAATTATATGCACTCCCGGGGCAACCTCCAAGTCTTCGATTGCTTTCGCACGAAGAGTCTGCGCTGAGACAGTGGTGTTGTCCGAATCATTGTGTCCAAGGACTGCCGAGCGGAGCTCGTCGTCTAGGTACGCTAAAGTACCGCGCCGTCCAGCGGCATAGACGAGACCTCGGACAGATCGTGTAAATGTGGATCCATCTGTTCGACGAAATGTGACTTGCGCTAGTCCATCTTCTACCTCAACAGCGGTGATCTCGACATTGCAAATCCCCTCATAAACATCGTCCCAACTGCGACTTCCTAGGAATACAGTCGAGGTGCCGCGGCGATATTTGGGTCGCTGGTTTGTGGCGCCGGCCAGGGCGGCTTTCTTCATCAGTCGATAAATGCCGGCATATTCCGGGTACGCATGTTGATGACAGCCACGGAGAGGCGATGGACGATCCTCGGGAGCCCATTTGAAGACATGGATAATTTTTTGGTCAGGTGCAGCGGAGATGATCGCATCGGCAGCGGAGAAGCCCGAGCCGATGACAAGGAGGGGAACAGGAGGAGTAATTTGAGTTTGGAGTAAAGGCTGAAGGGCAGAGTCTGGCGGAAGGATCTCGGTGAATATGCCACTCGCAAGCACCAATTGCTTGCAGTGGAGGTTATGTGATTTGATGTAGAAGCCATTGGCGGTGCGGGAGATGCCACTCAGCTCCTCGCCACATCGGAAGGCTTCGTCGATGTTTACCGCTGCTGGGTATAGACGGAAATATTCAGCAATCTCGTGCCTCGTAGGTCGTGTAAAAGGCGCCAAATCCTGCCCCGTTTGCTGTTTGTGGTGTTCCGCAAAAGAGTACCCGGGTAGCGACAGCATAGCGGCATAACTCAGGGTTTGGATATCCCAGCTTGCCCCATGAGGATGTTCGGTCCATTGGCCACCGGGATCGGAGGACTTTCCAAAGATGACATGTGAGACGGCCTTTTCAGGCATGTATCGCCATTCGACATTGGAAGTGTTGCCCGACTCTTCAATGTCGAGACTGGGTCGGACCAGAGTATCCAAGAGAACGTTCACAGGCAAGGCCTGGGTAGAATAGGATAGGCGCGAAGCGGCGAAATGCGCCGTTAAAACATCGACATTCACATTCAAGAGGTTGGGGGCAATTTTTAACTTGGCGTCCAGTAAAGGATCCGGATGCGGGGGATCGGATGAGTAGAATGGGATATAACCGTGAAGAATATACGAGAGGATCATGGCCGATGGCCCGTTGCCTTACTCAATTAGCAATTGAAATCATAATAGACTCAGTGTGCATACCAACGATGACCGTATCAGTGTCCATTGTAGTAAGCCCACGCGGGGCATTCTGGGGTAAAAAAGCGGAATCCTCATCTGATGCGAGCATGAGGTCTTATCAGGCGAACCAGAAACAACAAACTGGGAATGCGGCGCATCGTGCGGAGAAAGGAAAAGTTTAAAATTTCCAGTTTCTCATCTTTTTCTCTGGATGATTCCACGGATATAACAAGGAAATATGTAATCAAGCTGACAAAAGCCAAAGCCGAGTGGGGAAAAAATGGAACTAAAAGCGGAAATGTAATGGAAGTGTTCCCCGAGGGTAAAGATATCGAGTCATTATATTTAAAAAACAGATGTATTTGCATCTCTAACTGAACTTGCATTGATTTTTGTTATTCCTATTCCTTCAATCCTTTTGAATTTTTTTATCATTTAAATGATGCATTGAACTCCCTCTCAGCCCTAAACCCTATATGCCGGATCCGGATGAGGGGGGAGCGGGATGAGAGCAGTTGGAGATCAGAGAGAAAGCCTCGTCATCCCTCCATGATATGCTTAATTGCTCGGTGTCGATTCACTGTTGATCGCGCTAGCTTGATAAAGCTCCGCGATCATGTATCACCTGGCTAAATCGGTATATCTCTACGCGACTAGCAAGGAAGGTACGGAGATTATCCCGGGGACTTTCCCAAATCCTTCCCCCCAAGATGCCCGCAATAGCTCGCTGACCATCGGGATATTATACAGAGTACTCCGTCCTATTACTTGGTCTGGACAATGCCGGGAAAACGACCCTCTTGACACAAATCAAAGCTCTCTACCAACCCCGAGCAGATGGCGCCCCCGCGCCCAATCCCGGGAAGACCGTCCCTACCGTCGGCCAGAATGTCACCACTATCTCATTACCGGACATAAACCTCAAGATATGGGACGTTGGTGGTCAGATCTCCATGCGTGGTCTTTGGCAGAGCTACTATACCAGCTGCCACGCGATCATCTTCGTGGTCGACAGCACCGACGTGGGCCAAGACTCCGATATCACACGACTCCCTTCCGCTGCCGGACGACGCCCCAGCTCCGTGTCAGGTCCAACTCGCGGCAACACAAGCAACAGCGACTTGTTCTCAGAGCAGAATGTTGGCACCAACGCCGGAGGAAGTGAATTCGGACGTCTGGACGAGTGTCGGCAGGTGCTCGAGTCCGTCCTCCAGAGCGCCGACGTGGCTGGGGTCCCGATCCTGGTGCTGGCCAATAAACAGGATCGCGAGGATTGCGTCGAGGTGGTCAGGATAAAGGAAGGATTCGTGCGCAAGGTTTTTGAAAGCGACACGGGTACAGGAGTTCGAGATAGTCGCGTGCTGCCGGTCAGTGCGTTAATGGGGTCTGGGGTGCAGGCGGCAGTGGAGTGGGTACAAAGCCGTGTTAAGTGGAATAAAGAGGGACGACCACCAGTGATGCGTTGATTGCAGACTAGGAGTCGAACATACATTGATTTGCATGGCGTTTCTTTTTGTGAATGGTAATACGGGCGAGATCAATTATTTTCAATGGATCGGGCTATAGCCCATTTGTATAATCGGGTGTGATGTATATAGGGTTATCTTTGGATTCGCTCTAGGAAGCGTGTTAATATCAACAAGAAGCATATAGAACAATGTCCTCAATTCTCGATTCCTCATGGATAACAAGACAAATAAATTTGTTGCATCGTCAAGGTCAGTCCCAGGTCATCAAGCGACAAGGACATCATCACAGGTCAGCCGAATCCTGCAAGAAATGTTTGTGAAATCAAGAAAGCTCGGAAAATCTCTGTACTTTCTTTACCTTGATCTACATCACCACTTAATTTGATGTCACTCTGCGTTGGACGATCCCTACCAACCCACAACTCGATGCATCGAGCATTGTGCCCTCCCATTGAGCGCACATACCTTGAAAGTCACTCGCAATCGATTGGCCCTGCATCTATGAGGTCAACTTCAAGAACCTTGACGCTAAGCTTTGCCTGTGGTGTGAACTGAACAGTAATAAAGCCATAGCAAGTTCGACATCCGCATAGCAGTAGATTCAATTACGATTTACGAAACTTTTGAAACCTGAGCACATAAAACACAACCACAAATATTCAATTGAGACAGATTGAGTCTTTATTACCATTATTTAATGATGCAAGTATAGATAGTTATGTACAAGTCGTCTCACGTGTCGATAGGAAATGGAATGAAGGAAGCTCGATCAAGCTATTATCCATGTCGTCGAGTAATCGCTGACGGGCGGGACTTTCCCTCTGGTTGCTTCCTTGGCCAACTTCTGGCAATGTCGATGTTGGCCCTAGGAAACCACATCTCAAGGAATACATAAATGAGAAAGTCGATAACGACGCACAGACAAAATAACTTGCCAGCCCAGACACCGCAGCCGTAGTATCGTTTGAGCCGATCAATGAGGGCAAAGCTGCGTACTCGGTCTCCGCTGGCTTCCCATCCTTGGCCTGGGTAGTAGCCATAGAATTCCTCAGGGCTGATATCGCCTGTAATGCCTTCGTAAACTCGCTCTGTACGTTCGGCAACATCCCGCCATGAATACATCATCTTCACTTGGTCGTGGAATCGGTCAGTCCGTACTTTATTCGAACGTAGCGCAGCGATTGCCTTGCTAGTTGCAACGACCAGATCATCCTCCTCGGGTTTCGCAAACGTGGTCATATGCTGGGGAAGAACCTCGGGGATACCTCCCACTCGGGTGCAAACCACATACAACCCACAGCTGGCGGCTTCGACGATGACCGTTCCGAATGCCTCCGTCAAACTGGGGTGTAGGTAAATGTGTCCTCGAACCATTACATCCCGGACCTCCTCGTGCCGCACTGAGCCAAGCATCTCGACCTTGTCTTGAAGAACATTCCGCTCCAGCATTTGTTCGAGGTCGATAGCCTTCGGCCCTGAGCCAGCAATAATGAAACGCGTGTTGGGATTTAGAGCAAGAATTCGTGGAATCGCTGCAATCAAAAGGTCTGTGCCCTTGTTGTAAAAAAGGCGAGAGATGACGACGATCGTGATGGTGTCATCAGGCCCGATTGGCGTTGGCGACGGCCGTGGATCCGCTGGAGACAATGGCATTTGATCCGGTCCACGAGGGGTAGCTGAGAGCGGACAGAAGTTCTCTGCAACGACGGCATTAGGGATGACTGACACCATTAGAGGATCTAATGAGGCTCGGAGGACGGTGTTCTCCTTGCTAAGATGAGTTAGCCTTGGACCACCTGAACGCAGCCACCCTTATGATAACATACCACGTATGACTGACGCAGATCGCATGATCGACATCACTTAATGTAAACTTGAGAAGCTTGTTGGTGAGAATGGAGGCCGCGTCGGCGAATCCAAAGAGGGAGTGATCGGTGAAGACGGTTCGCAACCCCATTGTGCGGGCGTGGAGGATAGCTTCGCCGCAGAAGCTGCTGAGACTTGCATGACCATGAACAATCTCGATTTGTTCTCGAATGACAATGTTGCGGAATATGGGAAAGAACGAGAAGACGGTGGGGAAGGTGGTTTCGCGGTAGATGACGAAGAAGGGAACGTGGTAGATCTTAAGGCCATTGGTGAGGTATCGAACCCCAGTGCGGCCTTTGTATGCATGAGTGATGATAATGACTTTGTGTCCACGATCAATCAGTTTCTAGCAGAATGTTAGACTATGAACAGCCGTAGTGGATCTTGTTTGCAAGGCTTACAGAAGATAATTGATAGATGTGACTCTCAATCCCCCCTGGTGCCAATTAGCATCCCAAACACGACACGAGCTGCATTTCAATATTTGGAACATACCTGATTGTGGGAAGAAGAAGTCACTGACCATACTGCCATTGAAAAATCCATATTAGCTCTTGTATACTTCTGTCTCTCCTGAGATGGATCAAAGGGACTCACGCAATGTTATATGGCATGATGGCGGTAGTTCTCGGGCAAATCGTTCCGAGAGAATAAGATGATTGTAATCAATGTCTTTTCCATGGCGAACAAGTCATTCCGCTTTCCAGAACAGCAGTCCAAATCATTTCCCGGCTCTCTTTCATTTGTACTTGTTAGTAGAAGCCGCCCGCACTCCGCATGGTCACCGGCGGTGAAACTGGGGCGGTGACAATATGATCGTTTCTGCCGGCACAAAAAACATCAACGAAATTGGAATTTGCTCCGCACCAAAGCTTCTTAAGAATGCAAGCTCAAAAAGAATGACCGGATCTCAAGCGCCCGAGTCGTCCACCAAGATGACCACAACCCCCAACTCGACCAAGCCTTCTAAACGGAAGCGCGACTTGGATGTACCACAGGCGCAAATCTCAACCCCAACAAAGAAGCACAAGAAGCGCAACAGTCTCTCTGCCCCAGCCAACGACGATGGCACCGCCAAGAAACGCAAGCGGGTCAAGGATGCACTTCAAGGTGAAGATACCTCGAAATCGATCCAGAAACAAAGTGTTGTCTCGCAAGACAGCAGCCAAAAGGATACTGCAAACCCGGACCGCGTTAGTGCTAAGGAAGCAAAGAAGTCAGAAGAGAGCAAGCGAAAGAACCCTAAGAAACGTGACGCAACACCTCAAGAGTCTCCAGCTGTGAGTGTGAAGCCTATATATCCCCAAGAGATGGAAGTCTCGGACAATGAAGACGATGGAAAAGCCTCGAAAGCCAAGCACGCAGGAATTTATTCCAAGTTTGAACGAACAAAAGCTGCAGCCAGCAGATTGGCGAAGAAACAAAAACCCGAGGAAATTCAAACGACCGAGAAAGTCATTGAGCCAGTCATTGCACAAGGCCTGGAACCGTTGCCCCAGCCCGAAAACCCGCCTGAGCTTGAAATAGCTCCGACCTACTCTTCTTTACCCGCCTGGCTAGCGGACCCCGTACGGGCATCAGCAAAAGAGCGATCCAAATTTGCTGAACTGGGCATCAAGCCTGAGTTATTGCGCATCCTCGACGAGCACGATTACAAGGAAGCATTTGCTGTTCAGTCTACGGTGATTCCTCTCCTCCTGAATGGAAGCAAGAATCATCCCGGTGACCTGTGTATCTCGGCAGCTACTGGATCCGGGAAAACCCTGTCTTACGTGATTCCACTTGTCACCTCCTTGACACCCAGACCTGCATCACGATTGAGAGGACTCATTGTGGTTCCTACGAGAGAACTAGTGAAACAGGCTCGGGAAGCCTGCGAGCTTTGTGCCTCTGGATCGCGCCTTCACATCGGAAGCGCGGTTGGAAATGTAGCCATCAAAGAGGAACAAAAGCTCCTTATGAGGGTAGACCAGGTCCACAATCCTGCAACTGTTGCGCAGCGCCAGAAAATTGGCCTGCAAGGAAATGAGTGGATGGACTTCAACCTAGAGGACTGCGTGACCGAGGCAGTTGACTCGACCGGATTTCTTCCGGGCTACATCCAACGGCCAGAGCCCAATGTCGATATCCTTATCTGCACGCCTGGTCGTCTGGTGGACCACATCCGCTACACCAAAGGCTTTACCCTCAAGCATCTGGAATGGCTCGTAATTGACGAAGCTGATCGATTACTGAACGAGAGCTTCCAGGAATGGGTGGAGGTGGTCATGGCGTCACTGGATGCACGCCAAGCACCCGAAACCTTTGGGCCTGGTGGCAAGCTTTTGTCAGACCTCGGCCTTCCAATTGAAACCAAGCCCCCTAGGAAGGTTGTGCTGAGTGCCACTATGACCCGTGATATTTCCAAGCTCAACTCTTTGCGGTTGGCCAACCCGAAAATGGTTATCATTGGTGCCGAGAACACCATGGATCCCGAGGATCCGTCTGCCGCTAACGCCGATGCCCATTTCACCTTACCTCCCACCCTACATGAGCGCATGGTTGCTGTTGGCGACGAATCTGAGAAACCATTGTACCTTCTTCGCCTGCTTCTTTCGCATATCAACATTGCTGTCGATGCCAATGGCTCCGTTGACACATCCGACGACAGCTCTAGCTCTGATGACACCAGCTCCGATGAGTCGGATGACGATACCTCGTCCTCTGGCTCAGACTCGGACACAGACTCGGACTCGGACACAGACACAGACTCGGACTCGGACTCGGACTCCGATTCCGATTCCGATTCAAGCTCTGATTCATCGAGTGACTCTGAAGATTCGGTTTCCGATTCTGTCGACCTTGTGCCTGAAGCCAAAATTTCACCTACTACCGTTTTGATCTTCACCAAATCCTCTGAGTCTGCATCGCGACTTTCTCGACTCATCTCCCTTTTCCACCCTCCGCTTGCCAATCGCATGGGGACAATCATCAAGTCTAGCAACTCTGCCGCATCCCGCAAGACTCTGACAGCTTTCCGACAAGGGCGGATTTCCGTTATTGTGGCCACAGATCGAGCCTCCCGTGGATTGGATCTGCCCTCATTGACGCATGTTGTCAACTACGATGTCCCTACTAGTGTCACCACTTACGTGCATCGTGTTGGACGAACCGCTCGTGCTGGCCGAGAGGGTTTCGCATGGACCCTGGTCGCTCACCGCGAGGGGCGTTGGTTTGCAAACGAAATCGCTGCCAGCACTGACGGTCGCATTACACGTAAGACTACGATTGACCGAATCCAGGTCAAGCTGGATACTCTGAAATCGCTTCAAACCAAGTATGCGTTAGCACTGGACGCGCTGGAGAAGGAAGTTAAGGTGGGCAAGGGACCTAAGTCCCGAGCAACAACTAAGGCCTGAGTCCCCCATGGATTTTCTACATGATTCTCTGTATGCATAGCGTTGATATCTTACTGTAAAAATACAATGATTTGAGCCACAAGTGCAGCTCGAGGTATTGATGCACATATATGTATATATTCCAACGACGTCAACAGCGCAACCCTTGCTTGACATGAGTGCGGATCCTCCAAAAGCTACCCAAACAGGATCAAATTCCTTCTCTTAAATATCCGGGGTGCTGTTGCCCCAGTTGCTGTGGAGAAGTGGAGACTTCCAATGTTCTCCGGGGAAGAGAATCTGGGGCTTTGACATGGATCGGAATAAGTCCGACCAGAACAACAGCCACCAAGTTCAAATACTGATCGCTGTGACTCCTGAAGCTTTCCTGTCATTTACTGACAGAACCTGTGGTATTTCAGGATATCTGGATATGGAGAAACAAGTCACCCATGAAGGGGACTATATCCCTGACCAGTCGGTCTTCCGACGTATGTACAGATTCACCAGACTACTTCATCGACTTATCCTAAATCAATTCAAGCGGAATCTCCTTATGCACGTTACATCCCGGGTGGATTCTCTCCATCTAGATGTATGAGCCTTCAAGGAAAGGCCATGACTTATGCCATTTTTCTCTTCTCAGGGTGTGCCATTCACTTTTTCGGATACGACACGGCTGTGATGAGCCAAGTCAACGACAATGAAAATTACATTGAAATGATGAGTATTTCTGGAGGTAGTGGTCGGGATGCTGCGGCCATAGGTGGTCTGGTGTCTCTTTGGTTTGGAGGATTTGCTCTTGGTACTATATTCACCACCATAGGACTTCACGAATTTTGCTTACAGATTCCAGGCGCCTTGATTGTCGGAAATATCGCCGACTCCATTGGTCGACTGAAGACCATCCAGCTAGGCTGTCTATGGGGAATATTCGGCGCTGCATTACTGGCGTCAGCACAAAACATCACTTGGTTTGCCTTTGCAAGGGTAATCAGTGGGGTTGGATGCGGTCATCTCAATACCATAGTACCCGTGTGGACATCAGAGCTGGCTGATCCTCATTTGCGAGGTGCATTCGTCGCTGTTCAATTCACGCTGGCCATGGTTGGATCCACGGTAGCTTACTGGATGGAGTTCGGCTGTACAAAAACGCAGTCTTTCTCATTCTCCTGGCGCTTCCCTCTTGGTTGTCAAATAATTTTCCTCATCTTGATTCTCCTGGCTGCACCGTTCTATCCCGAATCACCTCGACATTTGGCCAAGACTGGTGATTTAGCAGGGGCTCGCTCTGTTCTACAAAAATGTCGGGTTGAAGCGGACGAGCAAAAAATCGAAACGGAGATACAAGAGATTATCGTCGCCATTTGTGCAGAAGCAAAATCCACTTCTAATAGCTTCTACAGCATGCTCTTCATGAGAGACAAACTACACACTCGCCGGCGCGTGATAATAGGGTGTGGGGTACAGGTGATGCAAAAATTGACAGGAATTGATTTCATCGCAGTCTATGCACCTGACATGTTCTCATTGTCTGGATTAAAAGGTGACAAGCCCGCTTTGCTAGCAGGAGGGAACTGGTTTGGATACATTGTGAGCCTGGCGCTATCGATTTATCTGTGCGACCGAGTTGGCCGACGTTGGCTAATGTTGACCGGCTGTCTATTGATGGGCATCGTACTTGCTGTTGGTGGTGTGCTTTCATACGAGACCATATCCCAAACCGCCAGTGATCCAGTCTTGGCCAACAAGTTCGGTTCATGCGTTGTAGCCATTCTGTATATTTACACTTTCATATACGGCAGCACCTGGCTGACAACTTGGTAAGAGAGCTCCAAAACACCCTGCTTATTCGAGTGTTGCTGATTTCACCAAGCTGGGTTTATCCCACAGAGGTGTTCCCGCTGGCAAGTCGAAGCAAAGGCGCTGCATTGGCAACATTCGCATTCTCTATCGCAGGTGGGACGATTAACATCATTATTCCATACCTCATCAATGCGATCGGCTTTTGGGTCTTTATTCTCTTTGGATTGATCAATCTTGCCCTACTAGTGCCTATCTATCTTTTCTATGTTGGTGAGTTTTATGATAACTTCGATGCACTCTACACTCCAAAAACCAGGCTAATTTTCTTCAGAAACTGCCAATCGCCATCTTGAACAACTGAATATTCTGCTCTCCAGTGACAGCTGCCTGGCGTGGAGAGCAGAGAAAGACTTTATTAAGAAAATGAATGAGCAAGACGATATCCTAGGTGACGTCCAGGAGAAGAATTCTGTCGAGCAAGTAGCATAACGGCTTGATATTGATAAGATAGGTTTTCTACATCATCTTGCGCATATTTGTATCTATCATCACAACAGGGAAAGCCTCAGCACGAGTCTTGATCTTCCAGTATCCATCTACATGTAAGTAATATTAGATCATATTCTTCCAAGGTTGTTCAGGATGTAGTTGTCTGACTTTCGTGGGAAAGTGACAACACAGATAGTCCGTAATGATTGTAATTGACCATTCATCAGTCCCTACTAGCCTTGGAGTACTTGGATAACGTAGCGAGAATATTGAATTCGCTAGAGTTGGCGTAGACACTGGATGAGCGGGAGGCATCCTATACCAATGTGTATTCACCTACCCTATCTTCTATTCAGTCTACCCTCCAGTATTCTACCATATCTCCTACCGCACTCTTTTTTAGCTAATGAAGTACAAAAAATGGAGGAGAAGTGGAAGGAGAAAAGGAAGAAGAAGGGAAGGAAAGATAAAAGGCGTGTGGGCGTTTCGAACAGTTTTGTAAAATTCTGCAGTATGATCAATTAAAAGAGGGGTAAACAGTAGCTTGTGGGGAAAGATTGTGTTTGGTAATAATATTGACACTTTGATCTAAGTCTTAGTCGCTTGCCGACTTAATACCAGCGTACATGGGAGCCATGTCCTTTCTTTCACAGAGGATCAATCCTCACCATGATTGCAGGTTGGCGAGGATAGCCGCCTTATTGTGAGGTGCGGCCCAAAGATGAAAGTGAAAATTTGTCGAGCCGATCTAGTCGCAGTAAGCAGGTGAGATGCGAAAGTAGGTCAAAGGTTAAGTGACCTAATAAAGCACTCGAGTCCGGATGGAGATACAGAGTGCGGGAATAACGCACGGCAAGGGCGTAAATTATTTCAATTCCAGACTATCTCAAAATACATTCGTCATGATAAGGGGACCCAGTGGCACTTTCTAGGCTCACTCGGGCCGTGTTACATGCAGCAGAATATGAGAGAAGCCTATCATTAAAGGTTCTTTCCTGGACTCATGCATGATCCCCACCACCCTATCACGAGAATATGGTTTAATCCCTGATCAGTGTCTTGGTCTGCAGGTAAGGTTACAACAAAGACGCGGCCCCTCCTTTTGGAAACCTTTAAACACAGCATGGCCGAACATACATACCCCTCTTTTATGAGTATCTCAATTTCTGATTTCCACCAAATCTGGCAGCTATCATGTTTTCAATGCTTTGGACGAGTGTATTAGTGGCCCTTGCGGGTTTTTATGTCTTCATCCGCCTACGTGGTCGTGCAAGGCAAGATCTGGCTCTCCCTCCGGGGCCGCGTCGAACAACCATCATTGGCAATCTAAGGGATCTACCAGGCGCAGATGAACAGGACTGGCAGCACTGGCTAAAACATAAGGAGCTTTATGGTACGAAGAAGAGGATTGTATGGTTTCTTGTTACTAACTCTGTTCTCAACAGGCCCTATTAGCTCACTTACTGTGCTAGGTAAACACATAATCATCCTAAATGATGCCCAGTTGGCAGTTCAGCTTTTAGAAAAGCGATCTGCTATTCATTCTTCGCGGTTGCAACAACATTTCACGGAAATGTATGAAAAGAATACCGTGCAATGAGAATTTTGGCTTACCATACTGCTAGGTCGGGCTGGCAATATGTTCTTGGGGCCCTCAGGAATCCAGAGCATGTCAGAGCTACACGCAAGTACTTATATCAAGAGATTGGTTCGAAAAATTCTGTTGCTTGCTTCAACGACGTTCAGGTAACGGAAGTCAGTCGTTTCCTGCTAAGGGTGTTGAATGACCCAGAAAATCTCCAACATCATATCCGAAAGTAAGTTCATATAACTGTATGAGACCGGAGTCTCGCCTATTTCTTGTAATGGCTAATAAGAGAATTTCAAACATTAGAGAAGCCGGAGGCATAGTGCTGAAAATTGGATATGGTTACACCATCAATCCCCATTCTCGAGACCCACTGGTTGATCTGGCTGATAAGGCGATGGAGGATTTCTCCTTTGCCTTGATCTTAACAGCATGGGCCGTGAATTTTGTTCCAATATGTAAGTGTGATTGATTAATCCTGTGATAATGTTGGTATCTCATAATCTTGAATCTCTAACTGCTCAACTACATGTAGTGAGATATATACCTGCTTGGTTCCCCGGCGCAGGCTTTGTAAATGTCAGCCGCGCCTATAAAATGAGAGCAGAGGCATTCAGCAAGGTCCCATATGAATTTGTGATGAAACAAATGAGTAATGACAGCTTCAAGCCATCGTTTCTGTCCAGTCTCATTCAGAGAAACCCCGCCCTCAGACCGGGATCCGATGAAGAGAGGATAATCAAATGGAGTGCGGGCAGCTTATACGCTGGAGGTGCTGATACAGTGGGTGAAGAATTGATGCTGTTCTATAAACTTTTGAGACTAACCATTTGAGCCTAGACGGTATCCTCAATTTCTAGTTTTTTCCTTGCGATGGCCTGCTACCCCGAAGTACAATACAAGGCCCAGCGAGAGCTGGACGCAGTGGTTGGGGTTAATCAACTCGCGCAATTTGAGCATCGAGAGGACCTTCCGTATGTCAATGCATTGGTGAAAGAAGTCCTACGGTGGCATCCAGTCGTACCTACAAATGTCCCACATATATCGACCCAAAATGATACTTGTAAAGGATATTTCATTCCAAAAGGATCATCGATTGTGGCCAATATCTGGTAAAGTCTTGAAATCCTGAGCGGAGTTGTTGTTCTTTATTGACCTCTTGAAACCACGCAGGGGTTTCACACACGATCCAAAAGTCTACCACGATCCTATGAATTTCAAACCAGAACGCTTCTTGGCTGGTACCAGTGGCTATCCAGAGAGAGATCCCCATATGCTTGTCTTTGGCTTTGGCCGTCGGGCATGCCCGGGGCGCACATTGGCCGATTCGAATATTTTCCTGACCATTGCACAATCGCTCAGCGTCTTCAACATTTCCAAGCCGCTGAACAGTGCCGAGTTGAAAGATGTTAAGTTTCTTCCTGGAGTCATCAGCCATCCTGCTCCGTTTAAGTTATCTATTCAACCAAGAAGTGCGGCGCATCAGGACTTGATTCAATCCCTGGAACATTCGTTCCCATGGGAAAAGGGCGATTCTGAACTACTACCAAGTATCGATAGCTAGGTAAATAAGTAAGCCCTGGGGGGTCTACTTATCTGATTAAATATGAAAATTTGAGTATTTCATCGAGCCGTCAGTCGCTGTAGTTGGTCTTGTCTACCGAAATAGTAGATCATATGCCGCTGAAATTCACTCTCAAACACTCCGGCCAGCGGAAGAGGCCACCAGATTACAAATATCAAACATATAATGGCGACAAAAAGTCCAAAGATAGTACTCAATGACAAGGCCCAATATAGGCATTTGCCCCACTAGATGTGGGTCGATAAGGCTGAAGGTCTCCCGAATTCGCAAATAGTTGCCTTGACTCATGACTCAACCAATCAACGGGCTGTAAATAAGCCCCAATTCATTGAGTATTTGGTAAGCACATGAGATCATCACTTTGTTTTGGCCAAACTGCCTTCAAACTGCATAGAGACCGAAGGTCCGAGATTTCAAGGATATGTACGTACGATAGGATTACCAATATGTGTTCGCCCGGGCGATAGTTCAAAATTTTATATATACTGCCTGCCAGCCCGACAAACTACATACCATGACCTTCCAAGGCTCAGCTTGAGGGTCTCAACATTGAAAATTATCTGCGGATTTATTTCAAAACAAAACTTCATCATGTCTTCGTATCTCATTACTGGCGCCAGTCGTGGTCTCGGGGTAAGTGACGAGATGTTGGTGTATCCTCGTTAGTAGATTAACATGAACAGTTCGAATTCCTTCGTCAACTTTCACGGGATCCCAATAATACCATAATTGGTCTTGTCCGCAACAAGGCTGCAGCCGATGCAAAGGCCAAGGAAGAGGGGCTTGATCACGTTCACATGGTTGAAGCTCAGTACACTGACTTGGCATCCCTGAAGGTATGTGTACCCATCTGACGAATATCGCGCATGGTGCCAATTCCATCCAGGACGCTGCAGAGGATGTGAAAGCCATTGCGGGCGGGAGTTTGGATTACCTCATCAACAATGCCGCCATCATTTCTCATGTCAGCGCATGGAAAACCTTGGGTGATTTGTAAGTACTTACGATTTTAACGAGCGGGCAAAGGATCCTAAAGAATAAACAGTGAAGATGATTTCGAGACTCTGGAAAAGGATCTATGGGAATCGTTGGAAATTAACCTTCTTGGCGCCATGAAGACCATAAACGCCTTCCTTCCTCTGATCCGCAATGGCAAAGGCAAGAAAATCATCACCATCTCCAGTGGAATGGCAGATATCGACCTTATCAATGCGACGGAGGTGGCATTTGCCGGCTCTTATGCTATTAGCAAGGGCGCTGTCAATGTTGCCATTGCCAAGTACAATGCTCTTTACAACAAGGATGGCATTCTCTTCCTCGCCGTAAGCCCCGGATATGTATCGACGGAGCGAAACAAAGGTAAGTCGACCGAAGGACCCGGAAATTGTCATACATGCACATACCAACATTCATTTTTAGTAGAAGCAGCACCGGAAGATGCTCACAAGGCAGCTATTCTTGTAGGGAAGTTTGCTGAGTATGCGCCGCACTTTCAACGCCCTCTAACACCCGAAGAATCAGTGATGGCTGTGATTTCTGTGATGGATAAGGCCTCCATCACGAATGGAGATGGCGGCGCCTTTATATCTCACCTGGGGAACAAGCAGTGGCTGTAATCGGGTGGAACCTTGAAACCCCATAGAGCTCAGCACAAACTCAATTGTTCATATCAGGAATAGTCTCAGAATTCTGAATAAGCCGAAATGATATCACACCAGAAGGGACAGTGTGAAGCTTATTGTTACATCTGTACGAGTAGAAAAAAGAAATCAAAAAAAGTGTTTGGGAGATAGGTCAATGCAACAGGTTATATGATGATTTCTTGGATTAGACAACTTGAGATTATCAACTGGGAGAGCAGCATCCTCATCGGGAACAGGGTAGTTGTTACTGTAGCTTGCTAGTCATGTACCTCTTTTCGCTGGACATGGCATTTAATGGTGTTTATGACAAGAACGACCACTCGAAGAGCTTGAGGAGCTCGAGCTCGAACTCGAGCTAGAGTCACGACGCTTGTGATGCTTGTGGTGTTTCTCTTTCTTGTGTTTCCTTTCCTTCTTCTTGTGGTCCTTGCTATTTTCAAGACCATTTATATCAGCATTGGAGCCGAGCAGGGAAATGATTGCCAATGTCAGAGCACTCACATCTCATGGGTCACCATGTTCATTCCCACTGCACCCAAGACCGCGCCACCCGCAGTTCCAAGGAAACCACCACCAAGTTTATGACCCGCGAAGCCTCCAGCAGCACCTCCAATTATCGTTGATCCAAGTCCTTTCTCCCCTTCTGGACCTCCAGGGCCAGCTGCATAGCCGGTTTGACTCTGAGATGATCCACCAGTCCCGTAATATGACGCGTTCGCGCCGCTTTGATATCCTTGGTTGGGGGCGTAAGGCGAGTACATACGATCTTGGTTGGGCGGTTGTGGTGGGTCTTCATGGGGGCCTCCAGGTTGATAAGTTTGTGGGTATTGTTGGCCATATGGAGGCAAGGAGGCTGAATGATTTTGGTGAGGCGCAACGTGTCCACCATACGGTTCGCCATACTGCTGCGGCTAAATGGAATATAAGTAAATGTGAAACGTAAAGCGATCAACTTTCTCAAGGTGATACTCACTGCGGGGTTGTAGTACTGTTGCTGTGGTAGAGAGCTATTTTGGTGAGGCGGATAGTAACCTTGGCCTTGCTGGCCATAGTACCCTTCTCCGTAGTTTGACATCGTGATTCGAATGATTTCTAAAGAGAAAGAGATTTCGTTCAATCCACAGTGGGAAGGAAAGATAATAAATACACGAGCACAGCCTCACCCCCGTGGGGGCCAGAGGCGCAGGGTCCACATTGCCTCGTGTCATACGCTAGAAGGATAATGAGGCAGTGTAGGCAGTCTAAGCCCTCGTTTTGTTTGGTTTGTGGTAATTTATTTATTTATTTCTCTGTTTACCGTCATCCGTCATCTCTCAACAGGTGCTATAAATCATATATCAAAACAGTCGTGGACATACTGTTTCATTTTACCCGCTTATATGTAACCACTGTTGTGCCATCTGAGAGAACCTCGTGGTCGGGAACCAGGCGATATTTCCCAATCGTAGGAAAGATCTTTCGCCAAAAAGCCCAGTAAATCACCCCAAGCAATAGTATAACAATTCCGACCACACTAGACAGCCAGTACGGGAGCGAAGTATCGCCTACAATTATTAGCATCAAGTTCGCCCTCTTGGTTCACGGCTTCAACTCACCTTTACCACCGGGCGGCCGGACAAATGGAGCCACCAGCTGAAAGCCTTGTCCTGCCATGAAGAACAGAGCGACAGGCCACCAGGCCCGGAAAGGCCTATGCAGATTCGGGGCTGCCCATCGAAGATAAAAGAGTCCAAGGACAACCAAAAAGTTGATCACGCTGGCGGGATATCCCTCCAGGTCCAGAATGAAGTCGTACGCATCCCCGAATGGAATTGCAATAATGACAATAAATGATGGAATGAAATGCAGCAGGAGTCCAGCTGATGGTGACCCAAAGGGCCAGTTTGATGCCCAGAACTTGGGGAACGGAATAACCCCTTCCTTTGCCAGCTCCTGGTTCACTCGAGCCTGGGCAAATGTAACAGTCAGGACATTACCAAACGCGGATATAGCTACTAGGGCACTTTATCTCTCGTTAGAGCAAAGCAACGAGGTCCGTCGGGAATACTACTGACCTTAGTGCACGCTCAGCTGCCGAGCCGAACACCTTTCCCATGAAAAAGGAAGCGACTGTAGTACCGCTCTCGGCGATCTCCTCTGGGGTAGCGGCGGCGTAATAGGCAACATTCGCTAGAATATAAAGAACACCACAGATGGTTAGTCCGATAGGGGCCGCTATTTTCACAGTTCTGACAGGATTGCGAATTTCGTTCATGACATATGCCGCATTAGACCATCTAGTTCGTCCTGTCAGTTCCAGAGGCAGATAATCAATGATCACTGATCACTTACCCCGAAAATGAGTTCAAAACTTTAAAAAGCGCGATTGCATAGAGGTTGCTTGAGGTTGCTGAGCCTGCAAAAGAATTGCGGAAGCTGGAGTAGGGATCCGGTATACTAGACACTCGGCCACTGAGGACGACCCAGCCAGTAATGACAATGAATAGCAAAAGGACCACTTTGTACAAGCCAAGTATATTCATCCCTCGAACGCCCCAGTTCGGTAGAAGAGTATGCAAGAGTGTGATGAAGATAATCACTAGAAGAAAAGAAGTAATTTAGTATATATCCCAAGCGTCGAGTAAACCGGCTGGAATTTTGGTGCTAACCTGCAATGGCAACACCACGCTCTTCCCACTCTGAAGCCTTCTTTCCTGCCGCCACCCACACGTAAGACGCGAAAACCACACAGCCTGAGGCTGTGAAGCCTAAAGCCACTGCCTGCACGGCAAAGACCACTGTAATCAACAGCTTCGGCTGGCGATAAACGGCTTCTAAATAGACCTTCTCTCCACCACTTCGTGGAATCATAGAACCCATCTCAAGCCAAACACAGAGACCTGAAGCAGCCAGAAGAAAGCCTAAGACCCACAGGAGCAGGGCAGCGCCTACACTCCCAACGCTTTCAGTAACGGACGATGGCGTGGAGAATATTCCAGTTCCTATGATGCGCCCAACGCTGATCATTGTTAGAAAACATACCCAGGTATTCATAATTATGTTCCAGTTCCGACATACATCAGAAAAATGGTTGAAAATGTACCGAGATGACGGCCCATTCCCCCACGAGTATACTCCTCATAATTCAATTCTCCTGCTTTTGGCGTTGAATCATCATTCACGATATCCACTGAGTTTGCGTTGTCCAGGGCCTTCAACGGTATGGGGGTCTCTTCGCCCGCTTGTTTCGTTGGCTCCGTCATGCCGGCAGCCTAACTGGGATGTCACGACTCTTTCGCGCGACAGAAGTGGAACAAACCGTCACCAAAGAAAAGCCGATGACAGAACTGGACAATCGGGTTCTTTATAATAGCTAGGTGCCGCAGCTCAATGATTCTGAAACTTTTGCTTTGTTGTTATCGGCGCCATTATTGCGTGATTCGGTGTTACCGCGTCTTGCCCCTTCCGGGCCAGGTGCATGGCATGAATCCCAGCCAATCTCATTGGTTAAACACCGGGAAATACATCCTGCATAAGTATAGGAAGTCTTAATTGCGTTGATCTCCAACAGATCTACCGGTTAGATATTTAAACATCAGGCTGTAATTTTGGGCGGACCACTAGGCATCTCGCATCACGCACCCCTTGGTATAAGTAATCGTGGCGGTCTTGGTAAGAACAATACGGGTGAAAGAGATCGGAATAAGCACAGTCGTACCTCTCCACCAGTTTCACGCTAGTGGCCTTATCGTGTAGCCTCGGGGCCATTTCCCACTTTAGGTAAGCTTAAAAGGACATACTCAGCAAGCTGTCGAACAATGATCGGGGAAAGAAACAATACAGACTATCAATCAGATCTCTGCAGCTTACCAAGTCAAGCCTCGAAGAATCTAAACTTTTGCATGGAAGCCTGCACGAGACCCGGTCACCCGGTGCATTCTGAAGGAATGGAGCAAAACAAGGAATACCTTAAAACAAAAGATTGAGTAGCATTTTCAGTGAGCCATATAACACCTAGCACTATCCCTCAATAGTACAGCTATATCATGATTCATATATGGACAGGAGTTGCGACAGTGTTTATTATGTTTCTTTACTCAGCTGTTTGCACCGTTTGTCTTGATTGCACTCAAATGTTTTTCTGTTATTTCATACCCTGAAGAATATCCTAGATCTCCAACCTGGAGACCCTCTGGAGATTACCAGTTTATTCATGTTTGCCTAGAAGGACTCCGTCGGTGTGGGGATTTCCTCAGGGTCCGAACCAATTTTGGGGGCCATGACACCACCGCCTATCATGTCACCTTCCTAGTTGTCCCTGGCGAGGTTGCAATCTGCCCATGCGCCCGATAAACCCCGCTCCTAGGAATCCAATTATGGTCCTGGACTGGAGATCTACAGCCGAATCATGGAATACTCGATATCCACTCGCTGAGAAGTACAATTTCCAAATGACGATCATTCGCAAGCCAGATCCATCAATGATTCGACGCCAATGGTACTCTGGTAGTTAAATAGACCAGATGGCCCCTCTGGTATGCCCATCTACAATTTGTGATCAGAAAGCCCTTGGAGATGCTTTTTCTACCCACTTTGGCCGCAGCTCTGCTGACGACCACGGTCGCTGCGCTGCAGAGCCCCCATCGCAAGGCAGCAGTGCGGGAAACAGGAAAATCTCTGCAAAAGAGAGAAGCAATACGCGCAGTCACTTCTGACTTTCAATACTTGAATGAGAAGACGCAGAAATTCCTCGTCAATGGTACTCACTTTCCCCAAGTACCATTCGATATAGGCGAAAGCTACTCTGGTCTCTTATCCAACACCCCACATGGCAATTCGAGTTTGTTCTTCTGGTTTTTCCCTTCCACTAACCCAATGGCCGACCGAGAAGTATGCGCTGTTGAAGATGTCTTTCACTCAACTGAGAAGCTTACTTGCTATTTAGATCACCATCTGGCTAAACGGTGGTCCTGGCTGCAGCTCTTTGGATGGGCTGCTTCAGGAAAATGGCCCTTTTTTATGGCAATCTGGGACTTATGCCCCGGTTCGTAATCCATATTCGTGGTCGAATCTAACAAATCTCGTCTATATTGACCAGCCTGCGGGTACTGGTTTATCGCCAGGCCCGGCCACCGTGCAAGACGAGATTGATGTTTCAAACCAATTCAATGATTTCTGGAGGAGGTTTATTCAAACTTTCAGCATGCAGGGCTACAAGGTATATATCACTGGAGAGAGCTATGCCGGACAATACATTCCCTACCTAGCCGCGGGAATGCTAGATCAAAATGATACGACTCATTTCAATCTCAAGGGTATTCAAATTAACGACCCATCCATCAATGAAGATAGTGTGATGATCTATGGTGAGTTTTGAGTATGAAAAATATTGGATCGGAGCTGACAAACTCGATCTAGCCCCCGCGGTCGCGGCGTTGAATTATTTTGATCGCGTTTTCGGTTTGAACGACACCTTCATGGCAGATATCAACAAAAAGTCTGAAGCATGTGGATATAACAAGTTCCTCGATGAAGCTTTGACTTTCCCTCCGCCGAAGGACTTTCCCGTTGCCCCAAACCCCGATGAAGATGATTGTGATCTATGGGACCAAATTGTCAAGGCGGCAACCTATGTGAACCCGTGCTTCAATATATACCATCTAACAGACTTCTGTCCTTTCCTGTGGGACCAAATGGGCTTCCCCTCCTTGGCTGGTGGCCCGAACAATTATTTCAACCAGACTGCGGTCCAAAAGGCCCTCCATGTCCCCATCACCGATTACTCTGTTTGCGGAGGCGACATTTTTCCGAATGGGGATGGTTCGGTGCCAAGTGCTTTAGGTCCACTCCCAAGTGTTATTGAACGTACCAATAACGTGGTACTGGGCCATGGGTGGTTTGACTACTTGTTGTTCATGAACGGTAGCTTGGCCACCATCCAAAATATGGTGGGTCATTCCTGAAATATTAACCAGCTGAGTAAACTAACCAAAGTAGACATGGAATGGCCAGCAGGGGTTCCAACATGCACCAACTGAGCCTCTTTTTGTGCCTTATACCGATGCCTTGGATGCGGACGCAAATGGCAATGCAGAGTCTCCTTATACTGCCGATGCCGGCGCTGGGATCTTGGGGACAGCTCACACAGAGCGTGGTCTTACGTTCTCCACAGTCTACGGTTCTGGGCACGAAATCCCGCAATATGTTCCTGGTGCCGCTTACAGGCAGCTTGAGTTCTTGCTGGGTCGTATCAAGAGCCTCCAGGAAAGAGGCTCTTATACAACCCAGTAGTCTCTTGGGAGATGTATACTCTCAGACATCCCGAGCGAGGTGCACAGAATCACAGGTCAGGCAATCATGGGGAGGAAGCGGGCAGTGTGTGCATAAACCGCTCACGGCTCCGTAACATAATAATGGGGATATGGGAAAAGTTTATCCAGTATTGATCTTTGGTATCGCATGAACCTTTGCATACAAAACTTATATACTAGAATTAAACGACCTGAAATGACTCGATCAAATCTCCTCGCCATGCTCCTCACTTTCCTGTATTGGAACGGCCTCAATAATCGACTCCATGGCTGGGTTTGTATTCCAGATCCCATGTAACTTTAAGCCAACACTGGCCAGAGGATCAATCCATTGCTTTCGCGATCGCTCAACACCTGCTCCGATGCTCATTATCTGGATATCCATGGCAGATTGCATTCGTGGGACATTTGTGTCAGGGAGCACAAAGTCAACAATGATAATGCGCGAGTATTGTGCCTCCTTGGCAGAGATAGTATTGAGCAAAATTCGTTTGCAAATCTTATCTGGCCAGTCGTGAAAGACTGCTCTAAAGTAGTACGCTCGGGCGTCTTTGATGGTTAGTCAGGAAGACAGCGGATGAAGAACCGTGGAGGGGGGGCTTACTCCTGACAGGCTGTTGGTCTAGGAAACTGTAGGCCATGGTTTCTATTCCCTTTTTGTCCACGTTTTTTACCATTCTGGGCAGATCTTGAAGGAGTCGGCCAGGAAGGCTGGAATACCTGGCACGAAGAATTTCCAAATCGTGACCTTCGTTACCACCTATATCAACAAAGAAGATAGCCTCCGTTTTGCATATAGCCCCTTCCGTCAGTCTTTCCACAGGTTATACGTCAAACCAATTTGGCTTGCCTTCACGTCGACTCGACATGTACGAGTTGAAGAGAGACTGATGCTTCTTGTTCTCATCAAGCCATTCAAATTGGCTTTTCCCCACTGCCCACTGCATGGGAGACTTTGAGTATTCCCCTGGATTTTTGTAGTTGTTGAGGCGGAGATATTCTGGAAGGTTTGACAGTGCAGGAACCGTCAGATCGTATCTGGTGTTGTCAGCCAGAGAGAAACAAGGCAAATCGAAGAAAATATTACATGCAAGGGACGCCGTCACGCCCGATCGGTTTAGTCATCGCGAGGGTCTTCTCTGATGGATGGTAGACCTCTGCTTCGATGCTCAAACACAATCCTAGAGATGTTATCACCCGCATGAGGCAACCTCGATAACGGTGAGCATGCAGTCGTCTTTCCTTGAGTTGTGGAGGGGACTCACTAACCAAACCTCGATTAGCTCCCGTATGAACGGCTATATCCGTTGTCAAGATGCCTTCTTCCTTGAGACTGTTGATAAGGATTGGGAATATGCCGAAATCAACCACAGTCCTCAACGCCGCATTTTCCGGAGGCTAAAGGTTGACGACGTAAGCCGAGATTCTAAGAACTACTTGGAACTCACGCACCTGGTATATCAGACGCAAGATGGTTTCGGTGGGTGTCTCCACGACCAACTTGAGCTCATCGACAAGTTGAAGGAGGTGTGAATGACTATAGCCATTAGAGGATGATTCTTGAGCTTCTGTCTTTATCTGCTCCGCTAACGATTGTATGCAAGAAGTCGTCATTTTGAAATGCGGGATGTCTGCAATGGCAGTGTGTTGAAAATGAGATTATAGAATTTCTGAGGCACTTTGAAAGGAAATCAAACAAGCTTTTATACTGCAACCTGAAGTCTGAGTAGATGAGAAATGGGTTGCTCCGATCTCGCTCTGCCGAAAAGGGCTGGATCGTTCAAAAATGTTCCAAGCCAGTGGTGCCATTGTCGATCCTTGCCTGTTATTTTGGAGACGGGAAATCAAGAAGCAACTAATACGTTGATCACCGAACTTTGTTGGGGCGAGATACCCATTGTTATGCATTTCGGACCATCTGATAAGACTGATACTGCTTTATCTGATCGCGGCTGGCGCGAGTTAAAATCTTGGCAAAGGATGATCATAACATGATTACTAGCCCGTTGCCTTCCGACTTATGGAGATTTCTTGGATATTGGCTATACATTGACTTATATGAGGTCCACTTCTCTCGGTTTCGTGTGCCAATCACCAGATGCGCCCTACTTAGTGCGAAGTTGGGAGACATACTTTAAACATATATGAAGAAAATCCGTTAGAAAACTTATACGGGATGAAAGATAGCATGATTTTCAATGCCTGATCCGGATGGCAATTTTGGAAGTCGTAAAAAATGCGGATAATCGATCGGATAACTAAGAAATACTTGCACGTCTCCTGCAAAAACGGTCGACAGAATGCCACTTCACCTCTTACACCATTCTATCTATTCAACACAGCTCTTCAGGTCCACTTGATGCTTGTCTTACAGGCTGTTTTCGCCCCTTAAGGTCCCGCCTGTTTCCCCTCCGTGGTTGTGAGTCTCAGTATTACCGATGTCATCGTGAATTCCGTAACGGAGGGATTGTGTGCCTACAAGTGGTGGTCAATACCGGTATCACCAAAAGACATTAATGTCTCGGGGATGATCGCAATTTGAGGTTCAGATCGGCATTCAAATAAAATTCAACTCTCAATCGATCATCGCCGAACTGCGGATAATGGTAAGTCTTGGAACAAATATCTTCCCACATATGCACGTTGGCCTGGCAGACTTGAAAACGACTGGCAGGGGCCGACTCGCGGAAATATGCATATAAAGTGGGGATCATGCATCTCTGCAATACCAAAGACTTGGATGATGATATTATGTAATATCGATCCCTAAAAACACATGCTTCTTTATGTCCCCTAATTAAACTTGGAATCGATCTGGACGGATCGATTGAGACATATTATAGTTGTTTTGGTCTTTCAATCCTCTTTATCATTTCTTACAGAATGTCTATCAGCAGCCGCAGTTGGCAGGTTTTGATGGCTGTACTACTCATTTTTGAACTCTCCATAGCTGCTGTCAAATCCACTGAATACAATTTCGGCGCTTTAATGCAAACATGATAGGCAGCTCGAACCGGTCAGAGTAGACTTCTTTTTAAATAGGTGCAAGGGTCTTTATTAAGTAAAAAGCTAGCTAGGTACATTATGATATCCCAGAAAAAGGTGACAAACGAAAGGTAAAAGACGGACACAGAGCATCAAGGCAGCTATCCGAAGGGGCAGGCTGATCTCATTGAACTGGAGAACGGACCCTTGCTTGGGCTTGTGATGTACATATATGTACGAGGTTTTCATATGCCGGAGTTTCCTTGTGGAGAGTGCTTGAGCTTACAGAAGGGAGCCCAGCGCGACACAGGGAATAGCAACACCAATTAGGTCACCGTTCTGTTGACGAAGTCAGTTTTGAATGCTGTGGGTACGCGAGGAATTTGGAGGAACATACAGCGTTCGAGCCTGTGTTCTGGCAGCAAGCAATGTTCTGCTTGCACTTCTGATTAACCAGGTTTTGGAGACCTCCCTCAACGAGGTCGACAACGGGAACTGAGGAAGCGTAAGTAAATGGTTTATGTAAATGGTTTACTTAAAAGCCCATACCGTTCAGGCTGAGATCATTGCACTGGCCGAAAAGGCCCAGGCCGTCGCCGCCGGGTCCGCCACCAAGGGCGGACTGCAGAACACCGGCCAGAAGACCAGAGTTGGTGGTGTTGATGTCGTGGGTGTAGGTAGACTTGTTGCAGCAGCTGACCTTCGCGTCGTTGCCACACTTGGCCTGAGCCTGGCTCAGAGTCATGTCCTTCTTGACGGGGAAGATGTTTCCGTCGCCTCCAGGCTGGGGCAGAGCCACGGCGGTGACAGCGAGGAAGAACGCAGTGGCAAAGAACTTCATTCTGATGGTTGATTGGGTGCTTAAAGCGAGGAAGTAGAGAAAAAAGAGTAGAGGATGTTGAAGAAGAGAGTTCTGAGTTTGGTTGGGAGGATGAGCTGGATGATGAGAAACGGTCTTGGACTGGAAACCCGAGAGACTTTATATGTTCTAGATTTTTACCCCTATACTCATCTCTGTCGCCTGATAAGTTTCCTTCACTTTCCAATCGCATTAATGTCTTGGTTCTGCATCTTCATATCACACTGCAGACCCTGAAAATCACTAGATCCGGCCAGTCTGCTCCTGGCACTCGTAGATTATTGATTATTTGGTGGGTACGGAAGGCGCTGTCTGTGCTTTTTCTCTTGGCAAGAGAAACCAGATGATCTGGCGTAGACTAGTACATGTTCAACCCCAGGCTTGGCGCTGCAGTTGTTCCTGTCGATCACTGCCGGATGGGTCAATGTGTTCGCGATTGATCCTCACAAATGCCGAAGATCACACTCATTACACAGACTGATTAGTCAAACTATTGAAAATGGCTGCATTTGATTTCTTTGAAGGTCGGCGTTCCTGCAGGGGCAATATTTGCTTATTCAGGGAACACGAGTGGCGTTCCCGCGATCAGTGGTGTTATCACACATTAATCTGGGGTAATTGCACCATCGAATGGCCAGTAGCCACATGAATAGTTGGATTTCACTTTAAGATTTTGAAGTAGTCAAATACTAATGTCGTTAAACATATAAAAATGACAACCTGATTTTGAAGACTTGGGAGTGCCCGTTGCGATTGACTCGACAATTTGCAATATGCAGGGTTCATGCACTAGTTCACCTCCTGCAGCACACATATTGCTAGATCACATCAAATACCGACTACCCTTGGCAACATAGGAATCTTGTTGGGACTAAGAAAAAATAAGAACTTGATTTACGTGTCACCTCAGCAGATCGTAGTAATTTGGTCAGTCCCAGTGCTTTCTTTTTGTGGCATCTCGTAGACGAAATAATTCCATTGGCTTCACCTTCCGTTGCGAAATTCATGATCGCACTCTTTTGCGAGATAAGTTTGTCGATCTGTCACACTTCACGGTACGAGGCTGCCAATGTTGAGCTGCAAGATGTTGGCCTATGTTCCTTGTTTGAGGCATCCAGATGAGCTGCAAATCTTACTGCCTGTGACGCTGACCCTATTAACCCACATGAAAAGATGATGTTCAATCGATTGTCTCCACGTATACTTCAAGCTACCTAGGTTTCAACATGGGCATTCAAACTCCTAAGGGTTGGTATGCTCAGCTTCTCCGTACATTAACATATAGATGCATACTTCCAACATTTTAGGGGTTTAAATCAACTTCGAACTTTATTCAAATGTTAGAGATTGGCCAGACTTGCCGGAGATTGATTCAGATTCAGCCTTTCAGCCAACTTTTCCAGATGTCTATTTCCGTCTTTTCTCTAAGGCCTTCAAATATCCCCAACACGAAGCGACGCCCATATTTTATAATTGGACCATAATGAAAACAAAAAGCGAACGTCCACTGGAGAACAAAGAGGAACTGAAATTGAATTTTGATGGTTGAAACCCCACATTCTCACTCTTCCCGAAGGACCTTGTACATCTTACATACACATAAAGTTATCCAAACATTAATATGATTCTTGTAAAAGAACAGAGAATTACACGGACAGATATATACGATGAACAATTAATAGATACTTGCACTATTATACTGACACTCTAACGTTTAAATGTTGACATCGATCAAGAATGAGCTAGGTAGCTTCCAGAGACCTTCAATTGTTTCAAGGGTGATGATGTAAATCACGACGACATAGCTTATTCCAAGGGTGTTTGTTGCCTGGAGTGATGGACTTTGGCCATTAAGTTTGAATCATTTCTATAAGACACAACCCGCACATTTTTCTACCATCCAGATGTGTTTATATCATCTATATCACTGGAATCTACGAGGCTCAGGTCGAAGGTGAATCCATGATAATCTGGGAATCTGTAGGGAACCGTTGGAGGCTTCTGAAAAAGCAAAAATGTTCCCTTCATCGCATTTCAACCCTTCAACATTTTTAATCATTTTAAATTGATGTTCCAACACACTCAAGTGCTCCAAGCTTGCCCCAGGTATTAGAAAAAACGCGCAGCCGTCATGGTCGAAACTGTTCTAATATGCCGAACGATTAGTACGTCCTGTTGAAACCTTCTTTCAACACTGCTCAAATCCAACGACCCTTATACACCCCGTCGCCAATTAAACCCCATACTAGCCCAGTGAAAAGAATATTGTCAAGAAAATCAAAACACCCGCGACGCCGACCGAGAAATTAAGGGAGAGGCACTTTGCGGATGAGCCTGCCGAACGTGATACCCTCATAAAGAAAATTACGTACTAGTAGTGATGTAGCACGTTTTGTATCGTCCAGATGTCCGATTCATGGAGTCGGCTAAACAATACGTATAATCCTGTAAGTTATTGGAACAAATCCTCTTCTTGTACCGAAACCACCACTTTGAGGCCCCAACCATCCTTGCCCCCTATCCAATGCTTCCGCTTCCCCACTTTCACAATCTTCTGTACGTCGTGGCTCAATTCCTCTTTGAGATGGCTGGGGTCATAGTCGACTTTTTGAATCGCAATTTTCAACTCCAATCCATGTTTCTTCCCTTTTTTGCCAAGCCCATTCGCCCAACGGGCAGAGGGAACAATCCGCGGTTTGGAAGAGTCGATGGATCCGGTGGGATACAGTTGATTGAGAACAAGTCCCAATTTACCGATATACCGTGTCCACCAGACCTCTTCTGGTGTGAGGATCCCTTGCAGATGAGATTTTAACTCCACATCGCGGGGCGGTAATTCTCCGCCGTAGCGTTCTTGAAGCATCAAGGCTAGAAGCGCTCGATGTGAGTGGGGAATCCCATGGGTTGATGCAAGAATTCCAGTGCTGGTACTATATAGAGCCGCGCTAGATGATAACTCCTTAGGCATGGTTGCATGCACATAGAGAGCGTTGGCAAAAGCTTGAATCAGATGTAAGGTAATGGAAGATGGTACCGAGTGGTCGTTTGTCGGCCGCGGAAGGGCAGCGAGCATCAAGGCAGCAATTGAATGAGCCGATGGGGTTGCGTAACGTGCCGTCGCGACTTCTAGGGGATCCTGTTGACGGACTACGGGGAGCATTTCTCGGAAAAGGACGCCTTCCCGCACACCACCTTGACAAAAGTGTGCTTCCTTGATCCCATGCGGCAATGATTCGGCCAGGACATTTACAAGGAACGCGACCGATGGAACCTGTTTTCGCCGTCGATCAGATACTCGGAAGATCTCGTGTGCGGTGCGGGCCACCTCCTCCAGGGCCTTGGTGTTTTCGAAATCCGCCTTGAGTGCTGAATATCCATTAATGATGGAGATGGGATAACTTTGACCCCGAGTTTGATGGAGACACAGGAGCAGATAGCCCCATCCACGGAAGCCTCCACCGGACAGATAAAGCGGGAATCCCCCCTGCGACCGGGCCTTTTCAATCATACTCTCAGGGATCTCGAGACGGTCAAATGCTGCCCGAAAATTGCCAGCCATCTCATCGCGAAAATCGTTCTTGGCCTTTTCTGCTTCACTTTTGCTTTTGCCCCGTTTCAAATCCGCCAATTTCTGTGTCAACGCCGCCGCTCCATAGGGAAAACTAACTGAGCCTCGGGGACTGATACGGACATTACCCGCGTGGGAAATGATCCATGTCATTTGCATGCTACCTCCTCCCAGGTCCAAGGCGAGGCCTTCCACGTCAGAGAAGCTGCTCGCAATACCCCATGCCCCAACAATTCCTTCTTCCTCCTTTGGGAGCATCTCCACAGTAATGCCGGTCGTTTTGCGTATTGCATCGGTAAACGCTGCCGAATTGATAGCGGTTCGAGTTGCTTCCGTAGCGATGAGGCGGATATTGGCGGGCAGAACACCGATTTCCACACAAATGATCTGAAAACGAACAATTGCACTCACGACTCGGTCGATGACGGCTTGGGGAATTGGGATCCGGTGGCCCGTGTCGGAGTCGATCTGCGCCTCATACAAAGAGATATTGACACGATGGAAATGAACGGTGGGAATCACCCGAGTGGTTGGGCTCGCAAGATCCGAGATTGAACATCGTATGCCATTGCTGTGGTTGTCAATGAAGGTTTCGCGTCATGAATTGAGGTTGACACCCTAACCTTCCCAAGTCCACTACAGCACGCAAGTGAACATTCCGGCCAGGAGCATTTTCCGCCATTTTCAAGCTGTGATCGCATGGGGTTTCGTTTCCACCGCCCATATTGAAAGGTTATCAGATTATTGCGATGCGCATGGAGGCGGGGAAGAGCATCACATCTGCGTTACAATGTGACATCATCTCACCGCCAACATTTGTTGAGTGCCTGAATAATCAGGCTGAAGAATTGAGCCTCGTCTTGATTCGATGCTTCAAGTATTATGCCGCACCCCCTATAGCGTTCACTGGAACCCCCCTTTGTTTGAATTTCGGTCTTACGTACCAATGTGACAAGTTCATCCTCAGTCAAGGTATCATTTTAAATCACCTAATCGGTTGGCTCACTTCCTCTATATTCAATATTCAGTCATTCGTACAATATCATTCGTGAACGTATGGTGTTATATTTATCAACAAATGCAGTACCATTTGCATCTGATCATAGAGAATAATAACATCAAGCCAGAGAATTCATTTCCGATTGCGTAAAAAAAAATTACCATGGATAAGCAAAGGAACCACGGCTATCAGCCACATGAGATAGACAATACCAACAGCCAGTATCAGGCGTACCTGCTCCAAGCCCAATGCGATGATCCCAGATTCAACCCGCGGTAGAACACCATTAGATTCCTGATCAGTATTTGCTAGCGCTTCGGCCATTTTACAGGCAGCACGATGATTTATTTTCTCCCAGGTCGTCCCTTCCGCTTGCTGTCGGGCTGCTGTTGCAAGCTTCCTCCGGAGGGCGACGTTCTCGGACACCTCACGGGTTAACCTAGTAAATTGGTCAACATCTTGCGATGGGACAAGGAAGCCGCTGTGACCATGCTGAATAATGTCGGAGGGTCCACCTTGGTCCCGAGCAAGAACAGGAATTCCACTGGCCATCGCCTCTAGAACGACGAGTCCGAATGTCTCGGTTATAGAGCAATGCAAGAAGATATCAGCTGACGCGTAGGCACGAGCAAGACATGACTATACAGATGTTAGCGGATAGTGTTCAATTTGAGACGGGTATAAACGATACCCCAGCAAGGAAGCCAGTAAAGACGACATGATTGGGAATTTCGGAAAATAGTTGTTTCACGTTGTGCTCGACGACCGGATTGCGATTTCCCCCGACAATGAGCAACTTGAAGGGTATCCTATCCGCTGCCAAACGGCTGGCGACCTGTGCGAGAAATTCGAATCCCTTCTCCGGCGCAATCCGACAGACGCAGATAAGAATAATTTCTCCATTCGGGGCAATCTCTTTACGATAGATCTCATCTCGCTGGCCGGGCGTGAAGTGTGCAGTATCAACCCCACGACCCAACTGTTTAAGGCGGTCGACGGGGGCCCGAATGTCCTCGAGATAGCCACGAATGGCGGAGCACGGATAAAAAATGGTGTGTACAGCTCGGGAGCGAAAAAGAAAGCCTTGGACGATTCCCAGCAGCCAGACCCCAAATCTGTCAAGTGGGAATGGGAGCATAATTTCTGCATAGGCCGAGAGATCCGTTTGGAAATTGAGCAGAACAGGAGGTGCCGATCGTAGCTGACGAATCTGTAACAGCAGCTGAAAGCATAGTGATGCAGGGCTGGCCAAATATATTATATCAAATTTCTTGACGAAAATCTGCTTTATGTGAAATGGATAGACAACCTTCAAGTCCGGATTATAGGGCAGGGCGATTCCAGGCAGCTGAATTTGGACCTGCTTAGCAGCATCACTGAAATGAGGTGCAACCAGGAAGACATTTGCGCCATGATCTCTCAAGTACTCGACCAGATAGCCAGTGGTGCGACTTACTCCATTGACCGGGCCCCAGGATTCTGTCACCAGCAAGATATTCTTGCCTTCCAGGATACTGGGGAATAGATCACCTGTTTCCTGCAACGACGCAAGCAATGGTTCGGATTCGGACATGATTGAACATTTTCCAAAAAGAAAGGGAAAGTGACTGATAAGGATAAAACTTTGTATGCGCGTGAACTAAATAGTCTTTGACTCTTTGGTAGCCCTGCGGCCCGCGGATGCACGTGCCGTAATCGGCCGCTGAGAAGGCCCGAAGTATAAACCAGTAGTAATCAGTCCATCCTCCGCGTGCATCAACCTAACTCAACGACAGGGACAATACTTTACACGGTTCATGATAACCTTCAATATTCAAGTCATGAGGGAAGAATAATTCATACCAAATGACTTTGGGAAAAAAGGAGAAAACAAGAATGCAATTTTCACTCTTCTGGCGATCCCCTTTATAGACCTTTCCATCTTCTTCTTCCTTGACTAGGTGGCCTGAGCCGTGAGCACATCTTTCTCTACACAGACAGAGTACCGGATTTGTCTAAATTGTCCACACACCGAAGCTATCATGTCATGCGACGAGATCCCCATGGATATTCTGTTCTCCGAGAGCGGCGAGTGCTCCACGGCACCGACCAGCGCGAGCGCAAGTCCACTGTTTCGCCCATCGGACATTGATGACCCTAAGCTGGTGCTTCCTGATTCAAGCCCATCCAATGAAGAACACCAGGGAGCATATCCGGTTGAGAACGTGTGTGTGATAGGCGCGGGTTATGTTGGTAAGCATCTCACTATACTACTTCTATTTCACCATTAACGTCTTGGCTCTTGCAGGAGGACCCACCGCCGCCGTTCTAGCGATTCATAACCCTGCCATCACAGTGGAAGTTCTCGATCGAGACCAGAAGCGGATCAAGCAATGGAATTCGCCGCATCTTCCTGTCCACGAGCCGGGATTAGACTCCCTCGTCAGTGTTGTTCGGGATGGTGTGAAGAATGACAACAATGACCTCCAGCGGCAGCGGAATTTGTATTTCACATCCGACTCTGCACGGGTGATAGCCAAGGCCGATATCATCGTCATTTCAGTGGGCACCCAAACTAAAATGTTCGGCGTGGGTGCGGGGTCTGCTACGAATATGACCGCCTTTGATGGTGCCTTGATGGATATTGCAGCTTATGCGAAATCGGGTACCATTATCGTGGAGAAGAGCACGTATGTGATATTGAAAATGACTCCCAGAGAAGAATATTGACTTTCTCCAGAGTCCCCGTTGGGACAGCGGACCGAGTGAGAAAAACGGTAAGCTTATCCAATCCCTCCTGGTCTCGTTCATAAAGTCTCTGACCTAGAGCCTAGCTTGCCGCCCATCGTCCGGGGGCCTTTTTCGAAGTTCTGTCGAATCCTGAGTTTCTTGCGGAGGGATCCGCCATTGAGAATCTCATGACGCCCGATCGCGTTTTGATCGGATCGACTGCGACACCCGCTGGCCGGAAGGCCGCTCGCACACTGGCCAGCCTCTATGAAGCCTGGGTTCCAACAAATCGAATCCTGGAAACAAACACGTGGTCATCTGAGCTTGCAAAGCTTGTTGCCAATGCCATGCTGGCTCAGAGGATCAGTAGCATCAACTCCATCAGTGCGATCTGTGAGCGAACCGGTGCGGAGGTAGATCAGGTGGCTAAGGCAATTGGGATGGATGCCCGCATTGGGCCACACTTCCTTAAGGCTGGACTAGGCTTTGGAGGCTCCTGCTTTCGTAAGGATATCGCTAGTCTGGCATATCTGGCGGACTGTCTGGGTCTGGATGACGTGGCTGTCTACTGGCGACAAGTTAACCTTATGAATGAGCAACAACGAGATCGCTTTACTCGGAAGGTTATTCAGCGCTTTGATGGGAACTTGGTTGGGCATAAGATTGCAATGCTTGGTTTTGCTTTTAAGAAGGTTGGTACATAACGCGGCCATTATGCTTGACCAGGCTTGGTCGCTGACTATTTCCAGGGTACCCGAGACACTCGAGATTCGTTGGCTGTGGATGTTATTCGATTGCTTCTAGAAGGTAAAATTTCTTCCGTAACCTTCGATAATACCATTACTAACTTGATGTTCAAGAACGACCGGCGGAGATTACCATCTTTGATCCCTATTGTCGCGAAGAAGATATCATGCGGGAACTAGGTCCCGGAATCACAGAGATAGGGACTGTGAAGGTTCACAGTGACCCATATCTTGCCTGCTCGCTCGCACATGCAATTTTACTGGTGAATGATTGCGAGGAGTTTCGCTATACTCCGACAAAGAAATCCACCTGGAGCATCTCCCCTCAATGTATGGATGACAAACCCACCGCCACCGAGCCTCTTGATTGGCCACGTATTGCATACAATATGGTTGAACCCAAATGGTTGTTCGATGGACGGGGAGTGTTGAATGTGGTGGATTTGGAGAAGCTTGGCGTGCGTGTCGATCGTATTGGGCGACGCACAATTCTTTGATTCCTCTCTCCCAGTTTGATATTGCGATACCCCTTTTCCCATGCTGCTTAAATTACTCAACAAATACAATGATATAGATGAAACTTAGATGGATGCCATTTAGTGCAAGTAGACAAGTATTGACAAAGTATATTCAATGCTCGGAAAGACTACTTTTATTTGATTACTTTAACCTCAAGACCCACTTCCTTAGATCAATGTTTTTGGTAAGTGAAACAGGTCAAACTCCTCAACACTCGATTCGTTCCAGGGTCTCCATACCTTCTCAAAGTCTTGCTGCAGTAGGTTGTGAACTGTTGCCCAGCAAATGCGTGGAAGCTCCCTATGTGCTCCACAGTAGATCTGGGTGGCCTGTAATCACTGAGCTCTCATTATTCTCACTGTCGAGATGCGACCTAGATTCATGGAACTGATCAACGAGATATACGAAATAGAAAGGCATTGAGATCTCAAGGATATCCAAAATTTCGCGTCGGCAACAGATCATCACCATGGGTTCATTCGAGAAAGTGGCAGGGACATGACACAAAAAGGAGGAAAATCAGACCTCGGCAGCAAGACAGAATAATACCTTGGTTTCGGTTCAAGAAACATCAAATCTGGCTGCTGTGAAGTCGAATCCGAATTGAATTCTCCCGTGGTGCATCACTCCAGTATCATGTCGTACACGAAGAACAAAGAGTAGTTTAACCGCTGCATCCTGGTCAACGGACCTGATGACCCAAAATTGACAAGTATGGTCAGCAATCGAGGAGTGCGCCGGGCTGCCACGGAGATCGGAGATTGGATTGAGTTTCGAATCATCCTTTCCAATCAGACATGATGGGAGGGTTTCCTGGCCCAAAAGAATTCCACAAAGCATGGTCAGCGACAGATAATCCTTGGAACATCGTAAGAGCATCCGAAAAGTGGACGATCAACAAAACCCTTATATTCATTTCATTGCCTAAGAATACATGCACGTAAGACAGATTGATGGCGGCTATACATTTCAGAGGGAGATGAAGGATTGGACAAAGAACAGCGAGAGATATTGACCGCAAAACATTCGATCGGGGAGAAAACTCCGACGAACCCAAGGTCTAGAAATTTCACAGCAGCATTCAAAGATAATTATGACTTCTGCCGGTTAATAAAGATAGGGGCTGGCCATTTGAAGGACAAAAAAAGGTGATGAGGGTCGAAATTGATGTCACAATTTATATTTTGATTCTGGAGAAGCATGTTGCGAGCGAGTCCGGAGTAGCCTCTGAGATCTCGGCTGAAGCATCCATGCACATTTCTGATATAACGACCGTGCAAGAATTACTGCATGATCACAGATCCAGCATTGCTGTCGAGACAAATCATCTTCCAATTCCTAACAGTGAATTCCAAGGTTCAACGTGTATATCGAAGAGGTTGGAAGTAGTCACTGGTGCAGCCCACAGCGCGATGGTAAAAATGTTTACTTCCGGTCTCCTATATGAAGTTTCAGTTCAAGCTGACCAAGAAGAAATCGTTGCTCATATGCACCGTCTCCGTAGCGGGCGAGTCGCGCTGGCGATGCATCGATGCCACAAGCCTAGCATTTTTGCTCTGAATGGTCTGCTGTCGGGTTTGGTATGACAATGAACTTGCCAGCTGCCATTCGGTTATTTCTAGCTGTCATTTGTGATATCCCATGTGGTAATTAGGCCTCTGGGATCTGCCACGAAAAGAGCAAATATGAATTCGTCTTCACCAGCCGCGGCCTTGAGTATCGAATCCCGTGCCTCATATTTTCTTCCGCGGCTCATCGGATATTCTTGTGCTGTGTATACCCTTGATCACGACCGGTGGCATGCTCTCCCATTCGTCCCAGTATTTCGGTGATTTGTTCACTGAAGTAATCCCCGAAGCGGGAAAAGTCCTTTCGCATGCGGCGGAATTGGCCCAGGAGATCGCGGAAAATGTCAGCCGATTGGCTTCTTCCATGAGCCGAGCCTCAATGTGGGAAGGCCCAGAATCACCCGAATCCGCACATCTTGAAGTCGAGGGTGATTCACCATATGATTGGCCAGCGAGTGAGCTTTGTATGGTATTATATATCAGCTAGGAGTTTTGCCTGTAATGACTCGCTTACGTCACGACAAAACTATAAACAGGAAGTTGGCTCATTCTTTGACAAGCGCACGCCTCGCTTCGACTCGAACCTGGAAAAAAGTTCGCTCATTTACCCTTAGTGGCCAGAGATCGACATCACACAAGAGGCGACTGTGTCCAAAGGATAGAAGCTAGGGAAATGACAGATTACGGGTGGCGGGGCTTCAGTTACAAAGGTTACTGCGAAGTAATGGAGTTAACACATTGGAATGATATTTCATTGGTCTCAACTGGATTTCATCGAGAACAAGCGAACTTGACGCTGCAGATCCGACACCAGTAAACCAGGAGAAGGAGGATAAGACAAATCGAGATCGCCACTCGATAGAAGTGGCTGGGTATCAAGAACAAGAAGAATAAAAAGGCTGCGGATTCCTTATCCGGCGCAGCTTGCAAAAGCCGGGCAGTTCGAAGCACGACGTCTAGCATATGAAGGAAAATCAAAGGAACAGAAAATCATAACAGCAAATAGATCACAAGAACACATGCCCCGTGGCGCAAATTGAACTCCTTAACCATGGTCGCAAATCAAGATCGTCGAAAGACGGGAAATAAATGTTGAAAAGAGAGAATTGAAGAGACTGCAGCCAGACCTGCTGAGCGCAGTGAGCCCCTAGGGAGGAGATCGTGGGATCAGAAGGTACTCCAGTTCCAATCACGAGGGACGCTGGCAGCCACATCGGGAGTCTGGCCCAGGTTGGCTTGGAGAGCGGCACGGCCGGACTCCTGGCTGGCGTCGAGGTCTTGAGTGGCATCCTCGTCAATGCTCTTGGTGTGCATGTTGTTTTGGATCTTGTTCAAGCGATCAGTACGAGTCTCCTCCCAGCGCTGATGAGCACTCCAACAAAGGTCGCAGGCCCGAGAGGGAACCCCCTCGGGATGGAATTTCGCATCCTGGTCAAGTGGAACGATGTGAGGGGTGTGCGAGGAACAAAAGACGTGACCGCAGTGGCGGCAGTGGTGGCGACGCAGGAAAATGCCGAAGGAGGAACGGCAGGTAGGCGAGTCACAATTGGGAGAAGCGGAGTCCGCCTGTAGAGAGGTATTAGCAACCAGGTTCCCGACCGTAATACATATGAATACAGTGAGGTGGTGATTGAGCTAGAGAATGTGCGCTCGTCATGCCCTTGAAATGACGTGCTTGCACACGACATTCTTGAGACCAGATACGCCATTCACACCACCGAGTCTTATAAGAGAGGGAAAGCCCGTCACCGGGGGGGGGGGGATTATCTTATTTTTTTTTTTTTCGTCATCACTTACTTTCCAGTGATCCCGAGTGGGCAAGCCAGTCACCAGGCCCAGGTGTTCGGTCTTCATGAATTCATGTTTGCTGATACCGCTGTGCTTGCTCTCCATGGTGGAGCGACGACTGATAGGTTCATCCGAGTCCTCGTTCAGACTGTCGAGAGAACCGTGCGCACTGCGCGGTGGGGTGATTGGGGAAGACTTCTGAGGGCGCTCAGTCGGTCGCAGAGCAGCAGGCACATACAATGGGCCCTTGGGAGGGCGCAGCTGGCGAGATTGCAATGGAAGTTGGTGAAGGGCAGTCGTAGTGAGACGAGGGGAGGTGGGGGAATTATTTGAAGGAGTGGTTGTGTTGGAGTTAGTGGGAGAAGGTTGGCCATAGACCGAGATCTGGTTGGCGGTGCCGGGGGCGGTGGCGGTCATGATGTGAGTAGCCATTTGGGGGAGTTGGAGACACAGGAGAGGAGAAAATGAGGAGGAAATGAATTTGGCAGAGTAGGAAGTTATGGAAGTGAAGATGAAAGTAAAGGTAAAAGTTAAAGTAAAGGGGAGAGGCAACACATAAAAGTGATGTCGTGGGGCAAAAAGGGCACACGAGGCAAAGTGAATTAAAATGGACGGTGAATGGCCGGAGATGGCGGTGGAGCACGGGAGGAGCGTTGAGGCTAGTATAACCAAGGAAGGTGGGTTTTGGTACGGAGAGTAGAGTACGGAGTTAGGGAGTAGTCGAATGAGATTCTTGAAGAGTTCACGATCGGAGAAAGATTTCAGTTAAATGGCTTTTTTCCAGTAGAAAGGGAAAAGATGAATTCATATAGAATGTCAACCCTGGGAAAGAGTGGCAACTTGAAGCTACTTAATACTACTAGGTACGGGTACGACGCGAATTCGTTTTGCCGTCAAACTCCGAAATCCATTTACCCGTGACAAAATAACTTACTTTTCGAGGCTCACCGATATTCCCATTTTCTCTAAATATATTGACCGCTTCTTTATACATTATCAAATGTTGATTGATTCCTTGAGTACTGTCCTCCCGTACTCCGTACAGATCTTTTCTGACATGCAGTTTATGCAGTCCTCACGCATGATGGGTTGCCGCATTGAGGTCTACATTCCCTCTCCACCAAGGGATCCGCAACACTCCAAAGGCCCCACTGGAGCGCTGGAGTTCGTGGAGTTGACCCATCAGATACAGAAACCGGAACAGCGGATCATGATCGATCAGTCTCCCTGCCATTGATGTATTCTATCGTATCCTGAAGATAAGCAAATATGAAGTCAAATTCCCAAACCTGATACATCATCATCTTAGACTTACCTTGATTCCGTTTTCACTGTTTGTCCTAAGGTTTACGAGTGGCGCTGTGGAACCAATTAGAAAAGGTGGCGAAATTTCTTGGTGCCCTTATCAGAGCCATCTGATTGGCTTACAAGGAACACGGCCCAGTGCGGAGATCTATTGATCCAATGAGAGTTACATGCTTACAGTATCCTGCATGGAGAAATGCTCCAGAAGATTGGAATGTTTCGGTCCTCGTCCGAGCTTCCCTCCAATTTGTCCTTTAGCTTCAGATTTACATGTTTCGGTGTAAACACTATTATTTGATGATTATTGACAAATGGGAATCCTTCCGCGGAGAACCTAAGTACTCTCGTTCGCAGAGATTCACATTCTAATATCCGCTACGTGAGCCGGCCCGGAAAAACGAATAGTACTCTCATGCCGAGGCCATGAACTCCTCCACAGCTCGGTACCAAGTCAAGTACGGAGTACTCTCCTTCCCAGTCGTACCCAGTATCCTATGTTCTACCTCTATGTACGGAGTAGTAACTGGCGTGCCGTAGTGTGCGCTCTGGTCAATTTTTATTGAACGAAGTGAGCAATTTGGCTTATTGTTGCCTTGTTGCCTGAGGCATAAAGCCCTTCTTACGGAATCAACTGACCCTCATTCCAAATTGGATGTTGACGAGTTATCACATGACTTAAGTCCAAGAGTTCCCAGTGATTTTCGATTACCTAAGAAAATAGCTTATTCAGCATTGTGTGGTAAGTATTTTACATGGTGCATGGATTAGGACTAGACCTGCCAATATAGGACCGGAAAAAAAATATTCTTGTCCAAGTCCCATTTGCCAAGATCCCATGGGATTTACTAAGCGAAATGGGATTCCCATGGGATTCCCATGGGATCCTATGGGAATCCCAGCTAGATCCCATGCCCCACATTTATTGCATAATTGCCTATATAGGAAATGTATAAAATAATGTAAATTACAAAGGTAATTTTGGCTGTTTTGTCTTTGTTTCACTTTTTGTTTACTTTCTGTTTACTTTATTTTCACTTTTTGTTTGCTTTATATATACTATTTCTTTGAATTAATAGTAGAAATTTTCTTAAAGAAGGGCATAAAAAGGTAGGAATATCCTCTGATTCCCTTTTTTTCTCCAGAGCTTCAGTATGGCGGACCCAGTTACTCATTGGGTTAATAACCAAACCCCTAACTTTAGCTGGTGTATTCATAGTTTTCGCCATTCTATTTCGCAGTATAATCCTGCTGATGATCGACCCTTTCGGATTCAATGTCAGATAAGTGGGGTTAATACAGCACGTTGTGATGTGTGCTTTCGGGATGCTGATTCATGTGATATGGTAAGTGAGGATAAAGTGAGGTTTAAGTGAGGATTTAACCAATTTTAAACTACTAGGTCCCAGCAATGATGATTGGAGATAGTTGGGATTTAAACCTAATTCTTCAGTGGTGTGACTATTTTTGGGTTAATGAGGAGGAATATGAAGATGAATTCCGAATTGAGATTGCAGGTGCAATTCTGGACTTGGCAAAATGTTTTAATGCCTGTATTAAGGCTCATCTTGCTGCCTATGATCTGAATATTCGCAGAAAGGACTTAGCAGTATGTATTAATTTTCTAGTGATTCCTTATAAGTTTACTAACAAATCATAATTCATAGGAAAATCTTAAAAATTACGAACTTGTGGTTAACGGTCGGCGGCTAAATAATGCTCAATTTACTATTTCGCCAACACCTATCCCACCAGCTGTGACAGTTTCAAATGAACAGTGGCAAGATTTTCGAATTAGATGCTTTTTACGCCTAACTTGGGGTGATAAGGGATTTCATACCTGGGAGGCAGCAAAAAGAAACTTTAAACAGGATGTGACAGACCTTCTTCAGATGGACTATTGGCCAGCTACTTATAATCCCTTACTTGCTGCCTTCCCAGTTGCTATAGTTGATCCATTTTAATAGAGCGAGAGGAAAGTGAGAGGAAAGTGAGGAAAAAGTGAGACAAAATATATTTTTTAAAAAAAAGCGATGATTTTATAAGCTTTCTAGGTTTAAAGATATATATTTAAAGAGTATCTCTAAGAAACCATGATTTTAGGTAAAATGGGATTTTATTGGGATTTTCCTGGGATTTCCCATAGGAATCCCATAGGAATCCCATGGGATTCCCATGGGAATCCCACTAGAGCCCCACAATATCTATAATTAAGCCAATCAGGGATCTTAAATAAAGATGCCTTTCCCCCCCTATTTCCTTACTCTCTCCTTTATTATTTTTTAAAACCCAAAATTCTGACAATCTCTAACATTAAAAGTCAAAAATTATGTTTCGACCTCCTACCCTATCCCAAGCTTCCTCAGCATTTGATAGTGAACCTCCTTCATTTGCCAATATTGACTTTTCAGAGACATCTTTTGATCAATATTCTGGGATCCTAGAGAGAGCTCCAGCAACTTTGAAACGTGCTGGAATTGGCCCCCTTTCATCATATATTCCATACTATATGGATAATCGACACGAATTCACCCGCTGGTGGCTTACAACAAATTATGGTGATAAAACCCGCCTAGGTCGAAAAGCCCTTAATTGGGAGTCAAAACGGTCATCATCTACATGGGATGGATTTCTCCAAGTAGCCCATGAGGAAACTGGGTTACCAAAAGCTCTCTGTCAGCTTTGTGACACAATTCTAGAGCATCCAAATTGGGTTCCAAACAGACATACTGGTAATGGTACATCTGGTCTTATACGTCATCTTCAATCGAATATTCATACCAGAATACTACAATCAGACCAACCAACTATCCATAGAGCTCTTACTCAGATGGTAAGTTATTAAATCACCTTACTTTCTTCTCACTTTCTTCTCTCTTTCTCTTTACTTTCCTCTCACTTTCTCTTCACTTTCTTCCCTCTTTCTCTTCACTTTCTTCTCTCTTTCTCTTTACTTTCTTCTCTCTTTCTCTTTACTTTCTTCTCTCTCTCTTCTCTCTTTCTCTTCACTTCAACCTCACTTCACCTTATTTTCTATTGGCTTATAAGCCCCCCCGCCCCCCCAATTCCTAAAAGGATCACATCACCAGAAGCTTCATCCTTCAGGGGCGGCCAGAGCCTCAGGAACAGATCAAGCAGCCTAAGGCATCTACCCTTGGCAACTTCTAGGCTTCCCAAAAAGGATTGTTCCAAAAAACAAAGTGGATTACGCTATCAAAACCTCACAACTGGTCATCCGGGGAGCTCAAATATGGCGTTTCAAAATCCATCCGCCAGCCTCCAGTGACAAGTTATTCAAGCTTTCAGCTCCCAGTTACCAACAACCCTTATAAATTTTTTAGAAGGGTGATGCGGTTATCTTCAATGCCCAGTGGTATTGAAAATAACCACATCACCCTTCCAAAAATTTATGATTTCATTATTTTTTCATCAAATTACTATCAAATCACTATCAAATCATGTTTGAATCATTATCTAATCACTTTCTACCTATCTTAGAAACCTAAACCAGCTTTTACAACTGAAGGCTGGTATGATACTCTTTTAAAGTTTATCTCAGATTCAAAGTTACCTTTCAGAATTCTTGAACACCCTGATTTTGAGGCTGTTTTGAATTACTGCCGATTATCCCCCATTCCACCACCAATTCCTGGTCGAACCACAATCAAAAGCCATCTGAAGTCAGTTTTACAGACTACAGAAAGTTCAATTCTTCGTTCTTTACCTTCTGATGCAAAACTTGCAATTGCCCTTGATTGTTGGACATCCCCTTTTCAGCAGGGATTTATGGCAATTACAGGGTATTTCATTGATGATTCCTGGGCCTTTCGTGAAGTACTCCTAGGCTTTGAGCCTCTAAGTACCTCACATACTGGATCTAACCTTGGAAAAAGGTTGATTGAAGTCTTGGAAAAGTATGGAATCTCAAAAAGGATTTCAGCAATTACTACAGATAATGCGTCAAATAACCAGACCCTCCTAAAATACCTCCGGGAAACAGGCATAAATCAAGACCTAATCAAGGTCCCATGTATGGCACATGTGATTCAGCTTTGTTTAAATAGTCTTTTGGGTGACTTGAACCTCCAGCCAAGGAATGAGGTTACAGAAAGAGTTTGGACAGATGAGCAGAGGAGATCCTTAATGAGGATTAATGATTCTAATATCAGGAGCACTCTCAAAAAGGTATGAAATCCTTACCCTTTCTCTCACTTTTCTCTTACTTTTCTCTCACTTTTTTCTTACTTTTTCTTACTCTCTTCTAGATTCGGGCCCTTACAGTCTATATCCATGCAAGTCCACAACGACAAAATGCTTTCAAAAGTATGAAAGAAAACACCGATCAACTACTTCTTGTCCAGGACGTTCGGACTCGGTGGAATTCTACATTCACTATGCTTGCCCGGGCAAAACGTCTCCGAAAAGCTATTGATTCATACTTTGAAAAAGACCATGAAAAATTTCAGCTTACAGCAAGCCAATGGAAGCAAATTGACTATCTTCTTTGTCTTTTACAACCTTTCTTTGACTTTACAAATGCTATGTCAAGGTCGAAAACTGCTACAATTCACCAAATCTTCGATGTCTATAATGCGCTATTTGGACATCTCACCCGCGCACAAGAACGACTTGATAAAAAGCAAATCCCTTGGAAAAAAGCCGTGTTCACAGCTCTCGAAGCAAGTCATGAGAAATTACGAAAGTATTATCATGAAATGATTGAAGCCAATTCACAGCCAAATCTCTACGCAATTGGTACGATTTTGGCACCTTCTCATAAGCTACAATATTTCTCTAAGTGGAATCTTGATTATCAGCAAAGATATCAAAACTCTATTAAAGAAAGAATACAAGCTTATCAAAATCGCTTTGATTCACAATCACTTCCAGAGCTGCAGCCAATATCTGAGACCTCAGATTTAGCATATCTTCTTTCCCGGCAGAAAACCCATGAAATCAGCACAGAATCTACTGAGCTTGATCGCTATTTAAATAGTGGTCAAGTAAGTATTGATCCTTTACTTTTTTGGCGACAGCATGAAAAGGAATATCCAATTCTCGCTCGAATCGCACGTGATACCCTATCAATTCCAGCAACTTCTGCAGGGGTTGAACGAATGTTTAACTATGCGCGAGATATTTGCCATTATCGACGTGGGTCTCTTAATGAGACGACAATTAGTAACCTTATGATGTATATGTGTACATCAAGGTTCGAATCACAGGTTGATTTTGATCGATATACTGATGAATTACTAGGGACTCAGCAGATATCACAAATTCAGATTAAAGAGACTTTTGATCTTGATCTGATTAGTGATGATGAGGATTATCATACAGATGATGAGGATTTAGTGTCAAATAGACCTAATCCTACCTTTTGCTCTCCTTTAACAGAGGTGTTAGCCAACCAAACCTATAGTCAGACTAGTGAAAGCCAGTTGATTATACCCCCTCTTCCTGCTGTTTCCCTAGATATTCATCAGGGTAATCAGGGTATACAAGATGAAAGTAGGTTGCAACTTCAACCAGACTTCCCTACTTCTTCACCTCAAATTCACTCAAGAAAGCACTCTTTTGATGAATCTAGTGATGATGGACTTCCAAATTCTAGCACTCAAGTTAGGTCATCAGGACGGACTCGAAAAGCCCCAAGATATTATGAGGGTTAGGATAAAATAGATTGAATTTGAATTTTAAATTAAGATTTTCGAATATATCACTTTTTCCTCACTTTTCCCTCACTTTCTATTCACTTTCTGCTTATTCAAAAACTTTACTCCCCACTAGGGAGTAAATTACAACCTCTTCCATACATAGTCAATACAGCCAAGAATTTTCATCAAGTTATGCAGTCATGTGATTCTTCCTAATCCGGCTAGATCAAGTCCCATGGGATCCCATGGGACCACCCTTCTTGCCCAAATCCCAGAAGCAGAATCCCATGGGACTTACGTAAGTGGGATTTCCCATGGCTTAGCGTGGGAGTCCTACGTGGACCCATAGGTCCACGTCCCATATTGGCAGGTCTAATTAGGACCCATTCCAAACTCAAACATGACCTTATCAACGATTTCTATCCTCGGTCTATGATGATACGCCTATCAGTGCCCGTCCAGAATCCGGGGTGGTCAAAAGGTCCGCACGGATCAGCTGTGGAGGAATGTTACACTCCGATCGATCGCATAATCCGGGGAAAATGAGATCCAAGCCGCTTGCAACCGTAGTAATGGCGTCATGACTTCTGTTCCTCCAAGCGCTCCAGGCAACCTTGATCCGCCGAGCCCGAAGCAATTTCAATCAAACCTCGGCGACCATCATGAAGCTGGCCGTGTTCAGTGCCAAATCCTACGATCGCACCTATCTCGAGGAGGTGCGCATTCGGCGTTTCCCCCACTTCAAGATCGAGTACCACTCCTTCTCTTTGACCGACGAAACGGTGCAGCTAGCTCACGGCTGTGATGCGATTTGTGTTTTTGTCAATGATAAATTAAACGGGAATGTGCTGAACGCCCTGTTCGCCGGTGGCGTGCGAGCAATCCTTTTGAGATGTGCGGGATTTAACCATGTCGACCTTGCTACCGCCGAGAAATTGGGACTATTCGTCGCCAATGTGCCTGCATACTCACCGGAAGCTGTTGCTGAATTTGCAGTCGCCCTGGTTCAGACGCTGAATCGCAAGACCCACCGAGCCTATAATCGAGTGCGCGAGGGGAATTTCAACATCGAAGGCCTCCTGGGTACAACCCTGTATGGCAAGACCGTCGGTATCGTTGGAGTGGGTCGCATTGGTCTCGCGACGGCACGAATATTTCAAGGCTTTGGCTGTCAGCTGCTCGCCTACGATCCTTTCGCGGACGAAGAATTTCTTCAGTACGGAGCACTTGTTGACCTGGGCACACTGTTGAGGGGAAGCGATATCGTCAGTCTTCATTGTCCATTGACCCACGATACTCGGAATCTCATAAATGAGACCTCGCTGGAGCAGATGAAACCTGGAGCCTTGTTGGTCAATACGTCGAGAGGTGGACTTGTTGATACCACGGCAGTCACGCACGCTCTGAAAAAGGGTATCTTAGGCGGAGTTGCATTGGATGTGTACGAGGCCGAGAGCGAATTGTTCTACAATGATCATTCCGGCGAGATCATTGATGATGATGTCCTGATGCGCCTGATGACCTTCCCCAACGTTCTGATCTGTGGGCACCAGGCATTCTTCACTCGTGAGGCACTCAATGAGATTGCCGATATCACCTGGTCAAACCTTTCTGCGTTTGTGGAAGGTCGGTCATGCGCCAACTCACTTGTCACCGAGGGCCATGTTCTCGTGCGGGCAGACACGGCCCCAGTGCGATTATAGTGATTATTATGCAAACTTTTTCATTTGCTCCCACGGCTATAGACTACATCTAGCAATTCTCAAGCTTATTCCTTGACTAGTATATATGGCCCATCTCATGCTCAGTTGACAATTAAGAGTTTCTTGTGTGTGTTACAAAATACACGATTAACAAAGATCCCAAATGCCTTTTCATCATTAAGGATTTCGTAACAAAGCTGAATTATCATTCCATTTTCCCACAACGTACTAATCACCCTCTGGGATGACTGAATCAGGAACATCTCTCTCTCTCTCCACAAGCCGGTCTTGGGGATTTTCAATGTTCAGAGTTTCTTGGACCTGGGATTTGGTGTGTTAATGAGCACCATCGAGGCTCGGAATATTAAAGGCGTAGGGTCCCGAGTCACCAGGCTCGTCCCGGGAAATTTTTGGCACCGTTGAACCTCGGGACCAGGTATTAACGTCGCCACTGGTCGATTCCAGGATAGTCCGATTTCAATGAGTGATTCGGTCTCGATGGAATTGTCCCGTGAAGTCTCCGTGATCTCCGTTTGACCATTTGGGATCATAATCGAACAGGGTTATCCCGTGGACTGTCAGAATCAATAACGCAGGGATCTGGGATGAAGTGTCGAAAAACTCGTCGTCCAATTGTATGGTGGACTGCGTGTGGATAATGGCAAAAAGTTTCCAAGGGTAAGTCCCAGTGAGAGATCATCAACATAAAGACACTGAATAAAGTCAAGAGGGGGAAACGATCATACTCACCGGATACACATTTGAATCAAGAGTAACATGCCCTCCTGAAGAAATAGCACGGGACGTGATAAGGGATGTCAGTGGTATATAGTTACAAGTGAATGATCTCCATGGGTAGGAGAACTTGACGAGACCAGGCAAATGGTAGACAGACCTATGAGGATGGTCTCAACAATTTTGATTAGGAGAACTTGGCCATATTGGCAGATGGCAGAGGAAAAAGTGTGGAACGTTAAATGAGGTGAGGATGAAGAGACAACATTTGGTAGGAATGGAATCATGTGTGTTGAGTACCTACATCCTGCATTGGGATCTATGACTTTCCTATCACATAACACAGAATAAATAAATTGCAGATTCTCAGTCATTCATTCATGAGTTTTGATATGTACATGGGTTTTCCTTTAAAGAAAAACCTTCTTTCCCTTGACTGAATCAAATAAAGACGAAACCAGATCACGAGTCATTCATTTTTCGAGGAAGGATGCCCAAAGGAATAGCAAAACCTTCCTATCCTTGTGGGATCTCACGTAAGGATGAGACCCAGAATGAAAGATCAAATTGAAATACGAAAAACCAGAAACAAGAACGAGGACCAACTATGAGTCCGAGTCGTAATCCTCTTCCTCATCTGTCAAGGAAGGATTCCTTCGCTTGGGATACTTTCCGAACAGCGCCTTCTGAATCACGAGAAAAAATTCATGAAGACCACATTCCCCTGGATAATCGGCAACCATCTCGTATCCACGTTTAGGATACCCTCGCAGTGATGAATATAGTGGCGAAGTGGTTCCTCAAGGTCTTTCTAAATAGCATGAGATGTCGATTATCTTTGACGCGTCTTTTCCGGTTTGAGGCCAAATCAAGGAATTCATGAGAGGGAAGAAGAAGAGGAGACGGAGGAAGAAGTGGTCGAAAACGTCGATTTGTAGTATTGTTGGAGAAGAAGGAGAATAATACGAATAAGTCATCGAAAGGGTCCTTTAATAGTCCGATTGAAGAGCAGGAGGAAGAAGAAGAAGAAGAAGAAGAAGAAGGAAGAAGTCTTGATAAAAGCTGTTGGAGATGCTCTGGGGACTTTTTTCACTGGGCAGCGACTTCTCTTCAATACTTTCTCCTTTCATACAACTCTATCTTCAGTTTGGTGTCTTTCTGCACGGAATGGGCCATCTATCTTTCCCGTTCTAATCTTTTTTACGCTTTTGATGTTTTTGGTTACGATTATGGCCACACGAAGTGGTTACTATCTTTGATATGTCGAATCGACTACTGCCCCCACCACAAACAATGAATCGCGATTAGTCGATCCTTTTGCCAAATACCTTCTCAAACGAAGCCCAGGGCATTCCGGGAATTTCTACTATCCGCCCACCATCACTTTCAAAACCTACTTGCCTTTGCTGACGAATATGACGCATGGAGCAAAAGCATCAACATTGCGCTCTAGCCCTACAGCCTAGGAGCTCTGATCAATTCAAATATCCCCCGCCCGGACAAAGGGTCCTGACGTTGATCAACTGGAAAGAGAATAAAAGAAAGGGGGGGGGCTGGCGCTTTGAGCGTACGTCCAAATTCACTGACAGAGCATTAACGAGATGCTTTGACTAATCTCAGGATCCGGTGGATGATAGGGCGCAGGTGGTCAATGCAAAAAAATACAAATGTCTTTGGTAGAAACTAGAAATATTAAGATTTTGGTAACAGTAATTCGCAAGTCTATGATAAACTGTCTGGTGGATTTGGTGAATACTACTACAATTAATAGGCGATTAAATTTATGGATTTTCGAGTATAATACAGTAGGTAATAGCGATAAGTCCAACAAAAATTTTAGGTTGTATGATTTAATCTCACCTAATATCCTACTACATCTCCCACTTAGTCTCTCACTCAGACTTATACTTGGTCTCCTATCTGGTCTCTCACACAGTCCCCTACGCAGTCTTCTACCTTCATGTCTACTATGTATAACTTACTACAGATATGAATTGGATGTTCAGTTGTTATAGCGGTTGCCGGGTGGTACATCTGCAGGTTGAGTATAGTAAGGGTATTTTCATGCTAGCTTGACATTTATGATTTTCTGCTATTTATCTTATGATACTAAGAGTTATATCGGACCGAGGATTATTACCTCCTGTAATATAATATAACACAGAAGTAGCAAGGGTAGTGAACATATGTTATGTAATTCGACCTACATTGGCCATATACGCCCTGTCGTCAGCCATACCCAGGACCTTGGGTATACATATATAATCTGGAAATTGGATTGGAAAATCTGCGTTCATACATGTACGCAAGACGCCTCTCGAACCTGTGTATCCCTAATTCATTGAATATACACAAAAAAGGTTTGATCACTTCCAATTTTCAACAACCCATCGAATCTCGCCCATAACTTTCTCCGGCTGCACTAGGTGCACGTTGTGACCACATGTAACACGCACATAACGATTAAAGCTAGAGAGCTTCAATAAGGGTTTCCTCCATTCTTCATCTTTCTCTTTCCATCTGGAAAGGTAGTGGCGGCATATCTCTCGCTCTTCCTGTGTCCCGTTTCCTGCAGCGACACCAGCGTCGTACATCTTCTGAAAATCAGCAGGATGGTCTGCAACCATCAGACTGAGAGGGTGAGCCCTCAGCGCTTGATTTTCTAGTTGACATTTGCAGATCAAACCTGGTGCATCATCCCTAGCTCCTCGCATTTCAGCGGCTTCGGTCTCTTCGTGCCGTGTCTGGTTTTGGTCATCTCTAACGGCCTTCCATTGCTCATCAGACAAGACATGCGTAGTTGCAAGACCACTGGCCTCAATCCAATCAAGGTCTCTAACCATGGGAGCAAAGGTACTAAATATTCCCCAGCTACCCTTGTCAAATTGAAATTCAGTGACAGGGTCCACAAGGACCATACCGACAACGTCATTTGGCCGGAGGTGTAGAAGCTCACGACCCGTGAATCCTCCCCAAGAATGACATACAAGTACGAATGGAGGTGCGATTTCAGACACTTTCAGTAGCACATCAAGCTCTGCTGCGACTGATTTCGCTGAGATGAGTTCTGGGATCTGGACAGGGCTTTCGCTGCGGCCCATACCTGATCGGTCGTACTCCACCCACCTTGCGAATGGGACAACTTCTTCACGAACCAATACCCACTCAGAAATAGTGCTTCCAAGGCCATGCATAAGAAGCACTACAGGTTCCCCTTCCTTTCGATCAGGGCCGGATACAGAGAGATAAAGTTTGTGGGTGCCGATCGAAACCAGCCCAGCCTTGTCACCCTTCTCCCAATCTTCGATTAAATAGTCTGTCATTTCGGCTGAGCCACCTGTATTTCGTTCTTTGATAGTGGTGTATTAGGATATATGTGATGATGCCTTTCTGAGAGATAGTGGTGTGGGAGGGTCGTCTTGAGTAAAGTATATGTATACCCCTATCTAAAGAACCCCGCTTTCTATGAAACATTAAAGATCAGCCGGCAGCCGATATATCATCCGGACGTGGCGTACCCATTAAGATTTTACCCTATTACCGGGCCACCCCTAGTAACGGGCCACGCGGTCGCGTCTCCCCGTCTCTTCATCCCCAATTTCCTACTCAAATAACCAACCAAGATTCCTGTTAAGAAATAATATATCTTACCCTTGAAGACCTTGCTTTAAGCCGAAATACCTCCCTACGGACTACTACAGCTGCATACGGTGTCCCACGAACTATATTATAACGAAGATAAGGTGTCCAAAATCGACGTGTTAGCCACGCACAATAATAGCGATTATCGCTAGATTAAGGAAAATTCCTAGCTCAATGGATAATTAAGTAGGACGCCTAAAAATTCCAACCTTCATATATATGTGCATGAGAAATAGTAATCCGCGTTCTTCGGTCCGGAGGAGATCATTAGCTACTTGGTAAAGCCTAGAGGAATTTTTACCGTCACTCCCCTTTTTGCTACCGTCACTCCCCTAGAAAACAGTAAAATGACTTTTATTTTTTTCAATACCTCAAGCCTCACACCGCCTAGCCCACCACCTTTCGACTTGAGAATTTCCGGTCTTGCCACCCAACAAAGCCCTTCTGCACACCCACCTAATCTAGATAATAGGGCTCAATATTAGGGTATCACCACCACTCTATAGGCTGTCTTACAGCATTTGTTTTAATCTTCCACCCATATTTTCGAGTCCCTACACACAACAAAATGTCTTGAAGATGTCTTCTATAGAATCTACACACGCTGATATAGGTAAGGTACCAGATATACCGGACAGCATAATAGGTATTATGGAGTTTTGAGCAGCGCAGCGGACACGCTAGTCTGTATAGACGACAAATGGACAACTGTGTGGAAGGCTCGGAGGAGCAGCATATATCAGCGGCGGACTCGGTAGTCTGCACATGCGTATATAGGGGATTTGGAAGGGTCTATATAGATTCAAATAACAGCATAAGGGACTCGGATAGTTTATGGGGGGAACTGCGGAGAACTCGGAGGGCGGCGAGGTGGACTCAGAGGTCGTGAAAAGCGTTCAAATAACTTCAAATAACAGCTTTTACTCGTGGATTCATGTGGTTATTTAATATGGTAGCCAGAATTCGCTTATATACAAGCTTATATAGGGGTGTCTCCGTGGAGGTAGGGGTAATAACAATAAGGGTTGTAAATAAAGTAGTTATGAGTGGCAATAAGAGTGGCAGGAAAGTAATTCTGCCGATGTACTTGTCGAACTTTTGACATTTTTGACTTTTCCCAATTAGGAAAAAGGGGAGTGACTGTAGAATTTCTAATAGTTGTCTAACATAATCTAAATGATCATATACTGACAAATTGCAGTACCAAAACACACTCCAGGTGTGCCTATACATATTCAGCGCATCGGATTATACAAAGGATGAGAACTACGCTAATGGTTAGAGCTTTATTTTCAATGTGACAGAGATGGCCTATTGGTAAGCAGAGATTTGTACTTAGAGTGGGACTAGGTATACGCATTGAAATCTAGTGGCGCACAGGCAAGGAAAGTGGCCACTTAAAAGGTCAATTTCTCCCTATAATTGCATGCTAGAGGCTCTCCGCCGCGCAAAAAGCGCGGAGCCTACGTAGTCTCCTACTCGGTATCCTATCCAGTATTTTATTTGCTTTCGCAACAAGCTAGACAAATGACCAAAGGGCTCTCCAAATTTACATATAGGGGAATAGAAAACAAAGACAGAAAAAAGAGGAGAAGAAAAGTGAAGTGGAAGGAGAAGAGGAAAAAGTGAGTCTAATGGAGGTTTCGAACGCAAGTCCAAAAAGTCTGCAGTGTACCCAAGTAATAGGGGGTAGATAAAATAGTAATATCCTATTTTGAATAGTAATATAGATACTAAAAGTCATCATTGACCTAGAGGCTCTTGGTAGGATTAGGGGTTATGGCTATGTAGCTACTAGCTAAGTACTGTTAGAGGCAATGATAAAGTCCCCAATCACTCTATCATAGTATGGTATTCCGATTCCGACAGCCTGTGGAAATTGAGGCTATCAATGGGCATAAAAACAGGATAGAGGGATTCTGTACAACAGTATCACATGCAGCGGCGCTTATACATGGGCCGTGGAAGAGATCAAGGACATGACTCCTTCATACGTTAACAAGATCACCTACCTCTTCTTGGACACCGACAGCAGCACGTATACTTCAATTATGGCTCCATTTAAACATTCGAAACGGCCTACATTCGCTCTTAATTACCGTGGATACATATACGCTGAAGTTTCCGGCGACTATACTTTTACTTCGCCAATGGCAGATGGTATTAGTTGCTCTTATGAGGTGGACCGAAAGCATTTTCTAGAAGGAACAAGTCTAACACTGATGTAACTGATTACTACTGCTTATCGGAAGCCACGTTCACTGCGTCACTTCTATCGGGGCAGTACTATCCATTCTGCATTGTCTATGCCAATACGCAGACTAGTGTCCTGGAGAATATTACCGTTACTGCACCTGATTATACAATCATTCTCAGCTTGAATACTAATATTGTGCAGTATTCCTGCGATAAGAGTTTGGCTCCAATGTCCCCTGCTTTTGAATAGTGAATTAAGTTTGCCTTTCTGTGATTAGTTAGAGTTTCTTTTGATTACTTTGGCTCTAGTAGTACTATAATAATTGAAAGATTAAATCCAGTATCAAATTAGGCAGGTATCATTGCAATTTTTCATATCCCTTTTGATACCTTTGTTCTATGCAAGTCTCCTCTCTTTATACCTATTGTGGTGGGGAGACCTGATCCCTACCACGGATTACCATACTGGTACAGGTCACATTCTGTTCCGTTAAAAAAGGTCAAATTAATACGAGTTTAGCACTAGTTGGGGAATACACCCTCTTACACACACTTTTCACTTTGACCTCTCTCGAGGGACCCGCTTCACTCCGAAGGGCGACCTTCGGTCGTGGTGGGTTTTTGCTTAGTATATCCGATTCGTACGTCGCCAAGAGCGTACAGCTAACGAGCGTTCCCCTATTCACTATGTATCTTTGTACATACCATAGTGGGGAGACTCGGTTTCTCGTAGAGCGTACTGCCCTCGAGCGTGCATCTCTTCAATATGTAGAGTGCGATATTGCATCAATTCATTCTCTATACAATCAAAATGATTTTTTAAACTGCCAGCTAGGAAACTGCCCAGGTGACAGGTAACAAAGTAGCTCCCCAGTATTTACTATATAGTGTGAGCGAGAAGAGCACAAAAAGTGAATTAGGTACCAAAAAACGAATCAGTGGCACTAGAACTTGAAGCACAGACACAACATTTCAATCTGTGGCACAAAATATATCAAAAATGAAAAACTCAGCAAGACGAAGTAATGTCACGGGAGAATGTTTATATCCGAGTCATTGTAAGTCTCCTTCCAAGAAACCGCCAGATTCCCAGCGATATGTACATTGAGAACTAGGTGCCCATAATCCAGTCAGTGTTTTCTTTTTGCTCTTGGCGAGATTGCTGTTTTGTCTCGGGCTTTTTTCCTTGGCGGTGATCCCATCCCCAAAGATGACGTTGCTTAGGATGGGTAACATTCTCTGTGAGACCTTGGTATCAGGTACAAATATACAAATGAGGGGATTGAGATCGTACCAGTTGCTATACCAGAAGTAGGATTGTTATTGTGAGAGTCAGGCAAAGCAGACTCAGGCTTTTGAGTGAGTTGCTCTTGCTCGGGCGCCTTTGCTGTGTCGGGAGACTTTATATCGGTTGAGTCGGTTGAGTCTTGGCGCGGGCGATGGTGGAACGCGTCAGACGCTCTGCGGAAGAATTCCGACATACTTCAATGGAAATTTCTCCAATGATTTTTATTCAAGTGATTCGAGGTTATTGACTGATGACTTTGGAAAAGTAGCGTCAAAGAATAGACCATTGCTTCCCAAGCCCACTATATAATGGACTTGCCACCACTCAAATGACGTCATGCAGCCTGATAGGTGATATGTTCTCGTGATCACTCCTCTTATACGATGTGGTACGGATAATTAAGGTAGCAATAATCGCCACTAGGGCCAGTGACTTATCGATAACCTTGGGAATCGCAAGATGAGCGCATCATATGTGGAGCAGCATCCCAGAGCCCACGGTGGGTAGTTAGGTCCAGGACCCCCGCGTGCGACACCGAAAGTATATAACTGTTATGAGGCACGTCAGATGATCTACAGCCGTTTAGGATATTTTAATATATTTTCATTGGGAGTTTTTGGTTGCCATTTTCGACTGCTGGTGCTTACTGAATTACTATCAAAACGGAAGCTGTCGAAACCGCAATGGGGCCAAGGACTACGCACTGCATGAATCGGGCTAATTTCCAGAATTCTCAACAAATTTCGTAATTCAATTTCTCTTTATACTGCATATTAAGCAGCTTTGTATACCAGTCGTAACTTCGGTGTATTTTCTTTTGCAGAAGGGGCCTTTGAGCAATTTTGTTGCGCGGGCTCGGCTGAGCGTTTGATGACCTCCCTGGCTCTAGAGATATTTGTAGATGGGGAAATGACCATACTCCCAATTGCATGTAGGCCCAATTCTCGATCCTTTGATGAAACTATGTAATATAAATTTATTGATTGTCGCCTCGGCGCCTGAAGTTAAGATGATCGTCGCGATATCGAACTCTCCCAAGGGCCCATATGAAGGTGCTGTATGACAGCCTGGACAGGGAGAAAGCTTAAATACTAGCTCGATTCCGCACGGGACATGTCCGACTGAATAGATATCTTCACTTTGTGTGGAAGCGGGCCAATGACAAGCCTTCTATCGCCAATAAAGCCGCCAACCAGTAGTACCTCGCCCCACAAGAGAAGCAAGCGCTGGTAGAATACTGGTAACGTGCGCTGTCTCACGCTGTGGCCCTGAAACGAAGCAAGTGCGAGAAGTGATACGTAGCTAAGTGATACCATGAACGTCAAAAACTTAGTTTTGACGCCACATTAAAACGATACAAATGCAGCTCGTCTAGGATCGCCCAATTATACGCAGGCCAAGTTACATAGCAAAGAGTTTTGTCGGGAATAATGGTAGGTAGAAGATGCATGTAAAAGTTTATTCAGGTCAAAATGAACTGGACAAGACGACAGATAGACAAACCCCACGACCGCATTTATGACCTTTACGATAAGCTAACCTGCTAAGTCAGTAAAGTACATAAGAAATTAGAATAACCTGACTGAGAATTTGTAATAGACGTGATATTATGTCGCAAAAGTAATACTTAGCAGAAGAGCGAAGGGTTGTGGCTGCGCGGTCATAACGTGCGTAAACTTAAAGAAGACAGCAGCCGAAGCCGATTGGATGTAATTGAAACATGATACAGCAGCCTCCGAGTCCGTAATAGAGATGGAATAATATCTTTCTCAAATGCACGGCTGGAATTTGCCTGCTCATTTGAGGCTTATGCTTAGCTAATCTACCAAAAATCTTGGTTCTATATTGATATGGCGAGTGACCACAATGGTACTAGCAAGGCATATCCAAAACCAGTCCTATAATAGCCTAGCTAGGCACATGCTATACATCTGATCATTCCTCCCCCCACTTCAATTGGTACCGGTCAGAGCTGCATTTATATTCAGCCAGCTTGACCAACACGTCCTTCACGTCATGTGCCTCCGTCAGGATAGCGCCATTCCCGCCATTGATAAAACCCTGTTGAACGGCGGCGCGCACCCACGCCAGAAGACCATCCCAGTAGCCATTGATATTCAATAACACAATACCAACACGATGGATACCTAACTGGTTCCACGTTGTCATCTCCATGACCTCCTCAATTGTTCCATATCCGCCAGCCAATGACACGAACCCAGACCCAGGTCCGCCCTCGAGCACCTTCGTTGCCATTAGCCGCTTGCGCGTATGCATATCGGGCACGATTGTCGTGATGCCGAATTTCGATTCTGGTATCTCGTTTCCAACTAACGTTTCCGAGACTACTCGCTCGGCAGCCTTGCCTCCTGCGGTGGCAGACGCAAACCCGCCTTCGCCAGCACCGTTTCTCGCGGCTACTTCAACTAAGGCGCGCGGAATTATACCATGCACAGCTTTCGGTCCGGACAATGAGACTAACGTCTTGGCAATCTCACCCATTAGACCTGTAGTGCCACCCCCATACACGAGTTGGACACCTTTATCGTGAAATTCGTAGGCTAGAGCCCGAGCTACCTCGAGATGGACTGGGTCATTGCCTGGACTGGAGCCGCAGCTAGATGCCAGGTAGAAGGATAGCTTAGCTTAGCACTCTTCAAATGTTTTGTCACTTGCGGGAAGAATTATTCTGGATCGTCGCGGAAGCAAGACTTACAAAACGCAAACGACAGCTGGTTTGTCCTTGGCCATTGATAACATTATTCAAATATTCAAGTATTGTTATTGAACTGTTGAAAGTAAAGCAAGAACGATAATTAAACAAACAAAAGCAAGGAGGTTCCCGAGTACGCTGGAGGACCGTTCTTCGTATGACTCATTTTCCTTCCATACCGGCGAGCCGAACAATAAGAGTCACGTGCTTGATTTCACTATAAGTGAAACTCAGCCCTATTTATTAAGCACCTCTCATCTTGAATCTGCGTATGGCGTTAAATCAGGGATATTGATTTGTCAGTGATGTGATTCACGGAAGGGAAAGGGCCCTTTTGTGGGACCAGTTATTTTAGGACGGCAATATGACTAGACCTCCGAAAAGAATAAATGAATGTGCTGAGATAAAATGATAGTAGGTTGAGTTTTGTTGACTTTAGGAGCTGTGTTTTACAGGAGCCGGATACCTCATCTATAATTCTGTTCCCAATCTTGTCATAAGGTTCAACCACCATGATACTCAGCTAAAATTCAAATATTCGCATTCATTAAACTATTTTCAGAGCCTTACACAGATGCCATCCAGTTTGACGGAGATGGGGGTGGAACTGATTATCAGGTCTCGAAATTTCCAATGTCAAGCATAGCGAGCAGGCTTAGAAGTCATTTTTGCCAATATCCAGGTTGCTTTATTGGCCAAACTTCGAGTGCCTTTCAGCGTCCCGTTATCCTGCCCGCTCTGAATAAGTGTAAATTAGGTAATCCGCCTTTGTTAGCCCCGAGCTAGCCAGGTGTCGGCCAGGACGGGTCAATATTACTGGCTTATAGTAGTTGTATTCAGTAACCACCGCTCGCTAGATTACCGAGGCATATGACCTACCCAGTGGAGCTCACAGAGCTGAGTAAGCTAGGTCAGGTTAATATTCCCAAGGGGGTTCCATATATTTTATCGTCAGACACATCTTGAGGCGATCCCCGTCCGATTGATCAGATATCCTATACCAGTCAATACCTCGAATTTCACATAAGCCTGGCTACGCTTCAATATCTATACCCAAAAATTCGATAATATGATCAACCTGGACAGATACCCTTATTCTCTAGTGACTTGACTTAGATCCTAAGTATAGCTTAACTTAGTGTACTGCCTAGTATAGCTAACAAGGGTCTATTCTATAGGCCTAAGTTCGTACAAGGCCAACTAGCAAAAGTACGCTTGCGATCGAGACTTAAGGGCGAGATTCAGTGTACGTATTGAAGAGGGGAACGCTCGTTGGCTGTACACTGACGACGCACGAATCGGATATACTCAGCAAAACCCACCACGACCGAAGGTCGCCCTCGGCGAGCAGTGGATCCCTCGACAAAGGTCAAAAGTGAGAGATGTGTAAGTGCGTGTATTCTGTAACTAGTGCTAAGTTCGTATTAATATGACCGTTTCCCTTACATGACGAAATGTGACCCGTAACGGTATGGTAATCCGTACAGGGACCGAGTCTCCCCACTACAGTATATAGCCTAGACGAGCGGTACTCACTACGACCACTTAGCTCCGCTTAGATACGCTTCGATCACGGTGGTACGTCGAATGAATATAGCCTTGGTAGCTTCATATGTTCGGCCTAGGCTTTTTATGGCGCAAAGCCCACCAGAACCCTTCCTAGCTGAGCCTACCTATTCTAATTCATGTTCAATAGCAAATCCGCCTTTATCTTCGGACACAAAGGTGATTGCTAAGACGGGCTATTTAAATACCGTGCACGCTCTATCACTTCACGTCACAATGCCGGCTAGCACCAGTTTCCCAGCTACGTGCTCGCCAGCATACTATGAAAGTACTTCATCTAGCTCACCAATCACTGTAACCACCACTTCTCCACTTACACAGAGTGGCATTACAAGCAAATGTGAGCTGATCAGTCTTTGCCCTACATATCTGGTGAAACTTTCTAACTCATCCTTCAGGTGACGCTTTGTATGTGGTAAAGTCAAGCTATACTTGCGCCAGCATTGTGAGCCCAGCATTGTGAGCAACTTCGGAAACTTCACACCCTAAATCCATTGGTTTCCAATGAAATTACCCCCATGGGTTAGGCCCATTAGATCCACCACCACAGATAGTTTTGCTCCGCATATCGCAATTTCTAGATACGCCTTATCGGGAGTATAACGATAGCTAGAATCAACAAAGGCCCGTCACAGCGCCTTGATTATAATTGAATTGCATGTATATATATATATAACATTCCAGGATTCGGTGACGAATATACGCCAAGCTTCCGAGAATCGACTCTCGTCGCGGCAAATGGGAGAGTTTGTGATAATACTGACTTTGCATAGACTACTGCGGATTCCACCCCCAAAAGTTCCCCCAGGAAAATGAAACTGGAGAAATAGTACTGTGCCCACGGGTCTCGTGGTCCAATAGGGCTAGTCCAAACCAGTCTTCTCCGTGTTTGCATTCGGCTGTTCAGATGAATATTTACTAAAATTCAAATGCTGATTCAAGAGAAGCACTGCCACATTCTTTAATGAGTTGATAGCCCCGGTGGCAAGGTATGACAGAGGCGTTAGGGCATCCGGGAATTCATTTCATAGGGCGTCCAGTTCCAAATTCAAGTGGCGATCTGCTGAATCGAGACTTTGAGACATTTTAGGTGGGGCGATAATGAGACAATTGTGGCCTACTGAGCACCTATTCCATGGCCAAGAAACTGAGAATGTGAATGATAAATCTCTTTTCCTGGACATTTATCCGGCTTGATCTGCCTGACATATTCGAATGTAAATTTTCTCGTTTACGCAAACACTCATGTCATTTGCACAGTCCCACCCGTAACTTTACTGGCGCACCTGATATTAATCTCCCACAAGCAAAAACTCAAAGCATCAGTGAATTTTACCAATAACTATAATATCTTCGGTGCTCAATCCTACCTAGACAAACAAATCCTAAGACAACCACAAGATAACAGTGAGAGATGAAACACTATAATTAAGAACAGAACAAACCCCCAAGCATATGATGCAGATAATACCCAGTACGGCCTGGGAGCCAAAAGAAAAGCTGTAGGCCATGAGAATTCATCATATTCCTCGATTGCAGGCGTCGTTGAACAAGTCTTAGATGGCGCGCTTGGCTTAGTTATGATCGTTGTAGACATCGTGCCTTGTTGATTTTCGTACTGGTCCTTGTACGATCCATAGTGATCCTGGCCATAGCCTTCCTGGTGGTTTTACTGGTCGAATGAGTTGGGTTTCCACGATGTAGGAAACATATCACCTTCACCGTTTCCATCGCCTTTGCCGCTAATGGTATCGAGAACGCCGTTGGGGATGCCATTGCCATTGCCATTGCCTATAGTATTGCCGCCACCATGGCTGTTACCTACGCCACCGCCAAAAATTGGCAATAATGGGCCCTATTGGACCTATAGGCAGGGTGATAATTGGCAGAGTGGCAGCGGTAGTCGACGTCGTAGTAGATGATGTTGTACTAGACGATGTCGTGGTAGACGAAGTCGTCGTAGTGGTACAAGTCGGAAGATTGTTTGTATTGCTGTCCAGACTGACCTGCCCATTACGTGCAAGAAGGCGTCTTTGAATCACCAGGTCCGTGGTCGCCGAGATAGATGTGAGTGCCATGATGGTCCCACCGAAAGTGCCTCCTGTCCCTAGGGTAGCGGAACTTGACACCTGCCAGAAGACATTGCAAGGTTGGCCACCATTGACCAACACAACTCGGGAGGAGCTTGCAGTAATGAGGCGGCGAATCATGATGTGATTTGAAAGATCCAGACCGAATCCGGGTTTCCTTGAGCGTCAAGCGTGACAGTACCAGTAATCCCCAATCTGCTTGTGGCTTGATATACACCAGAAACAAGTGTTTGACCTCCAAGGTCTGCCGCTCAAAGAGCGGTGGGTGCCCGCTCAGCTGCATCATTATTTGAAATCACTAGATTAAATTTTGCTTGAAGTGCGTTCGCATCGGCAGCATGAATTATTCAATGTACATTCCTAGAGGGGAAGCCCACGACACCCATTCCTGGAAAAACCCTGACATCACCACCAACAACCGATGGGCCTGTGTTTGTCACTGTTGTGCCAGCAAAAATTCGAAAGGGCGTAGCAGTACCAAGGCCAACGGGCTGGATTTATGGCCAGTGCATTGCCGATGTTAGAAAAGAGGAGCACAGATGTGAGCAGCCTTGAGAACATGATTCAAAACAATAAGTGCGTCGGATTTGAACTGTAAGCTTGGGTGTCCATATTGGCAAAAGTTGCCTTGAACTTGAGTAGATTGAATCTTCTGCTGTCGTGGGGGTTTTTGAATCCAACGTTCAATTTTCACATATAGCAATGTGACAAAGTCCCAATAGTCCGGAATGCTGTAATTTGCATGGATCAAGTCTTAGTTCCGCCAATAAGAGTACCATAGAAAGGAATCTCACCCCGCAAGTGGCTTCATTCTTTCGTTTTTTGGATAGAAGAATGTCTTATTTGAGTGCCCATACTTGCCCAAGGAACTTCAAATCAGGAGTATTATGATTATGATACTATCCCTTTCTACAATCCCTGCAAGATGCTGACGCTCATTTCGATCATGCTTTTCAAAGATCGGCAATACATCACCCCTGGGAGGATTCATTTAGCTGTAAAAAGTCGCAAATGAATGTAACAGTTGTATAACAATGCGTATTATGAGTAATAATAATGAAGATATGACACAGAAAGTCTTTTTTGGCACTATACGATGTCGTATCATGGTGCAACTCAATTTTAGACACAACCGATGCTTGAGGTCGGTTCGAGTCAGTCAAGCCAAGACCCCTGTACGAATGCTGTGGCTAATACCCTTTTGTGAATGGCGTGGCAGCATTGTTATTAATTTTCTAGATGCTAGTTGTTCTCATTTTATTGTGCAGAGGCTTCGGATTATTCTCATGAAGAGGTACGACTCTATTTTACGAGCGCATAATATTTTCGAACCCCTAGGGATCTAGAAATGGCCCCATGATATCACGTTATAGCGCTATATCGCCATTTATTGTTATTTCAGCTATTCGTAGCAATGTTTGAAGAAATTTTAAACCGGTGAAGAATGTGATGTACGACCCACTATGTTTCCTACCAGCTAAAGCGAAGGTCAGACACATAAGTACACAAAAGCGATAGGCTTTTCGGAGGCCGACTCTTCTGAGTGACAGAAGCTTTCACTCTTTCCTGTTCCATGTGCTAGTTACTACACATCAAACTTCACACTATATCTAAGACCGGAGGACATTAGTATGGTCGTAAGAGTTTCTCACGATCTGACCTTCGCGGGCGCATCCATAAGGAGGGCCAGCTATGGTCGGTTAGTTCGGTATTTCTCGTCCCTGTGTCCCTGTGCTAGCCCCTGGAGTGCTCGTAGCGACGCGTTCTATTCATATATACATATTTACACATATGCACACATACATATACATATTTTTGGGGTCCGCCTGTTGACACATTCCTGAGCACGTGTTTGGAAAGGTTTCTCCACTCAAGAATGTGCCAGCCAGGACACTGCCGCAATATCAGGGTCGCATCCGAATGGCCGGGTAAGTAGCCCGTGTGGGTCAACGTTCATCGGACCGGTATAGGAAAAAAGAGCAAAAAGTTTGTGCATTACAGTGATTCAAATTGCCTTGACCAATGTACACTAATGCTTTTCTAGCCCCACCGCCAAGGCCTTAGCACCAATAGTCTATTGAGCGGCTTTATTTGATGGGCGAAGTAAAATGCGCTTCCTATGTTGCTACCATAACGAAAAATTACACCATAGACGAAGTATCTACTTACCAAGGACTTTTTAGGTTCTTCAAAGACCTTAGTGATATTTTGGGAAATCGTGTCATGGATTTGGCTCGTGACCAGAAGCTAGGTATTATCTACGCTGAAACCCTTAGACAAGGAAGAAGTACGAGTCGATTTGATCGTTTATCGCCAAACTTTCTTTCATTCAAAAAATCAGAGATGGTGAAGTATAAATGCGCATTAATAATGACCAGCGGTTCTTGACAGAAGGCGAAAACTAATGATGGAGTCAAAGAAATTCCACAAGACGAATGTCAACTTAAATGGTAGTTCAAAATAACAGTACTACTGTATTTTCTTCTGCCCTTTTGACTTGGAGGTGCAAATTATAACCGAGCCAAGCGATACATCTGGCGGGCCCGTCATGTGCAGACAGTAGTTGGCCTAAATACTGTATTTCCAAGACAAGACAAGGTTTTACATACAAGATATGTGCAAAAAGTTGGGTCGAATAGGGTCGAGTTGGGTTTTATTGGGGCCCCAGCATTGGGTCCGGGTTGGGTTTTGGGTCGAGACCTTCGACCCAAGTTGCGTTCTGCGGAAGTCTAGTCGAGAAGCTTATGCTAGGGAGATTGGGATAACTAGTCTACCTACTGCGAGAGAACTCCGCATCAATCAATTTTTTCTGACCTAATTATTCTAAACGACATGACCTCGCCAAAAGCCCCCGAATGATCTGAATTCCCCATGAACAAAAATATCATGATCCTGCTATCTTCAACAATGTTACTGGCGTGCATTGTACAAGTCAGCAGCTTCCTGGGCGTGCTGAATTTCCTCCTGCACATCCTCCATGTTTGCCGTTCGATCATATTGGTGGTCGCTGCTTGCTCCATGGTGGTGGCTGTTTGCTCCAGATTGGTGGTCGCCGTATGCTCCATAGTGGTCGCTGCTTGCTCCATAGTGGTCGCTGCTTGCTCCATAGTGGTCGCTGCTTGCTCCATATTGGTCGCTGCTTGCTCCATAGTGGTCGCTGCTTGCTCCATATTGGTGGTCGCTGCTTGCTCCGTAGTGGTCGCTGTTTGCTCCATATTGGTGGTCGCCGTATGCTCCATAGTGGTCGCTGTTTGCTCCATATTGGTGGTCGCTGTTTGCTCCATATTGGTGGTCGCCGTATGCTCCATAGTGGTCATAGCCTTGGTCGTGGTAGTAGTTATGCTCGCTGATGGCCAATGGGACGCCGTTGCCATTGCCTATTTCCTTGCCCTTGCCATTACCATTGCCGCCGCTGTTGCCGATGCCACCGCCACCGTTGCCGACGCCGCCGCCACCGTTGTGATTGCCAATGCCGCCGCTGATGCCGCCGCCGTTGCCAATGCCGCCGCCTAAAATGGGCCCTATGGGACCTATGATAGGCAGTGTAATGACTGGCCCTGTCGCCGTAGTGGTCGATGTGGAAGTGGTCGATGTGGAAGTGGTCGATGTGGAAGTGGTCGATGTAGAAGTGGTTGATGTGGTGATGGCACAATTCGGAAGAGTGATTTTATTGCTGTCCAGACTCACTTGCCCATTACGTGCAAGAAGACGTCCTTGAATTACCGCGTTTGTTTGAGCCGAGATAGATGAGAGTGCCATGAGGGTCCCAACAAAATTACTTGTTGTCCCAAGGGTAGCAGAACTTCCCACTTGCCAGAAGACATTGCAAGGTTGGGCACCATTAATCAGCAGCACTGTGGAGCTGCTGTAAGTAATGAGGGTTGAATCGGTTTGAAAGATCCAAACCGCATTCGGGTCTCCTTGAGCGTCAAGCGTGAGAGTGCGACCAGATGTAATGGTCATTGGACCTCTGCCTGGGACAGACTGATATACACCAGAAGTAAGCCTTAGCCCACCAAGGTCTGTCGGTTCCAGTGTGGCAGATGGCCGGCCAGCTGCATCATTATATGCAGTCACTAGATCCGATTGTGCTTGAGCTGCGCTGGCATCGGCAATGTGGATTCCTCCTGGAGGATCTACTACTCCAGGAGGGAAGTTAGTGACAGACGTTCCCGGAGAGACTCCAAGATTGCCACCACTGTCAATAATCGTTGGGCCTGTGTTTGTCACTGCTTGGCCACCAAGGACTAGGTAGGCCGCAGCCGTGCCTAGGCCAACTGGATCTAGTGCATTGCTGAAGGTAGAGAAGAGGAGAGCGGAAGTGAGGAGCTTTAGGAACATGATTTTCAGTTTCCACAAATTCAATGCAATAAGTAAACTGGAGCAGTGATGTTCATCGCTGTATGCTCCTTAAATACTTCCAGATTCTGTTCTCAAGGAGGTCCTTGAATACCATGATTTTCCACATTCTATCAATGTAAACAATTCCCAATGGCCCGGTCTTCTGCAACGCCAAAGCTAGGCTGAGATATGGCGCCTCGTTTCGACCAAGGAGAATGCGATAGAGTGAAACATGCCACCCTGTAAGGAGCAGACTTCCCCTTTCTCCCTCAAAATATCGCGTTGAAATACCATTGAACTGATGACGTTAGATGACAATTAATAAGAGAATGAGGAAACGGAATGCAAGTCACCCCAATTTGACAGCATGATAAGACGTCAAAGCCCCAAAATAATCACAATGGGAGGCTAAGATACGCGTTGATCGAGCCAACACCCCTGAACATTATTCTCGCTAGAATCACGAACTCTTGTCAGTTTGATTCGCAGACTACTGAGTCACGTCTATAAGAGGTCCGCGCCTTATAGTCACCTCAGGAACGGGCTGTCTTCACTTATTTAACAACGCAATAGAATACCGTGATGATCATTGGCGGAACTCAAACCTGAAATTTTTGGAAGGAGCCACGGGGAAGAATAATAACGGTTGGCTCGGCATATCCGCATTCTTGCTGTCAGGCCAATAGCCCCTTACAGCGGATATGCTATCCGGCTGGGCCAATATTTCTCTACTAAAAACATGGCAGGTGTCAAAATCACGCTGAGAGTGTCAGAACTGAATTTGCTGTGCAAGGGCTAGGTATCGCACTATCCACTTACGGTCGGAATGTAAAAAGGTTGGCCGATTTTCGTAGCTGAGCCTGCCCCAACCTTCGATAGTAGCTGGGGCCCTTCCCACCTTTTCACTAAACACAACACGGCAGCTAGAATTCTTATGGTGTACAAGTCACCGATTAAAGGATACCTCCCCTTGTTTGCACTGACTGACGATGGTTCAGACCTGCAAAGGGTGATTGCGTTTTCTCGGAATGGATAATTGTGTTCTCTTGGAAGGGATAATTGCCTTTTCTTGGAATGCGTTTAACAAGTGAGTGCTTTGCCATGGCCTGCCACATTCAGCATTTTGAAGCGCTTTGGTTAAAACCTAGTATTTCAAGTTTCTCAAGTTCTTTATCCTTTCCCATCGAAAATCGCCCCGTCTGCGAAATCTTCAACTCCTGTCCCATTGCGGTTCTCACGATCGTCCTCCCACAGCGATGATTGACTTTTACCTCCCGCAGCATTCAACTCCGCTTAAAGAAGGCCGATCTCATCCGCCATGTGCAACGTTCAAAGCCAAAGTACGACGGAAGTGGATGACGTTCCGGACCATTCACCTCGTGTTTGCAGTAGTAGCAGCAGGGTGGTTAACAGTATCATACTTTTACTTCTGGACTGACTCTTCAACTCCGGATGTAAAGAATACGCGGACGACTTTTGATACGGCCAAGGACAGACTCTGGCGAATTCACCCCGCTATTGTAAGGACCGCGGAGGTATGGTGGCAGGATTCAACATCGCAAAATATGTCCGAGAAATCCATAGCGACGTCTCCCATGGAACCGCAGGCCAAAGATGGGTCTGTATCAATGAAAGATAAAAATTCACAGCCTTACGTCCCCAAGGCTTCTAAATATACCAACAAAGATACGGAGTACAGACACATATTCCCCGACGACTTCGACTCCGCCCTCGACTACCTCTTCTCTATAATTCCCAATGAAATGTACCTCCGAGAGCTTCTGCGGCCCGTGATAGGAACGGGCGCGGAAAAGCTGCGTGAAGTCGGTCTACGCACGCGCGCATACAAACAATTCTTCGAAGCCTGGGAGAAACTCCACCTCGTCACGGAAGACAATAATAATACTTACGTTCGGGATGATCTCGTCCCCTACATACGTGCCAAATTCAGCGAGCAAACCTTCCCTGAGGCGCTCCATAAATACGAATCCTATCGCCAGTTCTTCGCCAAGCTCTCCGCGCTGTTGTTTCCGTGGACGAGCCCATACTTCGGAGATCATATGAGCCTGCACGCATCGTCACACCATGGAGGTCGTGGTGTCGTGTTTACGGCGGGCGATAACCACGTGTCCTTCTTACTCGCTGCTATTCCCTCCCTCCGCACCCTTGGTTGCAAGCTACCTATCGAAATCATGTATCTCGGCGACAGCGACTTGAGCGAAGACTTCCGAGCCGAGCTCGAAGCTCTCCCCGGCGTGGTGACGCGTGATCTCTCCGCCATGGTTAGCGATGATGGCTGGCGGCTTACCGGATGGGCCGGTAAGCCATTCTCTATTCTCTTCTCGTCTTTCCGCGAAGTCATCTTCATCGACGCCGACTCATTGTTTTTTGTCAATCCCGAGGTGCTCTTCAATGACGAGGACTACATGCGCACAGGCGCCCTGTTTTTTAAAGATAGGATGATCATGCCCGAGAGCAAAAAAAGGTGGCTACAGCAGATTTTACCAAAGCCGATTTCGAAACAGGTACGGCAGAGCAGGTTGTGGACTGGGAAAAGTGGGCATATGCAAGAGTCCGGAGTTGTAGTTGTAGATAAGTGGACACACTTTGTTGCTTTATTACTAGTAAGCAGAATGAATGGGCCCGATAGGAATGGGAATAAGATGGCGGGGATTGTGGGAACCTATGATATGGTCTATGGTTTGGCTCCCGCCCCCATTTTAGGTCATCCCGTCTATCTTACTAATATCATTGAAAACCTAGGCGACAAAGAGACCTTCTGGATCGGTTGGGAGCTCGCCGGTGACACCTCCTATGCTTTCCACCCTGGTGCAACCGGCATAATGGGCGTCGTTCAGGATCCCGGAAACTTCAACCCACCCAACAACCTACCCGCCATGGACCTCGACCAGGGCTTTACGCAGGGCTTTGCGGCTACCGCTACGAAAAGATACCGCAAAATGGCACCTGGTCACGAAGCTGACCTTACCATCTGCGCGCCCCAACTCCTCCATCTGGACCGCAACAAGCGTCCTTTGTGGTTCAATGGGTGGCTGTACAAGAACAAGTATGCGGTGACTAAACAGGAGATCGGTCAGTTCGAGGTGTTCATGGAAGAGCCGAATGAAGTGTTGGAACCAGGAGCATGGCAGTTAGAGGAGAACAATGTGTGTTGCTTGTCAAATGCGGCGACACTGGATTTTACGGATGAAGAGACGGAGTGGCTGGGGGAATTGGTTAAAATGGCAAATAAATGATATTATTGGCTAGTTCATTTCGCCTTTTTCTTTTTGCTGCATGTCGATTCATCAGAGATAGTCAAAGTGGACGGTCCTTCCGTGCAGAGTTTGCAATGAACTATTTGCGGAAGTCATGCTTTCAACTTCCTGCCGATGAGTTTCATTCGACTGTGATGGGACCACTGTGGTACACTATCAACTAGTTGTTATTATACTGACGAGTTTCGGTAAATATAATTGCCAATGGCAGCAGGGAATAGGCATGATATAGTACAGTAGTGAAGCGTTAACATGAATGAGATGTGTTGGACAATTACGCCTACCTCTCTGCGTGGTTGGAAATGCTCGGCAAACTGAGGATTTGGCCATCGAAATTGCTTTGCTGAGAAATTATTATTTACATTCGCTGATAGAAGATTCGCTATTCTCGAGATTTTCATTGTTGCTTCATCTCCAGCCGCTTCTCATCCTCGCAATTCCTTCACGTTGTAAGAAATCAGATAGAAGAGGTGCATTCGAGTGCAAGTCGTGGTTCTCAAGTGGGCGTGTATCCAAAACACATGACCATGTTAACCCTTCCTGGTAGGAACCTCGCATAGTTATTTTCCTTTTGGTTGCCTGCCAGATTATCTCAGCCATCAAGGTCCCTTTCGCGAGCTACATGGAATTTTCCAGCAAAATGACATAACCTCTAAGACTAAAGCCTCCAGCGACTCGTTCTAGCACGCTTGCTTTTCTTATCAAGCTTATCGGTGAGGATGCGGTCGAGGAGGGTGTGGTCGGGGTCGATGTGGCTGAAGAAATTGAACGCATAGTGCACCAATTCTTGTTAGTAGTTCGGAGCGCTATAGGGAAGGCCAAGATTGCCTCCAGAGAATACGCAGATGACGTCTAGCTTAGGCTACATCAAAACCCAAGTCGGGCCCAACCAATTGGGTTTGGGTCCAACCCTTAGACCCAACCTATGTTATATCTTGTAACTAGTAGCTTTCCCCTTTTTCAGATCTGAAATATTTAGACAATCACCAAGACATTGGGGTACAGTACTTCTCCCAATGAATAGACATATCAGCCTCCTTGAACTTTTCCATCCCTCCAGAAACGCCATCCTCCGCGACCACCCAATCGCCCAATTCAACACGCTCTGCCCAGCTTATCAATATCTTATCTAAGAATTGGCCATATACCCGTCCAGGGAGAAGCCCAGAGTAGCAGATAATTTGATATAGGAACGAGGCTAGATTCGATACCAGATGGGACTCAATTCCGACGGGAGAAGAGCTTTGCCACCAACTAGTGCAAGGCAATGTGACCAAATCATTACCAACCCCTATCCATGCGTTTTCTCAAATTTGGGTATGAAGCTCGGCGGATAGTGCCGGGTCAAATTGGGACTCCGGTATTAGTGTAGGCTAGCAGACAGTGGGGTGGACCCGATAGTGTGATTAGGAAGTTTTCACGGAGGATATAGGATATAGTATACTCTAAGCACCGAAATAAGGAAATTTCGCTGACTAGGGAAGTTTTTGCGGGATAAATACGCCTAGGAGCCGAGGATGGCTTTTGAGGAGACTAGAAGAGGCCCGGACTAAGGATCACGCTTAGTCTGTGCCATAACCCGCAAATGGGTAGGTAAAGTCAACCCGCAACCCGAACCCGCAGAACCCATGGGTTGGTCAAGTCAACCCGCAACCCGCATGGGGCGGGTTGCGGATCGGGTGCGGGTTACCCACGCTAGCCCATCTTTGCATAATTTTTTAACACTATACCTAAAAAGGATGGATAAATCCAATTTTTTATGTAATAAACCACTTTTAGGTGGGTCGTGATCCGTGCACCACGGATTTTACCTAACGTGATCCACGGTCGCCCGAGCGACACGGCCGCGCGAGCGACCCCATCGAAAATCCACTTCAATAATAATACATACTTTTTAACCACAACAAAAATGCCACCCCAACGCTCTGAGAAAAAAACAAAATTGATAGAGCAAGAAGGTCGCCTTTTATTAGCTATAAAAGCTATAAAAGATGGTAAATATCCCTCTGCTGCAGCTGCTGCACGATCTTTTGAGATACCTGTCTCAACTTTGAAGGCCCGGATCAATGGGCGCGAATCTGCTGCTGAAAAGAGGGCATCTGGTCACATATTCACCCAAATTGAGGAGCAATCGATAGAGAATTGGCTACTTGATATGGACTCAAGAGGTGCAGCTCTTACTTTGCCTATGTTGCGAGATATGGCCAATCTTTTACTTATCGCAAAGAAAAACACACCATCTACCACTGGTATCAATTGGCCTTCTCAATTCATCAAACGACACCCGAATCTCTCTACTCGACTCTCTCGTAAATACGACTATCAGAGAGCACTCTCAGAAGACCCCCGGATCATTAAGCCATGGTTTGATTTAGTTCAAAAGACCATTGAAAAGTGGGGTATTGTTTCAGACGATATCTTCAACTTTGATGAGAGTGGTTTTGCTATGGGTATCGGCGCAACACAAAAAATTATCACTTCTGCAGAATACCACGGGAAAAGAGCTCTTTTGCAGGCTGGAAATCGTGAATGGGTAACCACAATTGAGTGTATTCGAGCTTCTGGAAGTGTTATGCCTCCACTCTTCATTTTCAAGGGAAAAATGTTTCCAGAGCATCTACGCCCCTTTCTCCTTTTGAATCAAAAAGGAGCACGTCTCACTATGAGTGAAAATGGCTGGACTACCAATACAATTGGTTTATGGTGGTTGAAACACCTTTTTATTCCAAATATTGGGACAAGAGTGGGAAAATATTGCCTACTGGTCCTCGATGGCCATGGGAGTCATTTGACCCCCGAATTTGACCAACTTTGCGAAGAAAACCAAATTATCGCAATCTGCATGCCTCCTCATGCCTCTCACCTTTTACAACCTTTGGATGTGGGCTGTTTTTCGGTTTTGAAGAGGCTTTATGGAGGAGCGGTTTCAACCTTGATGCGGAATGGAGTGAACTCTATTGATAAGGAGGATTTCCTTGAAATAATCGCAGATGCGAGAATTGGTGCTTTTAAGACCTCTACTATACAAAATAGCTTTTCAGCTACTGGATTAGCACCATTCGATGCTAATAAAGTCTTGGAAAAGCTAAATGTGCGCCTGGATTCTCTTCCTCCTTTCGAGATCATCTCTCAAAGACCACTCTCTTCCGGTAGTGATAGTGATCCAAATACTCTTTGGACTCTCTCAAAATTCACAAAATCGCAATCTCGGATCAAAAAAGGTCTAGAATCTTCTTCTTCAATCCTTTCTTCACCAACAAAAAGGGAGATTGAGAAGACCTACAACATGACTATCAAAGTGGTCCACCACCATATTTTTCTCCAGAATCGCTGCGCCCAGCTAGAGGCTACCAATAAGAAACAGACCAAAAAAAGAGAGACAATACCAAAATTTACTACCCAGAAAGGCATCTTTGGGGGTCTAGAGGGTGGTGAAGATGATGTGGTCTACAAGGATGAAGATGTAAGTAAAGATATATATCTACCAGAGGTATCTACAAATGCGGTTGTTGAGCCTACCTTACCTTCTATGCCTATAATTCGGCGGCAAATGACATGTTCTGGGTGCGGGATAAAAGGGCATACATATACTTACTGCCCTACTAGCTTTAGATAACAAAATTTATGTCGTTTTTGTGGTTTTAATAGTCATTGAAAATTGGTGATTTTTGAAAAGTTGGTGGGGTCGCTCGCGCGGCCGTGTCGCTCGGGCGACCGTGGATCACGTTAGGTAAAATCCGTGGTGCACGGATCACCACCCCTTTTAGGTACAGTTTTATACATAAATTTCTATGTTTGTCCTGTTTGACGACCCATTGGGTAACCCATAAACCCGCGCGGGTTTCCCATCAGAACCCGCAACCCGCATGCGGGTTAGACAGACCGACCCAAAACCCGACCCATAGGGAGGATGGGGCGGGTTCGGGTGCGGGTTTCTGCGGGTTACGGCACAGCCTAATCACGCTATGCTATATCAGGAAATCGGGTTTTGTTGCAGGGTCCAATGTGGGGCTTTATGTTTGATACGTTCTAGCAGCAAGTTGGGAGTTGGAATTTGACTGCACCCGTGGCAAATAATCTCAGCTTGAGTTACGATTTCGTCGGAGCAATTCCCGTGAAGCTATCGAGTAAAGAGCCTTTCACTTTTACCACCCACCAGGTGGACCACTACGAGTTCCCAGCTATAATAATGGAGTTTTGACCAAATTTTCCATCCAATTATCCATGATAACCATGTGTAAATAGATAAGTAGAGCTAAAGTCCTATCACTAAAATTTTGATTTTCTAATAAATTATATACTTCAAGGCATGATATTCAATTTCTTGGCGCCAAAGGGCCGCCAAGCTGGGGGAAGATGACCACAGTACTTGTAGGTAAAAGCTTCACTCACAGAAAGATATGTGATATTGGGGATGGGGGGAGAAAAGAGAAAAGGGCAGAAAATCTGGAGAGTATGCCCCCAGACCCAAACTAAGCTAGTCCTAAACGGGATACCAGCGCTGCCCAGGTCACCTGACCCAGGGACACCGACACATATGAATTTATGCTATTTCACAACCCCATACTTTAGACTCGGGAACTATGAAGAAAGCATCAGAGTAGCTACAATTTGATCAGCAAAAGTCAATTGAAAGAGTTTCCGCGGATCAAACGATTCTGAATACTATGATAATAGCGTCGACTGCCAAGGAAGGCATGCTAATCCTTTTTATACCGCCTCTTATACATATGTACTTATTCGCCAGCTTTCATTGAAATATTGTTTTCACAAAGACCCAGTTTGCTAACTCTCAGTGTTGAACTCCGAGGCTCTGGAGGAGTTAACAGGACATATAAAGCGAGAGAAACAGGAGCGAGCAGAGCCGGTCGAAATGATCTGCCGGCAACAAAAAGTTGAAATAGCACATGGTATCGTGTCAGTCGAGGTCTCGCCGGTTTAACACCGAGTCAATTTTCACACCGCAGACTGATTTTGGTGCCTTTCGTTTCTTAGGTATGTTATTGTGAGTCAATTGAAAGTCCACGTTGATTTAAGGGAAGAAGCATAGTGATGTGATACGTAATAGGAGGAAGTCAACAATCATTAGTCCAAGTGGTTTCCAAGCTAGAATCTTTAACAACGCGCTCGCCCATTCCTTTTGCTCTCTGCCATTATCTGCTCTATTTTACGGCTACCTTCACAGCCACTAGTCGGTCGCGAATCCCTCGGCATCGCCACGAATGTTTTCGTTCCGGCTAGCTTGCATACCTAGAGAGTCCTGCCTAATTCTAGATGCTAGTGGTGTTGTCCACTCGGGAAGGAGGCAAATTGACTCCATATCAATATCTGTTCTGATATTCCTCAGTAGGTAGACCAAATCTCCTTCCCAGTCGAGACTATTGATACTCGCTGTGCGATGCATCATAAAGCGACCATGTTATAGTTCTCAGAAATAACACATTTCGGAGCGGTCTTACTCTGTTCTGAAGTAACAAAGCGCCCAGGCCGATATCGTGTTTTATCGAGGAGACGCATGAGCAGGGAGTTCATTACCCTTCGGCAATTTTGCATTACAAGGCTTCATTGGAAGTACACTTCACTGCACGTTATCAAGCTAGGACTGAATATCAAACATTGGGAATTTGGGACCTCACGGCAAAATCATACAAGTCTTGCAACAGACTGTCTTTGTCGATGATCATCTCACATTTTGAGGACCCACGTGTGACGTTGAGAGACGTTGAAGCTCATTGGCTCGCGTGCTGGCGAGTGGATCATTAGTGATCGGACAGATGGTTGGCCCGAGTGGCTTGCCGACACCCTGAGAGACGAAGAATTCGAAAACCGAGGCCCGAAAACTGTGGAGCTCAGTACGCGCCGTGGCGAGAGAGAATTAACGGGTTACAAAAAAATTTGTTTGATTAGACCAAAGAATCTAAATAGTGGAAACCCAGAAAAGGGGCGTGAACTCTCCCCCTGTAACAGCGTATCTGAATGACATTACCCGTATCGAGGGATTACCCGCTGAATACATAGTGTACATACACGTAAGAAAGATAGGAACTGAATCAACCAATCTCAGGTCACTGTAATAAATAGACCCACTGTACCCTTGACAGATGATTACCACGTCCGAATGAGGTTGCATTCTGCTGTATCTTAACTATTTGACCTCGCTGGGCGATTGCGCTATCGGAGACACTGCTTGGGAGAACTAACTACAGGTGTTCAAGGAAAGCATTCCCGACCACGGCAAAGAGTGGAGAATCCAGCCGGAAAGGTAATGGGTCTTTGCTTTTTCTGCATCCAACGGGCAGTTTGATGCTCCGGGACGAAATAAGTTTAATTTGTTAAACGCCTCGATTTTCCATCCAAACTCGCAATTCCGTTGCTTTGTCTGCCAACTAGTCACTCCACTACTCTTAACGGTAGGAAGGATGCTTTCCATCAACATTCCAAAGCATGCTACGCCCGATCAATACGAATTGGGTGAAGTTCTTTCCCTTACCGTAGAACGCCCTACCGACATTTTGATCAAAGTCCATGCTGCGAGTGTCAACCCGATCGACGTCAAGAAAGCGGCAGGGGCAACCAAAGCTGTTCTTAAGGACAGGTGAGAGTCTTCTTTTTTCTGGGATGTTCTTCAAACTAAATGTCCTGGGAAGCTTTCCCTACAAAATCGGCTATGATTGCGCCGGCACGGTCTTGGATACCGGATCCCAAGTGACACGATTTAAAGCTGGTGACGAGGTTTTTGTTAGATTGCCAGAATGTCATCGGGGATCGTGGAGTGAGCTGGCAAGGTCAACTGAAGAATTTGTTGCATTGAAACCGAACGCTATTTCGATGGAGGACGCTGCCTCCATTCCCTTGGCGTGTATGACGGCACTGCAGGCGCTGCGGGGTTACGAAGGAAATCTCGAAGGAAAGACCGTCTTTATACCTGCTGGTTGTAAGTTTCCCTGGACATCCCTTTTGTGGACCGAATATTTACCTTCGCACATTGGGTGGAACTGGTATATTCGCATGTCAGCTAGCGAAGAATATTTTCAGAGCTGGCAAGGTAATCACCACGGTCTCCACCAGCAAAGTGGACAAAGTGAAGGAGCTCTTGGGCGAAGGGGTGGTTGATGAAAGTGAGTCGACTGCATTCTGGTATTTTGCCGCGCAAAAGCTCACATTTACGCTATCAGTCATTGATTACAAGAAGTCAGATCCTATGACTGTAATTCCTCCACGATCGGTGGACTTCATCTTTGACACCACAGGGAGTGCAATGGAGTATCTATCATTGGTGCGCCTGAAGGGAGCCATTGTTACAGTTTCCATACTCACATCGGGGGACGTGCTCCAAAACTCGAGCGTTATGCGAAAATCGCCAGACAAGCAAGACAAGGCAATCGTGCCCTTCCCTATCCGTATTGCCCTGAATTTTATGGACTGGATCCGAAGGGCGCGCGCATCTCCGTATGGGGTCAAGTATTCATCTATTTTCTTGGAACCAAACGCGACCGATCTGAATTCTATTCGAGAATGGGTAGAAACAGGAAAGGTGAAAACGATTGTGGGAACAAAAGTGCACTTCAAGGACCTTACCGCGGTCCGTGATGCATGTCAAGTGGTATATTGTGGGAAAGGGGGCATTGGAAAATCTGTAATTCTGTTCGTTTGAGATGCTTTTGGACTTAATGAGTCATGGAGCCTCCCGAGCCCAATCATCTTCAGGTCCCAGTCTTCTAGTTGATGTCTAATTTCTTACTTTTCCTTTTTCATGCATAAAAATGTTGAACATATACGCCTGCATGTTACCTTCAAGTTTGATCTGAAACATTGAGGGAATGTTCTGAATACGTCCTTATACAGTGAAGGCGAGGTAAACATAAGGCTCACGGGAACCTACCAGTAAAAGGTACAGTTATAGAATGCGTGGAGCGATCCTTCTGGTCGGATATGAAGAATAGTATGTACTTGAAGAACAGCAGCTTATGCCGCTGTTGAATTTTATTGGAGATACATTTTCAATATAAAATGCCAGAGGGAAAGCATGCTCTATACGCTTCCAAAATACATGCTTTACCTGCCAAGGTAACATCTATCAGAGAGGATGAAGAGCAATAGAAGCTCTTGGTTCCTTGATCCTTCGTGCAAGCCACCTCAGCGGCAACTACAGAGACTACTGAAACCTCTATATTCTGGAGACACGTCTACAAATACTTGATGGCACGCGTCGACTCTATTTCTCGCATTAGCTCTATGACCTTGTAAGAGCATGTTAGTATCAATCCAGATGTGAACCAATCGGCTTCTGAAAATACACAGCCTTGCATGGTCCTTTCAGAGGCATTTAACTGTGCGACGCTGGCATCTTATTATCGATTGGGTGCCTCTATCTCTCGACCGGAAACTTAGCATGTGAAATACAATTGTTTTTCGTTCACTAGCTTTTCTGACCGAATAGACGTTAAGTATAACTTGCGACACAGAATTAAGACTGAAAGGATATTCCGAATGAGCAGATCGTACATTGAACTGGAAAAAAGAATTGTTCGCAGAGAAGGCTGTGCGAAGGAAAGTCACTCTCCCGACAGTCTCCGGAACAATAGTATGTGCTCCCACACTGTGCACATTTTATTTAGCTTGTTTGACGATAAGGCAATACCATAAATTTTGAAGGACTTTTGGCCATCTTGATAGTGACCTTAGATTTAAATGAGGCTGCTGAGCATTCCAAGAGAAATTCGACCCCGCAGTACAGTAATCCGCAATACCTCCTCCATCGAGCAATAGCATTCCCAGGCTCTTTGACACTGACCCGACTCAAAAATCGTATTAAAAGCTGCAACTGAAAGTTTGACCACACGGCATTAGTCGGGGCGCGTCACAGGTTCACTTTGTAGTCTCCATAGACTCTTCAATCTCATTCGCGACTTTATCGTAGACTTTTTGCCGCAGCTTCTTCTCGTCGTCTGTCTTCACTAAATGATCCCAATAGTGCGGTACGTTCTCAATGGTCTCACAATCAACCTGCTTTCCCGCGGCCTTGAGTCTAGTAGCTGCAGCTTTACCTTCAACCAATAAGGGATCCAAGCCGGCAAGTTTCAGAATAATCCGGTTAGGCAAAGCCATTTTCATCATATCCAGAGAAGCCTGTCCTGGAGAGATGCACATTTGGCCTTTATCTGGCATTGGTTGCACATTCCAAAAGTAAGCTCGGTCAAAGATGTCACCGATGAGTTTGGAAGACGATGCAGGCTTTTTCTTTAGCGCAACAAACGCTGGATTGGAGGCAGCACGCTCAGCTCTGGATTTGGTCAGATCCATTGGCGGGTAAAATGCAGTGATACCCTTAACTGTGCCCACTATAGCAGGATCAACTAGCGGATCTCTGTCCTGCAGTGTCTTCCACAGCATGAATAGTGAAGCAAACGCCATCTGACCACCGACACTGAAGCCGGTTATAAATGTACGGTGCTTGTCTAGCCCCATGACTGCAGCGTTTCTCCAGACATAGAGTATAGCATCGAGGCAATCAGCCACGGGGGCAGGATATGGGTGCTCGGGTGCGAGACGATAGTTAACTGCTACGACCACAGTACCACGTGCTGTAAGGGTAGCAATGAAACGTTCGTCATGGCGAGCATGTCCGACACACCAGCCTCCTCCATGGAGGACTAGGACGATAGGATATTGCCCTTCTTTCGTAGATTCTTGGTTGTAACCAGGGGGGTGGTAGAAAAGCAGATCAAATTTGCCGGGTGAAGTGGACAAAGTCGATGGAATGAAAGCTCGGGAGCTCGGAGTAAGTGATAAAGCAGGACTTCTTTTACGATCCAGCCAAGCAAGAAGCCACGTTATCCACCTCAGGATGCGCAATTTGAAGTAGAATGTGAGCCAATCCAACGCCATCGCTGTGTGGTATGTGCGTTGGCAACTTTAGTCAAGCCCTAGGTGGCTTAAAATGTTGGGTAGAGAACGGAAGATGAAAGAATATTTTTACTAGCGTGATGGCGTATGGTCTGTGAGTCTGTGGAGTCTGACATATGTCCATTAGACTCCATTATATATTGAATATTACAGGACGAAAGCAAGGTTTTTCTTCCGAGGTAAACACTCGACCGGGTTTGAGGAAGTAGGGCCGATTAAAAAGTGGAGATTATTGATTTCGGGATTAAAGATCCCATCGCCTAGTAACGGATAGTTTGTTGCTCCGAATATCGAATGACGAGCAGACAACACCAACCATTTTGGTTTTTGCCGGCAATTGGTACTGATTATCCATTGAACAAAATTGTACCGAAATAATCTCGGTATCGAGAATTACGGAGGAACGGAGACACGAAATGCTTCTTCTGACACCTCTCATCACCGTTGGCTCCAATATTTTCGGACTGCGGTGGGATCTGACCAGCTTCTATGACTACGGGGCTAAGGATTAAGATCTTTTTTCAATCTATGTCCGAAACATCCTTTAGCTACTCAAATAGGCGAAAGAGCAGAAAAGAGGTGAGACAAGAGCAGGAAGCGAATGGGCCCAAACGATAAATTTAGCAAGACAGCTCGCTGTGTCCACTGGAGTTGTCAGTATACAGGACCTCCAGGCAGGCAACATTGAATGCGTGCCACTTCAGGACGACAGAAGGACAGTTCACCGGTGACAACCCAACGACGCGACGAACTCCTTCGGCGCTAACTTTGTGAATAGCCAGAAAAGCATAACATGGAGCATTTGAAGATGTCGACTTTTTCACTATCCTCGCAACTGCAACCTTGCTATTTGTTTGGAAACTGATTTTTGCTTCGACCCACTTCTTCAGTAGCTACCCACTGAAAATGCTAATTAATTGATCTCGATATGAAGCACTGGACCTAGCTTTCCAAATGGTATCGCCAACCGGTGGTCCGATTGAGCCCCCACTCGTCATGTGCTGGGGTATCGGTCAGCTCCTCTCATACTCGGTGCTGCTCACCCTCAAACACTCGACAAACGAGTGGGGATGGCGTATCCCCTTTGCGGTCCAATGGGTTTGGCCTGCCATTATTGTTCCAATGATCCTCTTTGCGCCCGAATCGCCCTGGTGGCTCGTACGACACAGTCGTCGTGAGGATGCCGAGAACATTCTCAAGCGACTCGCTAGCGGAGGCGTCACCGACGAGCAGATTCGCCGCAGTGTCGCGCTGATGGTCGAGACTAACAGACTCGAGGCGAACATACACGAAGGTGTTGGATATCTCGACTGCTTCCGCGGCACCAACCTGTGGCGCACCGAGATCGCCTGTGCAGCCTGGGCTGCGCAGCTATGGAGCGGGTTCGTGATTGCCTCCTACTCAACTTACTTCTTCGAGCTGGCCGGTCTCGCGTCCCAGGATGCGTACAAGATGAGCGTCGGTCAAGGTGGTCTTCATCTGCTCTTCAATCTTATCTCCATCGCCTTTGTCACCAACTTCGGCCGTCGCCGTCTATACCTTTGCGGTCTCGCCTTCATGGGTCTCATTATGTTCCTGCTGGGCTTCGTCGCCTTGGCACCCGAAATTCCTGCTGTTGGCTACGCATCCTCCGCGCTCTTCCTCCTCTGGAACTGTGGTTACCAGCTCACCGTCGGTCCATCTGCCTATGTTCTCGTCAGCGAGGTCTCATCGACGCGCCTGCGTGCCAAAACGGTCGCTCTTGCCAGGAACGCGTATAATCTGTCCCTGTTGGTAAATTACTTCGTGGGCCCTTACATTCTCAACCCCACTAAGGGTAACTGGAAGGGAAAGACGGGTTTCCTGACCGGTGGCATGATAGTTTTCTTTTGGATTTGGGCCTGGTTCGGTCTCCCTGAGACTAAGAACCGGACTTTTGAGGAGTTGGACATTCTCTTCTCAAAGAAGGAACTCAAGGCTCGAGACTTCAAGTCGTATGAGGTGGTAGAAGCGGATATCCACGATGTCAAACTAGGTGCTCTCGCCTGAGACTTCTGCTCGCTAGCTATATTTACTTGATTGGAGAGATGAATAGCGATCGAGGGTAGATTCGATCCGCCGTCGAACTCTGTTTACTTCATAGTGGAAGACGATTCTCCGAATTAGATTTAGATCTACCATTAGGAAGGAGGGTAGTTGGGACATATTGTAGAACCCGAGTTTTGGCCTTGAAAGGCAGGATAACTTCGCTTAACACACTTGCACAAGATATTTCATATATCGAGCATCCTACAATGGTGCTGCATCACTTATGTCCTGGGGGAAGGAATCTTACCCTTCTAGCTAGGCTTCTACAAAACCCAATGGACCCCAAACCCAACCCCACCCAACCGCACTTTGGGTTGGGTTTTGGGTCCAACCTTCGACACCAGCCTGGGTTTTGGGTCTAGCCCTCGGACGCAACCCAATATATGGGGCCTCAATAGGGCCCCAAAAAGGTCAAATAATTATAAACACGCCAAGTCTAGGCATATATATAATTTCTGTGTTTTAAAGCTGTAATATTACGTATTTCCCTTATAACTTTCGACAGTAACCATACTAGTGTGCACTGCACCTCTGGATACCGATTGCTTAATTCAAAGGGTCAGTTGTGATAGGGGCTAGACAGGCCACCCGCAATTGACACGGGTGGGCCATGTCGATGTCTTACAGGAAAAGAGGCCAAGAGGGCTTAGTTTGAATTTGAAGATGGTGTCAACTGGGTTGAATGATAAGTGGATAGGTCAATATTTCTATCTAGGGGTCACAGACATCCTTCACTTATCCAGTGAAGCACCCTTCGCCTGAACCTGGGGACATTGTAACAATTGTACCAACGACCTTTGCTTAGGGGCTAGAGTAGCCTTTCATCAGCCCTTTATCTAGCCTTCACAGTGACCACACCATGCGCTGGAACAGCGACATCAGCTTTTCTTCCATCCAATCTGACGTTCGTACTTGCAACCCGGTGCGAGTTATCGGTCACCCAAGCCTCCACTCCATCTAGCTCTTTATCGAACTGAATCTGAGCAGACTGCTCTGTAGTGCCATTGTTAGTCAAAATAACAATAATAGATTCGTCAGTGTTTAAAAAAGCCGCTGGCATGACATCTGCAAGCTCTCCGCTGGTAGAAACACGATAGGCCCCAGGACGGACAAAGCGAGACCACATGGCAAAGGCATACAATATTGCAGAGCCCTCAGCACTGCCGTCTTTCACATCAACTAGGTGGCTGGCGGATTGGGTTTGATTGTTCTCGAAGCCCTCCCAGAATAGGTAGGCAGAAAGGCCTGCATCGATGAACCCGCTTGCAAGCTTGCCGGCCCAGACCATGCCTTCGTTCAGAGCGCCGTTGTTGTGCCACGTGGTTGTGAATCCCCCGTCACTGGTTTCGACGCCAGATTCAGATATCCAGGTTGGCAGATCTGTCTCTAAAGCGTAGGTGGCGTCTCCGGTGTACATGTGCGATGTGATCACGTTGAGATAATCTTCCATTCCAGCGGCTACAAGGGCCGTTGTGTAGGTGTCCTGGTTAGGCCAGCCCATGGCATCACAACATGTGATGTTCAGATCCAAGTCGGCTCCCTTCACAGTCTCATATAGAATTGGGATGAACGAGATTGCCTCCTGTGCGTTTGAACTGATCTGCATCTGCGAATAGGTTGTTCTGGGTGGTGGAAAGGAAAAGGGCGGTAAGCGAAACAAGGATTACCAATGGAAAGAGATGCTAATAGCTCAAGATAGTTAACAACTTACTCGTAGTCAGGCTCGTTAAGAAAACCCAAATGGGTGATGGACAGCCCTTCTGACTGGTAAAACTTGACATACTGAACAAGATAGTCTGCATAAGCCTGCCTCCAATCTCCAGAAGTACAGTTGTGACCAATCGTTCCGCAAAGGTAGCTTGAGAGATGTCAGCAGTAGACTCACGATGCTAGTACCGGGGGGCACCTACCCAGATGTTGCCTCATCCCCACTAGTCTTCATAAACCCCGGCGCACTCCAGGCATCCGCGTAAATAGTCGACACACCGTAAGATACAGCTTGCTTGGTAAACCACACCTGACCGACGTCATCTCCGGTCCACATGTAATTTGGGGTTGTTGACGGTGAGCCAGGGTTTTTTGGCTCAATCGAGCTCGTGGAAGAAGATGGGATGTAATTTCTGATGATGCTGAACCCGGCGCCTTGCTCTATGCCAAATAGAAGGTCCAGAGCCTGTTTTTGAAGATCAGCGCTGGCAGCTTCAAGCTCGGTGGCGCGCCCAAAGGCTTGTGAAAAGCCGAAGCCATCGATCTGCTGCAGAACTGAACAGGTATCGACCACGATTGAGCTCGCGGAGAGGACTGCCGTGGGGGCAGTGAGGGCCAATAGGAAATAATTGAGAGGGACCATTGAAATTATCTTATGGTAAATTATTGTCACACGTTGGAGCTGTTGGACTATAGCATCTAGAGAGACAAGGAGCTTTATATAGTCATGTTTTCAACCCGATGTGCCAACTCTTACAAGGGTGACCAGAGTCAAAAGCAAATTACGCGGCATCTTAGCTCCGGCGAAAAAGCTCGGATAAAAATACGATAGTATCCTCCAAAAAGGGGAACACTGATCCACCAAGGCCTAAGTAGGGGGTGGCTATACAGAATTTTAGCTAGCTAGCTTCAAATAGCTTCAATCTTGAAATTGGCACAATTCAAAGGATAATAGTTCTAGTAGGACTCACCGCACTAACAAAATTACCTAGGTCACCCGAAGCGTGTCCCATACGCTGCATAATACCCACCATATATCTGAAACTCCAGACTAATATGTAGGACGGCGTCAATTGGTGTTGATTGCTCGCCTAAAGCTGTTCGGTAAAATTTCGGGTGACGAATATGGAGACAACTTTATCTTATATGAAACGTGCCAAGAAAAGGAAAAATCCCACTAATGATTATCAACTGCCGAGACTTACCCTCTTGCTTCACCTTAGCTAGTTTATCCATTACTCCGTGATCATCCACCACACGTCTTTAAATATGGGTATATAGCTATCCTATCGACGCTACTTAAGTTATTGAATTCTTCCAGTCCTGCGTTGTTGCTTACCATTGTAAACAAAAACCCCACAATGACAACCCCAAAGCATTTGCCTATTCTCACGTCGATTGCTATACTGCTCGCATCATTCCCATATGCCCTAGCACAATGTGACCTCCCATCAACCTACAATTGGACCTCAACCGGCCCCCTCGCAGACCCCCAGTCGGGCCTGGCATCTCTGAAAGATTTCACAGCTGTCCCATATAACAACTACCACCTCGTTTACGCATCCTACGTTGACTCTTTGTCGAACTACGGCTCACTCAGTTTCGGGATTTTCACTGATTGAGTTGATATGGCCGCCGCAAACCAAAGCACTATGAGCGCCAGAACCGTCGCACCAACCCTCTTCTACTTCTCCCCCAAAGACATCTGGATCCTCGCATACCAATGGGGGGGTCTACAGCCTTCTCGTATAAGACATCCACCGCTCCAACCGACGTAACCAGATGGTCTGAGGCACAGGAGCTTTTCACGGGGACAATCTCTGACTCTGACTCCGGGGCCATCGACCAAACGCTGATTGGCGACGACGAGAACATGTATCTCTTTTTCGCTGGAGATAATGGTAACATCTACCGCTCCAGCATGCCTCTCTCTTCCTTCCCTGGCTCCTTTGGAGCTGAATATGAAATAATTCTCACCGACTCCCGCAGCAACCTCTTCGAAGCAGTTCAAGTCTACACCGTCCAAGGTGCATGCGCAACAACTTTCTTGATGATCGTTGAAGCAATGGGGTCGGAAGGGCGGTATTTCCGGTCCTTCACGGCGGACAGTCTAGACGGAGAGTGGACAGTGCAGGAGGGTGCGGGGACAGAGAGCAGTCCGTTTGCAGGGAAGGCAAACAGCGGTGCGAGCTGGACCAATGATATCAGCCATGGAGACCTGGTAAGGGTTACGGCAAATCAGACGATGAGTGTTGATGCATGTAATTTGCAGTTGCTTTATCAGGGGAGGGATGCCTCAAGTGATGGGGAGGACTATGATTTGCTGCCTTATCGGCCGGGGCTTTTGACATTGCAGGTTTGAGGACTTTTTTAGCGTACTGGACACAATAGGAGACTGGACAGACTTGGGGCGCTGGAGCGGGGCTTTCGGAATATCCCTGCTGGCCCTGCCCAGTGCCTTTTTGATGGCCAGTCAGGGCCAGATTGTTCAGGTAAATCCAGCTCCTTCTTCATCAGGCAGTGATTAGACTGACTTATCTCAAAACTCTCATTCTTATAAATTATCTTTGTCTTCTATAAGAGGATTATTTGAGCTAAATTGTACAATAGATAATATAAGAAATCTATATAGTTATAGATCGATCGTTTAGCTTTAATGACTATAGCAACTTTTGGATACTAATGTTATAACTAAGTTATTATTATATATCACATTATTAACTATAATTATAAAGACTTCATCTTAAAAATTGTACTCTTTCATATTTTATTAATATATCCTCTACTATTTCGTATTATTCAATAGCGAAACATAAAGCTATACCTAGCTATTTATCTATATAAATATTAAATTATAAAGTTCTAATTTAACATATCTGATAGGATATGATACCTTCACTCCCTAAAGAAAAGAAAATGACTTTGATTTAGTAATATAAAGACGGATGAAGGATAGAATGAGATAGAGAACTACTTAGTGGAAGGAGAACCTGAAAATAGTATTGGGCGAGAGATACCGATCTTATTCAATACTTTCCTTTCGAGTAAATACTTTAGAGGATTTGTGCTATATATATCCTACCTCTACCGATATTCCTCCGCGTTGTAGATCTAAGTCAATAAGAAAAATGAAGTGTGGGGTGTAAATCACGACTTAGGCTTATACTTTTAAGTAACAAAAAGTAGTAATGGAAGGTTAGATAACAACCTAATCGTGAACGGGCGATAGTTCATTTGGAAGAACTTTCGGAAGAAGCTTCTGACTACGTCGCTACTTCCCCTATTTGTGTTCCGTAATTTGGGTTATCGGAGACAGTCTTACTTTTCCCGTTCCCGTTCATATAGCCGCGGTTGTATGACATTTGCAATCCTAAATCGGAACGGTTTGGAATCACTTCGAATTAAAGGAATGGTATTTCAAAATCGCGTTATTCCAAAATTTAAAAATAATGCCGCTTAGTCTCGAGTCTACGGGTCGAATATATGTTCTACCTAGTATAGACTTATTTCTATATTCGTATAGCCTGCTTTAGAGTAGGTAAAATACCACCCGGGGGTGGGGTGAGTAGTCCACGAACTACGTTAGGTGGCCGCTAGCCAGATAATAAGCGTGTATAGGAACCGATTATCGGCGGAGATATATTCGATTGCCGTGACTAGCGTCCGCTTTACTGTAGTCCCTCGATGCTTTCTTAAATCGTCTTTTCTAACGAGTATCTTAAGTAGACCTCATACCCGCCCGCGGGTCGGGCTGGTCTTTTACTAGCCCTCATGAGGGCCGCCCGCGGGCTTTTCGAGGGCCGACAAACAGGACAAACAGTACACATACTTTTGAAGACCCATACTCGCATAAATTATGCAGTTTTTCAGCTGTATCTTTAGGTATTTACTTTACACTACTCTTACTGATTTTGACTAGGGTAGTAGTATTTTCTTATGGATTGATAAAAAAGATGAGATAAGTGAGATAAGTGATTTATGAATGGTATTTGCAGCTACTAGATATATGTCTAGTTCGAAGTTTTCCGGCGCTTCCAACCCTCAGTTTCATATCCATCAAGAAGTGTTGAGCGCTGCCGAACCCTCCCTGAATAACGCTGTGTACTAGGTAAGCTAGGCTCACCACTAGTTTCATCCTCTATTAGAGTCCGCTGGCTCTGTTCAACTTCAACAAGGGGCTGGGCTAGGCTAAGAACTTGGGTTCTTGGCGAAGATGCATCACTATCACCATCACTATCATGACCACAATCATCATCTTCCTCATTATCACTGATAGGCTCGAACTGCTGGATAGACATATCCTTCTCCTCCTGGCTAGCCTGTCTCTCTTCAGATGAAAGGTATTCATTGATCAAGGCTCGATGGCTATCTTCAATCTCAAATCTCGATGTGCACATGAACATCATGAGATCCTGAATAGTTGATGGCTTTAGAGAGCCACGCCGATAGTGACAGATATCCCGAGCGGAGTTAAAAAGCCGCTCAACGCCTGCACCTGTGGCTGGTATTGAAAGGATATCTCGTGCAAGATTTGCAAGAGCAGGGAACTGGTGCTGATGGTCTCTCCAAAACGTACACACAGGGGTACGCACAATACCTATAGTATAATCTATCTTAGTATAATTAAATAGTATAGATAGTGCATAGATAGTATAACTTACCACTATTCAGATACTCTTTGATCTCATCATATTCACCGGTAAATGAAGGATAGGAGTCTTCTGCCCCACACTCCATCTCAAGCTCTGAAATACCAGTATCTGCAGATAGTTGGACTCTGGATGATGATTGTGTCTCTGAATAGTGTTGTTTATAGGCTTGAAAGTAGTCTTCAAGGCTTTTGCGGTATTTTATGCAGTAGTCGATATCTGGATCGTCCCAATCCTTATCTTTGAAGAAGTCGAGCTTCTGTTGTGGTGAGAGAATAGTACCGATGGCGTAAAGGTCATTATCAATCTCATCAGTCATACTGTAGTAATGTGAAAGCTTCTTCTCTGCTGCCTCTAGGGAGAGAAGCATAAGCTGCTTCCATACTACCTTCTTCCTCCTTAAGGCACTCTTTGCCTTTTCAAGATGATTAAAAAGCTTATTGTAGATACTGAAAACCAGATGAATACTCACGTCCTTAGTCTTAGACAGAAGGGTGGTGAATTTGAAGAAGGGCTGGGTAATGTAAAGCAGATAGTCAATCTGTCTCCACTCTTCTGCACTTAGCATAAAGTGATCCTGGTCATATTGAGAGCAGAACTCATCAAAGACCGATTGAAGCCGCTTAGCACGTCGAAGCATAAGAAAAGTCGAGTTCCAGCGAGTCCGTACATCCTGGATTGGAACAAGCCTTGGCTCTTCGGTCTGAAGATTGTAGAAAGACTCCCGTCGTTGTGGGCTAGCGTTGATATAGACCGCAAGGTTTCGGACCTAAGTTTTGATAGAAAAGTTAGTTAGATAGATAGAGAGGGTGTGTAAAAGTGTTGCTGATTTCTGTAGAAAGTATCAACTCCTGAATTCTTAGGCTGCTAGATAATGTCTGAATTGATAATGTATTGGGTAGATAGAGGGTAGGGGATAGAGGAATGGGTTTTTGTGCACAAAAACCCATCTCTTGGAGCATAGAGAGTAGGGTGTAAAGATCAAAGAAAAAGTCAAAGAATCAAAATTTTTGTGCACAAAAACGCATCTCTAGACCACATACCTTATTAAGCGTATCAACAATTTCTCTCTTCTGCTGCCTTGCACGAAGGATTCGAACACGATCATACGACCAATTGATCTCTGTGCTATCATTCTTCGGTATTGCCTTCATCTTCCCCAAAAGGTCGTTTAAGCTAAGTTGGATAATATGGGCAATGCAAGGAATCCGCACAATTGTCGAGCTACTGCTTAGCTCTAACGCCTGTAGTGACTCTTGGATACTTGCGACCATGGTGTTTTTGTTTGATGCATTATCCGTAGTGACTGTAAGGACTCGATCTGTAATCTTGTGCTGCTGAAGGATCTTCAAAACAATATCACTTAGATTCACACCTGTGTGGGATCCAGATAGCGGTTCAAAGCCAAGAAGGACTTCTTGGTACTGCCAATCTTGATCAAGAAAATAGCCAGTGATAGCCATGAAAGCCTGTCGAAATGGAGAGGTCCAGCAATCGAGGGCAATCGAAAGCTTTGCGTTTGGAGGGAGCTTCTGAAGAATAGACTTCTGTTGTTCCTGAACGGATTGCCGTAGTCGCGAACGTATCACGACTGCAGATGGAATCTGTGGCTGTATTGGGGCGAGCCGGGCGAATGAAATAATTTCACGAAATTGTGGGTGCTCGATAAACTGGAAGGGGAGACGGGAGAGGGTAAGAAGCTGTAAAAGCTTCTGCTCCCATGCTTCTTGTGTAAAGGTAGTTGCTTTGGTTGGAGTATTCTGTATCTAATAAGGTAGTAAAAGTCAGACATTATTCATAGAATAGTTAAAATAACATACCGCGGTAGCTAGAAGTCCCTTGATATTACCCTTTTGGGTAGTGGAATTTTTGCAAGTTGGTCCAGCCATATGCCGATTAAGGGCAGTTGTTCCATATCGACTATGCCCAGGGTGATCTAGGACTTTATGGCATTTCCGACATTTTGCCCCTGGTTTCCCAGATCTTACGTCCGCAACTTCATCAAAGTGTTCCCAGCATTTAGCTGTCCGATTACTACCCCAATGTATCTTCTTTGTCTTTCCAAAGTCTGTCTCTAGCCACCATGCCACAAAGTCATCTTTTGACATCTTGTCAAATAGGACAAACGCTGTTGAACGACCAGGACCAACACGCTGGAGTGAGGGAGGAATCAGAGGTGGTAGGACCGGCGTAAGAAAACCAGAGTTTGACGTAGTATCCTCAGGGGTAGGGAGTGGCTCGTTTAATAAAGGGTGAAAAGGGTCGTTAGCTACTGGATCGCCGTCGTAAATAGATGAAGAGTAGATATCTGAGAACTGAGACATATTGGATATTATCAATAAGAGTAATATTAAAAGGAAGAATAAAAGAAGGACTTAGCAGCAATAAGGACAGACATACATAAACCACAGTTTCAAGCACGCGAAGTTGACTAGTCGCGTTATGATTATTCTAAGAGAAGTAATCATAGTGATCATAGTAATCGTAGTATGATCTATCATACTATGACCCACTTTTTCTACTACTACCTTCCCCTATTGGTCAGAATTTGAGCGCTAGTTGAGGGCCGCCCTCGAAAAGCCCTCGAAAAGCCCTCGAAATATGCGGGCGGCCCTCAGTTCAATAATCCGCCCTCAAAAAATGGGTAGTCGTGATGCCCCCCCCCAAAAATCTTCCACAAACTCTTCTACCAAATCATAATTTCTAACACTTTACTATTATACCATATATAATTTAATAGTAATTACTAGCAATATATCAAGTAGTTATCGTAATTTCACCTTTTGATTCAATTTTTAATCATAAATACTAGCATTCGAGATTTAAAGAGAGTATTACTAAGTTCCTATGGAGGATACACTATATACCCTAAGTGCAAATATATATTTCTACAACTTCAACTTGTAGACTTCGCAACATTCAAAATTACCAACCCTATCTTCATAATAGTAGGCTAAAAGTGAATAATATCTATATTACCTATCATTATATACTATAATACTACTTGATTTCTTAAAATTTCTCAATAATAATAAGGAAATAAAGTAGAAATGAAAGATGGAAACCAGAACAGTGTTAAAAAACAGTAATCTATTAGGATGACTGAGCAATATTATGCGTCTAAATTAGGAAAGGTCAACTTTTTTTATGTAAATGCGGGCGGATGAGGGCCGCTCGAGGGCGGCCCTCCAACTGGTGCGGGTCGGGCTGAGGGCCGGGGGTACCGGCCCTCAAAACGTTTTTAATGAGGTCTAATCTTAAGGGAGTTAAGAATACTGAGAAGCACCCCCGTCTCGTCTATATTATATATATTCTCCGGGAGAACAGCCGGATCGCCTAGCTGTCGGCTAATGATATTAAACTATGGTCGGACTTTATCTTCGATATACCGGCCATCTCGCTTCTAATCAATCGCTTATAACCGTCGCGCTTTTAACTATAGGTATTACCGTAACCCGCCCCATGCGGGTTGCGGGTTGACTTTACCTACCCATTTGCGGGTTATGGCACAGACAACATATATATATGTTCATTACTATGCTCCTTTTAATTCGCAAAATGTGTATTGTTGCAAGATTTCGGCTTGCATATAACCGAGAACATCACCTTCACTGGCCCGCGGCTTCCCAGGTCTCCCACGCTATACAGCCGACGATCAGTAATACTGTAACTGCCATGATTGCCGTAAAATGTGAGGGTGTGATAGGAACTCCTGGTCGGCTGGCTTAGGAATTATAAACTCGCTTAGCCGACCTACAATCGGGAGTCCTGGACGAAAACAGCGTGTATTTAGTCGATGACGATTCTCGATCTTCCCCAGGAAGTCCAGCAACCCCATTCCTCCTGCTCTCTCCACCCTGCACCACAAACCACCTCTTCTTGTTATCCCAATATGCCTGGATCTGTTTTTCTCATCGGTCCCGGCTACATCGGGGGCGAAATCCTCGACCATCTCCTCAAACAGCAGTACAGTGTCACCACCCTCGTGCGTCGAGAGGCGGCGGCCGAGGATTTTGCCAAAATGGGCGTCCAGACCGTACTTGGCACGCTGGATGACAACGCAGTCATGACCCAGCAGGTCGCGGTGAGCGACATTGTCATACACACAGCCACGGCCGACCACCTACCCTCGGTCAAAGCAGTGCTGGAGGGCATCCGCCAGCGCGCCGCGCAGGGCCAGAAAACGATCTACATTCACACCAGTGGTGCGAGCCTGTGTGGTGACGATGCGGCGGGTAATTACGCAAGCGAGGTCATCTTCGACGATGCGGACCCGGCGCAGATCGACGCCCTGCCGGACACGGCGCCCCATCGCCTGATGGACCTGGCCATCGTGCACGCGAGCACCACTGCGGAGTTTGAGTCGCACGCCAAGATTGCAATCATGATTCCTCCCATCGTCTATGGTGTCAACACCCGCGAGAAGCGCCTATCCATCCAGCTGCCAACCCTGGCACGCTTCGCCCTCAAGCACGGCTACCCTGGCCAGGTCGGCGCCGGTCTCACCATTTGGAATACCGTACATGTCGCGGACCTGGCGCGCGGCTACATGACTCTTCTTCACTGGCTGGAGCAGGCCCCCGCCAGCGAGATTCGGGCCAACCCGTACTTCTTCTGCAACAACGGGGACGCCAATAGTGTTTCCTGGGGCGCCTGTGTCGCTGAGATCGGCCGCGTCCTGCACCAGGCCGGCCGTATCACTGACCCCACGCCCAAGACCATTCCGCGTGAGGATTTCGGCGATCTCTTCGCTGACTACACCCCCCACGTTGTTGGGTCCAACTCTCGAAATCGGTCCACCCGCCTGCAGCGGCTAGGATGGGCCCCCATAGAGAAGGATGTCTTCAAGTCGCTAGAGGAAGATGAGTTGCCGATCATCATGAAGGAAACAGGTGTTTTCAGTGGCTACGCGAAGCCTGTGGTATCGTAAATTGGGTGTCCTTCTCAGCCAATTGTGCTGCAAAATCCTAGACTAGCGTAGCACCCGTCGATGACAGTAAGTATGACTGGATTGATTGATACAGAATTGGCTCTGTATACGATGACGCCGAAGAATGTTTTGCAGTGCTGAGAGCTCTTTCCCTCTTTCTTGACCAGTCGCAGCTTGGGTTGAAATCTTGAATTGCAGCGGTACAGCCCATCGGCTAAAATTCTCTTCCGCTAATTGTCAAGCCTAGCTACAGAATGGCCTATCTATTCAGGCTGCTAGCCTACATGAATAGTTCTTCCGGGTTATAATATTCTCCTACATATGGCACGAAAGATTGGGTCCTGTCGATACGCCAACCAGCCGGATTTCCGTCATCAGTGACCTATGCAGGCAAAGGGAACATTGTAACCAGGCCTCTTGTTTCCTCTCTATTTAAAAACAGAACATAACTAACTTGCCCGCTGTACATATTCGCTCGTAGTGATTTTGCATGATATTGAAATTTGAGAAAGCATGATGTGACAAATGATCCACAAAAGTATTCACAATTGGAAGAAGCGCCATTTAGTCGGCGTCCGGGGAACACGACCTACAGGCACGCTGTAGCGTTCTACGGCTGATTAGGCCCATACTGAATCGGCCTCGTGGCAATATCCGCGGTACCCGGGTAAGGGTGAAACGGAGAATCTGCTTCAGTTATCTACCGATTCACCAAGCCGCTGAAGTCCTTCCGGGAGAAGATTACGACGATGATTTAACAATTGCGTTTTGTTTCCTCGGGGGATGATTTGAGCATTGCTCTGGCTTAACCCGCGGTGAGTTATGTCATATAACCGCGGCCAGGATCAAGTTCGGCTGTCGGAAGAACTATTAGTAATAGTCACGGAATGTGATCGACCCGGTCCAAATGCGTCAAAGCCTACCCAAGCATAAGTAAGATAGGCATCAAACGATGGGCTGGGAAGTATAAGACCGACCAATTTCTACAATTCATATCACTCAACTGGCCTCTCCGTCCAATATATCCCTCTCCCTTTGTCACCATAGGCGCAGTCTCTCACATCGTCGAGTTCCAGTTCTATTAGGATGTCCATGCTGCCACCATCCAAGATGTATCTCTGTCAAGCACATCATTCCTTTCTCTCTCTTCCCAGTCGGACTAATATCTGGTCAGGCTATTCAACGGATGCTAGAATTGAAGGAGAAGTGCATCCACCCTGTTACAGGGAAGCCCTACATTGTCTCAAGCGTGGGCGGCAAAGAGTGCTCAGTTGAAGGAATCGCGGTAAGACGACGCTCCCCCTCCTTTCACTTCTCTCCCCTTCCTCCGAGTGGGGAACAAAATTTTAGATTCTCTGACTTTGGGAAATGATAGGACGGCATTACTCACGCCTTCGTGGTCGGTTTTGCGTCGGTCGCAGATCGGGATTATTATGCCAAGAAGGACCCGGCCCATCTGGATTTCGGTGCCAGTCTGACGCCCATCGTACAAAAGGTCCACGTCGTGGACATTGAACACGGAGTTTACTAAGGTAGTGGAGACTTGGAGAAAAGGGTATTTAGGAAAAGATCAGCGCTGTAAAAAATTTGATATTTATGAAAATTTATATATGAATGTGTGGTTGTGAATTGTCCGTTTACACAAAGATGAGATCTTGCCGTAACTCCTTCACAAGCGTTCTTGCAGTTTACCTACACGTATTGCGGATTTGCCAGTCTCCCAGCCCTAAACTCGGTGATTTACGTGTAATCGCTCACTGGAGAAAAAGCAGTCTCCCCATAGGATCAGTAACCAAAACACCAACATTGACGGTGATTGTTAACCTGAATATTGGGGTGGTTCTGAACTTCTGAGAACAGACGCACTAGCTTTGTCATCCGTGGGGTGGCGATCATCCGATCCGATCGGCAACGGGTTCTTCCCTAAGATCGAAGAGGTGGCTACAACAGCTGGGAGGGAACCACACGTATTGGACAACAGACTCCAACGGATTAGTTATCCATCGCATATGGCCCTCGTGGCCGGATTTTGAATCACGCACCACTCACAGCGGAGCCTAACCCCACCCCTCCAGCCCGCTCCTGACGGCGGCCAAAGGCAAGCACTTCATGTCTGCAACAACTAACACCGATAAGCACCGACTGAGAGCGGCTAAGGCCTGCCGACGGTGTAATCAACGAAAGGTCAAATGCGACGCGACGCAATTAGGCTTTCCCTGTAGTCGTTGCCGAATGGACAATAATTCCGACTGTGTCCTGCTCACCTCTAAGCGAGGGACATATGATCGGCGGCTCAGACTCAAACGACATGAAGCGCGCACGGCAGAATCTCCAAGCCCTAGATATGGCACGAAGCACCGTAAGCCGGCGGTGACAAACCCTAGGCATGCCCCAGATGACGACGATGACGACGACGACGACGACGACGACGACGACGACGACGACGATGATGATGATGATGATGACGATGATGATGATGATGATGATGATGATGATGATGATGATGATGATGATGATGATGATGATGATGATGATGATGATGATGATGATGATGATGATGATGATGATGATGATGATGCTCCTGCTGCTGCTGCTGCTGCCCGCAATGACTCTCTGCCCCTATACTGTTCCTTGCCGGCCTCGCATCTGTTTGAGAGTAACGAGGAACAGGCTTCCACTGCCACCTTTTCGCGTGCCCAAATGGGTGGCTCCGCAAGTAGCAACATCATCGCCCCGTTGACCGCTACCACGGTCCCCGCGATGACGTCGTCGCGGAATGTCCCGTCCCTGTCATCCATGTTCCAAAATTTCGTGGGCAAGGAGGGAGAAGAGGCCCTGAAAGCCGAGCTGGTACTATTCGGGGAGTCCTCGCCCCTGACATTTTCGTTGCAGCTCCGTCGCGAGGCGGACCCGAACCTGCACGACATCAGCCACGGCATCTGCAGTAGCCAGTCGCTGGCCGTCATCCAGGAGGATGACCATCCGGCCCATCTGGCACCCTATGAGATCGAATGCCTGAAGGCCAAAGGAACGTTTGAGACCCCGGGACCTGAGGTCTTAGATGACATATTCAACGTTTTTCTCGATCGTTTTTACCCTTTGTACCCCGTGGTCGATCCAATCGAGCTCCGAAAGGCTCACGAAAAGCGCAAGGTGCCGTGGATTCTCCTCCAATCCATCTGTTTCATTGCCATGACCTTTGGCGATGCGACCTTGATCTACAAGGCTGGCTTCCGCTCACGCGTCGTGGCGCGCCGGCTATTCTACCATCGTGCCAAGGCGTTGTTTGATTTCAATTACGAGAATAACAAAATTATTCTCCTCAAGGTCGCCATTCTGCTCAGTTTCAAGGGGCCACAGATGGATTGTTACTGGAACCCATGCTCCTGGATCGAGGTCGGGGTCACCGTGGCAGTCTCGCTCGGCATGCATCGCAAGGCCGTCAGCCAAAATCGGCATCCCGACGATCGCGCGCTCCTTAAGCGACTGTGGTGGATCCTGTCCCTGCGCGATGCGCACTGTTCGGTCCTCCTCGGGCGTCCATTTCGCATCAACATCATGCAGTGCGATGTCGACATGCTGACTCTGGACGAATTTGTCGACACCCATACCCGCGAGGAGAATTCTGCTACCTATCACTGTGATTGCCAAGCGGCGTTTCAATATCAAATCCATGTAGCGGAATTGTCCCTCATCTTGCGCGCCATCGTGCTCTTCCGGTTCGGGCCTGGCAGTGAAGCGACCTCCGCTGCCGCCATTCAGGCCCAGCTGGATACGTGGAAGACCAAAACCAGCGCCGGACATATGGCATCCGTCAGACATGGGGGGCCTCCAATCTCGGCATGGAGTGTGCAGATGGAGATTCTGCTCGAATACCATACCATGCTGCTCTACATGGATCCACCTGGCCAGGGCAACCTGAACCCGGCGCAGCAGCACTACAGTTCCGACTCCCCAGTCATCGCCTACTCGTCCGCCTTAGCTATCTCCTCCGCCGCGATCAAACTGGTGACCAAGACCTCCCTCTGCGCCCTGCCCCACGAGATATTCCCCGCGTTCTTCACGGCTGGAATCCTGTTGTATAGACAGGCCCAGCAGGCCGGGGATTTCCATCTTGCCAAGATGATGCAGGCCAGCTTCGATAACTGCCAAATGCTCTTGAACGAAGCGCAAGCCTCCTGGGATCCCGGGCGCTGGGCAATGAAAATCTTTAGCTTCCTTCTGTCGGGGCTAGATGAATCGGACCCGGCGAGTACATTGCATCAAAACCAGTACCAACGACCGCAGGACGGTGAACAGCAAGCTGGGGCTGGGGCTGGAGTGGGGGCCGAGCCAGGGGGCGATAACTTGCCCATCTCTGCTGTCGGACAGGGGGTAGTCAACCCAAATGGCGAGGCATTGTGGCCTCCTGGCTTGGTTCTTCCCTGCATAGATGATGACCGAGGTTCCATGATGGATATTAACGAGTACATGTTGCTACCGAACTTCTTTGGCCCACCGTATGGAAATTAGAACAGCGGAACCACTCATTTAAAATCCCCCGGTCTTACTTATAATGGCATTAGATGAGAATAGACATGATTCATAACATGGAGCCCTCATATTCAGTTGCTTTGTTCGTACTGGATAATGTTATCACTGCGATCTCTATGGATTTAGTTTGTTCTTTCGAAGACTGCAGAGAAATCTCCAGAGACATTTCAGAAGTCAGAGGGGTCATCCGATTAGCAGCTTAGGATGTGATCTGGTGCGTCATACTCGTGGCTGTATACAACGCTCCTATCCAATATCCACTGATGCGTGGTGGTGAATTGGGAGTAATAGGGCCGCCTGACTTTGGATTCTACACTTTCATGACATGAGGTTGGTCGAGATCAGGAACAAAGCCATACAATCGTGATCAATTTCCGAGATCGATTCACGAAGAACCAACTGATTTCAATCAACTTGATCTTCTATTTCTACACAAAGCCCCTGTCGTTCATTTTGAAAATAGGTAAATCTATCATTCTAACAATAAGCGGCATAGAGCCTTTGGCAGAAAGTGGCAGCTTCGTAACTTGGAGACGTCTGATAACCTCCTACCTGAACGTTGCAGGCCTGAAAAATAGTTTCAGATGACCTTCAGCGTCAAGATAGAGCTTGAGACAGACAAGAAGATCGCAATGAACGGGCAGAGCTTTTACAGTCTACCTCAGAAATCTTCGTTTTCTCGGACGCCCCGAAACGTCAATGCCACCTGGGCGCACCTGCCCGCAATTCTTGATAGCAAAATGGAAGCGGCCGAATCACTCTACACAATTTGGACGATAAACAATTCGTGCCATCCTATAAGCACCTACAAAAACCGAGTTACCCGGAATTACGATTCGCTTGATGATAAGAATACTATAAATGTCTCCATACTAATCGCCTTCGATCATCAGTTTGAGGATCGCGTTGCATAGACCATTTGAGCACTCTAAACAGATTGAGCTTGACTTTATTTGCTAGCTTTCTTGGGGCTTAGAAAGCAGCGCATCATTTACATCTGTTTACTCCGTCACCGCAACAAATTTCTCCCGGCAAGCAGCTTCTGAGTTGGCTAGAACAGGGAGTACAGCCAAGATCCTTAGCCGGGTTTGGGTAGGCCTGTGTCCTGAAGCTAAAATTCACTTTCAATTTTCAAGAATTTTAAGACATTAATAAGAATTTAGCAACTCACTACGAAAATTATCTAATTCTGTAAACATTTTGTTGCCTCCAACTCAATTATAAGTGACTTCAATCGACAATCTCTGAATCTCGGAAGGCTCCAAGGCACCGAGCATGCCTCCAAACTTCAAAACGGCTTTGGTATTTCTACTGGGAATGCTCCCCTATTTAAGTAAAATACAAATATTCCCTCTTTTCCACTTGAAATGGCTTCGGCGTCCAGGATCTTTGAGATAGGTAGTTCGTAAAAGCCTGCCAGGTCACAGATATGAAAATGGCTCCAGTGTAGAACCCCCTCTTCAATAACTTGCGCACGCCTGGCTTCACAGGCATTGCGAAGCAAAAGTAGGGCTTATATGAACAGCTTGTCAAAATATGTATTGCCTAGCCCGAAGATCATGGGTGACATTCCGTCGTACGTCTTGACATCCTCTTGAAGACGGTTCTCGATGACCTGGTTGTCTGAAGTCCGCAGGGAGAAGGGTTAGACCCCTTCACGCATTTTCAAGTAAGAATCGAATGCTATCTCTGTCAGAGAAATTACGGCGCTCAAAGAAAGCTATTGACAGTGGCGGATCCGGAGCACTACTGTTTGTTACCGGGTGTTCCAGACATTTATTTTCTGTTGAGAGGCTCTATATCTATACACAGTGTTGGCAAAATGCACCAGGTATCCCGAATGCATCCGGCTTATCAAACCAAAAATATATTGCATTTGGGTTTCTGCTGGTTCAGCCTGGCTTAATGGGAAGATACCACCGCCCAGATCGACATATGTCCATTCGCCGAGAGGTCAGTCTAGCTAGCCCATCGATAGATTGGTCCAACCCTTCCCTTCTAATCAAAATGAAACATATCTTTTGCCAGTGGCGAACGGCATGCAGGGGTACTAAAGCTAGCCAAAACATCTTCAAATGCCTTCTGGTTCTTTTCATCTTTTTAAAATATCCAGCAGTGCGAATGAAGACATTGAGGCAGACTGTATTGAATCTCATCGGCGTATATTCTTGAGCCAAAAAGAGCAAAATTGATTTATCATAGCGGCCATAACTTGGGCTGTGGGTATGCAAAGTTTCTCGAACCGATCCTTGATCATTGACTCGCTCATCCCGATGCCTCACTCAACGAATGCAGACAACACGTATCAGCGTTGTAATATTGCGTACTTTGATAGGCCACTTGAAATTGATCTGCAAGGAAAATGGGGCTTAACTCACTGCATTTCCATAGCACCAGGCGATGGAATACTTGCCTATTAGATTCATACTGGAAGGATATGGACCCACTGCTGTAGGTATTGGTAGAAAGCATCGACTTTTGTAAGATCGAGGCAAGCGGGCTTAGCCTCCCGAAAAAAACATTCGGACACCTTCCTCAATATCATGGCCAGATCAAATATGACATTCGTCAAAAACTCAGTGTGGGTTATTGGTGGCTGTTTTTGTCTAGGATAAGGAGCCCAAGAGTCTCTCTATCCATGGTACAGTGGGATGTGTGCAAATGTGCAAAGTTGAGGCTCTTGATAATCTTTGCCTATTGTTAGTTCAAAGTGGCATTCCTTCATAAGTAATCAGGCATTTCCCCTCTAATTTTGATAAATTTCTACTCCCGTGTATATAGAAAGGAGGCAGCATGGTGAAATATCAATTGCTGTTGATATTTATTTGGCCTGTTCGTTTACCCCATTTTTCACGAAATGGAGCTCATTAACGCGTTTTCCCTTTCTAAAAATATGGATTAATCTCATTTCGATCGATTAGATTGACAGCTGACAGTTCCTTGCAGTTGCTATTGCTATACGACTTATTCATTAGGACCTCGGCCTCGACAAACGTGATGCCCAAAACGACTACAACAAGCATGGTGCCTAGGTCGACTGCACTAAGCCTCCTAGTGTAACGTAAGTCAATGTTGTAGGTACGACGGGTGAAAAACTATTTGCACATTAATCCCCTAGACGTTCTTGTGATTGAATAGAAACTGACAATATATAATGCGTATAACAGTTCTCTCCATCTCAAAGCCACTAGAGTATTTGTTTCTAGATCGAAAGCCAAAATAACATATAAACCAAGCCCTTAAGACGTACAAATACTGATGTCAGACGAATTCTTTATATCACTACTAATTTGTCTTTTGAATAAATATTCAACTTTATTAGTGACCTCACGCAGTCAAGAGGAGCTAGACCTCATACCCGCCCGCAGGCGGCCCTTAGAGGGCGGTGTTGTTTTTATTGAGTGATGCTTCAATTTTTCATGTTATTGAGGGGAGTTGTGTTCGTTGTTTTGCATTAGATACAAGCAGTGTGAGAGATATACAATTATGCACGTGATTCCAGCCTCATTATCATCTCGGCAACCAGGATATTTCAACACCGCCCTCTGAGGGCCGCCCGCGGGCGGGTATGAGGTCTAGTTCAGGTAGAAAAGGGTAATATTAGTGAAATTAGTAATATTAAAGAGAGTAAGGATAAGAGTGAGAGTATAAGAGAGAGTATAAGAGTATATAAGAGAGAGAGTATGAGGTTAAAGAGAAAAAGAGGGGATTTATCCGAAGAAAGTTCGGATGAAAGTGCGGGTGATAAGAATTTGCCCACATCTCGCACCTCTAGTCGCGTACGGAAGCACCCTGATCAGCCAATTAGATTTCATATAATTAATTAGGTGTTTTTAGTCATTATTTATTATTATTTATCAATCAAATTTTATCAGATCAATAAGGGTTACTGATTTCAGCGCAAATGAATGACTCCTGAAATTTCAGGTAGAAGGGGTTTTGTGCACAAAACCCTATCTCTTAGTAGTAAAAGTATGTATTTTATTTATGGTATTTACAGCTAGAATACTAAAAATACAGCATATCTTTCATAAATCATGTAAAAATAGTATCTCCACTCTAATAGGCCGTAATAGGCTTACCAAAGCCCAATGGGCTTAGGCCGGCCCACCGAAGCCCAATGGGCTGTCCAATAGGCTTACTAAAGTCTAACGGGTACACGCAAAACGGACTAATCAGGATATAGAAAAAGGCAATGGAGTCGAGTGCAATTAACCACTAAAGTATAGGTCTATTCAGGAGTTACTAAAATATCGATCCGGTCCTTACTGACAGTATGACTGATCCTAATTACGTATAAGATAATGCTTTAGCCTTCATGATCTACCTAATCAAGCCATTAGGTAATAATCTCTGGCCTCATCTCCCACATGCTAGTGGAACGGAAAATCGATAAAATCTCATCAGGGTACTTCTTGAGGTGGGCGGGATTAAAAGGTTTCTCGCACATCGCACGTAGCTTGACCTCATTGTCTTTTCTTACCGTCCAGACAGAGGTCAAGTTAGTGAAAAAAGGCTGGTGGATGAATTTGCTTACTCCTTGAGGGAAACGAGGATATTGCTCCGATCCGGAATACTGATCCAATTGACCAAAGAGAGGGTGAATGATTAGTTGGATAAGATGTTCTTGGGATTTGCGTATGTGTGTGAAGAACGCTTTCACAAAATTCTCGCTCATAGCACAGTTGACCATGCAGTCCCGAATGAACCAGCTAGGGCAGACATCACTGCCCCGCCCAAACTCCGCTACCAGACCCTTTTCAAATTCGGTCAATTCTCGCGGTGGGACAGGCATTCCGTTCGCATCCATTTGGGGTAAGCAATTCAACACAAGGTCGAGCTCCTTGAGGGAGGGAAAACGTCCCAGAGCGCTCGACATATCTGTTTGAGGACCTGGATATCGCTGTACACAGATTTGTAGCTTCCGAACAAGTTGACAATAGCGTCCCAACTCTCGAACTTGCTCAGTTGAAAATATGGGCCCGGCTTGCCCCTTTTTGCACAGTCGGGGTAGAGACACGCCTCTTGCGAGCGGATAAGGTGATATTTGCTCATGCAATTTCAACTCAAGGAGAGTTTGCCCATGCCCATAGCTAAGCACATTGTTCAGAAACCCAGGATGATATACTCCCAATAAACAAAGATATGTTAATGGTGGCAGCGAGCTGAACATCGACTCTGCAGCGCGCCAAAACCTTGGCCCATCACCCTTAGGTGCAAATACGGCAAGGGTGAGTTGCTTTAGCTGTTTGAAAGGGCGAATATCCATAATAGACTGGAGCAGTGTCGAATCTTTAATACAGCCAACAGTCCATGATTTCAAAACACTCAAATCGGTGACTGTGTGCCAATCTTGGAACTGAGTAGCTGTCATATCGGTATGGAGAGGCCATGACATGGTTTCAATTCTAGCAGATCCAGGTGGTTTGTCATTTTTGTTGGCCATGTCCACACTGGCTTCGTGTAGCCTTTCTCTTAAGGCCTGACCATTATCCCGACCTCTAATCCGCAATGCGATCTTTTTGCGATTCGGCGCATGTAACACAATATTCTGTAGTATCCTATCGGGATCCTCAGAGAGCACAGGGTAGTACTCCTCACAAGTCAAATGGACAGCATATAGCATTGGCGAGGAAATCCACACCGGATCTATAGAAGGAAATGAGTCCCACCGAATTGGGTTTTTTTTAATCAAAGTGCTGAATATGGAGACTCGACAAGTAGGGTGATATTGTGAAAGAGCCTCAAAGAGTTCGACTGGACCACCATGGAAGACAAGGAGATTCACTTCGTGTAAACGAGGAATTAGTCGGATCAGATCAATAACAGGACTCCAATCTCCTCTAACGTAGAAACCAGCTCCGGGGACGGAGTGATCCCCAGAGAATGCTCCTTCTAGAAGACTAGAAATGTGGGACTTGTGATTGTCAGGCTTGTCCCTGGCCAGAGGCTTTCGGTGATTGGAGAGAGATGTTTTCTGAGGGAAATACGGGCGCCATTCTGCCACAAGGCTCAGTTGTCTCGCGTGTATGAGGATACGTTGGTCGTCCGGTATGATGGGGTTTCTTCCTTCCCTTAAGCGAATGATGATATGCTGATTCAAGAATTCTTTGGCAATCTCGTTCCACTCACGGCTGACTAAGCCCAGCGCTTGGAGGCTTTCCTTGGATATCTGTCCTGTCTGTAGCTTGAATTAGAGGTGCAATTTATCGCTTTAGAGCTTAGACAGAGAGGCTCACCCAATCGGCGATTATGTGCCTGATCTCTTTTGGTAACTGATCCATTATTATGGGTTTCTAGTTTCAGTGCCAGTGGTCACAAAGAATCGACGGTAGGAAAGGATGGTTGTCTAATTACTAGAGGAAGCAAAGAGAGAGCCCTGGAAGCCCCGGGGTCTATTCTAGGTTGACAACCTTGGAGACTCGTACGTGCTGACTAATTTATTTTTCACATGGAATTACCCGGGGGAGTTATTTCCCGGTAAAGTATTTCAACCTGTTACAGTACACCTACTCCTCTAGGCTGTTTAGGCGAGCTCTATCTAGAAAGATGAAAATCGATGTACTGGCTAAGACTAAACATGTCTAATATAATCGGATAATTGATTATAGTCTTGATTAAGCGATTACTATGGACTATTATCCGCGTTCTAATGTTTTGCTACGCTGTATCCTAATTCAAGATAAATATAATACTTGTGGAAATTAGACTTCCGCAAAGCCCAACTTGGGCCTAAGAACTCGGCCCAAAGCCCAACCCAGGCTGGGTCCGGGCCGAACTTCTCCAACCCGGACCCAACCCGGACCCAACGCTGGGCCCCCAGTAAAACCCAACCAGGCCCAACTTAGCCCAACTTTTGCATAATTCTTGTCATAACTCTGCTCAGTCATCAAGATAATATACCGTTCTTTACACATGTCTGGTCTATACAACGTAGCACTATGCCTTCTTTTCATAAATCATTTGAAATTTTAAGAAATAGACTTGTATTCATAAGGAGTTGATTTAGCATATACTAAATTACCATAGAGCTATATGAAAGTTCTATTATTCTAGGCGCGGTCTGTTAATCATGAGATTTCTGCCTTGAATTAATAATGAAGTGATAAAGATATATATTTATAACACAAGGTACCTAATGCATCTTTCGAGAGTAAAGAAAATTTTTATCGAATTGCACTAATTTAACAGAATATAGAGAACAATATATATAAAAGTGATTCATTTTATTCATTTAATTAGATTAGTTTACTCAGAAATCAGCCAAAAGAAGACTATAGAGTAGGAAGGCCACTGGAAGATTGAAGTTTTTCTTCTTGGCGCGATGGGTTGAAATTTTTTGACGATCTTAAACATAAGTTGGGCTGGGAATTGGGTTATTATTGGGTTTTTTGGGCTTTTACTGGGTTTTGGCTGGGCTTTCTGGGTTATTACTGGGCTTTAGCTGGGCTTTCTGGGTTATTGTTGGGCTTTCTGGGTTATCTCTACATCATATGTAACTCTCTAGCCAATCAAACCTAATTCTTCTTATTACCCCCTCATCATGATTGATGTATCATGTTTATTTAACTTATTCCCTACTACCTAAAGATACTATTACTTATTAGGTGTCTCTTTAATCAATCCTCCCTTACATTCAATATTGATCATAGAGCTAATTCATCATGTCACAAAGTCAGCACTCTAACTTCGCATCCTCAATTTATGACGGCGAGATAGATAATCTTAGCTATCTTACAACACCAAACCCCCCAGCCACTCCATCTGGTAGTCAATACACGCTTGATGCCTCCGAACAAGACTTTCTCCGACCTCTCCGACCGGTAGTTCCTTCCTCTTTTACGCGCGTTGGACCCGACCGAAGGAAAGCCTTTGTTCTCTATGAAAGAATGGCCCATAGTGAATGGGTGGACTGGTGGTTACAGACTGATTATGGGAGAAAAAGTAAGATCAACTGGGACTCAACCCGACATGCGGAGATTTGGAGCCAGTTCCACCAAGTTGCCCATAATATGGATGGTGCGCCAAAGGTAATGTGTCAACGCTGTGATGCTATCCTTGAGCATCCATACACAGTTAATCCAAAGGCAAAGGGTAAGGCGCAATACCATGGCACATCGACAATACAAAGACACCTTAAGACAGCAGGGTGTTTAAAGGCCGGGCAAGGGAAGGGGAATGAGATCACTAAATTTCTAAAGAATGGGGTATGTTCGATCATTTCTTTGATCCTATCTTCGGCCAAAGTCAGTGTCTAATATCTTGACTAATATATTTTGGGGAATACTAGAGACTACCGATGGATGATAATACGCCCTTTTCACAAGAATCATGGGAAGAAGACCTCCTCCAATTTTTAACACTTAATCGACTCCCACTTCACCTTATTGAGCATCCCTCGCTCCGGCGTCTGATTTCTCGGGCTCGCTGCGCCCCAAGCCTACCAATAATCCCCTCTGCCGATACAATCCGCCGCCGATTAACAAGCATTGTTAAAGACCGGCAAGAAGGCATACTTCGGAGATTACCAGTTGGCTCAAAGATATCAATTGCGCTTGATTGTTGGACGTCTCCCTATTCGCAGTCGTTTATGGCAATCACAGGCTATTTTATTGATGCTGATTGGAGGTACCATAAGGTACTTCTTGGCTTTAAGCCAGTTTATGGTTCGCATACAGGTGCGAATCTAAGTGGTGTGCTCCTTCAAACTCTTATGGAGCATAATATTAAAGGCCGAGTGTTTGGAATCACCACGGATAACGCATCGAATAATAAGACTTTGGTTACTTCTCTCCAGCAGTCTCTCCAGCAGGCTCTCGCAGATGATGTGATTCTTCCTCGAATTCCATGCCTTGCTCACGTTATCCAGCTCAGTCTCCAGCAGCTTCTTGGCCGTATCAAGGCAAATCCATTAAATGAGTTAGCCGAGACAAAGTGGACAGAGAAGCAGTCAAGACTGGCAAAGTTTAACGCGCAGCACCAAGTACGTGAGATTTCCTATACCTTGAATAAGGTCCGCTTTCTCGCTATCTACGTCAATGCGAGTCCTCAGCGCCGGGAAATATTCTATAATCTCCAGACAACAGACGTGAAGCTAGTGCCTATCCAAGATGTGAAAACTCGATGGAATTCAACCTTCTTGATGCTTCGCCGGGCAAAGCGTCTACGTGATATCTTTGCCCCATTCTGTACGGAGTACGACTGCGAGGAGATGCTACTAAATGACGAAGAGTGGCGCCAAGTTGACTATCTTCTTTGCATTACTGAGCCTTTCTTTGATTATACAACTCAACTGTCAAAGACTCGTGATGTCACAGCGCATTATATCTTCAAGATTTATAATAAGCTCTTTGAACACCTTGAATAGTCAATGAAACAGCTACGACGAAAGCGCGTTCCATGGAAGCAAGAGATGCTCCACGCGCTAGAAGCTGGTCGGGTTAAGCTTGATGAATATTACTCTCAAACTGGTGGTATTCAAGGACATCTCTACGCTATCAGCACAATGCTTGCGCCTGTGAACAAGTTTAAATTCTTCCTAACAAACGATTGGGATCAGGAATGGCGCGATACGTATCGCAACTCCTTCCAACAGGCACTTATTCCATACCAAGAGCAACTCTCAACGCTTAGCCAGTCCTTAGATGGAACCCGCCCGGTTGTTCAATTAAGCTCAAAGCTTGATAAAATGTTAGATGAAAGTATAGCACAACCAGAGACAGCGACTAATGAAATCACCCAGTATCTTGATAGTGGTACGTTTTTCGAATCCTTTACGATATCATACTAACTGGTTAATAGATACTATTCATCTTAGGCCTCTTGCCTTCTGGAGAGTTCTGGAGAGAGCACCAAACTCGCTTTCCAGCAATTGCTGCCCTTGCACGGGATACACTTTCCTTCCCGGCAACAGGTGCAGGTGTTGAACGACTCTTTAATACTGCTCGGGATATCTGTCATTATCGTCGAGGGAGACAAAAGAAGCAGACAATTGAAGAGCTAATGATGTTTCTTTGTACTTCAAGGTTTGATATTGAAGAGAAGGAGGCGAAGTATCTAGAGAAATTCTTCTCTCATATCGAGATAGAAACAGCGAAGGAAGAGAAAGATGATAAGCTTGAGGAGGTGGAATTTGACTTGATTAGTGATACTGAGGAGGCAGACGAGGAGACAAGTGATCATGTACAGCTAGATGAGGTAGATGAGCCCCAGCTTCCGGCACCTGAGAATAGTACCCAGGTACGGGCATCAGGACGGAAACGTAAGGCTCGAGAGGATGAGGTCTTTGAGTATTACTCAAAATGATTGTACATAATTTTCTCATCGGGGGGCAGCCCCCCGATGAATTTTCAATAGAATACACTATTTCTATCCTGGCATACTTTTCTTGTTGTAAAGGGAATACGCACTATTACAGGCAAAAACCGCATGATTAATGCAAAGAAAAAAAGTCACGGGTCTTGGCATGGCTGTTATGTTTGTGGCCCAAGTTGGGGGCCCGGACCCAGGCTGGGCTGGAGCTCTGGGCCCAGAGCCCAGCGCTGGGTTGGAGTCCTGGGCCCAGAACCCAACCCAGCCTGGGTTGGGCCCGGGTTGGGCCCGGGTTGAGTTGGGCTTTGCGGAAGTCTAGTATTGGGTCGTGACCCACAGAACTCCATAACAATACAACTAAAATACACATGCAACAACAGTTTTCTTTCTCCTTTGTCTTCTTAGTGCTAATTACCCTCATCTATAATCCATTTTTCTTCACCAGTGATTGCATTTCAACAGAAAATTCTCAGCATAAATTTCTCAGAAATGACTAGAAAAAGGTTATTCAATCCCGATCTAGAGCTGGGGGCTCCAGATGCCATCAACAAACGACCACTTTGAAAGAGCAAAGGTACCGGCATCTTGATCGATGTTGTAAACGTAATTTTGAAGTACGAGTTGAGTGGGTTCGGAAAAGGGACCCTCTCCCACTTATCGAGATCGACGTTCTTGTCACGTATCTGTTTGACCTTGCACAGGGTATCGGCGGCGTCTGGAGGGCTTACCCGAACGCGTGGATCACAAGCGCGGTACCAATGGCCTGTTTATAACCATAAGTATTTAATGGAGAGAGCGAGTGGTATGGCTAACCATTGATGTGTAGATTCCATAGTCCCCTTATTCCCATTTTGGGCGATTCGGCACCACCGGGAGAAGCCCAAGGGCAGTATGAAGATGGAACTGTTGAATAATTTCTCGTTGCTTTGTTAATAACGAGGATGTGACAGATAATACTCCCGCATGGGATTAGGCGATACGAATGGATTCGGGCATATGTGGATTCGGGCATATGTGTTCGAATAAACAAAGGGCCATTGTAAGGCCAACGGACTGGCCATCACATGACTATCCTCCGACATAGTTATGGCTGGGAACGTGACCCAGTTTCACCCTAAGGCTGCAAGATCATCTTTCCAGCGCTTGCCTGATATGTTGCTGTGTCCCTGATTATTTATCTCCATGGCGGGGAAACATCTCCTCTCGGTCATGCCGGCTCTAGAAAATAGAAGTACGCCCATTGATAAATTGGGAATAGACGGATGTAGAGTAAGAGGCATTATATTTGCAATTGATTATTGGATAGTACAATTCCTAGGCAGACCACATGGACCTTCTTTGCTTTTCTCCGATACAGGCTTTTGACTTTGGAAGCTCTTGGTCACTGGCTTGGTGTTATCAGCGGCCACTGGTCGAGCAGTTGACTCAGACTTTGTGATTTCCGACTTAGACTGGCTACCTCCATGCAGTCAAGCGGAGTTGGTCTTGGAGACATGCTCGTAGAAGGACTTGCCCTGAGTCTCGGCGATCTGGAGCTCAAGAGTGGAGGGTTGCCGAGAACCATCGCCACCCTAAAAATTGGAGAACCCGTTAATTAAACCCCACTTGAAATACTTCTAGATCAATAGTTTGACTTACAGCAATGGTACCAGCGCCCCAGGGGCTGCCTCCGTGAACCCCATCCATATTAGTGAGGAGAGGGAAGGCAGTCGAAGCCGAGAGGAACATAGATCAAGCCATGGTGCGCGAGGTGCTCATAGCAGCAAGAGCGGTTGACTCCTGGCCGCCACCCTGACCACCGGTTGAGACAAAGAGACCTGCATACTTGCCCCAGTAGCCACCAGAGGCCCAGATGCTACCAGTGCTGTCCCAGAAAGCCTTCCACTGGGCGGGGAAGTTTCCAAAACAAGTAGGAATGCCCAAGAGTAAGGCATCATACTCCAGCAGCTTGTTGGGGTCCGCCACGGGGTAGTGAGACTTAGGTGGAGCGTACATCTTGGCCAGAACCTCCTGGGGGAGAGTCTCGGCAATCATAGGAGTTCAATCGTTAATAAACTCTTCACTACTATCGTATTTCATGGGGGTATACTGGAAAATGTCTGCTTGACCTCCGGCAGCCTCGATACCCTTCTTCTCCTCCTCTGCAAGCTTTTGAATGTGGCCGTACATAGAGTACTTTTAGGGTCTTGATTAGCGAAGTGCTATTTGCACTAACATGGTCATTGTAGAGTAGAACATACAAAGACAATTGCAATCTTGGGAGCCATGATGAAGTGACTGAAATATGTTTTTTGTAGAAAGGACGAAAACAGATGGGAATTGAGGAAGCCAAATGAGTATGGATGTGAAACTGTGATCTGGGCAGCCGGCGTTATTTCAATCGATGTGTTAGCAGGCGTGGCAAAGGGGTCCGCGTATAATCCATTTACGCAAAATCCGTGAACCTTTCGCTTTTCCTCAACGTCTGTCTATGTGCACCTTCCAAAGTTCTCTTTTCCATACAAACGACCCACTCGATTTGTAAGTAGCTTAATAATAATAGACAAATATAATTCGCTATTGAGCTACTAGCGAATTTATTGTTGACTATAGTTTGATTATCCCTCTAGCTTACTCCAAGACCCTCTCGGAATGCCGAAGGGCCGAGAATTTCCAGGCGGCATCTGTTCGGCATAGTTGACGGGAAGACCCTGCAGCTTTTTTTCGGGTTCGGGTTCGCAAGCTCACCTGATTGGTGGGACAGTAGAATTCCTGTCTCCACCCATCAAGCTTTGCAGTCGGACTTCCCCCACTTCCCTCCATCTCGGTAATACCCCATGGACGTTACAACGAAGGGGATTTCTCATGGTCTACGGTACTTCGAGAAAGGTTTTTTTTTCCAAATCTGGAAGTTCCGAAGCTGGGGGCGATAAGAGGCTTGGAGATGATCAGATAAGCCTAATCTTGCTCTTGTAGTCCCTGTTAAATTGTTCTTCTTCACCTGTCTTCAGGTTCTATCACCACTGAAATTGACCAGGTAAGGGACTAATAAAGAATTCAATGGCTTCAGTAGGAAGTAAATGTTTCGACTGCACTCAAATGCTACTGAAACTGAATGAATTATATATTCATATTAGAAAAGAATATACCAAGGGCAAAAAGCACGTTCCAAGGTTTTCATGTACGCACATGATGCACCTGTGCGATTTTTCTCACACATTCGGACTAAATTTCGAAAGCTTGCGAATCCGGGCCCCATAGATGAAGAACACAACCGGCACTGGAACCAATGCTATACATAAAAATGCAAGGAGACTAGACGCCCAAGCCACACCTAGGTTGTGAAACATCCCAGTCGCAAACAGTGGAAATCCAGCACCAACAAGGGAGCGCATGAATGTATTCGACACAAGAGCAGAGTTTGCATACCACAGATAGACATCAATGATATATGTGAGTCCTTGCAAGAAGATCATCATCAGGCCCATGCCGATCGGAATAGTTGATATGACTTGCGGTACCCAGGTAATGTGAGGAGAAGATGTCCACGCAAACCAAAAAAGACCAATAGGTAGCATGATTGCACCCACTATCATAGGCGGAAGGCGCTCTTCTGGAACAACCTTGCCATGCTGCGCGAATTTCCGCGCAAAGCGTTTCTTGGTGTAGATGATGATAAAGATAACTCCGCCAATGACACCGATGAGAATACCAAGAAAAGGGAGCGCACTCACACCCTCATTCCAACCGCGTTGTTCCTCAAAGGAGACGGGGAATGCTTCAAAGAAGAGGTAGAGGATACCGTATACCAGTGCAATGTAGATGTTGATCAACATCAGAATTGGCTCTTGGACACACATGATAATCGGACGGACGCCGACATTATACGCAATGGTACCCATGGTGATACGTTCCTCTTCGTTCTTTGAGTGCATGGCCCAATTTTGGGTGCTGTGCCGGATTTTCTTTGCCCTTGATTGTAAAAGGATTGGCGCCGCAGTTTCTGGAATCAGGAACAGCGCCATGAGACCAAAGAAGGCACTCATAATGAGAGTAATCCATTGTGTCCACCGCCATCCAAGAAATGATTGCGTGATAAAGCCTCCAATGATGGGGCCTGCAACAGGGCCACCAAAGGTCGCTGCAAAAACCACACACACAGCCACTCCTCTGTCCACGGGAGCCCAAAAATCCGCCAAAGTGCCACCTCCGATAGCAAGGGTGGCCGAGCCGAAAAGGCAGCCAACGAATCGACATATCATGATGGTGTATAGATTTTGTGCGACCGCAACCGGAATTTGGAATACGGCAAAGACGAAAAAGCCGAAGAGCATAGGGTTTCGTCGTCCTGAATGCTCAGAAAGCGGTCCCCATATTATGGGCCCAACAGCAAACCCCTTCATTCAATTTCGTTAGCTGTGCACGGTGATAAGGGGATAAACATTCTTGGACGTCGGTTGAGGCTTACCAAGACGAAGAGCGAAGTTGCAAGGGTTGCAACAACGTCCGAGACATCGAACTCCTCCGCCAAAGCCTTGACTGTTGAAGTCATTACACTTGACGAGAATGTAACACAGAAATTCAACGTGCCCATGGAGATGGTGCACAAGGCTTTCTTCCACTTGGGCCAGTTGTGAGGATTTTTTGGGTCATTGGGGCCATCCCAGTCAACGAGATTTGTCGGCTTCTCATCGAGATCATTCCCATGTGAACTGATGTAGTCTTGTGACTCTTGTCCCTGCCTGGATTGCTCCAGATCCCCTGGAGGGGAGTCATCCGTTTGTAATCTTACTGGCATTGTCTTAGAGCAAAGCTGTCGAGAATGGGAAGCCTGAAAAGTGTAGTGAAAAAGTCGAATAGGAGAAGGGCAATTGGACCCGTTTTATACGGGGTCCTATTTCAATGAGTTTAGTTCATCGTAAATTTCTGCATTATTGTGACGTTAATGACGGCTACTGTCTCGGCAATCTTCCAGAGATAGCAAGCAAAGATCAACGGTATTCCGTAATGCCGGACTAAAAAAAAATCCATAAATCCAACAATAGTCGTCCGTAAGAGACCATCGGAGTTATTGATGTTGGTCCTAATCAGGTATCTCCGGTCCGAAAGCGGAAAATACTCCGATTTCTCCGACCGAGATGGTTCCCAATGTTAATTGCACCAGTACCACCACTAGGATAGCTGTCTGTAAAACACCAAGAAGCATCAGACGGTTAATCGATACCAGATATTGAGATTCATGAGCCGGTAATTTAGGTACTTTCTCAATGGTTGGAGTACCCAAGCAGCCTATGTCAGTGAAGCATTTGAATGTAGGAACCGCCAAACATATACTAGATTTTTGAATTATTCGGGTTTCATGTATCTCAAAAAATACTTAACTAATCCTCTTCATCAGGCAATAACACATTCAGCTCCTCTAACTTATCATCACACTTCACTCCCATCTGCATGATCACATCGGCAGCGTCGTTTCGTGTGATCAGCAACTGCGAGACAAGCCAGAAGTTGTATCCATTTTTGTAGAAGCCGAAGGAGTCCCATTCATCTTTCGGAATTTTGCCACAGAGTGTGAACCAATGTTCGTGCCAGCGTGTTAAAGCTTTGCGGATCGAGTCGAGAACCAAGTCTTTTGAAGTGCGTCTTTTGCTTGAATTTCTCTCCCGACCCTGTAAATTCTGGTTATAAGGGCTCTGATGTACAAATGCGCCCCAAGAAGAAATCTGCATGTTGATAAAGACGTATAGTACTGTATAAAGTGATTAGTCAAAATTGGCAGGTCAAGGATGATTGCAGGGAAATCATACGGTGAATTAGAATGAACATGTCCAAGGTTGTCAAATGCATATTGGTAGTATTAGGAGAGCCCCGATCATCGTCAAAGAGCCCTTGAAAAGCCTCGAAAGCCGTTATATCGCGTGATGCTTGAAAATTGGGCGCGGCGAATGGATGCTCCGCTTGGAAAACCGATTCTTCGCAAGGCAGTTCGAATTCCATCTCAGACGGTGTTAGACGACAGGGGAAATTTTGGTAAAAAAAGAACGCGGAATCAAGCAAGGATACCATCGCCATCGTCCTGTCAGGTGTTAGTTGGGGAAGCTACCTCGGCACCTTGGCGTCTACGCACCTGATGTGGCCCTCCTTTTGAATCCACAAATGCTCTAACTCCGAGTCTGCAGGTCGATGTCGAGATTTCGCTAGGCTAATCCTCCGAGCAACCTATGAGGACACTATTAGTTTCATGATATACCAATAAGGGAATACAACGAAAGTCACCTTGATAATTTCACTCAATCGGGTCTCCATCGCTCGGTCTCGAGAGGCTAGATTCCCTGCCCAGTATTGCACTCCAGTAATTACGAGACCTGCCTGGAAATTCTGGAACTTGACCCAGTCGTCTAGTTCTTCATCCTCGCAGAGCCTGTTACCGCAGAAGATAGCCTCAATTCCGCTCTCCGGTGAGAATACATCATTCGAAAAAATGAGAAGTTCCACAAAATCGAGCACTTTCTTTGCAACGTAGACCTCCTTTTGGTCACTGGAGTACATTGCGCCCATAGACACAATCGACGCTAACAAGGGTACAGATACAGTTTCGGGTTCGAATGTAGGCGCATGAACCATTGCGCAGCCCGGATGCCAGTATTTGAAATATAGAGCGATGAATTTCCGGATACGAGCGGTTGTCAGGAGAAATGTAAGGTTGTTGGAGAGGTCTTGCTGGGCTTTCGTATCTTTCAAGACAGTCCAACCTTGGGCCAAAATAGATTGTATCAAAGCCATCACGAATGGCGGATCAGGTTCAAGGATTATGTCTCCCCACGATACAGAGAGATCTGGATCTGTTTCAGCCAATGGTGAGTAATGAGCAGCACCACCTTTATTGAAATCTTCCGGAAATCTGTGTTCGCTGTCAAAAGGGACGTTGAAGAAGTCAAGCCATGTATCGTGGAATAAATCAAGATCAGCAATACTGGAATCTACGCAAGTCAGGGGCTAGTTCGGATTGTTGCTTCCAACATGCTGTAGGATGGTCTCGCGCTCCTCATCCCGCATAGCTGTCTGGTTCTGATATACCAGCCCTCGGGCCCGATCATCACGCGGTGGATGTCCGAATTTTTCTGTGAAGCTGTCTGTCCCACCATTGATCAAGGACTTGACTGACCCGGGGTCTGTTGGCTGGTTATAAGGGTCTTGTCGCGTCGATGACGACCCTAATTTTGTTCAGTGCGTTTTTGGCGAGGTAGATTGCTGTGCTTCATACCCTTTTTATTTTTGTGATTTTGCGAAGATGAGGTTCGCTTATTGCTGTAATTGATGCCTTTCCTATGGCACGGCTCGCATGGCTGTTTTCCGTCACAACGAAGTTTTAAGGATGTATACTGCGTGTAGTGGCCGCGTATATTAGTACAATACAACGCCTGGCGCCCTCAAATAGTATGCTTACCGATTGGCAAGCTTGTCGCCGCCTGCCTCTCCGGCCATTTTCTGGGATACGGCGTTCTCCACGTTTAGCACAATTTGTATAGTGGTCGCGAAGACTGTCGCTGTAGGAAAATGGACTGTCAGGATTGGAGCAATTCCATAGGGACACAATTTCCCAGCTTACCATCGGGAAAAGGTTTCGTCACAAAATAAACAGAAGTATGGCTTCTTGCCGGTATCTGCTCAAGGCTTAAGTATTGAACAGGAGTATCAGGAGGGTGGCATATATACGGCGTAGATGGTGTCTTTTCAAGTGATCACTGCGTGTAAAGCTTTGCTGGCAGATGTTGTAGCGGAATTGTCTTTCTGCACTCATGGTTATTGGGAATCAAAGAAATCTGGGGTCGAAGTTGATTTAGGGTAGGGGAAGAAAATTTCCGGGGTATTGGTAGTCTTCTGTTGGTAGGAACTGGTGGCGCTAAGCCTGGAGGGTGCAAATCCGGATAAATCCGGTAAGCGTACGGTCACAACATCAAAACCTAGATTATATCCGAATAGTCCTCTTAAGATTTTTGGAAAACTCAAGTACATTTGGCTATTTCTAAGTATCCTTGATCGGCTTAGGAAAGTCAATCTTCTCATCATCTAGATAATCAACATTGATTTTGTTGTGTTTCTCATTCTCCGTCCACCCATCACCAAGCCACCCCATGGCATTATTCCCAATATACTTATACTCAAAGTCTTCCCAACGCGGGTGCTCAAACGCAGCCATAGAGTACAAAGATGATCCTAATCTAGTCAGCGAGTGCATCAAATGAATATTAGACCCCTAAATATATCACCTACCAGGCCAAAGGGCTGTAACACGGCCATCTTCAGTCCCGCCCTTACACCAACTGCGACACTTGCTGCTGAACATAGTCCGCGAGAAATATTAATCGCAAAACTGAGTAAAACGCTTGACGGATTCAGGTCGGACACTCATTACGCGGATATTATCACACTAGATTTTGATTACATATTTGGTGAAATAATCCACTGCTTTCTCAATCAGAGTTAAGAGATTACCTTCACCTAGCCCGGCGTTGGGTCCCAAAGATATAAAGTAATTTAGGAACCCATTAGTAGCGATTAACAGATAGGTCTAGGGGGTTTCCTTCCAGTGATCAGCCAAAGTAACTCCTCCCCGCCCCTTAACCGTGAATCGGGGAGTACAAGAGGTATCAAATCTAGTTACACACACAATCATATCTACAGGTCTGTGCTGCCCATCTGCGGTGATAATTCCTGTTTCATCAACTTTCACAATGTTCGTGGTGATAATATCAACCTTCTCATTTGTTAATGCCTCCAAGTAACCAGGCCCCAGAGTCAAACGACAACAGGCGGATAGGAAAGCAGGAGTTAGATCATCGATCAGCTCGGGCTTACCGGCTAGTCGCCGTTTCATATTATTCACGAATTCTACCTAGGCGCGGATTTGCATTTCGTTCCCAGTAAGGGTAGACCCGTGAACGGATTGCAGTTCCAGCTCGATCTCTATGAAATCTGTTAGAAAGAAATACAAAGGAATTACGGGGTTACGATTCACCTTTGCGAAACTTCTAATAGGCTTTGTGATCTCGTTTAAAGAGTTCAATATCCTCTTCGGTAAATATGACTAAATATTTCTGGTGTCAGGGAAACGGTTTAAATAGAAGCCCGTTGTGTATACTCACAGTTTTCCAATCCCTTACCACGTTTCTCAATGTGTTCACGCGCAAAAGGAGGAGAGACCCAAGTGCGACTACGAACATAGTGATCCATATGTGGCACATCGGGCAAAATGCCAGGGATAATCTAAATACCGCTTGATCCATTGCCCACAACTGCAACTCGCTGACCCTATGAGATGTTAGTTGTTGCCATAAAGAAATAACCGCATCTAATAGGCGCATACTTTATAATCATAGCTTTGGTCCCAGGAGGCACTATACATCAATTTGCCCTTGAAGTCATGAAGACCAGGGATCTATAGCCACTTCCAATCATTCAAGGCCCCCGTTGCCTAAATTACAACATCACATTGATCTTTAAACATAGACCCCGTATCAATGGCTTCAACCTTAAAAAAATAGGTCAGTATCGCATCGCCGCTTCGGCATGAGTTTCACTTACTTGCAGCCTCCATTTCGAGAATTTTTCATCCCACACCACCTCTAACACACGGTAGTTAAATTTCATATACTGTCTGTATCCGTATTTGTCGACAACGTGCGCCCAGTACTTGTGAATCTCCGGGGACTTGGCATAAAATGTGGACCACTCTTTATTAGGCTCAAAGGTCGCTTGGTAGGTATGAGCTGGAATATCTGTGTATAGCCGCGGTCTGTCAGAAAGTATACATAGAAACCAGATAACATGACATACCGCAGGCACACCCGGGATAACGGTTTTCAAACCAAGTCCCCCCAATGTCGGGATTTTTTTCATAAATGCAAATTTCCAGATTTAGGACTCTTTGCAAAAATCGAATGCATGCGAGGATTCCAGAAATGCCGGCCCCGATGATGACAATCTTCAATGGACGAGCTTCATCTATAGATCGTTCTTCCACGAAACATTTGGTTTGCTGTGCCGTTGCCTCTTCCACCGGCTGTTCAACCGCCGGTTTGGGGATGGTACTGGAGACACGACTTATACCCATCGTGCAAGTGTATACTGTACTTGTTCAATCTTTGGGTCTCGAAAAAGGGGGAAAAAATTGAAAGAACAGTTTCTCGGTCTTCTTTTTTTTTGAAAATGGATCAGCCATGTCGAAGTTTATATAGGTTGTCTCATCGCGAATGTGGATCCACGGATGCGATCAGACATCCACTACCGTGTATGTATTAGTGTATATTTCAAGGTTGATGCGTCGGGTTTACGGCCACTGGTTACAAGGTGGATACTCAGAATCGATCGGAATTCCCCCGTGTCGGTGAAACAAGCGTGCCTCCCCCGGGAAATCTCCAGAAATACCCCGCTCAAGTTCCCGGAAATAGATTTTTACCCCAGATAACTGAGGCTCCTACGTAATTCATTTCAACTAGCCATATATAGAACTAAGTATTCCAAATTTTATACAGGGTAGTTATTGTCCAAAGACCCCTCTACATTCGTAGAAACTTGCAGATAGCTCCAACATACTTTCCAAGGCAGCTATAGTGGTCTCTACGAATAAATACGGCGAGGCTAAGAGGGGAAGGAGAGAGGGGATTGACGGCGGGTCTTTACCTCGGTCAGGTTGTCAGTGGCCAGAGTGTATGCTTACGCTTACCTATAAGGGAAATTAGACTGGCTCACGGAAAAGGTCGTGTCGGGAATCCCCCTCAACCCACTGCCCAACCATGAAAGATCCAGCATGAGGTATGCATGTAATCAATTCCAGCGACCAGGATGCCTTGACCCACTTCATCCAGAAGGCTAATTGGGGTATCTCCGGAATTCATGCAACTCCACAGTTGGGGTATTCCCGGTCCTACAGTTTGACGGATATGAGAAGAGCCACTAGTTCGCCACACGCTACGGTCGGATTTACTGTCATCTGACTTAAAAGGCATATATGGCGCATGCTCATGGGGAATGAACGCAGAATGGAGACGGTATACCAGAAAACGAGTATTTACTCACCAAAATGAAAATTGAAAACCTCAAGTCAATCCTCCAGAGGCATTTCTATTCAACAAACGCTGTAGAAGAGAAAATGCTATTTATTGGAGAGTGGGGTCACCTGACCCCCTGCGTTTGCTCCAGCTCTCTCTTTCTCTCTTTATCTCGTCCATACTCTCGGAATGCAGATTATGACCCTTTCTTCTGCGTCTGGCCAGTTCTTCGCCTGGACGCCAGATCAGCCCTCGACAATATTGTTGCAGATGGTCGCAAAAAGCGTTGAATATCGGTAGCATGATATCACCGGGCCTTTCTACCTGAGATGAAGGAGGACGAGTAGCTCGAGGTGCAAGTGATAGACACTCGCAAGACGAAGTTCGGTGAGGATTATCCCGACACGCTGACGAGCATAGTCAACCTAGAATCAACTTCCTGGAACCAGGGTCGGTGGGAGGAGGCCGAGCAGCTCGAGGTGCAAGTGATGGAGACCAGCAAGACGAAGCTTGGCGAGGATCATCCTGACACGCTGACGAGCATGGCCAACCTAGCATCAACATACCGGAACCAGGGCCGGTGGCAGGAGGCTGAGCAGCTCAACGTGCAAGTGATGGAGACCAGCAAGACGAAGCTTGGCGAGGATCATCCTGACACGCTGACGAGCATGGCTAATCTCGCTTTCACCTGGAAATCTTCAGCTCACGATGCCGAAGCCATCAATTTGCTACGAGATTGCTTAACCAAGCAGAAGCAAATACTCGGCTTGAACCATCCGATTACTTTATCTAATTCTGAAACATTGCTGGAATGGGAAGCGGAGGGCCTGAAAATGAATGCCTAGATAAACTAGACACTTGAATATCACATTTACATAGCAATTTCTGCTCTTTATATGTACTTCCCAAAATGATCTTTCCCAACATAAATTGACTTAGTTCGCACCACTCAAGCGGGGTTGATATTATCGCTTTAGTGAACATCGCTGCCAGGAGATTGAGGGCAAGTAGAAGGAAAGTCGTCAATGAGCGAGCTAAGAGGCTGCGACCAGTATTCTTGGCAGGAGTATTGCAAGTAATTTATAGAATATTCTATCACGTGATATTTCCTTGCAATACGATTCAATACTTGAAACCGAGCCAAGTCAGAAATGGATTAAGATCGTTACCCTATTACCGGGCCACCCCTAGTAACGGGCCACTTCGAAAAACATAACCGAGAGTATATTAACTAAGCTTGTATAACCAATATTACCTAAATTTGCCACTCAATCATACAATCTTGTAAAGCAATTTTCATTATTGCTTCTGAGGCCAGTTTAGCCTGTTTTTCTGGCTCTTTTGCTTTCTGGCGTGCTTCTAATTCAGCTGCTTCCGCTTGGGCAGCTTTAATATTAAATATATTGGCAAAACGTGTATTCGGGTTAACATAGACCTTTTTCTTCTTTTTTTGCAGCTTAAAAGTATCAACTTGAGAAGAAAGCTTCTGAATTAATGCTCCATCAACTGCTTGTTTTGCAATAAGCATCCCAATAGCCTTGCCTGCTTTTTCAAGAGCATGTCTTTGATCTCGAGTAAGATTTTGTTGCTTTTGAAGCAATTGTTTTACTTTTTGGACATGTTGATGGCTTTTTGGCGGGTGAAGATGCCGAGGATGAATATATATCCGGGCCCCCTCCAGAGCTTCCGTCTAATTCTGACATACTAGGTTATCTACAGGATATTCTATTATGGGTTGGGAACAAAGAAAAGGGCACTCAGAATCATATTCGACAGATTGAGGGTTTGATTGACGATTTTACTAGGATTCAGATTGATGAGAAGCGTCAGGTGACTTTGGATGATATGTGGAGAGAAAACTAAATAGGAAGTAGGGCTTAGGGTTAGATAACCAACTAATACGTCATGAATTCAGAATTGTCACAATTCACATTTGTCACCCAATATCATTTGGATGGAGGGGGGTGATATAAGTGGAAGTTGACTGTATAGAATTATGAACGCAAAAGCTTCTTTTCATTTGCACCTGATGATATACAGGCTTTTGCGCTTAGTACTTGATCGCAAAGCTATAGGCTGATTCGTAGTGCATAGCCCAGTATTTGTCCCAGATAGTCGACGTAATAGGGCCAATCTTGCCGTCCTTCACAGGCTCACCATCAAGCGATGTGATGGGCATAACGCCTCCGGCAGTTGAGCAGATGAGGATCTCATCAGCAGTGTACGCTAGTGCTGTGGGCACAATCTCCAAACGCACCTTGTAGCCTAGGGCTGCAGCAGCGTCCATGACACTCTTGCGGGTGATTCCCTCGAGAACACCACGGTCAGGAGTGTAGAGAACGCCATCTTTGATAAGGACGATGTTGTAACCAGATCCTTCGGTAAGGTTGGCATCTCCATCTGTCAGAAAAGGGTGCATAGCACCACGATCATTGGCCTCAATCAAGCCTCGCACGAGATCACCCCATTGAAAGTTCTTGACGGTGGGGTCCATGGAGCCAGGGGGGCATCGTCGGACAGTTCGTGAAATGATGGCGCTGCCGCCAGTACGTTGCTCCTCGGGTTCAGAAATCCAGGCATATGGTATAACGAACAAATAAAGGTTGTTCTTAAGTTCTTCTAGCTTGCCGCTGCGAACACTCTTAAGGCCACGGGTGACAATAAGCTCAACGTAAGCGTCGCGGATACCACTCTTGGCAACCATGCCGACCAAGATAGTCTTGATCTCCTCCTTGGGGATGGGGATCTGAAGTTGCAGCTTCTTGCAGCTTTGTTCTAGTCGGTTGAGGTGATCATCGAGACGGAAAAAACGTCCATCCCAAACAGCTGGTACGTCGTAAGTCAAATCACTGTGAAGGAAACCCTGGTCCAACAAAGGAATGCGAGCCACATTGATAGAGGTGTGCTCGCCCTCGATCCAGGCGACTCCTTGAGCGAGGGGGTTGCTGCTTGCTTCAAGGACAGCGGTGCGCTTGGCATATTGGGTAAACACTTTTTCCATGGTAGACATCTTGAAGGCGGGATGTCAAGTCTGCTGATTCTCTTGATTCTGCGAAAATGAAGACATAAAACCGGAGATCCCAAGGTATTAATAGGCATAATTATTACATATGATAAATCGAAATCTGTTGTCACTGGCTCCATGGAAGGTCATAGCGAGAATCTTTTAGTATTATCTGTACCTGTTCGTGTTCTGTTTCCGTTGCAGTAGCAAAAGATAAGTAAAAAATCAAGTGACAGCGTAACTCCACAATTGTTCATTATAGAAGATTTTATTTTGTCACCGACAACGAGGCCGAGAATCACCAACACAGGCTTATAGTAAGTCACAGCGAGTTCCCCCATATCTTATCGTTAGTTACGTTGCTAAATGACATAATCAAGTAGTCGAAAATCAATGTAAGCCAAGACGGGTCAATATTACTAGCTTGTAGTAATTATATCCAGCAACCACTGGTTGCCGGAGCTCATAGAGCTAGGTAAGCTAGCTAAGGTCAATACTCTTGGGGGATTTCGTGTATCCTGTCTTCAGACGATATCTTGAGACTGGCCCCGTTCTATTGGTCAGATAATAACCTTAACTAGTCAATACCTCAAATTCCTAGAACCGACAGATATTCTTGGCCCACAGTATGTGAGTTTCTGCCACTCGTAGATTTTTCCTAATAGAATGTGTCAGCAAGCTAGAAATAAGAACGTAAGGTAAGTCCTTTCTCGAAAAAAACTCTTACTCTGATAACCCAAACATCCCAAACACCTGGCCGCTTCAGGGGCGATCGACAGCATATTGTCGCGTGTAATGAATATATCACCTGCGATGGCGCAAAAGAATATTGTTATCATTGGGTACGTGTTGATAGCTTGCTATTTCCGAGTTTATGCTGACTGTGAGTTAGTGCTGGAGTTGCTGGGTTGACCACGGCCCTCATCCTTTCCAAGGACCCCAAATACAACATTATTGTAACTGCAAAGCATATGCCCGGTGACTATGACATTGAATATGCTTCCCCATGGGCTGGAGCAAACTACATGCCGTAAGCTGATACCCTTCAAAGATTTGGTG